TCCACAACTATGGCCAGGTATCGGCTCATCGACCATTCGATGGGCTGTCCCTCTTTATCCGTCCTGACTTTCCACACCATGTTCACCTTCTGCCAATCACTGATCCTTATGTTATTTCGTGTAGGATTGGTCCCTATACCCTGCATGGCCTGTACCTCCCTCCTCGACTTTCTCTTGCAGAGGCCGAGAAAAGGTGGCGTTCCTTGGAGATTGACGATCACACTATTGTGTTTGGAGATCTGAACGTACGTCTGGGCAGTGATACTGGAGATCACCGTGCCAACGACAGAGCCGCTGCGCTACGCAACTGGATCAGTACATTGGGTTTAACCTTGTGGAACTCAGAATTGGCGTATGGCATACCCACTTTTGAAGGTCACCAAGGAACAAGCATCATTGATTTTTTTATCTCGATGCACACAAACATTCTGGACGTGCAATTGCAAATAAGGAGTGACTTGTCACTTAGTTCCGACCACCACTTGTGTGAGCTATCCTTTGTACCTGTGCCCATACCACAGCTTCCCAGAGCAAATGCTGCCCGACGCCACTGGAAACTTCAGCGATTCCAAGATCCTGAGGTATTAGCCAGGTACGCTGACAGGCTAAAAGATCTTACGGGTGATCTTTTAGAAGGGATCTCAGTTGCGCTTTCCGAAATTGAAAACAACCATGCGTCGCGCGCTTGTAAACTGGAGGGCTTTGTGAATAAACTCATTGAGTCTATTTACGCCGCCTTGGATCACAGCGTTGGACCATCCGATTCCCGTGATAAAACCTGGAAATGGTTTTGGAACGCCAATTTACAAGCTCTAGCCAACCGCCGTCAAGCCCTCTACCAAAGGTGGAGACGGTCTGGCCATGACTTTGAACGCCTTACAATTCGTCGCCGGTATGAGGCGGCTTGTGCCGAACTGACACAAGCGATACGAATTGCGCGACGCATCACCTGGCGACAATTTTGTCAAAAGATGGACCAAGACCCTGTGAACATGAGTAGTGCGATCAAACGGATGAGGCTTCGGCAACGTTCAAATGTGACCCTCTCATCACCAGAAGGACCACTCCATGATGCTAACCGTATGGTGACGCATCTGGAAAGTGTGTACGGCGGCTCTGTCGACCTACGTTCGGAACCCTCACCAGAAATGGATGATTTCCAGGACAGTACACGAATCCCATGGACTCAGGCCACTGTTTATCAAGCGATCCGGAACTTGCCGTCCCGGAAAGCACCAGGTGTTGACCACATACGAGCAGAAATGCTCAAACCTGTGGCTGACCACATGAGCGTCATTCTCCATAAGCTTTTTCGCTTATGTTGGAGGTGGTCGTGGACCCCAAGGCAGTGGCGAACTGCACAGGTAGTCCCGATCTACAAGAATAAAGGTTCACCATCGGACCCATCCAGTTATAGGCCCATCAGTCTTACCTCGGTTTTCCGAAAGCTGTTGGAGCGTTGCCTGGTACCTGAGCTTCTCTCAACGATGCCTCAGTTAGACATTGCGCAAGGTGGTTTTCGTGCCTCTCGGGGTACCCTCGACCAAGCACTTTGTCTCGATGAACTCATGCGGCTTTATACTCGTGTCCAAGGGCAAGAGCAGTTGCCTACTCCCCCCGTGGTTGTTTTCCTCGATATTAAAGCTGCATATGACAGTGTTTAATCGCTTGATCATATGGGAACGTTTGGGCCATTACGTATCGCAACGACTGCTTCGCTTACTGCGTAATCTCTTTGATGACATTGTCGTCCAAGTCATATTACAAAACGTAGCGTCCCGGGAAATTTCGCCAAAGCAAGGTGTTCTTCAGGGCAGTATTCTTTCTCCTTTTCTTTATTCTATCTTTATTGATACGTTACCCCGCTTACTGCGGTCCGTATCTTCTTTTCCACAACTTATTCGCATACCTAAGCCAGCCACTGGGCGTTCGCTCAACCTGTGCTCAAGGATGCCTTTTTCTTATTCTTCCACTCATGCGAACCCGCGTTCTCTTATTGATGAGCTGCGGTCTAACCATGATCCTTATTCTGCTCCCCATGATCCTCGCCGATCTTGGGCCCCTATTAATAGTTTGCTGTATGCAGATGACGTGGCAATTATTGGTTATCCAGTAGATGTCCATCGGATGCTTGCAGTAGCTGAAATTCATTCTTATCTGTTTGGATACCGTTGGAGTCCCACCAAGTGTGAAGTCCTCAACGCTCCGGCTGATTCTTCTTTTTTTCTTTACAATAACGAACTCCCTACTTGTACTTCTTTTAAATATCTGGGGATTCCTTTTTCTCAGTGGGGTATAGATCGTAAGGCCTTACTCGCGCACTCTAATCGCAAGACAATCGCAGCAATGCGGGCGTTGAGTGAGTCAGGTGTGCACATGTATGGCTTTGGTCTCACTGCCTCACTTCGGGCTTACAAGATTTTTGCGAGACCTATTCTCGAATATGGTTTAGCGATCTGTATCCTTTTCCGAGCTGACTTGAAGGAACTCGAGGACACCCAACGGTGTTGCCTACGGATGTGTCTCAGGCGCCCTGCTTTTTGCAAGGCAATAGGGACCGCCACTGTGGCCTCACTCGCTGCTCTCCCTTCTATGTCTTCTCGTTTTCTTATTCTACAGGCCAAATTTGTTGGTCGTGCTCATACACTCCCTGCTGATACACTCTTGCGCTGTATTATCCCGCAGCTTCAGACTCGCCGAGGGAACGCGACATGGAACAGGCTACGTCGCAACACCCTCTGGAAAGAAGTCAAGACGATCCAAGCTGAACAAGCACGTTCGTCTTCTCGGAACCAGCCATTGGATCCATTTAAAGTAGCCATCCGAAACCATCTTCAAGGGGAAATAGACAAACGTCTTGCTAGTCGCCACCCACCAGTGACGATTTCACGTGGACTTTGTCGTCCTGTATGGGACCCAATCCTGTTATTGCCGGCCACCAGCAAAGAAAGACATCGTCTTATCCGTTGGCGTATGGCCTGGCTCCCACCCACTCCTTCTGTTGCCTGCCGATGTGGTGACCCCAAAGCCCATCGTGCTCATTTTCTGGTTTGTCCGCGCACGGATTTCTTTATCCAAAGGATCCTGCAAATACTGCCATCGTCACCGCCCGACCAAGTCCATCCCATCGATTTTGCCCTTAATCAGCTCCCCCGCCGACCAAAGGTTAATCTTCGTTACTGGCAACAGCTCTGGCCGATCCTCTTGGAACTCCTCCGGGAGATCGATATTGCAACATCTGACACCGACTTTGAATCAGAACCTCCACCTGGTGAACTACTCCTTAATGCATGTGTGGCACGTCAACAGCCCACAATGCCTCATTCCAATCATTAACGTACCTCTCATCCTTTTCCTCGTCATTATCCTCCGCCCTGGCCATTAATTTGTGCGACTTTGCTCCTTACTTTTTTTACCATTTTGGATTTTTTTTCCTTTTTTCCTTCGTCGATCCTTTCCTTTTTTAGATTTTTTGCTATTTTTTTATTTTCTTTTTTTCCCCTTTTGGGGTTTAGCAACTATATCTTCCCAAAAACCCTTAAAAACACCGAGGCGGCCGAATCAGCCCTTGTGCGACTGGCCATTGCCCTCTGAATAAAATGTTTGAACTACATCACGGGACCATCCGATTCCCATGATAAAACCTGGAAATGGTTTTGAAACGCCAATTTACAAGCTCTAGCCAACCGCCGTCAAGCCCTTTATCAAAGGTGGAGACGGTCTGGCAATGACTTTGCACGCCTTACAATTCGTCGCCGGTATGAGGCGGCTTGTGCCGAACTGACACAAGCGATACAAATTGCGCGATGCATCACCTGGCGACAATTTTGTCAAAAGATGGACCAAGACCCTGTGAACATGAGTAGTACGATCAAACGGATGAGGCTTCGGCAATGTTCAAATGTGACCCTCTCATCACCAGAAGGACCAATCCATGATGCTAACCGTATGGTGACGCATCTGGAAAGTGTGTACGGCGGCTCTGTCGTCCTACGTTCGGAACTCTCACCAGAAATGGATGATTTCCAGGGCAGTACACGAATCCCATGGACTCAGGCCACTGTTTATCAAGCGATCCGGAACTTGCCGTCCTGGAAAGCACCAGGTATTGACCACATACGAGCAGAAATGCTCAAACCTGTGGCTGACCACATGAGCATCATTCTCCATAAGCTTTTTCGCTTATGTTGGAGGTGGTCGTGGACCCCAAGGCAGTGGCGAACTGCGCAGGTAGTCCCGATCTACAAGAATAAAGGTTCACCCTCGGACCCATCCAGTTATAGGCCCATCAGTCTCACCTTGGTTTTCCGTGAAAGCTGCTAGAGCATTGCCTGCTATCGGAGCTTCTCTCAACTTATGCTTCAGTTAGACAATGCGCATGGTGGTTTTCGTGCCTCTCGGAGTACTCTCGGTCAAGCACGTTGTCTCAATGAACTCATGCGGCTAGAGACTTGTGTCAAAGGGCAAGAGCAGTTGCCCACTCCCCCCGTGGTTGCTTTCCTCGATATTAAAGCTGCATATGACAGTGTTTAATCGCTTGATCATATGGGAACGTTTGGGCCATTACGTATCGCAACGACTGCTTCGCTTTACTGCGCAATCTCTTTGATGACATTGTCGTCCAAGTCAGGTTGCCAAATGTACCGTCCCAGAAAATTTCGCCAAAGCAAAGTGTTCTCCAGGACAGAATACATAGAAGACAACGAAACCAAGATATGTACACCAAGGAAAATACTTTTTTTTTTTTTTACCAGGTTGCTATGGTTTATCTTTTCCACAATGTACTCCCTCAGCTTGCCTTTATGAGCATGCTTTCGATTCGTTAGTTGGCTGACCTGTGACCTATTAATGGAAGCGTATAAACAGTCGTTTTCCTATTTCTTTAGAGTTACAAAGTTTTATTAGTGATGATATAAAAAGTGGCAAGTGCTTTTTGTAGAACAGCTCTAATGTTCTCAATTACTTTCTAAAAAGCGAAATATCATTGCCATTATTCGATTTTATTGTTTGATTGCCGGATTTTTCTCTTTAGGATTGAGCGGTAGTAAGGCTGCGGCAACCCGTCGACCTTCCTCTGCCAGTACATTATAAGTGGCTGCGGCATGTTTCTATAATCGATATAATACAAAGTAAGCAATGGCAAAATAATTTATCTGTCGCTGTAGAAGCTGCATAAAATGATATACTTACAGAGTTCATCTGATCTACTTGAATGCCCAATTTGTGGAAATGTGTACGGATATATGGCGGCATGGGCGCGAATGATTTACCAGTGCCAAATAGTATGAGTTCTACAAAGATATGCATCAATACCACTTTGGCGGGGATGACATGAGAAAATGCAAATATATAATTTTACCTGGCTTTGGGGTGACGACTTCAAAGATTTTTAGAGCATCTAAATCCCAGTCTTGCAATGGCAGCTTTCCAGGTGTATTGGGAGCTTTCCACAAGAATGGCGATCCATTGAGCAGAATTAACGGTTCCTCAACTTTGACATTATTGGAAAGAACAAATCCATATTTAGTAATGACTTCGATGCCGACATTGGGACCTCGATCAAACATGTTATGAAATGCTTCCAACATGGAGACCGGAACGACTGTTTCGGAAGTTGGCGCTTCTGCAGGAACCGTTTGGTTGGCAACCGGGGTTTTGTAGGGCTTCTCTCGTAATTCGTCTTCTATGGGTCGTCGTTTAGCTAGGACTATCCGCGACTGGTGAAATTGTCGACTTAATGGTCCGGCATTGAGAAAGAGGGGACGTCCGATCTTCGTGAAATGAGCACACATGGCAACGATACACGGTAGAAAAATGGAGTTCTGCCAGCCGTAATTTTACTTTGGTTGCCGGTGGACCACGCTTAAAAAAAGCAGTCATAATAATGCAGTTTCCTCATTTCCTTTGGGTGATGAACTCCAACGCAAGTAGTATGCTAGTAGCATAGTAACATGCAAATCTATTTCCGTGATTATATTCAATATGCGTTATTCTGAAAAAGGTTTCATGGGGGGGGAAGTAGGCACTTTGTATTACATGCGAATGGCTTTCTCAGAAATGGTTCTGAAAAGCTTGCAACAATTTTTTGTTTCAGCAAGCTTCTGTGCTCTTAACTGTTCTGTGCAGGGAAAATAATAGAAAGCAAGAAATCAGCATAATAAAGATATGCTTATGAAAAGAGATTCAGCGATGTCTCAGTAAGAATAAACAGGAATCCATATTAATAACCAAGCGCAATAATGCAATAGAACAAATAAGAACGACGCAAAGGTTACATTGAATCTTCAAGATTGTTTTTGCAGCTCAGAAGCAGCCTGTGAAGAGCGGCCTATCCGAAAGAAAGAGACACAAATTCACTAAACCCTACGTAAGGGAAAAAAAGGATAGATTTTGTTATGTAAAAGAAAGAACATGCAGGGTTAAAGAAAACTAAAAGCTCATTGAAATCGTGTAGTCTAAATTGGAGAAACACAGAACCAACAATATGCAATCCGCTTCCATTGAGGTGTTTGTCTGTTACACTATGGAAAACCTTCACAATACGTTTCCAGCTAATTTTTCTTATCGAGAAGCGTACGGATTGCCATTATAGCATTTTACGTCTTCAACGTGAACAAATCTCATTTGGGGCTTGATAAACCGCTTCTGAATACAGTCTTCCAACTCGACTGTTATTACAACACTGAACAGCACTGATGCACCTCAACGCCTCCAAGCTTTGTGGTTTATGATTCCTTACTGTGCTTTTAATTGCAAACACTTACAACATTGCTATTGCCACTTATAGTGAGCAACAAAGCATCTTGTTTCTACCTTTTTTCTCTCTCCCTTCGTCCGCTCGTCCGACCATACTCTAGCTAACTTACAGTCACTTTTATCTGGTGACTATAAAACCAAGACACAGAGCCAAGCTCCCGCCACTGTACCTCGGCCATGAAGACATATGCAAAAACTATGGTCTAACCGATTATAAGCTTCTTTTCGTATAACTTGTAAGTGCGTCCATAAAAATTGATCTATAACCCTTTCGACTAACATCATATATCATAGCTCTTTTGACAATAAATATTCAAAGTGATACTGTCACTGTCGGATCTCATTACATGCACATAAAAAGTCACAATGCACATAGGCTACGCCACCAAAAAAAATGAAATTTAGTGATGTCACTTAAATTCAATTTTAGCAGTCACATTATGTGCAATCTCTGTGCATTTGCAAAACCCAAATGATTTCTAAAAATGGGATATGAATGACGCAGAAAAAAATTAAGTGCAAACCAGGGGCGAGTCCGAAGGCCGGTTCGGGGGGTGAAGTTGAGGAGGGGTGGCAAATAAAGATTTTTGTTTACTCAGCTGGGGATTAAACTTCCCTTTTCTCTTCTCACCACCTACGGCCAAACAAAATGTTCCCCTCCCAAGAAAGCTTGAAGAAGACCTTCTATATCCCCTCTCCTGGTGCTGCTGATGCCGCTGCCCCTACCGGTGCTGCTCTCTATGCCCGTTTCGCTTTTGCTGGTGCTCTTTGCTGTGCCATCACTCACGGTGCCATGGTATGTTCATCGTCCTTCAACCTCGTGTGTTGAAAAAAGGTTCTACGAGATAAGCTAACCTTCGATGATTATTAGACCCCCGTTGATGTCGTCAAGACCAGAATTCAGTTGTCTCCTGAAGTCTATAACAAGGTAAAGCTTTTTCTCTTGTCGGATGGTTTACCTATCGAATCGGGACAGACACATGCGATACCGGCTTGTCATCTTTTTGGTCGATGTGTTTGTTGACAGGACATTCTTTGGTTTTTAGGGTATGATTGCTGGTTTCCGTCAGGTTGTTCAAGCTGAAGGTGCTGGTGCTTTGTTGACTGGTTTCGGTCCCACTGCTGCTGGTTACTTCTTGCAGGGTGCTTTCAAGTTCGGTGGTTACGAATTCTGGAAGAAGACCTTCATTGATATGGTTGGTGTTGAGAAGGCCAAGGAGAACCGCACGGCTATCTACCTCGGTTCTTCTGCCATCGCCGAATTCTTCGCCGATGTTGCTCTTTGCCCCCTGGAAGCTACTCGTATCCGTTTGGTTTCTCAGCCTACTTTCGCCACTGGTCTCCTCAGCGGTTTCTCCAAGATTTTGAAGGAAGAAGGTGTCTTGAAGGGCTTCTACTCTGGTTTCGGTCCCATCTTGTTCAAGCAGGTTCCCTACACCATGGCCAAGTTCGTTGTCTACGAACTCGCTGCGTAAGTTTTCCAGGATGATTGGGCATAGTCAATCATGGTTCGATCAGAAATACTGATATAATGCTTGTTTGTGCACACGTAGTGAAAAGATCTACCAGAGCATTCAGACCCCCAAGGATCAGCTTACCCCTAGCACTGTCACTTCCGTCAACTTGGGTGCTGGTATCATTGCCGGTACTGCTGCTGCCATCATTTCTCAGCCTGCTGATACCTTGTTGTCCAAGATCAACAAGCAAAAGGGTGTTGAAGGTCAGTCCGTCACCTCCAGACTCGTCACCATGGCTGGTCAGTTGGGTGTCAAGGGTCTCTTCTTGGGTCTTGGTCCCCGTATTGTCATGGTCGCTACTCTTACTGCTGGTCAATTGTAAGTTTTGCGTTATTTTATATGGTCAAAGTTTGATGGAGAAACTGACGAATATTTTTTTAGCGCCATTTACGGTGATATCAAGCGTGTTTTGGGTGCTACTGGTGGTGTTGAAATCGCCAAATAAGCGTTCCATAGACTATACACATCATACATTCCTGTCCGTTAATAGTGTGAATCGTATTATTCGATGCGATTGTCAAAAAATAAAAAGGGCTCCTGAAATAGACATCAACCACCAAATTCCAAAAAAGAGCGTATTAATTGGTTTCGCTACTTCAGCTTCGGATGTTCGTACTTTACATCCTGACGTCGCTCCCTCGCATTCTGATTTTCACTCCAGCACTCTTTGATTTTCTTCCAGTTATGCCTGAAACATTTCCTTTGGGCGTTTTATCCACTCTGCAAACCGTCGTAAAAGGGAAGGTCCGCTGGGTTTCAGTGAAATCTTAGCAATTGGCTTTTTATTTTTTACGCCCCGCTGCTTTTTTACTAAGATTCTGTCACTGCTGTGAGACAGTGCATAAAAAAGGCGGGATAAAGAAATTGGGCTTTTTATTATTTTTATCGACTTTATATCCTGTCACAACAATCAATAATTTGCATCATGCGTTACCGTTGTGGAAGTACAAATCAGCAAAGAGTCTCGAGCTCACGGTGTCCCTTGAACCCAAGGAATACAACTGCAGAGCAGGTGATCCAAGAGCCGCAGTTTATTACTGAGCAGGTTATCCAAGGACCGCAGCAGATTGACGTTTCTTCACAATGTAAACATTTCTCTTGATGATTCTTTTTTCGAAAGATGCTTATTTCTGAACTCTTCAAATTCCCATAGACCATACCAGGCGTTGTCAATGTGGGCGTACGGATCACCAAAGAATCACGAGCTCACGGTGTCCGCTGAATCCCGCGAATACAACGGCTGACTTTATTCAACTTACGCCGCAAGGTATTTTTACATTTCTATTGATACTCTACAAAATGCACACAATTCTGAGATCCAGATAAACTTTGGTAGATCTTGCCAATGTGGGCGCACAGATCATCTAAGGATTTCAAGATACCTCTGTCCCCTAAATCCCAGAAATCCTAGAAACAACAGGATATCCAACGTTGAGAATAACGTTCGATTTTCACCCTCAGTGCCTTCGACTACGGAAGGTATGGATTTCTTCAAAGATTTTTTGAGATTGCACGCATTAAGATTATATTTGCCAATTACCTTTGCTTATCAGTTATGCCAGCTCTTGGGCCAGCTCACAATGCCGCCCGGATACCCTTTGAGGATTTCCAAGGAGGTGCTTCAGTTCATGCTCCAAACGTCAATGCCGAAGGAGTAATGGACAACGGGACCATGACCTTGATCTGTGTCTCCTGGCAAGAGGCTGGGAGGACGAGAAAGTGGCTGGAACCCGACAAGAACCTCGGTTTGTCATTTGCTGCAAACCAGGGAAAAGCCAACTCCCCATCCTTCAGCCACCTCCTGAAGAGCTGCGCCAATTGAAAATGTTGCGCTCCTTTTTATGGAAGCCTAACCCAATGTCTGATTGCCAAGCTGTGTATATCCAAATCACATGGATCGCTGCCAATTGGATAAAAAATCAAAGCATGTGTGCCTTTAACTGAACTTGCAGTTATTGGATAAAAATACTGTAGCTTGCCATATTTTTAAAGGAGTATGGGAAAAATGATGGGAAATTTAGAAGCACCCTTATTATCATTTGCTTGATGAGCTGTATTGATCATTGTGTGGTGCACGTTGTTTCTTCAGGATGCAAACAAGATGGATGTGAACTTTGAAAAGTTTCAGTTGACTGCATAAAAGCGAACAAATCTGTTGGCGCAAACGGCATTATCTTCTTTATTCCTCTTCCCTCGGTCACAAAATGTTGTTTAAAGACCGCCTTTACCTCATCATCAAAGCCATCTACGAACGGAAGAAACGCGAAGAAGAGGAGAACGGTATTTATTTTTATGTTACGGTAGCATATTATACGACTCATGAAATATGATTTAGCTGTGTCTGCAAGGACTGTGGCAAGGCCGGACACAGGACAAAAGACACAGTAAATGCGAGAAGCATCAAGCGCCCTCCACAACAGGTATAGACACTTGAATATAGATAACAAGTCGTCACCACTAACCTCCATTGCCTTAATAGTTGGCAGCAAGCGTAAGCGACTAAGCGATCCAGAGAAAGAAAAACTGAAAACTGCCAAAAAACGGGCTCGATTGGCCACAAGCAATGACGATGACACTATACCGATTTGCTCGAGTTGCAAGCAACCTGGCCACAAGTCTGCACGGCACAATGATTGTCCGAATCATAAATTGACAAAGCATCAAGAATTTCAACGCTTGATGGGGAACCGCTCCGCGATCTGCCGCAAGATCAAACTGTCCACCGTTTTGAGACCGCAATATCAAACACTCATGCTGCAGAAAAATCACTCGAACTTGCGAAGATTTGCGAAACATTGTCATCAGGACCCAATTCTCACAACTGAAACAATTCATAAAAAGGTGTTCACGCAAGGCTGTTTCTATTGCGTTGCGCAACTTGTCATCAAGAAGACTCCCTGCCCGACGCCCTCCTGACCAATTGGCAGGCCTTTCGTAACAATTCATTGTGACGTATGAAGCCGAGCTCGTACCAGGTTACAGTCAATGCTTAACGTCAGCTGTACCGAATTAGCGACCACATATACCAACCTGATCGTGGAGACGTTCGAACCTAGACTTTCGGTTTATTTGAAACGCTTGGTTCGATCGGTTCTCAACGAGGTTACTACGTCTTTGATTTTTCTTCTGACGCCTTCGTCTAATTTAAATAATGCAGTCAAATCGCAAATACACCAATTCAATTGTGGAGAAATACTGCTATCGAACTGTTTGCGGCGGTGATCCAGTGTGGCCCGATCGTGCTACGATCTCCGAGGAAGAACGAGCGGCAATCGACAATATTTGTCAACAAACTAACGCTGTTGAAATGCCCAAACCCGTCACACCTGTGAGCCTGTCATCTAATCCGGGCGCTTATATCCCAATGCTGAAAATGATTCTCTCACAATACGAGCTTAAGCATTCCCAGCACAACCAGCAAGAAGCGGGACAAGACGAACATGCTGCTCTTCTCCGCCTGTTTTCACTGTTTCCGCTCCCGACGTTTAAATGGCGATACATTGCAATCAATCCGAATGTCCTTGCCGCCTTTTTGGGCAGAAGTATACCGGGAACATTTGAAGAAACTGTGAACATGTTTTACAGCGTTTTTAATTTCAGAGGCTGAAGCTGGATAGGTGAGTATCGAAATCATACGGAAAATACCATGAATCCCTCTAACACTTCTGATTATATAGCTTTGAACAATTGCAAGATCCGACTCGAAGAAGGAAATTGGCTTTTGCAAACTTGATCAGAACCGATGGCTTCGGGACCGACGTGATGTTGTTCAAAAGTTCTTCAGTGTCCCAAAATGGTTCCGTTTCTACTCTGACCTGGATTCCGATGTTCGCTACATCAGTCGTGAGGTGCAAGGGGCAGCCCTCACCAATATCTCTTTATGCGGTCTTGATCCGGGACGTACACACGTGTTTATAGCCTCCTATGGTCAGGGTGAAGAACGTCATCAAGTGAGAAGATGTTCCACCAAGGAATACTATACGCCTACCGGGTCTGTCACATGCTAAAGAAGAAGGAAGACGGATGGACCAAGCCCAGGTGACCGACCTATTCTTGAACATTCCGACGGCGAAAACCGTGTCACCCTTAGTTTATCATCGGTACCTCACGTACATCCTGAAAGTCTGACATGTATTCTGCGGTTCAACGGACCAAATACTGCCGAAGGCCGTTTTCATCTGTTCCAAGGCGTGCAGAGGGCGAGAGCCGAGATGGGCAACATCATTATCAACGGTGGTAGAAAATACAACAAAGAAAAAGGAAGCATACCAAACAAAAACAGAAAGAAGAGAAGAAAAAAGGAGAGCGAAAAAAGACGTCCGGGACAGAAAGGCAAACGAAAGAAACAAAGGTGAGATATGGAAAATCAACATTTATTGACAGTGGTGCTCAAAAAGGTATTTCATAGGCAAACGTCGGGCGGACAAGATGGCCAAAAAAGATGAAGCCTCGGGCGTTTGCTCACCAAAATTGGTTGCTGCCTGTGGTGGGTTTTGGTGCCGGCATGTTCGGCAAAGACAGCATATGATTCAACTGACATCGGGTTGGTGCGACCGGAGTCCTTCACGAAGAACTCAAACGCCGGCAAAAGGGCGGGGAGCTACTGGTCGTCACGGTCGACGAATTCAGGACGTCAATGATATGTCATGGTTGTCAACAGGCCAACCTAACTCACGCTCTTTCAGGTTTCCATGCGGTTCTCGCTTGCCAAAGTTGTGGAATCGTATGGAACCGTGATATGAACGCAGTGAAAAATATTTTCAAAATCGCCAACCAAGTCATCATGGTGACGAACGACCTGCAGTTTTCAGCCGGGACACTTAGTTTTTTTTTTTTTTTATTTCCAAAATCGCCGTATCGAACATGGTTTTCTTTTCTTAGGAGAAGAATTTTAGATTTTTATTGCCTTAGGGCAGCAGACATCATGTATCATAAAGAAAAGCAGAGTCACAGCGTTTTTTCCTTTGGTGTGACAAGACTAATGAGACCGGGAAGAAGGTTCCATTTTCATTTTCACTGAGAACTGACCTCAATGCAGGAAAAAACACTGACGGCCGCATGTTGTATCATTGGCGATGAAATTCTGTCTGGAAAAGCCCACGATGTCAATTCCCACTACTTGGGTAAGCTGTGGTGAAGTTGAAAGAATCCAGCATTAGTTTTCTCTTTTTGTCTGAGCAAGTCTGCATACGACAGCAAAGTTCTTATTCAGTCTAGGCATTGAGCTGAAGCATGTTGCTGTTGTTGGCGATGATATGTCCGATATTGGGGATTGCGTGCAACGATTATCGCGTCTATATGATTTCGTGTTCACTGGAGGTGGCATTGGTGAGCTGCGAAAACAAGAGAGCTCTTTTTTTATTTATAGCTATTTCACTGAGAATGGAATCAACTTAGGGTCGACGCACGACGATATCACCTATGATGCTATTGCTAAAGCGTTCAACTTGCAGTTAAAGTTCGATCCTGTTACTTACAGGGTTATCGAAGAATGGGCAGGCAAACGCGGTGGCAAAACCGAGTTAACTGCTTATCATAAGCGATTGGCTACTTTCCCCTATCCTGCCCAGTTGTTGCGTACCCATCGATCCGGTATACCGATCGTCGTTGTGTGTGACAATATTTACATTCTGCCAGGTATACCTCGACTATTTGCGACATTACTCAATTCGCTCCGGCCGCATTTTCATGCGAAGACAAACAAGCAATTTTACCGTGCAGAAATTGCGACTCGTCAGCAGGAAACAACCATCGCCGCTTACCTCGAGCAGGCACAAAGAACTTACGCCAACGTCAAAATCGGCAGTTATCCTACCTTTGGTACTGGTGAACACAGTATGGCCCAGGTGGTTGTAAGTGTCACGGGACAAGACATGAACACAGTTCAAACCATTGCAGACAAAATTCAACGGCATGTTGACGGATGGTCACATGGAACTTCGTGGACACAAATTATCCGCGGGCGTCTTTAGATCTCCGTGTTTGCAAATCAATCCTATATCGTTGAAAAGGGGCTATCGATCTTTTTTTTTCATTTTTCAACTTTTCATATTCGAGTATGGCCTTTTTTATTCCAAATATTTAACATCTACTGCTTACAAAATTTACTTTTCAGGATACCAATAAACAACAACGTTTTTGCCTTCAAAATCAAGATAAGTTTTACGGATGGTTCCTCGGCCATTGGTATCTTTTTCGCAAAGGTATTGAATAAGGTCTTCAGTTGTCGTAACTGGTTTACCGGATTGGAGACGTCGAGAACGGAATTGGTGACTGAAAACGCAGCAGGGTACGACAGCGAATGGCTTCCCTAAGCTTAACGCCGCGTCCACAATAGGCTCAGTGGCTTGATCTGCGTGCAAGCCTACCAACAATGCCACTTTGTCGAGAAGCGCGGTTTCCCGGTTCAGCAATTCATCGTCAAGCATACTTGGCAGATATTGAGGTTCGACGTCGCAAGGCCAGCCTTGGCGCTCGTCGATAACGCCATTCTTGCTGATGTGGACAAGCATCAAACGTAACAATCTCGTATACCAGTAGGGAGGTCGTTTTCGTTCGTTGGGTTCAACCACCGTGGTTGGAATGCCATAGCCACGACTCATAAACATAGCTAGTTCTCCTTTGCCGCCAGCGATATCCAGCGCTTCAAAGCCACGGGGAAGAATAGGAGCAAAAGTGTGAAAGATCCATTCCGCAAAGATCATGGCTCGCATCGCATGAGGCTTTTTAGATTTATGCGGATCGTTGACATCCTCGGTTAACTTGCGACGAGTTGCTAAGCGCTGGCGCCATGGTTTAAAAACCTTTTTCAGTGACGAGCAACGTCAGCGGGTTCTTACCTCTTCCACCCAGAGCTCTCGAGCACGAAGGAAATCGTCCCCTGTGGGATGTTGGAAAGGGCATAGATCTTGTTGAAGACAATGCCGTTGATTAATCCAAAACTTACATACCAAAGTCGACTTTTCTTTGAGGGATCCAGTTGATGTTCGGACGGTGTCTTTGGGTTGATTGCTGGCTAAAGGAGGATCTGATATGAAATGCTTCCCCTTTGGATTATCGTATACATGCAATACTTGTGGTAGACTATTGCATTGAAAAACCGCATAGGGCTTTTGGACGGTTTCCATGGGGTCATTGGGGGTCCCAACCTCCAGCTGAATTCTATTGCCAGGTCGACAGGCTCGATAACTTTCTTGGAAAGTCCAATCGTCTATTGAGCCATCATCGGAACGAAAAAGTACTTGCACCTTGGGATCATCCTCATCTTCGGGCTGCAGATCGATAAAAAATAAGGTTTTGAACAATTTCCGACGGTGCCGTATCTGTCCTCTTAGCGACTGGATATTGTGGCGACCATATTTTTCCGTCATGACAAATATGGTGTTGCGGATATAACAATAAAAAACTACAATGTTAAAAAAAAAAGATTTTGAAGGGCATTCTTGCCCCAATTCGGCACAGTCACATTTGGCACCATTTAGCAACATTTCTTATGATGAATTGATAGAGTTTATGAGCTTGGGAAAAAATAAAAAGAGAGGTCTATTATACACGAGAGGCCATTTCCTTTTCAATAGCCTGATCAATGGCTTCAATGCTGTTAGAAAACTGGACTTTTTTCAAATCACGCACAAGTGACTTGGACAAACCGAGCGATTCGACATGGCTTCCTTCCAAGATCTCCTTGACGGTGACTTTTTCTTTTTCGGAAAAGATGCGAGCCAGTGTTTTGGTAACCATTTCCTTTTTCAAATCCGTTGGTCCGTCGATATATTCGATTACTGCCATAGGAGCGTTATCGCCATATCGGTTGCCCATGCGCTGAATACGGGTATAACCACCTTGACGATTGGCGAAACGAGGAGCCAGTTCGTCAAATAATTTAGGAATGGTCACATCACGAGTCTATACAAGATTATTGCAGGACATTAGCAATGACGAATTTAACCGTTCGTAGGATGAGGGCATACATTGAGATAAGCGATGGCTTGTCGTTTGGCGTTGACATCGCCCTTCTTGCCGAGTGTGATCATGGCATCGGCGATGGGTTTTAATTCTTTGGCCTTGGGTACTGTGGTTTCGATACGGCCGTGCTCGATAAGTGAAGAAACCATATTCCGCAGCATCGCATTGCGATGCGATGATGTACGGTTCAGGCGTCGAAAATGCTTGCCGTGATGCATCCTTGAAGTACGGAAACGAGTGAAAAAAAAGTTGTTTACCCAACGGCTCGGCCCCGCTTTTCCTAGTGCCCTGTGGGTAACCAAAAAAGGCAAGTGTGACGGTTTAAGAAAATGAAATCCTTCAAATTTCGGGTGCAAAAAGAAGCCCGTTATCCTCGAATTTAAGCGATTGAGGTTCTTTTATTGATCAGTTTTCACGTCAAATGACTATCCTACTGAGGACACACCAATTGGTCTCGAGAGGTATAGCTCCTATGGTTTTGCGGTGTAAGTGATTATCCCACTCAATGTTGGACACAATGGTTCCATGCAAGCTGTGTCTCACTAAACTTGCGGCATAGCTCAACGATCGTTCATGTCGTCGCAAGTACCAAAATTTCACGAAAAGGATCCTTTGCACGAAGGCAACAAGTATAGTCGAGTACCTGAGCGTGGATTTATCGAGCTGGAAGGACAAGATACCACCAAATTTCTGCAAGGACTGATTACTAATCATATGCCACGCTTATCCACGGGCGGCGATGGATTCTTTGCAGGATTTCTTACGCCACAGGTAAATGAAGCACTTGATAAAAAGTCATACGCATATGAACAAATCAGGATAAAGCCCCTAAACACTTGAAAATGATAGGGTCGTGTCCTTTATGATGTCTTTATTTATCCTGTGAATCACGGAGACAATTTCCCGCATCCCAAATTCATGGTGGAATGCTCTTCATCATTGACTAGTTCGTTGTTAAAGCATCTGAAGCGTTATGTTTTACGCTCCAAAGTCAAGATGCGGGATGTCAGTGAAGAATATTCGGTATATAACATCTGGGGACAGGCTATCAATAGCGCAACCACAAAGGCTATCACCGATGTACCTACCGGTATGCTCGTGAAAACCGACAAGAGATTGACGGATATTGGATGTATGGATCCGCGTGTTCCCGGTTTTGGTTATCGTGCCGTTTTGAAGCAAGAAGAAGGTAATGAAAAGATACAATGGGAGCTTTCCAGCCAGCGTCATTTCATCACGTTACTGATTCGTTTACAACCCAATTGCAGACATTAAGCGAGTGTTGCCTGCCGCTGATTACGAAGAATTATTATCGTCAGAGTATACCATTCGAAGAATATTGCATGGCATTGCGGAAGGTCCTTTGGATTTATGGCCTGAACAAGCTTTGCCTCTTGAAGCCAATTTTGATTTCATGAATGGAGGTGGGGGAACTTTTTACGGATCTAAAATTTTCTAATCCCGATTTACCCGAGTGTAAATTTTTACCTGCTTACTGACCGGAGCTGTAGTCGATTTCAGAAAAGGCTGTTACGTAGGACAGGAGTTGACGATCCGTACATACCACACAGGCGTCGTTCGTAAGCGGGTTGTTCCAGTGCAATATTATCAAGAAGGCGACAAGTAAGAGAGAAAAAAGAGACAAAATGGGTGTGATCCGAAAAGATCTAATATCTGACTGGATGGCATAGTGTGCCGAAGGAGATGAAAGTGGATCGTCAAATTGAGCATTCGTCCGCACTTATACCGCAATTGGACATAAAACCGGTGGATGTGTCAAGTAAACGTGGCGTTGGTAAAACCTGCTCAGCGGTGCATAACATTGGACTAGCATTGATGCGATTGGAGCAAGTTGAAAAGTGCAACCAGGACGGTTCCATTGCTTTTGCCGTACCAGAAGCGGGAAATGTCCGTGTGAGACCGTTCTTACCTGAATGGTGGACACAAGAACAGGCATGAAACAATACATTCAGAAATATTCACGTTAGAAAAAAAAAATATAGAAAAATAGGAAAATCGAAACAAGGGTTCAGCAGAATTTTTTTTGTCATCTGAGATTTCCCCGACGGTTTCGAATAACTGTGAAGATAGAAAAAAAACTTGACCATACAAAAGCCCAATTGTTGGTTCATGCAAGCTCAAGTGGAAATCGCATTCCCCCTTTTAGGTAACCACAGTGTCTGCAAGTGTGTGAGAAAAAAGTACAAAGACACTGATCACCATAGCTACAATCCAGGTGAAAAAAGAAGGAAAACAGTGGATGCATAAGGGGTTACGTAGCACAGGAAACAAAAGGTAGAACAAACCTTGGGCCATGAGAGAAAACAAACGGTAAATCATTTTTTCTTTTTACTTTTGCAACAAATCCAGAAAAGACAGGAGTTTTTTAAGGTGCTCCAAAGGTGGGATGACCCTTTTTTTAGCTGAGAAAAAAAAAAAAAAAAAAAGAAAAAGGGAAAAGGGAAAAAAAATTCGATTTCCAACTGGGGACGATTTTTTCGTATTTTTTTTTTAGCAATTTCTTTTCTTTTTCTTTACTTCTTCCCTTTGTCTCTCTCTTTTCGTTTAGATAAGCCATTTCCATCATCATGGTAAAGCGAGCGTGTATACATATATCGTTTCAATTCTGTTCAGACCGTACTGACGTTCAGGTCTTGATGAATCCACTTTTAGTCCACCGCATTTTCCGACGCTGAAAAAGATCAGTTGAAGGCTACCTTTGATCATTTCACTCATGGTCACGGTATGACCGCTGATACACTTGCTGAAATCTATCGCAAAGCGAATATGACAGTTACTCAAAGTGAAATTGAGCATCAGGTAGGCTTTCGCAGGATACGGTACAAAAGCTTTCGTCGGGTAGTATAACTGATCTGCTTGGGTTTGCATCGGTTTAGCTCCGTCTTGCAGATACAAAGGGTCGTGGACGTCTTGATTTCGAAGAATTCCTTCATGTTATGGAAAAGGTATTCACATGATCCGATGCTAGTTTGATTCATCGTCTAACGGTTCCTTTCCACTTTAGCAACGCGAACATCATGCTGAAGGAGGCTTCCAGAAGGTGTTCAACGAAATGGACTCCGACAACGATGGTCTTATTTCCGGCGAGGACCTTAAGCGCTGCATCGTCGCCTTCGGTAAGTGAAACACCTTTTCAAAAGAAAATTGGGTGACATTAATTTCTCACACACCCGTCATTGTCAGGTGAGTCTGTGACTCCTGATGAAATCAAGGAAATGATGTTGGCTGCTGATGTCGATGGTGACGGTTTGATCAACTATGAAGAATTCTTGAAGATCTTGGTAAGTGGACTTTACTGCCACCCGATACAGTGCTGTAGTCATTGACAAACATTTGTTGTCATTTTTTATAGACTCCTTCCAAGGTCAACGGTCAAAGATAGATGGTGAAAAATGGAGAAAAACATTGACTGTTTGTTCTCTTTTTGTCGACACTTTGCATAGTTTGAATTTTTTTTTCTCTTGTTTGTTCAACATATAATAATAATCGTTTTGTGAAATTTCATCGTGTGATTGTATTTTATGATGACTCTGCTCGTGATCACTGTTGCTTTCATGGAAGCCCTCACATAACTGCGGATACATGTAATGCGTACTAAACTACTGTGTACATTTAAATCTTTGGAGCAGCTGCCGAAGTCTCCGCACTGGCTTCATCTTGGAACGTCTTGAAGTTCTCCAAAAACATTTCGGCCACTTTCTTTAACGAAGCGTCAAATTCTTTCTCATCGCCCTGCCATGCCTTGCGAGGATGCAACAACTCAGATGGAACTCCTTCCACCTGCTTGGGAATAGCCAAGTTGAACACTTCGTAGTTGTCATACTCGACCTTGCTCAACGCGCCGCTGTGAATAGCATCCAAAATTGCACGAGTGTATTTCAGTGGGCATCGTTTGGCTTCTCCCTAAATAGAAGAGTATATATTTAGTTAGTTAGCGTGAGTTGGATCTCTTTTTTTTTTTTTGATCATTTGGAAAACCACTTGTGAGTGTCACTTACCGCTTTACCACCGATCCAGCCAGTGTTGATCAACCAAGCGTCAGCGGCGTGGTGGCTCATCTTCTCAGCCAACATGGTAGCATACTTCTGAGGATGGAGCACCAAGAAAGGCGAACCAAAACAAGCGCTAAATGTAGGAGTAGGCTCCACAATGCCATCTTCCGTACCGGCCACCTTGGTTGTATAACCGGAAATGAAGTGATACATCACTTGGTTGGGCGTCAACTTGGACACAGGCGGCAAAACACCAAATGCATCACACGTTAACAAGATGATATTTTTGGGGTGGCTACCCATGCAAGGAATCTTGGCATTTGGAATATAATCTTGAAATTACAATGTTAGAGTTTCTTTTTATGTTTGTTTTCCTGGATGAGTATCCAGTGAGACTTACCAATAGGGTATGCGCATCGTGTGTTTTCTGTCAAAAAGTCATCGGCATAATCGACGACACGGGAGTCCTCGTTGAGAACGACATTCTCTAGCACCGAACCAAACTTGATGGCGTTATAAATTTCAGGTTCCTTTTCTGCCGACAGGTCGATACATTTGGCGTAGCATCCTCCTTCGATGTTAAAGATGCCCTTGTCACTCCAGCAGTGCTCGTCATCACCGATCAATCGTCGCTTAGGATCAGCACTCAAGGTCGTCTTGCCAGTACCTGAAACGGGTTTAGTATCGAGCATCAGCCAAGTGTTTATGTTTAGCATTTCCCACGCTATCTCACATGCTTACCAGATAATCCGAAGAACAGCGTAACGTCTCCGTTCTCTCCTTCGTTGGCAGATGAATGCAATGACAGCACGCCAGCTTTGGGCATCAAATAATGCATCACCGTGAAAATCTAGAAAGTACAGTAGATAAATTATTCATTTTACACCACGCCAATAGTGGGAGCCATGGTTGGGCAGCGAATAACTACTTACGCCCTTTTTCATCTCTCCTGCATATTCAGTGCCTAAAATGACCATTTCATGACGTTTGAAATTGATAGACACCGATGTGGTCGAAGTCATTCCCGTGGTGTAACGGTTCGCAGGGAATTCACCGGCATTGAAAATAGTGAAATCCGGGGTGCCAAAGTTTTCGAGTTCTTCGTCCGTAGGACGAATCAACATGTTGCGCATAAATAGAATATGGTAGGCTCGCGACGCAATCACACGCACTTTCTTGCGGTATTTGGGATCCCAGCCAGCGAACCCATCAAATACATAGAGGCGCGGATGCGTGTTAAGGTAGTCGATCGCACGTTCTCGGTTGATCAAAAATACGCGCTCACTCATTTTCGTGTTCACTGGTCCCCACTAAACAGAAGCAAATAAATAAGTAATGGTCGTAGAGCCGAAAAGAAAAAGAAAATAAGCCCCATACCCAGATGTCCTTGCACGAGTCTTCTTCCTCGACAATACGCTTATCGTTGGGGCTACGTCCCGTCTTTCTGCCAGAGTACGAGCAAAGCGCACCCGACGATGAAATGACAGTGCCCACTTCATGGGTCAAAGCTTCTTCGTATAGCACAGGAACGGATGGGTTATGTTTGATGGTAACCTGACATTAATCATTAGTTGAAAAAGGTACCGGTAGGAAGCAAATGCTGATAAAACTAATTGCAGCTTCGGGACTGATATGTTACCTTGTCGTAGTCAATGCCAGCCATATTGTGGAGATCTTCCTCCACTTTTGTGTGGGGCGAATAAGGACGTGGTGATCCAGGACGATAGGGTGACGAAGGGCGAGCCATAATGGATGATCAATACACTCTCAATGAAAGGAATAGACTTGGTGGATAATAACAGAGAAAACCGCCGCCGCAATGGAGGGACATGGCTTTTTTATGCTTTCATTTTTTCCCGAGTATTTTTTTAGAACAGCGCGATAGGAGCGGCAACACAGCAGGGATATTGTTTAGGTTCGCATCTGATGACTTTGACGTAGTCATTGCACGGTTTTGTTTATTGCAGCGTGTTCTCTGTTCTCTTTGTCGCTTCTCTTATTTAACTTCTTGGTTTATCATATTGCTTTGCATTGTTTCTCTACTTTTATGGAAGGTCATTGTGTACTATTTTCTCTGTATGCTGCTGCAAAATAGATGTGAACGGGTTATAAAGGAAGTTATATGACTATATACGGTCTATTCATATCGAAGCAACAGTGAGGCTTCTTTTTACCAACAATGGAAAGGGGAGCGTAGCCAAAGAATGGCAATAGTAAACTTTTTTGTTTTACTTCGTGAACATACACATATTAAATCAGTAGGAGAAAAAAAAAAACCAAGAGATAAAAAATAACGCAGACAAGTTTGAGAGAATAAGACGTGCCACATATTTTTGTCCATTAATGGTGCTTTGACCTTTTTTTTTCTTCTGAAATGGCGAAAGAGTAACAGAGAATGCATACAGAATAACAGACGATTATGCTGAAGGAGATTGTAGAATACAAAAGAAAAGCTTGCTTTTCCTTCGCATATGCTCTTTTACCACGGATGCCTGTTGAGCAAATCTCCTGTTTCCGGCAAAGAACAAGCATCTCTTCGTTCGTGGCTTGCTATGGCATCCTTCTGTGATTGCTGAGCTGCATTATTGTATGATGATGAATCGGAGCCTCGATAACCTTGTAATGTCGACATGATACCAGAGGAATACACTTTTTCTTGGGGTATATAGGGATGATGTCGTGGACTACTGATTCGGCTAGGAACGCCCATTAGCAAGCTCCCACGCCGGCCTGTCGAAGGAGATGATAATATGGAGGAATTGGTCGTAGTTGTGGTCGTGGTACTCGTATCACTACTGGCGGCATTGTCCATTTCCATTGAAGGAGGGAAATATGGTCCTTCGCGCGCGTTAGGGGTCATAGGTGATCCTGTAACACTGTGAAACGCCGATGAATGAAGGGGCATCATTTTTAGCCCAGGCTGTTTAACACCTTGTTCAGGCGAATGACCTGCTATCACCGCATGCGAAAATCATAGTGAGAAGCTTATCCTTTGTTTTGCGCTGATATCAAGGTAGGCCGTATCATAACGGTTCTTCTTACCATAGAAGGGTTCGCTGGTTTCATTATTTTGCTTTTCGCCCCCTAGTTCTGGCTTCACCTTGTTGTTGGTTTCAAGCACTTCTTCACCAAAGTACAGATTACGTACCGAAGATTGTGAAGTGCCATGAGCGGAGAGTGGGGGTGCTGGAAGTCCCGCCGGAATGGAAGCACCGTTGCTGTGAATGCTCATCATGGGATGGGAATCGCTATGACCACCGTGATTGTTGCCTACACCACCGATGGTTGCTGCTACACTGTTGGTGGCGGGACTGGCGGCATTGCCAGAGCTGGGCCCCATTTTTTCGGTTCCTCCTGGATACGTTGGTGGATAATTCGGCACGTTTCCATAGCTTGCTCCCACCATGCCTCCTGCAGATGAACCCACACCCGTTGATGAGCGGTATTCATTCTGAGAGGAAAGCATATACATTTCATCATTCATAACACTGGACGAGACTGGTCCGTGAGCACTTTGTGAATGGCTGTAATCTGCGGAACGAAACCCTATTCCCACTGTTAGTATGTCTTGATCTCAAAATCCCTGTTTTTTGCCTTCCGGTTTTTTCTGGTTTTTTTATAGGCGTACAAATAGAAAATGACATGTGTTTTGCAGCTTACCATGCTCTTGATGTGGATTGGGTGGTGGCATTACGTCTGTCATCGTGCTGCTATTTCGTTCCCAGGGTGTACCGGGATGGAAAGGGCTCTGGTATGTCCCTTGTTGTTGCCGAAATGTGCTTGAAATCCCATTCATACGATTACCAGCAATCGTATTATGTAATGGGGTGTACAAAAATACGGTTGGCTCATCCACAAATAAAGGGTACAAGATATCTTGGATCTTATATTGTATTGCAAGTGCTTTGGCTCTGTCGAACGTAATCCTAAAACAGGAAAGGACGTTTTTTTTTTGAGTTTTTGGTCAGAGGGCATGCAAGTGGTAGGAATCATGATGCAAAGAAACCAAAACGGAGCCAACTTACCATACACCTTTAAGATGCATTGCGCCAACTTTGACGACGACGCGTCCTTTTTCGTTTTTCAGGATACCATCACGTTTGCCGCGAGACATTCCCGCCACATTGAGGAGTTTGGTTCCGTTGATCATGTCGTTATCTGCGATAGCAGGAATGATATTTCACACAAAAATTTTTTGGGCGTTAAACAGCTTGCTGAAAGTAAACAAACATCAACTGGAAAAAAAAAATTGAAGTGATACACACCTTGACGTCGCGCAACACAAATGCCATTTGCATCCACCTGGTAGCAAATAGTACCTTCATCTTCCCATAAAGTAGTGGTTAACTTGGGTCGAGGTACCAAGCCTGCATGTCGTGGTGAATGGCCGGCCATATGGTTCAATCCATATGGATAACTCATGGGTGGGTAACCAGACGCGTGCGAAGGTGGATGCTGATGCGGCAAAGGATGGTGATGATGATGATGATGATGACCATAATTCATGCCTGGTGCTGTAGCGGGATTTAGCGTAGCCGCAGAAGACGCATTAGTTGTTTGTGGCACAAAGTAATGTTGCGAGCTACTGTATGCGTGAGGTAACATAGTGGGTGCAGCAGAAGATGGCGGTGACGACGTCGGAGTAGGTGAATCGGCAAGATTACCACCAGAATGATGATGCGAAGAACTGCTATCGTTATGGGTATTGGGTATATCTGGATTCGCGTTGTGATAACCAGACGGTGTTATTGTGTTACTCGTCGTGGGTGTGCTGGCTGAATCGTTGGAGTTAGGATGCTTGTTATTTGTCCAACCATCAAATGTATCTTGGGATTGCCATGCACTGCCGGGCTTATCTAGCGTCAATCCTGTTGGATGAGGGTTGGTGTTTCCTCCCGCATAACCGCCGATATTAGTACTGTTGGGAATGACAGGTGGATAGCTGTGATAGAGCGAAGGCATCGAGGCTGGTCTGCCGAGCGGATGGGCATGAGAGGTAGTGGATGGCTCATGTGATTGTTTCATTGCCTGCCCGTAATGATAATTCGGTAATTGTGGCGACGAAGTGTATGCACTACTAGGATACATAACGCTTCTTGTTGGTTCCTTTTATATAGAGAAAGAAGAAAAAAGGAAAGTAGTCGAATTTGGGGTTTTCGCGCCAACGATGCTTATGGATACGAGTTTTTTTGTATGCAAGGACCCTTTTTTTTTTTCTCTAATAGAATTAGAACAGGTATTAGAAGCTAAAAAGGAAACTTCGGCATGACGAAAGAACGAAAGATATCGAAAAGAACCGAATCATGAGAAATGAGTGAATCTTACTTTGGGATTCACAGTTTCACAGCAACAAAGAAACTTTTGGTTGCGTTCAATAAAATGATGATATGATTTGATTTGCAGCTACCGGGATCGAAATGGATTGCGATACGAAGACGGACGACGATAAATGATCCTTCGAAATAAGCCCGCAGAATATCAGTGAGTTAGAATTAAAGAAGAGTAGACACAAAGACAAGAGAGGAAAAACGAAGAAAAGAGAAAGAAGAGAAGATATATCGAATGATAGTAGCTAAATACATCGTGCTTAGCCATACTCCAAGGGGAATAACCCGACGTCTGTTTGTTGATTTGCGGGGAGAGGTGAAGAAGAGGGAAAGAGGGGGTCACTTACCTCTGGGTGAAAGCTGTTCGGAAGATAGTGAAAAGAAAAATATAAGAAAAAGGAAAAAGAAGGAGGGTGCTAATCGCGCAAAATAAAATAACAGAATAGAAAATAGGAATTATGCAGATTGTAATGAAGTTGCGGCCTGACTTGGTCCCAATGAAACCTTTGTCTATTTCTCTCTTTTTTTTTAAACTCCAGTCAAAGCGGATCGAGGGTTCGCATCCAAAGGGGTTGGGGGGAGGAGGGGAAAAAAAAGAAGAGGGACTGTCGAACCAGGAACACGGATCGAGAGGAGAGGCTACTGTGTAGAAAAGAGAGAGAGAGAAAAAAAAAGGGATACAGCGGGGATCAGAGTCCAAGGAGTCTATTGGTCTAAGAATTAAGAGCATGGGCGATAAGAAAGATTCAAGGTAGAATCTTTCTCACCGATAATCGAATTCGGTTGGGAAAAAAACAGTCGGCAATATGCAAAGATATGCAGCTTGCTGTATGTGTATGCATATGCTTATATATGAATAGAAATGATAAAAAAAATATTAAAAACATCAGAGACAGCGGCAACCCTTCAATATCAAATCATCATTCCAAATTACAAAGCAACAAAAACAATGATTGTTGCCATGGTGGAATAACAAGAATCACGAGTTTATGCAGTGGCCGCTCATTTTAATTTCTATTTCGTCATTTCGCTATCTCTTCATCTTGGTCTGTGAAGGCTATTACAGTTTGTATTTACGGTAATTGCGCTCTATATAATACCGCAGGAGAATGATTTTGGTCGATTTTCACCATTCTGTTGCTGTCGCAAAGTATGCTGTTTTAGCCTTAATTAGGTTGGGCGAACTGCGCAATATCAGCTGTTCAGTCACCAGGCGAGAGCAAGAACGTGCAATGCAACTCAATTCAATGAGAGACGGTTATATAATGCCATCTGTTATATTGGAGGCAACGGGATGATCCTTATTCCGACATCTGCCAAAGCGCGCGCAATGCTATTTTTGAGAGACAGAGAGAGTGTGTGTGGCGAAATCAGTATTCATCGTTCTCCTATGCTGATATGGTTTATCGCATCATGATATCGCAACACGTAACATCCCCTCTCCTCCTCGATGTGTGTCAGTCAAAATGATTTCATCAGCTGTATTTATAACCCACTGAATTGATGTTATGCTGGTTGATTTTGTCATCCTTCCTCATTTCGCTTTATGTATTCTTAAGGGACCCTGACTGTTCGTGACATTCCATCATGATTCAAAATAAGGTGTTTTGAATTTATGCAGCTGAATATCAGTTTTATTTGCATGCATAGGTTTTTAGGTGGCGTCCTTTCCACTTGTTTATTTTTATTTTTTACAAGGGCAGACCTTGCCCCGACTACATAAATTATCAACAAGCTTAATTAAAAGCTACAAAAAACAAGCTTATCTATACAGCGATAGTTTTAATCTTCAATTATCAATAGAATCCAAAAGTCAAACCGTTGAAATGGTCAATACAAAATCGGAAGCAATGTTCCCGACAAGTTAAAAAAATGATCATGGGTATATTGTGAACCGCCAAGGAGTGCGGATAGGGGAGACAACAATGTCGATACACTTTGTTGCCTGGCTTTGGACTCGCTAATGGCGAAAATTTGACAGTTCCAGCGTTGTGAATTATCACATGCTTGTTATTTATCGTGGCAACCGTGAAACGTTATGTTGTATGACCGACTGCCTGCCAAATCACTCTTCCAAGTCGGGAAAAAGGGGCTTTCAAGCTACTGAAAGATACAAAGTGGTGTGCTGACAAGCGCTTATTTGTTATTCTTTGTTCAATGGAAAATTCATTTATTTCATTCTATGGAACATGCTTATGATAGGCAAGCATGATAGTTAATTGATGGATAAAATTGTGTACAGTGATAATTAGAGTGTGTATGTAGGTATTAAATATATGATAAGATCAAAGTCTATGGGTGTTGCTTCATGATATGGATCACACTGGGGCCGTTCAGTGAGTTTTGTTGTAATAGAGGACATCATTCTTGCACTGCTGCGCATACAGATATCCAAATGCACCGGTGGCGGTCAGATACATCAGCGGCTTTCTTGATGAGGTGGATGATCGGAATTGAGCCGCAAATCGATTTAAGCGAGGCAGCATGTTAAACAAGGACTGATGATAAATGAAAGAAGGAGATATGAGTCCTGTCAAATATTTTTTGAGTTTGATATCCTTTTCTCTTAGTGAAATAACTTGACTCATTCGGTTCTGAAAATGAAAAAGAAATCCAGCTTGGCTCCCGTCTATTTTTAGAACCTTCCGCGGTGAAAAAAAAAATTTTTTTGTCAAGAAGGCTTCTTTGATTTTGCACCGAATAATGATATTCCAACTTTAGAGAAAAAGCGCTTTCACACAGCATAAGCAGCATTACCACCTTAGCAAGGAATTTTAAGCCATTTGGGGGGGGAGGATCAAAAGCCTAGAAACCTGTACTAGACGTTCCATGGAAGATCACTGTTCCGTCATTTACCCAAACTGAGATAGTGTGGAAATTCTCCGTTTTGACGCAGATTTCACTCAATTGCTGTCATGTCCGAGAAGAAATAATTCGCCGATCATAAATCTATACAGCATTCTGGTACATTCCTAACATTGACGTAAAAGGCCAGAAAACGTCCTGGATGCACTCCATGCCCAAGCATGTATGTTTGCATCCATGACTCGGATAAATGATACACCAGGCAACAAGTCATGCAAGATACAGCCATTGTTGTTTATATGACAAGGATGAACCTCACGATTGCCTCTAGGAAACTCAGAAAATTGCCTTGGTTACCCCATGGTACAATAATTCGCTCGAAAATCACAGCCAGCTTACGATATTTAACTTTTTCGTTCCTTTGGAACATTGATCGTGTATTGCTGTTTTGATAAGATAACATAAGGACGTGCCTGTGATCTTGTGAAACTTTTCATGTTAACAAACTGTGCTATGATGAATGATCAACTACATTCTAAAGCTTCTGCATCCAATTTTTATTTATTTATTTGCTTTGCGCGCTATTCAGTATGATCAGATTTATGCATGAGACAGGGGCAGGTTTCTTTTTGGGTCACAGGATTGAGCCAATGATATCATGGGAAACTGTGCAGACTGTGCCAAGTGTTCTTCTGAAATTCAGAGATCTTTTCTACTTGATTCTTCTTCCTTTCAATGATCTTTTCTCGAAATACAAGCTCACCTGTTCATTCCTTCAGTCTGAACGTTAGTTCAGGCGGCCACGATAAACCAGTGGCATTCGGACCTGGTTCGGCATTGAATGGTATCGTCTGTTAACTTAACATGGCCATCCTCATGCTCCAGATTGTGTCTGACGGTGATGAATGGTATAGGCTCTGTGATGTTAACCTTGGATAAACCCGCGGAAATTTACAATATTCGTGTTGTCTTTAAATGTGAAGAACAAGATACAAATAAGCAAAGCACCATCATCTTTTGTGTAGAATCCACTGTGTGGGGCAAGCCACGCTCAGGTAGGTCGACAGCATGTTTTTACATGTACACCTCTGGGATTGATGTTACACGACCAATCCTTGTGCGCGGAAGGAAAAAGTCTAACTGTGTTTTAAAATTTTGCACAAGTGGGCCAAACTCGTCAACTGACAGCCGGAAGCCACATGTATCTATTTGCGATCAAATTACCGCATGTGAACTATCCCCCTTCGATGCGTGATACATACATCGGACATCGTGTCGAATATAGTCTGCAAGCGTTCTTGGAACTGCATAATGATGCGCAGAGTTGCATCGAGACATTAGCTGTGCCGATTATGTACCTGCCGTTAGTGACATGCAACCTGCCAGGTCGACATCCAGAATCCAAGAAAACGCAGACCTTTAGACGGGGCGATGCAGTGATTGAAGTGAATGCAGAACTCATCAAACCCGCTTATTGTCCAGGTAGTGTGCCGAGATGCAATATGATGGTATCGAATGTTTTTTTTTATCTGATGCACTTTGTTTTAATGTCAGGGGACCTCTGCACCATTAAGCTAACGGTGAACAACCATTCCGACTGCAAGATCAATAACGTGCAAATTTCATTGGTTTCCACGGCAACGAGTCATTCGCTGTCGACCACAGAAACAAATCGATCAGAAACGCCCATTTTAGGAATTAACCACTATGACTCCAAGCGCCATACTGTGTATTCGGAAAACGTGTTCACCTCAATACCAAAGTATGCCAAGAACCACCAATCGATCCTTCAATTCCGAATCCCACCTCACTGCATCCCAACCACACATAACTATGTTGGCAAATATCTGGATATATCCTACGAAGTGGTGCTGAGTATGCCTATCATGGGCGGCTCCGTCGGTCAAGTGCCTGGCAGCAGCAGTGTGTGGTCCTTCCCGTTCGGTACACAGTCTTCCTCGATGAACGCATTCGTCAATACAATTCAACTACCGATGATCATCGCAACAGTACCCATGAGTTATCCGTTACCACCCCAGTTACAGATTCCAGTTCAAGTGCAAGGTGATGCGATCGAAATACCATCGTTTATCCCCAACATCGAATCGCCACTACCGAGCCCGTCGAATACATCGTTCAATGAGAACCAATGGCATCATGAGCGCCCATCCGTTTCGCCATCCAGTTCGATCAATATGAGCTGGGAAGATGATCCCATGGATGATGGTGAAGGCTATGTGACGAAATTTGAGAGTCAGCAGGACGCATCTGGTCATCTTATGGTGCCTACATTGGGTGATGGTGCGCCTTATTCTCGACGCAAGTCCAGCAGTTCGTCTACTTCTGGTCTATCCAACAGTCCCTCGATCAGCTCGGCATCGAACCAAGTAGCTGTGCAATGATTTCAATATGTTATTTCGATGTGAAAAGTAAAAACCAAAGTTATTCGATGGCATCTTGATGTAATGCTTGCAAAGGACTTTTCAGAATACCGTGCATATACCCCTATAAGGAACGTCGAGAAAGGAGAAAGCAGGGTAACGGACGCCATCTTTAACTGAATAGCTTCTTTCCTATTTATTTGTTTCTATGCTTGGGTATGAACAGCAGCCATATTTATAAAGATTACGTAAAAGAACTCAAAATGGTGCTCACTCGTTTGCAAGTGTTCGTCTGCATAGTGCAGTTCATTTACAATAACGCCGAGTTGTTGACATTATGTTCCGCTGTCGCTGGGATATATAGTTAATGTAGAACTTGGACAAAATAAAAGGGAATATTGTTAGTTGCGAGAAGCGACTTTGTTGTCAGCAGAGCATCACTGAGATTACATGACTGGCCAGTCAACTATGTTAAATAACAGTGCCCAATGTTCTTTCATGCTGTGCCACCGATTCGATCATCGACCGCGTTGTCTTTTAAAACGAGGCAATGGGATCAGCGTTCAACATCGCATTCTGTTAATTAGTCTTGGGAGCTAACCGTGCTTAGAATAGGGACGACGAGCCAGGTCTTTTCGGAAGTAATAAACGACAAAATGGTTGTCCTAACATCAGTGATATATCATTTAATCCAAAGGTTATACGACAAGCAGCAAATGGCAAGAGGGTCAAGGTGCAAGGGGGAAAATCTCCGTGCGTACTTGGGCATCAACAGGGTTCAAACCTTGGGATGTTGCTTGCATTTTCTTTTAGATATCCCCGCGGTATACGTTACAGGTGGCCTCCGTAACACGTTTTGGTCAAACTATCTCCTATCCAAACCTGTCATACAATTCCTAATTTTGATCCACTTTACGCAAAACGAACACATAATTCAAGGTCACATTGCTTTTTCATGAATTGTGACTTGAAAGCAGTAACTCTCTTTTTGCTCGGACTGTGTTGGTCGGGCTGCCGCTTGATTGATCCAGTGACCTCCATATTGAATAACCGCCTTCTGACTTGCCGTTTTCGGAAGCTTATAAAAACGACATATGAGCTGCTTTGCAGGAAACTCATTCGCTTTTCCTTATCCTTTCTTTCGCCAACATTGCCATCCCTTTTGCTAATGTTGCTTTCTGGATTTTATTTTCTTGCCAAATTGGCGCTTGTTCAATTATATCCCGCTTACGTATGCTACAAAGCCATAAAGGTCGATGATCAACGACAATTTAGACCATTGCTCATGTACTGGGTAGTGGCTACTTCATTCCTCGTGGTCGAATATTTTGCCAACATGTTCCTGTTCTGGTAATGGCTCGTTAGCTGCTATTCAGAGGGCATGATTTTGACCGGAGTTTCGGTGTGATAGGGTCCCTTTTTACACATTGATCAAGCTGGTAGTATTATTCTATCTTATTTTACCGCAAACAAAGGTTAGTTTACCGCATTCTCGACTTCTGTCTTCAGGAGGACAAAAAAAAATACGAGATAATGCAATTAACGGTCATGGATGGTGGTTGTTTGTGGCAGGGAACGATGGTCTTTTATGTGGAGATTCTGGATCCGTTTTTAACCCGACATGAAGACCGAATTGACGGGACGCTGATTGAAATACAAGCGAAAATTAAGCGCACAGTGATCATGTATAGTAAACGAGGATTCAGAGCGCTTCGCAGCATCTTGTACGATGTCATCCTAGGCAAGGTAAAGAGTCGATATAGCGAAGATGGAATCATCCGATTCGAACAGGTTAACATTTTACCCTTTCGCTAATTCGGTGGCGATGTAGTCTGAAAACGAGGAAACCAATGCTGCTACAGTAGCCGATACAGCACCGTCGGTACAAGCCAATGCAAACGATTACCTTAGCACCATTAATCCCTACAGTATATTTGCGACATTGATCTCTAGAAGTGCACAACAACTGCAATCGCAGTCAACAGCTGATCCGTCAGCAAGTCCGTCAACTAACGAGCCAGCTGGACTGGTTACTGCAGGAAAACGACGGATGTCCTCACCCGAAGATCCGAAGGTCGAGCGTGTTGACAGCTATGATTCGTTGGCCTCCTTTGTAACCTCTCGACGTGCTAAAGGTTCCAGCGCTTCGTCAACTCCTACCGCCACAGATGCAAACGCTGCCACATGGAGCGGCTATTTCGCTAGTTGGATATGGAAAAAGGATGAGAAAGAGGAATAATAAAGCCATGCCTAATGACTGCTTATTGGAAAGACCTGATATTGTATCAGTGATGAAACACCAAAACTGGTTCAAAACTCCCCGAGAATTTTTTTTTCTGGACTTCCAAAAATAACTGCGGGAAAATTGACCCGTCAACGCATGGAGGTCGAATAATCTCCCTTCTTTCCAGCTCTTCACTACCTGAAAATATGCCACCCAGAAAATTTACCACAAGTACAGCAAACCGTAAATCACGCCAATCGGAAATTACTGGATTACCCTTCGTGAAACGACGAGCAAAACGTAAAGATACCAAAGATAAAGTGTCCTCAAGTCCTCATCCAAGCCCTGCTACAATTTCCAACGATTATCATCCAAGCGATGAGGAACGAGAACAGGAAGAAGATGAAGATTTGCTTCTTGGTAGGACCAGTACTCCACAAGATACACATATTGATGACGATTTCGCTCGTCGAAAACAGAGGAAACCCAAAGCACGTCCTAGACCAATTGCCAGTAAGTTGGGGATGACAAGTCGAGATAAAGTAGCAAAATTTGAGAAACTGACGGAAACTTTTGGTTTTTTTTTTTTTTTTTTTTTTTTTTTTGCAAAGTTCACCAGGAGCATCTTAGTGAGGTTGATAAACTGCTACGTCAATTCGACTTGAATTATACCTATGGTCCGTGTGTAGGACTAACGCGATTAGAAAGATGGGGTAAGCATGACCTTCCAAAAAAATGGTAGTTCTGTAACGAAAGTTCATACCCAGAACCCACTATGTCAAATGTCGTGATATTTTTTTTGTCACCCAATGAACTCATTGTTTCGTATAGAAAGAGCACAGGCACTCGGTTTGAATCCTCCGCAATCAGTGAAGGATATCTTACTAAAAGATGGCGGCGAAAATCAAGAGTCGTTATTTCACGGTCAGATTTGATGATTCATGCATGATGTAATTTTCTATCCAGCGAAAAAAAAATTACGCAGAGGAAGACAAGGCTATAAAAAAGCGGTTTCGCATACAATCTTTTTCCATCTATTACAAAACAACACCACAAAAAACAACATTCACCATGTCTTCCAAGAATCACGGATCTGCTAACCCTGGTATTGCCCACGCCGAAGCTGCTCTTGGTGCTGGCCGCAAGGACGAAAACTCTCGTGAAGGCCACAACCAGATGTTCGATAACTACAGTGACTTGACCAAGCATAACCACGAAACATATGGTCATAACTCCAACAAGCCTTCTCGCGGTGCTGAAGTTGACGCCGAACTCGCTCGCGAGGATCAAGAAAGAATTCGCCAGATGGACCACAAGGAATAAGCGAATCGTTCTGTCATAACTTGAACCTTTATCAATGTAATCGGATAATTGTAGATGTAATTTTTGAATTGTATAAGGGCTTGATGATTATATCAAATAAAAAACTACTTAGTGATCGATAACCAGAGTCTTGTTATTTAATTGCGGTTAATGCATTGAGCGGTGTCATGGGAATTACTGTGCTATGTGATGGCTTCTCCAGTGTGAGTGTTCATGACCGCACCAAAATTGTTATATCGTAATCACTCCCTGTTGCAAGTATCTACATTGCGGCCGTTATACAAGATGTTAACCGTAGCTCCCATTACGGAGTTATCCAGTGGCGAGCAAATCACTTTCACAGATGAATCCGTAACAATTTACGGTAACAATTCACAGTTCCAAATACACAAGATTCATTTCAATAAGGGTGGAAGATATTCTTATTATATACACGCAGATGGGCAGTTGCGCACCAGGAATAAACAAATGGGAGGAATATTAAACTATCGAGTTACGACGCTAATGTTTGGCTACACGTTTCTTCTGATAGTCTTCAATGGCTGATCGGATGGCGTCCTCGGCCAACATTGAACAATGCAGCTTAACAGGTGGTAAGCTCAATTCTCTGGCAATGTCAGTGTTCTTTACTCGGCCAGCCTCATCGAGTGAAAGGCCCATTACTCGTTCCGAGATGTAACTGCTGCTGGCGATAGCTGATCCGCAACCAAAAGTTTTGAACTTTACATCCTTGATTTTTCCTGTAACGTCGTCCACTTGGATTTGTAGTTTCATCACATCACCGCATGCGGGAGCGCCCACTAAACCGGTGCCAACGTTTATATCATTCTTATTCAGGGAGCCGACGTTGCGTGGACGTTCGTAATGATCAATAACCTAGATAGAAAAACAAAATAAATACCGATCACCTCTTGGGTACTTTGCGTTGTTTACCCACCTTGGGATGATATTGACGGGCAGGATTGTACAGTAAGGAACGGTGGACAGCACCAAAATTTTTCGTGGCAATATTTCTTAGCATACTGGTCGATAAATAAAGTTGGAGTTGGGAAAAACCAAAAAGCAAGAAAAGATATTTCAGCAACTGTTTTTAAACTTTTTTTAAAAAAATTTGGCGCATAGAATAAAAGAATGCATATGATATCATCTAAAGTCACAGTCTAAAATTGGCCAAGCCTAATCCATAAAAGTAACGGCATTTAATGCCAAACCTCTCCAATAAAAATGTATAGCCCAAGATTGTGTCCAATAGGAGATGATACATGAGCCTTCTTTAGATTTCACCAAATCGGGACCAGTAGATGTCGTGTGGGATGACCTTCTTATTTCCCCGAGACAACGCATTTGATGTGGTAGGTGTGATAGGGAACGAACAATGATTACCACGGCGCAGTACTTCAACAAATCCCGCCAAGGAATGCATCATTGATTGTTTGAGACACATGAGGCATGATTACGGATTTCAAGATAACAAGTCAACATAATCTGAATTGCAATGCATGGTTACAGCAGCTGCAGGGAATACAAGCCGTTTTCTGAAGCTCAAGATGTACCGTGGATAGTAGACAAAAACTTGGAGTGTACAATATATTTACGATCTTGCATAAAGTAGATCATTTCATAGCTGCCTTTTTCAGCAACAGCAGGCGTCCAGCGAGATAGGGTGCTGTTTTCTTCGAGCTACTACTAATACTCTTGCTTCTTATGCGTCTAACTGTGGCATTGGGTTTCGATCGTTCATTGTGGTAATAAACTTGAGGGATGGCATGGGTTCGACCAAGTCCAAGCGTCGAAGAGCAATAATCATTGACCATATGTTGGATCAAGTCTTCTTGAAAGCGTTTTATCAATGGTTTCTGGAAAAAGGAAAGCAGTAAATGAACAGCCTCCATCCGTGCGTGGTCGCTGTAATGTGTGACATATTCGCCTGAGATATACTTAATGAATGATCTAACAAGCTCGTGGGGGAGAAACAATTAAACTACCACTTACCACAGTTTAAAATCATTAAGTTCCATAAGCCACCGCCGACAAATCGGTGATAAATGACATTTAGTAAATCAAACACATGTCGCTTTGCAGATTCAAAAAGGGCTTTAGGCGGAGTTCCTTGTTGAAGAGCTAAAATGATTCCTTTCAGAGTTCGATCGTCCAGGTTCACCTCGATGTGACTATCGCGTTTTAAATAGGTATCATAGATGCGTTTTGCTGCTTGATGTTTCTCGCTGCTGCTTGAATATTGAGTGTGTTCGTAAACTTCCACATCAAGATAGAAGAACTACCAGAGACCGTGCGGCTTTATTAGTTGGCGACGACGTGATTTTTGACAAACTCGCTTATTTACCAAATTTTCACTGCAGTACTCTTCTAGTAAATGATAAAGATAGTAACCCAGCGGTACGCGAGAACGCAGCATGGCCGTTAAGCCTTCTTTCTGTATATGTTGTATGCAGACATCCTCCAAAGGTGCATCTTCCCCAAAGAAAGACTCCAGTTTTTTTCCATGTTTTGCCGTATTCCGTGAGCTGATCTGCGTTGTCAGTTTATTACTGCAATCCACCTCTTCGTCAGAAGAAAGAATGCTGTGTGAAGGTACCATCACAGGATGGCAAGTGAATGAAGACGGTTGAGCTACGTTTTCATTGCTGCGTTGTCGCATGATTAATTAGGAGTATTATAAAAATATTAAAAGGGTTAACTAATAAGTAGTAAGTAAAATATGTATTGATTATATGATAAAGAGCATAGAAAAAAGAAGAGGAATGGGATTTAAAAATTTGGTGACAGCAACTAGAAAAAAGAAAAAGTTTGAAAGAATGCACAAGCCATGGAGATAGCACCAATTCCTCACTTCATCTATCTTTCCAAGTCATTGTTGCACCAACTCCTCTGTTTTATATTATCAAGGACGTCGTAAGACAGTGAGTTTCTTTTTTCACGTAGTGCAGCCTGTCTTAAAATGACGCGCATCTTCAATTCAATTGCTCGCATTGGAGGCGATCAAACCAGTTACATGTTCTTCCATTTATGCTGAGGGATGATAACTCGATACGTCTGATAACTAAGGATACACTGTAATCAATGACACAGAGTATACGCCACTACGATAATCCTTTCGAAATTCATAAAGCTAACAGATCCGCGCGCCACAAACCATTACACCAGCTCCACATTTCAATCAGAGCCAACATCAACGTTTACTGAGTTTCAACTTTTTTGCGCAAGGCTATTGTATGTGTTGGTCGTCTGTATAAAATAGCGAATATGTCCATCCAGGTGTTATAGCGCTACGGTTTGTTAGACGACTCCCACTCAGGAGCCGGAGAAAACGGGCAAGGAAGTGCACAACCGGATTGAAACGCGTCTGCACAGGTGCCCGTCGAAAGAATGAAAGCAAAAACTTAGTTCCCCATTACTGCGACTTAAAAAACAGGATAATTTGAGCGCCAGATAAAGTGGAAACTTTAGTCAATTGAGCAAATGGTTTAAACAGTTTTACGACATCCCATATCTCATTCACGTGTCTGATCAACTGAACCGTCTGTATCACAAGGAAATGGCGGCTACGACTCTATGGTATCATGGTGCAGTCCATCAGGCATCATTTACGCAATGATGTATTTCTCTAATAGCACGTAATCTTGCATACATGTATGGTCAGTTCCTGCAATGTTACCTCTTGAGTCTGTCATCCGCAGGCCTGGCAGTGCTCTTTTTGTGCTGGGGCTGACATTGAAAACGAAAAGCATCATTTTCATTGGGCAATGTCAAACCGCGAACGAAGTGAAAAAAAAAAAGAGACACCGAGGCGAGTCTGAGCTTTCGTCAGAGTTTTCCGCTTAATGTTTCCTCAAGGCTACTTTTACATTCTATCACGAAAACACGGATTTGCACTCGACGTTTACGACGGGCAGACGAAAGTAAATATCCTTAATACAATGGATTTATTCGTTTTACAGAGGAATGACTGACTTACAATGTCTGTTTGTGTGATGGTTTCAGGAAGATGCAAACATCATCGTGTGGCCACAAAAATTCCAAGATAGCGATAATCAGTAAGCCTTGCACATTCTCATATTTAGACTACAATAATTTATGAACGACTCCAATAGATTGTGGAAGTATGAAAATGGGCAGCTTATAAACAAGAAATCCGGACACGGTAATGCAGCTTGCATAATGTTTCTTAGTTGATCTTACACTAACTAATCTGCTGCCTTTCCAGCCTTGGATATTCGTTCAAGTAAGTTCTTATTTTGAATCTCAATGTAGCCCTTTGTCTGGTTTCCTTATATTCGAGGTACAGGTGCTTTTAAGAAGGATAAAGTGATTGTACAAAACAAGAGAAAACCGAATCATCACCCCCAAGAAGTAAGTCATGCGGTTTCATCAAGTCTTTGCTTCAAGTGTGAAAATACATTTACTAATGTTTCTTGGTTTGTTCAGTGGATTTTCGACAATGGCTTTATTTGCTCCCAGGCTTATCCAACTATGGTGTTCGACATCAAGGTAAAAATAAGAAAAAAGGAAGAAACATGTTAAAAAAGGAAAATTACCATACGCGATTGTGAGGGAGGAGTCTTTGCTCACTTATGACGCATGAAATTTATTTGGGTGTAGGGTGACAGTGAAAAAGGCGGTGCTCAAGTATTACTATACAAGCGCAAAGAAAGCGATAACATGAATCAGCTGTGGTATTTCGAACCGTATCAACATTTCGAAGGTGCATTGAACTTGGCGACCACATCCATTTCATTACACAAAAAAGCGGACTTTGGTCAACCACGTTTAGGCTACGGGGCTGAAGTGGGGGTGCCACCTCAGCTGAAGAAACTGCCTGACAATTGTAAAGTGGCTGGTGTAGGAGGTGAACCCACGCCTACACCTTCCGCCAACACCGCAAATGAAAATCATCCAAACGTTCAAAATTCTCAGCTGCCAGAAAATGTGGCTACCTTGTACTCTGGCACGCCAACCCAGTCGGGCCCACAGCCTTTCGCACAGCATCCACCGCAAGTGTCTTCGCCTTCGACGTCGTCTCCGTCACCGTATCCTTATGCTTCGCAATCACCCACGTACAATACACCGAGCGGCTACCCCCCTGCCCCCGTGCCTGCACCACCCGTTGCATCGCATCCCGGCTATTCGCCTCAGCAGCCTCAGCCTCAGCCACCGCAACCAGCATCCCCTCATGTAGGTGGCTTTTATCGTCCTCCGGCTCCTCAAGATTATCCAGCTCCATCAGGCCATATGCCTATGCCCGGAGCTAATCCACCCGAAGGCTATGGAGGAGGCTATCCACCGCCTGGTCCACCTCCTCTCCCGGCCCGAGATCAAGATCAAGGAGGTTACGGCGCTTACCCACCACCACTTCCTTCGCGTCTGGGTAACGACCAAGCCCCTTATGGAGGATATCCCCCGCCACCACAACTTCCACCGAAAGACCCAAGTGCAGGATATGGCAATTATGGCGGTTATCCACCAGCATCGCCAGCTGCTCACTCTCCTTATGGAGGTTATCCGCCACAATAAAAAACGAAAGGAAGATATCGTATCTTGTCTATCATTTTATTCGTGATGAATTGGATGGATGTCTATAGATGAAATAGGAAAGGCATAAGACGGTAAAAAAAAAAATAGGATAATATACATAAAGAAATATGAAAAAAAAATAGGCTTAAGCTACAGCCGTTTGTGATGCAGACCATGCTGCATCCGCCACAATACCCGACCAAAGAAGGGCCCCTGTCCATGTGTTACTCTTGAACTTTGCCCAGCAGTCAGCCGGCACATCATAGTTGACAGTCTTCAATTGCCATGCCAGATGAGCGGCTGTACCGCACACACTGAGTGCATAAAACGGCAAACCTTGATCGTTCATGTAACCAGCCAAAGCTGTCATGGAGACGAACGACGCGGAGAAACCTGTCAACCACTGGGTCGTTTTGTCCTTGAATCGAAGGGCAGTCGATTTTACGCCGACTTTTACATCATCCTTCTTGTCTTGATGGGCATAAATGGTATCATAGACCAACGTCCAGGCTACGCCACCAGCATAAAGTGGGCCGGCGACAGTCAAGTCCAACTGGCCAGTCATGGCCGACCATCCCAATAAAGCGCCCCAGTTAAAAGCAAGACCAAGCACGGTTTGCGGCCAGTATGTAATACGCTTCATCAACGGATACGTTACTACGAGGGATAACGATGAAGCGCCCAATAAAATACTAAAAAAGTGTATCAAAATCAACTTCCCTTTTTTTCCCAATCGATGCGCACCAAAGTAGTTTACCTGTACAGATTCAATTGAGTTAGAATTGCTAAACCGACGGACAGCTGGAGACCTAGGAATCCGATCGCTTTCGTCGGAGTAATTGCGCCACTGGCAATCGGTCGAATTTTTGTTCTTTCCACCTGCATTCGATGGTGCGTGAGTCGGTTGTCCTGTTGCAGTCACTACTTTGATTTTCTCTACCTTGTCATCGATATCCCTGTCCCATAAATCGTTGATTGTGCAACCTGCGCCACGCATGGTTAATGCGCCTAAACCGAACAATGCTATCATGTAACCTGTATCTGCAAGGGATGCATGCGTATGAAAGGCCGCCATCGAAATACTCCAAGCTGCCGGGAGGGGGGAAGAGAGGAAGATTAAATAAACCGTACCACTAACGACATTTTTGTATTGACTGCTTACCGCAGGGCCAGAATAGTAACCATGTACCGATAGGTTTGTCCAAACGTGTAAGGAACACATAAGGCGCGATTTTCGGAGGCAGTTTGTCAATCCAGTTGTTATACTTGATGCGTTGTTCCTCATCCTCGGGAGTTAAGGAGTCGCCAGCGGCTGTCGGTGGGGTTAATTTCTCGGTGATTTGCTGATTAGATGCCCAGTGTTTCTGAAGGTATACAGGTGCTACGGGCTTCCACTGCATCGGCGGAAGTGTATTCAAACGATATTTCCACGCTGATGTTTTCGAAGCTCCGAGCCACGAGGTTCGTAAAGGCGAAGAAAAAATTCTGCCCGACTGCCGATGCAAAGCAGTTCTTGTCAATAGCATCAATGGGCTCGACATTATATCCGAGAATGGCAGTTACGAGAGAAACTGGAAGCCTTCCTTATTGTTATTGTTTCCTTCCCCGACAGTATCTTGACAGATCCCACAAATCGGGCGCTTATGTGACTGGCCAATGGGCCATCAAACTCTCTCTTCGTTATTTTCTACTTTTTGTGAACTGCTTCATGACGAACGAGAGACAAAGAAAAGCCTGGTTTTTGAGTGTTTATCTACTTACCTCGTGTGTTTGGACTGGAAGCGTCCGTATGCGTTTTGGGAATGGAGGAAAATGAAAAACTGTTTTTTTGGGAGACGTCTGTTGAGATTGATTCGTTGTCAAGGGACCTGTGGGAGGTGTCATCAGGCTGTCGATGTGGCGGCTGCGGCATTTTTTTAATTTTACATAGAATTGCAGCGGACAGATGTTATTTGATCGGATGCTTCAAAGGATGGGAACATATCACGCTGCTGACGCGTCTTGTTAACGCGGAATGGAAAATCTGATGGTCTCGTTCCATTCACCGGGAGGAGCTTGAAAGCGTGGTCGTTTTCGAATTTCCTCATTTTTCCCTCTTCTTTAAACTTTCCTCATCTACCATCATTTATCCCATGGCAAGCATCGTCTCTGAAACAGTCACCAACATTCTCTCTGAATTGCCTGATGGCATCTTACCGAGATGGATGCTGTTCACTTCAGCACTCGGTATTTTCAACACCATTCAGAACTATTGCACAAGCTCGCTGACGAAGCAAGTCTACGGCAACAAACCTGAACAAAGTATGATATGACGCCATAGTTTCCGAAACATGGAAATCAATTATATTCATGTGAATGGTAAAATAATGGTATTTCTCCGTTCTACTATTAGTCAGTGCGTTGAGTGGACGCCTGTTTGCTACATGGACCTGGTCCGTCAGCATGATCCGTATCTATGCCGCTTTTCATCTTCAACATCGCTTGTTCGTATTTGCAATACCATTGACATGATATGACTTGTGGACTAAACCGGTTTCCATTCATTGTTAGCATGTACAACCTTGGTATTTGGACCTATGTCATCGCATTGACTCATTTTACCAGTGAATGGCTCGTTTTCCGTACCTGTCGCGTCAACAAAGGGTTCATGTCACCCATGATCGTAGCCGGTAAATATGCGAATAACAATGTCCTCAGAACCACGGTACTAATGATAATTACAGTATGCTCTTTAATTTACTTGGTTCGAGTGAAAGAAGACTACGTGAAATTCGATTAGATAAATAAAACAGTTGCTTGTTATTTTATTCGCATAGGTGGGTAATAGTATTCATAAGAAGGAAAGATTGAGGTCAAAGAAAGTACAAGTTCTGGGGGAGGAAATAAACGGAAAACATCCTAAGAGTAAAGAATTTCATTTTACAAGCGAGAGCAAATGTCAGCTACTACGTTGTCTTCAAAAGTCAGACGTCCACTGCCACGGAATACATTGGTGCCGTGTGCAGGATCAACGGTCACGGCCGCAGCCGCTTTGGATGTGAGCGGGTTTTTTACGAGACGATGATGCATTGCTACGTCTTGCAGGATCAACGATTGAAAAGCATCAGTCAAGCGTGCTGTATCGCGTGCTTTTTCACTGTGTTTAATTTTATGGGCATTGAAATCCAGAAGACCGGCCAATCTTCGTGTTTGAACCCCGTGCTGACTCTCTTTTTCGCAATAACCAATTTCTTGTGTTAGACCTTTCATTGGCTGTTCTAATTCTTCCGCTACATGGCGGTCCACGTAGGCTCCTTTAGGTACAGGAGCATGTGTAATGGACGACACTTTGTTAAAGGAGCGAAGAGGTACCACGACAGGGCGTGGTAATGCGACTCTGGGGAAAACTCTTGTGAAAAGCATATTGGGAGATAAGAATGAAGGGAAAAAAAGGAAATTCAGCTATGCAAATCAAACAAAAAAAAAACAAAACAATCCCGTCTGCATTCCTTTTATATCTTCTCTGCTATCCGAACCGACATTTTTTTGATCCTCTTTGACTTTTTCTTTTTTTATTCTGAATCATTTCACAAGTCAAGTGATGCCTTTTTTTAATTACCAAATTAGTAAATTATTTTTTTTCTTCATGCGAAACATGGTCCTTACTTCTCACATGGGCAATGTCTCAAACCAATGGAATTTCTTGCTTTGTTTGACCAAGCATGCTTTTCAGTGGTCAATTTGCGGTTTTTATTATCTCAAATTGACACCAAAAGGTGATGGTGTTAATGCGCACCATGTGATTCCAAAGTTTTGACAATAGCTGTTACAGCGTCAATCGATCCAAAGATGGCGCAAAAGATCCCGATCAGCATCACAAAAATGCAAGCCGTACGTTCGAAATGGTTTCCTTGGTGCCAAGAAAGTTTAATCCAAAACATGCAGGGCAAGACAAAGGTAAGCAACTCCCCCGTCAATGTTCCTATCAAATTAGTGAATTCGCCAAAGTATGGAACAAGAACCGCCACGGTAGCGCACAGGACCATTTCGATGATTCTTACAATCGTGCGAATCAGCGTGGGATACCGCAACAATGACGACGATTCACAAGCTGTCGCTGCTTTTTGACGATCATGTGGAAGCAGACCGATCCAGGACTCCACACTCATCGTGAAGACGTACAGATACATAGGAACAGTGAGGAAGACGTGAATGGTGACAACTATCATTGCCACATTCTGTGCCGCTATCACATACATTATTTAGTGCATGTTTACACATTATCGACCAATAAAATACAAGATGCTTATCAAAGTTCTTTTTTTCCTTGATTTCCATGCCATGCCTTTTTATGGGGGTGGGAGGAGGGGCGCGTGTATTCAAACTTTGTATGTGTGGGGTTATCTTTTTTCATTTACCTGTGGGTAAGTTCTTGTAGATCGGTACAAGTGCCGCATCTCCGTAGACAAGATAGCAAAAGAAGCCCATAATCACATAGATCAGCGTAATGACAAAGGTTGCGACAAACATTACTTTTGACCAACTGTTGGGCTCGCGCATGGATGCTTCCAGGTGAGGAAAGATAATATTGCCGCAGTAGGAGAACGTAAAGGTACTGAACGTGATAGGAATGTTTCGAGGAATTGCCCAATCATGATGGGCGTGAGTAACGGTTTCTTTGAAATCGGAGGTGGATGATACCGTAACGATCAACAAAAGACAAAAGGTTGCCATGGAGGAGAAACAACTAAGCAAATCTCATTGGTTGAGTTTGACGTTATCAGGCGCCCATGGGACGAAAAAAAAATCAGCCAAACTATAATTGTTTACCTCATGAAAGAAACATCACGCATATTTCTCACCATCACAAACGGGAGCCCGATGGCAGCAGCAAGAATCCAAATGCAGACTTTCCGGTCGATCTGTGCTCCCGTAAACGAATATAACAGCACTGGCAGGTTATCGCCTGCTAGTATCACATACAGTATCGATGTCGACAGCAGAAATACTTGAGAAAACCCGATGCTCACACTCCATCCAATACGTCCAAATGTAGCGTAACCAATATCGCTGAAACTTTCCAGTCGGGAGTACCTGTAAAAGGATTCGATTAACATATTATGCTCAAGTAGCGTGGTGCTGAGAACGTTTTCGATTTTTTCCACGCGGCATACATACGACGGATGGTACAGACAACGGATCAAAAGACAACTTGTGAATTGGGCCATCGCTGCGCTCAACAATAGAAAGAACAGACCTACCCAACCGGATCGACTCAGTGCATGAGGGATCCCCAGTGCGCCAGTACCTGCAACTACACATCTGTTATGTGTGTCAGGGTGTACCGTATTTCCAATGTTAGCAAAAAGCAAAAACTTAATATACACAATGAATTGCTTCTCACTTGCATGATAGTAATCATCGTTGATGTATTGGAGACATAACGTGTGTTTTCCCTGTGGTAAGATTTGGCTACATGATACGGCTCCTTTCCTTTACTTGCGGAAATTTCTGCCTCTATCACAAGCGGTGAGAATTTAATTTTTCTTCCTTACTTTCTTTTTCTTACGACTGAATGCGCAAAATATGATAGATACCTTTGTGTCTGCAATCGTCTGAAATGGACTCACAATAGGGTTGGATTACGAAATCAGACATCGAAGGGGAGACAATTTCTTAAAAGCAAAGCGACAACCAGTAAAAACAACCTCAAAAAGAAAAATAAAATATCATATGCACTTTGGAAACATAAAGCGAACGTCAATGACCATTATTTTGACTTGATCTGATGAATCATGATCAAATCGCTGGTAAGCATAATTGCATATTTATCGAGAACTTGATTTTTTCTCCATTGCATTGGTTTATGCCGTACCAATTCCGAAATGTTCACACCCAACGGAGTAACGTTAATTATGACCCACAAAAAAAAAAAACGGAAGATAGTTTTCGCGCAAATCGGTGTTGCTCATCTTTTTTCCAAAGATGTAACCTCATTATTTCTTTCTCGTCACAACCTGCACTCCTATGAAATATCACTACCTTGGTTCCTCAGGTCTTAAAGTGAGCGCCATCGGTTTAGGATCGTGGATTACATTTGGTAAAGTAACCTGCCTTCTTCTTCTCAAATGCGCCTCTTAATATAACTTGAGCTAATCGCGAAAGAACATTCCTTACCATCTATTATAGCGGCTCAAATAGATAAAGGTAAAATTATCTATACATGGTTATCAGTCGGCAACAAGTAATCCGTACAGCACCAATAACCTCATTACTCTGTAGATACTGCGGCCGAATGCATGCGTGTAGCTTTCGAGAACGGTGTCAATTTTTTCGACGTGGCCGAATCTCATTCAGGTGTTGTTCTTATATGTAGCAGTAGCGTCTTGAGTTTGAAATAACGGGGAACTTCTAACGCAAACCTCGATGCTGCTTTTTTAGGAGGACAAGCTGAAATTGATATGGGCTTGGCACTTAAGCGACATAATTGGCGCAGGTCCGACTACGTTATAGCAACCAAGATATTTTGGGGAGGCAAAGGGCCCAATGATCGTGGACTGTCACGGAAACACATCATCGAGGGATTGACAGCGTCGCTTCGTCGTCTCCAACTCGACTATGTTGATATCGTGTATGCACAGCGGCCTGATCTTGACACGCCTATGGAGGAAATTGTACGTGCATTCAACTGGTGTATTGATAAAGGCATGTCGCTTTATTGGGGAACCAGCGAATGGCCCCCTTACCTTATTGTGGAAGCGATCAATGTGGCCCGTCGATTAAATCTTATTGAACCCGTTGTGGAGGTAAAAATTGACATTGCATGAATACCACGATGTCGTTACCGTTTGTTTTTGAACTTCTCAAATATGTTTTTTTTATGCCGTATTTCCATCTATAGCAACCGCAGTATAACATGTTTCATCGCGAACGAGTCGAAAAAGAATACAAGCCCTTATGTGACAATTACGGCCTTGGGGTTGTTGGCTGGTCACCTTTGGCTTCAGGTATTTTTCATTTATTGTTAAAAGCTTGGTGGATCATGCCGATAAGTTACAGAAATTGACCTAGCTCCATATATGTAGGCGTTTTAACAGGCAAATATAACGATGGTATGATTCCTATGGATGCGCGGTTAGCCATCCAGGATCATCCGGTGATCAATCGGTTACGTGCCGGCTTCTTGAGTGCCGAAGGACGATGCAAAATTGAGAAAATGAAACAACTAGTGGTAAGTGTCCTTTTTTTTTCTAGTAATTTCGTGATGTTCCGATCTTGAGCGTGGAAACGAAAAGATATGGGCATCATTGGTAAGAAGAAAAGAACCCTTGTAATTGTATGCTGATTTTTTTTTTTTTTTTTTTTTTTTTTTTTTTTTTTGGTTGAAGCTGGTCGCTCAGAGATTAAACATCACTCCGGCGCAATTGGCACTGGCGTGGTGCCTAAAGCATCCCAACGTATGCTCCATCATTACCGGCGCATCAAGGCCCAGCCAAATAGAAGAAAATGTCAAAGCCATTGAATACCTTCATCTTCTGACAGATGAGATCATGTCAGAGCTAGATCAGGTAAAATGATCATCTGTTATCAGTTACAAACCGCACAGCTAAAATGCTTTCGTTGTTACTTATTCCAGATCCTGGGAAACAAACCGGAGCCTGTATTTAATTTTAGATCATCTTAATTGCAGCATATTCATCACTTCATTGTATCAACCAAAATTCAACCAAAATAGTGAAAAGGGAAAATAAAAAATATATGTAAAACCTTTTATATAGAGTAAGAAAAAAGTTTGCTCTAAATTCATTTTGCTGCCAAAGATCGATAAGCCATGTGTCTTGATATCGCTTTGAAAGACTAAGAAGTGCAAGTAGCAGTATGTCGACGATCGATTTTAAGCGTTGATATTATTTCACTCTAAACATATTAGAAGTTAGGGAGATTTTAGATGCAGGTACTGTTGTCCTGCCAGCTGCATAACGAATGATACAGGAATCTTTTTTTTTCTTTTTTTTGATCCTGTGATTATCCTAGCGATCCAACCGATAGGGGAAATTTTTACAGAATGAGGAAGAGATCGTCGAGTAATGAAGTCTTTGCAGTCAAAAGATGGAAAGATCTAAACTTCAGCCGAATATCATTGTCGACATAACGGACGGAGAAGGAAAAAAGGGGAATCTCAGTATCTGGACAATCTTATTGTTATATTGACTTCCATTAAGCCTCCTGTTCTTGGTTTTGACCTGCATGAAAATCATGCATCTTAGGCTTTTTAAGATACTTTTTCTCTTGTTTGCTGCGCACGCGCCTTCTTTCTCACCTCTTTTACCTTGTCCACACGTGTGTCGATCGTAAATCTTGCAGCAAGGAAATGAAAAGGATGTGGATTGCATATACTGCCCCACATTCGTATTAGGATCTTTTTTTCCCTTTTTTCGCTCAGTTTTCTTTTTTATTTTTTTTTCTTTTCGTTCATCTAAAGTGATAGTGATCGAAACCAAAAAAATTATCATGAGTTTATTCTCCAAAAAACAGCACGATGACCCAGAGTCAAACAAGAAAAAAATATCCAAGAAGGATCGTAATAGAAAGAATTCATCGCAATTTGATTTGCACAGAGCGATATATGCTGGAACCACTGAGAAGACGGATAAAAATCAGAAAATCCGGATCAACTCAAAACCAGATTCTAAATGGTCCGATAAGAATCCACCGTCGTTCAGTAAAAAGCCATCGTTTGCCAATGGAAGTTCGCAAAGGATCCAGGTCTTTCCTATTGCGACACCTACGATCCAGGCGGCAAAGAGTGTTGTTATACCTGTACCAACTGAAACATTATCGGTAGCCAATAGAGTGATCCCTTCTGGGATCAATGCCCATCCGACGATGCCGATCTTATCATCCAACATCTTGACTCTTCCACTGCTTTTGCCGACTCCCAATCTGGCCAGTTCACCGACGCCTGATACACAAGTGTCACGACCGGTGCCACTATCGGTATCATCACAAGCCTTACCGGGATCTTCGATACCATCTCATACGCCTATGATGCAACCTAGCACGTTTCCATCTGATCCACCCGCAACTTCCAACAACTCAACCGAATCTGGGCTCCCAGGCATTGCAATTGCAGGCATATGCATTGGCCTTGGCGTCCTATTATCGTCGATTCTCACCATTGCACTTATCAGGAGAGCCCGCAAAGCGAGCCCTGACAAAGCCCTTAAAAGTGGACCGCGCTATACCAAGCCGCAAAGGTATGGTAGCACAACTAGTGTTATACTGACTGCATCACCGACCGAGGATCCCGCATGGCCTCAACCGATCGGAACCTTTACTGTCATAGCCACTTACACCCCTACTCTCGATGATGAATTACCGATTCAGCCGGGTGACCGCGTGCTCGTTTACATGGAATATGACGATGGATGGTGTCTTGGTGCCACCATGTCAGGAACGCGCGGTGTGTTTCCCAAACATTGTATTTCCCAAACGGAATAAAAAAAGTTTCTACTCGGAAAACTGCCAACGCATGGATCAGTGTCCTCTCTTTTTGGGGGGATTTCACAAAAAGGAACGGGAATAGGAATAGCCCAGAATGACTGGACTATGCTTCTGCCGTAAAAAAAAAAATAGAGATGACGGGACCTTGGCAAACGGAAATGGAAGAAGTTTCAGTCGTCGGAAATTGAATTTATCGGAAATCTCACCATTCAGGGAAAGCGAAATTTCGCATGTAAAAACATTTTGATTGAAGATCTTTTGAGGTTTCATTTTTTTAAATGTTTCGAAAATGTACAATGTTCCTCTTGGAATTTTTTGATTTGCTTTGTCTTTGTTAAGATCTAAGCGAAAAGTCTAGGCAAATCATGGCCAGTTGAATAAAGAATTGGGAAAGACTAGTTGATTTTTGGTGACAGGTTGCTTGCCTCATTTCTGTAAAGCTTTATCCGGTAGACTTCCTGCCATAACAGGCGAGTTTGTGGTATCATACCCACGTTTTGTACTTGCTTTTTTAATTAAGGAACGCCACAACAACCAAGCCGAGCTATGAGAGGGGGGCCGGGACAACAATGCGGACCAGCATCAAGTAACCAGAAGTAGAGGTTTGAGTTTAATAAGACATTGACGGAGTTCTCTGAATCAACCTCGCAAATGGAAAACAACAATCAGAAACATTTCATTCTCTATATAAGAAGCCGCATCATCGCCCCGCTTCACCTCATCCATAATCTCTTCATTTCACCACTTTTTTCTCCACACCGTCATGTTCTCAAATAAGCTGGCTCTTGTTTCTTTTCTTATGCTGCTGGTCTGCTATCTCGCCCATGGCTTGCCCTTAGAAAAACGTGGCTACACCGGTGAAGGTACCTTTTATTTCACTGGACTTGGTTCTTGCGGTGAAGTGAACGAAGATTCCGATTTTATCGCTGCACTAAATGCCCCACAAATGGCTAACGGTGCTAATCCCAACCACAATCCTATTTGCGGTCGCAAAGCCAGAGTGACTGGTCCCAAAGGTTCGGTGGTGGTGAAAATTGTTGATACTTGCCCTCCTTGCCAGCACGGAGATCTCGATTTAAGTCCTGGAGCCTTTGAGAAGATTGCCGATTTTGATGACGGCCGTGTCAAGATCGACTGGCACTGGGTTTAAAGACGTCGTGAAGAGCTTGGGTTCTCTGATCGATAATTATATTATCTATTGTATCATTTTGTTCGTTGTATCTTTTTTGCCGGTCAATTTTCTTCACCGCTTGATGCGGGTTTAGATGTCATTTGACAATAGCTTGTCTTCCTCCATGTTGTTTTTAGTTGATCTAGACAAATTTAAAAAAATCATTCAATACAGTATCATCTCGTTTTGCTTTATCAAAAGCCGTATCTCTGGTCAAGTCTAGATTTGAAGGTTCTTTTGTTTTTTCAAACTCTCTCGGCTGATTACTCTATTTGACGACTTTGTGCGATGTAGCAATTAGCCTTTTTCGACAGCATTTACTAATTACACCGATGTTTGCCATCACACCAGTTCTTATGCAATATCGTTGCCGAAGAATACATTAGAATACATTACCATGTACGGACTTCACCCAACGGCAACCCGCTAATCTCAATGTTAATGTCAATGCCAACGATAGATGCTAGCAATTGCAGTTGCAGTTGCATGCACATACAGATATTTTGGCAAATTGACTTCATCGGTTAAGATTAATCCTTCAAAACCTCAAAATGGTGAACCGGTAGTTGTCTTGTAGCGAGATAAGCGGCTGGTCTAGGCTTGACTAATCAGAATGACAACAATGCGATATAGTATAGATTTTGTACTCAAAAAGATTTTTTTTTCTCCGCTCGCTCCCATCTCTTTTGTGAACAGGGTATCTTATCGCGAATTCTTAAAACAGATGCTGTGTTTCCTTGAAATTTCTCGCTATTCCCTCGCCAACTTCTACCATCCTTCTTTCTTTTCTTGACCAATCACTGATAGGCGAAACACAATGGTACTCACTTTGATGGTCTGTGTTGATTTCCTGATTCAAATATTCTCAAAAATCCGATTTCCGTGAAGACCCCTCGAACAGAGCTCTTCTTTTTTTTTCACATGCTCGCTTTGACCATCCCAGATTTGGCAAACCGAAGAAGGCCATATTCTATTTCGTTCCGATGAATCCGGTTTCTTAATCAGGAAAATAAAAACCAATTCCCCGTTGCCCTGACGATGTTTTTATCTCAATTCAAAAAAAAAAAAAAAAAAAAAAAAAACTTTGCATGGTTTATGTGATTACACCGTGTAATTTGTAGTCGACACGTAGAATCCGTGACGCATAAAAAAAAAAAAAAAGACATCCCCATTGAATTGATAAAATTTGTAGCTGATAAGACAATCCGCATGCGTATTTTCGTTCAACAGCTTTATTACGCTACTGTGTGGTTTACTCGTCGAGTTCACTGTGGATGATTTTTGGCAGAGCCGCTTTGTTTGTTGAGAAGATATACGATGCACAACCATGTGCTATGAGCACATAATGACGACAAAAATTACAAACGTTTATATGGTTGTATCCAAACTCACACAGTAGCAAGGTTATTGAAAAATGATTATCAGAGGTCACTGTCTTTGTTTTGCTGAATATATTGTATTACGAGCTACGATGATACATTGCTTTCTTACTTCCTTGTATGTTAGTTTCTTCGTATGCCAGCCTACACAGTGTTGATACACATCATACTTTATTTATATTGTAAAAAGTCATTTTCCATATCACATAAAACGATATCGTATACAAAGTTTTATTGAGATAAAGCCTTCAAATCTTAGTTGAAAGTCATATATAAAAGTCCTTCATCCCACACTTGCTAATGACTTTGTTATTATACTTGCCACGACCTTCATACTGCAACTTACGCTCTTTCCAGATATTCTGAATTCCCTTTGCCGAAACGCGTCAAATGAGCCTGTACGGGAGAAAGAAAATCCGCTGCGTGACTGCTTCAGTCACGTGATAAGTATTTGGCGATATTTTGAACATCAAGGTTAAGCAAAAAAGAAAGTCACTATGTCCGAGTGGTTAAGGAGTGTGACTAGAAATCACATGGGCTCTGCCCGCACAGGTTCAAATCCTGTTGGTGACGACTTCTCTTTTGCCTCTTTCGGCTGGATTGTCGTCGTCAATATTCTGTGCTGGAATTCCAATGGCCAGATATTACGATTAGGGTAGACAAGGACAGTAAGAATACGGGAGGATGAGATAATCTTTATTCTTTTGGTCTACGTGGATATTTATACTTTGGGTCTTCTAACTATCGATGACAGCATGGGGTACAGAAAGGGAAGGTTACGCTTATGACGTATCATTGCTTAGCCCTACTTCTTGACGAGATTTCTAGAAAGGGATTGTTGGCCGATCGTGATGTAATGGTTGCCAAAAGGGGAAACCCCAAAATGATTGGTTGAGCATCAAAAAGGCTACGACAGGATTACGTTTTTTATTTTTTATTTTTTTTTCTCATTTTTTTTTTTATTTGGCTGTTCTGCAAGGCTAATGGAAAACGGATTTGACAAGGATAATAAGTGGGGTACCAAAGAATTTTCTTATTTTTATTTTCTAATGTGCGAGAGTTGATCAAGGGTAAAAGTATTGCTTGTCCTGGATCGAGAAGAAAAATATATCAAAAGAGAAGCGCATAGTAAAGGTAAGGACCGGGAGAAGGTGTTATGATGGAGTATGTGTACCTGTATGGTTATAAAAATCGGTGCATAGAGTAGTGTTTATTTTCAAATCAGATGTCTTTTTTGGAAAGATTGTGGGGCCAATGCCAAAACTAAAAACCAATTTCGCAACGATGCGATAAAATAACACACCCGTTTCAACGATAATTGTATGAAACTCACAATTCAAAGAACTCTGTGATGAAATAACATTTGCATTCAGCAAGCTGTCAGTGGGTAGTCATGTCTCATCGATAGTAGTTCATGTCGTTAGGGAATGCCTTGACAGTGAATGTACAATGTATTTTTGCTTCGACCCATTGGATGTTATGTTTCTGCCTCTCTTCTGTGCAGTTCCCCAATATATATCGACCCATTGTCCAGTTAAAACAAACGGGAATAGCCGATGTGTCATGACATACCAGAGAATAGAGTTAAGATCATGTACATGCAATGCAAAAGTTACTTCCTAACGGATATGGAGCAAACACAACACATGAAATGGCAGGGAAAAAAAAAAGTACGACAATCATCTATAAAAATTAATGCGCAAATATATCATGTGCAAGGCGGTCAAGCAAGCATATCCCATTTCAATTGTGCCTTATCTATTGGAATTTTTGTACTCGTCTATCGATCTCATCGCTTAACCGGCTAACAGATGTTCCCCAACTATTGACGACTATCTTCGTATGGTCATTAAGGGCATTTTGATGTTCCTACACGAAAAGCTTAATTATCGTATTCATTGAATCGATCGAAATCCCCAGTTACCTTCTTTGTGAAGCATTCCAGCGCGAACTCAGAATCCAAAATTGACTTGTAGAGTTTCTTTTGAAGCTGAGGTTTCAACATCTCTTTGCCAGACTTGGCTTGTGACTGTACGCCGTGCAGGAAGGTCTTCAAATCGCTATGCAATTCTACAATGCATGCCAGCTGTGTATCCTAAATGAGTAACAAGGGACTGGCTATTATTTCTGGCTGCGGAAGCAGGACGTACCAAAGCATTGTTATCAGCGTTCTCCGTTGCTTTCCTCTTGGCTTCTTTACTCGTAAGGCCCAATCCTCGGTTAATCATTTCCAATAAAATACTACCATAGTTGAAGCCCTTGACGAGTAATGAGTATTTGGGAAATCAAAATGAAAATGTAGGGAAGACATATGAAGGTTCTTACTTCGAGCAAGGTGGATAACACATGGAATTGTTGCCATTCAATGTGACTTCCTGAAAACAATGTACTGGTTGAACCTATTCCCGAAGTCATAGATAAGCAATGCAGTTTATCTTGGCACCCTTTGGTATACTTACTCTGTTTTTGTAAGTGGGCGGACGCCTGTTTCAAAAACGATACAGCTTCCTCAGAATCTAAAAACGCAGAGAATAAGCATACAATGCTGAAAACACAGAATATGGCGCCAACTCACTGTTTCCTTGCTTCACTTGATCCTGAAGCAGAAGTAGGGCTGAACCCATGGAACAAATCAATTGTGCCAACCATATTTCCTCGTTGGTAATCTAACGGAAAGGAGAAATTCAGCTTACTAATGAATGTCAATTGAAGAGAATATCTTACATTGTTTTGAAGATCGTCACGCTTCAGAAACGCCGTAAAGTCCTGGATCAACGATGCCAAATCTGCTGCCTGTTTAGTGTCGCAGGCTGCCTTGATAATATTGAGGATATACGAGAAAGTTTGAAGCCAAATTTTCTAGTTCGGGGTATGAGTCTCGCCTGTAAGCTCATTATCGTTTGAGATGTGTATCTTACATTGGAACTACAGGCCGGCTTCATCATTTCCTGCAAGGCAGGTTTCTCATCCGAATTACAGTTCATCATGACCTTGAAATCTCGATTATCCGAACGTGTTTGAATGAAATCGTCTGTTGCAATTTTCATGTTCGTATGAGATAATAATCACCCACTGTGTCGTTTCTTACTCACCATCAAACTTAATTTCATTGATATCCAGTTCCTGGAAGTATTGTACACCGTATTTGACTTGGAAAGAGGAGTTCAAAGCTTCAATACGGGCCAACTCAGTTCTGGTAATGGCATGTTGCAGGGACTTGTCCAACCGAGTGCGGAACTCAATAAATTCTTGAATCTAAAAAAAGAATGGAAAATCGCGATAAGCAAATTTTCATGATGTTCTGATTCTAGTGACGGCAATTATACCTTGGAAAATGTGCCATACTGATAGGCTTTGACGAGCATTTCCGGTGTCTAGACGGACATGATTGAGACATCATGTGCAGCTTCAGTTCCATATGCTAAAACTTACCTCCACTTCATTGCTTTTATAAATCATCATTGATTCGTACAACATCTCTTCCAGCGGATCCATAGCACCCAACGCGATAAATCGATCTGTGAAATAATGGCTATATCACAATAAATGAGTTTAGGTTATACTTTTAGCCCGAGAGAATATGCTTACATCATCGTATCAAATTGGATCTGCTTGATATCCATGGTAGCGAAAATCTGCAAGGGACGAGTGTAAACACCTTTATAAGACCAAAAAAAAAAAAAAAAAAAAAAAAAAAAAACGCAATGAGTATATCATATCGTAGAAATAAATATAGGCCAACCGCAATTCCTACCCAAGACCGTATACAATCGCACCAGAGTCAGCTTAAGCTGAAAGTTATAGGTGCTTCTTCGGAGCGCAGTTTCCAGCAGAGTGATGGCTTGAATGACCAAGGCAGTATGCTTATGTTGCTGATACATGTCGTAAAGGATATGGCTCGCTAAAAGCACAAATTCATCGCCATATTGACTTTCGGTCTTTTCCAAACCTTGTCCTGTTGATACATGTCAAACAATTAAGCCCACTATAGAATGCTATATAAATCACAGCCCATATTTACCAAGAGGAAGGGCATCTTCATACGCCTGCCATAATGCGTTGACAAGTTGCAAGCTTTCAGGCAGTGACAAACCGGCATGTAAATCTAAGAAGTGCTCCAACTTTCTTATGGTGATGTTCTTGTACACATTCTTCACCTGAGCAGACTACATCAATAACGAAGTTTGATTACTGAGAATCCGAATATCAAGTTGTTTACACAAAGAAGAAAGTGATCATTACCTTTTCTGTCGCTGGTTTAATGCTATTTTGGAGCGTTTGGATGAATTTTTTAGCTGCTTCAGGTGTGGCACGGAGAAAAGCAATGTATGTTTGCAAATCTTCGAAGCAGCAGCTCTTGGAACCAAAGCGATCAAAATAGGCGACGATATGATCCAATGTAAGAGTTTGATCTGTCAAAACATCATAACCGGCATCAACAAAGGATTGCTAAATCAGTACGACGTAGGATGATAGATGACCCGTACCTCTATTTTGGCGCTTATTAAGGCGATGATCCCACTCCAGCTCAGCCAAGAAAGGCCCACGCTTGAGAACAGCAGCTTTCAGGGCTGTCTCCTTGAGACGACCAATCATTTCAACGGCCTTTTCTAGGATTTCCTCCGAACTTTCCTGATCAAGGAGTCCGTTCACCGCATCAAAGTAAGCTAACCAGCTAATCCAATCGTCCGAGTTCTCTTCGCTGAGCGCACGCTGACTCGTTTCGAGCACATCTTCCCATTTCTTGGTTTTCAGCAAAAGTTCGGATCGAATCTGTCTCACTTCGGGATCACGCAGCGATTTTTGACCCAAAGGTGTATCCAGCAGAGCCAATGCTTGATCATAACGTTGTTGATCCAAGTAAATCAATAAGAATAACCGCAAGTGCTCGACCTCCTCTAATCGTCCGTCTTCTTGCGCTTTAGCCATCATGCGCTCGGCAAGGGTATATGATAAGCTATTCCCTCCTTGTCCCTGAACGACGTACAGAGAAAAAAATAAGCATTGGGTTTTTGCGCGTCGAAAACGCTGTTCAGTGGAACAGTACCTGCAGAGCTAACGACATGATGGCCCAGAACAAGTATTTGTTTTGCTTGAATGTACGATGGAGCTTCAGGGCAGCTTGTTGTTGGCCTTTGTAATCGTTGTTGCGTACCATGGCCATAAACCAATGGTTAGCAAACTCTTCATTGCGTGGCTGTTGGTTGGCTGCGTTTTCGTAAAGGGTAACGACGGCCTGGTCTTTTGGCGTAATATGTCAGGACAACGGAACAGGGGCAGTCGAGTAAAAATAAAGTATTCACGGCACTTACGTTGACCCAATTCCTTGTAGGCCATACTGGCCGCTTGAAGAGTAGCGTCATCGATCGGCATTGCCTTTTTGACCTGAGTGCACAAGTCCACGGCCTCTTCTTGCTTGCCGGTGCGAACAAGGACTACGGCCTTGAGCGCCTGAAAAGAGATACATAATGAGCCACTTTTTACATTGCTTCATTACTCATGAACTGGAAATATTACTTTGAGCAATGGCCAATCGGGACTCTTCTTAAGCATCTTGTTCACATTTTGTAAAGCTAGCTTATATTGACCTTCGTCGATGGCCTCTGCAAGCGAGAGTTAATAGCGCTGAAAAGGAAGTAGCAGTTACAAACAGTACCATAAAGAGGACGAAGCTTCTTTTCCGTAATGTAGTCTAAGACCATATTGTAGTGCTTGACTCGCTGCGGATATGAAACGAATTATTTCTGGCTCACTTGCCAAAGTCAAAGCCGTTGTCCGAAAGTCACCCTATCAGACAGTGGCTTGTTCATTTCACGATCGAATTTTGTAACTCCTGGGATTACTCGGCTTCCTCTCCCGCAATTTTTAATTGACTACATCCAATGGACGTTGATGTTATCGAATACAATTATTACTCGATCAAGGTTTCTTCCAATATCTATACCAGCTTGACTCTTTCTATTTTCTAACATCGGTTGGCATACTGTGGAATTGGAGAAAAGGAATTCCCCGAATGAAGACTGCATTATCAGTTCTCGAAAGTCAGAGGACGAATATCAGTCTCCTGTATAATGTCAAAAATGTACAACAAATTCTTTGTAAGTAACGTTTAGCAGATGCATCTCAAATGCCAGCCATATGCGACACACTTTCCTAATGAGTTCAATAAGAAATCGAGAGAAAAGTATCATTTATGAATCAAAAATACGACATGATATCGTTTGTTTCCCTTTTATAACCTGCTTCAGCCTGTCGCTATATTGTCATGTAAAAATTTAACGCCTTATACCAAGATAGTTTGATTCGGTTATGGAAATACCAAAGGTTAATCCTATTTCCAGCAGAATTAAAAGAAAAATGGCCATCCTCTCCGAGCATTCATTGACATCTCAGGCGACAATCTATGCGCAAGCAAAAAATAATATATATAATGTGGATCACTTTCGCAATTTCAGAAATAATACTGGCTTGTTCAAAGGAATCTGATAATCTTGTTTTGATGTTATTGTGTTTGCCACAAGTGGGACTTGAATACAACTTCCACTTCGTTTGATATGCTGCCAATGATTCGAGGCAAAGTCTTGCTGTTGAAAGCCCGACAAAAGTGCACAAAATGCTATGCTTTTTTGGTTTTCCAACCGACAGTGGTTTTTTTATTCGCCCAATGACGAGCCCAAAATCGCCACCGACCATTAAGCGACTTGAGCAAACGGTGGTCAATCGTATCGCCGCAGGCGAGGCAAGTAGCACGGCGGGTTTAAGATAACGGTCCCTTCGTCACTGACATTGCTGACATGTGGATAGATCATTCATCGACCTGCCAATGCGTTGAAAGAGCTGATTGAGAATTCTTTGGATGCCGGATCGACACAGATTCAGATCCTGGTCAAAGACGGCGGGTTGAAACTTTTGCAGATTCAGGACAATGGTCACGGTATCCGTGTAAGTAACCGAGCCTCCGTTAGACTCACACGAAGACGGCACTAACCCGGTGAACATTCTTTGCCAGCGCGAAGATATGGGGATCGTCTGCGAACGATTTACGACGAGTAAGCTCAGAAAATTTGACGATTTATCGCAGATTGCCACGCATGGATTTCGTGGTGAAGCGTTGGCGAGTATTTCGCATGTCGCTCATGTCACGATTACCACGAAAACGGCTGAATCGAAATGCGCTTTTCGTGCGACGTATTCTGATGGCAAATTGGTACCACCCAGACCCGGTCAGTCCGCCGATCCAAAGCCCTGTGCTGGTAATGACGGCACTCAAATTACTGTAAGCTTTCTCTTTGTCTTGGTTATCACGCCGAGCTAACCGGATCGTAATTTTGTTTTTCGGTTCTTATGCAGGCGGAGGACTTGTTCTATAATGTGCCAACAAGAAGAAAGGCGCTGAAATCTCCCAGCGAGGAATATAACAGGATCTTGGATATCGTGAGCCGATATGCAGTACATAATGCAGGTGTGGCATTCACATGTAGAAAGGTAAAAATAGAAAGAAAGAAGATACGATTCATTGGCAATGAATGAGAAAGGAGGAGTTTTCACACGCAAGTTTGTAGCAAGGCACGACGGCAGCGGATATACAGACAATATCGAGCGCTAGCACGGTTGATACAATTCGACAAATCTATGGCTCTTCTGTAGCCAACGAACTGCTTCCTGTGGAACGAGAGTTCCCTGAATTGGAATTTAAAATGAGCGCTTATGTGAGCAATGCCAATTACAGCACAAAACGAATGACACTCCTGCTATTCATCAACAGTAAGTTTTACAGTCGGGTTCACATGGGCAAAGGATTTTAACATGCATGAATGTTTAGATCGGGCCGTGGAGAGTTCATCAATCAAAAAAATGATTGAAGGGGTTTACGCCGCTTTGCTTCCAAAGGGGGCTCATCCGTTTGTATATCTTAGTCTGGAAATCAATCCCAGAAACGTGGATGTGAACGTCCATCCTACCAAGCGCGAGGTAAGAGTCTCAAAAATTGGCTTGTATAAGTAAAAAAGAAAGTCCATTCATTTTGGAGGTCAGGTTCACTTTTTGAACGAAGAACATGTGGTCAATGCGGTTAGCGATGCATTTCAAAACCGTTTGGAGAACGCAAACACATCCCGGACGTTTCTCACCCAGGTAATTAAATGCGCAGACATTCACGACTTTGCGGCAGCCTTATTGATATATCATGTTAGACACTTTTACCTGGTGTACTCGATATTCCTGAACCTAGTTCTGCTCCCAAACCGGCCAAAGTCGCCGTCTACAATACCGTACGCACAGACGGACGATTGAATACGCTAGATACCTTTTTAGATCCTTCCGTACCGAGTAAACGTTTGCAATCGACCTCTTCAACGGATGGCACGTAAGTAACTTGTTCATCCACGGTGAGTTCCATGATACAGTAGTAATCTGATGTTGTGTGCAGAAATAATGGTCAAGAGCAAGACGACGCTGTCAGTCAAGTCGATGAACTCAATAGCCGCGGCATGACTCCCAAAGTGAAGCGGCCAAGGATCGAGGTCCGACTAACCAGCGTCTTGAATCTTCGAAAGGAAGTCAAACGATCCGAACACACCGGTATCACGGCTCTATTTTCCAATCACACTTTTGTGGGTTGCGTGGATGATGCGCTGGCGCTCATTCAACATGAACGGAGTTTGTATCTGGTGAACTATGCAGTAGCAAGGTAACACATATCTTGATTTGTACACGATAGGGTTTATGCTGACAAAAGGCATTTCACAGCGAAGAACTTTTTTATCAAGTGGTGCTGAATGAATTCTGCAATTTTGGTCGATTGAATTTAAGCGAGCCCGTGGATATTCGAGCCAGTGTGTTGTTAGCGATTGAGGCGGAAGAACGCAAAGGCAACTTGCCAGATCAACTTCGATCGGCGGATGAGATTGCAAAGGTAAATAGATAGATAGAAAAACAGGTATAGCAGGATGATGTTTAGACTGATTATTTGAATCTAGGCTATCAGTGATACGATGGTTTCAAGAGCGGAAATGTTGGAAGAATATTTCTGTATGACTGTGACAGAAGATGGTCACTTGAAGAGCTTGCCGATGCTTCTGAGAGGCTATATACCCACGATGGATAAATTACCAATGTTTCTCTTGCGGTTGGGGACCGAGGTAAGGGAACTACTGAATGCAGAAATTATCCTAGTAGACCATGTTCTCACTGTACGGCATCGGATTGCAGGTCGATTGGGAGACAGAGCGCGGATGTTTCGAAACGCTTGCGCGAGAACTGGCCGTCTTTTTCTGTGCCGAGCCACCGCTTAAAGTGGGAGAAACAGAGGAGGACGAAACCCTGTACAAAGAACAGCATGAACGGTATCTGTGGCAAGTGCAGCATCTTATTTTCCCTAGCTTTAAAACACACTTTGTCGCCTCGGGAAGACTGGGTAAAAGTGGTGACGAGTCAGGGACGACGAAATTCATCACTCAGTTGGCCAATCTAGCTGATCTTTACAAGATCTTTGAACGGTGTTAAGAACCCCCCCCCTTCACATGTCCACCTGATTTGTACGTCATATGATCATTTCTTTTCTTTTTCATCTTCACGATGGGGGGAATGGTATTCATTATTTTATTTGGTTCACAGTTTTCGGAATAGGAATGAATGTCATTTGCGTTGTGTGTGAATATGGTTTTTACTTTGTAAGATTTGCTATATGCGATCAGTGACCGAGTTCATTGGGAATATCTTCCTTTTTCATGGTGACAATGTCCTTGAGAGCCTGTCCAATGATTTCGGCGCCTTGCATCAATTCTTCCTCGGTGATACAGAGAGGTGGAGCTAATCGAATGATGTTGACGTGGGTAGGTTTGGCCAATAAACCACGGTCTTTGAGTAACAAGCAAAGTTCCCACGCTGTACGTTCAGATTTTGTTTCATCAATGACAATCGCATTCAATAAACCACGACCACGGACTAGAACAAACAAAAAATATCATGAAATCAATGAGATGATATGAAAATGAAATCAAGTTATGAAAGCAGGTCATTTTCTTTGTTTTCGATTTTTTCTTTACCTGTTTGTACCAGTGGGCTGTTGAGATCTGTGAGTGCTTTGCGGAATTTGGCGCCTAGGACATTGGCTTTTTCAACGAGATTTTCTTCCTTGATGACCTCGAGAGCGGCAATGGCAGCGGCACAGCCTAGGGGATTACCACCATAAGTGGATCCATGCTCACCAGGCTTGATACAGAGCATAATGTCCTTGTCGGCTAAAACAACCGACACGGGATAAACACCTCCTGACAGGGCTTTACCGAGAAGCACGACGTCCGGTCGTACCTTGTCATGCTCGACACACAACATCTTGCCTGTACGTCCAAGACCGGTCTGGATTTCATCCGCAATAAAAAGTACATTATACTTTTCGCACAGTTCCTTGCATCGTTGCAAATAGCCATCATCAGGGACGACAATACTAAACAAGAAAATCAAATCAAGAAAGACATTCCATCAGTAATCCATCACCAACAATATTCGTAAAACCCCCTGAGACTTTTTTTCTAAACGATATATGAACTTACCCTGCTTCACCCTGAATTGGTTCGACGAGGAAACCGGCGACTTTATCTCCTGAGGCTTCCAGAACTTTTTCAAGATCTTCAGCATGGTTGTAACGAATCTTGATGCCGGTCTTTGGGCAGATGGGCCCAACGAGCGGGAGATAAGGACCAAAGCCTTTGTAGGATTCGGGATCGGTGCTCATGCTAATGACACCAACCGTGCGACCGTGGAAATTGTTCTCGCAGCTCAAGACAATGGCCTCATTTTCGGGAATGCCTTTCTTTACGTAACCCCATCGACGGGCCAGCTTGATCGCGGTTTCCACGGCTTCGGCGCCGGTATTCATGGGTAATACCATGTCATACTGGAAGTATTCGGAAACGTACTTGGCAAACGAACCGAAAACGTCATTATAAAAAGCGCGGGAAGATAAAGTCAATTTCTGCGCTTGGTCACACAAAGCTTGAATGATTTTGGGATGACAGTGGCCTTGGTTGACAGCTGAATAGGCTGACAAGAAATCCATGTACTTCTTGCCCTCAGGGTCCCATACCCAGACCCCTTTGGCTTCGGAAAACACTACCGGCAAAGGATGATAGCTGCAAAAGGATAAAGAGGTGAGTTTACGGAATGTGACCCGATGCGAAAGTAGATGGATCCTAAAGATAAGGTTGTCTTATGTGGTCAACCAAGTACATACTTGTGAGCACCATAGGTGGATTCGAGTTGAACGACTTCTTTGCTTGAAACACGAGTCATGATATTTGAATATTTGATTATTGACAAAATATTGGAAAAGGGGACGGAGAAGAGAAGAAGAAGAAGATGCTAAGAAGAATGGCGTCTAAAGTCTTTTTGTACATTAGTTGGAAGCATTGCATCATGTGACAATTTTTCCCACAGTGCTAAAAGCAAAACAGCGTCATTGAGATGCTAGCTGCCTCAATTGGATGTTTCTCCTTTTTGTCTTTTTGTCCAAAAATAGTCACATGGAACAAATTGCATGGGTAAAATAAAGAGGGTTACTTTGTTTTTTTTTGGTTTGTTTTTTTCTCCACCTGCATGTGTGTTGTGGCAATAAATTGATACAACGGTTTTTATCGGCTTGGTATCGGCCTTCATCGGCCCTTGATCCAAGTTACGCCTCTATGGCATATCAAGCAGCAAGAGGATAACTCGAACGAAACCGTCGATCCTAAAATGGATTCCAGTTTTATGCACATGAGAGCTCCGATGGATTGAAATGATACATTTCAAGGTGGGAAAGGTGATACCTCACGAGTAACTAGACCGTTTTGTCAACAAGATAAAGCACAGCAACAAACAGTAACGGCTGGATGCACCATTTCCGGCTTAGACTGTGTGCGACGACTGAACGGTCCTTCATTTGGCGCGCGCTATTTTTTTGGCCCACATTGTCATACGGTGCCAATTTTTTTTTTTTCCTTTTCCCTGATTCGACTGGTTCTTTTTTTTTCCTCTTTAATTTTTTTTTTCTTTGGCTGCTGTCAATTTTTCCCCCTTTCGCTTTTTCTCTTTTACATCCTTCTCTCCTTTCATGGTACGTTGATGAAAAAAATGCCAAGACTTCCAATAGACTCACGTTTGACAATTTGTGTGCTGATTGTTTGTTATTATTTCATGTTTTGTCGGTGAATCTTAGGCTGACCAACTCACAGACGAACAAATTGCGGAATATCGCGAGGCGTTCAGCTTGTTTGACAAAGATGGTGACGGCACCATCACCGCCAAAGAACTTGGTACTGTCTTGCGATCCTTTGGTATGAATCCCAGTGATGCCGAATTGCAGGATATGGTAAACTATTTTTTTTTTCTGGACACGAGATGGTGTGGGAATGAGGTTTGTGGAATGCTAATGCGGAATGGGGTCATGGGTTAGGTCAACGATGTGGATGCCGACGGCAATGGTACCATTGACTTTCAAGAGTTCTTGGGTCTGGTGAAAAACCTGAAGACAGACAACGAGGCCGACGATTTGAAGGAAGCATTCAAGTATGTAAAAATTGATATGATTGTTTACGTGTTGAGGGAGCGAAAAGAAAAGTTTGGTTTAATGATTTTTTTTTAATCAATTCAGAGTGTTTGATGCTGATGGCAACGGTCTTATCGATCGAGAGGAATTACGTAAAGTGATGGCATCACTCAATGAATCATTATCCGAGGAGGAGCTGGACGCTATGATTCGAGAAGCTGACCGGAACGGTGACGGTCAAATCAGTTATGAAGAGTTCAAGATCATGATGGGCGCTTCGGGTCAATAAGGATGTGAATGATGATATGAGTTATCTTTTTTTTTTCCCTTCATTTTTTACTTTCTTCCTTACATTTGAAGCATCGATATATACAATAAAATATGTCTTTATCATTTAGTTGCAATCTAAAATCCCGTTGCACAGTCCGTTCTATACCGATATTCGATTACGGATTTTAACATATCACGATCTGCTGTTGTGAAGCCCCACGAAGCGCTCAGCTGCCTCGATTGCCTATTTTGGGCTTCATCGCTTCGCGTTTAGCCGCTCAACATTTTGGACTGGGTGTTTGCCTTCGCCACTTTGTGAGTTCCCCCCGCCCGCGAAAGCTGTCTAGTTGAATCCGGATAGCGTCTTGAATACTATACCATCATTGTTTTCAACATTTATCGCAACGTCTGGCTTTGTCTTGGGCAACAGGTAGCTTGGGTCTCTACGGACTGACTTTAAATCAATTTACGTCATTTGGCACTATCGCACAGATAAGACTCCTGTGAGTACGGTGGAAACAGTCTGCTGAATCAGCCCACTCACCTGCGTTGACAACTGTATGCGGTGGGTGCAGTATCAAAAGGAAGCTCACCTGCAAACGTACATCAACAGATGTAAAAGAGCAAAAAAGAGAACATATCGATTCCATGCCTGCAGTTGGTTTCCATATATTGAATTTTACATGACAACAGACATTGTGCATTCTCCGGAAAACGTTCCTTTGACGTTCTTTTGTATTCAGCAGAACGAAGGTAAGTATTACCGTCCTTTCTCTGGAAATTTTAACAATCTCTCTCGAATACAGGTCAAGGGCCGTGCATCATTGTGCAACGTATGCACCTACTGGGGTCTGGGTGGGACACCCAATTCCTTGAACCCTGATTTGACAAGAAAAAAAGAAAACAAAAAGGTATGAAAATGGCAGCTGTCGTGACCAGGTGACCCAGCCTTCGTAGAAAGCACGCAGAAATACTGGATAATTTTATGCTTCGTGGCTGAACGATAATGTCGAAAGCCATTCGCAAAGAAAACCATTGGTCGGAATGCGACATACCAATGTCGCTCGATTAGGCACGCGGAAACCCATGTGCATTTTACTTCCTTTTTGTAACCTCCTCTGCACCATACAGTATTTCGCTATTTGAGCAATTGATTTCGTACCGCTGTCATAACGTAACGTATGACTAAGCTGGATCAATGATTCTTTCTTTCTTGCTTTGCCCAAGATTGTGCTTGAATGGTAACTGTGTCTTTTTTTTCGGGATAATAAAATAATGCCGCCATGCTTTGCAAATATAATTAAAGTTCAATCTCAATTTCTTCTATTGTTCTTCTTTTGACAAAGCCTAGGCCATCTTGACTGGCTTCTTTCCTGTCAAGACCAAGGCCCTGACAGTGACAGCATCCTGTAATTCTTGTTACGATATAAAGCAGCAATTGGGAGCAACCGGAGCGATGCAATGGACCGCGCAATCGCTTATAAATTTCAGGCACAATGGTTGCGGATAACGATTGATATGCCTCGTGTATCAATTGTAATATGTCTTTCACACGCATCTTGGCGGAGCTAATGGGAAAAAGTTATTGCATCAAGCGGACAACAAACTGGATGCATTGAATGAAGCATCGGCCTACAGTATTCAACAGTTGCAGGGATCCCACGCCGAGTTCACGGGCCATAGATCACATTTTGGACTATTTGCCCCAATTTCTGTTTATACTGTATGAAACGGAAATCAGGGACCTAGGCCGCTGTGTCATAGTCGAGTGCAGTGATGGCTGTTCAGCAAAGAGCAAGCAGGGGGTTTTGCTGTATGTGAGCTTTTTGGGGCAAAATTTATGGCGAACATATCCAATCACAATAAAGTGTCAAAGTATGTATGCTTAAGATCCCGCTTGGGCCTTGAATATTCAAGCGAGAAACAACTGTCAGCTGATGTTGAGTTGAGTAGTGAAAAAAGCAAATGCCCAAATTTGAACAAAAAGCAGTGGTGGTGCCTGTAAAAAATGGAAATTCGATCGAATGGAGTGGTGTGATCCCTGGCGGAGTTGTGGGTTGGGGCGATTTTATTGGTTTTTCTTCCAGATACTTTTGGCAAGAACGATTGGCCTGGAAGCAGTTCAAGGGTTGTTCATTGGATATGATTCAAATCACTCGGTAGAAAACAAAGAGCCCTTGAGAATAAAGTTTAAGGTTCCCCAAAGCGAAAAAATAAATTAATTATATAAAGAACGCCGATCCCTACAATTGAGATATTGCTTGTCTAGATACTGAATAGATTATACTCAAGATGACTCCTCGTCTATCAAGGTTCACAGAACATTTTGATAATAATGCTTGCACAACACCCGATTCCAGTCTTATATCGTCATCCATGGAATCCTACTCTTTCCTGAATTCATCCTCGTTGGGTGAACTCGAATCTCCTCAAACTTCCTGTTCTTCTTCCTCCCAAGTCTTCGATCCTCTACATACCAACACCAATGCCACCGCACCTGCACACGATTACCTTGCGGAAGACGACGCTACTTCACTTCCTGACCTATCGACCTCTTGTGCGCCGACGGAAAATGTTGCTGATTCATATGTCAATCAGTGTGTCAATCCTCATTCATCCGCTCGTCCCAAACTCTTTCGTAAATTCAAAAGCTTATCCTCTGTAGCCACCGTCTTCCACCACAAATTACGGATACCTCCTCGTAACAAGCACCGCGAGCAATGCCGTTGCGACCTTGCAGTCAGTTCTGCCTAACAAACTCACCGTAGAAAAAAAATCACTTCACACTCTCCTTTCATCCCTTCCTATCTGCATTGTAAATAGTTCCAACTCACAACCAGTCAAGCAAATCCAGCTTTTCCTCTTTGTGCAAATAGTTTTTTTTCACAGTTCCAACTTAAATTTTTATATTAATATGACTACAGCATCTTGAATTTATTGGGTATTAGCGATTGCTGAGCAGATTGAGCATTTTATGATATGGATTGCTTGCTGCTGTTGATCTCTGGTTTCGGCTTTGTGCTACCCTCAGAAGCTGTCCCTGACCAACCACTCAGTACGCCTTGCAAGGCCAAAGGCCTTTTTGCAAGATGTTCAGGTTTCACATCTGCCAGTGCGTGGGTGGCGCCCCTCACATTTCTCGCCAGTCAAAGGAGAACAAGCTAGTTTGGTTTGGCCAAAAGTTGAATATCTCGGCGCACCCGCCACATTACGTTCGTAATTGTTTTTTCGCCTGTGTAGTTACAGGTGAGGTTTTCCCACGTCACATTCCTTTGAAACTGACAGGCGTTGTCCATCGGTCGAGAATGCACCAGGCTCGGTGAAAAAGGGCAATGAACAGAGGTTAAAACAGTCTACACCTCTTGCAGCTTGATATGGAAGATTTTTCCAATTGATAGACACGATTTGTTAAGTTCACATTGATTTTCTTAGGAAAGATATATAAAACAAAGCAGAACACAAATTACACGCGGCTAACTCATTTCCAGCAGCTTTTTTGGGTGAAGAATTAAACTCCTTTCTCCGTTTATTCATCAATTTTATGATCGCTTGAGCTTTAACGATCTTTGAGATGATCTGCGCATGATGGTTGATGGTCAAGAGAGGGATGAGTGTTGGTATTGGGAAAAAAAAGGAGTCAATCCATCTTTGACCATCTTCCATTCATCCGGGGAATATTGTGCTGTCAACCGGTCCAGCCTTGGTGCACTTCAACTTCACCACTCTTGTTCACTTTTGATAACGATTTTTTTCTTTTTTCTCTTTTTGTAATTTTGGTTATGCTGAAAATTCCATCCTTCCAGCATTTTCGATTTCTCTATTTGTAAATTGCCTCCCATTGCTTTCAATACAGTCATTGCCTCAAAAATTGACGTAGTTGGACCATTCTTGCTTACCGGAAGTATGCATGAGTTTAGTTATGTACTTTTATGGCTGCCACCGTATTTTGTGTCCTGTTAATATTCGAATTTTAGAAATCACAGCATCAAAGCGGCAGTTCGAGGTAGAATTCATAGAGATGGAACTTTTATACTAGAGCTGAAAAAATCAAATGAATGCCTTGCATTACTGGAAAATAAAAGTTTCAGCAGAATTATGTAGGGAAGTATGAGAGTAGAGGTGGTGCGACGGACCTTTTTCCAGCGTACAGCGTTTGATCCGCGTTTGCGGATACCATGGTAAAAGCTACTTGCCGATACCCTATTTTTTTGTAGTGGCTTATCTGTAATTTTACCTACTTATTGGTCATGTATGAACAGGCGAATGCTCATGCCTTGAAATCATCTAAGGTGCTTCCAAGAGTTATACAGAGGGTGATGCCCAAAACAAAAAAAAAAAATACACAAAAAAATGAGTGGCAATGATGCATGCTGGAATAAAAAAAATCGGAAAAAGGGGGAGTTTAGGCCAGTGACGTATTGGATCGAATGTCAAAGAAAGGCTAAGAAAAAAAATTTTCGGTGATGGGGGCCTAAAATATAAAAAAAAAATTCGGGCCATCATTGTTCTTTCCTTTGAAATATAACATATTTCTTGATACACAACAATGTCGGTCGTGGTAAGTACTGTTCAGTCCTTTTCTGGAACTCCATGTCACTCATCCTCTCCTTTTCGAACAGGGTTTTGATGTAGGCAATCTTCAAGCCGTTATTTCCGTCGCTAGAAACCGCGGTATCGACGTTATCTGCAATGAAGTCTCCAACCGCGCTACACCGTAAGCATTTCTACTCGTCCATCGGATCGTTTTCAACCCTCATCATCTAACGTACCTCTGTAGTTCTTTGGTCTCGTTTGGTTTCAAGCAGAGATTCATTGGTGAAGGTGCCAAGACTCAGGAAATCTCCAACTTCAAGAACACCGTTTGCAGCTTGAAGCGTCTTGCCGGCCGTACTTTGAACGATCCCGAAATCCAGGAAGTCGAATCCAAGTACGTCATGTCCGAACTCGTTGAAGTTGACGGTCAGGTTGGCGCCAAGGTAAGCCTATCGTAAAAAAATAAAAGAGATGCGGTCGGGGAGTTGGGGGAAAGGGAAGGAAAGAGACAGAGTAAATCGAAGGTATTCACGCTTTGTTTTGTTTTTGTTGAATTTTTAGGTTCAATATCTTGGTGAAGCCCAAGCTTTCTCGAACGTTCAGTTGATTGCCATGTACCTCAGCAAATTGAAGGATACCACTTCGGCCGAAATCAAGGGTCCTGTCTCTGACTGTGTCATCACTGTTCCCGGTTGGTTCAGCGAAGTTCAGCGTCGCGCTATTTTGGATGCCGCCGAGATTGTTGGCTTGAACTGCTTGCGTCTCGTCAACGATTTGACCGCCGCTGCTTTGGGTTACGGTATCACCAAGCTTGATTTGCCCGAGGACAAGCCCAAGAACGTCGTCTTTGTCGATATTGGTCACTCCAGCTACTCCACCTCCGTGGTCTCTTTCGTCAAGGGTCAGTTGACCGTTCGCGGTACCGCTTACGATCAGCACTTTGGTGGTCGCGAATTCGACCAAGTCATCGTCGAAAAGTTGGCTGCCGAATTCAAGGAAAAGTACAAGATTGACGTCTACACCAACAAGAAGGCCTTGTTGCGTCTTCGTGTTGCCGCTGAACGATGCAAGAAGGTCTTGTCCGCCAACCCTCAGGCCGCTGTCAACATCGAATCCATCATGGAAGATCGCGACGTTTCCACCATCGTCAACCGTAGCGACTTTGAAGAATGGGCCGCTCACTTGTTCACTCGCACCGAAGATACTTTGCAAAAGGTCCTCGAGAACGCCGGTCTCAAGATCGAAGACATCGATGCCGTGGAAATGGTCGGTGGTACCACCCGTATCCCCGCCATCAAGACCACCATCTCCAAGTACTTCAACAAGGAAATTTCCACCACCCTCAACCAGGACGAAGCCGTCTCCCGTGGTGCGGCCCTCCAGTGTGCCATGCTTTCGCCCGTCTTCAAGGTCCGTGACTTCCGTGTCCACGATATCTGCAGCTACCCCATCAAACTCCAGTGGGCCGCTACCCCCGAGGAGGAGGAAACCGAAATTGTCGTGTTTGACCGCAACAACTCCATTCCTTCCACCAAGATTTTGACTTTCCATCGCAGCGAACCTTTCACCCTTGAAGCTTTTTACGCTCATCCCGAGGAATTGCCCCGTGGTATCAAGCCCTGGATCGGTCAGTTCAACATCAAGAACGTCGCTCCTGTCAACGGCAAGCCCGCCGAAATCAAGGTCAAGGTCAGACTCAACATTCACGGTATTTTGTCCGTCGAATCCGCCTACACCGTGGAAGAGAAGACTGTCGAAGAAGAAATCACCAACAAGGACGGTGAGAAGGAGACAAAGAAGGTCAAGAAGTTGGTCAAGACCGGTGAACTCCCCGTTGTTTCCCACTCGACTTCCCTTTCTCGCGAAATCTTGAACAAGTACACCGAACAGGAAAGCCAGATGGCGGCCAACGACAAGTTGATTGTCGCTACCGAAGCGGCGAGAAACTCTCTTGAAGAATACGGTTACGAAATGCGTGACAAGATCATGGGTCCTCTTTCCGAATACATTGATCCTTCCATCAAGGACAAGTTTGCCGAAGACTTGAACGCCGTTGTTGACTGGATCTACGATGAAGGTGAGGATGCTACCAAGTCCGTGTACGTTGAAAAGCTCGATGCTCTCAAGAAGATCGGTTCTCCCGTGGTTGAACGTTACCGTGACGCCGAGGAACGTCCTCGTGCCGAACGTTCGCTCCGTGCCACTTTGCAACGCTTGCAAGATGAAGCCATGAGCTCCGACGACAAGTACTCTCACATCCCTGCCGCCGAGAAGCAGGACATTGTCGACCGTGTCGACCGTGCTCGCCGATGGTTGGAGGAACAGCTCGCAAAACAAGCCAAGCAGGCTAAGCATGAAACCCCTGTCTTGTTCTCTCGCGACATTGCTAAGGAAGAAGAAGCCGTCATTTTCTTTGCTAACCCTATTTTGAACAAACCCAAGCCGGCTCCCAAGCCTGAGGAAACCGCTCCCAAGGCCGAAGAACCTGCCGCTGCCGGTGACGACACCCCCATGGACGAACCTGAAGCCAAGAAGGACGATATGGACATTGATTAAAAAAAGTAAAAGCATACTTTCCCTCTATCCTTTCAAGGAAGACCAAAAAAAAAACTCCCATCCTCATGTTCTTTTTCTAAAAAAGTTTCCTTTTTTTTACTTTTTATCAAGACTGCAGAAAAAAAAATAGAATTGATCAATCATCCATCCACGTCTTTTTTTCCCCTTATTCTTGTTTATGCATGAAATGATACATATGGCACAAACGAGTATCCTTTTGAACGGGTTTAATGAAGACATCTGTATAACGGTGTCGATAAGTACTTTTTCGCATCAGGTTTCTTATGGTCATCAAGTAGATTTTGCTCTCGTATCTCGCTTTTGCAGGGAACATAACGTTTCAAAGATCGTGGTGGTGCATGTGATCCAAACATTCACGGCCAGTACATCAAAAAATGGAAAACCGACACCGTCATCGGCATTGCAAGCCAAACAGAGTGACCCAAGCAATTCACAGATCATCAGACAGTCTTTTCATGCTCTCAAATTTTGAAAGAACAAAGGGACATCATTTAGATAGGTGTGACAGCAGGAAATTTATGTAAAGAGAGCTGAAGAGCAAATCCTGCTTTTCCATTGATCGGTAGATGTTTTGTATACAATATGAAGAGAAAAAAGGGGAGAAAAGAAAGAAAGATGGGATCAATCGTCGCTGGTAATACCTAGCAAGTTGTTTATCAAACAGACGGGTGGACAAGACAACTTTCACAATTAAGCTAACATTGGACGTTCGGTTTCATCCTTATATTCAGATTTCTTTTCATTCCAGACAGCTTCTTCAGCTTCTTCGGCTTCTTGCTGGTTGAGCACTTCGTAAGCTGCGTTGGCGGAAAGAATGAGCTGACGAACAGCCAGAGCAATAGCAAAGAAGACAGCACAGATAGCGCCGGTGATCAAACCACGCACAGTAGAAGTTTGAGCGTTCCACCATTCAATAACGGGGTCCACCAAGAAAGCACCGGCACAGTTCTTCTTATCGTTGGGAGCCAAAACAGGCTTAGTGTCTTCCCAAACGGTGTCATCAGGCATAGCTAGGCCGGGAAGCGTGAAACCGGTCATTGGATCCACAGTGTAACGATGCACTTGACCATCTTCAGAAACATCCAAAATCTGTTGTCCGAGATCGGTTTGAACGACCTTTTCGTTGTTGATCTCAATAATGCGTTCTTGAACGTTGATACGACGGAAAAAGATGCCATCTTCGGTAGTAAATTCATCCATGATGGCGGCTGTGACTTGGACAGTGGCAAGACCGACATCGAAATTGTCCGCCAATAAAGCGGCATCCTCTTCGGAAGTAATGGTCAGCTTTTCGGGATTGGCGGCAATTTGAGCTTCCACTTGAATGTTCGAAACGCCAATTTCCACCGGCACACCATTGCATCGCAACTATAATAAAAAAGACGAAACCCAAAAAATGGATGTTTGTTGTTGTTATATTTAAGGAAACAAAGAAAAAAGATAGTTTCGTCTTATGTATTTGATTTTTCTTACCTGATGATCTATTATATCAAAGCTAACACGCACCGCCATAATACGTTCGGCTAACAAGGAGCCATCATCATCCACCAAGTCATCGACGCGGGTAACCGTAACAAATAGATGATCGTCATTCTTTCGAATGCCGGGTTGTTCTTCCAAGTCGATGGTGGTGGTGGAAAAATCCTGCAAAGGAGCGGCGAGTACGCCGAGAACTATTGATGTAGAAGAATAAAAGTAAAAATAAAATAATGGGGGTCAAGCAGCAAAGTTTGGTTATGTGCCAAAAGAAGCCCGTGCCAAGGAGTCGATATAGAAACAATATAATAAAGGTGGGGAATGATTTTTTGCACGTCATATTAACACGCATAGAGATGGCAAAGTGGGGAAGGAAAAAGAAAAATTGCATTAGCGCTTTCAATAAGTAAATGAGGTCAATTTAAAGCTTTCAATGAGCAGTATGAATACTTGCCTAATGTGAGAAGTAAAAGGGTAAATGCTGGAGCTGTCAATGTCCACTTCATGGTAAAGAATAAAGAGAACAAGAAGGAAAAAAAGAGTGAAATTTTTACCCTTGGAAATTATTGAGAAATTCGCATATATCATATGACGAGGACGAGCCAGATTAGGGGGTTTCAATTCTAAATTTAGTCATGAGTGCTTATTGTTTACATCCACGCACGGATTATTGCATCCTATCAGTTCATAGATAACGCTGTCATCGTTATATAAAGGGATTCATCACTCTTTAGAAGCGATCGATACATCATCACAAGCGACACACAAAACTCAAACCTGCGGCAGTCGTCTTTTCCATATATGGATCATGGTGATGAGATTTATTTTTAGAAACAAATATTTCTACGGGAAGCCTTTAGTTGTATAAAATGGAACAAAAAGCAACAACAAACGGTTGAAAAGTCTACATAATACAACTGCTTGAATAAAAAAAGCGCATTTATTAACTTTTTTCTGGTGAATGATATAGTGAGGTACTCAATTATTGAAGCCTAATATACCTATTTTAGCCTCTGCGAACATCGTCATCTCTTTCACCACTGGTCTCAATGACGTTGAATGGTACAATCGGTCAGATTTGGCCGATTTAATTGTTGCTCACAATATAATGATTCCAATCTACCGAAACCAGTTATAGATATCCACAATTCTGCCGTCAAATCGAAAAAAAAATCAGAATCTCACCTTTCTGCCCAATCTTTGCACTTCTCTTTTCGAGGATTTTTTTCTTTTACCATATAGAAGCAAAAACTTCGCTGGAATTGCTTTCCAACAATGAAAATGCAATGGTCGGATAAAATATTCATAGACAAGATATATTTGAGTAGGTTCTCTCTCTATGAAGATGCAATGAGCAGAATATACTAGTTCGTAAAATCCTTTGAGTGATCTCATGAGGCTGATAACATTGATATGATTGACTTGATATCTGTAAATTTGCAGTGGCCATGTTTCCAAATAGTGGTTATCCCAGATGCCCAAGAATGACCCTTCGCAAGGGTTTTCTGGGCATCTCACATCACTGCCACATAGTCACTTGAAGCTCGGACTCTGATAAAGATACTTGTAACATTGGTGAACTGGAATCTCTGCAAAACTACATCATACAGTAGTCTATCAGTCATTGATCCATCAAACAAAGAAAAAAAAAAATTAGTCCGAGAACGAAGTTCCCGTTACCGGTATAGAAAGTTTATTCATTGTATGATTGATTTTAACATTCACGATACTATTTTGGAGACCAAACCCATCATATGCAAATTTGCATCGATTACATTCTATCCAGCCAGACTGCGCTCATTCATGCCAAGGCATTCTCCAGTAATCCTTGTCCAAAATCAAGCACCATAATCCGTTTATCCTGCCCAGCACTAAAAATCCAATTTTTTTTAGATCCAACAGAGAAATTAAAAACCGAGTACCGAGAAAGGGCGTATGTATGGATCATGTACCTTACGATGCGGGTTCGACTCAGCAATACGTTAAATATCCAACTTGTATGTCCACTTTGGAAACTCAACAAACAAGCCCCCGTTTTGGCATCCCATACACGTAGAGTGCGGTCATAACTTCCACTGATAATCTTATCCTATAGAAAAAATAAGTCAAAAATTGGTTCCAGTTTTGCACAATGCTTGCCAACTCCGAAGTGACACTAAAAAGCTGGCTTTTTCCTCTTGCTTTACCTCGAAGCAATCAACAGTACGAATCAAATCGGCGTGACCTGTTAACGTGGCTAAACACTGTCCTGTATTGGCATCCCATATTTTCAACTTGCTGTCCTGACCACCGCTGTAGATTCGGTTGCCATGGAACCGTACACACGCTAACCCGCGGGTGTGGCCTTCGAACGTTCGTAAACATTGACCGGTTTCGATATCCCAGAGCTTGAGGGTGGTGTCGCCGGAAGCAGAGACAATCTGGTTTCCTTGAGCTTCCAGCGCATTCACAGGCCCAGTGTGGCCTACCAACCGCTGGGTCTCGATGCCTTGCTTGTTCCACACACGGATAATGCCGTCCCGTGACGAGCTGATTATGCGGTCATGGATGATGCAAATATCCAACACGCCCCCATTATGACCTTGCAGTCGCAATCCAGGAAGAAGATCTGGAAGCGACCACACCAAACACGTTGCATCCGATGAACCCGATACCATGAACGTGCGATCCTCCGATACCCGTAAACACAGTACACTGCCCTGATGATGCGTGCGTGTCAGCAAGCATTCACCTTGTTTGCCCATTGATAGATCCCACATCTTGATGGATCGGTCCCGACTGCCGCTCACAATTAGGTTCGGTCCTACCCACACCAAACAGTAGATGCTGTTGTCGTGTCCTGTCAAGTATCGCGTGCTAGCATTGCCTTTCCGCCATCGTCGTTTGAGTTCATTGTAATTGCGGTACAAGCCAAAATAATAGGCCGGGTCGACCCCTGCTGTGGTCGATGGGGTGTGAAAGTCTCTGACACACAGCGTGCGCCACAAGTGATTGTTGGTCCGTAAGCAAAGGGTATAATAGCGATGGCAAGTTCGTGATAAATTCAAGATGCTGACAAAGTCCAGATGCCATAAAATCCGAATGATTAATTCGGGCGGCAACCGCTGCAATTGATCTAGCATAGAGTTCCCAGCCATCAATCTCCCTTGTTTTTCCTTTATGATCTGATTGCTTTCCATTTACAGCTACGTATTGCCCTTTCTCGTGCATTTACCTGTGGTGGCGCCTGTGACATAACGAGGCTTATCTCCGTTGGATAAGGTGGAATCGGAGGGTCTTCGCCTGAATCGCATGGATTTCAGCGTAGATAAGCGGCGTTGCGGTTTCGGTGTACAGGGGGATGATTGGCGGGGATTCAAGCATTTCGTTGCTGGGAGACCATCCTTCTGGAGAATAATTTCTACATAGGTTGGACTGGGTGCCACCGCGGCTAACCTTGCTGGTGGAATCAGCGCCGACGCGGACGTGGACGCGGACGATTTAGGGGATTTGTTGGAGAAAGGAAGGAAGGAGAGTAGCTTGGAAGAGGTAATCAAGGTCATAAATAAGAAAAAAAAAAGTAGAAGAAGGTACTAATGAAAGAAAGGAAAGCGAGTGTGGAAATAGCGAATATCAAAAATAACCAAACAGTTGCACACAAATGGAAATACACCCATTTTATCACCAGAAACGCATTTTCAGGAACGTAGTATTCCCTTGGACCGACGGTGAGATGGGAAACCGCTAAATTTCCGAGAAAGAAAAACGAGCCTGATTTGGCGTGTGTGCGCTTATTCCCTGGCGTTTTTTTTTTTTTTTTTTTTGAGTTCTGACTTTGGGTGGAAAAAAAGGAAATCACGTCCCATCCCCCTCTTTTTCTCCGCTTATGCAGACTCGATGCATGTTGTATGCAATTGTAATCAACGTAATCAACAAAATAAAAGTGTCGTGAACAAACGGGTTCAGTCGTTATCTTGGCTGTATTAATCACTCCGCACCTTTGGGTAGGAGATAGACTAATCAAAGGCAGAATTCAGAATAGCAGTAACATGGAAGGGTGGGAATGAATTTCCACCAAATCTTGCGAAGAATGGAGTGACGGGACCACCGCTTGTTTTTTCGTTTCGTCCGCGCATGCTCAGTGGGGCCCATCCGTTTTTGGAATCGGTGTGTGACCTCTCTTTTTTTTTTGTCCGAACGGGTGCACCATGGACCGATTGGATCTTTTCCTTCGTGCGCCTTCCCATTTTTCCATTATGCGCTCCACCGGTGACGACGAACCTAGTAACGGTAGTCACCTCCCTGGAGCAGTGAAATCCTTATCGGACCGGTGTCAAGTCATCCTCAAGGACTGTGAGACACGTCCTATTCAGGGCCTATATCGTTATACGCAATCATTAACCGCCGAAGCGCATTTTCTGCAAGGTGTATGTGGGCTCAAACCACGGTTTCCCTGGAGTTGTGACTGACGGTGTCGCTGATAGTTACTGGAAGCTCCTGAGACCATCAAAGAGAAACATATACAGAGTTCGAACCTCAGTTACCTGGAAGCCGTCCACGATGTGCTGACGAGCGTCGATCATGTGGACGAAATGATGCGTCTTGTTCCTGTCCCATCAGCCACCACGGAATGGATGCCCAAAAAGGACATGATGCGTACTGAAAGCATCAAACTTGACCTGGTAGCTGAACAAGAGCTGGTGTGGATTCGAGTCATTGCACGGAATGCCAAAGGACTGCGCCACGATATGGCAGGATTGGAACTGGAAGACGAAGACGACGATGAAGAGAGCAGCGACTCGGAGGGCGAATTTTACAGTTCAACGGCGCATGGAGACGCCTTTGCTGACTTGCCCATATTCAAAAAAGCCGCCAAGTACCTTCGCAGTGCTGAAGCGCACCATGTCCATTATCGAAAACCGATTGTCGTGTTTGCTTTCATGCGTATTCGACCGAATGAGGATGTGTTTGTTCAGCGATTGATGGACCGACTGACAGAGATGGGCATTGTCGTTCACTTGCAGGAACCGGGCGGTCCGACGGTGCGTGAGACGTATGCGCCTTATTTACCACAACAACGGCAATCCCTGACTACCGCTACTCTGAACGTGGATGTGAGCACTGCTTTGGCCATCACGTCCGAGATGACTCACCACCCTTGTCGGCCGGACCAAGTGGATGGTGAAGCATTGCAACTGCAAGCGAACCGAGAAGCGGAAGCGCCCGTGTTACCTGTATTGAAAGACATGCTTACTGACAAACGGTTAGTGATGGTGAGAAGCGCGTTTGAACGGCTTGAAAGTATTGTCTCGGTGGTGGGGGGCGATCGGGAAAAGAGACGATTTCGGTACCTGTTTCAAGAGGAGTTAGGTGAATCCATACCGTTTGATCATGTGTTGTGGACAAATTTCCCATCCATGACGATCCAAGTGATACCCGACCGCGTCTCGGAGCGATACCGCCGGTTACTTGAACCTCCAAAGCGCCGTAACAAGCTGAATAATGGGAGAAAAATTCGTACGCGGTTTTCCGAATTTCATGCCATGATTTTTGGCAGCGGGGATGCGTATCAAATGACGACCGTAACTGCGATTCAATGGATGGCCACGGCACTCGCCGATGCCGGTATCACCGGTGTCTCCATCCTTGTGCACGAACCTCGTTCCTTGTCCGAACAAAAGATGCATGTCATTCAATAGTTTTCTTGTGTGTAGACTTGTAGGTCGTGTACAATCGTTTTTGTTTATCCTTATCCAATAGAGCCGAATAGATAAGCAGAAAAGGTTTAGAATGTTGATCGAATTAATATATTGTACAAGACTTGTGGTTATACAAATTTCCCCATGACCGGACCATTGCTCGCTCATCATCAGTGATTGGATCATCCAACGATCTTTTGCAGAACGCACGGAATGGAGAATGTGGCTGTGGCAACCCACTATATAGCTTTTATTATCATCATCAGCAAGCATACACTGTCTCTTATTAGGAAAATCATATACCATATATATAAAAAGGAAACAGACAGAAATACAGTAAACACAATGGAAAGCTCAAATAATGGAAAGAGCTCAGGGACAAGTTGGCAAGGCAAAGCTCGCCGGGTATAATATGACAAAATAGGAAAAAATATGTACTGGAAGATATGCACAGAGAAAAAACCAAAGGAAAATCAGGGAGAAATGACAGAAGGTTAAAATGGCGATTCATCGTCGGACGGTAGTAGTTCGATATCGTCCATGGGATACAGGTCGTCATTGAGTGGATTTTCCGAGGACACGCTCGTTTCCAGCGTTGACGGTAACCACAGTGACCACTGTGAAGGATGTTTTCCGTTACGGGGACAAGCCGCCTTTAAATGCATAGAAACAAATTAACATTGAGTCTTTTTGAAATATATACAATGAGCTGACGACTTACAGCATGGGATGGCATCCATTGTCCACACAATTCACAAGTAGCGGGTAATACAACGGGATGGAGCATGATGTGATTGATTGTTTTGGAATGGGATGAGACAAGCGAAAAGGGGTATGCTTTTATACATTTTAACTTTTTTTTTTTTTTGGCTTATTGGGTGTGTCAATTTTTTCATCCAGTAAAAAGAAGACCCAAAACAAAGGTACAAAACAAACAAAGTCGAAGACGGCCTTCTTCTTTCTCTGCTCATGTGGCCTTTTTGTGTAAAAAAATATAAAAAAAAAAATTCACGAGCGGATGATGCAGGACAATTCAATGAGTTACAAGACAATATAATAGACATCAGCTGAGCCTGTCGCGTGGCCTGGTATTTGTTTTATGGCTCACGTTTCGTGGGGTCAATGACGGTCGGCTCGGATGATAAGCTCCATTTGCCCAGCTATTTGCTGGCCTTGTTGCAAACCAAAAAGACTGATCTTTAACCCGTGGTCTGTCATGGTAAACCGCCGTGGATGCCAGGAACTCTTGAGGTTACACTAGACTGTAAACAAACAACTCCCCCCCCCCGCTCCCCCGTTCCCCCACGCAAAAATGATGATGCTTAATTATTGTTTATTAGAAACAAAAAAGTGCCGGAGATGATAAGGGTTCTCTTGCATTGATCGTCAAAATGGTTAAATGAATGCATACCACCTCATAAATGTTGACTGTTACAAGGTCTTACGGCACTTTTGTATCACGGCTATGATTTCATCGGTTTTTTGATAAGCTGATTGATCTTTTTACTACATTCACTTTTTGGCATGGAAGCCCACCATGTAGGATACAGTCATTGGAAACTATCATGTTTGATTTATCATATTGTACAAGAAAAAAGAAAACATGTCAGTAAGTGAAAAAAAGATGATCGGACAAGTGATGATAAACTATGGTTGCGTCAAGGCAACGTTTTTGCGTAATATGGTAAATAAACTATTGGGTTTCTTGGGGAACATTACTGCTTTTCACACAAGTTTCCCACTTTTGACGTGCAGGCAATATGATATATCACTTACAATACATAGCCAGCATCATATGGAAGTGCCACTATTGTGTTTCTGACATCAGGACCATTGATGTTTAGGACTGCATTTCAAGGAGTCAGGAATATAAAAAGAACCGTCCCAATTATGATGACTGAAGCACAAACATAATGTATCATCGCACATATCACCACTAGTCCATGTAACATGCAGAAAGACCTGTCCAAAGTGGGCGAAGCAAAATGGACTTTGAACTCTATTCAAGTGCTTCATCGCAAGAAAAGCGTTTCATCCACAGAATATCTTGCACTAAAATGAAACGCGTGCTAATGTCTCAACAAGTAGATAGATCTGTCACCCTTTTTTTTTTTTGCTCTTACTGGGTTATATTGGATTCTTTATTATTTTTCTTTGCTAGCTTGTACGTTTAAATTGTACCACCAAGTTCATTAATTTCAAGTTAGACATCTTACACACAACTTGCTGCAAACCCGATCGGATATTGTTACGGATATAATTCATCTTTCAAGGAACGTTTGGCGGCGCCAGCCCATTGATAACTGCTGTCAAATCATAATACTGCATTATACATTGAATATAAATATAATAATACTACCTTTTGCCTTTTGACATTTGTGCTGCGACATGTTAGTGTACTGCTCAGTATTCCAAGTCGGGGTCACAAATTCGTGAACTTGGTCACAGATGGTCACAAATGCCGAAAAGCATATTGAATAAATGTTTTCTTTATCAACAGATATAACGATCCATCACCGACTATAAGCAGGTATAGATCAGAACTAATGACTCATGTCTTTATTATCCCACCTCCCCTTTTCTTTTGTTCTTACTAAATGTCGTCTCCATATAATTTATATCTTTCTGATTACGATCAATTATTGTTACTTCTTCACCAAACACTTCATTAGAGTTCAGAGGATATCTGGAATATCTTATAGCAGACGCAGTTTGCACGGATTTCAAGTTGCATAATGCAGTTGCTGTTTTGCTTTAATGCTTCGCTTGCTTATGTAGCTTTTCCCGGCAAATTTATTGCCTCATTCTCTACGTTTGAAGAGATTTATGTAATGGAACAAACCCGGCTTACCGACCGTTGCATAACTCTTTATGCAAGCCAAGATTGTGAGTATTGCCCATAACGGTGACTGTGTACATATACCGCGTGTCAAGCTCATTGGCTTCTTTATTCAGCTTACTGTGCCACGAGATAAAAGGCAGCTTCCTCCACCGGGCCTCCAACATGACCATTAATTGTCGGTCTCACGATACCACCAACACAGCAGTATCTTGCACTAAGCCTAACTCTTTATATAAGCAACCTATGACAATCTCGCAAATTGCTCATCACAGATCAGCGCAATTGCATGCGTGAATTAGAAGTGTAAATTTCAACCGACTGGTGGCGAAAGATGTATATTGAAGTAAGTTTAAACGGTCAAGCATGCTAGACCATGAAAGGCAAATCCTTCTCAATGTCCACTTTTCTGAAAAAGAAAACCCGTCTCTCTCAAACGACGCTATACTTCAAGCGGTCCAAACAGCCCAGGATGAAGAGTGAAGAGCCTGAGCCTGAGCCTGAGCCTGAGCCTGAGCCTGAAACTGAAATTGAGTATTTCGTCATCTTCGGATTGTGGTGGTCAACTTTGACAAAGGAGGATTCTTGTAGGGTTCTTCGAAAGATGTGAGCCGGAATTTGTAAACACAATGCGGAGCAAAACAGACTACCTTGGACTTTTTTTTGAGAATCCAATAAAATATCATGATCCCGGATCTTTTTTACCCTCTTTGCTGACTACGTGACCCAGGTATACTACACTGGTCTGGCCGAAGACGCACTTCTTTTGCTTGAGTCCTAGGTTATATTCGCAGCACTTTTGGAAAACCATTTCCATATGCCTCACATGTTCGGCCATATCTCTAGAGAAAACAATAATGTTATTAATAAATACACATACAAATTTACCGACGTACGGCTGTAAGATGGTAGCCATGGTCCCCTGGAACGTGGCTGGCGCGCTCGTCAAACCGAATGGCATGACTAGAAACTCGAAGGTTCCGCATTTGTTGTGAAACCGGTTTTGGCAATTGAGTCCTCGGCCATTGGTATCTGCCAAAAGCCAGATGCGGCATCTAGGGTGCTAAAATATTGAGAGCCGGCGACGGAATCGATCAAATCATCAATGTGAGGTAGTGGAAAAGTATCCTTAATGGTCATTTTGTTGAGTTTCCGATAACCGTCGCAAATCCGTAGCTCTCCATTCTTTTTGGCTACAAAAAGTATCGGCGCGGTCCATTGGTCATTGGAAGGACGTATCAAGCCTTGCTTCAACATATCGTCGAGAGCCTCTCTCAGGTACTGGTCTTCCTTCCAACTCATTCGGTATAACTTGGACACTATGGGTGTTTCAGAGGTTGTCCGTATTCGATGTTCAATCCTTTGACTTTTCCCAATCCGGCCTGTTCCACAAAGCTTTCATCTTCTCCTTCATAGAGTCAACTTAAGGAGGCAGCATATACTTGGGCGGCGCGGTAGTTCTTGATTTCTTCGTTTGACAGGGATTTTCCGTTTATCGTAATTTCACCGATGCTAGTGGGTAAGACTAACTTGCGAGCAGCAGGGTATATTACCGCGTTATGGTTTGCGAACCAGGTCATTCCCAGGACCACCAAGTCTGCAATTCTGTTTTGAATGACAAAATGATCGGACCTCTTTCTTCCCTGTATTCTGATCGGCACATCCTCGTAGACACCAATGGGTTCGGATAGACTTCCATCCAGTAACTCGATCGATAACTTGTCCGAATTGATGGGCAGTCCTAGTTTTTCTTTGCTGTGCGTGCGTGCGGTGCCTGCTGTGCGGTGTTGCTGCTATCTGTGCTTACAATAAAACGAAACTTTGCGAAATAAAATTGCTATGGCAATGCTAGTTTGTACGAAACGTGGGAGTATATTCTTACGCTATAACAAGCCGTACACCCGCTGTGCAATGGATGCGCCTGCCACGAGAGGCCGCCCTCTTACATTGAGCGACTTTCGTCAGACAAAAAGCCTAACGCATACACGGCATAACCTGGGCGAGAACTCTGACGGACTTTGGTATATTAATGACAACCTTATGGCAATACCATGCAACGTGAGTTGTTTCTGAACACGCGCAAAGCAGCACTGATTGACCCCCTCAGTTCCATTCCGCCCAGGCTATGATAGATCTAGAAAGATGTGTGGGTATGTTGGGTATTTAAAAATATGAGTTAGTAAGCTTTTTGATTGATTCAAATTTCGTTAAGATATTTACCTTTGTTATTTGAGTTTTCAATAGCCATTGATCGTGTGACATGCTTTGGATTATATGACATTGGAAAATTTTGAATTAGTATACGTTCATTACATCATGGCAAAGGAAAAGAAATTGGACTTGCCTTTGAACCAAATGGTGTCCCGTAAAAAAAAAGATGAATACGGAACACAGGTAAGCTTCTTCTTCGATGCGGAAAATAAAATTGCTTCCAGGACCATTAAGCGATGAATCGGTGGTGTCAGCTTGAGCAGGCAAGAAATATTGACGTGGCCAGAAGTGACGGTAATTTTGAGCTGGATTCCAGATATCGAGAGTTTCCCCGAATGAAAAGAAAGAAAAAGAAAAAAAGTACATGATGATAAAAAAAAAAAAAACCAATGGTCCCGTCAGTAAAAACCTCCTAAAAAACCCTATGGGAAAAAAGATGAAAAGACTGCGAAAAGAATATGTACATGAAATATAAAATACAACATACAATAATCGGGAAGACATCTCGAATACCATATCATGAGAAGCAATCCAATGGAGAGGAACATGAAGAGGACGCGTAAGCGTTTTTCGATGAAAAAGAGAGTTACACCACCGACGATGGCCTTTGACCTCAACCGGTTTCGCCAGATGGATGGATGGATGGCGAGAGTTGTACTATCCAGAACTTGTCAGGCGAAAAGAAAACGGAGAACACCGGAAGCTAAAAGAAGGATGGAAAAAAAAGCGAGGTAAGTCTATTTTGCCGGAGCAAAATCGATGGTAGACCACTCGACGCTTACCTTTTTGAGGATGGTAGTCGATTTAAATACACGGGATAAGAATGGTCTGGATGATGGATGCGGATGGGATCTTGGTACAATGATAGTGAGGATTTATCAAGCAAACAGAAAGAGAGAGAGAAAAATCAAAAGGAAAAAGATAAAATTGAAGACAAAAATATATGATTTCCCATGGATCAAACAATAGTCACCCTACTGATGCATGAATTCATAGATCGAAGCACGTCTGGTTATGTATTATTCGATTCATTGAAAATTGAAAGAGAATGAAAGGTATAAATGACAGTATAACTGACAGAAAACCCTAATTAAATGATGCTACAGAAGAACGCCAGCCGTATCATCAACCACCTTTCTTCAAAAAGAGCTCTACTCATATTTTTATTCGAAAGACGGCGATGCTCTGTTTGACCACAACTGGCACAACGGCATCTTGCTGCTGATTGTTTCGCCTATTATTGTGAAAGTGCGTAGCGAGACATGGTTGAAGATAAAAAAAAGGTTTAACAGGTCCTGATAACTTAGTGTAGATATGTGATTTACAAATCGCTAATTTCCCAAAGATTTTAATTATGTGGATTCCGTTGAATGTATAGGCGCCACTGCTTCACCAAAATGAAACTGGAAGAACTCTTCAATCTCATTGGCTTAGTTTTTGATGACGTTTTAGCACTGCGCTGGGTTTTTTGTGTGGACACCATTTTGGAAAAAAAATATCCAGTTGAAAAAACCGCAGAGCACCGCACTTGGAACGTTCAACCTAAAATCAAACAGCAATGAGACCGCTTATCAAGGGTGGCATTTGGAAGAATACAGAGGATGAAATCCTCAAAGCCGCTGTCAGTAAATACGGAAAAAATCAGTGGGCTCGTATTTCTTCCTTGCTCGTCAGAAAGTCGCCCAAACAGTGTAAAGCACGATGGTACGAGTGGCTCGATCCTAGTATTAAAAAGGTAAGCAATAAAACGCAGGGTCTCGCCTCATAACAAACTCATAATTTCAATGAATAGACGGAATGGTCCAAAGAAGAAGACGAAAAGCTACTCCATCTCGCCAAACTGATGCCGACTCAATGGCGTACAATTGCTCCCATTGTCGGACGTACGTCGGCACAGTGTCTTGAACGATACCAGCGACTTTTGGATGAAGCCGAAGCACGGGAAGCTGGAGGCGATCTTGGCTTGACAGGCTCCATTGGACACGAAAGTGGTCCCAGTGCGGACGATGTGCGAAAATTGCGACCGGGTGAAGTGGATCCCGAACCTGAAAGCAAACCTGCACGACCTGATCCTGTCGACATGGACGAAGACGAAAAGGAAATGTTATCAGAAGCCCGTGCCAGATTGGCTAATACACAGGGTAAAAAGGCCAAGCGAAAGGCAAGAGAGCGACAACTTGAAGAAGCTCGTCGTCTTACGTCACTACAAAAGCGTCGTGAACTCAAAGCGGCCGGTATCAAGTAAGTAGGAAAAAAGTGACCATGTCGGCTGCGTCCATCCAAATGAAACGATCCCACTCATTCAGTTGCATTTGTTAATAGTTTCCGTATCAAGAAGAAGAAGAATGACATGGATTACAACGCTGATATACCTTTTGAAAAGAAAGTGCCGCTTGGTTTTTACGATGTGACAGTGGAGAAGAACCGTACAGTAGATCCCGGCAAATTGACCAACGTGCATCTGTCCAAATTAAATCGACGACGTGCAGACATCGAAGAGGAGAAGCAACGAGAAAAGAAGCGAAAGAATCGAGACAATGCCGGTGCTCAAGCGCAAGGCAATCAAGGTCGATTTGTGCCGGCCAAGGATGCGAAACTGATTAAAATGCAGGAACAAGAACAGATTGCCAAACGACGTAAACTGGTTCTTCCTGCACCGCAAGTAGGCGAGTCGGAACTGGAGGAAATCGTGAAATCGGGATTTGCAGGGGAATCAGCCAAATCGCTCGTCCAAGATGAAGAAGGAGCTACTCAAGGTCTCATTAGTGAATACTCTGTCACACCAGCCACGTTATCCTCGGTTCGCACCCCTCGCGCTCCTCCACAACGTAAGTCACGCATATGAGAATTATGAGAATGTAGTATTGCAGTTTATTCGTTACTAAACATGTGCTTTAAATACAGAGGATACGATCATGATGGAAGCACGTAACCTGCGTGCGCTGACAAGTTCGCAGACTCCACTGTTGGGTGACGAGAATCTGTCCCTTCATGAAGGTACTGGTTTTGCTGGTTCCACGCCAATGGCAATGCAGTTACGAACACCTAATCCTATGGCGACGCCTGTGCGAGGTGAATCCGAAGGCGCGTTAACAGAAACACCCAGTACACCCTTCAAAACGCCTCTGCGTGATCATTTCAAGATCAATGAACAGGGACAAATGGTCGGTGAAACGCCACGAGAAGAACGTATGATGCAAGCACAAAAGAAACGTCAGCTGTTGCAAGGCTTGTCTAGTTTACCGAAACCTCGCAATGAATGGGAAATTCGATTACCCGACTTGGAGGAAGACAAGCCAGCAGAAGAAAAGAAGCGAAAGGAAGCCATTCAAGATATGAGTGATATCGAAAAAGAAAACAAAGAGAGAGCCGAAAGAGAAGGTAGGAAACAGAAGCCTATCAATTTGTAATCTATAATGGCTAACGCCGTCCTTTTTTTTTTTCACAGAGCAAGAACAGCAAGCACGTCGTTCACTAGCGGTGCAGAGAGGATTACCACGACCTGCGACCTTGCCTTCATCCAAAGTCACGACTGACGACGAAATCGAGCGATTAATAGAGGAAGAGTTTATGCGACTTCTCAAACACGATGCCATCAAATATCCCGTTGCCGGCGGTAAGATCGCTCCCGGGGCCACTGACCTGGGCGATCTGGCTGATTTGGAAGACGAGTTTGATTCTAAAGCGCTCGAAGATGCTCGGCAAGAGATGGATAAGGAAGTGGCGAGCTTATTAAACCTTTCAGAAGAAGAGTCTGTCAAGGACGCTGTGTGGAAATGGGTCTCTTCTCAAAAGGAGTTTGAACCTTTCTGGACCAAGGAGCATGAAGAAATTCTCTTCTCAGCCAAATTCAATCAGTTCATGCGGTTGGAAGATATGCCGGATGAAAAGGACAAAATCAATGGTTTGGAAAAGATGATTGAGGTAAATTACTGAAAACCAACTGCTTTTGATAAATTGTCATGATGATTTCATCAACTCAATATCGGTTCTTGGCTTTTTATAGTCTAACCGCCAGACCATGATTCGCGACGCTACACGAGCTGGCAAACTGGAAAAGAAAATGGATGTCCGATTAGGTGGTTACATGGCACGATCACAGGCGTTGTCCAAGCAGATCAGCGATGCTTTTGATGAATTCGAAGCGGCCAAGATCGAATACGAGACGTATCTGAATCTGCAAATTGCCGAGAAAGCCGCCATTCCTCGTCGTGTGGGTGCACTGGAAGAAGAAGTAAACAAACTGGCGCGACGAGAACGTGAATTACAGCAAAAGTACAAAGATTTGAACGATGAAAAGAATGATTATTTATCTGTCATTGTTTAAGGAAAAAGAATTTATCAGTCATCCAAAGAAAATAAAACACATCCAATCAATTACTTCCATTCCAAAAAATCATGGACCTGCGTGAAATAAAAACAGAGATCAGTTGCGGAAGATCAAAAAATATTCATGACTCCACTGATTGCTCTTTTTGGACATGATCGGATTTGGCAGACTGAAAGTGTGAGCGTGTGTAAAAAGGCAGAGTACCTCTTTGTAACTTCTTACTTAACCTTGTGACTTGAAAAATAAGTGCAGAAGTCAGCGGATAAAATCGTTAAAACGACAAAAGGGAAATCCATCCGATACTCCCAACTTCTTTATTTTATTCTTTGGTCTCTTTCTCTCGCTTCCGCACCCACCCCCCTTTTTAACTTTTCCTCTCGTACAAAGGTCATGACAGTTCGCATGCGTCATTCGTCATTTCCTTTAGAAATATGGCTTCATATTGTCGACTATTGTCTTGCCTGGGAACTCGAGGAGTCACAAATATTACTTCAACAAAACAGTACCAGTAGTATCTATGCGCTGCTGTTAACCAACTACACATTCTATTGCTATCTGATCCAACATCCCCTATTCCATCGACTTCGGCTGTGGCGCATGCTGGGCCGGATTCCACATCAGTACGAACCTGTATGCATTGCCGTTGCGACACCCACCGATTGGACTCTACTGAATCTGGAACTGCGGAGCGAACGAGTGTATGAAAACGAAGAAGAGACGTTTCTCATGTTGCAGGAAGTGGAACATTATCAGCGACGACGATCTCGGCGACGAGCCGATACACTGAGCAAGGCGGACAAGGACGTGGTTAGTCCGACGTGGATCCGGCGGGACATGGCTATTTACGGCGCGCAGAATAAAGTGATCCCGCTTTTCTGTTTCCATTCTTGTGTGCAAGATTTGTGTCGATTTGCTGTTGTGAATCGCATGTCCATCTGGCTGCTAAAGCAATCGGCCCGGTTTTTCAGGGGTGACAACATTAAAATGCTCACCAACCAGAACCTTTTTCGCTGCGTTCTTGAAAGTCAACGTTATGCATTGATGGTGTGGGATCGTCCCAACGACGAAAAGCGTCGCTTTACCGAGGATGTTCTTCGTCACAACGTTGAACTGTTTGGAAACATGTCCACGCCCATGCTCTTTATCATCTAAATCCAATTTTCTCTTTCTCCATTAATATCCAAACCACCACTTATCCTCCTTCTCCGTCCTGTATGCACTGTTTTTCTTTCTTGTTATATCTTTTGCTTTACTTTCTTCTTTCTGTTCTCTTATTTGTAAATTAATTTGCTCCGTCCCTTTTATTTTCTTTTTTAAGTTGTTAGTTTGGTTTGTGTAGGAACATCGTACCGCAGCAATCACCTGTATCGTACATGCAATCATTATGGGAGCTGATTCGGAATAAATCAATCCTTCTCTTTCTATTTTGGTGGGGTACCTGATATATACTCACTGTCACTTTTATGTAGATATACACACCAATTTTTGCGATCTTGCGGTTTTTGATGGTTGATCTCCACCTATTTTAACATTGGGAATTTTTTTTATCATTTGCTGTTTTTTCAAGTCTTTTTGAAACTATTATTGGAAATCAGTTTTTTCCACTCGGTGTCCTTGGCTCATAACCGGACAGTCGATGCCAGATATTGTCTGTCTTTGTGGGCGCATATTTTTATTTACAGTGATGCAGAGGAGCTAAAAATAACGAAGGATTACTGCATGAATGTGATCCGTAGTGATATTATGTTTCATGGTAAATTAGTCTAGTATTTTATACCGGGCATCTTTTCGTACTTTTGTTTTAGGGTAAGGCACAGTTGGCGACTCTCCTGTTCGAGAAGGGAAAAAGCGTGATCAACATTCATCAGCCGTTCAATCTTCTCAACCATCTTTTGCCGCTCCATGTCTATACGACTTTGTGTTTCTTTGATCCTAAGAGAAAAAGAAAATCTTAGTATCACAAATCATGGGCACCGCATTTCCATGACGACTTACTCCACTTGCAGTTGGCTTTCACGTTGTTGGCTTTCAATGACTTGCGCTGCGGCTTGACTTCGCATCTGCTTGATACGTTGCTCTGCTGCATCCATATCCTCGTTGTACCGGATGTTTTCTTGCCGCGCCTTTTCTCTTGTTTCTTCCAGAACCGCAGATCGTTTGGTCAACTTCTCTTTGAGCATCACAATGTTCATTTGCGTTTCTGACACTTGCTCTTCCACGTGATGTGCTTCTTCTTGTAACCGTTGCATTTTGGTCGTGTCTTCAATGATCCATTCTTTGTACCGTTCACTGAGCACTTGCATGTGTTTCTAGAAACAAAATATACAAGTTCAATATCCCATGGTTCACCGCCAGTTGCACAGAACGAGCTTACAAGTGCATCGTTTAGCATATGGATGGAACTACTGTCTTTGATTTTCAATGCATCCGCTGTGAACGATAATGTAAAGTCACAACCGTTGGCGTTGCGAGCATCGGCAGGAACAAGCCCTGTTCGATACGCCAGTTGATTGTATTCGGATACTATGTGATCCACCTACAGAGGAATGACATTCCATCTCAATATGTGATCTTTAAATAAGCGCAAAACAAAAAGAGTCTCGTCTTACCATGCTCCTTTCTTTCTCCAGTGACATCTCTTTCTCCCACTGAGTCTTCCGCAGCTCCTGTATCCGCGCTTGCAGATTTGTATAGTGTTTTTCGAACTCCTCATGTTGTGCCTCCAATTGATCAAATTCTTCCTCGCTGACATTTTGACGCTGGACTTCTTGTTTTAATCGTTCAACGTCGGCTTGCGTAGCGTACAGTATCTGTTCTATGTTGATGATGATGATAATAATGTTGATGCTGGTTAGATACATTGTTATCTCGTTTCATGGGAATTGTCGTATTGTACCTAATGCTTCGGACTCTTTGTGTACACGTGCATTCAGATCACTGTACTTTTTAATTCTTTGTTCCTTGTTTTCGCAGTAGACTTCAAATTTCTTCATGTCGCTTTCCAATTCTTCTCGTCGCTTCTTGAGTACTGCAAGAGGAGACTAGGCCCAAAAAAAGTTATTTTCATCGTTTATCAAGGTGGATGCTTATCACTTACACCTCGTTTTTCCACATGTTGTAAAGTTTGCTGGAGTTTTTGGTTGGCTTCTCTTAGTCTTTCTGCATGCTCCTTGTTCTCCGCCATTCCGGTTTCTGCCCAAGCAAAGATAACAATGTTGTGTTAGGTCCGGATCAACTGATGATATTTCACTGTCGTTTTACCAAAGAAACGCTGCAATTCCTCTCGAATAGGCGAACGATTGTCCACACCCTCCATAAAGGCATGATAACTAGCGACCGTAAAATCGCAAAACAGCTCCTCCATATCATCCAAACCTGTCATGGTACGATCGTCCCGGTCATCACTGCGACCGTCGCTAAAGCCGTGGTTTGTATCGTTCAATTCTTCCGCAATCCGTTCTGTTACCTATAGGACCAGCAGCATCAATATCACTATGTACAAGATAAACGGTTGAATAGATGGTCCGCGACTTACTATGCACGCTTCGCACATCCAGCTTAAAAGGGCAATAATGGTAGGGAGGGTATGGAGAGCCGCAATGGGATACATGGCCTTGATGTTGATTGTTTCCGCCAGCGGATACCTGCGAATAGACGCCACAGATGGTCAGAGGTGCAATTGATGAGTCACCAATAAACTAGGAGACCTTACCTCAGCATTTTCAAGACTTCGGTTAGCTCATCTTCGAACCTTCCTCTGTATGTATAAGTGGGCATGATCCTCACTTGCAAAAACTTGAAGATATTTTGGAATTCTTTGGACGTCAGGTCGCGTAAAGCGCGTTTATCGAGGAAACCGTAACCTGCTTCGGCGAGGTAGTCGGTGATGGTTCGTGTCGCGTTTCGCTGAAATTCAGGGTCCTTGATATTGCGTGGATCATGATGCAGTTTCGCGATGGCCTGCGGTTTACCGTTGTTGTATGCTTTTGCCGTATCACTGACCACAGATAAACGAGGATTCAACGTGCTAATACGCCTGTAATAAACCATTCTTGGTGAGTAAAACGAGGAAATATAACAAGTCCCTCCCCCCTTTCAACTAGGTGTACGCTACCGTGCCGGTAAGGAGGCTGAAGCAATAGAGGGTGCTCGTCGTTCCAGATGAAAACTGGCATCTGAGGCTTGCGAGGATGAAATATTCATGACCATTCTTTGAGGTCCCAAGGCATCGTCTAGCAACGCGGAAGGTTCCACGTCAGTTCCGCCCACGGACAATCGTGCTTGCTTTCTAGATTTCGGACCGGCCATGCGTGATCGTTTACCGGGAAGGACAAAGCCCTGCGAACCGTCGGCGTGGCTCATGGTATATCGACGAGGATTATTGTTATCGTTGGTTGGTGCTGCGCCTCGTGAAGTCCATGGTTCCTGCAGTGAAGACATCATTGGAACGACATTCAAGGTACCGTCTCTTTATACCTTATCAAATATGAGAAAATTCAAGCAAAACCGCGTTGATTGTGACGTTTTTTTTTTTTAATTTTTCAGGTCAAAAAAATTCGCAGACAGCCGGCCCTCATTTTTTCTTGATAGGCCTGCATGATACAATATACAAATATCGATGGACAAGCCATCAACCATCGTGTGCATTGTTCGCCAGTCAGAGCCGCGGACAGCGAACCTTGCACAGTAATGCTCGATCTTCTTGTTTTTCTTTTTTACATATCATTGATAAAGATCGTGTACAGTTTATTAAAAGCGATCGCATCAAGATTTTCGAATATCAGTAAGGCATTGCAATAACATTGCACGCGTTTCTCAACTGTCGTATTAAGCTGTTATTATAAACAATAGCAGGAGATCAAAGAACATGAGACGATGAACACAAAGTAATCTGATAAAGGGCTAGGTAATTCAACGGCTCGATCGAAATAAAGGGAGCGTAACAATCTCATACATCCGATTGGTTCGTCTTTTAATGATCGGTATATTGCTTGCATCTGTTACGCCAAATCTTCGTCGTCAAAGTCGTCTTCAAATGCTTTTTTTTTCAAGTAGGCAAATAGGATCATCAATAAATTACCCTCCTTATGCAGACGAATTCATTCCCTTCATTGAAACTTACTATTGAAAAAGTTTTGGTGCACGGTGACCTTCTCTACTTGCAACCGTTCGGAAGGCTCCGTCGCGCTATCACTCCAGTTGCGTCCCAATGCCCGCATAATTTCTTCTTTCAGTTGTGACTCGCGCGGTGCAAAGGGGCTATTCTGGCTATGTTCCGAGAGCCCAAAAGGTACACCCGCCTCATACTCATCGTCCTCCATCATGGGATCGTCTTCATCCATATCTGAGCAATGCTACCATCAGTTTTTCACGCGCACAACGACTTTTTTATTCACTTCCTTTCTTACCATCCTGAGTTGTCCATTTAGTGTCTTCGTCAGCCATACTAAAGGTCCTTTATTTTTATTTTGGCGTTGGTGACAAGGTGAGGAAAAATTGGCAGGAAGCACGACGTGTCGTCTGTTCGGCGAGCAATGGCGGGATTTGAAATCCGGGCACTGGTGGGATCCGAAAAAAAAATTTGCAGCTTGTTTTTCTGGGTCATTGTGTGAATGACATGTGCTTTGAACACTGACTTGACCATATGAAAACAAATTGGCCCTTGTATTGGTGAGTGAATTTTCACCACGGATGTGGCTATATCAAAAAACAACCGATGGTTTATGATTATATCGCACTTGGATATTAATCCATTTTACACGTCTATCTTCTTGTGCACATGTCACCATATTGAACCGAAAGCGCACGATTTTTTTGCATTTGTTATTGACCAGCGTCTGGGAAAGCACGTTCATTTCCGCTGTCCGACCTTTTGAAAAAAAAAAAAAAGTAAGCTGATCCTCGTTGAAACCTTGACGCCATGACAAAAAAAATTTCGGGAATTCGAAACCCGCCGCCAGCCGGGTTCCACGGAAAGCATCGTATAGTGTCAGTATTAAGAAGAATTGATATCATTCTTTCGGGACCTTTGCGAAAATGAAAAAAGACATGGAATGTCAGAGAGGATGTCCGACGGCTTTTTTTTTTATCTAGCACGATTTGGATGGTGTGGTGCTGGCCTGGGAGTAGGGGTCGACTCGCCTGCCATTTATGGAAAGTCACTGGAGTGACTCATTTGCCAATTTCCCTGTTCAGAGGTGACAGTTGGAAAACGGAAAGGTTCAGTTTGTCCGCATCGAAACCACACGGACGGATACGAAAAGAATCAGGAAGCTGCTTTTCCTTCTTTGCGGATACAAACAAGCCACCCGTGCTGTTTAAACATTTGGACTCGACGTTCAGATCTTCCAAGTGTATTGTTGTTGATTTGTTTGTGGGGATTTGCGGCATTGTCTCTGGAACACCCCACTTGTTCCAAACTGAATCATTAATGCCGCACCATGATTTCCAATCGAACTAGACCATGTTCATACTGTAAAAAATAGATGAAACATGACAGCGACGAAAATCTTCGGGATCCTGAGGAGCTGGCCGTAAATGGGCATCGGCTCATGTCGCAAGCCCAGGCAAACCAGAAAACACTCTCCATGTCTTTACTGTAAGTGCTCTGTTGCCTACAACTTTTTTTTTTTTTTTTTTTTTTGGCCTTTGAGCAAAAGAGAAGCCACCGTATACAGGATGTGTCATCTACAGAATGGAAGTAATGCGCTGTATTTAGCCATATGATTATCTATCATTGTAACACAAGAGATCTTACCCGAATCTGATGCGGTCATTCAACCCTGTTTGTCATCGAATATTTTCCCTTGAACAATAAACGTATTAGGCTCGCGACGGTATGATTGATTAGAGATAACGGTCGTGTGCTCTGGGATGGGAATAATATGGTTGGCATCACTAATCAAAAGCCCAAATCCGATTTTTCATATCGATAAAACGCAAAAAGGAGGCGAAAATGAACGACCATGGAGGCTTCGGAACAAAAACCTTAATTAGGACGTCAACGGTTCTTCTTTTGGTGCGGAGCGGATTTGGAAAACCAAAAAAAAAAAAAAAATTCTGTGGAAAAAAAAATCCCACAAAATCCCCTTCATTTGCTGTTCTTTTGCATTCACGCTCTTTTATTTTTGGTGCTCTTCTTTTTTGGTCCGCTTCTGATCACTCCAAAGTAGATAATGCTTTCCACCATCGCTCGCTTCTCCGTCAAGCCTAGCCGCATGGCTTCGCGCGCTCTTGTCTCCACCTGGAGCAACGTTCCTGAAGGTAAAAGAGACCCTGCCGTCCAAACAACCCTGTTCTGTGCCATGTAGCTAATCTAATATCAAATATAAAGGTCCTCCTGATGCTATTTTGGGTGTTACTGAGGCTTTCAAGAAGGACAGCAGCCCCAAGAAGATGAACCTTGGTGTGGGTGCCTACCGTGATGACAATGGCAAGCCTTACGTCTTGTCTTGTGTCAAGAAGGCCGAAAAGATCTTGTTGGACAAGAGCCTCGACAAGGAGTATGCTGGTATTACTGGTGTCCCCGAATTCAACAAATTGGCCGGTGCCCTTGCTTATGGTGATGATAGCAATGTTATTCAGGATAACAGAGTAAGTCCAAAATCCAGCAAGAAAAAAAAAATCCCGCTGGGAAGAGGGGGAATTTGCTTTTTCTTTTTGGGTTATCTTCGCATGATAAGAATCATCTCATCGCTGACAACTGGCAAATTTGCTGTTTATGGTTAATTAGCTTGCCATTACACAAAGCATTTCCGGAACCGGTGCTCTTCGTATCGGTGCTTCTTTCTTGAACGAGTTCTACCCTCATGCCAAGAACATCATTGTTCCCAACCCTACCTGGGGCAACCACATTCCCATCATGAAGAACTCGGGTTTGAACCTTGAAAAGTACACCTACTTTGATAAGAACACCAACGGTCTCAACATCGATGGCATGCTTGAGGACATCCGCAAGGCTCCCAAGAACACCATCGTCCTCCTTCACGCTTGTGCTCACAACCCCACTGGTGTCGATCCTACTCAGGAGCAATGGAACCAGATTGCTGAAGTCGTCAAGGTAATCTATCACTTTCAGATAATGGCGACAAAGTTATGCAACAAGAAAAAAAGAGGGAAACCGGGACAAACAGGAAGCGGGAGATTTGGGGAGGGGCAAAGAAGTGGGCATGTCTGTGTATGAGAAAGAAAAGGATTATTTGGATTTCGCACGCGGCAGTAATGGCGGATACTAATTTGGCTATTCTGTAGGAACGTGATCATTTCGTCTTCTTTGATATGGCTTATCAAGGTTTTGCCTCCGGTGACTGCAACCGTGATGCTTATGCTCTTCGCAAGTTTGTAGATGAAGGTCATCAGGTTGTCTTGTCGCAGTCGTTTGCCAAGAACATGGGTCTGTACGGTGAACGTGTCGGTTCCTTCTCGGTGGTGTGCGCCGATGCCAACGAACGTGCTCGCGTTGACTCCCAGTTGAAGATCCTTATCCGTCCCATGTACTCTAACCCTCCTATTCACGGTGCTCGTCTTGTCAGCACAGTTCTTGGTAACCAGGAGCTCAAGCAGGAATGGTTGGGCGAAGTCAAGTCCATGGCTGACCGTATCATCACCATGAGAGACAAGCTCCGAGGTCACCTCGAGAACGATTTCGGTAGCAAGAAGCCTTGGAACCACATCACGGACCAGATCGGTATGTTCTGCTACTCTGGCTTGAAGCCCGAGCAGGTCGATAAGCTCAAGGATGAATGGCACGTCTACCTTACCCGCGATGGTCGTATCTCCATGGCCGGTGTCTCTTCTGGCAACGTCAAGTACCTTGCTGAAGCCATTCACAACGTCACCAAGGATTAAAAGAAAAAAATATGTCCATTTTCCCTACACTCCTCTATCCTTTTTGTCTCTTTTCCCACTCTTTTCACACCTAAAACATACTCAATACAACGGCAATAGAACTTAAAAACCAAAAAAAAAAGTCATCGGGAAAAGCCTTTTTCCTTTTCACATGTTGAGCCTACATTGAATGACACGGGCGGGATACGATAGGCTCCCACTGGTATTCCCTGGTTTTTAGAGCTGTTCGTCCAAAACTAAGATTACCAGCAACACATATTCTACATGTCACAATAGTTAGTGGGTTGAGCCAAAGTATAAATAAAAAGATTTCGCATTTGAGTCAGCGGTCAGTCAGCATAAGCTGATGAATGAGGATAGGTGTCGCTGAGATTTAAATCATGCGCGCAGTCGTTTTTAAACTTTGAGAGGGCCTAAATCACTTCTTTGTTACATTTTGATTATCAAGATCATTCCTCTCATGTTCACTGGTCTCGTTGAAATTATCGGTCAAGTCACTTCGGTTGTTGAGCAAGATCAGACAGCCTCCGGTGGAGGTGGTTGGACTATTACCGTCGGCGAAGCAAGCCCCATTTTAACCGATTGTCACATTGGTGACAGCATCGCTATCAATGGTAAATTTTGTCAAGAGACGCCCGGTCCTGTTCCTGAACAAAGCTAAATATCTAAGATGGATTGGTTTTTTTTTTTTGATTAGGTACTTGCTTGACAGTAACTGAATTTGACGAAAATACGTTCAAGGTGGGCGTCGCTCCCGAAAGCTTACGACGAACCAATCTCGGTGACCTCAAAGTGGGAAGCAAAGTGAATCTGGAACGAGCCATGGATGCGCAAAAGCGCTTTGGTGGCCATATGGTTCAAGGTCATGTCGATGCTACTGTGAAAATCGTATCCATCACACCGGAAGGAAACTCGCTATGGTTCAAATTCCAATTGGACGAAGAACAAAAGGATATGATGCGATATATCATTCCCAAGGGATTCATTGCCCTGGACGGTACTTCGCTCACCGTATGCGACGTTGATGATGCTGAACGCACCTTTACCATCATGATGATTGCTCATACCCAGGAACACGTGATTATGCCCTTGAAACAAATAGGCGATCGTGTCAATGTCGAAATGGATATGCTGGCCAAGTACGCTCTCAAAAGCCTGGAAAACGCTATCAAACAAGGCGAAGGATTAGAAGCACTGCTTAAACGTATTGCGCGCGCTTAAATATCAGCAATAAAAAATTCGAATAAAGGACAGGCGAGACTATTTGCGAAAGCGGGCTACTTGGGATTTGCGTTGTTCGGGTGTTATAATGGATTGAAATTGATAGTTGAGATCCATCCATATTTTTAGTGTTAACTGTATGCTTTGCTTTCTAAATGAACTTGTATCTGTCATTTGATGCTCTTTGAGTGGGCGTACATGGACGGACGGAGCTGCCACTTTTCAAGCCGAGCGATAAATGCACGTCACAAGGGAGGTCACAGTAGGTATGCAAGAAATTTCATGTTCTCGATCGGCCCTATCAGTTTCCGTTCACTGCACATCATTCGCAGGACTAGATCGCCATGCCCAACGCACGGAAAAAGAAAGCAGCAAAGAATGAAGATTTCAAGGTTCGCATTAGATTCTTTAACAATAGGTTCCATAGTTTTGTCTGGGCATTTGATCGACCCACGTTGGTAGTTATTTATTCTGATCGATTGTCTTTTTGTGCGTTGATAGAAAAAGCGACTCAAGGTTGGCAAGCAAAAGGCCTTGCCCGATAGTTTCACGGACACTTCCTTCAAATCGAAAAGTAAGACGATTGAGTTGTCAGAAAATAGTATGTGATGTTTATGCGGGCAACATAGGTATTTCGCTCCCCAATCAGAGTATTACCGAAGATAAATCGCGCGAGATTACCACCAGTCGCAATCTGACATTGTCCGATCTCATCGTCCAACTTAGACATTACAATGCCAGCGTCAAGAAAGGTCAGCATATGGTTCGATACATCACCAGAAAGACGAGACGTTGACAGTATATGTATATTAGATGCCTTGTCCGGCATGCAGGAATTATGTTTGACCCATCCAGATTTGTTACTGTCGTCGCTGAGTTTGGTAGTCAACGGCATCCTGAAACTTTTCGTCGACGAGGTAAAGACTTATTCTACCCGATGAAAAGCTATAGTCTAATTCGATGTTCGATGCTTGGCAGGATCGAGATGTGCGCAAGGCATTATTGGGATTTCTACGGGAATGCTTTCTCCCCATGGATAAGGTACGAGCAGTCCTCATTGCCGGAACATGGTCCCGCTCAGCTGTATTTATCGTTTGTCGTTCCTTTTAGATCGAATTGCAGCCATTTTTGCCTGTGTTAATTATGTATACCTGTTCGGCGATGACCCATATCTTTGAAGAAGTTCGTCTCGATGCCATCAAATTATTAGACCTCTGGGTAGAGATTGCTCCCAATGTGATTGTTACCAAATTTTGGGAACGTGTAAGTTTTGAATTCGTGGTAATCCTTGATCTTCGAATAGCTCATGACGTTGACTGAATTAGGTGATGGGCAACTACATGAGTTTGCTTGCAGTGGAATCCAACAGTATGAATACCTCAAAATCAACTTCCAGTCTTCCCAATGTCAATACAGCCTCTGTCGCCTCTGTTAAAGCCGCCGCATCCAAATCTCATTTGCATTTACACAAGGTAAATAAGAGTTTTGTTGATTGAGTGGGTCGTCGCGGTTTCTAATGACTGGTGCAGAGCAAACTTGAACTGTTGACAAGTCTCACGAAATTTCTGGAAGCAGGCCTTTTGGAGAATCAGCAGGATAGGTAAAACGAACGGTCTTGTCCTACTTGAATTATCCTGATACTGATCTTGTCCTTGCAACCTAGCTTTTGGTTTCTTTTGAATTTCATCGATAATCTGCATGCTCGACAAGCCTTTCAACACCATTTTGATCCAGAAAAGAAGAAGGGTAGACCCGTTGTTCGATGGGAAGCAAAGTCAAAGGTAGATTTGACACGGACTTGTAGTGGTATCTATCTTGAAGTATACTCAACTCATGTTTTCAATTGTAGACGATGTTCACGCCCACCAACGCATTTTTGGAAAGTTCTATCCCTTACTTGACTGAACAATTGACTACATTTTCCCATTTGAATCTGTTTGAATCGGTTGCTCCGAAAACTCGGTCTTTTGGCGGTAACCAAGCTTCTGGTGACGCCTCCAAAGATTCTAGCAAGCCTCATCTTGTCGATTACAGCTTACGTGACCGAATCGGAGGATTAAAGGTAACCCGCAATAGACACAGTCTTAAATAGTTGACAGCGAGCTAAAAGGGATGTCTGTATTAGAATTTGATCCACACCTTGCAGCCTATTCTCATCGGTACCTGGCTCGAAACCGCGCCTGTTGTATTCTCGTCATCTAGTAATATAGGCTTGACCCCCGCTCTACAACTACTACACGCTGATATGCGCCTGACCCTGGACCTGTGGCGCGCCATGATCAGTGGAGGAATGATTGATACTGTCACACCATCTTGGTTAGTGGATCACTTGGAACAGATGTTGAAGCGCTTGATGGTGTATTTCCCCTATGGAGCGGATTCATTTGGCATGAGACCAGCCAAGGCGAGTAAAGAAAACAAAAAAGTACAGTAGTTCCTGCTTGAAACGGTATTTACATTGATTTATGCATTTTTAGGTCGACGAATTGCTGTTGGAAATGAACATCATGCTTTGTGAATTGACTTCTTTATATTTGCTGGCAAGAGGCATTCATAAATCTACTTTCGAACAGCAATCCATCACGCTTTCCAATCGAAAGCGTGTGCGTCAGGAGATGGAGTTCCAAACAGGCGCCGACGAGATTCCTGCTTGGGCAGATGCCATTGTGGATTATATCTTTGGTGTGCTTGGATTTGAGGTAACATTATATAGACAATGGTCTACTCGATCAAATCGCGTGTCGATAAGTTTCTGATCGGGTCTCTTGGTCAACCACAGGAACATGCTGCTCCTTCGAGCAAAAAACAAAAAGGAAGCATGACATCCATGTCTTCTGACTTTAATAGTGAAAATCTTGCTTCCCTTTTGCCAGCTATTTGGGGTCTAATGAACTGTCTGGAAGGCAGTCGAAGAGATTCGATTTTCGAGGTACGTTTGTCAATTGTCTTGTTTCTTATGTGGTGTTTCGTTTTGTTGACGCGTCGTTTTTCCTTGCAGGCCTTTCTAAATTTCTTCCGTCATTGTCACAGCCATTCCGCGTCCAAGCGCATAGCTTTGGAATTCATTATCCGAGTATATCTTGTACGTATCTGTGTCAGTGGTTCAATGGACGGAAAAAAGTGATTAACACTATCGATGGTTAGGTGCAATCCACTCCAAGCTACAATGGACAATTCAAAATCACCCCAGATTCGTTCGCCTCTGGACTGATGCGTAACTGGTTACTTTCCCTTCCAAAAATGTTATGGGAACTCAAAACGAGTCATATTGACACGAGTCGAGTGAGTATTTCTTTGAGTTGGCAGAGGACACGACATGAAACTAAATTTGCATTGTTGATTATGCGTAGGCTATACTGAATGTCATGTGTGATATCGCCAAGCGGGCGGATCAAGACATTTTCGATACCAAGGTAAACAAAGCCGATTTGTGTGGGCGACATTGACCGTTTTACTGAACTTGAATTGCTGTAGACTTTGCAGACGGCCGAGCTGACGCTTGTTCCATTCTTCTACGTGCATTTAGCAAGCAAAGGTAACAGTTGACATTCTTCTGTTGAATACAACTGTTCATAACATAATGTATTGTTAGGTGATTTGTTTGGTCCCTTTTTGGACATGCCCAAGGACGCTCAACAGCGAGCGATCGAATTTATCCATTTCACCTCTAGCAAGTCTGAAAAAGTGCATGCCGCATTAAGAAAATGTCTTGAAAGTAAGATCCGCAGTCTTGTGTATTCATGCTATACAATGGTTAACCTGTTTGGTTCCTTTGTTCTTATAGATCAAGCGGTTGAAGACGAGGTGAAAAGCTGGATCGTTGAAAGCATCTAAGTGTTTTCTGCTTGGTTTCATTTTATATAACTTATAGAGCTGCTGCATTTCTCTGTACATAAAAATTCATAACTCTGCTTGCCGGATCTGATCATTCTGGGCTTACGATTCATCTTTTTTCGGACCTGATCGATTATGCAACAGGGCTTCAACGAAGATGGATACCGGACTTTGACTGCAAGATAGCCACTTTCAATATTGTTGCTTGTGACTGGGTTAAATCGAATTTAAGTGTAATTGGAGGAAAAGGCGAAAAGTGAACGTGAGTGGATCGAATGTCAGTAGGATATTACTGAGATTTGTCGACGACTATCGAAATTAAATATTATTCCTGAAAACGAGAGATGAGATGAGATGAGATGAGAGGGTATTGTATTTATTTTGGTAAAAGGTTGTTTTTGTCGCTATCTCAATTCTGTTCATACAAAAAAAAATGATTAAGGGAATGATTGAGCAAGTAAAAAATAAGATTCAATTTGGTGATTTTGCAAATTTTGCTTTAGTGAAATGTACAAGACATGGTCATTACAAAATAGTAGGGTGTTTGCTACGGTACATAGCGACATCATGGCACTTTGTGGCATAGATACCTTTTTAGATACAGTAGTATAAATGTTTATTCACCAAACAGCAATCAAGTCATAAAAGCCTACACCTACAGGATAGTAACAGTATGGGGCAGATAAGAGGGAATTACAGTGAAAATCACCAAAATAAAATGTCTAACCAAAATATGAAATTCACTATTTTGGTGTCAAAATCCCGGGATGCAATGGCAAGAATACCGTTGAATCAATTGGGCACAAAAAAATGGAATTGTCTCAAATAATTGAAAAGAAGAGTTGAAAACCATTATCATTGTATTATTGGAATGGGTTGATCAACTTGCTATAGCAATATTGGCTTGGGCTATATTCAGTACAAAATTCATATTACAGTGGTTGATTTCACAGTATGAAGCCTTCACTACATATCACTGCTGATAGACATTGTGACGAAATGGGAGGCTGGATTACTGAGTCACATAATTAATCAAAAAACACGACTCAGGACTTAGCATAATGTCGGTGCCTGTGTACGGTCATTTTCTGTCATCAGAGCAAAGGCCGAGGCTTTATTCCATGGAATCCATCGTTTTCGTCATGAGACCATGAAGCCCCTATTTTCGTGGAACGTCGGAGCGCACTTACTGATAGCCCTCATTTTTGAGTCGGAAGGTTTTCCAAAATGGACCCTTTTTCAGTCACATTGGTGGGACAAGACTTCAAGTGCAAAAGTGCGTTAACTAAATTTGGTCCCTGAAAAAGTGGACAGAAAAATGTCGACTCCGAAAGGTTATCCGAAGAAGCACTTTATGCGACTGTCTTTAATATTACGATGTTGCGTTTAATAACACAGAAGATGGATGTTCTGCCGAAGAATGCGCGCAAAGAAGAATATGGTACGATAAAGAATGACAATTTCACAGAAAATAAACTTGTTGTATGAGGACAAAATTGTTGATCAGTGGCATAATGGACGCCAACTTTCGTTTTTTAATTGAACGGTAACCTTTTTCGCACTTTGCATCTGATATAAATGTCATTGAGTCTTGATTGGATTTGCTGCGTGTTCTCTTTTATCCCTTTCTTTTTTCTTTATTTCGCTTCTTTGAATGACGAAGCAGCAGTTGTTTATTTCCTTAGGCTGCCACATGTGCAAGAGCCATCAATTCACCCAAAGAAAGAGTCTGCGTCGGCATTATGTTCTCAACGAAAATATAAGCCTCCCTCCAGCGCCAAAAGGCAAACCGCATCATTCTCTTCCCTCCGGATTCACAATCACCAAAGATAAGGAGAATGCAGCCGTAGTACAGTATGCCTGCCCTTGTTGTAATGAATTGTGGGAAGTTCTGGAGCGCGTTGGGCAGCATATCCAAGCCGCGCATCTTAAAGAAGAAAAATTCACAAGTTCGACTGAAGAAAGGTAACATTGAGTTTTCCCGTTTCGAGTAAATGGCAAGACTAACTTCAGTTTTTTTTTTTTGAAATGAAAAGTGATAACAATGGGGCCGAGGGCCAATCTTCTGGGGACAAAAACTTTGAAGATGAAGACATCGATTCGGTCAAGCGCCAGGAAACTGAGAAAACAGATGATTTTACGTCTGATGATTGCATCTCCGAAATTAACGACGAATTGACCGTGATCAATCCTCCTTTGAGCTTGGAGATACCGTCGAATGCAGAAGAGGCTGTCGCAAGTATCCAATCGCGCAGCTACGATGAAGCAGTCGTTCATGCTTGTCAGGAAAAAGGTAGTCAAGTTGAAAAGGCCAAGATTAGATATATCGTTGAAAATTTGTCATTGCGGCCTTTCGCAATTTTCGACAAACAGGGCAATGAAGAAAACGCTCTTGCACACCAAGACATCGTGAACAGACTTGCGAGCAAGCACGAAGCAATCAAGCCCCTTCTCCCGAGCAAGAGGCCCTACGAAAATATGGCTGAAACAGGCCTATGCGTCAACTGTACACTTCAAGTTCCAGCTGGTCTCCGTAAATTGTTTACTGCTTCTCCATATTCAAAATTGCTGGCAACGAGAATACGTCCCGCTCACCGACAAAATTTGCACATTGCTGAACAAAGACTGGCAACTATATCCGCAGGTCAAATTTTTTTCGGCAACTGTTTTGGCGGAGGCCATACTCATTAATACTAACAACGGCCAAGCTATCATGATGAATACTGTCGAACTGTACGGCAGAACGAAAACTGTTGATTCGCATCGTGAAGCATTTGGAAAGCTCAAAAATGGTGTTCGGGCCACTTCTCTTCCTCCGCCAATCAAGACTTTGTACCCAGACGTGTGGCCTGTTACGCTAGAAGGACACGAAGGCAAAAAACTCATAATCGGCACGCAAGTTTCGAATGTTCTTGTTACGTCAAGTATTCGTCTGGACGAGACGAACCTTGTGTCGGTTGGTGGTGTGTCTTCACATTTCGAATTGAATACAATGATGGACTCGTTGGCTTCACAAATTTTCCTGGATATGGAGTCATTGAAGGCCGCTGACACATTAATTCAAGATCAGTCAACAACATCTGTATCAGGCGTTGGAATCATGGCCCATCAATTGCGCCAACTGCGGACACAGTTCCATTCACCGTCCTTCTACACCTTGTGCCGTGCGTCTGGTCCCATCACAAAGAATCATACTTGCCATCCATTCACCTTGTTTACCTTGAGCGAGCGCGACCGTGGCCGTAGCCCTTCGGCATCTATCTTTCGCGTTATAGCCGACGAAGTTATCCTCAATCGTAATCAAGCCAAGCTCTGTAAGGACAAGGTAAAAAAATGGCACCAAGAAGCAACCGGCCGCGCGAAAGCGATACTTTCCCGAATCATCGTGCTTTACGAAGATGACATCGACGAACTTCCTATCATTTTGAACTTTCGCCTGAACAAGGAATTGGAAAACCTTGCATTAATACTGATGCCCGCGATTGTTTCAGCCAATGCTTCGGTAGAAGGTCAGATTAAGAATGTGTTTAACATCTTCAACTAATTGTGCCCATTCGCTTTTCCTGTGGTGTTTCTTTACTTTCCGGCCCATTCCTAGTTTTTCGCTTCGCACTTACCGTCTGTATAAAATTTGCCCATATCACTTCATCAACTTGTTATATAGTAACTCATCTTGTATTCATTCGCTCTTTTCCATATCACACCTGCAGTTAGGATGCCGACTTTACTAAAAGAAAAATATAAGAGTTCTAAAGGCACTCAGATTTCTAAAAAGTCACCGAGAGTTTTAAAGGCACTCAGATTTTTAAAGGCACCGAGAGTTCTAAAGGCACTCAGATTTTGTAAAGGCACCGAGAGTTCTAAAGGCACTCAGATTTCTAAAAAGTCACCGAGAGTTTTAAAGGCACTCAGATTTTTAAAGGCACCGAGAGTTCTAAAGGCACTCAGATTTTGTAAAGGCACCGAGAGTTCTAAAGGCACTCAGATTTTGTAAAGGCACCGAGAGTTCTAAAGGCACTCAGATTTCTAAAAAGTCACCGAGAGTTTTAAAGGCACTCAGATTTTTAAAGGCACCGAGAGTTCTAAAGGCACTCGGAGTTTTAAAGGCACGCACGCAGCGTGCGCAGTGAATTTGCCAGTCATCACTTTGATTCCCCAAGCTCTCCATTCCGCCTTGTTTCATACCAATGGCATAGCCGCGTTCCTTCATTGCAGTTACCCTGTATCGGGATACTTTTGATCCGGTCTTTTTTATTTTATTCAGTAAACAGAGTTTCTCGGATTTGTAAACGTTTCCGTATGTACGCCCTTCGTCATCAATATCCGATACGAGAGAATGCCCATGCCGATTCAATTGTTTTATGCAGCTGACTGATTTGTCTGTTCACATGGCGACGATCGTTTACTTTCGAAGATTTGTTAATTGCACTTAAAGTTTTGTCCAGAAAAAAATTAAAAATCTTTGCTTATGCCAACATCCACCCGCAAAAAATTATACTCCAATTTCACATCCCAGACCCAATCGGGCGATTCGGGAGGCAACATGTTGACAGCTTCTTACCGTCTAGAATAGCTGCGTTCCCGTTAACAATGTTAGAAACTGATAATATCATAATGTCCAACATGTATTACCGGAATGACCTTGCGCCGTGCGTCTGGTCCCATAACAAAGAATCATACTTGCCATCCATTCACCTTGTTTACCTTGAGATAGCGCGACCGTGGCCGTAGCCCTTCGGCATCTATCTTTCGCGTTATATCCGACGAAGTTATTGTCAATCGTAATCAGGCCAAGCTCTCTAAGGACAAGGTAAAAAAATGGCACCAAGAAGCAATCGGCCGCCCGAAAGCAATACTTCCCCGAATCGCACCGCCGAAACGTCATAACGCCGACGTACCTTTCGCTCGCCCTGTCCAACCCCCTGCTCCCCCAGGCAAATCGAAGAACCAGAAAGAAGGGGGAGTACCGCAGACAGCAGAGACGTCAAGATGTGCGAGATCGAGCTCGCATCGACATTTTTACTACGTCATGGTCATTTCAAGGTTGCGCAGCGCGATGCATCGATCGTTTGAGTATATCTGGTCAGGCCGATACGACACTGCGCCTGATATTGGGCGCTTTCCATTGTTTTTGCAGCTTTGCCGCCAATGCAGCTTGAACGCTGATCGGTTTTTGCGACTTGGCAGTTCGTGGCGTGCCGACTTATCGGAGTTGGGCCTTCGTGCCCGCTGCAGTCAGTTGCGGCAAGGCAAACTATTGTAATGCTTTCCGGGCGGTCTATGAAGACACTGTGGAGGATCTTCCTATCTTTTTAAACGCTCGCCTCAACAAGGAATTGGAAAATCTCGCATTCATCTGATGCCCGCTGTTGTTTCTGCCAATGCTCACAGAAAATCAAATAAAGGATCTTTTTACTAATTTTTCTCCCATTTGCCTTTTCTACGGGTTGATACTCAAGTTGCAGGGTGATCAACCACTTTAATGGGTTACGGCATGCATTGCTATGATCCAAAACTTATTGAAACAGTTGCAAACGTTCCTTTCCCCCAAGAAAATGTGATTGAAAGCAAGGCGCAGCCACTGACCAAAGCTAGCCTCGAATGCAGGTCTTATGACCTTAGGTCAAGATGGCCTGCAATGCAGGTGAAAAGATCCCAAAGGCATTCAAAGGCAACCTGGTATTTCCCAAAAATCACCGACCTTTTATGCCAGCGTTCAAGCTAATTTTTTTGTCTCAAGCCGGTCATCTTCAGCAGCCATCCCTTTTTTCTGGAGCAAGATGAAATCTTTCGTAACCTGAACATTTTCCGAGAGATTGTGAAAACATTTCATATCGGTAATAGCAAGCAATGGTGTCATTGTCCGTGCTGGGGAATAAGCTTGACATCTGTTTTAAATGTCTGTGTAGATTCCTGACATGAGCGAAATAGCAGCTAAAAATAAAACGAGGTTCATCACATGTGAACGCGACTTTATTTTTGGCCAATTGAGCTCATTTGTTGGACAGAAACGTTTTTTGTACGGCTTTCAATTCCAAAGCCGCCAACTTTGCTTATTTTTTTTCGGGCTGACAAAAGGGCAAAAAAAAAAGCTTGTTGCATTCCCTTTTTCCTTCATTAGCGTACTTTAGCTTGTCATGCTGCCTGTTAATTGCGGCGCTGCTAATTTATGGACAACCGATGTAGGTCGAATCAATTTCAACGAAACCAGCTCCTTCACCTCGAGACACCGGTCGCCGTCTTCGGGAACTGGGTTAGCGGATATCACGGTGGCCGAAATACTCGAAATATACAAGGATGACACAGATTTATTAAAACATATTTTAACAGCCAAAGCCGAAGAAGACAAAGTAAGTGGCCTCAACCCCAACCAACAACCCCTCCCCCACTTTTTTTTTGTCTTGATAAAAATCATCAAGGATATTCCCTGATCGTTACTATAGCGACGAACAGCAGAAGAGATCCGTCGAGCGGAGGAAGCGCGACTGCAATCGAAATACCTTGATTTACACCTTGAACAACAGCGCCAAAATAACGATCCATCGTCTCTTGTGGATAATTTTGTAAACGGATCATTTTGTAAGTTTTCAAGTGTTAAAAGATGGAAATAACAGAAATAGGGCCACTGCGAAAGATAAAGGTCAGCCGTTACTGATCATTTGGTTTGGGTACACATTCACAGGTTCTTTTGCGGGAGTTTCATCGAATGAATTAACGCCGGATTGGCTTTCAATGCAAGCGAGTGAGCCTGTTCCCATCATGTCACCAATGCCAAGTGTGAGTCAATACCCCCACGATACCCCGCCTTCACCGACCTCGACCGTACTACGACCTTCTTCTCCTTTTACCTCTTTTGAAGTCCCGTTTGCCGACTTGTCTATTTCCGCGTCGTCGTCACCTGAACCTCACGAAATCCCGTCGCATGCATTTACTTCGGCGCCGCCTGTTCCATCCACCCCGCCACCACTACCACCATCCTTACCAGCCAAAGAAAGAGCATGCAAACGCACTTTATCTCGAACGCGCTCACAGCGACGTCCTCCTGTGAGTGGCAAAAAGAAAAATCGATCCTCCGCACCTTTGCCTACCTCCTCACCACAACCGGCTGCAAGCGAACCTGGGTCGTCCTCGTCTACGACCGAGCAGCAGTTAGATCATGATAAGGTGATGGAAGCCCTGAGAGCCAAAATTCGTCGGTCCTCCAACCCAAATCCTCAATCTTCTACACCGATTGAAGAACCCATGGAGCCCGCGAGTATGTCGCCCACAGGCATGCTGTTACTCGATTTGAAGAATCCGCGTCGTTTATTCCCCGTACGTCGGCAAGCCGCGGCGCCTCGTGTTCCTGTTGTTCGTAGACTACGGCCATTTGTCACCGCACACAATCACTGCGATAAATCAAAGAGCGGCGAATCACCAGCAATGTCTTCTGAGGACACTTGATCTCGATGAGCCTCGTCCCTATAGTATCGCACTAACTGCCTGCCTAGTGTATGTTTTTACCTTTCCTGTTCATCCTTTTTTTTCTTCCATTCTTTATATGGCCGCGAACTTCATTTTATTCTTCCATGCACTTGTAAATAAATATATAAAATAGAAAAAAAAAGAAGCGATAGAAAGATCCTATTTGAAGGTTGAATCTGTGGTATCGTGGGAGGCGACTGTCCTATTTGTGGAAGTTTCGTTCAGTGGCAAGCTGTCTTTGCAGCTCAAGTGTAAAGAAGTGCCGAAGAAATCGGTACCTTATTTGATCCCCCTCTTTTTATTCTCGGTATTTATGGTTTTGCCATATTCATTTCATCTTTTTGAGCAACCCGAAAAACAAGTCATCATTCTCAGATTATCACAAGGGTGGGTGTCCCTCAACTTTAAGTATTCCTACTTTCATTCCTGCTGAAATTACTGTAACCTTGAAGGCATGTCTGTCATATCAGAGAATTTTGTTACATTTAATAACGAAAAATGCAGGCTCCCTAGGTATCCGCTGTGTTCGTGGATTTTAACCATTTGCCACCGAAAAATCCACATTTCACTTGGAAAGCCAACAGCGCGGTCTCCCACTAGGGTGACACAATGTTCCCAGAAATGGCTGTGCGACCACGGAATTCTTCGTACCTCAAGGGTCCTACTGTATACTCGGGGGAGAAAAAAGTTACGACTCCAGTACATTTACTATAAGCATATGTGATTTTTGATTCTTTGAATCTATAGTGACAGTCCACAATTCATCTTGATTGTGGGGTTGAGTCATCTTTTTACTATATCGCTCAAAACAAATAGAACTGCAGTGAACTGATACGAAAATCACACATTTTAAGTGTGGTTGGAACATACCATTGGACCATTTGATAGGGAACAGTCGCTATTAAGATGGCTGCTTTGTATTTTTACACACAGACATGGCAAAACTCATAAGAACGGCTCGTTGCAGTGGTAGTCTTCGGTTCTAACAGCTCTCTAAAGGTGGACTACCGGATGGACATTTTTCTCTCGCAGTTGTGGCGATCATTCAAATTGATTCAGAATACATAATGGATTTTCGACCCGTGGTCGCATAAAATTCGTCTTCCAAGAGTCTTCTACGTGGTGATAACTATCAAATGTTTATAAATTTCCTCTCAGATCATACATAAAACCAGAGAATTCAATACATTTCAATGAGGCTTATCGAGCGGTTTTGAAATCAACAACAAGAAGCGAGACAGTAATGATAATCGCATTGAATATATAATTTTTCATTAGACACACTTACTAAACTGGTATCGCAATAAACTAGTTCCCCAGTGCTGAGATTTGATTGGCATAGAATGAATCCTATCGTTAGCTTATTCATGGGATAATAGCGTGAGATTTTTTTTTGTCTCGTTATGCGTAGCAACGCGGTTGTGGTTGACAAATGCTAGGCGGAAAGTACAAACCTGCGTAGGAGGATCCCGGGCAAAACATCTTGGATACCGAGTAACTCAGCCTATTTTGACCGTCGAACGAGTGAGCTGTTGCCTGGATTTCTGCTAATCATGCCATACCACGCAAACGTCAGTGCATCAAGTTACATAGACGTAAGGCTTTTATTGGGTGTGACATTACCAAGGTTGCAAGAAGAACGAGATGGATCACAGTCATTTCTTAATTTTCTGTCACCGATAACCTCCATGATTTTGTGGATGTGTTCCCAGTTTATAGAATATATAAAGCACGATATGTGAGTCTATATCAACTTAATCTCGACTGGCTTGTTTCAATCCATGCAACAGCGTTTTGTGGCTGAGATGACAGGCAAATGACTCTTTTACCGTTTTCTCTCTGCGAGGGAACAAAAAAAGGACCATCAATTCGATTCCATAATGTACACGAGCCACTGACTGTTCATGCGCTGGCAGTCTAAAACGAGAAAATCAAATCAGTTTGTGTTAACAGCCGTATGACAGGAACCTGACATCAGATATTACTGATTAGATCGTAAGCATTTTTTCATATATAAAATGCCATTTTCTGATCCATGAATTCAGATATCTGCCAAGTCCAAGCACACGCATAAATGACTTAATCCATTGGAATCTGATGATTACATTTCCTGAGCTTTCATCCCTTTATGATTCTCAATGAGATTAATGAAATACATGGCGTGGAAAAATCATATGGTAGCACATAAGATTGGACACAAGCGAGAGGAAGCAAGGCTTCTGACTCGTTTATCTCCATTACAAATGCTGCGTTTTTGTCGGTTCGCAGGTGATACAGTGGCAATGTGTAACATGGTTTTCGTTGGTATACATGGCAGCGGTTTTACAACGACAATTGAGTCCGGTGGCATATCAGGGCATTGCAACAGATTCAATACTGTAGAATATTAAGATGTGACCTGGTGTGAAACGTCGGTAGTGTCATTGTGTATTGAATCAAATGCAATGCTATACGTATCAGAAAAGCAATTACATGGAAAATATAGGGTTCGAAAAAGTTAATGCTGTTGGCTAAAAGAAGGCAATTTGAGCAACGGTAAACGAAATCTGGTGCAATTAACCCGAGACCTTGTCCCGCCTTCTTTGTCCAATGAACATGGATTAGGAAATCCCGACTTGCGTTAATTTTTCCTCTTTTTTTTTTCTTTTTCCTAGGCGATCAAATAAGTTTTTGCATTTTTCTTTTCATTCATATCAAGCGGCTTTCTTTTACAAATAATTGAATCAGTTACCAGCAGACCGTCATACTTATCTTTTACCTCATTTGGCGTGCTGCAGCTGACTTTTTTTTTCTTCTAAACATGACGGCTGTCCTTTCCAACATTCAGAGGCGATCGGATGAGGAGGATGTTCAATCGTCGAAATCAATCCCGAACGAAGAGTTTCGTACTTATCGGATACGGTATTATGGACTGACCCTCATTGCTCTGCTCAACATTGTGTCGTCCATGAACTGGTTGTCCGTCGCACCGGTGCCCGACTATGCATCTTCCTTTTTTGGCAATGTCGGTTTGTCCGTTATTAACTGGTTCAGCAACGTTTTCTTGCTGACGTACGTCGTGGCCGGTCCCGTCTCCAGTTTCGTCTATGATCGCTTCAGTATCAAGCTAGGAGTAGGTTTCGAATGATCACCCGCCATACCTCCCACACTTTTCGGACTTACCAGTTTATCCGAATAGATAGTCATTGGTGCTGGTTTGCAAATCATCGGTGCCTGGTTACGCTTTGCCTCCTGTTATGTTGGCAGTTCTTCCGGCAAATTAGCCCTTGCGATGCTCGGTCAAGTATGTCCGCAAGGAGATTGGATGGTTGCAGTAACAAGTACCTAATCACCTTTGTCCTTTTCCTTTTATTAGACCATTTGTGCTATTGGACAGCCTTTTATTCTTAATGCATCAACACCGGTAAACATCAAATGCTATGCTTTGATTTTGTATCATTCATTAGTCTGATTTTTTTTTTACGTTTCTCCTCCATAGTATGCTGGATTGTGGTTCACTGCGGATGGCCGCGGTACGGCCAGTATGATTAGCGGTTTAAGTACGTAATGTATTTTACAGGGCATGGTTTTTTTGCATGATACTAACAGCCACATGTTCAGCCAATGCGGTTGGTATGGCAGTAGCAGATTTGGTGGTTCCCGCCTTAGTGCCTAATGTCGAGAGCATGTGGTTCGGGGTAAATACAAAAGACGATATAGCATGTTTGTCGCTGTTTTCTGACCGGGGCATCTAGTTCCTTATCATTGCCTGTGTCACTACGGCCGTCGCGATACCCACTATATTTATTCCCAAACGACCTAAAACCCCACCCTCCTTCAGCGCGTTCACTCGCATCGATCGACGACTGCCCTTCCACCAATACATTCTTCGATTGGCCAAAAATTATCATTTCCTTATCATCTTCCTCGCTTTTGGCATTCTTTGCGGTCTCACATCGACTTTGACTTCGGTCTTGCCGCAAATTCTCGGTCCCTATGGTGTCTCCTTTGACGACGCCGGTATGGTCGGTGCAGCATTCATTATTGCAGGTGTTGTGGGTGCCATCGTTACTGGTTTCATCATTGATAAGTGGAAATGCCACAAGCTTATTTTGAAAACATTCGTGCCTATTGTGGGATTCATGTATCTCGCTTTTTTCTTTGTCAGTAAGTATACTCCCGCCTAGGGTGTACTTGTGTAATATCCATCTTACTGACCGCGCATGTTTCAGTCAAAAAGGATAACTATGTCCCTATCATCGTGGTGGCGGCTATTCTCGGCTATTTTATGCTATCATTACTTCCTGTGGCTCTAGAGCTCAGTGTCGAATGTGAGTCGCGTAAATGAAAGAAAAAAAAAAGGTGCCTGTACTTAGATTATCTGTTCATAGCTTCGTATCCGGTGTCTGAATCGGTTTCCAGCTCTTCGTTGTGGATGTGTTCCCAGATCATGGGTCTTGTATTCATCTTGGCAACCGATGCCCTTCGCGATGATAACGGTAATCCTCCAGGCAATCTACGAAATGCACTGATCATGTACGTGTGTCTAGCCATGCCCATGATGGTGCTTTGTGCTTTCTACAATAGCCCGAATAAGCGATTGGAGTGCGAAAAACAGAATGCCGCTACAAAGGAAGAACAGCCTTCCTACTGAGGCTGATCTTTTTCTTCTTATTTGCCCCTCTTAAGAATGGAACAGGGCTATCAGGGGGCTACCGATATCACTTATAATTTATACCAATATTTCGTCGTTTTTTCCTTATCTCCTCATTTTATCATACTTTACATGTAATATAATCGCAGAGATTCTTGAATTGTTTTCTATCCAGTCTATCAAAGAATTGAAGTCCGGAAGCCTTTTCAATGGCGCTCAGTTCCACCTGGAAAGTCGTCAAGGCCGTGTTGTGATCGATCGCCTTGTTCGGTAATACAAAACTGCCGACCATGTGCCCGCTGTCTGACACAGCGAGAATGATTTTGAAGAAGTGGGTAGGGACAGCAATGTTGGGTATTCTGCCCAGTACCTCGTAGCGCATCTCCCACTTCAATTTGGTCTTTGGTTTTCGTCTTGTCATAACCGACATCCAATGATTATCATCGTCGTCGCCTGCTGCATATGGATCCTGAGGTTCAGTGGATATCGGCTGGGGCAAAAACAAGGGACCCGTATACACAAACACATCGGTAAAATTTAGAGTCAATTGACGGCAGAAGTCTTCCACATAAGCCCAATCTTGGCGATCCCCATCACATTAGACACACAGGATCAAAATGAACGTTATGTTTCTCTTTTGTCAAGACTTACAATGCCGATTGAACCCGACACCCACTTGCGGGGCGATGTTTGATAGCAGGAACGTCTCGTCCATGGCTTCCTGAGACATCATGGCATCGGCGGCAGGAGCCATATGACCGCGATCATATCCACTTCCGATATAGTCTCTCAGATGAGCGTGAAAGAGCGCAGCAACGGCGTCGTCTTCTCGGAAATTAGCTTTATGCCGGTCAACTTCCGGTGACGCTTTTAAGCTTTCGGCCGTCAGATGTTCACCGACCCAGCGTGGAATACGATCGCGTCGATCGAATTTGGCGGTATAAGCTGAACGCACCAATAGCTCATCAAAGGGTCCTATCAATCCATTTTTCGATTATTTTTAGTTATTGGCTTGTCGTCATTTGTAGAAAAGCACGTCATGAGCACGTACCTGGATCTCCAAACTGCATTACTGAGGAGGGAGATCTCACGCCATGACGAACACGGCGAGGCAGACTGGTACAATATAAACTGCTCCATGGTTGCAGAAAACTAACGCAAATGAGTCCCAGTACAAATCCAGTGGCAAGCCATGCAAAGGAATGAGTGGTGGCTAATGTCATGGCAGCAATGACCTTTTGAGAATAGATAGTGGGCTCGGAAGAATAAATAAGTGGGGGAACCAGTATCAGGATAAGCCTAGTTCATTTCGCAAAATGGTGCCTTTAGATTTCAGTTTCCAAGTGAAGTAAGAAAAAAAATTGCTTTATTTGTCATTTTGTGAACCTGAAAACGGTCAACATGAGAACGTTTACGGTCATTGTTTATGGTCATACGAAACAGTAGGACTTTGAACCACGAGACCTTTTGATCATAACGTTTTTATGCTATAGTAATAACATATGGATAAATTCTATACAATGGCTGGCTAACTTTGTTTTATCATTATCATTATCATTAATCACTATAGGATGGTAATGCATCATCAATCATTCCATTCAAAATAAAAGTCTATACACGTAGTCGTTCCGCAGGAGCAAAGTGACCGATCGACGCCATGTGAAACAGCCAAATCAGTCAGCTGCATAATTTTTTTTTTTGAATCGGCATGTGTTCCCTCTCGCTTCAAATAGCGATGATGAGGGGCATGCATAACGAAACGATTCATAAAAATCCGAGAAACTCTTTTGTTTACTGAATAAAAATAAAAAAAGATCGGATCAGAAGTATCCCGATCTGGAAATGCCAATGCGGCAATTGAATTTGAAGAATCGACTTGCTTTGCATCCAACAAAGGACTGGATGCCACAAGTGCCTGAAAGCGACTCGTCGCTCTCAACGGCTGTCCCCACGCCTGCCATTAATTTTGCATGTCGCGAGATTCTGTTAGGATTACCGTCACTACAGCATTACTGTTTCTTAAATTTATTCTCACAATGATAATCGATCCGCTGTAGTTTTCTCAGTATTAGTGCAGCCACAAAGCGAGCTAACCGATAATGGCTCACTGCATTTTGAGAAGCAGTTTTCCAGATGCAAATGTTCTTCTGCACTAATGGTTTCTTTTCCTTTATTAAAGGACTGTTAGCATTTTACATCTTCCGCCCGTGACAAACAGGTTTTCATTGCATCATTGTCGCTTTCTATTGTAAAAAATGGGAGGAGTCAGACTTGCTCAGGGAACGCAAGGTGAGTGCCATTCGAGCTCCGAGAACCTTTAGGATTTGAGTGCTCTTAGAACCCTGAGTGTGTCTTTAGAATTGAGCGGCTTGGAGGAATTTCTGGATAGCCAAATCGAACTTACTTCCATATTTTTTTAGGGAGCAATTTTCCAAGGCTCAGATGTCTTTTGGATTCCACGCTTCAATAACCCCATTCAGCAATATCTCATGCGCACGCTCGACAATCGAAGTATTGCAACCAAGGGCTTCTTGTTGTAAAAGAACACCACCGGTCGCATCTGCAGCGAAAACATTAAAGGAGGAGTATAAGTCTCAGACCACTCCCAGCATGCCATGCTTGTCGCGACAGCATACACAAGGTGCGCGTTAAAGTTAAACGAAAAGAAGACCAGTTAACTGTTGCTTCGGGCTTGTTTCGGACGCTGGGGAGGGTCCTTCAAGGATCTCGCCCGGGTGCATTTTATGCCGGAGCGAATGCATAGACAGTCCACCTGTGGTTTCCATGGGAAATCAAAAATATTCTCTTCTCCTTGTTAGCCTTTTAATTAATGTTTACAATCTTCTTCGCGGAGTGAGCCAAAATTATGCCTGTCAGTGATAGAGCAGCTGATATTTGTCAGAGTGCAACAAAGCTGGGACAGTCTTGTAATTGCTGGGATGTGGTAAGATATTGGTAAAAAATTGAACTCATAAACAGTACCATTTTTGAGAGGGACGGAAATAAGATAAAAGAGCATTACTCTTATTTATTACAGATGATCATTCCAACAGAAAAGGAAGAAAGCAATGACACCATTGGGGCAAATTACTCTCGTTGGTTGGAATTTTTCATGGTCCAAAACTGACATTTAACAGTTTCGTGGACACCACAACGGATTGCAAGCTCCAAAGCTGCATTCAATTTGTTTTTGACGAACTTCGTCTTCTGAAATGCCCATAGCATTGGCTAATTAAAATTCGAGTCAGCAATTAGCCCTGAAGTCTCATATTATAATGCTATTTGTTACCAATCTCGGCAGTGGAAGCTTTCTCGTTGACTTCCTTAGCAATAGATCCAGCCATCACGGTGGAAGCAGCAAAGACTGCAAAGATGATTGGTGTAAAGGATTTCATGGTAAATTTGAGCGATGTTGTTGACTATATCGTAATAAAAGACTTAATTTTATACTATTTTCTATTAGCCATGATCTATCCGTTCTTACCCGCAAAAGTTGATGCGTGATGAACTCTCTACCACATCCTTAATACGAGAAAGCTGGCATGAAACCGGTTTTCCATGCGGCATGAATACGGCAAATATACGGGCTATGCGATTGTGCCTCGGCGTAATACATGTCTGCTCTGGTTTGCGATTAGTCTGCAATATGTGGCATGAAAAGATTTCTGAAAGCAGCATTCAATGCGGTGGTTCTTTTTTGCCGAACTTCTACAATGCCTTGTCACGGGCTAGTCATCTAAGGAGCAGGCAAAACTATAAACCAGATGATGTTAAAAACAATGAAGAAGGGGCGCGTGTTTTCAGGGCAATTGGAAATCATGATTTGTATACACAAAAGAGCCCAAGTCATCCAATATTAGTAGTACAATCAGCTTTTATTACTGAGGAAGAACTGTTTCAAAGAAAAAACAAACAATAGCCCACAAGTGAAAGATTGATTATCTTAGCCAGTTTGATAACATAATCACAAAGAGGAGTCAAGCACAGCACATCACACAGACCGCTTTGTCTTAAACTTCTGTAATGCTGGCGTGACAGTGGTTGGGTCCACTTTAACTACCACCAGTTCGATTTGAGATATCTTTCTGCTATCATATTGTATTGTTCCAACTTTTGACGTAGACTCCCAGTAGAGTGTATTAGGTTATATGTACATTCGGCATTCTCGAAACGTCCTCATCGAATTGCCTGATAACAGGTCTACCCACCATAATGATAGCATCAATGATCATATGGACCACTGTTGAAGGAATTTCACATTGAGGTTATAGAAGTTTGTTGATCGTATATCAAGGACTTACTCATACAAAGTTCTCTATTGAGATATATATCCAGCATAGTACGCGCAATGATTACATTGATGATTTCTGTGACAGGACACGGTTAACCATGCTAATAGGGGGGAAAAGTTGGACTTGAATCAGCTGTTCTCTCCGGCATTCTTACGCCTATCAATTGCTGTAGGTTACGCCTCGGCATGGCGTATTTCCTTGTCTGTTCAATGTCTGATTGGAATAAAAATTTAGAGAACCGGCATTCAATGGGACGACTGTTTTTGTAGAGTTTCTACAATGCCTTGTCTTGCTACGGGGTCGTGATCAAATGAGCAATATATTGAGATGACATGAAAACTATGAAGGATCGTGTTTTTTCAGGGGCAGGCGAAATTATGGGGCGTATGCACAAAAGCATTCCCGTTCGTGCATTTCCTTCAATGTTGAATCGGCATAATCAGCGACAAAATTTCTCTTCTATTTGTTGATATCCTCCATATGCATACAAGGAATCATAAGCCAAAGAATGCTTAGCTCCTCGCAGACATCGACTTTTTTTTTATTGCATAAAATTAGATATTTGTCGTAAAGAAGCATCAGCATTTGTTACTGGGGGATAACCTTTAGACAAGAAGGCTTCGATCAACCACATTTGAGTAAGAATGAGAAAAGTCGTGTAATGCAGACACAATTCAACTCCCGCAATGCGCTGATCCCGCCAATCCCGAAAAAAAATCGTGACGGCCTTTTTTTCATTATGTGGAACACGCTTTGACCGCTTTTGACGTTCTTCAGAATATCAATCTTTGATCCCTCATTCAAGACTTAAGAATTCGCATCATGAACGTCCAAGACACCATTCGTCAGCCGCTGGACCTCATCTCACGACTCTTTGGTACGTGGCACCAATTGTAACGGCCCTACATAGGCCGCTCCCTTATATCAATCTACGTTTTGATAGACGATCATATTCAGCAACCCGATGCTCACGTTGCCGATTTTGATCCTTCTGGCCAGTTCTCACAGCTGTTTGCTCAACATGGCGATCGGCAACAAGTATGCTCACGCAACTTCTCTCGTAATTGATTCCCTTGCTTACGTTACCTCGTAGATCCCTTCCTTAAACGACGTGCCTGTACACCAGATCCCGAAAAACTCGTTGGTGCGCTTTCGCTGCATGGTCCAGGACACAGGATTAGGCCAAGAAATGTTTGTTGCCGCTTATGATCGTTTCGAGGACAATCGCAAACAGACCGTCTGCTATCGCTACACGGACGATGCTATTGATGTCGAGGTAAATAGAACTTGGAATCCAACTCCAAGGGGCAACGCGAAAAGGGAAGTTGACATTGGTGCGTGTAGGAACACTTGGGACAGAATGGCGTACCGAATGAATATTTAGGCGAACGTAGCATTATGTATTGCGTTTCGCCTCCCGGAGAATCCCGCTGGGTGAAAGACCATCATGATCATAGTGGTAAGCGTTACGGCTTGGCAGATACGACAGGGCGATATATTGGGTCATTAAACGGCACGGACTTTGTAGATCTAAGCACAGTCATGGATCGAATGCAGCTTAAAGATGGCAATGAGGGTGTGGTAGCCCGTAAATATCCTCTTCCTGGCGAACCTCACTTGCCTGTCATTGTAAAGTTTTATAATGCCACCGAAAATGTCACGGTCGGTCAACTGATCCAAGTCGTCGGTGTGTTGGGTAATCCTGTGGAACCTGAACCGGTCATGGAAGGATTTGATTCGCCACTGGCTCCCTTCACAGGCATGCCTGTAATGCATGCCATCACATACTGGCCATTGTCGGATCACTTGAAGAGTCCCTTCAACGCCAGCGATCTCGCTGATATGCCGCCTCAAGCACGAGATATTCGTCCGCAACTTATCGATCACATTGCCACTGCATTTGGAGGTGATAAATTAGTGGCTGAATTTATTTTACTTCAGTTGCTGGCTAAAGTGTAAGCTGATCTGTGACTGTGTGTGCGTTTTCTGCATTTTGTACCTGACAATTTTTTTGTGACACCCTCAATCAATTAGGACGGCTAAAAATAGAGGCGTCAAAATCGGCCAGTTGACGCTTAACGTTGCCAACTTTTGCCAATCTCAAGATCAAGAGTCTAAGAAGGAAAGCAGCGCTCTGGAATTCACCAACCCAGCGAGTCGGCGCGTATTTTCTCTCATTAGCAACCTTGTACTCCATGCGGTGCCTTTACCACTGAGCCTGGAAGTGTTGAATAAGGTCATCTTTCGACCCAAAAGCGTGAATGAAAGCCTGCAGGCAGGTGTACTCCAACTTGTCGATGGAACCACACTCGTCGTCGACGAAACCGTTTTGTCAGAAGGAACTTTGGGCGATAATGGTGAGTAGCACGCATCAGCGACACTCTGCGTGGATAAGAAATACTAACAAACCATTATCTGCCGTGTGCCTTGATTTAGGTGTCCGTAATATTCAAGCACTGAATAATGTGATTGTAAGCCAAACTCTTGCCTACGAATTTCCGTATAGCCAATTTGATTTCGATACCGATCTTGGTATTATCGTTCTATCAAGCACAAAATCCATGCTACCAGTAAGTCTTTGTAAATCGAAATCCGAGAAAGTAATGCCGATGACTCACTTGTTCTTTATCCGCTTTTCTAAATAGAGCCACTGTGTTGTTCCATTAGAAGCCGCTTATCCATTAGCTGAAGCAAATGAAGACGATTTTGGTGCCGTTTCCAAAGACACATTGCGTTTGTTCCGTACCTTTATTCAAGCGGCAAAAACTTTAGATTATGAAATTCCAGAGCATGTTTCCGAGGTAACTAGAGTGAACATCATCATGATGGTTTAAGTGGCCTAGTATCTCACACCTCGGTGTCTCTGTAGTACATCCAAGATGCCTTTGTCCAAAATCGTAAAGCGGCGACAACCGAAGGCCGCAAGCTGTTAAGCCAAGAGGATCTGATGCTGAGAATGAATCTTGCACGCCTGATCGCTGTGTCTTTTGGAGAAACATCATTGACCAAGGAAATCTATGATCATGCTACCAAACTGGATGAAGCCCGTTTAGCAAGATTAGAAAGCCAACAGCAAGTTGTCGGTAAATAGATCTATTCATCCCGTATATGTACAATAAAAGAAATGCAATAATGGAATATGAAGTTACTTTTTCCTCGGCAGAAAGTTAACTTTACCACTGAGCTCTCCATCATGAGTACCGGGAATTTACTACTTGTTTCGAATTTTTTTTTGGGAGCTATAGATGATCCCGTTGAAGCGGCTTTTAGCCGCTGAATTCTAGTCATATTGTGCATACCGCCATCTCTTTTGATATGAGCACACACGTCTGATCTACGTTCTCTGTTTTTGCATGAAACAAAGGAAAATGTGGCGGAGGGGAGTCTGATCGACCTGCATTGACGCTTTTCAGGCACTGTATGCATCACGTGCGTGCCGCGTAATTTACTGCAGGAATTGTCGTTTCCTAAGACCATCCGACCCAATTGTGCCAGGTTTCCGCCCAGGCACGTCCCGCGTGCAAGATGATTATTGTAGAGACAGTGGACATTTTGCTCGGTCCTTCATTTACTTGTCTCAAGCCACACTTGTTCGGATTGTTGCCTTCTCTTTTCCAGCGATCATTCGACATCGAATAAGAATCAATGGAGGGAATGTGAATTTTGTCCTTGGATCGTAATAAAATTTGCAGGTGACCTGAAGATGACTGAAGACTGCATTAATTGCTTGTCGTAAGGTGAGTAATCAATTATCAACAAAGATGCCATTGAGAAATCTTTCTCCTGGCTTTTGTTGTTAGGATAGTGATTTACAGTGGCTGGGGTCATGTATAACTTGATGACTGTGTGGTCTGTGCGAATTATCAGTTGCTTCGTAAATAATGCTGGTAGATCATACCAATTACCACGGTGTACGTATGCATATCAATTTTCGATATTAAATCTTGATGCATAACTATATGCCCTTTTTCCTGGCAACGATGCTCAATAAAATAGATGGCCACGGTGTGCATCTTGAACAAATGAATAAAGAAGATCCAATGAAATGTGCTTCAATGAATAGGTAGCGTGTAACGTGTAATAAAATGCACTAGTCAATTCTTGGAACTGTTGTCAGCCGCCAAGTCTCTCGAGGTCAATGTCGGAGTTGGATACAAATAGAAAAAAAAGTGCCTCAAAAACCGCATAGCCCGAAATGAAGAAAATCATTTTTTATACGAGCCAAACCTACTTGTCAGTAATAAGATCAGATGAGTTAGATTATAACCCTTGGACCTTTTTCAATTCGCTTTTTTTAGCCTAACGTCACAACATTCCATTGACGGTATGGTGATGACCTGAATGAAATAAAGTTGAGTTTGTTCTACTCTCCTTTTTAATGTTACACGAAGCGGTTGGCGAACGAAAAAGCGTCGAGTAAGGAAAGCGCGACAACCGATATGATTTCGATAGTGGACAAGATTACGGTAGAGCCAAGACGGGCGAGGATAAAATAATTGGCAATTCGAGTTCCTTGCCAATGGAAGCTACAATATTGCATGTCTTTTTTCGGACAACCCCGTGCATGGTGAAGCAGTATGTGCAACAAAAACGAGATTAGGAAAAAGTGAAATAAAAATTGTGCATTACACGAATAATATTATGACCTGTTGGAAGCCTCGTTGCATTTTTCCGTTTTTTTATTTTCAAGCTTTGGCTGTCTGATCTTCCCACTTTTTTGTTTACCGGATCTCTTCAATCTCCAACACGATTGACAAGCCTACTTGTTCATCGGGTCATTGTCTTCCCCTTGACCTCCTACTCACTTGCACGCTAATATCCCGTCACGGTCACCATGGTAAAGGAAGGTCAAAGTCAGACGGCCGCTGTCCAAGTAGGCAAGTGATCAACCCTCGAGACACTATTCTCGTGTTAACCCGTTACTCACTCACAAATAATACTGGCGGTCTTTTAGCACTCCGTATTCGTCCACTCACGCAACGAGATCGGAATCAGCCTCGCTTTGCAAACTTGGCCAACGACGACATTCTCAAGATCCGCGATAATACGGTGCATGTCGTACCTCATAATAAACTCTTCAGCTTTGATATGGTCTTTGGACCTGACAGTCAACAGAGCGATATATTTTCGGGACTGGTCGATAAATTAATACACAAATTTGTAGACGGTAATTCACCCTCCTCGAGCATGATTGTATACCAAGGACCCAACTGACAAATTTGAGATGTTTCATAGGCTATAATGTCACAATTCTTGCTTATGTATGCATGCAGTTGGGGAAAGAAGGGATATATAACAGATCTTGATGAGGGTAAAAACTAACTTGAGCCGCATATTGGGCAACCTTTTTTTTTATCGACTTAGGGTCAAACTTCTTCTGGAAAGACATATACCATGGGAACTGCCCAGCATAACGGACGCATCGATCCAGAAGAGGAAGGCATTGTGCCTCGATCAATGGCACTGCTTTTTGATATTCTACAAAATTCATCCAACGAACCAACTCAACCTATTTCACCTACTTCATCAATCTCCTCCTCCACATCCTTGTCGAAAAACTCCAGCCGTCTACGTCCATTATCTAGAATTTCTACTCCTACACTGCGGCAACCACAAACCAATAATACACCCAAATCCCGCTATTCCGTCAAAGTCTCATTCGTGGAAATCTACAATGAAGAGCTCATCGATCTACTCAATACAGCCCCGGGTGTTGAAAGACCACCGGTAACGATCCGCGAAGATACTCGAGGGCATATTTACTGGACAGGCGTCAAAGAAATGAATGTCCAAAATACAGATGATGTCTTATTGTTAGTATCCCATACTCCTATCAGTGACAGATTGCATTCTCAACTTTGTTAAAAATTTTCTGTCGCTAGCTATCTCGAACAAGGCACTCAAAACCGAGCCACAGGAGCCACGGACATGAATGAGAAATCATCTCGATCACATGCCATCTTTTCTGTCACTTTACGGCAAGAAAAATGGTCTCCTGGCAGCTTGCATCATCCTGCTCGTGCAGAAAGCCCCGTTCCTTCCCGGAAAGCCCGCCCTTCCAGTGCACTAGCCAATCGATCCTCCAACAACGATATGCGATCCGCCGAAGATGGCGAATGGATGATTACCACGTCCAAGTTTCACTTTGTCGATCTCGCCGGTAGTGAAAGGGTATATACAACTTGGACGACAGCATTGTAAGAGTGGATATTGACCCATGTGTTTTTCTCTAGCTAAAACGTACAGCAGCGGAAGGCGATCGTCGAAAAGAAGGCATCAATATCAATGCGGGATTGCTTGCTCTGGGCAATGTGATCTCAGCACTGGGAGATCCATCAAAAAGAAGCACTCATATTCCATATCGTGATTCTAAACTGACACGGTTGCTGCAAGATTCCCTAGGTGGCAGTGCCACCACGCTGATGATTGCTTGTGCCAGCCCCGTTGAAAATAACCTTGCCGAAACACTCAATACCCTACAATACGCTAATCGCGCTCGTAATATCAAGAATAAGATTGAAAAGAACGAAGTGGAAGAATGGATGACCACCGATAATATTGAACTCTTGCGTAATATGATCGGAAAACTGAAAAACGAGCTTCGCTTCCTGAAAGCAGGTACATTGCCACCTCCACCTGTCCATCGTGGAGAAAGTCCACCCTCGCCTATTCCTGGAAATCTTGACCCGGATCAAATGTATCAAGAACAACGCATGATGATCGCCGATTTGCAACGACAAGTCGAAGAACTGGACGGCGAAGCCTCGGTGACGAGAGAACGCAACAGGATGGTTGAAGCGGAACTGAAGCGGTTACGTAAAGTGGAAACCGTTCGAAAACGGGAAGCCGAGTTGAATTCCTCCAACAATGAAGATTTCCAACATCTCGTTGAACCAGTCATTGAAGAATACGAAAAGAGCATTGCTGCCCTAGAGTCGCAACTAGCCATGTCACGAGCTGCTCTCAACCATTCCGACATTGGTTTCGAGGAGCAGCAGACCAAAATCGAGCATTACGAATCCGTGATTGACAGTCAGGAACACGCCATTGGTGAACTCCGGTTACGACTAGGCAAGGTTCTTGAAAGAGAACACAGTAATGACATATACATCGAAGAGCTCGAATCCAAATTAATGCGATCTGCCGATGATGCTATGCGGGATCAAGAACTGTTGAATGAACTCAAAGTTCGGATCATGAAGTTCAAAGAAACCGATGAAAATACGGAGCAGTATATTCTCGATCTTGAACAACGCTTGACGGCTAGCGAATCCAAACGGGCAAAGTTGACAGAAACGGTTGAACAGCTGGAATCGCAAATTGCCGAGAAAGAAAAAGCGAACCACACTCTCAAGGAAAAGCTGTCAAAGCAACATCATGTGAGCACTGAAAAACTGCTGCTGCAAGAACTTGATGACATGACAGCCAAATATCAAAACATGGAAATTGAGCGAAACAATCTCCAAAAACAAGTGGAACAATTAACATCGGGAACTTCCACTGAAGTAGCTGCACGACCCGGTACACCGGGAGCGAACAATGAGTCTACGTCAGCCGAGTCCCTGGAGGAGGAAACATCTCGGGTGTCTGCCAAGAAGAGTGGTGACCATCAGCGGAACAACTATCGCCGAAGTTTAGCGGATGAAAAGGAGACAGCGGAATCGACGGCTGCGCTCAATGCCAAATTTGCCGAAGAAAGAGCCCAGGAAGAAGCTGCGCGGGCGCAGCGGCTCGAAGAGGCCCTCAAGTTACTGCAGAACCAACACGAAGACGCATTGAAAGAGCTGGATGAAGTGACTCGGAAATATGAAGACAGTCAAGAACAGATCAAAATGTTGGAGGATCATGGTCATTCTCACCCTACCGAGTCCACCAATGACCTTGATAAGGAAATTACGCGGGCCAAAGAAGAAGCCTATCTTACCGAACGAGAAAACCATATCAAACAGATAGCGGCATTGGAACAGAATGTTCTGGATCTGTACGTGCAAATTGATCAGCGACAAAGTCAGCTTCATGACCACCACGATGTGAGCAGAGAACTTCAGACAAAGTTGGAATGCGCTGTGGATGAGAAGCGGCAAGTCACATCGCACCTGATCGAAATCTGTGGCCTGATTCAGCACTTGCAGCTGGATGTAGACAAGGCGAGGAATGATGTACCTGACAAGCAATTATCCGAGGAGCAGCAGCAAGTGGAAGAGCTTGAAAAAATGCTAGAGGAACTCGACTCTAACCAATCCGTCGATCCAATGACGCTGGCAGACCAGTCTTCAGCAACCATGAAAGACCAGTCAATTCAATCATTACATCATGTTCAGCGACAATTTGCCGAACTTCAGACGCAGTATAAAAACTCATCCGAGGCTCTTGCCAAAGCGAAAGGTTATCATAAAGAAATCACCACAGCACTGGAGGAGATGTCCCGCCTGCAACAAGCATACCAAAATATCGAGGCCCAGAAGCGTGAGTCGGAATCTGTTTGTGCACAACTGCAGGAAAAAATCGAAACTCTGCAAATGCAGCAACGGGAGTCAGAATCGGTCCATGCGCAGTTAGAGGAAGAAAACGAAGCCTTTAAAAATCAGCTGGAGGAGCTTCGACAGAGTGAGAATACTGTCAAGAATGAACTGTCAAGTGCACACTCACGAATTCAAGAATTGGAGGTTTCGTTACAATCAGCAACTCGGCAAAAAACAGAGGTACTTCAGCAAGTGCAACGCCAATTGGAAAAATTGAAAGCCAACCTGTGGATTACACCCGTTCAAGTGCCAGCTTTGCGTGAAATCATCGAACCGATGGCATCCATGGTTAAGCAAGGAGATATCGATGTACGTGATATGGATACTCTCGAACGGTCACTCGCTTCTGTACTTTCGGTGGTTATTTCTGGCAACGAAGCGATTGAAAAAATGGATGCAGCATGGCAAACGCTGGAAGCAGAGAAGGAGACGATGTCTGCCCAGTTTGATAGGCAACAACAGGAACTGGATGCTGCGTTGGCCGCCAACGTGGCACTGCGTGAATTTCACGAAAAGAATCTTGGTGATCAAGATACAACAATTGCCGCGTGGAAAGAGGAACATGTTAAAATGAGTAACAGTCTCGAAAAAGCCTTGAGCGAAAATACCGGTCTCAATCACACACTTCAAGCCGCCGAAGCTGATCTGAAACGCTTACAAGAACAACTGCAACAGAAAGACCACGAACATCAAGCATCCGTGCAGCATGTGACATCAACCCAAGCTACAATTGAGCATCTCAAGTCATTGCTGGAGCAAGCCAACACCACGAATACTGAACTCAAGGAAAAGCTCATCAAGACCGAGGAAGCATTGGCGTTGATGGAGTCACACAAGGAGCAGCAAACCAAGGACGATTTGAACAAAGCTCAATTGGAAGCAGAAGAATTGGAAGCTTTATTGCAAACCACTTGCACGCATAAGAACGAACTGCAGGACAAGCTACTTCAACTTGAACGTGAATTTGAAGAATACAAGCAAGAAGCAAAGGGGAACCAGATGTCTGAACGGGAATCAGTTCAGCTACAGCAAGACGCTCTCAAGCAATTGAATGAACAATTAACCACTCAGAAGAACGACCTTGAGAAGGAACTTGCTGATGTGCAAACAGCTTTGAATGAAACAGAGGACAAAATGGATCATTCGGCTACGGAACTGGAACACAAAAATTCGCAAATCCAACAACTCGAGCAACAGCTGCAAGATACTACTTCCGCACTCACATCTTTGAAAGAACAAAGCGAGCACCAAAACAGCACGGGGATTCAGACCCTCCAACAGCACTGCAGCGAACTAGAGTCCCAACTTGACGGTCTTGAAAAGGAAAAACGATGGATGATTGAAGAATTGACGTCGCTTAGAACGGCGAAAGCAACGCAAGAATTGGAAAAGATGGTGAATAGTCATGACTATGCCGCCAATGACGACCAAGGTGTATCGGAAAATGGAAAGAACGATGTTTCCAACTTGTCTGTTGATGGTGCTGATCCTTTGAGTCTTATAAAAGGCTTGGAAAAGGATTTAGCAAAGGCCAATGACCTGTTGCAATCCAAGGATTTGCAGATCCACTCGCTACAATCACAAGTCGATGCTCACATTCGCTCCATATTCAAACTGCGCGAAGAATTGGATAACGCTGCCGAAAACAAAGAGTCCAACGCCCTTGATCAGAGTGAACGTGAAGATTTATTGGAACGCTTGGATCGAAAGGACAGCGAGCTTTTCGAAATATCGCAAGGGTACGAAAAAGAAATTGATGAGCTCAAGGATGATTTGAATAAATTATTACAAGAGCTGGACACGAAGCGTGACGCTGTAGCCATCCACGAAGAAAAGATACGATCATTGGAAGCCACCATTCATCATCTCGAATCCACGCTGGCAGAAAAGAATAAAACCGTTCCGTCAAGCACCCCATCTTCTTCCTCACGACAGGCTACGAGAGATAATGAAGTCTCAAAAGACGAATCTTCCGCGCCGGCGGAAGCTCTCAGGACAGCCACAGCATTGACAGCGGAAAAGGCCGAAATGGAAGCGTCTCTGGAAGCATTGACAATTGAACTGCAGGATTGGAAGTGTAAATACGACGATCAGTGTACAGCATTAGAGCAGGCGAAGGAGGCGATCCGTCGACTGGAGACTGTCACCGCCGATCAAGCGCAGGAAAACAGTGAACTCATGGACTGTGTGACTGAATTAGACAAGCAGATGTTGGAGTCCCAGGAAAATCACAAGAAAGAGATTCAGGAGATGAAGGAGGATCTGGATGACCTGATCACAGAAAATGCTACGCTCGAAAAGGAATTGGCGTTACTCAAACAATCTCACGTTGCGTCAATGCCACAGACACCACGAGCGTCTAGTGCATCCATGCGAACCAACGACTCGGATTCCGACCAACTGTCCATCCTTCACAACGGTACGCAGACGGAGCCCAATCTATCCGAACCAAGTGCAGCACAGACATTGGAGAATGACGCCACCGTCGCTGCCGATGAAGATGATCAGGAAACGAAGAAGCTTCTCCAAGACATGGAACAGCGGGTCAAGGAGCATCAACGCGTTATTGCGCAATTGGAAGGGAATCTGAAATCGAAAGAAATGGCGTTCCGTGAAGCGCAACGTCAGGTGGACGTATTGACGCATGACAAACAAAGCTCAGATGAAGAGCTTGAGAAAGCGAAGCAAGACTTGGAACAACAAGAGCTGAAGCATGACCAATTAATGCAAGAAAAACAAAGCCTGGAGAAACAGTTGACTACCGCCAAACAAGCAAGGGAAAAGGCGGAACAAGCCAAAGCGATTTTGGAGAATCGATTGGAAGAATTACTCAATCGAAAAAATAAGTTTATTTGCTTTTAATGCAATGCATCTGTATAATAAAGAATCATTCTGTTTAAATTTTCTTAAAGGGATCCGTGATCATCCTCCAGGTGGTTTACAATGGGGTCGTCACCCATTCCAGCCTCAACAGGTTTTTTTTTTTTCGTTGCCAATGGATTGACAGTCCGTAGTCGGAGAGCCAAAAGAAAAAGCCCCACAGAACAAGGAGTTATTCCTGCATTGCATGCGCAGATGGATCACGAGGCACGATGATATCAAATGATAAAGCTTGTGTTAGCATTATTGGATATGGAGTCATTCGGTCCTCGATCCATGGACCAAACCTTTACCATGGATTGATGGAAAAGGTTTCCCGTTTCCTTCCTATGCATCAGCATAACAACTACCCCCCTCCGACAACATGTGGCAATGCAGTGTTTTGGAAGAGCGCAATTGTGCTTTTTTTTCTTTTTTCTTTGGCTCACTTTTCGGCATTTTCTAATTTAAGCGATATCATTGGACAAAAAGGAGAGAAGAACAAATAAAATAAAGGAACAAAGTGAACTGTCGCCATCCATTAGCAAAGGCGACAAGTCTGTTTTTGGTAAGATCTGTTTTTTTTGTTTCCTTGTTTCTTTCGTTGATTTTCCGTACATCTTGTCATCACTCGTGGCCAAGTAACGAACGATGACAGAACCTTGGATCGGTGTGAAATGAAGGGAGAATGATATCATTGACACCTCATTCGCGATCTTACAATAATATAAAAGCATACTGCAGTCTAATAGAGTTTGCGTTTCATCGTGCTCACCTGCTTTTTTTTTTCTTCAAGCTAAAAAAGGTGCGTCATTTTTTTTTGTTTTTGATGACCAATTAAACCAAGCAAATTTGGGCGTTGCAACCTTTTTTTTTCTTTTGCGCCTAAAAAGGACGCTCAGAGATGATAGGAGTAGGCAGGGGGTGAAAAGGAACTTTCGGGGGTTACTTGTATTTTGTTTGGAATTCACAAAAAAAAAGATCCCTATTTGTAAATCTACACATGATCTTGTTACCATGGACAATGACTAACCCAGGCGACCCGCAGCGATAAAGAAATCAATAACCATCGGAACCATTAAATATGTTCATGGTAATGACAATGCTTCATGTTTCATGTCCATGGTTGGACCCGGTTGTAATGGAAACTGCAACATAATTCATCATGACGCAAAAATAAAAATATTTTCGATCTTCCTCAGATAGAGATAAAAAGAAAGTTAAGGGTGAATGCACAAAAAAGGCATATTGTTCCTGCATTGATTTAATGATGCCACGTACAACCGGCCAAACTAAAACGGCCAAAAAAAAAAAAAAACTTAATTCTAGATTCCAGGAGTTGACGAGTATCCAATATTGTTTTTCCATGGGTCATGGAATGCTTTCAAATAAACTTTATTGTTGGGCGCGCTTCTTCAGGGGCGAGGGAAAAAATGGTCGGATGCATTACTCTTTGTGATATACAAAGTTCAGGATCATTCATTGTGTATATTCAAAACATCCTTAGGGGAATCCTTTCAACAAAACAAGGGTGCACTCTGTGGATACACTGTGGCTATAGTGATAGGAGCAATCCTGATAAAGTGGATCGAATGGGTGAATGCTTTTGTTTTCTTTTTTTTTTTTTTATCATTGAGACTTTGGGTATTGTCTGCATTTTTTTTTTTTTTTAGGTAATTGACCATCTGCTTGAAGTCTGTCAAGAGCACATAGATGATCAGTCATCCCAATTCCTTTTAGTTTGACATTTTTTTTTTCATATCACCGGAGGATAGACATCGATGATCATCCAATTCTACCCATCCATCAAATTGACATGGATGCGGTCAGCGTGTGCAAGCGAATTGGAAAAAGAAAGGGTCATATGGTCAGTGCACGACGGATGATGTTGAACGTGTGGATTATGCGAATCGCTTTGTACTATTCTTATTTAAGGGTAAAGTTCAAGGGAGAACACACCCAAGCGGATCTGAGTTCGTATTTCAACTGTTGAGTTATCAATCTGCGTAGTAAGACAAAATGCAGCCAAGCGATTATGTCCGGTTAGCGTAAAGCGCCGAGATCGATGAAATATCCCAAAAGAAAAAAAAATGTTGCCATTATACACAACGATCGAAAAGGGTTAATTGGAAAAAAAAAATGGATAGGAGTAGTTAGAGGAGGCGTAGCTGCATAATACCCAAACCAGAGCCATCATTTTTTAGTCACGCGCGGGCTCATTGGCGAAAAAAGCAAAAAAAAAAAAAAAAAAAAGTGCGAGAAAGAGAGAGAAAAGAGGGAAAAAAATTCAAGGGATGAACGTGGACGATACGCATTATGTGTTTGAGGATTTCTTTTCTACCGTTCGCCAGCCCATCTAGATTGTTGTTGAAAATATTGACATATTGCATGGATGCTTGGATGCTTGGCTCCACAACACAAAACCTTATGCAATAGACCACGAAGAAAAAAACGATGTGCAGTTACTCAGAAGGTATATTTTAGTGCCCACTGACAATCCTCGGTCTTTTAAATATCAGTAAGGAAAAACGCCCAGCTATGCAGACAGATTTTTTTTTCTCTTGCAATTGTGACCTAAACTCTATATGGATGCTTTGTGTTCTACAAGACATTTTCCCCCGAGGAGATGTGCGGCATTAAATTACATATGAATATAAAAATGGTGTATTCACATATGCATGTAGGTTATCTGTATATAAGCTATTTGTTTTTCCTTTTTCTTTTGGTCGCTTTGCCTCGATTTTTTTTTTATCTGTCGCTTTTCACTTTTATCCGTCTCAACTGTTGTCATCAATCCCATGGTAAATTTTTAGCTTCCCCTATGTTCATCTTTTATGATATGAATTTATATTCATGATAAATGATTTATCTGTCTTTTAGTTATCATCAGCGCGTGAATTCTCTCCTCTAGTGTTATTCAATGATTTTTCCTCCAGTCGACTAGCAATGTCCTTGCAGAACAATGCTCAGCACCGCATGAAGGTGGACCAGCATCGAGAGAAGACGACCAAAATGCTTGAAGCCAATGCAAGATATTGGACGGTTCCGCCATACGATAGCAGCGTTCACGGAGATTTCGGTATGTAGATTGCTCGTGGGTTCAACAAGAAAAGCACAAGATCACTCAATGAAAGTTGTACTACAAATGTGTGTTTTCTTTTTTTCAGCAGATTATGCAAAGGACAACGAAGTACATGTGTCGCCAAGTACATCCACATCCAGCACTTCGAGTGCTTCCAGTACTTCCAGCGATAGCTCAACTGACAGTATTGCCACGATCGACACGCCACCTAGGTCGGTTGAGCCCATGATTTACACTTCAACGCCACTGAGTGTAAAAGGCCTCTTATCAGCTGAGGCTCCCGTGCTGATCGTCAATGTACCATCATCCATCGATCTTCCCGTTCCTAGCACTGACATCAATAAAAAACGTCGTCGCGGCAACCTTCCCAAGCAAGTAACGGAATTTCTCAAACGCTGGCTTCTTTCCCATAAGAAGCATCCCTACCCTTCCGAAAAAGAAAAAATCGAACTCGCCCATCGTACTGGTTTAACTGTCAACCAAATCAGCAATTGGTTTATCAATGCACGCCGGCGCATCTTGCAACCATTGCTCGAATCGGAAAACCTGACGGCGCAAATGTTTGCTTGCCCAGATACTGATTTACTCGCAGCTGAACAAAGGCGACGACGACAACTCGATATCTATGCTTATCAAGGCTTCACAGGTAAATAAACCGCTCGACATGAATCATGTTACTGAACCATGACCATTAACCGGAAAAATTCCCTTTTTACAGAATTGTCTGAGGAAGACAGTAGCAGACGATGGAACGTCCGTCGAACAAAGCTGACCAACTTTGACATGGATCATCAATACTCATTGAGCATGCGATAAACTTCCCTTTCTCTCGCTTACTCCATCATTTTCCCTTTCTATTATTTATTATTCGTATAGCATTATCTTTCCTCATATACATATATTTTAACTAGTTATTTCCTATCTATGTACAATACCCATACTGTCTGCTTGCCACTCGTTCCTTCTTCCCTCCAGTTATCGAAGACCGATGCCTTTTTTTTTTTTCATACCTCCCGCTTCAGCATCATTCTGGTCTACCTTTTGCTTTTGCATATTCCGTTTGTTTCCATTATTTCCATCCATCCATTTCATTCCTTTGCAGCTCATTTGAGATGTTCACACATGATCTGAAAGAGCTTGCCATTTTGTATGCTTCCCTCTTCGCTTTCTTTGCGAACATTTGTTTCTTCCTTGTTAGTGACACGATTTTCAATATCTACCGTCCCACTCATTTTATGTTGCCTTGCAACAACGCGTTATTACGATTGTGTAAATTATTTGTATGTTCTATTATCCCCTTTTTTTGATGAATATCTGTTTCTGTTGATATGTTTATGATTAAATGATTGGCTTTTCGGATGATTCAAAGGATTTCTCTCTGTGTTTGAGTCATGTCTACAGCTGCATTACCAACACGGGCGTGTAGTCCATTTCATTGGGAGAACACCGTACCTGCGTCCCAGACTGGATACACAAGCACAAAATTTTAGTGAATTTATTTGTCATTGGTGGCACAACCAAGATGTAGGATGGCTGTACCGACCCCAGCCGAACCGATCATCCAGCACCCAAACGTATCAAATACAGTGAGAAGAAAACTTTGAATGGTGTGACAAGGAGCACATGAGCAGCTTTTTTTTTAAAGTTTTTCTTTTTTTCTTTCACAACAGACAAAGCGCCAAACAAGGAGGTTCCCAATCATTCCCCCCTGGACTTCTTTGATTCTCATCAGGATCAGGAACACAGTGAAGAAGGAAAGCGATGTCCACATACACGTATCACCGTAGGTCACATTCACCAGGTCGAAGCACAGAGATGCGTCAATATTTGCCATTTTTTTCTGTCATAAGATTTCCGCCGAGTCGTACTAAAATCCAGAAACCTCATGAAGCCCAAAAAAATTTATGCTAATGATTACGTATTGTAAAACCAACGTGCCTCTGATTTGGCACCCATCATCCAAAAAGGAACAACGTTTCTCAAGTACTGGCAGTGTAACCACAGAATTCTAACGTTTGATAAACTAGTCCCCTGGTGTGGAGCCTGTTTCGAAGAGAACATGTGCGGTAGATCCACTCTCCTTGACAGTTTATTTGCAAAAAAAAAAAAAAAAAAAAAAAGATAAAAACCAAAAGTCGCGGATAAACCATTTGCCGTCATTGTGCGATGATGGGAGATCACAGAACAGTCCCCGAAAGATTCAGTGCCACTGCACGAATGTTGATGAGGTGAAGATCGAAAAGGTCTGTGCGTACAATGAGATGACGAGATAATCATGCGTCACAAGGATACAGAAGCGCACCGACATTACCATTTTTTAGCTGTTTGCATCGCCAGAATTGCTATCATTACTACGATGTCCGTCTGTCTTTCAAATTTCGAAGTGGAGGTAGAAATAGGAGAACCAAGCTGCTGCATCCGGCTTTCACCAAGTCGGATTAAGGAGTCAAATCAAACGAAGAGTCGCGGATTAGCACCGTATGGAGCGGATATGTGGGTTTGTTGGATATCGATATCCATGTATTTCAAATGGGTTATAATGGAAAACTCTTCATCGGAACGGATGTCCGGCATTTGACTGTAAACTCAATCTCACCAAAAATGATGGAACTAGGCTGTTATCGTTGATTCAAAAGTGACAATAATGATAAATTCTGCTACATCAATCTATCACCATCTTATCGTACAACTTACAGCGCCCTTCCGCTATTGTACGTGCGCAAGCGAGCTGTCTGGGACAATCGCATGATCTTTACCTTGACACGTCTCACGCCCTCAAAACTTGGAATGATGACTGGGTCCGATGTTGTCACCATGACATGTTAACACATACAAAAGGGATGAAGTACGTATCAGCAAGAAATAGCCTAACAAGTAGCTATTTCTAATCAAATAGTCACCTACACACGAATTGCCATCTATTGGGGACTGGGTGCACTTTCAGAAAAGGGCGCGATATTTGAACTTTTCACGTTACATGTGTTACACGAGTGCCAACTCCCTGACACTCATCTGACCAGTCATGTCAAGATGGGATGCAAGAAAATATCGTATGACGCTAAAAAAGCTCCGAGAGGCTTAGTTAATGCCAAGTTTTGTGCTAATGATACCGTAATTCAATACAACGTTTCGATGCTTCTATCACTTTTGAGGCCTGGAACGTCACTTCGTATGTTATAATCATACTGCCGGGATATTCTCATGATCAGCTTTTAGCTCCTGGTTGGTCGTTCCCAAGTAAGAGACTGTTTCAAACTTTTGACATGTTTCCGAGAATTCCAAGAAAAAAAAGCACCAACTTCCCCTTTCACGCAATAGCTGCCTGGATTCAGGGATTTATCGTACGCTTATATTTTAATTTCAGTTCCTCCATCAAGCAAAATGGTGTTGCTTGATCCTCCGCTACATACTTGGACGCGTAAGACTTGGCTCTCATGGATAACCGACATTTTCGCAAAATAGTTGACCAGTACAAAATTACTTTTTTGTCAAACCATGTATTCAAAATTTAGATGAGATAGCATAAGGAGGTATTAACTCAAAAGCGTGATGGCTAGGATAAAGACGACCTGAAGGTCAGAAAGATAGGGAACCAAATCCTGCTGCTTTTGAAGATCCGACAGCCAGTTTTTATTGGTCAATCAGCAAAAGGATGATAGTATTTTATGATGAATAAAAAGAAGAAAGGGAAGAAAATAACGTAGGCAGCTTGTATGAATCGATCATAGAGGAAAAGAAAAAGAGAAAAAAAAATGATGAAGGAATAACAATTAGAGGTTAAAAGAAAACGAGAAAAACAGTATGGGTCCAGAAATTAAAAGATTTGGATAAAATGGATGCAAACGTCATTTAATAAATAACAGGACCTGCTTTGGTCTTGCTGGGAACAATGGTTCCCATCTTTATGACTTTGCGCATCATGCTCTTCATTTGTTTGTGCTTCGATGCTTTGTAATCGCAGGCTTGTGAATCAATTTCGTAGGCATCTTCTCGAATGGTTTCGTCGTTACTAAACTCACTATCCATGCCATGTGAACGATGCTTACGTAGGTTCAGTTTCATGTGAGAGAAGGAGTGATTGATCTTCTTGAGATGGGAGATGGACGAAGGGGACACTTGCTGTTTGCTGTCCTCTTCGTAGTATTCGTAACTCGGCATGCACAGTGGCAAAAATTCTGCAAATGCATCCTGAATCTGAGTTTCGATGTGAGTTGCACGGAATAAGTAAGATGAAGCAAAAGGATCGGCGGGAATGGGGATGATTGGTTTGCTCGCTTCGGCCACGATACGATATAATAAAGGTGAAGCCATTGCATCCGATGGTTGTAACTGGGTACTGAAAATGGAGATCCAGGGTTCCTCGATTTTGGTCGGTTCTTGTTCGTAGTCATCGTCGAGCATCGCCCGAAGACCGACAGCGTTGGAGATCCAATCGCTGTTCAGGTACTTTATTCTGCGGATAATGCGATCATACGACTTGGCTTTTGCATGAGCAGCATCGGCTTTAGAGATGGGTTGATATTCGACTGCGCGAGGGACTCGTTCAAAGCCTGAATCTACCCGAACAGGTTTGTGTTTTTTCGAGTGTTCGATGATCATCCTGGTCATAAAATGGCCAGCCTTCTCGGCAATGATAGGGTCGCAATCGGCGGGTCCCAAGGTGACCTTGCCCATCGCTTCACCGAGATGGTAAGCATCCATCAAATTTTTGTTCTTGTGTTGCATGACTTCAACCAAGAAATCCAAGATTTCGACAAGAAGCTGTTCTCCTTTTCGTGACATGTATCTTGACAGGTTTTGCAATGGGCAAGCTGCATGAAATAAGATTGTTCCACCAAAAAAATATTTCAAGTTGATAAAACGAAAATAGTACCAATTATTGAGAATATGATGAGATTCTTGGTTCGGTCAAAAGTAAAACATAATAGTATGAAATATCACACTTACTTTCGTAGTTGATGATTCGCCAAACTTTCTTAGGGACCATTCGTTCCTGACAACACCACAGCGTATCCTGCATCAATGTCGCAACCGAGTGGATGCTCACAGGCATCAAATCATCGGCGGTGCAATGTCGTTGTCTGAATACTTTTAATAAAAGGACGCTGTTGGGAGCTACAAAGTTTTCAGAGGGTTCATGATTAGAGAAGTTCGGTTGGGAAAGCATCAACGATGGGATATTTGTGTTTTGTATATATACTCTACCAGATTTCCGCAGAATTTTACGCTCTTCCATGCCTGGAAAGCAATTGAAAATGATAAGAGATGATGAAGCAAAAGAAAAAGTCAGATTAAAGTGGCATGACAGTAATTTTTCTTCTTCAGTTTACCTCGACGACGTATTTCGTCCATGCACAGGCGTGCTACTTGAGCAGCAAAGTCGAAAGAATCCAACATTAGAGTGCTGTATTAAAAATCTCAAGGTTAGTCCTAGCAACGCCAAGCGGGACGTCATTTTGCACATACTGTAATAACAACTTGCCTAGATTAATGATCAGTTAGAAAATTTATAAAAGAGGTTTCGATCGTTTAGAAATGACGAAGAAAAAAAAATCTTAAGGAAACAAACAAGAAGATACCTCCAGTTCAACTGTGAGCAGACTGTAAGTACGTTACCCCTTTGAACCAAGGAGTAAAGCAAGAAAAAAAAAAGGCATAAACACCACAAGGACTTTTAACTTTTGAATGTCGTTTCATACTATCCAATCGGTTAAAGTAAATTTATTCGATTTTTGATGATATGCACTGATGTCTTATGCAAAGCATCGTCCGGGTGGTGCGGTGCGATCTAACCATGTTCCTAATCACAATAAACCGAACAGTAGCACTGCATGGGCAAAAGTGGGACCTGAAAAGCATGCAAAAGATTGTTTCTTTTTTTTTTCTGCGACGGAGAAGAAGCATAATGAAGGGGCGCCTTCCAATTTGAAAAGGAGAGCAAGGGAAACGCGGCAGGGAGATGGCTTTCGGTGAAGAAGCGCTTTTCATCCCAATAAAATAGTAGAAGCACGTTGCATTGTTGAATGAATACAGTTAGTGTCCACGAGAAAAAAATTCAAACAAAAGATAGTAGTAAAAAGTTATCTTGCAGCAGGATAACCCACGTCTCGGATCAAAAAGCAATCGACAGGGTGCAGAAAAGTTTGTGTTCGGTGCGAAAAAATTGCCCTTCTTTGAGCGCGAAACCAAAAAAAATCTCTATCCAATCATGGATCGCCTGTGACGTAGTCTTTGCTGCCGTTTTAAGGCTGAAGAAAGCGGCGACCATAAACAGTCCAAAAAAATTGTCCCATTCATCACAGTCCCTTTTGACCTTGCACTTGGCCGTTTGTAAACTATGGATTTAGACACTCCTGCGGCAGGCTCTGACGCTAATAAATCGGAAGACGATCAAATGGTACTCAAGGATGAACCCGTAGTTCAGCAACAGCAACAACAGAATCAATCGTCATTGGAGGAAAACCAAGTCTCTGAAACGGACGAACAACAACCACAACAAGAAGCGGTGCCGCCACAGACAGAGCAACGCGTTGAGCCATCGCAAGCGGAACCATCCGAAGCTTCCCCGGCCGATGCCAGCCTTACGGAGACTCAGTCTCAAGAGCAAGACCGCGGTACTGAAAATCAAGAATCTGCGGACAATACAACGAATGCTGCCGACGTGACGATGGACGAAGCACAGAATGACCAGACTGTGAATACCAATGCAGACGCCAACAACATTCCAGAAAACACGGAAACACCAGGTTCTCGGAATCATGACGTAACAGAAACAGATGCTATGGATGTTACTGCGTCGACACCGGCCGTGCAAGAAGGGGACCCGAAGGAGACCCACCAGGAGATGCCGACACCCAATGCACCGGCTTCATGGCAAATTCCAGTGGCAGCTCTTCAGCAACCGAAAAACGAACCAAAAACAGAAGCTCCTCGCATCAATCAGAAACGCGAACGATTGGAGCAACGCATCAAAGAGTCCACTGATGATGTGGACGCATGGACAGCTCTCATTGCCGACATTCAACAAACAGGCGATCTAGCAGCAATACGCGATGTCTTTGAACGCTTTCTCCAAGTTTTTCCTACTTCGGTAAGTATTCTTTCTTATCATTTCTTTGATATTATTAAAATGGTATCGCCCGCGTCTCTTCAATTGTGAAAATTTGGTTGCATCTCTCTCTCTATCTCTCTCGCACTTTTCTGTGTATTTTGGTTGCTTTTTGAAGGCTGTTCACATGTATACAACGATTTTGGTGTTGGACGACGGAACGGACAATCTTATCACGACCCTGTATTCAATCAATCATCGATCATTGAATGAACTGGTGTCATGAAAGGTAAAGTGTGCATCTAGGTGGGTATATGGAGACTCCACAAGTCCCTTTCTCTGTTTTTCTTTTCATATTCTTTCTATTCTTTCTTTTCCTACTTATGATTCGATATGCGTCTACTTTTGGCACTTCCTGACAGGAAAAGATTGGTCATTGGATACGCAGAATAAAAGCGCCTCAGAATCCTCCCTCTGCGTGGAAAACTCCCTTGTATCCCACTTTGTGTTATGATGTCGTCTTTTTTTTTTTTTTTCTTTCACCACGACTATCATTTTGTCTGACAGATCATCTTCTGGGTACTTGAAGAGCACGATATGATTGGTATGCATTGTCTGACGCACTTTATGTTCCACTGAAACAAATGGTTTGTGATTTTCCAAAGAAGGAATGTTGTATCATGGATTCTGTCTTTGTGTATTTGTCTGCTTTGGTTTTTTTCTCCTTGTGCTGATATGTTCGTTATTTTTTTTTCTCTTATTGACTTGACTAGCTTGGATCGATGATGATACAAACCCTGAGTGTCGAAAACGATTTTCTGTGGAAGGAAACGATGAGCCAAGTTGTGATTAGGCAGAAGTACTCACGTTTTATTTGAAAAAGGGAGAATGACATGCAGCGAAAGAGAGACAAAGAGAGCCCAAGAGAGAGAGAGATGCAAAACCAACCGACTATATTTTTATTGACACTACACTGTGATTTCCCTATGGACTTACCCTTGGTTTGTTCTGTAGTCGAAACACTGGCTTGCTTACCTAGAATTGGAACTCAAATACTCCAACTTCAACGAAGTCGAAACATTGTTCACACGCTGCCTCAAGACCGTTCTTTCAGTCGACCTATGGAAATTCTATTTGGGTTATATCCGACGCATCAATCTCGGTGAACATGGTACCGCCGCCACTCCTGAGGCCAGAGGCATTGTCGAAAAAGCATACGAATACGTGCTCAACAATGTCGGCATCGACAAAGATGCGGGTCCCATTTGGGCCGATTACATCTTTTTCTTGAAATCAGCCGAGGTAATGTATGGACGATTATGGACAAGAGGCACTTGATGTTTAACCAAGCCCTCATTCTTACTAGACTACCAATACATGGGAAGAACAACGCAAGATGGACAGTATGCGGCGTGCCTATCAAAAGGCGGTGACCATCCCCTTGAACAATGTGGAACACTTGTGGAAAGAATACGATCAATGGGAGAACAATCTCAATCGGTTGACGGTACAGTATTCTCATCATCGATGGCAATCCCTGATCGGGTTTCTGACGTAGTATGTAGGCCAAGAAATTCCTCGGTGAACGCTCCTCTGCTTATATGACGGCCCGTACGGCGCTCAGAGAAATGCGCACGCTGACCGAACATATTAATCGTAACATTGTTCCACGACCACCCCAATGGACCGAAAAGGAGGTTCAACAAGTAAGTCTAATGTTCCTCTCAATGAGGCTCTTCTCAGCTGATAGTCTAATTAATTGTCTTGATTTTCCTTATAAACTTGCTCAGCTGCATCTGTGGAAAAAGTACATTCAGTGGGAAAAGAGCAATCCTCTTCAGTTGGATGAAGATAGTGCTGTCGCCGAGCGTGTGGCCTATGCTTATCAGCAAGCGTTTTTGGCCCTGAGGTTTTATCCGGAGCTCTGGTATGACTTTGCCAATTATTATCACGAAATTGGTAAACCCGAAAAGGCCATGTCCGTTTTGAAACAAAGTATCGAAGTGCTGCCTACCAGGTACGTTAAAAGGAGGTGATTCAACAGCCAAACCGCCAAGTTTCTTATACATATATTGTAGTTTATTGCTCCACTTTGCTTACGCTGAGGTGTGCGAATCGCGAAGAGATCTGGATGAAGCGAAAAAAGCATTTGATAATCTCTTGGAGCGACTGGATGAAGATATTGCCAAGCTCAAATCCGCTGCACAAAAGGAGGTGGACAAATTGAAACAGGAAGCCGAAGAGGAACGGGCCAATATGAACCTCGGCGATGATATCGATGGTGAACTGAAAGAGCAATTGCGTGAACGCGAAAAGCAACTGAAGAAGGAACAAGATGAAATTGAAGATCGTATGAAGGAGCAAGTGGATGTGATTGCGCGAGCTTGCTCCCTGGTGTGGATCTGCTACATGCGATTCGCAAGACGAACGGATGTAAGTTATTATGATGGACTTTCAACATTGCGTCATTGTTTTCCAACTGAAAGCTCTTTATCTAGGGTATCAAAAGTGCACGTGTCGTGTTTTCACGCGCACGTAAAGCCACTAACCGGACGTATCATGTTTTTATTGCTTCAGGTAAAGTACATGCCCTGTCCAGGATCGAAGCCATACAATCGAATTAACACATTGCATCGTGTGTTTAGCATTGATGGAATATCACAACAGCAAAGACGCTAATATTGCCGGCAATATCTTCAACTTTGGTATGAAATCCTTCGGTGACGATCCAGGCTATATTGGCGAATACCTGGATTTCCTTATTCAAATGAATGACGATAACAGTAAGTTGTGATTTGCGACAAGGCCATGATAAGCGGCGTTTTTTCACCAATGTTGTCTGGTCCAGATACACGTGCTTTGTTTGAAAGAACTCTCGCCACCATGCCAATCGAAAAATCAGATCCCATCTGGATGAAATTCTTGGATTATGAAAACAAATACGGCGATCTTGCAGGTGTACAAAACGTCGAGAAACGACGCAACGAAGCCGTGGGCAGTCGTAAGTGAAAAAATCAAACGAAAACAAAACCGACGATCGTTTTTATTCAATGAGTTTTGATCAGATAATCCGATGGAAACTTTCTTGTGCCGATACAGCTATTTGGATATTCATGCTATTGATGATCTCGAACTCGGCGGAGAAGGTAGGCCAACGTGTGTTGCTTAGTTGGTATGTTCATAAAAAATTCTTACTCTCTGGTTCTAGCACGCAAAGAAGTCTCTTCAGAGGCAGGACCCAAGCCCTCGGATCCAAGCGTAGGATCGGTCGGTGGCAAAGGAAAAGAACGAACATACAAAGATAAGAAGGCGCTTCTGGAACCTGTTTCTCCTGATCGATATCCTCGTCCGGATTTAAATCAATGGAAATCGTTCAAACCTTCTGCCGAGTCCAGCCGTCCTGTGGAACTTCCTGCCGCGACCGTGCCACCTGTGCCAGTGCCTGAACCGGCTGTACCGCCTCATCCTATGCCCGGTAAACCCGTGCCGTCGGGCCCACCCATGGCTTGGCAACACAACGCTCCTCCTTCCAAAACGCCCGCTCTACCCGATGCGGTCGCGTTTTTCGTTTCGAACCTTCCACTGCCACAAATGTTCAATGGTGAGCTTTGGTTCGTTTCCTTTTAGCGTTTAAACATTATTGTTGACGGTCATGCACTATCGGATAGGTCCCATCATTCAAGCCGCCGAGTTGGTAGATCTTTTACGCAATGTCATCATACCACTTCCACCACAAGGCAGTCAACCAAATATGCCACCCCCTGGTCGTGGTCCCATGGGTCCACCGCCCAAGGGTATGGGCATGCATTCCCCATCAGGTAGAGATATGCCACCTATGCGCGGTGGCTACGGCGGTCCTGGTCGCGGCCGTGGTAATTTCAAATCAAGGGTATGTCTGATATTCTCATCAAATCATATCAAGTCAAAGTCTAATGTAATGTTTGCAGGGAATGATGCGAGGCGGCAAACAGCTCGGAAAGCGTCGTATGCGAGACGATTACGATGACGACTACTCGGGCCACAAAGGTATGTGAAAAAAAAAAGCGCGTCCTAGGCTGTCAAGAAAAGTCGTTATTTATTAAAATAAATGTGCAGGCATGGGACCTAATCGCCCGCCAGAGTTTGATGTATTCCGAGCAAGACAAGTGAAACGACATAGAGATGATTTACCACCCTATTAGCCTTATTTCTTTTTGCGTTAATTTTGATTTTTCCTTTCATGAACATTCGATAAATTGACACGAACACACAAATAAAGCATGATAAAACAACGCGCATATTATTTGCCAGAGAATGATAGGAGCATGTGTTTATTTGAAAAAGGGAAGGGGACTAAGGCAAATTTTCATTATGAGGGGAACAATGAAATCACTGACCACCACGAAGACGGAGCACCAAGTGAAGGGTAGATTCCTTCTGGATGTTGTAGTCAGACAACGTACGACCGTCTTCCAATTGCTTGCCGGCGAAAATCAAACGTTGCTGATCCGGAGGGATACCTTCCTTATCCTGGATTTTTTGCTTGACGTTGTCGATGGAATCCGAAGACTCGACTTCCAAGGTAATTGTCTTGCCAGTCAAAGTCTTGACAAAGATCTGCATACCACCACGGAGACGCAGGACCAAATGAAGGGTGGATTCCTTCTGGATATTGTAGTCGGACAACGTACGGCCGTCTTCCAGCTGTTTACCGGCGAAAATCAAACGTTGCTGGTCCGGAGGAATACCTTCCTTATCTTGAATTTTTTGCTTGACGTTGTCAATCGAATCAGAGGATTCGACTTCCAGGGTGATTGTTTTACCCGTCAGGGTCTTGACAAAGATCTGCATACCACCACGAAGACGAAGGACCAAGTGGAGAGTGGATTCCTTTTGAATATTGTAGTCGGACAAGGTGCGACCATCTTCCAGCTGTTTACCAGCAAAAATGAGACGTTGCTGGTCCGGAGGAATACCTTCCTTATCTTGAATCTTTTGCTTGACGTTGTCGATGGAATCCGAAGACTCGACTTCCAAGGTAATGGTTTTGCCGGTCAAGGTCTTGACGAAAATCTGCATACCACCACGGAGACGGAGGACCAAGTGGAGAGTGGATTCCTTTTGAATATTGTAGTCGGACAAGGTGCGACCATCTTCCAACTGTTTACCGGCGAAAATAAGACGCTGCTGGTCTGGGGGAATGCCTTCTTTATCTTGAATCTTTTGTTTGACGTTGTCGATGGAATCGGAAGATTCGACTTCAAGAGTGATTGTCTTGCCGGTCAATGTCTTGACAAAGATTTGCATACCACCACGGAGACGGAGAACCAAGTGGAGAGTGGATTCCTTCTGGATGTTGTAATCGGACAAGGTACGACCGTCTTCCAGCTGCTTACCAGCAAAGATGAGACGTTGCTGGTCTGGGGGGATACCCTCCTTATCTTGAATTTTTTGCTTGACGTTATCGATGGAGTCAGACGACTCGACTTCAAGAGTGATAGTCTTGCCGGTCAAAGTCTTGACAAAGATTTGCATACCACCACGGAGACGCAGGACCAAGTGGAGAGTGGATTCCTTCTGAATGTTGTAATCTGACAATGTGCGGCCATCTTCAAGCTGCTTGCCAGCGAAGATGAGGCGCTGCTGGTCTGGAGGAATACCTTCCTTGTCTTGAATCTTCTGCTTGACGTTGTCAATAGAGTCAGAGGATTCGACCTCAAGGGTGATGGTCTTGCCAGTCAAAGTTTTAACGAAAATCTGCATGGTATGGGATATAAAGAAAAAAGTGTAAAGAAACAAGAAGAAAAAAGAGAGGAGGGGGGAAAATGCAGCCTTTTGAATATCCTTTTTTTTTCCTTTGGGCTGCGGCAAAACCGCTCCAAAATGTGATTGGTTCAATTTCAGACGATTGACGTCGTTAGTGAACCAATTTATCCGATTTCAGGATCGGTGTTTACATTTTGTTCATCGAAATTCCATATCCAATGATGATGAGATTTTTTTTGGGCTTACCATGTGATGTGAGTCCAAACCTTCCTTGTCGTGTGTTTCCCCAACGGTGATCATCTCTTTTTTTCTTTACAAATTGACACAATGATCAGACAATCCAACCAGGAGTTCCAACTTGTATTTTTATTTCATTTTCAGGAGCTGATTATCAGGAAAAAGCAATAAACTAGTGAATGCCTTGTATCTGTAGGAAATTTTTTGCGGACACCAGAAAAACTAAAAATACAATCGTGAGATCGCTCCATTTTGTTTGGCCGCTGCCGCAGTTGCCGAAATAGTGATAACAAGCAATACCAACGTCCCACTCCAAAGGTATTTTTTTTAACGTTCTCTTGCCGGCACTCGTAAAAAAATTCACCGGAAGAATCGCTAATTCGCATTCAAATTAACTATGCGGCACAAAAAACAAGGACGTCGATGGCTGAGAATCAAGTTTAAAGTGAACTCAAACAAGAGAAGTTTATATCAAAGACATCAATCATTAACAGCCGCTTTTGTTGGGTGTAAATTTGGTTACAGATTGTTTCAGAGGTAACTCGGTCAAAAATATAAAATGCCAGCGGCCTGACTATATACATATCAGTGATAACATGAGTACCATACTGCTACAAGGTCGCAGGAGAGAAGAATGTTGACCGATAATTGAGCGTTGGGAGCCTGTGTGCGGGGAACCCGACGCAAAAATACTATCGGGCCATCTGCCCGACCACATGTAAAAACTGTGCGGAAAAAATCAGGCTCCGCAGCCCGAGATGCACCAAAACTAAACTGATTAGCGCGACGTGGAAGCTTCTAGCGAATTATCGAGTGAGAAAAGATATGATGAGCAAGCAAAACACTGTCGTGAGCGGAATCACATGAGCAGTTGTGCGTTGGCCAGCGTGTTTAACAATAAGCGAGATGACCAAAATGGTGACATGACAAAAAAGCACAACAACGTAAAGCCATCACCCACTCACTACATGTGCATAAGCTGTCGTATGAAAGCGCTGATATTCAATGTCAGTGTCAGTCATCAGCAAACAGGAGACAAAGACGCTGCGACTTGCTGGCTGGTTCACCTCCAGACAAAGCTGCATGAAAAGGCGGAGAATAAACCATGCACGTTTCTAACGGCGGCAGGTGAATGAAGTCTTCTCAATTGCGGCCTGCAACTGGTGGTCTGCCATGTTGCCAAGTCAACTGAGATTGGTGAGACTGAGCTGTACATATTGGTTCAGTTTCTGCCATTCCCTTTGTATAAGGAACAATGATATTGATGGTCGAATTCCAGTGTAGATGCGTAATTTCCTTGTTCCCTTGATTTATTTTCCAGACTGCCAGACCACTTCCCATTGATGCACCACGTTCCTCCCATTAAAACTTGATAGTCGATCAGGGTTTTCAGCATCCTCCATTCTACTTTCAGGCACCTCTTTCCTGCCATTCGCCCATCCTTTGCACTGTAAGGCATCATGACAAAGTTTACGACATAAATCATGATTTAAAAAGAGGCGCTCTATACTGCGAAAATTCCAAGTTTCTTGTTGTGCTATGCGATCTCGTTCCTTGGATCGTATATGAGCACTGAAACTATTAAATAATGACATGGTTTTCGTACTGTTCGTGACCTCATTATCCTCCCACGCAAGGGATGTCAATTATGATCCCTTGTAGGAAAAGCTTCTATTTCTTCTCCCATTCTTCTCGTTCGAGCACGTCGTTGCTGCGCCACAGCATCAGCTCGAGTTGTTCTGGAGTACGCCTAGCGTGCGGCATTTTACGGTACTTGTGAAAGAAAAGTACAGTATATGGTACTGTTATTTCAAATAACAGAGGAAATAGCCATTAATGGATTATGGGCAAAAGCTTACCAACGGTGGTTTGTGCTCTTTTTTTTTTTCAAAAAAAAAAAAAAAAAATCATAGCGAAATTTACTGCATAAAATGTTGGCAATGGATCATGGGATATTGTATAAGGCCCTTTTTTAGAGTGTAATTCGATGCGAACACTACGTCGTTTTTTTATTACTCTATTTTTTCCAGCACCTCTCTTGCGTCATACAAATAGCCCAATTTCAAAAGGCGTTCCTCATACTTCATCAGAACGCCTAAAACGGGAAGGCAAGGGACTTGCTGAAAAAGGAAGACTAATGTAAGGGGGGGGGGGGAAATATAGCACGACTTTTTACTTTGGTACAGCCGCAAGATCATCGTCCCGTTAATCCATGAAAGGTCATGAAGTACTCTTTCGAAAGCGATCGTTTAGGCTTCCGGGTGCTCTTTCGTGGCTTAAATGTCCGTGCGAAGGCCATGTATTTCTCCATACTGGTTTTGGTTGGATTCTGATGCGATTGCGGTGTTTCTTGCGGCACTTCTTCTAATGTAACTGGCTCAGCTATGAACTCGCTGACGGCCTGTATCAGTCTGTATTGCTGCCGATACTTGATGGCGCGATTACGACGACTTCGATATTGCGGCGACTTGCGAATATTGCGGAGTTCTTCTTGTAGCTCGGAGTTGTAGTCGGCATCCATGCAAGCTTCGTACCGTTGTGACACCGTTGTATGCTTCTTGCGCTGAGAACTTCGTGGTAGCACGACTGGCTTTCGACCTTCGGGTGCGGGTATGGATTGGGCGGCTTCAGCGACTTTGGCATAAAGAGGTTTCTCGGTCGACACACTCTTGTCGTAATCTACGCGGACCCATTCTTGAACGGGCACCATGTGATGTTTAAACTCATCGGTGGTGTCTTGCTTCCGTACTAGATGCCACTCTCCGCCGATAGATGAAGAGCGGAGCGGTGGAAACTGCTCCTCATCAATCAGCAGTGACGTATGAACGCTGTCGACGTCGCTGTTGTTAATGACGGTTTCAGCAAAAGCAAGAGGAAAATCCATCAGTGGAAACGAAAAGGATAAAAGTGATGATGATTGAATAAAAGAGAACGAATAATGGAATTTTCCGCAAGTTATTTAACTGAACGGAGAATTCATGATCAGCAGGAGAGCAAGTGAAAAGGGCTTGCCCAAGTTAAGTAGACTACACGCACACGCCGCAGCAGATCGCTCAATATTTGGCATCCGTTTTGGGGGGAAAGAAACCGAGGACTTAGGGAGCCTTTTTTTTTGGGGGGGGGGGGAATCGAAGCTTTCCAAGGAAATGTTTTTAGATAACGCAACATCAGAACTGAAAATTGTTCATTGTCGAGCATCACATGATCGTTCTCATGGTTATCACAACTTATAATCGATTTATTCATTTTGTCATTTTGCGCTGTGATAAGAACATCATGCTGACATGGACCTGCCTATGAAATGATGAAGCTGACCTCTTTCAAATGATAGATCAGGTCTACCAAAAAAATTTGGATTATTGTATCATGGAAATTTTTAAGAAACCCAATCTCAAATAAGAAAGCTAATATTTGATAAAGCGTTTCTTTGTTTGTCAGAAGAAGAATATCAATGCTTTGTATCTTTTTCTTTGTCAGTTGAAACTTGAACCATTTGAATGTTTTAAAAATCGGAACAGCTGGTCAATATGAATCTATGTCAGCCATAACTTACAATAAAGAAGATAGTGCCTAGAACGCTACTGAAGCATCTTGGCGTATACTTTGTCTTGATGCAAAAATGATTCATAATGATTTTTTTTTGAGACACTGAATCACCCAATTCATTTGCTGCGGCTATGTTGAAGAAACGTTAATCAATAAATTCCGAATCCCGCGAGTGCTGCGATTCCCACACAAACATCGAAATAAGGAAATAAGGCTATTGTTTGCATGTCAATGGACCGCGGCATGTTGTGAAAATGGGAAACGTTACGATTTTTACTGTGTAACCTCTTCAGTCCCACCTGATCTGCTGCGACCTTACACAGTATCTTTGCCTCAACAGCAATCACTCAAAAGGCACGTGCATTTATCTCAAAGAGACCTTGACGAAGATGTCTTCCTCTGGCACGCCTAGGATTCCTCACCTCTTCGCCGCGCTATACTACCTTGCGTTCGTTGATTATTGTAAAATTCAGTTACTACAAACAAGAACCACAAACCCTCCGTTCCGGACAATCATGAATGCTTGCACACCGTTATTCTTGGATTCTTTGATAGTGTTATAGCTTTTCGTTTATCAGCGGATTCCAGGCGGAATCATCGCGACGTTGGGACCTTTTTCAAGGCCTCTTGCTCGCCTCCTTTATCTGCATTGTTCCCGCACAGTCACCACTCGTCAAGATACAATCTTGTCAAAGCAAAACCCAGGTGCAGGCCATCAGAGACAACTCTACAGATCGCCAGAGATACATATTATCAAGCCATAGAACGAGCCGGGGAGGGGATACAGCCACTCCCGTGTCATGCTTATCTTGGAAGGTGTATATGCCATGTATGGCCAACAAACGACGTGATGACCAACGTGAAGGCTGGTGTGTAAACGAGCCTCAACGCTAGTCGATTGATTGTGATTTAGAGATAAAACGAGATCATGTATTCCAAGAAAAATTAACAAGGCCAAGCTGGAAAAAGGTCGTCTCGAGGTTCCCCCGTAGAAAAGAAAAAGATGTTGGAAGGGTCGGTCATTGTGCAGCAAAATAGTGGTGACTTTGTACTTTAAGTTGTTTACATATGATACATAGATGCTTGGGTTAGCAATGAATAGATTAGGAGTTGCAAGGTAGATCAATGTGGGGCGAGGGTAGGAATAAGAAAGAGTGGACGGTATCAACTTTTCGTCTTTTCGCATTTCGCTTGATCGAGTTTTCGTCCGTTGCGCATCGCCAGTAGATCGGCCATTAGCTCTTCTTCCTTCACTTTCAAAACTAGCGCCGGGCGTATTAAAAAAATGGTTAAGGAATAACATGCATCATTTTTGTGGAAAAAGGTTTTGTCAGTATCAGTGTCAGTATGTAGTATCAAAAGGATATCAGAAGTTTGTTTTCTTTTGGGCTTGTTCTCGTTATTTTCCGGCCCTCGTTTACGCAGATTGCGCTTATGGGAACGATTTTGAGCTTCAAGACTTATATCTGCTGAGGTGAGGTGAAAATAAAAAAGAAAAAGGTAAGCTTAACGTGAACACATCGTGGTCGCCGGAAAAAGTTTTTACCATATGACAGATCACAATTATCTTTGTCTTCTTTCAGTTTCCGTCGTTTCTCTTCTAATGCGGCAAACAACTTTTCTCTGATACCTTGCTTTTCAGCCTAGATACTGGATGAGTCACGATCCACCCAGATATCAATGAAGTTTATTGAAATCTTTACCTTGTATGCTTCTTCAGCCTGGTGGATTTCGCATTGAAATTGATTCTCCAGAATCTGCTTTTGGTAATCCCGGAAAAGCCGTCCTTCCTCGATCATTTGCTGTCGATTATTTTCCAATTCCGCCAATCCTTGCAGATAGGAGGGATGGGTATCTATTCAAAAATTGTTCGTTCAAACGATATTCGCTCGACGCATCGTCCCTCTATTCAACGTTCATCAAACTTACTGGTATTAATCCGCATAATCTCTTCCTGTGTCATTTTTAATCTTTCTTTGAAAACACTAAAGTATGTACTGGACCATCAATTGGCTGACTTCAACCCATCCTGCACGCTTGAAATTTACCGTTCTCTGATCTGTCTGAAATCGGAATCCAGTTTCTCCATTCGACTGGTGAGATCTTTGCGTCGTTTCAACCTACGATTATCACCCGCAACTTCATACGCCGTATCCACTGGGCCGGCGAAGTAAGCGAAGAAGAAGAAGAAAAAAAATTCTTAAGGAGAGCGTTCAAGAGAAAAAGTCACATCCATCCAAATAAAGGCTACTCACCTTCCAACCAACTTTCTGACTCGTCTGCCTCGCTCATGTATACACTGCTGAGGGACTGTGAAACATGGACTCCTTCGGTAATGTTGCTAATGGTCGTAGTAACGTGATTGTTCAAATTATTATTCCTCTTGTTTTCAGAGAGAGGTTGTGTTTGCGAGAGTGAATGGCGATGGATATGCGTCGGGTATGTGTGATACTTCTGGGTGTGGCCAAATATACCGTTGGTGGTGGCGGAAAGGGATGGTGCAGCAGTAGCACTTGCGGAGGAAGGTGCTGCCGGCGAGGTGTAAGTGTAATTAGCATCGGTCAGTGTATGACCGTAAGCCGAATGAGGTCGTGAAGACGGTCGCTGGTAGATTGGTGAAGCGGGGTATGGATCGTCATCTTGGTCTTCAAGTTCTTTACGATGGACAGGGAAGAAAGTAAGAGGGTCTGCCGGCGTGGTGGCGGCGAGGACCTTGGACGGTGGAGGCTGCAGTGGTCTTTGTAAGACGGGCATCTGCGATGCCGGCGCATGCGTCACGGAGCCTGAACGTGAGGATGAAGAAGTCGAAAACATAAATGGCTTATTGGTTTCCAGCACTGAAGCCAAGGGCATGGTGGAGAAGTAGTAAGGAACAAGAAGTGGGGGGATAGAAGGAAAACAGTTTACAGCGACCGGAAAGCGAGGCGAAAAAAATCCCAAAAGGGAAGAAAATGTATCAACAAGAAAGTATCAAAAATGACGATACAAGGAAATATTAAAGAGAAAGCCGTAGTGTGAACGAAATGAGGTAAGAAAAAAAAAATGCGAGAGGAGAGAGCAGGGGAGCGGGTTACTGGAAGGTAGAATTCAAATTCACACTAAGCCACCCACTTTTGGCTTTGCGGGAACTGAAAACGGGCGCCTTCTGCAGCATCATGCCAGATTCAATAAGCGTTACTGATTTACTTGCTAGCTCAAATACAAAGCTTCATCATAGGGCAATGCGACAGGTCGCGCTAAAGATTGTCCCAAGAGACATGCCATAATATGTTCACTGAAAAGTAAGAGAAGTTTTACATTACAGCGCCCAATTTCTCAGGATTTGAAAAAGTCCACTTTGTTTTGCAGGACGAGGTCCACTTTTTAAGTAGACAGCGACCGATTTCTCGGCTTCTGTTGTCCAACTGGTTTTGCAGCAGAATGCAACAGTCTTTTTGTTTTAATTTAGCGACGAACGAAACTAGAAATAGGTCGCTAATGTGTCAAGACGCCTAACGGATAAACCTATGTGCAAGTTCTGGTTTCAGGGTTTGTGCCATGACAATTAGTACCATCGAAACTTACGTAGCATCGATCTGTTTTAGTTGTGGTAAAGCCAGGTGAACCTTTTTGCGGTACATGGCTCTGTTCTTCAGTTGCATAGGATTGCCTTCTAGATAGATCGTCTCCAACGTCGTCGTTTCACCAAATTCTCGTGGCAACTCTTCAAATACCTCGCTTTCAAACAAATTGTTATTGGCCTACCGGGAGAATGAGTACGATGGACACCAATATATCACAATAAATACTAAGATCGCTTACCCAGAATTCTTCGAGATGCTTTAAATGGGATACATGTTCAATATGTCTCAACTGATTATTTGCCACATCGAGGGTCTTCAACTTGGTCTGTAGGTAGCATAGACAATGGTCATTTAAGACGACTCGTTGCAAACTCTATTCTTTTCTTTTGACTTACATTCTTTTCTAAGCCTTCAAGAGATTCGATGGCGTTATGACTAAGATATAGCTCTTCAAGGTTCACTAGATCTTGCAGGCCATGCAGACTGGTTAACCGATTGCTCTGGATGCTCAATAATCGCAAACTGGACAATGGGCTCAAATTCTAACAGCTGAGTTGAGTACCATCTTATCCGTCGCTTTCATCCATCGATGCATGTTTTACCTCAAACTTTGTGATTTTGTTCTTGCCGAGCCATAGTTGTTCCAAACGGCGCAAATGGTCCAGGTTTTCAATAACCTGCATCGACATGGCTGAGTTTAGATTTTCCCCATTTACCACACTAGTCTCTGTAAACCATTACTTACGCGAATTCTGTTGGCACCCAATTCCAGGTTTGTGAGGTTGACCAAGGTGTCGAGATTTTCAATTTTGGAGATCTTGTTGCTGACCAAAAATAAATCCTTCAAATTGACCAACTTGTCAATGTTTTTGATGTGCTTGATTTTGTTGAACGATAAATCCAGATATCTGAGGGTTCTCATTAGCTCGAGCCAGTTTGGCTTTCGGGATAGTGTGCACAAAGCTTACATCAATTGTTGGAGTTCATTTAAACCCCTCATGTGGGAGATTTTGTTATCATATAAATCGAGTTCTTGCAATTGCTGTAACGAATCCAAGCCTTCAATATCGATGATAAGATTCTGGCGGAAACATGCTCGCTAGAAAATAAACAAGGAATCAGCCAGTTGTCCTCCTCCCCTCTCTCTCTATATTGCCAAGCAATTTTCTCTTACTTGAAGATTCTTCAAACGTTCCAACCCAAGGCGAGGAAGGTTTGATATCCGCATGTGAACAAGGTCAATATCCTACAAATGGCGTGATGAACAACCTGGGATTTGTCACTCTGAGCTTCTTGTTTAGAATTTTACCTCAGTGTCATCAGGATACTCATCCAGCAAACCTATACCGAGATGCTTATGTAAGCATTGAAAATGAATGCAGTTTAATGAACAGTTATTACCGTCTTCCATTTCTTCGGCGTCGTGTTCGTGCTCGGACTCCTCGGCATCACTGGATTGATTGGGTTCAACGACAGTGGCGACGTGTTCCTTTTTCTCGACGGATTCAGGCGTGGTATTTTTCTCGGTTTTCATATTAGGGTTCTCGCTGTCCATAATAAAGAGTGTGCGTAGAAGGAATGACGAGTGGTTGACTTATTTCCGCAGACGTGACCCGAGCGATCTTTTTTTTGGTCATACCAATCCGGCCAACGGACTCTCAACTGTGACTTCTTTTCGTTTCCAAAAGCGTCGAAATGCAGAACAAGCGCAATGAAAAATCATGCAAGCACTCCATCTGATTTGTTGACATATACAGCCAATGACAAGTGATTCAGGCGTTTCAACCTAAATCATCACTGATCATCCAAAGACAAGGGTGTAAGTGTTCATTCTCCTCCCGTTGTCCACCGGTTCAAATTCTCTCACAGACAAATTTTGTTTTATTAAGGGACGATAATGTCGGTAAACCATTATGACATATCCTCTTTCAGAACAGCCGTGTATACCCTCCAGGTTTTCGCAATTTCCGCAAAGTCGTTAAACGAGCCTTATAATCCAATACTAGTAGATTATGAATAGAAACCAAGGCATGAGTCATCATGTGAAGCAAATTTCGGGACATAAATAATCCACTTACCCCTAGGGCATCTAGGTGTGGGAACAGCGATAACTGATCCGGATGTTATCATGAATGATTTGGAATCTTGCTTCTCAAGGCTTCCGTTTCGGCCCGCTTTCTCTTGAAAAGTGACGACCTTTCGTTATTCTCTCGGTGGCCAAACAGGATCTTGCGGAAATTAAGAACTGCAGCCAAGTCGCGATTCCATAATTTATAGCCATGATCATGTTTACATATTTGATTTGTATTTAAGAATAAGCGTGAGCAAGCACATTCAATATCAAATCCACTTTCATTCATAGGTTACCATAACAGACCATGGCATAATACTTCTGGCTGCTTCGTCGTCGGTATGGCCTGGGATTGGGCACCTTCTGGACTTTTCCAACGGATCGCCGCAGTCAGGACAGCACGAGGACGTTTTGAATTCATCGAGCAAGTACACCTCGAAACCTTGTTTTTTGAGCATCCGTCGCATGCCTACACCTCTGATCGGCTCATGGAACTTGACATTTGGTGCCGACCAATTTCCCATGATTGAAGCCTGGTCCCATCCAAAGCACAAATTTATGGTTCTTGCCAATCGAGAATCTGCTCGGCATTGATTAAAATAGGCTGAGAGTCGTAGTTTTCGGAAAAGAGGGTATACTGATAGATTTGAGGCCGTGTTCGCATAGAAATGCGATAGTTCCTGAGATACGCTTGCGGTTTCCCGTAGATTGTGACAATACGTCTCGAGGTCATTGACTGAAATGGGATGTTGTGATAATTTTTCCTGCGCAGCCTTCATATTTGGGAATTGCTGACTAATGTCTCTCTGATCCTTCTGTACTTTTTCGCCTTCAATTCATTCGCCTTCTGGCAGGAGGTGTAACGATAGAGGATCCTTACGTTTGGTTCGGAGTACTGGTGCATGCGGAAAAGCAAATCTCTTCGTCCTGGGTCGACCAACACACAGCGGCTTTCCAGGCATCTTTGCTCAATTGGAGTAAGCGAGTCAACGTAAGGCACATCTTCGTCCAGAACCTTCGCCTTTTTTTGCCGGCCCCCTTTGCGACTTGCGAAATTTTGCTTGATGACACTCACCCCTACGCCATCAGCCTGCAGTGTTCCATAAAATGACAAACCTTTGCCCTTCGTTTGCTTGAAAGGTCTGCTGTCGAGATCCACGACCCGGCTCCACAGATCAAGGTTGCTTAGTCCTTTAACGTTTCTTTGGTTCAAGTTGAGATTTTGCGTATATAGGATCCGCGTGTCAATCAGCATGTACCGCGGCGACCAGGCAGTATGAATCGGGAAGCAGGTGAAGGAGCGCCAACCTCGTTGAGATAATAAGCAAGATAACCGATAAAATGCAAAAACATGGTTCTCAGGGGAAGCTTTGACATTATAATAAACACTATCTTTCGCAGCCGAAGAACAGGTTTTTTTTACGCAGTTGTGCCCAATCAAATGTATTGTTTTTGCTTTTTAGCCAATCAGAGACCGTACACATGATTTAACGTGCATAACTCCTAAAGATTTTTAATATACAGTATCAATATCAATATCAATATCATATCAATACACGCAGTAGGATGTTTTTAAAGTTTTTTCCGATTTAATTTATATACATGTTTATCCATAAAGGTTATTTCACTATTATTGGGCCTTTCCTGAATGCTTTGTTAAATAACATATAAGGTGATAGCATCTAATGAGTAGCAATTGCTGGGAGGCATCAGAAAAGTCTTCCACCACTGAATTTTCCTGTTTCGCCCATTGAATAAGTGGGAAACTCCATCCCAGATTCTCCAAGCTGTCATTTAGTAGTAGATTGGAGGACCCAGTTCGGCGAAAGCTTTCCGGCATATGTTGGGAGTTCTGAAGCCTAGGATATGTAATAGTCACGAAAGCTGCGACGCGGCGGTACCAAGTAGTATCTCTCCACAGTTCGCTCCCACTCCCGACAACTTTGCGTGATTACCGTCGCAGATTTTTTGAGCGCGTTCATTTATAATGTTGTTGGCCTTGAGCTGTTCGATTTCGTGATACAGCCTGCGCAGACGAGGGTCCAGCAACGGTCCATCGACGATGGAAGGCCAGATGCGTTCGATAATCTGCCTTTGCGAGCCTTCTGCTTGCAGGATACAAGTGAGGACCATCTCAGCGATCATCACGACAATGCTCCTTGTGAGCTCCATCAGGTGGATGAGACCTTGCGAACGCGGGCCGTAGCGTTCATATCCGCGATGGAGATTGGGGACAATAATGGCGGACACGCTCTTGTCGCTCTTCCTCATCGCCAGAGGAGTCCAGTCACTCTTCACCCAAAAGGTAAACCAAAGGGGCACGCCAACGTGCTCCAAAACGCGGGACTGGGCCGCTGCGTCAGACCATGGCTGTGCAAAAGTTCGGCAGAGGCAAGGGAAGTCACCTCCCGGGAAAAAGCAGCGACAATTAACGGCTGCACAAGGTTGAGATACTGAGCCAATTGCCGGACACCAGCGTTCCTGGCATCCGATGTATCCAACCAAGGGAACACATCGACGAATGGAAAAGCAGGCTCCATAATATCTTGTTCCGGGGAAAAGTGACCACGATCAACGGCTTCACAAGGTTGAGGTACTAAGCCAATTGCCGGACACCAGCGTTCCTGGCATTCGATGTATCCAACCAAGGGAATACGTCGACAAATGGAAACGCAGCCTCTGTGAAACCTTGTCGCCACTCGGTATAGCCTTTTGGGAGGCAAGCAACAGCTTCGTCAACAAACCAGCTCTTGATTGCTGGAAAAAGGGACGCGCTTCAATATAGTCCCCAACAAGGGCCAGCAGGACAAATCCTCTCACCGTCAGCGGTGTCGCTTGTTGCAGAAGCATGGAAAAGATATTGGCAGAGGAAGACAACAAACGACATTCAAATCCTTGGCTTTGCATGGTCCTCAAAACATTTTGATTGGTACATCTAAACCGAAATGTTGAGTTATTGGTATTGGCAAATAACCAAAGGATTCTGATGTCGTCGGTAAGGTCGTGGATTTCGAACTCGCTTGGATGACTCGAAGGCTTCTGTACGACAGGTCGGGCAACGCTTGCTGGTCTTGAACTCAGCAATGAGCACGACGCGGAGACCATGCTTCTTCAAAAGTCTCCTGAACCAAGACCACGGATTGGCTCATGGTACACGGTGTCTGGACCAGACCAGTTTCCATCACGAAAATGGCGTCCTCACCAAACGTATCGGTCAAACCTTGGGTAAGCTGTTGATTGCCTTTTCCTTGTTGATACATCTGGAGTCGATGTTTCCGGAACAGAAAATTCTCGGTGCCGTGAACCGTGAAGGGGTTTCCGTAGAATTTATTCAGGACCTGGGATCGTTCGGAGCGGTCTCCGAGGTAGGCGACGTGATCGTCGATAGAGACAGTGCGGCTCGAGTGTTGCGATAGTAGCTCTTCGGCTTAGACCATCGTGCAAACCCTGCGCAACCAATACGCGTTCTCTGCCTTTCATGGTCGAACATCCAGCAAGTCATTGACGGCACGGTCCAAATCTCATCTGCACGTTGTTCAAGTAGGCAACATAGATCTTGGCACCTTCGTATAGAGCAGTTTGTTGAGCGAACTTGAGGTTAGGTCGTTCATACCCGGTGATCTCAAGGTATTCGTCCAAATGGCGGCCAATCTGAGCTCGGAACAGACCAATTCTTCGACCAACCTCTCTTCGCCCGTAGTCCACCAATGAGAGCCAGACTTCAGCAAAAAAGAGGTACCCTTGTATGTCTTCCCATGGCAACAGTCGAAGAAAAATAAACCTGAAGCAGTCGGCCGTGGAAAGTGGTGGAGTGGCGAGCTCCACGTATTCGTCAAAAGCATCAAGGTGCTGTTTACTCCAACCAATACCGGAAACAGAGCAAGATGCAAAGCACCAGGAGCAAGGGAAGCAGTTGTCATCATCGGACATACCACCTGGAGTGGCTAGCGTAGAAAGTGCTCCCATCGTGAGTGGCAAGACCAATCATGGGCACCATCTGTTAAATCTGGTCAAAGGACTAGCTGCTCCTTCTTGCCAACGTGAAAGTTCCTGCTTTGGATATAGCGGGTGACCCTTTACACCTCGCTTCTTCGCTTCTGCTGACATTGTGAGCACCAACTTTTCAGTTGTCAACTGTGCCAACACCGACACTGTCAAGTTGAGTAAAATCAGTCCACAAAGAAAGACAAGACAAAAACGAGCGAAAAGTTTCTCGATGACAATTACCGTCTTTGCCGTTCTTTCTTTGCCAAGAAACGACGTAGCAACCCCCTGTTTTTCTGACACGTCCTGGCAACGTCGCGACATCTCTGCCGGTGGATTTTCGGTGTCTGATACAGTTCATGACTGCACTGCGCTATTTCAGATGCCGATAGGACGGTGCGTGAAATAAAAGGCGAAATTGAGCCGCTCTGTCCCTCTTTTCCCATTCTTCTTCACTTATTACAGAATAACAAACATGCGTATACCGAAAGTCGCCACACGGATAAAAGCAATTACTTTTGATGCTCATAATACGCTCTTCAAACCGAAAGGGAGTATGGCATGGATCTATGTAAGTGAGTTCCCAGGTAGAGATGATAGACGACGACTATTCAACATGGAATCGATACAGGTCAGCGAAGCTTCTCGTTACGGACTAAATTTGAAAGAGGAAGATATCCTAGCCGGATTTCGTACTGCTTACAAAGACCAGCTAAAGCAACATACTCTTTACGGACATTCAACGGGAAAAACAACACGATCGTGGTGGGAAGAGGTACCGACGCCATTGATGAGTTCTTCGTTCCACGAAATGCATAACCTATACGTTTATCCACGTGTAGGTGGTATATAATACGTTCATTCATGCCGGAGTGCCTAAAAACGAATTGGATGCATCGTTTAATCCAATGTTCAATGGATTGTATGATCGGTTTGCCACGAAAGAAGGCTACGAAGCTTTTCCCGACGTCATTGCCGCCCTAACCCAGCTGAAGGCTTCGGGACTAAAAATGGGCGTCATTAGCAATACAGACGAACGCGTTGGTAAGCTTGCAGAGCCAATGACCGGCCTAAAATAAGCAACCAGCCATCGTATATTCACAGTGTCGTACAATCAGTGGACATTGTTCGGAACCTGGAGTTGAGCCAATTTTTCAACTTTGTGCTGCCCAGCGTTGTAGCGGGCTATGAGAAACCGGACAAGCATATTTTCGATCAGGCACGATCCATGTTCGGAACTGACATTGCACCACAAGACATAGTCCACGTCGGTGACGATGAGCGAAAGTAAGAAAAGTGCGTAATGACAGAGCTTTGCATTGATAATAAACGATATTGCTTTTAGGGATTACTATGGTAACGGATAGAATTGGCTTGAAGCGAATTATTTTCCAACTTACCCCTGTTTTAGGTGCCTTGAACGCTGGATGGAATGCCGTTCTACTTGAAAGAGGTAGGCATCGAATAAGGTGTCACTTGCTGATCAAAATGTAGTTTCCTTAAACAAGGTCTGTAGAAAAATTGAAGGAATCCATCCCAGAAGAACCCGGTGATGATTTACCGCGCAGCTCAGACTTTAAAAGCATCCTAACCCTTCACGAACTGTATCCATATTTATGCGAACATTTTAAGCCATATTAATACGCAAGGATTACAAGCAGCAGATAGTGTACATATGCAACATTTTGATAGATCAACGTATCGAATAGCAATAATCCAAAACCCCAACGCTACGTTGTATAGAATACAGGAATCGCAGATCATTATCGCAAAGTTTCTTGAATCCTTAATAATATGGTAATCTATCTTGCTGACACTATTCGTCACATGGATTCCTATCATATATGAACAAGTCGAACTATTGTAATTGGTTTACTTCGTCTATCTGGTTGGAACAATTTGAGCAGTGCGTACTTCAAACTCAGTTGGCCGAAAATGGGGGCCAATTCGGTGGTTGCTGCCACTTTCGAGTGCTCCCGTATTACTTGTATTTCAGCGAAACCATGGCTTCCAAATGGGCTGTTGATTATGCAACATTAGGACCGGAGACTGTGTAGGCAGCAAACAGCGTTTGGTTGTGATACGCGTACTGAACAACTGATTCATCTCTTGTTAGTCCCAAATACAAAATAGCCAATCCCACCGGCTTTGACGCAAACGCCTTGCAATCTTCCAAATCGGCAGCAGTACGTATCCGGCAATCTTCTCCATTATAGACCAAATAACCATCGTCTTTTTCTCACCCTCTGTGTCTACAGAAATCGTCGCGACAGAATGTCGGTCAAGATGATCACAACGAAGTCGCTTTAAAAGTCAAGGTAGAAGAAGGTTGTTTACATTGAACGACAAAAAGCAGTTTTTAAACAAAGATATCATACAGAGAGCTTGGGATGTCGCCATGAGTCCTGCAAAGAATATACCCATGAATGCCATCATGATTTACATGACGGGTAATGGCGTACAGATTTTTAGCGTCATGATCACGGCTATGTTGTTTATCCAACCCGTCAAGGCTATCATGTCTCTGAAGCAAAGTAAGTTTTCATCAATGGCAGTGAGAAAAAAACACGATACTCATTTCTTCCCGTATATAAAAACAAAGCATTTGAACGATTCGAAACTCCAGGTGCAGCCGCCAGAGCCCAGCCAGGAGCTGATTTGCTCTTGCCGAAATTAACGTTTATTGCGATTCATGTCTTGACCATGTTATTGGGTGTCTATAAAATCAACGCGATGGGTTTGTTACCAACCACCACATCCGATTGGCTTGCCTTTTTACCACCAAAGCATGTAAGTAACGTGGGTTTATGTCCTCAAATTATCATTCATACTAACCACACATCTTCACTCATTAGGTATTGGAATACAGTGCTCTTTGAACATTGTGAAAAAAAAAAAAAAAAAAAGAATATCGAATCATCGTATCAAAACATAGCATCAGGGCTCATCGCTTAATTAAAGTGTAAATGCTTTTTCTAACTAGTGTCATAAACAATGGAGAAACAGTAGATGCTGATAAAAAAAAAAAAAAAAGGAGGAGAGAACGGTTCATATTTACAGGAAGATCATGATCATGCAGTAGAAGTTTCTTGCTGCTGTTGACTATCTGGCTTGCGATCCGAATACCAAGAGAGCTGTAGCTTGCCATGTGGAAAATGAGCGCCAACAGCCATGGCCTTTAAAAGGAAATCAAGCATTAGTCATCCATTTGGGAAATTGTATTTTTATCTTTATACCTTCTCGGCTTCAAAGCGCTGGGAGTAATGAACGACAGTGCCATCTTGTTGTGGTTCAAACGATAATACATTGCCATATTGCTAGAAATAAATAAGCCGAAATTAAGTATATTCCATTTTTTTTATTGCGTTCAATTTGGCCATACCTCGAAATGACGCCGTAAGTCTTGCTCGCAGTTTTCAGGGATATCTTTGACCAAGACCTTGGTGGGACGGTGATCTAAACTCATTCTCGTCATTCCTCCACGCATTCTAGGCCAGCCGCGACCTCGAACAGGATATCCGCCTCGACCACCACGGAAACCTCCGCCTTGAGCTGAAAGAGTATCCGTCAATCCGAGAACAGCCGCCTATTGAACCCACAAATCAGTAACCACCGTGAGCCCTGATACAACAATGAAAGCTTACCTCGGCTTCCAACAAGGCCAATTTCTTTTTCAAATCCTCTGGAGATTCAGTTTCTTGGTCTTGAGCTGCCTCGGTTTGTTGTTGTGCTGTGCTTGCCACGCCCGCTTTGGATGTATCAATATCGGCCGCGATCTTTTTGAGCGCTTTCAATAATTCGGCTTTTTCGGCCTGGGTCATATTGTTGCTGTCCGACAATTTGGCCAATAATGCTTTCTGTTCATCGATCTGTCGCTGAAGCAGTTGCTCCTTTTGTTTTTGCAACTCAAGGATCGCTTTCATACGCTCCTGATGCTTTTTCTGCTTCTCCTCTCGAATACGGGCTAATTCCGCGGCACGGGCAGCAATTGCGTCTGGATCAGGTTCGTTTTTGACCGGTTCAGGAACCGCCGATTTGATTTCCGTTGTAGCGGGGGCATTATTCGCAGAGTCTTCTTTGTACCAGTACACTTTGATAAATCGATTATCAAATATAGATTCCGGCGAATTGTAAGCCGCTTCAGCCTCGGCTCGTGTGCTAAACTGCAGGGTGGCTTTGGGGAATTGAACTGTGATATTTGTAATGGTACCAAATCGCTTGAAATAGTCATTGATCTTGCTAATTTGACATACTTCCGGAGGAAGATTATCGACCACCAAGGTTGTGAGCTGCTTATGGGGTGGAGCATGGCCGCCAAGCGCGCCACCACGACCGCGTCCTCTACCACCGCGACCACGCATTCCGCCACGCATATTCATCATGGGTGCAGGCATAACGTCCGGGGCCATCATCGGCGGGGCCACGTCCATGGGAAATTGACCTAATGCTGCACGTTCCGGGTCATAAGCGTCAGATCCCGCTACTATAAACCAAGAATGGCGAGTGAGTACTGGGTATTCTTTCACAACTGCAGTCGCGTACAAAAGCTTGCTTACCAGGCATACCGAAAAAGGGAGGTTGCATTCCTCTTCCCGCCATGGCCGCCATTGGGGGTGCACCAGGAGGAAACTGTGGGCTAAAAGGTGCAGTGGGTTCGTCAATAATGATCCGATCAGCTCCGTGATCATACGGACACATATCACCACGAGTACAAAAACCTCGCTCTGAAAGATAATACACGAGATATTAGCACGAATTCATCCAGAGACTTCCCAGATACCGTCGATAAAAAATGGCCAAGGTCTACTCTGTGCCACCATCCCAACAACATACCATTATAATCTCGACAGCGCGGTCTCATGTAACCGCGACCACCGCCATGCATCATTCCATCACGTCCTCTTCCACCTCGTCCGCGACCTCGGCCATCATAAGGTTGGTAGCCATTATACATAGCGGCGGGTCCGACAGGAATAGCTGTGTGTGCATTAAATCCACGTTGAGGGTAGTCGTCTCCGCGGAAGAATTTGTTGTAATTGCCTTCTTGGCCGTGGCCCATGTAGCGGCGTTTGTTCCGTTCTTGCTCCCTAGGTCTAGCACGATAATCTTCGCGGAATTCCGATCGTTGCCGTCTATGCTTGAAATTACGGTCGCCATCGTCTTCATCGTCAGAGTATTCAATCACGGTGCGAGATTCGACGGGTAAACTAGGCGGGTCTCTTGGTTTTTCAGCCACCTCTCCACTGTCCTCTCTCAATTTCGCCATTAATCTATTCACAAATGTGGTGGTTTCTAAAGCCATCCATCCATCGCATAAATATCCCATTCCATCGCATGGTGGTAGAACGGTTCGTGAATCAAAAAAGGGGTACTTACGATCTTCAAAAAACTCGGCGAGTTTTTCCATTAAAGATTCCTTCATGACGTCGAAACTGTCACCGGTGGTGATGAGCGCCATGATGTACTGGGCGAGCACATCAGGATCGGCGTCCGAGCTGAGCAAAAGAATTGACAGTTAGCCTCTGCGGATGAAGAAAACCATATACAATTACTTACAAGGCCTGCACCTCTTTTGTTAAAAATGCCTGCAGATCTGAATTGTTTCGATCGTGTGACATTGCAAAACAGGTAAAAGGTTAAGGGGTGAAAAAATGCTGTCAAAAAACAGACGGTGGACCTGCTTTGCTTCAGCATCATATTTTTCCAGCAAAAAGCACACAGCATAGGTGTGACCGCTCTTTTTCAAAGTGACGAAAGCATCTCCAAAAATCACGTGAAGGCCTCGTCCCTGCTGTTCAGGACGGGAAACGAGCCCCTCCTTCAGGATCACCGTTTCTCTGCTTATTATTTTCCTCATCCAATACAAAAATTGCAAAAAGTTACGCACTATTTCCGACATAAGGCTCGTTATAAAATTGCAATTAACGTGGACAAGTAAAAGCGGAGGATCAGAAAAATGTCATTAAGTTATGCTGAAAATGATGCCAATGCATTGCTATAAACATTCAACTGTTTCACGATGAAACAGGCTGCACTGACACCATTACTATGTCATTTTCTACTTGAAAATAAAAGATCCGTATCAAAATAGACTAGTTTTAGCTGTGCATGTGCAGGCAGATGACCCAAGGTCGTAACATAGCAATAGGTTTTCTCAAAATCATGGTATCTATCGGTTACGCTGCTTGACAGATATGCTCAAAGGGACATAGGAAATGCTTTTATTCTACTGTACGAGAATGAACTGTTCCTTCCAATGAGTTAGTGAATGCTCTATTTCAGTAAGCAACCAATGTGCCGAAATAAGGTTAGCCGACTTGTGACGGCTAATAATTTGTCATTTGTCTGCAGGATTGTGTGGATCGAAGGGCAAGCTCGCTGTGCACTCAGCTTGTCACCCCTCAGAAAACAGAAAGAAACAGAAAAATGTCCGTTGGAGGTGGAAAGTTTGTGACGGGCTCCGTCCTTGAAAACGATAAAGAGGAATCCGTCAAAAAAGAAGGATCTCAAGGTAGTGTTCAATTCAAGCCTCGTGCATGTGAATCACTTGTTTAAACTGGCCCACCACGACCTTGATCGCCCCATTCAAAAAAAAAAAAGACAATGCCGCCCCGCAAGCCGAGTACGATCCGCGCACACTGTATGAACGATTACGAGAACAAAGACAGATTAAGGAAGATCAATTTGCGGAAGCCAACCGTTTGAGTAACTTCATTAAACGTGTCGATGCCGACGAAGCCGAATATTTCACCACATTGTCAGAGGTGCAAAAAAAACTAGAACAGGAGCGAAAGGAAAAGGAGCTTGAGGAACTCGAAAATTACAGAAAGTATATGTCAGCTCCAACCCGTTTTTCACTTTTGTTGTTGGTGAATGATTAACACGCTGGTATTAGAGCGGTGGAGTTGGCAAGAATAACGCCTTCAACTGAACCCCTTGCGGCCGCAATACCCTCCATGGCGGCTCCTACCGTCAAAAAACCCACCACAGGTGCGAAGCGAAAAAGTTCAAAGAATGCATTAGATGGCTTGGTCGTAGTAAAGAAGAAGAAATCCACTGAGGATGAAGCAGACGAACGAGAAAAATCACCAACAAAGGAGGAAAAACCAACAGCAAAGAAGCAAGACAAATCGAAACCATCACCAACCAACCCTGGTACTGCAACAGCGACAAAAAATACGACCTCAACCAACACACTTTCGTCTTTGCTGGCTTACAGTGATGACAGCAGCAGTGATGAAGAAGAATGATAATGTCAACTCGAAATAACCAGTGAGTTGGCCCTATGGTGACAGCCACGGGTCTCCTTGGAAGCCATCCTGTAATACGATCCTCAAAACCAAGGTGATGTCCTGGTCTCAAAACATATGAATCCCAATTCTTGAAACAAAAAATAATATCGTAAAATAAACCAACGCTTTAAGAAGAAAAGATTCAAAGACACCAGTCATTGCTGAACCTTGACAGCAAAATACGTGCTAACAAAAGATCAAACAACAAAGGAGCCAAGCGATATTGAAAAAAGGATGTCAAACAAAGGTGACTGTAGTGATTACGGTGCATTCTTTTGATTGACAATGATGGGTTGTTTAGGCGGCAAAAGAGTGTTATACAACGGTTGATTTTGGAATTCTTCACGTCATGAGGTCATCGATGCAATCAAAGCGTATATCCAAAGAGATCAACGGGAGCCTTGCCTATGGATGAATGGATGGATGTTCAGATGATAATCAGTATTTTACTGGCTGATCCTTTCCAAACGAGCATAGGCCTGTGCATTATAGATGCTCATCAGAGAGAATGGTAGGTTGCTGTCAGGAACCGTGTGGGTGGATGTATTTCTGATTGAACGAGGCATGCATTTCTCCAATTTGGTATTTTCGCGGTTCTTCGCCGTAACGTGGCGCCATAGCACGGCCAATGCATGATGCTCGGATCATCATTTCCTGTCAAAAAAAAAAAAGGTAGCCATGCATATCTATTGGTTCCTTTTAACGAGTTTGAATATTTTAAAACCACAGATCCATACATTAGATAGCACCGAGTTAACCTGGTATCTCGATGATGTTTTGCTAGATGTTCATGAAAAGCAAAAAGGTAACAAACCCAACGTCGTTCACTGTCCGTGCAGTCTATGGATTCAATAGTGGGTCATACCCTTTTTCAATGACGGCCTTCAGAGCCGTTCGAAAAAAAAAAAAAAAAAAAAAAAAAAAGGCTTTTAGCATTCTTTATGATTCTCATTTTATAATTCTAGCTTTTCATTTATTATCATCATTGGTAATATATTAGTTGCTTTTCGGTTTTCCTTCCTTCTTTTCCACCTTCTTGTTTGCGGCGATCCATTTAATCAGTCAGAGACGTCGTCCTGTTCCCCTCGCCCCCGGTCAATCCTTTATTCTATTTTCTATCATTCAATTTCTGTGATTAATTATGGATGCAGTTTATCGATATCCTCAATTCTTAAATGCTGCTGATTCCTTTTATGACGCTATGGATATAAGCAATGCAATGATATCTACAGGACCCATTTCGTCGCGTCCTCCTTTAACCAACAATATAACAGAAGGCCCATTGTTGGACTCTTCCACCGATTTTTCGCAGGAAAAGGGGCCCATGGCAGCATACACCGATATCTATTCGTCTTTGGCAGCCGCTTCCTCTGCGGCCTACCTACACTATCTGCAATCATGCTCGCCTAAATTATCGACCTCATCCATTTACGTGGAACCCTCCATTTTCGGAAACGACGGCGGAATTCACTCCACACTCGACATGGATCCCAGCTATACTTCTCATGATAACCTTGCTGTGAAACAACAATACCAGTGGCTGTATGATGACCCTATCGATGCCTACTTCCCTTTAGCTGATCCGTTTTCATTGCCTTTGCAAGAATTGGTTCCATCTTTATCTGCAGAAGAAAGTGACGGCATTGTTCATTATGGAGGAAAACAGCGACCACTACAACGTTCCTTTGTCAGTCTGAATGTAAGTTAGATTGATAAAGACACATTGATGACTGAATTTTTTGTGTATTCACAAATGCAAAGGATGTACACTCGTTTATTGCGCAAGAAGGTCCTGAGCAACCATCCACATCGAGTAGCCCCTCATCAAGTGCCACCGAAAAATATGATATTATAGATGATCACGGTGTAAAATCCGTCCATCATGAGCCGCAGGTGTATCCCATCCCGCACTCTTACACCTCACTTTCTTTGAAGCGCGCCTACTCGTTCACGCCCGATTCCGATCGCGACACGACACCTGATGATGGCTCAGATACGGATTCAGCCCAAAGTCTGCTGTCGCCTCAAGAAACACAAAAACTAGTGCTTAAACTGCGCAAGCAAAGTGACACTGTGCTTTCACGTTTGGCGGGCCGGACAAAGGAAAAACAAAAACCAGCTTCCAATACTGCCAATAGAAAACATAGATCCACACTCAATCCTCACAGTAGCAAAAAGGCGCTCAGGACAAAGAAAGCATCGCCTAAGGCAAGAGTCGCACGAGCCGCTACTACATCTGGCATTGTATCGAGGCATTTTCGGTCTTCGGAAAGTATCAGCACTGGACTAGCGCGTCAGCGACTATCCGACACCGACGATGATTATGAGGAGCAGCATGACCAAGACGAGGAAAATGAGGACGAAAATGCGGATGACGACGAATATCAAGTTGGTGTCGGTGGTTCAACGGCGGCAGTGGCGAGTTACAAAAAAGGACGCAACGTCGATAAAGCATGTAATCACTGTAAACGATCTCACCTGCGCTGTGATGATATGCGTCCCTGTCGTCGCTGCATATCCACCGGCAAAACTGGCTGCAAAGACGTGCAACATAAACCGAGAGGTCGTCCAAAGCTTCACAAAAAGTAGTTTCTTTTCTTTTGATCAGAGTCCCCCGATGATTATGTCAGTTTGTATATTAGTGCATTCACCACACGTATCTTAATTTATGCAAGAAACGCAATACTTCTGTCACCTGTCGTTTTGTGAAACAATTTTGGCAGGAGGATTTAACATATTGTGTAGTAGGTGTGCTGAATCATTTATGAGATTCTCACAAAAGGTTAGAATAAACAAACCATTTGCAGGGAATATTTTACCGATATATTGTAGCCAAACGCGCGTGTGGCGGGTCTTTGCATTGTTCTTTTTTCCGCAGCATATTTTTTTTTTTTTTTTTGTCGTGTCGTTCTCGTCCAGAAATACGTTGCCGAAAAATGATAGTGTGTGATTAGGTGGAATAAAGGAGAGTCTATCATACTGTATCTGCCAGAGAGGAAAGAAGAAAGAAGACGAAAAGAGGCTTTTTTGTCTTTGTCTCCTGTCAAGCCCGAAAGGGCTGGTCCAAAAAAAAACAGCCAAGCAATTTTGTCCAAGCAACAACAGCTAAAAGGGCAACTTCAATGTATGGTCAAAACCCAGTAATACAGGGTAAAAACTAATTACCCTATCTATTAGCTGTTATTTGCAGTAACTATGGTCGTGCAGGCAATAAAAAACAGGAGATAAAAGATACGCCCTGGGAACGCCAGAAACAAAAAAAAAAAAAAAAAAAAAAAAAAAACCAAAAAAAGTATAATCATGAGCGTACGATCATACAGGACACATTTCTAAGCCGCAGTTATCCTATGAATATGGAAAAAGGGCAATAAACGAAGAAAAAAAAATACGCAAAAAGGAGAATGCAAACAACAAGTGGTCTATGCAAATCATGAGTCTGCATCCGAAAAGCGAAGTTTACAGCCATCGTGAAGATTCGAATACTGAAATGTCATTCATCAAGTGGTCAATTTTAACAGCTGAATGATCATGTCATCGTGTCTCTTTTTATTATGTATTTACTGTAGGAAAAGCTCGGTGCCATCAAGAGGTAGGCAGATACTTTGTCGATTGTTGCGCCTTTGATGCGAGACGAACACCGAGAATAAGAGAACTGGGACAAGTCAAAGTGGCTTATGTGTGCAAAGGCAGAGTATTGAATTTTTTTTATTTGCGAGCATTGGAACAGAGAGATGAGGAAGTCATATGTATAAAAACAAAAACAAAAATAGGTTTTAATGATGAATAAAGGATAAGGAAGTTTAACGGTAGCGGCGGAGAGACAAGGTGTTGCGTCTCTTCCAGTTGGAGTGACGACCGGCACCCTTCGTCTTGGTGAACAAATGGCCCTTGCCCTTGCCACGGGACTTCTTGCCAATGGCGGTGAGACCACGAGCTTCGCGACGCTTGTGGACGGGGTTGACAATCCAGTTGATACGGGGATCACGACGAATAGCCTTGTGAGAAGGATCGACCAGGATCACTTCAAAGTACTTATAGGTGGCGTCTTGGTTGATCCAGTACGAGTTCAACACACGAAGATTGGCGCATTTGCGACCGACACGTTCTTCGGCCGTGGATCGGAGGGATCGCTGATACTTAAGTTGGTTCACACCCTCATTGACAGGCTTGCCATAGGTGGCACCCTTGTGAACAGGTCTCTTGCGACCACCACGACGGACGCGGATACGGTAGATAACGTAACCTTGCTTGGCCTTGTAACCCAAACGACGGGCCTTGTCGGGGCGCGAAGGGCGCGACGCACGATGGATCACATTCATTTGTCTATGTAGGAGGATGCCATGTATGAGTGCTTTTGATTCAAGTACAAAGTTCAACGGATGAGTTTTAACCAGACTCACAGACGCATCTGTGAGTCTAAGTACTCAAGCCTCAATAAGAATCAGGGCGATTCTATGTACCTGTATTCCCAGCATCTCACACGAAGCAAGAAACGGAATACATCCGACTGCTTCTTCTTGTAAAGTTCCTCAAGATATTTATAAGCTATACACAGGATTCACTGGATTAATCATCTTCGTGTAATGTAACACTGGTGCAAACGATGCCTTACCACCCATAATTTATACAATAGATATTAGAATAAGAAAGGATGGATGGATGGATGGATGAGTTGAAATGGATGAAATGGGATGAAAAAAGAAGCCCGGAAAATAACTGCCCCCAAAAAATTTATATCATTTCCTTCTTCTCCGGCGGATTTTGAAAAATCAACAGTTATTTTTTTTTTTTTTTTTTCGTCGTGCGCGAAACACAACCAGAAAATACAAGAAAAAACTAAAAAAAAAAAAAAAAGAAAGAAAAAAAAAGAGATAACATGAGTGATAAAAAAAACACGGTGAATATATATATGTTATATAAAGAAAAGAAGAAGGAGGAAAAGAAATAAGAGAGAAAACAAAGAAAACAAATGGTATCATAAAAAAAGGAGACTAGACGAGTTCTTCGGCAAAGCCTTCTCGCTCTTCCATATCATCTGGTATCGGTATCGACGGAAGGGCATCGAGTGACATGGGGCTTCCGGGTCGAGAAGCCTGGGAGGATGCTGTATGTGAAAGGGTATTCAGGTAAGCCCTCAGATCACGGACTCCTTTACCACTAAACACACAGAACACCGCTCGCTGTTGAACATTGAAGTCTTTGGGTGGCAAGCGACAATACTGCTGGATGTCCGGTCGTAAAAACGATTGTACGTGGGTCAGACTTAGGTGGGTCAATTTTTGGCAATAATTGACGAGTTGAGTGATGGCATGCACGGATAATTTCTGGCAGTAGCTCAGGTGAACTCGTTCCAAGGAATTGGCGATGCGATGGCAACTGGTTAATGCATAGATGGAATGATCGGTGATATTAACGCACTTGACAAGCCCGATACGCTTGAGTTTCGGCAACGTTGCCAACTGCGTTACGGCGCGATCCGTTAACTGACTGCAACATGCCAGATCTAAGTATCGAATACGAGTACAATGTCGCGCGAGTTGCATGATGGAAAAGTCCGTCAACCGCTCGCAATGCCCCAAACAGAGATAATGCAGATAGCGACCGAGATTGCAAATAGCCAATACACCTTCGTCCGAGATATTGGGACATTTGTTCAATATCAGGTTCCGAATCTTGGGCGCCGATTGAACCAGCTGTCGTACGGTGTCATCGGTAATCAGTGCCACTGCCGTCAAGTCCACAATACGTAGGAAATCAAACATGCGACGCGTAGGAGGTGCCATCACCGACTGGGTAAAGGCAGCGTCACTGATCATAACACATTGATTGATACGGAACTCGCGAAGTTCAGGGCAGCATGCAAAGATTTCGTACAGAGCTTCGTTGGTGATGTGACAGTTGATAAGGTCGATTTCCAAAAGTGCCGGGCAATGCCTCGCTAAAGCAATGGCAGCGGCATTGGTCAAGGCAGAGCAATTGTTCAGTTTGATCTAGATAAAATATGATCATGCATGATTAGTCGGTAGCATAATGGGCCTTGCTTCCTTCCTTCCTTCCCTTCTTGGGCGTTGTTCATGTCATCCTTTTCATCTTTTTCTCAATCCCCAATCAAACACCCGACCCCTATCCCCGATTCCAAAAACTGGAGCTCGACTCACTCTTCGCAAGGTTTTGCATTTTTGGGCGAGTTTGATAATGCTTTGATCGGTGACACCGTTGAACCTTTCCAAGCCTTCTTTACACATGCTGAGATTCAGCCCCTGCAGCTTGGGACAAGCTTCGGCTATTCTCATAATGCTGGTATCGCTGACGTAGATAACATCGGTAAGATCCATGGATACCAAATGAGTACAAGCGTCTTGACTGAGTAGCTCTAGCAACCCTGCATCGGTCAACGTGGAACAGCCGATCAACGTGACCCGTTCTAGTCGTTGACACACTTTCAAGCAAGCGAAATCTTGGTCAGTCACACTGGTGCCCAACGACGTTAAATTGATACGTCGAATAAACAAGGTGTAAGGGTAATAAGTCGGCGCATGCTGATTCATGACTTGAACAAAGCTGGCCCAAGCGCTCGTCCGTACAAAGTTCGGTTTGAACCACAAGGCTTCCATGGCATGGTAACCCCATGCTTTACAAGTCAAGGCACAATTCAGCTGATCCTTGGTGTCTACAATGTAGGATAGAATTTGTCGTATGAGTTCTGACGGGATATTTTGCGCAGACATTGGAAGAATCAAAGTGCGGAAGATGAGGGCCCTTTTTTTTTTTCTTTCAATTCCAAAAGGGAAAAAAAGAAAGGTGGATGCTGTTGAATGTTGCGGAGACTATAATCCAATAAAGAACCACTGTTTCCGATGCGTTATTTTGAATGAAGCACTTGCACCACACCCAAATAAGGAGGATGGTAGCGAGGAAATGGGAGGTCGAACTAGGGGCTGGATGGGTGAATATTGGCTGTGCGAAAGACGATATGCGCTGAGTATCTGGAAGGGAAAAGAAGAAAGTAAGAAAAATAAAACGCAGCAGCCCTTTTTTTTCCCGTGAACAATTTTGGTTATTTTTGTTTTGTTTTCATTTTGATTTCTTTCTCCGGTCTATTTATTGATAACTGGATAAGCGTTTAAACACTGCTTCATAATCTACGTAAGGCTCAATGGTAAGAGCATCTTGCAATGTCATGGAGCCTTGACGGGTTCGCAAGAGTGCTGTCATGTGTGCGTAAGTTCCTAAGGCTTGCCCCAGATCATGAACTAAACTCCGCATGTAGGTCCCACTACTGCATTCGACCCTGAGAATACAATGGTCTGCGTTATATTTAACCAAATCCAACTGATGAATCGTCACAGGTCGAGGCTGAATAGGTTTAGGTAGCGCCTTGCCCTCGCGTGCATATTCGTACAGTCGTTTGCCTTCAATTCGAAGAGCAGAGTAACTAATTTTTTTTTTTTTTTTTTTGCATGAGATAAAGAAAAAAATCATCGCTTTTTTCTCCGCCCCTGACGTGCATAGACCACCGACTCCATCATTAACCCAGGTACTTACATGGGAGGTAGTTGAGTAATTCGTCCACGAAACTGTGATAATGCTTTGTAGACGGCTTCCTCTGTCAAGTGATCAATAGGTCCAGAATGCGTAATATGGCCTTCGGCGTCATATGTGTTGGTCGCGTGACCAAATTTAGCCGTGACGACGTACTCCTGAAAAAAAAACAAGCAATCAATTGTTATATGTCTTGCAACCCCAGTCCAGTGGCTGAATCTTGCAATACTATACTTTGGTACAATGGAGAAATTGAGAAAGTTCTTTACACCCGGTACCGACGCCTAGCACTAAAACAAAATGCCGAATCAGGATACAACACGTCAATGCACCATTGGAACGCGACAAAAAAACTTGCCCAAAACTCCTTCTGCCATTGGATCCTTTTACATGATCTTGAGTTCAGTGCCACAAACTTCAACCTTTTGACTTGTCACTCTACTTTACCAGTGTCCCTCCATGCCCTATTTTTAACCTATCGTGGTTTTTGACAGAAAAGCGTATGGATGGTTCTGCGGCCAGATCACCGATGCTTCGCATGAACAGTTCCCGTGTCAAAGACAGTTGAATTTTCTTCATCGCCGCACCGGACATCATTCCTCGCGGTTTATAGACAGCAAAGATGCCATTCAAAGCAAGCCTGAAAGAATGTTTTGTCATGATGATAAGAAGGTGGATTTATATTATGAAGGTGTTCGAAAGCGAAAAAAGGACATAATGCATCAGAAATTCTAAAATTTTACATCAATCTTCTTTTTTTTTTTTTTAATCGCGCCGCCAGCAGTATGGAAGATTATGGTATTTGATCTAAACCGGAGACAGGCCTTGACCGTGTTTCGACGTGACGTACTTGGGCACCTTCTTCTTCCAGCTGTTTCCTTAACAGTTGATCTCCTAGTCGTTCTTGAGGCGGGTCGGTTTCCAGTATGCTACGTCGTTTAGTTTTCCCGTCATCCTCGGAAGCAATCCATTCTGGTTTCCGCATAAACTGGCGGAAGGTGTCGGCTATCAACAAAGCATCGGTCGAACTTAGAATGGAACTGGTTTGTCGTACGTCCATTTTGGCGATCTGTGACGCATCGCCGTCACTCTTTGATGTGATCATGGATGGATTCTTCAACGACCCCACGGCGGCATACGCGGAGTTGGACGTGACCGAATTTCTGGTGGATTTGGAATAGCTTTCGATGGTGTCGGACCCTGCTTTGCGTGGGGTCGATTTGATGGGGAAAGGGCTAATGATGGGCAGGGCGCTGAGATGATCTTTTTCGATGGAAGGAAAATTGGTATGTTGATATTTGGCGGTGCGTTGATGCGTGTATCGATTTCTTATAAGCCAGCCAAGTGAAGCCATGGCCAAAACCACCGCCAAGATGGCAATAATAATCACAGCAATCGTCCACGGTTTGAGTCCATGCGCATAACCTTGGTTTGCGTTAGCTGACAGTGCATCGGATATGCTGGCTGTGGTGTTGTGTGATGGTTCTGTAAGAGAGACACATTTAGTTTGATAGCAGAGAAGACGTGGTTTTTCCTAAGAAAAAAAAAGCTTACGTATGAGAGTGAGGGTTTGAGGAGCGGGATAGAAACTTTCGCGGAGAGTGAGCTTTCGCAGTTCGCGTTCTAGGGTGATGTTGGATGCGAGTAGATACAGGTAGAGGGTATAGACACGATCTGGTGAATTATTCGGTGCAGGGCTGGGAAACCAAGAGTCATCCACAGCCTGTATAAGCAAACCTTTGGTTCTCTGAAGCCCTGTCCATTTCTTCAAGGTTCGGTATTCATTATGTTGAAAATCGAGTAGATACAGATCCAGCGTATCCTGTAAGCGATTATCCATCCACCATTCATCAATACCAGTAAGTCAAGAATTTATTCATCCACTCTCTTACATAACGAGCGTATATAGCGTTACTACAGGGAGAAACCGGCGGCTTAATGACTTGGGTTCCCAATACGTCTACCGGTTACATAAAACTTACTTGTATTTCCAAGTAATTTCATGGTAAGTGCCATTATGCCAGATGTCTTGCGGTTCGGGTGAGCAAATGGTCACGGTATTATCACGATCCGCGCATCCGGTGGATGATGCAGCTACAGTATAAAGTGACACATGTCAGACATATCCTCTGGCAAAAAAAAAAAAAAAAAAAAAAAAAAAAAAGTAAAGATAAAACATCAACAAGAGAAAATGGTGTCTAATGGATAAACTGCATCCTTTTATGACTCATTTTGCTCATCCTTTCGTTTTATGCAGTTGGGAATAGTGGGTTGTCCATTCGCACACAAACAGAAAGAAGCAGAAGCAAAGGATTGATGAAAGGATTGATATTCACCTTGCCTTTTCCAAATGGTTGATGCTGTGACCAAGGCCAGCTCGCCAATGAGGAATAGCAACAATTTCATGAGAGAAGGAGGAAGAAGTAAGTATCACGAACAGGAAAAAAAAGAGAATCAAAATAAAGAAGCGATGACAAGTATTGAATGTAAGTCTTTATGTTCCTTATTTTTTGCAATGATTTGAATGCATATTGAATTCGATTGCAGCATGCCTTTTTTTGGCATGTTTTCTGGATGCGCTCGCATATACCGTTGGGGAAAGGAGGATCCTAATTTGGCTTTTTTTTTATTGCGCGACGCGTTGGGCTTGCATTCCATGGTTCATTATTTGTTTAAAGTGTGAGTCGATCAAGAACAATGTATGATATTGGGTTTGTTTTAATGACTGGCATACAGAATGAAGCTGCATTTGTAATTACGCTTGGCTGATCTTCATTGTTTTAATCCATGTATAAAAGTACGCATGTGATTTGATGAAAAAGAAGTGACTTTTTTTTACCGTTAATGAAATTGGATTAAATCCTTGACCCAATTTCCCTCCCCCCCCCCTTTCATTGGCCATCCCTAGACAACACTGTTGAAGATCTCTCCTAAAGCCTTGGACCCGTACCTTTATTGGCTGGTAGGGCTTGGGGTTGCCCATGAAACAAATACATGACAAATATGCGAAACGGCCGTGGATCTAATTTAAATTTTATTACCCTCAATGCATGGGGTTGGTCATCCATGTCCATGTAGTAGAAGGATCGTGGGACGTTCAAAAAAAGGTGGGTGAGCGGATGAAAGCTCCGGCTAATTCAACGGCAGGCGTTTTCTCGGATGGTTTTTCAATGCTGCAATGCATGGCGGGTGACCTCTTTTGACGGCAAATGATTGGAAAAAAACTTGCAATACCTTTTTGCAAGACTCGGCCGACTCCTTTTTTCAATGGCTTTCTTTTCTTTTGCTGTACGTAATCTCTCCCACCGTGATTGGCAAAAACCGGCCTTTGACCAGGAATTACACTGTAGTCATTTTACAAACAATGGGGTTCACTGTAGTGGGTTTGAGAATTCATCACTTGCAAGGGATTCGATAAAATTTTTTGACCCAATTGTACGCCATTTTTGCTGTATTCATCACCCAACGTCTTTTTTGTTTTTTCACCCACCTTTTTTGACAGCTTGTTGATTATTACAATTTGACTGTATTAGGAGCAGCGAACGAAAAAGGAAAAGAATTCGTCGATTGGATATCAACAAATAAACACGATCCAAAAACAAACGGGCGACACCGATAATACACATTGAACCCAGCAGAACAAAAAGATACACACACACATAACACCTAACACACAACACACATTACTGCATACAATCTATCGGCTTCCATTAAGGATATACGCCTACCAAACAATTTGTTTTAGGTTTCGCCACATTTTTATCCGCTGAATTTTTTCTTTATTGTATCGCTATTTCCCGTTTCTTTCCATTTTTCCTTTGTAACCCATCCTCCATCTTCTCGTCTATCCCTTCTCTTGGCGCCTTTTTTTTTCTTTCCGTTTTTCCCTAGTTCTTCTTTCTATTCCGCCCTCACCTCCCATTGACGAAGATCGATCAGTATGTTGGATCCTGTGCGTCTGAAAAAGAATGCAGGCAGTTCAACAACACAACAATTACGATGGGAAGAAGCTGCATACAATGGCAAACTCGGAAAATGGACCAAACCCGTGAGTTTATCGCACCCATTTTCATCCAGCTCCTCCGCCACCGCACACCAAGTCAGCGCCACCCATGCATCGACGACCGTCGCTGTTTCCAACGCAACTTATCGGCATTTGACCACTTCCAGAAAATGCCTGTGGCCTTTCTGCTGGGCCGGCATCAGTCAGCAGCATCGCTCCATTACGCGCACACGGATTCGCCGCATTCTGATTATCCAGCGAAAAGTCGGATGTAAAATCACACCTCCTAAAAACGGCATCGGAAGCCCATGTCGAAAAATACCTCGTCACCGGCATAAGCATGTTCACTTTAACCGGCAGCCGGTTCCCATCCTATTCAAACCGCATCCTACATCACTGTCTCAACGCAATCAGCAGAAAATGGCAGCCGCTCACGCTGTCATGACCGATCGCATGGCCACGGGAATCATACGTCCGGTCGAAGCCGATCATACCACTCCCATCATTTTGCAGAACATATGGACTCCGCCCATCAATTCCGAGACATTGCATGAATTGGATATTTCCACCATCTTTAAAAGCCTGCAACTGCGACACGACTTGCTTTTTGATCCCGATCTGTGCTTTCGTCCCAATTTGGATGGACCCAATGGCCGCCAGAAAAGGAAATTGGCCGACCAGTATTGGCAAAACGTGGAACGCGCCTTTGACATTGTGTTTCGTCCCAAAGCCCACGTCTTTCCGGAACAGTACGATTTCCTCCGCATCATCATCACTGAACTTCGAGATATTCTCGCTTCCTTGGTCTCTTGCCCTTTGACACGGAACACTTTGTATCAGAAATGCGGGAAAAGGTTGACCGTAGACGACGTTCGAGCCAGCTTGGATCCTGAACTGCTGATTCAACAACTGGATTTCAACGTTTTCACCATTCATAAGCAGATTCACTTTGTGCAAACTGTCCTTGGCGCTATTTGCCCGGAAAACCGTCGTGAATCACTGGAACTCATGAATCACTTTTTCGATCAGCCAAACTACGGTAAAGCGCTTCGACATTGTTTTGCCGTGCTGGAAGCCATCAAACTGGTAAGTTGGAAAAATATATTAATGAGTTTGGATCAGCGGAATAGCGTTAAAAATGAACGGGGCGTTTTTGTTTTCTCTTTATCTCGAGTAGGATCAAGCCAATAACGCATTGCGACAATATCGATCCTATCTCGTCGATACGTGTGCCAAATTTGAATGGCGAAGTTTCAAGAAACAGTTCCAGAAAGAAACGCTTCCTTTGGATTCCATCATCCAATGGCTAAAAAGCGGGTGCTTGCAATACAGTTCACCCCACGCATTTTTAGATGTATATTACGCAGGTACAGCTTAGCAATGCCCTGTACAAATGAGAAAATCAATGTACTTACCAGATTTCGTGGTGTTAGCTCTTATATCGCTCGTCACCGATGATGACGAAACCCGCCGTGTATTTCAGCAATCCACTGTCCCTTATCCAATCACTCTGCAATTTGATCGTCGTCGCCTCACCCAAGAGTTTCGATTTGAATTCCAAAACATTATTGTCATTGCCATCCTGTTGATGCCGTATCGTCATTTAGCAGGAAGACAGTGGAAATTGGGGGACATTTTCCAGCTAAAGCAAGTGTATTCGGCCCTTCTCAACGAAGCATCCTCCAGCACGCGACGTTCTTCACGGGTATCGTGCTTTCAACTCGCCCTTCACGCCTGTCACGTCGCTTTGGAGTTGCAAAAACCGCATGCAGCGTCCACCGACTTGGGCCATCTGGCTCATTTCTGGGGAGAATGGCTTACTCAAAACTTGCAGCCATACTCCTTTATCTACAAACTCATGTATGAACGTGTAGTTTTTTCGTTACGACATTACTTACACCGCGGTCCGGTAATGAGGAACAGTTCAACTATGATTGGTTTGGAAGACGATATCGAATCATTAGGATTCAAGATCAAGATGGTGGCGGATTTGAATTTGCAAATATTTACCCCTCTTTACCAGTGTTTGATGGCATCGATAGAACAACCCTCGCCGCACCCTTCAATCACAGTAAGCGCCCAGTCGAATGATGGTTAGACCGTTTTCACAGATGAGGCAATCATCATTCGCACATATCGTTTGGATGCGGCAAAACATTGACTGTATCTAGAAACAAACACCTTTTTGTATTTAATATGTATGTGAGTCAAGTGTTCCTAGAAAAAATGCTTAATTTATAATCCTTTTGTATCCTAACATTATATTAGCCATTTTGCAATCAGCAAGCTGCAAATAAACCTAAATCTTCGTTTGAGCTGTTTCCAGTCTTTCAAAATCACGGAACAAAAAGTTCAAAGATGTGCTGATCATTTTTACTTTCCGAGAATTCGCATGATCTTTTTGTAACATGAAGAACGATAGCAGGTTGGTGAGGCATGAAAAGAAATTGGTTTTATGATGCGGCCACAAGGGGCACTGGTGGAACTTTCTCAGGTGATCGATGGAATCAGCATTATTTTCATGAATCACACTCCGATTTCCGTCCATTAATTATACCAGCTGTTGCTCTCACCATCGATAAGCTACGTTCTCATGTCTGCATTTCCGTTTATTCATCGGACTCCGTCTTCCACAGCCAGTAGTTCGAAAAGCTTTGGCAATCTCTCGGTATCTCTTGCCGATGAACTGTACGATTCCCAGATTGCTGCTTTTGTGAACCCCTCACTGTCTTCACGGCCACTAGAAAGTACCCACTTCTCGCGCACTATTTCAAATCAATCGTCGACTTCGTCTCCCCCTCTGCGTTCCGCTTCGCTGCATGGTATGCTCTATATAAAAAAAAGACTTCTTGCGAAAATGGCTTAGCCAGTTGTATCTTTCCGAGCCTCTCTAAACCATCGTTTTGCAGCTATCGATTCACCAGTATCACCGGCCAGAGGCTCTGCATTTTCATTTATGAGATCCAAAGGTAATTTTGTTTCCTGATATCGCTATTGTTTTATTGACTACCATTTTAAATGTTTTCTGTGTAGTTGACAAAGTGGATTCCCAAGACATTTATGCATCCTTTGCGCAGGAAAACCAAGCTCCGCAGCTCGACAGGTCCGTCAGTTTGGCGAGCGACGTCGGTATGATTCCAACACCGTCTTGTGTCCTTGTCTGCCTACTCACCGTTATGGATGCTTTGTAGAACTATTCGTACCCACCTCCAGACCGCTCCATCAAAGAGGGGATAACAAAGACATCAAGCGGCTGTCAGCCGAGTCAACCCAGAAACGTATTACCGCCGAGAAAAAGCAACAATATATGCTGCTGCAACGACTGTATGACCGTTACAAGCTTATTCTTACCCAGATATCTCAGGTTAGGTCCAACAATAACCTGGTATTTCGCATTTGAAGATTTTGCTCACTTATCTTTAGACGCAATCCAAGATAAAGAACTTGGAAGCGCGAAAAAAGGAAGCTTTGGACACGGAAGATTACCTGTCAGCGGAAAATTTTCACCATCAGTTAGAAAAGCAGAAGAACAGACAGCATGAATTGTCTACTACCGTGCTAACTGGTTTGGTACAGCAAATTCATCGCGGTTGGGAGAAGCTCGGTCATCTGACTTGCAAGGAAACGGTGGCCGTAAGGACATTGGCCGATATTTGTACCGAAGTAAAGGTGCGCTTGCTGCAGATCGAGATTCTTTTTACCTGTGCGCTAATCCGATCGACTGAAAGGAAGAACGAAAACGACAAATGGCGAAGTTTAACATTGATACAGAGCGAATTTTGGAACAAAGACTGACACAGATCCATGCTCGACGAGTAGAGTTGGACAAGGAGAAAAGGTAAACGGATGGCCAGCAGCAAGGCGGCAACATTGCGGGTAAATTAATCGCGCTTTCCAGTGAGATCGCTTTCGACTTGGAAATATGGGAGCAGGCCGACACCGAACTCCAAGAAAAGCTGGATGAGGCTGTTCATGATGAGCTTTTGAAAAAGAGGGATCTAACTATCAAAGTCGAAGCGATCGAGGTACAGTGTGCTCCAGTAAAAAAAAGATGCTACCTAGAAATTGACGTTCAATAGGAGGAAATACGACAACTTGTTGAGCGTTTGAACCACCTGGAGAATCAACGGAATGAACATCGCTCTGAAATACATCGTTTAAACGATATTATCGATAATGCATCCAGAACATATGCACCGGAAAAAGAGCACCATTTGGCGGAACGAGAAGCCATTGAAAAACGAAAAGCCCATGTGGATCGCATTACGGTAAAAACCGAAGAGTTTTTGCAACGATGTGCAAGTATACGGAGAAAGCTGACAATCACAGTAGACCGAGCTGGATAAAGAGGATACCGACTTGCATCAGTTGATGGATCGCAAACATAAAGACCAACAACAATACGACGACGAGATGCAAGAACTCAATACATGCTTCCAACATTCCATGAAGTTGATCGATCAAACCGAACAAGAATCAAAAGACATCGTTTCTTTATTTGAGCAAGCGATTAAAATTCGAGATGAGACCATCCTCGATGAAACATTGGCTAAATCAAGGTAAACTCATGTTGTCTATCACCGCCCGATTCTGGACTTATTTTCTCACGATGTGCTCAGAAGTCAAACGGATGCCCAGCTTCGCGAAAACTTGTTGAACCACCTCCAAGACAATGTAGAAAATGCACAACAAGATCTGGATGCGTTTGAAGAAAAGCATTTACATATGAAATCACAGTTGGCAAGTACGGAACAAAAAAAGCAATCAGCCGTGCAATCCGGACGCTTTCAGGAAGCAGCGCGATTGGCAGTTCAGTTGAAGGAAATACGGTCTGTATTGGATCAAGCGGACAGCCGGCGTCAGAAGCACAAGGAAGCCCTTGCTCGCCATCAAGAAACCCTGGAAGAACATCAAACAGAAATGAAACAAGTAGAAACTAACCAGGAACAGACCCAGCATTACCAGAGTTTGTTTTCGCAACTGGAATCATAAGCATGACGTATGCTAATCGAGTTTTTTTGTAGATGAACGTTTACTTGCAGTTTTGAAGGAATCCAAGGATAAATTGGGAGCATTAGAGCATCGGTAAGTGCTTTTATCTAACAGCGGATATGCGTATAATTTGGGCGCTCAATGTATCCTTCTGCTCTAGATTGAACGAACAAGAGTCCCCACTGAAAACGCTACTTCATTGCGAGCTCGAAAATATCCAGTTACAAATAACATCCCTACAATCAAGTGAAAACAACGAATTACCCACTATACTTCCAGCAAATTGAAGAAAACAAAAACCACTCGTGTAAACGGTACCCAATCCATTTATGTAATATATTATCAGATACTGTAATACATACTTTTTATTACCCATTCATCCAACCTGCAGTCGAATAACATGGCCGAAAAAATAGGAGTTCAGTTATGAATTTCTTGTAGGCCAGTATGAATGTTCCAGGTCCGCGCTGTGATATCTAAAGTGGACCAATGGAGATTCTAGCAGTTAATATAAGCAGTGGAAATCTTCCGCACTTAGGGCAAAAGGTCTGGCATAAAGTATGGATGCATATGCATGCGTTTATGAGATGCCATATTGGAATGGCAAAGCATCGCTTACAAGTATATCTTACGCCGTTTATTCGGAACATCCTGAAAAAAAAATTCAAACCTGTTCTGTAGCATGATGCAGGTTTATGAATGACAGCAAGCGAAATAGAATAATGAACGCTCAGGCCATAATGTTGCACGCTTACGAAAAATCGATTTTGGATTGAATCTTTCCTCCTTTTTCTAGTGAACAAGGAGTCGTGCAGATTGTTTATGCACATCCCACTAAAAGTGTTTTGAATCATGTTTCTTGGGACGATCCAGACACTCCATAATTTCTACCTGGCAATCTTCTGTAAGCTTTGCACTGATGCTGTGTACACCACATTTCTAATGTGTGGTAAAGATAGAATAATCGGAAATTGCGGCACCACAAGAGTCGATAGGTATACTGTATGACCTAAAGTCAATTCCAACTTTCAACCATCGGCCGGCCAGAAAAAAAGCAGTCAATAATCAACTGTGTTGTTAACTGATGCAGCCAGTGATGAGGAAGTTGACCATGGCTGTACCCGATCAACTTGGCTCGCGTTGTAAAAGTTGGCCATATATCAGTGCTGTTATATTGTTGGCTTATGTGAACTGCGCAACCAACTACATGATTCGAAGAAACTCGGAAAACTAGCTCCTTTTCGCACGTAGTGAATAATATCTACAATAATCCGTCCTTGTTGTTAAATCCTACTTCTTGCATCAAGAAGTCTTATTGTTCACACGTTTTTACGAAATCCGTTCACCCAGTTCATTTCATTGTTTATTCTTTTTTTTTTTTTTTTACGCCTGATCGTACAAACGTTCATCTCAGCAGCTAAGCAAACAGCCGTAAGATACCAACCCGTTGTCATTATCGTTTCGAGGATTTAGGGTCTCAGTACCAGCCGATATACGGTCTACGACGGGCAACAAGCGGCCGATGGAGTCGTTCCAGGGTAAGACCTCGGCCTGTAGGGCATGAATATTAGAGACAAATCTTGAGCGAGAAAAAGGTTTACTTACGTCTGTCTCTTCCCTGGAACCGCCCACCGACCATCACACCGTCTGTTTCAATATCAAGGTGAGAATCCGCTGTAGACTTGCTCATCGCGATGTGACATGGTCGATACTTGTTTTCGTTGCGCTGGACTGCGGCTGTTCGAGATGCTGTTGCGGTCACAGTCTTTCAATAGTACGGCTTTCCAGTCGTAAGAAAAAAAGGGTGTCATAAGCAGAACATACCCTTGACATGGCAACGTATAATTGGCCAAGCGAATCCATATGAGACAAAGATACAGCCACTTTGTCCACCGTCAGGCTTTGCACCTTGTGGATCGTCGCCGCATACGCTGTCTTCAAAGGAAACTGGGTGCGACAGATCTCGTACTTGGTACGTCGCCTGTCACGATCATTTAGCGTCAGCTCTCTGTTGGTCGTGATATTCCAAGGACGCCATAACCCAGCCAGGCTTCGAACACGACAGTAGGGATTGTTTGCCTGGTACGCCTGACTGCATTTCGTACGTTGCGCCAAAGGATGTCCTTGTTGGTCCTCTTGTACCCGGTTCATCCATAGTATTCGCGTGTCTGTCTTCCATCCCGATAGCTTATCACGTTCCTCGCCGCCCCTGAGGCTATGTCGTGGCTGTGTGTAATGAGATGGAAGCTGGTCAGAAGTGACACATCTCTTGTTATCATGGCGACATGCTGCCAAATTCAGGCATCGTAACTTGATGACTGTCGCTCGCACCAACCATGTCGCTCGAACCAAGGTCTGCAGCAAAGACCGCGATTCCCAAGTCCGGTAAGCGGGGTTCGCCGCCGTCGACGCAACCATAGACACGGGATCTCCAGGTACACCAGACATTGTTTCTTCCGGACCAACAGGAACATTTTCTTGCTGGAACTGGCCGGATAAGGTATTGACTTCTCTTGACGATACTGGGCGTGATCTATCGACAATATAGGGATACATGCGTCTCATCGAGTAGTTTGGCAGTAAAGAGAAAACCCGGCTTTGCTTTGCGACGGAGGTTCTTTCAGATAAGAAGCAGTCGTTGCGGTCGATACGGGGCGGGTGACCTGTTTGGGTGTCTTTGAGATATGGACGCGAGCTGACCACGCGTTCCCTGGTATGAGCAATCCTCTGATGGAAATATCCCACTGATTGATCACTCATTTGAGTTAGAGTAAAAATGATTTTGGCGAGTTCAGATCTAGCACACTTTGTCATGTGTAGATACTTTGTGGCTGATAAAAAGGAGGGTGTGAGAGTAGAAAAAAAAAGAGAGAGAATGAGGAGCGTGTCACAATTCCTTTATCGCAACAATCAAAATAGATCGGGATTACAATGATTTAGTTGCACAGTTGACTGGTAAAATTTACAAATCAAGTGTTATCCAAATGGGACCAAATGGCAGTGACAACCAAAGGAAAAACGACATAAAAGATGATTTTGTTAGACAAACGAAATTTGGTCTTTACTTTTCCACTCACCAAAAAGGCTGTTGTCACTGCATTGTGGAGGTCGCCACCTCACACCAATATGGCATGGGCTTTGTTCAAGTTTTTTACTGTTGATAGCACAGTTTGGATGAATGATTCGGCATGATAGTTGATCACAATGCGTTACCTTTTTTTCAAAAGCGGCTTTAGACTCCTGCATGTCGTGTTGCTGTCCTTATTTCTGTTTGGTTGAACAGAGGACGCGCTTTGGGAACACTTGGAAGCTGGGAAGACATAGCAATCAACGCCGAGGTTCATGGATCTGGTACCCTGGAAACAGACGAATGGAATCCTGAAAGGCGCTGTGACAGATCACAAGTGAACATGTTCCGAAGTTATAGCCCTTCCCAAAACCAGCTGGATACAGGCAAATGAAAGGGTGGTTAACGGAGTCTGACCACCCTATCCCGAGAGCCCCCATTTGGCGGCCACTTCTCTAGTGAACGCCAGCCTCCACCAAGATCTCGTTCTCCAGAATGGACATCGCCAAGCGGTACAGCATAGGAGATCGTCCCGAGGCTGAAAGGTGATCGACGGTCCAATGAAAAAGGCTTGTTAGAAAGCTACAGGTGAAATGCGTCGCCGAAATTCAACGTATCCAAAACGAAGTCAACAGTTGCTTCCTGGGTTCAGATAACTTGACAACCGAGCGCAGACCAATTTTTCGAACGAAGCGTTGGTTGTTCGTACCGAGAATCTTGTTGAGCCATTCTTATATCGTGTCATCGTGATACACCTCAAGCTCTGATGGTTTCCGGGATAATAAACGCCGTTTTCAACGCATGTTGGACATCACACCAATTCTGTGCCCAATGGTTGCTCTGTTTTGTCCGTATGAAGTTGGGTTTTTCGTCGTGTTCGAAACGTTTCCTTAGCTCGCGGGTTATAAATGCGATGACGTCTCCATGTTACGTCTTCGTTCTTCTCTGTCTGTACGTTTTCGCTTCTTGTTTCAGGATCAGATGGGCCAGGTCTGCCACGTCTTCTTCCTGTTTCTTCGCGTCTTCAACAGGAAGAGACCTCATGCGACGAAGAGATGGCACTACGGACCACGGGTATAAAATGACGACGACTTATCTCTCTGAGCGGTGAACGAGAGCGGGAGCGTGATCGCTCAAAAGGAAATACCGGTCTTTTAAGCAGTAGAATGATCCAATAACGGCGTATACTCGATACGACAAGGACGACAGTATACGTGCCCAGGAAAAACGTACATGCAGAAATGTGTCCAAATAATAGCGGAAAACGCAATTCATTTGGTTCCCGTATTGCCAACGAAGGCCATGCTCCCTGTGTAAAAAATAGTCAGTTACATGTTACACACGGTCAAGACGCGTAGCAAACTTACCAAGATTGCTCCAGCGGTGAAATTCATTGATTCTTGCCATTCTAAGGCTGCCCAGGATAGGAGTTGTTGTTTGCCACATGAACTACGCGAATGGCATTTTTTCGTGATCTCGGCCAAGTTGGGCAAGCCAACGGATTTAATAAAGCATAGCATTTCCATGGATGGATCAAAAATGAATCCCGTGAAGCTATAGTAAATGATCTGCGGTGAACATACATTGATCTTGGAGCCGCGTTTGCGGCAGTCGAACACGGATGAAGCATCTCGGTACTTACGGTAATGAATGCAGATTTTTCAAATGGTTGCAGTGTCCATAACAAGTTACATGGTACGATACATAAAAGAAGCTTTCGAAAAGCGGGAGCAGAAATGTAGCTTATTTTGCTTACGAATTCCTGGGTGACGCACACCGACACCAAGAGATGAAACAAAGAGAAAAAAAAAAAATACGCCATCAGGCACCACCACATCGGACACTAAAGCGGACGCATAACGCCTGCAATGCGCCGTCGTCAATTCTTGTTACTGTATGTATGAGAGAACCTCCCTGATGAATAATGGAGCCACCTATAGCATCGTACCACATTCTATGATAAACATTCTGCTAGAGATTTACTCACGTCAAGTATACAATGAGTCGCAGCAGACAAGGTCAAGTCGCACACAAAGATAATAATTCTTCTTAACTACCACTGTTTCGGCTGTAATACCCTTCCTGCATTTTTGCAATTTGTGCCTTGATTTCTCAACTGTATTTCCCAAAGCCTCATCCTAGAAGTCTACAAGAATGAACGTCCCTCGTATCGCTTAGAGGTCCTTATTTCTCAACATCGCATGCTTTCCTTCCAATGTCTTTTCTTTTCAGCCCTATATAAAGCGCTTACTGTTTCCATGTGATTAGGTCTGATGTTTGCGGGACGCTCATCTATGTGACAAAGGCCAACTAGCAAATGCTTCGATGCATGCCCTTCACGTTGAATTTCTGATGCACGGCACTACACTAAATTAAGAGGTTTTGGTTCCGTCGCTCAAACATTAGTGCCATATGCGTGCTTCATAATTGAATAAATGGTGTATGTCTTCAAGTTTATTTGCACTTTAACCGTAAAATTACAAGTGTTTCGAGTGGAAAAAAATAATGATAATAAAAGAAAGAGCATAGATTGGCATAAAGCATGATGATACAATACATAAAAAAAAGAAAAAGAAACATGGAAACATAAACATATGATAAAAAAGGGAAAATTACTGACACACGACGGGGAAAAAGGAGGGCTGATGAAGGTATGTGCGCGTTATTTTTTTCTCATGAAATGGATCGACGTGCCAGTGGTAATTTGATGAAAAAAATGTCACGGTGGTAAGAGGGGTTGCAGCTGAATGAGAGGGAGAAGAAGGGTATAAGCAAGTAAAAACATTGCTAGGCGAAGAGCATGGTAAAGCCCGTGTCTCGTTGAGATGCGTTGGCGGGATACGATTTCAACAGATAATCGGTCAAGCTTGGTAAAGTGGTATCGTTCATGGACTCGTCATTGGCGATGGAGGTGTGGATGGGAAGGGAAGACCATACGCCAGGCACGAAGGTCGGTGAAGATGGCACCGAATGGTCGTCTGTCAAGGGTGTGCTCGGGCTGGCGTAACCAGACAAAGGTGGGGTTTGCGGAGTTTGGGCGTCCAAAGAAGAATAAGTGGTATCGAAATGGTATGTGGAATAAAAAGGATGGCATTCTGCGCACGCACAGACTGCAGTGGGATGAAACTGGGATGGCAAGACACCCTCTTTTTGTTGTTGTTCGTACATTAAACGACGTTCTTCCATAAATGGTGTCCACTGAATTTGAGGCCGTTTGCCGTCAATGACATGATCGTGTTTCATGTGCTTCGTTAAGATTGCTTTGCGCACAAAACTTTTCGTGCAACCATCCATGGGGCACTTGTAAGGACGCTTTCCCGTATGAGTGCGTCTAATGATGGATTCGTCTGAGTAATCTGATCCTTTCAAAAGGTGAGTGTTGGTAACGTACCTGTGACGCGCAAGTGAACTGCTGTCGCTGAAAGTCTTGTTGCATTGGGGAAATTCGCACAGATGAGGTCTTTCTCCGGAATGGGTACGCATATGGACCGTCAGAGCCGACCTCTGCAAAACGAACGGATTAGTTATATCATGACTCATTCTCTGGCAATAATTATACCTCAATCAAGTTACCTGAATAAAGCTTTTGCCGCATCCTAATTCTCGGCACTTGAAAGGACGGTCATTGGTGTGAATACGTGAATGTCGCACCAAGTCTGATCGTCTCCCTATGGAAATTATCGACAGAATCACCGTGAGTTCATGACACTTTTTGTGAACCAAACGCTTGCCGATTTCTTCTTTTTGTTTCGAGAAACCTACCAAAACTTTTTTTGCATCCATCAAAGGAACAGGAAAAGGGTCGGTGGTCATTAACATGGTATTCCTGATTCACGAGCTCCAAGATTTCCATGGCAGTAATAAGATGATAAGAAAAGTAATTTTTTTTTAAAAAAAAAAAAAAAGTTATCAAGACAACAGTGGATAAAGAAGTAAAGTCCAGGAATATCAATATCGTATCTTTATATATCCCAGCCAACATTACGCATTCGATATTTATGTACATCTACGCCGCACACTCTCTTCAAGTGGCCAAAAAAAGCAAATTCAGAGCATAAGGGTTCGTGCGCTCTCCGGAAATGCCACCTTCCTTTTCTTCTCTCCTCCCCCTGTAATCTTTCACTTTTGTCCCCTTCAGCAACCGCCTTGGTCTCGTCCCCCATCATCCCCCCATCCTGTCCCCCGATTTTTTTTTCGATATCCAATGACTCGTTTTTTTTTTGTATACAAGTAAGCCCTGATCTCTGTTCTCCTAGTCATGTCTTTTGAGTTTTAGCTTCGGAATTTTTTTTTTCGTCACCTCTGTGTCTCCCGTTTCGAGGAATTTTTTTTTTTTTTTGACGTTCTCAAGTTTGAGAATCAAACCTTCTTGATCCCCTTGATTACCATAATCTCTAATTCTCACTAGCTCTCAACCTAACGAAACGTTCATACAAAAAGGGAAAGAAAAAGGATCGAACTGCCTATATTCAGAAATGGAACTGAGAGGAGATGATGCCAGGGGTTTTCATCCTACTTGGCTTTAATTACATATTAAGTTGTAACCTAAAAAATATCATCTGTTTCTGGATGACTTTTGTTTGGTGCAGAGGGAATTCTCTATTCTTCACCGTCGTTTTTCTTTTCTCTTCTCTTTTTTTTTTTTTTTTTTTTTTTTTTTTTTTTTTTTTTTTTTTGCCTCATGCATCACCCCTAATTCATGTTGATCGAAATGAATCGGAGTTGGCGGTTTTGGCTGGTGCTATCGCACCAATGTTGATATCTGTGAATCCGTTTCATTAGACACAACACTCAATGTTACAGAAGCATCCCTTGCCTGCTGCGTGCAATCCTTTAGTTGTTTTCTTACATGTTGCATTTCAAGCCCAAAACTGGAACTATTTCTTTTGTGCAGAGAAAACTTGAGTGTTTGACCTCATTATCAGTAGCGTATGAGATACAACTTGTTCTCTTCACGGTATAGTCAGTGTAACTTACAAACTTCAAATCCATCACATGGGTTGCACCGCTGTCTGTTCCCTTGTACCGTAGCATGTTGAAAGCTGGGTTTCTTTTTCGTTGTTTTTAGTTCGCCTTTGGATGGCACTCGGAATGATCCCGGGTTTTGAGTGTCACAACAATAACGCCTTTTGGTGCTCATCGGTGTCTGCTTGCCTGCTGTTTCCTAGCCTATCGGGATCGTCGGCATTCATTCGTTCACCGTGCACAGCGAATTTTCTATCAAACAGTCCGTGTGGGTCTCACAAATTACATTGCGTGCCATTCGTTTCTATCCAATCCCTCCCTCCTTTATTCTCTTTTTGGTATTGCCTTGTGGCTTCCGATAAACAATACTATTACGTTTTACCAGATCTGCTGTGTCTACTGCACCCCATTTGACATGAAGGGTCAAAATTAGATGAATGACAATACTAATGAATGGGAATACATTGATACAGCAAGATGCCTGACTTGATGTATTTTACTTCTACTGTCATCACAGTACATGGGGACACGTTTCTGTTTTCTTTCATTAAAGCATGATGCCATCTTTTTTCTCCTATTTTCCATGGTGCACGGAGCAACACCATGTGGGTAAGTATTCACTAGAAATCCTACATTGTCTTCTCACTTTCCATTTGTGTACAGTATGATTTCAGAATGGCAGACCACTCATCCTATTACAAAAAAGTACGGGATAAGGGCATCAAAGAACACGCATTTTCTTAGGGACATATATACAATGGAAACTGCTGATAGGCAGCCGTCGAACAAGAAAGATGGTTAAAGGAAGAAGGATCAACATATCATAATTGATAAGCTGATCCGTAATTGAACCAAAAAACCAAGAGCACAGATATTTTTTTTTCTTGTAAACGACAAGCTCATTTTGTTCACGGCGGCCACGACGTTTAATTTGCAGGAGACATCAGCGAAAATTTATTCATCTTTCATCTCTCTCTCCCCTTACTTACTCCTTGCGTTCACCCTTAATCAAGACGACCGTGTCCACCTGGCCGCTTGGTCCGCTTTTTTTTAATGTCTCGAGACCTCTCACTTGCTGATAAAGGAAATTTAGCGGTCAATTTTTTTCCGCACTGCCAATGATAATGAGGGTGATATGAACATGGAGGCCAACCAAACTTTAAATTAATCATTGTTGCTAAAAGAAAATCAGAAGAGGCTGTCCTTGACAGTCGTTCCCATCTGCCCACCATGATCTTCAGGCTGACTCATTAATTACAGTCATGATAAAATCAGTCAAATATCCGGCCTTTGTAGTACACAATCATCTGTTCGACAGGCGTATGGAGATCAACATATTAGGGAGCTTCAGGAGCACCAAGAGATGATATCTTCTGAAATGCTGTAGCCTCAATCAAAGGGGATGCCACTGATGTAACGATGCTGCTGGAACTAAAAATAGATTTATAGCACGCTGTTTCCATAATGGGCACACGCTGTTCCAGTGAACCATTGCAATGTTACACGGCTGTCATGATACTGTCTATCGTTCACAGAGTAACTTTCTCGACGCCTTTGATAACAAGCTCACAGCGGCATTTCAAGTTGTTTCACAGTACATGGTGATGATCATTACTTTATTTAATGAGTGACCGTCGCCTAGACATGTGCTTGCACCGAATTTCTGGAATAGCTCAAAGTTGCAGATAACGACCACTCTTGGGATCTACAAATGGCCATCGAAAAAAATACTCATATTTTATGCTGGCAGCTCGGCCTGCAGGACTGCCAAATAAAAGTAATCAGGTTTCCAAGTTTGCATGTGCTTCAGAATCTCTTGTGCTTACATAAAACTACTACTTTACGTGCTTTTTATTCAAAATGCCTTAGATAAAATGTTACAAGACATATTGGACCTAGTCAACATAAATTAGTTTCTTTAAATCGGCCTTTCTTTATATATAACACAAACATATAATAAAAAGAGCTTCTTTATTTTCTGTGTCCATACCTTGGCCATTTACATTATACTTAGGCTGTAGCGGATCATAGCTAACCCATTTTCCTGGTTTTATGGCGTGATCATGAACGGTCATTTGCCTGTTGTTTCGAGGAAACAGATTGTAATGCAACTTGCGCGCCAAATGGCATAAGATTGGAACGGAAACAGCTGAACAGACAGGAGATTTGGTGAGCCAGCGAACCCATCCTCTGTGCTGGTTTCCATTATAATTGCTTGTTCGCCATCACCAGCTCAACTTGTAAGCTGAGCGCCTGCTGATTGACATGCATGTATTAGCTTGCGAGCACAATGCCAGATAGCTATACCCGATAGAAGACCTTGTAAAAGTACGTCCTGATGATACAATCGAACAATATATTTACAAACTCAATGTGAAATCCTTACAAAAGTGATCTATGTATCCTTTGGTGCTACCATCATGGTGTGAGGTAAGTCAATGATGAAGTTTTCGATAAAAAATTATCTCAAATCCAAACTGCTGATAATTAAAACGGTTGACCTCTGTCACGAGCATTACAGAGTCATCTGTGTGATATACTGGGTTTGCCGCCATTTTTGTGATTATGTTATTGATAAACGCAGAGGAATAGCTAAAGTACTGAGTCTTACCTTATGGACTATCGCTTGCTTCTTCTTTGGTAGGTTGTTCCCCAGTAATAAAAGATGATGTTCAGGTACAGTACGACAAATTTGTAATTTTATTCAATAAAAAAGAAACCGATGGTGTGCGCGATGAGCAAGGCATTCTTTAGCTTATGTTTCCTTCTACAGAGGATATCAACAAGGCACAAGGAAAGGTTATATCGGCTACCGGCTACGCTGATTTTGCCGGTTTGACATTGAATGAAATCACGAACGAGGATTCCTTTGTGTATACGGACCACAATTTCCCAACTGTCCCTGAAAAATATATGGCCCTTCATTGTTTCCAGTATATTCTGGTTTTCGTTTTGCCTACTCATTTGATGGTTAGCCCGTAGTAGGGCATTGGAGAAATTCGGCAAAAACGGTTGTTGCATTGAATGCCGGATTTCGGGATCTTGTCCTGCCACCAATTGCAGTAAAAACACGGACCATAGCAGACACGTGTTATTATGCCGAGGCAAGGTTTCATTGTTAGGTAATAAACTTCCGTATCCAATGCCGCATGGAAGAACCGTTTCATGCTAGATTTCTCGCATTAAGCATGTTAACGAGAGTTCCGTCACGCATCAAATTTGCGGGTTCAATGACAGACGGATAATAAAAAATCGCTATAAAAGTGGAGCCTTTTACACGATAATTAACAACAATATCTGTCGATTTTACCATGAAATCAATTACACCAGTCATCTTAGTAGTCTTTGCTGCTTCCGCCGTGATGGGTAGACCTATTGCTAAGGAATTTAACCAGAAAGATTCCATTGTCGAGTTTGGTAATGATAGAATTATAACATGATTCAGGGCAAGTTGTTGACTCAAATAACTTAGGCAACGTTATGGACATTTCAGAAGATGAATTTCGTCAAAAACAATTACTCTGCGAAATTGGATTTTGCACTAGCAACTGTCCAGAAAATTGTGGTTTATAGATGTCAGTTTGGACCACGAAGAATTCTAACCAAACAGAATAAGCCACCTTTGGCGCCGTTAGTTTCTTTCTTCTCTTGTTGGATTGGTGATGCCCTAATAATAAAAGCACTCCTTTTTATGTTATTTCTGTGCAACTTGATGGTACTGTGTGTGAATCTAACGGTGACCAATGTCTTACTACATCCTGGCAATATAAGATGATGTCCGATTTACGCTCATTGTACTCTGAAAAGTATCAGCTGCTCTATTACTGACATGCCTAATTTGGCTCACTCTGGCAAGAAGATTGAAAGCCTTGATATAAATCGAAAGAGCACGCGATGTGGAGTAAAAATATTTATTGATTTCTGATGGAAACCACAAGTGGACTATCCATGCATTCGCTAATGCGATAGAAGACAGATGGTCCCCCAACGAGCGAAACAAGCCTAAAGCAACCATTAGAGAGTTTCCCTATGGTTTTGTTTCAACGCTCACCCTCGTTTGCTGTTGCGACAATCATAGCACAATTTGAGCCATCGAGAACTTGCTCTTTGGATATTTCGCAGCAGATCTCACAGGCGGTGCCTGCAGAGACACCGGATATGGACATGAAGAGCGCAAGTAAGGGTTTCAACAGACACATTGCATTTACCTTGGTATCAGAAACACATTTCATTGTCTACCGATCTGCTGCTCCGTACAGTTAAAAGATGGGACGTATCTTGTTGTTGCTTGAATCTGCTCTGCAGGACCGTGGATTCCACACGATGGACACGGTGGCACGGAAGATCCAAACAACCCCGTTCGCTGTAATATTCTTCAGCGACAGTAGATGTGCGCTTCGTTTACAACGTAGCTTAGAAGCGATACGAGCCCAGCAATTCTCAATTATGTCATATACTCTCTTTGCGGCCGTAGCAAACTTTCGTTTCTACGCTGCTCTCTGCTTATTCAACGGCCGAACTCGTTAACGCGACTAGTTCCTCCTTTCGCGAATCAAACAATCTCGGTACAAATTAACCTGCTAGTAACTAAAGCAATTTTAACAATTTACGCTCTGTAGTAGGCATTACAGAAGTAGAGCCTCGTAAAGGCACAGCAATCTGTGTATTGTATTGTTTGCCGCATTTTTGTAAATTATATTTATAATAACAGTAAGGAAATGGCAGCATCATTAATCTTCACCTTATGGAATATCGTTTGCTTCTTCTTTGAGCAGTTGTTCCCCAGTGATATAAGCTGATGTTTCTGTACGACAAACTTCTAATTTTATTCAATGAAAAAAAATGCTGTGTGCAAATGAAGCATTCTTTAGCTTTATTATACTTCCTTGTACGGGGGGATATCAACAAAACGCAATGAAAAATTCTATCGGCTATGCTGAGTGTGCCGATTTAACATTGAATGATATTAGCAGGGATTCTTGTGTGTATACGAATTGTGACCTCCCAACTGCCTCCGAAAGCACACGCCCCTTCTTCATTGCTTTTAGCATAGCTTGGGTTTTTATTTTTGCCTGCTCTTTTAACGACTAGTCCGTAGAAAGGCATTGCAGGAATTCGGCAAAAACGATCGCCGCATTGAATGCCGGTCTTGGGAAAACTTTCATACTATGTATACATATTGCAGAACAACACAGATCAGAGCGACATATGTTATGCCGAGGCATAATTTCGCCGTTAAATATAAACTGCCGTAACAATGCCGAATGGAAGAACCGTTTCATCCAAGCTTTCGCGCATGAAGCTGTTTACGATAGTTCCATTACACAATATTGGTCACGAATCAAATTTGCGGGTTCTATGACGGATCGGTAATGGAAAATAGCTATGAAGTGAAGCCTTTTACTCGATATGATTAACAGCAACTTTACAGCTTACCATGAATCCTTTACACCAATCATTCTTGTAGTCTTTGCTGCTTCCTCCATAACTGGCTGGACCTATTACCAAGGATGCCAACGACAAAGCTTCAAGCAACCTCGTATGCAGTATCGATAGCTTGTCGAACTGCAAGACCACTGCCGAACTTGGTAACAAATAGCATTATAATATGAAACTTCAGGATAAGTTTCTGACTCAAATTACCTAGCGAATGTTATAGGCATTTCAGAAGCCGAAGTGCGTCAAAAACAAGCCGGCTGCGACGTGGGAGTTTGCCATCCGTTCTATTGTCCACAAAACTGTAAGAACTAGCATAAAAAATTCCAACGAAAGAAAGTATTTCAGCTCAGTGGAGCCATTATTTCTTCTCCTGTTGGATTGGTAATCTTGTAATAATAAAAGCAATGAGCTTTTATGTTATTTCCGTCCAATTAATGGTAGTGTTTGTAACTTCAAATTTGACCAATGTCTTATATTACGTCCCAACAACTATAAGATAATCTTAGCTTTATTGCATTATAAAAAATATCAGCTGCTCTATCATTGACACGCCTAATTTCGGCTCACTTCGCCAAGACCATTGTAAACATTGATACAAAACGAAAGAGTAAGCAATGTGAAGAAAACATATTAATTTCTGATGGAAACCACAGGTAAACTGTCTATACATTCGCTACGGCTGAAGATGCACACGGTTGAGACCCTTGAAGGACCGTCCCCAAGAGCGAAATAAATCCGAAGCAACCTCTAGATAGTTTCCTTCTGGTTTAATTTTATAACTCACCTTGTGTATCATGGTGCGACAAACATAGCAAAATTTGGAGTCGTCCGGGACTTCGCTCCTTGAATATTTTCGCAGCAAATGAGACAGGTGCTGTTCTGCAGATGACAGCCGAAATGCAGCCAATAGTGATTGCTAGTAAGTGGTTCAACGTCGCAGTTGCCTCGGTATCAGAACACATTTTTTTGTCAACAGATCTACTGCTTCGTACAGTAAAAAGTGGGGTTTGTCTTGTTGTTGCGCGAATCTGGTGGGGTTTGGATTGGACATTGTGGACACGGAAAATTCGAACAGTTTTGGTTCTAGAGGGTTCATCATTGACGGTAGATATGTGCCCCGTTTCCTACAAAGTTTATAAGCAAAAAAGTTAGATAATGCCTGTCACTGTTCTTGTGCTACAGTATAACCAACAATTGGGCTTCTAAGCTGTTTGATAACTTTTGAAAGTCTCCAAGCTGGCATTAATCAAACCAGTGGCGAAGATTGCACCTAAAATTGGTATTGCCTTCGCTTTCATCTAGGTACTGTAACTATTGGAGGGGTTCCTTTCTTTGACAAGCCATACCCCGTTGTGTTGGCACAATATTTGTTTGAACTTATTACCAAATTAACAGAAGTTTTGAAACATCAAACGATTCATCACAACGGATTGGTCATGCATGGTCGCGGTCTACCATTGAATGCCTGTTCTCTGAAATATTTTATGCCAATCAGACATAGAACAGACAAGGAAATACGCCATGCCGAGGCGTAACCTATATCAATTGATAGGCATGTATGCCGGATGGAACCGCTGATTCAAGTCCAACTTTCCCCCTATCAGCATGGTTAGGCCTGTCCTGTTACAGACATCATTACTCATGTATCATTGCGCAATATCTTGATAGAAAACCTTGAAATAAGTCCTTGATGATACGAACAACAAACTTCTATGAGCTCAACGGGAAATTCCTTCAACAGAGGTCGATATATTCTTTGATGCTATCATAATGGTGGGTAGACATATTATCAGGCAAGTCGATGAGAAAGTTTCGTAATGCCGAATGTGCATATAACATAATGCACTCTACTGCAAGTCTGCGTCAAAATTTGGAACAAATATAGTAGCAGAAAAATATCTCAAATCGAACTGGTGATAGCTAAATCGGTTTAGCCACTGTCACGCGAGCGTTACAGAAGCGAAGTCTCTCTCAGACAAAGCGGTCTGTGTGATGTACTGTGTTTGACTCCTCTTAGAGATTATGCTTTTAAAAGGGAGAGGAAATAGCTAAAATAATAATCTTTACATTGTGGGCTATTGTTTGCTTCTTCTTTGAATCAGTTATTTTCCAGTAATAAAAGCTGATTGTGCCACTAATATTGAATGAAATCAGGAATGGAGCTTTTTTGTGGGTACGAACCATAATTTTCCAATTGCCCTGAAAACACGCGCCCATTTTCATTGTTTTTAACATCCATCCGATTTAAAGTTTCGCCTGCTCCTTGGATGACTACAGTAGCCCGTAGCAAGCCATTATAGAAATTCGCAAAAAAGACCACCGCATTGAATACCGCTTTCAGAGACCTTTTCATGCCACATATCGCAGAACAAGCGCAGATAAGAGCAGACATGTATTATGCCGAAATACAATAGCATAGCTCCGTATAATTGCCGTATTCAATGCCGTAGGAAGAGCCGTTTTATGCCAGGTTTCTTACATTAAGCGTGCGCTAGAGAGTTCCCTACACATGATTTATTACCTTCAATTTTTGCTGGTACTATAACGGATAAATCATGGCTAATAGAAAAATAGTATAAATATAAGTATTTCTTTACGATATAGTCAACAACATCTTTCAAGCCTGCCATGAAGTTCTTTACACCTATCATCTTTGTTGTCTTTGCTGCTTCCGCCGTGATGGCTAGATCTATTGCTAAGGAAGTCGACGAGAAAGCTTCCACAACCGAAACTGGTAAGGAGTATCATTAGGATATGATACTTCAAGCAAGTTGCTGACTCAAATTACCTAGCCACAGTTATGGGCATTTCAGAAGCCGAAGTGCGTCAAAAACAAGCCGGCTGCGACGTGGGAATTTGCCATCCGTTCTATTGTCCACAAAACTGTTAGAACTAGGCCATGAAAAATTCCAACGAAAGAAAGTATTTCACCTCAGTGGAGCCATTATTTCTGCTCCTGTTGGATTGGTAATCTTGTAATAATAAAAGCAATGAGCTTTTATGTTATTTCCGTCCAATTAATGGTAGTGTTTGTAACTTCAAATTTGACCAATGTCTTATATTACGTCCCAACAACTATAAGATAATCTTAGCTTTATTGCATTATAAAAAATATCAGCTGCTCTATCATTGGCATGCCTAATTTTGCCTCCTCCGCGCAGAACATTGTAATCAATGGTGTATATGATGAACTCAACAATTTAGCTGATATGATAGTTCCTTGTATAGGGGATATCAATAAAACGAAAAGAGAAAACTTCTAGCGCCTGCAGATTGTGCCGATGGAATGAAATCAGGAATGGGAATCTTTTTGTGTATACGAACCATGATTTCGCATTTGCCTCCGAAAATACACGTCCCTTCTCTATAGCTTTCAGCATCACCTGTTTGAGTTTTGCCTGCTCTTTGGATGACCAGCTCATAGCAAGGCATTGCAGGAATTTCGGCAAAAACGACCATCGCATTAATGCCGGATTGCGAAATCTTTTCATGCCACATACAGTATTGCCGATTATACCAGACCAGAGGAGACATGTAATACGGGTTAGATATAAACTTCCGTATTCAATACCGCATGGAAGAACCATTTTAAGCCAGCTTTCTTAGATTAAGCATGTTCAAAAGAGTTCCATTTACACAAGTTTTGTTAATGCATAATAAATTTGCGGGTACTGCGACGGATCGATAATAAAAAGCTACTATAAAAATGAAGCCTTTTGCACGATATAATTAGCAACAGCGTCTGTCGAGTTTACCATGAAGTTCTTTACACCAGTCATCTTTGTAGTCTTTGCTGCTTCCGCCGTGATGGGTGGTGGACCTCTTGCCAAGGAAGCCAACGAGAAGGCTTCCAACAACCTCGAGTGCAGCGTTGATAACTTGTCTAACTGCAAGATCACTGCCGACATTGGTAACAAATAGCATTATGTTATGATACCTTAGACTAAGTATTGACTCAAATAACTTAGCCTACATTATGGGAATTTCGGAAGACGAGGTTCGTCAAAAACAATTGGGTTGCGACTGGGGAGCTTGCGATATCATTATTTGTTCCGAAAACTGTTACATAAATAGAAATTAACGGCTTTGGAACATGAAAAATTCCAAAAAGAGAGTGATTCATCCAATGGGCGCCATTGCTTTCTTTTAACCATGCTGTTTGATGATATGCTGCTAATAAAAGCAATCCTCTTTCATGTTATTTTCCCCACTTAATGGATAGTGTTTGTGAGTTTAAGTTTGAACAATGCCTATACTACTGTGCTATACATCGTAGCAAGTAAGATGATATTTATTGTATTCTGAAAAATATCAGCTGTTTTATGATTGACATGCCCTCCGCGAAGAACGTTATACACATTGATACAAATCGAAGGAGTCCACAAGGTGGATAAAAATATTTGTTGATTTCTGATGGAAACCACAGATGGTCTGTCTGTGCATTCGCTATGGCAATAGATGCTAGACGAGATCTTTGACGGACCGTCGCCAACGAGCGAAACAAATCCCGAAGCAACCTTAGATAGTTTCCTGTTGAAAATGCTTCGCTCCTTCAGTATTTTCGCAGCAGTGATACGACAGGCGGTGTTCTGCAGAGATAAACAAAGAGGCGAATGAAGAGTACGAGTAAGAGGCTCAACAGACAGATCGCATTTGCCTCTGTAGCAAGAACACATTTCTTTGTCTACAGATCTGCTGTTTCGTACAGTAAAAGGTGGGGCTTATCTTCCTTGATGTTGTGCGAATACAGTGCTGTAGCATTGATCATTCACGGCGACATGTTAAAATAAAAAGCGACAACATAGAAAAACATCTAGCTCAGTAGTCCATTTTCCCTCTAGGTTGTATAAAAGGCCATCAGAGGCAATATCTTTTTGTATCATTATCTATTGTATAACAGCGGGACATACATCATCAATTCTTCGTTCGTTCATTCATTCTCATTTTCGCAGCGGCTCAATACGCAATGAACAAAAAAAAGAAGAAAAGAGAGTTGCAAGTTCACCAACGTCAATGTCTTAATAGGCAACGGCACTGAACAAAAACGTCGTTCGAATGGCGACCGTTACGGCTATGCAGCGAACTATGAGTATGGTCGTCCGGTTTGAGCAAAGAGTAGAGATGATAAAGGCAAACGAAAACAAAGTTCGTTCACCATCATACGTCACGCTTTTTTTTTTTGGATGAAGCAAGCTGTTTCATCGGCATTTCAATTGGAAACGCTCCAAGGCGACGAGCGACCTCGGTGTGGCTCCCTTTTCTCTTGAAACTCTCCCGTCATGGATCCCGCTGAATACTGCCCAACATATGCACCTTTCTTTGGTTTTGCCGGTGTCTTTGCCGCAGTAAGCAACATGTTCCCATTAACCCATGGTTCCTCTCGTTCACAACTCTAATTTTACCTTTGCAATTAGATGGCTTTCAGCTGTACGCATTATTGCAGCACGGTCTGGTGTTTTACCAGGCGCATGGTGTCAATGTCACGCATTCTAATATTGTTATTTCTTTGCCTGTTACAGCCTTAGGAGCAGCATATGGTACATCAAAAGCTGGTATCGGTATCGCTGGTATTGGTTCCTTCCGTCCTGAACTCGTCATGAAGGTACGATCCCGTAACGATAGAAACCGTCGTCTTTTGCCAGCTCTCTTTTTCTTCTTTTGCTTACCATGCCTTGTACATGGACCCCATTTTTTATAGTCATTGATTCCCGTAGTCATGAGTGGTATTATTGCTGTCTATGGTCTTGTAGTGGCGGTTCTTCTCGCCGGTCAAAGTACGTATTTTCGCGTTTTGGAGGGTTTGCACCAACAGTAACAAAACACTCACTGAACCCTATCTTGTTTCTTTAGTGTCACCCACATCGGGCTATTCGCTTTACTCGTAAATATCACAAGCGTCGGATGGAAGGCGTCTTAATTGTGCATATGAGATAACCGTTCTTGTTATGTAGAGGATTCATTGCGCTTGGTGCCGGTTTATCGGTCGGTGTTGGTGGTTTAGCTGCAGGATATGCTATTGGTATCGTTGGTGATTATGTAAGTTTTTGACTGAATGAAAGAAACCGGTATGACAGGAGCCAGTGACTAATTGATTGATTGATGACGGTGATGGTTGTAGTGCGTGCGTGGTTATGCACGAGAGAATCGATTGTTTGTGACCATGGTTCTGATTCTTATTTTCGCCGAAGTGCTCGGTCTTTACGGCCTGATTGTGGCACTGATTTTGAACGCAAAGGCTAACAATGACATTTGCGGCTGATGGATCATGTAAATACCGATAAACATGTGCCTTTTTCTGATCTTGCTATTATGGAATAAAATCAGCCAATATATCCCGTTTTATATTTTACAAGATTCCCTTTTTTTTTATTGTCCACATTCACTTAGATGCTTTAGTATGTCGTTACGTGTCATGGAAAATGTCGAATCACAATTGTTGCAGTGCCAGTACATTTTCACCCCGGCTGGCAACTGTTCCATTTGCTCGGGAGTACTGAACGCACACGATGGAGCATCCAGGGCGTTGTAGCAGATCGTCGTCGTAACTTGAATCCCCGTACGCACCACTAGAGAAATATACAGCGTTAACAGTTACAATAGGCGCATGGATTTATCTCCCCCTGTCTTACCATCTGCCGCATTCCAAGTTCTCGGTAAGTGTTGTTCTTCGGAAGGAGGAGCCTTATATTTTGGATACTGTAAGAAACACAGTGTCAGTCTTTCTGGTCAGGCGTTGGCGAGGATGTTGCAAAGTTACCAATTTCAGTAGTTCCGATGATTTCGCCATACGAAACTCGGCCGATATGGCTGTTTCCATGAAATCCACCAGACTCCCTGAAGACACAAGAAATTTAGATAGCAGTCAGTATATGAGTAACATATGAATGTATGTGTTAGTTTACTTGTCAGGGACGCGACATCCGCTTGATAGGCCGCCTCAACTGCAGGCGTCCACATATCGTGCTTGGCCTTAGTATGTGCTCGTTCCTCTTCATAGGACAATATGTCTTGCAGTGCCGGCGGCAAATCCGCACGTATGGATGGAGAAATGATTTCATTTTCTGAGAATTCATGAGCCAGCTAAGATTATGCATCAGTCAATCATTGTACTTCAGACTTAACTTTTATGAACAAAAGTTGACAATACCTGGCCAGTGCCGCGCGTTAGTTTGCGATTGAGAAGATCATGCCACCTGCTGCGTAGCTTGTGTGCAAGCCACAGCACATAGTTGGCGACCTGGACGGTACGGAATTTCACCATATAGTACGAATCGATGATCAGCACACTGCAATCGGCGTTGGTATCAACTAGGAACACCAGGTTAGGGACATTGTCGAGATATTTTTTCCATCAGCAAGATTCACTTACTGTGTCGAGCAAACAATAACAGAACATGAATGCCTAGGAAAATGAAGTAAGAAATGAGGTTCATCGTTCTGTTTAATAAATGAAATGATGGCTGTGGCAGCTGTACCTGGAACACGGGTGATATTAAGCATGAATGGCTTTGTTGTCTCCAGTAATTGCAAATAGCATAACAGTTGATGATACATGGCCTGCTCTACATCAATATCATCTACGCACCAATGGTTAAAAAAATATTAGATACACGGCGTATTCGATTTCGTACCTTTTCGCATATTCTCGCCGACGCCTTGAACCAAATTAGGACATGCAGCAAGTACGCTGGTTGGATGAAGCGATAAAAAGTTTTTCACTACCAAATGAACCTCAACCTTTCAGCAAACTAGAAAAAAGTAATCGGATCGTGTTTTCCATTGTCTTTTACCTGGAGTGTGAAAGAGGATTTCGTTACTTTTGCGATACGGATTATGTTCATCACCGACGGCCAGTTGTGGATATAATGCCGAGCATAAAATGAGCTTGACAAGCTCAATATCGCGGGCCGACAGCTCGGTTGTCCTTGATTTCAGTCGCTTGATATTGTTGGCCAAAGAGAATTCCAAATCTCGGATATCCGTCTTATCTTCTCGCTCCACTAAGCATAAGTTTGCTTCGTCTTAGAAAAACTGCCCAGCTTTTTACACATGATTGTTTTGCCATACTTTGCCAATCCTCCTGCCCTTCATACTCGAATTCCAACACACGTCGTTTTTTACTACTGCGTTGCCCATACCGCTCTCTACGGAGCAGTTCCCGGGTCTGCTGTCGCTTCAAGCGATCGGCTTCCTGTTCGCATAATGAGCCTCACTTTCCCGTACCTTCTGTCCATCTGCCCGTCTGTGTCTTACTTCTTCGCTATCATCGGAGCCTTCTGCTTTGTTTTTCAGAGATTCCAAAAGTCCCGGCTGAAAATCATTCAAAACCTTTTCAAATTGGCGACGAATTTTCGCAATCTATTGATTTCTTTATTACCAATGTATTTTCCTTTCGCCTCTTTTTCCGCACAAAATGTGGCCTACCTCGTACATGCGTTGTTCCTCCACACCATGCGTACGACACCATGATCGCGATGAATGCTGTGCAAAAAGAGTGTGAAATGTAATCCTCTTTTCGCTGCCGAAAAATATGCGTCGAATTACCTTTCGATCCTCTTTTGCAGTAAGCCAAGCTTGCCATAGATTCAACAACGTGAAGGGATCGCCATGGTGAGAGTACAAGGTCCTTCGATTCTACATTTTATCGTTAACATATCGAGTAATCTTTCATGGGTATCGTTTCGTTTTCGGATCATTCTTACTTCCAGAATTCGAGGGTTGGAATTCGGTGCTATGCGGGTAAATGGTGATTGAACACTCATACCGGCCGCTATGGTGATGACCGGATCAATCACATTAAATATCTACAACCCGATTATATGAAATGTCAGAAAAAAAGGCACTTTTATACAAAAGTTCCGCGAGAATACTTACGGTGGCCATGATCAGCATTTTGCCGATAATCGCATCTACTGGAAGATCGGCCAGCACCGAGCCCAAGGTCGTGATATTGCCTGCGGCACTCACGGCTCCAATATTTTGCAGAAAATCCATAGAACCATTCAAGGCATCTTCCGAGGGAGCCTTCAACACAACAGTGTGATAATAAGTACCTTGGTGGACCATCATTGTTTCTATAAAGAGACCACCCACCTCGATATAGTCAAATTGATGTGGATCGCCGAGATTCATTGCCAAGATCTGAAGTAACAGTGGTTCCAGCGGAGCTCGTTGGATTTCCGGAACGGCGAAATCATTCAAATGATTGAATTCGTTTTCGCTGTAAAATCGAAAGCATTCACCAGGACCCGTACGTCCAGCACGACCAGTTCGCTGGGTGGCACTTGCTTTGGAAATCCAAAATTCCGACAACTTGCTCATGTTGGACATGGCATCATGACTCAACTCTTTGACTTTGCCTGTGAAAGCGCTTTGTTCACATCCTATTCTTCTCTTGTATCCCAATCCTGTATCGCTTACCAGAATCAATAATAAACCGAATGCCATCAATTGTAATACTCGTCTCAGCACTGCCAGTTGAAGTATTTCGTCATTTGTAAGTAAAATACGGTAATGCAATCTACCCTGATCGATAAAAAGTTCCGCACTTACATATTTGAGCTAATAATACATTTGCGTACACCTTCTGGAGGCATATCGAAGACCTAGTTTTTTACCATGGCAATTTTTTTTTTTTTTTTTTTTTTTTTTTTTTTTTTTTGGTCACGACCAATGTCCTTTTTTCAATGAGCATTAAAAATCTTGCAAGTTACCTTTTCCTGATCATCCACCGAGAGCGACGAATGAAGCATCAAAATAATCCATTTCCTATTCATTTGTAACAAGAATAACACAATTAATTGACCGGTAGCTGCCATGAAATGAAAATAAAAAAAAAAGAAGTCGGGCCCTACTTGTTGTGATTTGCATATTGTTTAAGCTCTTCCGCCAGATCCGATATCTGAGAAAGGGTATTTAATAGGATCAAAACCCAAATCGATGTAATACAGCCACTTGGTCTTTTTTTATACCTCGTTGATGCCGGACATGAATATCAGTAAATCGCCTCGTTCGGTGACAGGCACCGATTGATCGATATACTCTAGCACTTTGAGGAAGGGGCCTGAAAAAAAATTGACACGATGGCGGTTAGGAAAGCTGTGAAAACAAGACGAGTTCGTGTTCTGATTTTCACCTGCATCGATACGTTCGGATTTGCTGGGAATAGATTCCTAAAAGGTGTGATGAGAACTGCGAGGTATAGCTCAGATGTCAAATCCAGTACCTACTTTGACAGCTGCCTCTTGACGACGTTGATAAGCGGCGTCATCAATCAGACGTTTGTCTTCATGTCGCGAAGGCCAGTAGTTGATTTTCACATGGTACATTTTTCCGGGAACCTACATGCATGACACGTGAATACCCAGGCAAAAAATAGTCACGGGATCCAGGCATTACGATGAATAATAGACAAAGACTTACAACAAGGGTAGGTGCATCAAAATAGCGTGCAAAGAGCTCAGCGTTGATAGTGGCACTCATAAGCACAATATAGATATTCGGACGCGATTTGATCAGTCGTTTCAGCAATGCCAACAAGAAGTCACCTAGCCAAGACAGATCAGTTGCCGGTGTAAGTAGCAGTGGAAGCATCGCGTACCCATCATATGACGCTCGTGTACTTCGTCCACGACAATCACATCATACATAGATAATGTATCATCACTTGTGTATTGACGCAAAAGTAGCCCCTACCCATTCACGGTTGATAACTGCTCAATAGCACGCTAAATATCCGAGCTTACCTCGGTCAAAAAGAGAATGCGTGTACGGTTGGTTTTAGTGCCTTCAAAACGCACTTGATATGCAATTTCCGAACCATATTCGTTGAGCGTCTCATAGCTAGAACATAGGGTTCATAAAACTTTCAGTTTCTAACCTCTCCATCAAAAAAATTTACCTGACACGTTTAGCAAGGGAGGAACATGCAATGCGTCGTGGTTGGGTACAGGCGATTTTTCGAAAACCGGCTTTGAGCAAAATTTGGGGCACTTAACATGCACTCATATTTTAGTACAATGTGTCATGTTTCGACAGAGGGGCGTTTGAATGGTTACCTTGTGTACTTTTGCCGCAGCCCGTATCACCGGCAATCAATAGCACTCGATGTTGTCGTAAAGTCTGCACGATAGCATTCGCAAAAGGAGTGATGGGCAAAGCTGCACGATTCTGAATATGAGAAGAGAATAAGAAAATAGAGTTGGATCAAACGATATATCGATAAGAGGTGTATACTTTTTCCAGTTTCTCTTTCAGTGAGGTCGTTTTTCGACGTTGGAAATCCTGGAACAAGATGAGTGCATGGCGTAACAATTCGCCTTCGCGTTGGATAGACATGGGCGAACGGGTTGGTCGGGAAGACGAGGCGTCATCGGCTTGAATACTCTGCTTTAGCTTGGTAAAGAAGGTTTCGAATTCGTAGTAAATAGGTGACCTTCCGGGAATCACCCAAGCGGCCAAGCCTTGCTTTCGTTTCGAGAAGAAGAGATCGTCGGCTTCCTGACTCCAAGGACGATCCATGTCCAAATCCGCTACTTTCTTTTGTTTCTGCTCTTTCAAAAATTGCTGTGCTTCTTTCAAGGACTTTTCTCGTTTGACAGGATCGGCTAACTAGATCGCTGCCTGTCAGTCGTCTAATCCATAAGTTGACTTAAAATGTCCTCAACATACAATTTCCTTCAGATTCCAAAGCTTTTTCTTGATGGCGGCTTCATTCTTTACTAGACGTCCACTAACGTCGTAACGTTCGTCAGGAATATATTCACGATGCCTTTTACGTCTCTGGAAATGACCATCGCCTTTGTTCATGGTCGATCCAATGCATAGATTCAACCACGTCCCTGTGACGCCCTTTTCGCCGACTAGCGCAGTGGATGCTTTGGCACTGTCGGCAAATCAAAATTCAGCATTATGCGAAATAAAATAAAAACCAAGACAGATCCAGGGAAACTGTATCTGTACAACTTGCTCAACTACAAAAGAGGCACATATATAAACCATGCCAAGTTTTTTATTTTATTATGATCCATTGCGATAGATGTATATAAATAACATATACATATGCTAATAAACAAAGTATGATCTATGATCCATCGACCAAGCAAGGATGTCGCTCGCCCACGTCAATTGCAGTACACTCACATGGACCTCGCCAGAGCAAAGCGGTTCATCTAAGCATAAGTTGAGAAGAAACGATGGGATACCTTTTCGGTTGTTCTGATTCAATATTGACATGAAAACGAAGCAAGTGTCAAGGGTTGAAGCATTTTTTCCGTTGAAGCTATTATCAGGGGCAAAAAAAAAAAAAAAAAAAAAGAATTTCGAATGCCACAATTTTCACATGCAAATGAGTGGGGTTGACATTAGCTCCCAATGCAACGCAACGTAAAAAGCCAAGTTGTTTACTTGTCAGCTTCTTTCGAAAATGAGTATCCCGAAATTACAGTGTATTGATATTTCCTTGTCCCCCACCGGCGTCGCCGAACTCTCGTTCAATCGTCCAGACAAATACAACTCGTTCACACCTCAGGCTTATATTGTAACTGCTACCATTGCCCGAGATGATGACGAATACAATGAGACTGATGCTTTTTGACTCATTCAGGATTGGCTCGCAGCATTGCGATGGGCTGCCCAAACGGATGCTGCCAAAGTTACCGTATTGACTGGACAAGGACCCTATTATACTTCGGGTCATGCTCTTGCCATGCCCGACTTTTCCGACGAACATCTTGTTGACAAGATACAAGAGTCTCAGCGTACCATCACGTAAGCTATTCATCCTCCTTTTGTACCTTGGATCTGTATTATATCTGTCGGGGCTAACGTGGGCTCAAGGCAGATCATTGATGAATTTATTTGGTTTCCAAAGCTTCTGATAGCTGCAGTGAACGGTGAGTAACACGGTCTTTTCACAGTGCCCGTCCATGGTTGGTCTTTATCCAAGCTAAATAATATTATCTCAGGTCATGCCATTGGCGTTGGTGTCACGACATTGGCACTATGCGATGTCGTTTACGCTGTTGATAAAGCCACCTTCCAGACGCCATTTATGAAATTAGGTAATCACCAAAAATATAAACATGGATATCTAAGGACACACAAAGAGTATGGCCAGGCACAAGGAACGCAGAACACGTTTCATGTGGAGTCGATCTCTGACACTATATATCATGTCTCCTTTGGCAAAAAAAAAAAAAAGAGAGAGACCGTCACATAACAACTATTTTTTTATACAAAGGATTTTGCGCCGAAGGTTGTTCGTCTGTCATGTTTCCCAGGTAAATAGGAACGGAACCCACATTGCATTTTTTATGTTGCATGGTCAATAACAAGGCCAAACTGGTATAGAATTATGGGTTATTCCAAAGCCAATGAGATGCTGGTACGCCTCATCCGTTACACGTGCATGCAGAGTGCGTTTTGATTTACAAATGGGATGCATGAAATTATAGATGATGGGTCGGGTTTTTTCAGCACAAGAAATGGAACAATGTGGGTTTCTAAGTAGGGTATTTCCGGAGGCCAACTTTCGGGAAACCGTGTTGTTATTAGCTGAAGAAGCTGCTCAATTCTCGTTGGAAGCCATCAAAGTGACCAAAGGCCTTATCCGCCACACGGATCGACGGCTTCTTAGTCAAGTCAATCAAAACGAAGTCGACCAGTTGATGGACAGAATGACAAGCAAAGACAGCCTCGAAAGCATTATGCGATTCGTCGGTATGCATGGTCTACCCATTCTTTGGCATCAGAAAAAACAATGATTAACGATTTGATTACTTTCATTATGATAGAATCTCAGAAGAAGAAGACGGCCAAGAAAAGTAAGCTTTGAAAAGAACAAGATTTAGATCATCATATCTGTTCTTGGTCAATGAACACAATGCACCCACAATTTTTTGTAATTACGGTCAATCTATCACTCACCGTGCATTCTCTCTTTGTTCCGGATTCTTTGTTTGAACTGATGCTAGTAATTGATATAATCAATTTTTTTGGGGGCCGTAGTATGTATAACATGGCCTTGAAAACGTGGCAGACTTTGAGAAATGTGATGTTTTTCCATGATTCAATTTGTTTATCAAAACAGTGATCATCGGTGTGGGCGGTTTTATTTTTTTATTTTACTTTTTTATTTTCATCAGTGCGTGAGGATGGCGGTAGTACAAGGGTTAAGGGTGTTACTAAATATAGACAATGGCCACTCTGGACCACACTCGCGATAGGTGGACAGGAATACGAGAAGCGACATGCAACTGAATAAATAAGGTGCGTTGCTCCTCGTCCCTCCCAATCCACCACTCCTTGACAGCAAACCTTGTCCTACCCGACCCCTGACTATAAAACCGAAATTCTTTGAAGCGTTTCTTTTTCCCTCTTCTCCGCCCTTCTTTTTTATTTTTTATTTTTTTTATTACCCTAGTTACCCATTGCCATGAAATTCACCACTTCTGCTATTCTTGGCCTTGTTGCCATTGTTGCCTTGACTGAAAAAGCCTCGGCTCAAAATACTACTACTCCTTGCGCTGCTCAAGATGTGTAAGTGACCTTTTAGCTTCGAATTGCGCCCAAGCGTGGCCAATCTCTCTGTTTCTGACGACCATTCAAATTACTTCAGGTTCACGCTTTGCCAGTCAAATCAAGACACTTATATCAAGGGTTGCCAATTGGAAGGTAAAATGCACCATGGCCATCAGCGATGATAAAAAAGCATGATCGGCGGATACTAACAGTTCCTTTTTTTTCTACAGATTTCCAATGTTTGTGCAGAGTAAATATCAATAATTTTTTTTTTCCATGATTTCGGGGTGATTGAGATTGAAAAAGAAAAAAAAAAACTGATTCCTGTCCTCAACTTGTAGTGGCACAAAGCCAAGTTGTCGTGCTGGGATAATTGTCCCAACGATGCTGGTCGACATACTCAGGACGGACTGGTCACCACCTACTGCTCAATGCCCGGTGCCAATGTGTAAGTGATTGCAAAAGAAAAAATCCAAAAAAGAGGCATGGTGAAAAAAATAAAATAAAAAATCCCATGCTCGATGCTGTGAAAGAACGATGAAAATTTCTAACGTGATGCTATTGTTTCCCTATCAGTACATCCATCTGGGTTCCACCTAGCTCGACGGCACCACCAGTGAGCCAGCCTACGAGCAGCGGCAATCCTACCAAACCCACCGACGCATCCAATACACCTACGCAAGGATCTTCCGCCAGTGGATTGACGTTCGATCACGGTCTTTTAGGCGCTGCAGGTGCCATTGCAGCCTACATGTTGCTCTAATCGTGCTGCACCCGTCTTTACTTTTCTTTTATTGAAGAAGAAGAAAATATAAGAAAACAGTGTTATTTTTCCTTTCTTTTCCGAGTATTTTATTCTAATAAGCAGGTTGATATATTCTCATTTTTTTTTTTCTTAAAACTTGTTGTTTTTCCTCATCCTTTCTCAATGTAACAGTGCTATTTTTATGTTCATTTCTCTTTACCCGATACTATATAAATCAATGGTTACAATTCTATTAATTTCCATCACACAACAATTCGTTTCCAATTTTTGCTTTTTTTTCTTTGATTTCGTCACTGCCCCTACAGCTGTAAGCCATATGTTTGCGGAAAAAAACCAAAAACCAACCAAACAAAGCATCATTCTCATGTAAGTGGAAAAATCGGGTGCCGTTGTCAATGCAAAACATCAGCTGACTTGCCGTGTATCATTTACCATTTTCGGCTTGCTTTCACAAACCTGGATTCTCTCTGATGTGACACCAAGACCGTGAGTACGGGAAGCAATAGAGAAGTGTTCATTTTATTATCAGTCTTTGTCGCAAAGCTCTCTGTTGTCCCGTGCTGTGCGAATCCATGGCTAGAGTGGCTAATAATGAGGCTTTCACAGCCTTTCCTTGATATCTCGGTTCGTTATGCAGCTGTATACATTACTGTTTTTGATGTTTATCGGCTGCTGATGAAATAAGCTGTGTTTCTTTGGTCGATGGGACCGGATCCCTGAATGTCTGTTTGTTTCAGGGACGAGCATTACGTTTTAGCCCGTCGGGTTATTTATTTTGTTTTGTTTATCGCCAACGCTTGCAACATTTTTTCACCCTTCGCAATCGCTTACGGATTTTGGAATTTGTTCTATTTTCTTGAATAAGGTCGTCATGCAAAACATTATACAAATATGATGATACTTTTTGATTCTAAATGTCGTCAGACGGCATGATATTGTGGATTAGACAAGTCAGTCATCTACCTGGGAGGTTCAGGTTCATCATTCATTATGGTGAAATTTCAAATTAGAATTATTATAGTTTTTTTCTCACCAGACAAAATGATATGTACAAAACATACAGTGCAGTGCGGATGTCTTTATAGTGGTGATTCAAAAGTTCTCGTTGATACTCCCGAGACGAGCCGAGATCATCATCGCTTGTTAAATTTCCAATTTTATAATAAATGGCCGGTGAAACCGCAATAAACTGGATAATATGGACAAGATGCCTTTGATGGAGAATCGACCGAGAGACTCGTTCTACAATACTGTACTGTGGACATGTGCATTTATTGAATAAATAATAACGGCAATATAAAAAATAATAACAGTGGGTTCGCTGCCTGCAGCGATAAAAATAGAAATTAGACTCTCAGTTTCTTTTTCATTTCCTTCCAAAATGCGGGACTGTCTTTGGACACGAGGCTTGATCGTTTGGTGGCGTCTTGCGCCATATTGACCGGCATGGGATCCAGTTCCTTGACTTGGCTGCTGCGTTTTTGCAGGTCGTCCAGATCGTGGGTGTTCCATACACGGAGCTCGTCAATCTCCTTGGAAACCGACAGACGCACCTGCAATTGCTCGGCAAACTCGCGATAAGAGGCATCGTCGCCGTCCTGGTAATACTGGTCCGGTTTGGGCGTTTTCATGACAGCATCCACCGAGACATGCTTCAATGACATGGGCGTAGGGAGGGAAGAGAAAGGTCGAGTAGAGGGAGAGAGCGAACGACGATGAAGTGGATGAGGCGTAGGAGACATAGGAATAGGGGGAAGAGGATCGGTGGGTGGCGGTGCCGCGGGTGGAATGGTGCCTGTCCATCGAGCAATGTACGATCGCTTGGAAGTACAAGTGGCGGCACTGCCCCGTCGAGCGCTGCGTATCGGTCGTTCGGGACATCGTGACATGCTCGTCACTGATTCGCCCGCCGAAGACGACGCATAAGAGAACCGCGACATATCGGGCACCGAATCATCTGTGAAGACTTCTTTCAAACGCGCATCGCGTTCCACAGCACTAGTGCTCGTACGCCTAATTGGGATGGACGACATGAGTTTGCCGCGCGACACACGCCGTTCTTGTGGTGCCGGTGGTGGCGCTGTTGAAGGTGTCGCTGGATGGGACGGTACCGGTGACGCCGGTGGGTGTTCACGAGTCTTGTTGTCCAATAGTTGCCGCATGAGCGAACTGATTTTTTCATCAATCTGAATGCGTTGCGATTCAAATTCCGCCTGAAGATCCTGACACTGTTGCACCATTTGCCACGTTTGTCCCTGACTTGCATCCAATTCGCCCCACAGGGCCGCCATCCGTTGTTGTTGACTCTCCTTTGTTTCAGCCAACTCATACAGTATACTCTTCACGTCATCCAACTCCTTGCAAGCTGTTTCCATGCGATCGCCAAAACTGGTATCCTTCAGTGCCGCCTGCAACCGTTGATTTTCCGCCTTCAGCATGTCCCTATCCAGTTCCAGACCGTGGATCAGCTCGTCTTGCTGGAAGATCACCGTGGCCAGTTGTCGAATTTTTACTTGGGCTAACTCCTTTTCTTCCATCGATTTGTTGACTGTCATTTGTGTCAAGTGTTCCAGCTGCATCTGTTGTTCCCGATACAACGCAGCTGCCTCTTGTGCTTCCTGACATTCACCCAGCGCTTGAGCATAATCACTCTCCAGTGTCCGTATCCGTTCTTGCAATCGGTCTATATTGTCCGGTTGAAACGATCCACTTCCATCCACTTCATCTTCCTCTTCCTTCTTCTCCGGAATCGAGTCTTGTACACACGATCCTATTTGCGGTTCGCTGGAAATCGATGGTTGCATGGTAACGACCCAGTCCGATACGTCACCCTTGACCGAACCACTGGGTTCGCTTCTGCTGTTTAAAGAGGTCGTCTGATGGATGGCGGTTTCGTACATTCTGAGTAGTTCGTCCTCGAGTTGTCGAAGTTTTTCTGTTTTGAGCCGGATAGTACTGGTTCCTATTCGACTAGGAGTGCTGAAGCTTGGACTCCAATCCATTTGCAAGCTGTTGGTGCTGGTCTTGCGATTTCTGGATGAGAATTCGCCCACACCGAGTCCTAAACTGGAGCTTGATTTTTGCTTGCATAGGGTGGTAGGAATGGAGACGGAAGGCGATGGGGTTGGACCGCGTTTCTCGCCGAGTCCATTGTCTTGTGCAAATGTTTTATTCAACACTGACACCACGGCCAAACTCTTGATACGTTGCAGTTCGCGGTCGACGTTTCTTGGCTTTCCTGTGGAGGATGATTTAGTCTGTCGCCATCGGTTATATTTCTCTGGTGCATCGTTGGTGGTATCCATAGCGGTCGCTTATGTCAGGGTAAGGAAGAAAAATGTACAAAAATGAGAAGCGAATATGAAGAAGAGAATCAAACCAGGTGAAAGCAAATAAATAAAAAAGAAAAAAAGAAAAGGATAATAAACAAAAAGGAAATAAGCAGCGAACATCAATATAGCGTTCAATCACGTTTGAAGCGGAGCAAGAAACTAAGCACGGGATTCTCGAACTCGAACGATACTTGTCGCCAGGAACGAGAACACACTCGCTCTTTCACCAATTCAATGTCGAAATTCAAATACAGCCATCCTCAATTTATGACCATCAAAAAGAAGCCAATCAAAATGAACCTAACCAAGCCAACGAAGCCCAGAAGAGAAGGCTTGAAAAAAAAAACAATAGTTACCTGGCTACCGTGCTTTGGCCAAGTAGACTGCAACATGTGGGGAGAATTGTATCTATTATTTTTTCAGGGGCAGCTCACTTTCTCGCGGCAACGAGCAAAGAGGGAGGTCCAACGGTAGGCTAGCAACAACAGACGCCGCAGAAAGAAACCTGTTTTTTTTTTAGTTTCAAACTAAAGACGTTTGACTTGAACTAAGATCTAACGGATTATTTCAAATTCTTTCACTGTATGGCGTAGGATGTGTTGTTCACCTAGAAACAGGATGACGGCTACACTAGAAAATGGATGGAATAAACCTCTTAAAAAAGTCGGACTCTATTGTAAATAAAGAAAGAGGGCGGGAGAGAGACAGAGAAGGTATGCGGGCATCTGTATCTGATTTCAGGGAGTTATTTATCATGCATAATTTGGCAGGTTTTCATCAAAACGGTATACAATGCACATAGTCATTTTGTTCACATGCGTCTTGTTTCCTATGTCACAGTGCTTATCCAAGTTTTCACTGGCAGACACCCAGAATATTAATCCCGCCAAGTTTCAGCAGAGGCTTCACCGCTCAACGGTTGACGGAAGTGGCGCGCTTCAAAAAATGTACCCCAAGAGGCGTCTTCTTTCAAAATCATATCCAAAAGACATGCTCTATTGTGGATGGAAAACTTTTGCTTGCCGCCATTGCCCTTGAAAGACGGTTGCTTCAATACCAATTTTGGCTGCACTTGTCCTTTTTTCCCAGAGGCAACAAAGTTTATCAAGCAAAGAAGCATGCAGCTGCTGTTACGCACCAGTATTCTCGCAGTTTTTGGGTTTTTAATAATCCAAGACAGTTTTTGCAAGCCATGCACAAAGAAACGAGGATAAAAAATTGGCAGCACTTGCTTACCTTCAAAATGACCTGGTCGCATTCCGGTGCCATCGCGATCGCAATGTCGACAGAGGAGCCAATATCATCTGCCAATATCATCTGCAGTGTTGGCGGTATCTCTTTGGTCCGTCGAGACATTCCTTTAGCAAGTTATGCGTGTCTCGCATGCGCATGCACATTAGCGATTCTGTGCAAAAATGCTAAAGGACAAGCCGCTTTGAATCATAAAATGTCGGCTCAACAAGCAACAAGGGACCTTTCAGTTTTTAGACATTTGGGATGACAAGGTCCGGGAGAAAATGCAAGATGAGAACCGGGAAACCGAACCGACAAGTTAATATTCACACCAGTCCACTGTCATCCCTGATCAATGCCATATATAAATGACCCCGATATTCACACAACATTGTATCACAGTAAGAGACCATCCAGTATAGCCATGCAATGCATGAATCACCCACACGTTTATTTAAATTTTTTGTGCAAGAGAGTTTAAACTCTGCTGGCTTCACGGAAGTAGTCGTTGAGCTTGCCCTTGTTGGGGACGAACTTGACGTAGCAACCATCGGGACGGAGCTTGCCTTCGGAGCGAGCAACGATGTAGTCTTCGCGAGAGAGAGGAGTGAAACCCCACTTCTTGGAGACAATGATCTTTTGCTGACCAGGGAACTTGTACTTGCAGCGTCTCAAGGCTTCAATAACAACAGCCTTGTTGGAGTCCTTGGTACGGACGGAGAAAATGATCTGGCCGATGTTGACACGGGCAACGAGACCATTGGGCTTGCCGAAAGCACCACGCATACCGGTTTGCAATCTATCGGCACCAGCGCACGACAACATCTTGTTGATACGGGTGACGTGGAAGGGATGGACACGGATACGCATGTGGAAAGAGTCCTTGCCGGAGGTCTTGGTGATGTACTTGTTACAACAGATACGACCAGCTTCAAGAGCTTCAGCCGACAATTGTTCGTACTCGTTGGACACCAAGTGGACGCAAAGAGGGAAATCGTCGACGTGCGCCTTCTTGCGACCCAAATCGTAGATTCTGATCTTGGCATCGGGGACACCACGACAGTATCTAGACTTGGGGTAAGGCTTGTTCTTACAGTAACGGTAGCAACGAGCGGGACGGCGACCCATGGCTAAAATCCTGTATAGACAAAAACCGATACATTAGTTCACTGCAATGAAATTGAATATTCTCCCATCGCCCTTGTTCCACGTTCCGATGGGCTTTCGCTGCCGTGCATTGTAGTCGGGACCCACGACATGGAGGTTCCCCCCCGCCATCATTCACAACCAAGCGACTTATCCCACCATGAAATTCTCCATCCAATACAATGCCAATATATTCGATCCATCCATTTCGCCACTGCCATTCCCTCCGTCTTTTATCCGCCGTTGAATCGGTCCAGCATCTACTCACCAGGTACAGAAGTACGGAAAGAAAGGAGGGATTCACACATGAAGCAAACAGATGCACCTATACCACACGACACAACAGGAGCCGGCGAAGGTTTTCCGAGCCGGACTGCGCCATTCCTCCGCTGAGCCACAACTGGCCTCGCAAAAAAGCCCTAAAATCATTTCGAAACCCGCCGCAAGCGAAAAAGCTGAAGCCAATTTCTGTGATTGAAACGATCACACAGATTGTACACTGTGGAAGGACGACACGAGAGAGACTATTCATAAGCACTGTTCGGCTAATATCATACATTTGGTCTACTCTACAGAGGAGTTTAACGAACTTTTTTAGTCCTATGCACAATGTGGGAATGTAGAAGAGGCGCAGTAACCCAATTCAGCATGAAAGGTTTGGAAAACCCATTTTGCTCGATGGAACTTTCTCCGGGGGTTTCACTAGGTTTGTACCATGCGTTGAATCTTCGGGACGCTCCTTTGCAAGCAAGCATGCACCTTAGCAATAGCAACATCGGTAATGATGGTTTGACTGTAGCTTGGATAAAGGAAACAACTATTTTGCAGTGATCCTATATATTACAGTGGTAATGATTGATGGATCATTGCATATGGATGACGACGAAAAACAAGCCAAATATTACCATTTTCTTGGATTTACCATGCTTATCTGATCGGAGGCATTCGATCGGGGGATACAACCCTTAATTTCAGGATTTTGTCGTAAATATTAGATACCAGCGTTCGGTTGAAATGTTTAGGCTAATTGCATGGATGATAATGCCACAGAACAAGTCCGCTGTCGCGAAGCGTGACTCAAATGTTCGCGAAATTGCATCATATAAGGAAAGTCAGTTTGAAATTCGCAATGCGCACGCTCTTTCACTACTTTGCTTTTAGTACCCTTTTTGAACCATGTCTAAAGTCGACTATAACAGTGCTTCTTACTCGAAATTCCGTCCTACGTATCCGGAGAAGGTGTTCTCCTTGCTGTACGATTACCATCGTGGCTCATTTGACACGGCACTTGATGTCGCTACCGGTACAGGCCAGGTGGCGGTGGAATTAGCCAACAAGTTTCGTCACGTTGAAGCCAGTGACACTTTGCCGGAAATGATTGAAAATGCTACACCCAAGGACAACGTTACGTATTCTGTGGGTACCGCCGAAGACTTGGCATATGAAGATAACTCCATGGACGTTATTACCGTTGCCACGGCTTTCCACTACTTTGACCATGCCGCTTTCTTCAAAGAAGCCAAGCGCGTGTTGAAACCAAACGGGACATTAGCGGTGTGGGGTTACTTTTATCCTACCATCAAGGATAATGAAGAAGCAGCCAATGTGTTGAAATCCGTCACCAGCGAAGGTCCGTTGATGAGCTACCTCGACAGTCGTGTGAAATACATTATCAACATGTACAGAGATATTGAATTCCCGTTCTCCGACGTGAAATGGTTCATCTCACCAAAGAGTGCGGATGTTACACACATCAGCCAACCGGTGGATCAGTCGTTTATGGAGAAGACCATGACATTGGAAGAATTCAGCAATTACATGAAGACTTCGTCGGCTTATGTGAAATACAAGAAGGAACATCCATCTGAAGATCCGATGGATGAAGGCATCAACCGCATCCGGGAAATTCTCAAGTTATCCAGCAATCAGGACACAGTACACGCAGAATGGCCTTTTGTGCTCGTGCTTTGTAGAAATACCGCATAAACGGAATGCAGAAAAATCATGCCACATATTGTCACAAAAGAATTTCTGTCTCTATGCTGAAGCATATGCAGTAGTTTCTATGTTGATTAAAAGTCTTTTTTGGAAAAGCATACTAAAAGATCATGTCCCAATAACAAGAATAAGTAAGTCAAAACAATCGATCTGGATCACTGGATCGTTGGACAACAAACTTTATTCCGAGCGTCCGATTGGGTGGATCGCCAAAATGGCGATTGACATTGAAATATGAACAAGAATGAATAGGGCAACAGTGAAAAATGTAAATGACAGATTTTTTTTATTGACTTAATAGTTTCTCTATATGAATATTCTATAATGAAGATCTATAGTGGTTGATGTGTTGCAATATGTCCAAAGTAAAGGGTCTAGTTAGAATGAGCGGTCTTTTGTCTCGTCAATACACGCTGCGGCACTCGAAGACCCTGTTTTGCCAAATGTATGGTCAATTCCCCGGATTCTAAATTTTGTGAGACAGATTAATTAGCCAAAACAATGAACACAAGCCAAAGAAAATAGCATCCCAAACTGACCATGAATGCCCGGGAAAGTTTTGGGTGGATAAACGGTAAATGGATCGCTAAAGACATGAGTAGCCACAGTGTTTCTGGTGCGAAATATGGACATGTCGTTTAGGGGATGTATTGCTTTGCATCGTGTTTCGTGGTTACCTTGTGAGATGGATGAAACTGAACTTTAAACGGTATGTGCCTGCTGTGCGAACACTCAGTTCAGGAAATGCAAAGTAAATTTGTCGGTCACCGTTCAAGTCTTTTAGTAGCAGCGGAGAAGCAAATGTGCATCCGATCAGCACCCGATACATGACAGAAGGCACTGTTTCAATAACATCCATTGGTTGTTGCATGTCCATCGAATATAACGATGCTTGACATATATAAAATGGCAGGTCAATCATGCTATGAATAACACAACATCATCGACGTTAAGCCCACATGCTGGAGGACGGTGAAATGGTTGTGGTTGTTGGTTTGGTTTCTTCTTACTTTATCGAGGGCATACCATGCTCGTCAAATACGTCAAGACGTAAGATTGGGGCTGGATCAATTGGTCTTTTGTCTTTCTCACCAAACCCACACATACGGCAGCGTTTGGGTTGCTCAACAATAGATAACTTGCAAGTCCTATACAAAAGGCAACAAGTTAACAAAAACCAGGTAAAAGACTCAGGGCTTCGTGGCTTTCGTACTCGATGTTCTCTTGTATAACTGGCATCAGTGAATAGATGCTTTCTACAAGTATCTGAGGAGGATCAACGGGGGAACGAGAAAGGGACGGTGTATAAATAGTGGTGGTGGGAGTGGACGTCACCGATGGTTGACTGACAGTAGGGCCGCAGCTAAAGTTGTTTGCTCGGGGAACCGGCGACAAATTTCGAAGTGATAGATTCTGTGAGTACGGTTCGTTGTCAGGGGCCCCATCGCCAGACAGGAGAGTAGACGCATTGATGAAGCATTCCCACCAAGCGTCTTCATCAAATGGTAAAGCAGTCGCAGGTTTTGGAGTATCGGCCATGAAATTAGGAAAAGTACAATGCATTAAGGGTCAAGGAAAAAAAAAGAAGAAGGAAGAAAACACAAAAACTAATGAAAACCAATGAAAACAGTGAAAAGTCCGGAAGCGGGGAAATACAATCTAGGGTCTTTCTGTTAGCGCTACCAAATTACCGGATCTTGTCCTTGTAAGCGGCCCGATCACTCGATACCGCGCCACATGAGGCGGATCGAATTGGGTGTGAGCATGTGCAAAGTACGAATCATCGTGGGCCAAAAAAAAAAAAGAAAAAAAAGGAAAACCCCATAGTCTGACACATCATTATCGTCTTATTGCCAGGCACTCTTGATAACGATTTGAACCTTTTCTGATCCATGCCTGTGGTCCTATTCCGGTTATATGGATGCAAGTTACTGGGTTTGCAACCACCCTAATGAGGAATACCGACAAAAGTGAGCGCAAATGGTTAGTCGCTCGGAGGCAGAAAATCCCAAAATAGGATCACCGATGATTGGAACGAAACACTTCGTTGAAATGAGCCCTCGGGAGACGAATGGGCTGGCGTGGGCGAGGCACCTCAGATTGGAATGCCGAATGTATACGCATGGCACCAGCAAATGATCGATCGAAACGTAACGGCGGAATATTTCCATCAACGTGGGCCGTGCTTAGTGCAAGCCTTGTACCCAATAGATAAGCTAAAACACGTATTGGGGGCAGCTGCATGGTAATTTCTACCTGAATTTTCTCCAGAGAACAGAATTCGATGGGTTAACACCAAAAAAAAATTCTGAAATCTTTTGGGATTTGAGGCTCCGAAGGACTCATATGCCTATTAGATTTTTTTGCGATGAAAAATTTGGTCTGTTTCACCTTATTGATATATTTCACAGGCAATGTGATCCGACCATCCCATTGTTTCACGCATGCATTGGCACAGTTTGACTTTTTATTAAATAGTTAACTTTAACAATCTTAAAAAGCTTATTAACGTCACCATTAAAAATATAGAGTTGTATGACGTGGATCATGCTCCCATGGCTGCCAAACATTTGAACGGGATTTTATATGATATTGATGCTGAACCCCTTTATGCATACTCACTTTTGACAGTCTCGCAATGCGCCTTTATTGTTGCACAAGACAAATTTCTGCCTTTTTAAAGCTTGAATGTTAGATACATGTTGAAATGGCACGGTGCATTAATCAAGGCTAACGGTAAATGGAAATGCTGTGGACGAGCGAGTAAGAAGAGTAGCTGTGTCTCAAATGAAATTACTGTGGTTTCATTTATTGTGTAGTTTTATAGATGGTCTTGTTTTATTTAGATTACGTAACTCAATTCATCTCACACAATCTTTCATATCAAAAGTTTGCATAAGTCACCTTGCATTTTTTTGTAACGCGAGCGGTCTATTTGTCAAGAAATACAATAAGTGGTAAATCAATCATATAATTCTATTGTCCAAAACACTGACAGATGAAATATAAGTAGATTCAACTTTTTTTTTTATAATCGAAGAATCATGAAGTCATTAAATCATGGAATCAGAGAATGGCGGAATCACGGAGAGATGAAATCGTGGCCAAGTCGTAGGTTGTATAGAAGGAAGCTTCATAAATTCCTCATGTCTTTCGCGATCGACGATCTACATATAATTTGTCAGATCGCTGTGAGATTGCTGACGATCCATGCACTGATATGCGGATCACATAATACTTGGCTTGCAAAGTGCTTACGCAGAACGTCCATCGTCATGAGAGCTTTGCGCGAGAAACCAAAAAAAAAAGGAGCATCCTCTGAATGTTGTAACTCCGAAAGCGGCGACTTTCAGGAACATGAACAACCATCCATTTCACAAAAAATAAATTCGCATTACATTTTGAAACAAAAAAAGAGTCTACTGCAACAATTCATATAGCGTCTGGCATAAAGTTTTTTTTTTGACATGGAGCATGGATGGACTATGTGCGTTGAACCGGTGGTATTTGTCAAACATGGCGAAACGAAATGAGAGAGTGATGGGTATGCTGTGAGGGCACGTTCTTAATTGGTATTTATTGAAACGATCCCATAGAATCTAATCATCCCTAAAGTCCTCAATTTTTCCATGTAACACATGAATGGATGTTGTAAAGACATGATCGTTATGATTTCGATATTGATTAACACATTCATCATTTTCCCTCCTTTTTCTTGTTCTCATTTCTCTTTCCTTGTCGGTTGTGTTTTCATCCAAAATAGTGGCACCACTGTTTTTTTTTCTTGCTTTTGACCAACGGACCATCCAGCAAAAAAAGATGCTTATTTTAAAACTGAATACTTTGTCAGCGGAGGATTTATTTGCCGTGGAAAGAGTGAGTGTTGTAGCAACCGAAAATCTTTGATGCGTACAGCATTCATTCAATTTCAGATCCACATAAATGTCTAACGCTGTATTATAGCGACTCTTGCGCTGGACGGATGTCAAGCAACAGCCACTGGAAAGCGTGGACCTTGACTTTAACATTTTGAATCACCATCGTGCCGATGTTTACGGCCATTTGCTTGGCATGGCGATGCATCTCCAGATTCATGAAACGTTGGGTGTCGACGAATCCCAGTTGCTTGATTTTTTCATTGACGTGGATGCCGCTTATCTTGACGCGCCGTACCATTCATTTTATCATGCCGTCGATATTGTGGCTGTCCTGTACTACATGATCATTCATCTCAAAGGAAAAGAGTACCTGTCGCCCTTGCATATTGCCATAATTTTTATCAGTGCACTGTGTCATGATGTGGGTCATGTAAGTATTTCTTACTCATCAAACAAAAAGGAGAAGGATGGCTCCCTTTGCACCGTAGGGAGTCCAAACTTTCAACTTTTTTTTTAAAGTCGTTGGTTCGCCGCAACCTTTTACTTTTATGCAAATCATACTGACCTTTTTTTGTGTTTCTCCCTGGTGGGATGGATGAACTTGTTTTTTTTTTCTTTAGCCAGGTTACAATAATCTATATCTGCGAAATACCCAGGCCGACATTGCTCTAAAATATCAAGGGGAGTCGATCCTGGAATCACTGGCTGTCGAGATCACGCGGCAACTGATCGAACGCCACCAATTGCTTCGCAATGTATCGTGTGCCAGCCGATTTATGACATCGCTTGAAGACCTTATTTTAGCCACCGACATGGCCCACCACTACGATCTGCAAGCGGAAGCGCGACAACTATCGGATCTGTTGTCGTATACAAAGCAAACCAATGAAGAAGGTCAAGAAGAGGATGAGCAGTGTTGCAAGAGCGCCACTTTCCAAGACGTCGTGCCTTGTGACAGGGGATCGGTGTCGGCGGATGCGCATTATCAGAGCTTTTCCCGCGTGTTATTGCATGCGGCTGATATCAGCAATACTGTGCGACCGTGGCCGATTTGCAAACAATGGTCAGATCGCATTGTGGCTGAATTTTTTCGTCAAGGAGACGCCGAACGAGCGGCCGGATTACCCGTCAGTCCGGGCATGGATCGATTTTGTGCTGTTCGCGAAACCATGAGTGTGAATTTTGGCGATGTGGTAGTGAAGCCGTACTTTGAAGCACTGACCCAGCTTTTACCGGAAGCCGATGTATTTCTTGCCATATTGACAGACAATCGCGATCAGTGGCATCAACTGCAGGAAGGTCCTTCTATTTTCATGCCATGTTGTCACGTTTACGAACGCCAGTTTCCAAAAGGCTTGTGTAATCCGAACCGTCATCCCAACGGTCGCCGTGTCAGCGTAGCAGCAGGTACCGTGACCATTCCCAATTACCTGTGTCAAACGCGGCCAAAAGGAGAATGGTGCCGACCCAAAAGTCTTTCAACGGCTATTTTTTCCACCGATCCACTGCTGCCACGGCTTAGTTTATTCTATTTTAACCAACGGCGCTCGTGTGATCTGACAACAACAGCCACCACGATCCAAGTCAAGATGGATTAAGATGCTTATCGCTAAAACTCGATACTTGGCCCTTGTCTTGGCAAACCAATGAACCCCACTTGGACTGGATTTTTTTTTCTCAATTTTTGTTTTTATGTTTGAATGCTTTAGTTGGTTGGAGGAGCAATCAGCATTCCTGTTTATTTTACGTTATTTTTATATCTTTTTTTTTCTTGTTCTTTTTCTTCTTTTCTTGTGATCCTTTGTATTATGATGCTCTCAGATGTAAAACGATGCTTCTTTGTAAAAGCTACAATAGATGGAGTGGAAAAATTGCGCTAAAGTGATACCATAAACATACAAGATACATATTGGAGACTTGTAAACAAACAATAATTGCCTGTGCGTTTCCGTGCTAATGAAAATTGACTTTGTATTGTATTGTCCTATTGACAAATAACGAGTTTTTTTTTTTTTGTCGAATCTATTTCTTCTTTTTTCGTCAGGTCCCCCCCCCCCCTTAAATGTAACCAATCGAAACCCGACATGGAAGGACAGAAAAAAAGGGGAATTGAACCGCTTCAGTCAATGGCAAAGGAACGGGATTACAGATTCAGCACGTTTTTGTTAACCACAAACATTTAGAAACCTGTTCGCATGGCAATATGGGCAAACGGTTGAATGATGAGATATGGTTACTGCTGTGCAACCATCACTTGTTTACCGCCATGGAAGCACATGGTGTTCGGTGTCGGTATAAAAGCTAGATAACCAACCCCAGTTTTCCCACCTTTTTACCCTTGCATCCTTTTCTTTAGATTCCTTTTTTTTTTCGTTCTCATTCTCATTCTCTCTCTCTCTCCTTCTCTTTATTAATCTTGTTATTCTTGTAACTGTTGTCTTCCTCTCGTTTCTTTATCTGTATTTCCCTCGTTAATTACTTGTTTCATATAATGGAGATCTTGACTTTAGAATCCGTGTTGGCCGATACATCGAGTGATCTCTTTCATGAATTCACCCACTTTTTAAGACAGCAGTATTGTACCGAGAACTTGAGTTTTTATCTGGCTGTTCAACGATATGAGGAGTGCGCTCGTTGCTTCTTTCAGCATGATGAAGCTTTGAAAGGGTTTGAGGACTGCGTGATCCTAGAGAGCTCGGATCCTTTTTCATTCTCGGATGAAAACCTGACGGACAGTCGTTTAACAGAGTCGGAGCGATTCCATTACGGCGTTTTGCAAGAAAAATGTCTTACCATCGTCAACACATATGTGCGATCCAACTCGCCTCAAGAGATCAACATCCCGTGCGATATGCGACAAGACATCCTGGAACGGGTGCATCTTCACAATCAATATCATCCTGCTGTGTTCAATCTGGCGATCGAGGCCGTGGTAGAATTGATGCGAGTGAATTCATTTATTCCCTGGTTAACTGACAATGCGCCTTCCCGTTTGCCGTCCCCCCCGCCCCTGATGGCGTCCAAGACGATCACCTCATCCTTCTCGTTCCCCGATCGATGGCATTTACGGCAATTGATGAAATCGCCGCGTTCCAGCTTTGCATCCGCCCGATTTGAAGACACCGGCTCCTGTGCCGACTTTTCCGTCTCCAGCACTGGCACAAAGTTGTCCATGATCAAACGCATGAAACGATCCTTGGGATTCTCCTACTACGAGCCCCAGCATGCTTCCGCGCCCAACACACCGCGAACGTCCAATGAAATGATAAGATTCTCATGGACCACTTGGCGCAAACTCCAGCGATAAAGAAAAACTGTAATAACCATTCCATCCTCCATGTTTCGAACCCCATTTTCATTCCTTACTCACTTCAATGTATCATATCGCGCATTTTTTGTCACCCGTCCCATTCAAGCTACACTATGATAGATCTTTTTTAGACACACTTCTTTATGTTGACATAGACTTATAGATTACAGTATAGAAATCCCCTTTCAACAAATTACGTAACATTTACATATCTCTGTATGAATTATAAGAAAGTTTTTACTACACGACCTTGTTATTCTTTTCGGTTGCCTGCTTTTTCAATATAGCTGGGCTCTGTACAATGGTTAAAGTGTTTATTTACTAGTCATAGTGATGCGGCACCTTACAGGAATACAGTGAATGATGTTATTATTTCGAGAGAATATACTAGTATGCATTGATGCATAAGGGTGCTAAAGGGTGACTAACCATGATGAAAATACACAGCTCAGAGAAATATTTGATAGCGATAATGATAAGCATGAAATAAGGCGGTAATATTAATGGTATGCGAAGAGAGTTAATGCGTAAAGATGACTAATGTAGGAGGTATGACAGCGATGAGAAGGCAAAGGATTAGAGTAAGCGGTGACGGGAGTTATTGTTGCCATGATTCGAGCGGGTGCGGTTGCGAGGTTTGGGCTGGGGTTCTGAAAATGAGGTGGCGGGCATCTTGGCGGCATTGGCGATAAAGTCATTGTGCCATTGCTCTTCACCGTTCATTTCGTCGGGATGAAACTGAATTTCTTGTGAAGGATGGGAAGGTTTGGCCGATCCACTGTAATAAACATCGTCGGCTTCCTTGTCGATGCCTTCAAAGATATTAAAGGACAAATCGACTTCGTCGTTCTCGCTTTCCACGACGGGCGGATTCATCTCGCAGAAAGGAACGTAATAGATATTGCGTGGTGACAAGGCTTCTCTTCGAAACTTTTGAAAACATTCGGCAACCATCGTCAATGCTTTCTCGAATGCTTGCATGCTGCGCTCATCCATATTTTCCACCGAGATTTGCAATAACTTTTCCGTCGTATTGGCCAACACGCGGTGTTTGAGGAGGGTGGTAGCTCGACTCGTTTGGGTAATGTGAGCCAGAAGACATCGTCCCGGATGCGTCACGTCTGTCAAGTCTCGTTCAATGGCTGGATCAGGTTCCTGTAATTTATTGGCCAGCAATAACGGTATCAAGAAATTAATGCCGATTTTCTATACAGTTTTTTTGAAATCGATCAATTGGAAAGCCAATTTGAATGCGTGCTTCTGCAGGACGATTGAATTCGTTTTGAGGTTGTCAAAACTTACTTCACCATAGTTCAGATCGTGACGAGAATCATAGATTAGCGACAAGGCTTCTCGCCACACTTTGGCTACATTGACAGGTTGTCCAACCACGCTAACAAGACGGCCCTGATCGTCGTACTCCTTGTTGAGATACAATCGCACATTATACTTGCTTTCCAGCAATTGGTGAACATTGCCACCAATACCAATGAGAGCTCCCGATCGAACCTTGGGAAGTAAAGCGCGCATAGTAATAGGCGCTTCGTTTACGTCGGATTCCATCGTTTGAAAGATCTTGGTCAACATGGTGGACAATCGTGCAGAAAAACCAGGCAACAAAAGAAGAAAAAAAAGGCGAAAAAAAAAGCCAGTGGATGATTTCTGCACAAATCGAACCCAGTAAGAGGGCGAGCCTCCACCGGCGGATCTCAACACCCTCCTTTTCTCATTTGTTTGACACATAAAAAAAAAAATCAGAAAAATATCCACCAAGGCCCACAAAGATGTACTTTTATAGAAATGTTACTAATAGAGGCTCTCATTAGTCAAAACATACAGTAGTGAGATAGGACAAATCATCAAAACATTAGTAAAATGGGTAGCATGGTACGTGCAAAGTGGGAAACTCTGATTAACGTTTCATGTACAAGACAGACACTGCGAAACAAATAAAGTATGAAGCCATTGCTGTTTCTGCAATAACTGGCTTTTTTGTGTAAGCTGAGCGAGAAGCCCGTTGAACCCTTGATGTATGAAATCAAATATCACTGAGTTTCATTTCAGGTCGTAACAAATCATGACTCAGAAGCCTTGTTCACTGAGTCTGAAATTCCCATCTATGAAAGATCCCGAATTGAAGCTTTTTTTATTGTTATTTTTTTTTTTCCTTCACTCCCCTTGTCTTCATTCCCTCAATGACTCAAACCAAAAAAGTCGGCATTCTCGGTGCTACCGGCACCGTCGGTCAGCGATTTATTTTGTTGCTTGCTGACCATCCCATTTTCGCCATTCATGCTCTCGGTGCCTCCTCGCGATCCGCAGGCAAACCTTACAGTTCGGCCGTCAAGTGGAAGCAGAATGTTCCTATTCCCGCCCACGTTGCCGGTATGACCGTCAAAGCCTGTGTTGCTGAAGAATTCGCAGAATGTGACGTTGTCTTTTCCGGTCTTGATGCGGATGTTGCTGGCGATATCGGTAAGTTGATCATCATTAAGAATTATAAATCAAATCGCATTTAGGCTCAGGCACACTGATATCGTTTTGTTTTGTTATGGTAGAAATGGCTTTCCTCAAAGCAGATTTGGCTGTTTTCTCCAATGCTAAAAATTATCGCCGGGATCCCGCTGTACCTTTGATTGTGCCTACCGTTAACCCTTCACACTTTGATTTGATTCCTTATCAGCGCACGCTTCACAACCTTAAGAAGGGTTTCATTATCACCAATGCCAACTGCTCTACGACCGGTCTTGTTGTGCCTTTGAAGGCTCTGCAAGATGCATTTGGTCCTCTTAGTCAAGTTCTTGTTCATACACAGCAAGCCATCTCCGGTGCTGGATACCCCGGTGTGCCGAGTCTCGATATTTTGGACAACATTGTGCCTTACATTTCGGGTGAGGAAGAGAAGATGGAATGGGAAGCTGCCAAGATTTTGGGTGGTGTGTCGGCGGATGCCAAGGCGTTCGAGCCCTTGTCCAACACCGTTGTCTCGGCTACTTGTACTCGTGTCCCTGTCTTGGACGGTCATTTGGAATCGGTATCTGTGAAATTCGCCAACGGCACACCTTCCATCGAAGAAGTCTACCAAGTACTGGATCGTTACACTTCCGAAGCACAAGCATTAAAATGTCATTCGGCTCCTGAAAAGCCTATCCTTGTCACCCGCGATGCCGACCGACCTCAACCCAGATTGGATCGTGAATTGTTGAAGGGTCAGGCCGTTACTGTCGGCCGAGTAAGAGAATGCCCCGTCTTGGGTATCAAATTCGTCCTTCTTCTTCACAACACCATCTTGGGCGCAGCCGGTAGCTCCGTCCTCAACGCCGAAATTGCCGTCGCCAAGGGATTGATCTAAGCAAAATCTTAAAAAATAAATAAACATAGTCTAATAGATAAAGAATAAGGATTGCATTGAAAGTATCTGGTTCATCTATTTTTTTTGGGGGGGGGAAGGTATCGAAGAGTTACCAAATAGAAACTACTCAAACCTTCGTTATCACATCAAGAAATGGTGGTGTGGTTTATGCCTGGCAAACCACCTTGTACCATAAGATATCAGAGAGTTGGGATGGGATGGGAGAGGATCAGATTTGATCAACCAGAGATGAATTCGCCGTCACAAAAATGGTGGGAGAATCGGGCTCGACTCGGACTTCCGGAACAGCCAAAAGTCAGCTGGCAGGCCCAAATGGCGTGGCGAGTCAAGGATCATTGAAGCTTTCTTTCGAACTACCAATATGGTATGTAGAACATAGCATAGCACAATAGTAGGATGGGAGGGGAAAAGGAGATTGGAGGCACTCGGCACGAGATAGATGAACGGATGGATGGATGAATTGGATAAATCAACAACAACTACAACGACGACAGATACAGCCTATAATGAGCATTCCTTCAAAGTTGACAAATGAGGAGAATGTTCCCACCGACGCACGACGTAAAGGCTGAAGGAAAAAAAAAAAGAGAAGAAAAAAGAGAAGAAGACACAGTGCACATTGAGGGAGAATGGACAACCGAGAGAAATGGGGGGGAGTGGATGGAATAGAGAAATTGTATTGAAGCTCTTCTAACATGTATATTGTTCTCGTTGAATTTGTAGGCCGACACTTCTGTGACAATTCGCACTCGCAAATTCCTCACCAACCGTTTGCTCCAACGCAAGCAAATGGTCGTCGATGTGATTCACCCTGGTCTCGCTAACCTCTCCAAGGACCAGATCCGCGAGAAGCTCGGCAAGATGTACAAGGCCGAAAAGGAGGTTGTCTCTGTTTTTGGTTTCAAGACCCACTTTGGTGGCGGAAAGACCACTGGTTTCGGTTTGATCTACGATTCCGTCGAAGCATTGAAGAAGTTTGAACCCAAGTACCGTCTTGCCAGAATTGGTTTGGCTGAACCTGGTAAGGGTGGTCGCAAGCAGCGCAAGGAAAAGAAGAACCGTGCCAAGAAGTTCCGCGGTACCAAGAAGTCCAAGGCCTCCGCTGGCAAGAAATAAGTGGGCGTCTCTTGATCCTGATTCATCCAAAAATACATATTGGCTACACACCATCATTTTTGTATACTTTTTCTTTTTCTTTCTCATTCAAATCTTGGTTTCAAAAATGCATGTGTGAAATCTACTTGTGTGCGTGTGTTTTTTAATTTATGAGATCCTGCAATCCAACCGCCAGCTTTGGCTATTGGACGTATTGGCTTTGCTCTTGTATAGATCAGTCGTTCGTTCGATCGTTCCTTTTTCGTTTTCCAGCTCTTAAAAAGTGATCGTCAAGTGAAAGCACGAATTTAGAAAACAGAGAATTCAAATCAGGGCTAGTTTTGGATGATCCACATTCTCGGTCGATTGCAATTGTTAAGAAGGATTTGAAAATAGCTCACGTCGATAGGCCTTTGCACTGTTATGGAACGGTTCATCGCCTTTTATTGGCTTCTTCATCTTGTCATCTTGGGCCACGCCCATGATTTGATTTCCATTCCCTTTACAGGCACCAGTCGCAAGGGATACAAGGCGTCATCTTGGAACAGTCAAAAACTGGATGATGTGGTTAATGTGCCTTTGAGAAATATCGACTTGGCGGTGAGCTTTTGAGAGTTTGATGTAGTTTGTTGTAGTGCACACGAACCACCTACACTCAATGCTGTATTCTTCCTTTCTAGTACTTGATGAATATTTCTATTGGTAAAATGAAAAAATAATCCCATTGGGGAAAAAAGATAAAGCAACAAGTGGGCTAAACCGTCCCCATTCATCAAACCTAAAGGTACTCCTCCACAGCCGTTTACCGTGTTACTGGATACAGGTACAGTATCGGTTTTGTCATCGGTGGGTCACAGCAAAAAGAGCTCATCGCAATGCGTTGGATACGTACAGGCTCATCGGCTACATGGGTACCTATTTACGGTTGCAATAAATCCTGTGGCTATCCCCATCACAGTCTGCAACCCACAAATTCCAGTACGTTTGAATCCTTAAATCTCAGTTTTAGCATTCGATATGGCGATGGGTTTTCCAGAGGATATTATGCCCAGGTAAAAAGAAAATATGTTCAGATAATTAAGAAGAGAAGGCATTGACCAAAATGATCAACTTGAGAGGATTATTTTCTTTTTTGCGGCGCCGTACTAACTGTGGCCATCGTACGGCTTGTTAGGATACAATGACTGTCGAGGGAGTGCCTGTGCCTAAAGCTGTAAGTTCGCATAGAAGCTCATCATCATCCAATTGACGCCGTTTTCTCACTCAACGATGCAACAACAAATCAAGTACTTTGCAGTCTCAAATTTTAATGATGGAGAACTGGCGACTGATGGCGCAGGTAGGAACACTTCTCATGAAGAAAATGATGTATATTTACTAACGTAATCGGCATTACAGATGGTATTCTGGGAATAGGTGTGTTATTGGATAATTTACCTATCCGGATGAAAATGAAAAAAAAGGTACCTAACCATTCTACTCTTGTAGGGCCTGATAGCCTTAGTACTTACAACAATCCCGATGGAAAAACGATTCCCACACTTGTCTCCACGATGTATCAGCAAGGGCTGATCAGGCATAATGTATTTTCCGTCAAATTTGAGCCCGTCAATTTTACGCTGGCCAGTAACCGGATCAACGGCGCGATCACGTTTGGTGGAGGCAAGTGCACAAAATGTAAGCATCAAGCAATGGAATCATTGTAATTAACAAGTTTCTGTGTCTAGTGAATATGGAGCATGTCAAGGGCAATGTTACCTATCTACCTACCACGGCAGATTTAGATTACATGGATTATTGGGCAGTGGACCTCACTGCTATCACGGTTGGCAATCTTACCATGCAGTTCGAGCCTGAATTGGCGTGTTTGGTGGATACAGGTAAACTGATCCATCGTTTCATACCACGTACTACTTGATATTTATTTTTCTGTGTACGGTCACCTTAGGAACAACCCTCGTATATATACCTCAGCAAGCAATACAAGAAGTGTTCCGAGACATCAGAGGATTAATTCAAGATGATGCAGGTCAATATGTCGTGCCTTGTGATGGCCAATACTTGCCATCCATTACTTTTACAATTGCAGGTCACGATTTTGCTCTTGATCCACAGGATTATCTCATTAAAGACGGAGCGGTGAGTCCCAACTGGCGCTGGCCACCTCCAAGAAAAGGAGAAAATCTCACTTTTTTTTGTCCAACGGCTGCATAGCTTGCTTCTTCATCCGAGGGTTGTTACACGTATTTACAGGAATCGCCACCGTTTGCAGGCGCTATTCTTGGCTATGGATTTCTGCAGCGATATATCTCTGTATACGATGATGAAAATAAGCGCATTGGTTTTGCATCTCGCCTCTAAACTTGTCTTCAAAAATAGTTTTCCATAGCAACGGATATAATAGAATTAGGGGAATATGTTTGTTGTAAAAATCTTGTCGAGAGTGCATGAGCTGATCACGATGCACGCGTGTTCTTGGAGACTTCATCTTGCAATGTGAGTTTGATTTCGGATTGCGGCCGCATTATGTTCATCCTATGCTGTACTGAAGCCTTCCTTCCGTCATCCACTTATGCGCATGTTTTTATGCGGGTAATATATGAAGGAATATGGCTAAAAAGCCATGGATTGGGAATGGGACTCATCGACCCCGACTCTAAGAGCATCAGTAAGATTACAAGATTTCCTTGCACAGTCATATGTACACAGTCATTTCCAGGCTTCTCAGCGCTGAGTAGAGGATTTTTATTAAAACTACGTGCAGGATAAACGATTATTTTTTACAAGTTCGAAGCCCGTTGTTCCCTGGTGTTCATGTCTGTTGAGTTTGCGGAATTCATATGATCCACGCTGTTTCAGTTCTCTCAAGAAAAGGAGTTCCGTACCAGGTTCTCTCATACAATAACAAATTGGGATTGCCAACACAGCCTGCGAAACATCTAGTCAAGATGATTGGAAAGCTCCGGTAAATACTATTTGCCACCTAATCTTGGTAGTTTGAATTATATTTCAGTACAGGTCTCTTTCGTAAACTGACGTATGGCACCATCCTATTTGTCAGCTGTTGATGACGATAAAAAAAACCACGATGACGATGACAAAAAAAAAAACCAAAGTCGAGTAATCCCGACAAACCAGCTATGACTCGCCGGAGTTTTTTGTTGGATTCAGACCGAAAAATGAAAAAAATCAGAGCCTCAGGTACATCAGGGAATAAGAACCTCTTTGAACTTTGTCAAAAGAGAATGATAGTGGCATTGAAAGGTGGTTTGCAATAGATCAGTATGATTGAATTACCACATAGGGAAACCTAGAATGTAGTTGGTCCAAGTGAAGGGATGCTTTTCCGCAAATGAGATAGTTCCTTTGACTGAGTGCCAGTCTCATCACTGGGTTTTAAAGACGATGATGGGAAATTTACCTGTGAATTTAATTGTGGAGGCGAATCATTTTGTCATTACAAAGCTTTACATTTTGTATATCCCGTCACTATGTATTCAACCTCTCGATCTTTTCATACAGCTTGTCTGCGATTAACTATTCAGACAGCGGACCGACACACCATTCTTCGATTCACGCCCACTCATGCCGCCAATGTCCATCGATTACGGGCGCGATCGGCACTGCAGGTTCGATCGTCGCGATCGATCCATTCCGGGCTGCCTAGAGAACTTCGCTTATTACGTAACAGTGACAAGCGAGAACCCTTAAAGAAGGCCGAAGATCACGACACACTGACATCCCGTGCAGCTCAATTTGCAAAGGAAAATGCAGCTGCCGGTCATGCTGCCGCTCAAGGAAAATCCACCAACACCGCGGTTTCGCAAACGCCGAAAAAGACTTTGTGGCAAAAAGTCAAGGACGAGGCCGTGCATTATTGGCATGGCACCAAGTTGTTGGGGATGGAAATTCGCATTTCTTCAAAACTGCTAAAGAAATTACTACGTGGAAAGAGCCTTACACGAAGAGAAGCAAGACAGGTAAGGAAGGTGGGACGAAAAGGATCCGAAAAGGACATTCACTGATGCATCGGCTCCTTTTTTTTATTGTTGTTGTTTGCGTCACAGCTTCGACGTACCACATCTGACATATTACGTCTGGTTCCTTTTGCTGTATTTGTACTTGTTCCATTTATGGAATTATTACTTCCCGTTGCCTTGAAACTATTCCCCAATATGCTTCCCAGCACTTTTGTGAACAAATCCCGCGAGGTATTGTATCCAACATATATATAGAGTCCATGTCCACTTGAATTGTCATCCGCTAACTCCACCCTGGATTTTTAGGAGGAGAAGAAGCGCAAGTTACTCAAGGTGCGCTTGGAAATGGCTCGATTTTTGCAAGAAACGATTGCAGAATCTGGATTCCCCGGATCGGATTCTGAAAAGGCGGCCAAGGAATTTGCCGACTTTTTCAGAAAGGTAGGTAACACAGAGACGATCTACAAACAAGCACAGTTAATTAAGTTGATGAAAAAATCATGACGTGCATATCAGATCCGTATCACTGGTGAGCAAGCAACCACCAAAGATTTACTCAATGTAGCGAAGCGGTTCGAAGACGAGCTGACCCTCGATAACTTATCGCGACCCCAGTTGGTATCCATGTGCCGTTACATGAATATCAATGCCTTTGGCACCGACAATTTCCTTCGATTCCAAATCCGGAACCGTATGCGACAGATCAAGGCCGATGATCGCGCAATCCAAGCGGAAGGTATTGAAGCAATGACATTGCAGGAAATCAACGTTGCGTGTGCTGCTCGTGGTATACGAACCATCGGAACGTCCTCCGACCGTTTGCGCGATGAATTGGCTCAGTGGCTGGATCTTCACTTGAATCACCACGTTCCCTCTACGTTGCTCATCTTGTCAAGAGCATTCAGCTTTACCGATCACATGACGACCGAAGAAGCCTTGCGTGCCACTTTCAACAGTTTGCCGGATAATTTGGTAAATATGGAGAAGGGAAATTGATTTTGCATTGGTGGACTGACTTTGATTCGATGTTTTAGGTGAATGAGACCGAGCTTCAGGTTCTGGAACTCGTGGGCGCCACCACGTACAAACAGAAGATGGACGTATTGGAACAACAGCAAGAATTGATCGATGACGAATCCGAACAGGAAGAAAAGGAAGAACAGGCAAGACGAGATGCTGAAGAAGCCGAAAAGCAGCGTATGGAACAAGAAACGCGAGATAAGGAAGCAGCAGCAAGAGACGTCTTTGCACCTGATGAAAAGGTAAACAGAAAAGAAACGTTTATAGGTCCCTACATGCCCCCATGCTGTTGTCCTTAACGAATTCTCCTTTTGAAAATTTTTAGGATAAGATGAAACAAAAACTGAAGGAGAAATCCGAGTTGCAGCAAAAAGATGACTTGTTATCTCAAGAAGAGCAACAGGAGCTGCATGAAGCTTTGGATAAATTGCAATCCAAGGTAGATGTGTTGGAAGAACGGGCTCAATTGAACGAGATCAAATTCCACCATGAGGATTATAAAGACGTGAGTGATTTTTGCACATGTTTTTGATGAGCGAAACCCAGGGAAAGCTAAAGATGCAAATTATCATTTTAGCTTATTGAACAGCTGAAGGAAGCAACGCATCGTGATGCGGACAAGGCAACCATGCGACTTGGCAAGAAGCTTGAAAAGATGCTTGTTGATATTGACGAGGAACTAGATGCTATAGAAAAGGAACAGAAAGAAAAAGATCAACAGGCAGAAGAAACCACCAAGACCAAGGAACAGAAATCCAGCTCATCATAGATATAAATAAAAAAAAAGTAAGATGACAAGGAAAGCCAATTTCCCGGTAACAAAATGGTTGGTCTAGACTACGAAAGCTGCATGTTAAGATAGTATTCCATGTGATCCAATCTCGGGCCAGAAAAGCAGGTTCCCGGTTGGCTAGGGAACCGTGGTTTTTTAAAATGGGCAGACTACGGTTTTACGTTGTGTTACATGCGCAATCGATGAAGCGCCGCATATGGGGTTCTTTTATTACCCTTTTTTTTAATTTTGTTACCGATTGCCAACGTACAAATACGTTGATATAATGTGGTCAGGTGGTTTTAAAGTGAGAGGATAACAGTTCAAACGATGGATGGTTTTGTTGAAAACAATTTGATGCAAATCAGTACATCTGCTTTGGCTTGTATTAAAAAAGAGTCCAATCATCTTAATAACAAAGGTCTGGGCTGAGTTCCCGCCGTGGACAGTTAATTGACAGTGATGTCGGGATGTTAATTTGGGCGCAATTCGAATCACCTTAAAAAAAAGAAGAGTTTAACTTGATGAATAGACTTTTCTTTTTCATTCCTTCTTTTGCTTTATTGTACCTCATCCCTCTCTTTTTTTTTCTTGATTCCCCTTTATTATTTGTCAAGCAGCTGGTTTGCTTGTGATTATTTAACTTTTATACACGATGGTCACTGTTGATAAAATTGTAAGCGCTCGTTCCACTGTGTTACTAGACAAACCAAGAATGAGTTGTCACTGACATGCTGTAACATGCAGGTATCGCGCGTCACCGAAACTCGCTGGTCGAAACTGTACATATCCATGGCAACGCTTCAATGCGTGTTAATTATCGTGCTTCAGACCGTGATTTGTTCACAAAATACCCTCCAGGCTGACCTTTTACCCCATTCCGGCTCAGACAACGCTCTTATCACAGACTCAATACAAACATCCATACCCGAACAAGCAGCCGACCGATTAGGCAGAATCAAATGGGAAAATATTGCCTTTATTGGCTTTCAAGTCTGGTTTCTTGGCATGGCTTTTGACGCTGTAAGTCCTTGTCCCTGATGGCTATTCATAACACCCCTCTCCTCACAACCCCCCGCAAACGCCGGAGACCAAACTTGACTGACCATTATCATTAATCATCATCATTTCAACGCTACTAGACCGTGTATCAAAATACCGCCGAAATATTGGCTTTAGCCATCCTCAATGTGATTTGCGCTATTTTGGGGGCCTTGGAAGTGGTCGATGGCAACAAATGGCTGAACCTTTTAAAGAACACTGGTTATTCCACCATGCCGTTATCTGTTGCCGAGAAAATCGAAATTGCGTTATCAGTGATGATTATGCTCTTTGCTGTGATTCTCGCTTACCTCAGCTACGAAATGTCGAGACAGTTTGGTTGGAATATCTATAAAAAGATTGGAGCTGATGTCCAGATTCAAAGTAAGCCGAAATTCTCAAAAAAAAAAAAAAAAATGGATGAAATCAAGCAGTACACACTCACACCTTATTTGGTTCATGATGTAGAAATGTATCGCATGTTCCAATTCTTTGTTCTATCGCTCAAGATTGATGTGTTTACGGGATTTCTCGTTTCACTGTTTTCTGTATGCTACTTGATCCACGTAGCCATTAAGCAAGGACTAATGTGGGAAAGTGTCATTGAACTGATCGTCACCGTTCTAATTTTACCCATGCTTTATTTTGCGCGAACAGCTGTAAGTAATTGCTTGTGGTACCATATTTTCACATTCCAATTGTGTCTCATCATTTGTCTTCATTAGGGAAGCGTCGAAAGTAAAGTACGCATGATTATCTTTCTAATATTCCAAGTGCTCGAGTTTGTTCACTACTGTCTCATCCTCACGGAAACATTTCAACCTTCCAACAATTGGTATACGTGGATTGTTCTTATCTTTATCGGCCTCGCTTTCAACGTCATCACATCCGTTCTCGCCTTTATGTGCATGCGCAATTTCGGCAAAGGACTCAAGCCTTACGTTCAACGCGGTTCTACCAAACAGAAGCAAGATGTAGAAATGAACAAGAGCAAAGTGCAGCAAGACTGGCAGATTGACGACGATTAGAACGAAATGACTCATCAAAAAACATTGATCGACAATTTGTTATAGTATCTACAATATCCTTTGATTCTTTTCCCTCTATCTTCCTCTCACATCTTAACTATTTGCATCTCCTCATAAATTTTTCATATCTACAAACAGCTTTACAAATCATGGTTCCTGTGTCAATTGCGATGAATTCATCAAATACTATTTATTATCTACTGTGATATCGGATCTGGTTCTTTTTTTATATGGGTGCTCTATGATGAAGCAGCAGTAGGGACCATGGCATCGGATGCTCCCATGGGCGATACGGGGGTTTGGGAGGGAGGCGCGGCGGATTCCTTGATGGCTTGCAACTGCTTGGCGCGGAACGTTTCATAATGAATTTGGGCCGTGGTCTCAATCAGGTCTTGCAAATGAGTTCGGGTCAAAAAGTTGCGGAGATGGGAGAATTCACAATGGTTTTCATCCTCCACGTTGATCACACCCCATCGTGTCTTTCGACCACGCACCGCTTTACCATCGACCACGATATTTCTCTCGGAGCCAACAATAGCAAATGGGATCAGTTCCCGAATTGTTTCGTTCAGTGCCATTTCTTGCTCGTCGTCCTCTTCACTTTCGTAGGGATAAAGTTTGATACCATGGAACGTGAGTTCGGATTTGATCTAACCGATTATGTTCATTGTCAATAATTCTATTGGTTTTAGCCCGATTTTTTTTTTTTCTTACGCGGTTTCTGAACGCCTCACGTTCCTCCAAAGTTAATGAGTCTGATTTGGCAATCACAGGGACCACATTGACCACTTCGCACAACTTTTTCAATACGACAATATCAATGGCCTTCAAACTAGAGATTCATTGTATGTAGAACAGCACAAGACGTTAGTAAGTAAAAGCGATGTGGTAGGTCTACGAGAAAAAATGAGCAACTTACGAGTGACCAGATGGCGTGATGAAAAAGAGGCAGCAATGAATTCGTGAATCGGTAATGAAACGATCACGTTGCGCGGTCAACTCTTTGCGCAAGTAGGCCGAGTGTTGATCCTTGATATATTTGATGATGGGCTCCCAGCTAAAAATAATAAATTTTGCATAGATTCGGATTTTTGGGGGTTATTTCTCCGCAAGGCAAACCAATTCATCCAAGTAACCATACCAATTTTCATTGTTGACCTGATCACCGTAGCCAGGGGTATCTACGATATTTAATCGAAGTCGAACACCATTCTCAACAATAGCTGTATTATTCATTCAGTCAGAATAGCCATCCCAAAGAATTTCAGCAAACAGTACTACTAGCCGACTTACTGTGAGAAACAGTTTCAATATCGGTAGTTTGTCGAGGTGGTTCGTCAGCATTCAGACGTCCTTTGCTTTCAATCAGGTGGGAAGCAAAGATCGTGTTAACGAGCGTGGATTTTCCGAGTCCCGATTGACCTTCATTATTTCGAGAAAAAGCAAATGCAAGTGTGAATGCGCTAGATGACCGAGATATAGATTATTGGCTACATACCAACTACCATGACATTGAATTGGAAGCCACGCTTCAGCATCTTTTTTTCAATTTGCTGAGTGATGGTATCGAAACCCACATAGCCGTTAAGCAGAGTCTAATGATGGACGTGTTTTTTTTCGTCAGTAGAAGTTTTACGCGTTATGAGTTTCCTTATGTTGAGATATATACCTGTTCTGGTGTAGGCGAGGTTGGGGTAGATGTGGTCGACATGGTTTACAAGTTGGATGAAGAAACAGAGAAAAGAGTTGGCTACCATGAGCCTGCGTATGTAGCACAGGATGAAGCTCATCCACGTGGATCAAGGCCGCGGTGGTCTAATAAATGAACCAACGCGGTCTGTGAAAAAAAAAAAAAAAAAGACGACCGCGATCCTACTTTGCTCCAAAGTAGAATAGATGCACAGGACACACAAGTAATGATTAATGAAGCTGTATGTGTATTTGAGGCGACCGAAATCTTTTTTTTTTTTTTGGTTGTTCCTGCCGCTGAAATGCAGCGGATGTTGTCGATAGTCTGGAATGGGATACCTGAAGAAAATTTTGTTTGTGGTCGCACAAATTTAGTCCTTTTCCAATCAAAAGGCTCGCTGATACATTCATTTGTCTAAGATCATCGTCCCAACTTCATATTGACATTTGGTACCTGCTTGCATCTCTCGGTATGATTGGAAAACGCAATCATTGCGCTTCAACCTGGCAGGAAAAAGTAGATGTTGTCATTTACTAAAATGCGTCTAATCTTCGATCCATAAATTTATCGAAACGACAGTTCACCAATTGAAGTCGTAGCAGGTTCTGTTCTTCAAAATTAAGAGCTTCTGAGAGACGTACGCTATAATTCATGGGTAAATTATGCGAGAGGAGCTCATTAAGCAAAGAAAATCTTTGCAAATGAGGGTCGAAACTTCATTGAATTTTATATGCATGAATGGCAAGTTAAATTTTTGTTTCCAACTCGGGGAAACTGAGAAATGAAACAAAAGAATTGCAGAGTCAACCCGCGTAGTCAACCCAGAGAGCTTCTTTTTACACTTCCATTATGCAATTACGTCTTACCAAAAACATACAAGAAGCTGTTCATGCAGCATTGGCAGGAGAAGACTTTCCTCTCAAGTACAAAGAAGAGGCAGAACAAGTAGCAAGCATCTCACTCGAGAAACCAAGCGGTATATCACTCGACTTGCTAAAGTTGATCGCTCAATACTTGGATCGTAGCTCAGTAGAACAAGGTAAATTCTTGGAATCGTCACCGACTGTCACGATTCATTAATGCGACCTATCACAGATCGTACATGGTTTCATGAACTGATAAGAGGCACCGAAGTCTATGTCGAACCAAAAGAGCCGCCACCAAAAGTAAATGTGAACGCACGATCATGCATCCAGGAGCCGACGTGCTAATGGTTATCCTTGTTAGAATCCTGAATTCGAAGCTTATATGGAACAATTGCGAGCACAGCAACGTGAAAAAGAATATGCAAAGATGGTGTCTTCGGTTGTTACATCCGAAGACGACAAATACATGTACAGTTTGCGGCCGAATGAACTTAAAGAAATCAAGGGTCACGTCACAACCATCCTCAATATCGCATTTTCCATGGTTGCCGTCTACGTTGCTGTTTATATGGCAGCGAAAACCATGACGCAGGACGTTGGCACGGTAAGTGGCTCGGCAGCCATTGTATAGATACCAAGCGTTGGTTGACACGTTTACTTTTTGTATTTTTCACAGCGCGTCCTTTTATCCCTTGCAGGTGCATTCATGATCGGGATTGTGGAAACAATACTTTACATAAAATATACCCAACGTGCTCCACGTAAAAAGAAATCTTTCACTAAAAGGAGGCCAAAAAAGGTAAAATAAAGCAATCATCGCGAACCGAAAGAAAAAAAGAGTCTATTAGTTGTGTACAATATGTGGTGGAGGATTCGGCGTGTTGGGTGGCCATTCCAAGTCTACATGCAATACGTCTAGTTCAATTAAATCCGCCGACTTGATCTGAGCAATGGTAGCGAGATTAGGTTGCGTACGCCCCAAATCACCATGGACGAATTCTTTCACATAGGCACCTGCTCCGGTGGTTAATGTGAGAACAGCAAAATGAGCGTTCGCGGGATCTTTGGCGTCGGTAGCTGGTAAACGTTCCAAATGAAAGTAGTGGATATCTTTTTCGCGAATGGCAGCCGAACGTCTGTCATTATCTTGATTAGCATCATGCCAAGGATGAACCGCGGCTTTGATTGAAACAAGCAACTTACCTCTGGAAAACTCGAACTGGTGTATTTTGTAAGATCTTAAACGGCTTGCTGCATTGTACATTTATTTCGGCAATTCTTTCGTCCGTCAACACATCCGACATCCAGATCAAAGCACTAAACAACGTTGTGAAGTTCAGCACCTTGTTTCAGTAAAAATTCATTTGACATCTTACCGATAAGTCTTTTGCTTAAATTCTTCGCCCTGTTTGATGTGTTCAATATCACCTCTAAAAAGGTAGTCATTGCTTAGTTGACAAGCTCTCGCCAAGATTTGTGGAGAATGTGTTGACTTACGGCTGCACCTTGGTAAGATGCCGGATTTGAACGGCTTCCTTGGTTTCTGGGGCTTGGTTGATCTCGGATTCCATTTTTTCAAAATCCTCTTTGGACAGATAGTCCGACGGTGTGCGAGGATTGATTACCTCTATATAGAATGGTCGTCCCGTACCAAGCATGCGAACATTGGCATCCTCGCGTCCAGCCGTGGTAAATTTGTAAGCTATACATCCATAGGTTGTTGTGAGCCATTGTTCCGAAAAATCGTGTTACCAGCTCATTCTTCCCACTCACCATCGCTACGGTGGTATCTCTGTACAACAGGAGCAATACAGTCAGATACCGAATGTTCAGTTAGCCGTTTGCCTTTAATGACCCATGGCGTTTGACTGTATTCTCTTGAAAGTTTGATATATCGGGCTATCGAAAAGGATGGCGAAAAACATTCAGGTTCAGCCGGGTTTACCGCATTGCATTCTCATTTTTTCTTTCCCATTACCTGCGACAAAGCAAGACGCGTGCATTAATGCGATGGATGCCAACGTGGGTTTGATATCAACAGGCAATGGTGGTATGGCTGTCAAGCTGGCGCAAAAAAAAAAAAAAGACTCGATAAATTATTCTTGCAGCCCGATGCATGGGAAACAGATGACTTACGAGCGAGCATCGTCCGCATCGATAGCATTTAATGCTTGTCGAATCACCGGTCTTCCATCGCCAGCTGTTACCCAAACACGCTATTGTGACGAATTTAGGTTTTTTTCATCGGTCGATCTCTCCTCAAAACCATGCGCTGTGGACCCTGTCGTCATCGCTTACCTTTTGGCGCACTTTTCTGATTTTCAGGACCGGGTTTTGGGCTTGCGTGAGGAACAAATGTTCGGAAGCAGACGGCTCGTGCTGTATTATGATGTTCATGCGCAAAGGAGCTTCCGGGTCCATACTGAGGCCTGTGCGAGATGTCAGGCATTTTCCAAGTATATGTCGAAAAGGGTTCTTGAGATCGCGAATATCATGGTGTTCCTTCCATTTCGCAGCTGCAGTCTGATTTACTAAAGCAAGCTGATCGCCTACATGGATCCATAACAAGTGGTCGCGATGCATATTGCTGACAGGTAACTCTGCATTCATATTGATGGCCGTTGCTTTATAGCTATGTTTCTCCAATTCCTCACACACCCGATCGATCCACTCGGAATTGTCAGCAAACTGAAGAGCTCCCACACACGCCGTGCAAACAGAGATCGAAACTGGATCGATTGAAAATCCACTTTCCGTGAATAGATTCGAAAATGCGGTGTCGAATTCCTTTACAATCTATTAATGCCAACGTCTTTTCGAAAAGCAGCGCACTGGTCACAAACCTGCTCACTTGCAGTATAGTCTTCCATGGTGATGGAACCAATGAATCGTAAGCAACAGCGGTAACAGCACCGGGCTTCTCGAAGAACGTGAACAATGCTCAGCACGGTTTTGACGGGTTCGTCACCGTTGGTATCAAGCTCTTTGGTGAACAAGGAATGCGTGATCACATTCTTGATGTTGATTGCGTCGGTCATGGCCCACTACCTTTCTCGGTCAGTCTGTCGGATAACGGCAACGAAACAGCTTTTGTCTTTTTTTTTCTGATCCCGTCTTCAAAAAAATTTCAGTGGTGCCTTCAATGGCCCTGCAGGACTGCTAAACGCTTGATTATGCAAGCTTAAACTTTTATGCTTGATCAAGAGCCAATAATCTTATAAATCGGATAGCAACGTAAGCCAACTGCAAGATCTAAGATTCATGGGGAGGTCACGTTCTCTAGACCCTGTTTGAAGGTTGACCATCGGCTTTGTAACAAAATGCATCTACGCTTGTTAAATGAAGTAGTACTTTTGTCTCCATTATTGACGTGTTTTGCTTGTTCTCAGAAAACAAAAGTTAGTTGGACTCCTGGAAACTGCAGAGTCGCTTTGGTCCAGTAAGCAGGGGAAAGAATTTCATTCAATGGACAAGTTGTAAGTGCAATGTTCTCGCCATGAAAAGCCCTCTGGATTACAAACAAAATCTAATAAATCATACAAAAGCTCTAGTGACAGACGTATCTAAGCGTCCATTTCCTTGAGCATGTACTGATTGAACTCGTCCGGATTATCTAGGTACATATGATGACCTATCAAGCAAGTCAGTGTTCCTATCATTGCTTGATTAGGTTTACATCCAACTTACCGCCGTCGGACACACGAATCACTTTTGTGGGCACTTTCATATTCTCTGAGGCCTTTTCTGCTGCCTTGTAATCCATCCAATCTGCCACAATATTGATAATTAGATTCAAGGACATTAGAAGCGTAGGAATCGGTGTTTTTGAGTTGATGGAGGTCGATGGACAGAAAGTAACTTACCATTGTCGCCATAAATAAAAACTGTTGGCATTTGAAGTTTGGCCATGCGATGTATCAGCGGTTTACGTGCATAGGCACCTGGAGTCAAGATGGCTGCCAACGCATATTCGCCTGACCCAGTGGACGATGTGATTTGGTATCTTTTTTGCAAAAGGTCGTGGTTAATTCATTGGGATACGAATAAGCGTGCATAGCTCTTGCTTACAGATAGTCATATAGATCATGTCGTTCGTCAACATTTAAATGAGCAAACCGTTTTGATGCATAGTTATTGACAAGGCTATGCGATTTTTTTTTAGTCAATCTTGTAATAAAGTAAAAGTAGCAGCAGGATATGACATATTTTTACCTTGCTCCAAAGGGTCCACTGAAACGAACGATGCTCATGGGTGTAATGTTTTTGTCCCAAAGATATTTCGCCCATGCAGGAATTTTACGCACTGGTGGTGAAGGTAATACTTGCGGATCTCCGTTGGATTGGGCGATGGCCTCAGCAGACATCGTTGCCGTGTCGTTTGCAGCCGCCAGCTCGGAGGCTTCTTTTGTCAATAATTCTTTCGGTGAAGCGCCAGGCGCTTCTCGCGGGTCAGGTCCGAGTTCGGGAGGTCGTTCTGGGATACCAGCTGTGCTCATCATCAGAATGATGTCAGAAATTGAAATAGGTCAAGAGCTTTCCATATAACTCATTTACCTGGCGACACCAAGATCAGTTTTCGCACTCGATCAGGATATTTCAAGGCATAGCAGGTAGCGAAATAACCACCCATGGAGTGGCCGCAAAGGGTCATCTTTTCTATGCCAACCTGAGACCGCCACTGTTCCAGTGATTCCACAAAATGATCTTCTGTCTAATAATAAATGACATTAGTCAGATCATCAAGGGCGAGAATATCAATGTTTATGCGTACTCTTTCAACAATATCGTCCCATGATTCTTTTGATTTTTTTACAATGCTCCATTTAGGTCTTGAACTGCGGCCCATTCCAAGCCAATCTGAAGAACACGGATGACCAAAAGCGCGGTTGATCAGTTAAGATGTCTCACGGACGAAGCAAAATATTAACGCACCTATTGCAAAGATACGCCAACCTGGCTTTTGACCCAGCGTAAAATAATTTCTATCAAATGTGATCATGATTTAATATCGGTTGATTCGTATGAATCCATCCATCAATGCATAATTTCCTACCTATAGAACAATCCCAGTCCTAAAAAAGGGTTTAATTCGTATAACCATTAGTTCGGGGATATTTTTGAGAGCTATTTATCTCTTTTTACCTGCACCGTAGCCGTGGCAGATGACGAGATTTTTTGAATCGTCTATTTCATTCTTGATAGATTCAAGATCGCCAGGTTTATCATCCAGAGTAAAAGGTGGCTGCTGCGGCAAGGGTGGATCCCGTTGATCTGCGCGTAGATAAAGGGTATTGACAAGTCGTGTTTTGGCACCGTTCTCATTGGTTTGGTCGCTTAACGCATCCAACGGCACTTTCAGCAATCGTCCTATCAGAGGGATAGGATGGCTAATGGCTGCATTGGATGGCAAAGTGATGTGAGCACGATGTAGCAGTCGAGCTTCGGCAATGGCCGACGTATGCTCCGACCGGTTCCACCAGTTTCGAATAAAGTTGAGCCGCGTTGTGGGAGGAATGACGGCAGGCAAGGTAGGGAACTGAAGTTGAGGTTGCAGAGGCTGATCTTGGGTCATGGAAAAGAGAGAGAAGAGATCAACAAATGGCGGGCACCAATGACAGTGGCCACTTTTTTTATTAACCGGTAAAACCGATGCCGCAGCTCCCGAATGATACAAAAGTAACCCGTTTCATTCCGCATATGGCGAATTGTTCGGAAGCAAATGTACGGACTCTCAAACTTGTTCACAGACATGGCTACACGCATAAAGTTTTCTTTGAACCAACACAATAGCTTGGTTCAAAACCGCCACATTGAATGAAATTGTTGAAAAAAACAAAAACAAAAAAAAAAGACTAATCTCATTGTTTCTGCACGTCGCGAGAGCATCCTAGAAGAATGATTTTTCCGATTTGTCATCCTTCCATTTTTGGGGACAACTATAAATAGCATGGCCGTGAAGCGGCAGGCTTGCAACGATGGACGATTGCATCGAGGGAGCTATATCAGGCAAGCAGGGTCTCATAGTGCAATAAAATGTAGCAAGTAATTTCAGAGGTGAAAGAAGAATCCGGATCTTACTTATGTGACAAAAATTAATATTGCTTAAGTAGATGAATGAAAGCCGACTATTTGATGCTATTATATCCTGCAGCCCTCCATTGCAAGCCAGCAAAATATATAGCACTGCTTAGCTTTTTCTAGTGGACAGATTAGTACAGAAACGACTGATACGAAAGATGAGATAGTAGAGAAGCCTTATCTTTGTGATATTCTTACAGGCTATCATCGGATGAATCGCGTCGATGGGTGCCCCATTGCTTGGTTCCCCAATTTGCGAGTCACACAAACCAATGAGAATGAATTTTCTCCAGTCTGGAGAGATTTTTTTTTTTTATAATTCGAGCTTTCCCTGGGCCTTACTGCAAAGGAAAAGAAAAAGTTTAATCATGGTTCAAGCACATGAGAATGAGTTACCATCGTCAACTTCCTCTACAAAGAATAACATGACGGGGAACGATACACAGAATAAGCCAACCAAGAAAATACCCAACAGGGCTGGTGCCAGCAACACTACGGCTATCCCTGAATTCATCCAAAAATTATTTCGGTAATGAGCCCTGAGTAAAAAAAAAAGCTATTCCATTGACTCCACTAACCAATGTCCAATGATGCCCATTTCCCTATAGTATGCTGGAAGACGACTCTTTGAAAAACACTTTCAGCTGGAATGAAAGTGGCAACTCGTTTATTGTTAAAGATACAAACGACTTTTCAAAAACGGTTCTCCCCAAACACTTCAAGCATTGTAATTTTGCTAGTTTTGTTCGTCAATTGAACAAGTACGACTTTCACAAAGTTCGAAATAATGAGAGCAATCCCAAAGTGTATGGTGATCAGGTCTGGTTTTCAAATGGTTTCCGTGGTATTGGTTGACTGTTGTATTAACTCGTTTCTTCTTCTTTCATGCCCGCTGTGACCCTATATCCCCCCCCCCTTTTTTTTTTTCTGTTATTTAGCGCTGGGAGTTTGTTCATCCAAAGTTTCAAAGGGATCATAAACATCTTTTAGAACAGATTCGACGAAAGACACCCGGAAAACCGAAGCGAGAGGATAGTGCCGATATCGACTTGCCTTTACCCACCGCAGAGAATGGCCACTTTGGAGACCCTTCGTCATCCACCGGCTCATCCACATCGTCGTATCCTTCATCGGCTTCGCTAGAGGAACTTTTGCAGTTGGCTAAAAATCTCCAGACCCAGGTGGACCAGTTGCAGAAAGCTCGCGCCTATCTTGAAGCCAAAATATGTCACATGGAACGCACAGATCAGCTCATCCTGAATGAACTGAGTCAATATCAGAAAAACATTGCTGTCAAGGACGATATTTTACGAGCCTTCCTTGAAAAGTTCATCTCCACCGAAAAAGGTAAGAACCTATTCTGTTTTTTGTGAAATGCATGTATGCGGAAAAGATATTGATCCATTGCTTAAAAACAATAGACACCACTACCACCCCCATGTGCAATATGAATGCAACAGATACCAATGGCTTAATGATTTCCGTGGATGACTCGCGAAATCAGGCACAAGAGATTGTCAAATCTTATACCGAAATGTCACGACAGCATACCCAAACTTTAGAGAAACTAACCAACGAGTTACGGACGCCTTCCATGACCGCAGCGACGGGTTTAGTTTCTTCCACCATTCCTCGCATCTCATCTTCGTCCACTTCGTCGAGCTTATCACCCCCCATTATTCCCATCACGAGTCACACCGTTTCCTTTTCCGATCCCGAAGCTGGAGCGGCCGCGGCCGCGGCAGCTAGCATGAATGCGGGCAGTCTTGTCGGCTCCCCCATGAGAACAGCTGACGGACGCTCTTTCGTGACTCTGGGCCGACTATCGGCCAAACCGTCTGCGGGAGAGAACACCAATACACTGGAAATTACCGCTCCTTCGCTTATTCCATCCGCTTTCAAGCAACATGTTCCTAGCGCGCCTCGGGACAAGCCGATACAGCCCGGTTGGACTGTACCTCCACGAGTTCTACTTGTGGACGACGATTCGGTTTACCGCGAGTTGAGCGGGAAACTGCTGAACATGATTGGATGTAACATCGATTTGGCCAAGGATGGTTTGGAAGCCGTACGAAAAATGGGATTGGAGAAATATGACCTTATTCTTATGGTAAGCCAATCCTCATGAAATATCCCATTTTTGTAAATAGATGGCCTCATCTATAATTTTGTGATTTCGCAGGATATCGTGATGCCCAATTTAGATGGTGTTTCGGCGACAAGAAATATTCGACAGTATGATGCCTACACACCAATTATCTCCATGACATCCAATTTTACTGATAACGACATCATCGAGTACGTGGGAAGTGGCATGACCGATATTCTCCCAAAACCGTTCTCCAAGAGTACGCTGTATAATATCCTCGAAAAGTATTGCGCTCATCTAAAGGCGATCCAGCAAGTGCAAGGCATTGATCAAACCGTCATCCAACGTGGATTGAAAAGCTTGGGCTTATTGCAAGGCATGCCATCTTCCACTCAGTCCGATGGTCCCTCAGCTTCCTCTTCATCCTCCTCCTCATCGTCTACTCCATTCTCAACTGCGTCTCCTGTTCCATCCTCCATCCCGATCTCTACAGGTGCACATTCGTATATGCAACCTCCGCCGGGATATGACGCCTATGCTCTACCCAACTCATCGTGCTGGACAGCTTCTCAAGGCCATGTGATGACCAAAGTCAGTCCATCCATGGCCAATGAAGATACAAAGATGAACTGGGCAACTTCGCAGGAGTTGTCCTACAACGAAAACGAGGATACACAACGAAAACGACAAAAACTGAACGACGGCATAGAGTAAATACTTGAACTCGCTTATCTTTGACGATAATAGATACCATCCATCCCTCGATTCCTGGTATAGTTACACAGTCTACACATACAAACGCTTCATACTCGATACTGTTCTTCATTTGTCACCTTCAATATGACCCTGCTGTCTTTTTTGCACGTCGATTTGTACGTAATATTCGGACAGAGAGCAATGAACTTTCACCTCGTTCATAAATTGCATTTTACCTCGACTGTAATGTGTGAAATGCCTTTACTACAGTGTTCAACATTTGTAAATAAATGAATAAAACCAAACAAGTAAAAAGTCAATAATATTGCATAACCCATATGTATGTTGTGAGCCCTGCCCTATATTGAGTTGCTCTCAAAGCTTGCCACGAACGAAATGAATTTTAAAACTTCCATTTGGGGAAATTCAATTCCGACTCGGCTCGCAAAAACCCAAGTCACAGCTTCCAAGAAGCCCATTCGAGCTTTCAGTTCACAGAGTTCCATTGCAATCTTTCAATTTGCTGCCCTAGACGAACACAGGATGGATTTTCTCAAAAGTGCCATTGAAGCTGAGATTTCAAAAAAGCGCAAAACGCTTGATACTGTAGCTTCCGGTAGTGGATCTGACAAGAAGAAAAAGTATGTCAGTCGAGCCGAACTTGAACGATTGCGGGAAGAAGAGTATAAACGACAAGAAGCAGAAAGAGAAGCCAAGGAAAGAGAGGTATAATTACCGTTGGCGATTGAGACGAAAATCATTTTTGCATGACTAAATCTAGAATACTTTGCATAGAGAAAAGAACGACTGCGAAAGGAACAAGTATGTCTCTTGAATTAAAATCCGATGATCCGCAAAAACTAAGACTGTGATTCTTGATTAGGAAGCCAAGGAAGAAGCAGAAAAGAGAAAACCGGCTCAATCGACTGATAAAGAACAAGAAGCCAAGAAAGTATGTCGTTGCAGTTTGATTCTTATGTTCTCATGGCCTTTTTTTCTTATTTCCATCGGCCATTGTTTGTAGGAGGTTGAAATTGAAGCTTTCAATATATCTCGAGAAGAGGTGGTTCGACGATTACGTGCCAAGGGTCAACCTATCCGTTTATTCGCAGAAACAGACAAACAATGTAAAATTCGTCTGCGTGCTTTGGAATTGATGGAAGAACACTCAGAGGTAGGGGATACTACTGTGCTGCTGGACGACGCAATGATCTCACACAAATCTGTCCATCACAGGAAATTGGTCAACGCAACGATTTCATGCGTCAACTGGAAGAGATGGAAGAAGGCATGAAAATCGATGCTTTAAAGCAGAAAGCTGGTGCGGTCGATGAAAAGAAATTAAGCAAGCGAGCACGAAAGGCGGAAATGGTCGTTGTACCGATTGATATGGAATTAATACGGAAAGATCGTGATCAATTGTATATGCAGATTTACACTTATTTAGTGGTAAGTAAAAGAGGAAAATGTACCTTTTTTGGTCTTTGTTACTCACTTGGAATTACAATATCCCTTTTTTAAAAGCATACTTTGGATGAATGGGAAGAAGCGATGGATGCTCGACCGGAGGAAGAAAAGCGATCCGGTCAGGGTAAAAGAGCGGCCGTCATGCAGAAACAAACGGCAGAATATATCAAACCACTTCTTCGACAATTGAAAAAGAGGGTAAGCTTCTTTCGGAATACAATATGACGAGTTGACTGTATGATTGACGATCATGCAAATAATGTTGTAGACACTGGAACCCGATATTCTTGCACGAGTGATGGAGATTACACATCATATGCAGCACCGTCGGTATCGTGATGCTCAAGATTCCTATCTTCGGCTATCGATTGGTAATGCACCTTGGCCTATTGGTGTAACCATGGTTGGGTAAGTGTTTTTTGCAGCCATTAGCCGACACCGGTTCTCACGGCATATCACAACTGAACTGTGTTAACTAACTTTTTATGCAGTATTCACGAACGTTCCGCGCGTGAAAAGATTTTCTCCAATCAGGTGGCCCACGTACTGAACGATGAGACGACCCGTAAATGGATTCAGTCCGTCAAACGTCTGATGACCTTTGCGCAGAGCAAATACCCTCCTTATACTCTTAGCCAAATTTCATAGAAAACAAAGCTAGCAATTAAAAAGGAAAATTCATAAACTCACTTTCTTCTTACAATAGTTGCCTGCAGAAAACCTGGTCACATTTTCAAACTTGCTTGACCTACTTTATCAATGAATTATCGGCCAAAAAGATTAGGTTTGGAAACAATGATTGACCATAGTCAAGGATCTTGACATACTGTAGTAAATGTGCGTGGGCATCGTGCTCCATCTATTCTTTTTTATATGCATTTAGTACTGCTCATAAAAAGAGTAAGCCAGCCATCTGAAGTATGAATAAAAAAAAAAAAAACGCAATCAACAGTTTCAGGATATTTCTAACCTACTTACACAACCACTCGAATGGATGATCCATATGGACAGCAAAAATGGCATTTATTATGCAGAGTGGTTTCTGGTATTGAAAGTAAAGAATATTGCTCGTACGCAACATTGGAATCACGCTTGGAAAAAATCTAATCCGTATGCTTATGTCTCTTTTTCTCTTGCTGAGCCTCCTGGGATGTTTTGAGGGTGCGGGTGGAGGACTTGACCAACCTCATTTGTGCCAATGAAATCCAGACCTAAAATTCAAGAAAATCATCCGTGGACTATATTAATGAGAGTTTCTTTCTAGCCTTCATTTTATGTTCTGAGTTTTAGGCATAGTTCTGTAGCCACAATGTGCCATGCAAGTCCCGGGAACTGTACGCTCAAAAACTTGACAAAAAATAACGAAATAGGCAAGTGCACATTTTAATCGTGTCACATTTCAAGCCTATTGCTGGGTCCAATTGAACCGCACGTGGCTGTGTGACGAATAGGTCCCGTAAGGAAATAAGAAATAAATAAATTGTGAGCGGAGGATAGGGCCGGCCGATCACACGTATCAGACCCGGGTGAATCGGGTAGACGTAATGTTACTCGTCAATTTACGGAAATTTGGTGGCATAATCAAGCACACTCGTAACCAAGGTTGACATTCACAAGCCTCAAAGCGCGTTATCTTGTTTAATTGAAGCGGAGAATGGATCCACACTGTCAGTTGCACATCCCAGAAAAAAATAAAAAAGTGGACTGGGGAGACTGAAAACAGAGTTTTAGAGACGTACGAAGAGCAAACAAAATGCTGCATACGCAATCAATGCTCTTACTCTTTTAGGGAACAGAAACATTGATTGGAATTTCAAACTGCCTTCTGTGATGTAACTGGCAACCGCGCGGCTAATATAGCAAGACTGGCAAGAACATGGAAAAAATAAAAAAACGGCGGCTTTCTTTTACTTTTTTTTTTCTTGTACTCCCTGACTCCGAGCAAAGAGCACCAAATTATAGTCATTCTTCCCTTGAGTTGTTGCATCAAGAACCATGGAACGCATATTTCTTGCATTTCTATTTTTAGTGATTAGGCAACACAAATGATGAATTGGCTTCTCAACATGGATTATTGGCTTGTATAGGAGAAGCTTCGATCAATGCCTGGCTTTTTTTTTCTTTTCTTCCGCTGTGCATAAAGTGAATCATAATAATATAAAACTGAATCCATATTCTTGGCAGCAAGACAAAAAAGTGTCAAGGTTACAGAAAAATTGGGCTCGTATAAGCTAGTGTTTCAGCGAGGCGAGACAGATGTGAAGTGTTCTTCTTGACGTTCTTCAGCTTCCACCGATTCCATATTTAAACCACCGCGTGAGGATAAGTGTAATTGTATTTGTATCCAATTCATATAACTCTTTTTCATCACTTCAACTCTTAATATCGTTTCTTCTTCTCCATCTCTTCCTCTGTTTATCTATTTTTTTTTTCCAACGCTTTACTTTACATCTTTCCATAAATGAAACCATTTTACATATCTCTAAGTTTATTGTTCTTCGTTACAGCCAGAGCTCAACAACCGTCCGAGGTGGTGATCAACTGCTCGTGGCCATGTCCGACAGCATCCGATGTGTGCGAAATCACAGCCAACGGAGCAAGCTGCCAGCCCCGTCGAGGATCCCAGTAAGTGGCCCATGTCCGAAAAGGAGAAACAGCAATGGAAGACGAATCGCAGAAGACTCACTTTTGTGTTTCTGCCAATGTAGGTGGATAATGACGGCGCCCGACCAATCGCCCATTTACATTGGCCCTCATGCTGGGCTAAATCAACCATGTCTTTTAGCTCCCATCCCTAGTCTTCCGGCCGCGTCGTCAGGCGAAACAGGAGGACCTGGATCGACCATTATTCACTGGCCTCCAAACACTCCGAACCGTCCTTTGGATCAGTATCTTAGCAATTGCGGCAACCGATTATTCTGCAGTGCCGACAACAACGCTTCACCCGTATGCCATCTACGTTTCAATCCCGGCGCCAGTTGCACGTCTGCGAACCAATGTTTTTCACGCAATTGTGCAAATGGAACGTGTCAAGCACGAAATACGAAGCTTGCACGACGTTCTGCAGGTGCCACATTTGCAGAGCATCACGACGGTGCAGCCTTCAATATCGTGCATGTGATGGCAGCGGTTTTTGGTATTATAGGTGCAGCCATTGTAGGCGTGATCGTATTTATTATGTTTCGTCGACGCCGACAACGCAAAATGCAACAACATGAACAACAAGCTGAGCAAGCGATCGCTTCCATCGATGAAATCGGCGACGGTGAACGTCCCTGTTCAACTGTCAATAACAAGGATTCCAGTCGATCGATTAGTCGATTTGATAAGTTTGCGAATGCGTATTGTCATGAGCAACGATACGCTGACACGGCAACATCCGGTATGACGGAGAATCATCCAAGTCCATCTATGCAACAAATTCAACTACAGCTACAATTACTGAAACAGCAATATGACCAACGACCCAGTGGTGGTTCAGTCGTCCCTCCTCCACCTTACCAGCCGTAAAGAACCATTTTTCATTGTCCTAGAACGCATAAGCATATGCCGCATGCTGCATGGTTGATATGCGCTAATCCCAAAACCAATTTTGTAAATAGAAAAAAACACTATATAATTGCCTGCATCCACTGGTCATCATTGCCACGAATTCACTATGTAAAGAAGAGATCCGTCAAAAAGTAGAAAAAAAAACAGTACATCCATTCAATAAACATCATCCCTTTCCTACCTTGTGCATGTTTTTAAAAAAAAGAAAGAGTCGAGAAAAATGGGTACTGGGATTGCTAGATACACATGGATAACAGGCAAATATGGTCAAGTCAGGCGAGACATATTGATTGGACGGCTCTCCTCTATTTTGGTATGAGCGGCAGATCCGAGACCGTCCTGTAATAAACACGATACCGACTTACATATCAGTTGCGATTCACATCCGTATATAGCCGGAGGTTTCGTATTTTTCTCTATTCTTTGGCAGCTGATAATGAAACATGAATACCATGATATCTTTTTTCTCTTTTTCTTGAGATTTACTTCATGGTAATTAATCGTGTCTCGCATGGAGAACACGTATGAAATTCAGTTGGATACATGTCGCCATGGTGAAGTGGCCAATCCCATCTCAGAAGAAACCAATAGCGCACTAGCTTCAGTTTATGGAGGTTGTAATGTTGCGTGAGGTTCTCCTTACTGATTCAAGCTTGTACGTTACCTTAGGAAGAAAACATAGACCTTTTGTATGCAAATTTTTAGATAGGAGGACGTTTTTGGCAACAGAAAGGAAAAAATAATCAAAGAATTCGGATCTCAGATAAGATGCAAAGTAAACGATCTGACTCCTTCGTCGCAACAATGACAAAATGGAGGAGAACGTCATAGGGTGTGCATGACGCGTTCTGTCGCGGGTTCGAATAAGAGGGTTTCCCGAAAAGGGTTCCAACCATCGCCAGCCCAGGCGGAGGATGAAAAAATGGATATATACTGGGAGCTGGTTGGTTGAATTCAACAGGGTCGGGTCTTGGCTCATCGCCATTCGTGGAAACGGATTATTACAAGAAAAAAAGTGGACCTTTTTGCAAAGCCCGTCGAAATATGGGTGGAGGAAAAAAAAAAAAAAAGAATAGCTATTGTCTTGTAGAAGCTGCTCCACCGGTATTCCTGTTTATATCGAACGTATCCAATCAGTTATATAACATCAATACAACTGCAGCCATGCTCTCTTTATCTATTCAGGCTTCACGTGCTCTGTTGAACGGGGATGATCGTATCTTTTAGGGGCCGCCACCCAAAAACATTGGGGAAAATAGAAAGAACTTCTTTTTATTTATTTTTTTTTGTTATATTTTTTTCTCTCAAGTTTTTTACTATTCCTTTTTCCCTTTCTTGTTTCTTCATTGCTTCATCTCTGCCATGACTTCCTTGGAGGGACGAGATATTGTTATTGGTAGTAAATACAAACTAGGCAGAAAGATTGGCGCAGGTTCATTTGGTGAAATCTACTTGGGTAAGCAAAAAACATCATCCCACATTCCATTAGGCCCGTTTTCCCTTCATCTTTTTCATCTGTCTTTTTTTCCTTAATCGTCATCTTTCTCATGTAAAATTTATACTACTAAATTATATTACTTTATTCATTTAAATCTCTCCATCTCTCTTTTTTCCCCCGATGTACCTTGGTTCATCTGCGTTTTATACTCATTCATGATGACTTTCTAAAATAGGGACAAACATACTTAGCGGAGAAGATGTGGCTGTGAAGCTGGAAAATATAAGAGCGGCTCATCCTCAGTTGGAATACGAAGCTAGAGTATATAAGACCTTGGCTGGCGGTGTCGGTATACCCTTTGTTAGATGGTACGGTAAAGAAGGCGACTACAACGTGCTCGTTATGGATTTACTGGGACCCTCCATGGAAGACCTCTTCAATTATTGTAAACGACGATTTTCTTTGAAAACAGTCCTACTCTTGGCCGATCAACTGGTAAATATTCTACTGTTACTTTTTTATTTTCCCTTTAAACCCCCCTCCCCTGCCCCTTCTTTCTTTCTCTCTCTCTATCTATCTGTCTCTCTCTACGCATTACTCATTATGGTCCAACTGTTTACAGCTGTCACGCGTCGAATATGTCCATTCAAAAGGTACAGTATTGTATTTTGGTACAAAGAAAACGATGATCCCTCATCGGATCTCACTGGTGCAGTTTATGCCTTTTTCTCTCTTTTATTTGCAAAAAAAAGGAAAGCAACTGTTGACTGATACGTCTTGTCGGTTTGTTTACTGTAGGCTTTATTCACAGAGATATCAAACCCGACAATTTCCTAATGGGGATCGGCAAACGCGGCAATCAAGTCAACATGATCGACTTTGGCTTAGCTAAACGATTCAGAGACCCGAAAACAAATGTACATATACCCTACAGAGAAAACAAGAATCTGACCGGTACACCACGTTATGCAAGCGTCAACACACATCTAGGCATAGGTAAGAACCAAGATTGTGATAAACACTATTTCTTTGGTTGGCTCCATTCCCTTGATTTTTATACTTATTCTATGATGGTGGTTAGAACAATCGCGACGTGACGATTTGGAGTCATTGGGCTATATCCTTGTGTATTTTTGCAGAGGACAGTTGCCATGGCAGGGAATCCGAGCACGGACAAAGAAAGAAAAATACGATAAAATCATGGAGAAAAAAATGACCACGCCTGCAGACGCATTATGCCGGGGTCTGCATCAGGAGTTTGCAATATACCTCAATTACGTCCGTTCCCTCCGATTTGACGACAAGCCAGATTATTCCTATTTACGTAAACTGTTCCGTGATCTTTTCGTACGGGAAGGTTTCCAATATGACTATGTTTTCGACTGGACAATGCGTAAAATGGTAAGCTTTTCCTTCTTTTTTTTTTTCTTATCCTTGGTGGTGAGCGTTTGTTGCTGTTGTGGCTATGTTGCAGAATGAACGCCAAGGGGAGGATATAAAAAACTGCATTTTATTCACCACGTGGAATAGCAGGAAAAAAAATTGGCTGAAGGACAAGCACCCGTGCCGATGGATCCGCCCTTGTATAATTCATCGAGTTTGCCATTTGATCCGGCATTACCTGTGCAACAACGACGTGCTGTAATGACGAACGCGGCGCTTCCTTCTTCTTCAGCACACCGATCGCCTGCACCTTACCGTACGGATGTTAAATCGCCCGAAACCTCGAAGCGCTTAGACGATGTCATGCTTCAATACCAGCAACAACAGAAAATGATGCAACATCAATCGCCGTATCACCACCCTTCCTCATCGCATATGATAGCCCAACAACCGCAGCAACCAGTTTTACCACAAGAACATGGCTACCTATCGAACTTTGGGTACTCGGGAACCGGGGGTGGAAGGATGTTGGTGCGTGACAACCAGGCAGGTGGTAAGTAACATATTTGACATGAAGAGAAAATCAAAAAGAAATAAGACTGCGGGGTACTCTATTATTACTTCTTCATTTCTATTTCAACGTGTTTTTCGATCTGTCTTGGCTGATACGTTCTATTTTTGTGCAATGGGCATCCCTCCCTCTGATAGGCACATCCAGCAGTAGAGTGTAATTTGACCTTTCTTTTTTTCTTGCACTTTTTTCGTTCACTCTTTTTCTTTCTTTCTTCTATCCCCGTTGATCTTCCTATCTATGATCAAAAGAGGATGCAGTATGGAAACCTCTTCTCTTTTTCTCTAATAGCGTTTATGTTACTGTGTTTTTCAACTTTTTTTCGAATGATTGTTTTAACTGATGGTATTAAGAGTAGGCTCCGCAGTCAAACGAAAGCCTATAATGCTCCTCAACCCACCTATGTGAATGCTTCCGCTCCTTATCACGATTCCACATTATACGTTTCTCATCCCATTGAACCTATTTTCGGCGAAGATGATGCTCGACCCAATCTTATCTCTGCAAACGATCTTATGGCCATATCATCCAATCCTTCGAAGCCATTTCATTTGATGAACTCTACGCGACTTTATGATGATCTTTAAATGCAACCCTTGCATTAATAAAAAGAAAAAAAAAGGGCTTTACCTGTAAACATCCTATTCGGCCCTCAAAAACAATCTACCGCATGGCCTGGGTTGCATGCTGCAGCAATTGTTACACATGTACAGCGGAAACCATAAATCAGCTCATCTGTCAGTCCGCCGTTGTCTGTGATAATGACGGCGCGGCTTTTTGTACAATGTATAGCTCAGCAAAAGTGCGTTTTTTCACAGTATTGACCAAAATCTTTTCAAGTCAATTCCGTTTTCTCTTTTCCATTTGGTTCAACCAGCGTACTGTTCAGATGAGAATAGAAAAGGATACCCTTCTTTGCGCAGTATATCATCACTGCAGCGTGCGTGCCAAAAAGTCGAATGCAGTACCATCGGGTGCAAATTGCAGTGGTCTTTTTTCGCTGTTAATGTCGGTACGCCATGCCTAAAACAGAAAATTTCGCGATTCAATACGTCATTAGGCCATCACTGGTTGCTATAATAATCCAACGGAAGTCTTGCGCTGTTTCGCTTTTTGTTTGTTAATCATCATCATGCTGCAAGAAATCTGGATTACACGACATGGCTTTCGCGAAGATTGGGTTACGGACAACCCTCATTTACCAACAAATCTCAAGAACGATCCGCCGTTGTCCGAGTTGGGCAGAGAACAAGCCCAAGAACTTGGAGCTTTTTTGAAAGACAAAGGCATCGAGCGTGTTTACAGCTCTCCTTTTTACCGCGTTTTACAGACTGTTTATCCTTTGATTGAAGAGACTGATGTTCCCTTACACCTTGATAACTGCATGAGGTAATTGATATATGATTGAATGCAATAACCGAACAAACCAAAAAAAAAAAAAAGTTAAAACATCATCGCTTGACACAGTGAATGGTACGGTGCCGCTTACGACCGTTACTTGCCGCCAGCGCCTTTTGAGAAGTTAAAGGAATTGTTCCCAAAACTCGACTTATCACATGAATCAAGTATTCCTCTTCCTGTTGGCGTAGAAACTGTGTCGATTTGCCATCAACGCGTTAGAGATGGATTGGAAACCTTATTGGACGAGCTCGATAAAGAACCTAATGGCCCTTCGTCTATTCTACTGGCAGGACATGCTGCTTCGGTGATTTGCGCTGTGCGAGCATTACTGGGTGACGAAACATTCCCTGTACGATCAGGAACGGCGAGTTTGTCTAAATTTGTGCGAAAGGACAATGGTGAAGGCTGGGAACTCGTTATGCACGGTGATTGTTCGCACCTTTCCAAGGGAGAACAGCGTGCATGGATGTTCTCGGGCGATATCCCGGATTATGAAAAGAAAAAGATGGAAGAAGGTGTTGATGAAAGCCCTAGAATAGTTGAACACCATACTCACTCATAGACATATGATCTGATTTATACACACACTACAGCATGTGGATTATCCTAGAAAACTACATAGCTATTTGTACTTTTAAACCGTACTCTCTCATAATCACAATATGCTACGCTTGTCAATTTCATTTGCTATTAGCTTTAGTTATAATTTATTATCTTTTTGACGAGAATCAATCAGTGGTCAGTGGCTGTTGTATCTCTGCTCACTGGTGACTGATGCAGGAGTCCAACATCACTTTGAAAAGGGGCTTCCTCGGTCGATGTACTCCCTGATAGTTTTCCATGTTTTCACCGTTGGTGGTAAAAGCGGGACAATCAAGTAACAAGGCAGTGCCAATGAAATTCTCTTATTATGTGCATGATTTTTTGCATCAAGAATATGAAATAACGTGGATGGAGTGGCGTCAGGAGATTGTAAAAGGAGAGCAATGTTGAATTTAAAACTAGGGGTTTACTCGCTTTTCCATGTTAATAACATCAGTTCATAGAAGAAAGCATTGGACGCATCTCGCAAATACAGTACTACGCCTACGAGCTTTCAAATCTTAGGCCATTCTTTAAGTAAGTTATTTCCTCTATTTTACTATGCGGAAGCCCACCGATGCAAGTCATGCAATCATGTTACGAAATATGTGATTCCATGGCTCCCGATCAAAGGTAAACAGTGTCCGTCTATACCAGGTCCCTACTCTCATCAATGGCAGTTTGAACTTTCGACAAGATTAAGGCAAATGCCAAAGAAATTAAAATTGACTAAAAGGTTTAACTTAATTAAACATGGAATTATACTATCTTGTTGACAGATCGTTGACGGATGACAGTTGAAGTGACGCTTTTATTACACATGTGGTTCTGTATGGCGGAACCGCCGATTTTTCCAGGCTCTCGTTCTTCTGTCAATCAGAGTACAGGCACATTGGACCTTGTGTTACTGTGCTTATGTGATATAGAATAAAAAACAAATATGAGTCAAGTTATAAGTAAAAGCATATGAAAACAAAAGAAATTACAGAGTCGAGGAAAGGAAATCAAACAAAAAGGATAGCCGATACTGTTGGCTTCTAGAATCAAGTGGTATTATGCTTTGTCATCTTTTCCGAGCGCTCGCTTGACCTCGTTTCTTAATTCATACAGCTGTCCGAGCTGTTCCTCGCTCATCTTATCCAAAAGCTGACTATCAAGCTTCCTTCCCCAGCCATCATCTGGCATGTTGAACGATCGCACCAACGGATCGCTTTTGGATACAGGAGAATCGCTGTCGACCTTTGGTGCAGTTTGAGCCTTCAGCAGATCCAGGTAGCTATAAAGTGAACCCATTGTGAATACTCCATCACAACAGTTGCTAGAATACAATTCGCTTATCAATGACTTACTCTTGCCATTGAGACACAAATCCGACAATGTGTGCGGGATTGTCAATTGATTTGTGTCGTCGAAATTCGGCCTTCACATAATCGTCCCCCATGTCTCGCATGGCAGCCGGTAAGCAGCGGTGCGTACGAAGAATCTCACGGTATAACTGGAGCGGGGCCATCAACATCTTTGCTTCTCTCGCAAGTCTCGGCATGATAAACAATGTAGTATAACGTCAACAGAGTTAAAAAAAAAAAAAAAAAAAAAGGGGAAGTTGGAACAAAGGTGCTGCTGCCTCGGTTCCAACAGGGAAGTCCTGGCCATCCCTGCCAAGTTCGATCTCCGACTCGTACAAGCCACGGCAGGGATCCTGAATTTCATGCAACCACGAAGATGCTCGTTCCGACAATGTGAATTTCACCTAACAACGAGAAAACCAGTAAGACTTCAAAAATCTAAATTACCGCAACGCTTAAATGGTAACTAAATCGTTCCAGAAGCTCGCTTCAAAGTAGATTGGCTTTGGCTGTGTCAGTTTTGCTTCCACTTTGCCTACTGCACGTTCAATGTGGCTTCAATATAAGGTGCAATGGATAGCACCTGAAAAGCTTGAATTGTGTGTCATGCCTAGCACAATCCTTGTTGGCTTCACTCCGTCTTCCAATGGGGTATTGGCTTTCCTAGCCGCTGTATTCTCCGCTTACAATCAAATATTCTTCTGCTACCGAATTGCTATTCCTCATATCTCTTTTAGCCGCGTATCGTGGAGTTAGCAAAACGCCGAGCAAGTATACACTCAAAGTCAAGTCGACCAGATCATTATGGAGTTCAGTCAAAGAATGGTCATCGAAGATAACAAACAAGCCGAAGAATCAACTAACGAAACAGAAATACCAGTGGGAATCCTTACCGAGTTAGAGGCATGTTCTTACCAACAACTCCAAGACAACACCAAAATGTTTAACGAGAAGCGCATAAATACACTTCTAGCGAATGGCTCACTTCTCAGACAATGAACAAGAACCTTTCACCAAAAATCAGAAAATATCAAGTGGACACCTCTCAAATCGCTAGCTCCATTTATAAGATCATCGAAAACATCAGAGTTCAAGCTTGCACAGCAATCGAACTGTACGAACAACTCGAATACCTCAAAGAGCCTCAACAAAAAATAGCGGAGAAGACGCCAAGATCATGCAACAAAGAGCAAGCGAGCAAGCAAAAAGACTCGCAATCTTTGGATTGGTTGCAGAAAAAAAGATCAGGACAATGAATTTAAAACTATGCCCTTAGACCTCTTAGACTACCCCTCCAAGCCTCAGACACCTCGAATACGGTCAAAAACCCAACGGAAAGCAAACGGTTTCCACGAGAAATTCATCGATCACCTGTATCAAGCCAGGTTCGAGCAAAGGTTGCTCCAAAGCACAGTCCGAAACAGAGATTCTTATCGACCAACCAGAGGACAACATCGCCGAAGTTTCCGAGGATCTTATGCAAGACCTCCTTTTTATGGGGCCCGAGGAAGAGGTGGTTACTCCCACGGCCAACCACGAGACAACCAATTTGCCACCTACAACAACACCGGCCAAAGTAAAACAGACTATGGTAACAACAATCAACAATTACCCAACAACGAAGATTACGATATTTCATCACATAGATCCAACCGCGAATTCGCCTCACCAGATTTCTACCACAATAGAAGAAATTACCAAACACTCATGGCCGTTGTCAGTGATAACGAACGGTTACTATCTTCAGTTTATAAAGAAAGCAATACCATGGAGGACGAATCATGTGAATCGATCGACCAAGAATCAACAAGAGATTAACACTGCAGTCGGCAAGTTTCCGTCGGGGTAGTATAGAGAAATCGCCAACACAGGACAGGAGTTTTCTTTCGACTTTATTCAAGAGACCGAACAAACAGAGACCAATTCTCATTGTCAAAGAATGAAACAGTATCTACAATGCGAACATTTCCGAATGGAAGGAATTCCGGCATTAAGGGACATCATCGAACCGCAGGACTACATTTGCAAGATAGACCTCAAGGATGCGTATGTGGTGGTCCCAATCCATCCGAACTCCAGGAAATTCCTGACGTTTCTGAACGAGGAAATTTTCTGAACGAGGAAATAGTCTACCAGCATCGATCGCTCGCATTCGGACTAAGCAGAGCCCCAAGAATATCCAGCAAGATAATGCCGTATGTTGTAGGCCACTAAGGAAAGAAGGAATTCGAATGATCTACTAGTTGGACGATATATCAATTCTAGCTAAGATGAAGCAAGAGATGCCGAGGGTCACCCAGAAAATAATGACACATCTACAGAGCCTTGGGTTCTTGATCAACTTTTAGAAAAGCAATTTGATTCCCCAACAGACGCAGAAATTCCTTGGTTCCCTATTCAATTCGAAGAAGATGACGATAACAGTCCCTCAACGGAAAATCATCAAATTATGACAGGGACTCAAGTAAGCGCAACAGAGCCAAGTCTCGGAATCATGCAGGTGGATATCAAGTATTTTGGGCAAAATAACAGCATTGATGCAAGCAATGGGAGAAGCATTAATCCACATTCGTTATAAGCAAAGAGATTTGGCGAAGAGCCTACAGATTTGGTCATGACTGGGAGAAACCGTGCGAACTGTCGATGTCCAGCAAGAAGGAACTACAATGATGGCAAGAACATATCACATTCAAGAATGGCTTACCGATACAACAGTTGAAAATGGAAAACCCAAAATTCCAGATATATCTAGATGCCTCGGAAACGGGTTGGGGAAGCTCATCAGACATGATTCAGACGTCGGCTTTTTGGACGAACGAGGAAAAACAGCACTCACTAAACGTGAGAGAATTGAGGACGATATATCTTGCCTTGTTGCTCCATGCCGAAAACTTCCAAAATTCGACGACCCAGATATACAGCGACAGTATAACCGCCATCAAGTATGTCACGAAAGCGGGGGGACTTCGTCGCCTTTACTCCAGGGGCTGGCAGTAGATATTCAAGACATGCAATCAACACAATCTCCAGGTAATATACAGACATGTGCCAGGATTAAACAACATTACTGCAGATCGTCTCAGCAGGAGGAGATTCCACTATATGAAGAAGCCTTGCCAAAGCGATTATTTGCCAAGATCCAAAGGAGATGGGGACCATTGACGGTAGATGGTTTTGCGACACGAGCCAACAAGAAACTGGAACGGTTTTGGAGCCTGCTCCCCGATCCGGTAGCCGAAGCCCTGGATGCGTTCAGTCAGAAGTGGCCGAAGGAAGGTATGTTTCTCCATCCACCTTGGAAACTCATACCAAGAGTACTGAGGGAGATCAAACAACAGAAAGTCGAGAAAACAGTAATAGTAACGCCACTGTGGTTCCCCATGATCCTGAAAATGAACATCTAGCCAAAGCGATACTGTTTCCAATGAAGAAATGGAAAATGGCCGCTTGCCTATTATCAAGGAAGCACACAAGAAAAGAGGCCTTACCGAAGAGACTCAAAAGTATCTGTTGAAAGCAAATCAGCTCAACACACAAAAGGCGTATAATCAAGTATTTTTGATTCAGTAGCTTCCGATCAAGAGATGGCAATGTCCGTCTATTGCTTTGGGGATTATTGTTTGGGAGAACACTTAAGTGAAAGGTAACTGCGGCAGCAAGATGGTACTCAAAACATATTATTTAACAACTTGGATACCCCCTAATCAAAACACCATACACATAATGCCGACAGTAGTATTTACAAAGATTTACTAGTTGATGCAAAAGATAATGAGAATGTGGAAATGAAATTTTGCTAAAGCTCGTTCTTCTTGAGGAGCTCCGATAAAGGACTCAAACACCCTTCTTCGGTGATCGCTTCTTTACGTTTGCGCATGGACAGTTTTCGCCGTTTTCTTGGCTGTGAAGAGGTGGATTGCTGGCTGCTGGAAGGAGCACATGATGACGCCCGGCTGCTTCCGTCAGGTTGGGCGTCTGGTATATCTCGCGGTGGAATCTGTAATGGTTCAATGCTGTCGGCGTGATGGGCAATACCGAGTTCGGGAGACCGCTCAGACCCCGAGAGAATCTCCAGATGTTCGGTTTCTCTCTCCATACCTACATTCTGACCCTTCTCTTGATCGTCATCGTTTTTGTCATGTTCCTGTTCAGGCACAGATTCGACAGGTGTTTCAGCTCGGCTTTCTGCAACAAAGTCAACTGACAGCTGCCTATTGATCGCAGGGTCTTCTTCTTCTTCTTCTACGGCAGATGTATGAGTTGTGGGAACCGTGGTCGATGTGCTTGGTGGATGTTTTGGTGGTCGTCCAGGCTTCTTTTTGTGCTCGACCGACAACTGTCTGTTGATCAAAGGACCTTTTCCTTTGGTAGATGCAGGAATATTCGGCCGATCTGTGGTTGATGTGCTTGCCTTACGCGGTCGGCTGGGCTTCCTTTTCGGCTGAACTGGCTTTCTCTTTTTCAGTTCTTCGGTTTCTACCTCTTCGTCTGCACTATCCACTTGGAGTGTGTGTTCAGATTTAGGTGGCTCTACGGTAGTTCTCCTTCGACGAGTAGGGAAGGCTGCCGGTGACACGGCAATAGAGTCATCTTCTGCAAGCTTTAGAGAGACTTGCTCCCTTAATTGCTGGACAAGATGTAGCAAGCGATCGCGTTCTTCTTGCATCCATTTGCTCTGAGACTGATTCCAATCAACTTCTTCTTTCAAGAGATACTGGTATCGTGAAAGAGCTATGAATTATTTCACCAGATAAAGTGACATGACATTCCCAAATACTTACTTCTGATCGTTCAGCTCGTTGGCGTGTTTGATCAAGCTGCATTCTGCAACTTTCCAATTGCGTCTAAATAACACAACAACAACACCCATGAGTTCCCTCTAAATGGTTTATCCCATGAATTGAACAAGCTTACTCTCAACTGGTTTTGCGATTCAGCAATTATCTGGGAACTGCTCGATTGTGTCTATTTAAAAAAAAAAAGTTCCATAAGATATCAAAAATGGATGAAAACTGTCAAAAAGAGTTCAATGTCACACATTTACCTCTAACATGGCCAGTTTTTGCTTCATGGTCTCACTTTCAGATATCCAACGTGTTCGCATTTGCTCGAAATGTGCAATCTTCCTTACTGCGTCCTCAAGCTCAGTTTGTAGTTCTTTGATTTGTGTTTCATATTGTTGCTTTGTCGATGTCCAGTTGTTTTTCGCCTTGTTCTGCTTTTCTTTGTAAGAAGCTCGCATGGCGTTGAACAATTGTTCGGCATTTTGCAGTTCTTTCAATTGGGCGTCATTTTGATTCGTCAATTTTTCAATATGTGCAGCAGCGCTACTCAATTTAACTTCCAATGCTTCAACAGTTTCCTATAAAAGATTCACCCCATCAACACACGCAATTCCCTTATTCGCATGACAACAGAATACAGACCTCTTTTAGTGCCACAGAATCTTTTAGCATTGTCAATGAAGCCTTGAGCTTATTCCTTTCCTCGCGAAACTGGAGCGCGGCGATCTTTGTTCTTCGTAATTCATCAGATATCACGCACAAGTCCAGCGTGTGCGTTTCTTTCAAATGTCTTATTTCCGACTCTTTGATCCGTTTGCTGAGCAGCAACTAGCGAACAGATTGAGACCCCATAAGTACGCATACCCATGGACAGAACATCATCTTAATTATTACCTGTGTATTTTCTACCTCTGCTCTTGACAGAGCGTGCTTGAGATCGTCCACTGTATCGCTCAAAGTTTCCAATTGGGCATTGCGAGTGGCCAATTCGTGTTCCACAGTTTGCAAGTTTGATTCTAATTCTGAGCGGCATTTCTAGAAAGTGGGCATCAGCATATGACTGTTTTCTGTTGGCATGTCAAATAAAGTACCCATTCATGTTCGTATCCGCGTTTGGCTTCCTCTATGGTATGACGATAGCGCGGAACACGGGTATCGAGCTTATTTCGAAGCACTCGACATTGAATGCCCCGTAAAGATTCTGTGAAACTCAGTAGTTCCAATGTCTCTTCTGCATTTTTCATCGGGTATTCCTAAGATGCAAACGTACGATATGAATGATGAAGATCTGATTCCTTGATATCATCGAAATACTTACGTCAATATGGACGCACAAAAGGACTTTGGCTGAACCGGAAAAATATTCAGACAATATTTTGGTGAGAACATAGCTCTCTGTAGCAATATGGCCTTGAAAAGAAGTGTCGATCATGGAACGTACAACATCGCCTGGAGAAAACCATTGTATTAGCAAAAAGTAAGAGAGGAACTGCGGCGGCCACTTACGAAAGTTGGAAAACGAGTAATAGAAACTCGGCATGGTAGTCATTGGTGGGGCTGTAAACCGTGGTTCAAGGAGGTCTACCAAAGCCAAAGTCCCCAGTAATTGAGAGTCGTCTGTCAATCGAATTTTCAAAATGTAAGGATATTTGCAGCCTAGCTTAATTCGCTTCCATATGGTTTCAATATCCCTTGCTCGTTTCATCAAAGAGTCGATTCCATGTTGCAGCACATCCGAATCTAGTTTTTACAAAGTCAATGATTTGCGTGTCCATTGTTACCCTCAACTTGATCGTTCCACGTACTTTTGAGCCTAATCTCTTTTCGGATATCGAAACAGTAATTGTCTGTCACACCCAAGCAACTGATATCAAAATATGAATGTGGCTTCTCTATTGATATGTCTTTGCATGATCTTACGCGTAATCGACATGAATATCGGGCAAATGCTGTTTTTTTCGTGTTTGATTGACCGTTTCCAGCTCACTTCCGAGGAATCGCAGCAATTGATACAAGGTATCTTGCCTGGATCGAATAATGTTGGTTTATCCACAGTCATATACATATATAGTTCAAACCACCATATTATCTACCTGTACTTGAACGCATCTGCCGCTCTATGGGGAGCCATTGGAGGTATTAGCTTGGAAATCAGTAAGTACTTTTACATTATACGCACCCTAGTGTCATGAAAATAGCCGAAGCCGTGTAGCCTTTTTTTTTTTTTTTAAAAAAAAAAAAAGTCAATAAAATCATAAAGTGTAAGGAATGCAGCTGTACTACCGTCGAGCGCCATGCGGACGAGGTTTTGTGTTTCGTTGTCGCAGTTGTTTGTGAGATTATCTGCATAAAAGCATTTGGTAAAGTGAAACTGCTGACTAGACCGACAGAAGACCCATGTCAACAATGAGAATGCACTACTTGAAATACAATCGGATATTCTTAAAAGCGATCGAATGTACCTTGGCGTACGAGTTGAATCAGTATCTATGAATGCTGGGAATGAGTATGGTGGTTTTTGCAACGTCAAGCCAAGGCGATTGTACCTTCGGTGCCCTGAACAGTTACGCAAGGTGGATCGGCGTGGGCGACGACATCGATGCGAGGAGTGGCGTGTGTATTGCTTGGTCGAGAAGGATGGATCCATGTTAGGATTTCCAACGGCGAAATATCCATTCTATATGAGGGCAAGGAATCAGGAATTCAAAATGGAAGAACCTGACTGCTGTTTGATGGGGCAGTGGGAAGGGGACTTAATTTCCATATTTGGATCACACCTGGAAGAAAAAAAAATTTCTCTGGTTCGAAAATGTCAGTGGCATCCTTTGTCAGTCGACGCCAACTCTTCTTACTTTATTATGCCCTTTACAGAATCGTTTGACTTTATGAAAATAGTATCATATACACCGGATACAGTACTTCTTGGGATAATTCGCAGTTTCAAGGGAAGTATGCAAGTGCCATATGCGATTACAATCAGGTCTTTTCAAGAGAGTACGTTTGGTATTTTCGCCGCTCTGCAAGCTCAAATATCATAATGCAAAAAAGATGGGAAGGATGATATTACCAATACTGTTGACATAAACACCAATGGTTTTTACCGAAACAGCAAAGCCGTCTCACGCTAGCCCCAAGTTGTTTTTGAAAAGTGTCAAATGGTACATGAGGTACCCATATAAGTTCTCTCAATTACTAGACGGTTCGAAAACGCTGTATGCTAATTGAAAACAAAATGGTACAAAGATAGAATATTGCAGAAAATAAACATGTTACAGGAGGTGTCATTAACACCGCGCCCTGTGGATCTAATTTCCAAGCATCTCACAATATACACACTGCAGAATTCAGGCTTTTCAGGTCTTGGCTCATTTAAAACTTTATTATTACAAAAAAAAGTTTTATTGACGATTTCAAATGAGAAGAGTTTGCTATTGCTTTAAACTAGAATGAATTGCTGTCATGAGTAAAGTAATCAGACGAGGGGAGCTGGAAAATTTATGAATGAATTCATCAATTTACATAGCACTGTATGTATATTTCAATCGATTACAGACTAGAATTATTACTGCCAAATTTCTTTCAACAACAAAAAAAAAAAGAGGAAAAACTATAGTATTTCTTAAGAGACTTACCGGTGTCAGTAAGTCGCGGTAAGCAACCTATAAATATTGTAGCAATCGACCCCTTGATCAGCCGACTTGCCTAGCATAGCAGGATGGACCGCCTCACTTGACGGCGATATATGCGGGGATACACGTTAATGTGATGCGAAAAATCAGGATAAGAATTACAGTAGTTCGCTAAAGACAATGAAGTTGACAATTGCAGGGGCAATGCCAAAGATTTAGTTCGAAGGATGGTGCCATTCCTCTGGCACAGCTTGCAGGGGTCAACCCGCGATAAAATCTTCTAAGTTGCTATCATGACAATTACTACTATATACCTTCAAAATAACGGTGCCATTTGGTCCAGAAGCTTCTATTTGCTAGAAGGGCTTAGCTAGCATTCATTGTGCCACTTGAAAGGAATATAATGATCCATATTGGATGAATGTAACATTAGAGATGAAATTGCGATTGGGATTTTGATATGGAAGAATTTTTGTTTCAGAGGCCACATTTACAACCGGTTTGCTTGGCCAAAGGGGATATTTTCCAGGGCCCTGCAGAAAAGCTCCTGGATGGAGTGGCGACACTGAGAACCCGTCATTATCAAATTTCATTGCGATGATCGTACTATTTCGAGTCCTTGATTTGCTATCTTTGGATCCGTCAACTTGAACCAAAATCTATTTTAAGGTTGCCGGTCCGGCATTCATATACATTTTGAAGATGACATCGCCTGCCACAAAAACTACTTTCATCGTCGCAGTGACATAACTATAAGCAGCCGATCCTTTGTCGACGGCAGTAGTGTCTACTTTCTGTGGATGTATCGGTAGTCAAGATAAAATGCATTGTATCATATGTATTTATCATTTGTGCGATGGTCTTTGACGGATAATGATCCATTGTGTAAAATGCCTCGCAATAGAAGCATAATAACTTATGTTTTTAATGACAAAGACCCCATCGGATCGCTATAAGCGAAAATAGCGGTTGTACTGGATCATTCATTCTTGATCAGCAAAAACTTTCAAAGACGATAAATGTCATACCTTGTGCCATTAACAGTAAATGCAAGATTCTACATGACCTATCGGAAAGACCGATGTAATCTTTTTTTTTCTATAAAATTCAAGTTGTTATGACTCAGGACCCAGTGATACGCTTGGCTGTGACAAAAGATGAAAAGAAGATTAGCCCAATTAGGATAATCACGAAGATATAAAATGTGGTACTCACAAAACAATTGACATTGCTGTAAGTAACGTGCATGGAAAAAAAAGTAACACAAATACCAATGGGGTATCGAGATTGGATAATATTGATACAGTGACAAATGTGTCGGTAATGCATCTACAGCTCATTTTCGAATCAACATTCGGCTTCTTTTGGGTAATTATATTTCGTGAAGCAATATTTTTCATTGAAGATAGTTGGTTTGAACAGCAAGCAGATGATGGCGCTCATGGGCCAGATGCTGTAGATAAATCCCGTTTATAGTATTGGGCCGGTTAGTGTGTCACGTTCATGATCTGATATCACAGCCTGGGACACAGAGAGAGCCGGAATTGGAGATGCTACGAGAGGAATCTTTGCCGAGTCGTACCTGACCATCCATAGATCTGTATTATACATGTGCATGTGTTAGCGCTTTTTTTTTTTTTTATTTTTTTTTTTTTTGTTGGTTGGCATGGAATGGAGATTCTGGCAATTATTGACTGATAAGAAAAAAAGCCAACGAGCGAGCGGCAAAAAGTGAATATTCATTGATTCACTAATAGTAGTTTGCGTATCGTGACGACAATTACGCTCGAAAAGAGCATAAATAACAAGCAAGCATTCATTTGACTTGAAATAAGAATGGCTGAGTTCTCTGATGCTGAATGCGTCTAAGGAGAAAGGCTAAAATAAGAAAATGGGCAATTAGCAAGTAACCAGAAAAAAAAAATGTACAGATATGCTCTTGGCTCCTCTTTCTCCTTTTTTTCCCTTCACTCTCCCTCTGAATCATGTTTCTTTTTTTGATCTTCCATTAAATCAAAACAATCTTGCCAGTTTTTTTATATATAATTTTTTTTTTTGGTACAAGCCAAAGAAGAAAACGACAAGTCAAGCAAAGCGAGCAACGTCGGTCAAAAAAGGAGAATCCGCTCACGATCTTCTTTTCATCCAACTGTATTACCTTTTAATACTGTTTATTAACCATAATCCGGTGGTTCTTATCTGGCAGCTTATTTCTTGAAATTCGAAGCCCTTTGGGAACAAAAAAAAAAAGAAAAAATTCTACCCAACGAACTCATGGTCACGTCTATCCAGGAGCAAGAAGAATCTACCGTCAATGACCAATGTAAACCCAGCGACCTGATTGTTTCTGCACCGCGTACCTTACGACGACGTCAACACTTGTCATGCTGTCCTTCTTGTCGTCAATCTTGCATGAAGACCGATCGAACCCTTGTACGCGCCATGGGTCAAGTTTACCATTATGAATGTTTCGTGTGCGAGGCAAGTCATTTTTTTTATTTCTGTTACTTTTTTTGTCTAGACTTCGGAGATCACGGAAATATCAGGAGATCCAAAATTTTATTGCGATTGAAAAAAAAAAGAGAAGTGGAAATGCAAAGAAAACAAAAAGAATGAGTTGGTAGCACATGAGAATGACAAGGCCGATTTCGGCATATTGCCTGTGTGTATGTGCGCCAGGAGGGAAAGAAAAAGTTTTTTCCCTCTTATCCAAACACTCAAGGGAGCATACGAAGAAAGGGGGCGATTTTCGAAAAGGTGGCAACCATGGTTTGGAAACTCAGAAAGTTGCTTATTTTGCATTTTGAGTTTTCTTAAGGGATTATGATGAAAGAGCAAGGGGAGAAAGGATGAAGGAAGGAGGACAAGTGGAAGCAAGAGAAGAAAAGAAGAAATTACTCAAATATGGTTAAGATTGGGTCTTTCTGAATGAAAATAAGCTTTTTACTCATGATTTGCTTCTTTTTTTTTTTTTATTGCCTCTCTTTTCTGTTTTGTCATTCTTTCTTTTTCATCCATCTCTATTTTACTCATTTATTGACGCTATCACTTGTAGGTTTGTCGAGTTTTAGTGGCCGACAAATTTTATGCACTCGACGACGAAACGAAAAAACGCAAACGTATTGTATGCGAATACCACTATTATTCGCATTTCGGTCTAATGTGTCAACAATGTCATCAACCACTACTACGCACCGCAAATAACGAGTTACAGTGCCGTAATCAATGTTTACGTTGTCCCGATTGTGTTACCAAAGCCGCAACGGATTCTGAAGAAGCCTGTTTCGATCACAATGGAACCACCTATTGTCGCTATCACTTTTCAATGCTTCCCGATTCTCGATGTGCCGGCTGCGATCAAGCGATTTTAAAGCAATTCGTCGAACACCGAAACCATGCCGATAAAAAGTGGCATCCTGAATGCTACATGATCTTCAAGGTACGAACACGATATTATCCATCAGCTTTTTTTTTTTTTTTTTGGTGTTTTTGTTCCCAGCTCAAGCAGTATTATCTCGATAGTTTTGGAATGTTCAACTGGCCAGTTTCAAAAAGACCGATGACAAAGGTACATGATCTTTTCGTCATGATGATCATCAAATCGCCCATGATACGTAAACTGATGTGCCTTTTTATGTTTGGTTTTGTCTCGCGCATCCTAGGCAGTCCAAAGCCCAAAGATGTGAAGGAGCTGCGGGAAGTGCAAATGGCAACCGAGCACGAGGTCAACAGAATTTGGACGGATTTATCTGCGTTTGAAGAATCATCAGCCACATGCATATCCGATATGCTACTGCATGTGGCGGCTGGTGCCTACTTGGAGGGCTTACGCATGGCAAACCAGTTTGTGATCCATTTGGAGGTACTGTTTGCTGCCCTGGATGAAATGAATAAAATGCTTGTACAGCATGGTCAAGGTAAGATTGGGAAAGTTATGCTCAAAAAAAAAAGGAATCAGGTGAAACCGAACTTTGCTTTTTTTTTTCACAGAATTACAATGCATTCATGAGTCCAGGCTCGTCTGTAAGCAGGTCATACGGTTCTTCAACTTATTGGCTCAGCAAGATGATATACCCATGAAAAACGAAACAGGTGTTACACAAGAATTACTGTCACTGGTCACGAATTTGGCGCAAAATCTGAAAACGTTAATTCGTATTGGCTTGACCGAGACTTTACGATTGGTAAGTTGTAGAACTAAAGAACGTGGCGGCTCAGTGGTCCAGAAATCGTGAAAGGGGCACAAAAAAAATACCAACCGCGGCATAAAAAAAGAAAAAGGATAATGGGTGCATTTCCTTCCATGGGTGGGACAGTGTAGGAAAGATGATTCGTGCTGTGTCTGTCTTACGTTACACCTGATTTTGCTGAAGGGAGAGCTAGCGTCTGGAATGATCATAATGACTGACAGAAAGACTCATCCTCCCCTTCGATGCATATTTTATAGGAACGACAATTTGGAATGAAAGAGGCGATATTCGAGTTTCTACAACATTTGCTGCAATTGGAAAAAAAACGTGTATGGATCGCTGGTCGATATTGGTTCAAGGATTCCCCATTTCCAAAAACAGTAGGCTTGGATTTAACGTTGGCAGGACGATGTCGAGGTTGTTCGCAAACCATCGAAGAAGCATGTTACATGGTTCAGAATTATCGGTGGCACTCATCATGCTTTGTCTGTCACCGGTGTCAACGCCGATTGGTGGATGCCCAATTTTCTACCAAGGTACGACTGTACGAAAATGATCGACAAACCATCCTTCTTTGCGACGCTTGCGAAAGAAACGACACCAATGAGTGCGATATTGTCACCGTTTCGCAATTGGACCAATATCTGTATTTGCTGAAAATGGCATTGGCTCGATTGTACCTCAAGATTCACTTGGAAGGTAAGCCTCCGTACATTCACTCTTTTAGTCTAAACATATTGGGCAAAGAACGATGGATGTTCGTACACAAACAACAACAAAAAAAAAGAAAAAAAAAACTTTTTTTTTAGCCAACCTTGATTGACATTGCATGATCCTTAGATGATAATCCGGGCATCGTATCTAAACAACAGCAAGGCATTCTGCAGAATTATCCAATCAAGCTAAAATCGGACGCAATGATCAGCCAACATCGATCGTATCTCTTGGACCGTATGGATGTCAATCGACGAAACACCACCCCACCAGGACGACGTCGCCAGTCTCTGTTCGGATCTGTGAATCTAGGCAGCATTAAACGTACAAAATCAGTCCATCTGGATTGCATCAATGAGACATCATGCGAAGGCAATGAACCCAATGCGTTGTCACGACGATCCATGACTCCTGAACCAGCTTTACCATCGTCCGACTGGCTGACTCAGACCCCCCAACTACTGCCTGTCACGCAGTCCACCAGTAGTCGGTTGGACAGTCTCCGTCGAGCTCTTAGTACCCGAAGACGCCGCGGCCCACTTCAAGGCGTTTTTGACCCCGATCAATCGCATCCTGTCGGCCTGTTTTTACACCGCGCTCAGCGTGCTTCCATTTGCTCCCAAGTACCTTCTACCGACGGCACAACCACCATTGTTTCATCCTCCAGTTATCGCCTGATCGATTTATCTCTCCTGCAGGATTTCGCCGTCCAGCATGTCGCCGTTCTGCAGATAGAGCGCAGTGTACGACATGCGTTTACACTCGAAGAATTGGTGGCGCTCGTTGAAAATAAAAAAACATCGTTGTGGAACAAATTAAAAACGCATATTCGCACCAACAAACATCATCACCCCAGCGAAATTGGTATGAAAACATTCAACATGCCATTGTCCTTGGTCGCTGCAAGGACAAAACAAACGACGATCAGCCATCACGCCGAGAATAACCCGCATGTCACTTCCAACCTCGCTGTTTGCTTTTCCGAACGATCGCTGGTCCCTGAATTTCTGCAAAACTGTGTTCTAGCATTACTTCAAATGGGTGAGTTCCTTTTTTCCATCACTCCACACGCAAGTTATCATTGGCCGTCGTACGCTTACCACATGCATGATCCTTTTTTTTCTTTATCTTGGCTAGATATGGCAGTGGAAGGTGTATTTCGTAAAAATGGCAACATCAGGGAATTGAAAGAAATGTGTGACAGCATTGATCGGAAAATGATGACGGTGGATCGATTAATGAAAGAATCACCCATCCAACTATCAGCTCTATTGAAACGTTACCTGCGAGAACTGCCCGAACCGTTGCTGACCTTCAAGTTACATAAACTGTTTCTTGTTGCTCTAAGTAAGTTTATTATACGCCATTGACATTTGACTACGTGTAACCACCCCTTCCCCTCCTCCCCAAAAGAAGTTCACGCCAAGACTAAACGACGGTGATTGATATTAGGTATGAAGACAGAAGCCGAGACCAAATCAGTACTGCATCTTGCCTGTTGCATGCTCCCTAAAGCAAACCGCGACACGATGCATCTTTTGTTTTTATTCCTTAAATGGGTTGCTTCTCACAAGGAGAATAAGATGGACATCAGCAATTTGGCACGTGTTATTGCACCCAGTGTACTGTATGCGCATCCAGCTGCCAAGATCTCACCACTAGAACGTCAAACCAATGCCCAAAGGGAGATTCGCGTAGTAGAAATGTTGATCCAAAATCAAGAAGAATTTGGTTTGGTAAGATGAACGAGAATTCATTCTACAAAGAGACAACTCTAACCTCCCGTTCTTCGGATACTTTGACAAATTTGAAAAAGGTGCCTGTCGATCTGATTGTAGTGTTACAAGATCCCAGAATTGTCGAAATTCTAAACGAGAATGATCTATCTACAAAAGCATTTATAAAAGCATGTTCTCAGTTGATAAAAGCACCTTTCCCGACAGAAACGCCCATTCCACCGCCTTCGCCTATATCGCCTCGACCAACACCTTCTAGGTCAGCCACACTACCCTTCAATGATAACAGAGCAGCGTTTCCTATCATTGTCAAGCCTAGCACGACCACTGCCATGAAGCAAGCCAACCGAAAATCTTGGATCCCAGGTCGTCACTAAAAAAAAAAAAGAGGGTGGCAAAAAGGTGTTTCACCCTTCTTCATACCATTCATTCGCTGATACCTTCTCATATACATCTACTTTTTTTTATATATATATACACATATATTTTTCTCTTCACCTCATGTAAGACTTATTACTACTTCTTTTCTTAATTTTCCTTCTTTTCTCTTTCTTTTTTATTACACCACTTGTACATTGACTGTCATGTTACATTTAAATGATATGATATTATTCGTCATTCATCATCAACTGCTGAAATACAGGCTCTAGCAAAAATTTTACACAGAATCTTAAAAACATTCGACAGTATTCCCTGCCTTCTTTTATCCAGTACTTCTCTGAAGCAGATGTATGATATTACCAACTTTTTAAGGTGTCGTCATAGGGCGCAGAGACGCCTATTGATTGGCTTGGGTTTACTTGCATGAGAGTCCATAACAGCTCACATAAGAGGCTTTTTCAGAATTCCCCAATTAAAGTGCGACAGTTGACTGCCTGTGGGCTGTAAAACGCAATGACGAATTGAATGACGGAGATGAAAAATATTGGCAATAAAGGTTACACTGACGACATGCATAGACTTTCAATTGGTTTTGTATTCTCGTGTATTCAGGCCTAGGCCTATGATTGAAAGCACTATGATATCAGTATGGAGAGTAAAATTTGCACAACTCAAGCAATTGCACTTGTGTCAGAAATGACACGCTGTGAAAATGATGAGAAATAGTTTGAGTGGTCCGATCTGCCGAGAAATTTTTTCATTTTCAGTTTTGAATCCTTTTTTCCTCAAAAACCTGTCAACATTGACAGCAAAACCATTCTCTTTTGCACATCTATTCCCATATGAAGGAACGAGTGCCAGTACCAGAAGATGCAACAGTCAAAGGCGCGTCCGTTGAAAAGCTTAGTACGCAAGATCGACATTTGAGGAATGCATGCTCTTCTGGTATGCTTATTTGATTGCACGACAATCCCCCCCAAGTTGCCTACTAAAACTAGTCTATAGATGCTAGTGCAGAGCCTCCTCCATCGTTTGCTGAATCGGAATTTCATCATATTCAACGTCGACAAGTCAATAGACATCGAAGCAATCTCTTAAAGTGGTCGTCGGTCCCGTCACGCTATCCCAACCTCAGCAATGCTTGGGAATTCGCAGGGTACGCATTTTTATCTTTATTTTTTTCGTGGGGAAGAGATAGAGAGAGAGAGAGAGAGAGCGCATAACGAATACACTGATTGAACCCTTTTGCTACAGATGGGGCAGTACATATTATATGGATCTTGAACAAAGTGATCTGGATCGTTACGAAGATACCCAAAAGCAAAAGACACTGATAGGCACTTGGCGAGCCACATCCATTGCTGGCAACGATCTCATCGCTTCCGTGCTGTATTCCATTGGCCCATGCGTACTCCAAGCAGGCAAATATGCTCCCATTTCCATGTTACTTATCGCCCTCCTCATGTATCCGACCAAAAATATCATCAATGAAGTAGCCACATCAATGCCCTTGAATGGAGGTATATAAGATAAAATAGGCTTGAATGATGTCATGCATACTGAAATACCAATGATCCGATCCATAGGAACCTACAATGCCATGCTAAACACGACCGCCAAGAGTGCCGCTGCCGTGGTTGCTTGTCTATCCATCCTTGATTACCTTGCCACAAGTGTTGTCTCGGCCTCTACCGCAACGGCCTATCTAGCCGCTCAAGTCACAATGCCTGAACACTTCTCAGCCTTTGTATTGACCATCATCATCCTGATTGTCTTTTCAGTGATCTGTCTGTTTGGTATCCGTGAATCATCCACTTTGACACTTTCTATATTTTGTCTTCACACATTGACCATGGTAGTGGTCATGATCACAAGTGTCGTAGCTTGGGTTCGTGAAGGAAACCACATCCTGATTGAAAACTGGCAAATGCCTGATCCACCTGGTGTCTCACCTGTACGAATGATCTTTAATGGCGTTTGCATTGGACTTTTGGGTGTGACTGGATTTGAGGTAAGCGTGCAATCGATGTCTCTCTTGCTTTGACCAGCTCAAAGAATCGACATGCATTGTGACATGTTTGTTGTTGTAGTCAGCGGAAAACTACATTGAAGATATGAAGCCAGGCACCTTTCCCAAACTTATGAACAACATGTTTGGCTTTCTTTTGGCCTTGAACGCACCAATGACATTTCTTGTTACTGTCATTGTACCGGTACCAGTCATACAAAGCAATGCCGCCTATGCTGTTTCTGTTCTGGGTGAACATGTTACGAAGGGCCAATCCTGGTTACGCTTATGGATCATGGTAGATGCTGTGATTGTACTGTGTGCCGGCGTATTGACTGGTCTTATTGGTGCCATTGGTCTTATTCAACGCATGGCAAGGTAAAGAACTTTTTTTTTGACTTCCTATCTAGCATGGTTCACACTTGTATTCACCACGTCTATTGAGTTATGTTTAGCGACCGTGTGCTACCGCGCTTGTTTTTAGTTCGCAATCGATTTACGGGCTCTTATCAGTACATCATTCTCGCATTCCTGATCCTGAGCATTACTCTGTACTGCATCACCGGCGGTGATACCACCTCGTTATCGGGAGTATTCGCTGTAGCCTTCCTCGGCAATCTCTCGACATTTGCGTTTGTCAACATTTTGATGAAATATAAGCGGGGACGACTACGACGAATGACGCATGTGAAATTGATTACGGCAGTGGTAACGCTGGCACTATTGGTTACTGCTTTGATTGGTAACATTGTGATCAATCCACTTATTGCCGAGTACTTTGTCATCTATTTCGGCGTGGTGCTCCTCGTCATTTTGGCCATGCTCAATCGCGGCTGGCTCTTGAAGCTGTTCTACTGGTTATTCGATCAAATGGATTCCATTCATCGATTTACGCGATTTTCCACGACTGTCGAAGCTTATCTGCAAAAACGCATCAAGCAACTTCGAAAACAGCCTGCAGTATTCTTTCTAAAGACGGACGAACCCCATGTGATGAACAAGGCCATCTTATATATCAAGAATAACGAAGAAGCCGCACATCTCAAATTTGTTCACATTTATGATAAGATGGATGATATCCCTGAGCACTTGGAAGCCAATCATCGTATGTTGGATGAAGTGTATCCAAAGATCCAAGTGGACTTGGTAGGACAAGGCTATAAGCTTACTGTTTTTGGGCAACGACTGATATCTAAACAACTTTTTATCGCAGGTATTCATCCAAGGGCAATTTGATCCGGCCACTGTGGATGCTGTTTCACGGCAACTGGAGATTCCAAAGTCTCTCATGTTCATGAGCTGTCCGGGAAAAGACTTTAAATATTCACTTGGAGAGTTTGAAGGAGTGCGCATTATCATGTTGTAAATACATCATCATCACCAGTATCAATGATACTATTCTTTGTTTTTGGCTACTTTTATTTGCAACTTCAGAGATGCGTACAAAACGGTTACATTTAGTTGATCTTCAAAAGCTCGACTTCGAAAACCAAGGTTGAGTTGGCGGGAATAAGACCGGGGAAACCACGGTTACCATAAGCGAAATCAGGGGTAGCAGTGAGCTTGGCTTTTTCACCGAGGGACATTTGGGGAACACCTATCAAAGAAATAAATGGCAAGTGGTCAGTTTCTCCTTCCATTTTGACAGTTGCGGAAATAACCCATGATAGAGGTTCGATGTTTACCTTCATCCCAGCCTTTGATGACCTGACCAACACCAATGGTGCAGACAAAAGGTTCGTTACGCTTGCGGGAAGAATCAAAGACTTTACCGTTCAAGAGGGTGCCAACATAGTGCATAGTGACCTTGTCACCCTTCTTGGGGAAAGTCTTACCATCGCCAGGAGAAAGAGTTTCAACACTGGATACACGACATGACATAAAATTTAATGATGGCTGTCAATAGGTAAAATGCATTGTGCCCCAAAAACTTACGTAACACCCATGGTAAATTGATAGAAAGCGAAATAAGAATGAGAAGCCTAGAACGAGCAGCGCGTCAAAAAGAAAATAACCACAAAAAAAAGTTTAATCCCCGTGAAGTCCGACGGATGAAGTCACAGGCTGAAGCGCAGTTTTAACTTCTTCCTCGAACACACGCAGATGCAAGGCTGAATGTCACTTTTCCACCCCTTTTCAAGTTGATAACGCCATCTTGGACAAGATATAAACTTGTAAGTTATCGAACGTTAGAAGACCTAATAATGGCTGGTAATAGCTACCTATTGTAAAGTATGGTCTTTGGCATTTCGCACATGCAACTGTCACCCATAATATAGCAAACACAGTAGTCAACAAAGTATGAGCTTCCTTTTCAAGCCAATGGTTACCGCTCTAATAGCTCTGAAAGCTCTGAAGCTATAGTACGTATTGTGGGCACCGGCAGCCTTGAGTGGATAAACATTACGCTCTACGCATAAATCTTATGCTAGGTTTTTCCTTGTCCAGTGTATCACCAAAATCGACTATCAAATGCACTGGGACTTTTGGATTAATTTCATGTTTCAGTGGTAGTTGTCACGTAGTCCGTCACGTCTCTGAAAGATGTAAGACCTAGTTGCCCGAAATAGGCAACAGGGCGGGAACGCTCAGAGTGAAGCAATGAAACAAGAGTGCTTGGGCACAATAGTTTTGATAGTAAAAATATCGGACGACTAATACCACGTTGAAATGTACTTAAACTGAATGTTTATTCAATATGGTACTCTTCTGTGAGCCGATGAGCGAAAACCAGAATTCTGAGTGCTGACCTCACGTCACCGTACGTTGACGTCAAGGTGACGTTCGGGTAATCCTGACTGAGGAGATTCATGCGTCCGTATAAATTGCGAGGAACTTTTTTTTCTGGAGATTCTTTGATCGAACACCCTCGACCACATACCGATAATCACCATGACAAAAATTCATATTTTTACTGATAAATCACCCATTTCTGAAAACACGGCGAAATTGTTAAAGCAAGGTGTCGAATCCGTTTGCGGCTCCAAGTGCAAAGTATATATTAAGGATCTTGCTCAGACGCCTACAGGTAATCTATAGACTGACTCGAGCGTCTTCGTAACCATAGTCGTTAATAATAAGAATCGTAACCATGATGTATAGAGGCGGGCAAAACCGACTATGATGAAGTAGACGCCACAAACTTCAAGAAGGAGCTGTTGAAAGCGGATGCTTTCCTTTTTTCTACAACGTAAGTAATTGACGGGTGTTATCCATGTCCCATTTTGCTGACTGGGGATTCTTGTTGCAGTGGATCATTGTCTGTGTTTGAGAAACATTATCTTCACGAAGATTCATCGGTGGATCGCGAACTCCCATTAAAGGGCAAAAAGTTTGCGGTGATCATGACAAACAAGACCACCTTTGACGGGCCTCAGGCTACGGGTACTCACGCATTGGATCACAGGTAAGTTCGTTTCACCATGGTCACGGTTGTGAATGGAGGATGACTCACATCAAAACATTTGATTCAATAGGTTGCTGGAACGATTGATTGCCCACGGTTTATCACAAAGTCCGGCTTTGATGGCCAATCCGCACGACGGTGACAATGAATTAGTGGCTGCCGGTCGACGTTTTGCCGAAGATCTGTGCGGTCAGAATTAAAACAGTTCGCAGTAACAGAACATGAACAAAGTAACGCAGTGGATTCCATGAATAGATGATAGTATTTATCTGCTTCAATGATTGTATAAAATGTTTTAACGACTATGCTCAGCATATTCTTCTTTCACTCATGAAGTGTTGCGCTTGAGAGAAAGTATCTGCCGGCTTCTACACGAGAATATACCGGTTGTGATGACCCCATCTCAAATGGTATGCTGTGCCAGAAACAATGCATCGTGATCTGTCGCAAAGAACACACTTTCAAGAGCTCATGGCCTGAATGAAGCATAAATGAGATGCAAAGAGATGGGGTACGTTTCATATAGGGCTTGAATGTACGACGTGAGATTTGTCAGCAGTTTCCGTTCATGTCCCTTGGAGGCAGAATGCGAAATCTGTCAACGTCTGTTTTTCAAAAAAAAAAAAAAAAAGTTAGGTTTTGAACAAGGGCCGCCCAATATAAAAAAAATTCCCACCGTCCTTCCAAATCCTGTATACTTTGCATTCATTTGGATTGTCCATTTTGTATAATTTCTGTGTTGCTTGTTCATCAAGCTCTCTCTGCCTTTGAACTATTGTTGCCAAGATGTCACACCACGACCAAGATGGGGTTGCTCACAGCAACCTGGAAACCGACCATGCATCCCCTAGCACATCCTTGTCACCAGACGATCGATCACAAAAACGAACAAGTGACGATGCGGCCATCACTCGCGAGCGCAAATCCCGAAAATCAACTCATGAATTGCTGACCGATGCAGAAAAGAAGGCGAATCACATTGCTTCAGAACAGAAGCGAAGGCAGAATATACGTTTAGGGTTCGACCAGCTCATTGAAATTGTGCCTTCACTCAACAGCGGCAACCGCAGTGAAGCCATCATTTTACAGAAATGTAAGAAAGGCTGAAATCTAACCCAGTCCATCGATGACCAGGCTGATAAGTTGTACTTAGCTGTTGATCATATCAAGCAACTAATTGCCAACAAGAGTCAATTGAAAGAGCAGATCAAGGAGCTGGAAATTCTTCTCGGCGATCCGTAAGTGGTGGCATTCTCTCTCACACTGTGTGTGGATGACAATCTAATATTTTTTCATTAGACACTATGACGATGATGCAAGTATAGTATAATATCCATAACCATGAAAAGAGGTCCGCTAACTGAACCATGGTAGTTAGTCTTCTGACGATGATCTGGCCAATATCTAATCGTCCACAGCTACCTTTCATTTCTTTTTACATGCCCGCTATCATTATCTCAACAAACACACCATCACTAATGTCATTGTTTCTTTTCTATCAGCTATCTATAAAAGAATGCGCCTTTCTGCGGATTCTTTTTTTTTATTCGCTTCCATTGATGCCGTTTACAAGCCAATCCATAAACTAATCGGTGATTACTTCTTTGTGTGGTTGATCCCACAATGGGAGGCTCCGTTCCTTGATTTTTTACTGCAAAAGTAGATATGAAATAGTTGTATTGCCCAATCTGTGGGTCTGGTTTTTTTTTCTTGATTGATTTGGCCCCCTTACCCCGCCATTAATCAACCTTTTCCGAAAAAAAATTGGGGTGAGGTTAGCAAAATGGAGCTACTGCATCGGTTCCGGACTGGAGACCCAGATGTGATACGAAATGCATCATTGTGCAACCCTATAGTAGAGCGATCTGCTGGCCCGTTACGACCATGACGTCGAAAGGCCATCAGTGGACGCTGATCTCTCTCTTCAAAAGGGAATCAACCTAAATGAGCCAACTATCACAAGCCCAAGTCCGTGATTCATTCGTCCCGATAGTGGCGCCACACATGGAAAGATGAAGTCCAAGCTCATATAGGATCACTTATTACAGCGGCGTTATATTTATTGCATAGTGACTAAAAAAAGAATGCACAGAGATAAAAATAATCACAAAAATAATAAAGCATGATATTACAAGAACAGACGGAAGTGTAAATGGAAAGATATAAACAAAGGAATGAAGGGATGAGAAGGAAACAAGGCACCAGGGACAAAGATGGAAGAAAAAAAAGGAACCCATAGGAAAGAAGAGTCGGAAACATTACGTGTGTGATATATTTTGCGGGTAAAATTCCAGAAATCGTGAGTTACGATACTGGACATAGGTGGAAAAGGTACTTTTCGGAGTGCCGACGAAAAATGAGCCGTGAGATGTTACTTCGGCGTCGATCATTGGAAACAGAAGCGATCCCAAATGCGACACATGGGGGTAATATTTCTCTTCAGCAGAGAATCCCAACACACTGGAAGTCGTTTGTTCCATGATATCCGGGAAATCGCTCAACGTGAAGAGACAAGCAAACTCATTGTACAGTTCTGCAAACTTCTCTCGAGGCTTTTTCGCGTCGGTAGCCATATAGATAATCTGTAGTCGCGAATGAACATACTGCTGCTTCAGACATTCGTCCAACCGCTGTTGTCGTGCTTCTTGCGTCGTCGAAAGTGCACCAAGGCGTTGAATCGTCGCGTTGATAGCGGCCGTTATTTCGCCTTGCTGTACTCGATGTTCCAACGTTTCACGAACTCGTTTCACCGTCGTCTTTAGCAGCTTTTTAAACACGCCATCCCCTTGACGCACATGGATAGCCGCAAATTGGGCCGGTCCGCCCAACCGTGAGACCAGATCCAAGCTCTTTTCTTGCACGACCGGATGCGAGATACCAAGTTCCTTGCGCAAATAGCTTCGTACCCACGCCAGCTTGCTCCCTTCCAAAAGTTGTAGGCGGTGCGACCCAAACAGGGAGCCAAAAACGACAAACGGTTCTGGGCGTGTTTGGATATCCGCGAGATTCAAACGGTATTCGAACTTTTGCAATTTACTAGGCATCTGAGCCGTTTCATAGATCTGATAGGAGTACCGTACAGGATCATCGATCATCAGGACCTGGCTTTCATTATCTTGGGGTGGAATGGACCAGTATCGTTCGAAATAGTTGAGATGCATATCTCTGCGCTGCATGATGTTGATGCCCAATGACCGGATCGACGCCACATCCAGCATGGACGACACCGGAATTGGTACGTATTTGCGATAATCAAAGCATCCTTCCACGGACAACCCTCCCTGAGCTTTGATTTTATCAGGGCAGGTATCCATGCGTCCCGCCAATACATTGGATGGGCGCCAATACGTTGCTGCGCCTACATTGAGTTCCGGCATGATCAAAGTGCGGTTGGTGGCCTTGGCTAGCACCAATGCATTGATGAGAGCGATTCGTTGATTATGGAATCCGGAGTGAGGTAGATACGTGATGAATTTTTCCTGGTCCATTGGCGACACGTGGATGATTTGCGGACGCACCGGCTTCCGTAAACGGAGATGATGCAGATCAGATTGCTTCCATCGAGCATGGAATAGAAATAGCAAGATCGTCAAAACGATGAACGCGCTCGCCGTTCCGTATTTAAACCATCGAGTATTACGAGACATTTTGTACACAAATAGTTGGAAAATGGTAAAAAAGGGAATATGTCACAATCACTAGGTATCCTCTCTATTTTTCTCTCCTTATTTTTCTTTTTCGTTCTGTTTGCTTATTTTCTCCACCCTACTCTTTTTTAATGTAAAAAGAAAGAATAAAGGGAAAGCCGGAAAAAAAGAAAAAAGAGCCAAAGGAAAAAAAGCCAAGAAAAAAAAATCCCAAAAAAGAGGAAAGTAGGAACAATAACTGGTGGCAATAAATTTTTTTTTATCTGTTGATTGAAGATTAACTATATTCCCTGATTCGTAGATAGGCACGGGCAATCAATTTCGAAACGATCGACCGCCCTAACCTCAATGGAGCAAGTTTCATTTTTCCATTATGACTCCGATCCCGTTGGCGCCTGTGACGATGGTTGTTCCGCAGGCTTCTCTTCATTTCCCGCCGCTTCCGAAGATGGTATCGATGACTCGGTCTGCTGTGGTTGTGGCTGCTGAGACGACGGTGTAGGTTGGGTTTGGGGTGAAGCGGATGGTTGTAAAGGTGCAGGAGCAGGAGGATGATGTGATGATACTTGATGCTGTTGTTGATGATGAGCGGTTGCAGCAGCCATCACAGCCGCCGTAAGTGCGCTGTTGGTGGGCAAATGACCCATCCCTAATTTCGCATTCAGTTCTTCCACCTCCTTCATCAGCCGATAACTTTCTGACCCTTGCATAGCACCAATGGCCAGCTTTGCATTCAGATCATCCACTTCTTTTCGCAGCCGATTATTGTCTTCTTCCAGTCGTGCGATCTTATCTTCCATGTCCTGAATATACTGTTTCTTCTTCTTGCGACACTCCTTGGCCGCTACACGGTTACGGAGCAACCTTCGTTGACGACGCTCATCATTCGTGAGTTGACGCGAGTTCGGACCTCGTTTTCCCTGTCCATCTTCTGAAAGTGGGCTGTTTCCATCTTGATGCGGCATCGTGGTTGGTTGGTGTGGCATCTGAGGAGGGCCTGGTAATGCTGTGATAACGTTACTTCCTTGTAGTTGTTGAAGCAAGTTCGATGTCATGCCAGGAACCGCAATAGGCGAAACCATGGCCTGTGCCAAAGACGATGCTGTGAGATTGGCCAAATCATGTCCGTGAGCTTGTGCGTACTGTAATAGTTGTTGGTGTTGAGGATCCGTTAATAATGATAGTGCGGCCGATTGTCCGTTGGCGTTGGTGGGGACGCTTAAAAGAGTATTATTGTTATTCGTATTACTTTGGTTGTTGTTGTTGTTGTTGTTGCTGTTGTCATCGGCATTGTTGATGGTCGCTTTATCGTTGTTGTTGCTATTGCCATTTGCGGTGTCCAAAGACGAGTTATCCGTTGGTTGTGGTGTCCCAAAAGTGGCGGCAGCAGCAGCGGCAGCATTGTCCTGTTCTACCGATATCGATTTGACTTCAGTTATTTCGGTATCAACGGCTGATTTTTCTTCTTCAGATTCATGGTGCTTGGAAACCTGGACTTCTTCTGCTTTCAGGGAAAGCTCAGTTTTGAGCACCTTTGGATCTTTGGCCTCCTCTGGATCTTCTGTAGCGGTCCGTTTAACAGCAACAGTATTAATTGCGTCGGTGGCGGTGGTGGTGGTGGCAGGTGAAGTCAACGAGTCAGCTTGCGTGACTGAGTCCTGACCGGTGGAAAGAGCTTCTACCGTTGGCTCAGAGTGTACAAATGAGGAGGCTTCATCAGGTAGACGATTGGGGAAGGACGTATCGGATCTCGCTGCGGTGTCGGTCATTTTTTCTCGTTCAGTGGTTGTGACGTAGTACTTCAAGAATATAGCAAAAAAAACCCCTTTTCTGTTGGGCTTCCGTTGGATACAGCAAAAGGCGAACGATAAGTAAGCACAAAAAGGTTATGGACGAGTTCCAAAGGATACAACGGACAATAGGTGACGGATAGTGACAAAATATAAAATAGACGCTTCGATATAGCTTGCAAGTAGGTTACAACAGTATGGCCTTTAGTGACAGCGGAGAGGCGATGACGATGTCTTGTCGAATCTTTGGTGGGCGGAGCGGATTTTAGTGATGACGAAGAGGTGTCGACGTCGACAAAAGGAAGGGTGACGAAGGCACTTTTTATGAAATTTTTTTTTTATTTACTTTCGGACTCCTGATCATCCGGTTTCCAGCCAATAAAATTTACAGATATAAATGACGTAACAAGCACATGACCATTTTTCTTTTTTTCGATTTCGGAATGCCTCGTTTCAATCTACTGGGTCATACGACACACTTCGCTTCCCGCGTTGGATATGGAAGAAAAAAAGTCTAAAGGAAAGAGATTCGATGTCAGAAGTAAAGAATAATTGTGAAAAGTTGCAGAGTCTCAAGATCCAATCACTTGAATAGGTGGATAGGTGGATAGGTAGATAGGTTGATAGGTGGATAGGTTGATAGGTGGATAGGTTGATAGATTGATCGGCGGCTTTAACTAATCCCAGACCATACATTTCCTACCGACTGTTTTACCACTCAATCTTCTTTTCTCACACATGAAAAATATAAAATAAAAACAAAAAAAAGCCTAGTAACATTATTCATTCCGTGCATAAAGCTAAACCCGTTATAGTCATCAAGGGTTAATGATTCTATGAGGATATGGGGAGGAAACAGGAGGGAAAAAAATAAAGATAGATTATTCTTTGTATGTGCATCCATTTGATCTTCTACAGTCACGGCCTTCACAGTGGGAAGCAGCGATTCCAAAATCCTATTCATGACATACTGAAAAATGCAACGGAGACATGAATCCGATCGGAAAACTTGCGTTATCACTGATGATCCACGCTGTATGTGACAGCACGATTTCTCTGCACCGATAGATGCATGCAGATTATAATGTGACTTTTGCTATGTGCGCAGTCAGTTTGACAAGATCTGGACAGTTCTGTTTGTAGCAATTTACCAAAAGGCTCGTGCGCAATTACTATGGAATATTTTTCGTATGGGCCACAGTAGCCTTTTTCCCACCGATTGTCATGTTAACATTGGAGATATTCAGGGACCCACGGAGGCCCTTGCTCCACTCAATTGCTCTATCTTACTTTCTCATTACATATTAAACAAGACAAGATGACACTGGGCCTTTTCATTCACGCTATTTTTAAAAAACCACAGATTACTTTAATTTATTCTTGTCGATTGTTTTTCATTCAATTATTTTTTATCATCCTTTGGCGTGTTTTTCAGTTTTTCTTTTCCGCATTTGGATTTTGATTCCTGCACTGACTGACGGATGGCAAGCCCTGATCCAAAAGAACCTTCTCGTGTTCAACATCGTAGCATTATGAGCACCCAGGCGACTAATTTTGCTCGTGGAAAGTATCCTAGCAGACGGTGGTCAGTCGTCACTGTCACGGCGACCACGACCTACAGACCCATGGCAACGCCTCCTTTCATTGCTAGTTTTGCGAATGAAGACTTGATTATGGACGCGCCAGGATTTGCATTTTCTACGCAACCGCGCCGTTTGACCGAATCCACGAGTTCCCAAGCGTTACAGAGCCAGGCCGTGGTGTTGCCTTCGATCACTGCGCACTCTAGTGACAGTGCCATGGAGCAGCCCAACGATACGATGACTGTCCCGCCGCCCGTTGGATCTATCGTTGGTGGATCCCTTGCTGGGTTATCCTTACTGCTTGGTCTGATTCTGCTGATCCGTCAGCGGCAACGGCACCGACGAAATGCGAAAATTGAATCTGGCTCGTTGAACGGTCATGATCAGGGCAGTTGGACCAGTTTGAATTCAGGAACCGACAGTTTGACCTCTTCACCACCAGCACTCCCGACCAAAAAGTCCAGACGCTTGACCGCAGATGATATACTGAACGATTCAGCAAAAACCTCGGAGAAACCCAAAAGGATGTCCCTGGATACTACCATGTCGTTGTCGGAAAAGGAAGTACAAACAGACGAAAGTGAGCAGCCCTCGAATGAACCTTCCTCGCCCAATTCTCACCATATTCAACCGTACAAGGCGCAACTGGCCATGAACACTTCATCCAACGCCATAGATAGTGGTTTGATTGAACCTCTCTGCGTTTACGATTCCATGCTTAGTATTGCTGATAAAATCCAGCCAAGTATTAATGAAGAAGACGAAGAAGAAGAAGATGAGAAACCAGAGGAAAATGAAGTACAAGATACCAATGCCCCATCGGATGACGACAGTAATGAAGAAACCCTTGAAAATCATGGTGAAAAAGAAAAATCTGAAAAATCCAATGACAAGGAATTGAGAAATGGTAATGAAGAAGCTGGCTCTCTGGATAAACAAAATCAAAAATCGAGACAAAAAGCTGGAAAGAAGGTTCAATGGCAAGATATTGTGCAAGGGAAATCCACAGAAGACGAGCAAGAATCATTGGATTATGATCACGTTAGTCTCACAATAACAGAATGTTCCTGTCAGGACAGCAATAATTCAAGTCCGATTACTCTCAAAGCCCAGAAGCAAAAGAGTGATGCATCCAAGGAAGAAGTCTAATTAACCAAATTCAACTCTTTTTTAATTTAATCCTGACAAAAATGTAAATATTTCTTTTCCTTCTTTATGCGATCCATTTCGTTTAGTTTAATTCGTTTATAAACAGTATCAACATGAAACATCCTCTTTACCTTCATTCAATTAGTTCTACATGACCAGCCGGATAATCCGGGTTTGCATTATTTAATGACTCGATCATTTGCAGCTTCCGATTTTGGACACAAAATTGTTCACCATGGTTTCCGGCGTCCTAACTGAATGCGTATATGATTAGAAGGAAAAATCATTAAAAATAAGCGAGGATCCAGGACAGTCTCTCTTTCACTTTGTTCAATTACATCCGATTAGGAGAGGAAGCCACGCCTTCAAATCAAGACGTATCTATTTTATGTGCGATATGTATGGGTTTTTTATCTACTGATCTGGAAGAAAAAAACGAACTCGACTAGATCTATATAAAAAAAAAGTGTGGAAAGCAAAAATGAACAAGCAAGGAAGAAGAAGAAAAAAAAAATGGAATGCAATGTGATGTCTAAAGAATGACAGGGAAATAGTGATGTTGGCAATATTTTCAAAATCGTTTAGCTGTTGCGCAAAGTGGCTTCCGTATCACTCAAGTGACTTAATAACTGCTGCCTATCAAGTTTTCGATGATATAGTCGCTGAATATGAGCGGCCACGTTTTGGAATTCGGAAGGTTGCGCATCAAATAATAACCACCATTCTCCACCTGGTGTTGTAGGCAGCTTGACTTGCTGATCTCGGCAAGCGAGCCAGATCGCACCACAGGCAATGGTTGGCATGGTGTAGTTCGTATACACATGGGTACGTAGCGCATCATTCAAGTAATTCCATGCCTTTTTCGGTACAGTGTCATGCTCTTCCAAGCCCAAGATTCGTAAATAGTTGATCATCGTTCCGTATGGTAATTGAACATGCACATTAAATCCCAATCGTTTCAAAATTTGCATTTCGGAAGTTGTCACCATGCTTTTCAGACTATATGCACGCTAAGCCGTGTTATGTATTAGTTTTGGAATCGTTTACGGAAAGAAAACAAAATGTGCGTACCTGAGAAAATGCGTCCAATGGCGTGTGCGTAGATTGCTGCTGGATTCGCCGTAATAAGTGATCGTATACTGTAATAAGGTACGTCATTCGTACGAAAGACTCTTCCACTTTGGCAGAGAGAAAGAGCGCTCCCATTCCAATCTCCTGTAAGAAACCGATGAGCTACTGATACCAATGCAAATCACAAACAACGCCATATATATGCGATTGCATACAATTATACCAAAATCCTTTAGACTCGCAAGATAAAAGAATCGCTGGAATAAAACCTGTGCTGTTGCCATTGCTACTTGCGGTCTAACTTTCCAGTGAGAAATGGAAATCAAGGCACGTATTTATGCAACGCTTACAGATTGAGTAGAATGCCAGCACTCTGAATGAGTTCGCAGCCAAAACTCCTTAAATCATCCTCCAATTGCTCGGAAATGCCGTCCTTGCGAGATGGTGTTTCAGCAAGTTGTTCCAAAGAAGCTATCGGATTCTGCAGTGATACTCTTGACATCAATTGAACGGCAGAAAATCTGACAGCTAGATTACGAGTCAACGGCGCGAAAAAAGAAAAGCAGCTCTTGGGGCGCCATGGCGATGGGAGCCAGAGCGGAATGTCAATTGTTTTCATCCCAAAGCCACGAGCACACTTTTTTATGCCAAATGAACTTTCTACGATATCAGCCTTCTTTTGCAATTCTTGCTTATGTACTTAGATTATCCATAATATTATAGCATATACAACTATCACGAATCTACAATGAATTACATGTCTCCATTGGTCCATCATGGGTATATGGGTTATAATAAAGCAAGCTTCACTTTTTCTTTTAAAAGAAGTTCCACGGTTTTCGAACGACTGAATACCTCCCCAGAATGAACCCAGAGGATGTGAAAGCTATAACTTCTTAGCGGTAGGTTCCTTGAAAACGGCAGTGAAAAGAGCCACACAGCAACACGCTATCATTCAAAAGGCGGCTTCCGGATTATCATTCAATGGCCGCTGAGAACGAGAACGGGATGCGCCATTTTTCGATCAAAGATAAAATGCCATTTTCTAGCATGAATCCAGTGGAAAAAAGATGGCTCGGGGTGCACCAATCTTATTCCCGAGTTTTGGTTACTAGAAAAATAGCAAGTTCTGGTATTCCCGATTTTTCACCATTGGAGCCTGGTTATTGCCCTTCATCTGACTTCTAACACATGTTTCAGTCCCATCCGCAAGTGGGCGAATGAGCGGATTCCAAAGTTACTATAGAAAACAACTCATTTTCCATCCATATTCACCCACAGTATCGGTAGCCTCTTCCCCACTAGGCAAAGATGCCAAGTAACCACCATGAGTAACCATTGAAATACATGGTTCTGGGATCAATAGATTGGGATCAGTAGGCTAAATGGTTAACCGTCAATTTCCCGTCGGGAAGAAATAGTGGCATTAAGGCGAACCACCTGAAGAGAAGTTCTGGAAGGTTTCTCAAGTCTCGGGAGTTCTCGTAAATCAGCAAAATAACCCCAAGGAGCATAACAGAGTTGTTATTTAACATCGAGGTTCAAGTTTAAGCAAAAGTAGGCAGGTGAGGTCCCTGGATTAGTAGAATGAGGCATCAAGTACTAAAAAGATGTTAAAAAAAGACACGGAGCAACACCGTTGTTTTACGAACGCAAGTAACGAAACCGCGACGGCCACTCATATTAATGCCACCACTGTAACTGTGTTCGAAAGGGACGATGTTCCACTTTGAAGCCATGAAACAAAAAGTTTCTTCGGGAAAAAAAAATACAGGAGTGCAAACTCTGATGCGTTAATTACTCTCTTTCAGTTTGTTTATTCCACAATTAAGCATATACATTTAACCTAACAAATTCGTTTGCCCTTGAAAGGGAACAACATTACTATGGATTTTGACTCATATTTTGGCATTACCCTGTCACACCCACCCTCGTCAGAACCTCAACAACAGCTACCATCGCAGTTGGCGCAAACCAACGAGCCTCCGTATCACCAGGATACCATCAGTCCAGAATCAGACAGGTCGGCCACTTTCCAACAGGCGCCCACGGATGGTCAATTGAATTTTGCAGCCAACATACCAAGTACGGGGGTTAACGAGTATCCACTTGTGAACCAAACCCTTGATCCGTTGGACTGGTATCTGGATGATAAAACCGCGAAGCAGCAACCACCGTCCTTGACACCTATTTCATGTACGTCTTCGTCCAACAGTGGATCTTTATCCGCTGGTGAACAATCGCCGTTCTCGCCCCCAGCAGTGAACACGGATTCGTTTGCACCATCCGATTATTCAGCGCCAATCATGATGAATGATTTTGATCAGAAAACGAACTCGACCTTTTTTCCATCTTATCAACAATGTCAGCATTCGTTGCAAACTCCCCAGCAACCACAGCAACCCCAGCAGCAGCAGCAGCAGCAGGAACCCTCACCGATATCCGATTATCGCCAACCTCAACAGCGCTCACCGGATGAATGCGTGGTTTCGCCTCCCATGCCCATTTCTTCAATGGCCAATAGCGCCCTATCCAAACCACTGCCAAGTTCTTGTCCCATAGAGAACACTCTGTCGTACGCGTTTGGTTCAATGACGGATTGGGCCGAAAAGCAAAGAGGTACTTCTAATAGATAATTATTCTGAGAGACTTTCTGTGTCTCATCAATCTGATAGTAAACCATTCGGGACCTCACCCTCCGTCCAAACTTGTCATTGCAAACGGTCAGCAATTGAAAAAAGTAGCTCACAATGCTATCGAACGCCGGTATCGAAACAACATCAACGATCGTATCCGAGATCTCAAAAGCGTAGTGCCGGCGCTTTACCTTGCCAAAGTCAACAAGAACAACAAGTCGCTAAGTCCAGCTGACGATGAAGACGACGACGGAGACGACGGAGACGACCATGGAGGCGAAATTGTGGAAGGCGTTGAAGTCGCTAAAAAACTCAACAAAGCTGTGATTCTACATAAAGCCACCGAGTATATCAAGTATCTTAAGCATATGAATTCCTTGGCCCAGCAGGAAAGCGAAATTCTTCAGCAAATTCTTGGACAAATGCCTGGCGGAGCTCAAGTATTGAATCGATTCCGTGTACAAAAGGAGAAATTCAGAAAATTCGAGGAAGAACAACTTGCACGTGAACGCAAAGAAACCATGGAACGCGAACGCATTGAGCGTCAGAGAATTCTCAAAGAACGAGCCGTTCAAAGAGCCGCATTGACTGAATTATTGCCCAAAACGGAACGTCGTCCTTACCGTCGTAGATGCAAGAAAGTGGATACTGCTGCCGCTTCATGCGACTTGGATTCTCCGCTTGCAAACGATAATTCAGCCGGATCATCGCCGTCCGTCACTTTTATGGCCTTCTTTATGTGCTTGTCTGTCTTTTCCGTACCCTTTTACCAAAACCCATCTTCGGTAACAAAGCATCATCAGATGTTTACCGACTCTATTCATGTATCAAATTGGTCCACTATGCTGGATATTCGGTAAGTCATTCTTCTCGTCTGAAAATATCCTCTTGCTAAGATAGATTTTTAAATAACCATCTCCTGTTTTTATAGATTCATCGCAAAGTGTCTTGTATGTTGCTGCATGGCTTACTGCTTTATTGCTTACATGGTTCGCCAATGGTTACACCCTAGACCGCCCGTTCTGCATTCCAAACGAAAGGGTTCCTACGCGTCGGCACGGACAGACAGTTGATTGTCCTTCGTAGTCTAGGATACCCTCCAGCATAATTGTCGTCTCACTTGACAGAAAATTTTCCTTAAACCACGACTCTGCAATATGTCTCTAGCTGTAGCACAGCACCATTCAGTTCCATATCAATAAAATCATCTACTTCATTGTCTCCCCATAGTTGATATTTTCAGTATAAAGCGTAATTGTTCTTCTGAAACCAGAGCATCGGCATTTCAATCCGGCCGTTTTTTTTTTCCGTTTCCGGATGGTGCTTGCCGATACTCTGTTAATGTGACAAGTAGTTTTACAGATATTAATGATGGTATATCTATTCATCGTCGCTGTTGGATGATGGACGACGTGACAGATTGAAGACTCTATTGGAGCGCTGATTCGGCCGTCCCAGCCCCAGTCTCGGTCGTTTAATAGGATTTGACGGTACAACCTTTGATGTATTCCTTGACGCGGATTCCACCGATGATACCGGCGCTGGACTGGCTTCTTTTTCTGCTTCTTCATCATTTTCGTCGTCAAGATCAAACTCGATCACTTCCTCTTCATCATCGTCGTCCTCTATGATTTCTATGGGTCGTTTAGCTGCTCGTATCATTTCAACTTCTTCTTCTTTGTCATCATCCAAGATATCGTCAGGCATCACTGGGAATCCATCTTGTTCGTCTTCGTCAGAACTCGAAGGCACCTGACTAGTTGTGCGAATGTCAGGCAAGTTTGGGCTTTCTTTGGTAGGGCGTTTTCGTCTCTTTGCTGGGGCAGGTTTGCTTGGTCTACTCTCTGCGGGAGTGGTTGCAGACGAATCTTCTTCCGCCAGCTGGTCTTCTTCTATTTCAGATTCACTAGTCTCCTCACGAGGAAGCTAAACACCATTGGTCCAAAAAAATTGAGTAAAATACAATCTGGGTAGATTATGCTTGGCTTAAACGTACCTGAGACGAGATCTCCGCACCACGAATATCACGATGTTTCAATGCACCTAATCAAATATCATACATGAGTGAGTCATGCTATGAGAATTACGTAGCGGTATGATGCCCGATCTTACCCAAGAAAAATGCATCAGCTGGTGCATTATTTTCAGTGAGTAGCATTTTGACTTGGAAAATGACGGTCTCTAAAGCCTTCTTAAGCATCGGTACGTAACTGGACAGTTGACTGTCTTTGAGCGCTTTGACATGCGAGCAGATAACCTAATACCGATTGAACATCAGTTTTTCCATATAATTTGTCAAAGAGGGGTGATGTCAAACGAATTTCCATACTTGTAACATGCGGGTACTTGTTTGAAAGTCCTTGAATATGCCAACGATAGGTTCCCGATATGTTTTGAAAATACTGGTAAAGAACGGAATAGAATGCTTGGAAAACTCGTCGATAAACGAACGCGCCGTTCTCAGTAGCACACCAAACAGTGAGCGTTCTTCTTTTGTTTTGATGCAATGAATGGTGCGTTCAAAGACCGTGACGATCCGTGCGTTTTGAGTAAGCATAAGTTCCGGATCCACCGGGTTTTCGTGCAAGGTCCGAAGTAAATGGATGGTCTGATTAATAATAGCCTACCGAATTTTCATGGTTGAGCATTGTCAGCTTCATTAAAATCATATTAAACGTTAAACGAACCTGGTAATAGTCGACCAACGTTTCGGTTCGCAAGAGTGGGTATTGCTCAAAACCCCCTTGTCGCTCGAATTCCGGTAGAATCTCCGTGGTGTAATTATATAGTACCGCGGCAGGATCATCACTCAATGCGATGGAACGTTCAATCAAGAACGGGATATCCTTCTATTAAAAACGGCCCAGTATCAGTCATATGATGTTTCTCTATTCCTTGGTGATCGTACTGACCTTGATATTGCGCCAATCAAACCAGTCGGTGGACAATATTCCTTGTACCACTTTATGGCCGCCACTACTTAATTCAACGATATCACCTGATAATTCTCGCAAACGTTCCAAAAGCTTGAACAGTACGACTGCCGTTTGCGCTTGGGGCATGTTCTCCCCAAATCGACACAAGTATTGGAAGGCTTCCACGACGATTTTTTGGAAAGACGGTTGATGAACAGATTCCATCATGATGCGTTCTGCGATAGCATTTACTAAGGCCTGATATCGTCATTGTTGACATTAATACATTTAACAGAAAAAATTATCGTCAGCGATGCACGTACATGTAGAACATCACGGTTTTCTGGGTTTTCAATTTCCGGCCACGAAAGCATCTTTAGCAAGATATCAAAAATGTACGCAACACAGTGGGCCAATGCTTCCGACTTCTAACAATAATATGTTAAGGGGGAAATGATTTCGCTTTACAGCAGGACCCAAATATTTACCTGATTGATACGTCCCGAGTACACCTCCTTTTGCATTACCGTTAAAAAATCACATTACCGAGTACGGTTTTCCTGTCGCATTTTACCTGAAGTTGAAGGTCTTCATACAACATCTCCAGTCGCTGAAGCATAAAAGGAACATATTGTATAATCTAGGACGATGAAGATATTGAGCTTATCCTCGGTTTATAATGACTATTCACAGTGGTGATGTTTGGTTACCTGCTTGATAAAGGCGGGGGCATCCATACGGGCCAGCAGCAATGCATTGTAAACGCTGTGCTTTTTGTTGTTTGTCATCTTTTTCTTTCCGAAGAAATGAACGGGTGCCGGTACAACCTTGATATCCAATTTCTCGTTCAGATCGCTCAATAAGTAATTGATACAAGCATACTAGCCATCTTCATGAGTACCTCCAAAAAAAATACATTCAACATTTTTTTGTCACTCACATCCAACTTGTTTTCAGCATCGCCATTTGCATCTCCCGCATCGTTCACCTGTAACAGGCTCAACACACTGATCTGGAAAAAAAAAACAAAGTAACATACGATTTAGTCTTTCAACCAAGAGCCGCACATTTGTTTTCTCACTTACATTAAAAGCACGCATATGACGCTTCAACTCGGCCAACTTGGGTAATCGCCCTGTACTTGATCTTATGCTCGTATCTTTTTTGGTAGAAGGCCGCGGTGTACCTTCTTCACCGTCGGAAGCATCAGCATCCACTTGAGTAGAGGACCGTGGATCCGCTTTTGGAAATGAGACTCCCGTCATTTCCTTGCTTTCTTTAAATGACAACGATGAATGCATCTCCAGGGGCAGGTAATGGGGAACGTAGGTGATAAAACTTTGAAGCATGGTCTCGAGAGCGAGAATATTCTTCAAGCGTAGACATAGTTTTTGATGTACTTCATCGTCAGACAAAGTGGAAAATGCATTCAACAATTCCCGGAACCTTTATGCAAAAGCGGTTACACAACAGCATAGTCCATCCCACGCGATTCGCTTACCAGTTGATCGTGTAAAACAGCAAGTCGCACACATTTTCCAATTCTCGAGGATCAAGACTACGGATCATTTCCTACCATCCACATTTCTGAGTTGGACATGGAAACAGCTGTGCCATATCCTCATTATCCATACCTCCTCGGTTTCTTGATTGAATAAAATAATGCCACAGCCTAAAAGCGCATCAATTTCTTCTAGTCCACCGTTATTCAACTTCTTCTCGCAGCTTTGAATGAGTTTGAAGATCGAGCACAGAGGTACTACGAGACTTCGTCGTTTTTTCTCATCATCCATGAGAACCAGCTCGTACATTTTCATGGCGATCTGAGCATCTTCGCCATCCAAATTCATCCATAAACCCGGTTTAAGGAATACATTTTGTTTTCGTGCCATGACGGTCACCAGCTCATTCAGTTCGTCCATATCCGACACGTACTGATCCGTAAAGTCGACCATCCAGCTCTCTTTGATCCAAAGCTGTAACCGCTGATCGAGGTTCGTGTTTTCAAAGATGTGAGCTAATTCGTCATACACCAGAGCCAGACATACAGGATATTCTGAGCAGTTGTGCAAGAGCATTTCCAATAGGTAGACGGCCTGCTTCAAGTAGGGGTGTCGCAAAGCATTGTCAGCGCTATAAGTTGCGGCGTCCGTTTGTGTACTGGAACCTCCTTGCGTACTCGATCCAGTATTGGAGTCTCTGTTGCATAATTCTGCCGATCCCAACACTTTGACGGCTGATAGACAACCAATGATGCCGATTTTTTTGTATTTTTCTCGAGGATTCGACAGTTGTTTGCGGATGACGATTTGGATATCGGACCACAGGTTGGCACTTCCCCCTTCGTATGGATGTTCAGTCTATCCAGTCTTGTTACTCAAGGTTCTTTTTCAATGTAAACCATACGAACTGTCTTACCGTCAATGCCATGATGCTGAATATATCGAATAACACTCGAATCTGACCCAAGCTTAAGTTATCAAGGTAGTCGAGAATACCTTTGATGAACACAGCATATTCGGAGACCCTTTCTACATCAAACTTGACGAGCTGCAGTAATACGTTCAAAGCAACGTCTATCTCTACAGTGTAAAGGTTCGGTTAAGGATAAGTTCCATCGTCTTTTTGTTTTTGACCTCCCCTATAGAAATTTGCGTTTTGTTGGTGTGTTCTAATAAAATAGCAACCGCTATTCAGCCATAACTTTTTAAAAAGGATATTTCACCGCTGCCGATATGGGTGACCAGCGAACCAATAATTTCCTAAAGAGAGAAATACCTATGACACAATGCTCATTCGGCAATAGAGTAGCAGGCCGGTATGAAACTTACAAGTTGATAGTGAGCGTTGGAGGCGATGAAAGAATGAACGTAGAGAGTACTTGAACATGGAACGATGGCATGGTTTTGACGGGATGACCGCAAGACGCTGTCGGATAATGATAAAATGGTATTCCAATATCTAACCAGAGAGTCAGTATCAATGATTTCTTGGCCATTAATATTATGAAGATTACCCAGTAAGTGCGTCGCCGTGATTTGTTAGTGTCAACTGAATCAGTTGGGCAGTGATGGCACGATTGATTATTTTCTTGCGGAAAATCTGCTCGGCTTTCTTTTTCATGGATGTCATTGAATGTAGAATAAACAAAACAAGTACATCGATAATTTTGTGTGCTCCCTGTATGGAATAAAAATGATGAGGAAAAGCAATGACCATTGATGCATCTTTTGTCAAGGCAACCTACCGGGTCCTCTAGTGCAGTGATTGATTTGATCCAGGAATCGCAAACGAACTTGTGAAATTGTAACCCAAGCTTAATTGATTCTGGTGTAATGAAAACTGTCAGGAAAAACAAACTTGGGTATCCATTTTGTTGACATAGCACTAACCCAAAATGAGAGCTTCAGGCGCTTGTGCATTCGCATCGGATTTCCGCGATCGGATCGTGGTTGTCGACGTCAATGACTGAAATTCGTTCTGCTTGAGCTTACCGAGGGAATAAAAATCGAGATTGTGGCGGATACCATAGATTACCTAGTAAATAATGATAAATCCCTTTAGTTTCTTGGTTTTTACGGAGATTTGATTTTATATTACTTCATCGATGGTGTGTGGAGTCGCGGTTTGGAGTAAAAACTTGACAATCACAGCGAGGTCATCCAGCTCGGCCGATTCCAGTCGCTCCAAAACCGTTTGACGCACATCATCCTACATAGAATGATGAGAACCATGTAGAGCGTATGTAACAAGCAATCATCATGACTCACGAGACTTTCGGAATGCAACGTAAGATTCGATAAAGCATCCAAAATGGGTACAGTAAGATCACCATTCTCGTGCATTAGTTCCTTCAGGTACACAACCATGGGCTAAAAACATGATGATAAACGTTGTGAATCCCAGGTTCTTATTTCTGCGCAATCTTTGACCCTTTCTTATAATTTTACCTTGTGCTCGGAATCGTTGATAATATCAGGTAAAGATGTAATAATTTCATGTTGAATAATGGGTGGCATAATTTGAATAATCTGACAATATAGTGAGATTTGTGTGAATCGGTGACTCGGGTAATCGCCTACCTCGATCAATTTTTCGGTTAATATCTGCGGCTCCACAATGAAATCCAACCAGCGAAGCTGATGCAAAATTAAACGTGCCGTGCAAGAACTAGAATGACTATATAGAGCAATCCACAGACGAATCGGTCAGTGTCAGATCCATTGGGATATTTCATCGAGATTTTTTTTTTCATGCACGCACTCATTTTCCAATTCATCCTGAAACTCCGGTAGACGCTCCAACAGATACACCATAATTTTGGGTTGTATGACATCGATGGCCAGCAATGTCTTGAAAACGCTTTCGCAAGTCAATGCCCTTTTCTGATCATTAGCATATCCTGAATATAACGAAATAGTGCACCGTCAGTGTAGTGCTTACCGGCTCGATTGCGGTGCATCGGTGGGTAACAGACATTGTCGAAGGAATTGTGAATCTTCCGTATAGGTCTGTATCGAATCGAAGAATGCATCGGCGCTACCAGCACTGCTGCGCAATTTCAGGTTCAATTGTCTGCGGAATAGAATGGGCTCGACAGCTTGAACAATTTGTCAAAGAATCAAGTGAGTACAAGGAAGGAGATAATGTTGACAAGTATCACTAGTACTTACTGAAGTGAGCTGTTTTTCCGTTATTATCCAGTTGACATCCTGCTTCTTTGAGGTATTCTTCAAACAGTGTAATGGTCATGATCGATGGATGACCTGTTCAGGCGGATTCACAAATTGACGCGCCGGATGTCCAATTAATGGAACGCGTTTTTTTTTGGGACGCGTTTGTTCCGAAATATCGTGACGGTGATCCACCTTGGACCCCGCGCTGGACCGGTCCACCTCATTCTCTGAACGTCAAACACCTTTAAGTCGACAACGAGTGAAGCTTCCCACAAATCCACAATGGACGATTCCTCCGATGACGATATCAATTTCTTTGATGAATCACGAACACTCCATGTCGGCACCCCACTTCTCCATTCTCCTAGTCTAAGCATCAGACTGAATAGGCAAGTGGACCATGCCTGACAACCTATGTATCGTTCAAAAAGAGCTGACAGTTCTGTACAGTAATATATTTCTCAAAATGGAGAACATGCAACCGTCAGGTTCGGTGAAAATGAGGTAATTTCACACAATTATTATTTGCAGTAAATCATCGATCTAATAATCCCATGCTCATCAAAAAGGGGAATCGGCAACTTCTGCTATAAGATGGTTCAAACAAGAGGCACCAATATTCATTTCGTCTGTGGATCCGGTATCAACACCATCTTAGCCGTGGTCTACTGTGCGCGACAGCTCGGAGTGAATGCGATCGTTGTCCTGCCCAAACACACGAGCGAGCGGTTATGCGATGCAGTCCGCATTGAGGGAGCACAGCTGATTCTGTTTGGCGATGTAAGCACTCGAGCGTTCTGACAAAGGATTGTCAGCAGTTTTGTTAATATGTGGGTTGTCTCTCATATGGTTTTCTAGGATTGGTATGCGTCAGAGCTGCATGCCCGCAAATTGGTAAAACGCAATGGGTAAAGTATCAAATGGCACTGGGCACAGCATCCTACATGGCTAAAACTATTTGATTCGTACAACTAGCATCTACGTACCTTCTTCCGATCATACAAGTATATGGCAAGGACATTCGTCGGTTATACAGGAGTTGAAAGCACAACTGCACGATAGGCCGCCGGCAGCAATTATTTGTCCTGTAGGCGGTGGTGGATTATTAAACGGCGTCATTATGGGACTGCAAGAAGTGGACTGGAAGCAAGTTCCTGTCATTGCTGTAGAAACCCATGGAAGTAATGCATTTCAAGCAGCGGTGGTGGCGGGCAAAATGGTCACCTTGCCGGAGGTCCGGACGATTGCTCACAGTTTGGCGGTACGGTCTGTCTGCGCCAAGTCCCTGGAATTAAGTTTGGTCCATCCCGTCGTTCCCTTTGCTGTCAGTGATGCCATGGCCGCAGACGCTGTTCGTCTGTTTGCAGGTAAGATGAAAAAGGATAGAGGCGGTCAAGGGATGCTATTGTTGGAAAATCACGATTCTAATCGCCGTGGGACGTATTCCATAGATGATAACAAAATGCTGGTGGAGGCGGCAACGGGTGCAGCATTATCACTGTGTTATACGCAAATTATTCGCGACATATTACCTTCTCTCTCCATTGAGAGTGATGTGGTCGTCCTGGTTACAGGGGGCTCGGATATCAGCTTAAGTCATTTGGATGAGTATCGCAAAAAGTATCTTCAGCCACCGGTGGTGGTGAAAAGTGGCAGCGAAGTATTCCTGAAAATGGATGACTCGTTGACCAACGTCCAAGAAGTCAATATGGATCACCCATCCGGTATCTCTGAACAAATGCTCGAAGAAATCGAACAACGTCGACAAGCCTCCTCCCATCTTTCGGACGAACCATCACAAACCGTACTGGAAGACATTGACGAAACCCCTTCTGTACAAACCACCGACATCCTCTTCTAATGTTTTTTAGATCTCATTTCTGTATATTTTTTTACCGATTACACTCTTTTATTTACCGTATAAGCATCAACTTTGGATCTTCTTTTTTCATATCACTCTGTGATTTTTCTGTCTATAAAGCCACGAATGAAAAATCGAATGAGCTTCCATATCTTGATCTGAAATTGGCGCGTCAATAGAACGTAACTCCTTTTCGAATGTTCGCTAAGCTGGGAGCCATACTGTACTTGGTACAATGGATTGTGCACAATTTGACCCATCCTAGTCTTCCTCCGGTTATCAGTCACCTAAACACAACGATCTTGCCTCCAAAAGGTATAAATGCCGCGGAAGGATCCGACACAGTCATGATGTCACGTAAAGACCGATCAACGGCCTCTATGCAATAGCGGTTCATGAGAGGTGCCTCGTCCCAGACAATTAACGCACCATCGCGGATTTCCCCGACCTGGCGATCGTCATGCACATTCAAATTGCATGTGTTGGTATCATCCACGACCTGAGTCACCGGTATCTTGAACCTTGAGTGGGCCGTCGTTCCTCCATCGAGCAATAGAGCCGCCATTGCAGTTGAAGAGACTGCAGTGGCCTTGTGACCGGAAGAACGAACGTGTGCCAGAAGAGTATTGTAAAAAAAAAAAAAAAAAAAAAAAAAAAAGGTCTTGCCGCAACCTCCAGAGCCATGGACAAAGAACAAATGAGAGTGGGCGGTAGACAGAATGGTATCGAATGAAGCAATGACGGTATCAAAGATAGCTTTTTGATCGGGATTCAGACTTGCTACTGGGTATTCGATGCCGTAGGTCGACCAAACGCGACTCGTCATCATCCTCTGGATATCGGTATCTCCGTTATCGCGGAGCTGCTGGAACATTGCGTAGTCATTCTGCGTGCCAGGTATAAGTGAAGTAGAGAGAAAGTCGGAAAAAAATTCATCAAGAAAAATGTTTACATTGTGAAGAAACTTCAATCTGCCGCGGTCCTTGGATAACCTGCTCAGTAATAAACTGCGGCTCTTGGATCACCTGCTCTGCAGTTGTATTCCTTAGGTTCAAGGGACACCGTAGGCTCGAGAACCTTTGGTGATTTGTACTTCCACAACGGCAACGCATGATGCAAATTATTGATTGGTGTGGCATAAAAATTATAAAACGCCCAAAAAAAAAAATCCCTATGTTTTCATTATGAGCATAAAAAGTAAAAAGCCAATTGCAAGGCTTCACTGAAAGGACCTTCCCTTTTACGACGGTTTACAGAGTAGATAAAACGCCCAAAAAGGAAATGCTTCAGGCATAACTTTCTTAATTGATACGCTCTTTAGCAATTAATATGGAATCACTTTGGAGAGGAAGATGAAGCGGGAAGCGATAACGGCGACGATTATGGTGACGACGACGACGAATATCTGAATTATGGTTTATAAGCCCGATTGGATAGTATACGCTAAGCCATGAGAGCACCGTTGGCAGTGATGGAGTTGAAGACGTTGAACAAGAGAAACCCTGGGCCAACATGACTGCCTTCGTGAACGTGGCCAACAAAAAATGAAGTTGAGCTGAATGAGCTGGTTCAACAGGGTGTAGCATGCCCAGGGGTGTGTAAAATTGTAGTGGAAGGTAAATAAATACAAGTGTAAGCACAACGTTTATTCACTGAACAGTATCACGTAGGGACGCGTTGCCGAACCTTGGCAATGGATCTGAAGTATGATGGGATTTACCATTCTATGCAAGAGCTAATCCTTTTCCCTACGATATCTAAATATTATCCAGTTGAAGGTAAGATAAAAAGGAATAAAGTATCTACAATTGCTCAATTTTCATTCAAATCAGATGCTGGCTCTGGACAGTTCTGACTGTCGAAAGATGCAATATAGACTAGCAGATGGGATCAAACATGGAACAGGCTACACCGTTGAGTTGGATGCGTATAATAATCAATTGGATTTGATGTGTTTGGTTCAAGATCTCACAAAGCGACCGATCATTATGGATGGTTAAAAATTAGACAAGAGGAAACAAGATAAGAAGGAGCAGGACAAGACAGGAGGACAAGAGAGTTTGGGAGAACACAATTCTTGACTGATGTTTATTTCAGACGATAAATAAGGTATACATACTAAAGAATATGAACGGGAACAACCAACAAGAAAATACATAAATGAATGCATAGTGCAACATGAGGCATAGCATATATCAACAAAGGAGAAAGGACAACGATAGAGAGAACATGAGGAGCGCATGAACCAGCAACGCACGTTAGAGTCGGTGTTTCTAACGTGCGCTACTTTTATGGAAATTATGAAAACACCGACTCTGACGTGCGTTGCTGGTTCATGCGCTTACCTCAAGATTATCCTCATGTTCTCTCTATCGTTGTCCTTTCTCCTTTGTTGAGTCATGTAATGAGGACAAGGCTGGGAACAGAACTGAGTGGAACAGAGCAAGAGGAATTGGGCGGAGCCGAGGTGATCGATATTGATCGGCATGAATTCAGGAACAGAAGTATGCACGGACACACACGAGACAGGACCAGGACAAGAGAGGCCTTAAGGGTCTTCCCGCAAGAAACGGATAAGACAAGACAAGAAAATAAATAACAAGAAGTAGGGTTGGTAACAAAGTAATCTGTTGAAATTTTATTATACGAAGGATCGTCGGACACCTTCTTGCATTGACAAAATCACTTTTTAGCGTGCATTGGAAATGTAATATTTTCGTGGGATCGAACTTTTAAACAGGTTTCTTGTTTAAGTTGGCGTATGATCGAGTTTTGCGTTTCAAGTAGAAGAGTATGAGAGCGAGAATAGGGTAGGGAAATAAACCAATTTCTTTAGTTGTCAATGCGAAGCTTTTATATGTTTTTCATGGAACGCTTCAGGCAAGCGTTGAGTGCATGTATGACATAATTCAGCGTAGACATATGTTCGTTGGCTTATGACCTTATTACAGAAAATTGCTCCAAAGCACGACTGTCCATTTTTCAAGATGGACGAAACATTTATCTAGTTTGGAATCGGATACTCACTTTGATTTGGAAGTTTCACGATGCACTTCTTTTCGAAGTTTTAGGGAAACATGAATACCAACATCGCTTGATGCTCACTATATTAGCAGTACGTTCGTCTTTATCGCTTGACAGGCAACACTCCGCTCTGTGAGATTGAAATAATTTGCTCTTGTAAGCCCCTTTTCCGGTTGAATGGTATTTCGTTATAGAAGGGACATTGATTGACAAACACAAATCTTCGTCATCTCGGAAATACAGTGAGAGTGCATTTTGCAGAAAGGGTTTGGCGGGATCACAAAGTTGCGTCCCAGTTGTTATGTGACGCCCATTTTTTGTATTTGTGTCATCACTCCCAAAGTGCTGATAACCTTAGTAAAAACCCCAATTGCGATAATCTTAAACTCCAACCCTGAAAATACATGATTTGTGTCCAGATCAACAGAATGTTCTTTCTTATCTTTATTGCATCCACTACACTCCAACGTCGCAGAAGTCAAATCCTCCGTAAGCAGCCAGCCAAGGGCCGCAACCAATCCAAGGGGACGGTGTCTTCGATTTCGTTTCCTAACTTCTTCTTCAAATTACAATGATCGACAGCCAGCGCTGTCTCCAAAGCCAATGCCTTTTTACAAATAGCAAATTAGCAAGGATTGTGTAGCATATCAATTACAGTCCGTTATATCTTACCTTTACTTGCTTGAGGTTGCGGAAGGTCATCGGGAAAAGGGGTAGCCGTTGCATTGATGTACATAGCTCAAAAGACGAGAGAACAGAAAGACAGTAGATGCCATCATACTTCAGGTCCATGGCCAAGGTTCGGCAACGCGTCCCTACATGATGCTGTTGAGTGAATAAACGTTGCACTTTTACACTTGCCTTTACTTACCTTCTACTAAAGTTCCACACACCACTGGGCATTCTACACACTGTTGAACCAACTCATTCAACGTCAACTTCATTTCTTGGCCACCTTCACGCGAAAAAAAAAAATATCTTTATGGCAACGTCCTCTAAAAAATATACGTGAAGCATTCCGCATGGAATCGTGCAATTCATGAACTCCATTAGCTCCATGCTGAATTCGGTGCATTATGGGCAGATCTGGGGCACGAAGTCAGTCATGTGGCCAGAACTTCGCTTCTTCAACACCTTCAACTCCATCACCACCATCGGGGCTCTTCTTTTCCACGGCTTGGCATATTCCATCCAATCGGGGTAATAGAGCAAACTCAAATACCCCCCCCCCAAACTTCGTCATCATCGTCACCATCCCGGTCGTCGTCACCATCATCTTCGTGCTTCCTCTTCCTTCCGAACAACGCTCCTTTCGCCCTGATTATAAGTTGATTAGCAGCATGTCGTATTTAATTTTTCCGTACTACAGTTACCATTCTTGCTTGAACAGTCCTCAGAGCCGAAGACTGTCAAGGTATCGGTGAGCGAATGTTCTTCCAACATTGGCCGATCCGAAGGCGCGTCTAACAAACAGCCGGCCCTACAAAGACGAAAAGGGATTAGAATAACATATTCCCGCTAAGTTTCAAAATTAAGCATCTTACAAGTTGTGGTCAATTTCAGCCGCCAGAAAAACGGCTTGCTTTCTGACGACAATGCTGCAGGTAACGCGGGAATCCTTTTGCATTTGATTCCGCGCCAACTCGAGGCCGTGATCTTCTGTCCGTGGATTATGCCGCCCCACACCATCTGCGTGGGCTCTCACTCTTGAAAGTAGGAGCTCAGCAATCTGGATCGCCAAGTCGGTGTTTCTTGCTCCATATACGAGCTTGGCCACTCTTCTCTCCTAATTCGAGCTCGCTTCGTCGGTCGATAAGACTTTTCCAGTTGTCGATGGTCGAGCCTTTGTTCTTTCTAGCAAACTGCACTCTTTTCAACTTGTGCAGCTGCGCCAGGTGCGGTTTTTACGAGCTAGTCGTGAAAGTAGTCCATGCCATGCAAGATATGGCGCACGGTGTTCCGATGGATATGACACGCGACATTCTAGAGGAGAAACTCCCGCTTTTTCTCATAGAGTAAAATTGGGTTTTGTGGGTAGAGTAAAGAGTCATTTTTAAAGCATTTGCTTCAATATTGAAAGGGAAGAGAGGAACAATTTCTCTTTTTTTTTGATGCGCTTATTTATTTTTGTATACACGAGTCACGCGTTCATAATGCGGACCCATAGAATACACACAACTAAGATAGGATCAATTCCCCAGTAGCACGGCGACTCGTTGGAGGGCTAGCGATGTGAGTACGGTACCATCAAAAGACACTGAGTGAAATTTGTTTTGCCAGTAGACAATCCATAAAATGTACAGGGTGGTTTCGAAGATACTGTTGTTGTCGCAGGTATATGAGGGTGGAGGCGGAGGTCATAACGGGAATTTTTATGCAACGCTTGAGATGTCAAGAAAAAAGGTTATTTTTTTTTTTATTTTTTTTCATTGATGGTTTGTTCGACCTCTGCAATTTTTTCCTTGAGGTGGGATCTCCAGTTCGGGTTAGACTTGTCAACCACTGCTGGTGGCACGGTATCCTGGGTATCTTCAATGATAATTTTGTTGCCTTCTTCCCACACTTCTAGTTCCGAGGGTAATGGTCGATGATACTCTTCCTCGGCTTTCGGATCCGTTTCCGACATCTGTTCCGCTTTTTTTTCTGATGGTGGTTTTGTTGTACTAACCAAACCAATTATTAACATATTGCACTTGTCTATAGCGGTGGATCAATCATTTTATAAGGAGAAGAAAAAAAGCTATTTATTGCTTAATCAATTTAAACAAAAAATGGGATGCTTTACTGGAGACAAGGGCATCGCTTTGCTTCCTTCGAATTAAGATCAACGTGACCATCTTCACCAATGGTCATGGAACAGCCGGCAGCACTCTGGTGGAGTCTGTTGGCTTCACTAACAAGCTTCTGTCTTTCGCGGGCGTCACGAGCCTGTTATCAATTCGATGATAAGCATACGATTTCCTTCCGACAGATTATGTTTGCCCATTTCACTTACATGCTCAGACTGGTCAACGTAGTTTTCAATCTTGGACTTTTGTTGTTCCATAATGTACCAATCAAAGAGTTGGGGAGCGTGTTAAAATAAATGTAATTGATGAATGAGCAGAAAAACCGAAGGTGGAATCAAATTTTTGCAGCAAATTTATGCGTTGAAGCCTGCAAACCCCGATCAACTATATACCCACGGGGAAATAAAAGTAACCCCGGTGAGGAAGTACGGTGACACGGATCGTATCAGAAAATAACACAGCAAAATATCGGCGGATATGTTTCTCGCTTCTTCAAAAGTCTGCACAAGTGGAAGGGTTTATTCATGCGCGCCATGGGAAGATTTGGAAACAACCCTAGAGAAAAAAAAAAGAGTACACATCATATGGCGTCTTTGTTGAAATTACAACGGGCAATGGGCCATTGCGAGTGGAAAAATTTCCTTATTCAAACTGTCTTGATATGTTGCGCGGCGTTTTGGAGTCTATTTCATCTATTGATTGACATTCTATTCTGAAGAACTATCGGACAACGCATTATTATAAGATACACTAAAATTTATGGTCGAACCGTATCCTTCAACTCTCCTTCATTATCATCGACGTTGGATTCGAGATCTCGCTTCATGGCTTCTGTCTTTTCTTTAAGTTGTTCTAATGATTTGAAGATGGTGGAAGTAATCTTGATCCGCGCTTCTGTTTCGGATATTTCGCCTGCTTTCCAAGCAGCGAGAATATCGGTGAAATCGATCGGATCACCGAATGCCAGCATAATGGGTTGATGGAAACGAGCAAACGGACCTTGCAAAGGTCTTACGAGAGCCATGCCTACGAAACAAAAGAAGAATATTATGATGAGATCATGACGCGTTTTTTTGCAGACAATAAACCAACTGGGTACCATTGTGCCACACGGGGATGACGATCGGGCATCGATCGGCCTCCATGATAATACGACCAACGCCCCATTTGAAACGTATCATGGAAGCGGTTTGATTGACGCGAGCTTCGGGAAAAATATGGATCCAGCCATTTTGATTTGCTTTATGAATAGCAAAGTTCACTGCTGGTTGGTATATGCCACAACCACGAATCGTAGGAATAGCTTGTCCGAGCGAGAAAAACAATGACTTTGGTCTATGATTCATCATCACCATATCTTTTTAGTGCCACGCTTTTTCTAAAATGAATCCCCCCCCAAAAAAAACAAAAAGAATACGGTACATGGTCGTAAAGCAGATATCGGCCGCTCCAAGCACCCATCGCATTTTGTGAATATCGAGCAACGTCCTTACAGGAAGAACACCCCATAAAAACGGATCGTCCCATACAGATTCATGATTGGATACTACACTTTTTATGTGAGATCTTTGATAAACGTTGTGGTTGATTTGGCCACCAGGGTAGCTCAATACGTACCGGTGATCAACGCTCGATCTCGGTTATCTTCGTCGACGATCTTTAAGAACGCATCGATATTATAAACACGTGTTTGCTGAAAGTATCTTAGCATGAATTTCGCAAATAAGCCTACGCCACCGGTGACCACTGTACTCGCTGCATTCCATATCGGACCGTTTTCAGGGTACGGCGGGTCATAGCGCCGTTCAATAAACGGTGGTAAGCTAGACCACTGAAATATTGACGGCGCTTCCTGACCGACCAGGCTATCCTCCAGGGTTTGCGGTGGGGGACGCTGGGGTGTATTCCTCGAATATATAAACGTGTAGTAACATGTTCCTCCCATTACCGTGGCTGCGGTGCCTAGTTTAACAGCCCGGCTTGCTCGCCAGAAAGAGCGCATTGTAACGAAGAAAGTAAATCCAGCAAAAAGCGTAAATTCAGTGAAAACTCAGTGGCAGCTTGGGGCAACGAAAAGACAATGAGGAGAAGAGTAATCAAGGCAAAATGCGCTGATCGCTAAAATGCCATACTACAACGATTGCTCAAAACGGCAGCAGAATCGTAGCTCTGGCGGTCAATGGCACCGACAGAATGCCAGAACCCGGCTCTCGTGACTGCTTGAATTCGGCAAAGCAGCGTTTTGTCCAATCAGAGCACGTCCGTATCATGATCATGCCTCGACTTTATTGAATTGTCTGGTCGAATGATTTATACAACCAAATGACAACGAGCACACGCTTGATACAACAGCGTCCAGCAGGGTATCCAAAATCCTATATTAGTATTTCGGTGATGGCATTGTCATTTTATCCTATGACAGACCGATCAAGGATGCAATTAAAAACTCTAAACCGGCAAAAAAACAATGGTCCTTCAAAGAAATCTGGCAGTTGATTGATATGATACTGCAAAAATAAACCTGTTACTGGGCATCGACACGTCAAATATTTCCGTTTATTTTCTGTATAATGAATCTTGATATTATTCATCGCGGTACGTTGTTCTTGTAATATTGATTCATTTTTTAATTTGAAATCGCCATTGGCAAGTTTTCATGAATAAATAAAATAAATGAAAATATCATATCGGTTTTTAATTACACTAATGTAATTATGTTTTAAGAGGCTGAAATCCCTCAATATAAAGTTTATAATAATGCGATCTATTGTCGTTCCAGGAATATGCCATCTGTTCAACAAACATTTTTAGCAAACAATGATCTTCCTGTTTTTTATTTCAAAAAAAAAACCCCCCAAGGCCGCTTGCCCGCACCAAAAACGACTCGATTTTGTTAATCGATCCAGTCTTAGCTTCGTTGATACAGTATATTAAATCCAGTGCGAGATTATATATTTAATGAAGAAAAGAAATAATGACAATGCCTATCGATTCAGTGTACGTACAGTATATGCCCTCAAACAAAGTTTTAGCAGTATTGGTTTGACTTTATTGATTGCAAAAAAATGTGTAAAAACAACATTGTGTTTCACTGAGCCTACAAAAAAAAAAAAAAAAAAAAAAAAAAAACTAATCCTATTTCAATGACAATTATTTCAGTGGTGATCCCATCAAATACGGATTATATCAGTGAAGTAAAATTGCAAAGTGTTGGAGCTTCATGTAAAGCCCTAGTTTTGTTCTAATTAGACATTTTCGATTATAATGATGATCAATGAACTTTGTCGATCTGTAGTATAGAATTCTTTTCAACGTTTGCAAGAATATCTTTTTTCTTTTTTTTTTTTTTTTTTGCTTCATTTTAGATGACATATGCCAAAACACACGCATTCTAAAACACTAAAGATGGATTGTGCTCGCGATGATCTTCCCTCATTGTACGAGCCATGGCCACGACGGGGGCTAGAGCCCGCTTCAATGGGTTTACATTAATTTATCGCATGACAATGTTCTCATTCGGTTTGGGACGAGGCCAAGTAACTCCTTGCTCATGCGGATACTGTAAACACGATCTGCAAGTTACCAAGTAATGCCATTGACAATGTTTATACGGCAAGAGGCACGTTGCATTGGGACGATCATCATGTAAGAACAGTAATTCCATAGATTGAATTCTCAACTGCTTTTCTCAGGAGGATAGTCGTTTTTGTCATCTTTATCAAGAAAGGATCATCCACGTGGATATTCTTTTTATGCTATAGAAGTTAATTAATTAAGTATTTGCATATAGCGACAAAATAAACTCCTATCAACCCACATGGATCAATACAATACCCTTATTTTTTTTTTTTTTTTTGCAGGTGGCATACGTCAAACTTTGCTACGGTGACCAATCCTATTGAGGGATTGCATTCTGTGGTCGTCACTTGTGCAACCCAACGAATTGCATGAACCCATACAAAACAAATAAACATAGATCAGTATCGGCGGCCATTTGATGTACCATTTGATGTCAGTTGTCAAACCCATTTTGTTTTTCGTTGTCTTGGCTTTGCAATCCGGACTAAGGGGATTGCGAGAAGGGGTTGCAAAAAAAAAAAAAAATGATGATACCGCATCCCTCCTTCGTAAATCAAGGGATTATCGTATCAGCAGCGCCAAAGGTAATGGCCACTCTACAAATCCATCCTCGCATATCACTGGTCCTGTGAGTGGACCCCCGGTTTAGGAACAAACTTTGAAGTACAAAGAAAAAGAGTGGTATCCCGTCATTGCAAAGATGAAAGTAAAAATTAACGTTTGAAGGGCTACAATAAGCAGGTGGCAAATACACGCAAGACACCTTTAGGTGAAATCCATCAGGATCGATGCAATCCAATCGAACATCGATTACGTTTACACGTTTACACGACTACGATCAACAAAGCTGCAGTCATTGCTTACGATTTTGTTATTTCTACGTAATGAAAGCAATAGATCGAATACGTGGGATTTGGTAATGCTTGCGCCCCTTTGTTGCCATGTTTCCCCTAGAGGGGTAGGCAGTGATTCACCTCCGCTTGAGAGTGAGGCTAGTTCGGATTCCCTGGATGCACTCATTATAATTCCTACAGAAAAACACAGTATGGGATGCACCAATGCCCAAGGAATAAGTAAACAAAACAATTGAGCCACATTAGTGAGCTGCAAAAAGAAAAGGAGAAAGTAATAGAGAGAGAGTGACAGAGACATGCAAAACCTGAGAAGGGGCATTTGCACTGCAGAAACAGTTCAAGATTTCCGGTTTGACAACTATATAAAGGCGGGTGTTCAGCCGTCAAGATTTTTTCTCATCATCCACACACAGTTCTTTTACAACTCTTCACACTATCTCCAATCTCAATCAACATGAAGTTCTCCGCTGTTCTCGCTTTGGTCGCCGTCTTGGCTGTTGCCGTCTCTGCTGCCCCCTCCCGTGATATCGAACAAACCTCCGCTGGCAATGGTAACGAAGGCAGTGTTCACGGTGCCCTCAACAATGTTATCAAGGGTGGTGTCCTCGCTGACGAATCCACCAACGTCATGACCAACCAAGACGCTTAAAGCCTCTCTTCTGACCAGCTTCCATCTCATATAAGTCAATTGCGGTGTTCCATCACCCAGGAGACCCCATAGTAACATCCATTAGAGGCATGGGGATAATTTTGATAGTTAAATTCAAAGTGATTAAATAAATTTTATGACCTTTTGGGTCATCCATTAAATCGAGCCAGTCGTTTTCTTCGCAACTCGTCCATGTCAAAAGATGGATTGCTCTGTAGACTTGCTTCAATAGCTTTGGCTAGCTGAATCTCTTCGTCTTCCACATCGTCGTTTGGCGAATCCGTCAGTGAGTAACCTTTCCCGCTAAATCCGGATGGAGTTGAATCGGCTGTTATCTTTGACAACGTAGGCGCTATCTGATCAGCTATACAGTTGGGCAATGTGCCTCGCACCACAAAAACGGAATAGCCTGTCCCCAATGCATTAAGCATAAAAAATAAATGAGCCACTTTTTCAAACGAGACATTATTTTGATTATTCTATTACCTTCCATTTCAAACTGTTGCACTAAAAGCCCCAGATACGTTTCGCTGATGTGAGAAGGTGCACTCTGGGTGGAGTTTAGATTATACCATTGCCAAGGCACCGCGAACTTTCGTAATGTGAACCTAATGAAATTTTTTCCAGACGCTGTTCAGTTGAAGGATGTGGATTTCTTTCTGAGGGGATAAATGTACCAGTGTTGATGCAAGTTACAAATGTAAGCTGCTTCGTTCCTGTGAAATTTTCGTTTTGAGAAGCTGGTTCCTGGTGTCATGGCAGTTACCGAGTTCTTACTCTGGATGTTCGCGCGCTTCAATTGCTTCTTCTGATCGCCATGGTATTAACTCTAAATTCCAAACGGATAAGGCTTGCTGGATAACTTGGATGGAGAAATAGCCCGAGTCGTCATAGTTATGGCTGTCAACAGACATTTGCCGTCCGGCCATCATTCTTTCCCGGTCATCGAGTTCTTTCCCGATTTCAGCTAAATCCACTGCAGTAAAGTAGTTGCCTATGGACAGCGGTCATTCCAACTGCCATCTGAGTACGTTGTCGATCTCGTTGCCACCTATACCTTGTAACAGTGCGCTGGTTTTTTGTAAAAAAAATGAATTACTAACCCAGTTGCTTCTGCAAAAACGACCAAAGAACGGATGGGACACTCGATAACTTACTTCAAGGCATGCTGAGCGCACAAGTTGCCTTCTTGCTGTGATGAGAAAGATTGAATAGAAAACTCTCAACACTGTCATGGTGAAGGTCGGTTATACCTTTTCAAATACAATGTGGGAATCGAGATTCATGAGAAAGGCAAGGGAAAGGCGACAAAATTAGAATTCGGGATAGAATAGAAAAAAAAAGTAGTATTTTTATTGGTTGGCTTGCTGGAGAACAGCATGGTAATTTTCAGAATTGCGTTTGAGAATGTCCATCACCGGACCTAATAAGCGAGTAAATGCCTTTTTACCCAATGTGGCGCATTTTAAGCGACCATGCGCAACCACAGTAGCAGCACGGGGGCTATCATTCAATAAAGCCAATTCTAATGATGCAAAAACAGTGAGAAAACAGGACTCCTTTCACGGTGCTTGCGATTTTATTCATTTGCATCGCTGGCATATCTTACCTCCAAAGTAGTCGCCTTTACCGGCTCGATTCACTTCTTGCTGCTGACCATCGACAGTCTTGTAAAAGATGGCTTCACCGCTTTCGATGAGATAAAAGTTCTCACCAACGTCCCCTTCGCGAATAACGATATCTTTATCTTCAAACCGTACCGGTTCCAGAGCATCAGCGATCTTGTGACGTTCGTTGATATCCAAAGATTTGAGAATAGGCACTTCTTCCAAGAACTGTTCGTACATGCGTCGCTTTCTTGCTGTGTTTTCCATCAAAATGGATCGGAAGGTGACACGATCCAAAGCCCAGAGGACAGCGTCTGATGTGGCAGTGATGGTAGCCGCACGTGGCGCATTATACATCAAGGCCAATTCACCAAAGCTACCACCCGCATCGTACTTCGTTACCAGGTTACCGTCAATGAAGCAGTCAAATGTGCCAGATTCAACAATGTAAAAATAGTCTCCAACTGCGCCTTGTTCAATGACTTGCACACCTTCCGATACCCGTTTTTCTGCCATCGCATTCACAACGTCCATATACTGATCTTCATCCAAGTTCTTGAAAAGGAAGTTGTTGCCGATCGCTGTACGGATACGATCCCGTTGTTCATCGCTTTTAGGAATTACTGTCTTTACATAGTCCACGTTGTGAGACGGTTGAATAGACTCGGCACTCACAGAAGTACGACGACCACGGCTAGGTGGAATCGCCAGCGAAGGCAGGTCATCACCAACCGTGTCGCGTTCTTCATCTTGAAAATCTCTATCTTCGTCGTCGTCATCGTCATCACTCGTTGACATTGCTGCAGCCCCTCCAGCTCCTAAGGCGGCACCTCCGAGCGCCATGCCTGCTCCGTGATGGTCATGGTCCATTGCTAATGATGACGACATGCTGACTGTGTAAGTGGGCTTTTTTTTTCTCTAGTCTTTTTTTCCCGCCGTCAGGGTAGGGCGAAGTCAAAGAGGGTATTTACCTGAAGGGTGTGTTGGATGTGAACTTGACAAACGACCATGTTGGCGTGTCTGTGCACGTTCTGTTTCCAGCTTTTTGAGAAAAAATGAGGCGCAAAATTGTAGCAGGTCGTCTGGGTGCGCCTGAGCGATAGCTTGATGTAGTTCGTTGAACAAGTTGTGATACTCTTCCGATGACGTTTGCATACTTTGCTCGTCCTGAGTCACAAATGGGTGTACGTCTTCTGAATAACCAGCCATCGATAAAGGTTCTTTTGCGGAATATATCGAAATGAAAGAAAAAAAAGGTGGGGAAAAAGGAAAAAAAAAAAGAAGGTCGTTCAAACAATGCGAGACAAATTTTATTTTTTTCTTTGTGGGAAATGTCATGGCTCTTGTGTCGTCGGTTTCATTTTCCTACTCCGACGTAGCAAAGATGTCTCAAATGGCAACCAGATTTTCAGTCGCTCGTGCACAAAAAAAAAAAAAAAAAACCAAAAGGCAAGGTAGACACTGTTTTTTTTTACCATGTTTCATGCTTAATTCAATAATAATAACTAGTAGTCTACATTTTGCGATTGACTGGTAATAATACCAAGGATAATGCTGCCGATGATAACAAAGCCAACCACCACCGATGTCATTTTTACAACAACACTCAGCACATGCCGGATGTGCCTTTGAGTCTCCGCCGTACGCGTACTAAGTCCACCCCGATTCGATCGCAGTAACCACGCTAATATTTTATCTAAAGCGAACTCACCGTCCAACTTGAATGCCGGCAAAATATTCATAAGTGCCAATGCCAGGGTGAAGGAAGAGATGTATCTATACAGGTTGTATTTCAGCCAAAAAAGAAACACAGCTGTCTATCGCACGGATTCTGTACCTTATAAGTAACTCGGAAATATGGGGTAAACTGACAGGCAAAAACCAAAATCTGGGCACCAAGATACCAACCTTGACTGTAATCATATGTTACTGATTAGCTTTCCCATGTCTGCACCTGGTATAGATATCCAAGGGGGAAATAAAAAGGAAGGAAGAAAAAAAATGTGACACTTTACCACTTTCCCAGATATCCACCAATTCGCCTTCAAAGACGAATACCTTATCTTGCTGATCGGCTTCCGTCTTTTCCCATTCGGGTAATCGAGCATACACACGGACCAACTGACCTTTTACAGAAGGTGTGTAGGGAGTGACACATCGCTTGCCACTTTCATTTTGGCAATCGGTATCTGATTCGCACCGACGGACACCGGGCGACGCAAGTACTTGAATCGTAGGGAGACAACCCATATATTCTGGTTTCTAATGAATAGAAAAGTGTAGATACAGTTCAATAAAAAATGTAACTGAATTCATTGGGATGATCTAAATTGTGACGTACCTTGTACACTGTGCTAGAATGGATATCTTGAAAGCATGAGACCGATGCATTGGATGACTGTCCAAACGGAAAACCATCCGAGATTTTGCAACAATCAAGAGAAGAATCCGAAGAATCCATCACAGAATCTGCACAAAAGCCTTGAACAATGGGCTGTCGACCGGAGGGTTCCAGCAGATAGGCATTCCAGTCGGCAATGTTCTGCTCCAGACTGAAATCATTCAGCTGATAAATAACAGAAGAAGTAGCAAGGTGTGGCGCTAGTGGTGAATTGCTTCGCACACTGACCACACTGACACCCCCGAGCCCGGCTTCAAGAGATTGCCACCCGAAAAGTAGAAACAAAGATTTCAATCCGCCGGCCAAAAGCAAAAGGGTGCATCCATACAGCACGATATTGTGCCACACGCCGGCACATATAATCTTGAGTTGACGGAAAGGACTCAACATCTGCAGTGGTTGATCAGGAACATTGACAAAAGCACCCGGATAGATGTAATAAATAAAGATGCCTGCACTTTGAATTGGCACTCTTTCACTAAAGTAGTTTTCGACGCAGCAAATAATAGCGCAATGGTCAGTTATCCGTCTACTTGTTTTTTTTCACTTTTGACCTCCGTCTACCTACCCGAATGCTGCCACAGCGTGTCCTGCTTCGTGGAAAATACCGCAAAATAACAATGCGAGCAAATAATAACCAAGATGCGACATAGGTAAAGTAATTCCGGGTATCTAGGAGACATTTTACGTTAAGTTGCTGCTCTTATCCACCTATTGCCGTCACTCACCATGGGAAGAAACACTTGGTCGTCTTCTTCTGTGAGGGAGCGCTTGCTCAGCGGTCGGGGCTGGGTGTCCGAGGATACAGCATGGCCCAAAGAAATTAGGATTTTGATGGCGGCATAGCCAATGACGAGAGTGCCAACGATCATGATGAGTATAGAGACAAACGCTCCAATAGAGAACCAAATGTGCCAGAATCTCGGTGCAGCCTGGGCGAGACGACTGAAGAATGGATTCCAACGTTGCGAGGTATACTTGATCTGGAAAAGCTTGATGCTCCATTGATCTTTGGCGAGTGGAGCTGCTTCTCTTCGTGGATGGTCATGTTGATGTTCTATTGTCGATGTCGGCAATAAGCTGATGGCCGAATTGACTGTCGATTTACGTCGGTGCGTATCCTTGAAAAAGACAACAAGAATTATGCGGTTGAGCTTCCCACGTGGAAAAAAGGGCTCAGGCTCCTGCTAAAAGAAGTTTACCTTTCTACTAGTGTAAAACTTTAACAGAAACACCACGGCATATATAACCGCCCACATGCAGGCGAACTGCCATGCCACCGAAAGTAGATTCATCCAGGAATCCAAACACCTTGCCTCTGCACGACACTCTCAGAAAGCGTGAACCTTGAACTTTGTAGACAGTCACGACACTCAAAACCAGTACCGGGATTATGCAAACACAGCCATTCACACACAGAATAGGTCTTTCTGTCCACTCGAATGAAAGTTATCCTACAATATCTGCCGAAAATAACTTGTAGTGTCCATCACAGGCAAATTGTCTAAAGCCAATATATTGGTGTTTGCGTCTACCAGTACAATAATCAAGATGGATATACACCATTAGATTAAATAATTGAAGGCTGGTGCAAATAATACTAACAGAACCAAAAAAAAAAAAAAAAAAAAAAAAAAAAAAAAAAAAAAGAGAGAGAGAGAGAGAGCAAGGTAGTTTAAATGGAAACTATATATTTAGATGGAACATGCGCATGGCAAAAACAGTTGAATACATCTAGCAGCAACCACCACTCTGAGACGGCTGTACAGATGCGCCAGGGCCCACTTTGACAGTCGATTGTTGCTGTGTTTGCACAGAAGCACTACCCATTCTGTCCTTAATTTGCTTGGCCATAGTCAAGAAAGATTGTTCAACGTTTGTCGCGTCTTTGGCCGACGTTTCCAGTAACGGAATGTTTAACGAATCCGCAAATTCCTGTGTTAAAACCGATTCCCGTGAGCGAATGGCAAGCGGGTCAACAGGTCACAACGTCCGTTCCTTTACCTTTGCTGCTGTGTAATCGACCACCTTTTTATCCGTCAAATCACTCTTGTTGCCCACCAGCAATTTGTTAACGCCTTCAGCAGCGTAACGATCGATTTCCTTGAGCCACTGTTTGACATTATTGAAACTTTCCTGATCTGTCACATCGTATACGACAATGATGCCATGGGCCCCACGGTAATACGACGATGTAATGGTACGGAATCGTTCTTGACCAGCGGTATCCCACTATCGTTCCATAATATTATCAGTCTCAGGTACCTTTTCCGTCAAACCCAGTTCGTCCTTTTTCCATTTATCGTAGATTCCCATTTTCATTCGCTGGAGAAATAGCTTACAATTTGCAGCTTGACGGTCTTTCCTTCTAGTTCGATGGTGCGGATTTTCTGCCAAGTTTTGATTTTCAAAAGAAAAGAGTGAATACCCAGTGACACGCACGAGACCAACTTTTGGCTCTCGGATTCTACGGCTACTTACAAAGTCGACGCCAATGGTGGAAATGTAACTTTCGGTATAGGTATCATCAGCAAAACGGAGAAGCAGACATGACTTGCCCACTCCCGAGTCACCGATAAGCAAAAGCTTGAAAAGATAATCGCTACATGCCGAAAAAGCAACAATCAGGAGGTGATGGTGGTTTGGCGACCGAAACACCAGAGTATGCTTTAAGCATCATTAGTGCAGATGAGGATTGTTTATTGAAAACATACTATTCAGGATTCATGAAGTCTGCAGAGGTATATCGCAGTGCTATATGAAGATAAAGAAAAAAAGAAGACCAGGTATCACAATAGGAAAGGGGGAGGAAAATACAAATTGAAGATGAAATGGGATCACAAAATAAAAAGCACGTGAAAGCGAATGGCGTCATCAAAACTGCTTAGGGCTCTTTTTTTTTTTTTGAACACGACATCAGGACAGTCTTCTGCTATTATCGATTGCGACATATCGGTGTTCACTGTGTAAGGTTGACCTAAAGTTTTAAATGCAGACTACTTACTTTTTGGTAGCATTTTTAAGTTCATCAAAAGCCAAGACGTCCGTGTAACGACCGTTTAGTGAAAACGCTTTTTATCACCATGACGGAAGAACAAAATTATTTCTCTGCTTGCTTATCCCCTTGGTCACCCGCACTTATCCTATCAGATGATGGATTTAACCAAAGTAGGTGCGAAGGAACCGTTGCAGAAAAACCAGATTAGGTCGTTCGACTGGGCCTCTATCGCCAAGACTTTAGGTGGTTTTTTGGAAGACAGTTCACCGTCGGTCGTTCACATTTTTCGGATCAGTGTTTACTCCATTTTATGGCTAACTTCTTGAACAGCAAAAAAGATATTGAGGCGGTGGCGCGGCAAATTATTGTCTAAAACAACGTTTAAAAATGCCATGGTCACAAAAAAAGTGTTTTGTCGGATGTCCGGTATGCCCAGGACTTTTTTGTTATTCTAGTAGCTTCACGGTAATCTCCTGTCAAATGTTTGCATAATATATCGTTTTGAATGTCACATTCTACTCCTTCATCTTCCCGACACATGTAGTAAATCATCAGCTTGGAGTAAAGAGATTTGCCTTGGTTTTCTTTTTATTGCGTATCATACAAATTGGAGTGCTTTTCACGACATGCTGCCCTTTCTCATCGCTTCGTTGGTTTTATGGGCAATTTCTTGCTCTTGATCCTGATTTTGGATTTTCTCTTGTCTGGCCTGTTCCTCCATTTGACCCGTGCGTTCCTTTCCAGCAAGAATGAGTGAATACTATTCCTCAAGTTCCTCTCTTCTTTTATGACCTACCCATGACTGAGTGCTGCATATCGGGTCGTTCATAGGATTACCGGTATCCAACTCAATTTGACCAGACTGTTGCTGGTCTTCTCGGTCAGCTACTTCTTCCATAGTTACGTGATGCTTATTTGTTGACATTTTTTGTTTTCAGAGAAGTTTGAAGTAAAGAATAATCAGTTTTATTGTTCCAGTTCGCTTTTTTAAACTCGAAAAAACGGGGAAACGGGGAATTTTTTGTCAGTTTGACATCATATGAAAATACATAAATGGTGGTTTAGGGTGTTCAATTTCGCCTTTCTGTTTTGGGCTTTAAATTCATGCAGTAAAATTTACTGGTTAAGGGTTATGAGACCGATGGTTTCATAAACGTATTTCAGGCGGGTGTTGGTGCAGAGGGATTTTCGGGAAAGACAATTTGGGCAAACGTGCCACTTTGCAGCCAGATACGATTTAATACATTTAGAGCAGAAGTTATAATCACATCGGGTGCAATGATATGACTCGTGATGCACAAGGGGAATAGTGACCTCGCTGAATGCTTTTTTCCCTTTGACATTGCATAATAAACATTGCAACTCGGGTTGCATTAACAAGGCTTCGATGAAGAAAAGGTCGTCGGTGATGTGTTGTTGTTCTTGGTATGCTTTGTTCAGCAAACGTAGCCACAGTCGCTTGTTCATTTGATCCATTTTAAGTGCTTCCATGAGAGGACGTGATGGTTTGTATGCACCTATTTCGATATCCACGTTCGTTATCTCGTCATTCACGTCGTCTCGGTCCATCTGTCGGCTAGTTGAACCATATGCTTTCGTTTCATTGCGTCGAGAGTACTGCCTTGGTGGCTTAAAGTAGGGTAGTACCTGGCAAAATGAATAGATCGACTGCACTCGCTTCTCATTGCGCTCCGCTTTCAGCATCGCTCGACAATGGCGTCGCGAAAATGTCATCCGTGAATCCCCAAAAAGAAAGGAAAATGTATGAAGTTAGCTTAATTGTCTTGGTTTACCCTGGATTGCCTAACTGGACTTTAGCCGCAATCCATCCTACTAAATCATTATAGGAAAAAATACTTATCATCTGATGTCCAAGGTGCTGGATGGGGATCGTCCCTTCGGAAAAAGAAGCGCCAAACAATGTGACCTGTATGCCCTGTTTCCGGCCAGTAACGTACGACTTTGTATATGCCATCGTAACGATAGCCTTCTGACGGTGCAAAGTTTTGACGGCGATTGTCGAAACGGGTAACGTGTTGTTTTTGATGTCGTCCTCTAACCACGCGAATCGGTGCGCCTTCCCGCCAGCGGTCTCCGGCATCCGCTCCCATGACTGTATCCAATTTGGCCTTGCATGATTTCGCCAGCAAGAGGTTACTTCGTGTCAGTTCCTGGTTAAAAGTTTGAACGCCACTTTGTTTTTCACGTCCTCCACTTCCTGCGTAGTAGAATTCGTCACCGTAATCCTCGTCTTCGGGATAGTCTCCGGACATGACAATCGAAAGCACTTTTCCCAAGGATTGAGATCCGTAAATTCCGGCCATGGTAGGCCTGCAAAAAGACAAATGAAAAAACAAAACTCAGCTACAGGTTCCTGTTTTTGCACTGTTACCGTATGATGAGTACTTACCGATGAATGCCGATCGAACTCATTTGCAGTCGCAACTCGGTGCGGTAACCGACGGGAACATGCGGAAGGTGACCCTGATAATCGCGACCGAAAAAGCAGGATTCCAATTTTGATTTATCCGCCATTTTGATGTCGCTGGCCACCAATCGTCGATAGCGGCCGGATGGTGCAATTGTCCAAAGTTTGTTTTGCTGGATGAGCCAGCCTTTGTTCTTTCGTGGTACACGCGGTGCACCTGTGCCGAGCTCGTCTTGATCACCTACTGCGGTATTAATATGCATAATTCTTTTATCGTTGATGACATGATCTCACGCAGATAATACCTGAGGAACTTTGTTCGGGGGAGGAAGTTGGGCGATCGTAAGGCGAGTGGCGTGTGGTAGGCGTTGGACGTTGGCGTCTGATCGCAAGTGAAGAAGCAGCGGACGGTTCAGCTGAAATGGCACCTGTTTTAGCAAGCCATGAGCTTTTGCAATCCTTTTCCACCGATACTTACCTGCAGTAGTCTCGTTAACAAATTGTATATCAATCGGTACCCGACTGTCGTAATTAAGACTTGTGAGAATTTTGTGATCTTCCAGTGATTGACCCTTATAAAGAAGATCAAATGGAAGCAAGCCTACATTCCACGTTTTGCATATGTAAGCACGCAATAAGCTGACTTGAACATCGTCCATGTCAATGCGTGCATCGAGTGGTCCTCGATTAGCACTGTGGAGTCGAATGTGCATGGGTGGCTGCGGTCGATTTCTTGCTGTGAAGCTTGAAAAAAAAAGCAGGCAGGATCGATAAATCAATTTGGACACCGTCAAAAAAAAAAAAGGTTCACGCGCCAGGTGCGGACGCGGCGCGTCATGGTGACACAAAGGACACAGTAAAATGAAAACGAGCCAAGCCGATCGCATGTTTAAATTTGGTGTGTTTTTTTTGGTTCCTTATTCCTCATCTTTTCCTTTTATCCTTCTTATAAACATGCTTCGTAACTCCACCTGGCGTAAGTACAGTGCTCCTTTCGCCGCGGAAACTTGGAGATGATACAAAAGCTAATGTCATAACCATGGCAATGGCAGGTCTGGACGATACCAACCTGGCCAACTTTGGCTCGGAGCTGGAACGCGAACATCGTAAAGAGCAAGGGGCGCTCGAAGAAGCTTGGAACTATGAAGGCTCACCTATTGGCAGTGAAACGTAAGTCTTGACAGAGGTTAAAACGTCAGTTTCTCGGGCAACAGCTCACCGCCCCCACGTTAATGTCGCGCATCAAGCGGTCTTTGGATTTGGCGTGTCCAAAACTTCGCACTCGTCTCGGTTCCCCCGAAGATGTACGGACAGTTTTACCAAGGTAAGCTTTTTTGAAAACAGAAGAGAACCAAAGAAAAATTCTCATCAGCAGGAGTAAAATAGGTGACAGCTACGTCATCCTCAAGGTAGGGCAATGATCAACATGATATGTCCAACTTTGTCGGCTCATCGGAAATTCACAGACAACTAAAAAAGAGAACTCGGATAAACTCATTCACGATGTCCATTTTTGGCTCGGCCTCGAAACGACTCAGGATGAAGCTGGTACAGCGGCGTACAAAACCGTCGAGCTCGATGATTGTAAGTGTTAATGCCTTTAAGCTTGGATTGCTTGTATGACAACAAATCAACCAATCAAGCAATGTTCTAGATTTGGATACCTTGGCAAGCCAACACAGAGAAGTGCAACGTCGTGAATCGGTGCTTTTCAAATCGTACTTCCGCACTTTGACTTACTTGCAAGGTGGCTTTGCTAGCGGGTTCAACCATGTCGAACCTGAAGTTTTACCTACACGCTTACTACGCGTTCACCGCCCCGCCGCACTCAAAGGCACACGCACACAGAATGCAGTGGTTATTACTGAAGTGCCCCTGAGTCATGAAAGCTTGTCCTCCGGTGCTGTCTTTGTTCTGGATACCGGCGATACCATCTTCCAATGGCAAGGTGCTCAGGCCCGCGGTATTGAACGTGCAAAGGCGGCTGAATTTATTTCGCAACTGCTTAGCGAGCGCGATGGCAAGGGAGAAATGGTGGTGGTTGAACAAAACTCGGGCGGTGAATACCAATTCTTTAAAGCGCTTGGTTCTGAAGGTCCCGTTTCGGATGCAACGGAAGAAGAAGAAGAAGAAGCCGAGGAGATCGAAGATGAAAAGGCCGAAAAAGTCTTGCTTCGCCTTAGCAGCCACGGTCCGTTTGGTCTGGGTGGTCTCAAGTTCGAAGAAGTGGCACGAGGCAGTATCTCCAAGGATATGTTCGATACCCACTATATTTATGTATTTGATGTTGGTCATCAAGTATACGCCTGGTTTGGCAGAGAAGCTCATCGCAAAGAACGTCGCCAGGGATTGCAGTATGCGCAGGACTATATCAAGAACAACAACAAATCTCCTTTCACGCCTATCTGTAAGATTGTCGAAGGAGCCGAAGACGAACTCTTTGAGGCTTCCCTTGAAGGATGGCAAGGATGGTAATCACCCGTTGGCATATAAATTTCGAGCAAGAACCATCTATATACCATTATTAAAATGAATCCCCTTGAAAATGATTTTTACCCATGCGGGTTTGGTTCACGCTCAAGACTTGTAATACACACTGATCAAAAACAGATGATTATCAGATAGTGACATTATTTGAGTAAAGAAGATGCTGGTGGGTGCTCAAGCGTTTCCAATTTTACTTTTATATTCATCATCCAATGTCTGATACATCAGAGTATGGCTTAAAGGATATTTTGAATACAGCATCAATGGGTATCCAGGCTCTTGCTAAAATCGATAAAGTATTAATTTATTGTGCTCTTGCACAATCCAAAAGTGAGTGGTCATATCCTCTGCACATGGGGTTCACCCGCCGAACGTGCCCATGTGTCTTCGCCTGAACCGATATTTGATAACAGAGTGTGGTACGTCGCAGCAGCAGGAATCATATAATGTATTACTTTTAGCAAGTTCAAATCCTATTATGGATCCATAATATCGATTGGTCCCTGCTGCTACAGCACAACCATCGTACAGATCCACAAAACAAACTGTAAACTGAAAATGTGATACTGTGTTGCGGAAAACCGAGACAACGTTGAAAGAGCGCTGTCAATAAAATACTAATAAACTATCATACAAGAAAACAAAGGGAGAAACAATTGTTTTATTACCAACCATGGAAACTTTCCAGCCAGTGAATATCTGATGGCTCGCAAGGTCTATTATGAATGAAGAACTTTTTTGGTTGTCTATTTTCCGTCATGATGTGGCAAAGGCTTTCCGACAGCTCTTTGCCGTGGGAGGGGGTAGAAGGAGGATTGGGTAGATTAAAAGTGCGCGGGCGCAAGGTAGGATATTGAGTATGATGGCACGTACTGATGATGGAGTCACGAGCGAGTAATTTCGAAAGCAGTGAAGGGCGTGGTGTGGCAGGTTGGGGTTGCGTTTTTTTGAAACACTGTTCAACGGTCATTTGCTTTGCCTGATGACTGTCTTTGTATTTCGACCGTCCATTTACTTTTACAACATGATTTAACCTATTCATTTTAATATTTGCGTTGCCGTCTTCAAGAGCGTCTTGTTCGCAATGGTCGTCGTCTGCCATATCGTAATCGTCGTCATCGTCGTCTAGTAGGTCTTCATCAGCAAGAAAATCATCCTCTTCATCGGTATCAATAATGTAATGACTGTCATTGTCGTCCTCTGTATCGCTACTGCTGGTGTTGTGTAAATCTTTTTGTTCATCTTCTGTATCCCGTTCGCTCAGCGGTGGGGTGGTTGTGGGTGTTACATTTGAGTGATACCCTTTTTGGGATTCCTCGTAGCACCATGCATCATGATCAGCTGATAGAGACGCTATCAAATGCTGAGATGGGGCATGTTGTCGTCGATACCATAAACGCCAAGAGAGGTTTTCTAGTCGATACCCGTTTTTCAAATGCTCCCTACATTTGCTAAAGACTACAGAGTGGGGGTCGTCCGAAGATTTGATTGAATAGGGTCTTGTTAAAAATTTGCAGCATTACTTTAACCAGTGAACTTTTTTTGTTTACCAAACCAAAGGCTGTTCAAATCATCAAAATCCAATCGATTGAGCGATACTAGAATGGATGACTGACAATCAAACGAAGCTGCCATGAAATGTCCACGATTTAAAAATGCTCTCAAAGAAGAGAAATGTAAGCCAAAAAAGTTCAATGGAAGATTGAAGATGGGGAAGAAGAGAAAAAAGAAAAAGCAGGAAGCAGAAAGAACGTGAAAGAAATACAAGTCAAAAAGGGAAAGAGGTGAATGATTTCGTGTTATTGGAACCGTCCAACACAGCGAAATCAGAATAAATTATTGGAACAATCCACTGAGAAATAATCATGTTGTGGTATTGCTCGTTAGAGTTGGAACCAAATATCAGTTGACAATGGCGGGGCCTACTTTATTTTTGAGTACCAATCACGTTTTCTGTAGGTAATCTGAGCTGTCGCTTGTTCACACACGAGTTCACCTCGTATCAAAGCCTGATGTAACCAGGCTATAAAGTCATGGTTCATCTACTCAATGACTCATTTTTCAAATGAATCACGGCTCCCTTGATCATCACTAAGCAATACTCTATTATCCTGAGACATGCAATAATGTGTGAGCGGATAAAAACAAGGTACACGAAAATTCCGAGGCGCAATCATGGCAGCCACAATATGCATAGCCGCTCGCATCGTGATGATACATTGATACACCCACTACATATTTGGCTACAGAAAAAGGCTCCGTTGTACTCCAAAATCATTAATTTAGCAGAAACAACTTAAATGATGAAATTTTGTTGCTTGAAGGAGATCTCGACACCCGGTCAGGTCTTTCGTTGCCGTAGAAAGATGATAAAAGCAATATTAGAGTTGATATTATCTACCTAAGGTTTTTAGCTTTGACAACAGTTTCAACTTTAGGTCATTTGCCTCAAAGGCTTCTGTTAGCGTATCACTCTTTGCTGATCAGCTACATAAGCCACAATGCTTCATCATATGCCGGCTGGCGTATGTCAATGCAATGCGTTCATCTCACCGGTGAGAAAAAAAAACCAGGGAGGAGGTGGGGGGAGGGCCAAATGATCGAATACATAATAAACAATAACATAACTGCAAGATTGACAAATACGCTGGATATCCGAGATGGTACAATCTTGCATCATTAGAGTGGTTAAATTTAGCTGAAGTTAATGTAAAGATGAAGCCCTTGACTGTATAAAAGTTTCTTACGGATGCGGAACGCCAATTCCAAGTGGTTGTCGGAAATCATTCAAAGATGATTGATGGACATGAAGATCACATACTTTCCATGGATCATAGCGGTTTTTCCACTTTGTCCCAGTAACGAACTTGGTTGAAGCAATGACATTCATGAGCGATGCTGTATACTGCTATTTTACACTGCCCCTAAAACTTTGTCCTTGTAGGTTAAAAAGATTTCTGTAGTTATTAGGAGACATGATTAATGAAGAAAATGCTTTATGTGTGAGAAGGTTGGGATTGAGCCTCAGTTTGATTTGCGTACAATGTCACATGACGATAAATCTAAATGATGCGTGTTTGATAAGATTCAACTGCTGTTAATGGGTCTTCCGGGGTGGGGCCCGTAGCCTGACGTTGTTTCTCGAATAGTAATTCATGTGAGGCCGTCGGATGATAAAATGCAGGATGTACCTGTACATGATTTGAGGCCGTCTGCTTATTCAACATTCAATCAGAGATTATTATATACGTCGCTTTTGTACCGTATGCGAAGGACAATAGACTTACAGTAGGGTTACCTTGCTGCTGTTTCTGCAATGGTCGAGACATTTGTGCATATGGGTTGGTAGATGGAATAACTGACTCCTGGTGACGATGCACGGAAAATTCTTCAAATGCCATTGTTTGTTGCTGTTGTTGTTCAGCATAGAAGCTATCCATGGGTTGCCCTGTGACATTTGTTGTAGGCAGCATTGTGTTACTTGGGAAAGGATGACTCGCAGGCATTGCCGATACTGGGACATCATAGTGATACAACGGCTGCTGTTGCGTGATGGTTGTGCGTGTATCCATTGGCAACGTTGCCATTGTGGAGGTGACGTCTGCTCCTGTTGCTTCCCGCCCCGCAGAGTTGTATTTTGGTGGTGCATGTTGGCCGAAAGGGATACTGGTTGCGATCATCGGATCAGTGCTTGCATATGACGTTGGCACTGGCATAGTCGACGTCGGTTGTGATGACGATGGATAGGGGTTGTACGAAACACTGGTAGCTACGGATGTCGGTGGCAGCATGGAAGGCACCACTGGAACGGAAGTAGTTGCTTCGAATGATTGCGTTGAATAAACCGGTTCAGGAATGGGATTGTCATATATTGATGTCATGATCGGATTGTTAACAGACGTCATGGGCTGTGGAGGCGCTGTTTGTGGATGGTAGACTGGATATCGCGGAATACGTAAAGGGACACGGGTCAGTGGTCGATTGGGCAATCGACTTGTATAGTATGCTTGCTGAGCATTGGATAATAGGTACATGTATTGTTGATGAGCGGTTTGTTGCTGTTGATGGGTCATCATAGGGTGATTGGGGTTATGGTGCGCATAATTCCAGTCCTGCTGTTGTTGAGTGGCTTGCCATAAACCCATGCTTTTCAGTGTGGTTTCGATCACTGATTGTCGCTTTTCCTGTTCCTCTGCCTGATAAGCAATCTCCAACTGCTCCCTCAGTGCAAACAGTGAAACCTTCCAACGATCGTGTTCCTCTTTACGAACAAAGATGCGGAATTTTAAAACATCGAGGAATTCCAGCTCCATGATGTTTAGATCAGATACTTTCATCCCAGAGACATCAGCCCAAGTCTTGTTTGTGTAGGTGTTATCGTCCAAGAACTTATTCCCTGTCAGAAATTAATAATAAATGAAACCGTAAAAATATGTGATGGATTTTTGCATTGATAATGCTTACCAAGCATTAGGGCCACTGTAAAAAGTCGGTATTCTGATCCCTCGGCGCCTTGGATATTGGGATTATTTTGTAACAGCATGGCAATATATTTCAACGCCAGCATAACGACAGATTCGGAAAGTTGTGTTGCCGTCAATATCTATTGTTGTGTTCTTTTAATGTCATGCCTTTCTCCGATATATCGCACCATGACCTCTCATCAACGTACATCTTTGCAGAATCGCTTGAATCGAAGACTCGTCTCGTTGGCTATGGTGGCTGTCTCTCGGTTGTGGTCAGGATCCCGATGGACGAGTACATTGGATGTGTTATCAACCGATGCGCTGTGCAGTGCCATCACTGATGGTCGCCGAGCATGCCACATCAGATACACCATAGTAGAGGCAAATTCAGCGAGCTGAATCAAGGTCAGTGCAACCGTTTGTAACTGGGTCGTATGAGGAAGAGGTTCTGTTTGCGTGGCCGCAAGCGCCATGCCGTTCATTGTTTGCGGTGGGAATGGAGGCGGTATGACGTTGGTTTCCGCCGATATGTATGGATTATTATGACCCATGATTGGATAGTCTCCCTGAAGCAGTTGCTGAGAATGCTGAACCGGCTGTGGCAACTGCGAATACATGATAGCAAGCGATATCTGAATGACCCTGCTCAGCACAAATACATTCCCAATAAACCCAAAACCCAATCGTCAAGGTGACACGTCTTATTCCAGAACCGCTTGAATTTTTTTTTTCCTGATGGCTTTTTTTTTTTATTAAGGTTTCGATTGTGGCAAACCCAAGGGAAAGCATTTGGAACGAGGGAGCGGAGCAAAAGCGGGGTTCCAAAGAAGTGGACAACAGCATTGCGGCGAAATCAAAAGAGTCACACACACTCAAAAGATGATCAAGAAATGACCGTTGTCATCCAAAGACAGCGGGGACATGCTTTGCAATCAACACAACATGCAGTTGTTTTTGCCTGGGCTTTTGGGCCCTTTTTTTTTTTTTTTTTTTTTTTTTTTAGCTTTTTAGCTTTTATCCGAGTGGATAGGGATCATCATCAAGCGAGCTAATTTGCTTTACAATAAATTGATTTTATAGTAAAAAATTATCAGTAGTGAAATGAACAAATTTTGATGATGAAAGATGCAGGCAAACGGTAATCTCTTGCAGAGGCCGAAACGGGAGAAGATGATAGTAGCAATCACATCCGTGAAGCCCCCATGCCAAGGCAATAAACCCAGGTTCTCCGACCAACCCCAAGATGCAAAAAAGTCACCGAGAACAGTGAATCTTGTGCGACATGTCCCCGGTAGGGCAACCTCTTCTATTCTAGGTAAGAGATGATGTCATTCTTCAAAAAGTTAAAAGTACCATTGGTTCAACAAGGATGTATAATGGGAATTGAAAATGTTGAAGAAAAAGAAGGAAAAATTAAACGGTAAAATAGGTCACAGAAAATAATAATCATTCTTTCGCAGGCTCCGATGCTTCTGCGGAAGGATGACGTCCTAGATAAAGTGCATCACGTAACGGTGTGACACTGTCGTGCGAGGAAGACGAGGGCTTGGGGCTAACAGCTTTAGCATTTGAAGCTGATATCTCTTTTGGATGGCGCACGGAATGGGAGGATGAAAGGCTGGGAGCAGAGGAAGAGTGAGAAGGATTGTCGACAAAATGTTCTTTGAATCGACTGGAGAGGACGCTGGAGGCGAGAGCGACGGTGGATTGCAGTGTACGTGGGCGAGAAGTGGTGGAGCTGGCTGTAGAGGGAGATGTACTCAAGGACTGACCGCGGTGCTGGATAATAATACTCGTTAATAGTCGGCGCACGCGACGGCTCCATCGACCTGCATCTTCCGTAGATGACGATATGGATTTTTCCGGGTCGTTGGAATCTATTTTTGGATCTTTTAATTTTGACATTCGCTGCAAAAAACTAAGACTGCGCTGAGGCGAGGACGCTTTTTTAGCTCTATCCTCTCGTAAACGATTGCGAATTTGACGACATGAAATGCACACAACAACAGATAAACCGATGGCTACAGATACACCAAATCCAATGCCCATCTTGGTCTGGTATCCTTTGTCCGTATCCCAGAAATTCCGTGTTTGAGACCCAGTTGGGAATGGTTCCGGCGGATGCAGTAAAAAGTGACCTTGCCAACGATTGGCCACTGGGTCAAACAATGTTAACCTGCGGGTTTCATTGCCCTGGTCCGTTACTTCGTAAAGCGCCAGTAGATGACGGAACGATGTGGTGGCGGCACCGGCTGCAGGAGGGGTGAACGAGGGGTCCAAAGGTCGAACTAAAACGTGAGCGATGGATAAATCATGCATGAGCAGAGTCCAATACACAGTCGGGCTTTCATTGAATGAGGATGACGAGGAAGGTTGTTTTAGAGGCAAAACAAAAATCTGTTGTTCGGTGGTGCTGCCAAGGCTTCCGGCGGCTAGAGCAGATGTGGTAGTCCAGAAGGAGCCAATATAGCCTATCCATTGTTGTTTCACAGGATCGAAAGCATAAACGTGATTGGGATACTGATTATTGAGTTGTTTGATGGGGTCCGTATACAGATGGTAGACGTATGCGCCTGATGTGACTAGGGTCTGAGCTGCAAGTGGGGTACGTTCATTGGCAGGAATGGTGGACCACGTCCCGTTACTGGTATGGAAAAGGTACGTAATGCGCGAATTCTTGTCCAACGCAACAATGATATCGTGCCATGTTGCATAAGTAAAATCGGTTTGTGTAAGATTCGGCTGTCCTTTAAGTGCTTCATTACTCCAGTAATCGCGGTAAATATCATACGTTTGAAAGCGAACGCTGCCATCATGACCGCCAAAAAACACGGCAACTCCATCGGATGAAACCCCGCAAGCACTTCCGTTAGCAATCTGCTGACCAGGATGATCGGCCCATGCAACGTGGTTGTCCGTTGCGTTGAAGGGAAAACTTAAACTGTGAATGTTGGGTGTGGTACGGTTGAGCGCTGTTTCCATCTTGATCAACGCCGTCTGATTGGCTCGTGCCTCCGGCAAACCGTCATAGAAAAATAGGGTATCATTATAGCTGAAAAAACAGTAATTTGGTGGCGTCTCTGCGGCATCGGCCAATGCGGCAAAGAAGAAGACGATGCTCACAAATGCGGCCCACCAGCTCCATGGCCATGTTAATTGTTGTAAACCTCGTCTGTGGGTCATCAATCAAGTTTGAAGAAGCTCTTTTATGTCGGACTCTAAAGATGCCCAAAAAAAAAGTTTCAAAAGGTTAATTAGGAAATTTCTTTGCATCTTTATCATTTCCGGTTACGTTTTAGAGAGTGTTGAACGCAAAAAGACGAAAGAATGAAATTAAAATGACAAAATAAATATAAGATGTACTTTACATGAAAAGCGGAAACGAAGAGAAAAAAAAAGACGTTGCAAGCTATAGAAAAAAAAAGAGATGGATGCAATGGCCTTTTTCTTTTTATTATGCGCATTGGGCACAATAGGGGTTTATGCTGCATTTTCACCGAATGGGCACTTATGAAATCAGGAGTTTATGTTTAAAAAAGCCTGCTCCCTGAGATGCTCATATCTTTATTTTTTTTTATTTTTTTCGACTGTCGCCTGTTCTTTGTGCTTTATGATTTATTTATTTTTGTTGATTTTCTAGACAAGAAAAAATCCCCATCCCGGAATAAAAACAGAAAAATACTGAATCTTGACCCCCTGTTTTCCCTGGTGATATTACCAAGGTGACATCGGGTTCCAATCGATGTAACGTTTCTCTGGAGATGAGATGAAATGGGAAGATCCATGTGAAAGACATTAGTTTGGGGTCTGTGTGACAATGGCTGATGTCTGCTTCGATCTTCAATAGCCCCACACAAAAAAAATAAAAAACTATATAATTAAACTACGGCCGTTGAAAAACTTGACTGATTTTTTGAAAATCAAACGAACATTTGATCGGTTCGGCGTTACCCAGAACGAAAAACCGAACCCTTGAACTCAAACCTGCTGTCTCCTTTTTTCTGTCTTACGGATCTCGCAACCGGTTTTTGGATTTCAGATCGTTCGTCTTGACTTACGAAATATACCATTCCAGAAACGACATCTGTCATAAAACAAGAAATCAGTTTCCATTCGGTCCATTGCCTTAACCGTTTGCCATGACAGGGTCTTCTTATTTATATCCTGAGTTCTTGACCAAGGATCAACTTGCCAATCTCAAGTTGTACAAGTATGCAGCGATTGATCGTTCACTGACTACCAAGTACGTGCTGAAGCACTACTGGAATTGGGTCATTGAACTATTTCCCATGTGGATGGCGTAAGTTGTTTTTCTACTTGATCTCGTCGGATATTTTTTAAACCTCAGGAACCCGTTGGGTCAGGGCTAACCGAACATCCTTTTTTTTTCCTTGACCGATCGTCGTAATAGTCCCAATTTGATCACCTTGACAGGTCTCATGTTCATGATGTTCAATGTCGGTGTGGCGATGGTTTATTCTCCCGATATGGTGGACGGTCCTCGGTGGATTTATTTCAGTTTTGCAGCAGGGTTGTGGTTGTATTCCACATTTGATAATGTGGACGGCAAACAAGCTCGACGTACAGGAACCTCGAGTCCTCTCGGTGAATTATTCGATCACGGTTGCGATGCGCTCAACTGTTCCTTTGCAGCTATCCTTCAAGCAACGGCGGTCGGCCTGGGTAACTCGATGACTAGTGTTGTTCTCTATGGTCTCGCCATGCTCGGCTTTTACTTGTCGACGGCAGAGGAATATCATACCGGTATCTTGTATCTTGGATACGTCAATGCTCCCACGGAAGGTGTTATTATTTCCTGTCTCGTCTTTATACTGTCTGGCATTTATGGACCTGGATTGTGGCAAAATGCTCTCGGTGATTACGTCCGTGTACCGGCGGCCCTTGCCAATGTCACCCTCGCCAACGCTTTGGTAGGCTGGCTTGTGCTCATGTTTCTTTTTACACATGCCCCTGTATGGTAAGTGCCGACTCTTGCATGGCGTGTGATGATCACAAGGATATGCAAAGAAAAAAGGATCACGACATCTCACGGTTTATTTTGCTGCTAGTTTTTATGCAATGTACAAAGCATGCCGCAAGAATGAAAAGCCATTTTTGCAGACGATGATCATCGAAAATATGCCCATTGCCCTTTATATCTCAGCATTGTTTGCATGGGTATCTTCACCTTACTCTTACATTCTTTCGCATCATCATTATGCTTTGTTTGCCATCACAACTGGTTTTGTGTTTGGTCGCATGGCATCAAAAATCATTTTGGCTCACCTTACCAAATCGAGATTTCCCAGATTCACCATTCAACTCGTGCCGTTGGTGGCAGGTGCAGTGATTGCTAACCTTCCGAGAGTTTTTAACATGTAAGTAATGCATTTGCTGGAATGAAAACAAAGGAGAAAGAGAGAGGGAAACAGAAAAAGGGAAGCAGTCATGGATGGATAGGGAGTCCCGTAGGAAAGTGGGGAATCCAAGAGGGTCTCGAGGGATGGGGGACGATGGCTGTGCGGACCAAAATGAACGACGGTTTAACCTTATACTTTTACCTATTTGCTTTTTTCTCTATTGGCGATTATCGTTGATTAGCTCTCCTATCTTTACACCTGCTTCTGAATTCAAGTATATTTGCGCATTCTTTGCATTTGCACTGATTGCTTATCTTCGCTGGGCTTCGCTTGTGATCAACAGCTTCTGCAATTACTTGGGCATTCACTGCCTGACGATCCCCAAGCGAACCAAAACATTATAGATCGGGTGCACAGCAGATGGTTTCGACTTGTTGATGTAGGTCTTGCCCTCTTTGATCATCATTTTTTTTATTCCCCCCTCCCCTTTATTTTGTTTCTCATTCGGAAATCATCATGATTATCCGCCAACGACTTCCCTTGCATCTTATCATGATCCTCGTTTACCCATTTTTCCACCATCATTATCATGATGCATCTCATTTGAGTATATCGTACACAAATGAATGATGCTTTTTTCTTTATTTACAAATAAATATGCAGACTTGCTTTTTTACAACCATTTCTTGGTGACACTGGGTCCCAGGTCGCCTGTATCCTCCAATATCGGATCGTCCGATCGGTCCGGTAGTCCTTCCAATATGGACGCTTCATTTTTTGCATCTTCATCATCCGATCCCTTTGATTTGAGTTTTTTGATTTCTTCATCAACAAGATTCGAGAATTTCTGCATTGGCGATGGCTCATTCTGTTCAAAGATATTTTCTTCATCGGTCGCACTGAACACATCCTCCGATAAAGACGTCAGGGTCGTCACATTCAGGTTGCTATTCAGCGCATCATGGTGTAATTCTGCAAGTATATCTTCGGTGCTGGTATTTTTGAATGCCTGCATGTATGTTTTTAGCACAATGTACCATCATCTCTCTTTTTTTTTTTAAAAAAAAAGGGCCTACCATCATGTACTGCGCAATCGCTTGACTATATTTGTGCTGCAATTGGTAGATCATGCCTATGGCTGTCCGTGCATCAGAGTTGGCTGGATTCTTGCTCAATGCCAAATCATAACATTTCAGAGCTTGTTCATAATCGCTGCCCATTTTATAAGAAATTATCTGTTAGTTTCTAGGCATAGACCGGTAGTAGAGATGCACGTCAATGACGTACCCTAGTTGTCGATAGCAATGACCAATGTTATGCCATAATCTCTCCCAAATAGGGCTAAACATGCCTTGCCGATCTTTCGCTACTTGAAGCGCGGATCGTAGATAATGTAAAGCGCGACCATATCTAGTAATCAAGCATCAATACTAACGCTGTTGGTTGCCGCTCACGCAAGGACAAAACAGCAATTCGTCCCCAATGATGTTCTGACTTACTCTTCGCATCGATAAAAATACACCCCGATTTCGTTTAATACAAAGGGATCGTCTCCACACTTTCGGTAGCTCAGAAAGAGGTTCTGCTGTGCGGCTTCCATATTGTTTTGGTGCATATATTCCATGCCGATATACATATAAGGTAGATGAGATCCTGGTACGCGAGTGGCACAATTTTTGTAGGCATCAATGGCTTCTTCATGATCGAATTCTGCAGCAAATGCATGACCCTGCAACAACCACGCGGCTTCATAATGTGGATTCATTATCGTTGCTTGTCTAGAAAAATTAAAAAAAGAAGAAGGCTCAGACCCATGATCTACTTTCTAAAAGGTGGAGGAAACCGAATCCTTACCGAAGGTAATGCCTGGCTTCAGCATATCGCTGGCAAGACATATAATAGATACCGACGGCATACCATGTCGCAGGTTCATTATTCAAACGATCAACAAGGTATTCAGCCAATTGGTATATTTCCGTCTTCATTTTCAGCTCGTAAAGACATGTGAGGTATGGTGTCAGATAACTGATATACATTGCATCCCGTTCGCGGATCCTATAAACACAACAACATGAGCAAGAACAAGGCGTAATTTACTTCCATTGAGCTAATATTTTTCAACGCACGTTTCGCATATTTTGAGGCATTCTTCGTACTTGCTTTCCATCAACAATCTTTCTGCCTTGCTCTGCAAAGCATCGAGACTGTCTCCAAGATGATATATATTCTCCAATTTGTGTTGTGCATGGGTCACTTCGTCAAAGTGGTTGAACTACATACCGGCGCGAATTAGACAGACGAAAAATAAAAAAAAACTGCGCTTCAACACCATACCTTTCCAGATTTCAACATATACATCGTTCGGAACAGGTCAGCGTCCTCGCCGCATTGGGTTTCAAATGGTAAAGTTTCTATATAATTCCACTCTAGCATTGTCCATCAGTCTTTTTTCTTTTATTCCCTCCTCTTGTCTGTGATAAAGATCGCGTCATACCTTCGGAGGTTTCCAGTAGATTATTTTTCACAAGGGCATCCAGTGCCTACCACCATTCAATGCAGAGTTGAGAAGCTGTTATTGGAGTAGGATGTCGGTAATAGATCACTTACGTCATAGCATTTTACGTCGAGTTTGAGAGCTTCTTTGTAACACTTCTTTGCTTCGCGGATGTTATTAAGCTTTAGATAAGCGTGTCCTCTGAGGGTGCATAACAATGCTTCGGGCTAAAAGGGGGAGGTGACTTTCCAGTGACAAGTATAGACAATGAAATTCGATATGAAGCATACCACGGTACCATTATATCCAGAATTGCGATCTATTTAAAAAAGTAGATTGGATTATTTCATGGAAACTCTTTCGCAACTTGGGTTGCATGAACTTACCGACATTACTGAACGGATTCACGGGTGCGATATAATCCAGAACATCCTCCCACTTTCCCAACGCATACTGATGAAATTTCTTGGTATTAGAACAGGCATACATCCAGGGAAAAAATACGACTGATTGATTTGAACTTACAGAACACAGGCCAGCCAAGTATCGGCACATTACTCTTTGTGAAATCATATTCTTTTTGTTCAGTAAATCCAAGCAACGTTCATATTGTTGCGTGCGATAATAGGCATCGGCCAAGGCATGAATGTCGTCGATGGCGTTGGTGAGGATCATCACTTTTTCTGCATAAAAAATGACTGCTGTCATCATTTTATCAACAACTGCCCTTTCTCGAGCATCGCGTAACCGGTTGATCATGTCATGAATTTCCGCATTTTGCTGTGCCATTCCAAAACCCTCCGACTCGTTGGTTTCCCCGACATTATTCAGATATTCGCGGTGTCCTCTTGTTCTGGTCATATGCTGAGCATTGCTACGACGTCGAGACAGCCAGTCCAATTCCAACGGTGAGCGGGCAAACAGCCGAGCCATGTTGAAAGCGGAATTATGGAAAGGAGAGTTTGGACCGCCAAACACAGGTGAGGGAATGGTGTATGCTCGCGATCCGTAGGGTGAAGCAGATACATCGCGATAGTAAGGAGTAGGCGGAGTGCGATCGCTACGTGGAGACAGCTGCGAGTTGTGCACGCTACCACGAAATGAATGATTCGGACTGGTGTTGAACGGATCCTCGAGTTCAACAGTCGATCGCAGAGGCGACGTCAAATCGTTGTGTAGAGAGCTTCGCTGCGGAGAGCTCCATGAAGACATGGTATTGAAAGAGCGTGACAGGCTACTCTGCGGTGCCGGAGGACAAAAAAAGTGCCTGAAATGCAGTGAGTCCATGTGACTGTTCTTGAGAGCTCCTTTCTTTTTTGTCCAAATCAGCAACGTCAAAATCATTTAAGTGCTCGGTCGAGATGCATTTATTGTCGCTGCGTCCCAATTTTTTATTATTATCTCTATGTCACCGAAATCATGGAGTGAACGACCGTGCAGGAATGCTGTAAGGCCAGTCAACGTTGATTTCTTCTGCATTTTAGTCCATAGAAACTTTTTTTTCTAAATTTATGGGATACATTGGGATTAAATATTGTTTTCTAGTGCGCACTGCATCTATTGACTTAAATGCTGGGGAAATTCTATAGAGATCGATTCCACATGCGCACATGGGGAGTACCTTCTTCCATAAACCCGGCTTCATCCTCTGCATCAACTGTAAACCCGAGTTTCTCGTAAAAGCCACGCTTATCCACTTGAGCATGCAGGACAATCGCCTTCAATCCGGTTTCACGTCCATGCTGTTTCACCGTTTCCACGAGCAACCGCCCTAACGCCAGCCCACGGGCCTCTTTTACTACCGCCAAACGACCCAACTTGCCTACCCCTTGTGGCAATGGAAATAAACGAACTGTACCAACAGGCACCTCGGTTACAGTTGAACCATCGTGACGATCACAAGTCAGTAGCCAATGTGTAGACAAAGGATCACGTCTATTAGACATCAATATCATAAGTCACTGGTCATTACTTGGTATTGATTCTGAACATTGTGCTATGCTTACTCGTCGATCTCGATGGCTGCATCGTACTTTTGTTCATCGACAAACACTGTCATACGGACATCAAAGCAAAATTGCTTATCTTTTTCATTGCGGACAACCCGTACTCTGGGGTTGGTATATTGAACAGTAACAGCGGAAACCATAACCCTGGGATATCAATCGTTTCGAACATCGAGAAATGACATTTAAAGTTTTTTACCATCGATTCGCACAGTTTTTGAAATCCCGATTCAGGTTCCTTTCTGTTTCTGCGAAACAATTGAATGCTAGTCGATGAGGTGTTCTTTCATAAGCTGACTCATATCCATCCATTTTCATTTTACTCTTTCTTGTACTAACCATTTTAAGTCAATCAATGTGGAAATTGATGAGATAAAGTCTTGCTGCGGAAGGCCTTTCCATAATCACTTTTATCGAACGCAAACATGCATCACCACACACTTCCGACGTCGAAGCGTTTCCCGCAGAAAATTTATTGAAGAAAAAGCTGCATAAAGCCAAACATCAAGAATGGTCCATCACACTATTATTCACATCAGATATACTGAATGATTGTGGCAACGGGTCTTTGCGTGCCAATAAAAATATCACAAACACAGAGATTACATGTGCGGCATTCATACAGCAGCAATTAGCCAGCATCGCAGATAATACTCGTAGCAACAATGTCGCACATCTTGTAGCTTTTCAGTGTAATTATTTCTTCTTTTTTTTGGATCCCCAAGAGGGAACTTCAAAAAACCTCAGGGTAGTCAATGCGGGGCCAAAATCCGGCACTGCCACTGCGCAGAATACAAGTCACACTAAGGTGCGTGCTTTGAACTCGGATTGTCCATAAATTTTTTGTTTCTGGCACATACTGGTTGAATCAGAACTTACAGCCATTGTCACTATGGGAGATACAACGGGCCGTAAGCCGACGTTTAGTCGTCTTATGGGTATGAAGGTACGAAGTACAAACAAAAAGTTGGGCAACATTACGAGACATGCTGGATTAAGTGCTGATATACATGCTTGACCATAGTTCATGCAAAGAGGCATGGAGAAAGAAAAGCAAGAACAAATTGAGAAAGAGCGAAAAAGAATCATTTCTGAAGCGGAATGGGTGCTGGAGTACGAATCGGACGCACCCCAAAAAGCGTAAGTTTTTGACCTAGTCGAAGCATGGATCCAACGACCGATTGTCCAACCGAACGTGTATTTGGCATAGATCATTTCAGGTAGAATATCAACCGAGTTACCTTGCATTTTCCGATACTGCAAATATAGGAAGAAAGTCATTTCAACAATTTAACAAAAGCATCGAGGTAAGCTATGAACAGTGAGGTTTTTACGGGTAATACGCTGTATGTTGACCGAAACTATCATCCAGGCTACAGCAGAAGATGTCGAGAAAGCGCAACAATTGGAACGTGAGGAGGAAAAGGAGAAGGCTTCAGCTGTGGATGATAAAGAGATGCTTGATCGTATGAGCACCATTCGCGAAATGTCGGAAGGGAAACGAAAAAACAAGTTTGCAGAAGATGGCGCCAAGAAGAAAAAGAAGAAGAAGAAGCAGCAGGAGCCATCCGATTTACCGGCACCTACGGCGAGTGGTTTTATCAAACCCGAATAAGCTGTCCTACACTGACCTGCTCTCGATAACCGATTCCTCTGTATATATGTTTTGTGGCGAACAGTGTCCTAGCTGTTTTTATCGAAATTTTTGGTACGATTGATGTTCAAAAAAGTTATTCTACGTCGAAATCAATGATTCGACGATTTTTTCTCTTCATTTTTATTTCTCATGTCATTTGGTTCTTATCGATAAATAACATTTTATCATTGCTCAAATATAAACAAATAAAAAAAGTACGTAGATCACTCACTCGATAGGTGGATCAACTCCTGATAAGGACATAACGCGTTATCGAATTTTATGCAGATCGCGTATGTTTGCGATTAAAATGCATTTACTTATCAAGACCTTCACAAAACAAAGATGCCGTACAATTTAATTGATTGAATTTAAAAATAGGAAGCGAGGGAATGAAGTTAAGTTAAAAGTAAATTTAAAGTCATTCAAATAAGAGAGAAAACCAAAGGACAAAGAAAAAAGATGCATTAGACAAGCTAGACTTATTGATGGCTGAAACGGTTTATCCTATGTCATGAGCATTACAAAAGTGGAATCTCGTCAATTCAGAGCGATTGGTGTGGTGTGCTGTGTTTGTCGCCTCTTTGTGATTATGTCGTTTAACATGGCAAGGACTCAGCGAATATAATTAAATCTTCAGCCTGTATGATAGACTATCGTTTGCTTCTTCTTGATCAATCATTCCCCAGTTAATGTTTCTGTACGACAAAAAGTATAAGTTTATTCGATAGAAAACAACGATGGTGTGATGAGGTAAATATTCTTTAACCCATGATTCTTTAGTATGGAGGATATCAATAAAACAGAAGTGAAAATTCTATCAGCTGCCGGCTATCATTTGCTAAGTGTGCTGCTTTAACAAACAATGAAATCACGAACGAAGATTCTTTTGTGTATACGAACCATACTTTTCCCAACTGCGCAACAACTCCCCCCCCAAAAAAACCCCCCTTCTTCGTAGCCTTTATCATCATCTGTTTTTAGTTTTGCCTGCTCCTTGATGATTAGCCTTACCAAGGCATGTAGAAATTCGGCAAAAAAGAATGTCATATTGAACGCCAGTTTCTGAAAGCTTTTAATGCTACCTATTATGGGGACAAACATCGACCAGAGCCGAACATGTGATATGCAGGCTCGATTTCATCATTAGATCAAAATTGCCGTATTCAGTGCCGCATGGAAGAATCCGTTTCATGCCGGCTTTTTCGCATTAAGCGTGCTTAAAAAAGAGTTCCCTTGCACATTATTGATCATGAATCAATTTTTGCCGAGTCTATGAGAGATTTTACGACTAATAGAAAAATGGTATAAAATGAAGTCTTTACTACGAATGGTCCAACAACATCTTTCGAGTTTACCATGAAATCTTTCACACTAGTCATCTTTCTAGTCTTTGCTGCTTCCGCCGTGATGAGTTCACCTATTGTCAAGGAAGTCAATGAAAAAGCTTCCAATACCGAAATTGGTAACAAATTGCATTCATGATATGATACTTCAGGGCAAGTTGCTGACTCAAAATAACTTGGCCAATGTTAAAGGCGTTTCAGAAGCCGACGTTCGTCAGAAACAACTGCTGGGTTGCTTGATGGATATTTGCAATTGGGACCTTTGTCCAGAAAACTGTGTGTAATAGTCAGCTTTGGCTTGAGAAATATCAATCAAAGAGAGTAATCCACTCAGTATGTTTCTTCGTTTCCCTGTTGGATTGATAATTCTGTAATAAATAAGAGCAATGTTCTTTTATGTATTTGATGCAGTTTTGAAGGAAGTGTTTGTGCCTTAGACAGCGGATCATGCTCTGTTGGGACAATAACTATTGTATACTCTTTCTTTTGAATTACGATTAAGACATTGAAGGCTGCCGTAAGTATAGGACCTATCCAGATCGTCCAAATAGCTCTGGTCAAAATGTCACCAACCCAGCTTCTTCGTCGAGTCATTTCTTTTTTTTTTTTTTTTTGTGCGCCATACCTGGCAGGAGAATTGTGACTGCCAATTTGGTATTTTGATGACGTAATTTCGACAGTTCGGGCGCTGCTGCTGTAGCGTTGGTGGGGTCAACTCAACCCCTGACAGGCTATTGTGTTGTTTGCTGTTCCTTGTTTTTGGTACCGTATCGACTAGCCGCTTTATCAACAATTATGACTAGTCTATAATCCTAACATTCTTTTTTTTAGCTGCAATGGCTTTCCGTTTGTTGACCAAAGGCGCTGCAGGTAGAATTGTTAGAAAATCGCTCATGCCCGCCCATTTGCGGAACACGCCCATATTCAACAAACTTTTATTATAATTTACAGCTGCCGCTCTTCGCCCTACTTTGACTCTTGCTACTCGCCAAACGGCCGTTAGCACTGCTGCGTAAGTGAATGGATGCAAGTTTCCACCGAGATTTTCGTGCTTACATTGGTATTATTTACAGTTTGCGTTCGTACTCGACTCCCTCCGAATGTAAGTAATTTGAATGATTTTCTTCAGACTATGCGACAAGATAAACTAATTCTTTCCTTGTAGCCGAACCTAAGCAGAGCTCCAGCATTATCGACATGCTTCCCGGCAACTCCATGGCTGCCAAGGCTGGCTATGTGACTGCCGCTGGTGGTTTGGCATCCGTCGCCATTGCCAAGGAGATCTACATTTTGAACGAAGAATCTCTCGTTTTGTTCTCCACCACCGGTCTTATTGTTCTCTTCTTGAAGTACCTTCGTGAACCTTTCAGCAACATGGCCAACGAACACATCAATGTAACGTATAACATATCATTGTGGTGGCTATCACCATGCGGGATCATACTGACGCGATTATATTTTTTGGTTTACAGCGCATTAAGTCCGTGTTGAACAAGGCCCGTGACGACCACAAGGTCGCTGTGCAGGAACGTATTGAACATGTTGGTCAAATGAAGGATCTCGTTGAAGTCACTCAGGCTCTCTTCGAGCTCTCGCGTGAAACTGCTCAATTGGAAGCCGAAGCTTTCAAGTTGAAGCAAGAGGTGGCTGTGGCTCATGAAGTCAAGGGTACCTTGGACGCTTGGGTTCGTCACGAAAGAAACGTCCGCGAACGTGAACAGAAGCAGTTGGCTACCTACTTGATCGAGAAGATCCAGCAAGATTTGAAGGATCCCAAGGTCCAGCAAGATATCTTGAACCAAGCTGTGTTGGATGTTGAGAGTATGTATTGGTTGAAAGAAAAGAGTGATAAGGATTGGTGTGTGAGTAATGAGGGACTAATGACCGATTCGTTATTTGATAGAACTCGCTCGATCTGCTTAAGTAGACAAAACTACAGACATTTCCTAATAAAAAAAACCAATGCATTTGTATATTGAAAGTAAAAATGTTAACAAATTCGAAGCTATCGACTGAATCCTAATCCACCGCGACGACCCATTTGCTGCTGCTTTCTGAACTGAAGTCCATGCTGGAATTGCTTTTCAAGATCATTGGCGATTTTTTCTTTTTCATCTTCATCGATAGCACTTTTGAGGCCTCCATACAATCCTCCTGATTTCTTTTTAGGTGCGGGAGTCGCGTCGGTGCTCTTGTTACTCTCCTTCTTGGCGCCTAGTAAACGCAAAAATTTGTTCTTTTGTGCTTCATCCCCACCAAACGACGCCTTTTCCCAATTATTCCAGCCGCCTCGTTGTTCCACTGGCTTTTCCTAATATTATGGCGCAGGTTCACTACGTGTTCTTGTATAAAAATGATCTCATTATTGAGTGACTCACCTCTGCATGAGAGGCAGTTGGTGCCTCCTTCACAGCAGTAGACTCCTTGACAGTGTGCTTTGATTTTTTGTCTTTCTTTGGTACTTCTTCAACGTGATCGTTGTCTCCATGTTTTCGCTTTTTGTCTATCCAACGATGAATACGTGCATTGCCTACCAACTATCGGTAACTATGAAACTTACTATGATCTGCTGTCACATCCTCTGGTTGTGCTTTGCCTTTCTTGTCCTTCTTTTCTTTTTTATCCTTTTTCTCTTTCTTTTCTTTCTTTTCCTTCTTTTCCTTTTTGTCCTTCTTTTCTTTCTTCTGCTTCTTTTCCTTCTTCTCCTTGATCATTATGCATCGTCAGATCAAAACTTCGAGATGTTGTTGCTATCCTGTGATATGGTACCTTTTCGACTACTGCTTTATCTGATTCAACGCTTGGGGACTTTTCTTTCTTGCTCTTCTTTTCGCTGTTTCCACTCATGATGTTCGTTGGATTAGTTCAACTTGGGATTGGGAGTCAGAGTTGGAGATTTCCTTCAAAAAAAAAAAAAAAAAAAAAAAAAAAAAATTGCAAAGGCGTGAAAGGACAAAAAAAAGGCCGTCCAAAGGAAGGCGGAGTCTTATTTCTGGACCAAAAAAATATATTAAATCTACAAAGTACAGGCAAAGAATATGGGTAAAGGAAATATACACTTAGATGAAAAGAACAAGAAAGTCAGAGAATGGTAAAACATTAAATATGAAAGGTATGTGTGAAAATCAATAAATGATGAGGGAGTCGTTTTACATTAAGTAGAACGTGAGGTAATACGAAACGGAAGAAGGTGGTAGGTCTAATCATGCTGAGAGACGCGCTGGTAATCGCTGTTTTGCGATAGTTCCATAGAGAGGCCCTTTTCTATATCGTCATCATCGACTGGTGGTAACTGCAGCATCCTTCGGACCCAACGTTGAATGGATTTTCCCCAGATGATGGGTACGAGAGAAATAAAGGAAACGAATAGGAGTTTCAGCAAAAGTCCGAAGGATAAAATATCGGAAGTGGACGTTAAGCTACCGAGAACCGCTCCTGCTTGGGCACAGATGAAATTGTAGGGCATGGAACCAAGGAAAGTGGACCAGAAAAAGGGCCCCACAGGCACTCCTAGAAGCGGAGATATCAAATTAATGAACCAATATGGGCTAAACGGGAATAACCGAGCGAAAAGAAGCCACCAAAACAGGTCCGTCTTGGATTTCTGTCGTTCCATTTGGCGTGTGAAAGGTGCCGCTCGTTTGGCCACCCACGGCATGCCCAGAAAAGGTTCACCGACAAGCATTGCCAATCCGTAGGCTAGAGTAGCCCCTGCTGCGGTCAAAGCGCTGGTCCAAACGGTGGCAAAAGGGATGCCGTACAAGTGCCCTGCCAAAAGATTAAGAAGCACAGACCCCGGAATGGAAAAAGCTTGCTGCCATAAATAAATAACGGCAAAAACACCGAGAATCGATGCATAATCCAGCCAAGTAGAGGCTGCCATGGTTTCGAGGTGACGAGCAATGGCTTTGACATCGTCCAAAGTCTGGGGTAGATTGATCTCCAGTACTTGATGGGCCAGGGTTACAGAAAACAGTAGTGATATAAACCCAATGACCACAAAAAGGGTCACGCGCGGTAAAAGTTCTTTGCAACCAATAGGTGCTATGGTTTGGTCGCCTTTGTAGATGCATTCATCGTCATCGTGGTCGCTTTCATCGTTGGAGTCATATTTTGGCGTCAAGTCGGGACCCATAAAGCGCCCGGTATTGTTATCTATTACCATGGCTTTTCTGTCGAGAGAATGCTAAAGGGAAAGACGACCAAGGTTGCGCAAATAAGGTAAACAAAAAAATGATAGAAAAAGAAGAAAGAGAAAAAAAGAATGAAAAATTCAAAAAGTGTGGAAAAAGGGTTTCTGTTTCTCAAAAATTTTCCCATCCAATCATAGAAGAGTTAGAAATAAGCATCAATGAAATTCTGTCGGCCCGAAATGAAATCCTCTTCTTTTGGTTCATTCATCCCTTGACCGACGTTTCAACCCCTCATGCCGTCCTTGCGTCTCATTGACGATGAAAACGACCAGGTGGCTCCCGATGTAACACAACCGTTATGCTATGTGTAAGGTTTTTTTTTCTTTACCATTTACGCTCTTTGACGGCGAGTAGTTAGATCTAACAGTTTTTGACACAATTAGATGCCAGAAACAGTTTTCCAACTACATCTGTCCTCGTTGTAATCTTCGCTATTGCTCGTTAGCATGTTACAAAGATCTACAGCACGCTGATTGCACTGAATCGTTTTATCGTGACAGTATCACTGCAGAGATTCAATCTCGTGATCTGGATCAGGACGGCAAACGTCAAATGCTCGAATTGCTGAGACGATTCGAAGCCGAGAATGATACCGCGCAACTGGAAGAGGAAGAAGGGGAGAAAGATGAAGAAGACGATTTATTGGAGCGATTTGGAAATTTGGATATTGAAAAAGCTGATATGGATGAAATTTGGGATAAACTGACCGAGAAAGAACGACAAGAATTCCAATCGTTACTAAGTCAAGAGACTGCGGCGGCAGACATGCTATCATTACCGCCTTACCAACCATGGTGGGAACAAAACGATTCATCCAGCCTGATCCATGATTTGACAGATGCGGAGGATCAAGTCGACAAAGGAAATAGCGTTCCTCCATTACCTGTCGTTGCTGAATTCGAATCACTGTTCAAAGGGAAGCCTAGTTTACAGTTGACTTGGAATATGATGAACATCGCCATGACGTATTGTTACGCGATGCGACGAACTTTGGGCACGTTGGAAGAAGATCTTGCAGATACTGTTCATGTGATCGAGACTGTTTCTGCACCTGTATTGTTTCGATTTTCTGGTGCATGCGATTATGCAAAAGTGGAAGATGTGGCGGCCGATGCAGTGGAGGGAATTTTGCGATTGGAGAATGATATGCAGGGCTCCCGTCGTACTCAATTGACATTGCTACTGCTGAACGACCTGTTACAATTACTGCAACATTCACAACGTCAAGATCTGGTACGGGCACTGGGCCATCTGTGGCAAACCTTGCAGACCGCTTCCCAGCAATTGAAAAAGAAAAAGATCTCCCTGGCGGCACGGAAGGCCTATTTTCATGTGTCTTTCGCAATACAAGCGAGCAAACAACAAGGTCTATCCTTCATGGAATCGATGGTGCGTGCTGAGCGGGATCGTTTACGTGTCGATGAGGAAACGTTTACTCGTCAGGAACGAGCTGCAGCCGAAGCTTTGAAACATACCCCACCTTCTGCGCAAAGCAGAATCGTCGAACTCGTGTAAATAAATAAAAGCATACAAAAGTTTATAAAGCTACCAGGTTATTTGTACTTTATTTTATTTTAAAGTTTGGCAATGCGTTGATCCTTTTTGCTATTCAATAGCACTCGTGTCAACAAGTTATCAATATGGGGAACTGTTTAGGAAAGCAGATGGTATTAGAGTATTAGTACGAAATCATTGAACAATAAAATAGGGAACTGGGCATTTTGCTTACCGATAAGATCAGGCTTCTCGTTTGGAACCATGTGGCTGCCCTCTACAAAGTCTAATCGAATCATGGTTCGATTTTGTCCTGGAACCATATCAGCTTCTTCCGGAGGCATACTGGATCACAAACCGAGAAAGAAAAAATAAAATAAAATGGTTAGACAGATCACGGAATTATGGATCATCAGTATGATCACTCACAAGGTTGAGCCAAGAGCATATACAAATTGAACCGGAACCTTTAAGATAGCAAGGGAATTGAAAGCCGTTCTTGTAGGGTAATGGCTATGTCGGAAGACATGCTGTACGTGACGAAAGAGCCGATATAAAGAAGCACAAATCAGTTGGTGAAGTATGCTAAAACGGAAACTGCACGTTGCTAATACATACGTATTCTTGTTCTCTGGGGCATTTCAGTTTGACAGTGCCGTCCGGCGCGTCATATAATCCGTATTGCTATTCCACCAATAAGGAAATTGAGCCAAGCAAGATTCTCTATACACTTACCACATAATTTTCAAGTACTTCAGGATCAAATCGCTTCCAGAATTTTCGGGTGGTAAGCGACTTGAGACATTCCTCGCTATTGCATGGGAAAACATTATTTAAGTACGAACCATTGGAGTCGATCTTTCTTTGACCTGGATCCTACCGACTCTGCCAAGTATCGCGACGTGTGCGGGATGATAAAACCGGAATCTGAAGTCGTAATTCTGTATCATAGAATTGACTGCTCATTACAGGCTCAATTAAAGTTAAACCATCAAACGTTTTTGGGTAAAAGAATTCGCACAATAGCCTACAAGAACAATCGTCGTTCAGTTCATTCGCGGATAAAGCAGCGGATCGGTGTCAAAACTCACATGCATGTGCCGCCAAAACTGTGGCCAACCCCGATGAGTGCATTATATTTGTCTGATTTCAACTCTAAAGCTTCTACAACTTGCAGAACATCGAGTGCACTGTCAAACCATGTACCTAATATGGTGATTTAGTAAACCCGTCATTTTTATCTTTCTTTTGCCGTAGGGCAACGCAACTTACAAGTCTCGAAAAATGTTCCCTCGTTCAAACGAGCTGAATCGCCATGGTGACGAGCGTCCCAAGTGACAAAGACAAGTTCGGTATTATCGTACTGTGGCTGTTGTCGCAAATGGTTCAAAAACCGGCGCATAAACGGATGCAGTGATTCTTTATGAAAACCATTGGAGTGACCCCAAAGGAATGCGAGTCTCTGCTGTGTCGACTTGGGTGCTGGAAACACATGCTGATCAACAGCAAGTTTCTGCACATCGCAACCATCGGATGCACGATGACACGGAATAATGTGTGTTGAAGTCGATTCGAGACGCACCATTTTAACTAAAGCGGCGAAGCAACTGGGACCTGGAGGAACAGATCCTTTTTTTTAATTTTGATGAAATTTCGGTGGATAAATAGATTAACCCTTTTGCATCTCCACATTACCAAACTGAATTACCCCACTTTTAGCCTTGCTATAAGGCGTTCAATTTTTTCACATGTCATTATATGACAACTTGAGGCAGGAAGGAAGCAAAACGGTATTCTGTCCTATATTTTTGATTCGTGAATGACACTTGCCCCTCGGATTTTTCTTATGAAAAACTTTGGAAAGTGCATCGCATAAGCAGAAATATGCGTGAGAATTGTCATCCATATCCGGCATTTCGGATGCATCTACTGAACATTGCTACATGGCTTGTTGTGCATTTTAACACTATACTTTAAAAAACAGACAGACACTCGTCCTTTCTAATTGTGTAATATCATTCTATTCATCATCATTCGTTTGGATCGCATGAAATGACCGCAAGAAATAGGTGTCAGATACGGTAATAAATGGCCTGTGACTGAGAGTGGCGCCAATCTTTTCTTCATGATATGTCGTTCCCTCGGAAATTTTGGTAGTATGGCCACGACTGCACTGTTTGCTCCATCTCCATAGAGTTGCCAGGAACTATAGCAATGAGCCATTTAAGATTTGATCTGCGAAATTTTGGGCAGCTCGTCTTTTTTGCTCCAAGACAACCAATGTTGACTTTTTTACTTTAAGCTGACAGACCCCAAACCATAACAGAAACTACAGTACAATACACATGTTTTTATGTTTATCATGGAGGATTAATACAGGACCCTAAAAGAAAAAAAGAAGCCATACGCCATACGCCATACGCCATGAACTCAGAATACTGAAATGATAAAAGTCAAAATATAAGATTAGTTTCATTTAAGGCAAAACATTTGGCTTTATTCGACGGGGATACGAAGGCCGCCGCCAAAATCAATGTACTGCGGTAAATCGTCGACATCATCATGCAGCATGATCATGATTTCCCATGAAATGAGTCCAACCACAAAATGATCTACCGAATCAAACTGAACAACGTCAAGCACCTGGCCATACTCGGATAATGCGTCAATCACTTGAAGTTCGTCGATATAACTCGGTACGTCAAGCAATGTGCAAATCGATGGCGTATCATCCTTCCAGTATGAGTCCGGTACTTCGTGAGCCGTTGCTGGAGCAGCACCGGAGCGAGAATCTTGCGCCATATTTCTGGCTGCCGCGGCTGATAATGCTGGTAACACGGCCTCTATTCGGTCGACTAATTCATGGTCAATATTAGGCTGTGAGGGATTCGTGGAAAGTAACGAAAAAAGTAAGGCGGTTTGCAAGACGTCGTCAGAGATATCGTCTCCGCTGTACGGTCTATTAGGGAGATCGTCTTCTTCTTCGTCGTAATCTTCATCATTGTAGTATTCCGGACCGAAAAGGTCGCGCATACTAACATTGCCACGAGGAGGCGCAGGTGCGAGACCCTGCACCCAGTCATGATAGGTGAGAGGCATATCGTCCCAATCGTCGTCGTCGTCATAGTAATCCTCATCGCTTACAGCGAGCGCTTTTTCAAACATTTCTTTATCACGCTCATATGAAGAGCGTTTTTGATTAGATGTTCGGCCACCATTGCGACGTTGCTGTTGTTGTCCACTGGATGCCGCTGTGCTATTTTGTCGACCTCCAGAGGGCACCTGATGTGAAGGTGGTGTTGCAGTGCGAACCGACTCGATTTGAACGGTGGCTCGAACATTGGAAGCATTTGCGGCAGCGTTCGCTGCTATGCTCTTATTCAGTCGTCTGAGTGCTTTTTCCATTTCGTTGATTTGTTTTTGTCGCATGATGCGATGCTGCGGCGATTCAAGGATCGCTTCCATATTATCCTGATAGCTATATACTATGGCAGGAGCGAAGACAGATTGCAGTGGGTGATTTTGGAGCAGCGCATCCGTAGCCCGGCTGAACTCTTCGATGATATGCTTGTATCCGAAGCCGCTACATGACACACTAGAAAGCAGGGATCAATGAACAAGTTCTGCGCCCAATCAGTTAACCGTGATTGTTCAATAGCTTACGCGACGTTTCGCTCCATGATAAAGGGATCTTGGATGGCGATGCAGTGACCTCCCCAGTGATATGTTTTTCTTGAAATCATACAGCCGAGCTTGAAGGACATGGCGCACGCTTTATGATTCAAGTTGACAAACCATTGGAAAAATGAAACGAGCAGTTGGCCCACACTGTCACTGTTATATCCTTCCCACACCGTGCAGTACTTTGACGGATTGGTGGCGGTGGACATACTGTAGGCGGGATGGGTCCTGTGAACGAGTTTCACGGAATCGTGATAAACCACGTCGTAATACGTCGGCCGCCGTTTGTTCAAGGCCAGGCAGGTGTCGAGCTTATTCGAACTGCACGATGGGTGACTGCAGTTGGCAAGAGTCTGCAAATTGGGAATAACCGGAGGATTGCACGTCATCAGATAATACAATGCAATTAAAACATAAGCGTAGCTGCTAAGCGTGCCCATGGTGGCTACATAAAAAAAAAACACAAGAAGTTGAGAGACATGCTGATGACAACCGGATATCACTGGTTCTTACGATTATTGATTTCTCTTGTCTTGACAAAATGCTTGATAACATACAGAAAAGGTTTCACACGGTGATCCAATTGTGTATAACATTTGATTAGTCGAGAATTGATAATGCCAAGCGTATTATTGGTATTGATATCGCATTCGATGTTGAATTGGGGATCCGTGAACTTGCAAATCGGTACTTTGGCTGTCGGGACAGGCACGACGTTTCTCATACCGATCTGGCGTAGGGATTGGGCCACTCTATGCATGTTATAATAAGAATTCGGCATTCTATCCAGGTTCCATTTATTGTAAATATCATCAGTGAACTGGTGCAGAGGGACGGTGATACACAAATCCAGGTCGGACTTGTCCGAGTCCAGACCACTGGCTGAGGACCTGGAGATAAGATAAAATTCATTAGTCAATCTAATGGATGGAGGAATAAGGTAATCAGAAAAAGAGACTAGTTTACCCGAAAGGTTTGACTCGAAGGTTCTCGTACGGCCAGCGATCCTTGAGCATACGGTTGATCTTTTCAATCACCAGCTTGCGTTGTTTGATCGCATTGGGGTGAGGTTGTAGCGTCTAATCACGAAACAGTCAGCTTTCCATGACGCTGCCAGTACACATACAATCGTCGGGCTACCGTGTAAAAGTTCATTATCTCTGTAGTAAGGCGATCATACATGGGCTGAACCGCATTTTGGCCCGTCGTAGCCCCGGCGGTGTTGTGTGTGGAATTGGTGGCCGACGTTGAGCCGTTGCTTCGCACGACAGGCGTACGCTTTATCCGGTTTTTGTTGAATTTGTTGGTAATCCAATAAAAGTAGTCCTTCTGATAGAGAACCAACAGCAAGTCTTGGCGTGAGAGTGTTTTCGTGAGCTTTGGCAGTCGACGGTCGCTGGAGTATTCTTGGTGAGTGATTACTGTATAGCGAAGAGCGTTCATCCGCATGCGTGGACCGCGGCCCGTAAAGACTTTGTCGAGTTGAGATTCCAGAAAATCTTCACAACTTCCGTAATGTTGAATAATCCAATCGTACACGACCCGGCTGGATCGACGGAATTGTTCAACGACATCATTGACAGGAGCCACATACAGTTCGTACGGATACTCGTCATGCACACAGTCGATCAGCTCACCCAATTGCTTGAACACATCGACGGCGAGAGCGTTGAAAATAATAGCTTTCTTATCGTCTTCCGCCATGGGATCGATGATACTGCAACGAACGAATGGTGTGAATTCTTCCAAAGGGCCTGCCTCCGCTCGTTAGTGACGCTTTAATTTTTTATCACTCTTTGAGAAATTCCTGTGGTATTGTTTACCAGGTGTTCCTGCTTGCATGCTATCAGCAAGAAAAGAGCCAGAAAATTACCACTGGTTTCGATCGCAAGAAGGTTGACTGGCAATAACCGATTGTTTTAATGTCGTCAGGTCTTCAACTATCACCTGGTCAACTGTCGGTGGCAGGGTTACCAAAAGCTGGATGTCAATTCCGCCGCTGGCCAGTTGCTTATAGTGCATTATTTTTACATATTGATACTACATGCTTGTTATCGTATGCAGGATATTCATATTCGTCGCGAGACTAACTCCTACATGGATCAAACAGTAACATAGGAATACCTTTTTGACCAGTCACCATAATAATGACAGCTGTCATGCGGCGCTATTGAATCGCAAAAAATAAGTTTTTATTTCGGTCGCCGGTCAGGGTTCCGCGTGCCGATCATTTTACCTGACGACCCCATCTGCAAACCGGCAGCAAGCGAAGAAGTTTACCTTTCCTCAATTAAGATTGATCACTGAGTGTTACTCACTATAGCTGTGCGACCTGATATCTCTGATTTACAATAGTCTCTCTCCTGCGATAGATTATAATTCACTTGGCAAATTAATTTCGTTGTTTTTCAAGACTTCGTGCTATCGACAGGAGCTGTATCATTTATGAACCTCAAGGAATCAGTTACAGAGACTGCTCACGGTATTTTATCGATGAGGAGATTTCTCCACCGCATTTTTTTATGTTGCTTTTCATCATTCTATTGAAACTACGATAAGAAGACATTGAAGCTTGCCGATTTGCGCATCCATTTTTCATACACACAGCCACACACACACACACACACATGGGTCTCATAGATAGCCATGAAGAGATATATTGTACAGTGGTCGGTTTTATTGTTTACAAAGACCCAGTTTTTGGGCACAGTCCAAGTGCAGCAGTTGCCCGTAGCGACTCTCTCGCACAAAGGGACCAGGGCCCAAGTATTCTTGGCACTGTTCACACACATCGTGCAAGTCCACTGTAACGGGTCCAATGTCTTTGTATACTTCTATTAATTCACTTCCAACCTAATGCGCGGTAAACATTAGTCGCCTATTTGGATCCCTTTTTTACTGAATTAGTAGTTTTCCCTTACCATCAAATTCTCACCGCGACTAAGCCCAAGAATAATTTGTCCTTCGCGGTAAGCATGGAATGATCGACGGAGTGATCGGATTAAAAAATTTTGTAACATGTCTATGGGCCATTCATTGGGAATGAGATTCAGGACCTAGTTTTTCAACGACACTTGATCAGTAAAAACGAACCAAGCCAAGCCCATCAACCAATTATTTTTCATCCTCTTCACACGTAACCCACCTCTAGTATTTCCAGATAAAACCCTTGGGTATTTAAAAGATGCATTGTCCGTGCAACCATCAATGAGCTGTTTTTTTACATGAGAAATAAATGATGAGATTTTCCAAGAAGAAAAAGGTTAGCCATCACCCATGTAGCTTGATCCACAGATGCAGTGATCAGTGTACTTACGGTTCCTTGATTCCCAAGTAGGTTTTTAATAATAAAGAGAGGAGCTGACGTCGTTCTTTGTATTCTTCCGGAGATAAATTAGTCGATTCTTCTGGAGGGGTTGGGAGGGTGTCGGGCGGTGGCGGTTGGTTTTGTGCGAGTGACGAGGTTCTGGCGGGAGGAATGCGTTTATTGGAAACAGAGATATCGTCGGGAATGACTCCGGTCGAATTGCCATTCGTCACACAGTAAGTCTCGGCACCAACAAAGTCGCCAATGGTGTGAATCAAGACATTCAACGCTTCCTCATGATGGCCCATCTATAAAAGAGAACGCGGCGCGTTTCATGAATTTCAACATGTCTTTCCGATCGCTTTTGTAGATGACTTACCCGACCGTAAACGATGGCTCTTTCGACATCCAGAGGGCCAGCCTCTTTTAAGGCTTCCATGATGGCAGGAGGTGAATAGAGGCGTGATCGTTGCAGTAATCGTATGAGTGCGAGTCGAAGTCGAACCAGATTGGTTTGCTTGTAATATCCCAGATATCCGACAAAGGTGAGATTGACTTCGATCGAAGACGCGGATGACGGCGATAACATCTGAGTTCGCATCGGATCAACCGATTGCTTATAGTCCGAGATCAATTTCTCGATTTCGTCCGTACCGTGGCGTGCAATTTCGTCCCGCACATTGTACACGTAACTGCGAGCCAGTCGCGTATGATACTCGGCATGATCGCTCCTTCGAATAAGAACAAGGTACTCGAGATAGTCTTGGACAATGGCATGACCGTACGTTTCCAGTTTCTCCAAAATCGCCCCCGAATCCATTTCCGTTGCATGCGGTGATCGAATAAATACTTCAACGCCATCCGCCGCATTTTGCTCCGTCAACCACCACGCATAATGAACAATCACCGACAAAGGTAGTTCATGCGTGTTCACATCCTGCAACAGGAGTCGCTTGATTCTTGACAGTCCATCTTTGAATTCTGGATCCGCCAATTCGCCAGAGTAGATCCTAGACAAGGTTTGGTGAGGCCTTCCAAGCCATTTTTCCATGCAAGACCATGGGCACTTACTTTGTCCAGATTTCCAACAGCTTTTCATACAAATGCTTGGATTCATAGAGCATCGACAATGCGTAATATCGCTACCAAAGTCGCCGGAATAGTATGTAAGCTCATCAAATCATGGGTTGTACATACTGCATATGTGTGCAACAATCATGCTTACTTTGGATTTCATCAGAGCCGATTCGCATTCTTCCATGGCACAATCATTAGGTTCCCGTAAAATGCGGTAAATGGCATGCTCGTCCTTATTGATGATGAACAACTTTAATAGCGCGGTATCAACGGCCTATGAATAGAGGTAAATTCATTTTGTCCAATTCACGCAACCTGTTCCATGCCTTTCAAAACGATACGAACAATGCATGCGATATCCCCTCGGCCTAAAATGGCTCGTCTTTTGCCGCGTTCTGATAAAAGATATTTAAGCATCGCTTCACGGGCGTTGTTCAGCAACGCTCTACGTAATTCCATAGTCGGACTTGGTCGTTGAGCATCGTCGTCTTCCACGTGAGGCGAGTAATTTCTTTCAATATTATTCGCCACTAGTCAAAAGAAATTTCATACAATTCAATAACCTTTAAGGTCACTTGGTCATCATGGTCCACACAATTACGCGCGGATCTTACCTATATCCTCAATTTTGCCCAATCCGTCCACCAATTCACGGACACCGTCATACAGTAACGCTGGCGGTGTTGTATTCAGCCATTTTGGATAGAATAGATCGCCGAAAAGCGAGATGATGATGCGTGGATCCATGTTACCCTTGGCGATCATTGAGAACGCGTCGTCAAACAGAGTTTCTTTCAGCAACAAAAGTCCAGACTTTTGATAGATATAGTCCAACTCATTGCGCTATTTTATGGGTGTGAATACCTTTTCAGGAACTCTGTTGTCCCAAAGATACATTCTCTTTTTTTGTTCTTGAGCTACCTACCAATCGTTCGGCGTAAACATTGTTACCGAGGGGCATGGTATTCCCGGCTTGGTCGGCCATTTCCATGGCCTCTTCAATGCGGTGGGTATCCAGTAAACGGTCGACTTGCATGACCAGGGGTGTCGCCAGTTGGGCCATGACCGAACTTTTACCGTACAGTAATATCCGCGCAGGGACCGTGGAATAGCGGGCAACTTCGCGTCGAAGCATGCTTTCCAAGTCGATGGCATTGTCGTCCCCGTTTGCTGCTGCCATTCCCCACGGCCGGCGTCGTAACGGTTTGGCCAGCCCATCCATGTAAACCTTGATCCCATGACTGAACGACATACCGCGTGCTTCGAAAGCGGGATTCAGATGAATCACCTGTAATCTTTGCTGATCGAGAATGTTGTGGATTTCAATTGTTTGATTCCGTAAAAGGGCCGCCATGTAAGGAAATTCCACCGTCACGGCTTTGGGGTAACTGGACCATTGAATGGTGCCTCGTATCGCATCGCCAAACGCATCCACAAAAATGCCAATGGTCGTCTGATTGTTCACACTCCCACTCACCACCAAGAACTCGCCTTCTTTGACCACGGCCACAATTGGTCTCGGGATAGTATGCGTGCCTGATCCTAACAAAGAGGATGACGTGGAAGGTGAAGTCGGGACTTGTGGTGTAGGTATCAGAGGCGTCGCAATGGACACTTGCAAGTTAACAAGCTTGTACTGCTGAGTATCCGCCAGACAAAGGTGCCGGCTGTGCCTTGTCACTGTCAAAGCCCCATCGGCCAGCGGCAATTCCTAAGAAAAAATATCCTCGTTTAGGCCGACATGCAATGCATGAATACGAAATGTCTCTTTGCCCCTTTCTCTGCTTGCCTTTTTCAATTGCATGGTTTCACCAATTTTGTAAATCTGAATGGCTCTGCGTTTGATAACGCATAATCCTACGGTACCATCCTCGCCTATACGTCCTTCCATGGCTAGATCATGTGAAAAACAGGAAACCCCCTTGATCGGGGTAACCAATGATACGGGGATTGGATCGAGAAAAGGTAACGAATAAAACGAAAGGGTGGAATCTGCCAGTCTTTTGTATCAGCAACAAATTCCTGGGACCGAAAAAAAGCGTGGTCAAGGCGCGCCACTTACCGCATAGGACAACGGCTTTGGAGACCTGGGGTATAACAAGAATACGCTCGACCGACTTTTTACCGTAACCAAGATTAATTCTATTTTCTAGTTTCGACACGTAAGGAATATCGTTGGTCTTTCATTGGGGCAAAAAGCAACACTTTCAATACAAACAGTCTCCAACTCGGGATTCGCATGCCTCAACTGGTTTTTTACCTGATCTTGTTTCGTCGTTTCTTCGAGTGCGTAATGTAAAATATGACCGTCCGATGTGCCGACATAAAGGTCCGTCTCTAAAAAAGCAAAAAACCAGTTCATCGTTAGCGACATGGGGAGTGAAAAAAAAAAGGTTCCGAAGTAACGATCCGGTTACCCCAAGCTTCGACGGAATCGATGGTGAAACGAGGTATGTTGGCTGCATTGGCTGTGTTTCCGGATAATAACGCATTCAGACGCGAAGGTGTTACTTGGCTTTTGGATGGAACGGGTTCGGCCAGTGGTGGGGTGGATATTCGAGGTAGAAGCGAGACGGCAGGTGAGGACTGGCTGGGAGCGGTGGGTGTAGGACTGGAAGAAGAAGTGTTCTTTGCAAGCGGTTCGTCTACCACTGTCGAGGCGACAATGGTCTGTAGAGTGTAAGGCGTATATGGCATGAAGGCAGTGGACACGAGAAGGTAGCTAGCGATGTCGAGGTGTGGATGGAGTTGTGACGCACCGTTCCTTTCATGGCCTGTGGTATGGCCTTTTACTGTGAGCCAATTTTTTTCGAGCTGGGATTTTCCTTTTTCTGGCATTTGCGTGGTCACAGTCATATGCCGTAATTTTTTTTTTTTTTTTTTGGCCTCTCATCGTTTGCTCTCGACTTTGCTCGATGCACCATACATATTAAGCTATCTTATATAAGGATCATCATGGCTGACAATGCTCCATAGCGTGCACTCTTGTTGTAGGGAGAAACTACGAGCCAATCATCAAACAATCCACCATTGGCCCTAGCTTTTTTCCCTTACATTTGCTGGCATCGGACGTTTAAAACAACTAAGCAATCCACTGGATCTTGTTGATTTCTTTTCTACGTTTTTTCTGATTCTGCAACTCTAAAGCGATATGCAATGTTTTTGCAGCCACCCAAAATCGATGTCATCAGACAGTCATATTCTAATTTGATTATTCTTAAGGGGCCCCAGTTTTCTTGCGGCGAATGTCATCAAACCTGCAGCAGAGGTAAGATCAACTTTTTGCAACCGAACAAACAGAATTGAACAAGGAGATGGGCATATAGCTTTGTCATTAAAAGATTTAGGGTTTATAATGACATGATCATATTTGACAAGGAATGCGCAATTCAACATGATATGCGACAAAAAAAGTAGATTAGAAGATTTTATATGATACGAGACAGTCCACCAATGTAATATGATAGTCCTCGCTGCCAGATCGGGTCAATAATCATTACCCCACACAAAGGATCAAACGCTACTATGTATGAATAACCATTTTGTGGTGTAAACCTTGTTAAGCTGCTTAGCGCATCCTTTTTCTTCCACTCCATTTATTCGTAGTGTTGCCAACAAATGACAATAGTGCCACTGGAAGCATAATGTTTTAAGTTCATATTCAGGTCGACGACAGTAAGATTCTGAAAGGTCGCTGACAGACAAATCTAACTTATCACTTAGTTTGGCAATAGAACGCGATGCTGATCAAAAAAAAAAAAAGCTACGTCGTCGTTTCGTACTCCGAGTAGTAGTGATAGACCGTGTCCAACGTTTTCATTTTTCTTAACTCTTGGATACATTATATTTCAGGGTACGACTTTATAATAATCTGTCTGTGTGATGTTGACTTGAACTCATGGGTACTATTAATTTAAACAAACGCTTCACAAAATGGTATAGAGTGAGCGTGAATTTATAGCATGCGGCAAAAAAGATTACGAAAACAAGTGAATTGGCCTTCTGTGGTGCAGCATGTCACATCCATATACTGTACTCCTTTTTTAGATTATCAGATTTTATGCGACTGGTTTAATCCTGACCTTTAAACAAGGCAAAATTTAACTGACCTATCAAAGACGCAATCAGGAAAATTCTTCCAGCCGGTCCTTTGGCTTTTCCTTGGCGTCCTCCACTGATCATCGGGCGTCAATTTCAGTGTCCGTTCAACGGACTCTCTGAGCTGCTCTCTGTCTCAACTTTCTGTCGTGTAACATCAAACCGCACCGCGGAGTTTCTTCTTCCTTTTTTATTGGATTGATACAACAACTGAAGATTTTGAAGCTCAAAAATTTCGTAAATGGATTTCGCAGTTTGAATAACTTATTTCATTGATGTATTGTACGCATGATCACAAATGACCAATGAATCATATCGGTGATAGAACTCGTATTGACAACTCCTTTTCCTGTTGGGTAGCTGGAACTTGAAATAGTGTACGCATTACCACAGGTGATTAATGTATCATATCGCTGATGTAACTTATACTCACGTCTAGCATTTTCTTAGTGGAAAGACGACGTAAAACAAACATCCCCAATAATAGACATAGACTCGGCAGTGTTACAGCCCAGTGCTCGTTGACCTTGCCGAAATCGTGGCCCAGATCTTAGCACGTATCTTCTTGATAGGAAACAGGGCTACTGGTCTTATATAGCTGATCCGCCCACGAATTGAGCAATAAAACGCAACGATTGGGAGTTTATTGATGGTGATAGCGCTAGACAACTCGTCAATGCGCTAGCTACAATATATAATCTAGCATCTCATCGAGGTGATCTTGACAATTGTTACTGTAATTGAGTTCCCATTTTAGCCTAATATCTCATCAGGAAAAACTGAGCAGCGCCTTATGCCAAAAAATAAACATCATCGAAAAAAGGTCATACTCTTTTTTTCTTTTTCTTCATCCAACATGTAAAAATTTATAGTATAAGACGATAGACCCTTTTACTGTTGCTTGTTGCTAACGATGTCTTTACCCCTCTTCTATGAAGGATGCATAACGTTGAGTGAAATGCTTTCCGCATTTAGTGGAGAAATGTACTTTGTGGTGAGAGAAAAAAAAAAGTCAAAAGCATCGTAGCAACTTCAACTAACTTGTTTGTAGGGTTTTCTGACGGGTTTCTGCCAAAGCGAGGTGCTACGTGATACCTAAAGACTATATGGCTGCCCATGACTCCAATGAATCTTAGAGCGGCTATACTACGTAAATTCCTTGGAAATAATAACCAACTTGAAGCGATAAATCTTCTAAACTAATTCGTACAGTATATCTATCGTGTTGTCTGATGGTATCAATGTGAGTCCCATAGAAAAGTAAAGGCATGACTTTTTCATGACTGTAGTTGTTTTGTAGATTCTCTCTGACAAGCCCATCTGAGTCGCTATGCTGTCCATTGGTGAGCGTTCCATCGCTTTAGCAGCTGTCTACAAAGTGAAATGCAATATCCGACTCTCTGTCAAGTCAGTTATCTTGCTTTAGTATCGAGTGCACACCTTCGTAGTATTTCGCACAGGTAAGTCTCTTACGGTCATCAAGGTAACGTATGAACGGCCTCTATAGAAAATGTTTAGGGGTTTATTTCAGATACGTCAATTGACATGTATTTGATTCAATATAAGCCACAATTGCAAAAATTCAATCTGTATTCGTTTTCATTGTAATTTTAGTTCGTCCTTCGTTTAAGCACCATGGAGAGCTCCTAAAATAAACCCTTCAACATTTGGTAATTGAATTACTCGTGGCACAAAGCATCGGTGATTTAATGAAATTACACAAAAAAATCAATGGTGGATTGATAAGCAAACAATCAGTTGCCTGTATACAAAAAATGTCCGCTGATATGTACATTCAGAAAAATGGCCTCCAAGGTCGATCCGACCCTGAATTTGCTCGAAAAATTGGACAGTCCATCATCGAGGTGGATTTATCTCTGCACCTTTTTGTACTGATATTAAAACGATCGGATAAAGCCTACCCTCGACCGACTTTACACAAGTTCAGGATAAGATTTACGTTAATTGACTAAAGTAAGGAGGGCACAAAACACCATCAAAAGAAGCCATCATGAGCTTGAAACTTTTTTTACAACAACGACTGACTTTTTTTTTATCTCGAAATGAGCGAGCATCGGCCAAATCAGCGACTCTCCGGGATACAGTACTGATAATCCAGACAGATCACGATCTGGCGCGGTGATGATTCTTTAAAATCCCGCAAAAGGAAAAGCAAAGCCTTCTTTTTTAAAATCCCCAAATTGGAAAAGATCTGATAAAGTAGTGTAACGTAGCATGGAATTTCCAGATAAAAATGTAAAGATATTTTTTTTTTCTTTGCTATTCTTTTTGTCTCTTACTTCAGTTTTTTTTCGATGACGTCTAATATGTCTGGTCATCATTCTGAACCACAGGAATCTCGGTCTGAGGCAGATGTGGAGCTAGACAACTCTGTCAAGATGGATATTTCTTCTACCCCACGATCAAGCTTGCCCGGTGTCAAAAAAGTACTGATCGCGAAGAAGCTGGCTTCTCGCACTGATTTGTTTCTGATTATTTTTGGGTAAGCTTCAAAAATAAATGACAAATGAAAAAGACACGTATTTACATTTGAATTCTTTGTAGTATTGTTGCGGTGGCATGGGCCAAAAATTGGGAAGGCAATGTTGTCTTTTCGGTCACTCCTTTGGTGACAAGCTTGTTTGATTCCGTCCACATTTCCAGTATTCTGGATATCGTCTTGTATATTCTCGTGACCGTCTTGCTTCCGTTCTACTCCAAGTTTGCCGACATGGTAGGCAGAACCGAGGCTTTCACGGTCGCCATCGTTTTCTATGTCGTCTCCGGTACCGTTCAAGCCACAGCCCAAAACTTGGACACTCTTGTGGTAATTAATCTCTCTACTTTACATGTTCCAATGTAATTTGTCTTCTCACCTCCTTACCTTTGAACATAGGGCGGTCAAGTTTTATATTCTTTCGGTTATGCCGGTGTGCACGTCCTCGGCCACGTTCTCATTGCAGGTTTGTCTTTTAGACCCAATACCCGATACCCGATTTTTTTTTTTTTCGAGCAAAATTTTTCTCACAATTTTTTTTTTCGTTTCATAGACATGACAAGCCGTGTGAATCGTGGTCTTTTCCAGGCCTTTTACGACGTACCGGCTATTGTCAACATTTTCGTGGCTCCGTTTGTGGGCGACGCTCTTTGGCGATCAGGCCAGTGGCGCTGGACTTATTCCATGATTCCTTTTGGTATTGGTCTTACCAGCATTCCCTTATTGACAGGTCTTTTCAGAGTCGAGAAAAAAGTCAAAAAGTCTGGATTGATGAAACCTTTGCCTTCCGACCAACCCACCAAGAAAAAATCCGTGTGGCAACACATCGTTTCGTTTGCGGTCGAAATGGACGTCATCGGTAGCATCCTGTTCGTCGGTGCGCTCTGCCTTATTATGTTACCATTGGTGCTCGCACTGAGCCGTTTTGGTGGCTGGGGTTCGCCTACCACCATCGGCACCATTGTCGGTGGCGTCGTATGCTTGCTCCTATTTGGTATTTGGGAATGGAAATTCGCAGAAAAGCCTTTGGTGCCTATGGCAAGCTGGGATAATCCTACACCGTTTGCCGGTGTGTTGACCTGCTCGACGATCAGTATCATTGCCGCTACCAATTGGCAGTACTTTTTGGTTTATCTGCAAATCTCTCGCAAGTTGGGTGTGATCCCGGCCACGTTATTAGTGCGTGGGTACGATGCCGCTTTCTTGATTTCTCAAGTCTTGGCCGGTTTCCTCATGAAGCGTTACAAAATCTATCGTCCCTTTGTTCTTGGCGGTATTTGTCTCCTCTTGCTCGGTATTGGTTTGATGATCCCGGCTCGTTTCCCGAATTCTGCCACAGCATTCCTTGCCATTACTCAGGTCATTGCTGGCTTAGGTGCCGGCATGATTTACGTACCCATTTTAGTGGCGGTGCAAAGTTCGGTCCCCCATAAAGGTATGAATCATATGCCAAAAAAAAAATCAAACGAATAGACTCATCATGATAAAACTGATTTTTTTTATTTACTTATTTGATAGATTTGGCCATTGTTACGGCTTTCTTCCAGATTGGTGGTACAATTGCCACCAGTATTGGCTCCACGGTCGCTGGCGCTATCTGGAATTCCATGCTTCCTGATCAAATCGCCAAACATGTGCCCGGTGACTACATTTACGAAAAAATTGTCGGTGACATTGGATATGCTACTTCCCTGCCTGCTGAACAGTTTGCTGGCGTCGTCACTGCTTACGGAAATATCCAACGTATCTTGTCCATCGTGTCGCTCTGTCTCGCTGCTCTGGCTCTGTTATTCTTCCTTGGTATGCGCTCCTTTGGTTTGGAAGAACCCGAAGAGGACAATGCCGTCTTGCCCAACCCGGAATCCACTGTGAACGCCGTATTGGACGAATCATCGACCACCTATGGCACCTCCAAAATGGCCGTTGATAAATACTAATTTTTCTCCTTCACTTTATCATTCTGTGCTGTGCCTTTTTTTGGTTTATCCCATATACTTTCTAACCTTCCCTAATCTGTCTATTTTCTATTACTACTGGTGGAAAAACATCAGTCTAGATTTCCTTTTCTCCATAAAATAAAGTAAAATAAAAATCGGAGCATCTTACTCTTTTTTTTTCCCGACGTTCTCTGCTATCTGAGATTTTCCTCTTATTCCCTGCAGGCAAATGAGTCTGACACACAAAAAGCATGATCTGTCGAAATGAGGCTGAGATATATTTCCCGCTGCATCCATATTTGGGAACATCTGATAAGAATTCAGTGCCCGACCTTCTCGCGCATCTTTGCGAATCACAAGAAAAAAAATATTTCCAAAAACTATTTTATATGATAGGTTTATTTTATAACACAGATTACATTATTTTTTACAAATCAGCATGCTCCTCATCCAAAGGTGTGCGAACCCAGGCCCAGGCTCGGGCGGCATAGATATTATCGGGAATGTTACGACCAGCAATCCAGGAGCCCGCAGTAACCAAAGGTCCCAACATATTCGTTTGCATCACCGCTTCTTTCTATAGAACGAAAAAGAAAATCGTATCAATAAAAAACAAGTGTCCAAGAATCACCAATCAAACGATCGACTTGTTGACTTACGTTTCCTAGAATCAATCGAATCAATGCAACGTCATAGCTGACATATGGGCGCAAATCTTCCTGCGATCCGCCATTAATCAGCGTCATGATATTGTTCAGTGCTGCGATGCCCTGCACCCAAGCAAAGTGTCCGGTTTTCACATCCGTGTGATCCAAAACATCGCCGGCGGCGAAAATGTGAGGATACTGATCATCCTGAATTTGCATGGTTGGCTTGACCTTGACAAACTTGTTATCGGAATTGATCGACTTGGGCGATAGCTCTGCCAGCAGTTGGCTATTGGGAGTCATGCCGATACACATGATCTGCAAAAACAAAAAGAAAAAATCAATTCACCCAAGTTCGCATCTTTCCATTTTCGTTTCACATAAAAAATAAATACGTACTGCAAGATCAGATTGAATCACTCTGCCACCTCTGGTGTGAATTTCTATAGGTTTGACTTCCAATGGGAACCCTTGTTCCGGCAGGATCACTCGATCACCGAGGATTTGTTTGACACCATGCTTTTTCAAGATGTTATAGGTCATGACATCGACGCTCTTCTTGAAACGGGGCAGGTAGCCGGATCGTGAGTGAAGAAGGGTGACATGCTTCTCGGGATAGTGTTCCTTGATTTCGGCGGCCAGTTCAATGCCCACAGCACCGGCACCAATCACCACCGGTCGTTCGGCTTCTTCAATAGCTTTCTGGTACTTTTTCAAAGTATCGATTCCTGCGGCTTTGGTCTCGGCGGCAAGTCGTCCGGGAGCTGGAATCTTGGTACCGGCACCGTAGATGAGGTAGTCAAATTCCACCTTGGTGCCAAATTCAGGCACTTCACGATCCAGTTCCACATGGTGTTCAAACAATTTGGTAACGCGCGCATGCAATACTTTGCCCTTTCGATCATCTCCACCGAATAAATTATGGTATGGCACAAACAGTTCACGTTCAAATCCGGATTTCACCGCCGCTCGAGGAAATGCAAACACATGGTTGAAATGGGACTTGACATCAATGATAATCAAACGATGAGATTCTAACGCTTTCTCACCCCATGTGAGAGCAGCACCCATAGCTAATTCGAGCATAATTTCGTCAATATATGGCTCCGGTACACATGAAAAATGTAGATCAACGATACTTTACCTGCACAGGAGCCACCAATAATGACAATGTTCTTTTGTGGAGGTGAAGCGGTGACCATGACGATGATAAAAGAGGCAGTGGGAGTGTGTTACGGAAGGGAAAAAAGGCGGATAATTAGGATTTCCAAAAATCATTATCAGATCGTTTTTATGATCTTAAATCACAGTCACCCACCATGGGCGGAGTTTGGCAAAAAAGGTTTGGTGGCACTGCAGCTGCTTCCGGGGGATTTCGGTCTGATTTCAATAAAGGCAGCTTCAGATCGTCCATTGGTGGACGGATGAATTTGATCCCCGCACCGGTTTCGAGGGCAAAAGGAGACAATTTTTCCAACCACTCAAAAGGACGGGTTATCCATCAACTTATAATCACGCTTCACTATTGCACAAATGGGTGATCCGGAGGAACAATGACCAAACCTGTGATTTTCCATATCTCAGGTACCCAAGTAACCTTGATAATAAGTATTTTTTTTTGGGGGGAAGCGGTAATATTTGTCCTCTGTGTGCTCAATCTACTTTTTGTCAGCTTTTGTCATAAAAAAAATCATACCATAATATCATATTCGATCTAAAAAACTAAAAGCAGAGAGAAATTTGGGTCCAATTATCTAAATCGAATAAACAAGACATTGCGCGACAGCTGGTGAGATCTGTTTTTGTGTTTGACTGTTGTTTTTATGCGCGTAAGAAAAAAAAGCGGTCATGGTTTCATGCACGATGCACTATGGCGATCTAGTTTCGCCACCTCAAATCAATACAATGCAAAGGACAGTCATTTGAAAACCACTTCACGAACAACAAGTTATTTTAATCATGGCTTGCCGTTACGAGACCCTTTTTTTTCGATTTTTTTTTTTCTTTCTTCGCAATTCGAAAGTCGAAATGTGGATTTTGGTTAATTTCTTCATTTATTTATTTATTTATTTTCTTCTTCTCCTTGTCTTTCTTTGATGTTCTGCATCTTACTCTAATTGATATTTGATTTATTCTTCTTACTATTTACTTGGTTTTTATTTATTCGTTATTCCACCCAATGCTTCGTTTAAGTCGACAAGCAAGAATAGTATTGATGCTATGCATCAATGGCGGTTTCTTTATTGCGGAAATCGTGATTGGCTACTATGTGAAATCATTGGCTTTGGTAATAAATCCCCAGCATGATGCTTGTTTTGTTTTATTTATCTTGCTTTGTACGAATCGTACCTGATCAAACTGAACAAAACTTTTATTGATTCAGGTAGCCGACTCTTTTCACATGCTCAACGACATGCTGGCGTTCAGTGTGGCCTTGTGGGCTATTAATGTAACTATGAACAAAAAAAAAAAAAAAAAACAAAAAAAAACCACAGAGAAACAGGTGGTGGGGAAGGGGCGGGACAACAACTAAAAAAGAAAGGCGGGGATATCCGGACAAGAGGTACTGACATTCTGTCCACAAGGTCGCTTCACACACTCGTCGAGATCCCAAATATTCGTACGGCTGGCAACGAGCGGAAATTTTAGGCGCTTTGGTCAATGGGGTGTTCCTGATAGCCTTGTGTTTTACGATTGTCATTGACGCCATTGAACGCTTCATCTCGCCTGAACCGGTGACCGACCCGAAGTTGGTTCTTATCACCGGCGGAGCCGGCTTGGCCGGTAACTTACTCGGCCTTGTACTGTTTCACGGTAAGCAAATGCAGCGCCGCGCATCGCAGCGCAGAGTTTTTTCCGGTAACCATTGGTAACTCATTAAAATCCGATCTTTTTATGTTTTCACTAGAACATGGTCATCACCATGGTCACCACAACCATTCGGGGCATGAAAAAAACATCGAACAAGGTCACCTTCACCATGACACTCATCATTCGTCGACTGGCGGACATTTAAATATGAAGGGGGTATGCAGGAACATCCGATGATGGAGCCTACGAAACACAACAAGAAAATAATGCGACGGGTGGTTTATTTATAGATATTTCTTCATGTCCTCGGCGATGCCTTGGGAAATATCGGCGTGATGGCAAGTGCCCTCATTATATGGTTAGGTACATTTTCCTGGCGATTTTATTTTGATCCTATTGTAAGGTAAGTACTTCTCCAGTCTGCTGCCCGTCATGCCCATGCAAGTCTACTCACGAATCTTAACTCCGCCAGTCTGGTCATCGCCATCATCATCTTTGCTTCCGCACTACCCTTAGGTAAGTTTTATGGTGTCTTGTTATCATGACTAGTGTTATTGATTTTATTACTTAAAAGTAAGGGAAACATCCATCATTTTATTGCAAGGTGTTCCCGGTCATGTTCCGTTGGACGATGTGCGGTCCGAGTTGCTAAAAATGGAAGACGTCATTTCAATTCACGAATTACACATTTGGCAACTCTCGGATACAAAGATGATTGCGTCTCTGCATGTGCTTCTGAAGCGTCATGCCGATTACATGCGTTTGGCAACGCAAATGCGTCAGTTACTTCACAATTACGGTGTTCACTCCGCTACTATCCAACCCGAATTTACAAAACTCGATGGCACCTCCAAGACAGACCTGTTAGAAAGCAGTGAAGCGAATCCAGCAAACGAACCGGTTCCGTTACCACCGCAGCATATGGCCGGCCCATCATGCGTCTCTACAGCTACGCTTGCTACCGCGACGCCAAGCTTGCGATCACAGGTTAATACAAATATGCAAATTCAGATTCATGTCATTATTTTTTTTTTTTTAACATGGAGGCTCTCTGTCCAATAGAAATCCGAAACCATAGATGAAGAGACGTGTCTTTTACGATGCATGGATGATTCATGCAAAGAAAATACGTGCTGTCCAGACTCTTATGTGAATGGTCCCGATCGCACCTCGTAAAAAAGAAGACGCTATACGCCTTTGCGACAAACAACAGATCAGGCTTGTCAATGCTTTCAACGACGTACAAACCGAACCACAAGGCCAACAATGAAATTTTTTAAAAAAAGATCAAGTGTTCTTTACTGACTTAGTAGCTCGATCTTCTTATTTTTCCTTTTTTGCGATTTGAATTTCTACCCATGATGCCATCTTTTGCCCAATTTATATAATACAAGTAATCCTTCTTTTTATGAAAATAACTACAAATGTGATGCGTGGCTCATTTGATTGACATGTCTCAAATTTTTATGCTGATCTTCGAATGAAATAAGCTTGATAAAGTTGCCATAGTCGCAGGCAATCCCGAATCCGTTGAGAGGAACCACATGTCGGATACATGAGAATGGCAGGATTTCACTCGCTTCTTCCGAATCCGATTCGATCTCGGAACTCCATTCATCATCACTCGAACCACGCCGAAATCGGGATCGACGACGAAAATGATTCCGCCGTTTACTGTGAGTGCGTGATAAACTGGTTCGCTTTTTTCCAAACAGCCATCCCAGACCGCCGAACCAGGATCCGTTGGCCCGCTCCGATGACGACTCCATCGACTCGTTTGAAATATCGCTGCCGTCTTCATCCAGATCATACGTTTCGAGAGGAATATGCGCAACCCGATGATCCCCCGTCATGCCCGCCGGCGGAGGTTCATAATATTGCAAGCAAGCGAACCACGCTTGCCATTCGTCAGATTCCGACACTCCGTCCACCGATGACTTTCGACGTACTCCGGCCAAAATCATGTTGTCACAAAACGCTAATCCTCGTCCAGCACTTTGATCGATTATCCCCAGAAAAATGGGTCTCAACGTGATATTGGTTTCTTCCCGTAGTTGTTCGATATCCACCACGTCGGCGCCATGCATGTCTGGCGATTTCGGTATGTTCAGTAGCAGAGTGGTTGGGTTGGCCGATCGGTGATGACGTGCGTGAGTCACGTTACGACGAGCACCGCAGACGGCCTTCTCCGCACTCAAGATTGAATCCGTTCTCAAAGGTTCACTGGGCATCATCCCCGTCATACTGCGCTTGTCTTTTGCATCCAAGGCCGGCGTCATCTTTTTCCGTGGCCGCTTGTATTGTTTACGGTGATAATCTTTGATACATAAAGCACATCCATTTTCGTGATCGTCATCGGCTCGTTCCAGACGCCACACGTGAGCGGTGTCATCCATAGAAGACGACGCAATGAAGAATCCGTTGCCAAAACAAGTTTCGCATCCACGGCATAATCCCGGTCCCGTCTCCACATCGCAGTAACGAGTAATGACCACTTGATTGATGCGATCGCAGTGATTTTCCGCGCCCTGCTGTGCCCCATCCACCGAACCAGGCGAGGACTGATCGGATAACCGAGCGGTGTCACGGTCATGCGCATTATCCACGGTAATTTTACTGAATCGAATAATGGGACCGCCGACATGGATTTCGTGGTTCTTTTTCCGCACGCCGCCGGTAGATAAGGTGGTGACCAATTCGCCCGAGTGAAAATTCCACACTTTGACCGATCCGTCACTGGCGCCCGAAACAAGCGCGCCCATGCCATTGATCGGTAACTCAGTGGCCAAGGCGGTAACGGCCCGACCTGGATGAGCGTCAATGGAATAGATAAGAGACCAGCTCGATTTCGATTCTTGTTCAACAACGGCATCCCGTACGATCGGTTCTTGAGATGGTGGTTGGCTGACACGACGTTCCCAGTGCTTGATCATGCCATCTTTGGAAGCGGTGAATACAGAAGCAACGCCTTGGTTCCGAACCGGGGCTTTGGACTGGGCGACATGCAGCACCGTGATATCTTTCTCATGCTGAGATGGTATAGTGTGCGTGCATTCGCCCGACAAGATATCCCATTCACGGATCATGCCACTTTTGTAAACCGCGACAATGGTATCCTGGGTCGGATCTTCCTTGACAACGGACGATGGCAACTTTCGCGCGGCAGTTTCGGGTATAACGGGATGACAGTATTCGTCCACCGCACCTACAAATTGAAGCGCAATGACCGGATCACACACTGGCTTGGGCCATTTGGGTCGGTCACCGCCATATGAATCGTCTGTTTCATGGGTTAAACCGACTTTTCTTCGACGAACGCCAGGTTGCGAGTGCGAGAGCGGTCCTTCTTCCATGACAAGCGCTACATCCGCGTCTAACTGAAACATTCGCACCAGATTCCCGGTAAAGGTATCCCACACTCGAATGATGCCATCGTCGAATCCGGCAGCAATCCACTTGTTTCCCAGATCGATATTCACACAACGCGCAGTTTTCAAAGGTCGTGATACAGCGTGGGCTGCTGGCCGTGTCCGTTGTTTCGATTTGATCCGTTTCCAATAATGAGGGTTCAACTCACGATCGGAGGCGTGGGTATTATTTTGTCCGAGTCGATCCAACCGGGCCATCCATTCGCCCTTTTCCGTATCCCACAAGACAATACGTCCATCTTGACCGCATGAAACGAGCGTATCGTGGGTTGCACCGGCGGTGAGTCGATGAACATCCGCGACGTGTTTCCCGGCCAAGGTTCGGATTTTAACGTTGGTGATGTGACTTCGTGTTTGCTGTTGATTGAACTGCGTTTGCAAGGAAATGGCGCCCAGATGAATCCCGTCTTCGTCGTACTCTTTCATGTCTTGCACAATGTGTTGGGCTAACGCGGGTGTTTTCCATGAGGTGTATTTGACGGCGTAATAAACCAAGCGTCGGGTGACTTTGACAAAAATGTCACGTAGGAACGGTAAAAGCCATTCTTCCCTCCACTGCGGGGTGATCCACATCAAAATGCAGACGAGGACGATGCAGAGTAACAGTAAAGGCACATTAACGTGGAGAATATACATTAGGTAACGATGCAAGGAGTTCAGGAGAAGACCGGACAATCCTAGTTGAAACCGAGCCGGTCGACCTGCCAATGGCTGAGCTGCATGATTGGCCAAAATTTTCTCTTCGTAATAGATGGCTCTTTCAAGCCCTTTGATTGGATCTTTGGAGAGAACAATCAAATAGGGAGCGTGGAGATGAAGATACTGATTACTCCGACTCGGATTGACGACATCCCAAAACCTTTTGGACATGGAAAGGAGTTCACTGCGAAGATCTTTGGCCGTGGCTAAATCAGGAGGTAGCGAAGTCGACATCAAAGATGAAAAATGATTGCGTGGACGAAACACACCTAGCACCAGAATCACCAAGCATAACTACGTATTGCGGTTAAGTTAACAGATCATCCCAAGTCAAGTATCGAACCCCCCCCCCCTTCTTTCCTCCTCCTCCTCCTCCTCCTCCCCAGCTCCCCTCTTTTCCCCTGAGGTTGCCACTGAGAACACTTACGAGCAGAGCGTTCAGAGCACGATGTGTCTTCATGTCCTTGTCAAAACGTTCGTACGTGTGCATCTGTTCCATCTCGCCCACGGTCGTAGTTGCATAATCGGGGGTGACACCTTGATCATCCGCATCCGTATCATTGGCAAGTTCAGGTAAGCATTTGGACACATTGCTTTTATCCAAATCAGTCAACTAGAGGGCCAAGTTTAGGAACCAAGGGCATCCTTTCCGAGTCAAACCAAATTGCGCTTACGCCACCCCATGGAATACGTACCTCGGCGCGTCGTACATCAATGGCCAGGACGGCTGTGAAAAAAGTCAATTGCAAAACGTAATCGACAAGCAAGGCGGTGGCGGCAAAGATACAGAATTGCCTCACAGAGGCAATATCCATGGCGGCGCCAATGGCCAGAATCGTGAGTTCACCGATCAACGTCGCTGTCATGGGAACACCCACATTCTGAAGACCTACATGACGGAGTGAGCCTCACTGCACTGATAAAAACTCTTTTGCCCCGACCCGGATCATCCTCTCACTTACCCCGCCCAATGCGTTCCTTGACATCCATGTCATAGCCTGCGTTCAGTGCCGCGTAGGTTAAAAGAAAAACATTTTCAAGCGTCGCCGCAATGGTAACCAACGGTTGAAGAAACCACGGTTTGACGTAGACGTGGAGCCCCAGGCAGTTGAAAATGCCAAGCGCGGTAGTACAATTGGCAATTGAAAGGAACACGGCGGCAATGCCCAATCCAATATGCGATTTCACCAGACTCGCTCGACCAAACGCTCGCGTTACTAAACAACAAACCAATATGTAGGCCACACTACGAAAATAAATTTGCGAAGGCACTTGATATGGGAACAGTTTGAACTACCAACGCGTCGTCAGTGAATCTTGCCCTCCCCCTTTTTTTTTTTTTTTTTTTTTTTTTTTTTTTTGCTTGGGCCTTTCATTTTGTTTTTCTCCACATTCTCCACAAAAAAGACTTACGATGTACTGGAGCGTTTGATCATGGATATCGGTTTGTTTCTGCCAAGCAATGACAGGGGCTTCGCTGTTGATCACGTTGCGATGGTTAATGTCAAACATGGGGACATTGAGCCGGGACAACGCTTCGTGCCATAACGCTTTCCACACCCGATCGGTGTTGAAGCTGGGATGGTGCTGTAACAGGACAGTGATAATGACGGAATCGGCGGTAACAAAGCGTCCGTAATGGTCAAGGGTGATGTTGCCGAAAACAGAGATCGGATGCAAGGATAAACCGGATGTCACGGATAATTCATCCATATGGCGCGTGACGGTGACGGCCCAGTCGTGATCGTTTTGAATTTGAGTTCCTTCTTGATTCCAATAGTCAAGAGGGGAATGGACGATGCATCGTCCACGGTGGGAAAAGCATATCGTAGCGAGGGATGCGGGTTTTTCATCGACGGAGACAAAGCTGGTGGTTAAAGCGTGCTGTAACTGTAATGCATAATTGAGCAAGTCTTTTGTGACGTGATTATCGGTATTGGTGATATAAATCTGTTTGGTAACGATGGCATTGGTATATGTTTTGGATATGTTGTCTGATTGTAAATGAGGGGAGAATTGCCAAAACCGAGCATCCAGTTTATCGATCGAGAGAAATGCGGAATCGGAACCCAGCTGATCAAAGTAGTTGGACACGACGGGGTAGGATAAGAGACACACGATCACCAAAGAGAGGAAAAGAATAAGTGACGATCGTGACGCACACGATTTACCATAGGGATAAAAATATGTTGACAAGTGAGCACGGAGCTTAGCTAAAGCCCGCAAAGGCATATCGACTAAATAATACTACTAGGAAATATTAAGTGGAGAAGTGAAAAGAAGTCAAACGAACTCCAAAGAATAAGAATAAAAAAAAGATGGTGAATAGAATAATGTAGAAAAGGATAGAAAAATTAGGAGCAAACAAGTTTGCAGGAAAAAGGGGCGCAACAAAAGGGCAGATGAAAAAAAAAAAAAAAAAAAAAAAAAAAAAAAAAAAATTCAGAAAAAAAAAGAACGACAAAGGAACGCCAGGAAGAGCCCAACCTTTGCTGCCGATGACCGCTTGAAAATTAGAAAAAAAATGAAGTCCAGTTACCAAACAAAATACAAAAAAGGAAACCCTCAAAAGCAGGTTTTCTGATCTAAGAATTACAACACGTTTTGTCTGTGCGTCAAAAGCCCCTATTATAATGTGAATATTAAAAAAAAAGATGACATGGACAATTGAATCACCCTTCAATCAAAAGTTGGGCAAAGAACGAACCACTCGCTGAGCCTGATGTTTTTTTGAGAAGTTTGATAACGTAATTCATCCACAGCGAAACATGGCTCAAATTGAAATCCCCTTTCTGAGTTGCCCACTGCTTTCTGTGTATGCAATGATTGCTACAATTTGTGACCCTTTTTTTTATATATTTTCGGACACTGGGGATCTTTTATCAGAAGCTTAGACACTGCCTGGTTTCCATTAATGGCATCGTCGAATTCTCTTTTTGTGCAAACGGCAGTGAATGAAAAAATCAATCAATCTCCGCTCATCCACGTTTCATTGTTTCGCCCTCACAGAACATTCTTTCTGGCGAAATCAAAGCTTAATCGTGATAAGCACTCGCTGCAATGTGGGCAACTGGAATAATTCAAATGACAATTCCTTTTACGTTTCCGACTCGACCGTGCCTGATATGAAAAAGCGGGTGCTCATCACAAGTGTCAAAGGTTACTTTCAGAGAAATAGGTTGATAATGGTGCAAGGGACGGTATAAATCCCATAACTGGTCCGGTGATAGTGGAGTAGGTTTAGAAGTATCACCGAAGTATACTGCCATTTTGACTTTTTTTACTCTAAAATACCAACATCCCGCTTCTAAAATCGGAAGAAAAAAAAGACTTTGCAGTTATTTTTGTCACCATGCACTGTATGACGCATGATCCCCATGGGTTTCGCTGATCTGGCCCATGGGTGTGTTGCAAGAAGGGAAAATGATCCTTTCTCGTCTCTTTTTCTTTGCGAAAAACGCGGGGTCTCTCCATTAGATTTTGCTAGTGCTTAAAGTCCTATTAACGGTATATAACAGTCAAAATGAAATTTGGTACAGATCAGAAGGACGGATAAACTCTTATTGTAACTTGCCACGTTGCCAAAAGTAATATTCATACAGGCGGGACCACAAAACTGGTGAACTGTTACACAGCCATGGCAACGGTTGAAATGAATGTACAGAAAAAAAAAAAAAAACGGCACACAAAAAAAAGGAACAAAAAAAGTATGGAAAAAAAAAGAACAGGATGGAGGGAAAGACAAAAGAATCAACAAGACAGAGAAATAGAGAGATAGAGAGAGATAGAGAGGAGAGGAGAGGAGGAGACAGGGAAAAATAAATATGGAAATAGATTATTTTATGTACATACAGCAGCTTCCCCATTTCGTCCAGGAACGGCAATGGTATCGTAAGCTGGCAGTGATGAGCCTGAAAAGCTGTACAGTCGCCCAGAACGAGTCGCGGTTGTGTATGACGGCACCCTGGAAAGGTCAATTCCCTCCCACGGCGACGTTTCCTCTTCTACACCAGACTCGGTGTCACCCATCGCCGTGGTACGAGCGCGGAACGCCGCTTCATTAGGTACAGCAACTGCTAATGAAGGTGGTAAACTTCCTGAAGCTACCATGGCGGCAATCGTCGCGGGATCGTAAGGCATTGATTTCCATGCATCCTCGTATGCAGGTAAAGCATTGATATCGTCATCTGGGGTAATGGCCGCAATAATAATAGGAACAGCCGCACGAAGTTCTAAGATCACATGAGTATTAAGCGTACCATCCTTGCCTAGTGCCTTTTTTTCTCTTCTGTTGCACAAGCTTTACCTGAAATGTGGCCATCCGCATTCATCAAGGACACTGTAAACTTCAACTTATGCCTGATCTTGATCAAGTCACTGAGAACATTGGTTTTGATCTGATGTGATTCTTCTTCAGGGATGGTCAGTAATTGGACTTTGGACCAATGACCGTGGCTGTCGACCTGAAATTGATCATCGCGTAGAAATTTAATTACTCGTCCTTCGGTTCTCTTGCGTTGACCGGACGAGACGGTGATGTACTCTTTTAGGCCCGAGGTGACGGATCGCACTTTGAGATCAGGAGCTATAGGCTTTAGATCAAAAGAAATGGGCACCACGCTGCCAATATTGAGAACACGGCTGGGCACGGAAATGTCGTAACGGAGTTTATTGGCCCATTCGTTCGATATCACCATGGACTGCGTCAGTTCCAAAGACGAAGGTAACAAACTTCGAGTGATCTTGATTTCTTTTTTATCTGTGTAGTTGATGGAAAACGTCGGTCGTTCCGCCACGGCTTTCAGTCGATAAAAGACTTGACCCAGGTTGTGTTGCACACTTTCTGGCAGATCACCCGGCAATGGCAATTCAAAGTCCCTGACAACACCACCCGCAAAAAAAGAATAAATGATCTGGTCATTCGATTTTGGACAAAAAAAAATATGGATCATTACCATTGATAGTGGCCTTCGGCTAATTGATAATGTTTGCGAGTGGGGGGTAAAAAACTCCATTCGTGTTCCAGAATCGTATGTTCGTCTCTGAACTGACGCTGGTGCGTACCTATGCCTATCGAATTTTCGTCGATGAGCTCTCGCGTGGGAAATGGTCAAGCATCCATATACCATGAGAGTACAATGAGAGTATGAACAAAACCTACCTTCGGCCCAATTGACTCTGACTTTGCCGGTAAACTTGAGATTGACGGAACGCACTTTGGTGGTTTCGTGGCAATCGAGGACCACCGAACCTCGTAACATGACGCCAGCGGATTCATCCGCCGATCCGTGCAATACCACATGGTTGTTGGTTAACAGTATCTTGAATTCAGCGCCTTGTACCAAAGGCATAGCATGTACCATGATAATACAAAGAAAATATGTGAAAAGAAAATAATATATAAAAGAGGATGAAAGAGTAATGTTACTGCTCGATTTTTTTTTTCCAAATTCCAAGTGGGGGAATTTTTTTTCTCGGGTGCCACTGCAGAAAAGTAGGGTGGAGGCAATATGGTTTCTCGTCCTTTCCGTAATTGGTTGGTCAAGAACAAGAAGAACAACCCACCTGTCTTTTGACACAAAAATCCATGCAATCAAACGCCGTGGTGAGATTTAATTTAGAACATTTGAAATTGCGCAATAACGTAATAACCATATCCCATTTTCATCCGTACTATCCGCTGCTTACACCCACTTTTTTTACTGCTAGGCTCTTCATAGTAGAGTGGAAGGCATGTGTATACTACAGATCAGTTGCTTATCAACTGAAATTCATTATTTGTTCTACCATCATATGTTGAACCCTAAACATCTCCATTGTCATGACATTTTTTTCGCATGAATCCTCGGCAACAATGCAACAAATTCCCAATGCATGGACCCGACAACGAAATTTCTTTGCATGCTCGTTTGTTAGGTCATTGAGGGTTTTTTTTTCTCCCCATGATTCATCATAGTGCATCAAAGACATGGAAAAACATAGTCCGTATGGAACTGGGGAAAACTTGTCAAAGAACAAAAAGAAACCAAACATTAAAAAAAGGAAAATTCCATTTTGGGGTTTCCCAAGATTACAACAATGCAACCCGGTGACCTTGCCAATCATCCGTCGTCATGTTATCAAAGACGGCTAACCAAGCTACACTTCTTTGCAAGAAATTGCAGGGATATACCATCCATTTTTTTTGGGTTAAGAAACCTCTAAAAAAACAGCGTTGCCTCTGCTGGGACGCCTATTGCTACTGTTAAAATTCATTTATACATAACAATAATGTGGAATTTAAATAAAGTGTAGTACTTCGTTCCACTAAAAAATCTGTAGAGTCCCTACAGTAATCCTGACTGCTCATGATTTATTATATAAGCACTTTGAAAACTGAATACGAGTAAAGGACAATGCACTGGTGCTGAAGAAAGAAGGAAGGAGGAATCGAATTATGAAATTCAAGTTTTTTTTTTTTGTCTGGTTTACGACGTTGATATTGATGAAATTCAGAATGTCATGGTTCCTGATCCTTTTATCAGGATAATGTATGCTCCACACTTGACAATAGACTTAATCAAGATCGTTACTTATGCACCCATTTTATCATATGTGTTAGCAAGAAAGAGGCGGGACAACTATCCTTTGGATACTGGCATGACTTTAACTTTGGCGGGTTACCTTCATTCTTGCAATTCCCAGAAATTTGGGATGCATTTTTTTTTTTATTGCGCTGTGAATTTTTTTAAAGATCAGACAGTTGTGACTCGAGTGTGGAAAAAGGGAGCCACAAGTTCTGCTTTCGGGATTGATCGAGATCATGTCCATTCCAGCCACTCTAGCAAATGATCTGTTTTGGGTTGTGCAGGAAGAAGCCTTGAGGTCAGTCTACCTATTCAACTACTTATAGTCGTTTTTGCATCTCTGGAAAAAAATATATGATCGTGCTCATTTTTTTTTTCAATACCTTGTGTTTCCCAGCGATGAAGAGGTGTTCCTTGCCGCCGACAGCACCCCGCTCAATTTCAATTCAATCCATGCCATGAAATCGAAAGTGCGGGTGACAAAGGAACGACACCGACGACTGTTACGGCGTATGGTGTGCCAAAACGCAGACGAACTGCAGTTACTGCAGCGTGACTTTGCACGAAGTATCGATCGCGTTTTTCTCCCGCCAAAAACCAAACCCCAATTTGAAATACGGGACGGTCGATCCTTTCTGTTAGACAATCAACAGCTTCTTAAAGACACAGCCTCCTGGGTCACATCCGTCATCCATGGGCAAACTCCAACCACTTTGGAACATCCAACGGCCCCACCTTCCACCGATCAAAACGACACCAACACTGCATACCAGGAAACCATCGAGGTGCGCAAGAATCCTATTTGTTTCACGTTTGATTCAGTTGACTCATTTGTCTGTGTAGAACCTTTATCAAGCACGAGTGGATAGTGTCACAGAGAAACACCGTCAGCAGTTAGAAAGTCTACGATGGGCCTATTTGGAAGAATTAACCCAGCTCAACAGTACACTGGCTCAGGGACACCTCAAGCAAGGACTTTCATCGGCCACTACCAAATCAACAACACCGTCATCATCATCAGGGCCCAAGTCTGCACAGACACAGGCATCACAAGCATCACCGGTTGCGCCTGCTCCATCAGCGACAGCTTCCCCATCCACTTCCTCTGCATTCACATCTACCTCGGCCACTTTGTTCAAAAAACCTACCTCCTCACGATCCGTTTCTTCCAATCCTCCTTCCAACCCCAGTGCCCTTTCTACACCCTCCACCAGTATACCTGATGTCATACCATCGGTCAGCGCCACAACAACTGCAACGCGTGATCCTCGTAGACGTCTTCAACCTCCTCAACCTCCTCCTCCTTCTGCTGCTCCTGCTCCTGGTGCTATGCCGACGGCAACAGAAACCAAGCAGCAAACCACGATACATAACATGAATGCACCGCCAAGTGTCCGACCGGCAGCCGAATCTTCAGCAAAGGTGGAGTCAGGTATTCCTGAGGTGGTCAGCGTTCATTCCAAGCCGGCACCAGGTCCACCTCCAGTATTAAGTTCATCACGCAAAGCACCCGCAGCATTCAGCCATGAGATTCCCGTGGTCAGTGCCCAGCCACGAAAAAAGAAGAAGAAACTGTTATCGAGAACACGCGCCAAAGATCAGATGCCAATGATGACGAATCGTGGTAATATTGCCGTGGTCCCTCACGAAGCGGTTTCTGGGACACCTCAAGTGGTATGCCGGACGACGAATGGACCGATTTATCTCGGACACCCCATGTGTTACCAGGACGCGAATCTGTATAAAACAGTGATGGATAATGGAAAGCGAAATCCCGTCTGTGTTCGCAACATTGAAGGCACCACCTATTTCTTCACCCAGCAAGCCGACAAAAGAACCATCAATGTGGGCCCCACAGAAGAAATCATGAAGACTGTAGGCAAATTCTTTTTGAACTACGGTCCCAGTCCAGCAGATTATCGAAAAGACTAAAATTGCCCCGACAACCCATCCTAACAATGTCTTGAAATGAATGGAAAAAAAAATATTGTTCTTTCAAAGAAACGCATCATCATGTAGTTTCCCAGGGAACAATGATTTTTTTTTTTAAAAAAAAAGAACATGAATGAAAGCAATCGGAGGGGGATATGAAACAAAATTAAAAATAATGCAATATAACAAAAGAAGTAAACAAGTCAAAGGCCTGGATGACAGAGGATGAACCAAAGTCTATTTAAAGTAAAATATCGCCAAAGCGGTAATCAAACCGCCTGTCAAAGCGCTCTCCAGAGAGTACAGAATGGCTGTCTTTTTACTGATGCCGGTGGAAAAGGCGGTGGGAGCGGCAGATGGTAGCTGCTCTTCCACGACATACGGCATGGACGTATCGAGTACCGTGGGTTCGTCGACCGGATAAGGTTCTTGGGCGCTCAGATCGCCACCGGCCCATGGACGTGATGCCAATTCGGTCAAGGTCGCCAACACTGCCTTTTGCTGTTCCACCAGCTGCTCATCCTTTGTTCGCAGAGCATCGAAGGTTTCCTTTAATTGCACGCCACCATCGTCGTTGGACTGAGCCACGAGACTACCTAATGTGGCCAGCACCAGTTCTTGCTGTTCTGCCAGTTTTTGATCTTTCTGATCTTGCATGGCCAAGGCTTCGTTGAACTTGACTTCCTCTTCCTGAATTTTGGTCACCAAAAGTTCCTCAAACCGTTGCGTCAGACGCTTTCGTTTATGGGGTTCAAACACGGTTTGTACGGCTACAAACAGTAGCAAATTGACAACCATCAATGCCCAAGTACCGTAGGTACTGACGCTGCGAATCTTGTCACTCCATAATTGTTCTTCGTGATATCGTTCCATGATGGATCGGGCCAGTTCCATGTATTCGCGGTCCATGTCCTTTTCACATTGCTGGTATCTTTCTCGCGCCGTAGCTTCGTTTCTGGAATGCTCATGTTCCAACCGGTACAGTTCCGTAAACCGCGTGACATCATCCCCTGTCCACAAATGTTTCCGTTGCAACAACTCATTGATCCCACGTTGCGTGTCCGACCGTGTCTCAATAGCATGCTCATACTGCTGTTTCGCCTCTTGCACACGATCGCGCGTTTGCTCAAACAGTTTCGCTAAGAAAAAAAAAAGATAGTCGTTGGTCATTCACGTCGTATTGGTTTTTAGCTTCTTATCCGTTGATACAAACCTTGGTCATTCACCTTTGTTTTGATGGCTTCAATTTGATTGTATCCCGTGAGTTCATTGAGAGCTCGGCTAGCTCGTTGCAATGCTTCCCTTGAATCGTGTACATTGTGGGTTAACTCCTTGAGCTTTTTGGAGGCCGACTGTACTTTGTAGTAAAGAGGATCGAGCCGATGTTTGAGTTCCGACTGCGCTCGTTCAAGGTACTCTCGATAAATGTCCATGGACGAAAGCGATGGGGTCATGATCGTCTGTTCCGGTCGCTGTTGTGTTTCCTTTTTTTCTTGATTCCCGAGAATCGCTGGCTCGACGTCCGGAGGAGTAACTGAAGTGCTGGCAGTTGGTGCTGTGGATTTAACATGATTGACTTTTGAAGTGGATTTGGTAGGCGATTCCGGTTGGAATGCCTGCTTGTGTTCACCAAGAATGGAGGCGAGCTCTGCTTCGATATCCCTATTGGACTTTTCCTGCTTCCTTCCTTCGTTGGCCGAGCTGGTTGAACTAGCCGAGCTGGCCGAGCTAGCCGAGCTTCGAGTGGTATAGAGTGAACGGGCCATCAATGGGCGGTGCCATATTGAGTGGTACTGTAACGGCCTAAAGGTCCTTGATAGCCTGAAGGCCATAGTATGTGTGTGTGCTTTGTATGTTCCTTGGAAATTGGGCCCGGTCGAGCACAGATCAAAATTGACCCCACCGTGACGGTTGACCCCCACCATCATGGAAATTTTAGCTTTCTTCGAAAAATAAAATTCTTTCATCCAGGTCGATTCAACTATCCCTTTATGACATGGCTCATTCTTGTTATGAGTCTTTTGCATGCCAATCGGTTATTTCCATGTCATTGATGGAAATTTTATTCTGTAAAAAATGACCTTTTTACCATGCGTTTTGTGACATGTATAGCATCCAAAAAACATGGCCTGTTTTATTGAGATCGAACCAAGAGATCCAATTTGCACCACGGGAAACAAATGCAAAGAATACTATACAAACTTGACATTTATTTTCATCATCACACTGAAAAATGCACTCAACCTTCCGTTTTTAACCGTTTCGCGTGACGTTTTGGGGCTTTTCTGAAGCTGAGCCATTTCTATCATGAGCTTCACAGAAAATGTCCCTTTTTGTTGGCTTGCCTTTGCAGTCCGTTTTTTACCGCTGATTACCTTCGTCATTAGCTCTCGCTTCTGATATTGTTACTTGTGGAAAATGACTTTCATTTAAAATAAAGGACAGTATATGTTGAAGGGCTGTCACCTATAAGACATTAGTTATTACCAGCGGTGGATCCTTTGTCTATCAGTAACCATCCCTGTTTCGTCACAAGCTAATGAAACGATTCAGACTATGTATATTATCGCCATGTGGGGTTCCTTTTGTGGTGCAACAACGCGAAATTCGATTTTAATAGGGCGACTTCAATTTCGATAGTGGAAGGACATTGATTATGATTGGTCAGCGACATGGATGTTGATTAGGTGCAACATTGGGGAATGGCTGTATACGGGAATGACCGTAAACGGGCACCTTTCATTTTGGTTATTGCGAATTTTCTCAGCTTATTTCCTTTTCCTGTCCGGTGGGTTGTTTTTCTACTTTCCTCTTTCTCTCTTCTGATTTTGCCCTTTTGCTGTGGCTTCCCCTCTTCATGACAAGCAAACCATGACCATGACTCCTTCCTCCATAAGCTCGTACATATCAACCGACACTACGTCATTCTCTAATCAGCTATTATGCCAAGGCATACATCATACTCACTTTGAACATGCTCGCACGTCAAAGCCCTGGCGAGCTACCACCGAGGAAAAAATTACACGTAAACGAAGGCGGTCACCATTCTCATATTCGTCTCTTATCGCTCAGGCCATTCTAAGCTCCGAAAATGAACGACTCACTTTGCGAGCCATCTATCAGTGGATTATGGATATGTATCCCGGTCTTTACAATGGCTCCGATACAGGATGGCAGGTAAGAGACAACTTATTTTCATGCCCATTCTTGGTTATATTGGGGGAGGAGAAAAAAAAAAGGAATAGCTGACTGAGACACTAGACATGATATTTCTCGTATTTTACTTTCTTTTTTCCTCTCTTTACTGCTTCATTGGAATGAAGAATACTATTCGGCACAACTTGTCGCTGAATAAGTGCTTCAAAAAAATACCTCGAGTGGAAGAAGATGGAATGATTAAAGGCAAAGGTGGTTACTGGACGGTGGATCCAGAGTATATGGATGAATTCCGAAATGGGGCCTTGGAAAGAGCTCACGCCGCGAACCGTTCCAAACGACAGATCAAGCAGGACCCATCCATATCGTCCGGCGTTCATTGTATCTTTTGTCCACCAAAGTTATTTCAGTGTAGGCCTGCCTCTCGATGTCCAACTCGAATTCAAGACCCACCACAACATCAACTGAAGCCTATTTTACCACAACCATCACCAGCTTTGCACAAGATGCAAATTCATAATATCCTCAATTAAGTTACCCTTAACTACCATGTTTCCTCTCTCATGTTTCTTTTTACTAGACCGTCGCCTTTTTATTTACCCATCCGATTTGGTTTTTTTTATTCCCATAACTCTTTCGATTGAGATCAAAAGCGGCACATACAGCACTGTATATTTAATGCTTTTTAAAAAAACTAGACGCCTCTTTTTTCTATGCTCTTCTTCCACATATTTTATGGGATGACAAGAACCTCTCCCCCCCTTTTTTTTTCTGCGAGCAATAATAAAAAAGTTATCTGTTACGAAAAATAAAAGTGGTGAACTAAATAAAACGCTCGTGCCCATCAATATTTTTTTATTGTTTTCTTCCAGTTTGAGCTATGTTTCTGCGTTCCAAAGCAGCAAAAAAAAAGTTGACATTTAAATGATGCCACAAAACTCCCATACAGCTCTTATACGTTTGCAAATCAATGTAAGTTCTGTATCGATGTAAAATACATAGACCCACTGGGAGAAAAAGAAAATGCTTTTTATTGTATCAAGGCTCCTGCCGCGTATGATAAAGGTTAATCTGACAGTTTTCTCACCAATAAGTCTCAAATATTGTACAGAGCGAGAAAAAAAAAGGTAATCTTGAGATAGAAAACTTACGAGTTCACTGACAAACAGATACATTTGGCTCAATATAAAGGTGAAAGAAAGATACTCTCATAAAAGTTAAAATACAGATTTTAAAGGAAAACATGGGCCAAGCCTTACTGCTTACTTTAAACACTTTTTTGACTCGTCTGTAATATGAGCATGCTGCCAAGCATTACCAATGTAAGTTTTCTGTAAACATATCGGTTATTGAATATTATTTGTTGCTCATCAATGACTGTATACATTTTACAAGAAAACATGAGTACAAAAACGGAGGACAATCAAGGATAAAGCGCATTTTTAATTTAGCATTCGATTATGCAAAATGATCAGAAGAACAATACGCTCCGAGATTCAGGAATATTTTCATCACTTGCCGAATTTTAATGCCATGTTGCCCAACGATGAAGCTCGTTTTTTACTGCAAATTTTCATGTTCCGCCGATTTTTTTGTTTCTCCAACCATTTGAGTTTTCACCATGGCCACCATCGATGTGCGTGAATTTCGAAGGCATGCCATCGATCTCAAACGATCAATGGACGAAGAGGAGAAATCCATCGATTTTGCTAAACTGAAGAGACGGATCGGAAAGGAAAAGTAAGGCATCCAACATCGTGAGACTTCCCGATCTGACACGTCGACGTTTTCACATAGTCTTGAAGCCGATTACTTGACGGAAACTTCGGCATTCTTTGTCGATCCTACCTTGTTTGCATTGCTACGAGACCGTATTGACAGTCACCTCGAAAAATATCATAAACCTCGCGTTCGCTTACCGGATGGCGGTGATCAAGTGATCCTCAGGAAGCCCCAAGCCAAAGACGTGCTGCCAAATCGTGTGCTGAATGAATCCGAGGAAAGAAGTTTAAGAGAAAGGAAGGAACAAGTAGGAGACTTGGCTTACATCAATCCGGTGATCCCCAAAAAGCGACGATTCCTGAATATATCCAAATCATCGCCCATTTATCGCTCTCCTGCTGCAGGATCCGTACGAAGTTTGATGTTTGGCGAAGACGAGGATCAGTTATCTTATTCCAGCAGTTACTTCGGATCCCCAAGTCAAGTATCTTTCGAGCAACGAATAGGACATGGTTTTGTGATGGGTTCGAATTCACCATCCCAAGCTGGTGACACCGACAATAGAATGTACCGAGATACCTCGGTACCCGTAGGCTTTCGTCGTTTACCTTCACAATCCGTGACTTACTCACCGCCCATCAATCCCCTATTTACACACCCTTCCCTTTCCGAATTGGCGCTTCCAACCACAAGCGAGGGTGGTCTCTTCGGCTTTGAAGCATCTATAAATGGCAGTGATCGAGACGACGGAGAAGGCGGAAGCGAGTATGTCAGTCCGAGACCGCTCGACGAGCAATTGAGGCAACATCCAGAAATTCCAGAGACCCAATCCACGAGAGTATTCCTGGAAATGGCCGCCAAGATGGATCAAAGTCCTTTACATATACTAAAGTAAGCCAATACCAACGGCTACCCTGTCAGATGTTCCAAAACTTAATGTCATTTTCTAGTCCAAAGTCCGTGATTACACTCATGCCACGACAAGCTACCTCATACAACTACGCATCCTCTTCAGCTCAGTCACCTTTGGCTGTGGTAGGTTTATTGCCGTATCATTCGCTATCAATGAGTCATCTTAATTGCTTGTACTTCTCTTTGACAGAAACGAAAAGCACCTAAAAGATCCGCACCGCCGGCCAAAAAACCAAATACGAACCGGGAACAGGATACAGATACCTCGGCACCTAATAGCCGTCGTCATGGCACGAAACATTCTCTAGACAAGCAGGCATCCGTTCCCTTGGTTGATGCGTCCAAATCCAATCCTCGTAAAGAACCTCCCGAACCACAAGTCATATTGTCCATTGCCATATACCATCCACAAAGGCCGGAGCAGCGACTTCAAGAATTCGATATTCTTGGATCGCAAACTCTGGCCGATCTTAAAAAGGCGATAAAATGTCGCAAAGATGCCGACATGAAAACGAACCAAGATTCGACAGAGATGGACAGCTCCCATGCAGAGTCAGCGAACGACCGTGCCTCGGGGAGTTGTTTCCTGGTAGAAAATACTTTTTATAATGATATGGATGCGGATGATGGAGATGCTTCCCCACCCAAAAATCCCAGCAAGTAAGTCGGGCATGGGAACGTTTTGCATCGAATTTTTTGCTTATTTGAGAATAGGATCATTATGCAGTGGGTCAAAGAGAATGACCGTTATTTACAGCCAGGGTTAGCAAACTACACTTCAGCCAGTATGCAGCAAACCACATTTGAAGATTTGAAAATACGGCTGAACCATCCTTATGTGTATCTCCATCAAACCAAATGCTGTCATCTCTTGTTGATACGTGATATCAGGTTCGTTAATACCCCATTTCTAAAGACAGGGGACCGATATATAACCGGAAAAGAAATTTGTGAATAGACTGCAAGGCAAGAACGACGAAAGTGATTACAGCGCCTATCCACGGACTACATACAGTTGGCGATACGAACGGCATAAATGTACCATGTGCACCATTTATCCCTCAGAGTAAGTAGTATTCTCTTTCCTCTTGTCCTTTTCTCTGGCTTTGATTATTTACTTATTTGTTTCGCGTTCCAATTTTTTACTTCGTGTAGATACGTGACGATGGATGATTATCTGTCTGGACATTCGCCTTGCTACTGGTGTAGACACTGTTTCTTTCCATTTCACTACGATAAGGATGGGAAGAAAGTAGGCGACTTTAAGTGGAAAGTGTACAATGGCCATTGATACTCATTGGCTGCTTTCGTTGTACCTGATATGCCGTTGGCGGGAGCCCCAATTTTTGTAAACTACCATTCCGGTCATACGCACTATCCCCACTGTATAATGATGTACATATCTTTATGGAGTATATACCACTGCTGTACAAAGACATGATAAATTTTCTGTGATCAAAACTGCCGGCCAGTTCAACAACAAAGCACCTTTCAGCCGCTGGCTTTTTTCTTATGATGCGTAAGAGAAAGGCAGCCTATATAGAAATTAGAAACTCTGCGTATAAACTTTTTTGATGACTGTATTCAATAGATTGTAGTTTACGACCAAAGTCTTTGCTATCTAGTCGCAGACTTGGGCACTGGCGACTTGTTAGATGCTGTGGTGGGTGTGAACACCGTGCTGCAGTTTTGTTCCGAGTTCATTCGCACTAAAGTAAAAAAGTCGAGTTGTCCATGCCGGAGTTCCAAAAAGTCCAGTTGTGCACTCCGATTTCCAAAATTGGGTGCAAGACATAAGAGGTCATTTCTGCTTTGACGCTGACGGATTCTCCCTCTTCAATCCATTTGATTTCTAATGGTACAGTACCTTGCATCATCATCCATCCGTTGAAATGCAGTAATAGACTCATCCATCCATTGTTCTGTAGGCTAAGCGCACTAAGAAAGGTTCGATTTTCGACCCATGAAAAAAAAGAGTGGAGTCCATGTCGATATTAACATCGTGATTCCCATTTTCGTTTTCTAGTTGGAATTACCGGCAAGTACGGTACCCGTTATGGTGCTTCCCTGCGTAAGCAGGTGAAGAAGATGGAAATCACCCAGCACGCCAAGTATACTTGCACCTTCTGCGGCAAGGTAAATTTTCCCTTTGGGGAGACAAACATCACTGCAATGCTGGGGAAATGTAGGTTGTTAATGTGGTTTATGTAAATTTTTTAGGATGCTGTCAAGCGTACTGCTGTTGGTATCTGGAAGTGCAAGGGTTGCAAGAAGACCATGGCTGGTGGCGCTTACACCGTCTCGTAAGTCGATTGAGTCAAAGGAAAGATAAGGAATGGAAACGTAATGCTGATGACCTTATTTTTTGTTTTAGCACCACCGCCGCTGCCACTGTTCGTTCCACTGTCCGCCGTCTTCGCGAATTGGCCGAGATCTAAAGGCAATGCATACTCCAATTGTTCATAATAAAGATCAGTCTACTCTGAAGTTATATGCATATGTTATATCCCCTGAATGATAATTAATGGAAAGCTTCTTTGGAGGGGAAAAGAAAAAAACGGTTCATGTGAAGTTTTGGAACGTTGCGTTTATAAAATAATCTTGGCTTGACTTGCTATTATTTATGAGGAAATCACGTTTGTTAGTTGCTCCGTTTGCTTCTTGACTTTTATTCTTCTGATAATGAATGATGATACCGACGAGACAGATACAGGCCCTTCCTTATTATCTGATGGATCGTAGACCGGAATTTCCTCAGTTTGTTTGTCGGGTTCAATGCATGGAGAAATTAAATAATAACCAACAGAGCTAATGCTGTTGAGCTGATATTCGAGGATACAGCGGTCTCCTCCAGCAAAACCGGCCCCTATCCCCTTTTCATTATGATTGCAGCAGTACAGCGATATGCATTATTTTGGGCCCATGTGAAAACGAACAGAGTTGCCACAAGGTACTGTCCTGCAGTATAAGGAACCATTTGTAATATGTTCTATCGTGCCAAACATAGATAGCAAAGGGTGAGAATCTCGGCGGAAAAACCACGGTCCAACAGATCCATGTCGTGTTCTAGTGTCACGACGGTGGCGCCATACGAAATCGTTATCCATTGTTCTCGATCAGTTCCCACAACGTGCTTATCCTTATGCAACAAAGAACGACCGCACTCATTGGCAAAAATAACATCAAAGTACTCTTTTTGTGAGAAAACTGTTAATATCCACTCAACCAAGTCATTAATTATCTACTTTGTATCAACAGATATCTTTTTTTTTTTTAAAAAAAATGACAAAATGATAAATATCTTCTATTTGGTGCTGGCCATAACCTTGGGAGCAGCCTATTATATATAAATATGTTAACATCCAAGCGTGTATCGGGTATTGTCGAATGAATGTGCTTTGATACTTACACAGAGGTCAGCACAGTGCATGAAGTGGAAGAATTCCTCAATGCCTAGAGAAACCCAATAATTAACATCGCGCCTCCCTGAGAATCGATGCTGCCCAGTGACTTTTCGAAACGTGACACTTACAGTTTTCCTGAGAACCATTCTCGACACGTTCATTACATTCGTCGAGGTGATGCTTCAAACCAGAGCATTCTTTGCTGTTGGCGCATTCTAATTGGGGGTTGAAAGAGAAACGGTAAAACGCGACGTGTCAGTTGTGTAAACAATGGCGTTATATGGTGTGGTGCGGTGACATACCCTCCATAATGGCTTCCTTGGGATCGACGAGTTCTTCTTCTTCTTCTTCTTCCTCCTCTTCTACTTCCTCTTCCTTTTCTTCCTCTTGGGGCTGCTCTTCAACGGATTCGGATTTTTCAACCTCTTCGACGGTCTTTTCCGCTTCCTCGGCGTAGACGGTGGGAATAAAGTTGGAGATGAAATCAGCAAGTCCCATTGCGAATTGTTCTGTAGGATATAGAGTAGGGAGTTTTTAGTGGGGGAAAAAGCGCTACGAATGTTTTGGCGGACATGGCTTAAGCTCCCCCCTGCCGAAACAAAAAGCCACGCTCCGACTCGGCTCGGCTGTCAATTCGTGACTGTTGCTCTGACTGGTCAGACCGGTCTGACAATCGAAAAGATGGAAATTAGACGCGCCCTGGGCCGAGGTGAGGATAAATCAACAACTGGAACATACTTCATACAGTTCCCATGATTCACTTTGGTGTCTAAGCTCAAGTGCATAAAAACAAAAGAAAAAGGGCAAAATATCACGTCATGATGCTTGTTACTGCGTGCTTACATCCATGTAGGCCTTATTTAGACTTAATGATATGTTATGCTTGAATAGAAATAAAATCCTTGTGCATTCGGAGGATCCAAGTTCTAACTGTTTCTGAGCCAGAGGCATCTAGTCAAATCATCAAGAAGTCAAACAGTGTTGTATTTACCATTTTCTCTAGGGATGCAATGTGACAATTCTGTTTGTGCGCAAAGGTGTATACACGCGCGTGCAGCTCTAGCCGCTTCTTTATTCAATGCAAAACAGTTTTATAACCTTTAATCATAGGTGCATAACCTCAATTACGTTGCAACGATGGCAGTGATGGATTTTCCCGTGAATTGCTTTATTTGTCCAGCACGACGGGATAAATTAAAGATCAAGGTTTCAAATGACATCATACATATCCTTTTTCGGTCACTGTTTCGATGTCGAGGACAGTGCGTTCCCCAGTTCTTGGCATCTACTTTGGCTATCAATGCGTCCTATTTTCAAAAAGGTTATGAGATAGGTAATCATTGCTCCATACTGTACAATGGATTAATGCAATTTTTTTTACCGGCAACCTATTAGCGTGAAACGATACAACATAAGTAAAAGGCATGCGGGGGCCAAAGACAGTGTTGATGCTGGCTTCGTCATTTTCAGTTACTCCGACTGACCTCCGCTCAGTTTTCCACCCATATATTGATGTCAGATTCGCATGTCTTTTTTGCCTCACTTCTTCCTTCTATACATCTATTATGTCTTTGTCTGCCGACCAAAACCTCGCTCTTGGCCCTGAAGCTTCGGATCCTTCCACAGTGAACGCACAGCCCGATACATCTCCACCACCGGAAGTCAAGCATCCCCATTTGACCCAGATTACGGGTGCACTTCATGATCTCAAGGAAGGTGTCAAGGACACATTAGGTCAACACGATCACGAGAAGAAAAAGGTTCCTCAGGATGGAAAGACAAACCCTATGGAGTAAAATCTTGACTTTGCATTATCTATGCTTGTACAATACTTACTACTGCCCTATTTTACAACTTTATCGCTTCCTGTAATAATAAAAAAAAAAAAAAAATCGATGCCCCGCTTGCACATTCTACTTTGTCCTTCTTTAATGACACTATATCCATAGCCATTATGTAATCCATTCGTACGCAATGATAATCTGTCATAGTTGAGTTATGGATTTTGCCTTGTTTGTCAATCGACTTTGGTAATAACAGCAGCAGGACCCTTGAAAGTCATTGAGTGATGATAAGAATAAAGTCGAATAAATCTTGGCAATCAAAGCATTTGTGTGCTATAAGTTGCATACTTGGCGCATCATCTTCCAATATATCTCTAAGGATGAGTCGTTATTGGTACTTATATCCGGAAGATGTGCTAAAAACACCGTATACTTGGATGATAAGAAGGTGAGATTACCCAATAAATGTATTGGTTGCTTCCCAAGAAAGAAATTTGGGAGAAAAAGAATAAAAAAGAGATTATGTAAACTTTTACACAATGATCGCCCCCCTGAACACACTCAAGATGTCTTTACCAACATGCTGGAATTTGCCATACTGTACCACTTTTTCTTGCTGTCGTTGGTCTAGACAATTTTATGCGGCTGGCTGAACCGGGTAAATTTCTTCTTCGATTATCATTGTTTTTTATACCTGTTTCTTTCTGCAGCGATCATATGATGTTTAGCCCTCTACAGTAAATGACCTTTTATTCGTAGTCAAAAGCAGCGTCTGTAACCACACAGCTCTATGCGGTAAAAATACGATAGGCCTCATCCATGCAAAATAATCATTCAATCGGCTCCGAAATATTTTTTCTTTTGACCAGATTTATTATCGAGTCTCCGAAAGGATTCGACGTGTCGCGACGCGTACCTTTTTTTTTTTCACCCCCTTTCGCAGCATCCAATGAGCAATGATGACACGATTCCCACTGTAGTATTGCGCATGTTGACGGATCGTAAAGGCATTCGTCTTTCGTCCGAGTACTTCAAGACATGGTATGCTAACTGGCGATCCAATCAACCTCGGCAACAGCCCATGGATCGTCAAGTCATCTTTGACGCAGCGCTTCGCGATTTTTTAGCCACGGACTTGGCTCAGTCTTCGGTACCAGTGATACCCGAGGATCACGGAGAACAGGCTCTATCAACATTCCCGCCCGGCGAATTACGCCACGGAGGAGGAGTCGTACTGCAGATTCAAGACACACTCGACATTAGCACTTCCACTCACACGTTATTAAACAGTATGACCACCGTCGCCTCTGTCCGTCAAACCTATGTCTTGCGTGGCAAAGACGATGAAATCAATTTCCCGCGTGGCATGCTGCGGTGGACCTTGACCGATGGTCACCGCCAAATCCAAGCCCTCGAATTGCAAAGAATACCGCAGCTTGAGCTCAAAACTCCTTTTGGTTGCAAAGTAAGCCAACTTATGAACAAAAAAAAAAATCCTCATTGTTTATTGTTCTCTGACCGATGATTTTTTGTATACTCTGTAGCTGCTTATCCAAAGCGCACAATTAAGGCGAGGCATGCTTTTATTGGATCCATCCACGGTGAAAGTACTGGGTGGTGAAGTACCCAGTCTTTATGGTGCCAATATGCTGTTGGAACTGGAAAAGCGATTCAAAACCAGACTTGGCATTACAATGTCTACAGCACCATCTGAAAATGCAACTACAAATCCACCACCACCACCGCCGTCGTCTGTACCAGAAACGCCGCCTGCTCCTTTCACCCGCAATCCTATTCCTCAACGCAACAACAACCCATCTCTCATACGTACTACAGTAACTAGTCCTCATACTTCTAATTTGCATACCACGCCTCCAACTACCAGCACTTCTTTCACACCTATCGCACGACCCATCAGTTCAACCAATCATTTGTCTGTATCTTCTTCATCATCACGCTCTTTGTTGACCCCACCAACGCCGCCGCAATACACCACCTCGCAGTCAAGGTCGTTGCCATCCGAAACAGTCAACTCAAATCGGTTTACTGTCACGGACATACCGTTAGATACAGAGATGTTTGACGATATCAACGATTCGATGGATGTTGATGATACTTTTGGCAGCACCGCTGTTTCATCACATGCGGTGTCTGTTTCTCCTGAGCCTGCCGCGCGTGATCTAAGACATCTCGTGAAACAGTACACCTACCATGACGATGATATTGAAGTGGAAGATCTAACGGAACCACAGCGTGCACCTTCTCCCAAGCACACTACTCAAACCATGCCTCTTTCGACGCAGCAATACAACCATGACTTTGACTGGCTGGATTTCAGCGGGCTCGAGGAAAGCGAAGGAACCAAGATCAAACAAGAAAAGCCTACCATAGAAGATGGTAAACTCCATACGACCATTGGTAAAGTCAAGGAGATGCTGATCGCCATGGATAAAGGAGAACACATTGATGAAAACATTGAAGAAGTGGTTGTCAAGGTAAATATTGATGGGATCTAACGAAGCGGCTTCAGTGGACTAATCTTTTTTTATTCTTTCATAGGCTACTGTTCGAAAATTGGCTACATTAAAATTGACTCGGTCGCAAGGTTTCTATCTCATTGCTTATCTCATCGATCCAAACGATCAGTCAAACGATACGCTACCCGTTGTTTTTGGAACCAAGGCAAGTTTGCAGCTTATGATATAAATTACAAAAATCTAACCGCATGCTACTGTAGGTCGTCACCCAATTATTAGATGGATTGACCCATCTGGACGTCATTGAAATGAAAGAAAAGCAAGGGCAAAAGGAAGTAGCCATGCGAGTAAGTTGGAGGTCTCATCAATAGGTTTGAACATACGCATAAACTGACAATACAAAAAAATTAGGTATTTAAACCGCTACAAACCAAGCTCATCAGCACACCGGCCAAAGTCGAACTGGACATGTCTCTGGTAGAAAAGTCAAGTAAAGCTGAATTGATGCCGGCTGTCACATCCTATATTCCCGAATAGCTCTCCTTTTTTTTTCAAATAGTGTACATTATCACACAAGTCTGTATATTTTTTTTTCCACTCATTTGTCTACAGTATTGTTGCTTCACTACAATTCATCTTTTACGTGAGTCACAGTACGTTTGGTTTCTGCTTTGGCGGAAGGCAAGTCATCGACGGCATCAATGATATCTTCAAAACTGTCGTCCATCAAATCATGCACCACCTTTTTAGCTTCCTCAAATGCATGGCTCATCATAGGATGTGCAGGCGTGGATGCAGTGGGGGTTTCCTTTTGCTCTTTTTCCTGATGTTTAGCAACCTTCTTGCGTAATTTATGGATCTGTTCATCATACGCTTCCCATTCAGGAACCTGACGGCGTGCTCGGTCCAGCTTGGGTTCCTTTGTAAGCGGATTATTACACTGCAAACAAGAGAGTTTAGTAACAGAGTCCAGTCATGCCAAATTTTCATATTCAATTTTACCAAGTCAATTGTTTTGGCTGTCTTCAAGCTTTCATCACTGCACCACGTCTCGCACCACAACCATTCTTGGGGCAGTGAGTAAATAGGAACAATGTGTTGCATATTGTTGGGTAAATCCTGATCCAGGTTGGCCAAGGAATTGGGATCAGCACTCAGTTGTTGATACTGAGCACGCAGGCGGTCACCAGCGGCCAATTGACGGAAACGAACCAAATCCACCACATACAGAGCGCTAGCAACGTGATCGACGTTAACACGGAGTGCACTGATATCATTCATACTTGCACAACAAACCTAATATGATAAGGACGACCTGCCAAGTGGCCTTTCCAGTAGCCGTGGTTCCAGAAACGGAATCCATCCATTTCGTGACGATCACTGCAGAAGGGCGTGTAGCCGTAGGGTGCACCATGAAGATCAAGATCTACCAGTTCCTGAAGATCGGTGCGCACAATTTGATCGGCATCGACAAAAATCACCTTGTCCACGTCCAGAGGGAACAACACATCCAGGAAAAGGATCTTGTAGCCCCAGATGGTGCGTTGTTTTTCTTTTTGCGATCGAAGCCATGAAGGCCAGTTGTAAGTTACCATTTCATAATCGAAACCATACTCTTTGGCCATTTCAGGCACAAAGTTTTTAAAGGATGGCGACAAGAAATTCTCGATAAACCAAAATTTGACTGTGCTCTTTGTGTGCTCCATGACTGAGGCGATCATGATGGATAAGAAGCGCTCGTACAACTGCCCTGACGCAACAGAGAAAATGTTGATATCGGCTTGACGTGGCTTGGCAGGAGCAACCTCTTTGTTGTCACCCTGTTCATTTTTGTTCTTGCCAAACAGTCTAACAAAAGAAAAAAAGATATCAGCTCGTGGCTCGTCCATTTTCCATTTTTAACATGCAATTTACTTGTTTGTCATGGAGGACCAAAAACCGGTTTGTGTCTTTTGCTGATCAACGGTTGACTCTTCTTCCAATACATCGTCATGTTCTCTGCCTGGATTTTTTCGGACTTGCGGGAAAAGCAAAACGCCTTCAAAGGAAGTAAGAGGAATCAACTTGTTGGCTTGTTCATGTCCTTTCACCCATCGACCCTCGGTTCCGATGTTTTCAATATGGTAAACTTGGCTAGAACGGCCTTCGCGTAAAGACAGATTCCAAATACCGGGATGAGCTTTGAGTTGAAAGTAGCCAAGGTTGGCCATCACAATCGTATCTGTAATGGAATGATCCGTGTCGGTACCCAATACAAATTGCAGACCTCGAGGTGGTGCTTGTGTGGCGGCATCAATGCAGTGACCTTCGATCAAAATGTGTTCCAGTTTATAAACGGCGGAAACAGAGGATTGTCCTGCACCAAGCGTCTCGAGTAAAATATTATCAAGATCCATGTTGGCTTCCTTGACGGTGACATGCCAGGCATTGATGGTGTCTACACCAAGTGTGTACAAAGACGAGGGAGGCAAATCAGCAAAGTAAGCAGCAGGCGTTTCCAAGGCTCCCGTTTTCGAATCAAAATGCAATTCGCTGTCGAATACGTAACGATAGAACCGCTTGATAGGAATTTCTTCCAGTTTGGGATGCGGATTGAGATAGATATCGATGTGGATACCGTGAATCTGGGACAAGGTTTCCAAGAATCCCGACCATTTCTGCGCTGTTTCGCTTACAGGGTTGAGCAACACTCCAATTTCGATAAAGGCATCCTTGCTGGAATCGCCAGCAGTCAAATGCACCAGATCGGGATTCATATGGTGATAAGGTCGGGTACGCACAGGCGTCTGTTTTCCTTCAAAGACGTTCTTTGGCGTATTGGCTTTATCGATTTCGATAATCGATGTAATTTTCATCACCATGTCAGCCTTTTGGTTGGACTCCTCGGCACCATTACCGAGACTTTCAAGTGCTGTCAACACGGGTCCCGCTCGATCTTTCATTTCAACTTGCCACAGCACATCGTAATCCTCTTTTGAGAAATCGGCATCTGCATCAATGGGACCCACCATCTATGTCATTTTGATTAGCAAGTGAATAACATGATGATTATAGAAAACATCAAGCCAAACTTACTCTTCCATTCACAATAATACCGGAGAAATTGGATGGCATGCCCATTTTTGTCAATGCATTGCATTGATCGTCCCAAACAGTGCTCTTCACTTTCACCGCTGCTTCCACGATAGGCGAGCCTGGAGCCATAATCTTGATTTGTTCGGCAGATGTTGAGGAAGATTCGGCTGACTGATCTTGCAAGACATGTGCAAACAACTTTTTCAAATCTTCGACACCTGCCTTATGCTGAGCGGTGTATTGGTACAATACGGAAGAGAACGGTACGTTTTTCTTTTCCGTGAAGCCAGATACGTCGGCGCCGGAAGTATCCGCAGTATTGTGAATCAAGGCTACTCGAGCTTGTTCATTATTTTCCTACGCAGCGGTTTAATTAATGTTGATAATGAAAAATGTATCGAGCATGCAACCCCTACCAAAAATGACATGGCTTCCAAAGCGAGTTTCACGCCTGCCACCTTGTTAAAGTTGGCAATAACCCATACATTTACAGTGGGCTTGGCTCCTGTTCAAAGATCAATAACCTTTTTTTCTTAAATTGCATAACCATGGCTCGCTTACCGCTATGGACATAATAAAGATATTTCAAAGAATCCGATGGCTCGTATACAGGCAGCATATGAAGAGGTCGGTCCTCTGTAACAATGATGTATGGATTACGCGAAGGCGCAACATACGGTTGAGTGAGCAAAAATTCATAGACATTGGTCGTTTGACGAATCTGTCCCATGTAAATCTATTGATGTCACAAAGTTATTCATCCATGTATATAAGTAATAACTGATATATAACCTCGCCCCCGTCCCAAAAAGAAGCCCACACACACTGCATACTTACGTTTCCAGCAACCAACTGCGTTTGCTCATTAAGTGCTTGAAGAAGGATTCGAGGCAAAGCCTGTGATATGAACCGATGATGAGTAGATGTTCAGATAGAATAGCAATGAACAGATTTTTGTACCTTGGTATCATCGTATTCAAGATATTTTCCATTCAAAAACATGGTATAAACATTGGTAGATTGACTGACGCCCATTCGTTTGGCAAATGCGCGAGCTCGCTGGGCATATTCACGACGAGAATCCAAAACATCTTCAAACGTCATACTGTCTCCGGATTTCGGCTTCCCGGCCTTGGACATCACAAAGGTAAATACTTCCTCTACAAGCCCAGGTGTGGACGATTTAAGGTTGTCTATCGATAATTTATTGGCGATCTACAGAGAGTCCCACATGAGTACATGGTAATGACAAGCAAAAAGATTATTCCATTCCAATTTACCTCATTTAAAAAGGTCATGCCTTGAGATTTGCCATACTCCGTAATGACGTAGTGAAGAAGCTTGGCCGTAATAGTACCTACATCAGATATCTTAGAATCGATGCAAGCAAGCCTCTGGGATTGCCAAACTTACTGGCACTATACTCGTCAGCGTCGACCAAAGGCATGATGCCAAAGCGGATGGGTGTTCCTTGTTTGATCATGTGTTGAATATCGTCTTTGATGCGGTTCAACGATGTCAAGGTAGACAAGTCTTCGATCATAAGTAAATTGTAAACATTGCGACGGATAGCACGTAGTTGTCCAGGATAAACAGGACGAAGCATCTAAATGATAAAAGTCAGTAGTTACATCAATCGTACAAACGCATTTCATGGCTTACATCATAAAGATTCGATGTCCATTCTTTGTAACGCTTATCCTTCTCAAGATCATTCCACCAAATGGTGGTAGGCTGTTCAGCCGAATCACGCACATCGTATATTTCTTCCATTCCTGTATTTGCGCTTTGAGCGACCAATGCCTCATGGGAGAGAATATCAAGCGCCTGTGAAGCGTTGATTCCTAACGATTGGAACTTGTCCATGAGTTTTCTTTCGGTCTGCAAAGCCCGAATAAAGCTACAAAAAAAAAAAAGGCTCATTTAGTTAATGCAGGCAAGTGGGGGACAATGAATGGGTTACATACAAGAAGGGATCCACTTTATCCATGTCGACTTCCAAGCCATTCAACCACATGGCGTTCAAACCCGGATGAAGAGGCGACTCTGGATCGTTCACGCTTCTGAATTTCTCTTCCAGTTCAATTTGACTGATACTCTGTGCATATTTGGGGAAATCTTGCGATAACTGGGTAAGCGACGAAAGCGGATTCTCTGACAAGGCGACAAACTGAGTCGCTTTTAACGCCAAATCTAATCGCAGAAAAAAAAATATGAATGAATGCATCCCGGAACTTTGGCTATGACCTTGATTAAATTACCTCGTATTTCCTTTGGCGTCAATGGTTCAATGGTCGGTTTGGTTTCCTCAAACAGACGTTGGCTGATTTTTTTGCCAAATCCGGTCAGCGTACTTTTGATGGAGCGCGTGTTTTCTGTATCAAAAGGAATACATCCGTTAAACAAGGAGATGCCTGCACGTTTCGCGCTTTCGCTATACCTTCTGCTGCACGATCATCAATCACAAGGTAGTCTGTATTCTTCAACGCCAATTCAACCCCGTATCCTGACAGATAAAGCGGTCGGCTGCTGCTTTTATTGTTGTTGGTCGCGGGTTTATAGCGAAGTACATAGGAAATTTCGTATTTTTCAGTCGCTCGCGTTAGAATGGAATGGAAAGCGGCAAAATCAGACGAGAATTCGCTCGTGTACAAAATCACGGGCTTCCCGGAAGGAGGTCCAAAGACGTGATCAAAAGGTAACAAGCTTTGAGGCAGAATATCCGCTTTACGGATATAAGCCTCGAGCTTGGACGGTTCGCAGAACTGTTGCTGGTTGAGTTGAGCCCATACACTGCAAGCTTGGTAATCCGCAATGGTGGGAATAACGGCTTGCTGATAGTATTGATGGTATGCTTCGATACGCGGAGTAGCAATATGCAAAGCCAACCCCATTTTGAGAATATCCATCTGGAATGGCGCTTGGTGCAAAGCGATGCGGTCAATGGCTCCCGAGTAGATCTGCTGCACGGTCTTTTGACTGTCATCAGTAGTGAGCGAGCTAAAATCATCGAGAAGCTTGAAATACAAGGTGGAATTATCCATGCCCACCGTCTCACTAAGTTGATGATCAGTTTTTAATCGAGTGAGGCCAAAATGCCTGTCATTTCACTTACGCCATTTCGACGAGTAAATTGGGAGCTTGCCAAGGAGCAACAAGTGTCAAATCCACGTATGGAACGGCATAAGCCAATGGAGCACATACGGCTATGGCAAACCCTAGAATGGTCCGTTTCCTTCTCGTCATGGTGGATATAAACGAATCAACTAGTCGACAGCCTTTTTTTCAAATTCAATTTATTGCTGGGGAGGAAGTGACGGTGGCAGCATGAACCAGTCTGGCGGCGACTGAAATGGATCATCGTTGTCAAACTTTGATTGCACAGGCCGTTTTGGACAATTTGTCAAAACAACCACATGCGCCATGACAAACAAAAAAGCTACTTGCGTCTAATATAAATGAATCTCTATAACGACATATAACGCGGAGAAAGGGTTGCATATGTTCAAGAGCAACTTATAATATAGTATACAGTTCTACTCGTCAGAGTTTCTCGCTTGCAATAGACGTTGTTGACCTTGTGTGATGTTTGTATGATATCATCCAATTTGGCATTGAACTTGGTTTATATATCTAAAAAAGATGATTCTACATGACATGGTTTCTTCGTAACTGGTCGGGTACCCATTTGCCAAGGTAGCTTATGCTGTTTTCGGTTTCTTGATGACCGCTTTTTCGGAGACGCAAAAGTGCTTGATGATCACCGCCAACGTCACGACGGGAAGGCTTACTAGGGCGAAAAGTATCGCATACAAATCGATGTTATTGGCCTTCACAAACGACATGTGACGGGAAACTACTTGACGGTGGGGCAAATTGGCTCCATCGCTGACAAAGAGCACTTCTTCTATCAAATCGGCTCCGCGTATGGCGCCCGTTTTGGAATAAATCTGAATAAGGGCTTGATAGCGATCCGTATTCTTCTGAAAAATGCCTTGCTCATCCTTCAACACGCGACGTAACACTTCAGTACCTTGCTCCTGGCTTTCCTCGTGTGACATGAATCCAGCCACCTCTGCGCGCGAAAGAAGTCGCGCAGTAGTGGGCTGATCCGAGAAGAACGGATAGATAACCAGACGTACACCGGTGTGAAGCGCTTCCGCGACAGACGACGCACCGCCATGCGATATAAATGTAATGGTCGCATTGTGACGTAAAATACCTACTTGAGGTGCCCATCGAATGATACGGCAATCAGGATGATCTCCCTGTAGCATGTGCTTGATATCATACACGCGATTGGATGCCGCAGTAACAGTGGCAGGAAACATGCGATCTACTTTTTTGGGAGCCGCGGCAGAAGTAGCCCAGATGAACCCATCAATGGTACCTTCATCGAGATTCTCGACAAGAGCCGTGAGGATGAGTTCAATATCTTCACGACTAGGAATTACATGCTGCCCAAAGCTGACATACGCTACGCGAGAATGTGCTTCGAGGAAATATTTCAAATCCCCGCTCAAAGGTTCATAATGTTTCGGCAACACCGGGCCGACCATTTCCACCAAGGGGCCGAGAGGGCGCGCGGCTTCCAGACCAAAGACCGAATTGATGATTTTCAAATTGTCTGCCAAAAGAACATCAGGGGTATCGAGAATGGACGTGGGAATACCCGCTGCAGTTTTTCTTGCCGCCAGTTTGTTCAGTTTGGGGCCCACTTTCATCAGCAGTTGGAAAGGTCGCATGAACTTGTTCTCAAATCGTTTCCATATGCCCTGATATTGTGTCGTAGGGTCGCCAAGCGAGAGGATGTCGTTGTTGATGTACGGTGCTCCAGCATCTAAAAACAAGTCCCATCAGTTGTATGGCTCTGTAACCGACATATCACATCATCTACCTACCAGGAAACATGGCATTTGTCGCAGTGACGACAAGAGGTGTCGTTTTAGCGTCGCGGGTTGCATCCATGCATGCGACTGCAAAATGATCACAGATCACCATATCGATGTTATGCGTTGCAAACAGCTCTTTGTATGCCGCAAGCTCTAGACAACCGGGCCTTGTCATCAGTACAACATATCTTTATACCATTTCCCGATCAGCATTAATTCACCCTGCGTAGACCTACCACGCTCATAATCGCTATGCAGCACGTCAAAGGTAGCAGCCACCATATCGAGCATCTTTGGATGGCTGTTCTCCTCGGATAGAAAATCCTTGGAGTTGAGCAAACTGGCCGGTCCTATCGAAGCCGTCTCGATCGAAGGATAAGCTCGGCCATATCGAGTATGATCGTCCTAGAGTGAACGACCGCATTAACAACAAGTCCCGAGCAACATTGTAAAAAGCTTCCTGTCATTTTCCATCGTACTTGCCTTTGCGGCATAAATGACGCGATGACCTCTCGCGGCCACTTGTTCAAGTACGGTGAGCACCCAGTTGACATGAGACGATCCACCACCGGCCACACTGAATAATACAGTCTTTGGTTCCCGAAATGTCTGTTCAAAAGTATCACAATGGCCATGATGTGCCATGCAGCTCAGCGATACAGCTGCCAGGGACACCCACGCCGAGATTTTCATTTGTCTTTGTATAAAGGCACAAAAAAAAAGATCCCCCAAACCAGCGATCAAACTGTTGCGGACTTCTTACTTATGTAAATCGAGTCCATGAGTGGAAATCCTCGGAGCCAAATTTGAGTCATTTTGGCGCGGGGATGTCCCCCCTCCGATCAGGCCATCACAGAACAATTACCCTTTTCCCGGCAGAAGGCTATAGTTAGATTTGTTGATTTTTTTGATAAAAAAAAAAGAGGATTGATTACTATGAATAGAATGGAATTATGTGGGTGATTAAAACGTAAAACAGAATAACAAGAATATTATTGATCTTTGTCAGTAAATAGTTCGGTATAAAATCTGTATAAACAGTAATGAAATGCGAATTAGCGATGCGTGATCAAAAAGAAATTTCGTTTTATGACTTACTCTGATAGAGGTAGTTTCATGCGGTGACGATGTGCCATTTCCTCGATAAACTGTTTTCGGATGACATAAGGTCTGGTATAAGTGTCAGTGACCACGCGGCAGGCTTGATGCGCTGAAATGGACGTGTTGCGGATCATGGTCCCCAAAGCATGCCGACTCACGATCATGCCATCCACAAGAGGACCGAATATCTGGGGGTTATGGAATTAAGGTTAGGTTCAATCATGAAACCAAGATTCCTGGTTGCGGGGTCCTTGCTTACCAATGCATTTTCGCTTAAGCGATGACTGGCCATGGTCGATACCGCATTATTGCCAGCAGTGGGGATCAAGATGCGCACCCAGTAAAGTCCATTTCCGCTGTTTTTGAGAGGATTTACAAAGATAAAGACCATGGCTTTGGACGTGCTGAGACTGTGAGTTTTAATGCGCTTGGCAAGTTGCTCATAACCCATCAAATCCTCGATCCAAATAACGCAAACGTGATCATCCGAAGTCACTTGTTGATGGATTTTTGAGATTGTCTTTGTAGTACCCCACGTTACATCGTCTGCAGGAGGTTCGTTTAGGAAGTAGGGTACATTGACCAAAAACTCGATCGTACGATCACAATAATACGGCGTCGTATGACAAATGGCTCGATCGAGTTTGCCTTTGAATCCTCGGTGTTTTCCCATATTGATCTGTCCATTGAAACATTCATTATCTCATAACGTAGCAAGATGATCAGACCATTCTTTACTTACAGGCCACCCTAGGCAATTGAGGAATTGCAAGAATTGCTTCTTTAGAACGGGTGGTTTTTCAATGAGTTCTGACCAAGAAATATTGCCGGAGGCTGCATAGTAAGCTGAAATAGAAATACAATCGCGTCTGCGCCCGTCGTTAGTGTCCGAGAAGATTACGTAACCAAACCTGTTTTTACTCACTCATTGAGCAGATCCAAAGTTTCCATTTCTGAAATAACGACATCAGTGATGCGCAACGGGGTGACATATTTCCGATTTTGCGGTTTGAGCAATCCGAGTTGCGATAAGAGCAAACGGAATCCTCTTGCACTAGTGTAACAGACGGAGTCAGTAACGGGTGCCTTGGATATTTTCGATGGAGTGACTTACTTTTCCAGGTCAATTTTTGGGTTGGGCGGATTCACATGACAATCGCGCAAAGGAGTGTCTGATTGACGAGTCATGGATTGGCGCTCTGCTGCTTTTTGACGTTCGGCCAGCGATTTCACCATATGCCATTGCTTCCACGCGGTGCTGTTACATTCGAACATGGTTTCTATAGATGGCAACTCGGCCTCATTTACAGCGATCGCCGTAGAGATGGTAACGGGATTCACCAGGCGGTCGGTTTCTGTGGGCAACTGACGAAGTTTGTATCCTACATCGGCCGACGCATCGACCGGCGCGGGTGATGAGGACATCGGGGTGCTGTATGCGGACAACAGTCGTCGATCCTTATATTGGGTTTCCATCGTCCATATGTATTTGCCAGTAGTATCGCGAAGAATGACTGTCATGGCAGGGACAGTGTTGATATGTTCATCGGCAACGGCTTTGGGCTTAGCATCCACGAGCGCCAGGATGATTCTATTGTCAATCAAAAAGTAGCGAACGCAATCGTGAAGCTGCCACTGTTCTTCCATAACATCGATGATGATGCCATTATCGTCGTTGTCCGCCTGTTGTTGTGCACAGCGATATTTGATGTATTGCAAATCATCCAACGAACTCGACCTGCGATTCGCTGACCCATGCTCTTTTTCCAAAGGAAATTTTCCCAACTGATTGACGAATTGTGACATGCAGTATTCTGCGGCCATACGTACTGCGATCTCCTCTTTCTTATGCGTGTGAGGACCGTTCCGTTGACCGGTGTGGGCGGCTGTGGTTGGGGTCGCGGCCGCTTTATTGGATCGTGGCGGAAGCTGGAACAGCTGCTTGGTAGGTGGGAAGGTTGTATCGCGTCGCTTCTTCTTTTCAGGATTGCTCTCATGATGACCAATGACTGGTGTTTCATAATCGCGGTCAAAGATGGTAATTCCCTTGCTCAAAGTAGCAATCACTGCCTGATAGCAATCCCGATCGTCAATGATCCAGTGGCTCACCAGGATCCATTTAATCATACAATCATACGCTTGCACAATCAGAGGATACGTTTGATTCTATGTTACAAACCCAGATGTCAGTGATGCACACTGAATGCAACCAAAAGCATCAGTCAAAACCTCATACCAATTTCCCGGCCCCGATCAAGGTATCGACATAACGACACAGAGCCAAAACAAGTTCCCGTGCAACATTCTGGCATATCCAATGGTTATTCCATGATTCAAAAATAAACAGATTCAAAGCAAAAATTTCACCTTACTATCACGTTTGACATAATCATAGAGATCGACGAAATCCATCAACACGTCGAAAGCTACGAGGGTGACATCCGACGGTAATTGCATGGTCAAAATCTGCAGCAAGAATAAAGGAGATAAGTTCTACCTATGTAGCAAGTTCTTTTACAGTCGTCCCTTGTACCTTTTCTTGAATTAGCTTGACCACGGTGCCGACGAGCCCAGGACAGAAAGGAACATCTTCAATCACGTAAACATTGATGAGATGAAGTAGGAATCGCATATTATAAGAGGAGGATTCGGTCCGTAAGGACATGAGCAAAAGCTCCAGTATGTAAAACTTGAGCTTCACAAAAAAAAAAAAAAAAAAAAAAAAAAAGGCCCATCAGAAAATGAGCGGATGAGCAACCCTGTCCATTTATGCATGCAGACGCAATCCACCTACACTAGTAAAAGGGCGTTCGGCATCTTCTTGAGAATGTTCTTCGTATAGGACGCGAATCTGAGGTATGAATAGGTCAGTGATGATTTTTTTAAAAAAAAAGCACAACATGACCTACCAATTGAGTCACCAATTGCTCCTGTTCGCCAACCACAGAAGCGCTGTCGGGTGTACACTGGAGATCCCAATCCCATCCAGGTTTCAGCTGCACTTTTTCAAAATGATTCGGGAAACACATGATGGTACTGATCACTTTGATAGCGGCTAATCGTAATTCATCCACGGGCACGTTTTGACACTCGATCTGAAGCTTAGGTAAAATCATTTTGATCGCAGAGATAAAATCGGGAACAAGCATGCGTATGCCTTCCAAGTCGGCAGCAAAGAGTTCGGTGCAGTTGACAAGAATGGTGGGCAAGCAAGCGTCCGATTTCAGCCCCACACAGAGCGCAGCATAAAATCGTTCAGTGTACGTACGCAGAAACGGTTGATCGGTTTGAGGCTGTCGAAAGATTCTGCACAAGATGCCAAATGCCTCTGCGCAACCACGTTGCGATTCAAGATCCGCCTGAGCAGCAATGGAACATGCATCAAAGAGAATGGGAGCAAACATGTGTAATATGGTGTTTCCGTTGCTGGGAAAAGGGCCTTCGATAATCTGCACGGAAGAGCGATCATTGACTGCATTTAATGTATCGACGAGCTGACCGATTCCCAGCATGGCCAAGGTAAAATTGGCAGATGAAAGTTGAAGTGGATGCGGGATCAGGTAAAGCATGCGGTGCCAAGCGTAGTATACAAATTCGTTGGGCAAATCGATCTTGACATTGACCCCGTTCACGGTCAACGCTGATACATCGGTTCCGTGTTGCGTGCCATAGAGAAGATGGGTGATACGGTTGGTAAGAGACAGCGAAGTGGAGCTCCACTGTTTGATCGCTTTAGGTCGATGGGTCCACCGCATAAAGCAACTCTGTGAACAACGATCAGGTTACCACTCTTTCTATTGTTGACCGCCAATCCGTGCGGGTTTTACCTTTAATATATCCCACATTTCCACATCCATGTTCGTCGATCGGAGCCACAGCTCAAAAAGTACCTATGCACCCATAAATCCAATGTTACGACTTATCCTTTTACCAAAAAGAATGTCAACAAGCTCTTGAAATGCATACCCTCAGTAGGTGATCGCATAATTCGTCACCCATATTAAGAACGCCGGGCATGGGGGTATCCCCCATGGGCTCCTTGAGCAAGACGTCCGCGATACCTAGCATAATTTTCAGTAACACTGTCCACGTTTCGGGAGTCATGTCTAGCGTGCGTCCTGCTGTAGCAAACACATTCAAGGTCTTTTTGCACAGCTCGATATGACGTAGGACAAGGTGCGACAGAGTTTCTTTCAGCAGATTCGATGCATTGTTCTGCAGCGAAGGGGATGTGGAGCTGCCATTGTTCATGGGCAGCAATGTCACGGGGACGACGTTGTTATGCACATTGACGGGAGGAGTGACATTGATATGAAAGCTGGTGGGACGATTGCCTGGATTGGCGTGTGCGGAGGGTTTGGCTGGAGGTGTCGCGTGATGGTGGGATCGAGCGATGCGAGGTTGAAAGAGAAGTGAGTATTGATGAAAGATGATCTGATAAAATTCTTGTTCCAGGCCGTCTTTTACCACGGCGGCTGGTCGTTTATTGGGTTCAAACAGCCATTGCGCATAAATATTCACGTCGTCGGTGGTAATGTGCATATCTTCCAGTGGAAGATTGAACCCTTGGCCAATCACTTCCATAAACCACTTTACGTGAGCAGGCGAAGCAAAGATGGAAGGATCAGGTGCTTGTTTCCCTTGCGCTGGATGAAGGTACGACGTAATCTCTGATATCAGCGTCCTTCGAATGGACAGCGGAAGCGACCCAAGAATATTGGTTTCTAAAAACCGTGTCATCAGCGCCATCATCGTATTAATAGATAAATAGTGTCTGCACACAAAGGCACCACGATTAAGTTTATTCCTACGTGAGTCATGCTGCAGCAATTGTAGCTGAGCTATCCAGTCCAAAAACATGAGGCGCTAACACAAAGTCCCTGATGATTGGGCGATGGCTCCACTGTGTGCTTGTATGGGAAGATGGGGGAACGAGAAATAACCAAAACTGTCAGGCAACCCTTTTTTTGGCGCTCCTCCACGAAAATCAAACACAGCCAAAGAGATTAGGGATTTCTTGGAGGCCGTTCTCGCACTCAGCGGAGATGGAAACGCAACTCGCTTTATCCGCATTGGCCTTTTGATCGTGTTTATACGATTCAACAGGCTGCTTGAACTATCAAGTCAACCTTTTTGGATGATCGCGCAAGATGCTTCGCGCGCATGAAAAAGAGTTGATGAGGAAGACGGATCATCTACGCTTTTATCACGGAACTATGAATATCGAAGCATTTTTTCACCTGTATCATGAAACTAAAGACTGTTGCACCCAGTTGTCACGGTTCCCAAGTTGAGAGGAAAAAGATTAATCGTTATCTTTCAGCCGTGGACAAGGCCTGGTTAGGTATTGTATAGGTGTACACAACAACATCACCTACACAAGATAAGTTTATCGAGTGAGATACCAGCTCAGGTCATATAGAAATGAACATGTGTTATTGTACGATCAAACATGGTTATCTCTGTTATTCTAGGAATTGAATGAAGCAACAGCAGTCATGTATTTGCCAATATCAGAATTTAGTATCCAGTATGGCTCTAATCGCTTGATTACCTTTAGGCAAGCAAAAGCGTTCACATAGACACAGGTAAATCGTACTAGGGCCTTTTTTTGTGGCTATTTTAATGAGATTTATATGCATTATTTGAATGTAGTGAGCATTGTCCACTGAGCAAAATGTTCGAGGTCGATCTGTGCCGCGTGACGTGCGGGGCGGTATTTTAAAAATTTGTAAAGTGAAAGATGAGAATGGCCAGCTGGAGGCATGCCCAATTTTACCTGCTATGCCAAGCTGAACCGCGCTTTTTGTTCCATGAATCAACCGGGGTCCTACAATTCGTCACCAAAACAGTCTATGGCCACATCATTGCCCTCTGGAACATCGACTCGGGCCATCGCGTCTTCGGCCGCTGTACCCTACCGTGCTTCTTCATCGTCGCCTAACCAATCAGCCAACAGCGCCACCGTCATTGATCCAACCCAGTTACAAAAACCTCTTTTGCAAAGAAATGTACAACCGTTTTTAAACAAACTCTACAAGTAAGTTGCACCTGTCATGGTCAAAGAAGGAATTCTAGCTGATTCGCTTTTTTTTTTCGCACCTGTCCTTTGAATCGATCAATGATTAGCATGGTCAATGATCCAGCTTCGGACGATTTGATTCGCTGGGCTGATGACGGCATGTCATTCATCGTCACTCGGCACGAAGATTTTGCAAGAACCGTGTTGCCGCGGTTCTTTAAACATGGCAATTTTTCGTCGTTTGTTCGACAGCTCAACATGTACGGTTTCCACAAGGTGCCTCATCTGCAGCAAGGGGTGCTTCAGAAGGATAACGCGTCCGAGAGGTGGGAATTCAGTAATCCCAATTTTCAACGAAATCAACCTGATCTGATGCTGCTGGTGACCCGTAAAAAAGGCCGTGACCCTGACGAGAAAGAAACCGGCAATCTTGATCTGCAGCATATTTTGGACGAACTTCAAGCGATCAAGAAACATCAGATGAATATTAGCTCGCAATTGCAGACCATTCAGCAAGACAATACCCAATTGTGGCAGGAAACCATGGCGGCAAGAGAACGACATCAACGCCATCAGGAAACCATTGACAAAATCCTACGATTTTTGGCTTCCGTCTTTTCCAACGAAAAATCAGTGTCCATTCCAAAGAAACGACGTTACTTGCTTGGCAATATAGACGATCTGGAAGATGAAAGTCATCGTTTCGAAGAACAAGATTCGGATGCTGACGAAGATAAAAATGCCGGCGACCAACCACCTACCAAAGCGCCACGCACGCAGACATCGGCACCGTTTAATCTCGATGATTACACGCATACCAGCATCAACCCGTCCACTACTCCACCATTCATACCTTCTCATACCACTGCGCTTAGTAATTCTATATCACCTTTCACAGCAACCTCAACCTCATTTTCTCCGCAAACCACCTCTGTGCCTTTGGGAGATCTCGATCTTCATGCAAAAACAGCGGCTCCAAGTAATGATAACAGGCCTTGATTGTTTTTTTTTTTCTGCAGGCTAATCACATCTTTTTTTCTATTTCATTAGACATAACGGCTACACCGCAAGATTTGTCCTCATTGTTCACGCCGCAACAGTTGCAGAATTTTCAGAGCTTCATCAACTTGGCACAAGCCAATCCCGACTTGTTGAATCAGTTGACAAACTATACGTACAACGACCCAATCTCGTCGACGACCCTACCTCCAGTGGAAGCATCCTCCGATTTCTCATCACTTGCCGATCCACTGAGTGCTTTAGCTCCACCTGCATCATCATCCTCCACAGATAATGCGGCCGTGGCGCCTTTCAATACTGGTTTACTACGTAAAAGCACAGAAGACATTGCTTCGCTGTCGCAGACTGCCGATGCTATCAACGAAAACATTGATCAGCTTGGCACCGATATCGAAGCTCTCGTAAGGCAACTCGGTTTTGATCCAACCAAGCATGGGAATACCGATGATCATTACTTAGATATGGATGACTTTTTGGACACCTATGGTAAATTATCAATAATGCAAAAAAGGCAAAGATCTCTATCATTCATGGGATGCTAATGCTGTATTATTCTAGGATTACCTGAATCCTCGGTACCAGACCAGTCCTCAGCCTCAATCACCCCGTATCCGGGCAGTCCAAACGTAAAACTGGAAGAGGGGTCTTCCACAAGTAGTGCCACGACGCCTTCCAAAGATCAAACACCATCCATTCACTAACGCTCTCTCCCCCTTCCCCCCCAAAAAAAAATAATTCAATTACAAATTTACACGGATGATCACCAAGTGGAAAGCTTGGGCGAATTGAGTGTAAAGCCAAAAGGGCTGAAGCTGAAGTTTCGCCAACAGATGGCAGGGGATAACGTTGGAAATGAAAACGAAAAAAAAAAGACAATCAGCTTCAGGATTACCTGATCATACGTTTATTGCCATGATGTACTTAGTCGCACTTGTCAAATTGTATAAACTGTAGTCTTACATCCTTTTTCATTCAATTTTTATATGAAAAAATAAGAACAAAACATCTATGTATAAAGGAAACGTAAGGACTCAAGTTTCACGCTCACGATTGGACAAGGAGATTGGCGAAAGTGCTTGGTTCAAGGTACTTATTTGCCAGGACGGGTCTGTGTGTCCAAAGTGTCGGTCGGGACATGCAGCCAATTATGCAGAAAGCATGGGGTCAACATTACATCATGTCCGGAAAATCCGAGACTTCCCGACTGGAACTGTCATTTTATGTCCATGAATGGAAATTATCCATTTCTTTTCGCAGTTTCCGTGCGCCTTCCTTATCCATGACAGGTCACCATTCCCTCGATTCACGCATTCAAAGCGTGGTTCAGAGCCAACCCACTGAATTGCCCGAGTTTCCTGATGACAAGAGTGATCTCCCCAGCGATTACGAATATAATCCTGACGAAATGGACGATGTCGAAGAAGAAGTAGAAGAAATTGACGAAAACGAACTGTTGGCTCACTTGGATCGACAGGAGCATCCCCTGTACGTTGCCCAACGATTGTTCTATAACGAAGTAAATACAACGCAATCGCAGACCCACGCTTCCGAATGGCAATTACACTGCTTGCAACCCAAAGTGATTGAAGATCTCTACGCTCACGGATGGGCCACCGTGAAAGGAATGTTCGAACTGCAAGATCTCAAAGGTGAGCCTACAAAACTAACGTGCAGAAAACCGTAACAGTTTATCAGAGTGACCTCATGGATGTTTTGTGAATAGGCGCTTATGAGGAGGCAAACAGCATGCGCGGCCAGTTTACACCAGCCGATAAATCAATCCCTGAAGGTGATCCTTTCAGAGATACAAAAGCCCGAGATGATGCCATTATCTGGTAAATAATGTGGCCATGGATGATTTAAAGGCGGGGCTTTGGCTTACTGAGCACACGATTCTTGTTTATAAAGGCTTGATCCGTCATCGCAGAAAATGACCGAGACCCCTTATCTTCAAAAAATGCTCGATTTTATTCGAGGCCCATTGAGCAATGACCTCAAAAAGATGATGCGTCTTCGAGGCCCTATTGAATATCAGCTGTCGCATTTCCCCAGCAACGGCCGTTATGAAAAGCACCGTGATGGTTTCCCAATTGACGATCCAGAAGATACGCAACAGAGACGTGTTACTGTCATGATCTTCTTAACGCCTGGCTGGACCCCATGCGATGGAGGTGAACTCCGTATTTTCGGCAATGCATCTGAACAACACGGCACGGTGGATGCCGCAGCAAGAGATATCCACCCGTTATTGGACCATATAGTAATTATGCTTAGTGGAGTGGTAGATCATGAAATTTTACCCGCTGCCAAAGAGCGATTTGCATTGACAGCATGGCTGCGATAACACCTGCAGTTGTCAAATATGAATTATGCCAAAAAGTAAACGCGCTATTTTTGGAAATGATGAGAATATGAAAAAAAAAAAAAGAAAAAGAGAGAGACTTCGTTATTTGTCTTTTTTTCTCCGCCTTGAACACTTCTATAACACTTTTTTGATCACTGTTAAACTTACCCTGACGGTTGGGTACCATTTCATGTCATGCATCAGCAGCATCTTCATTCTCGACAAAGAGTGCGAATGCAAAGTGCCGATGGTTATGTGGCGAATTCAAAAACAGCACGGACGTCATCGTTACCGGCAGAATCGAGAAGACCCTCTTACAGCAGTCCAACCAGCAATTCCTTCCAAGTATTAGATGATACCCCACCATCGTCACCATCCATCCCATCGTCGCAAAAGAAAAAGAAGAAGAAGAAATCGCCTACCGTTGTACTTTCAACCTCGCCCCAGTTGGTGCCTACGGGCGACCATGCATCGCCTGTGGATGCCGATAACCAAGTGCCAACGGACCTGCATCATTCGAATAAAGTATACCCCGCATCATGTCCCACCAGTCCTTTGGCCACCGCCGATGGCTACAGTGGCGCAAGAAAAGAGAGTAACCACACCAACAACTACGACACCCATTCTGGGAAATTATCAATCTCCTTTTGGGATTATCTGCGTGATGAATTAACCGTGTCCGACTTTGACAGCGCCCAAGAGTTGAAGCGCGAACGAGTCACCAACTTTTTGGCCGTGCCGGGGGCAGTAGAAAAGGTGAAAAAAGAGAATGCAAAGAAACAAAAATGCAATTGCATTGAGCCACGAGTGCATGAACGCTGATGGTTTCCATATTTAGCTGATGGTATTTGGATTTGTTGTCTGCCTCGATTCGTTCCTCTACACCTTTACCATTCTTCCGCTACGATTCTGCTTGGCTCTGTATAACTATTCTCGATATATTGTGGACAATACAAAAGTATTCTTCACGAGGCAAGGAAGGTAAATAATTGTGTTACTTTTCGGTGGAAAAAAAAAAAAAAAGAAGATAACTGATTCTGATCCTTGGCTGATGATCAGATATGCTCGTCTGCGGCCGTCACAAAAATGCGACTTGCTGAAAGGCTTCCTTATCATGATTACTTGCTTAGCTATGTGGTCATTAGATCCATCAAGACTGTATCATTCCATTCGCGGTCAAGCCGTGCTGAAACTGTACGTTGTATTCAATGTGCTGGAAATCTGCGACAAATTATGTTGTTCCGTTGGCGTGGATATTCTCGATGCATTATTTTCAAAATCGACTCTTGGCAACGCGGAGCAAGGAACAGGCACGACCACTTATGCAAGACGGCACTTGCGACCATTTACATTGTTTCTGCTAGCCACCGGGTATATGGGTAAGAAACATCCATCTTTTTATTTATTTTCACTGTTTGGATATCTGACGCATATCACAGTGATTCACACTACGGTACTCTTCTTTCAAATGATCACGATGAATGTGGCCATCAATTTTTACTCGAATGCCTTGCTCTCGTTGCTTATTTCCAACCAATTTGTCGAGATCAAGCAAGCGGTATTTAAGAAATTCGAAAAGGAGAATTTATTCCAACTTAGTTGTAGCGGTAAGTTGTTGATTTCCATCCAAGCGTCATCTAAGCGACTGAGATGACCGGATCCTTATCATTTGAGAATAGATATTGTGGAGCGATATCAACAGTTTGCATTCTTGGTCATCATTACCTTGCGAAACGTTGTTGAATTATCGGATTCGTCGCCGTCGTCTATTTTACCTTCGACCTTTGTACCTTTGTTCAAGTTACCTGCCACTACATCGTTCAATGCTCTTATGACGCCGGTCGTCATGGTTATTGCGTCGGAACTCATGGTAGATTGGGTGAAACATGCTTTTATTACCAAATTCAATCAAATTCGCCCCAGCATCTACGGCAAATACGTGGACCTGTTATGCAAAGATTTGGTGGTTGGAAGTCCCGGACGATTGAGCGGCCAGCGAAATGTAAATATCATCTGTGATTAGTGTGGAAGACATGATCCCCTTTGTCTAAATGGCTGCTTATCTAGGCTTTCATTGATCAATCACCGGTGGTATCGCGCAGAATTGGATTCCCAGTGCTGCCTTTGGCATGCTTGGTACGTACAAAAAAATATTCTTCAGGTTGTGCGGCATTGGATGGGTGGTCTAAATGATGCATTTTTCTCCCTTTTTTCTTGTAGCATGTCCGTATGATGCAGCAGCTGTTGCCCATGATTTTCATGTCTTATGGAGGTGGTGGACAAACGACGCATCAGGCATCGCCAACGTCTTCGATGATGACTCAAAGCTTACTTCGTTATTTGATGGATCATCAAGCGTTTGTCAGTCGAATGTTACCAGCCCGGATTCACTTGATTGTTCTGTCCATGGTGAAATGCGGTTGGATCGAAAGTGTGGTGGATCGTGGATTACGGCTGCTCACGTGGATATTGTTGGTGACGGTATTGGCGTTAATGTAAGTGCAAATCTTACTGACGATGCGAGTATAACGGCTCCTTACAAAAGGCCTTTTTTTTTAGTCTTTTGGCACTCAAAGTATTGGTGGGGACCACATTGCTTGGTTTTGCGTACAAGCGGTACGCCAGTATGGAAGCTCGGGATGACATTGAAAAAGAAAAAGATAAAGCTATGAAGGAAATGGGAAAGGAAGAAGAGGTAAATTTTAATTGAACCGCCCATATTGCGGTTACTAAACGTTCACACAACTTTTTGCTTCCTATTTAGGCGTATCATAAAGGACTGAAGCATTATCTGGATGATCCATCGGATAATATTCTGGGCAAAATGCCTGTCAAGTACACATTGGAAAATGTGGATCGTTTTTCCATGGTTAGAAGTAGAATTCCGTAATTGTTCATAATCCTACCATTCATCTGTATCATGCCCCACTATAGAACAAATAACTTTTAACGTTCAAAACAAGAATAGTACACGCTTTTACCAATATTTTGATCTCACAGTTGGGAGTGGGAAGCAAATTGACACCTTGGCGACGATCCTTACTTGTTTGTGGCGGATAAGGATTTGAAACCAACTTTTACCGCGCCCATGTCTATCAGTTGGACTTTGCTATTTGGCGGTAGCGTACAAAGGGACGCAAAAAAAAATTGTTGATATGGAGGATGAATGGCAGCGTTTACTGGTTGCGCATTTTATCGTCTAACTCAACAAACCTTAGCCATGTATTCCTGATAATTGTCAGACATTATCGGGCGCGGCAAGGTCATCTTATTGAGTCGATTGTTATACAAAGAAAAATGAAGAAGTGAGAAGAAATTCAGAGATAGATGAATTATTACTATCAATATTTGGTGAACCAGGACACAAATTCTGGTTGGGATCCAGAAAAAATATGAAAATCTAACTTGCAAGCAAAGGGCACTGGCGGTGAGGAAGATGAGTGCAGATCGACGGGTTGAGTAAATTGCCAACCAAAGCACAGACAATGCATCCTTCGTATATTGAGCCAATGGAAGCAAATAATTAATTTAAAACACAAAAAGGCTAAGCTCACGAAGGACATTGGCCGCGGCCATCTTGTCCAGTTGCCCTTTTGGGCTTTGTGAGGATAGGAATTTTAGGAAAAAGCCACATCCTGGACCGGCTGGATGTGAATTGAACAGTTATATATAGGCACTCATTTCCTTCTGAAGAAAAAAAAATCTTCGTCTGGCGAACAGTGGAGGCATGCTTATGAACTATGAAGCTGTAGTCCTCACTCTTGGTCTTTGAAGCCTTGATGGGGACGCTTCCTTCCCGGCTGTACGGGCGGGGCTTGGTTGTGGGTGCGTGTTTCTTCTTTCCTTTTGCCTTCGTGGCTTTTCCTTTCTTACTCGCTAAGCTCCACGGCGGGCTTAAGAAAGTGATTTCAGAAAGTAAATGAAAAATAAATAAACAGACTTTTATATTTATTTGATTTTTTCTCTGGTGCAGAGAAAAAAAATAACCATATCATAAACTTGACCTTTACATTTTTGTTGCTTAAGCTGTTTCCATATATTTATCAATAAAACTTGCAGAAACAATTTGCTTCAGACAAGCCTCTTCATGCCGTGTCAAGTAAACCCGTTTTCACCTATTTGGTTCCAGTTTAAATGTCGTTGTTGTGCGTCCAGTTGAGGGGTGCCCGTTTTGTGAGGCTACCGTCACCGAAATAATGGGGTCTGCAAGCGCCCTGTGAGCACAGCTTTACTGCGTTGCTGGTGCTGTAGTTGACAGAAAAACTGTGCTTCAAAGATGCGTTTCAGCAGCTGTTTGATTACATTATATTTTTATCACCAAGGTGCTTTGAGCCATATGGTAAAGAGACTAGGAATGTCACTCTCTGTGATTCGTGGTTGTAATGGCGGCAAATGTCTATTAGCAACGCAGTTCGACCAACAGTAGATGGCATAGGCTTGCAAAAAAAGAAAGCTCGGGAAAGCTGTTCTGAAAAAATAATCACTAGCAGTATACCTTTCATATTGCATACTAAAGCTCTGGAAAACTGGCGTTAAACTAAACCAGCAAGTGCAAGCTGAACATAACCAAAAGACATGATAACAGTGGGCTCACAAATGGGCCATGACAAAGAACTGTGACAAAGCGCTCCGGGTTTTGAGGTCACTGCTTGAAGAAGCAAAAGAAATTTTTAAATCGTGCAAGATTTTCCGCATAAATCTGAGGATGCTCTGTGCGCCCTTGATTTCAAGGTAGTGATACAGAAAAAATCGATGAGCCCCAGCATATAAGATACTTGTTAATGCTCGCCATTTGGTTAAGCCTCGACTTAAGAGAACGAACAGAGTGGACTTTGCCGGATGGAGCCATCGGATAACTCCGAATACATAACAATAAACTTGTGATTTGTCCCCCAATTTATCAGACAAAAAATGTTAGGTCCGGCAAAAATTGCATGCATGTAGAGTCTTTTTCTTTATTATTGCGCGCTGCGGTTGTGCTATCACCATCCTGTTAGTTTCTTTTGCACTTGTTCTAAGAAAGCATCGGTCACAGGCTGCGATGGTTCCTGTTCCTGCTGGTCCTGCTGCTGTTGCGGTTGCTGTTCTTGCTGTTCGTCTTCTGTGGATGATGATTGCACAAGAGTCAGTTTCTTTTGAATCCACGGCATGCGACTCGCCAAACTTTTAATCAACTTTTTCAGTTTGCTTTCCGATGCATCCTGACGCCAAAAATCAGCAAAATCCACCTTTTCCGGAGAGTGCTTGTATACATCCAATAATTGGAACTAACATTTCCCATCATTTCTGTCAGCGCCCTATGACGATTTGGTGTTTTTTTTTTCCCCTTTTTCTCGGACTTACCAGACGGTCAGCTACAGGTTCAGGTACATGATCGTCATCAATAAGTTCGTAAATGAGTCGCTTCGGTATCGCTCGATCTTCCCAGGTATTGCCAACGTAGAACCAATTGATAACTGATGCTGAACCTGGTAATCGAGGATCATAGGGTCCAACGATGGCGCCGACAAAAGGTTCTATTCGGTGATGATCCATGTGTGAGCATTCTTCTCGACACAACATCTGGTAATTCTTTTGGTTCTGAATATCGACGAGACTGGGATCTGGAATAAAGGTGGGATGCGAATGATACCATCCTACGACGGTCATGTTCTTGTCTTCAATGAGCTGACGTGTTTCCAACGCGCTGTTGGGGTCCATTTCCACGTTCACGTCATTCTGTCCCGTATTCAATGACCGGCATGGAAACGCTTCCTTGATATACATTTCTAACAGCAGTATCGTTTGATCTTTCCGTTTCTTTCTTCTTCGCCCCTATATATACAATGGTGTTCTTACTTCTTTGGGTGCGGTCCCATTCACCGGCGAGAAATCCAATAATTTCCGTCGTCATCAAGTGCGCGTGGAAATCCATCGCCAGCAACGCATTAGAATGAACCTCCATTTCAAAAGGTTGAGATCCACTGACATTCGAACCAGGCTTGCCCATGAACGGTTCACATTTTACCATTGTCAACGGATCACTATCATTCGGCACGTGCGTTTTTAGTTCCGAGAAATTCATCCATAATCCTTTTTTTTTTCCTTCCCTGTCCCGCATACACAAAAACGCAGAGATCCGATGACTTACTCGTCCTTGTTGATTTGATTATACGCGATGGAAGCACGGTCTCGAGGACGCCGTAGTCGTGATTTGGAGTAATTGGTTCGCCCATTCTCATCATAACTACTGGCCTGACTTGTTAAAGGACGTGGCAACGGCGATTCTGATTTCTCCGGGGTGGTGCTGCGTGATTTCTCTTTACTAGAAAAGAGTTGAAAAAGAAGAGTGAATCTATTGATCTCAGCGCCGGTGGGATTCCATGTATCATTTTACGTTTTTTCGTTGACGGCAGGGCTCACCGCTCCAATAGATGTGACAGGGTCGGTTTTGACCGGTACGGCGGTTAATGCGTCAGTAGTGGATGGGTCGGTAGAGGGAGCAGGGTTGGCGTCAACAGAGTTGGGTTGCTCGGTACCGATCTTCAAGTCGTTTGTGATTGTATCTTGGGTCGGAACGGCAGGTTCAGTCTTGGCAACTTTATTGTCTGATGTAGTTGTGGCTGCAGGGTTGTATCCGAGTCGGATCAGGTAGGGTTTGGCAGCAGCCGAATTGGGATCGAGCGGTTTGCCCGACAGTGTGTATCCGGCGCCACTTTCTCTCACCTAATACGGTTATGAGATGGTCAGTCGATTCCGAATCATCAATGGTCCACAGTCAGAAAGAGAAGCCCAACCTTATCGGGTAATGGCACATTATCACGGAATAGCTTGATAAAGTGTTTCTGAGCATGGCTGCGGATCGAATTGGGATCTCGCGTAGCAATATGAGCAGCAAGCTAATCAATGGACAAATGAATATTCCATCGAAGCTTTTAATTTTTCCCCTTTTTCCTTTCCTATCTTTTTACCTTTCCCCAGTCGCGGCCATACATGTCCAAACCAGTGAGAAATCGTTCCTCTTCTTCAGCGGTGTAGACGCCCGTGTTGAACCCTTCAGGCACTGGTTTTCGTGGCTTTTTGGACGTGGGTTTGCTGTCGGTTGGAGTGACTGCTGCAGTTAAAGTGTTTTCTGTGGTCATGTCATTCGATTCAGTTGTTTCTGTGGTAGGTACTGGTTGGGGATTCGTGGCTTGTTCCTCGGGCGTCTTTCGTTTCCTACCGCGTTTTCCTTTGGGTTGAAATTTTGATAAGAACAAAAAAGAAGAATGAATTAACAACTGATAGGTTATATCAAGAATAGCTAGTTTAAATGCACGGTACCTGGAGCGGCTCTCACGGTATCTGATTTTTTGGGACGACCGCGTCCTCTGCCTCTGCCGGCGGCGCCTCTTTTGGGAGAGAAATCATCCTCGCTATCTTCCTCATAGCTGCCGTCGTTATCTTCTTTCATGTGATACATATCATAACCATTGGCATCATTACTATATTCGGCATAATAATCGCCGTGACCAGAACCCATCGCGTCTTCGGCCAACAATTGCGCAATGAGGGCAGAACTCATTTCTTCTTCCTGAGCCTGCGTCATGGGCGGCTGTTGCGTCTTGGCCGTTTTCGGTGGCATGGTATACAAAGAAATCCGATTCTGCGGTTGATCAAAATATGAAAATCACAATAGTCTGTATTGCTCTCCACAGCCAAAATAACCAATGGAAAAAAAAAACCGCTCAACTAGCTTCTCCAGTGTCTTTGTCGCGTCGTATTTTGTTTTTTGTTTTTTTAAGCTCCATTCTGACAGTTGAGCCAGATTTCCGTATGTCGGGCCTTGAATTACACGTCCACTGTGACCAGAGTCAAATTTACCCTATTTCGATCACGGTGACTTTTTTTCTTTACTTTCCCTTGCCCCTTGAAGTAGGTGATCCTCCACTTGAACAATGATTTCTATTTCAAGCAAGATTTTGTTTTTGGGGTAAGGAGACCACCTTCATCGTTATGTAGATCTAGACTGAACACAAGGAATAGGAGACCTACATTGAATACACTCAAACACACTGGAACTTGTCAGAACAAGGAACCCTCGTATTTCATGTCAGCTCCTCGTTTATTATTTACCATGCTTTTGAGTGCTGCCCCCGTCTTTTTAATATAGTGGATCAAAAAGGATGGCCTCGTCAAGTAACAAAGAACCACAGAGATATAATAGCGCATATTTCGGTTTATTACCTATGAGGGAATGAATGGTTTGAAAAAACAAAAACAGTGACAGTGACAGTGTTTTTTGTTCTTGTGATTTATTGTTCCCTTTTTGCATGCAAGTCATTCATAGCCCTATTCAAATGTGGAGGAGCATCATGCATTGTGAACGCGCCATTTTGATGGTCGGGGCGTGAAAAACAAGGTAAAATTTTCTTGAGGTTTTTTACCTTTTTCTGTCCGTGTGGTTATTCCCTATACGCGAAGATGGCTACTGTGGATTTCGCATCCGCTCCATTGCAGGATCTATTTATTCACAATGCCGACATTGATCAGCTCGGATCGTACGTTCAGCAGCTCGATCGCCAGTTCCGAGAAACCCACGATGAGAAAGACCGATTCGGGACTTTGCAGATCTTGCTTCCGACCCTCAAAGCTTACCTTGTCCGTCTACAAGAACCCAACGAACAAGAGAAATGTCTCGAAATCTACGTTCCACCCCTGTTAGCCTCAAGTTTTACGCAGGAATCCATGGTCTCCACTGAGAGTGTTCATTTACTCAGTGAAGCCGTGGCCTACTTTATCGCCTACTCGCTTCTCGATCGGCCCCATCGTAGCAAAAAGGAAGACGAAAATCTCGAAGACACGTTCCCGAAACCGTCGCCGGATACTGTTCATCAACCTCGATTTGGACCCTTGTCCCTGTCTATGTTTATGGGCCAACTCGTCGCCGCCGTACAAACCGAACCGGACTTTGTGGATCTTCATCCGATGCAATTTTTGATCTCCCATATTCAGTCCGAGAATGCCCAATTATCTTGTTTGTCCGAATGGGAATCCGTGAAAATGCAGGCGCAAAATTTGTGCAAAAAGCTGGAAACCCGATCGACCAATTTATCCATGATAGCCGACGAGGATGCCGACGACAGTGTCAGCGTGGTGAGTACCACCACCTTTAACACGGCCGTTTCCTCCAACGATCCATCGTTTCTCGGCCTGTTCGACCTGGAATGCTGTTTCGACGTGTTGAATCTCTTTGTAAAATGTGTTTCCGAATCCACTGAGTTCGAACTCGACGATCCAGACTCGCCAGCTGTGGCATCCTTGAACCATTACATGGACCTGCTGATGGCCGTCGTCGTCGCCATGGTCCCTTGCACTGACGCATCCATTCGATCCAAACTCACCAACGAACTGATACCCAATCTGTTCCGCTGGCAGCGCCAGCAATTGCAGCGTCAACAGGCTCACCAAGACGAAATCAATGGAAAACTTACCGTGTGGTGTCAGGTAAATTCTACACACAACTCGCATAAACAAAATTGTCGTATCTGGGTTTGCTTATTTGACTTTTTTTTTTCAGATGTTATGGGATCGCACGCTTCAATTATTCGCCTTGCCAGCCACTAATTTACTGCGATTAGAGACTTATGGTTTGATTGCCAAATGCTTTGAATTTTACTTTGGGCTCGATCCAGTTTCCGGTCAAGCCGTCGTCCATCTCGATTTGCGTTATAATGAATCCTTTTTCAAAATCTTACAGGTAAAGATGGGCGAGAAAGTAGCATCATTGAACTGTAAGCTAACCCGCGCATGTCAGAGTGGGCTGATGAGCAACGATGCCGTGGCGCGTAAATATTCCTCGTACATCTTGAAGCGCATCATTGACTTTACAAACAAGTATTCTGCCGACGTCGATGCTACCCAAAAATCGTGGACGCGTTTCTTTCATTGGTCTCTGGATCAATCGCAAAATTATGTGGACATGTGGGATGATTGGTTCCTGCTGTATGACATTATGCATGAATCTGTTGTCCATCTCGTGGATCCAGTCATGCCACGATTCGAAATGCTGTTGAGAAATACCAACGTCCATTTGGATCCTTCGTGGTGGATCCTTCTTTTGTGCCGCGGTTTTCACAATGAAACGGGATCCGTTAAAAAATGTATTTTGGACTACCTTTTCGCTCGTCGAGCCCCAGAGACACTTCACATGCTAGGCGTTCAGCATGATTTCATTTTCGGCCCGTTCCTCAAGACACTAGATGTAACAGCATTATATTCCGTGCCAACGCAAGGCACCCTTGTCAGTCCCTTTGCAGAACACCTGAAAGAATTCATCGTGCATTTGGTAAACGCGTTAAAGGATAAAAACGAAAAGGTAAGATTGGGAAGAGGTCGTCGTCAAGATTTCGGAGTGAAGGCTGATGGACGGTTGTTGCAGATTGCATTCCTACAGCGTATTATTCATCACTCGGCCCATGTCGTGAATAGCCACGTCTTGATTCTTTACATCCTGGAAGCGTTGAACAACTTGGAACCGGTCCAAGCATGGCGTGGGGAAGAGTTGAAATCATTACGCTACTTGGTCGATCGCCATCGTAATTTCAGGTAAATCACATTTGGAGTGACACCGCTTGGAAACAAAAAAGCACGATTTACTGAATTTGGATAAAAGCACGGTGAAATCCAAACTTTATTTGCGCAAGATCGGCATGACCGCATTGATCAAATTGGCGGACAACACCATTTCTTTCTCCGATGTGGCAAAGTAAAGTAAAAGCGATCGCATTGAATTAGCCGAAGGATGCTGAAATTTTTCTTCTTTCTTAGAACCGTTTCATCTCTGTTGACCGATTATCCCATCACCGTTCACAACCAAGAGTACCTCTGCCTACGCACTTGGCTGAAAAATCATGTCGCCCGGAATAATGTACCATACTTTATAAAAGATACACCTGTTAAACACGCACAGATCCTAACGCGCTGAACATAGGAATTGCAGTCTGTGCTTGATATGCTGAAACAGAAGACGGAATCGTATGTGGGCGAACCAATGTCAGAGGGTAATGCAATCGACACAACCTGGCTGGTTTACTGTCAAGCATGTCTCTTATTCTATCATTGTTTTAGATGTACCCACTGTTATCCTTCGTGGCCAAGCCAATGTACTTGTTCGACTCGCCATTTTGCTGATAGCGGACGATAATGGAGCCCCCTTGAAGGATTCAGTCAATTATTTGTACCGCTCTTTATGTACCAAACTCCAAGACCCGACCAGGTTGGTATTCCACGACAAGGTAAAAGTGAACAAGGATTGACCGTCGTCTATAGTTCTATTAGCACATTCAATCGACAACTCGTTTTGTTGGATGCTTTATGGTCGATGTGTTTGGAATTTTTTGGCCCTGAATATACAGGTATGTTATTATACTGATTCAGGGCGGTACGGCAGTGTGGTTGAAAGTGACCGTTGTTTGGTGCTATAGACATGTCTTCTCTTTTGGGACTCGACGCTGAAATGATGAAGCATATTTTGCATTGTCTCGATGGTCAGCTCTTGAATATGGAGGGTGACAACGTTACAGGTAAAATTGATTCTTCTTCTGCTGCAATCAATACAGAAAAACCTCATGATGGTATATATGATATTCAATAGACGAAGAGACTGTGGATCTTTTTATCTCCATGATGCAACATATTCTGAATGATCAGTCGGCGTTTGACGAGGCGACAAGAAAAACTGTGATTCACGATTATTTCCACAAGTGTCAGACATCACTTCAAGCCAATAACAAGAGTAAGTACTCGTAACAAAATCCCGTCTTCCTTGACAATTAACACGGATCGTTCTACTAGGTGCCATTGCCAACAAGGAACTATCCAAACCCAATCATATCCGTTTATTACGCGTTGTGTATGATGCAGCGAGAAATGCCACTTATTTTGAATTGCCGTGTGATCAAGGCATCATTTCGTTTGTCACTGGCGTACAGATGAAACGATTACCAGAATTACATAGGACAAGGTAGGACGAGAAATACTCCATCTCATGCAGATGCTCAACCAGGCTGTCTTCTTCTCTCTTCTGCAGGAGCTGGGGTGACACACTGTCGACTCTGATTCGATACAAATGGGAGTGTATACACAGCATTGTTATCTTTGCTACCAAGGTGAGTGCGATGTTGTCCTTTCTGATGCACTTTTTGTTCGACAACTGACCAACGGTAACGGTGCTAGGCTGCTGATGCTGGAAAAGATGCTAGTCAGATATTCGATCCTTTTGAAGTTTACAATGAAGCGATTGACCAACTTGAGAGCGCTTCCGAACTTTGTGCAGAAGCTATCATTCATTGCTTGAAACCCTTGTTAGGATGTGCTTGGGAAAAAGATGTTGAACAGGTATGTGGGTCATACAGGATGATTTTCCACATACATATAAAGAAATGGTATTGACGTGTTACAGATTGAAGCCTGTGTAGACCACTCCATAGAACTTGTCAAAGAAAACATCAATCAATCCAAGACCTTTCCTCCCTTGATCCGAGCATTCATGAGGACAGTGTTCCAGCCATTGCTGCTGTCGATCCCAGAATTGAATGAAGACGAAGGCCCGATGAAGAAGGTATATAAATCATCCAACTTTTTATTGACCGAATGCATGTCCATTGAACGAGCATTTCTAGGCATTTGATTTTATCATGGAACTCGGTGAAGTGAAGCCGTACATTGTTTCTGAGACGGTGGAGATTCTGCACAGTTATTGGGCCACAATGACGCCAGAGGCTTGTCAGTCCATGCTGCAGTATACTTCCAGAATAGCCAAGCTTCTTTTGTTCGGTCCTCTACGTGATCGTGAAGATCAAAAGGTGGAAGCGTCCATCACTCTGAAACTACAGACCCAAGCAGCCGTGGAAGCGGCGGCAGGAACGGTGGAGAGTGTCTTTAACCAGAATGACTACCTCACTCGCGTTTTGCTGAATGATCTGATATTACGCTTGGATTCAAGCAATGAGACGCACACGTTGATCGCCAATCAATTGTTGAAAGAAATGCTAACTGTCGGCCAAAACGAAGATCTGTATGAATTCATGTACACATCCACTGCTGAACATCGAACCAAGGTAAGATAAATTTGTCCATATTTCTACGGTCTTGTTCCTCGCAAGTACATCTATTCATGTCTTTCGTGACAGCTACGCATGTGTTGCTCGATCATGCTTTTAATCCACTTTGTCCGGGAAGATGTGGATTCGATTATAGAGGCATTGTTTGAAATGATGCGCCTGGAAACAGTGACTTCTGTTCGCTGCTATATGGAGGTATGTTGATGCTATACCTGAACTGTTCATGCTGCAGCTGACCCATTCTTGGTGCGATTTGGCAGTGGGCCATGGTGCGACTGTTTTGGGCTTTCCCCGATCGCTTGAATTTATTATACAACCGTTTGGCCAAGTCGACCACCAAGCCGTCATTCATGATCTCCATTCTCACAGTGACCATTTGGCTTGGGGAGATTTTGGATGACGCTCATGTATCAGACTATTTTGAGGAGGTACCGTTATTACATCGATCACCGTCGTTTCGCATGGACTTATTGTGTTGGTCTAGATATTCACACAACTTTTACCATGGATGATCACCAACCATTACACTATTCGTTCGTACGCTTATTGTTCATGGTACCGAAACTGGGAAAGCTGTAAGCAACGGTAAGCATATTATCAACCAAACTTTCGAATCATGTAGTTGTGATGTTCTTATTTTTTTTTTCTTTTAATTCGTTTAATTGCAGTGGCCTCAGCAACCAAGTGGAAAGCAACAAATACCTGTCAACTGTAAACAACTTCATGCAGCATCATACCGACTGTTTGAAAGCATTTGAAAAGATTCGAATGCAATTCTATCTTACGGATTTCGATCCTTTGAAAGATTACAATGTAGAGTTCATTTTCCGCCAGTTGATGACCGTCTTTGGTGTAATTGACAATGAAAAAATTGCTTCCGTAAGTGGTACTTGTTGAGGAAATGAAAACATTGAGACTCACAAGTCTTCATTTGTTGGTATTAGCGCGCTTTCATCAAAGTCAATCCCAAGCCTGTATCATGGTGTCCGTTTGTGAATGCTGATCGTGCGTTCACATATACTGCTGCGGATGCCGAAGAACTCATCACTTTTGAAGAGCAACCGGCCAATGACCAAAATGCCGAAGAAACTTTCCAGAAAAAGATTTTACCCTGGGAAATGATGCTGGAAACCGATGTGGATCTCACAAAATCATTGGTACAGAAACAGGTAAGCACCGCATATAGGGAAGCGCTGGTGAGCGCGCCCAACCACTATTTTTTGACTGACTGACTGACTGAATGAATGGATGTATGGATAGCGACGACGCAACGATTTGATTGTGGTGGCTAGTTTGGTGGATCGTATTCCCAATTTGGCCGGTTTATGCCGAACTTGCGAAATTTTCAACGCTTCCCAGTTGGTCGTCTACAGTTTAAAGGTAAATTTTTAGAACAATACAGGAGGCAGTCATCGATCAGATCATCTAATGGGCTGCGAATTCTCAAGGTGAAAGAGGATCCGACATTTACAAATATCAGTGTGGCATCAGAGGTAGGCGCTTCGCTATAGTCCAATGCAATTTTTCGATGAACTCATTGAAATATCCGCTTCAATAGAAATGGATGCCGCTTGCCGAAGTCGCTGAAGCGGATGTTGAGGCCTTTTTGAAGGCGAAAAAGAATGAAAACTATGTGATCTGCGGTCTTGAACAGACCACCAACAGTGTCACGCTGGGTGAATTTGAATTCCCAGAACGCTGTATCCTGCTACTAGGCAAAGAGCGTCTTGGTATTCCCGCCAATTTACTGCAACTGCTTGATCAGACCATTGAAATTCCTCAGTACGGTATTACCCGCTCACTGAACGTTCACGTCAGTGGAGCCATTTGCATTTATGAATATACCAAACAAATGCAGTGGCGCCAGCAACTCACGCTTGAAGCCTCTTCTCCCACACAGTGTACCACGCCCTTGTAGAAAAAATATATATATCTTTCCGTAGAGCATAGCAAATAGTAAATAAAACATGATCAGCCATCATTCATTTTCCGAGGTCATGATATGATTTTGATCTGCATGATTGTCATGCACTAGAAAATAGTAAAGTAGGGTCCAGATTGTATCCGATCTTTGCTCACAGTCTGCTGCAAGAATATGTATGATACAATAACTCTTTTTAAATTACACACTGTGGGTAAGTTTCGGCTATGGTTCGGCTACTGTTCGGTTCGGGTACAACTTTGGCTGCGGTGTTATTTGATTTATTGTTTTTTCTTTTCATGCCATCACCCTCAAGTTCTTTATTTTCAGAAATTGCTCAGCAACTTTTCCGTATCGGAACCCACAAAGCCATCAACAAAAACAATATCTATTAGGAATTCGACGGTTCTTATTGAATTCTTAAATCTTCACCCCGACGACATATTTCGACATTCGAACTATTGTTTGCCATTACCGGAGTTGCAAACTCCGTCACAACCGCGACATTTGGCAGACGTGACTGTGTCGGACAAAGAAGTCTGAAGTAACCATGGTGATTGGTGCCTGAACTTGTCAACTAGAATGTCTCCGACCATGCACGCAGCCAATGGCAACGGGGAATCGATATAGCAACTAGGAAAAAGTTTTCATCGAAAAAACTATATAAGAGCGCTGTAAAGGTGGAATTGTTTTTTTCTTTAGTGACCGTACTCTACAGGATCTGTATGCAGTACATAACCGTTCTACGTTTTTTAAACTAGACACTTTTACCAAGTTAGTAGATGACTCGTAGCAGACTTTCCTTTGAGTGAAGTGTGCTGGTCATTGCTCTCTGAGCGGTTTCCAGCAGTTGATGATCTCGTCTGTCTTCATTCCAAGGGCATGACACGGAAAGGACTGCAGTCTGATAACTTTTTTTCTCTCTATTGCAAAAAGTAAATGAAAAAAACAAAACAAAAACGATAACATTCCTGAGGAATGTCTGGTCATTGAGTTAGGGTTGCGCCTGTCAATGCAGTTTTGGTTGTCCTAGCAACAAATGAGCGGCTTGGTCTTTGTTACTGGCTGCTGTGGCTTGGCGTGAGTAGCGTCGGCTTTTTGCGTCCATGTGAAATTCATCGCGTTAGCCTAACAAGACATAGAAAAATAAAGGGAGATCGTCTTTACATATTAATGTTTTGCAGCTTAGCCTTCACATACATGTGAAAATCATCCTTAACAACGATGAGTTTGTTTGCGACAGATGCATGAATGATCGTGTAAATCAAATCAGCCCAATAAATATTGATAAGAAGTGGCTAAAACCATGGCAAGAAGAAAATGACGGATCATCATGATCGTGGCAATAAGGAGAAATCTGAGGCCAACATTTTTTTTTGAGATGGCTGTAGATTATTCCGTCCCTGGATTTCCACTTTCTGCATCTGTAGAGACATGTTGATTTCTGTCGGAATGGTGGTGGAAGCGGATGAAAGTTTTGACTCGGACTTATTTTTGTTTTATTAACGTCGACGCTATTCATTAATCGCCGTTTGTTTTGCGGAATTCATAACGTCGGGCATCCGATGATCCACGTTGAGCCATTTTTTTTTCTGGTTGCGAAACTTGGTTGGACATGAAAGAAAAAGAAAAAATGAAGAAAATAAGAGTGACCACAGATACACAATGGGCAATTTTCCCCCAATTTGTTCATGTGAGCACTGATGCGCGACCGAAATGGGATCTGTGGAAGCTTGTAGATGGACGAATGAGTATCATTGCATGTTTGAGAATGATATGAGAAATGATGACTCTGACCAATGATTGCGCAGTAGAGATTTCCCAGCAGAATGATGCCATCCCAATTTCCTCGTGCTACCCAATGTCGGCAGCTGGATTTACGATATGGATTCCGTTTTTCTGTTTGGAGCATAAAGAAATAATGCGGATCTCCAACCGCAGTGTGGCTTCCCCCTGGTTTTGGCAGCTGGAAACAATGACATGGATAAAGTTCAACCCTGTTTTTCCCTTTTTCAGGCATAGAGTTTTTTCTCCTCCCGGTTTCCATAATACATGTAGTAGAAAAAAAGGTAATGGCTGACAAACTGGGGGATAAAATAGCTGTATACAGATTGTACATCTTGGTGATTCATTTTTGGTGCAGGGTTTCATGTCTTTCAACAATCAGATTGAGATTTCATTTTTTTTTTCAAATTTTAGTTGTGATGACACGAATATCCAATAGGAATCCAGGATGGTTTTCCCGATATTTGCTTTTTATGGCAACCAACTATTTTTTTTCGTTTTCCTTTATATTCGTCGTTCTTGATTATCTCTCTCTCTTTTTATTTTCTACTCTCAGCTATATTTTCATCATCACATATCCATGATCCAAGGCCGCGTTTACAGATCGATTGAGGATCAAGTTGTCAGCGAGCCAGAGCTGCTGGATGCGTCGCGACCAGGGGCTGGCAACCGCAGTGTTTTTGAAGTCTCATTGAACATTGTCAATGCCACGGTAGGCGCCGGGGTGATTGGTCTTCCGTTTGCGCTGAAATTGGCCGGCTTTTGGTGTGGCCTGGCTCTATCGTGTTTCGTGGCAGGGCTTACTTATGCCGCCATCTATACATTGATTCTTTGCGGCCAACGAACCAGCATTTATAAATTTGCCGATTTAAGCGAATATGCCATGGGCCGTTTCGGATATCATATGTTGAACCTCATGGTATTCGTCCAATCGGCCGGCAGTTGTATCAGTTACTTTATCTGTAAGTAGAAGAGTCGAAGATATTTCGACAGACAGAAAACTCACGGCATCGATTTTTTTTGCAGTGGTAGCGGATACGCTTCCTGTTTTATTGGGGCTCTATTTTCCGCAATACCCTCATCTCGCTGACCGTCAATTAATTACCGTACTTGTATCCGTGATTGTCGTAAGTGTCATGGAGGCTGAAACTCTGACAAGGGTGATATTGATTCTTTGTGCGTCAATGCGTTTTAGATTTTTCCTCTCAATTTGTTCCGATCCATCGGTGCGCTGGCTCACTGGTCTGCGTTCTCGGTGCTTCTTTTACCAGTGATGATTATCAGCGTCCTTATTCGCGCTCCCGCTTACGCTCCTCAACACCAGGCTCCGTTATCAGGCATTGGCCAAGATCCCGTTGCCGCGATGGGCATCATGTCGTTCGCGTTTGTATGCTCCCAGGTCGCCTTTGATAACTTTTTGACGCAGAAGAACCAATCCGTGACGGCTTGGAGCTTAACGTCGGCGATATCCACCATGATGAGTTGGACGATTTCCATGTTGTTTGCCTTGTGTGGATTTTTAAGTTTCGGTAATGATGTCAGTCCAAACATCTTTCGAGATTTCCCTGTGGATGACAACGTGATCAACGTTGGACGGCTAGCACTGGGTCTTTCCATGGTTCTCACCGTACCGTAAGTTCTCATCATACATGAACTGGGCAATGCCCCTTTGTCTCTTGTTTTTAGGCAATGAAATCATCGTGACTCACCCGTTGTTTGTTCCTTTTTTATATATATATATAGAATGGCATTTTATCCTGCGCGCGATGCATTGCAAAAATCGTTGGGTTTCGAAACTGCGGATCGTCAGCCTAGTGCGTTGCAACATTACAGCGTTACTGTGGTCTTGTTTGCCATCTTTCTCTGTTTTGGTGTGAACGTGCGATCGCTTGGTAAAGTGTACTCACTTGTGGGAGGACTGTCGAGCTCGTTCCTTGCGTACATCATCCCTGGTTTCGCGTATATTGTTGTTTTTCACCCTGAATGGTTGAAGCGGGCCAGTTCACCGGAAATGTTGCCTTTGATTGGTGCAGAGAACCAAAAAGTTTATGCACGTCCCACGTGGTGGCTGGATGTTTGTGCCGTTACCCTTGTTCTTTTCGGTTCTATTGTTATGACATTCACAGCCATTTCCGCTTTCCAATAAGCGCTAGCAGGCTACCTGATCATTCACAACTACCTTTTTTTGGATTCATCTCTTCTCATTGTTCTCTGTATATATCCCATTGTTCCTCATATACCTTTGATCCTCTTTCTCTTGCTCCATATTCCCTCCTCACGATATCCTAATTTTTCAACTGCGACTTTTTTACTTCCTTCAATATTTATCAATGTCCATTGCTCCTTCCATTTAAGGGTGAAAAATTGATTTGATGCATCCATTCATCTTTTACTCTTTTTATCATTTTATTCATTCATATAAAAGGAAATAAAACAGCAATCAATGTTTTGATACTCACAAATGATTGGATACGCATAGCATTGCGTAAGATGACAATATTTAGATTTTGCGCAGTAAAATGGACGATTCCAATGCAGCAATAGGTATAAATGATCTACAGTATGCCAAAGCTGCCGCTTATCCAATGGGGAGCAAAATACTGTCTGTACACATGACTGAATATGCAAACGACATTTATCGCATAAATAAATGAAAACCCTTTACATGTTTGTTCTGTCTTTTATCAAGCTTGCCGATGGTGTGTATTCCCATTTCCAGGGATGCTCGTCGGCCATTTTCGATATGTTATGAATTGGTTGATGAATACGACAACAGCGGGGGTATCTTTTTGATTTAAACGAATTTTTTCTACAACTAATGTTCGTGGGAAAGCCAAATTAAGATCTGATGATAATCCAAGGCACGATGCTTGATAAAACAATTCTGATGATTGGGTCATTAAGAAACGCATTACAGAATAAAAGGTAGGATAGACATATCATATTGTATATAATTTGGTCTTGCATTTCTCACTCGATCGTACTCGATGCGTAGTGTTGAGGTAGCGCCTCAAGAAGATCAACAACCATTTTTCCTCTTTTTCTTTTTTCGTTCACGCGCCGTTTTTCATCAGCCGGTACAGTATAAGCCATACTTTGTTGGCGATCAATCGTAGAAAGGGCCGCTTTATAGAAAAAAAAAGAAGGTTAAAAAAAATAGAGGAGAAAAAGAAATCATCCGATGAAGGGTTATTGTGCCTTGATTTTTCGGTTCCTGGGCAAAGGCCATTTTTTCCATCGTGCTCGAAAATGAATCATGTGCTTTTTTTTTTCAACGGATGAAAATCAATTGAGATTCAGATTGGACCAGTCATATTGGCTGCTTTTGTCCTTCCCCCACTTTGCGCTCTTTTCCAGAACGGTTCCCAAACATAGGCTATTTCCCGCTTCTCCTGTATTAATCTATTGGCAAGAAAACAAAAAGATACCAAGATTCCGCCACTTTAAAAAAAAACTCTCTCTGTTATTCGTCCTGTATGAAGTACCACAGTTTCAAGGAAAAGTCATTTCAGGGATTAGTCTATTGCGATTATTGCGGGAAGCTTTTGTGGGGTTTGGCAAAGCAAGGTGTTCACTGTTCGGGTAAAAAGCTCACGGAGAAAAGCGGGGATATGGAATGTCTCAGGTACTAATCATGGACACGCGACGCGTCTCCTTGGTTTTCTATTGACTTGTGTAGAGTGCAACTACAGTTGTCATCAAGCATGTAGTGAAATGGTGGTGCAATGCCGTCCTTCACGGCGTCTAAGCCCGGATAGTCTTTCCGTCACTGACTCTGAAGCTGAGTCCGTCAGCAAATACTCCACGACGTCTCCGCGAGGATCGATCGATATCCCTCATCAACGACAACCGTCCATTCTCAATGTCATGGACGAAAGCAGTCGACCGGGTATCAAACGGTCGTCGACTATGACAAGTGAACATACCAAAGTAGAGGAACCTTTACGTTCTCCGACCGATATCCATTCTCGCCCTCTTTCCTCTTCCTCCGCCAAATCATACCGCAAAGCATTGAAGCAACATGTACAAAGTACCATTTTAACCCATTCATCCGTGGCCAACATGTTGGGTCCAGCCGATGCCGTTCTCAGTCCTCAAGCCACCGCCAAAGCATTCACTCGTCTCGTCGCTCGTTCAAGAGCTTTTTCCAATCTGAGTCAACTCACTTACGATATTTATGCGTGGCGTCGACCTCCGCTCTCAGCACTTTGTGTAGGCCTATGGATTTCCATGTGTAATTTATCACGCGATGATTTTTCTGCACCCAGGCCAAAATAGCTCATTATGTTTTTATTTTCCTTGTCCAACCTAGGTTTATCCCCAGCAACAGTGACCCTGCTGATACCTCCTTTACTCATCATTTTGCTGTACTTTACGGTGGGCATAAAAGAGACGTCGGCATCGCAAGCATTGATGCCAAGGTTTGATGAAAGTACGCCGGAATACTATGTCAATCTGGAGCGAACGCAGCAAATGATGCTGTTCTTGATTCGACTGTACGACAATCTGGCCTACCATTTACAACACGTCATCCTAAGTTCCACCATGTATCAATGCCTGTTATTGGGTACCGTGATAATCTCAATTTCGCTGATGTTTTTTGGCCGCTGGATCGTGCTGGCAGTGGGATTGATTGTCTTATTGAACAAAACATGGCTCGGATCATCCATCGAAGTTTTTACTTTGTTCCTTCTGGAACTCGTGCAAACTGTGGTGGAGTTGGTGTACCGAAAACCAGTTGCAGAGCGCAAGACAATGGAGATTTCGATTTACGAAAACCAACGTTGGTGGGCAGGTAGTGGCTACACACCCCAGGTAAGGTTGCCGAGTGCAATAAATAAAAAATAGAGGGATAAGAAAATGGAGTCTGACAACTTGCATCCGATCAGTTACTACGTTCGGAACGAAAATCATGGTCCAATATTACTGGCACCGAACCGTTTCCTAACAAAGATGAAATGCCACCACCGCCCAGTTATGAGTGGGCAGACGATGGTTGGAAGGTTGATACGACAGGTCCCTGGGCAGATGATCTTTTAGACATGGGTAAGCATTTTTGGATGATGGGGTGTATAATTTTGTAATGGTAAGAACTGACCCTTTTTTTTTCTTGATATTTTTTGACGGTCATCTTTGTTTTCTGCGGTAGTGGTAAGTGTAAATCAAATGATGAGACCATGGAAAATCGGACCATTGATGGATTTTCTGAATTTTTTAGATTGTGATTGAGTGTGACGAGAATGGTTGGGTGTACTCGGACCACAAATGGCAGAATCCCCGATCGCGTCCAGAATCGCTGACTGGACGAGCCGCAACAGTTGCGGGCGGAGAACGCAATCTAGAAAATAATCGAGCATTGACCCGTCGACGGCGATGGTGCAGGCAAGCACGCCCGATCACTAGCACCAAAAAGGCCTAATCTTTCTTTCCCTCACCCTCTTGACGTTCCTGAGTTCCTGCGTTCCTTGTATTCCTCTATGTTTGATCCTCTTTTTTGATTTTGAAAAACAAAGCCAACATAATGTTATTCTTTATTTTTCATTGACTTAAATCATAAAAAGCAAGATAAAAGGAAGAAATTCGAGTTTTTTTTGTTTAAAAAAGGGAATGCAGATATTTACAAAGTATTGAATTTGGCTTTTTCCTTGGCTTTGGTTTTTTTTTTTTTTTTTTTGGTGAACGCTCAGCGTATCACCTCAAATGTTTTTACAAAAAGTTTTAGATGGTATCTTCGAACAAGAGATCCGTGTAGATATTGCTGACCAGGGTGTCGATACGGTCGTCAAACTCGGATGCCAATTCGATACGGATCGCATCAATGTAAACTTGTAACATGTCGGAGGCTTCAGAAGACGACACATCGGATAGATCCCTTTCTTCTTTTGGAGTGGTATCACGGTTGCCGAACCATTGACCAAGATTGGTGAACCAGGACAAACGATGGCTGGCATGGCTGTCGCTGGTGGAGGCTTCACGTTCTTGTTGGCATGTTTGTATATCCTTGGCAATTTGTTGGTGGAGGGCGTACTGGTCCATGACTTGCCACAACGATTGCTGGATATCTTGTTTCAAAGACTGCAAAGAAGAGACCAGCTCGTTTTGCTCGCTCCATTCATCCCGTTCCCGAAGTGTGCCCAGCACCACCTCGGGATGATCGCCTTCAGGCCATCGCACAGGCAACCACTCCGATACCGCTGGATCGACCGAGGTAAAGATACGGTTGTTCAGTTCGTTGAGACGACTAGCGATAAATCCTGGCATCTTCATCATGCAAGTTTCTATTGACAAAACGGTTCAATGAGATAAAAGTGGACGTGATCATTACTTCTTAAAACTTACCATGCATGCTGACAAAGCCAAGACGAGCCGCTTGGGGTCCAAGGAGTTTGGTCAACTGTTGTCGATCGCGCAGCGACCGGGACAGTCCCAATAAAAGATCTTCACTTTGTGTACTCAGTACGTCATCGACAATGTTTTCGTAATAGGTCTGGATGTTGTCTCGCACAGCGAATTCACTTGTCAACGGCCAATCGTCTTCGATGGACTGGACGGTTTGTTGGCGTGCGCCCACAGGAAGGGTGGCAACCATATTTCGTCCCACCATGCACAGCAGTAATATGGACCAAAACAGAGAAGATATCATGATGAAAATGTATGTGTTTTTGATCTCTTTGACCAGCAAAAAAGATGTGAAGGGAAGAGTATAAAAAAAAAAGATGAGTTTTGTTGTTGCAGTGGAAAAGAACGGTGGAATGAGCAGTGTAGCGAACTTTTTTTTATAGGGCTAGATGGTCACTAGCGCACAGAGAATGCTCATGACAATGGTTGCACAAATTGGATGGCAACACAAAGATGGATTGGTGAGTGATGATTTGTTACGGCAGTGATTGACGGTTTGGACACGATGGATTTCCAATGACATGGCTCCATTTTAAGGTTCTACACCTTTTTTCAAGTTCCACGGCCACTAAAATGAAAACTTTTTAGTGTGTCGTTAATCCAAGTTTTTTCCTGTTGCCTTTCTGATTTGTCTTTTGATAAAATGTCGCCAGCTGAGTCATACAACGGGGTTCTATCGGCTGCATTTTCGAAAAAAAAAAGACAGCGAGGGATGAAAAGGCGATTCATGCAATGGGCAAAAAAGACGGGGGTTCTTTTTTTTTTCTCGTAACGGAAGCAATCAATCATTAAGCTCCTTCATCCGATGTTGGCGGATACTGAATCCCAAATTTCTTCGTGTTCCGTTCCGAACAAAGGACAGATGAAAAATTCTTGGCTCACTCTACTGTACAGAAATGTTGTTCGCAAAACAAAGAGTTGTAGTATCTCTCTGATATATACCATGTTCTAAACCAGAATATACAATCGTTTGCATTGAATGGTTATGCACAAGTAAAGTGCCAACGAAAGAGAAGAACGAGCCGCATGTTGACCCAGTGCACCTGACCTGCCGCATTCCAGTTTGAGGGTCGGTGCAGTTCAAGGTTACACTCCGACATGGACGATCAATGTCGTTCCGCAGCTCGGCTGTCATCAATGAGGACCTTCAAAGTTTCGTACAACTTGTGTTTTTATTGTTCACTTGCAGGATAAAGATATGGTAATAGTGGACGGGCCCGTTATCCGTCGGAAGGCTGGAAAGGACATTATTCGGTTGAAAGCTCATTGTTCGAGATTTTCTTCGGAGCATCAATGGGTTTTCCTGTCCGTAATTGGTGGGTGGTGCAAACAAGGTTGCATTGACGAGTTAGGAAAGGGTGGTTGAGTCGCCGCCCCATGGCTTTCAAATCCAGGGATGCCCATGCGGTTGCTGGATGTCCATCAAGCCAGATAGTCTCAGCCCATTAGCCTTTTTTATTTTGTTTTTCTCAGGACACGGAACCATCACGGAGCCATCACGGAGCCAACACGGAACCACGTCGGAAAGGTGGCAAAAGAAGGCATTTTTCCCATTATTTGAATTGAGCAGCAGTTACCGTGTCCAGATAATTAAACGAAGCTAAAGCTCCCAAAAAAGGGGGGGGGGGAAGAAATGATGGGACGGGTGATTTTTCTTTCCACACTGCATCCGTACCGCGGTGATGCTTATTTTTGCCAACAGAAATACCAGAGTAAGATAATGAAACAAGGCATCAACATCTTATCATCGGCCACTGCAGTGATAATCTGTAGATCAAGGATACAGGAACCCGTGGATATCAATAATTTTTTTTCTACCTCAGGGACCTTGATTAGCCGTTGTATTACTGGATATGCACCATTATATGGAAGCCCATTTGTGCAATTTTAATGACTTGACATTCGGCATGCCTTCGCCGACAGTTTGTATGGACCAGCGCGGATTAAGCGAGCGCAAATAATGTTTATAGGGATTGTTTGGTTGCATCACGACAAACATGCTGTGAAAAAATTGGGAGTGGGCCGAGCAAGTGCACACAAATAGGCGTGTGCCGGAACGGTCTTCTCTTCTTCAAGCTCGCTCATGATATGATAACTCTAAGCTTTTTACCAGTAGAAAAAGTTAGCCATTCCCAAGTGTCGTTCGATATGGCTGTGTTTTGAAACATGGGTTGCCAAGGAACCAGCTTTGCCCACACGATCAGTTGGACATGACATTTGTCATACTGTAAATACAGTCGTCATATTATTCTCATCGAGTAAATAAACACAACGTGGTTATCGCTTTTTGCCATTGTTGCTGATTCGCATACATGTTTGTCCTATTGATTGCTGATTCCTTGGCAATAGGATCGTCGTTTGGCAGTTCACGGTCACAAAAATAATGTAGGACCTTGAAAGATGCCGTATTTGATCACTGAGCTGATTTTTTTCTTGAGCCTTGAACATACAACAACGCCATGGATGACGGTATGAATACACAAAAGCACTGTTAATTATGACCTGTTGTTCAAGCTTCTTATTTGTCTGCAGAAACCGTACTAAAAACAAGATTGGCCATTGATGATCGACCTATCAAGAACCTGGAAAAGAAAATCAACCACTGGTTGGCCACTTTAGCCACTGAACCCATCGATGTCGCGTACGTCTTATCTCGATGGATAATACTTTTTCTTAGTCAAGTATTAACCGAACTTGTTTGTTTTGTAATAGTCAATATAGTTACGAAACGTTGCTCGTCCAAATTGCTTCGTATCAGACCAACATTGACCGATTAGCGCCCATTCAACAAGTTAATAACGAGGATGTCCAACGGTATGCTTCAATGGTGGATCATACAGGTAAAGCGCTTAACAGTAAGGCAGGTTCATGATTTCGGTATTCAAAGGCCCAATTTTCGAATAGTCAAAGCGGTGGAGCGGACTCGAGTGGAAATTAAAGGCCTGAAAGAAGAATTATCCAAAGCGCAGAAAATTCGAGACAACAAGCTGGAATACGACAAGGTGGCTCGCGAAATCATGAAATTACAAACACGGGATGAATATCACAAGTAAGTCTAACCCGCCTAACAATTCATGACTATATTCATACGCTGACATCTCAAATAGATCCATTGCTCAATTGCAAAAGGATATCGATATGTTGAAACAAGAAAAGATTAAACGTGAAGGCGCTTTTGAATCTCGCAAACGCAATTTGGCAGCTCTGATCGATACCACGAAACAGCTGCAACGGACAGTCGAAGAAGAACGTGCCATGAGTGTAAGTCGAGGCTCGTTTGGTTTCTTTTTCTTTCTTTCTTGATATCTTATGCTTCCGTCTTTGTAGCATGAATCTCAAAAGATGTTGATGGATATGGATCGAGGCTACGAATCTTCGGACGACGAAGAGGAACAATCAGTCTCGCCTACTACTGCAGACGATTCCAAACAATCACATCGCTTTAAAGAACGAAACGACGAAGATGACGAAGGTGATGATGGGGATGAAGAAGAAGGCATGGTTATGGATACCGACGAAGGTGCGGTGATCATCGACAAAGACAATGCATAGACTGTTTTTTTTCTCTATTTTTTGGTTTGCATCCATTTCAAAAGTCATTTTGCAAGTGGCATCACAGTTTTCTTGTATGAAATTCCGCCGGTGCAACGTGCAGATCGTCACATCCATCTCTCCCACTAAAGCATGTTCTGCTTCAACGAATGTATCTCTCCTTTTGGCTCTCACGGTGCCGGTTTGTAAAAAAGAAATCAATTGCAATAAATATTACCACTCTGTTTCCAATTTTTATCTCAAAAAAGCGCCTCGCAATTTGTATCAATGAGTGACCATATTCGAATATGTAAATGACAGCCATCGTCCCAAGGATTACTCGCGTGCATGGAAAAATTTTGGTTCAGCAGGAATTGAATGGCGGTTCAACAATGAATGAGAAAAAGCTGGAGGAGGGGTTGGTTTCTTGTCTTGTTTTTTCTTTCTTTGTTATTCATGTATTCGAATTTATACTGGTTATTTGCGTGCTTTCGAGACAAACTCGACATGACCATCATTTCCGATTTCTGCATAGTACGAGGGTTTGCCATTGACGGATTTTTCATTGGCATAGCCAGGATGAGGTTTAGATTTAGGTGCAACGGAGGCTGTCTCGGATGCTGAGGCGGCCGGTGAGGGGAATAACCCGGCTTGTTCAAAAATCTGTGCTGTGGAATCGTTGGCAGCGGCCACCGCGTTCAATCTACAAAATAATGAGTAAACAGCAAGCCAACCAACGCGTTTTCACAGCAAAATACATACAATCTCGATTTTTCAAAGAACGGCTCTACACGGGACGCCAAGTAAAAATCACCAGGACCCTTTAACTTGACCAAATCCTAATATTATTGTATTGACATTGTTGGTTTAGTCCATTGTTCGGCTGTGTTGTTTCCATGATTTATCTTGGAATCTTACCGGAGCGCCCAAGATATAGTTGCGTAAGCCTTGGACGATGCGGTGAAGATATTGCAGCTTGGGTTGAAGCGAGGGACTGTCGACAATGTTTCTTACAACGGTGTATCTTCTTAACGGGCTGCGTGGAGACGGAATCACTGGATTGGAAGGATTTAATCGCGTAGGGAAAGTACGGCGATCCCACATGATCAGATTTCTAAGGGTCCAAGGTCAATCCTTGTCGCTCGTTTTTGCCGTGCCTGTCCTTCCTTCCCTTCCTTTCTTACCTTGGATTGGCGAGGTATTCTTCTCCGGCCGCCATGTTGACTCGATACAAACCACCGTAATGGGAGATAGCAATGGTGCCAGGACCCGAAACCATATGCACCAGTTTGTTCACGATGCCCTAATAAATAGCGGCCTTGTCATTAATCTTCAACTGAAGGCTGGCTTTTGTCTCGTACGGTCCACTTACCGTATCCCACGATTTGATGTTATCCAATGCAAGATTCAATGTCACTTTATCGGTCTTTGCTAAAAATGCATCTCTGCGCAGCACATATTTCGTGCTTCCTTTGAGCTGAATGACGGCAATCTCACCCATGCGGGTCGGAGCCAACAACAGATCGCCCGCGGTCGATTTGGTAGCATACTGTGAAATTTATTATGGATCTCCCATCGTCAGCAAAGAAAAATCAAATACCCATCCGCTGCTTTTTTGTTTTCGTATATCTACCTTTTGGAAAAACATGGCGTCTCCAACCAGCTTCTTACCAATAGCCTTTACAGTCGAATCATCCAATGCAAGCTTCGACGATACCTAAACAATATACCCCACGTCAAGTGGCGATCTTTTTTTCTAATTCCCAGAATGATAATTACCTTACTGGACGATCCTACAGCGGTTCCGGTGGCTGCAATGATCTCGGTCTCGGGAGGCATCTATCATAAAGTGGTGTCTGGATTGAACCTTGCCCCACTGGCGTCGCATGTCAAAAAAGTGCACACTCCTTCTTACCTTGATTAACAAAGCAGAGCCTGTGTGGAAAGAATGCATCGAGTCAGTAAACAGACACATATCGCTTTTTTTTCAAGGTGTCCTACCAACACCGGGGGAAATCACTTCAAAGGAAGGCTCGGCTTTCATCTCTTCGGGCGACGCGGTATCTAGGAAACACACGGACAACGATTAGCCAGGTAATTGTATTGGATTCCATGAAGGCCAAAAACACCCACCATCCCCGACGGAAGAGATGCTGCTTGAGATGGAACTCTTGTGAATGGTGGTGGGTTGAAAAGAATCCAAGGATCGATCGACATTGTGGGCGGTAGTTGGCTCGGTAGGTTGCTTTTGGAACCGTTTAAAGTTAAAGGACAAGCCGACATAAGACCGGGTGCCACGAGCCGCCGTCAGTCGAGTAGCTACTGGCACCGAAATAAAAAGACTTCGGTGCATTTTCCGGAATCAAAAGAGGACCAAGAAAAAAACGGAAAGGGAAAAAATGCGTCCAGAAAAATAGACAAGTCTCAGTGCGGAGGAAGGGAAGGCGGGGGGGGGGTTGTTGCGGGCAGGTGGTTTCGCCTATAATTCTAAGCCGCCCGTACCGCGCGTCCTCCCCGCAGACACAAGCAAACACACACAAACATATAAGACTCTTTCAATCCGCTTTAAATAGAAAATAAAATGCGCTCAACGACAAGAATAAAAATCATATTGCAATGAAAAATAAGTTCGCTTTGGTGAAAAAATCAATTTATTTGATGGCAAGAACAACATTAGTGCTGTACGAAAAGTAAATTCGTCTGCTGATAAATCAATGTCTCTTTGTTGCCAAAAATGATCTGCAGCACACACTTTCACTGTGTGGATGTATAAAAAGGGAGCTTCATGTCTCATCTTTCTTTTATTTATTTTTTCCCACAAATTTTACACAGAAGCAACTTTGAATATGACCAAGCCTGAATGACATAATCGCAACACCAGTCGGTCCCGGTGGAACAGGAAACCCCTTTCCTTTACAGTGCCCTGGCAAAATTTTTTGTAATCCCGATAAATTTGTTGACTTCCCTAATGTCTTTTCATCTTTCAGTTCAGTTTTCTCGGAAAATAAAAGAAATAATAGTCAAATAAATTGCAAGGAAGCAAAAATCATGACTCGGTCCTTTATTGGCGGGGAGTGTGGGCGTTCTCGTCATATTACATTGGCCTGCGTAATCCTGGTGGGAAAATGCGCTGAAACTGACGACTTTGTTCATCAAAAAGAAGAGGCCATCTTCATTAGGATGACTTCTGTTTTCAATAAAGTGTATAATACGAGTTGGTTTAACCAGTCATGCACCACGTCTTTGCCAAAGCTATGTGCACCTGTGTATCCGACCAGCCGATATATGAACACTTGAGAATAAAGATCTCTCTCTAACAGTATCTGAGACCTACTTCATGCAGCTATTTCATGCAATGGGGCCACATTCTCTTATCAAAGGATAAATATGACGTGAAGCGATGAGAAAAGACACAGGGCGTCTTTTTCCTGCTTCATTATTGGACAATAAAGGTTTAGCTACAGTACGAGGGATCGCCTCTTTTTCCATGTCTATAAAAGACGACGCATCTTCCATCCATTTTTTTTCCTCTTCATCGCACATCTATTTTCTTTTTTCTTGCGCAAAACTATACATCTATCGCGATATATTTTTCATTGCTTATTCTTATCCACATTGCTCAAATCAACTATCCTGTACGTATACTCATGATGACTACAACTGTGCTATCAACGACTGAACCTCCACAAATAGCTCAAATGGCTTTTCTTTTTTGAATGTTATGCCGGATCACTCACTCGCTTTGTGTAATTCTACTGTGTAGTTTAGATAACTGATGAACAAAGCCCATGCCTTGGCGGTGTGCGATGACGGCTCCAGCAATGCGGTGACAACAGTTTTTTTGTAAGTAAAAACAAAAGAAGAGTAAGTGTGGCTTGTCTAATGCATCCATTTTTTGGGGGGGGGGGGGTATGTCTTTGTCCTTTGGTTTTCTCTCTTATTTGATTACTTAAAACAACATTACCTTGTCTAAAAAAAATTTTTACCCAGATTTTTTTCAATTAAACTGTACAATACTATGCGCACGTCCGTTCTCTCGTTGTTCGTTTCCTCCGGTGTCACTGTATTGTTGCAATTCTTTTTATATTTATCAGAACACTTAACAAGCCGTACACCTGGTGTGCAATAGATGCCGCCTGCCACCGGAGGCCGCCCTCTTACATTGAGCGACTTTCGTCAGACACAGAGCCTAACGCATACACGGCATAACCTGGGCGAGAACTCCTGACGGAACTTTGGTATATTAATGACAACCTTATGGCATCCCTTACGTCGTGATTTGTTTCTGAACACGCGCAAAGCAGCACTGATTGACCCCCTCAGTTCCATCCCGCCCAGGCTATGATAGATCTAGAAAGATGTGTGGGTATGTTGGGTATTAAAAAAAAATGAGTTAGTAAGCTCTCTGATTGATTCAAATTCGTCAAGATATTTTACCTTGGTTATTTGAGTTTTCAATAGCCATTGATCGCTTGACATGACTTGGATTATATGACATTGAAAAATTTTTGAATTAGTATACGTTTATTACATCATAGCAAAGGAAAAGAAATTGGACTTGCCTTTTAACCAAATGGTGTACCGGAAAAAAAGAGATGATACGGACCGCCAGGTAAGCTTCTTCTTCGATGCGGAAAATAAGATTGCTTCCAGGGACAGTTAAGCGATGGATCGGTGGTGCCGACTCTGCAAAAGGAAAACTCAGAAACAGTGTCTGCGCGCCCAATACCCGGTCTTCCAATGGTCTCCAGAGATTCAAGTGAAGTAGCAGCTTTGAAGCAGCGTGTGGCAGTTCTCAAGCGACTGGTCGCTGAAGGAGACCATCCAAAGAAACGCTCCTCTGTCACTATCGATCATGCTGACTATAAGCTGAGAGTAAGCAGTGATCCAATCCGCTGATAAGAATCACTGACCGTTTCAAACAGAGGCTTATTCGTAAGCACTACGAAGCAGATTTTGCAGACAACCCGGATCTGCTTCGACTTGAATAAATTCGTCTTTGAGGGGCCGAATACGAAGGTCGTAGAGCCTTGCAGGATTACATCGCCAACATTTCCAGCGATGAAAGGGACCCTGACTGAACTCCCGAATCTGTATACTCAAAGTGCCGCAATTACTTGAATGGGCTGCGAAGCAAGGCGAAGAAAAGCGCAGAAGACTTCAAGAACGAAAGTCGCATCAATGCTGCCCGGAAAAAACGGGATCGTGTTAGTGTTCGAAACGATACAATCAAATTAAGAATATATGACTAACCTGAGTATTGTGTAGAGATGCCAAGCCCGGCTCAATGCCTTCAGGACACACGAAGGTCTAACTACATCTTTCCCTGGGCCTGGAAAGCTCCTCGACAAGCAATTGATGTCTGACGAGGAGAATTCCATAAATTGTATAATTTTTAGTGTCCTCTTTGTTCGTGATTCCTTTTTTTTGATAATTTAATTGTCGACTCACAGTAAAAGATCTGATGAAAGAGATGAGAATAAATTATCCTTTTCCGGGCGAAAAAAAAAACCAAGAAAGTCTATCCCCACGCCCAGTCAATAAATTGTTGACGCGATCATCCTTGTTGCAGCGAGTCTTGTAAAGAAGTAAATTGAGTGTGAATCGAGCGAGTTAATCTTGCTAACGAATTTTGAGCCCGGAGCTAGTTTAACCACCATTTTGCTTGTATTTAGAGAGAGTTTATATCCATGGTGTCATAAGAACTCTTGCGATTCGTACTGCCGCACACTCCTTCTACTTACAGGCCGCCACATACAAGTACCATACGTATCAATTGGGCAAAGAAACGCTTTCTGGTGAACCTCACCACAATCAAACCGCGGTTTAAAGATGTAGATAATGACTATGAAGCCGCTGAAAAAAATCTGGCGAATAATGACGAACAAATCTTCGAAAAAAAAACTATGTAATAAACCAGAAAACAAATGGATTGGGGTTATTGCCACGAACAATTGCTGCCAAAACCGAAAGTCATCAAATACAAGATCCTGAGGCGTTGCGTGTGTAATACAGCAATTACCCCAAGAGACGACTACCAGATACTTCTTTTCATTTTTACTGTATTATTTTCTCTCTTATTCCTCGGCATTTTCCATCCTTACTATGCCTTCTCTGCCTGGTGGAGCCTGAACCTGCCGGTTCTCCTTACCTTTTGTTTTTCTTCTCCGGTCCTTCCTATGCTATTATAGCTTGCATCTTTCATGGTCTCTGGTGGACCCTCTGGCAATTTATTTTTGACGCGACCCCATTCCAATCGATCATATCTGCTACTCTATTCAATTTCTCAATCTGAGTGAAATCGCTCAGGTTTAATTTTCCAGTAACTGTTCCTACGGGAATTGAAACCCCGTTCTTGGCCGAGCCGCTCTTCCTGACGGCTCGCCTCAAATAAAATTTTGGACCAATGGTCCGTTACCAATTCTCCCTCGACTTTTATAAACGCCGACAGCCACCTTTGTCAGTGTGAAAGGCCATGTCGTTTCTAGTAGGTTCATCAGGCCAGACTCTAGGCACACAGACACACTGTAGCTCACTGCAATATTCAGAATTCTCCATCCTCTACCAATGACCAAAAGCGGCTCGTTCGAAACCTCTCTGAGCTGGCTCATATCAGGTCATACATCGGTTTCCCACGTATAATCCTAAATCACGGCAACTCGACCGATTGTGCTGACTCTTTGTGCTATATATGCATAGTGACCGTGAAGCTGTCCGATTACTAAAAGGCTGCAACTGGGACCTGAATGTTGCCCTCAATGTCTTTTACGAATCTCGACCTCAATCGTTTGCCGTGAATATCCCACAAATACAAGAGTTGTTCGACCGCTACCAAGGTAAGTGACGCGCTCGGCTAGTCGATATGCATAGATGGTCGTTGCGACGATAGTTTTTGGGTTGCGTTGCGAATTCTTTCTAATGCGGTGGTTTCGAAACAACAAAAGATAGCGATAACCGTCAACATATTTCGGTGGATGGGACCATGCGATTATGCGAGGATCTCGAGATTGATCCAACTCAGCTTGAATTTCTGATTATATCCTACTATCTTGGATCCGAGCGGATGGGCGAGTTTGAACGCGACCGTTTTGTACAAGGCTGCATGAAATTGCAGTGTGATACCCTTGAGAAGCTACGCGCCAGTATTCCCTTTCTCAAGAACAATCTGCACAATCACGACAATTTCCGAGATCTGTATTGTTATGCATTTCTCTTTGGACGACAAACAGGACAAAAAAATATGTGTAGGTTGATTACAAAGACTTCCATTCTATCCACGAACCATATCGATGACTCATGTTTTTTCTTTAGCACTGGAAGCAGCGATTGAACTGTGGCGGCTACTGCTTGGTGATCAATACTCCATGCTGGGAATATGGATTCAGTTTCTTGAAGTGAGCAGACATCACTGAGGTTCAATGTTTCGATTACAAATGACACTCATGAGCATTGATTATGTAGGAAAACCACGGCAAAGCTATTTCACGCGATACTTGGAATCTGGCAAGTGAGACGAACAATATGATTTAATGAATTGTCGTGCTGATAGGTTGTCATAGTTTTACGAATTCATTAGCCAGCCCAATCTGGATCTCACAAAGTATGACGCCGAAGGCGCTTGGCCTATTCTCATTGATGAAGTAAGTTTGGTATTGGTTATAGAAAAAGTATGGAGATGGCTTACATCTGGAGATGCTTGGATAGTTTGTGCAATATTGTCTGGATAAAGGCGTCACAGGTTCAACCTCTTGAATGTATATAAAAAAAACTCAAACTCCATCCCTTCTAACGACCCTCTATTCAAGCTTCGGAAATGTTTGTAATGTATTAAGGAATGAAGGGATCAATGGGGCTATTGTACGGCAAGTTATGCCCATGTAGTGTCTTAGTGGATGATGATTGTGATTTTGTGTGATCGCTTTGGATCTCATAAATCATCACAAAATGGGGGTCTTTTTATCGGGTGGCATTGGGTGTCCTTTTTATTTGGCGGAGAGATTGTACCACAAGCCATCAAACAGCCTGCTGTCTGTAAATTTACCTTTGCGATCTAATGTGTATCCTAATCGTTCGCCTTTGGCTCGGAGGAACACGCTTGACGAGGTGGTTTGACCGAGCGCGTCGGTGCCGGTGGGCCCTACACCCGTAAAGATCTTTTGTTTAGAGTACAACTGTTGAATAGGATATTCTCTCGATCGATGACTCGGTAACTTGGCGTGGGTCACGAGCCGCACATGCTGACCGCCTTTTAGCAACCACAGTTGATCGACATATCGCCATGGATATACACACATCAAAGTGGCAATACCGATGCCTACGGCCACCAATCCTCCCGCAATAGCCACCCGCTTATATTTTGGTGCCAAGACCACCGGAGCGTCCTCTTCATCTCTACAATATGGACGATTTCATTTTAGTACGCCTTGCCGTGAATAGACCGTGCAAAAATTCACTGACCCCGATTTTTGGCTGTAAGTAACATAGGCCAAACTTGCCAAATTTCCCCTGCGAGAATCGGAAAAAGATTAAAAAACGATTCTCCATTTTTTTTAACTCTTTTGTCTGCTTGACTTACCAAAATAACAATTGGACACCGGCCGAAATATACATGAAGAAGAAGGTGCGCTTAACACCAGCAGGTGCTTGATAAAACAGTATATCGCGGCCCTGGAGTGTTTGCTTGAGTTGTTTATTGGTCTGCAGAAGCGTCTTTGAGCTGGCAGTAGCAGATGAGGTATACGCTCGGTTTCCTAAGCATTAACATTAGTTAGCTTGTACTCTTAACACATACGCGCCATTTGGCTGAACTACTTACGGAGGCACGCAATCATGCGAGCTTGATTAAGTCGTGGCCACATCATGTCCGTAATGTAATCCAATAATCTTCAACTGACAGGCGCCGGATGACTTTTTTTTTGCTTTCTTTTTTTAAAATTCAGTCTTGATGTTCTGGAATGCAGTCACTGGATGGACGAAGAAATCATTCTACATCCCATCTCTGGAACAATAATTACAGTGTCAGTAGCACTATGAATCGATTTTCTCTTTTTACCATACAGTCCTAGTAAGTATGCCTATTAAGTATCCTGCTAATGAAGTGGGAAGGAGGAACGGTGCCTTGCAGATGAGGTGATAAAGTATGGTTAATTGAAATATGGTATATGATATAGGATGCAGAATATAAATACGGGAATACTAAGTTATAAGATGTATGAACGGAAATACTGTAAATGAATGGAAACAAAAGAGAGTACAGGAGTAAGGAAAGGAAAATAAAGTACTACTTAAAAAGCATGCGCAGCAATGATGTTCTGTAACTCCTATCAATTTGGATGATATGCCGTTAATAACCAGGTTCGTGGACAGTGTCGACCATTTTTTGCCTCTTTATTACCTTTTCAAGTTCGTCAAGATTTGAAAAATTCGCGGTAGGAAGTTGAGGGGTTCCGAAAAGTTCACGATTGGGATGATTTTTGGGATCGGAGTGATGGCATTCTCGGGCCGCTTGGTCCTGGTTGCTTTGCGGGAGGCTGGTGAGTTTGACCATGTTATGGGTGGGAGTCACTTTATGCTTTTTCGTCTTTCCGTCCTTTGATCGATCGTTTTCCAAGGATAAAATGGCCACATCCAGTCGTTTCAAGACTTGTTGTGTGTTGGATCCGAGATCCGATTTGGGGTGGCGAAGATCATCGAGAGTGGATGAGAAAGACGAGGAGGAGGAAGAGGTGAAAGAGTAACTGTCATGATGAGATGGACCACGATGCTTGGAATCCGGTTCAGGCACTATTTTACTCACGCTGGAGGATCGTGGAGACCCACTATCTTGCCGTAGCATGGACCGTACCCTTGATTTGAATTGCGGCTCCGGTTCCGATTTTGAACCGATGCGTCGCAACACAAACAACCGTTCCATGGTGCCCTTGGGTATTAACTGTCCGTCATTCAGAACTTCGCTCAATTTTCTCGACGCATTCAATGAATACTCTATATCGTCACGGGCTCAGCGAATGCATCTTGTCGAAATGAAGGTATTCTTACCATTCTCATGGACGACCAAGCTCATCGTGAATCGGTCTCGGCTGGTAGCTATGCCATTTAAATGAAATTTATCAATGGCTACACTGGTGAGGTCTGACATCAGAATACTGGCAGGGACCGCTACCAGTTTATCCATGCGTTCCTGACGATGGTTGGATTTGGCGTTCTTTTTCCGTCTGAGCGCTTTGGCGGAAAAACTGGATCGTGTTTGACTGTACGGGGACAATGGCGTTTCGTCACAGTATGAAATTTTGACGTACAATTGACCATCGCGTTCGTTGACTCGTTTGATACGTTTATGGAGATAGAATCGGATGACGGAATCTTCGCCAAATCGTGATTTGGCACGTTGTCGCGCTTTGGTCACTCCCACCCGTGTCACTTCCACAGTTGAGAACTCTTGTGATAATTGTTTGATGTGCGTTAACGATGGCATGGGTGTGGTTAAATGCGCAGTTAATGACTGGAAGATCGCTAAGGGTTTATCTTGAGGCGCAAGCGTAATTTCATCTTCAAGAGAGGGAAAAAAAAAGTCAGTTTTGAACGCCATTTGAGATCGCTGCTTCACGAAAACATTGGTGACTTGCCTCCTTCCATTGCTTTGACGGTGAGATAATATTCAACTCCATTGGACGAGGACTGGGTCGACCCTGTTTCGAGGATGCGGAATCGATCCATGGCTTGTTTCAGTAGTTGATCGGCGCTGGTGTGGTTGTCGACGAGAACAGTGTTGAAGGTGGCGCTAACATTGATATTGCCTGCAAAGACACGCAGCACTGTGAGCTGGGTATTGGCGGCTGCGGAAGGGGAAGGTGGATCTCTTGGCGTATCATCGGAAGAATTCGTCGAAAGTGATACACCGGATCCTGTATTGGGAGTCTGGGCCACGTGGTTGCCCGTATCCGTGTCGCGCTTGTCTAGTTTATCTCTCTTGCCTCGTGAAAACAAGCGCCGTAAAGCTCCCGTTGACCGTTCTTTTTCAGCCGAGGAACTGGTTCGAACAAGTGCATCTGGTTGTTTTGAATATATGCCTTGCTGGGTGACACTGACGGCTGCAGGCGAAGAGGCTCCTGTTCCTGTTGCTGTGATTGTTGTGGTTGCGCATGTTGGCGTTGATTCAATCGTGGAAATACCCGTGCTTGGTTGTGCAACCGTTTGTGTTTTTTGCGTATCATTAACGTGTTCATGCTCATTTTGACTTGCCGTGTCAGACAAAGTAGCATCATCGTCCATATCACCTTCCCATTCTTCGTACTCTTCTTCGTACGCTTCCTCTTCATCTTCGCCCACCAAAATGATTTGTGATTGATAATAAATTTCCTTGTTTACAGCTACTTTCTTTCTCTTTTTCTGAGAAGCCTGAGTTGCCGTCAGATTCACGTAATGCTGTAACTGCTCTGGCGAAGTCATCTACATGACACGACAGTAGTTAGTTTAAGCCCAAGTTCAAAATGTATCAAATAACTATAAAAAAAAAAGCTCTAATGCACCTCCACATTTCGATGCTTATTCAAGCGCGCTAAACGTTCGTAAGGAGTCTACACAACATGATTACTTGTTATTCATTATTTGCTACCCTTGGTGCATGAACCCCAAAGAAAGAAAATATTCCTTCTCAAACCGTACCTCGATATTTTCGGCAGGAATATAACCTACTTCGGTTGTCTTTAGCACTCGTACAAGCCACCAGTAAGAATTGGAGTCATCGAGCAAGGTCAGGTTGTCGCCTTTGACCACTGACGCTTGCCCTTCCACAGTGGCGACAAACGTATGTAACGCATATACGAGATCAAAATCGATATTTGAATCGGGGATGCTAGGCGACGAAGTAAAAGTGGAGCTGTCGTCGTCTGCAGTGTCAAGATCGTCGTCCAGGTCGTCGTCGTCCAGGTCGTCCAAGTCGGCCTGATCGTCGGCGTCTTCTTCTTCGTCTTCTTCAAAAACGGTACTGACCGATCGTGATTGTTTAAATGAATCGTCACGAGGCATGTGAATATCGCTGCGTGGTCTTTGAGAGCTGTGAAGCGGTGGGTCCAGTCGATCGGTGTGTGTGTTGATTGTCAGAGATCTGGACATTTTTCTTTCGCCGAGTTGAAAGAGATATATGGGTTAATACAGATTAGATTGGATGTGTAACGTATGCAAAAAGACGGTAACGGGAGCGAGGACGGTTTGGAGAAAAAAAAAAAGAAGGATAATCCAAAAAAGAAAAAGCTGGAACAAGAAGGAAAAAAGAAAAACGACGAAACGTAACTGGAAACCGAGATAAAGCAAAAGGGAGGCAGAGTAGGGGAAAGGGAGGGTGTTATGTAGATGGAAACAAAAGTGTGGCCAGCCAATCGTCTAAAAAACGCTTGAAGCACAAACGCACGTTTTTTTTTCTCCGGTTATTTGGAAGTGAGCGAGATGGATGAGCCGCTCTTGGTTTCTGTACACCCTCACTAATAAAAGTGTGGATCGGTCGCGCATCGTATTCGGCAATGTGACACTGCATCACAACAAGACCAAAAAAAATAAAAATAAAAATAAAAATTACCATCATCGAAAAATAAACGGCCCATATTGCACACCAGAAACTTCTTCATCTCTCATAGACCAATACTTCCCTGTGCTTCGAACATCATGTTCCTCACTGTGCCCCTGCATATCCGTTTCTAAAACTTCTTACATCCGTTCATGCTGATTTCAAATCACACACAGATACATGATAAGAAGGTCCAACACAACTTGAACAAAGAACAAAAAATTCAACACAGAACAACGCGAGTTGTTATGACGAGCTGTCATGGCATAGTAAGGAATAACACTACATCCATAAAAATCAGGCAACAAATTAGCTCCAAGAGACCACGAAGAAAGAAAAAGAATAAAATTCACGGGTGCCTCCCAAAAAGACATTGCATATTCTGCTGACAGGGTTCTTTTGCCCTTCTCTTCTGTCCCTTTCAGCAGCCTCAATTCAATCACCGACGACGACTGTGCCACTTCCGTTGGCCCTCCATGGGTCCAAGGGTCATATTCTCCTGAAACAGACGCTGTTGCACCACTCAGTTGCTGTGATTACCATTTGGATTGTTTTTAACGTTTTCTTGTTTTCCATACCTGCATTAGCCTTCAAAATTCTAATGCATATGCAGGATACTGCTCAGTCTAATCACCAATGTTTTACATACCCATCCTGGAACAGATATTTATTTCAAAAAGAGAAAAAAAACCACACGACGCTTGGAATGAACCAATCTTCGTACTCTTGCAGACGCATTTCCTTTTTTTTCATCCGCTGTCAAGCTGTTTATATATATATATATATATATATATACAAATGACTGAAGCAAGCGATCGACAAGTGTTGTCAGATGCGGGGCATTTATACAAATAATGAGCCACAGGCTGTCCAATAATCAAACTAAAGAAAAGGATGAAAAGTTATCCAGCTTATTTGGAGCAGTTTGACGCTTAAGCCAACATAGCGCACGGCGATCACAAGGGGCCTGATCTTGTATCCGATATAAACTGTCAAAATCAATTTCACCATGGTTACAAGCCGTCCGTCTGCCGAAAAACCATCTCTGCCCTTGGGTCATACGCGCATGAAGGTCCATATCAATGGATAGGCACCACTTGTTGATCGGCCTGACTGTATTGTTCTTTTTCATGTAGCTGCACCATGTATTGTAATGTCAATCCATGTTTGTAAAATTTACGTATGGATTGCAATACTGCGCATGCCGTATTTGCATGTAATATCGACTATGTGTATCTTTTGATGCTTGAATCACAAGGGGTCACCATTTATTTTTGTCTGTTGTCCTGTTAGATGATCACTGTGTACACCGTTGTCCTCATAGGAGTCTTTTTTTTTTTCTTAAAGAAAAAAAAAGAAAAACATCCCCAAACACAGCAAACTTACTGTGCTTAACATGCACGGTTGTTTAAATTGATATCAAGAGGGTTTGTACGGCAGCGCCTTATTGCACGCAATGACCCAACTCGGGTTCAATTCTGTCCGTGGATAAAATCATTACCGCTGTGATATTGATAATAAAATCGAATATGATTTCTTCTCCCCGTTTATTACTCATCAGCTTTCTTTGCTGCTCTGTGAACGTAACGTGCTTCTTAGGTATTCTTGTGGCTCTTGCTGGATTTCAACAGATGATATGGTTCCTGAATCACCTTTGGATGGCTGGGCAAGTGCCAGCAGCCAATAGAATTACGTCACAAACAACCAGTCACAATCGGCACCAACCAATCTGAGCATAAAGAAAGGCAATGCAATTGTGTGTGTTCTTTCTATTTATTCTTGAGAACGACATTGATTATTGGGCACAATGTTTGGTGCTGTAAAAGATTTTATTGGCAAACCTGCTCCACCAAATTACGTTGCCGGTCTAGGTCGTGGTGCTACCGGTTTCACTACCCGATCGGATATTGGTCCTGCCAGAGAATCAGGCGACTTTGGGTAAGTCTCTCCATGGTCATTCGATGCAATATTAGAGTGGCGGGCAGTTGAGTGCAGAATTGCTAAAAACACATTGTTCACTGTTGCAGCGATGCCAAGGGAGCGGCAGGTGCAAAAGAAGGCAACGACGAGGACGACGAACGATTCCAAGATCCCGATAATGAGGTTGGCTTATTCTCAGGAGCGCCTTACGAAGAAGATGACGAAGAAGCCGACCGAGTGTGGGAAATGATTGATACACGAATGGATGAAAGACGCAAAGCTCGAAGAGAGGCCAGAGAACGAGAAGAATTAGAACGATACCGTAAAGAGCGACCCAAGATTTCACAACAGTTTGCTGATCTTCGACGTCAATTGTCCACCATTGACGAAACTGAGTGGGCCAATATCCCGGAAGTCGGCGATCTCGTTGGAAAGAACCGTAAACGCAATAAGCAGCCAGAGCGCTTCACGCCTTTGCCCGATACCTTGTTAGCTGCGGCACGCGAAAAGTCGCAGTATGCTACCACTCTGGACGAAACGGAACAAAAGCTGGGAGGTATCACGTCTTCCGTTGACAGTGGTATGATGACCAACTTTAGAGAAATTGGTCAAGCTAGAGATAAAGTGCTTGGATTGAAATTGGATCAAGTGTCGGATTCGGTTGCCGGTCAAACCACCATTGATCCCAAGGGTTATCTGACCGATCTCAACAGCATGGTGCTGAAAAGTGATGCTGAAATTGGCGACATTAAGAAAGCCCGTATGTTGTACAATTCTCTCATCACCACCAATCCAAAACACGCACCTGGTTGGATTGCCGCCGCTCGTGTAGAAGAAGTCGCAGGCAAAATGGCCCAAGCTCGCAGTATCATTGCCAAGGGTTGCGAACAATGCCCCAAAAATGAAGACATCTGGTTGGAAGCGGCACGCTTAAACGTAAGTAGAACCCGATTCTTCACAGGAATCAGCATTCGTTGGGGTATCCTTGTCATGATGTTGGGCAAGTGACTTAAATTTTTTTGTAATTTGTAGACGGTGGATAACGCAAAGATTGTTTTGGCCAATGCGGTGAGAAGCTTACCTCAGTCGATTCGTATCTGGTTGAAAGCGGTGGATTTGGAGACTGATAACAAGTCCAAGAAACGCGTGTTGCGTCGTGCTTTGGAATTCATTCCCAACTCGGTGAAATTGTGGCGTACAGCGGTGAATATGGAAGAGAATCCGGAGGATGCCAAGGTACTTTTATCGCGTGCTGTTGAATTGGTGCCCAACAGTATCGATTTATGGCTTGCATTGGCTCGCTTGGAAACCTATGAGAAAGCGCAAAATGTGCTTAATAAGGCCCGTGTCACCATTCCTACGAGCCATGAAATTTGGATCGCTGCCGCTCGTTTGCAGGAAGAGCATGGAGCGCCGGAAACTACAGAAAACGTGATCAAGTCCGCCGTGAAGTTCTTGACCCAAATTGGTGTAGTCTTGGATCGCGAACAGTGGCTGAAAGAGGCCGAAAAATGCGAATCCAATGGTTCCGTTTTGACGTGTCAAGCGATTGTGCGTGCGACTATTGGCCTTGGCATTGAAGAAGAAGATCAGAAAGCGATTTGGATGGAAGATGCCGAAAGCTGCGTTGCGCACGGTTCCATCGAGACTGCTCGCGCTATTTATGCGCATGCATTAAAGGTATTCCCTGGAAGACAATCTATCTGGCAACAAGCCGCATTTTTGGAGAAGAGTCACGGCACGCCCGAAAGTCTGGAGGAATTGCTGCAACGTGCCGTTAAATATTGTCCTCAAGCCGAAGTGCTGTGGCTTATGGGTGCCAAGGAGAAATGGTTGGCAGGAGACGTGGACAGTGCACGATCAATTTTGGCCGAAGCGTTCCGAGCGAATCCTAACAGTGAACAAATTTGGTTGGCGGCTGTCAAGGTGGAAAGTGAAAGCAAAGAATACCAGCGTGCGAGAGAGCTATTGGAACGCGCAAGAAAAGAGTCCGGTACCACTCGTGTGTGGATGAAATCGGCCATGCTCGAGCGACAGATGGGCAACTACGAACAATGTGTGGCGCTGATCGATCAAGGTCTCGACAAATATCCTACGGCTGATAAATTGTGGATGATCAAGGGACAAGTGGAAGAAGGGCTGGGTAACTCGGCCAAGGCACGCGAAGTGTACAACAAGGCGGTGAAGAATTGTCCTAAGAGCATTCCTCTGTGGATATTATTGGCTCGATTGGAAGAAAAAATGGGCATGGTGACCAAGGCGCGTGCGACCCTGGAGAAGGCCCGTTTCCTTAATCCCAAGACTCCCGATTTGTGGGTGCACGCTATTCGAATTGAACTGCGTGCGAATAATACCAGTGTAGCGAAAACGATGGCGGCCAAAGCATTGCAAGAATGTCCCTCGTCAGGAATGATTTGGACCGAAGTCATTTTCATGGAAGCACGACCACAGCGAAAAGCACGAAGTATTGATGCGTTGAAGAAGTGCGAACATGACCCTGTCATTGTCACTACTGTAGCGCGTTTATTCTGGACCGATCGTAAAATCGAAAAAGCGAGAGCTTGGTTCCAAAAGGCGGTCCAAATCGATCCCGATTACGGTGATGCATTTGCTTGGTGGTATAAATTTGAATTGCAATATGGCTTGGAGGTAAATTTGTTGGACACAATTATGAAAACAATCAATGGGATGGTTTTGTTTATTTATTAATTTTGATGGGTGAATAGGAACAACAAGCCATTGTGATTAAACGGTGTATTGCAGCTGAACCTCATCATGGTGAAGTATGGCAATCCACAGCAAAAGATGTAGCCAACATTGGACTCAAGACTGAAGGCATTTTGAAACTTTGTATTGAGAAACTAGATGCGCAGTAAAAAGAAAAAAAAAAGAAAACGTGAAAAAAAACCACTATCTAGACATCCATTCCATGTAAAAAATAAGTCAAGAAACGACGCAGGTCGGTCATTCCATTTTCATTTTCCCCTTTAATCCGTTTTATATACGATTCTTTTTTGTCCTGTGAAGAGTGGAAACGATTAGAAAGATAATGTTTGTTTTTGGTCATTACAATGGCTGATTGGGACGGATGACGTTGGATACAGTAAACAGGGCCAAGTAGTAAAAGCGAGATGTTATTTCACGGAGAAGAAAGGCTGTTCTTTTATTCGCAACGGCAGAAGTTTTGGTTTAACAAATTCATATAGCTTTCGGACTTTCGACGTCACGATCATCTTCCCCACAGTGTGGACTAAGATCTGATTTAATCATTCGCATAGCCGTTTGTTTGTGGGCGCTGTCGACGTAATGCGTCGGTGGTTCAGCGATCGCAGGAATTCTCAGAGTAAAGTTGCTGCCAATCGGTCACTGTGTAATTCGGTACAACATACGGGAAAATCACGTTTGCATAAAGTAATCCCGCAGACGTTTTTTTCCATCATGTTCCTCTCCGATGCTGCCATCAGCCATAATACAAGTTACTCCAGGGGCCACAAAGATGCATCGGTTTTTGGAGGGACTGACAAGGACGATCGCGTCGTAACCGATCACATAAAACGGGCATCTTGGAATAGGAATAGGATGGCTTCTAATCTCTTGCTGCTTTTCTTACTTTGTACTTGGACATGATATGCCGCAGTTACGGTTCCTCATTTTCTCTTTGCCAATTTCGTTATGGCCTGTGTGGTCTTCTGTTTGTTCCAGCTTCTTTCTAGTCACCCTATCCAACGCAGACGTCCATAATGCCACTTGTGGTTTCCTTCCTCCCTCATCAATATTTTCATCCTTAAAGTTATTTTGTTACGATCATTGCCGCGCTTCATTTTTGAATGTCTCCTTATACAGTGAAACGGTTATCTCCTCCATCCATTAATTCATCACTCGTGAAATTTAGCTATTGTCCCATCTGCAACAAGAAATGATACGTCTTTTCTTCCTCGTCAGGGAACTTCTTTTATTTGCATGCTCATGTTCGGACCGCTCTTTTGACGTCCGCACAAATAAAAAATTTTGCGAGCGTTGGTCTCTTACAAAAAGAGAAAAAGAAAAATATATGCATGTGCAACACGGATAACGGATGGGTTCCTCAACGACGAATCCGAGATTCCATATCAGTCATGGTGGCTTTTGCCATCTGACCCGCTTCAAGGAGGGAAAAAGATGGAATAAATATCCATTTCCTACTTTCTTTCAAAGATGAATGTCTTTTTTATCAGTGTTTATATTTGCCTTGAGAAGGCGATTCTGCTGCATCTCGTCACTTGATTTGTAATATTTTTTCACGCTAACCCATTGCAAACAGGGCATTGAAATGATCATACTGAAATACCTTCTTTTTTAGTGATTTATTCAACGTCATGAGATATGAATGAGGCAACATGTCAGAATTGGCCCCTGCTATTCACTTTGCCACGACATCTTCATAAGCTGACATCGAATCGGGATACAAGCAGCAATACAACAAACAAAAAGACAGAAGTGCTCCAAAGCCGAAAGAAAAGAAAATGGGAATTAATTGCACGTTGGTGTAAATGAATAGGGAGGATACTTATGACCTCATTAAAAAAAAGTGCTTTTTTTGAGCAGCCCAATACGCGTTGTCTTCAAATAACAACATGGTAACTGTGAACCAAGGCAACACCGGAGCCTCAAAACGATGATTGGTTGCTAGTTTTTTTTTTTTTTTTTTTTTTCGAGATTTGGCACCGATTCCCGTTGCCATGTTGCACATGGCCCCTCTCTTCTTTCCCTCAGCATTCCGTGCAGGTGGATTCTTCACCTTTTTTTTCTTTTCAACTTTTTTTTTTCTGTCGTTTTGACACATTTTTGGGAGCACAGAACGATCCATCGGGTTTTCACTGCCAATTTATTATCGACAACCAAAAAGATATTTGATGCTTGTTGCAGAAACATTTCACGGCTACATTGAAACTACCCAAGATGTTCTCCTTATTTTTGAAGGATGTCGACGCAATCTGTTACCGAGAATAGGCCGACGGTTACAAGAAAGGGAGCGAAAAATGATCCGTTCGGGGTCCGTCTTTGTGTTTGATGAAAAAGAATCCGGTAGGTGAACAAGAAGACTGCTCCATCTTTTAAAAATGTTCTTTTTCACACCATTGGGTCTATGTCAGGCATCAAACGATGGACGGACGGACGAGTGTGGAGCCCTTCTCGTATTCTCGGCAATTTCCTCATTTACCGAGAACTCGATAAACGGATGGCAGGTGACAAGCGATTATCCATGTCAGCCGCGGTACGGTCGATGAGAGGGTTAGGCGATGCACGCAGCCGTAGCTACAGTGCAGATCAAAATTGCCATCCTGGGGATGTATCCGAGCGCTGCAAGGAACGCCACTTGGTGGGCAGTCTGTCTGATTCGTATCGATTTCGTCAAGATGGATTGATCAAAAAGACCATGTCCATTATCATCAACGGAGTATCACAACATCTTGTTTCTTATTATCATCCACAAGATGTCATGAACAGTAAATTGAGAACGCCCTCCTCGGTGCCTGAGCTTGCCTGTCTGGAAATCTCGGCCGAATTACTTTCCAAACAAAACTTTCGTATACCTCCCATGGTGGAACCTATCATGGATCCTCTCGACAGTGGAGCTCACAGTCCACTGACACCCCCAGACACCTTGTCCCATTTTGCAGGTAAGCGATACCTCATCTATAACCAACATTCCGTTTTTCTTTGATGCTGTATATTCCCCCTTTTTTTTCCATTGAATGATAATCGTGCGTTTTTCTCCGTTGTCTCTGAGTTTGAATTAACTTTTTTTTTTTCTCAGGCAACTTTGCGTCAGCATCCGATCGTCGAGGGATGCATCCTCTTCGCAGTATGTCCTTAGGTTCGGGGACTTTGTGCGAGTCTTACGGTGGACCTTCGTATGGTGGGATGGGTCCTTCATTTTATTCGAACGCAAGAATGGATCTGGACATGAAATTACCGACGTCGAGCCTACCGTCATTCCCTCAATCCCCACTTTCAATTCCGACCGTGTATTGTCCCACCAGCACCACTGGGTTTCCGGGTATGCCATCGCCTTCCAGTGTTTCATCATCTCCCAGCACACCGATGCTGTCGCCCCTACGCTCCACCTTCCACGCTTATTCTCCCTATCCATTATCCTCCATGTCATCCACCCTTCCATCTACGCGATATGATGCCCTCAGTTACCAGCAAGCTAAATTATCGCACGAGCCGCCGTCGTCAAATTTCGTGTCAAGCACAAGCTACTGCGGGATCTCGTGTGAAGAAAACAACAACGAATACCTACCTCAATACGAACTGAGTCCTAAGCTTGATCAGTTATTAAACCCGATCCATCCTCTTCATTCGTTCCCTGCTCCCACGGAGTCTCATCCCAGTCAGACTTTACTACATCAGTCCATATCGATGACCTCCGATTCACCATATACGGATTATGCCGAGAGGTCCATGATTTCTAACGAATTCTGCAATGTCAAACCTTCGTGCGATGCACTGGAGCACCGGTCATTATCATTGCCAACCGTAGTGCAGCAGCATGGTGAGACAAAAGGCGTTCTCGGTAGCACTATGCATCATGATCATTGGCAGCATGTTTCAACGTATATGGACACTCCGCATGATGCCGTCGTTTACAATAACAGTATGACCGCTGCTGTTTATTCACAACAGGAAATGGCCATGACAGACGACCCACCATACCCCGTTTGATATGTGCCTCCACCAACAATTTTTCTTTTTCCTGACTTTTCTGTACTTTTTGTTCTTATTTTTTTTTTTTTTCTCTGAAAAGATTTTATGGTATTCCCTTATTATTTTTCTTTTATTGTTTCGTGTCAAAAAATTATGTTCCTTTTTATGGTTGTAGTACTACAAAAAAAAACTAGTGTTTTGTTTTTCTTTTGCTTTTCTGCATTGGAATGAAAATACAATATATCATGGTCAACGAAATTATTTCCACTCGAATTTGCTTTGATGCAGTTGGCATGGTTTCAAATATCGTAACATGCCTTTACTGGTCAAATGACCACTTTGCTTTCAACCGATATAGCTTTTGAAAGGCACAAAGGGTGATACTGAAGAAGCGAGCAGAAAACATACATTCATACACAGTTACTTTATTTGTATTTTGCAGGGCGAAACAATTATTTTTTTTCCTGAGATAAACGCAAGTACAAATTTTCATCCATCATATGCCAAAAGCGGCTATTTGCGTAAACATATTCCAGTGTTGAACATGACACAACCACGTTGAAAATTGGAACAACCATAGATACGAGCGAGCATTAGATGAATGCTTTAAATGGCTCAGACACCCTGCTATCGAGCAACGCAGAGGCAATTTCCCACATAATGAATGCATGATTTGTCTCATAGTTATCGTCACAGCAACAGGCACTCAGCTTTGTTACTCTATGGTTTACACAATAATGAATAGTCAAAGAAAGATATCAGACAGGATGCAAAAAATTTATGAATGGGATGAATGAAGGGACTTTTTGGCAAAAAATGAAGTGGTAGTTCCAAGCGCAGTATAAAAATAGGCAGATATTACAGTTCTCTTACAGGTCGAACACCCTGTTCTTCGTTATCTTTCTCGGTATCGGTATCTTTTCGCTTTGTCCATTCGCCATAAATCCAGACCAGATCATCCCAAGCAAACGTGTCTAACCCTACTTGTTTCAGATCCTCGGTTCCGGTGGCATTGTGCATCCAAGCAATGAATTTCGTGAGATCTCCACCCTGTTTCTCAATATGATCGTACTCCTCCTGCAACTGCTGTTTTTCCTTCTCATGCCGTTGGCGTACAATGTCAATGGATGTCTTCCATCGCGTGGAAGTCATGATATACAACGCCCGAGTTATGGCCAGATGAGCTACGTGACAACGCATGGGGTTCGCTTGACCCATCATGATAGCAGCTATTTGACGCCATACCCGATAATCAAGCTTCCGTGTCTGATCATATTCAATCAGAGCCGATAACGCATCCCTGTCTCGTCCACATAATGGATAGAATCGTCCTTTCAGTAACAAAGTGCCCAGTTCCATCGTAGGCTATCCGTTTCTCAGGTCAGCAATGACGGTGTCAGTTGGCTAATAAAAGCAGGGACTCACTTGTTTGCGATCCAGCATTTGTTCCAGTATATCGTAACGACCCAGTTTTGCCGCACAGTGAGCGACGATCTCGGACATTTCTCTCGTATTGCTGACTTTGCATTCCTTGCTGGATTCAGCCACTCGAATGTAAAGCAATCCCGTATCGAGCGCTCGATCGTAGCGTTTATGAAGATAATCGTATTCCACCGCATTCTTTAATTGATTGGGACCATGTCGATCGAGCATCACCTCCTCATGGTTCCTTTTTGTGTAGAACCACTATTGTTTCGATCGGGTTAAATGATGACATTGACGGTGAGGAATGAAAAAAAAAAAAGTAACTAACCCCTTCTGTGTCTTGCTTTGCAACATAATCAATCTTTTCAGGCAGCACTTCCTTTTTAGCGGCTTTTTCGTCGCTGCTGACGAATATATCATCGTCAAACTCGAAGCTTAATATGGCATCGCTTTCGGTCATGGTGGTTCAGACGAAAACTATGAAAAAAAAAAAATTGATGTCTCTTTGCTTCTGTGGCACTTAGCACGAGAAAAATTTTCATTCTGATTGGTTGTGTGAAAAAGGCTTTTAATTTTTTTGATGCTGACCTTTTTCTGCATTTGGCATTTGGACATTTATCTCTCTCAGAGTGGTCATAGGATTCATCCATTCATGGGTTTTAAAAATTGTTCAACATCATCTACGTATAGTAATTGAGTACATAATAGGTATGCTCAAGGCTACTCTTAATGTATAAACTCCCCTAGTTCAGCGGCCATAGGCTCCAGATACCAGACCCTTGTCGTTTGACGAATGCTGTAGCCCTATTATGGGTCACATTCCCCAGTTAAACGGGCATTGAATAAAGAAAACTAGGGTGCTATAGATAATTCATTGGATTGAAATACCCCACTTTTTCAAAAGCATATAGACACAAAAAGTTTGAATAGTTCGTTGTTCCCAGATGAATCCGTAGACATAACGGGAAACATATGCATCTTTCTTTTTGCATGCCTATTGCTTATCAGATGCTCTATGAAACGCTTTTTTTTGCTACTCTTATGCAAACATTCATCTCATAGCTTGCATGCATTGTTGACAGAATGCGCATACATAAATAAGGTAGGCGGGAATGATTACATCTTATCAAGGCATGTGTCTTCTTCGTTTGTGTGCAAATGCGTGGGAGGAGAGGGATCTTTTATGCCCACAAATACACTTTATCTACGCATACAATTAATACTTAAGTGGAAAGATTCTCTGTATAAGGATAGTAAGACAGTTACTTAGCTGCCGTGTATCCGGATGGAGGATATGGTGAGATTGCGCGTACCTGATCCGGAATGCGGTTGGGGGAGGGGGGGATTTAACTGATTCTCAGGGCTCCATACAAGCTATCAGATCATTTGGGCTTTTATGCCCGACTGTTGTACACTGAAGCTGATGATTATCTGTTGGAAACACAGAAAGTCTGGGAAACCGGTATCGATCGTATTCTTTGCTCGTACCACGGGACGCGTCATCCGAAATCGGCGAAAATGGCGCTCTTTGGCTCCTAGGGTTACTTTTGCCTTGATTTTCTATTGATTTTAAAAATCGGTGAATGCGCCTAAGTTTTTTGACTGCAAAACAAATAGATTTTAGTTATTGTCAGGAATAACGGAAGTTAGCACATGCATCGCAAGTTACAGTTAAGAAGAGGTAAGGTTACATCGCGCCCCCGTCTGAGCTTGGAACACCATCGATCAGATAAGAAAAAAAAAACGATCTTCGCTTGTTTACTGATTTAGACCGCCGGTACGGCAAATAGGAACGTGGATTAAGCATTTTATACCGCAAATAAAACCGTTTAGAGTAAAAAACCATAAAAAGATCATCCACCCATGAGGATATAGATGGGAAATGGCTGGTCGGTTTTAGGAAAACCGTGTAAGAAATTTTTTTCATTTCCGTGCCACCTATGCAGCGATCTAATGGCTATGTTTCCAGTTCAGCCGTTGAATGCCCGCTTATATGATGTCAGATAATGAAAACCTGCGAATCGTGTTTATGCGTGCAAGTAAAAGTCATGCATGTGAAAGTATTCTAATATTTCAACCGTCGATGGTTCTTTTTTATTTCGTTTGCAATTCAATGTGTGAGTGGGTTATGGAGAGGAACAACATGCATCAAGCGTATGGACCCGGATAAAAATGATACCAAATAAAGTTCTTTTTTTTTAGGCTTATGTACAGTAAAAAAAAAAAAAAAATAATAAAACTTTTCCAGTTCAAATAGCGTGATGATCGCGAGAGAAATAAGTGTGGACCACATGAGTCATTGTATTACGGTTGCTTTATCAGATTACGCAGGGGATATCTGAAAACGATCGGCTATACAAATGTGCATAGATAGTGCATGTTGGTTCGACACACCGTGGCACGGGTAACTATTGCACTCCGTAGCCATGATCGTTACACGTATGCATAGCCATTTTGGAAAGTCAAGAATCAAGGGAAAAACTGCAGAGCCGAAGATGGATGTGGATCTTTTTTTTTGGACCGGGAACCTTGAGTTCTTTGCAACAAAGAATCGGATTTTGTTACCGTGACCACTGCATCACTGATCCGTGAGTATAACGGTGGCGGTTTGTCGACCTATTTTATCTATCTAAGGGATGTATTTTTATTACAAATTTAGGAAATGGTGGTGTAGGCACGGAACAAAAAGGTTTTAGTGCCAAGACGGGATCGCCCGTGGCGCGATAAGTTCATTTACACTAAATAGATCGGAAACTACTGAGGCTAGGATTAGCGTATGGCGGCCATGGAAAATGGTCATCTCACTAATGGGAGAACAAAAACGAATAACAAAAAAGCAAGGTATCATTTTCAAGTGTAACCTTGTAAACTTAATTAAATGAAAGTGTATAAAAAAAAATCTGATAAAACTAAACAGTTTGATAATCAGATTTTTTTTTTCGCTCGTAAGTATAAGACGACGGTTGACTGCGGTTTCGATTATCTGCTCTTCAATTTTTTTCCGCTTTTTCTTTTTCTATTTACTTCTTCTCGTTTGGCTTTTGACCCTCTTATCCTTTTTTTTCTTTTTCTTTCCTCTTCTTATCACGCACCATGCCCGCTCCGTCTTCTACAGCCAAGAATGCTCACTATGCCAAGTTTGCTACTACTTCGCGTCTTATCGCTTCTCTGACCACGGAAGCATTGGTGGGAGCTTTCTATGTACCGGCAAAATCCTCTATGTCTGAAGTGACGGGTCTCTGTATGTTATTGCGAAGCACATGTGATCCGAAAGTCTGCCCGTCATCTGTCGAATTGTCGGATATTTTGGCTCTGGTTCCCTTGAAAGGCGTTCCCATTCTTGCCGCTGATAAGAAACAGTTTGCTTCACTGAACGGTATCACATGCCCGAGAATCGAACTTGTGGATGGCTGGGATATGCTTCCTCACATTTACAGTATCTTGGAAACCGATGATGCCAACGAGACGTCGGTGTTGCCCCCGCTACCGGAAGCTCAGCTTGTCCGTGCCGCCACCCAGGAAACTCTTTCCCTTGTCTGTCGTGGTGTAAAACTCCACCAATTGCGGGATGGCTTCGATGCAGTGCAGCTGTGGAACCAATTCGCGGCTGATTATGGAGTCAACCACAAACTGAGTGAGCAAATTGCGCAAGAATTGGGAAGCTCCATGTTGCATCAAGGTAAGACCAAATCCGAATCTTGATCATTTCCCATGGTCCAAACTCATATATCGATTGCGATGTAGCACACACGTATGACCATCCCAAACCGTTGCCTACCCTTGCTTCGTCTACCATCCACTGGGAACAAGTCATTCTCGAAGGCCATGCCACGCATCCCGTAAGTACCAATCCACCCTCCGTTTCGATTGTCATTACACAATGGAGCCCTAAACAGGAAACTAACATTCCCTGTTGTACTACAGATGCACAAAGCCCGCAAAAGCTTCCCTCCCATGCCGCCTTTGAATCCTGAGCATGTGAATTTGGAGCAACCCAAGTTGCGTTTGGTGGCCGTGCCGCGAACTTCCATGAAAGTGCGTGGTGATTTTGACGCCTTATCTGCGCCTTTGGTTGACATCATGTTGGGCAAGGGAAATGATCAAGTCACAGGTCAACTCCGTCGCCAGTACGCCGATCATGTCCTTATTCCCATCCACGAATTGCAAGTGCCCAATATTCAACAAAAATTCCCTGACGCCGTCGTGCTATCGTCTCAGCACGAAGTACCCGTGTACAGCTTGACTTCCATTCGATCGGTGGCCGAGCCGGATATTCTCCCCGGTCTGAGTGTCAAATTGTGTTTAGGTATCAAGGTATCTTCCGCGCTTCGCACTATTACTCCGTTCACTACCCATTTTGGCCCTGGTTTCTCCCGTGACGTGGTCCCCAAGTTGAACTATAACCACAAGGTGTTGACGGTGGAACGTGAACTGGCCAGTGCGTGCTATGTTCACGAGGATTTTGATGTCGCCAAGCATTGCAGCTGCGTGCTCCGTGAAGCAGTGGAGTATGCCAAGGATAACAACGACACCATTGTGCCTTGTGCTGCTTTGGTCGAGAAGATCCAAAAGCCCGATACCGATGAAACCTTGGTTACCCATGTGTGGGGCTTGGACACCGAAGAGAAACGCATTGCTTTCTTGGACCGCTACATTAAGATTGCTCTTGAAGCGTTTTTACCCCCTGCATTGAACAATGGTGTCGCCTTTGAGGCCCACGGTCAGAACACGCTGGCGCGATTTGACCGTGAAACGGGTGAGCTCAAGGGCTTTGTGATTCGTGACTTTGGGGGTATCAAGGTCCACCGAGAAACTTTGAGAAAAACCACAGGCACTGATATCGATGTCATTCCGGACAGCTGCGTTGTTGCAGAAACCTTGGAAGAGGTAAATTGAACGAAGCTCACAAGATTGGATTGCTTTTTTATTTCCCAGACACTTACCTAAGCCTTTTCTTTATCCAGGTGTATAAACTGATTTATCATACCCTGATTCATTCCCAACTTCAACGTCTTATTCGTGTATTGGATTTGCATTACAACGGTAAAGGATGGGAGCTCTTGAGAACCCATATGGCGGCAATGGTGCCCAAGGATCACCCCATGTGGGCCGTGTTTATGGACAGCACAAAGGTACCCGGCAAGTGTATGGTTCGAATGAAGATTGAAGAACTTTACCGTGACGTAAGTAACCATTCACACACCATCAGCGGGGAAAAAGAAGAACGACAAGTATCAATGGCCGATTATTAATGCCCTATTTTTTTCATCCCTTCTAGTACATTTATAGCCCAGTGCCAAATGTCATTCATTACCGACCTCAGTCAGTGGAGGATTTTGCGTAAACAAAGCACTGCCATCGAATTCGCTGAACATGATTACTTCCTATCCCCCGACATTACACTATCATTTCTTTTTATTTTTACTTCTTAGACACATTGGATTTTTTTGTCTAGTCATATTTTCCATTCTGTATTTGTTTCCATATGCTCACTTCCATATCTCTTACACAGTCAATAAATGACTCCTTATAAATACTACATTGAGTTTCTCTATATAAGAAGGGAAAACAAAATAAAACATGGTGTCAATAACATTGTCAATAACCATGGTCCAAATAGGTAAGCTCTAGCTGCATATGGAAATAGGCCCACTGTCACAGTGGAAACCGAAAAAAGAAGGGTGGGGCGGAACTTTTATTTGGCACATGAATTGGATTGTCAAGGCGAAACCGTATTGGCGCGTTGATAGATGAGCTTAAAAGTAGGCAATGCAATTCCCACACCAAAAATAGAGGAGAATGGAAGATCGGTGAATGGCCGTTGCAGTCAAGGCACGGAAACCGAACTTGAGGGTTTTCGTCTCTTTGGACGCATGACAAAGTCAGGTGACCGTGGAGAAATTGTTCGGTTTAAGGTTCAATCTTGAGCTACAGTGCCTTGATGAAGTGGAAAGGGGATTTCGACACGGTGAGAAAATAAAAATAAGAAAGGAATATACGCCTTTTCTTCTCTTCTTCTTTTGTTTTTGTGTTTTTTGTTGTTGTTCTTTGTTTCATTCTTTTTCATTGTCAAGAAAAATATTCTAGTAATCGATCATGGCTGCTGCTGCATCTCGTTCTCGGGTGGTTGGACTTTTGAAACTTCTTCAGTCGAGTTCCAATAGCTGTCCTTGCCACTCTCATGCTCACTCGCATTCGCACGGAGCTACAGGCGCCTCCTTTTCCAACTTGTTGAGATACGGTCGTCAATATGCCAGTGCTCAGGAGAGCACCGATTATGCCTTTGAAATGGCCGCCAGTAACATTCGCTTTGGTCCCAATGTGACAAGGTAAGCTTTTCATGTCCTTTCTCTTTTATCTCGGCTTCGTTTCCGCTCTGAAACTTCTCCGGTCTCACTGTTACCGTTCAATCCTCAGTGAAATTGGTATGGATTTGAATAACATCCAGGCAAAGAAGGTCGCCGTATACACAGATGCTACGGTAAGTTTTTCTTTTTCGTCCATGCTGCTCGAGAAACCCGAGGAGAGAAAAGAAAGTGCGCCATGTCCTTACTGACATTGTCGCCATGCTGTCTTACAGATTAGTAAGCTTCATCCCCTGAAAGCGGTTATTGAATCATTGGACAAGCACAAAGTCAACTATGTCGTGTATGACACCGTGCGTGTGGAACCTACCGACACCAGTTTCAAGCAAGCCATTGAGTTTGCTCGTCAACATGCGCCCGATGCGTTTGTTGCTGTGGGCGGCGGCTCCGTCATCGATACCACCAAAGCTGCTAGCTTGTACAGCTCACATCCCGAAGCTGATTTCCTCGACTTTGTCAATGCGCCCATCGGCAGAGGCTTGCCTATTCGTAAGAAGCTGCCTCCGTTGATCGCAGGTAAGCTTCCGACTGGTTTTTTTTCTTCAGACTAATTGTCAAAGATGGCTAAACTGGGGACTGTGTAGTACCTACCACGGCCGGTACTGGATCCGAAACCACGGGCACGGCCATCTTCGATTATGAGCCTCTGCATACCAAGACAGGTATTGCTCACCGTGCTTTGAAGCCTTTGCTCGGCATTGTCGATCCAATGAACACACGAAGCATGCCATCTCAGGTTCACGCCTCCAGTGGTTTGGATGTGCTCTGGTAAAGTTGGCAACAAACGCGTTTACAAAAATCGGCTTGTCTATCAACCAAAAACTGACTTGAGTTTTATTTCTAAACTAGCCACGCGCTCGAATCGTACACCGCCTTGCCTTACAATGAACGATCGCCTCGTCCCAAGGATCCTATCGAGCGTCCGGCTTACCAAGGCTCCAACCCCATCAGTGACGTGTGGTCCTTGCATGCTTTGAGAATGGTCGTTCAGTACCTCCCTCGTGCTGTCAAGGATCCTGAGGATTTTGAAGCCCAGAGTCAAATGTTATTGGCCGCCACCTTTGCTGGTATTGGTTTTGGCAATGCAGGCGTCCATTTATGTCACGGTCTAAGCTACCCCATCAGTGGCTTGAACAAGAACTACAAGCATCCCGGTTATGAAGTGGACCATCCCATCATTGTAAGTGAATATTAATTCCGCTAACCAAGCACAAAACAATCCTAATGAGACCGATTCTGTCTTTTTTTTTCTGCTCCTACTTGTCCTGTGTCATCAGCCTCACGGTAAGCCATGTTGGTTTGAGGTGTACTCTAATAGAAAATGACTGACGTATTTTTCTTTATCATCCTTTATATTACAGGTGTATCTGTGGCTTTGACTGCTCCGGCTGTTTTCCGATACACGGCTCATGCTTGTCCTGATCGTCATATTGATGCGGCGGCGGCGTTTGGCGCGGATCCTGCCCACATCAAGTCATCCATGGCCGGTGAAGTACTTTCGGAAAAACTGACTCGTTTCTTCGAGGATCTTGGCGTTCCCAATGGTTTGAGCGCTTTGGGCTACGATTCCTCGTACATCCCCTCGCTGGTCGACGGTGCTCTCCCTCAACATCGTGTCACCAAATTGGCCCCTACCCGTGAACCAGCACGTGAACAGTTGGCCTCCATTTTCGAAAACGCTATGAAGAACTACTAAAACATTACTGTTTCTGTCATTAAAAACAAGTTGAAGCTGATAATGAATGGAACAAAACAAAACAAAAATCAATTAATTTACACATTTGTCTACACACTCATTGGCGCGTAGTTAGGATGTTCATGGATGATATTAACAATTTCCAATGGGCAAAAGACACAAATTCGACATTAGTGTGAGACTTGATTCCAGTAATTCCATGGAGAGCTGTAGGCAGTCGTCCAACGCTGTAATATCAAATACTGAATCAAATGAGGGAAGGACATCTCGCTATTGAGACTGAATATGAAGGAATTCAAAGAGACGACTAGTGTAAAAAGACATACGATCAACTGAATAAGTAGCAGTAATGCAATGATATTATGGCGGATTCTACAGCAAGAAAACAAAAAGGGGTAGCCATTAGGAAAAAGAATTTATCGGATATGTATTTTGACAGTATTTGAAGCAGCAAAGGAAAGTGGTTTGGAGCCACCGGCTGCTTTTACAAGATTAAACCGAGATCCAGCAAAACGGCAAGGGCCAAGGCGTAATTTACTTGCAGATCATTGGAAATGACAGAATCATTTTGGACCCGAATGATCCATTCACGGTGAATTAACGCAATTATGACGATGATTTACGTTCAATGATCGTATGGATGATCATTCATGTTAAATATCGCAGGTCATCAGATTGGCATATACGCTTGGACCATCTAGACCATTGGATCTCATGGAACGTAAATGTGATAATAACGCGAAGGATAAGAAAACAAGTAGCGGGTAACGACAATAAAGAAGCGATTGCGTAATCGAGCGAAAAGGATACGATCCTAACGTTCTGCAACGGTCTATTGTTTTCCTGCCATATGCCTCTGTACAAGGTACCGATTCATCGAAGATGACCTATTTCGTATGTTTATGACTCCTGCATCACCAGCATTTGTATATTTACAGCCGCATGGCTAGCATGTTCCTGGGATATGCCGTTCCGACAATATCCATCCAGACCATCAAATCACCTGGATCATTCCTTCTTTTCACCCATCCGATTTGGAATCAACGAAACGGACAAAAAACACTAGATACTTATTAAATATACTGAAAAAAAAGGAGACTTATACATAAATATGAAAATCTTCAAAATTGAGCCTTTTTCAGCTTATTGTAGAATACAGAACATTCAGACAAGTATGTCCTGCTTGACCTGGGATGTGGAAGAAAAAGATCTGTACACCAGATATTTTCAGCTGACCTCCCCCAAAGCATCGGCACTTTGTAGTGAGCGGGAGAAACACTGTCCATGAAAATGGCGGTCAAAATGTAAGCATCGACATGATTTTCGGTTGATTCGGATGTACGAGGATAGATTAAGATTTGGACCAGGAACAGTAGAATTAAATGCCTTGGGCTACGGATGCCATGGCATTTGTTTGGCATAGTTTTAAAATGTTTGTAATTACTGTTTCTGTACTGGGAAAGAAGGACATGGTGGTCAAACTGTCATGATGGAGCTGACAGTCGCCATGATATCAGCATCACTGAATCAGATACCGGCATTAGGAGGCCATGCTTCAAAAGGGGAAAACAAGGACAACGCAGGAACGGATCTTTTTAATGTAAGCTGTTGCGTTTTTGCTTCATGGTTTCTTCGCTTCTACGGTTGGAGTATTCGGCTATAAATCCTCACTTTGTATTCAAATACCCAACGACTTTTTTTTTTCTGGCCCTTCCTTTTCCTTTTTTGACTTTTGATTTTTTGCTTATTTTTTGATTTAAAACATCGTTTACTGGTTTGCTTCGTCTCACTCTTTTAGCTATCCTGTTATTCCCGAATAACTTTTTCAGGATGAGGGATGAGCCAATAGTGATTGATTACACCCCTGCGCCGTTCCGCCAACGAAGCAAAGAGATTTTACATCGCTTACCTCAGCATATCCGTGCGTACACGATTAGTATTTTTCCAATATTCCAGTGGATCCACCGATACCATCTTTCTGTACGATCGTAATGATTAACTGCTCTTTCTCTTTCGGCAAAGCATTCAAAAGCGACCTTTTTTTTTCATACGAGCTTGTTTTTTCTTTTTATGTAGTGGCTTGTGCAAGATGTCATTGCTGGCATCACTGTAGGCATTGTCATTGTGCCTCAGAGCATGGCGTATGCCAAAATTGCCAACTTGGACCCACAGTATGGTCTTTAGTAAGTGTTTGAATTGAATCATGGCATCACGCTCCCATTCCTATTTTTATTTTGGCTTTTTGGACCCTATGCCCCATAATATTCACATCATCTGCGTAGTACATCGTTTGTTGGTGCCTCCATTTATTGCTTCTTTGGTACATCCAAAGATATCAGCATTGGACCCATATGTAAATACAGAACTTATTTTTCCTTTTAACCGAAAAAAGGATCGACATGGAGAATTTTTCCCATTTTAATGCGCAGTTTTCTGTTTACTGTAGCCACTGTATCGTTGCTAGTCGGACAATCCATTGCGGCAGTGGCCCAAGTGCATCCGGAAATCGACGGGAATCAAGTCGCGGTGACGTTGAGTCTGTTGGCCGGTATGATCACGATTGCAGTGGGTTTGATCCGCTTAGGTATCTTTGTCGATTTGATTCCAGGTAAGAAGTGCCAATGGAATGGTGCCCTTTTTTTTGGCCCTCGTTTATGCATCAATAATATGCGCTCTGCATGGAATCATAACCGGATTTGGATTAGAACCTGCGATCGCGGGATACATGACAGGTAGCGCCATCACCATTTGCGTATCACAGTGGCCCAAGCTTTTTGGTTTGAGCAGCAAAGTGAGCACGCATAACCCTCCGTACCTTATCGTGGGCTACTTTTTTGCCAACCTAAAATACACACGCTGGGACGCCGCATTTGGTATCGTCAGTCTTTTGGCTCTCTACGGCATCAAGTTCGCATGCACTTATTCCAGTCGACGATTCTCGAAATGTCAAAAGCTCATCTTCTTCTTCAGTATTATGCGCAATGGCCTGGTTGTCCTTGTGGGTACCCTGATTTCCTATCTCATCAATATCGGGCGAAAAACGAGTCCCTTTTCCGTCATTCAAGCGGTCCCGGCCGGATTTGACGCCATGGGCATTCCTAAATTGAACCCTGACATTATTCGTGAAGTTGGTGGCACATTACCGTCCATCGTCATTATTCTCATTCTCGAACACGTCTCGGTGGCCAAATCTTTTGGCAGAATCTATGATTACGCTATCGATCCCAGCCAGGAAACCTTGGCTATCGGATTCAGTAATGTGATTGGTTCATTTTTCGGGTAAGATGGCAAATTGGATCGTCATGCAGCTTACAGCCGAATTTAATCCTATTGGGTGTAATGACGTTTAGGGCATATCCTGCCACGGGTGCTTTCAGTCGAACGGCTATCATGGCCAGATCAGGTGTGAAAACGCCGATTGCAGGCGTCTTTTCTGGGGCAGTAGTGGTACTCGCTTTGTATGCATTGACGCCGGCTTTTTACTACATCCCCGAAGCCGTTCTATCCGCTGTGGTTATTCATGCCGTGTCAGGTCTTGTCTCTGGACCAAAGTATCTGAAAGAACTATGGACCGCCAGTCCAATGGAATTCCTTATCTGGGTGAGCGCCGTTATGGTTACAGTGTTTGTCGACGTGGAAACTGGCATTTACGTTGCCGTGGCATTATCATTTGCTTTACTGTTGTACAAGTTGGCTCGACCGCCGGTGAGAATGCTGGCCAGACTGCCCATCACGTTTTCGCAAGATCCGCCACATCCGAGCGAAAAAAAAGCCAGCATGGACGACATTATGCAAAAGCATTACATCTACGTTGACGAAAATGACGCAAATTTTCCGAAATGGTTGCAACCTTTACCGCCCGGGATCCTTGTCATGCGACCTGGTGACTCGATGTTGTATCCCAATGCGGCTCACATTTCGGAAAAGATGGTTGCAGAGGCGAAAGCAAGGACACGATGCGGTAATCTCGTGGAGATGTCGAAAAAAGATAGCGAGAAGCCATGGAATCATGTCACCAAATCGGACAACGGCAAGGAGTTGGCCAAGGACACTGAACTGCCCATTCTCGAAGCTGTCGTGCTGGATTTTTCGGCGGTGGGCCGTCTGGATTCCACCGGATTGCAAGAACTGGTGACGGTTCGAAATGTGCTGGATCGCTACGCAGGTCACACCGTCGAATGGCATTTTACCAACCTGCAAAGTAAACAAGTCCGATGTAAACTTGTCCAATTTGGGTTCGGATCGCTTCAAGTCACCACACCTTCGGGTTTTGGCGCCATGTCATCCACATCTTCGTCATTATCATCCGATCAAGACCCCGCTGTGCCTCACGGTCATCCACAGTATCAACATATTTCTTTCGAAACATCAAAAGAAAAAATCGCCCATCGACCATTGACTGATCCCGTTACACCAACGCAGGATTTGGAAATAGGCAAGCTGAATGACTTTTCCCACCCCACTGCCCGACCGATGTTCTTGGACTATTCATCTTCTCATTCGAGCCATAAAAATCATGACGTCGATGATCGATCAATCCAGTTGCCACGAGATAGATACCCTTGCTTCCACTGGGACATTGACACGGCCGTGAATTCAATATGCCAACGCTGGAAAGGCGATCCTTCCTTCTCCTTCGCCGACGTGGATGCTGTATAGTTAGCTATAAAAGGACCTTTACCGTGTATTCTTTCTGTTCATTTTTTCTTCTTTTTCCCTTTCTTGTGCTGTAGATTGTAGTAAATAACTGTACGGAGTATGCCATCATTAAAAGAACAACTATTCTTGACATCAATTTTTTTTACCCAGGGTGACGAAATTGGTCTCCTTTCGATACTTGAAGCTCAACGCTTACGAAAGCCTGCATTTCCTTAAACAAGCCGGAATATCACATGTCATTTGCAAAACATGATGGTTGCCTGATATGTGAGATCCAGAAAAAGAAGGTTGAAAAAAGCGGAGATGGGTTTGTTCAATGATAAACGAGCCAGTCAGTGATATGACTGGCAATGGACCATCAGCTTATTCGAGAAAACGATCAATGAGAGTTCCACAAAACCGATTCGAACAAAACAACAGAGAACAAAGCAATAAATGGATGATATATGATAAAGATAAGAATCAAATGGGAGGAACTATAAATATTGAATGTCTCAACATCCTATTGTAACGTAACATAGTACATCCTTTTACGTACCTTCTTTTTCCCTGTCCTTTAATGCATACTTCATATTCACTCCTTACCATTACCCTAGCTATTGCTGCCTGTGCACTAGCGCAGCAATGTGAGCATTCTATAATTAGCGTCAGAGACAATGGAACAATAACTCACCATCCCTGTTTTCATTCTAGCTGCTGTCCCTACTCCGGGACCTATGCTCGATCTTCCGTCTACGGATTATCCCAGCGTCTCCAGTTTCTTCGCCAATGGGGGCGAAGCTAAAATGTCCTCCGTGGCAGCCCAGGTACATTCGTTGTTTTGAGATGCTTCTTACGCAGCCACACAAAATTGTTCAATTGTTTACCTTCAATTTTTTTTTCGGATTTCTCGCCAGATATCCGCGTTTGCGGCCAGCCAACCTGGAGCGGCTGGAAGTTCTTTGATGAGCGAGTTTGCCGAAGCAACCAAAGCACTACAATCAATTTACCAGAATCCACCTGCTGCCACCAACGCACCAACGCCAGCTTCATCCAATTCGCCCGAAAATCCGCAACCTCATTCGGCGGCTCAAACAACGCTAGAATTCAAATATTACACCGTGGCCATCGCCATTCTTTTACTTACCACTGTAGTCATTTTTGCCTAATTGTTATCCTTGAACAAGACCGTGTTACCCAATAGTAATATGAGACGATATCTGATCGTGTAACGCACGCTCTACCATGCTGAAAATGGGAAACGAATGGTTATGTGTTACCCTCGAAGAATGTCAGAAGATCATGTGCACCATGGCACAAGAAAATGATTCCAAACTGCTTGGTGTCCTACCTGTCCTATTTGGTAAAAAACAACCACCACAATCTTAGAATTAGAAAAAGGCGATAATTTTTTCGTTACAAGAGGATCTTATTCGTGCAAAGTTGGAAGTAAATTACAAAGTTGGCTCGCTTCATCGGAGTACGCAGGTTGTCAGTGGAACTTCAATAGCATGAACAAAAAGCAGGAATTATAGCGTTTGCCTTCACGAATGAGCGTTACAACGCTAATAAACAGGCAAAAATATCTTCTTTACAGTGTTAAGGTAAAAAAAGAAAATTGTTGTTTTAATATTTTATTAAGCTTGGGCGCATCAAAGCTCAAATTTGTTAGTAAAGCGTGCTCTGTGTTTGTCCACAAAGTCACTTGCGCGCATTTACGCTCACTTTCCTTGGCGTTAGTTTGGATCCAACATGAGTATTCGTTGCTGACGGAATGCAAAACTCAAGTCCACATTTGACCGAAGAATGAACAACCTGATTTGCTTCTTACTCTCTTGCCAAGAAGCCTGCTCTCAACGACCAACAGAAGACCAACGCTCTGTGAGCCGATGTTCGGATCTTCTGAGTCCAAGTGCAACCCAAGGTCCTACTGGACAAATTTGCACAACAGCAATATAAGTCCTATTATTTACTGTACACAGCAGTAATTTTGTCGCAAAAAATGCATATGGCAAAGCGATCTGCTCGTGTTGACTGAACAAAATTTACTCTTGCATCCCTTTCTCCCATTGTCCATTGGTTTCATTCCCGATATTTCTGCAAAACACCGCCTGTCGCATCTGCTGCGAAAATATTTAAGATGAAGTCCCCGATGACTCCCATTGAGTTATGCTTGTCGCAACGGCATACATAAGGTGAGCAATAAATTTAAGCTGTCTAATGATTGCTTCAGTCTTGTTTCGCTAACTGGGGTGGCCGTCCGTTCAGGACCACCCGCGTGCATCTATTGCCGGAGCGAATGCATGGACATGCCAGCTGTGGGGTTTCCATCAGGAATCAATGAATATTTTTTCTCCACAATGCGTACTCCTTCGATTTATCTTATCGTTTAGGTTCTTCGCCGAGGAGCCAAAATTAGGCTTCTCAATGATAGAGCAGCTGATATTTTTTCAGAATACTGTTCAGTACAATAAATCTAAGATCATCTTATAATTGCCAGGCTGTACAGTTGTATGAGACATTGGTCAAATTTCTACACACAAACAGTGCCCAATAAACGGAACGGAAAAAACATAAAAGACCATTGCTTTATTCTGATTATCAGGATATTATCCATCCAACAGGAAAAGGAGGAAATTAATGGCACCGCTGAGATGAATTACTCTCTTTGGTTAGGATCTTCATGGTCCAAAACTGCTATTTTTGAATCAGCAGTTGTATAAACAGGCGGGATGGCATCGTCCAACGCTGCAGGGGTCTTGCTTTTCACGAACTTCGTGTTCCCAAATGCCCATAGCATTGGCTAAGTTATTCGAGTCAGCAACTTGTTCTGAAGTCTCATATCATAATGCTATTTGTTACCAAGTTCGGCATCGGTCTTGCAATTCAACAAGTTATCAATACTGCATTCAAGGTTGTTGGAAGGTTTCTCGTTGGCATCCTTGGCAATAGGTCCAGCCATCACAGCGGAAGCAGCAAAAACTACAAAGATAATTGTTGTAAAGGATTTCATGGTAAACTGGTAAAGTTGTTGTTAATCATATCGTGTAAAAGACTTCACTTTTATAGCTATTTGTTGTTAGCATTGTTATCGATCCGTCACAGAATCCGCAAGTTTGATACGTGACCAATTGTGTAATGGAACTCTGATAAACAGCTTCGTGCGAGAAAGTTGGCATGAGACGGTTCTTCCATACGGCATTAAATACGGCAGTTGATATTCAGCGGTGAAATTATGCTTTGGTATAGCATATGCCTACTCTGCAATATGTAGCATGAAATGGTTTCTGAACAAGGCATTTCAATACGGAAATCTACAATGCCTTGATTTGGGCTAACCAAGGTGCAGGCAAAATTATAAACCAGCATGATCTTACAAGCAAGAAGAAGAAATTGTGTGTTTTTGGGGACAGCTGGAAATCATGGCCCGTATACACAATAACTACTTCCGGTTTCATTACATTGTCAAATCGGCACTATCAGCATAGACGCTGGAATTTTCGTTCATTTTTATATTGCTATTCTCCACAAGGAGTTATAAGCTAAGATATGCCTAGCTCATTGCACACACCTTTGTTTTTTTTAATGAATAAAAAATAGAAGTTCGTCGTACAGAAACAACAGCTTTTATTTACTGGCGACAACCGACCAAAAAAAGAAGCAAACTATAGCCTGCAAGTGGAAGGTAATAATTCGGCTATTTCTCTGCCCTTACAGTAATAATTAATGTAATCACAATGAGGCGACAAACGCAGTACATCTTACAGCTATCCACTTCTGCAATGCTCATTATGAGGTTAAATTGTTTTGGTTATTAGCAGCTTAATTTGTACCGAATGTTGTGTTCGCAGAAGGAGGTATCTAGTCGCTTTAACTAGACTAGTCACCGAATAAGCAGAGGGCACCACAAAATCGAAGACTTGTTACAGCGGCATAGACTGCCTGTGGCATAATGGAGCATCTTTGGGTTCTTGGGCGTAGGCTTCGTAATAAACTGGCGATACCTACTGTGGACGAAGAACATTACAACGAACCGATTGTTCGCGTCTTCCGTGTCCACAGAACATATTCACGCAGCAACAATATACGACCCATCGCTTTATGTACGAAGCAGCTAATCTTTAGACAAAGAATTGCGTTCTGATACAGAGGCAAATGCGATCTGTCTGCTGAACGTCTTACTCGAAATCTCCATTGACCTCATTTCCGGTGTTTAAGCAGAACACCGCCTGACACAATTTGCTGCGAAAATATACAACGAGCGAAGCCCAAAACGACTCCGACCGTGCTGCGCTTGTCGCAACAGCATACACAAGATGAGCATTAAAAATCAGAGGAAAGCTATCTAATGGTTGTTTGCTCGCTGGGGAACGGTCCGTCAAGGATCTCGCCTACGTGCATCTATTGCCGTAGCAACTGTATGGACAGGTCACCTGTGGTTCTATCAGAAATCAATCATTATTTTTTTCTCCACATTGCGTACTCCTTCGGTTTATATCATTGGTTACAATGTTCCGTGCGGGGGAGCCAAAACTAGGCGTACCGATGATGGAGCAGCTGATATCCTTCAGAGTGCAGTAAATCAGAGATCACCTAATAATTGCTAGCATGTAGTATTAAGACACTGGGCAACCTTGAATTCACAAACACCACCCAATAAGCGGGACAGAAATAACATAAAAGACTATGGCTTTTACTCTGATTATCGGAATATCATCAATCCAACAGGAAAAAGAAGAAAAGTAATGGCACCACTGAGGCAAATCACTCTTTTTTGGGTTGGCATTTTCATGGTCCAAAACTGACATTTATTCGCAGACTCCTGGACCAAAGATCGGATAGCAAACCTTACCGCAGTCGATTTTGTTTTGACGAACTTCGGCTTGAAATGCCCATAGCATTGGCCAAGTAATGTGAGTCAGCAGATTGCCCTCAAGCCTCATATCATAATGCCCGAAGTTTGGCAGCGGTCTTTCAGTTCGACAAGTTATCGATATTGTATAGGAGGTTGTTGGAAGCTTTCTCGTTGACTTCCTTGGGAATAGGCCCACCCATCACGGCGGAAGCACCAAACACTAGTAAGATCACTGGTGTATTTATTGCAGCTCGTCGTCGTATTGCTGTTGATCTTTATGTTTGCGGTCCATCAACTGATGCACAGGATTTCATGGTAAACTTGAAAAATGTTGTTGGACCATATCATAGTAAAGGGCTTATTTTTATACGATTTTTCTAATATTTTTTATTAGTCATAACCTATCCGTCATAAAACCCGCCAAATTGATGCGTGATCAGTAATGGTTAATGAAACTCTCTTAAACACGCTTAATGCGAGAAACCTGGCCTAAAACGGTTCCTCATGCGGCACGGAATACGGTAGTTTATATTTAGCGGATGCCCAGGCATAACACATGTCTGCTTTGGTTTGGTTTGCTCTGTAGTAGGTGGAATGAAAACATTTCTGAAATCCGGCATTCAATGCGGCAATCTTTTTTGCCGAACAATGCCTTTATAACACAATCATTAATTGCTGTCTGATAATGGATCACGATCCGATAAGAAGCGCAGTTTTTTGAACCATCACAATATCCTGAGCACGGTTCTGACGGTAGCAATCAAGCGAAGGCACCAACCCGCGAAGAAACAAATGAAGATGTCGCGGGGGATCGATCACCCGCGACGGCGAGGAATACATGAACCAAGAAGCAGAAATGGGCCAACGAATTGCTGGAAATATTGTCGCAACAGCATAAGCAGTAACAGGATCAAATGAAATTTTAGTGCGAGATCATGAGAAGGCCGACAGATAAGACCAGCGAAACGTAGCAACATGCACAGGAACCAAGAGAACGAGCCGCAATGCAATTCAGGCTCAGCAGATTGGTTTAATGCAGTAACCATCAACTGTTCCCATCATCTTTGGAAAGGAAAAAAGGTGCCAACATCATTAACCATTCACAGCATAATAATCCATGCATGAAAAGCTGCACTCCTATATTGTTCAGCAGCAATGTTCATGAATAACTGACTTTCCGATTTCTACAGTAGCATATGCTTTTTTTTTTTTTTTTTTTTGATAGTTCGACAAAATATGAGATTTAGTATTTTCAGAGGAAAAAAGGTACATAATCGAAATATACTAAAAAAGACGGAGCAAGTAGATGTGAAGATAATCATAACACAGCCCAAAGAACCATAGGCCGAGACGTTGTTATAGCCATTTTTTTACTTGGCCTTGGCAAGACCGACTCTGTTATTACCAAGATCGTAGACGCTGTAGAACTTGCGAAGGAATACATCGCCAACTAGAAAATATTGATGATGATAAGATGATTATATAAGTATGGTGTGAAAATAAATCCATGAAAGTGTCTGAATCACTTACCAATCCAAAGAGGTCCAGCAGGTTCAGGGATATCCATACTATCATGCAACAAATTAGCAAAAATGCATCTTGTTACCTTGGGGATATTCCAACTTACCCCATGAAACCAGAAATACATTGTTTCTGGACTTCGAGAACATAGTCTTTGCCTTCCAAGCAGAAATCTTTGCCGTTAAAGACAAAACAGAATTCGGGGAGGTTGGGCACCTTGTCACAATCAAGCACGTATTGACCAGCCCAGTTCTTTTCAGCGCCCAATTCTTTGTTGATCAAATCGGCCACAGTGGTAGGAGCGACCAGAAGGGAAGATCCAGTGTCGATTGCCGCGCCAACAGGATCGAGATCGATGTAGTCACCACCAAACTTGATGTCCTCAAGCTGAATTTCCCAGTAACCCTTACGCTTGATAGGAGACCAAGTAATTTCACCCTCGTAATGCGAATCGTCAATACCACCGAACACGAGCTCGCCACCGTTCTCTTCACCACCCTTGGCCACATCGTTTAACCAGAAAGAGAACAAGGGCTCATCAACCAAATCGCGATTCACCATGTGGTAGAAGGGAGGAACCACTTGCTTCACAGAGATAGTGTCGTAACCAAGACCCATGATACCGTCGAAACGAGCCAAAGCAAAAGTGAAGCCGGGCTCCTTCACGGATTCGGCAAAACCTTGACCGTCGATTTTCACACCACCGACACGCAAGGTATCCTGATTTCCCAAAATGGCAACATTAATATCATTCGTCCGTACTTTGAAAAGCATGAACTAGACCGCGCATTCGGTTATTTCCCTCCCGCCCTTACCTCGCTGATAAAGCCTTCCAAAGCACCAGTACCGTACTGAATAGCAAATTCGGTACCATTTTCTTTGAAAGTCTGGGACTGACCACTATCGTAGCGACGGTGCATGAAGCATGCAATAGAAGAACAGTGAGTTGAAGGCACCCATAAGTTGGAGGAACCGGTATCAAAGACGACAGTAAAAGTCTGAGGAGGGGTACCAAGTTCAATTTCACCATAATACTAGTCGAGAAAAAAGGGAAAGAGGAGCTAAGCACAGATGATGGCGAATAAATGGCCCGAGACAATCGTGTCACTTACTTGCGCATTCATGTAGTTGGAAATGGGCACACCATGTTCGACGCTGCCGTCGGCGCCCACTTGGAAAGGCATGACCGAGCTCGACTGGGTGCGTTGGGCACCAAAATACTTTTGGGTCAAGTATTCACCGGTGTGCGCATAACGCTGAAGCTTTTCGGCGGGCGATTCGTTGGTCTTTTTGATAGGTACTCTGGAAATTGACGAAGGGTCAATGAGAAAGTGTTCCAAGACACTCATGGAATATGTGCATTAAGAGCCTACCTCATAAGCGCAGCATCCGAGACAGCTGCATAGAGCGCGACGGCGAGAGTGGATAAAGCAAAGATTTTCATGAGGATTACTGCTTTTCGTAAACACTGCTGAAACGAAAAAGAATAGAAAAGGAAAAAGAAAAACTGCACACGTTTTCTTCTTCGGAAGGACGGAGTTTTATTAGTGATGTCATTGACCAGTCGTGCTGGCCAACATGCGATGATGAAAAAAGATAACAGAAAGGGTGTCGAGACTAACCAATAGAAGCCCCATCGATAATAGGTTAGTCCCTTCTATTCATTGACATACCTCGAGAAAAACACAGTAAAATCCTTGTGGACGCAGGGTCATGGGACACTACCAAACTTTTTCTGACAGTAAAAAAGAAATCACACTCGGGACACATGTAAAGAATTCTCTTTTTCACTCATTTTATCAATCCAAATTTCATCGTCAATCAAAGGTTGTCATATGCTTATTTATGTTTACAGGATAATAGGCCTTTGAGTGGTTGTAGCACCTTTAGCATAGGACTGTCTGTCAGAATAATGAGGCAAGTGTCCCTTTGAGGCATTATCTCTCCGAATTATTTCTCCGAGCAGATTCCCATGCAGATTCCCAAGGCACAGCTGCATACATGATTTGATTCAATACAAACACCCAGACGTAACTTTATATATTTTTGAAATTGAGACGTCTACAACTTGATTGTCAGTCACTGAATTTGTAAACTTTGGGGCGATTTGCAATATTTGTCCTCGATTTAGATTAGCATTTGATCGAAAGTGTCAAAGCATAAATTCGTTTAAAGAGCGTACACAGCAAAAGTGTGTGTGATACTTTAGCAATTGGGTCACGGTAGAATAAAAAGTGCAGAAAAGGGACACAGTTGTCAAGGATGCAGTTTTACTGCAATAAAATTTCGAAAAGCTGTTAATTGTCTAATGCGTCATCGACATGCGGTTCCTGCCTGTGAAATTGGGTCGATATTGGCACTGCTACGTTTCAGAAAGGGTTTGTCCACGACCACATCGACCGTTAACTTGAGGCGGTATGGGCTTCTTTATCACTAGGCGATTGTCTCTTAGAAGCTAAACGATAATATTAATTAATTCGCAGCTTGGTAACTAGTTGTCTGCAGGATGATACCTGTCTATTTCATATAGCGCGCTCTCCATGGCTGAACGATCAATGAATTCAAAACAATTTCTGATATCATTTTCTGTTATTATCATGGTAGACAATCCGCCGATATAGAGTGTAAACGGATTTTTTGGGCTCTATGCACAGCATACTCAGAGTTAAAAATCGACCCTACACATGTCCGCTCAGTCGCAAGTCTGTACATTTTGTCTCCGGAATTGTTTCTCTTCTCTCCAAAGGACATCATGATTGGCTGCCCTAGTGACAGCAGCGTGCTTCTGTGGATTAGGCCACTGACTCGGGTGCGGCGATCGGATGTGTTCATTGCTGGCTGACAAGTGGCGGCAGCGATGGGCAGAATAGGTGAGATGCTAGTTTGTTTCCAATAAGACCAATGAAAGCCACGCGATTTCATTTCCGAGCTGATGATACCATTACGGATATCGGATACAAGAGGTCCAAACAGGGACGTTAAAATTCGACATATTTTTGGACGCCTGCTCAACCTGTTCGATCAGACAAGTCTGATTATCGATCCCGGAGTTTCGGCCACCATCCGAAGTCGATCAACAACACCTAACGCATTTTGTAAGATAATGTTTGGCGTTCACTATGCGCAGACAAAAAAAGTCGTATCATATATCAGTCAATCTCTTTTACTGCTTGTTCGCGGCATTCTTTTTCTTTCGTTTCGTCTTTCCACAACTACTGCTATCTGTGCCTGTCCTATTTTACCTCGAGCGTCTGCCGTGCATAAAATTCGTGTGCCTTGTAGTGTACCATACAGGTGTTTGGCGGACTGAGGGAGCTATTTAAGGCCGACCTTGGCCGACTCTCATTGACACTCAGGGTTGCCACTACTCCATTCAATGTCAGTAGACAGAATGGAAAACATAAACCAGTAAGTTCCAAAACTTCACCTTGATGCTCGAGAGGTCTCATTTTGGTTGTCATTACGAGAAGCTTTTCCCGTACAACAGTGAAAAGGTCGGAGAGACACGATAATGGACGGTGCAGCATTTTAAATTTGATTGGTGGACAGTTTCCTCACATGGTTCATCTTTGCTCAAGCATGAATGAACCAACCCAACATGAAAAAAGAGAGAATCGTGTATGCTAAGAGAGAAACAGCAAAGTAGTGTATTTATTTTATATTTGTATTCAACCATTGCTGCCGATGATCAGAAAGCAGGAAAAGAGTCGGGTTTAAACAAATAAGGATGCTTAGAACTTCATGTTGTGGGGGAACTGACCCTTGCTCAAACCGAACGAGGTGCTCAAGTATTGACGGAGGAAAGGAGTCTTGATGACAGCATCAATGATAGCCTTGTCAACGTTCTTCTGGTCAGCGACCTTGGATTCAGGAAGAGCTTCCTTCTTCTATTATCATTTAGAAACACAAACCCGAGTCAGTCATCTCAGTCACATTTTATGCAAACCAGCATCCATCATAACAGCAGCCTTTACCTTGTCACCCTCGAGGAATTCCTTGTTGGCCTTCTTCTCGGACTTCTTGAAGTAAGCATCGTTGAACTTGTCATCGATCTAATTTTCAAACATAAAAAAAAGTTAACATAAGCATGCCGAGGTGAACTCCACTGTGCTGAATTGTACCTTGACACCAGAAATGTCAATCTTGGTGGAGGTGGCAATGACATAAGCTTGGTTGACACGTCTCAAGGGGACACCGTTGACCTTGAAGGGACCGGTGACAAGCAACAGACCGCTGTCGAGTTGCTTCAAGACGACAACACGCTTACCACGGTGACGACCGGCCAACAAAATGACAACAGCACCGGGGGTGATGGTGGAGCGAAGAGGAACAGCCTTGGAGGACTTGCGAGAGACCTTGGGCTGGGGAACATCCTCAGCGGGGTAGAAACGAGGAGCCTTCTGAGCGGGAACAGTGCGCTTACCACCGTTCTTGGCACCCTTGACTTCGACAGTCTTTTCGGCAGCAGTCTCCTTGGTAGGAGCAGCAACGGCCTTCTTCTGACGCTTGTGCAAAGCCTTCTTGGCGTAGACGGAAGAACGGCTGTAACGGCTAACGCCAGGAGCGAGGAAGCTGTTTCTGGGTGCGTGCGGCATTATATCTAGAAGAGAGGACACCAAAATTAAACCAATGTTCCTTTCCAAATGTCAAGGTCTTTTAGCCAGCCACGTTTTCTGCCCATGTCTCGTCGTATTATTGCTGTAATCAATCTTTGCGATGCGTAAAATGCTGGAAGCGTCGCGAATTCAATTGATGAGGCTCGTCTCTATTGGCGCCATGGGAATGTATGGTCACATGTGAGGTTCGTTGAACATGCTGGATCTCGACAAATGCGCATACATATTCAGGCCGTTGGTCTATCCACGATTAGAGTCGTTCATCCATCTATCTAGATCGCTTGCCGTTCGATACACTTCAATAAAGCAGAATCCATAATAACGTGGTAAATGCATCCATCAAAATAGATATGGATTGAGTCGGATGGTTTGGAGGGTCATCCATGATGCGTTGGCCGTCAAGAGATCGTCGATTCGCAGGTCATCCGTCGAGCCGCCCTTCTTTTGCATCCAAAGATCCTCTCTCGTCATCCATCGACATGGGCATACATCGTGCTGGCCATACTATATTTACCTTTGACTAATGTCGGGAAAGAGGGAGCACTTGGATGTGGCAGATGAAGGCCTTTCCTCATCCGCTCCAACAGCCACAAATTAGGAAAGTCACGTGAACACGCAAAAGTCCGATCCGGAATCCTCGCCCCGACACCCCCAGTTGGTGCCCGTCAGCCTACAAAGGGTTTCCCAGATATGGATAAAAAAGCATTGAAAGCGGCGCCTCCGGTTCTTTCCTTTCTCCTGGTTAACGTGAAAATAATATTTATGTAACAGGGACAGTTGTCTACAAAGGAATCCTATGTACAAAAATAAGGGTGGTATGGCCATAGTTGGAACGTCGGATAAAATAGAAAATTTAAAGAAAAGACCATGTTTTTAGCGACACCTGATGTTCCTCTTGGATAAGAGCGACGATTTTCTCTTGATCAAAATGAAGCCAGTTGATATCCAAGGGCGGTAATTCCTTCATCCTCCGCTGATCCGGATAATGGGCCAGACCGACGAGATAGTCGCTTCCACTGTAACGTCGCCTTGATGCCATCGGTGTATCGTGTGTCCCGTTTTTAGGACGGTCAAGACTTGACAGGTTCCAAATTTTCAAACCGGAGCGATCCCCGCTGACGAGCTTGCCTGCAGCTGCGTTCAATGCTAGCGCCGCCACTTTACATGTGTGACCATACAGTGTACGAACGTAAACGATGTCCAGTCGCTCGGGGGTGGAAACAAGCCGGTACTGCTTGATCGTATTATTGGCATGCGCGGTTGTCAGAAAGGGCTCCGAATATGCGAGGTCGGTCATCGGTTGAAGAAAATCCGACACTTGCCGACCTTGTTCAGGAACGGCGAAAAACACACGATCCTGATTGAGAGCCGAGCAATGACGCGACAAAAGGATGGCTTGTTGTGAAAAGATAATTTCCTGTAAAAAATGAAGCACGTGAGTGCCAATTCCGATGGTAGGTAGTCTTCACTCGTTTCATATGACGGTAACTTACCTGAGCTCCAATGGAATATGAACTCACGCCAACGGCCATGCCAAATGCTATGGTGGCTTTCCATACGCGATCACGAGTACCATTCCTGGTGACGATAGAGGGATAAGGACATAATTGGATGATGATGGGACGCCAGCGTATAGGACTTTGCAGCTGATGGACAAAATGCAAAGTTGGTATGGGTGTTTCTTCAATCAAAAAGGCCAAAAGTTTCATATTTTTGGTGCATATGACGATCATCGGGTAAGATAAAGCGATAGCTTCCACACTTTGATCGGTGCGGTGAGATTTGGAGGAGAGCGGGCGATATTCTACGACTTCCTCGGCTTTCAATGACGGACTGGTCACATCCAGCTTCCATATTGAGAATCCACCATTCTCCAGTCCAACCACAAGACAGGTCTGGCCGGTCGGACTTCCTTTGGATTCCAGCCTGATACAACTTATGCGCGAAGTGGTCTCCAAAAGCAAATCACCACAAAATTTTGGTACCCTGTCCCCGTCAGTAAAGCGCCACACCTTGACAAACGAATGATTGGTATCAGCAATACAAAGCATATTCTCGTCAAATTGCACTCGTTGTCGTTGTCGGCTCCGCTCACTCGTAGCCAAAGTAGCACGATCAAAGACCTTGAAACTACTGATCTGACAATTGCCTACATATAAGATATCAGCAAGATCCGTTCAGTGAACATTGAGCCGTGTCAACCCTTGACATATTGCGTACCGGACTGCCAGTTGTGGTTGATCTTGTACTTTAACTTCCAGTTAATATTCTTTCTTTTGATTATTTTCTCTTGAGGAAAGTCGGTGAATCGGCAGTAAAACAAAGGTTTCCACAGCTATGTAAAGTGTTAATAGAATTGGCCAGATAGCGGCCGCAATGGCAACTTACCATGGCATCGTTGGCCAGCCGAGACCAATATGAGTTGACTAGCTGACACCGAATGAGATCGGCTGCTGATAAATAGCTAAAAATATGGAGCAAGAGTTCCTCTGACAGCAACGACGAACTAAAATCGATCAATTTGGCGGAACGGTATAAGCATCGCTGCCGCTTCTTTGGCGGCGATTTCATCATGAGCTCGAATCGTCCTATCTCAAGGAGAGGCGCACACAGAAAGTGTGTGGTTTCACTATGGTGCAGGCGGGGTTTGAACCAACAACGAACCAACGAAATCCGCCTTGACTTGTAAGTGTGTCTCCTCTGTGAAAAAAAAAAAAAAAAAAATATGAAACATGGCATTGATCTGCCAAAACAAAGTGGAAAAGAACGGACGGAGCGCGCCGTTGCCCTTTTTATTACCATACAAAGGTGCTTCTTTTCTACGCTGAAAGACTTGACACGCGTGAATAACGAAATAGGTGTTATGACGTACTTTTGCGATTGGCCATCGAGCTCATATTAGCGTGGCTCGCGTGTGAATCTTTTCTTATTGACTGACCAATGTCGACAACATGGACAGAAAGGGGGAGGACAGAGGAATCAAGTGGTTGTGGTGCATTGTCGATGAATGAAGCATGATAATGGTATCTCTGTGACACATTGCCTGCTACGATTGCATTATCCATTTTTCGAAATACAACATTTGAATTTCCCTTTTCGCAACACATGTTGGATATTAAGGGCATTTGCAACCTTATAATTTTCTGGGAGACGCCGCCCATCTTGCAGTTCTTCCAATGCAATTGATATGGAAAGAAATCCATCCATCGGTCTAACTCGTGAAATTCCCAATGCCAATGGTGACATTTGATTTTATTATGTCCATATTTTTGTCTATTTATCCTACATTACCGAACCATTGATGCATTTTTTACAAGGAAAACCTGGATTTTCTGTAAATCAGATTAAAATTGATATGGGACGTCAAGGGTGCACCATGACTGAACTGGGACTAAATCAGAAAATTTGGAGTGATGCTTAAAATAGACCGAGATTCTGGAGGAAAACTTTTGTTTCTACTTTATCAATCTTCATCCTTCTTGACCATCCATGTTTTCCCCCACTGGATGAGGTGAGCAAATCGTAACACAAATGTATAACAGTCACACCCCAGACGGGTCACCAGTCCGACCTATTTTTAAAGATAGTGGACATCCGAACTGCAAAGGTGGAGTTGGAATTAAAAGCATAACCTTTTTTCTCCATCACGGACATGTTTGTGGTGGTTGGGTGATTGCAATTGGGGAATTTCGCTGAAGAGCATGGTTTTTTTTTTGACGTAATGTAATGCCTTTCCTCTTAGTGGCGATGTGTAACATCTTGGCTGCCATTCTTAATCGTGTTTCCCGAAGCACTGGCCAATCATGTTACACGTGGTCGAAATTTTTGCGCAACCTTCTGAGAAATCTGTTTTTCTTTTTTCCATCAGAGAAATGAAAAAAAAAAATTCAACTTGATGCCTTGCCATGCACTCAATTCCCTATTTTCCGAGAAAGAAGGGATCGAAACAGCTAATGCAGAATAGAATGCAGTGTGCATAAACTCGAGGATTACTGAGAATCTCTCACAGGAGAAAGAATAAAGGTTCTTCCTTTCTAATCATGAATGGAAAAAAAGAAGAACGAAATATAAAACAGAAAAAGGAAAACAAGGTTGTCCACCTCAGTGTGAGTTGAATCACAGCCATTAGGCGGGTCTGGTTTTTTTTGAATCCTTGTTGCACACAGTCTAATCTCCCTGTCTCAACCCACCAGATATAAAAACAATGCTGGAGGATCTTTTATCCCTTTTTCACCTCTCTTTTTTTATTATTATTATTATTTGCCTTTTCCTTTAGCTTCGATTGACTTGCAACATCATGAAAGTCACTTTCCTTGCTATTCTTACCTTCTTCGTTGCGTTGATCGCGGCCCAAAAAGAAGCTTTCTATGTCACTTCTCCCTTGAAGGGCAGCAAATTCAAGCCTGGTGATGTGTATGTACTCAAAGCGTTGGCGTGACAATAAAATGAAACTAACCATATTCTCTTTGTCGATTTTTCTCGATTTCTCCAATTACCTTATTTTATTCGATGGCAAATTTCTCACAGCATTCATATCAGTAAGTTGAACCGCCATTGATGGTTACCCCGCTTTTAGGATACTTATTGTTTGCTGCTTGATTTACTTCGATAGACTGGCTCAATGGTATTGATGAGGAGGTCAAGGTCGTCTTGATTGGAGGCACCAGCCCTGATCGTATGCAGCCTGTCGGTCATACTTTCAATGTTAATGGTTCGGATGGCTACAAGGACTGGGAGGTAGGTCAACAGATTGGAAATCATTGTTTTCCTGAATTTCTCGCGCGTGGGGCATACCCATTGCTGGCAACATTGTGTGACCCGATATGTCTGACACATGGATTCTTTTCATTTCCCACAGGTTCCGAAAGACCTTCAACCCAATGTGAACTACGCTTTCCAATTCCAATACAAGGCTCAGAACGGTTCGACGTATGTTGGCTTCTCAAATTCGGATTTTCTGGATTCCGAATTTGTTTGTGCATTTGCATGGTTCCGATGAACTAAATTTGATTTGGCTTTAATATTCTCTAGTGAATTCGCTTATTCCGATCCTTTCACTTTGGAAGGCAGTGCCAGTGGCTCGGCTTCGTCCAACAGCGCCTCGTCTACTTCGTCGCGTATCACCGCTGCTACCACTGATGGCGCCGTTGCTACGGGTAGCTCGTCTGTATCCAGTGTTGCTCCATCGTCCGTTGCTTCGTCATCTGTTGCTCCTTCTTCTGCCGCGTCTCCTGCCGCGTCTTCCCCTGCTTCTTCAGGCCCTGCTTCTCCCTCGGTCGAACCCACTACCTCGGCTAGTTTGACACCTGAACCAGAGAAGGACGGCAATGCAGCTGCCGGTCTCCGATGGACCGCTGTTGCCATCTGTGCTCCTGCCATCTTGGCTGCCGTCTTCCTTTCCTAAGCAGTCCGCTCTTTATCTTTTGATTTAAAAAAGGGAGAATTTATAATGTAATAATTCCTAATGGCTCTCTTATTCTTAGTTATAGAAAAGAAAGAACTATAAAATAATATTAAAGGAAACATGTTGTTTCTATCGTGTTCCTTTTTATTTGCTGGAAAGACATTAAATATTCAATGAGGAATGTACAGAAAAAGAGAACATGACTTAGAGAGGCAAACATAGCTTAAACAGAGACATGATTACAAAGAGCATGGTTTAAAAGGGAACGTGCTTAAAAAGAAAAGAGGTTGTTTTTAGAGTAGGCCATCATTGCGGAATAGCATCATGTATTGGTATCCTGTGTGGGCTGTAGTAAATTCATGATTACTTAGACCCACCGCTTCATAGTTGTATTCGTATTCACATGACAGTTGGGCTGAAGGTGGTACAACCGATTCCACGAATTCTCGTAGAAGGTCGCTCACTGTGTTGGGGGCCGAACATGGATGATAATTCAGCTGTAAAGTACCGTACACCACAGTAAAAGATATGGACAACAGATTCAGTCACTATCTATCGAAATCAAATTAACCGACTAATATCCCTTACCTCCAACAACAACCCTTTGTATGTTGAGCCAAGCAAAATGTTGGCGACTCGTAAAGTAAAGTCCCCAATCTCGAAACTTGTGCCCTAAGAAAACATTAATGCGTCAGGGATTCTGGGCTTGATAATCAAATAGGCTATACACACTTCAATCGTCACATTCTGTCTTAACTGCCACAGGTTTTTAAGACGAGACAGGACCACTTCCATTTCCTTTTCAGCTTCCACAACGACACTCCCGTCAACCATACAATAAACCTGGCCGGACTGTTGCCCTAGTGATACTTGGCATAGTAGTTTACTATCTTTCAATGCGAGCTGTCGAGTATTTTGACTGGCATCGCGGTACACCTTGAATGACAGTGACCACGGTCCGGTGTTCTTGCCTTGCAGCGATTTCGTCACATGCTCCGCTATATACGTAAAGTCGCGCATGCCCGTGGCATTTTTCCATCGCACCAGACTGAAAGTAGCCGAAGGCAAAAGCAATTCAGTAATAGGACAGAAAATAGAATGAATAAAAAGTGATCATTTACCATGTGACACCCATGACTTTCCGCTGGCTTGGACCTGGTTATGTGAATCGTTGTAGAGTGAATTCACCCATTTCCAGCAGCAGCTCCAATTGAGTTAGTGGCTTAGTCGCTGCTGCAATTTAAAGTGCAACGACATGATTTTGCATATCCATTTATTTTGGACTCTTGACCCGATCCGACAATGGGAAATCTTTTTTCAAAATCGACCCCGCAGGTGCCAGAGCCAACATCAGGAAAGAGAAGATTTGACCCTGATGAAGACGGTGTTACGAAGCGTCCACGTTTAGCAGACGACGATGAAGCTCTCGTGACAGAAGACATGGTGGGCATCGCCATGTATGTCCGTCCGGAATTGCCTGGATTCCACTGTATTATCAAATACAGGTATGAGAAAAATGCGGACGATGTCTCTTATGGCGGAAGAATAGCTAATACTAATGTAATTTATTGGGATCCAAAAATATGGATGATGGAATTTTTTATTTTATTTTTTATCTCAGAGCCGAAGATTTTTTGGTCAACGAAGTGGATTTAAGCGGTCAAGTTGCGCATTTGACGTCTTTTGAGTTACCGACTATCAAGGTACAGCGATCCTTGTGTGACAAAAAGAACATACTTCGATGTACTTATTAATTTTTTCCCTCTAATACCAGACTTCCACTGAAGGAATCCTTACTGCGCCTGAACTTGACAAACGCGTCCAAGAAGTGCTTGGCGAAGACTTTTCCAAACAGTTCCGTCACTTTTTAGACAATCCAGACAATACCGAAAATACCATTTCGATCCAGGTAACCCTCTTTTTCATGCGGTTCATTTTATTGGCCATCCTTTCCCATTAACTGTAAACTTGCTCCAACAGACCACCCAAGAATCCCGTTATAAATTTTATCGTATCATTGAAAATCACCTCGACACAAAACTGGCCCTCGTATCAAGAGATGGCCTACTGAAGGTGTCTTGGCCGACATCCGACACTGAAAGTGAGAATAATGATTATCATTTTTGATTTAATCCCATTAATGCTTTGCCACTTATTTCACAGCGCGCCCTCCTTTCATTGACTACAACGAACTTGGAGGCGAGTATTTGCAATTCAACGTTTATAAAGCAGGCGTGGATACCATGGGCGTCGTCAACTTGATTTCCGGTTATTCAAAGTACGGTTCAGGAAAGGCCTTATCATGGAAAAAAATGACTCAATCGAGATCTCCACTTAGGATTCCCATTAAAAACTTTGGTTACGCTGGAAATAAGGATTCACGCGCTATTACCGTACAAGCTATGACTTTGCGCAGAGGACGCCCTGAAAAACTTGCCAGTATCCGCGAAGATCTTGAGAAGCGTGACATTTACATTGGCAATTATTCTTTTGTGCCTCAAGGTTTGACTCTGGGAGACTTGAGCGGCAATCGTTTTACAATTGTTTTACGGTAAAAAGTGGCAGGACGAACATTTTGGACGACCATTGGAATCTCATCTGGTTTTCACTATTGAATAGCGACGTGACGGGATCCTCGGAAGCAACCATAAGTGAATCACTTGAATCCTTGAGAAAAACAGGCTTCATCAATTATTTTGGCATGCAACGATTCGGATCCAGTGCTATCATGACGCATGAAATTGGACGAGAAGTAATGAAGAAGAACTTTGAAGCTGCAACGGATCTGATTCTGAAGCCAAGAGCAGGAGGTAAAACAAAAAATATTCTTTAGACAGTACTGCTCATGGTAATTTTGAAAACTAATAATTTTTTCATTGCTTTCTATGCCGCTTACAAAATGACAGAAAAACTTGAATTCGCTAAAGCCCGGCAAGTATGGTACGAAACTCGAGATGCCACCGCTGCGTTGGCTTTGTTTCCCAAGCGTGCTCGTGCCGAGAGAACCATTATTGGAACTTATATTCAATCACCAGGCGATCACAAGCGAGCCATTGGGGCTGTAAGGATTTCTCAGTTTTTCCATTTTATTTTTTATTTTATGTCATATTTTTATTTTATTTGTCAAACAGAAACACAAATCATGCTGATCGAATGGATTCTCATTTACATTATTGATTCTAGTTGCCAAGGAATTTGCGAACATTGTATTGTCATGCCTATCAATCATATATCTGGAATCGGGTTGTGTCTGAACGTATCAAGCGTTTTGGTTACGATAAACCCTTGGCGGGAGATTTGGTATTAGTCGATGCTTCGGATGACGACACTGTGAAAACTCGCAAGCAAACTGCCAAACAACAAAACGCAGGACGTAGAGATCCCAACGCTGTAAGTAAACGATCTTCATTACCCCTCACCTTTGCCTTTTCTTTATTTTTGAATTTTTGGCATCACTCATACCCTTATTTTTATTTTTTTTTTGTAGCGAAAAATGCCCAAGATATTAAAGGAATCAGAACTCGAGGATTATACCATAGATGATGTCGTTTATCCTTTGCCTGGATCCAAGACCAAGTATCCAAAGAATGAGATGGGTCAATTTTACAAGGAATTATTAGGTATGTACAATGACTAGCACCATCCCTCGTCTCAATTTTTATTGAATATCGAAATAATGTTGAATTTTTTTTGTGGATTTTTTTTTTTTGGGAACAACAGCGCAGGATGACATGCAAACCGGCCACTTCCAAAATCTGCCGGGCGATTACAGATACATGATGGCAAAGGCAAAAGATCTCACTTGGTAAGTTTCTTTGAACATGGACAATAGCTGGGATTCTCCATTCACTTGGGAATATCGTACGTGTATTCAGGTCATTTGTCCGTTACGACGATCCAATGGCCAAGCTCTGTAACACGGACATTGACATATTGAAATCTGAAGCTCAGCCGAGTGCTGCAACTGGTACGATAATTTTTCTTTCCCTTTCCATTTTGTTCCAATTTGCGTCCCCATATCTCATCTCATCTCTTTTTTCCTTTCTTGTCCAGGTAAACACCTGGCTCTTCGATTAGAATTCACCTTGGGAACCAGTCAATACGCCACCATGCTCTTGCGTGAAATTATGAAGGGCGATACATCGTCGCAGAGTCAATCACGATTGTTGCATGCATAAACGTTGCCCCTGCGCTTAGCACGCTGAGAATAAAATTTATCGAGCTATAGACGTTTTGATTTCTGTTTTTGGGCCCATTTTTGTGCTCCTAAGTGATATCTGGTGGTACCTTGTGCTACATCATGCAGTGTATATGGGCATCTACTTTGAGTAACCTCCCCACTCAAAAATAACGCTCCGTATGCAATTATACGCTCTAGAAGAAACACAAGAAAAAGAAAAAACAAAGAGTCAGAAATGTCACAAAATGGAACCAACACCATCATTTATCCACCAGAAACATGCATTATTTCATTTTTTTTATCATTTGAAACCGAGATTCAACATTTCGCCTAAAAAAAGGGGTTAAAAATAAAAAATAAAAAAGCGACCGACTAGAAAAAAAATTTATGTGGATGGGTAAAACGATTGTCCATGATAGACGTAGTGAAACACAAAGGAAATCTTTGAAGGTTTGGAAGCAATAATAGCGAAACCTGGGGTAAAGATAAGTGTATAAGTCCATATCCGTGCAGATAGTGTAAACTATACAGGCCGTGCAAACGTGGATATAGAGAAGAATAAGGTTATGGCGCCACTTGTGCATGGTTCACACATAGACTACGGTGTGGAGTATATCTCTAAAGGAAGGTGTATAATTGGGATTGGACCGAGGTACATCACGCCATTAAAAAATTGACTTTTTTGCCCATTGTCAATTTTCAAAAATGAAAGAGTTTATTTTCAGGCGTGGGGCATGGTTTTACATTTCTCACGAGAACCCGATATACCCTGGCCGTGTGACCAATCGGGGGTTGGATATACCATAAACGTGTCTGAGATGTCTGGATATACCAGTATAATGACTCAAACCCCGCATTTCACTCGAGTTCCGCCATTCTCAACAACTCCGCATAATGATACTGTCCAAATCGCCACCGTCCAAGATCATATAAATAGGGCCGGTTCTTGCCACCCATCCATTTTTTCATCATCGCTTTCTTCTCTTCAAAGCTCAAACAATCTCAACAATGGCCAACACTCAAGTTTACCTCAAGGATGCCCGCTACGGCAAGGACCTCGTCCGCTTCATGCGTGTCTACCGCAACGGTCCCCAGCAAGTCTGCTCTGAGCTCACCGTAAGTCTCCTTTGACATCTTATATGCGCATCTGAACTCCTTTTTTTAACTTCTTTGTTCTTAGGTGAGATTGTTGTTGGAAGGTGACATCGAAACCTCCTACACCAAGGCTGACAACTCCGTTGTCGTCCCCACCGATACCTGCAAGAACACCGTCAACGTCTTGGGCAAGCGAAGCAAGAACTGCGAAAACATCGAAGTCTTCGGTCAGGAAATCACTGAACACATGTTGAAGATGTACGGTCACATCTCTGGTGTCATTGTCGAAATCCTCAAGCACAAGTGGACCCGCATGATCGTCGATGGCAAGCCCCACCCCCACTCCTTCGTCCGTGATGGTGAGGAACTCTCCACCACCCGTGTCTACCACCAGCGTGCCGGTAACAAGGTTACCATCACCTCTGGCTTGAAGAACTTGTTGGTCCTCAAGACCACCGGCTCTGCTTTCCACGGTTTCCACATGTGCGAGTACACCACCCTCCCCGAAGTCTGGGACCGTATCTTCTCCACTGCCATTGACTGCAAGTGGACCTTCGAATCCCACAACCCCTCCGTCTTGCGCCGTATCAACTACCAGGCCATCCACGAAGGTGTCAAGGAAATCACCATGGCCACTTTCGCCAACGACGACTCCGCCTCCGTCCAGGCCACTATGTACTTGATGCAACAGCAAATTTTGGGCCGGTTCCCAGAAGTTGCTGAAATCGAGTACACCTTGCCCAACAAGCACTACGTCCAAATCGACTTGAGCAAGTTCGGTATTGACAACTCTGGCAAGAACTTGGATCTCTACTACCCCCAGGCCGATCCCTCTGGTAAGTTTTCTATAACCCGGGATACTTTCTTTTTTCCTCCTCGGCGGGGATTAAGGAATCGGTGACTGAATAAGAAACAAATGACTAAATATCTTCTTAATCTGTAGGTCTCATCAACTGCACTGTCGCTCGCAAGCCCAACGCCAAGTTGTAAATTGCCCCTTTCCATCTCTTTGATATCCTCCGAGAATGATCTCTTACAGCACTAAATGACCGTTGATTCGGGACATAGATAGTTAGCTTGAACCTTTTCCCTGTGACATTTGCAATGATCATATAAAAGCGTTGTTTGAAAAAATTTATTCCGATTGGTCTTCAAAAATTTTGGGATTTCTTTTTTTGGGGGAAGTTTGGGGGGTTGTGATGCAATGGAATGAAAACGACTACTGATGCTGTATAGTTGAACCGAAGGAAAATCTATTGGAAATCTCTATTCGGCAGCAACTTACGAAACGGGGAAAATCGACTGGATGGATACAAGGGAAGGATGGAAATGGTAAAGTCGGCAAGGAAATGGAACTGGAAGAAAGTGTATGCCTCCAGGAACCAGCTGGGAAATGAAGGAGTCGGAAGAAGACAAGGAGCCGGTACTTGGTTGTCACAAGCGAAAAAGGGATTAGATGGCTTCCATGCAGTATCAGAAAGAATCATTTTCTTGGGGGGAGATGATAAAGGAAAGTGCAAGGATATTGATGAGTTGATGGTTTCCATCTACAAATCAACTGTTATCAGTTATCATTTAGGGTCGGATGGTGTCACAGATGTTGATAGACGATCTTTTGTACGCCTACATAAGAGAAACAGTGTGCCTCTTTTGGAACCCGATTCCCAGTGTCCTTTTTTTTTTTTTGGCTTTGCCCGCCGGTGTTCCGCCTTTCCAACTATCCATAAAAGGCAATTACGATGATGCACCGTTTCCTTGGTGAACAAACCGTCGGCGGTGGCCCTCCGATAAACGCAGCCCAAATGTTTCACTCTCCCACTTGTGGTGATTTTTAACGTCTGTGATGAGCAACGTGTTTCACTCATGCGTAGCATTCGTTCCTATGATATTACGCAAGGCCGGTTTCTGATGAAAGGAAAGAGCGCTCAAAGGAGAATGTTCCCACCCAGCAGGAATAACGTGTTGCCGTGATGATTTATCCAGCCGTGGTATACTATGCGATGATTTTGCCATGCCAATGTCATCAGTATCTGTACTCTTGAGGACTTATGCATAGAGTAGTTTCGATTCCTTGTGATATTCAACTGGTGGAGGGACTAAATTTAAAGCACTATTTTCAATTTGGTAAAATATCATGGTAAAGTTTAATTCCATGACCGTTGAAGCGGGTGGCAACCAACGCCCAGGTTATAGTCATATATTACTCTCACTGGATATATAAAAATCAAACAGTCGCTGGACTCATGGCTGTACCTTCATTTGCTGTAGTAGGTAGCATGTCTGTCCCCCTTTTTTTTACATCATATTCTCCATGTCACCTATGAGTCGGATCTTGGTAGACTGGTGATAGCTGGGTTAAAAACGATCTCCTTTTCACCGTCACAGCTTCGGCGTTGTGGGAGTTATGGTTGGAGTTCGAGACAGCGAAAACCCGATTGGTGACAGCTCGCTGGAGACGACTTACTGATATCATTTTTTACTTTGTCTTGTAGTATTTCAAGTGTAAAAAGATCCATCAATAAATAAAATTGATGACTTCACAAAAAAAGGTTGTTTCAAGTGTGAAATTTGTATCAAGAGGTTTAATCATTTGTGGTAATAAAACTTCATATATCATGTTGTAAGAAAACGTGCTGACAATGACGCTTAAAAACGCGCACTATCTCCTATGATTTGCAACGGCTGAATTGAGATCAGCTTCTGGTTCCATATTGCTCTCTGCAAAGTCTTGGCTTGCCTGTGAATGGAAATAATTAGAATATGCCCAACATGGACACGGACTCGATACGTAACGGTGACACCGCATACTGCACGTAGTTTTGCTTTCTCGGTCATGGATCACTTGAAATTCGAAGAGCGTTCAGAAATAAGAAAATTGCTTTTCACAATATATTGATCGCTACATCGCAGAAGTATAAAGAAGCAATGTTTGTCCGAACTAGAGTCCTTTGGCGCCGCGGTAGAACGATAGATGGCATGTAAAACGTTTCTTAAAACTGGATACAGTGGCAATGGTGCAAAGAGCATAGCTAATGTGAGTTATCATGAATTCTGATCATTTCCTGTCAGTCTTCAATTTTCTGCTCTTATTTCTGTTCTGGTTTTTTTTTTTTTTTTATTTCTTACCTTAAAAAAATTAACAAGTATATTACGGAAAGAACAGATGACAGATGTTCTAACTCTTGCCTCATATCATCGGCTGTAGTCATCTCGCATTCGTCGCTTTATTTATCCTCAGGCTGTACTTGAATGAGGAATGGCAATTTTTTCTATGATTCGAGTCCGTTCCTTACAGAATACCCTGTGTTTTTTCGTTGGAAAATTTTGATGTTAGGGCACTTGAGCCAATATCTCCGTTTCTTTCGTAAGTTTTCATATAGGCTAAAACGTGATGTTATGGTGGCACTTTTTCGTCGTCTCCCACAGTCGATCTCGTGATATGATCATCGTGCGGCAAATGCGATTACTGCTTTCAATGCAATTCCAATTCCCTAGATCCGCCACAGAGTTTCATAGAATAAATGACGAATCGTGTTGCGACAATAGTTCTGCCTAGAGCCAAATATCCATCACCCTCGTGCTGTGCATAAGAAAAATTGTTAATTGTGCAAAAAATCAATAAATTGGAAAATCGATAATCTCCATCACCATCCGCGCTATAATGAGTGTTTTCCCCGTCAACGGTGGATCATCACAATTATTTCGTGAGAAAGGAAAAGGAAAAAAAGCCATTACAGTAGCTTGGATAGTCGTCAGAGAAAATGGTGACCTTCCTTTCCCCCGTTTGGGTGTCTTTGAAATCCAGGGCAAAAAAAAAGTGTGCCACCATCATCGTCACATTTGGAAACGTGTTATCACTATTAGACCGAATGACTGTGGCAAGGAACCATAGTCATGTTAACTATCGTCTATTCTTTGGGATTCTACTCCTTTCTGTTGTAAAGCCAAAGTATGCTTTTTTTTTTCTTACTGCGGTTTTTGAATCACTGCTACTGCTTAATCTTAATAGGTGCAGACGCGCTTTTGACAACAGACAAAAATGAGTGGCTACATTCCCACAGTCGCATTCACACCATAACAAGGATGAGTTACTTTGCTTTAGCTCGCCTTGGTTTCTCCTTAATCATATGGGTCAGGTCGTTATCACAGCCCGTTGTGTATCATGTTCAACATGACTTTTGTTTTTTATTGGAGACGCAATATTACGCTCCCCTCTCAATTTTTTGATTTTCCTTTCCTAATCAATTTTGGAGATTTGGTCCTTTTTCTGTTGATTGCTGTATTAAACTGGTGGACGTTATTATTGGACCATCTTTGCCTCGCTTTCACAGCTACGGTTTTACTTTTATACACACGTATATACTTATATGAGTCACATAAAACATCGCCATTCGTTGCTCGCGACGACCACAGCGACAACCAGCTTAATGCATCATCAAAACCGCCCGACAGTAACCCATCCACCTACGTACAACGGCAGTGTTACCGACATGCCCCCAGTGGAACTTGTACCTACGAGCACGTTGGGCCCATTTACCATCACGCTCATTGTTCTTGTCGTGCTCGTCACTTGCGGTATTCTTCACTGCAGTCGTATGTGGCGGCAAGTGAATGATGTACGAAACAAAGAATTATTGAGCCGATTAAAACGGAAAGAAGAAGGGTCTACGGACCACGATGCGCCCAGTGAAAAGGATTGGTGTACATTAAGCGAGGAGGATTCTTGCATGTATCCTGCACGTACCATCAACCGCAGCCAGCATTCATCCACATTAACCCTATCAACCTACTCTGAACTTTCTTCCATCTCCACCGTCACGACACATCCCGACGATTTGCTTCGATTAAACAATTACTGGCTCTATCCTTATGTCCATGGATTAAGCAGAATGCCACCCTTTCCGGAACTACCTCCATCTATCTATCATCAGCGAAACCCATACTATCCATCCCCTCTGCATATTTATCCCATTCCTTCCATGCCACCTATTCATCGATGTTCCCAGACAGCCCAAAAACAACATCCAGCACGGTTACTGCACTACCATCCATATGAAAGAAACTCGCTAACATATCACCGTTGAAGCATGATCCTTGATTTTTGCATCCCACGCGTGCTACTGTCGATCCTCCTCGTTTTTTTTTTGTACATGTGTAAATAAATGATATCCCAAACCAATCATTCGATATTCACCGCGTTTCCCCCCGCACTCCAATGTATGATCATTCATCGGATGACTCCAGTCATGCAGAAAATTGGAGATAAAATACAATTCTAGGCCCTCATGTGCCATTTTGGAAGAATCTTTCAAGTGTAAACTATAAAAATCTAGCAGCATCTGCCATGTTAAACACTTCATAAAAGGGAAGGAGGATTTACTGTATTGTCGCAAGATATTTACAAATTTATCGCTGAATGGCTTGATTTCGTTTTTTTTTCTTTTTCTTTTAACTATCTGCGCTGGATGGATGCTGTCTTCTTGAATGGGAAAAACGATAAGAAAAAAGGAATGGCAAGAAAGGCAATAGACAAATCAGTAATTTTACTTGTCAAAGCTATCGCCAAAAATGGAATCGCTGGGATACGCTACTTCTGTATCGCCACCGGGTGAGAAAATATCCGCTCCTGTAAACGGGATGTCTCTGCTGTCACCGTCATCGCTTTCTTCGAGACGTATCGTGTCATTTGATTTTACAATACTGTTACTTCGTTCGTCATCATCAAACTGGATCAACGAGCTGTTATGCATGGCCGCCACATTGGGTCGAACAGGTTGAATGTACTCTAATCCATCCTGTCCATCGTACGCGGTTTCCAATCCTGGGGCACCACCCATACTAATCAGATACGCATCTTCAAATGAAAGCGACGTGTTGTTATGGGGCATGGATCGGTTCAATGCACTGCTCCCATTATAGTTGGATCCCACACTCGATGACAAGCGGGAAGCGCCAGCGGGACTGGCCGAAAATACCGTTTTGAACGTCGGCGATGGCGTGAAGGAGGTCTGCATGGCCTTGGAAATGTTATCTAGTTACAACAGGTCAGTAGAATTGAATTGGGGTATTTTTCATTTTTACACGTTACCTTCCAGTTCGGCCAAAGCATCTTCCAAGTTTTCGTCTTCCTGATTGGTGAGTCGCGTCGATGTTTTGCCTACACGATCAATGCGACGTGAATAAGGCTCAGGGATATCTTTTCTGACAGCTACCGTGTTGGTGCGTGGAATAATGCCATGCTTCTCCAACTTATTTAAATCCTCAGGATGGTATGTCTGGAAGCTGAATTGAGGATTGGTCCACAAAGCGGAATCATTCGGCACCACGCCATACGTCGTGATCTCAGCATTGGACAACCATTTTTTCGTGGGTCGCTCCGTGGAGGAAACGGGTTTGGATGGCTGGACTACACGTTTAGGAGCGGCCTTTTTCTTAAGGGCGAGCTGTTTCCTGGATTTTTTCGTTGTGGTCGCGGCCGTAATCGAACCATCGGATGGTGGAGTGACATCTTCGGATGTATCTGTGCTTTGATCCGAGTCTCCTTGAGTAGACAGAGACACAGAAGAGACGCTGGGTTTGGGTTGCAGAGGAATCTTGACTTCTTCCCAATCCTGACTACGTCGTACACGCCATTCCGCAATGTCTTCTTCTTTAATGGATAGTTCCAACTTCTCAATGTTCCTACCGTGCTCACGTTTCTTCACAATGGTTTTCGTCACCCAGCAACGGTGCAGCGTAAGAATACCACATGGATGGAATGAGTAAAGGTCTTGGTATCCTGTCTCGTCATTCACAATTTTGGCGGTATCATCTTCGACTGAAAATTCTTCTTCGTCAAATCCGAAAAGACGATTATCACTCGTTTTATCCTTGGCCGAGGTCCACGTCGGTGGTCGTGCTTGCTGTGGCAAATAAGACGCCAGCTGTGTACTAGCCACGGTCGTTCCAAAGTTGGATAGCATGGATCCAAAACTGGAAGCTTGGTTTTTAAAGGCAGTGGTGAGTGGTGCGGACGAGGTAGAATAACCTGTGGAAGAAGCGTGGGTTTTTGGCTGAGTTGGCACGTTGGCCAATTTAGAGAACGTGGTATTATTCAAAAGATAAGGAACTCGGGTGGCGGATAAAAAGGTAGCAATCAACTTTGGACGGGGTATATTGTGTTTGGCAGTTCGCGTAGTAGACGCGGAAGAGGAAGGCGTCGGTCCAACGAAATTTGGTCCGATGTAGGGTGTATTCGGATTTGTGTAAAGAGCATATTCATCGCATGCCAAAGGCGGTTCCATTGGCATAGCATGCCGTTGCTTGACACGCACCACGGAATTCTGAGTTGTCATCTATGGCGACATCATTTAAAATAGAGTGATCAGTTAATCTATGAAAATCGAACTTTTTTGTTTTGTTTTGTTCCTGTGGTACCTGGTTGGACTTTGGCTTGAGGAACGGATGATAGCCTAGATTGTTAACACGACCGTATACATGACCAATGATTTCAGGTTTGCCTCCGTATGGGTTGATGGCATACACATGGGTCGTTCCTCGCGCTGTACTCACCGCACACCACATGGAATCGACCGAAAATTGACAGTCTTCTACATGAGCATCGGTATATCCGCGCGAGAGATTGTACAGATGAGATACGTTTCCCAATTGATTTCCAGGAGGTAGAATGGTGAATACATGGAAATTGTGACCCTGTTTGGATGCTGACATCAATAAGGTACCAGCATTGTTGAATGCCAGACATGTCACAGGATGGATGTGTGGTCGAAAATGAGCAATCGTCGACGCAGAGAGATTCTTCAAGGGCGATGAAGGAAGTTTCAGGGTATCTCGGATCATGATCTAGATGCGACATGACTAATGAGCTCCATAAAATTATTTGAGTTTTTGAAATCGATTCTACTTACCATGCCTGCGGGAGGAAGTTTCCTACTGGCCAAGGGAGATGAGGCGTTGGAAGCCGGCTTTTCATAATATTCTGGTTTACTGTTGGAAGGGGAAGGGATGCTAGCGGAGTGTCGAGGCGAGACAGAGGTGCCAGAAATAAGAATGGGATCAGAACCTTGGGATTGAGAAAAGTAATTGGACAAGGATTTGTAGCCGTATTCACTCAAGGATTTCATGCCATTCATCATTTCTTTAGCAATGTCTTTGGCGGCCCCTTTGACGTCTTTTTCACCGCTCCAAACTCCCATGGCCCCACTGATGCCGCCCTGACTCAGCGATCCCATGACCGGGTCAGAATTCAGTACGACCGCATTAGTAGCATACGCAATAAATCGAGTCCCTAAAGTGAAGGTAGGTCCAGTGGTTGGGTCATGAAAGACATCAGTCAGAGGCGCGGCTTGCTGCGACAAATCGAATGCGGAGCGAATATGCAATGCAGATTGAGTGCGACCACTACATGCCTAACGAATGATTGGCGGTATTTTATCAGAAAGTTGGGGCGCCACGCTGGTCAAACAAAGAATAGGATGACTTACGATGACTACGGACCGCCTATTGCTGCTAATGCTTGTGATTGTGAGCTCTTTATTGTTCTTGTCCAAGTCATCGATTTCTTCAATGAGTTCCAAGGTTCGGAGTGAATAAATATACAATGTCGTGGATGAAACGGGGGATGAAACATCGCTTTGTGCGGTGTTATTGTCACCGTTGTTGGTAGTCGAGGGCTCTGTATTGGATTCACGGGTTGAACTAGTGGGGTGTGGAGTGAGAGGCAAAGACGTATGTTAACGCTCCTTGATTTCAACAAACTGTGTATCTGTGTGGATGCTACTTACACAATCGCCAATAAAGGTCTAGCGTCGGAAAATCGATCCACGGATTCTTCGCTCATCATATCCATATACGGATCGGTGAGAACATGCATATATGAAACCGCAGCAAACCGATCTTGATCTCGAATGGAGCACAGCTCGTGAATATTTTCGGGATTGGTGATATCCCACACCTGAAAACCACCCTGATAACCAAGCAAAAGGCAAGACCGTCTATAATTCAGCTTATATTTTTAGTCAATCCCGCCCTTGCTCCGCTCGTTTTTGTCAGGTCCAAAAGTTGCTTTCCCTTACCTCGTGACAGATGAACCACCGTCATTTGCTTGCTTTGGTAATTCGATCTTTTGAAAGGATGCAAACGTCAATGACTCCATGCCTTCAACGTCTTCTTCACTTTCTCCAGCTTTGAGATCAGATTTCACAAAAGGCATATTTTGCTGCTGTTGTTGCTGTTGCTGTTGCTGCTGCTGCTGCTGCTGATATATAAGCTGTTGTAACTGCGGATCGACATTGGGCATAAAAGGTGGAAAGCTCGGCTTTCGTTTAGGTAGATTGGAGGCAACGTAGGATGACAAGCGAGAAATTCCCGACGAAATGAATTCAAGTGATGTGGGATCCCTGTTTACTTTGTTAGTTGTATTTCTCGTTTTCTGACGAGCCTTATGTCTTGCTTATCTCCGACCACCGGTCTATTCTAGATTCGTATCTGTGTTGGCTTGAGCCTACCTCAGAAATTTCGGCTCGGCTCGAACGCCAGTATGTGAAGGGTTGGACGGATTCATTCTTAAAACAAACAAGAAAGAGTCGAAGAGTGCAAATGATAAGGGTATAGGAAATGAGTTGAGAAAAAATATTCCAGTTCGTCAAATCAGTACGCAAAATAAAAAGTCTAACAGAAACAACGTAGTTAGTACCAGTTACAAAAGCTGCAAGTCGAGAATGAGAAAGAGAGCCACTCACTTTATCAGTAAAAGGTTGGCTAATGAAGAGGGTTGGAAGAAGAAAAAGGATATTTAGCGGGGTTTAAGAAAAGATGGGTCGTTGCATGATTTCCGTCATTTAGTATATTTGATACTGTAAACGTAATCCACTGATGATCACGAGAACTTGTTCTGACGACCCACACGGTTTCCTTTAATTTTTCCCTTGTCGAACCAAGTAACTCTAATCAACCAATCAATGGCCGCACTTGTGTAATCATCGTCGCAGCAATCTGCGAAATATAACCTTCTTTCACACTGGCCTGACAATTAACTTGACAGGGCATCCTTCGCAATCTAAGCCAGCTGTCGACTCCGATAAACGGCACGTTGCGGAGGTGCACAGTGGTAAGTTTCTCAGCCTCTCCACCGCCGAGCTCTATCCTATTTGGGTCGTTCGGCGCCCAAACCAAGTAGACTTACTTGCCGCAGCATCTGCAGGGTAATGGGAGGGGGGAAATTCTGATTTTGTTTTTGCCATAAAAGCGATTTTTAACGCTCACTGAAAGCGAATTACCAAAGGGCAAGAATTTCCCGGTCATTTCTCAAAACACTACTTTACAGCCCACTGTTCTTTAACCTTGTTCTGTAAAACCATCATTCGAGGCTGTTCGTCAACATGCTACGCCTTTCGCACGTCAATTGTTTAATGTGAAAAAAAGGGTGGCCATCAGTGGCAAAAGGTGCACCCAAACAATTTTCAGTGGATGGGTTGTTAGTACAAATAAGACAAGGATAATTATATTTAGACAGGAATATTGTAGAGCATGTTGCTACCGCCTTCTCTATTGCTGGGAAGATAAGTCACATTTTGGTTGCGAGACAGGGTCTGGGCAATGTCCTTGGAAGCTTCAATTCGTCTAAAGGCAATCAAACCTTCACCGGCCTTTTCCAAAGCGGCCGAAATCAACTCAGCAGCTTGTGCATCACCTTCAGCGCGGATAATAGCAGCTTTCTTTTCTTGTTCGGCACGTTCGACAACAAACTTGGCACGTTCAGCTTCTTGCTGAGCAATCTGTTTCTGCTCGACAGCGTTGGTGAATTCTTTACCAAACGTCATGTGGGTCTAAGGGGGGGGGGGAAATTAGTATCTTCGTTCTGTACGCACACAAGGACGCTGGCAAGTCAGCCAAAGTAACTTACAATAGAAACGTCTTCCAAAGCAATGTTGAAATCCTTGGCACGCTTGTACAATTCCTCGCGAATCTTGGCCGAGACCACTTCACGCTGAGTGATGAGTTCGCTGGCATCGAATTGAGCAACAATGGCCTTTAAGACTTCGTTACCAATGGAAGGTAACACTCTTTCATTGTAATCCAAGCCCAAGTTCTGGTAAATTGCCGGAAGTTGCTTGATTTCAGGACGGTGCAACACACGTAAAGTCAAGGAAACCATCTGCATATCTTTGGATCCGGTGGTGGTGGAGATGTTGCGAGGCTTGGTGCGAACATCGAACTGGACAGCACGTTGCAACCAAGGCACCAAGAAATGAGTACCTTCACCGACAGACACCGACTTGACACCCTGAATACGATCGAAAATAACCGCACGATAACCACCCTGGACTGAACATCGCCGTCAATTCCAGATCTTTCCCATGGTTGAAAACAGATAATGGCCAATGATATACTTACCATCATACATAGCCGACTGAGCACCACCTACGGCAAGACCAATAGGAATGGCATACTTGGCAATCTTCTCAAGGACGGCAGCCATAGCAACTTTTTGTTCTTTACGGTTTGTCTTTTTGTGTTCTGTTGGGCCTCTTCCATCCCCAGCCATTATCAAAGAAAAAAAAAATTGGTCGTGACTGCTATTGCACCTTTTTCCCAAAGAGGCACCGTGAGCAAGTTACAAAGATGATTGTGTTGTCAAAACCGAATTTGTCGTAATTTTACTTGGGAATCGCTTTTGTGAACCTATTGTATGCACATCATTTTCCAAATTGGTCTGTGAAATGGTTAATTCGCATTGCTTGTTTTATCTTGGGGGCATTTGAAGCGATGAGCGGTATTGCACAATACTGTACACGGTAGACTATATCAATAAAATGAGTGATTGCCAAATACATCTGTTTGTTCTCGATGTTACTGTTGCTGTTAATATGTAATGTTATTTCTCCTTCTAGCAGGGAGTGATAGACAATAAGCCATGGAGTAATTTTTACGATGTCGGCATTATTTTTTTTTCTTTATTGTAAGCAAGTCAAAAGATGAAAAGGGAAATTTTTGGATTACATGGTGGGCATGGAGACGGAGGATCGGGTGTGATCCGCGTCGCCTTCTCTCCACAGAGAGGTGACGGTCTTGGGCTTGGTGTAAAAGTGGAGACCGCTCTTGCCGTAAAAGTTGAGATCACCCAAGATCGAGCCACGTGATCCGGTCTATGAATTCATGTGAGTATGAGGCAAGAAACGATGGCCACGTCATTGAAACACTTACGAAAGAGAATGGAGGTACGGGAACAGGAATAGGAGTGTTGATGCCGACTTGTCCTACATCAATGTCGTGCTCAAATTTGCGAGCAATAGGTCCCGAATTAGTGAAGATGGCAGTACCATTGCCGTATGGGTTGTTGTTGATCAGTTCCACAGCTTCGTCCAAAGTCTCGACGTTGAGACACACCAATACAGGGCCAAAGATTTCCTCACGATAGCATTCCATATTGGGCTTGACATTGGACAAGATGGTTGGACCTGTTGATAAAAAAACCAAGACGGGTTCGGTTAGTGTCAGCCAAAAGTATGAGGTGGCACAAAAGCAGATAAATATGGTGGAAAGGAATGTGCTTACCAACAAAGTTGCCCTTTTCGTAATTCTTGACAACGATGCCTCGACCATCTAACAAGAGTTCGGCGCCTTCATCGACACCGCTTTGGACGAGATATTCAATACGTTCCTTGGATTGAGGCGTGATAACAGGTCCAACATCCGTTTGAGGATCCATACCATAGCCGACCTTGAGTTGACGAGCACGTTCGGCCAATTCGGGCAACCATTCCTTGGTCTTACCCACCATAATGACGGTACTCAGAGCCATGCAACGTTGGCCGGCCGCACCGAAAGCAGCACCAGCAATGGCATTCAAGGTAGCTTGCTTGTTAGCGTCTGGCATGATGACAGCATGGTTCTTGGCACCCAAGTTGGCTTGCACACGCTTGCCGTTGGCATTGCCGCGAGTGTAAATATGTTGACCGGCGCGATCGGAACCAACAAAGGAGATAGCCTTGATACGAGGTTCATCACAGATGTAGTTGACACAGTCGACTGAACCATGGACGATATTGAGCACACCCTTGGGAACACCTGCTTCGGCGGCTAACTTGGCCAACATCATCATGGCACCGGGGTCACGTTCGGAAGGCTTCATAACGATGGAGTTACCGGCGGCAATAGCCAATGGGAACATCCACAAAGGAATCATGGCCGGGAAATTGAATGGACAAATACCAGCGACCACACCCTACCAAAAAAGAAAAAAAGGCCATGAGTCATTGCAGTTCGAGGTATCGATCTCTGACCATCCCTTATAGAGCGAGGGATGGATGGGTGATGGATCTTTACCAAGGGTTCTCTGTACGCATCTGTCAGAAATTGATGACAATTAGGGTTGGGTTCTCATGCCACATTTAGAATCCGTCCGTTACACGAAAAATCCACTTACAGGTCTCCATGTCCTTGGCTACCGTCAACTTTTCGCCCATGAGCAAGCTTGGCAAGCTGCATGCCTGTTCGACGACCTGCAGGCCACGGAACACATCGCCCTTGGCATCTTCAAAGGTCTTGCCCTGTTCTTGAACGATGTTTTCCGCAATCTTGGCTTGGTTCTCGCGAATCAAATACTGAAGATCCATCATCACACGTTGGCGCTGCAGCACCGTAGATTTACGCCATTCTTTGGCCGCCGCTTCAGCCGCCGAGGTGGCTTCATTCAATTCCTCGTTGGTGGTTTCAGGGACCAAGCAAAGCAACTCTTGAGTAGCCTAAGGGAAAGGTGATAAATTATTCATATGTTCCTAATGAAAAACGTAACAGGGATAGGGTAAGTTGTAACTTACCGGGTTACGAAGTTCAATCCATTTATCGGCTTGGGACTCGACGAATTCACCATTGATGAAGTTCTTGACTCTTTCAGCCGTAGCAGTTTGCTGTGCAGCGGCTACCTGCTGAAGGGCCGGGAAGTTGGTAGTGAAACTTCGGCGCAGAGGGGCCTTGGTGGCTCTTTTTAAAGGGGAGCAAGGCCATATCAATACGCATGACTCTTTATGTTATGCACTCATACTGTACCTTAACAAGTTTTGTGGCTTCAGGAGCGAAGAAAGCATGGTATACAGGTCAACACAAAGGGGTACAAAAAAGCGTGTGCAAAAGAAACCAACAGTGTTCTCGGCTGTCGAGATTTATATAGTGTGGAAAAAGAGAGCGTGCGAAAAAACAGCAACTGTAAAGTTTGGCATGAAGTGGGCCATCGGGATTGTGACTGGATTTGAATTTATTCAAATTACGCGCAACCAAAAGAAATAAAAATAAAAGCCAGCTCAGCAGGTTGATTGATTCAAATGAGAACAGCTTTTCAAACTTTACTTTATGAGGCTCAACAAAAAGCTACTAGCGTGCAACCTCGGCGATAACAACAAGAAGCAATATTCTTTTAATTTATGTGAGTGTATAAGCTTCTGAAACTTTGTACATTTTGCTGGGTGATCTCAAGAGGCTGGAATGACTGTTGGCCACGTTAGCAACAACATTTTATCATAAAACGGGTGATAAAATATCCATTAGCCACTTGGTTTATTTATTAGAACATCAAGTACTGTACTGTACTGTATGTTTACTTGCAGCCTATTTGATTACCTTGTGCTCCACCGAGAGTACTCGAGGGAGATCAATGACAATGAGCTCGTTCCTGTATCTGAGTGAATCTTTACGTTGGGGCTGAGAATTTTGCCGAATCTGATTCAAAACTCCCAATGTTTTGAGGCAGCCAAAACAGTGTCGAAAGCCAAAATAAAATGGGTGGGAGTTTTTGCTGTTATGGAAAGTGGATGCGGTCTTCAGAAGCTAAACATGGTCCTACCATCCTCATTGATGAGTAAGGATCGCCACAAATTGACCAGCTCAACCTTGTTATAAATTGAGACATCTTGGTCTTGATCATCAGGATGTATAAGGACAATAACTAAACAATGAGTTATTTGAGATACCTTTTACAGCACATCATTGGTTACGACCGTATGAATCCCAGGACATAATGGCCTGGGAATCGTCTCGCATGAATACATATGGAGGGGTCCGTAACACATTTCTTACAAATCTTGTGATCGCCGATTGTATTTGTGCTTCACCCATTCGTCGACAAATATACTGGTCCAAAATGGGCAACTCAGTTCAAGGATCTTCTGCCTTTCCATTACTTCAATCACAAACAAAATAAAAATAATCAAGCGCGCGTTTGCTCATGTCGCGGGTGCTTTGCGATGTACACCCTCAACGATTTGTATAAAGCGATGAGACACTGACCGTCCGGGATTTCCCCCCCCCCAATTTTCCCCTCTGTATGATACCCGGTATCCAGAGAAGGGTGCCATTTGCAGCAAAGTCCGAAGTCTGCGGATGGCATCTTGATTTGATATGATGCCCATAGCTAGTCCTTGATTTGCTTTGAAGTCAAGGAAGTACCAAACCAAGTTAACCAAGTTTCGGTGCAGTGATCCGGTTGGATCAAAGGCGGACCAAGTTTTCCCTTGGTAGGGACGGATACTCGGAATCCATAACAAAAAGCTGCCATAAGTTGGTCAGGTCAGGTGATTGGAAGCGACCAAGATGGATCCCTTTTTCTTCTCGTTGTTGCCATTTCTGGTTTGTCCTCTATAATTCTTTTTTCCATTTGTTTCTCCTCATCTTGCATAATTACGGGGTTGGCTTTTTTCATCTTGACAATCTCCTTTCCATTGGCTTGAATTATTTCACCATGATGTTGTATAAAGTGGTCGTTCTCGGTGATGGAGGTGTAGGCAAGGTAATGACACGGCAGACTTAACAGATTGTGTTGTGTAATAAGCAGTCTTGTTTAATCGATGAGCGATCATGTCTGTAGACAGCATTAACAATCCAGGTAAGCCATCGATCGACAGTCGTTTTTACCCAAGAGTCCAACATGCTAAAGCGTACCCAATGGAACGATTAGCTGTGTTTGAACCATTTTGTCGGTAAGTGGCGGTCATCGAGCCATCGGTTGTACAAGAAAGAGTAAAGCATTAACCTTTGTTGTGACAGAGGTAGGAGCGCTTAGCGCATAATTTTTCAATGAAATCAAGAGCGAAGTCATCCTAATTTCTTTACGTCACATACCTAATGCAGACCTATGATCCGACCATTGAAGATTCCTACCGCAAACAGGTGGTGATTGACGATCAACCGTGCGTTCTCGAAGTCCTGGACACTGCCGGTCAAGGTTGGTCATGCCAGCCGAGTCATATAAAAGCGTAGACCTTACATTTTTTATTCTCAATAGAGGAATACACAGCGCTTCGTGATCAATGGATCCGAGACGGTGAAGGATTTCTGTTGGTGTATTCAATATCTTCTCGATCGACCTTTGAACGAGTGGAACGATTCCGTGACCAGATTTTTCGAGTCAAAGATGTGGATAACGTTCCGCTCATCTTAGTAGGTAACAAATGCGATAAAGTGACCGATCGAGAAGTATCCCGCGAAGAAGGATATCAAATGGCGAGACGGCTCAGCTGCGAATTCATCGAAACATCTGCCAAAACATGTGTCAACGTGGAAAGATCATTTTACTCGGTCGTAAGGACCATTCGCGCCAATCGAGAAGGCGCGCTTCAAGAAGGCGCCAAGAAAAAGAAAGACAAAGCAAAGAAATGCTTAATATTTTAATCCAATTTGCTCGTCTTCTTTTGATTGATTCCCTTGGATGAATCATCATTAGCGCAAAATCAGTCTCCTTTTCTGTTTCATGTTTTTTTTCTTTCCGCGGTCACATCAACAGTACATTATTTCTTTCTCCGTACTTATGTGCTATCTTCTTTTATTTCTCCTATTTCATTTCTTGGTAGTCTAATCTGTGCAAAGACACTTGGCAGCAGTAAAGGTTCTTTTGGCTTTTTAATATTTTGCGATTATCCATTTTATTTCAATTGATGAATGTTATGTGTAACAACTGCATGCTAGGATATCGGTATTCATTTACCAATGGCTCCTCTTAAAATCATCGGCGCAGGCTTTGGAAGAACAGGTACACTTACTTTGCGTCACGCTCTGGATTACCTCGGGTAAGAATGAACCAATAAAATAATGGAGAGTCTTCTTTACCAGCGTTCATAACGGAACTCTATCTCACATAGATATCAGACGCACCATATGGACAAGGTTCTCCTGGACCCTACACAGGATCCCGACCTCTTTCGTCATGCTTATGAGTATCCGGACGAACCTGTAGACTGGGAGAGAGCGTTTCAGGGTTACGACGCTGCGGTGGATTGGCCTGCAGCAGCATTCTTCGAGAAGCTTTTGGCAAAGTATCCGGATGCCAAGGTGATTCTGACGGTGCGAGACCCCGAGGAATGGTATCGTTCTGTTGCTTCCACCATCCACGAATGGCCTTGTGTGGATGAAACCTGGCCTTCTCACATTCTTCGTGCGCGCGCCATGGCCCGCGTCATTGTGCGAGACGGTGAACTGGGTGGTCCTCGATTCCATGACCGTGAGTATACCATTGGGCGATTCAAGCAAAATATCGAACGTGTCAAACAGTTGGTGAAACCCGAAAATTTACTGATTCTAAACCTCGGCGAAGGGTGGGAAAAGCTATGTCCATTCTTGGGTCGAGACATTCCTCCCATTCCCTGGCCCCACAAGAATAAAGGCTCCAATTTTGCAGCGCTAGTTTGCGAATGCAGAGATCGTTATCTTGAAAACCTCGAACGCTTGTCAAACCCGTCCACAAATGGTAGCACTGATTCTCTTCGTCAATGATGAAATAAAATTTTGAAAGCAACCAATGTTGCTTCTTGCAAGATTTCACCCAATGCTTCGTGTAGAGTAGAAAATGATGGCATGAATTGGATGGGTGTTGAGCAAAACAACGAAACCCATATCAGTACCGGCTCGGTGCACGGCCAACCTTTGTTCTCCTAAAATGTTGTCTATTTGTTTAAAAGACAACAGCTTGCTATAAAAAACAAAAATATAAAAATACAAGGCTTGTTTTTTTTTGGAAGATTCTTGCAACAATTACACAATGGTTTTTATCGTGAACCCATTATATCGTCGTTTACATGCATGTACATGCAGTCTCATCTCATACAATGTCGTCTGTATTTGTTTAGCATCTGTAAATTTATATTCGTCCGCGTTCAACCGTCTGCTCCTGAAAAACTGGGAGTTTCCGGTCTTTAATGAAAAGCGCATGAGCATTATCAATGGGCTCTCGCATTATTTTTTACTCTTTTTCTCTGGTTCCGTATGATCGCACATCAAGTATGATACCATCGGTAAATTATCGCTTTTCGATCATTCCAACATACCAGTGTTCATCATAACTGAACGCTTTATCTTACTCATCATTGCTTTTTGCTTCTATCCTTTGTAAATCGATCTATTCTTTTTTCGTTTATCTGTGATTCTGCCTTGCTTCTTGCCCAATAATAGACGTCGGATCATCCATTACTCAGACATGGCCGTCACCGCTCTCTTATCACCTTTAGCAATATTGTAATGAAAACCTTGAATTGCACCCATCAAGTCAGATATTCCACTTGGGCTAATTCATTCCTTTTTTTCTTGTTTTCTTGCAGGGATCCAGCCCTTCATCGCCTACATTATCTTCGTATAGCTTGCCACCGTTGCCTAGCCTACCTTTAACGGAAATCCATGACAACTTCAAATCGCAGCGGACATTGGTGTCGTCTGCGTCAAGCACATCCCTTGGCTCGAGACGACAACTACGAACAAAGGCATCACACAAGACCTGGCAGGAACACCATGGCGCCGATATTGTATTGGCCACTGAAATTGGTCAGGGCCTTGTGAATGAAGTACGGAAAATGCAAGGGCTTCTTCAAATCAAACAGGATTCCTTGTCCGCCCTGGAAATCCAGCAGTCCGAAGCACAACAGCGCGTAGAGACTCTTGTACGCAAACTGAAACAAAAGTGCGAATTGGAAGGTGAAAAAAAGACACTTGAAATCAAAAACATTAACAATGCGGTGACTTATAGATTGGGTGTTTTTTTCTTCGTATGATAGAGAAATTGAAGGAAGAAATTTGGAATCTGGAATTATCCAAGCAGGAATTACTGCAGCAAGTGCAGCAGTTGACTCAAAAATTATCGCGATGCCAAATGGAGCAAGCGCGCATGGCACGTCAAGAAAGCCTGGTGACACAAGAATTGGAGCTTTTGAAAGCCGCTCACGAGAGCTGGTCCGAGACTCTTACACGACTTCAACAGGACCATGATAAACAGCTCGCGTCGCTACACAAAACCCTCGACACTACCCGCCGTGAAAAGGACGAACTCGCCAAGAAATTGCAAACGTTGACCCTGGGCCGTACTACCACTGAATTAGCATTACTGGCAAAACGAGGAGTGAATCAGGTTGATTGTGAAAATGCTGACGACGCTGACGACGACGAAGATGACCAAGATGGCAAGCTGGTGGAATCACTTCAATTATCCTTGGCCCAAGCCCACAGCGTCGTTCAGAGCTTACAGCAAGACTTGGATAAAGAGCGACAAAAACGGAGCGAGGTCGATAAATTATTGCGCGAGTCACAGCAAACCATCGAAAATTTGCATCGTCACCCTGAGCTGTTGTGGGCACCACCGACAATGGCTCCGTCGCCTACCCTGGCTCAGTCACCTTCGTCTTCCTTTTATGCACGAAAAACTGGTGATAGTGATACACTCCGTGCTGATCCAGACCGGCCTGGGTCACCGAAGTTGCCCCGGTGCCGTTCTTTGGGCGAGGAACTGAGGCAAGCAATGACAATGGCGGCAGCGACAGTGACCGACAATGGCAAAAATGTAGTCCAGGGAACCAAAAACATGAGTGAGCGATCAAAGAAATGCGATAGTATGGATCGGAAAAAATCTGTCGTGGTCACCGAAGCAGAAAAGAAAGCATTGACGGCTCAGCAGCTGGGTACGGAGGAAATGACCATTGAACAAGTATCAAAGGTGCGAACCCCGACAGTGGAGCCCATCACCCATCGTCCGCGTACGTGGACCTGTGCGCCTCCATCGAATGACCCCATGACGCCGCCGTTGGACTATGGATGCACCTTGTTTGAGCCTGGACCGTATGCTTGTTCATCAAATCGCATCTACCGAGGAAGCAGCATGCATTCAAGCCAGGGACGTCGCTTTGACCGAATCAGCGCCCCGCCTTCCATGCCTAGCAAGGATACAGATAATTTGGCCAGTAACGATGAAGCCATTTCTTCGGTGACACGCACAATGATTGGCGAGTGGATGTGGAAATACACACGCAATGTCGTGGGAACCAGGATCTCGGAAAAAAAGCATCGTCGATTTTTCTGGATTCATCCTTACACAAAAACTCTCTATTGGAGTGCGCAGGATCCCAATGTAAACGGCGGTGAATGGAATGCCAAAAGTGGTAAGAAACAATACGCACTGAACTTCTTTGAATGTGTCGCCTTTGTGCGTGTGTTTGTCTAAAACCTTGTTTTATTTATAGTGTCTATCGAGTCATTTGTCGTTTTATCTTTTGGCCGCCATGCTTCGTCTAGGCACCAACCACCAAGTGTTATTATCAAGACATCCACTCGAGACGTAAAAATCCAATGCCTTGACCATCAATCTTACCGCATTTGGACCCAGGTAGGTCACATAAGAGTCGATACCGTCATCCTCAGACCCGAATAACTGAGCATCATGATACTTTTTTTTTTCAGTCGCTACGGTATCTGTTATATGAAGAAGTGGAAAAATTGCCTTGTCATTCATTGCCCAACCATTCACCTTGGTCAGAGCGTCGATTTCCACGATTTTCGCCAACCAACGAAGGCATCAATCCTTCCATTCCACGTATCTTGCGTCAATCCGTCACCCCGTCAGTGAGGAACCTGTCCCTTCATTGCAAAAGCGACACTTCCCAAACGGCAGACGATCGATCGCTGGATCATCAGTCCGCGTTATTTCAGCAGACGCTATCGCTTGACGAGACCAGTGACGTTCCATCTTCCTCCGCCCCACCAATTTCTCCAGGCAAACGATTAAGACATCGCTTATCGCGCCGCTTTTTCGAACTGGGATTTACCAAGACTGCCGAGAAACTGTACCCACAAACCCACATTTTTGATTCCAAGCTTGAATGCTAAAGTTTTTACTGATCGATGACCCGATATATCATTTATTCACTCTATACCCTTTAAGAATCCTATTATCATAATGAACTTGAGTCTATGCATATATGAACCTTTCCTTTCCAGAAAATACATTCATATTAAAACTTGCTTTTTCTTTTTTATCACCATTGGACTGTATGCTCCAAATATCGCATGCTGGTCACTATACCGCAGGCAATAATGATGTCGAATTCTAAAAGAAATATTTGATAAGATTCTGAAATTCGGATGCCGTTATCAAGGGCAATGTCTTTGATAATATCGCTGGTATAAATACACGCTTATTTTGTATGTTAAAAAGGAAGAATGATGCTCAAGCCATGATGGTCATTATGTAGAAAACGGTTATGATATCAGTCATACAGACTTTATTTAGAAACATTGTTAAACATGCATTGCGGCATACGCTTCGCAACAGGATGATGCGACCAAAAAAAAAAAAAAAGTGTCGAGATACGAGTGCCGAGCTTAGCAGCTAAACGGAATACCACATCGTCTGCACCAGGTACGACAGTCGCCAGAGCAGCAGCCGAGATCGCCACAACTAACCGGAAGGCAAGCAGACTGACGAGCGACTAAGCAGACGATAATATAAGCCAATCAGGCAATGGGGCTGCTCGCCAATTATTTTGTTCCAGCTTACCATAGAGGTCCGAGGCAGGGCTAAATCCGATATCAGCATTTTCGGCGGTTTCTGAAACAGCCATATTGTTCTCGCTTTCAGTAGCAGGCAGAGCGAATGCAAGCGAGCCAAAGAGAGCAAAGAGGGCAAAAATAAAGGAAATAAGCTTCATGAGGATGGAAGAATGAGTATTGTGTTTGCTAAAGTTGAAGGGATTCGTGAGGAAATCTCTGTTCTTATATAGTGTCAAATCAGTGTAAAAAAAGTTACCAGGGAATCCACGAGCGAAAGCGGCAATCGACGCGGCTCACCATGCCTCTCGTAACCCAAGGTCTATCTATCAGTCAAGATAGGCAAATGATTTACATTCGGTTTAAAACGAGACTTGATAAATCGAAACCCGTTTTTTACCAAGCTCACGAATCTATCGTTCACGCATATATCAAGCCGACACGTTTCTTATGCCAGACACCCCCAATCCCCATTTGGACAAGTTCTCATTGATCTTAACCTTTTCGTCCATCCGTTATGACATATTTGAAAAGTGGCTGTAATATCTGGGAAATCGGCACCGATGTCAAATAATAATTCGGACATCGTTAAGCGATTATCCTGAGTATCATGAAACACAGACGATGCGGTGCCAAGACCTATTCGGTCAGTTTGCGGATACAACTTCGCAAAAATCGACTACCGTGTGATTTATAACCTTCAATATCCCGTTGCATTTCATTCTGACTGAAGATCATGTCTCTTTGTGTTAAGCTGTTTTGGTGAGCCAGGTGGTGAAATTTAACATGGCAAAATCCCGCGGCATGAAAGGAGGCATGGTAGAGGCAGATGATATTTGGCATAAGATACTCCTGTTGCTGGGTAATATGGATTTTAAAAAATGACACCGCTCTTATGATACATCCTCCTCCATACCCTATCGTTTGTTGCAGTAGAATATTCGGTCTTGGGTTATTCTATGTGGAAAAATAAAAAGGAATTTATAGTAACAATTAAACACGCAAGAAAACAGGTTATTTTTCGTAAGGTCCATCTAATGATAATTCGGTAAATTCTGATGAATGTGGGGGGTTTTACGTTGAACGACGAGATTGTCCATTGTATTCGATGCCCATGGCGTATTTCATAATTTCAGTCTATTATGAAAACATGGTTAGCATGGGTAATGCATGGTTATCGTTTCGGGTTCTTGCCTTGACAAAGTCGAGACTATTGACCGTCGATAAGCCCAAAGAGCGCAACCATACAACCGGTGTCGCATCTGTGCCGAATAACCGGTGTAATTTATCACAAGCTGAGATCATGGCAATATTACGGACATAACGATCAGCAGCGTAATGTCGTAATAAGTGAATACTACCAAGATCCTGGCCCTCGGAAACACCCGTGGCAATGACATTGGAAATACTTTCCACATCCAATAATCCCTGATTCAGACCTTGGCCAGCCAATGGATGAGTGGCGTGGGCCGCATCACTTTTGATAACCAAGCAAAAAAATAATGTTTCAGGATTGATTAGTGTCACACTCTCAGGATGTCAGTAACGGGATGAAAACCTCACCCAACAAGAGCGATACGATCAGTGACATAGCGTTCGGAATTTCGTAATTTCAAGGGAAAACTGGCTCGCGTGCCTTCTTGTACGTCAATCACTTGTGGCGGCAAACTGTGTTCGCGCTGCCACAGATCGTTCTCATCCAGTGATTTCGTTGCCACTTCCTCTCGCCATGCGTATTCTGCGCCAATATCGCATCGGCTCACATGGGTGCTCTTATTGATCTGACTGTAAAGATAGGCAAGATCGGTGGGTGTATTGCGATAGGCCGCATTGATCAGGTGACAGAAATCTTTGGCTGACACACTCTTCAACATCTTGGCAAGGGCCGGTTTCGTAGACCATACCATGGAAGCGTATTCGTCGTTCAGCTAAGCGTTCGAAAAAGAAAAGAAATCCAGTAAGTTCATTACCCCAAGGTGGTGTTCTCTTATCATTAACCTACCGGTAGCATGGCAATGGGGCCGGTCGGTAAGAAACGTTGCCAAGCGGTGTTGTTAGGTCGGTCGGGATCCAGTCGCACCGTAGCGACCACACCGTGTGTATCGTAATCCCAACCCAGTGACTCTATGTCGGCAAAATTGCGTACCAGACTATTCACACCATCTGCACCAATCTAACCATCATTTGGTAAACGAACTGTTAATTATGTCATGTTCCTTTATCCACGACGGTGGATAGAACGAAAAAGATTACCAAAAGTCGGGCCTTTAACGCGTCACCGCTGCCGAGTTGAACTGTAGGCCAATCGGACAGATCCAGTGCTTCTTCATCAAGGGTTTCTGCAGTTTTTTCAATCGACGCTACGCGGGCGTTTTCCAAAAGGGTGACCTCTGCTCCCAATTTCTGCGTTTGTAATTCCTTGAGTCGTTGAAGAATAGCGTTTTGCAAATGGACATTTTCGATCATGTAGGCAATGCTGGGGTTAGTCCCATCTTGGGCCGCATCGGTCAAGCCAAGAGCGGCAGCATCAAAAGAAATGCGAGCCCCCGAAACACCATCCCATACTTCCATATCACGGTATCCGTTCACTCTGCTCTGGTGCAGATGCTTACCGACGCCGATATCTACATCGTGTATCCATTAAATCCCATGTGCAACCAACCCGACAACGCGGTATTTACTTTCAAAAAAGGCCATGGAGGCCGGCGTCAGTGACACGCATCGATTAGAAAATTTGTTATCTTCAGGGACCCATTCAAGCGTTTTTTTCAGATCCATCGCTTCGACGAGAGCCACTCGCTGGTGCTTGAGTCGAGGGTTAGCGGCTAAAGGACGGTTTTCAGTACTCGAGCGCTTGTTTCTTTTATCGATTTTTGACCACTTTCAAAAGCCAATCTTACCAAGAGCACAGGCCAAAGCGGTTCCTGCTACGCCTCCTCCGATAATAACAATGTCATAAATGTTCTTCATAGAGGTCGCGCTCACAGACACATGACGTGACTGAATCGTGTTTTTCCAGTTATAACGTACGGTCGCAGTGCAAAGGGCCACATCACGACCGGCACCAGTGCGCGTAACCCATGGACAACTGGCTTTTCCGAAATGGCGAAGCATGCTAATACGAATTTGACAGGAGACGATATAAACAATGAAAAAACCGTGTCGGTGTTTGCCGGTCGCTGTCGGCTCAAAAGCCCTTGCACGCAGTCCAAAAATGGCAATTTCCATTTTTGTGCGGTCACCTGGAAAAAGAAAAAAAGGGCGATTGACCGCAGCAATCGAATCGTTGATTGGATTTCTTGTTGGTTTTTCTGGATAATAAGACGGACAATGGCTGAAAATCTCCATGATCTTGACGAACTGTCCTCCCAGATTGTGGAAGAAGAGGATCTCTTCCTTGACGAGCATGACTTCCCGGATGATGAGGAAACGAATGAAGCGATGCTAGCATTGGCGGCGGCTGAAGAGCCAGCGCTCGACACGACCTTACGCACGCGATTGGCAGGACCATCGTCGCATAAGGTAGGCATGCGCAATGGAATCGCTTCGGTCTACGATTACAGAGAGTGAATTTTCTTTTGGATCGATAGGCAGGCCTGGACGAAGTGGACAAAGAACAAGTGAATCGTATTATTTACGAAGCTTCGAAAGTAAGACGTTGTGCATCAGGACGCGTGCTGGGATGCATTCAATTGACCCATGTCGTTTACTTAGGGCTCATCTTTTTTTGAGAATGAGCGTAAAAAGGATGCGGCCACCACCAAACGCATCGAAGCCTTACTGGTGCAGTACGAAAAAATCAGGCACAATGATTTGTCCTTAGAAACGCGCATTGTTGATCACATGGTAAGTTTACAACTATTACATCTCCTTGTTACCCATGACTTAGCTTAGACATTCTTTTTTTTTCTCTTCTTCTTGCTTTTGATAAACGATCTTGTTTTATTGGGGAAAACAAAAAGCTGCATGATATGGAAAGTAAACGCGATTTGACTCAAGTGATCTGTCATGTGGATATGGATGCATTTTATGCGTCTGTGGAAGAGCTTGAGCGACCGGAATTAAAGCAAGTGCCAATGGCCGTCGGTAGCATTGGTATGCTTTGCACAAGTAACTATATCGCTCGTAAATATGGCGTTCGCAGCGCCATGCCCGGATACATCGCCTTGAAACTTTGTCCTTCGCTTCAAATCATCCCTCTTCACTTTCCAAAGTACAGAGCTGCGTCAGCCAAGGTGCGAGCGATCTTTGCTAAGTACGATCCACATTTCTGCCCAATGAGTCTGGATGAGGTGAGTACTACTTCGACCCCAATTATTGGACGGACGATTTTTCTAACCTTGCATGAGGATAGGCTTACTTGAACCTGACCGAGGTAAAAGCCACGCAAATGATCTAATGTATTCCAAGATCTGATCAAAATGATTGACGGCGCTATCTAGTATCTGAAAACATCCGATTTGAATCCTGCGCAGCTCGTCGAGAAAATTCGGCAGGAAATATTTGAAGAAACACAGCTGACAGCAAGCGCAGGTAGGCAAAGCAGAAAGAAGGCACATTGGCAGGCTACTCATGCTTCTTACGATTGTTATTTATAAAGGCATTGCTGCGAATCGCATGCTTGCTAAAGTTTGCAGCGATATCAACAAACCCAATGGTCAGTTTTACTTACCAAACGACCAAGAAGCCATTTTCGAGTTTGTGGATCCATTGCGAATACGAAAGGTCCGTGAAGACATGTTACCAAGCGCTGAAAACACATGATTAAAACTTTTGTTTTTGTTTTGACAGGTACCTGGTATTGGACGTGTCACGGAGAGAATCCTTGAAGCTCTGGAAGTGAAAACATGTGGCGACGTCTACCGCCAACGGGCCATCTTGTACAAGCTATTGAGCCCCATCAACTTCAAATTCATGCTTAAATGTCATCTCGGCATCGGATCCACTACCATTAGTGAAGAGACCGTCAGGAAGAGCATCAGTGTAGAACGGTACGAGTGACAAGAAGTGAACTACTTATGATCGACAAACTGAAAGTTCATTTTGAATCACGCAGAACTTTCCGAGCCATTTCTGATACAACTCTGTTAATGGAAAAAGTGGATGAACTGGCCGTTCTGCTGGCACAAGATCTGGCCAAAAGCAACGTCGAGGTATGGATCACTTGCTTCTTTATTTCATTGCAGCTGATCTCATTGGTAAACGTTTATTAGGGAAAAACTATCACCATCAAGCTTAAACTGACTACGTTTGAGTTACGGACACGAGCTAAAACAATACCGGCATATACGTCACAAACAAGCGACATAACACGAATAGCTCGAGAGGTAGGCGGAGAGAGGAAAGAGTTGGAGACGAACAATGCAGTTGACCCTATCAAAGTTGCTGTTAAAGGAACTACCGGTGAATCTCCGATTAATGGGTCTCAGGATGTCCAACTTGCGACCACGCGGCCAAGATGATCAAGGTGTGAAAAAGGTAAGTCAGAGCGATGATCCTGGGGAATGCTTCACAAAACTGATACGGCTATGAAGTATTTCCTGGCGGCGAATGCCTCTATTCCGTGCAAAAGGCCGTTGGAGACTGAGACTGAGACTGAGGCGACGCAAACAGAAACGGGAACGGAAGAAGAGAAGGAGGCTCTCACCTGTCCTGTATGCAATCAAACCTTACTACTGGACAATGCGAGCTTTAACCAGCACATTGATGAATGTCTGAGCAAAGTGGAAGTGAAAGCCATTCTACAAAGTGAACCCGATTATCGTTCCCCGCAGGTGACCGAGAGCTCAAGGTAGGCTTCCATACACATTAAATTTTCTGCGAATACGCTATCAATGCCTAACATTTTATAGTAGGTCAAATAGCCACAGCCGTTCCCCAACCTGTTCTTCTTCCAGCAGAAAACGATCTGACACATCAAAGTCATTGCTGGACTACTACTCGCCCACCTGATATAACATCCTTGTCATTCATTTCTCACACATGCATCTTTGTACCTTATTTATTATCCAACGCTATTTTTATTAATCGCCACATAAATTTATTCATGAACATCTTTGTATTCTATCGCACCAATAACAATACCAGTTCTTTTGCCTTATTGTAAAATATAGTTGCCCAGATGTGACCGCGTGGAGGTAACTGGTAATACACATCCTATGCTCGTTTTTTAGCATGATAAGAGAAGAGGCTCGTGTTTAAGCATGTTAAGAGGATGCACGTTTTTCGAGCGTGTTGAGTGAATGCTCGTTTGGCCGTGGCAGAAGAGTGGTTGTTTTTGAGCGTGTAAAGATATACTCATTTGAGCATGTAAAGATACTCGTTGTGGTATGTAGAGCCCGTCTTTAAGTATGTAAAATACGCTTGTTTGTGAGTATGTAGAGATATACTCGTTTTTTGTGTATATAAAAATACACTCGTTTGTGAGCATGTAGAGAAAAGATGCCCGTTCTGAGCATGTAAAGAGATACTCGTTTGAGTACGTAAAGATACTCGATGTGAGTATGTAAAGATGCCCGTTTCTGAAGCATGGGAAGTTAGCTGTTTGACTATGTAGAGATATACTCATTGTAAGCATGTAGAGAAAAGATGCCCGTTTTTGAGCATCTAAACTCGTTTTGAGTATGTGCAGATATACTCGTTCGGGCATGTAAAGATACTCATTGTGAGTATGTAGAGCCCGTCCTTGCGTATGTAGAAATATACTCGTTCTGAGCATGTAAAGAGATACTTGTATGACTATGTGAAGGTATACTTGTTTGAGCATGTAAAGATACACTCGTTTGAGCGTGTAAATAATACTCGGTGTGAGTATGTAGAGCCCGTTTTTGAGCATATAAAGATATTCGTTTGTGAGTATGTAGAAGAAAGATGCCCGTTTTGAGCATGTAAAGAATACTCCTTGTGAGCATGTCGAAAGAAGATGCCTGTTCGAGCAGTCAAGATATACTTCTTTTGAATATACTTTTCCTGCTGGTTATAAGCCTGTGTATATATGTGTGTTTTTGAACATGTTAGATGCTCGTTGCGAGCAGTTGAGAAATGACCCTCGTTAAGAGAGCATGTGAAAAAGAATGCTCGTTTCGAGCAGTCAAGGAAGGGTAAGAAGTAAAATTGGAAAGGGAGCAAGAAAAGAAAGGGAAGGAGTGAAAAAAAAAGAAACGAAAACGGCCAAAATTAGTTTCCAGGGGGTTGGGGTGTTTTTATTTTTTTTTGGGTCGCAGCGTGACTTGTTTCGGGCCTTTAGCAGGCGCGGGAAAAAGAAAGAAAAAATGACGGTCTTGCATAAGGTCTGTTTCACTCAATCTCGCCATGGCTCAAGCACTGTCCGATTCGCATGTCCATGACGACAATAACATGACCGTGTTTGTGCTCATGGGCACGGCCGGTTGTGGCAAATCCACGGTTGCAAAGGAATTGCAAAAGTTACTCAACTGCGAATTCATGGAAGGAGACGACTTCCACCCTCCAGCCAACGTGAAAAAAATGTCAGAAGGTAACTTGTGCACGGTTATTGGAGACCTGGGAAAGAAAGAAAACAAAGGAAAACAACAAAAATCACTGAATGGCATGTTTTCCCTTTTTAGGACATCCCTTGACAGATGATGACCGCTGGCCGTGGCTTCGATCGATCCAGGAGCACCTTATCGAAAGAGGCAAACAGGCAAAAGAGGATCACTCACACCGTCATGTTACTATTGTTACTTGTTCCGCCTTGCGCAGAGTATACCGTGACATCCTTCGCCAGGTCCCATCCAACCTTGGTACTGTGTGGTTTGTTTTCCTCAAAGGATCTACCAAGCTGCTTACCGAACGTATCGCTGCCCGCAGAGGCCATTACATGGCGGCCTCCATGCTCCAGTCGCAGTTGGATGTACTCGAAGAACCTAATCCTGAACAAGAGCAGGTTATTGTGGCCGATATCGCACCTCCACCTGATCAAATTGCCCAACAAATACTGCAAGAAGGGAAAAAACAGCATATTCTTCCCTGAAATGGCTAGTCACATTCGCGTTGAAAGTTGTCTCCAAGTGGTGGATGAACCCACCCTTCATATATTGTATCATACCATCCGTTATATAAAAAGTAAGGCCTTCCGCCACCAAAAAAAAACAAAAAAATGGATATTTTTTCTTCGGTCCCTGGTTTTCTGCAATTTGTGTGGCCTAACTTTGTTTCCAAAATTAGCCAAGGTGACACTAAACGATGGACCATTCCAGTTTTATGTGCCTTTGTTTATTATGGCAGTGATATTGGCCATAAAAGAAAAAAAGACAGAATGATGAATGAATGCATGCGTGCATGCATCTTTGGAAACAGAAACCGCATGCTACAGTGAAATGGCCCTGTCGGGATATTGGAAATGAAAGACGGCGGTCATTCGTTGATGAAGGCCGAACCATTATAAATAGTTTTCGGTCTCACTGATTTCTTGGCAACGGCCTCCCCCCTTCTTATTTATGCGATAAGTTTGAACTTCTTTTCCTCCCCTTTTTTACCCTGAACCTATGTCTATCCACCCGCGAACACTTGTTGCAGAAACGGCGGAAACAGTTGTTCGACTGCTGAAAGAGACACATGCAACGCAGGATATCCCGAAATTGGCCATCAAAGCGCTCAAACGCATCCAATGTCTCGTGCAGGAGCAGCAACATCGGATCCACGCATTCTCATTGACCGTTGATGCTCTTGAAGCACAGCATACTGACCGAAAACAGCAATCCCAGCGGATCTTGCAAGAATTCGATAATTCGATCCTTGATTTGGAAGAAAAAATCCAAGCGTTATCGCGTGAACGATCGACCTTCGACAGTACTTTGGCGGAACTCGAAGACGCGCTGCAAGCCAAGCGAGATTATGCCAACCAACGCCGCCTAAAGAAATCAAAGCGGGAAAAGCAATACCATCACTTTTATTCTATCCCAATGATAGCCAGTCGATACGAAAAGAAATACATTCGTGCCCGAGACAAGAACGCTCAAGCGGAAGATCAGTTGTGCGATATCCGAAAGGCCATTGATCAATTGCATGTATCGACTCGAGAGATGGATAGCTTGCAGCACCGCCAACAACTGCAAATCGACACGGTTACTGAGCAACGGCAAACCTTCACATCTGAAATGTCGATAGCGGAAGAACGACTCCAATTTATGAAAGAAGGTCAAGCATTCTGGAACCATACCGCTACCCACCAAGGATTCAAACTTTTGCAAGCCTGCGAACGCTTGAAGGTGTCCTCCATAGCCGATATCCATGAGCAGAATAGTTTGGCATCATTTCAAATGACTTGTGTAGAGTACGACGAATCGGTAGCCTATGGAGAGTCACGGTGGGATCCCCGCCATCTTGAAATGGAATTTTCTTGCACACAGTGCTCGTCGTGGCAAAATGGTTGGCCGATGGTTGATCCCGCTCACACAAATGCTCTTCTCTGCCAATCTTGCGTTGAAAATATGCAGGTGTCCAAGCCAAAATTCACCACGTTTCACTATAAGCGACTAAAGGGTATCAAAGCCCCGTGGCGTTCATCATCCAGTTCTATTCGCTCTTCTGCAGATTCCGTCGCGCTGTCCCATCTCTCTTCTTCCCCATCATCCAATCACCGTTTGCCCGTAACCACTATTAACAAAACTAAAACTAGAATGAGCAAACGTATTCCCATCTTCTCTGTCAAAGACAATATTGCAACGTCCTGAGCTGCGCATCCTTGAAAATAAACTTTTTTTGAATGGATTCTCCATTTTCTGCGTTTTAAATGACCACCGACGTCACGTATTTGAAACATTCGGACGGTGTAGCGGCAGGAAGACGGCGACACGAGTGAAACTCATTCCTTCTCCTTCGTTTGCACGTCAAAAATGAAGACTTTTTCCATAAACGCAATAGCATTGAGCTTAATGTCGGCCACTGCCGGTGTCTGGGGTAAGTGCTTGTCCGTTTTTCACCCTACATGCCGAGCAACAAGTCCCACAACTTCCATGTATTTCCCTGGAAGGAGGGATTGCTGGTAGCAAAAAAGCCCAGTAAGAGAAAGTGGCTGCCGAAAGTTTTAAATTCATCTTTCAGCAACACTTATAGAAAAATATGCTTGCTAAACTATTGTGTTTGTATAGCCCGGTCGTCCGTGTATATGCTGTCTGAGACTTCGAATACGGTACAGCAATTGTCTGAACAACCCGAGATTTCGTTCGATTCTTTTTCGCTGGTTATGTCGCATATGACAGATACAGCCGGTAGCCAGCCGCTCATGCATTGGCAAAAGACAAATCAGCAAGGCGCTCTCGATGGTGCAGAAGCCGTGTGGGCTAATCGCGATTATTGGTGGTCCGACAAACAGGAGAACGTGTTTCAACGAAAACTGAACGGTCAACTGGTGGTCGTCGTCGCGGGCGTGGAGAACCCTTCCGGTAAGGGATCTATTTGATCACCATCTTTGCACGAACAGCCCAAACATTGACAGCGACTGCTTGATCTTTTTTAGCTATTCTCTCTGCACATGATCCCGCGTTTTATGTGACTGACGATCATGCTGTGGATTTCAGCGCATTTGCTAAAGATACCGCCCAGCATATCTCGGAACACAGCCAGAGCGGCTACGTTGCCACCTACTCCAAAGACTCTGTAAGCACCGAGATATAAGAACTTGTGTATAGACTGCTATCGGTTTGACTCATCATGTTTCTCCTTAGATCCAAGCTCTGCCCTTCATGGATGCGAATGCTTACGCCGCTCAAGCCTACAATGCCTTCCAAGAACACTATCCTGAACTCACTACCAGCACATTTGATATGCAGAAAGAGGCAGATAAATCGTTTGTTCTCGAAGTGGAGCAAGTGCGCGATATCATCAAAGCATTTACGCAAGGTGACAGGGCAGTTGATGCCACTACTGACTATGTTGCCATTGACTTTAGCAGCCTCAACGTAAGTTAACCTACCCTATTTGAGCGCACTGATTAAAACCGTTCAGCTAATCATCGTTACGTTCTTTGCTATTTTTTATGTCTCCAGTCATTGAAAGAGGCTTACGGCGTTGAATCTTCTAAGTACAGAGAAGCCGAATTAGTTCTCAAGAATTTGTTTGAAAAGGTAGGATGACTTTGCTGAAAAGTACCCGGTGCGTTGTTTCTGATGTATGCTTCTACGTGGGTCTAGACTATCATTCCGGATTTCCAACAACACTATGCTGCCAACGATCGTGCTGTGGCTACTTTTGTGATGGCCCCTTCATCCGCTCCCCGTTTTATTAAACGTGCTGTTCCCGAAGCGGCTGTGGATGATTCTTGCTTTGAATCAAAGGAGTTTTGCGAAGAAAACACTGACGGCTGCAATGGACGTGGTAGCTGTAAATCCGATGGTGAATGCTATGCGTGCCAATGCTCGACCACTTTCTTTGGTCCCTCATGTCAGTTTGAGGACGTTTCCGATCACTTCCAACTGTTGTTCTGGACAAGCGTCGGTTTGATTATTGTGACGGCTGGTGTCCTGGTGTTCGTGTATAAGAGCGGCAATATCGAAAACGGTGGTATCATGATGGGCCCTCAAGCTTTACCCAAACAAGATTAAGACATTTTCTCTGAAGCCCATTCCCTATATTACCTCCGGTTGTCTCTTCCCTGATGTTTTGCTTCTATACTTTTTTTTTATTGTTCACACCATGTCTTTATGGGTTTGGAATAAAGCAAGAGATGGTTGATGGATTAAAAAAAAAGGTTTCATCTGAACTTTCACAATCGCATAGTGATTTCAGGAATTGAAGTTGAAAATGACGGCTGGGATTTGATCGGCTGGAATACGACGGCTGCCGGCCATCCCGCGTAATTTTGCAAAAATAACGAGGGCTATCACAGCAATGGTCATGATGAATGCGATTCCGGCAATGCGGCAACGGCGCTGCCATTGGAGTCGAAGGTGTTGGTTCGCACAAATTGTGTTGCTGTCACTGGTACGTCGAAAGGTGCAGTAGAACCAAAGCGGTGGAAACAGGAATCCGAGCCAGAACAGTCGCCGTTCAATCACTGGCGCCGTGGCCCGTTCAACCACGTCGGCGTTTTCGGTCGTGCCTTCAGGCTTACTTTCTACATCGATTTCATTGTCTTTTCGTGACCGGCGAGAAGACCGATCATGCTGCATCCGAGCAGTAATGGCGTGACCGAGACGGATGGGCCCGTTCCGTAAAAGAGATAACAAGGCCGAACTATTGGATGTCTTTGCCAGAGTCAGCGAGGCGCTGGAAGCGAGAGATATGTCATCGATTTTGTCGCTTTTCCATGAATTGAATGTGCTGTTGGGATCCCGGATTTTTCGCAGGATATCGTAGTAGAAAGATTCTTCGGCGGCTACGGACCCTGATTTGCGTGGAGACGGGTCGGTGAGACCTTCAGAGCTCCCTGTAGGTGAGAACGGTAGCGAAGGTCTTGGTTGTATATCACCTTGGAAACGTTTTGCAAGACGCGCCGCTGGCGTGCACCATCCAGGTGGAGACCAGGCTTCATAGCTGACTTCATCGTTGTGAGTATGGTGAACAAATGTGCTGTGGGGATGGAACATGGACTGTAACACCGCTGTATTGTATTCAACGTTCGCAGTAAAGTGCCGCGAGACCGATTTCGACGATTCACTGGAAGTGCTGGTCATTGGTAACGAGATACTATCTCCGGCTCGAAAATCTTCATCTTCTTGTCTGTCTTCAGAACTCTTCTCGCTGAGCGTAGGCAGCGGTTTCGTGATCCGGTGACCCCAAGCCATGGAATTGGCAATACTCGGATATTCCACCGCCGGTGCTTCCTCATCCACGTGTTCCACCGCGTCATGCCACGAAGCAAAAGAAGGACGTCCGCTGTGGGTGTCGTCGTTATCCTCATGCTCCGAGATACTGGAGCAGCTTTCTTCTTCGATCATGACAGGCAATGTTGGTTCGTATACTTGCCGGACAAAAGGTACATGAAATAATGCATTTAAATCCTCCTGACTTATGGAAGAGTCCTCATCGTCAGCAGTCGACGATCTAGTCAGTGGTGGCAGCGCTTTGTCTTTGTGTGTGGGCCACATGAAGCGTTTACTGAAAAAAAAAATAAGAAAAGGAAGTGTCAATACCCTAGGACGTTGATGATAAAGTTTAAGCTTCATGGGGTGTCAACAAACGGTGGGCCATCATTGTAAATAACCGAGGCCGCTTAATTCCTCCAATGCGACGTTAGCTTGAAGCCAAAAGTGAAGGAACTTGGGATTTCGACCAACGGTAAACACACATGGAGAAATAAATAATAATGGACAATAAGCTTTTCCATGGTCCAAATTGAGATGCTTTAAATTGAGTTTCTTGGAAACGTTGATCTAATCAAATCTATGGGAGAGGATAGTTGGCCCGCAACTGTTTAAAGGCATGCTGATAGCTGGAGATCATATGATCCTCGATGCAAGAATTGCTCAGATACATTTCTTGCGAAATATCGCTGGAGGTCATATGCGCTGTGTAGTGCGTGCGTTTGTTTGGAATTTTTTTCGCGAGCGAAGCCGATCGAGGACGATCAAAAGTTGGCTGACGTTCTTCCTGATCCTGCTTCAGTAGCGTAGCGACGGAAGCTCGACGATGATCAAGAAAGTGGGACTCCTTTGTCCGTTGAATGTGCACAATATGGCCTGGAATATATAACTAATGGACAGAAGAAATATCATCGATAATCATGTTAGTGTGAATAGATATCGCTACAAGCAAAAACTACTGACCAATGGGTATGAAGGGTCTGATTGATATATTTGCTCGCGACGTTTGCTTAGGATGTTGAAGCAAACTTTGCGGACGTCAGGGTCTCTTAAAACCTAGGATGTCACGTCAGTGTCAATAAACCAACAAATACAGCCAAACAAATAGACAAGGGAGAAGAGAGAAAAATAACAGTGGTAGGCGCAGAGACAAAGAATTACCTTGAGCCATCCTCCAAGTGCTTCGTAAGCGCTGATGGTATCCATGATGAGTTCTTTCAGCTTCATGGCTGTGCCATATGACAGCCGGCCCACCACATCATCCTGTACAATAAAGCTGTGAATGTAGTCATTGTATCGCATGCTTAGATCGAAAGAACTGGAGGCCACCGGCGCATAGCTGTAGCAGTGAAGGCGAAATGAGGGATTTCTGGCCAAATGCCGAAGTTCATCAATGTGGTCGGCGACCATCATAGTGAGAAGACTGGCTGTGCCGCCGCCAAGAGAATGCCCAACAATGTGAAAGGCTGTAATGTTGTGACGATGATGATGTACGTATCGGAAAATTTGAGGTACAATGTTTGTATAAAACCACTGCGCTGAAGCCAGCATCCCTGAATGCACCAAACCACCTTTCCATGGCTTATAGGTGCACACCAAGTCGGTAATGGCATCATAAAGACTCTATAAAGGCATTTAATACCCCGTATGACCCAATTTTCTTCATATCACCAACGAGAACCATCTGTTTTTCGTGCATAAAAAACACAACTCACCCAGGTGCCACGGATGCTGAGAACAATGGCTTTCTTTGACCGGTCAATGGCTACAAAATAGCTAGGCTGAAAGACGGCGCCTTTTCGGAGACCATACTCGTATCCCAGCAAATCCTCGGGATGCAAATGAAGATAACGAATAATCGACATACGATTGGATCGACGATTACGAATACCTAGAGGCAAACAAACCATCATCATAAATTTTTAGAGGGGTTTTCCTTTGACAACAATACATCTCATAGCCTAATCAGTAGCTGCAGAAACTTACCACGCACATACTGTCCATAAGCACCTAGGTAACAAAGACCACGCCAACCCTATATTTTTTTTTCTTCAGTTATTCTTCTAAATTGAACCCACCCATAAAGTACAGCTTACGTAGGCAATCATGGCGTAATCGAAATAATGGCAGCTTTCAGGGATCAATATGCGGTTCCGAATAAGAGGAGAGTCATCGGTGCTAATGCCTGGACTTAGTATTCGCTTGTTGCCATGCAATACATCAAGATCTTACTTGGGAAGTGTTTCATAAAATCGTTGAAGAATGATCATGGCCTTGACGAGTCGCAACCCAGTCACTCTGAACCCTTGACCCTAAAAACAGTATCAAATATGCTCACATCGTCAAGTTACCGTCTTTCCAGAGGAACAAGTCAATTGACTTACAAAGGCATTGGCAAGTTTGATGATGGCACGAACAAGAGCTTGGGTTTGACGACTGACCACGAGCCCGATGAGATGATCGATCAAGGGATGAGATATGGCAACGTCATCGAAAGAATCTTCCATCCACTGCGAGGCAAAATTCTTGTCACCAAAGTTGACGCTGTAAATGATGTGTTGCGCTTTGCGCTGAGCGCCTTGTTTTAAGCGATCTCGTTTCCGCATTTTGCCTTTTTCCGGAGATTTGGAGTCTTCTTCTTCTGCTTCCTCTTCCTCTTCGTGGGGTATGATACCATAGCTCTCTTCATTGTCATTCTGTGAGAAGCCGTACCGTTTACCCCGCTTGGAAGGTTCCACTTTGCTTTTATGTTTTTTGCGATCCTTGCGTGGCCATAACAGAACACGCCACCAATGACGTCGTCCCTTGGTCTGAAGAGCCTCCTGCGCCGATTGCCCTTGTTTAGCTTCCTTTGATGGACACACCAAACGATTGGAGCGAGAATTGGATGGTTTGGATGATTTGGATGTTTCCGCGCGTTTCTCGTCTCGACGGTTGCGGTCATCACCCTCACCGTAGTCGCCCTCGCTGCTGGTGGAACTGGGGACATCGGTTGTCATGACAGCATTCAAATTGTTCTGAAAAATGCTATCCACAAACGATTCGTTTCTGGCCAAATCGCCACGACCATGTTGCGAAGAACGTCGGGGACGTGATGTCGCGGATGACTTGCGTTTGCGATCCGTATTGGTATTTGATACGACAGGCGAGATTGTACAATCGCTGACATGACGGGCAGGTGGCGATTCATTCGTGTCGTCTTCTTTGATGGTGGTAGGTTTGTAGGACGCACCGGCATTGGATGATTCCGGTTCGGAAATGGACAGAAGAGGTCGTCGGACTTTTGGCGTTAATGTGTCCTCGGGTTGTTGGAATCGATAGCGAACCCGAATTTGTAATGATCCCCACAACTGCACGTGCTGAGTGATTGTATCAGCCATTTGCCGTACCCTGGCCATATTCGTATGCATGAGCGCCTCACGGACATCGGCCGGCAATGATCGACGAGCGCGGTATTCGTACATGGGAACGAATCTAAGGGTATGCAAACAAGAGCATCATATTTTGAGTGACTCGGCTTAACACTAATGTCCAGAACAACAAAAGATCGTAGTGGAAATCCTTACGTAATAAATACGGGATCCCGTTGAGCAAGAGTAGCAAGCTTTAATTTGGCTTTTCCAAGATGTTGAGCCGGAAGGGGTGACCATTGATGCTTTTTATCAAATAAGTCAAACTATGAAGCGGCGTGAGCCATGAGATAGGTTACGAAATAGATGACGGTTTAGGGACTGCCACGATCCTTTACCTCGATGGTATCAAATAACTGGGCATGATACGAAATGGTAAATCTGAAACCTTCGTTCCAGTCGCCGGTAGGTGTTTTGCCACGCACAGTTGTATATTGGGAAGATCCTAAGCGAATGCGAATCTTTGGGTTGTGTAAAGGATGAATCCAGCGAATGTTCAATACGTCAACCTGTATTTCAGAAAAAAAATTGATATGAATACACGTGAAAGATGTATCTCTTTGGTGATTGGGCGGTGATTGACCTGCATTGTCTTGACACCAAGCGGATTCAAGTCGTCCACTTGCTCATACAGTTGCCATTCTTTCCTTAGTCGACGTAGATCGGGGACGGAAAGACTTTTTCGTAGCCGATGTTTGACCCAGTCTCTGAATTGGGGAGGAGGTGGAGAGCGTGCCAGGGAAGCATGGCGAGTGATTGACGTCTTTGAGACACCCGGCTGCGAAGACGGTTCTTCGACGATAACTTGCATAATTCACGACCGGGTGACAGGCGAAAAAGAGTTAGAAAAATGATTGCTACATAAAGCAATCGAAAGGGAAAGGGTAAATTATTTCAAAATACAAGCCAATGTGCTGCAATAACTAATCATCCGGGCGAGCAGTGACAAAAAGGCGATCAACAAGCGACACAAATAAGCCAAGGCCAGCCTTGTCACTGGCAAGGTTTCTGTTCCGGCAAAATTTCGGCTACGAGATTTACACTCCGCCTGCCTGCCAAAAAATCTAAAAGGGTGTCATCAGGAGAGATCCCACAGCGGCTCCATCACTCACCCGGGACTCTTTTAGTTCTCTTGACGTTGCTTCGGTAGTATAAGCAACAGTTTATACAGATATCTCGTGTTTCAAATAAATTAGAAAAGCTTCAACCAGAGCTTCCTCATGTTCTTCGGCGTTTCCTATGTGCTTGGTATGAAATGAAACATATAAAAGATTGCTCCACGCAGGAGGGAATATAACACGAGCGCATCTACTTGAGCAGCAAAAGAACGATGTCGTTACATGACGGCTGCACACAGTATTTCTCTTCGACATTCCAAACTAGTACAAGGTGTATGAACAAATGCGCGCTTTGGCATCCAAGTACTGTTAAACGATAAAAAGAACTAGATTCAACGAAACACGTCCCACACAAATGGATGGTCCATGCGCAATTAGTTGACTGTTCCGCCAGCTTCTTATGCCTCAGAGGCCAGAAAAGTTAGAAGGCAAATACAATAGAATAATGATGTAACAGTTTGGGAAGTCGAAAATGAAGAACGGGCCTAGTCGTGCAATAACTGGAAGAGGAGAGAAACATATGAAAAGTGGAATGCGGACAAGATGAAGTCTTGGACGACTCTTGCTGCCCTTACCACTTGCAAGGGGCACAGAGAGATCTCAAAGGACAATTGACGTTGCTCCATGAAGGAATACATAAGCACGGTCACATTTACGACTTGGAGACCAACTGGATTAAGCGATATTGGGTTGCATCAAAGCTTATCATCATAAGGGACTACAACTATTATACGCCTCGCTCAGAGAGGTACTGAGAAAGGTAGTGAGAGCTTTAGTGAGAGGTAGCGAGGGGTAGTTGTCGTATAGATAGGGCTCATATGCCACTACATAAGAATTACCTCGGTTTAAGCAGATAAGAGACACTAGAGTAGTTACACACCATTTGTACATTTTAAATCCCCCGATACCCAATTATTATCCTTGGATACCAGATACTATATAGATCATCTCTTTCGAGAATAAACAACAGTGTCACCGTACCCAACCTCTCTACCCACGAATACAACAGCAGTGAGAGGTAGTGAGAGGGTAGTGATAGGTAGTGAGAGGTAGTGAGAGGTAAAAGAAAGTGTCAAACGAAGGGGTAAGGAGGTAAGGAGAGGCAAGGAAGAATATCATTGGGTTATTCGAGACATTTTCTTCCTTTTTCTGACCTTTTTATCAAATTTCCCGACTGTTTCACTGATGGCAGAACCCCAGAAAATACGCATTGTCCACCACTGTTTCCATACCAGCTGTAGAAAATTGCTTCATCCCCTTTCAACTTTCGGCGTCATCTTGAGTTATCCCATGGCTATGTTTTCCCCTCTCCAATGAAGACGACTCGACGTTTTAACAACAGTCAGTATCATTATTTGACTTATCACGCTGATGATGACGACGTGGAACAGCATTAAGCCTGTCCTTGCTGCACTGCACATGTCAAAGAATCAAGAGATCTCGAGAACCATTTCAGCAGCCAACACGAAACATACCTCCCATCAGCTTCGTCGGAAAGCACTACTGCTGAAGATTCATCATCTGGACGAGTCTCATCAGAGAATACTTTGTCAGTTACGCCGGTTCTTCTTTTGCGCCGATTAGATTTAATATACCAAAGTTTAGCAAATACGGAAGACAGCGCATTGGCTCATCAGCAGATCGATGTCTGGAGGAACCTTCGAGAAGGTATGAAGGACCAATGGATGAACGAGGCATACCAAAGGTATTGCCTGGAAAACGGAAGAAATAAAGGCCGAATCCGTTCAGCATTAAAGTGGTCCGTAATACTTCTTGATTTGTTATGTTTCGGAATAATAGAAGATGTGTAGGAAGTTTGCGAGAAACCTTCCTGAAGATTGTAGACATAGAAAATATATCTTTGTAGTTGGAGAAAATATAAATATGACCATACGGTAGAAGTAAAAGTGACAACAATCAATTACAGATTTAAACTGAACTCTAAAGGAGTACTCAAATCTGACAACTTCACCTGAACCAGGCAACCAGCCGCAGCCCCAAGGTCAAAAGCGGCCGAATGAAAATGTTATGATTTTGGATGACGTTCCGATGGATCCACCTCGTGGCGAACACCTTGTCATCAATGGTTTTGACATTACAGACGCCACTTACCGTATGAAACTCGCTTTGAAAAATCAACCATGGAAATTGTCACTGGAGGATTACTTGCACCAAATACTTGCATCCACGTCCGTATTGCTCTTGACTCCCTGCGCATTTTCCGATAAAATCCAATCATTCTTCGAACAAGAGAACTGGACGGCTGCCAGCGCCGCTATCGAAAACATTTACAAAATTCAACAGCCATGCTTACCTATGACACTGCAGCCAGGCTTCTTTCGATCGTTGACGATTTTATCCGACGCAAAATTGACAGGGATGCAGCCGAAATCCAGTTGCGAACGCTGCAACTGCCCAAGAATGAAAAAAAAAAAAAAAAAAAAAAAATGCCAAAGTGGTTGCCGCATGCCTCGATAAGCGCCCATTTGTACCATTTGATGAGGATTTAAATGAGTCTGAGCTTTGCTCACGCTTTATTGATCCATTTCTCTCGTATTTGTTTTGACGAGCCTGACCAAGGTGTATACTTACGCTGGACAAATGAAATAACGTTGGAAGCCAAGCAACTATCCTGCAACATGCGCCCGGACCTAACAATCACCAAAACCGTTGGTCTCAAGTGGGCAAAAAGCCTTGGATATGGAGAGGCCAAACCTGCTGCGCGGGAAACTGATCATTACCTGGTTTGTCAAGATTTAATTAAGGTGGCACTGTTCTGCAAACATTCATTGGACGAGCAGCTGATGGACGGTGTGCTTGGTATACATATTGTCGGTCGTACCATTCGCTTTTACGCTCTGTGTTGCCTGACGTTTCTACATATGTGATGTACTTACTGGCAGAAATCAAGGTGCCGGACTCAATCAAGGGATTGTCTGGGTTCATACCAGAACTCCCATCTATCCTCAAGGTTCTGGGTGTGTTCGATTCAGTATGTGTTTGTTCCCTCACACCCGACGTCATTGCCCGTCGACGCGCTCCCACACTGCCGTCCAAAACGTTTCAACATATAATCTCGGAATCAAAGAGCCGAAAACGATCCTGTCACCTTCGACGCAGACGCACTTAAATACGGAATTCATCGTACCATGTTACTTCTCTCTTCGCCTCTCCTATCATGTCTCAGCTTTCTTATTTTTTTACGACACCGAACTCATAATCACCGACTTCATTCCTTATTTGTCATTATATATCTGAATCAGTTTTTATTAAATTGCGGATAACGTGGCTGAATGATGATCACATCGTTCACCTTTGCCGACATTATTTGCTAAATTGTCTGTGCCTACTTGTATAATACTGAAGTACATTAACATCAGGACGGTGATATGCGAAGAGGTGAAGGAGTTTAATATGTTTTCCGTTGATCGCTTTGTATTCGACACTGAAAATTGCCCAAATGCGGTTTCTCTGCGGAGTTGAGTGGTGGGAAGGATTTGGGTACAATAGCTTGTTTTCAATCTCAGCGTGGATACCTTCTTCTTCTTCCCTTACTTTTACTTCATACCAACGATGACAATTGCTGTAGCAACGTTGAATGCTCTCAAAAAGTTTTCTACATGCGAAGTATGTCTTTGTTATTTATTATTATACGACTAAAATACTCGCGGAATCTAACAAAAAGCACGTTTGCTTTTGGGTTGACAGATAGCCGACGCTATGATGAAACTCGGCCAGCGTCCCTGGGGAGGCTATATTCCGGACATTGACATGTGGTCGCCGAAATACTGTGAAGGCGAAACACGCATTATTGGTCCTGCATTCACTGTAAAGGTAAGAAAAAATATAGGGAAGAAAGGTTGCCTTTGGAACGTAATAAAATCATGATACTGAGATAGAATTTTGATCGTTGATAACAGATGGTGGAAAAAGATGACACGACATCTCCTAAGCCTTCGCAGCATTTTGTAAGCATATTATAATCTTGGGTTATTTGTGGAGAAAAATTAATTAAGGCTTCACATAATTTAGGCGGATGCCGCAGAAGAGGGTAGTGTGATGGTGATTTCTGCGCCTGCAGGTAAAGGTGTATCGATGCATTTGAGCAGAGACAGATATTAACGTGAGGTGATATTAGGTGTCAAGGGAGCTGTATGGGGTGGATTAATGTCGGCTCGTGCCAAAGCAAAGAAAGTCCAAGGTGTAGTGATCGATGGACGTGTGCGTGATTTGAGTGAACATCGATCCATGGAATACCCTGTAAGTTTCATTATCATTTTTCATCAATGGACCTAGGATGACGGCTAAAAATTATGATGAAATTGTAGGTCTTTGCCAAGTCGCACTCGACCTTGCCACAAAATGCGTTCGTACGACCTTCGGAGATTCAGGTACCGATCACCATGTCAACCTCGCCAGTGGTTGTGAACCCTGGTGATATCATGGTTGCCGATATCGACGGTGTGATTTGCGTTCCTGCCAGCTTGGTCGATGAAGTGATTCGTAGCTGTGAAAAGTATGTGGCGATTGATGACCAATGCATGAAAGCCATTCAAGAAGGTCATGGAGTCAAGGAAACCTTTGCCAAATACCGTGGCACGTAAACATCGCAAAAAGGAAAATAAAAATAAAAAATAATCCCCCCACACACATATAAAAGGATGAATTGTAATACATGTCGGCATCGAAAATGAATATGCAAGGTGATGAAGACGATGTCAACGCATCAACGTTGTCCCCAAGACAACAATCCAAAAAAAAAAAAAAATCGGACAATGAATGTAATGTTATGTTATACATGATTGATTGTTGTTGTTGTTATTTCAATGCCATTAGAAGAATGGAGATAAATGTTTACAAATTAAGAACAGCATGAGGTAGAAGAAAGCAAGCTAATGAAAAAACAATAGCATAGAAACAAGGATGAAAATGATAAGCATACAAGGAGAACAATGGATGAAGACGGCCAATCGAGAACTCTTTTTCTTTTTCGACCGTTGAAAATGGAAACTGCATGAAGTGTTAAAAAAGGAAAAACAATAATGAAAATGAAAACAGAAGTGAAAAACAAGAACAAGAAAAAAACATAAGATGCAGTATAAGTGCAACTGGAGGGATGACGACCAAACGGGAGAAAAAAAAAATCATGGCTGTTCTACAGTATTAAAAGCAAATATTATCTACATGAAAGAGGAAAAAAAAGAGGCACTTTTGTGGCACGGGAACATACAACAGCATGATATCCACAGTGAGCGCCTCAAAATGGTTGTTTGGCAGAAAGAAAAAAAGGGTATTTGCATGAAGGGAATCGAGAGAAATTTCGGTATGCCATTGGCAAAATTGGTTCGGACCAAGACAGTGAAAGATTAGTGGTATCGGTTGTAGAGGATTTCGTCAAAGGGAGGATACAGCTGATCCGGTGGTGGAAGCGACCGCTGTTTCGAAGTAGTCCAATATTCTTCGTCGGACGATTCGGCGCTACTGCAGCTGTAGGTACTTTGGCTGTGGTGTGACAAAGGTGCGGAAGGGGGTGGTGGAGAGGATAACCATGCCTCCGGCGAAGTAGGTATACTGGAAGGCGACCGGGTGGTGCAATGGGATTTGCGGGATTTGCGGATTCCTTGGAGAGTTCTATACCGGTTAAAGCAAGTGGCTCGTTTGCGGTGCGGAAGCTGACCCGAGATCTGTCCCCAAGTCAGCCCTTTGGCAACACCTTCACATATGATGGCATCTTCGAGGTCCGAGAACCGACTACGCGACTTGCCCAAATGTTGAATAGCGGTGGGCGTTCCCGAATACTTTTCTGGCTGAGGCGATTGTGGAGGCGACAGTTGTTGGAACGATAGAGGTGCCTCCGTTAGCGTGATGGGATTTAACATGTCGGTAACTGAAAAGATTTAAAACAAGGGAAGTGTTGAGAGTTTCGAACTGGCTTAAAACGGTTATTGGAGCTACTCAGACTCGACGGGCTTACTTTTCATTTTTAAGAGAGATCGAATGTGGTAAAAAAGAAAAGTTAAAATAGAGTGAGCTTGAATAAGTGAGACAAAAAAGAAGAAGAAGAAGAAGAAGTGGTTGAAAATAAAGATAATAATAACGCTCGCTTTTTATGTTGCTAATGTGTTGTTGTTTCTTTTTCGCAAAAAAGCTACAAAGATTTATTGTCCGTTGTTTTGGCAGGTGCTTTATTTATACTTGAAAGGGTGGCCAAAAATGGCTAACACAACAATATAGTGTAGTTTACATATGCGTGCGTTTCTATATGGACATATACGTGAACATTTGGGGTCTTTTTTTTTGACATCAGAGCATCGTTCCGCAAAAAAAAACAAAGAAAAAAGAAAAACAAATACCCAAATTTATTGATATCCTCCTTCATTTTCTTGCAATGAACATTTTGAGTTTGGAGCTACCATTTCCATTCCAGGAAATATGATACATAACATCGGCTCCACTCTTCATTCTATTCGACATGCTTCTGTAACATCATCATTTTCTTGATAAAATTTCACCGACATGTTTAGTACCTACATCGTTACATCTTCCATTATTTTCAAAGAACTGCATTACATTTATCCCACTCCATTCGTTCCTATTGCTGATTATTACCGTTCGATTCTGTGTTTCTCTTGTTTTTTTTTCTTGCAATCGGTCTGTTCATTCTATGAGACCATCGTTCATCCGTTTTTGCTCATGTTAGGGGCTCCCATCAGGGGAAGCTAAAAAAGGAGAAACAAAGGAAGAATGTCAATCTGTAGCAAAATCATCGAAAGCAAAATAGGCAAGTGGTCGAAAAAGGAAATGCTTCATTTAAACTTTTTCTGTTGATCTTTATTTTTGTTACTGATCTATCTTGGTAATATATTGATAAGAAATAGAAAATGTTAAAAATATCATCGTTCAACCGTATCACCTGGTTGTATCTGTGGGTACACCAATGCCTCTTTTCTGTGTTGCCTGTCGTGACTAACAGTAAAGACATCCTTTGGATCTCCGGTTACATTTCTGACATGGGCGATTCTTTTTATTCAATGAAGTAGCATTTGCCCATCCCAAATAACAATAACCCACAGTGTAATAGGGGGCCAAGAATTCGACAATTTGCCAATGCTCTAAATTTCCGCGGCTATGTGTTTTAGTCCTTTTTAGGCACTAACTTTGGATGAGATGCGGTAATTTCATCAGAATAAAGTATATGACGGGAACCCAAAATCTTTCTTGATCACTTTAACGATGTGTCCCTTGGTCTGATTCATCTTCATCATATCATCGGTTTTTCTCGTTTCGCTTTTGTTTTTGTGCATCGAACTTTCTATGGCAACGAAACGGTTAGGTTGATTGTATTTCTCGGTGGGGGTGGGGATAGGCAAATCAAGGAGCACTCAGATCGCTCCAAAGATATTTCATAATCCTTGCTGCACAAAATAGGAGCAGAAGGACACAGACACAGGAAATAAAAAAGAGAAATCTCATCAACAATGCATATTATTTATCATTATACATAACACAAAATACTGTGGGGCTCAACCTATGCTGCGAATAATTTTATTTTTATTTGGTGCCTTTCAGTAACCCGATAGTGATTGGTGGCTCCTGCATGAGTGGCAGGGCACCCGATCCATACGCTTTGGGCTGATTGTGATGAGTATCAGATATACACACTCTGTTCTGAGAAACTGGAAGCGTGATCGATAAAAAACATGTTCACATGATACTGATTTCATTCTTTGGGTCAAGTCGATCTTCAACCATAGTCGAATAGTATAGGAGCACGCCGCCCTATTTGTGTGTTTCATAATATCCTGCAAACCAACCCTAGTCAAAATGCGGATATTAACGGATACAGGGTTTCGATGCCAAGCCAGGTACATGATCCCTAAAAACATTCGTTGTTATGCTCGCCAGCATGTCTTGTTGCTGTATTAAGACCCTCCTCCGTAAACGATCCTTGGCGCAAACTGTTTTCTTGCATCAATTCGTTTACAAATCGCGACAAACGAGTAATGTACAAAGGCACCTTGAGAAACAGCCGCTGTTTCTCCTTGGTCTGTTCTCTACTTGCAGGACCCCATTTCTGTTTCAAACTCCTCTTTATCCTGCATTTCATCTCCTTACCGAAATGCAAAGCCTACTGCTGCTGATGAAACGCACTGACCAATGCACCGGTTAATGCAAGGGCGATATAACCATACAATAAAGAAACATTTTCATCATTGTCATCAACACACATTTCATCACTTTTTTTGAGCACAGCTATTTTATCGGTAACCACAGAGTACTTGTTTGCAGTCGAACGGCAAGATTGGTCTATAAAGATGATGCCCGCTAACGGGGACGGGATGTTTATCTATATTAACATGCAAAGAAAAAAAATAACAAAAGGAGATTCCATCAATCGAAATAGAGATATAAAATAATACAAAATGAGAAAAACAACAAATGTCTCCATGATCGGAGCCATGAAACAATGAAAGCATAAAAAAAACCGAAAAAAAAGACAAAAAAAACAATGGAAAAAGGAGAGAAAACGATGAGGGTAAGTTGGCTGATCCTTTACATTTCCATGGCATCATCTTCATCATCCGACACAAATTCAATTTCTTCATCGACTACCTCTTCTTCTTCAGGAGCCGACGGGGGTACGACCTGGTTAATTGTAGCAATCAGTTCGTGAGCGTGCTCCACCATTGCTTCATCATCCGAGCCAATCGTATTGTACAGCTTGACAGCCAATTCCAAACAGTCTCTTGCATCTTCCCAGTGTGCCATTCGTTCTTCATTGGACTTTTCTTCATCGTCACCAAGACAATAATATGTCCAACCATAGAGATACCATAAATCCACGACCTGATCGTTTTCCTTTTGCAATCCTTCCAAAACAGCAAACGCTTGTTGGAACATGGTCAATTCCAGTAACAGTTTCACCAAAGCCAATCGAGAATCGTAGATCGGCATCGCGGCATCTCCAGGTTCTTTATCAATCCATAACCGCATACTGGTCTCCAAGGCCGCACTCGCATCCTCATTTCGCAACTGACTCAATCGTACCGACGCTAATAACTGATATACTTCGGGATTCTCGGGGTCGACCTGTTGCGCGTGCTGTAAAAACTCTTCACACTTTGATTCCGCCTCAGGTTCAAAACTGCAATTAAACAGTATAAACTTGAGTACACGTTTTATAAAAGTCGCGCCAAACTAAATTCTGACTCTGTTTTTCGTTTCCATACCAGCAATCGGTCAAGTAGATCTCAGTCATGGAGCATAAAGCGCCAGCGATTTTCGATGACAGTAACTTGATTTCTACAGGATCTTGTAATTGCGCCTTTTCAGCCGTCATAAGTTCCACGCCTTTTTGAAATGCTTCAATGGCCTCCTTCTCCACGGATAGTTGACCAAGATACATGTATTTGCTGTAACCTTGGTCTGGTTTCAGTCGGATGGCTTCAAGCAAATGCTATACCAAACGAATTTCCAATAAGCTCCCAAGATTTCGTGCTAACAACAGTATGCACTTGTAAAACCTACATTGCGAGCTTCGGCAAACATATCCAACTCGATTTCCACTTGACCTGTCACTTCGAGAATCTCTGCATTGGTGGGCTCCAATTCCAGCGCACGTTGACAGAAAGCAAGCGCCACGGGGTATTCCATGGAATCAATATTCGCCTGGATTTTGGGAATAAGATCCCCAACAGTATATTGAACCGACATGATCGAGTCAGGTAACGTGGCAAAGGAAAGCTTCTTTTTTTACAGAAAGGAAAACTTTATCTGCCTTGCCGTTTTTGTGATGCAAGAAAAAAAAAAACGAAACCCAAAAAAATTGCACGTGATGTGACTAGCGATTTGAGCGACTTGGAGACAGACAGACTGTGGTCATACATCATTCCTTTTATATAAAATAGAAGATATAAGTGTATGTATGAAAATTATACAAGACTGAAAGGGATTAAAGTTCAATAAGAGGTGCCTCATCCACCTTTTTCGGTGGTTGATATTGCTGAGCTGGTGGCTGCTGTTGCTGTTGCTGTTGCGGTTGCGGTTGCGGTTGCTGCTGTGGTGGATACATTTGGGTTTGATGAGGGGATGCATAACCATAGACAGGTTGTTGCTGTTGCTGCTGCGGTTGATGCTGGGGTGATTGTTGATATTGATCGTAGGGGACGGAAGTAGGTTGGACGTTGTAGATTGGCTGCTGAGCGGTCGATGGGGCGGGAGGAACCTGACCAGCATTGGCATCAGGTACCCCAGACGGCGCATAAGCGTTGGCGGCATAAGGATCGTTCATCGGTGCCTGATAGTAAGGAGCGGCAGGTTCAGCTACTGATGAAGGTGGGTACATATTTGCGGGTCCATTCGGCATAGGGTAGTAGTTGGAAGCTTGGACGTTGGGATACAGAGCCGGTGATGGTTCTGTTGGTGGTGTAGCCATGGAACCATAGGAGGGTCCGTTGCTGTAGTATGGATAACTTGCTCCGCCTTTGGTATAAGCACCCTTGACACGTTCTTCCAATAACCGATCGTACGTTCTCACTGCTAAATTGAGCTTTTCATGCAATTCCACAAAAGTACCTAGACCCGATCACCATTAGTCGTTCCGCTGTCATCTTTTTTTTTTTTCATTTTCAGGAATCCTAATAACTTACGGTGTTTGCGGTTGGTGTCATCCAAACTCTTGAAAAGTTTGGGCTGCAAAGCTCCAATTTGTTCGTAGAGTTGATTGATTTGAGGGTCTCGGAAAACATCGCCACCGGATGCATGCAGTCGTTCCATGAGGATGGAGAACAGTTGGATATTTTCGGTTTCCACCATGGATAAATCATCGTTGGGTGGTACGTACGATCGCTGTTCATAGTTGGAAGGCGCTGAAGGTGCTGAGATCTGCATATCTCGAAGCGATGCAGCAATGGCCGCTGCCAAATCTGGATCTTCCTCTTCCATGGCCTACAACAAATCACTTTAATACTCTGTTCCAAATTTCCCCCCTTTCATCCGTCCAATGGTACCTTTGGCGTAGGCGAAGCGGGGCGCTGGGAAACCGACGATTGTGGCGGAGCATAACCCGCACCGTATCTATTTTTTCGCTGTTCTTCTTCCTTCAACGACAGCTCGATCGCCTTTTTAAGATCATCGTCGAATGCGTCCTCGGGCTCTGTCGATTTTTTCGCAGCCGATGGAATTGTTTGGGATGGCGCCGGAGTCGGTGAACTGCCGCTGCTGTAAGCTGCCTGCAAACTTTCCTTTTTCGCCACCCTGGCCAGTTTCAATTTGATGTAACAGCCATCACACACTCGCACTTCTTCGTTAATGGCTAGATGCGGTAATCGCATATTCTTTGACGAACATTGCTGACAAAAAGTGCCACCACATTGGCGACAATGATGCTGTAACATCCAAACGGTGAGTTGAAATTATCCATTACCAATGCCCATGTTTTTTCTCTGTTACCTTTCGATTCGTCACGGTAAACGGAGTGCGACAACGCTCACATACATCGGAATCGGTCCACTCGGGTGCCTAAATATGTGTAGCGTTAGAAGCTAGAGTTCACCCGACGTTGTCTTCCAATTCTTACAGCCGAAGTTTCTAGAAGAATCGAATCAACGTGCTCCTTGACAGGAGGAAACACATATCCTTCAGCTTTCAATAAGGTATAAGTGTCGGTCATATAACTCAATGTCGATTTCCCTTTGGAAGCAATTCCCCAGGTCTGTATGACGGATAAAATTTTGTTCTTCACATCCAAGTTGCAACCCTAAAACCCTTTTTTGTCAGCGGATGATGACGACATTCATATATATGGTGTGCAAGACTTACGGGTGCACGCATAATAGACACCATATCATCCATGAATTCTCGGCTTGCAATTTCTTTCACAAACGCATCGCCACTGTTTTTTACGCAGGTATCCAATAACTGCAATATAAAAAAAGTATTGCACCAAGCTGTCAGTTTTACCTTCCCTACACAAGTGTGTGCCAAGCGTCCCTTGCCCGGGGAACTTACCGATAATGTCGACAGTTGGACGTTGGGATTCTTATGGTTCAATCTTCGTTTCAATGCTCGCATAGCGTCCTTGGGGGCTACTTTTTTGCTACGAATTTGATCGCTAATATCGAGATGCAAGGCCAAGTCTTCTTGGCCTGCAGGAAGCAACTCCGAAGTGGCCTTTTCTGAATAACCACGAACTGTCAGTAAGTATTACTTTGGCATGTTACTAGTCACTGCCATGCTACCAATAATCTCGTCAAGTGCGCTTGAGCCCCACCACGAAGAAACCATCGTGTATAATATGCAAGTAAAAACGTAAGAAAGAAAAGGAAAAAAGAAGAGAAATAAAAGAAAGTCCACCAAGGGTGCAGCCAACCAATGCTCTGCTGAGTCTTGGCAAAAAAATTCATCCCATCCCAGTGACCAAGGATTCGGTGCACGTGACTTCTTAAAAAAGGAAATGAACTTCGACATACAAAGGTGCTGCGACCCGTTGACCGTCTTTTCCCCTGTTCCGTTCCTGCCATTTTCACCATGAGCTTACATTCCTGGGTGTCCGACAATGTCATGAAAGCAAGTGTTTTGTGAACGTCCATGATCGTTTTACTTTATACTAACTTTCGCGCTTTGGCTAGTTGCTCGGCATGTCCGAAAAGACCATGGTCGATTTTGTTATTGCCACAGGTATAAAAAAAGATCCAGACGAAAACATTGGCTGATCGTTGCCTTTTTAATGATAAAAGAAACTTGACTGACGATTGATTTAATAGCTCAAAAGGCCAAATCGCCCGACGATTTATTTTCATCGCTACAAGCGGCTGGTGCACCTGCCACTGGCGATACCCAACGTTTTGCTGCAGACTTATATGGTCGAGTTCCACATAAGGTCCCCGCATCCGCTGCCGCTGCAGCCGCTGCAGCCGCCAAAGCACAACGAAAGAAGGAAGAAAAAGAAGCCGCCAAATTGCGTAGAGCCAACGAGGCATTCCAGACATTGTTAGAGGATCCCGCTGAAGTCGCCGCGGCCGAAAAAGAAGAAGAACGACGATTGCGCAAACAGGAAAAGAAATTGCGTAAAAAGAAACGAGAAACGAGCGCTTGGGAAAGTGATGAGGAAACCGAAATCACGACCACTGAAAATAATCGGAAACGAGCCAAAGGTAGGTTATTTTTTGCACAGGGAACGGCGTCAACCGTGTTACTTACCAATATTGTTTTTCTTTAGCGCAACAATCAGATGAAGTCACAGAAGAGGAAGAATTGGAGAAAAAACGATTGGATGATATCAGAGAACGTGACGCATTTGCTGAACGATTAAAGGAAAAGGACAAGGAAAAGACGAAAAAGCTTGTCGAGGATAGGTCAGCAAAGGAAGGAAGTGAGGCACAAAAACGACGAAATCTGGCCAACGATAAAGAAGCTCGTCTAGACGCATTACCGGATCTCCGTGAACGATCGCGACAACAATACCTAAAGATGCGTCAAGATCAACGCCTCGAATTGTTAAGGCAAGAAGTCGCGGATGAAGAGTTCTTATTTGGCAACCAGAAACGGACAGAAAGGGAAATTGCCGCCTATAATTACAAGAAACAAGTGTTGGAATTGGCTGAAGCACGTCTTAATATCGATTCAAAGCAGGATGCTTACGTGATGCCGGAAGGTAAAGTATCATCATTTTTCGTGACGTTTGGATTCGGTGACATTGACTATGATTCTCTTGCAGATTATATTACGGAAAAGGGAAAAATTGACCGGAAAAAGAAAGAGTCAGCGTTGTATAAGCGTTACGAAGAAGAGGAAAAATTCGTATCCGAACAGGATCAGTGGGAGCAGCAACAAATCAGGAAATCAGCGGCCAAAGCCGACCGAGGGGCGCCCGAAGATGAATACGATTACGTGTTTGACGAAGATCAAAAGATCGATTTTGTGATGGCGGCGAAAATCAATGATGATCGATCGGCCGAAGACTCCGAGTTACTGGAACGCATTGATGAAGCCGAACGTAAAGCGAAATCCATTGAAGATACGCGAAAGTCGCTGCCTATTTACCAATACCGGGACCAGTTACTGCAGGCCATTAACGATTACCAAGTGCTGGTCATTGTGGGAGAAACAGGCTCCGGAAAAACGACGCAGTTGCCTCAATACCTCTATGAGGCCGGCTATACAAAGGATGGAAAGAAAATTGGTTGTACGCAGCCCCGTCGTGTGGCCGCCATGAGTGTGGCCGCTCGTGTAGCCGAAGAAATGGGTGTTCATTTAGGTGCTGAAGTTGGTTACAGCATTCGTTTTGAAGATTGCACCACCGACAAAACCACAGTGAAATACATGACCGACGGTATGCTTCTTCGTGAATTCATGACCGAGCCTGATCTGGCCTCCTACAGTTGCATGATCATTGATGAAGCCCACGAAAGAACCCTTTCCACCGATATTCTTTTTGGTCTTATCAAGGTAAAGTACCCCCATCATTCATCGCTTTATAAAATTATCTTCACTTGTTGCTCACACTCATTTACTTGCTCTTTCAGGATATTGCCCGTTTCCGTCCCGACTTGAAGCTGTTGATCTCCAGTGCTACGATGAATGCGCAGAAATTTTCAGAGTATTTTGACGATGCGCCCATTTTCAATATCCCTGGTCGGCCTTACCCTGTCGAAATCTATTACACCAAAGCTCCAGAAGCCAACTACTTGCGTGCGGCAGTAACGCAAGTACTTACCATTCACGTTACCCAAGGCAGAGGAGATATTCTGGTCTTTTTGACCGTAAGTGATGAACAATAAGCAAAAAGTGGCAAACTCTATATTTACTTATTTGGTCTCTTTCTTTCAGGGTCAAGATGAAATTGAAGCGGCTAATGAAGGATTAACACAAGCATGCAAAGCGTTGGGCAGCAAAATTGGTGAACTAATTATTTGTCCTATTTATGCGAATCTGCCGTCGGATATGCAATCACGGATTTTTGAACCTACACCTGAAGGAGCCCGGAAGGTGATTCTAGCCACGAATATCGCTGAAACGTCCATTACCGTGGATGGTGTGGCGTTTGTGATCGATCCCGGTTTCAGCAAACAAAAGAGCTTTAATCCTCGCACCGGCATGGAAGCCTTGACGGTGACACCCTGTTCTCGAGCTTCCGCGACTCAACGTGCTGGTCGCGCCGGTCGTACCGGTCCCGGCAAATGCTTCCGTCTTTTCACTCAATGGGCTTTTTACAATGAAATGGATGAGAACACAACACCTGAGATCCAACGAGTGAATCTGTCAAATGTGGTGCTTTTACTCAAGGTAGGATCATTATTGTCCTAATGCTTGAAGTAATGAATGGAATGCTGATCTTTTTTTGCATGATATCGTATATAGAGTTTGGGTATCAACGATCTGGTCAATTTTGATTTCCTCGATCCACCTGTGGAAGATACCATGATTCGTGCTTTGGGACAACTGTATGCGCTGGGAGCACTGAATGACCGAGCGGAACTGACCAAGTTGGGGCGACGGATGGCCGAATTCCCCATGGATCCGACGCTTTCCAAGGCCATCATTGCCGCCGAAAAATACGAATGTACCGAGGAAGTGATTTCTATTTGTGCTATGCTAAGTGAGCAGAGCTCGCTATTATACCGACCCAAAGATAAAAAGCTGCTGGCGGACACGGCTCATCAGAACCTAGTGAAACCGGGAGGCGATCATTTGACGCTTCTGAATATATGGAACCAGTGGGTAGAGACGGATTATTCCATTCAATGGTGTTACGAGAATTTCATCCAACACAAGACCTTGGAACGAGTACGTAATGTTCGCGATCAACTGGTGCAACTATTGGACCGTGTTGAAGTGCCGCTTGTCAGCAATCCTGATCCCAACGACATCACGCCTATTCAAAAGGTAAATTTTCTTGTGGCTGATGCTACAACAGTAGTATGGGGCGCTCATTTCTTTTTCTTTTTTTCACTTTCTGGTAGGCCATCACCGCCGGCTTTTTCTTCAATGCGGCGCGACTGGGTAAATCCGGTGATTCTTACCGCACACTGAAGCAGGGCCAAAGTGTATACATTCATCCAAGCAGTAGTATGTTGGAGAAGAAGCCAAGGTTCATCATTTACTACGAACTGGTGCTGACCAGCAAAGAATACGTGCGAGCGGTACTGGAAGTCCAACCGAAATGGTTACTGGAAGGTAAGTCATAAAAATCAAGGATCTTCCAACTTTGTGCTAAATATTTCCTCTTCCAATCACTCAGCGGCACCGCATTACTACAAAGAATCCGATATGGAGCTGTCCAAAGACAAGAAGGAGAAGAAATAAAAACAAAAAGACTCTCCTTGTCATTTATCATTCTGTTTAGAACAACTCAACCTCAATGTATCTCTATCCCGCCGGATAGTCCTTTTTTAATTTCAACATTCATATCGTTGCATTTGTTTGAATAAAAACTGTATATCACATCACTCAAAAGTCGATTACGCACTCTTCAACAAGTAAATCTTATATCCCTCTTTGATTACAATTCCCGTCACCGTGTTCTCACTCGTGTCCTGACAGAAATCACAAGGGAGATAAATGGAACCCCCGGAGGGGTTCTGTTTGTATGCTTGTTGAATTCTTACTAGGTTTTAATGAATAAATACAGGGAGTTTATACAATATATTACATGATATGAGCAACATGGTGAACTCAGGAACCCCAGGCGTTGGCTTGTTTGTTACGAGCCTTCAAACTTTGTTCATATTCGGCTGCTTCTTCCACCAGACGACGCAATTTCGGATCATCCAGCCTCTTTTGAAGTCGGGTATAACTGGACTCGGGCTTTTTGCGTACATCAATCAGAGCCGATTTTTTGGTTTGTTTCTTTCTTCGCTTGGCATTTGAATCGATACGTTCTTGACCCGCTTGCTGCATGACATCACCTTCAAGCTGCTGCCATAAAGACGGTGATTCAGGTGCACGCGGATCGTCCTCAACAGGCGTGGATACCTGATCCTCAGGACGCACAGGTCGGCCTAATTCATCGCGAGGAATAATTTTCCCGTGAAAAGGACAGGTCACCAAGTCCCGTCGTGGACATAAACTTCCATTATGCAGTGGTGCACGACAAGCCTGATACAAGATCTATCGTCAAGACAGCCTTTTTTTTTCAAATCTGTAATTACAGCTTACTTTTAAATTTTGCTTCACGTCACTCTTGTAGTAAAGGGGACGCTTCCGGAGTTCTTCCAGTAGATGCTGTGGCATTTCATTCGTTCCTTCACCGACGCCCATAAATCGATGACTTCGTTCTGTAACACATGCACAATATTGAGTAACATGACATTAATTCATCGCCGCAGCACCAGCTTACCAATGCCACTCGTATTGAATTGCACCGAGGTCTTATCCCAATAATACAAATCGTCACCCCACTGCGGATAGATATTCATATGAGTCATTGTAATTTCTAACACAAAAATAGGTTTGGTCCTACCTCAACCACAGGTGCACGCTTAAGAAGCTCTGTAAGAATATGAACGCATTAATCAGCTGTGGACTTTCTCAGGGTTTTCTTGCTATCTATAATGTACCTTCTCTGAGAGGATCTTCTGGCTGCTTGCCTTTCCCATTCGTATCATGGGATGCATCTGAGCTGGCTTTGTCTGATGGACTTTCGGAGCGCACGCGAGCACCGGAGTAAGTGACATCCTCGCTCATGGCAGGTTCATAAGCCAATGGAAAGATACGTTGACCAGGGGGAAGTTTCGTGCTCGATATTGTTCTCCCTAGTTTCCCACTAGATGATTCAGCTTTTTCAGAAGTTTCAGTAGGTATATCCACTTCTTCAAAAAGCTCATTCAAAAATTCGTCCTCGTCTTCCTCGGCAGCCGTGCCCCGGTCATCTTTGGATTTTCGTCTTTCCATCACTTGGATGCCGAGCAGTTTCGCTTTTCGTCCAGCTTCCGTCATAGCTGCTTTGACATCGATCAGTTGCTTGATCAGCTTTTCTTTTTCACGTGAATCCTACGGAAAAAAAGAGTGAATTAACCGCGATGGATGCACTATCCAGAACACATACCGTGTATTCCAATTTCACCAAGGTATTCATCCATTGCGTCACTTGCTTGATATGTTTAGTTTCCATCAATGTGTAAGCTTCACGCAACTGTTCATAAATGATTTCATTTTCTTCTGACTCTTGAACTTGATCTTCCAGCAAGTTCTCTGACAAATCAATGGTGATCTTGTAGCGATTGGAAGCGAGACCATGCGATAAGATACTTTGTTTGTATGCGTCATCGGTAGATCGGTTCGAAGCGGCCATATCACCTTTCATTAAGGCATCAAAATCGATCGAGGTGTCGTCTGCATTTTTGGGCACAAGTATTTCAAAGCATGATTCCTAAATGGACATGACTCAATATAATCCCTGCAAACTTGCTCAAAAACCCGAATTTACCATGCTCTTTAGGTTTTCCTGAATTAATTCCAGCTGCTCCTCCATTTCAATTTTAATATGCTCATAACGCCGTTCTTGAATCGCCTTTACTCGAGCCTAACCAACGATTCATTAGTGAATCCATCCGATTGGGGGGGATCATTGAAAGTCTCTCAAAAGGCTACCTGTCGATTCGCTTTATCACGATCATGCACATGAATAGTGGCCAATGACTCCATACTCTGATCCAGCACGCCATTATGATCCAGGTAATCATAACCGATACTTAGAGGACGGTATAAATCACCAAACTTCTCCAGCCAATTTTTGATCAATGCCACAGCATATTTCTTCAACTTGATGGCCACCTGAGCTGGTGGTGGTAGGGCTTTTTGATGAATACCAACGGTCAATTCAATGAACAGAGGAAGATCATCTGTAAGTAAGGAACGAAAGTGATGTGATCGTTGGAAAAGTTCTTCACAAAGCTGCACCGTAGAATATCGTATCTGTTACCGCAGCCGATCCGGTGTGAGTCAACTTGCACTTTATTGATAACACTAGCTACCTCTAAGATATGTCTACCATACACATACCTGTGCATGTTCTTTCTTCAGCTGGGCCATAATAAACCCATAGGCTGAATCAATGTTCTCGTTGGATCGTTTACAATAGCTCTTGATCACCTACATTGACCATTGTCAATCTCACTCATGCCATTAACACCCAATGCATTTCCGGGCTTTCTACCTTTAGTTTTTGCGCATCAAGTGTCCATTCACCGGTTTCGGTAATGTCTTTTATCAATCGTCCAAGCGCATCTCTTGCTTCTACATCCATGAGGTGAAATGCAAATGCAGACGAAGAAACTTCAGAGTTTTGCGATCGCCGCAGCACGAGTTAAGACAGCCAAACCGAATTTAGGTCGTCTTTCATACTCCGAAAGCACAAAAGTGCATTCCCGCCCAATGAATTCCAATTTCAACACAGAATGACGTTCGAGCAAACAGCTGCCATTGTTGCATAACATCCCAAGGGACATCCTTCCTAGAAACCAGTACGGCTAGTGAGGGCGGCGCTGCAATAATTTAAAGTCAAGATGTGTATATTGCTCGTGAGAATGAGCGAAAAAATGAGGAGATCATGCTCTGTTCCATTAATGCACAACGGCTGACGCGAACTTTCAGTTTTCAGTCTAAGCCTTATTCCCTACTTTAGCAATGACAAAGATAGTTTACATCAGAGCAGCTTCAGAGTGCAACACAGCTGAGATCATCTTATAATTGTTGGGATGTAGCATAAAACACTAATCAAAATTGAATTCACAAACACTACCATCAAGTGGAGCGGAAATAATATAAAGACCATTGATTTTATTATCAAATATCATCAATCCAATAGGAAAAGGAAGAAAGCAATGGCACCACTGAGGCAAACTCTTTGGCTGGAATTTTTATGGTCCAAAACTGACATTTACGAAGAACAGTTTTGTGGACACAAGACCTCCAAAGTTACAGCCGAAGTTGTTTTTGACGAACTTCGTCTTCCGAAATGCCCATAATATTGGCTACGTTGTTTGAGTTAGCGACTTGTTCTGGCGTGTCATATCGTAATGCTATTCCGTACCAGTTTGGCAGTGGACTTGCAGTTCGACAAGTTATCAATGCTGCATTCGAGGTTGTTTGAAGCTTTCTCGTTGACTTCTTTGGCAATAGGTCCGGCCATCACGGCGGAAGCAGCAAAGACTACAAGATGACTGATGTAAGGCTTTCACGGTAAACTCATAAAGATGTTGTTGGACCATATCGTAGTAAAAGACTTCACTTTTATAGCTATTTTTTATCATCGATCCGTCACAAAACCCCCAAATTTGATGCGTGGCCAATATTATGGGAACTCTCCTAAACACGCTTAATGCGAGAAAACTAGTATGAAGCGTTTCTTCATGCGACATTAAATACGGCAATTCAGATCTAACGATGAAATTGAACCTCGGCATATCACATTTCGGCTCTGATCTATGTTTGTTCTGCAATAGGTAGTATGAAAAGATTTCTGAAATACGGTATTCAATGCGGCGGTCTTTTTTGCCGAATTTCTACAGTACCTTGCTAGGGGCTAGTCATTTAAAGAGCAGGCAAAACTATAAACAATATGATGTTAAAAACAATGAAGACGAGGCGCGTGTTTTCGGGGCATTGGGAAATGTGGTTCATACAAACAAAAGAGCGCCACTCCTGATTCATTTAAAGCAAATGAGCCTACAAGGTGAAGACTAATTATTGTAGCCATTTTCTTGCCATTTTAATGACATAATCACAAAGAGGCGGCAAACACAGTATATCACACCGATCGCTTTGTCTTCAAGAGATGTCACTTCTGTAATGCTCATGACAGAGGTTAAGCCGTTTTAGCTACTGTATCAGCAGTTCGATTTGAGATATTTTTCTGTAACTACATTTATCACCGAAGTTTTGTCGTAGACTTGCAAATAGAGTACATCAGGTTATTATGCTACATTCGGCATTAACGGAACTCCTCATTAACTTGCCTGGCGATATGTCTATTTACATGGTAGTATGAATACTTGGTTCATTTTTGTAAGAATTTTCACATTGAGCTCTTAAAGGTACTGTTGATCGTATGATCAAGGACTACTTCTACGAGGTTTTAATCCGATATCTATCATGCATCGTACTTGCGAAACTATAGGTAAATGACAATGCGCCCAATGAAACGCGCCTAACCACCATGGCTACGGAAAACGTTGAACCAACTGTTCCATCCGGCATACTTATGCCTGCTGATTGCTGTACGTTACGCCTCGCATGAGGTATTTCCTTGTCTGATCTGTGTTTCACTGTCACAAAGTATTTCTAAGCTTCGGCATTCAATGCGAGGTCGTTACCCTTGAGTGACCAAATCCCGCTCTGATGAAAGATATTTTACTACTCTATGCTGAATGTTGTATTAAGTGCAAACAAGCATATCGTGTCATGACCGTCTTCATGAGATATTGGCACACCATGTGTCATGGTCATTGCATAGTGCAGGACCATGATCTTACCCTATGCGGGTCCTTGACTTGACTTGCCCTGTCTTGCGCAAGCACTTAACGCCACTCCCTTGTCCAGTTGCGCTGACCTTCCATAGTCTGCGCAAAAGTCATTTTCGCGCGTAGCAGGTTTGGCTTCTCCATATCCGAGGCTTCTTTCCACTTGAGACCAACGGTTATGGTAATTATTAAGTCGGGGCGCATGCTGCTGGATAATTGCTTCACTTCCAATGTTGTTCCGTTTGTCCAGCGCAGTATACACCTCTTGGTCAGGATCGTCAAATAAGCCTGAGAGAAATGGTTCAATAAATCGTGAGTAAAGCTCAGACTTATTTGGATCCTGATCAAGTGGTACAGATGGGAGCTTTTCGACGCAAGCGGCAACCGCTTCGGCAAATTTTTTCGTTCTCGGGCAGTTGCAGCGTTCACAATTGGATTTCGGCTGCATCCCTGTCAGTCTTGAGTCGCAGCAAGTCGTCCACGATCGAAAGAAGCTCGGCTGCAGTGTCAATTGGTAAGGATGGCTGTTGTATCTTGTAAACATTTTCGGCGGCAATTCTGGCACCGTCCATCTCCAAAAGATGATCATATTTCATCGCGAAATGTAATGTCGTCTGAGGGAGGCAATTCTTCTTCTTCAGGCAAGTTGACATCGAGAGAAAACACTGCCGTTTCTACGCCATACATTTCTGAAATATTTCGCTTCAAAGCTTGCACCTCAAGTAAATCTTCTATTGCTTCGATCGTTAAGATAACCTTGAAGCCTCAAGAGCAATACCGATATGGAGGCAAGTATTTGGGGCAAGTGACCTTCCAGTGATCACTTCCTATTGGTGATCCTCCAAAGCGAGCTTCATGCGGCAACTGGCATCCGGAACGTCGAAACCATTGATGTCAAGGGGTTCGCCACGAGATGAGTCAGTAGGAACGTCATCTAAAATCATAGCGTTTTCAGTTGGCCGCTTTGATCTTGCGGCTGCGCCTGGTTGACTTGTTCAGGTGAAGTGTTGTCAGATGAGTCTCGTCCAGTTGACGTATCTTCAGCAGTAGTGCTTTCCGACGAAACTGATGGAAGGTTTGTTTTGCGCTGGTTGATGAAATGGGTCGACGTCTCTTAGTTTTTTGACCTGTGCAGTGCAGCAAGGGCAGACGTAATGCTGTTCCACGTCGTCGTCACCAGAGTAATGTGTCGAGAATTATATTGACAGTTGTTTAAATGTCGAGTCGTCTTCATCGATGAGGGGAGCACATAGCCATGGGATAGCTCAAGATACGCCGTACACTGTATGGAGCCGAAGGTTTTTGTACAACCGTTGAGGAAGCAGCAGTGAGCGATACGTATTTCTGAGGCTTCCCGAAGTAGTGAAAACAGATGGGGAAGACGGACGACACGTGTGGTACTTGTAGACCGATGTAGGTGGAGAAAAAACGTCTCTCAATGTTTGTCGCGAAGATGGGACACCGGGCACCGATTTGGTCGCTTTTGGTACGTTGGGTATTGCTGTACGCTTCTTGGGCTTTCGACGCCGTGTTTGGTAAACAGTTTGACGACGTTCGCTGTGGTGGGAACCGGGATTCCAAGGTTCTCTGATATGTAACCGTAATTCTTGTCAGCATCATAAGAGAAATACGTCAGCCTTGAGAAGAAGTTTCCTTCCGTTTGGCTGCGCACTTGGAAAAGCTGCGATAGAGGCTTCTGGAAAAAAGAAGGGCGTGTCAAAAGTTCAGATTCAAGGCTATTTGAAGGCCCGCTTGAATGAATTAAAAAAACTTGAACCTCGTCCCAGGAAGCAGTGTGAAGCATCCCACATACTTTGAAGACGCGCACAAAGCAAGGGAATGGCTGAATTCACGACGCTTATTAATAAACCTTTGGGCTTTACACCGTACGATGTCAAATGGGTACTTCATTCCGCCCGACTATGTGTTATTGGTGCTACGGGCCACTCCACCGGCAGGATCGGGGTATACCGCATGGAAGAAAAACACTTGACGCTTGTCAATGAAGTACGTTGGAGTATGATCCGTCGAGGATTTGGCTGGTATTTTGTTTGGATTCCTAATAAGTCTTGCTATAGACAGAAACTTCGACGGTGGTGCGATGTGGAACGTTTGAAGCAGCTGAAGCGCACATGCGACATGTCGCAACCGGCGATTTCGAGGGTCGCTTGCAAATCTGGTAAGGAAAGCGTGTGGAATAAGATTGCTCTTTCTTTGCGGTTATTCATCATGATGTGATTGGTCTCAGGGATATTGAACATTTAGAACTACCATTTGCTTCGGTCAAAGCACACCGCAGCATCATTAATTGCATCGATGGGATCGGCGGGGCTCAAGACAAAGGCGCAAGGGAACTTGTGACAGGCAGTCGCGATGGTAAATTTAGCCATTTTCAACAAAGGACAGTATTGAGGATTATTAATTATAGAGATGTAGGCTGTGTCAAAGTATGGGACCAGCGACAATTGGAGAAACCGATATTCACAGCACGTCCAAAGGATGATGCAAGTGCTTCCGATATTTGGGCCGTGGCTTTTGGTAAGGCTGAACTTTATCGTCTGAGCACGTCCATTTCATGTGGTTGATGTTTGATGTGCTTAGGTAAACGAGATAATAGAACCAGTCGATTGGTGGCAGCAGGGTTCGAAAATGGAGATATCAAATTGTTTGATCTAGCCTCATCCACATCACAGTATTTATGGCATACCAATATTGGCGCTGGCGTAGGTTACAGGATGTCGTATCAGGGAATTGGTGAAGTAACGCCGAATTCTATAGGTTTGCTCGATTGACATTCATACAGACCGTCTGATAGCCACGACCTTACATGGCGTTTGCATTATTGATCTGCTCACAGGCCAGTCCACTAAATTACCGGTAAGATGACTCTTGGCCCAGATGATGCCATTGTCGTAAGATTCACTGATACGGTATACAGTCACCCTCTGAAACCACGATGTGGGCTGTGCGCCATTTTCCACAACAATCCAATCTGTTTGCAGTAGCCGGTGGCGATGGGCAGTTACGGTTATGGGATGCACAACACACGGAAAAACCGGTCGCTTCTCAGTCATTATCAAAACATCCGATCATTGCTTTTGATTGGAATCGGGACAAAAAGGGACTTTATGCGTGCGGTTCATTTGATCAGACCATCAAGATTGGGTTTATGCAAGGTATTTAGTGGATTTGTAAATAAATGATGTACAATGAGATGTAAAAGCACATAATGGCAAAAAAAAGGAAACAAAGAAAAACGAGAGAAAACAACACGTGCATGTCACAGTGGACCATCTACTTCTTACGTTCCTGACTCCATCGATACACAGCCAAACCATCCTTATCCTCACCAACTTTCTTCCTTCTTCCTTTACCCTATATCGTCACATATACATTAATAAGTAGACCTAATTTGACCCTGGCGATTTCTTGCTTACCTGAAGTGCTTTTTGAATCTGTAATTCTCGCTCTAATCGACTCAGTTCCTCTTCTCGTTTTGCTCGTGATGCGACTTCCTTGTATTTCATTTCTCTCATCTTTCTCAATTCCTTCAATGTGTGATTGTCCTCGGGTGCAGCAATGGTGGCTTTTCTCAACGTTTCCACTCGAGGTCGGTTAAACTTGCGATGAACCAATTCCGGCAATGTCTCCAAATGCTTGGCAGGATCGAACTTTCGTACTTGCTCCTCATTATCAACAAACACAATATGATTGTTCTTTCGGGGGGCCTCCATTTCTTCGTCCTCCTCTTCCATATCCTCCTCGTCCACTGGTGCATCGTCGAAAAATTGCAACGATTCTTGAAGTCTTGCCATTTTCTGCCATCCAGAGGAATCATGTTAAATCGAGAGAAAAGTGTTGAAAGACAAAATAAGGTCTTACCTTATTACTAATATCCCTTTGTAACTTGATATAATTCTTATCTTGCGATTTCATCAACTGGACCATTTCTGGTGGAAGGGCCTCGTTTCGTTCTTGAATGTGAACACCACCCTATTCATTACAATACCAAGGATGCATCAGCTATTGCGGTTCTTCACACTGGCAATAATCAAGCAAGTACCTTTGTTCGGCTGTTGATCATTTTGAAGTAGAATTCATCGGGATTTCTGAACAATGCCTTTTCACGCAAAGCTTTCAGGCGATTTTGTTTGCTGTGGTAGTCTCTGGCACGCAAAAGGTAATCCTTCTTCTTTTCGAGCATGCCGAACCGCTCTCTTCCGGCCACTTGGCCACGCTCTTTGTGATTACGTCTCTGTACGGCGTTACGCAATGAGGATGACATGATGGGAATACGTCGTAGATCACGGAACAAGCAAATTTAAAAAAGCTGGCCTCACTCGAAAAAAGAATAAATGCAGCAAGCTGGAAAGCAGCCAAGCCACCCTGGTCCGCATCAGCCGAAAAGGGAAAGCGATCCAAAAAAAAATCCGGACAATTGGGCATCGGAGTCTCAATTGTTTCAGGTGTCCCACAGATCAATGCTTGCCATGCCAGCAAGGCCTGCCGGCTGGCTGTGGAATGCATAGACCGGCTCCCCCGCTCCTCCCCCTGGATCAATTACAGACTAAAAAAGTCAGATATTCAATTACAGTTGTTGGATAAATAGGTGTACAATTTTACATATTTTGAAGTTTTCAAGCTAAACAGATCCAGGGATTGGACGGCGTATCAACACCCACGCACACAGCATCAACGACCTGCTGCATGAAATCGATCTACCTCAAACTTTTTACGTTGGCCTGTATACTGGCCCAGGTACTTGCCGACGAATGTAACCAGGAGTTGAAGGTCAATTCGCAACAAGACCTGGATTCGATACGTCAGTGTCGACTGTTTACGGGCACGATTACCGTGGATCAGACCGACGCGTCTTCGCTCAAATTCAACGGTGTGGAGACGTTGGATGGTAGTGTTATCCTGACAGGCAATAATGCATTAACACAACTGTCCTTTCCTCAACTTGTGTCCGTGAGCAATCAAATCAAGTTGGAAAATAACAGGGCCCTCGTCTCGGTCGACTTTCCCATGTTGCAAAGCGTTCGATCATTTGAAATCATCGTGCATCCAGCTTTGCAAGCGCTCAGTTTCCCTGCTGAACTTTCCCATATCGACACCTTTACCGTGACAGATACAACAATTACACGTGTCGATGGCTTGAAAGCAGCGCAGATTCGCGATTTTACCGTGACCAATAATATTTACCTAAAGAGCGTGACCGCCAGCAATATGACCGCGATCAACGGCATGTTAATGATTGCCGACAACTCTCCCGGCTTTAGTCTCGATGTAAGAAACACCGAAATTTACTGGTGAGCTACTGATATAAGTAATAATGTGTCCACGTTTCTATAGTTATCATCGGTGCAGTCCGTGCGTTCGATTGTATTCCGTACCGTGGGCACTTTGAATCTGAGTCAGCTGTCGAAAATCAATGGCGATGTCGCGCTAATTGCCAATTCTTTTGACGAGTTTGCACTGTCCAAGCTTCAGAGTATCGATGGCACATTGACAATCTCCAACAATAAACGGCTGTCGAAGTTATCCTTCCCGGAATTGACGCGCCTAGGCGGCACCTTGTCTATTACTGATAACCCCGAATTGAATACCATTGATGCTTTCGCTAAGCTTCAAGAAGTGATTGGAACATTGGATGTGACAGGAGACTTTGCCGAACTGAGACTACCTGATTTGAACGATGTAAGATATCTTGTTTGAGATGGGAGAGGGATGGTGGGGACACAAATGGTGCAGAAAAAGGGGGCTGGCAACCAATGAAAATTTACGACCAAAAAAATACATCACGATCGGTCCATCATGAAACACCTAGCGATGTACGATTCTTATTTTCTATTCTTTTTCTTCTTCAAAGGTACGCGGTGGGTTGAATGTGCAAACGTCTAGCAACAAGTTTTCATGCCAGGATATGGAGAAACTAAGGAATGGGGTGATCAAAGGCAATTCGTACACATGCAAAGCGGCCGTGATAAACCCTAAATCCGGCATTTCCCGTGGAAATGGCGGTGGTTTAGGCACCAGTGCTGCTTCCATGACATTGATCCATCCTCGCTGGTCAGATCTGTTCGTCGTCCTGGGAACCGTCAGTGCCCTGTTCATCCTGGTCTTTTAATCTTTACCATCCAGCGAGTATTATTATTCACGCTATACTGGCAATCGTCATTATAGTATGTTAAAAATCTCCATTCCCAATTATGCTTTTGCTATCAAAAGAAAGGAATGAAAAGCATCGAAAAGAGGCCAAAAAAAAAAAAAAAAAAAAAAACCTTGAATCACATGAAGTCAGAAAAAAAATCAATATCTATTCACAAATGCATTGCTGTCTTTTTGGTTTTTGGTTGGTTTTGCGCTTCTTAAAGGTCTAAATTCTTCTATCCAATACGCTGTGTAATTGTTTGGCGGGAGATTCCAAAAGACCAAGGATCTTGCGTGCGGGCGCTTCAATTGTACCGAGCAATTCTGCACGCAACATGTCCAATCCAGGTAATTGCACAATCTTTTGCACATCGTCCTGTGTCAATAAGGTATTATCGATCTTGCCGCCCAAAAGCATCATCTTTTTGTTCTTATTCAGTACTGCCATGGCTTTCTTCAGTAATTCGGGATGCTCAGCGTCCTGAATGTTGGAAGTCAACACACAGGTGGGGCCCATGATCAAAGGTTCCAAATTGCTGTACTTGGTCGATCGCAACACTGAGCCGAAAACACCAGAACGTAATACGGTGAGTTGAAGAGGTCCGTCCAAAGACGACAGCTCCTGTCGTAACTGGGTGAATTCGGTCACGGACAAGTTGTTGTGCTGGAAAATGAACATGACTCGATTATCTTGAATCAGCGATCCGTACTTGTGGTAGAGGTATGTACGTCTGGGAGGATGTGCTTTGCTTCTCGTTGCCGTCGCATCTAAAGACAAGAACTGAGCCGATGTCCTTTTCTTTTTTCGGTCTGACTTCCCTGACAAGGATACTTACATTGACGAACGAAGCTAGCATTTTCAATGGGCTTCAGTCCACGAATCAAAGTGGTTGAAACTGTAATAGCTTCCTCGTTAACATGACTATAATTCAAAAGGAACAAAGGCTCATGTACTTACATGTACGTAGAGACATTGGCAATAACGGTCAATAGATATAGAAGGCCAGGTCTTTACCCACTTTGGAGTGAAAACAAAAAAAAGACCATTCCCAGCCGGGGAGAAACCAAGAAAAAGCAAGTCACACCGTCGTCGATTGACAGTTTTTGCACCCGAATTTTTGCTGGTAAAAATTTTGATCTGGCGATTTGTGCCTTTTATGATTTACCATGCCATGGAGACTAAGTATGTCCTTCCAGGATGAAAGTAACATTGATCTCATGAATAAAGCTAACTTACCGCTTCCTTGGATGAACGGTTAGGTATATTTTGATGCACTAGATTAAATGAACATCAGTTTTCAGAACCAATTACCATTTTGTTTTACCAATTAAATCTATTTGCTGCTTCTGATCCAAACTCGGCAATCTTCTTGCCTGATCTGCTTGCTGTACTCCGCTATATGCTCCAACAATGTCTTGCTACCCAATCCTAGCTTTTTTTTTTCTTCATCACTCTCCAGTATGGAGAAAGTTTATTCGATTGGATGAGGAAGTAGGAAGTGCGAGGGAAATTAGGAACTTGCGTCTTGTGCTATTCATTAACTGCTGCTGATAATCGATATTTGGAAATCTTGCAATTCTCGTAAAATAACTAATATGCTAGATATGATATTTGAATATATCGAGCTGGACATGGAAAAACAAACGAACCTCGTTCTTAATATTACAGTATGACAGATTGGAGGATACTGTACAGATGATATGTTATCTATTTTTTTATTATCACTTGCATCTTATTAAGAGGAAGCCTGACGTGTTATTTCTTGTAGAAGCCAGTCTTTTGCCAGTGATCCAGATATTTGCCAAGCAATACTTTATCGACTACCGGAGCTTGAGCAAGAATGGAAGCCTGTTCCACCGTCTTCTTTGTAGCCAATGTTGGCAGATCAAAGGCATTCGTAAATCGAGCCTCAAAGAATGGCAAAAGCTTGTAAGCAGGGTTGGAAGGATCGGCCTTCAAAGCGTCTAACCATTCCGAAGGTGACACCGTTTTAAACGACAATCCATTTGCCTTCATTGCTTCGAGTAAGTTGGTCCACGGTCGGTCCTGAGGGTGAACAATGTGGAAGACGAATGTGTTGCTGTTGGATATCGCGTCATCTCCAGATAACATCAACTCCACAATAGCCGAGGCGGCGTAATCCACAGGAAGCCAGTCGATGCGTGTACTCAATGCCGGCATCTATCATCGTTAAAACCATGTGTGAGCATGATGGCAAATAATCCACCAAAGTCAAACTTTTTTTCTTACCTTTCCGAGACCAACAGCACCACCAATCATCATTAGAGGGAATTGCTCACTTTCGTTCCACACGCCGCGTTGAGTGTCACCGCAGATCTGTCCCAAACGATGGATGTAAGCTGGGAATTGCTTCTGAGTGCGGAGTTCCGCCAGCAAATGCTCCACGATATACTTTGACTGAGCATAGCCCATGGCCATGGGTACCGTGGCATCACGGGGACATGGGGCTTCGTCAATGATGGAAGCAGTACCCGATCCGCACGTTGATTCACTGGAAATAAAATGGAATGGGATAGCCGATTCTTGAGATCTATTCGCGAATTTCAGCAATTCATAGGTGCCCTGAATACACTCCTTGTCGTAGTGTGATAAGGGATGATGGAAATCTAGTAACCATCCACAATGCTGAATCATCGTCACTTCGGCTTGCAATGTCTCATACTGCTTCTCGGACAAACCAAGATACGTTTCGCGTAATTTGAGAGGAAGCACCACCACCTTGGACGGTAACAATGAAGCATCCAATCCACGATCGACCATCGCCTTCTGAAGACGATCGCCAATATTATCGCCACGCACAAGGCAGACCACTTTTCGCACATTCGATTGTTGCAACAACTTGTCAAGGATAAACGAACCCAGCGAGCCTGTGGCTCCGGTCAAAAGTACCACTTGGTCTTGGGAAGGCTTGGATGAAACGGGATGCACGGTTTTAAAGTCCTGTTTGCTTCGTGCCAAATACTGATCAAGCAATTTCTCTGTTTCCTGAATTTGTAAAGTTTCCCACGCCACATTGTTGTTCTTGGAAGCTTCGGTCAAAGCGTTTGTCAAGGCTTGAATGGACGGATACTGGAAGCAGATATTTTGCGTCACCACTTTGGCATCAAATGCTTGCAAGAGACGATTACGCAGTTGGATAGAAAGGAGCGAATCAAGACCAAAGTCAAACAATGATCGGCTAGGGTCTTGAGCAATGACGGAAACAGGTTTCTCCAACACTTCAGCAGCAGCGTTGACGATAAAGTTTGTAACGTCTTTGGCGGATCTCACATTAACCTCGGTGTGCGCAACTTGTCTGCCGGTCAGCAATTCCTCATACATGGTATCAATAAGCTCGGCGTACTGGGCAGCCGCTCGTTTACGGATAATGGTTCCCTTGTCCGTACACGGCAACTGTTTGTTGAGAGGCAAAATTCGGATCATCTGAGGCAACAACCGGCTAAATCCTGGAGCATCCTTGTTGGCCACCTTGACAATGCGGTCCACTAGAATGTGTTCAAGCACATAAACATCAGTAAGTCGAGCGCCAACGCATTTGCGTCACCCATCATCCACGCCATTTACCGATCTGTATCATTTCTGCAGGGCTGTACTGAACGGCGACTTCCATGTCCAGCTCGACCAAGACACCCACACATTGACGCTTTGAACCAAACACGACGCATTGCTTTACAAGAGGTTCTGAGCGGATAGTATTTTCCATGGGCACAGGGTTGGTTTTTTCACCATTTTGCCTAATTAATCAAACACATGCCGATTAGTAAATTCAAAACCCAACCACATTTCACTTGCCATTGATCACCCAAGGCAAATATGACATCAAAAAACACTTACAAAGTGATAGTGTCGTCATTTCGTTCAACATAGATGTAGAAACCGGAGCCTGGTGGTGTTTCTCTAAACACATCGCTGGTACCGTAATCGCCGTTTTCTCGGTTGGCAATTCCGGTCGCGAAAAGAGGACACCCGGCTTTTACAACCATATGATACACATCAGGACCTTCCTCCTCTACGGGCTCCCATTCAATGTACTTTTTCAAGGTAGGAATAAACGTCACACAGTCCCAAGCGCGGTTCTTGAGATCAAATGAAGGATTGGCGGCCGGACCAAACTCTGATCATCCGTCGGAGGGTAAATAACATATACAAAAGCGGATTCCCATTTTCATTTCATTTTACCTGTTGTACCATAGCATGCGCGAACATTAATCTGATGGTCGAGCAAGTATTCAGCAGAAGATGGCTTGAGCGTTGCACCACCAAAGAGAACGAGTTTCAGTTGTTGCATGCCTGAGAAGTTGTGGGTTTCTTGAAGATAGGGGATCATATGCTCAAGGACAATAGGTGGTGTAACCATCAAGGTTGCCTTATTCGCACGGATGGCCGAATCAAGTTCTTGGGGCGTAGGAGGAAGTTGAGGTAAGAAAACCGCACTACCACCCACGGTCATCATATTCAAAATGGAGTTGAATCCGAAACCGTGAAATCTAATAAACCATCTCATCAGCATCGCACTCGTTCATGATTTTCGCATCAAATCCAAAGAAAAAACACGAGTAAACAAATCAACGACTTACATGGGCAACGTAGGCATCATGACCGATTCTTCATTGTAAGGCAACTTGGGTTCCTGGCTGTGAATGGCAATCTGGAAGTACTGGATAAATTGAATCAAGTACCGATTGCTAAGGCGTAATGGTTTGGGGAACGAAGTGGATCCGGAACTAAAAGTGGTTACAGCATAAATAACCGAGGTTTGGACGTAGGACAAAGGTTAACTATTTTGTCACGAATCCCCGTACCTGTGCATAATGATGGCCAATTTCTCTTCATCGGCCTCCGAAAATGAACGATCAATTACTGTTTCGGCTTGCGCGTTCACTGGTTCCTGACGCAGTGCTTCCAAATCCAGTTCGGGGTAAAGTTGGGTATCACAGTCTTGTTTCTCAAGCACAGCACTGTTCGCCTCGTCAATATACTTATCCGTAGCGATGATGCGTTGACAGTTGGTCTTGCTAATCAAATGAACCACGGCTGCTTCGGAATTTCGAGGAGAGATACACAGCAAGGGCACGCGCAGCTTGAGCACCGCCAGCACACAGAGAAGATATTGGAGGCTGTGATCGCACATCAAACCGACGACTTCCTTGGTCTTGAGTTCCTTCCATTGACACGCCAAATTGGTCGACATACGATCAATATCCCGGTAAGTCATGGTCTTGTAGTCAACCTGGCCTTCCGCATTGGTCACAGGGTAGCGAATAAACACTTTATCAGCATGCAGCTCGGCAAACTGATAGTAAAACCGGACAAAGGCATGTATTTTCTTATAATTGTATTGGTAATCGAGCGCGGTCATTAAAAAAGTACAAGAAAGAAAAGGGAAAAAAAGTACAAGAAATAAATTGAACAAAAGGGAAATCAAAGAGAGAGAGAGAGAGAGAGAGAGAGAGAAATCTAAAATGAAAGGTCTTTTTATACCATATCCTGGTTGCCCTGAGATGGCATTTTTTTTTCTGCATGATCACAAAAATTTTGATCAATATGCATCTCATTTTTTTCCATGTACCCGGGGTATCAATATAAACGGTAGATTTACACAAGATTGCCGATATGTTCGCCCATGGTCACCTTTGTTTCAAAAGAGCGCGTCGAGTTTTGAGTTAAATCGGAGTCCCAAGAGGCATGATCTTTGGGAAAAACCACAATAACGGAGGATCCACCGTATTGGAAATACCCCATTTCATCTCCTTTACGAAGTTGGGAACCCGGTTGGGCCGCCTTGGTTAATACAATAGACCCTACCAAAAGCGCCCCGATAGCTACCACTGCGTAACGGAACCCATGCGGACTACGCATGACGATAATGACACGATGGTTTTCGGTAAAGACATTAATATTTTCTTTGACCACGCAAGGATTGACTGTGTTAAACGAAAAAAAAAAAAAATCAAATTCATGAGCGACATGCCTTTCTCTCATGGTGTGACAAATCGATCTGTCATGGTCACACACCTGTATAATAACTGCCATCAATCGTTTGAATGGATTCGACAGTACCGTCCATCGGGCTGTGCCATCGGTGATAATCTTGCGGTGCTAACCGAAAAATAGCCATCGAGCCGTCGGTTAAACTTGATGCCAGCTCGTCATTTTGCAGTAATCGTTCCAAAGTAAATTGATTGCCCTTGATCCTGTGATCCACGTGATTCAATATCGTCATATAGGAAGCCGATCGTCATCGTCACTGTAATTTTATACGTACCAGAAAGTTGTCGCTTCCTTGACCGTCCCAAAGACATTTAGACGACAATCTGCAGCAGACACAATGACGTTCTATTACCACCAAAAAGGTCGAATAGCAAGAATGGAATCTTTCTCTTGAGAATAGTTGTTTTCGATTTTGTAGGACTGTTTAGAAAAAGGTGATTTTACCTTGTTGTCGAGCTCAGCAATAGGCCTTGCGTCCACTCGAATGGCTCGATGGAAAAATTCGTTAAAGGTCTTGTAGGCCTTGATATCGGAAGGTTCAAACTGGCTCATATCAATCGCATAGTGATTGACAAACGACGGAATTTGCGTAGCTGATTTTTCATCATCAAAATAGGAGCCTTGTCGTACCGATTCACGCAAAAACAGCTTATGCATGGTTCCGGTTTCCACCACTGTAAAACAAGCATACCATCCTGTGAGTGTCACTGGAAACCAGATCCATCTATCGGGTATCGTTCAGCTTACAATGTGTCTGGACTCGCCCGGCAAACATGAGGTGCATGCCGATTCGCGTATAGATGGGCATTTCTTCATAGTGATATTCTCCCGTCTACAGGATTTCGTCCACTTGGTGAGTTGACAAGCCATGATTATACCATCCCCGCTATCGTTGTCTGGTTACGCGAACAAGAGGCCTTACTGTACGAAGAATGACAAAGACGCCCAATTGCTTTTCCACGAGACGCTTGAAACTGTTTGGGATAACGTGCATTTGAATCCAACCTGTCAAGCGACGGTCATACCAATGTTTGGTGGGACGTGCAGCCGGCGAATGTACCCCGCCTTCCACTGTGATTTGTTTATATTATCAGCATGAAATCTGTACACCCTTTTCTTCCCGATCCTTCGAAATGGTTATGTACCTATATTGGCACCAGGAGCGGTACGATCTACGGCTGAACTGAAAGACTGCTCGCAGATCGATAAGGAAAAGGAAGCCGAAAATCACAACGGTTACATTTAGTGTTACATACGTCCATCAATGCATCTGTATCTTGCGCGTGAGCGTGAGCTTCAACGTCTTCATGAACGGCAATATCGTCGGAATGTTCACTGGCCATGGTGCCTTGCAGAATAACCGGGATTTTGAATAAAGAAAATGATAAAGGAAAAAAGAATGAAAGACTTTGAATGCCTCCATGATGCGAAAAAAAAACAATCAAATCCCCAAAAACCGCTAATTTAGAAATTCTTCATATTGACGTATTTCGGACAAAAATATTCACTCCGTCCGTCTGCTAGAATGCTTATTTTTTCAATTCATGCCCTTTTCATATCGTCGTTCGCTTCGGCCAATGAAAAATGTCTCGTTAGATTTAATTCTGTCACTCACCATTGCTTCATCCATATAAGGCAATGGAAGCAAAAAGATAGACAATGCCACTTGAAGCTTTTTTTTGGTTGATCAGATTACTCGACATCCAATCAATTTTTTTTCTTTTGTCTTCTGCTTCCTTCTACTTCCATTTTTAATCTCCGCCATCGCAGAGAAACTCAAGGAAAAAAAAATATTTTACCTTGTTTTAAAAAATTTCCTTGCTTTTTTTTTTTTCCTTGCCAAACAAAACCAACAATAGTCATTTCTCATCTTTTCAGGACTTCGTCATGACCCGTAAGTGGAGACATTTCTATCAATGTATTCCATTCACAAAGCGATGCTTAACATTTTGAACTGTTCCTGAAACACAGGTGGTAATCAGAGAGAGCAGGCTCGTCTCAAGAACCTCAAGAAGCAGCAGGAAGCCAAGAAGGGCAAGCAAAACCTGAACGGCATGACAGTGACGCAGAAGAAGGAATCGTAAGTCAAAAAGTGACCTTGGGAGAATGCTTGGACATTTGTACTCATTATACTGCTTTACGATTTAGTGATGCTGCCATTATGCGTGCAAAGCAAGAAGCAGCGGCCAAGAAAAAGGCCGAAGAAGCGGCTGGCAAAAAATAATCTACCTTTTTACCTTCCAAGCTCAAAATGTTGGGCAGTTTTGTTATATCATCTCATCATATGTTTAATCATTAACCTCTGGTTTATCATCTTGACTTCTTATTTTTTTTTTTATTTTCTCATTATCTCTGTTGAAGAAAAGATCGTCGATTCAAGCAGTATGGTAAAGCAAATGAAAAAAAAAATGAATACAACCTTTTTTTACATCTTTAGTTTACCTCAAGAGTATTGTTCTTTAGAGTTTTATTACCAGCAATTGCGAAGAAGGCAAAGCAAGTGTGAGTGGAAAAAAAAAGTTGGATAAAGTCTAATAACTGTGCAGCGTGGTGGACGAATTGGACACATGGTGGGTTTTTCGATTGTCTTTTCGCCTCCCCCTCCCCAATTTCTTTGCTCTGTAATTTGAATAAAAAAATGATTGAAAATCTCCGCCACCCAAATCATCGCTTTCTCCTTTATTGCCTCTTTTTCGGTCCTTTTTTCCTTTCTTTTCTCTGTTTTCTTGGTCCCTCGTTGCACTTTTTTTGTTGTATTTGACACTGTCGTCACTGTTTTCTTCGTTCTTGTCGTTTTCCCCTTGCAGGTCATGTTTGAAGCGGTTAAGAATGTGTTGGCAAAGTCGGGCAGAAAAACGCAGAATGCAAACCGGCATCAAGGTAGTGAAACCGATTCTTGAATGCTGCTTGATTGACTCATGCCACTAAAAAGTGTTTGTCAACGTCTATGATATGGTAATTTGGAACCGTCCCAGCTGGGTCTCTCTCTGATATGGGACATGCTTGAGTAATGTGGGTCTTTATATCGTAGCTTCAACCGAGCTTCCTGACCAACTGTGGGTATTTGCTGGGCGTCGGTAAGAAAAAAATAATAGTAGTGTCACAGCCTATCGCCTTCCCAACACATGGATGTGACTCTTTTGGAATGTTGCCATAGGCATTTATCATTCTGGCGTGGAAATTGGCGGACAAGAATATTGTTTTGGCGGTCATGAGTACGAATACATTACGGGTGTGTTTGCCGTGGAAGCCAAAGTCGGCCCTGCCGAACTATTTTTCAAGTGAGTTGAAGAAATGACAAGACATGAAAAAATTGGTTTCAGTGGAATAAGAATGAAATACTGATCACCAGGAATATGGGTTACAGACAATCGATCAAAATGGGATATACCCATTTGGCTGACGACGAAATAGCTCACGTGTTACAAGATATATCCAAAGAATTTGTGGGTACATCGTACAATTTGCTCACTAGGTAGTACATATTTTGTTCACATCAGGGGAAGAATGGTGTAGTTCATCAAACCTGATCTGCAATAGAAACTGCAATCATTTTACGGACGAATTGTGTTTTCGTTTGACGGGAAAACATGCGCCAGGATGGATCAATCGGGCCGCCAAACTAGGCACCATGTTTCCTTGTGTAATTCCCACCGAGTGGATCGAACCTCCTGCATGTGAAGCCGGTGCCACACGGTCTTCAACGACTCCTTCTACGTCTCCTACTGCCATCTCTTCACCCAAAACTCCTCTAAAAGTGCCAAGTTTCCAGTCCACCACCACTACCACCAAGTCGCGATTGCATGAGTCGTCTTATACCTATTCGGAGAAAAAGAAACGATCGGGGTCCAGCAAATCTTCGCGAACATCTTTAGAAACGCGCCATAAATCTCATAAACATACCTCGACCTCCTCTTCCCGAGCCGACAGTATCATTCTTGTAAAAAAAGCATCCACTTCAGTGACCATGGACGAAACTGTTGGTCATCCGCCAGTGAAAGAGCCCGACAGTTATCGACCTGAAGTCATTCGGTCCGCCACTCAGCTGTCCATGGGCGCTTCCTTGAAAGAAATGGATTTACCCGCTTAAGTTGGCTTTTCTCCCATGGATTCCCTTATCTTTTTATTTTTATTTTTATTTTTATTTTTGGTGATATTATAAGGTGTTATCTTTATTTTCTGTTTTTCTCACCGTGGACTTTATCCATTTTTGATTCCAAGAGAAACACATATACAAGTCATTACAGTACAGAAATATGGGTGTCTTTCTAATTTTTTTTTTATTATAAATCATTTGAATTAGATGAGGCTGTTGTGTTTATTTTTTACAAAAAAAGATGCAGTATTTCTATGAAGATCCTTTGATCATTTCCAATGCTTGGTACACCTTTTCATACACAGTGAAAGTGATACCACCGGCCAACTAGAGAAAGAAGGTAAAAATAAAGTCGTGAGTATACAACGTTATAGAACTATCGTGTTCCTTTTGGATACGGTTGAGCCCTTTTTGAGACACTTACCACCAGTCGAACCAATCGTGGAGTGGTGCCCTTCCATAAGGAGAAGACGCCATTCTTCTTGACAACTTGCATGACGCAGTCGAATGAGTTCTTGTAGAGGGTACGTGCATCAAGACCCTGCATACGCGTCTTGATGACATCGAAGGGCATGGTTGCATACACAGTAACAATACCAGCCATACCACCGACAACAAAAGTGTGTGCAGCAGGCAAAGGCTCGTTACCCTTACCACGCCATTTCTGCATTTGTGTCTTGAAGGTCGAGTAACAGCTGAAACGCACTGCACTATTGGCACCCTGCTTGGCCATGACGGGACCCAAACCACGGTACACACCACTGATACCTTCTTCCTTGAGAATCGTCATTGTACCGTGAAGCAAACCATTGAAACGGGGATTGGCCAAGTTTTTGTCGTGGATCAGTTTAGTCCTAGAGTACGATTTGGATTTTAGTTTAAGATAAAAAAATAACTCAGTGTTGGACGGGAACCCTACTCCACCCGAGGAAATAACTCCACCACGATATTCTTCCCCTCCCAAATCCTTAAATTAAATTTCCCAAAAATGAAAAAAAAACGTCAACTTACTTGATGGTCTCGGAAGGCGTCACTACCAGAGCGGCTTCCGTCATACCCGCACCAAGACCAGCGAGCAAACTGCGCACACCGGTCAATTTACCGTCCTTATCTTTAAGCAAACCGGCGATCTGATCGTAGGTCAAGAAACGAACACCAGCCTTGGCAGCATTGCCAATGACCAATGCACCGACACCGGTATAAATGTGACCAATACCTTTGGTCTTGACGATTTGAACAAAACAGTCGACAGGGCCTTTGAATCGTACTTCGCCCGGTTGCAGTTTACCGCCGGCCTGCAGCTGTAGACGTGTCTTGACGTATTCGGTAGGGTATGTAACAGCACCTTCAACGGCACCACCGGCGGTACCGGCAATGAATGATAAAATAGGATCCTTTTTCTTCTTATCGGCAGGCATGGTCAAAAAAAATCGACGTGGGTTTAAGGTGTTTTGAAGAGCAGGCTCGCCCCTCTGCCGATTTCAAACCCTTTATATACAATAAGGCATCTCATCTACGTTTCCTTTTTAGGAAAAAGAATTTTTTTCTTTTTTCGTCTCTTTCTATGGTCTCTTTTTTTTGCTCTTAAAATTGCCCGCACTCGATCTATCGTGGAACTCATAATTTACCACAAACCCGACTGTATTGTTCAAGTAGCGCTATAATGTCATTATACTTCTATTTCTTTCAGGGTTCATTTTCTACCTTTATATCTAGATTCTCACAAGAAAAATGATATTCAGTTTTCAATCAATTCATTCAGTCATTTTCCAGCCGCCCACCGTCTGTCATTGAAAACGGGGAAAAAATCATGCACTGGCCATTTGGGTCCGATGACCATCATTTTCTTTGTTTCTCCTATGTGCCTCGAATTGATTGAGTTTTTCTTCATGACGGTGGCTTTTTTGAGTTTGTCCACGTTGTTTTGAAAATCGTCATTGTTTTATTATGGTTGTGGGACAATTCATCTCTCATCCTGGGAAATTTCAGGCGGAACCACAACCGTGTTCTCGCAAAAGAAGGAGCGGCGAATTCTTTGGCGCACCGTCGGATGAGGTCATGTGATCACCGCCCGGCCCAACCACGTCCGCGTGATATTGAAATGCCGAAGACGCAAGATGAGCCATTCCTGCTCACTCTGGGTGGCTTGGACATTCAAAGAGAAAAAATAAAGCCTAACCAACGCGATTAGCTTTCCGTTACTCGAAAACCTTCAAGGAAATAGTAAAAAAAACCATGTCCTTGGCTGACGGTAGTTATTAGTTTCGTTAGAATAGACTCGTTGTGTTATATTGGGGTTACTTAACGTGGTATTGAACAATTCCTTTTTTTTTGTTTTTGGTCTTGTAGTGTCCGGTCAATTCAAGTAAGCTGTCAAGAGAGAAACATGAGAAGCTTATTTTTCCGATGAGTCGAGAAAACTCACTAATATATGTTCGTTTTCCTTTCAGTTTTCCCAAAGAAGAGGAGAAAATCCTCGAGTTTTGGCGAGAAATTGATGCATTCAACACTTCGATCGAGTTAAACAAAGATAAAAAACCATACACTTTCTTCGATGGCCCACCTTTCGCCACCGGTCTTCCTCATTACGGCCATTTGCTCGCCGGTACCATCAAGGATATCGTCACCCGATATGCTCACAATACCGGTCATCATGTTGAACGTCGTTTCGGTTGGGATACGCACGGTCTTCCCGTTGAATACGAAATTGACAAGAAACTTGGCATCAAAGTGAGTTTGGAATTTCAATCAATTAACATGTCCTAACTATGAATGGATGACTCATATTTTTACATAACTGTCTTTCAAAGGGTAAAGAAGATGTCATGGCCATGGGTATTGACAAGTACAATGCCGAGTGCCGTGCTATTGTCATGAGATATTCCAGCGAATGGCGCAAGACCGTCGAACGTATGGCTCGCTGGATTGATTTTGACAATGATTACAAGACTTTGGATCCCCGTTTCATGGAATCCGTCTGGTGGGTATTCAAGAAGCTTTACGATGATGACCAAGTCTACCGTGGTCAAAAGGTGAGTTGAGGAAAAAAAAAAAAGGATGAAAAAAGAAGGAACATGTCAAATACTCACGGGTATGCATTCTTTTAGGTTATGCCTTATTCAACTGCTTGCCATACCCCTCTCTCCAATTTTGAATCTTCTCAAAATTACAAGGATGTCAATGATCCTGCCGGTAAGCTTTTTTTTTTTTTTTTCGCTACATTAATTGCGGGATCATTTTTAGTCGGGATGCGTTAAATTAAAACATGCTTTTTTTAATTCTTAGTTGTTGTCGGTTTCCCTCTGCTGAGCGATCCCGCTACCCAGTTGCTTGCTTGGACCACCACACCTTGGACTTTGCCCTCCAGCATGGCGCTTTGTGTGCATCCCGATTTTGAATACATCAAGATCAAGGACGAATTGACTGGCAACCAATACATTTTGATGGAAAAGCGCTTGGATTCGCTTTACAAAGACGTTAAAAAGGCCAAATTTACCATTCTCGAACGCTACAAGGGTGTCGACATGAAAGGGTGGGAATTCGAACCCATGTTTCCCTTCTTTGCCGAGGAATTCAAGGGCAAGGCTTTCAAGGTCATGGTCGATACCTACGTTACTGATGACTCTGGTACCGGTATTGTCCAGAACGCTCCCGCCTTTGGTGAAGACGATTACCGCGTGTGTGTGGAGCACGGCGTGATTGATGTCGATGGACATCTTCCCTGCCCTCTGGACGACAAGGGTTGCTTCACCGATGAGGTGCCTCTGTTCGCCGGTATGTACGTCAAGGATGCCGACAAAGCCATTCAAAAGGATATGAAGGCCCGCGGTCGTTTGATCGTTCAGTCCCAGATCATGCATAGTTATCCTTTCTGCTGGCGTTCCGATACGCCTTTGATCTACAAGGCTGTTCCCGCTTGGTTCGTTCGTGTGAAGCCCGTGATTGACAAGATTCTGGCTTGCAATGACCAGATGCGCTGGGTGCCTTCTTTTGTTCAGGAAAAGCGTTTCGCCAACTGGATTGCCAATGCTCGCGATTGGAACATCTCTCGTAACCGTTACTGGGGTACACCTATTCCTTTGTGGGTCAGTGAGGATTACCAGGAAATCGTCGCTGTTGGTTCCATCAAGGAACTGGAAGAATTGAGCGGTGTATCGCCCATCACCGATCTTCACCGAGAAAGCATCGATAAGATCACCATTCCCTCCAAGACCGGCCGTGGCCAATTGCGCCGTATCGAAGAAGTCTTTGACTGTTGGTTTGAATCCGGTTCCATGCCTTACGCTCAACAACACTATCCTTTCGAGAATGCCGACAAATTCAAGGATGGTTTCCCTGCCGATTTCATCTCCGAAGGTATTGATCAGACCCGTGGTTGGTTCTACACCTTGTTGGTCCTTTCCACCCACTTGTTCAACTCGCCTCCCGCCAAGAACGTCATTGTTAGCGGTCTTGTCCTTGCCTCCGACGGTAAGAAGATGAGTAAGCGTTTGAAGAACTATCCCGAACCTGGTCTCGTCCTCGACAAATTCGGTGCCGATGCTCTGCGCTTATACCTTATCAACTCACCGGTCGTTCGTGCTGAAACCCTGCGATTCAAGGAAGACGGTGTCAAGGAAATTGTCTCCAAGGTGTTCTTGCCCTGGTACAATGCATTCAAGTTCTTTATCACGCAAACCGCCGTGTTGAAGAAGGAATTCGATTATGATTTCATGTACGAGCACGATATGAGAAAATCCGACAATGTCATGGATCGTTGGGTGTTGGCCAGTTGCCAGTCCTTGATCAAGTTTGTTCGCGATGAAATGGGTGCTTACCGTTTGTACACTGTCGTCCCCCGTCTGTTGAAGTTGATCGATACCTTGACCAACTGGTACGTTCGTTTCAACCGCAAGCGCTTGAAGGTAAAAAAAAATAAAAAAAAAACAACTTGGCGATGAAGCCATCGATACCCAGAAAAACACACAAGAATAGAGGAATTCATCTTTTTTTTTATGTTAGGGTGAAAACGGTAAAGCCGATGCTCAGTTGGCCATGAACACTTTGTTTGAAGTGTTAATCACCTTGTGCTTGACCATGGCTGCATTCACTCCCTTCTTGACCGAGAACATGTACCAGACCTTGAAGAAATTCATGCCTCGCAATCCCGACATTGTCGACGATCGTTCCGTCCATTTCTTGCCCTTCCCTACGGTTCGCGAAGAATACTTTGATCCCGAGATTGAACGTGCGGTCGGTCGCATGCAAGCTGTCATCGAATTGGGTCGTACCATCCGTGAAAAGAAGACGATCTCTCTCAAGACTCCCTTGAAGCAATTGGTCGTTATCCACAACGATGCTCAATATCTTGCCGATCTCAAGGGCTTGTCGGAATACATCCGCGACGAATTGAACGTCCAGGAAATCGTTCTCACTGAAGAAGAAAACAAGTACGGTGTCAAATACAAGGCCGAAGCCGACTGGAAGGTGCTGGGTCAAAAGCTCAAGAAGGACGTCATGAAGGTCAAGAAGGCTTTGCCCGATCTCACCAGTGATCAAGTCAAGGAATTCGTTTCTACCAAGGAAATGATCGTCGCCGGTATCAAGGTGACCGATGAAGATCTCAACGTATGTATCTTGCTTTTTGTTAGAGGATGATGCTGTGTTATTCATTTTGCATCGTGATGACGATGATTGTTTTCATATCATGCATGGACTAACGGGAATGAATCCGACGCTTTTTCTATCTTTAGGTGGTTCGATACATCGATTCGGATGCGGCTCAGTATGAAACAAATAGCGATCGTGATGTTCTCATCTTATTAGACACCAAACGTTACGCCGATCTTGAACAAGAGGGTTTGGCTCGTGAAGTGATCAACCGTGTCCAACGTCTCCGCAAGAAGGCCAACCTGTTGCCTACTGATGATATCACCATGTATTACCGATTTACCAAGGACGACAATAATGAATTAGAAAACGCCATCCAATCTCAGGAAGCCGTCATTGTGCGTGTTCTCAAAAAGACCTTGTCCGACGTTAAACTCATGCCCGAAAACGCAAACATCATCATTGAAGAACCACAAGAGGTATGTGATTTTTTTTTCCAAGAAAAGAACGGTTTCCGGTAGATGATGACGCTGACATCGTTTTTGCTTAATAGGTGAATGACTCCAAATTTGATTTGTTGTTTGTACAATAAGCATCAACTTTCTAGAATAAAACATTCCATTTTATCCTGCTTGCACTGTGATTTTTTCTTATTTTTTGTATGTAGTGACTTTATTGGTCAGAAAACATGTCTACATGTTGAGGATTAAATTAAACGGGGAGTTCTGAGTGCACTCGCTTCAGGAAGGCTGCATGGGCGCGGTCAATGGTGTAACGCCAGTGCTTGTACTGTGTGTGGCAAGAGCTAAGTCTACTGTCGTGATTGACGTCGGTCGGCTGTTTCATCATCATCATCATGCAATTCTACAAACTTGTGTTTCTGCACGCGGTTATTTCTTGGAGTGAAGAATATAAAGGGTGACTTGCACTGGGGTGGACTGATCGATGAGGTTAGGCAGATGCCCTCCAAACTGAAGCTTGTTGAAGCTTGTGCTGTTGCGATCTGACTTTCCAGGTAATATCGACGGGATGATCCTACAAGAAAAATTACGCGCAACCCATGTCAGATTTAGCATCTTTTTCCTTTTGTTATTCAATAAAACTTAATTTCAATGTAATCAGACCACGCAGAGTATTTTTCACAGTGCTTAAGGATTCAATCGTTGTGGGGATCACCAAATCAGTGATGAAATGGGCAACAGCAATGCAGTCGTCGAGGCCAAGGCCATGATCTACAAGTCGCAGAAGGTATAAGTACCCTGAATTTCTCACAAAGTCCATGGCTACGGTGAATTCCAAGCCAAACTTCGTGTTGAGGCTGAACAGGTTGGAAGTGGTCAGACGGAGATTTTTAGACTGCTGGTGGAGTTTGATGCAAATCATTCGTATCTTGGGTTGCGCAGAAAGAGCTGTCATTGAAAGAACAGCTATCTTCAGGAGTTGCATTGGCGCATCGACATATTGATGAGGAATACTAGCAAGGGAACTGCGTAGACGACCTGCACCAAAGGACTGCTCCACGAATTTCTTGATGTAGGCCATTTCGAATCTGTCTTTGGTGCCTTTTCCGTTCGCTGCTCTAAATATCCACCTTGACATTGGACGAGCATTTCAAAATCATGTCGATTTTTCGACCATAAGCCTGGGACGAACGAGGACAAGTATAATGCCCGACCAGGCTCTCTAGTTCATCAGCGTCATCCTTTATTCCAAACTCATGGCATAATTCCTTCCTCATAATAGTGATTTTCATGACCATCTACATACAAAAATTCGGAGACATTCAAATGGTACGTAAAAAACATACAAAAATCAGCTGATCTATTTTGTTGAAAGAGCGAGAATATTCTTTGGGCCTGTGCAGCGGCATGAAAAAATTTACACCTGAGTTTCTCGTACTTTCGATTGGCCAATAATTTATTATGCAGATTTGACATCATGTATTCCTCAAAATGCTGGATCATTCGAGAAACATTCAAAAATAGACAGAGAAGCATGGGTATATAAAGGATGCTTGCACGTCCACAAGTTGGGTTCTTCATCGAATTATTGTTATCGTCATCTCATCATGTCGTTAATCAACTGGGGTCCCAACGATAATATTGAACGCCGAATGAACCAACTCTTTGAACATTTTCTCGGAGACGTCGGAGCTCCTTTCCACCATCGTAGTGGTCAAAGCTCCTTGAGATCGAGTACCTTGAGCCCGCCCGTGGATGTTTACGAAACTGACAAATCGTGGGTGGTCCATGCCGAACTTCCTGGTGTAAAGAAGGAAAATATCCAGATCGATCTTTCCGAAGGCAAGCTCACTCTGAAAGCCGAGACTAAGCAGTCAGAGGAATGGACCAGCAACAATACTCGCTATCAAGAACGCCGCTTCGGCACCTTTTCTCGAACCGTGCCTTTGCCCGACAATGTCGACCGCGACAACGTCCGTGCCAAGTTTAACGACGGCGTGCTCGAAATCGATTTGCCCAAATCGAGTCCATCCTCGGCTCGCCAGATTACCATTGACTAAAAACAAGTTGTATTTTCCATTCTCCTTGCTATCACATATGACCCAACAAATAGTCTAGCTTAAACGAATTTTCTAATGTATCTTCTATGTATCTTCTGAAATTTCATTGGCGAGATTGATATCAATAAATATTGCATGCAAACAATACAAGTACGTGGGGATATGTTTTTTGTCTAGAATAGTCTATTTCTGTCGGGTAAATTTTTATCTATGAATTATTGAGCAATGATATTTTCAATGATGCGACTAGCCAATAGCGTGAATTGGCGTAAATGTTGGCTACTGTTGGTCGGCGCATTGGATAGATAGGCTAATCCACTGAAGCCCAGTTCTTTCACAGTCTTGCCAAGATCAGGCGCTTGCTTGAATATTTCATTTTCTGAACACGCCGTAACCAAAATCGATTGCACCGAGGTCAGCAGCGCTTGCTTCTGACAATTGGCTACCAAGTGGTTCATCTTGGGTAGTAACAGTTCATATCTATTCAATAGGGCATAAGTCCCGTCATTCCAAACCATATCTTCAAAACCCTTCACTTACACTGTAGCAAATACGCTGGGTTTGGTAGCCGCAGCTTCGGCCAAAAACTCATAAATGCGCAGTCGTTCGCCTTCGGTGCTGACCAAATCCAGTTGATTGACGAGAATAATGAACAGGAGCAGGGCGGTGGTTTCATCGGTCATGTCCAAGATATCGTAATTCATCGTACTGGCTTGGAACAGTCGTTCGAATGACCGAGACGAGAATTCTCCCGGCATCAATCCGCCGATGTATCCGAGGGCTTGGGGCCGTGCGCAAAGTTCGCATTTGTAATCGATATCCACCATGAGACTCAGCGCTTCATACACGCTGTCACGGACATTTTGATTACGTACGCCTTTGAGCAAGATCCCCGCGATGGCAAATGAAAAGTAGGATTCAAAATTCACTCCAGCTTGCTGATCCAATTCGCGAGCGACGGCAATCGGGGTCCGCGCTGCCAGCAGCACGGCCGCCATGCCTACATCACTGGTAAAAGAACCGCACGAGTTGAGTGTGCCCAAAACCGCCGTCAGCATCTCAACAGCCAGGCGGAAAAAGCTGAAGCTTTCAATCATGAGCAACGATACGGCCACCCAGAATAGTTGTCGCAAATACTTGGACCGTGCCGACAAACTTGGGACAATATCCTTCAAGCATACAATGATGCCAACCACCAATTGCGGATTGGATTCATCATAGATATCCAGAGCGCCACGCAATGCAACCAAAATTTGGTAAAGTAGGTCATCGTCCACTTGTTCTTGACCCAAACATCCGAGAATCACAAACGCACGAGGCTGAATCGCCGGATTGAAATGGAACACCGTGCTCGTCACAAGGCTCATCCATCGAGCCCGCCAAATGTTGGCCACGTCTTGAAAGAAGATATTAGAAAAAATGGCTTAATTCACTCTCTGCAAAGTAGCCCATTCATGCGACGATTTTGGGATAGTTTACCTGTGGTAAGCGCTCCAGACGCCATGACGTCCATGAAATTCATGATAACCATTTCGAGCGAGGTCAGGGCCACGGTTTCTTTTAGCTCGGCCAAAGTTTCCGAGTTCACAGTGAATGCGTTGACATGCGTACTTTTGATGCCAAACAATAATTGGAAGCGAGATTCGGATAATTCGTTGAGCAACAGTTGCAATCTCTTTCGATTGGACTCGGGAAGCGTGACACCTGTGCAAAGCGACTGAACCACATTGATAAGAATCCCGTGCACCGTAGCGCGGACAAAGACCGATCCCAAGCCCATAGTCAACGTCACAATGTGAAAAATTTCCGGTAGATACGATGTGGCCAATTCTTCATTGTTGAAGCTAAGCATGAGCAAGAAGCGAAGCAAAACGACGATTTCCATCCACACAGGATGTTCCGTCAGTGTGCGAGAGGGCTTTTCCATGGTGCGATGAAGCACTTCACGAATTCGGCTGATAATTTGACCATGGATCGCAGTGTTGGACAACGACACAATAGTATCAGCAACCGCTTCGATTCGATCGGATCCCAAGGGCTGCTGAACCGAGTACGAAATAGCAGCATCCAGTACAATGTGGAACATGTTGTCCATTTTCGCAATCATTCTCCACAGTTTGGTTTGCATCAGTTTGTAGCTCTGATAGAACCAGGAAATACAAAGAAAGATAATTAGGAAAGCGTGCAACGGGGCATCAATCATCAATCAACACGATTATTACCTTGCCTCGGTAGGCTGTCATTTTTATCAAAGTGTGAATTCTCTCTTTAGCTCGCTCGGCATCGGATTCTGTGCTCTTGAGGTATTGCGGTAGATTGAGGAACCAGGGCAACACGCAATCCAGAGCAAGATAGCGATTGCTGTCATCGGAATGATAAAATCCGACAAGAGATTCGTCCAAAAAGTCCAATGTAAGCCAAGGTTCTTCCGTCGCCAGTGTCTTGCTGATATCCAAAAGAAAATCTGTATTGTTGGCAGGCACGCATATATCGTTTGCATCCAATAACCGTCGTGAGATATTCAGATTGAATGTCTGAGCCAAAGTATACAACAGATGATACGCTATTGTGTGCGGATGTGTCAGAGAGACAGAGAGAGAGAGAGATGAGGATTGATTCACTAATTTCAGTCGCGGGGAACATGGATAGGTCATATTTTTTACCTTCTACCCGTAGTTGGGCTTCCTTATGTCCGAGCATTAAAAGTGCAATGCTCAACAATCTTCCGGGGATTTCCTTGGGATACACGGTACGTTGCATTTCATGCGCTGTTGTCGACGACCCCAACCGTTGTTTGCTGGCTTTAATGGCCTAAATACAGAGAAAACAGGTAAGATCACAGGGTTTGAGATCGAATCCACCGTAACATACATTCACAATAGGCTGGGCTTTCAGTGATCCAAAGACCAGTCGATGGTTGTTTTTACCGTATCGGAACCGGAATTCTTGAGAAACCTCGGACGACGAATGCGTGGGTTGCAAGGCCAGGTCATTGATTTCCGAAATATGGTACACATCGTTGGTGATGGCCGAAAATCCAGGAACAAATTCTTGTTTCCTCGCCGAGGTCACCTGCACATACTCAAGCCCCACTTTAATAGTCACTGGATTTTGCGTCTTGCTCTGGGTCAGACGGCTCACAGGAAAGAAGACGACGCCCCGTTCCGCATCTAAGTTGACTTTGGGCAGTGGAACAAACTGATCAGATTCCGCACCATCTATCACATGTCATGGATTATAGCACTTACTGGTCGATTTGGGCAATCGCACCTCGGGAGGCGAAATGTATTCGTAGAGTTCGGTCAAGGTAACCAGGGAGATAAGACGTTTCACGATTTTGGCAGGATAAAACACGGCATGCTTTTTCAAAACGGTCGCCAGAATTGTGCTGGGGTTATACACGTAGATCGCCGTTAAGCTGTCAACTGTCTCCAAAGGCATCAAGTGCATAAACCGTTCGATCCACTGCCCGGGAATCTCATGTTCGTAATCATATTGAGACATATCAAAAAGAATTTCGAATTGTCGGTTGGCCACCGCTTCCAAGGTCTTTTTTTCAACAAAATACAGCAGATAAATATCATCATAATTGTTCGACTGCTGTATTTTCGATAATGAACCACAATCAATAGCATACCTTGAGGATGTGAAAAATCAACAGATCAAAGTCCATGGAGCTGGCAACAATGCGACGTGCAATGACATAAAATACAGGTCTTCCGGCCCTGGAAAGGCCGCTGTCGTAAAAGATCTTTTGCACCACAATCTCTTTCGTACTGCGATGGGTATGACGACGCATAAAGTCGGCGTACAACTGGTTGGTGGCGGCTAGACCGTAATTGCGCAATCCATTGGCTTCTTTTTTGGCCGCTTCAGAAGGTCGACCAATTTGAACAAGGATATTTGCAAATTGATCAAACTGATGTTTCCATGCAAGTGAGCATTGGCTGGTACGCGCCACCTGCATTCGTCGCGCTCCGAGGTCCATGCGTATCCGTTCGAAATTATCGTACAGCACACGATGCAATACGACGTGATCTCCGTCGGTCAAAGTCGTTACAGGCACCGTATCGGAATCGGGATCCTCCAGTGAACGGATATCGGAAATTTCACGCAAGAAATTGGTGACCCGGTAGATGTTGTAGGTCAGAAAATCGTTCAATGCAATCATGTACGTTTCCTTGGAACCAAACAGAACATTATTGGCCAAGTTTTGGATGACCTTGGTGATCATCAAGTAACCGCGATGATTGTCTCGCCTTCTCGGGCATTTGGCAAGTTCTTCGGGCGACACAATGGCAGGACAGAAGAATCGGAGAAAGATGAATGCTCCCACAGCTGTATACGTCGCCTCAGAAAATCGCGCTGACACCGCCGTCGCAATGTAATGACATATTTGCCGAAACGATCTTTTTTACGTCAAAAAATAAGTTGAAAAAGTCCTAGGAAGATACTCGCGGAGACTGACTTACTTTGGAGCTTCCTGGGTCGAGGCACAAATAGCATTTAAAAACATTTCGGTGGTACGAATCACATTTTGCTTGTTGACAGCCACATCTTCGGTCAAACCCAACTTGGATGGATCCAACTCAAAGGTGCGTTGCTCACGAGGCGTGTCGTCCATGCTCTTGAAGACCGGTCCAAGTACCGAACGGACATAGTCGCCACCGTACATCTTGGCAAATCTGGATAAGAGGCGCGTCGTGACATTTGTTTTACGGAACAGATCCGTCTCACAGTCTATCACGGTGGTAAGCTATTATCCTATTATCGCCATAGAAACCAATGGTTTACCTGTCTTTTGCACTTCTTTTTCAATCACTGCTTTCAGCAAGGCCAGCACCTTGTTCCGTGAAGCAAACGTTGCCAATAGCACATTCACGGCGTCTTCATGATCGCTAATCGGACACACATCACACAGTGACAGCACAATCTCGATATCCGAATCCACCAAAATCTATGCAAGACGAAAAAAAAAGGATGCTTCGTAAGGACTAACACAGTTTGAAGATAGCGAGGGGAGAGAGAGCACTTACATCGACAAGTTTGGCGAACCGATCTGTATTCACCAGGTGGCTGGAGGTTTGAGACAAGACGCCTTGCCTGATCATGCTTGTGAGGATGGTCACAAAAGCGACGCGGATGCTTGTGTCTGAATGATAGCAGGCGGAAAACACATACGATAACCCGTTGTCAATATTGGCACTCAAAAGATTAGACAATGCAAGAATGGTGTATTTGCGCAAAGCGTTCAAATCAATGAGTTCCTTCTGAGACTATTCAACACGCAATACCTGTAAGCGATCATCACCAAACGTAGGAGGAGAAAAGAGTCCTTACCATCGAAGATGCGTCGTATGAGTCCAAGGCGCGTTCATTCTGGAGGAGACATAGAAACAGAGTAAATACATGAAAACAAAACGGCGCAAAATGGCGAGACCAATACGATACCTGCGGTATGCGGTATCGATTAAGCAGCTTATAAAAGATCATGTAGTACTCGTAAAAGGCTCTGCTTTGAATTTGTTTGGAATCCGTTTCAAACATGCTGTCTTCGGCAGACATTATCGGCAGATGATGCAACAACATGGCGAGCGTCTTTAGGCATAATAGATCCAGTTCTCGCTGCATATCTTCTACGTGAAGCATGGCTCCATCCAGGGTATACGGGTTTTTCTGTGGAACATGCTGTTAGCGTACAAAAGAACTTGCAGCAAGAGGTGTGAATTGGCCACTTGGCCACTGTGCAGCCTACCGTCACGGCAAATTCGCTGATCCACTTGACCAAGATATCAAGCAGTTTATTGCGCACAGAGAATTCGTGTCCCAGCATGATATTGTTGCGATGCATGAGGAGGAGTTCACACAGTTGGCACATTTTGATCTTGATTTTGACCAAGGCCGGCGTGTGGGCTAAATCATTCAAATACGCAGCACATCGTGTCACCAGTGGACTGAAATCCAGGGTATAAAGCACCTGCATGTCTTCCGTGTGAATTCGCTGTAATAACAATCGAAGAATGGAGATCGTTTGGTCCACCAGCAGCGTGTAACGCGGATTACGGATCGGGTTGCTGTCGGTTTCGTTGTGAAAGCAGGCAGACACGGCGTCTTCGAGTTGTTTGAACAGGGTCGGTGACAATGTCGAAGAGAGATCGGTACCTAGAATATCCTTTATCCATTCACGAACGATGAGGTTATCGCACGTCAGCAATTCCACCATTTCTCGAATAAATTGGTTCATAACAGCGTCGCCTTCGGCCGACTGAGGAAGGCTTCGATGCGGCGGATGATAAGATTCATTCGACGACCAGGTGCTGAGCGACGTGGCATCCTCCAAAAAACATATTCCCGCCAAGGATGCCAGTAACCCGCCATAATTTTGCCATTCCAACGGCCGATCTGCCGCTTTCAACGTCTCCACAGGAACTCGACGTGGTGGAGCGGCAAAACTGCGTGATCTTTCGTGCCGGTTGGAGTGCAACTTGCGTGAATGATCGCGATGATGAGTGTCGTTTCGTGAATGAGTGTCCATTGGCCGAATGATGGTCGTTGTGAGCTGTTTCCACAAATGCCATGCTTGCGCCCAAGCCGCCAAGACGCTCGTGGAATATTCTGTCTTTTCTCGCAGCAGTTTACGAATAAACTTTTGACGCAATTTGCAACCGGCAATGGCCGGAATGCCTTGCACCAGCTCCTGATACATGGCCAGATTACTCAGAAAAGGTACATAGATATCGCCTTCATATTTGGCGCGGGCCGCCTCTTCGCAAAATGCTTGCAAACAAAGCATCGTGGTATCGAAAATGTCGGCTTCCGTCGAACACAGCAGCAGCAAGAAACATGTTTCCAACAGATGCATCGATTGCAGCCACTCTTTTTTTGTGATATCCGGAGCGGCCATTTCCTTTGGAAACAGATCCGAGTTAGTAGACTGCCTCAGCTTTTTTTGTGCAGCGATTATAGGATTTACCTCGTGGCTGCGCAAGAAGACTTGTCGTTGTGCTGATAGACCGTAAAGCAATTTGAGTAGTAGTTTGAGTTGATCACTGGTATCGATATGATCCAGGAGCTGCTTGGCCACAATGGTCACGACTTGAGAAGATATACGCCAAAAGGTTGGCATCATCAGCGCATCAGTGGCCGTCCATTGAGTCATAAACTGAGCATTGTGAAGTTCCAAAAGGCAGTCCGCGGCAGCTCGACGAATTGACGAGCGTTTATCGCGGAGCAGATAGGCTACAGTTGTCAAGAGCCTAGCCGTATGCTCCGCTTTATCTTCACCGATTTCCTATAAGTCTCTTTTGTCACCTCACTCACGTCTACTTATCCATGGCCTGCACCCACTCCCCACTTACAACGAAAGCGAGCATAGGCCGCATTTGGAAAATGCGCAGTAAATCCACCAAAAGTTCCTGCTGTTCCATGGCGTTATGGTAGGGTTCTTTCTTGGTCTTTTTATCAGGAATGAACGTCATGGTTTTCCGGCTTAGCGACGAGCCATGCAACGAGCCATGCAACGAGCTTTGTGAATCGTTTTTTTCCGACTCCTGGTTCACCGTGAGCAACAGTAGCCGCCGCAAAGGGTGAGCAAAGTGGAAATAGAAATCCTGGACCTGAGACATCCATCGGTATCGGTTAACATCGGTGGCCAGTATAAGCGATGCTTTGACAAAACTGGGTTTGTAGGTCTTTGGAGCGCGTTCATCGAAACACAGCGAGTAGAATTCTTTGACAACTAACAAAGGATTGCATCGAAACAGAGCCGCTAAACACGCAGGTAAAACGGAGCGAGCATCGGCCAAAAGTCCTGACACTGTCGGAAAATGATCGCCAAAAAGTGGATCTTGCAAATTGAACAGTTTGTCTTGAAGTTGCTTTTCCACATCCACAAATTGCTGAAATAGAATGGCACCGTCTTCTTTTGGCATATAAGTCACGGCTCGACACACATCAATATAGCAAACCGCAGCAATTTCCGTATAACGTCGACCGGCAATCTCTTTTCGTAAATTGCTAATAAAAGCCGCCTACAAGTATTTCACAAAACATTGCATCAGCAAATGTTCGGTGGCACCCCATTTCACCGCACGGGTGAACAAAAAAAAAATACCTTTTTGGTATAGCCATCGGCATGGGACGATTGAGTGAGCGAGGCGAGAATGTCGGGACAGAGAAGAAGGAGATGGAGTTGCAACGGCCAAAACGCCGCTTTTCGTTTGGTCGAATCGGCTAAGGAGCCGCAAATGTCAAACAGGAGATCGGGATTCCCTTCCATGCGTTTTTTAAAACGATATAAACGGGTAAATTCCATCGGATAAGCTTCAATCCAATTCCAAATGGTGCGGCGAAGTACGGCAGCCACGGACAACTGAGCTTTCAACTTTGGGAATAAAGATCCAAATTCTGGAGAATGTATAAGCGTGTGTGTGATGGATGGGGTTACGGAAGGAAACTACAACGGATGTTTTTACCTGCCAAGAGCATACTTAATCGTCGTGCGTTGAGAGCGCAGCATTCCAAGAGTTGGACGTCGAATGTATCCGGGTCCTCATCATCGGTCGTGGACAGGTACAGCAGGCGTGCTTTTATTCGCGCAAATACTACGGGCCAGTTACTGGCACTGACGTAGAATATGATTCGACTGCTTGCTTTGTAGATATCCAAGGCGACTTGACTGAGCGACGGGTGAAGATCGTATATTTCTTTCTCGGTCATGGACGACATATGAAACATGAACCGTGACATGGCGGAAACCACGTATTTGGCAATCGTGTCATCCAAAGGAGGAGGATCGGCGCGATCGGTTAGGGTGTCTTTGGCATCTGAACCCTGATTTTCGGAATGCCCCGATATGGAACCACTGACGTCGTGAAGGGCACGGACACACTGCCAGTGATGCTGCATGCAGGCGGATAAAATCTTTAAAAGTAAATACTGCGATTCCAACACATCCGGGGCGACTACTTCATCTGGATTGGGCGTCGATGGCTTTTTTGACAAGAATGACGTTGATGGAAAAATGGACATTTTAATACTTGTGGTACAAAAGAAAACCTTATTTCTCCCAACCGAAAAGAAATCCATAATATACCTTTGAAATGCTATCAATGATGGTAATAAGCGTATTTGTGATGAGCGGTAACCTATACTCGGAAAGATCGATCAACGTAGCCACTGGCAAAACGCGACACAAGAAAAAGTTATTATAAATTCCCAGTACCGCTCGCTTCATTCTCGTTTACCACTACATTATCAATGAGGATTCTCAGTTAGCATGGCTCGATCATTTGTTGTGACATCTTTCAATAGCCTACGTCTGTTGAATCAAGGGATCATTTTCGAGTGTTTGACTCGCTTCACCTCGATGACTGGGCAACTAAAAAAGAACCGGATGAGTTCCCCGGGACTCAGGGCACCACTGACATGGGATCCGATTGAATACTTACACGAACGACAATACGGTTGATGAGACTGACAATCAGTTTCGCATCGGCACTCATGATGAATTAGAACTATTTTTTGTGCGAGGTCAATGACTGATCCACGCATGGGTTGGCGCTATGGCTCGCTAGATAAAAAAAAAGATACAAAGGAACGGATACACTTTTTTATGTGCAACAAAAAAAAAGTAAAAAGAGTTTGAAGCGTCGTTTTGATTTTTCGCTGATATGAGAAATTCAGGGAAAACGTCGATATAGGAAATGAATGGATATGCTGTTTTAGTCAACAGTGATGTAATTAAAGAAGATCGTATCCAAATTGGAAATCGAATCTCTACAGAACTTTTTGTCTGTGTCTGCCGTCAAATAATAAAAACCAACCGGTGGGTTTTTTCAGCTCAGCTTATCTCTCCACAAAAACATGATATAAACAATCTTGTTACTTTTTTTTTTATCTGACCGTCAAGTTGCATAGTTACTGAATCTGTGAAAATACCGACAATTCCATTGCCTACGACTCACTGGGGATAGAGATTTCTTGCATATTTCCTTGGCAACATGATGAGTGATTTTGCGTTGTTTGTTGTGTCATGACATTTGCTGTCTCGTAATTTCCTAATCCCGCTGTTGGTGAAATTTTTTTTAATTTGTTACAACGCTTGGCCTTGTCAAATTTCTGATCGAATCCTCCCGAAAACATCAATGTTTTATTTATTCCTGATCCCCATTTCATTTCTTCAAGTTCTTCCATATTATCCGAAGCATTTCTTTTTTCGGTTACCATGAGCTTAACCGATCCTTCTTTTACCATGGCCAGCGTGACAGCGGCGACAGCTGCTACAGCCAATCGGGCGGTGTGTTGGTCGCCTGAATGCACCGAGGCCGCTGCCGCCATTCTCAAGGATATCGATATGAACGTCGATCCGTGTACCGACTTTTATCAATATACATGTACGTGTGTAACCCGGCAAGATTAGTCTCAATGAGTTTGAAAAAACAGTAATAATTTGACATCTGATCTGTAGGTGGTAGTTGGCTGGATACAACCACCATGCGGGATTCCCAACAATGTAAAGTGGCACATTTTCCATGGCAGCATTAAAATTTCGATTGCTAATTATGGCTTTGTTTAAGCTATTGGTACATTTACGACTTTGCGTAGCGACGCGCTTAAAGTGTTGAATTGGGTGCTTGAAAGTTCTTATGAAGATGTCATGCAACTGGCGAAAAATACGACCGGGAGCACCGCAGTAACGGATGATGATGAAATTGATCAGGAAAATTTAGCCCGCATGCAGCGTTATTATCGTTCATGCATGGATGAATTGACTATTGATGAAATGGGGCCTACGCCGATGTACAAGGGCTTGGCTACCATGCTGGCCCCCTTTGCCACTGTCAACCACTCATTGCCACTTATTCAACCTGACGCGATTCAAGCCTTCACCAGTGCTATGATCCTGCTAGGCGAGGATCCCACCGAAGTTTTTATTGACGTATCGATTGGCACGGATGATCAACGACCTGACCAACACAGCATCAGTTTGGGTCAACCAAGCCTGATACTGCCGTCCAGAGAATATTACAGTGATCCCACCATGATGGAGAAATTTCGAGAACAGCTCGTCAATATACTGAGCACGGCTCTTGGTGAAGAAGCGCCCGAGCTGCTTGCCAACGATAAACGCGCCGATGAAAGCAGCGAACATGAACTGACCCTTTTAAACGACGAAGCCGCCAAATCCTTGGCTGAGCGCATCGTCAAGTTGGAGACACGGCTCGCAGAGCTGATGATGGCGAAGTAAACAGATTAGACATGATAGGCAGCTGAAAGCCCATATTCAACTGTTTTTCTCGTATTATTATGTAGGCAAGACATTTTGGATCCGATCAGCAGTTACAATCCCATGTCCTTGTCGCAAATTGAGCAGCAATATCCTATCATGAACTGGACAGCTTACTTTCGCCACTTTGTTCCTTCTTCCGTCGATGTTCCTTCGCGCTTCATTGTGACCACGCCCAAGTATTTGGACCGTCTGACCGCCTGGTTTCAGAGTGGTGAACTGACCGTCAGCGATGTCAAAGATTATCTTCTTGTGCGAATGATGCTTCACAAAGCCGTGGCTGTGGACAACGTTACACGATCGGCGGTCCAAGGACTAAACGCCATGCTTTCTGGTACAGTTAACACGCTACCCAAGCGTTCTCGCACTTGCACCAAGCGCGTTAGCGAGAATTTTGGTCAGTTGATGGGTCGTTACTTTGTGATGCTTAAATTCGGCGGTGAAGATGAGCGCAACAAGGTTGGCCAGTTTCTCGATCTTATCCACGGTGCATGGCTCGATCGACTCGCTTTGATTGATTGGCTGGACGAAAAGACCCGCCAAAAAGCGATCGAAAAGGTCAACGCAATACGCCACAAAGCCGCCTATAATATTCAATCGCCCGATGTGCGTTCCCCTGCCTCACTTCGGGACTATTTCAGTGGAATTGACATTGATGAGCAATCATTTTATGAAAATGAACGGTCCAGTGCAGCGTGGCAGGTACGCAATGCATGGCGTCGCATCGGTCAGCCCGTAGATAAAAGTGAATGGTTCATGACGCCTCACGAAGTCAATGCTTATTACTCACCTTCTTTCAACGAGGCAAGTTTTCTGCTCCAAAAAAAAAAAAAAAAAAAAAAAAAAAAAAAATGCATTTCTCGCCAAACTGATGGAATTATCTTTTCAATACAGATTGTGATTCCTTCCGGCATTCTCAGACCTCCATTTTATTATTCATCTTCGGACGCTTTGGCTGCGCTTAATTACGGCGGAGTAGGCGTGGTCATTGGGCATGAATTGACGGTAATACAAACATTTACCAACCATGATTCGACCGTTCGTAATTTATTGACTTGATCATTCTGCTGTTTGCCGTGATGTAGCATGCTTTTGATGATTCGGGTCGTTTGTACGATGCACAAGGAAGACTCATGCAGTGGTGGACAAACGACACGACGGCTCAGTTTGAAGAAAAGAGTCAGTGCTTTGTGTCACAATACAGCAATTTCACCGTTGAAGGACCGAATCAGACCATGTATCATGTCAATGGTAAAATGACGTTGGGCGAGAATTTAGCCGATAATGGTGGTTTATCCGCTGCATGGATGGCCTTTCAACGACAGCTTGCAAACCACGGAGACACCATGGCCATGCGACTACCTGGGCTGGAACACTTGTCGCCGGAAGCGCTTTTCTTTATCAATTTCGGTCGTGTCTGGTGCGGTCAACTCCGCCCCGAAATGGCGGTACAAAAGGCAAGCTCATAAGAAGAAAAAAAAAAAGGAAAGTGAGGAATTCACCAACTCATTAACGTGAAATAAATATCAATACATTAGATCCACGTGGATGTGCATTCTCCTGCGCGTGTGCGCGTCAATGCAGCTGTCCAGAATTCAGTCGAATTTGCTCAAACTTTCCAATGTGCCTCTGGCACACCCATGAATCCAGACACAAAATGTCGCATTTGGTGAAGCGTTCTTGGCCACATCAACGCTCCAAAAAAAAAGCCAAGCCATTTTCCTTAAGGTGAATGAATTTAATAAGAAAAAAAAAACAGTTTTAATGCCTTGCAAAGCGAAACAAAAAAGAAACGGAATAAAAAAACAATAACAGTAGCTAGCAGAGAGAGATCAAGGCAGTAAAACAATGACAATTTGACCAAGAAAAAGAGAGAAAAAAAACATAATGATGCTGGTTTGTATATGTATATACTAAGAAAGAAAGAAAAAAAAAGAGTTGCACACAATCTATTCGTTATACCGTTGATGAAGTGGGGATGGCGATCGGTACTGACCGCCTGGCGGGGCCATATAGGACTGTTGTCCCATGGGAGCTATGTAGGAGGGTGTGCCAGGACTGATGAAGGATTGATTGGATGGCATAATAAACGATTGGTTGCTTGGTATGTAGGATTGCACAGTGGGCGCAATGTACGACATGTTGCTTGGAGGCATGTATTGTCCAGGACCCGGGGTAGGTTGTCGACTGCGGTAACTACCGTAAGAGTAGTAACTGCCATGGCTGTAGCCGGATCGTGCCGTACCGCGCGATCCCTGTGATGCATTATCGTTCCAGTCTTCGTTGTACAATCCTTCTTCGTATTCTTCCCAGGTCATGGTCGGAATGGATTTCGGATCAAACTTGCCTTCGTCGGCCATCACCAATTTCTTGCCCTTGTCGCCCAACACCACACGAGTGTTACCCCAAGAGAAATCGTCGAAATGCCAGTACGCATACACGGGAATGTAAAGCGAGAACACGGGAATGGCAAAGATGGAAACAATCATCCAGATAATATGTTCCCACTTGCGATGCAACAAGAAAATGATCATTTGCAAACCATACACACCGGCAATCGTAATAATCGACATGAACGGCACGCCGCTCGTCGACGTTGCCAACGTATAGATCAGGTAAACGAGATAGCCCACAATAGCCGGTTGTACCAAGGTACTGAGGAGATCCAGCATGACAACAAATCGCATCGAGAAACAGCAGAAACCACATAGTTGAGGTAAGAAGACCAGTTCACCCAAGTTGTGAATTGTAGAGTTGATCCATCGACGGCGCTGCGATAACAACACACTCCAACGATCAGGGGCGTTGGTCGCACATTTGGCATCGGCAATGAATTTCGTCTTGTAGGTAGGGAAATGTTTCAAAATCAGGGTTGTCAAGTAACGATCTTCACCCAAATGAAGCAAATTCTTCTTGTGCAGTGTATCGACGCGATTGATCTGATAATCATCGATGACCTGATTGGAGATCAGCAGTGGTTGGTTCTTTTGAGGCGAGCGTACACGGTAGATACAGAAACATCCGGGCAAACAAGTGACGGAGCCAAACAGCGATTCGAAGGCCTTGATCAGATAATGGGAAATGAAGTATTCATACACCTGGATCATCGTCACCCAGGTGTCTTTTTCGTTGGACAGCACCGTTTCACCACACAGACCAATAATTTTACTGTCGTGAACCAAGGTCGACACCATGCGATTCAGACCATCCGGCATTACTTCGGTATCGGCATCCACCATGAGAACGAATTCATAGAAACTGGGATTCACGCCAATGACGTTCTTGATCTGATGATACACTTCCAGTTCCATGGGCGCCATGGGAGAATTGAAATGCACCTTGTTCAGGAAGCGCATCAAGATCAACTGCGAGTCACGTTTGCCTCGATTGCCCGGTTTTTGACGTTCGCTGGGTTTACCCACTTTGACCACGACAATGTACGGCACCACATGACCGTGGATCTCGTACAGACCCGAATACACTTTGCCCATGTTATGCTGCTTGGCACCTTCACCGATCGAGAAGAACGACAACGCTTCGGGGTCGACATTGGGATCGACACCCAAGATATCCAACACGATACGCGGCGTAGGACGATCGTTGCCACCACCGATAATCATACCGTCGCAAATGATAAAGAGAAGTTTACGCTTGTCGTCATACTTTAATGAAGCGATGGAATCGATGGTCTTTTTCAGCGACTCTTCGTCTTCAGTGTAACAAGGGACCTGACAGATGATGAATTTGTCGTGATTTTCGGGGTCGCGACGTGTGCCGAACTGAAGCGCAGCCAAGAATTTGAACACAATGACGGAACACAGGAACACGGTGACAATGAGCAACAGATATTCGGCAAAGACACACTTTGGCGAATTACGTTCATCAACGGCGCCGACGTAGAATAAGTTGCGCAAACACACTTCCTGGCGTTGTTTCACGACCGGGTCCAGATCCAAGGCATTCCAGTAATCGGTGATATCGTTGCCAGATTGGGTGCGGAAAAGATTCACGACGGCATCTGACATGAAATCGACATTGACATCGCCCGGAGCCGTTTCACCTTCGGGAGCCACGGCACGACGACCGCCCATCAGATAATAGGTAAGATCATAGACATTGTGATTCAGAATGGCCCATTTGCGCGTGGATTTCATACCGCCAATATCGACCGCACTTGTCGCTTGCTTGTACACATCGTTTCGAGCAAAGCCCATGGTGCCGAGTTTATAGTTTTTGCGAAGATAGACCATTTTCTCGTAATACCAATCCGGTCGGTAATCGCCACTGCTGTAACGGAAATCGTGGTACTGAGCGTTGCTGTCGGTCAAATTGATGTGGAAATCAAGCGAGACCATAGGCGACACTTCGCCTGTCACACCTTCACACAAGGCCGACACCTGGACGGGGAAAAGGTCGGTGGCATCCGTTCCACCGTACGACAGTACGGCACTACCGGGAATGACTTCGCTCGCCCAATGATGAGGCGCGAATTTGGTCAAATCAAATACTTCACCGCGAATGGCCACGTAGGCGTTATCGTCGTCACTGTGAGCTTGTAGTTCGGAATTGGAAAAGACGTCTTGATGAGGACACACCAGCGGTCCGAAGCCGACCAGGAAAAGAATCATGCAACCGGAAATAAAGAAAATAATCATACAAAGCGCCACTTTTTCACGCCACGCCAATTGGATATCAGGACGTTTCATCTTGCCACACATCAACAGGAATTTGGAGGGAATCCACCAGGTCATGACCCAAACAAACCTCAGCCAATGTTTGCGTGTTGCCGACAAGGGTTCCTCCTCCGGTGGCTCTTCCACTTCGACGTTGCCCGGTAACATCTTTTTCATTTCCATGGTACCTGACTGACTGGCGGTAAATGCTTCGGAGCCGTAATGTGAATCGTTGTCTTGATAACTGTGATAAGGTGGGTCCTGATAATAGTCGTCGTCCGACATGAAAGAACGCTGGTCATCCGAGTACACGGAACCACCGCCGTGGGCCATGGTTTGCGGAAGTGGCAAACCCGCCGCAGCCGCACTGGCTGCCGCCATGTTCCGTCGATCGCCCATCGAATGTTCAGATTGAGCCGTCGGAAGTAAACCAGCTCCGGATTCGAATGAAACGGACGATAGAGCATCGGCACTCTGTTCACGCGTCATGCCCATGCCCATGCCCATGGCCATTCCTGCGGGAGCCAAACTTGCCATGTTGCCCTCCACTCGTTTTTCTTCCTTTAGCTTTCTCTGTTCCTCCTTTTCGACCGTACGTAACCCGTCTTCCAAATGACGCCAAGCACTCTCATTCAAAAAGATCTACATTATTGGTGTCAACAAAAAAACACGCTGCCATGCCGACGAAAAAAAATCCTCAGATCAAAGGGGTGAGGCTTACCTTGCTTGTACCGATGGCGGCTTGGGTACCTAACCATCCAAAGATGGCAGCGGCCGCTTCACATTGGGCGCGGGGTAATCGGTCTTGTTCTACACCGACGGCCATCAAGGTTTGTGCGTACCGTTCACAGAATTCATCGTGGTAAAAGGCAGTGGTGAAACTCATCTGCAACCGTTCGGCGAGTTGAGTAAGACCTAGAGCGCGAACTTGGGCACGGACCCGTTGCGGGTCAAACATATTGGGAGCGTGAGAGTCGTTGGAGCGTAAGCAAAAGACGAACCAAGGAGTGGTTTCATCTAGCGTGGCGATAAGTTCATCCAGCGACGATTGAAGTTGAGCCAAGGCCATGGACACTTTCTGATCGTCTTTGGTCTCCTCTTTGGGCAATTCCGGAGGCGAATCGTCTGGGACGGCGGCATTTTTATTGCGTCGTTTGGATTTCGATCGGCGCATAGAGGGGGCACGAATGGGCTTATTCACCTGTTGAGCATTCATGATGGCCTCTGTTTCCTTGGGATGCGATTCGGTGTGAATGCCTTTGCCGGTGAACAGTTCGAGCATGAAGGAGTTGTACGATTCAGGCAGACCGCCACTACCGCGGATCAGCGAAACAAAGTCGGCACTGAGAATGTCCCGATTGTTTTCCACAAATCCTTCCGGATCATACACGACCTGGCCTGCAAAATGCTGAATAGCGAATCGATGGGCCCCTCCTTCGGTGGTTTTCAAGGCAAACGAGTCATGGGTGCTGTTGTACTTTGCAAATGCATCGAGAAGGTTGCTGTCTTTGCCTCGCGACGACGACCGGCTGTAGTGATTGGCGATGTCCAGGAGACCGTGTTTGGGTCGGGTGAACAGATCGATGCAGGCTGAGTTATTAAAATAGGGCACGTCTTTGGGTTCTAGACCTTCGAAGCGGTGATCCGACACATCGGTTTCGAAAAGTTGCTTGAGCATATAATTATGAATGCGCTCATTGGCAAAATTGACGCAGAACTGATCAAAGGAAGCCTGACTGTAGTAAGTGTGGGGACCGGGCATATCGAGGATACCAATAAAGTTGTGAATATTGTCATTGCAGAGCTTGGTGTTAATGTGTTCGACGATCCAGGTAAAGAGTAGCGAGTACAAAGCGACGATGAACTGATCCCGTTGAAGTGCGGCTTGTTCAGCATTGAGAATCAGGGTAGTAACGTCTTTCTTGATCATCTGGGTCTTGTAAGTGAGGACATTTTCCAGTGCACGAGGATCGACGCCCAAAAAGTCCGCGACGAGTTCCAAAATATCGACATTCTTTACAAAGGCGGCTTCCTGAATGGTGGTGTCATCGACAAAGTGGAGGTTACCGAGATGCAGCAAACAGGCGAGCAGTTGCATGATACGGGCCTGATACCGTTTTCCCAAACCGAGCGATCTGAGAGCCAGTTTGAGCGATTGAAACTTTTCTTCGTCGGCGATATTGACGGCTCCGTGAGGCCGAGACAGATTGGCAAAAGGCGTGGCGTCGTCGAGGCGGAGTACGGATTTTTCTTCCGGTGTGGCGCCCGCAAGAAGATAGTAAAATACATGGAAATTCTGTTCACCGGGAGGCGAGCGAACGACTCGCTTCTTTTCCAACAAATAGTTGAGTGTTTTGGCGCCAATCATGCGTCCGCGTTCGTTGAACTGGACTTCGATGTATTTCCCGAATCGCGAAGCATTTGGATTCATTGTTGTGCTTGCGTGACCAAACGCTTCCAGAACCACTTGTGCATTCAAAATCTGCGTTTGCAACTTGGACTCCTTTTTCTGACTACTCAGAGCCACCAAATGCTGCAACACTAATTTGCAATTTTCACTTTTACCACTTCCCGTTTCACCACTATTGAAAAACAAGGATTGATTAGTTTCCCTCGGTCTCTTTGATCCAAAGGCCACCATCACCCCAACTCCACCCACGAGATTTCTTGCACCCCATCCACACACATAAAAGAGAGAAAAATAACCGTTCTTTTTTTTTCCTCATCTTTCCCCTCGGGCCAGGAAAAAAAAAATCGAGGCCAAGAAAATCAAAAAAAAAATTGCAAAATTTTGGGTACCTGAGAATGATAGATTGATCGATACCCGTGCGACGCATGTGTAGGTAAGCTTGATTTATCAGTCGAAATACGTGAGGCACCACCGGTTCGATATCTCTTGCTGATGTATCCTTGTATTCCGCGACATATTGGAGTGATTCTTGTGATTGCGACATTTCCTTGCAAGGATTCACGACCACGAGAACCGAGTCATTGATGCTGGTGTAGATTATGTCATTTTGGAATCTTAACTTGAGAGTGGCGGTGATATTGTCTTCGGTGGGTGGTTGAAGTAGAGTGAGATCGCTCACATTCTGGGGCTTGTCCTTTGACTTGCCCATCTTGTGTTACGGATGGCGAGACAGAGAGGAGCAGAGGAGGGGTATCTTTTTTTTTTTAGTGAAGAAAAGAAGCAAGTAACAAAAGACAACGAAAAAAGTTGAGAACCCAAAAGGAAGGACAAAGAAAAAGAAAGAAAAAAAAAAGGCAAAAACGACGCAAGAAGCAAAGAAGAAAGAAAAGTAAAAAACACCACACACGAAAAAAAAAAAAAAAGCCAGTGTCGGGAATCGTTGACATTCAATACAAATTTATCACTTGCCAAAAAAAAAAAAAAAAAAAAAAAAAAAAAGTTAAAAAAAGAAAATGTTTGTACGAGCTTGCACAAGCCAAAACTCGACCATTACCCAGATTGCCATCGAACCCCTTTACCCTTTTTAATCATCTATCAGCCGTACATTCCTTTTGTACTATCGCTGAATCTGATTGGCAGCATTCTATAAATGGTTGATCGTCCGTTTAAGGACAACCGTGACGGACCGAACTCTCTTTCCACCGCATCGTGGAGCATTAAAGTCAGATCATCCCTGCTTTTTTCGAAGTCGCCTCTTTCTGTTTCCTTTTATTACCTAGGTTTTATGGTTTACTTGATCTCATCTCGCCATTGCTCGGGTCACGCGTCGCTGAAAAAGTCCAAGGCGTGAATCAACCGTTTTTTTTTATTGCCATGTCAACGTTCCACGTTACAATATGATCCATTTGAAATGACATGGCAATGTTCAGGTATTGTCATGTCAACAACAAGAGTCCCTTCACAGCATTTTATCTCAAGCAGTAAATGAGCAACCGGGATAAATTGCTTGACAAAAACCCCTGAAGAAAGGACTGTGCCTGACGAACCCTCCCCGATCCTCAGCCCTATATCAAGTGTCTTTTAAAAAAAGTAAAACTGATATATAGAAAAACGGATATTTTAACCCATCCTCCATTGATAAATAATGAGAATTTAGCTCCCTTCAAGTGAGAAACGGACATTCTGTGAGTGCGTATGAGCAGTAGGTTGAAAACCAATGGACGTGTTTGAATGGTACGATCTATTTCTTCTTTTTCTGCTAAGGATATTTTTTTTTATTCTGTGAAACCAAGGAGAAAATGAATGCGGCCGAAAAAGAAAGCCGGGCAAAAGGATTGGAATGAACAGCACGAGGATTGACAACACTTTGTAAGTGCTGAAATGCCACATTTTACTTTTCTGTGAAAGAAAGTTGGCCAGTGGCGGACTGTGGATCGGTCCTTGGGGCGGATCAAAAATAACCATGGATTTCCCAAATGGTGGTTCGCGACGAACTAATCAGAATGTGGCGCTGATCAAATTGCATTTCCAACCACATCCACCTCCTCCGAAAGTTTTGAAGGCAATAGATGCCTTCACACTGTACCTTAAGGAGAAGAAAAAAAAAAGAGGTTACAGATAAATCTTTAGCTTACGGCAGCATCCATTTTTTTCCGTGGTAGGACCAGTGATCAACCTGTCTACAACTACACGTGGCCTTTTGTTTTAGAAGAAAGAAAGAGGTATCGCTCTCTGAAACCTTAATTCAACTGGTTGCTTCATGTCTTTTAAGAAAAGATGATTTGCTACAATGTGCGAAAACATGCTGAGCGCTATGACCATGTCGGACTCACGGACTCATATCATTGGGACAAGACAATGTGGTGTCTCTCCACTGAGACTGAGGTTGATTCTGTTTCATGGAGCTAAATTTAGAGCCATCGCCAAAAAAAAATTATGTGGGAGTTGAATCCGACAGTGAATCCTAATGCAAGCCAATGACCGATGCAAGGTAGAAAAAGAGGAAAAAGAAAGAATGACTCGTCTGTTTCTATAGGAGCCTATGACGATGGCGCGGAATGAATTTGCCAATGGAGTCACTTAACTCAGTAATTCTGCTTTACTATGGGATGGTTGTGGGAAGCGGCGTGGGTGGCTTAAAGTACGCTTGAGGTGGTAACATAAAAGGTAATAGAAAACTGGCCTTGATCGCATAATCAATCGGGATCTGCAGACTCTGTTAACAAGCTGCATTTGTTCTCTCCTTTTATTGTTTGCGTGCGCCCGTCTGCAGTAAAAGAAACTGACAAGAAGTTGAGTCATTGAATGTAGTAAAGACGGAATTTAGACAACCTTTTATTACACTATATGGAGTGAATGGAACAAACCATGATAGAGGTAAACGTTGAAGGGTCATTTCCAGCGCTGATGATAAGCTGATCGTTGTTTGATTTTATCCGGTTGAATAAAGCACGTCTTGCGTTTTTGGTTTTGAAAAGATGCAATTTATGATTATTGGGTTGCTTTTCTTCCGTGGAAGACTTGCGAGATATTCATGATCAATATGAAATGAGCGAATAGAGGTAAAAACAAAAACAAAAAAGAATACAATACATGAACAAAAAAGAAAAACCAAATAGCCAATGATGGGCGGCGCAATTTTTTCCAGTTTTTTGATATATAGTGTTCGATAGGATTAGAAGCGTACTTTTCGTTTTCGGCCGGTAAATTTGGAGTCTTTGGCGACAGGTTTGTCACCACGATCGCGAGCAATCTGTTTCTTATGTTGAATCCATGACTTGTCCTTAACGGCATGTCGACTCGGTTTTCGCGATCGTTGCACGGCTCGTCGCTTTTCGTAAGCAATCGATTTCTCTTCGTCAGGATGTAATTCGCCGTCTTCGCCTAGAGCACGAGGCATCTCGTTACGTACACCTGTTTGCTGACCGGCAAAAAGACACAAGTAGTACTTTTTGGCCTTTTTGGAATTGGGATAATCAATCAACAAACCACCTTCAAAACCACAACGCGTTGCGACATCGATGATCAACTGGATTTGATCGTCATTTTCAGGGTAAAATTGGAAAATAGCACGGGCGCCCTTGCTTAACGATGCGTATAAAGTCGAAAAGAATCGCTGTAATCGTGCCTTGGGTCGATTGATGGTTTTGTCGGCATTGCAAAGCCATTGTAATACAGAAATACTATTCCACACCATGTTGTCTCAGTATCCAACGTTTCTCACCATTCCATGGTTCGACCAAAGAGAACCTACCTTATAGCGCCATCAAATGTACCGGGTCTGTAGCCGACACCATGTCCAGCATCCTGAAGCAACAGATCGCCTTCGACTTCTCTTTCCCTGGCGACATCTGTGATCCCTCAAGGTAAGAATTTTTTCGCAACTGTGATCCACCCTGTGAGCAAAGTACATACCAAGCATGGAAGGCGAAATATCCATGCCCACCCAAATATGACCCTCTTCTTCCAAAATTTCTCCGCTCAAGCCGGATCCGCAACCGATATCCAACAAATAGGCAGGTCCCGGAGGCAAATTGAGCAACTCTAGGGCACGATAAGCCATCTCGGCTTGAATAGAAGCAATACGCGAACTATTGATCCGCCGATGGTTAGCAACTTTTTGGATACTCTGTAAGAAAAGAGGTATTGACAGTCTTACTTGTCGGTGTACTTTCTGGCCTCATCGTCACCATAAAACTACAGTATCCAAGATTTGGTCAGATTATCGTATAAACCAGCATTCACTAAATAAGTGAATACTTACGATTTCTGGAGGTGCAATGTGTTCGGGTCGTGACATGTTTGCCGTTAAAAAAGGTACACTGATTAGCCCGTCTGAAGCTGTTCTACTAAAGACAAAAAAAAAAAAAAAAAAAAATTGGGAAAAATGGCAAGAGTGTGACTGAATTTGGGTGGCTGAAGTCACTTGTGCCCGATTTCAAAAAAGGTTCTGATTTCCACCCTGGCAACAATTTTCGACTCGCTTGCTATTACAGACCACTATGCTCCATTTACTTGGTGTCAATTTACCCGACCGAAAACTCGTTAGGTAACTACCTAAAAAAAGACTCTTTGCATTTTCCCTGAAATTCACCTTTTGATGTCTGGCAGCACGGCATTACAATACTTTTATGGCATTGGCGAGCCCACAGCCGTCAAGATGTGCGACCGTCTGGCGATTCCCAAAACGCTCAAAGTGGCCGAACTCAACGAAGTGCAGGTCAACGAACTGACAAACACATTGGCGGCCATGACCATCGAAAGCGATTTGAAGCGTCAAGTGCGTGAACAGGTCATGCATCACCGTAATATCGGCAACTATATCGGAAAACGACATGCGATGAGTTTGCCCGTGCGTGGACAGCGAACAAGAAACAATGCAAAGACAGCAAAGAGATTAAACGGTCGATGGGTGCAACGTCGAGGATTCAGCTTGTAAGTACAAAGAGGAAGGGAAATGACCATGAGAAGCAAAAAGTTGACGGGTTTGGCTGATTCCTTTTGATTTTTTTTTTTTTTTTTTCAGGTGGGCGCAAGCACAACAGAGTCCAATGGAACAATTTCTCAATAGATTCATGTAAATTTTCATATAACAAAATAAAAACAAATCCCACACTGTCGTTTGTAGAATTTGGATGACACTATATTTACGAATGATATGTTCAAGCAAATCATCCCCCTTCAAATGAACAAAAACGGAACTCAGGCACCCATTTTCTTTTTTCGCTCGTATTTGCTCACAAACTTGATACCATTCGAAAAGTGTATTATATCGCAGATTGGGTTAACGCATGGTGAGATCCATGTGTCAACAATTGGTTTTTTCCTTGCTGTCGTGCGTTTTTGCACGGTCTCCCTATTTCATGTCTGCCCATAAACCCTAGGCGCTATGATCAACAACCCACTTGTGCAATTTTCCGGCATTTATTTATTCATGTAAGTTGGCCCTCATTTCAACCAAAGGATCCTGCCGACATACCTTATGTCTACGCTTTTCATCCGTCTTTTGTTTGCCAGCGATATGCAATTATATCTACGATAAAGGGTAAAACTATTGTGAAACCGTCTTGACTTTTTTGCCTTGGATTCGAGAGGAACATCCGACCGCGCCCAGACAACGGATGCACGTCCATGTACATATATTGAAAAGTAGGAGACCAATTTATCTGTGTAAGCAAGCAGTAGTTCCGCTCATCACAGATTCATCCAACCGTGGAGAGCTCTGTCAATATTCCAGAAATACCATGCATGACAAAGTTAAATAACAATTTTTTATGTTATTGAATTTGGCATTGATCCTTATTGTTGTTGATTACATTCGTGATACAGTTCCAACGGCTGACCTTGAACCGTCGGCTCAGTTTCCTCCTCCCCATTCCCCCTAGAAGAAAAACCGCTTTGTCAATCATTTCAAGCCCCTCCAAGGGGTTCCCGGAAAAAAAAAGATACAGGACCCTCTCTATTTGACTACTGTATGTTTGCTTTTTATTTCGAGCATATTCTGATGCCAATGACAAAGACCGCTTTTAACTTCAGCCTTTTGAAAGCCCAACGTTAATTGAACAATTTAGTCTATTTTAGCCTCTTGTTCAATATGTCTTTAAATTGGTCGCTGGATCGGTGTCCACGGTAGGAGATGGGTGATATTGTTTTCTCTACCTCTTTATTCGATGGAAAAAGATCGCTGGTTTACGCTAAAGACATGACGTTGGATGAAATCATAACATCGAGCAGGGGAAGGTGGTACAGCTCAACGTGGTTCTAGTAACACTGCTCGTGGGACCGATGGGCCGAAATTCACTCCTTTCTTCATCTTTTTTTTTTTTGGTTTTCCTTTTTTTTTTCTATTTGCCTTTTTCTTATTTGATCTTTACAGTTTTTACAGATAGAGATTGTTACCATAGTCAAGGATTTCTGATACCGATATAGTCATATATCCATTTTATATATATCTGCATTTCAGGTTTTAAATTTTTTTAAATCGATCCTTTTTTGCCTTTTTTTTTATTTTTTCTCGGCGTGGACAGACAATGGGGCTCTTAAAATTTGGAAGTCTTTACAAGTCGCGTAATCGACGTGACAAATCACAGCCAACAACCGCTAGTTCACCAGATGTCAACAGCAGTTCTACCGATGCTTCTCCACCTTCCTTGCCGAAACTGGATCTATCGAAATCGCCCCTTTCCCATTCTAGTTCTGATCAACCCAGTTCGGACCAACCAAGCACACCTGTAGATACCTGGAAACCTGCCAACCGTAACAAGGATAGCAACAGTAACACTTTATTGGACGATATCTTCTTGGAGCTAAATAAACCGCATGATCAAGGTAAACGCCACGAGCCAAAAAAAAAAAAAAAAAAAAATTGGGCTTTAAAAAAAACACATCATCATCATGATATAACCCAATGTGAAATGATCGTCTTAAAAAAAATTAACCACCCAAAATATCGATTATCTCACTTAGAGTTGCACAATGATCTTTTGCTGGCTAATGCCTTGTCGGAACAACTGGCGCTATCCAAAGAGAACCAACCTCGCCATGCTTCGCCTCCCACCCCGACCTCGGGGTCAAAAATGGAAAGCAAAACCATGGACAGCGCATTCTTGGCAACCGACAACATCTACAGCAGTTATTTGCGTGCTTTACAGTCGCAAGAGGAACCGGCCGCGACTGATACGTCGTCGACATCCATGTTTGCTCACCTTCTCAGTGGCAATAACTCATCGACCTCCGCTCAGTCTCAGTCTCAAACACCTTTGTCGATCACCTCGCCTTTGCCAAACACTAATAATACCAAAGCCGAGAAACCCAAACCGGCCACGCAAATTGTTCTCGATTCCGATGTTTCTGATTCAGACGACGCCGAGTCTGATCATTCGTCGGATGATGAAGATCCTGGCAAGGCCCGTCGAACTGCCGGCGTCTTACCTATTATGGAGCGTCGACCCGTCAACCATCGCCTTGCTCTGCATCGTAAAATTGATGCTTGGGCCAACCGCGTCGATCCCAAAGCGAATCAAATCGAGTCCAACGAAGCCATGATTGCACGTATGCAAGAACGCCACCGCCATCAGTATAAACTAATGCAACAACGGCAGCAAGGCACACTTCCCAGACCGATTGATCCTTACAGTTCTCGACCGATGCCATCTGTCGTGCCAATGATGACACCTGTGTCACCTCAGCTATTCTCCCCTCCTCCGCCTCCACCCCCACATGCCATGGATATGTCGCCCATGATGATGACCCCCATACACGCCATGGATCCAAGGATGTCCCTGCCAGTATCGCCCCTCGTTTCCCCGCCACCCATACCGTCTTCGATTGTCCCCACTCCTTTCCCAAGACCAGCCTCGTTATCGTCCCAACGTCGTCGTCGTCGTTCGCCTACCAGTTCTTCGGATGTCCATCCAGCGTCATCCGTTTCGGCTTCATCGTCCACCTGCTCGTCCGTGCCGGCCATGACAGCACGCAACTCCACCGCTCCTTCCTCGGTTTATCCGGAAGCTGACGGAGAAGACGATGCCGATGACGAAAGACAAACATCGTCTTCTTCCGAGGAAGAAATGACCAAAACAGAAGCCAAACGCCAAAGCATGTTGCGTCACTGTCGGTCGGTCCCCAACTTTAGCAAGAAAAACAAGAAATCTTTCACTCACAGCAGCAACAACAGCATCAGCGACTCTCATGAACGATCGGATACGGATACTCACCCTCCTCCACCTCCTCCTCCCCCACCTCGTAGACTGAGGGAAAGCTCTTCGAGCAGAACCACGAGTAAAAAATATCCACATGCTGTCGATTCTCCACCGTTTGTAAAACATCGAAAAAGTGAACCTGAAATGTCCAAACACGGAGGACAGGTGCACCATTCGCAGCCTCGCCGGCCACCTTTTCCTTCCTACCCTGTTTCCCAAGCTTCGCCCGAACAAATGCAATTAGAGTGGCACCGATTACAACTCTTACAGCGTGAACAGCAACTTCAGCAACAACTTCAACAACATTGTATGCAACAATACCACAATCTCTATCGTTCTCAATCCGTGTCCCGCACAAACTCAATGATGTTCCCTCCCATTCCTGCCCCTCTCACCATCTCTCTCCCTCACAGCCAGCGACCGTCTTCGCACTGTGTCTATGGCTATCCTGCTGTCTCGTACATGGCACAATAAAAGCATAAACAATACTGTACATTATGAATATCGGCTTGCCAAATGGTAACAAACAATGAAAACAATAAAGTGTTCTAATGATAAAAAGAGAAATAAATTGACATACATGGTATATGAATGACGATGTGCAAATATCAAATTGTTGATGCGTTTCAATGGAGGTTTTTTTTTCTATTTTATATCCTATTTTAGTGGGTCCCACAGGAAAAGAAGGATGCAAAGGTATGCCAGAAACCCGATTTTGTTTTTGGTAGCGAAGAGGGCTGAGCCTTTGGCTTTTCCAAGGGAGAGGCATGGGCAGGACTTTCGGGCATGGCCACGTGCGGTTTGGGTGCTTCCATCTTTTGAACCGATTCCAGTGGTATTGGAATAGCTTTGACTTGTTTCTGTACAGGTTTGGCTTGGTTGATGACACGTTGACCATGCCGTCCCGACACCAGATGACCCGATCGCCGCGTACGATGAGGTGTTCCAGTGAAATCTTCACGATGGCGATTACGATACTAAAGGTAAGGCCAAAAAAATAAGGAAATGGAAAAAAATCATGTCATCATTGAGATCGGCCGCGTATTTTGACCCAAATAACATACAAACAGAATAAGAAAAAAGAAATAGAAAAAGAAATGGGAATCTACTCTCGACATGGCATGGATGGTTGCTCCTCCCACTCAACACGGTATATCAATGGTTCATCCTCCTCGCTACACACGCCTCTACGATTTTTTCCTTTTCCTTCCTCTTCCATTTTCTCTGCAACAGAGAAACGTGAAAAACTGAGAGATGGAAACAAACTCGCTCATTTATCCATGAGAAGTAACGGCGTTTTCGGCCTTTTGCGTTCTGATGCCTGTTGAAAAAAAATGTGCAACACAAAAAAAAAACCATTGCATAAACACAGCAGAAGACAAAATACTCCGATAACAACCACCAAGAAGACGAAAAAACCCCATTGCCAAAAAATGCCATGATCTCACGCGACACCCGGAAAAAAAAAGAAGACAAGAAAAAACAAAGATATAAAAATAAAGTTTTGGTTTACGTACCTCCCATCCTTTGCCGTTATTCAAGAGATTCCAGTCATAGATACCGTCGTCTGTCTCGCCAAGGCCAAGTAGTACCTTGTCAAATAATTCTCGGAGGAACTTGTAATCCGGCGTCTCTTGAAACCCTAAATGGCGAACATACTCTAGATAGATGCCAAATTCCTCTGTTGTTTTGTGCGAGCAACCATCAGTCAAAAGGTGTTTCTCGTTGTTATGACCTTGACCTTGACTTACCTGGATAATCGCCGCACAGTTCCTTGATAGGTGTCATTTGTTTTTTTTCGCCAATTTTTTCGTATTTTTGCTTATTGGTGGCTGCTTTCAGCCCTTGCCACGGTAAATTACCCCTTAAAAAGTACATGAATACGTGACCCAGCGATTCCAGATCATCCCGCCGTGATTGCTCTGCATGATCTTTATCAGCTATCGTGTGTCCACTCTTGTTTTCTTTTGCTGCTAAAAAACTTACCTCGTCCTAAATGTGTATTGATGCTCATATAACGTGCTGTACCTGACAGGCTCTTGCGCTCACGATAAGGTATATGCAATTTTGTTTTCGAATCTCGGTATTGTTTTGCCATGCCGAAATCGATCACAAAGAGTTGATTTTCAAAGGGTGTGTGAGGAAGACCGATGAGAAAATTATCAGGCTTGATATCGCGATAAATGAGATCACGTTCATGAACATCTTCGATACGATATAACTGGGAGAAAAAAAAAAGAGATATGGTAAGAATGAATATATGCTAAAAAATCAACCCAACCCTGCTCGCTTTACCATTTGTTTCGCAACCATGGCCACCGTTTTGGGCGAGAATTTTCGTGAACACAAGTCGAACAGTTCTTCGAGACTGGGTCCCAGTAGATCGATCACAAGGATATTATGCAGGCCTTCCTGACCAAAATAATGCGCCATCGGTACACCCTCTGAGAGAAAAAAGAAAAATGAGTATCCATTCTGAATGACAATTTCAAAGTGTTAAGCACTTACGTAATCCATTCAATAATCGATAAGTGTGGTATTCATCTTTCAATTGAGGCACGTCGGTTTTTCGTGGTTCAAATTTGATAGCCACCGGTCGATTATCTGACAAATTAACACCTGGCAAAAAAAGAAGAGTTTAGTTACCACCTTTCTCACTTTTCATCCTTTTTTCACATCTGTCTCTTGCCCATGAATCCCATTTTTTTGGGCTCAATGTTAGTGACCGATGGAACTACCTTCGTAAATGACGCCAAAGCTTCCTTCGCCTAGCTTTTTCCCGACTTGGTAGTGGGTGCCTACAACATGGCTGGCAGCGGATTCGGCGGTTGGCACTGAAGATATATCGGACATGATGGAAATGACAAGTATACAGTGCAAGAATACAGTACAGGTATGAAGGGTGGAAAGATATGAATAAATAAGAAAAAAATGGAGAGGAGAAAAAAAAAAAAAAAGAACCACTTGCGAGTGAGAAAAAAAAAAGAGGTAAAGAATCGTTGGATCGGAGCTCGGAACTGAGTAGAAGGATGGGATTTTGGGCTTTTCAAAAGGATGATGATGTTATTGATGGAAAAGGCGGTGTGCTTTGTTTTGGGGCGGAGGTGGGGGGTTTTCCATTCGCGCCTTTGGGAATTACCATATATGGTTGTGATTACACGACTCCGTTTTGCAAAACGTACCTTTTTTCGTCCCATGCCTTTGCTCCACACGATCGTCTCTCGTAAAGAAAAAGGGGGCACGTAATTCCCTTGCCCAAAACAAAAAATCGGGGAGATAGACTGCCTTATTCGCCTTTTTTTTTCTTTGTATATTTCTTTGGAATGTTTAAAAGCTCAATAATAAAATGGAAACAGTATAAAAAGGCCTAAGCGTCTTTATCCGATCACCAGCCTTTTTTTTTTATTTTCCGTTCTTTTCACAACGAAACAAGGGAAATAAAAACAAAAAGAAAAAAAAACCACATTTAGAGAAAAAAAATACAATTATGCTTTTGAAGCAGTTCATCTTTTTGCTGCTGTGTGATCTGGTACTATGTCTTCCGGACGCCACTCGTCGTATCCGTCTCGTTATTAGCGCCAATGTCTCCAATCCCGATTGTTTCAATACCGAGTATCCTACATTGTTGGTCAATGGCCAATTTCCCGCACCGCCCATTCACGTCCTAAAAGGCGATTTAATGGAAATCTACGTCGATAATCAGCTTGAAACCGCCTCCACATCACTTCACTTCCACGGTATCCGCCAGTACGGCTCTCCCGAAGCCGATGGTGTCCCCGGCGTTACCCAGTTACCCATTGGACCCGGACAACATTTGTTGCAACGGTTCCGCGTCACTGGTCAGACGGGCACCTACTTTTACCATGCCCACAGTGGTATGCAGGATGACTTTATCCAAGGGCCATTTATCGTTCACGATAGTATGGACGCCATGCCACCCTCCGTCAGAGGTGACAATATTCGCGCAGACACGGATGTCCTGGAAGACGGCCCTTACACATACAACGGTGAACGCAATCTTCAGTTGACCGAGTGGTGGCATCAATCTTTCGTGGAACGTCAAGAGTACTATGAGGGTCCTTCGTTTACTTTCGACCACGGTTCCAGCAGTCTCTTGATTAACGGCCGTACTGTCCACAACACCACGTATCTCGACGACACATGTCACGGCTATTCCACGCTCAACGTGCAACGCAACAAAGTGTACCGTCTTCGCGTCATTGCCGGAAATACTTTCCGTACCGTTGGCTTGGCCATCAAAGACCATCCTCTCACCATTATCGAAGTCGACGGTGAAATGACACAACCCTACAATACCTCGTACCTCGAAATAACTCCTGGTCAACGGTTCTCCGTCTTGATCAATACCGGTGACGCTCCCCCTGGTACGCACTTTGCCATTGCCACGAGCTACCGATGGCGCCGACGAGGAAAGGGTTACACCGAGAACGGTCTAGCGTATTTACGCTATGTGGATGATGAGGATACCTCTGAATACGGCACAACCACTCACACCATTGATCCCTCGCAATTTTCGAGTCACGCCAAAGTCGCTTCCCATCCTGATCTTCCCCCGTTCCCCGGTGAGGATAACCGCGATTGGATTTGGCCCGAACTGATGCCTTTGGGTCCTCGTGATCCTATCCTGGACGAAGAACCCAGCCGCATTATCAAGCTCAAAGCAGCCACCACCAAATTGGCCGACGGTCGATCTCGATACACCATGAACGGACGGCTTCCCATTGACCGAGAGGGATCCGCTTTAGCCAGCCTGATCTCGCTCAAGCACTCGGTTACACGGCTCAGTGACTTGCAGGCCGATGGTTACAGTCCTGTCATGGATACATACCCCATCTTCCGCAATGAAACCATTGATATTGTATTCCAAAATGGCCACTCGGGTAATCAATGCTTGATTCATCCCTGGCATACGCATGGTCACTCTCATTATTTGATTGCTTCCGGTGACGGTGAATACGATCACGAAAAACATAAAGACATCCGTAACTTCCCCCACCCAATTCTCAAAGATGTATCCACCGTTTATCCCACGCGTGACGACCCTGAAACTGGAGGATGCGGATGGACCAAGGTCCGCATTGTTGCTGTAAGTTCCCTTTTCTTGACATGTAGCGCCGGTAACAAAATGTCGGAAAGCCACGTTACTAATTTTTGATAATTTTGATAGGACAACCCCGGTATGTGGGCCGTGCACTGCCACATCACCTCGCATATGAATCAAGGCAAAATGGTAGTTTTGGAAGAATCGGCTGATGAGCTTATTCGTCGCGCAGCACTGCTAGGACGAAGCTTTTCTTAATTATCGAAACCGTTTCGCTTTTAGAAAAAAGACCCGCTCTTATGACACTATTACCCTGTCCCAAAGCGCGTGTCTTTGTGAAAATTCATACATATAATATTCGAGTTCAATGATGATCAATTTACAGCGTCCTTGACCGCCAAATAAAAATGTTATTTTTGTCAGTCAACCATCTCATGCATACATTATTGATCACTACGAACTTGGGTGATTTGTCTTTTTGGAGTGAATACAATAAGCTTTCCAGCGTGCTGCATCCATTGATCTCATCATCTAAAAAAAAGCCAAAAATTTGGCCCCATTTAGAATTTCTCGAAAAGGACAACTGATGTTGATCTCCAAAAATTTCGTTCTTATCTAAACCTCATGAGACTCTATTTCCGACAGAAACTCGCACACACAATTACAATTCCCAAGTTCAATTTTGAATAGTAGACAAGCACGATGACTTTTCTTACTGGCAGTCAGCGCTCAGAATAAAGTCGAATTCTCCGTATAGCCCATTTGACGATTGAGTTGGTAGTGGCTTCTCGTCTTTGTAAAGATCCTTTACCGCAGCGGAAGTCGATGCTGTATGCATATCTAGCCAATAAAAAAAAAAAAAAAAACAAATGAAAAAGAAAACTTGTTATCTTGTTATTTTGTTAATCTTGTTCAAATTTGTTAACTTGTTAACTTGTGATTCTCGGTACTATCATAAGATATAACAAGTACACAGCCGAACAAATTTTAACTAATTTTTAACAAGCCCGTTTTTCCAGTGATACGTTAAACACCAAGAGCGAATGCAAGAACTTGGATCATTAATTTACATCACTCTAAACAGAATTGTTTGATTCCGTTTCAATGAATTGAACCGCTTTTGCTCAATGAGTGGAGAATGTACAGTACTGTATGAGGGCTGTGCAAAATTTCCATCCATGAAAATTTCAGCAGAAATTCGATCGAGTTTCGAGTGAATCTCCGCTTGCTAAAAAAGTCAATGGACGAGTGCCTGAAAAAATATTAGTTGTTGTACACGCTGCTAAAAGGTTCATCTGTAGACATGTCGTCTGCAGAAGGTAATAATTAAAGGGCTCTTTCCATTGGAATAAACGAAAAAAGCTTATGCTCTATTGTCCGCATCATTTTGAACAGATTCACTGGAAAGTTTACGCCAGCAATTGCAGAAGTATGAACAAAAGGAAACGGCATGGGAAACCGAACGACTTCAGTTGCAGAATAAGCTGGCCACTGCTGGCACTCATTTAAAGTCCTTGGCCGTAAAACTCTACGCACAAGACAAACAGAATAAAGAATCCAATAATACCATTCAAGACTTGAATAAACAAATCGACAGCATACGAGCCGAAGCAAATGCCACCAATGAGCAATGGCAGCAACGCAACAAAACCCAAGAGGAGCAAGTACGACAAAAGGATACTCTAATGTCGCATTTACTTTCTTCCTTGCATCCATTCGTATCCGAGGAACCAATGTCCGAAGAACCTCCCGTTCATGACGTGAACCAGCTCGAGATTTACATCAACCATACCATCACACGACTAACAGAGCGCCACAACCAAGACGCTTCCGCGAAGCAACAAGGTACGCCGTTTCGGAATGTTGCAGTAGACCTTTTTGCTTATATAGTTGTCTGTGGTAGATAAAACGACTATTGAAGAGTTAAAAACACAAATCGATGAATTGATGAGCAAGAGTGTGGCGTCCGTCAAGATTGGAGATGAAGATAAAAAAGGGACAGATTCAGATACATCATGGTGTGAACGCACCATCACCAGCTTGAATGAAATCATGCAGGATGCAGAAAACGGTAGTACCGACAATTCATTACCATCCGATTTGTTACAGACTTTTGAAACGCTACGAACACATCTACGAGACCAAGCAGACGCACTGGAAAAGACGAAAAAGGAAGATGCAGTACTAATTCAAGGTATCGATGCAGGAAATGCACACGTTGGAAAAAAAAATGCAGGATAAAATGAGCTAAAAAGGGATTCACGGCTACAGATTTGAAACGACAAGTGACTCGACTACAGTTGGATATCAACAAATTATCGGAAGAGAAAGCGGAATTGGAGATGCAAATGGAAGAAGTGGGTCAGGTCAAAGACCTGCAAGAACGTTTGGAAGAAGCCGAACGACAGAAAAAGGAGAGTGAGGAACGAGTGGTTTCGTTGCAAGCTGAACACCAGTCGTTGTTGAACAAATTGGCTCATATCAAGGAAACACTCATGCCTCGATTGGAAGCCGATAAACAGCTGCGACATAAGGTCGATGAATTGACCGAGGAACTCAACAGCGTCCAACGGGCATTGGAAGACACGCGCAAAGAAATGGTGATGCGGGACGAAGAAACCTCCCAACAACTTGCCCAAAGGGAGCGAGATTTCACTCAACTGGAGAGGCACTACGTAAAAGCCCAGCAAGAACGAGACGAGTGGAAAATGATGGCCATGCAGATGGAGCCGCGGTGTTATCAAGCTGAAGAGCAGTTGCAACAGACAGAAAATGAACTGGAACGACTGAAAACACAACTGGCAGAGGAACGCCAGGAAACCGAATCGGAAAGAACCAGCTTGGCAAACCTGCAAACCGTACTAGAAGAATTTCAAGCGAGTAAGTCGAGATGGTTCACAAAGCTTGCAACTTTTGCAAACGTGTCCGTGCTGACGTCTCTTTCCATTTTTATCAGCAAAGGACGCTGAAATCCGAGCCGCCGTAGAACATATCGAGCGCCAATTAGACATTGCTCGAAAGAACTGGACAGAATACCAGGAAAAGGCTCGCGTAGCGGAAGTAAGTGGTTGCTCGCTGCAAGCAGCATTTGCCTTCTGGGGTGGGTCCCTTTAGGAAATCAGGAAGCATTAAAGACACCCTTAGACTTCACTCGCTCAATATCAACAAGACGTTGCCAAAGCGCAGCAATATGAACGAGAAATCAAAGAAAAGAATCTGCTCATTGGTAAATTAAGACATGAAGGTAAGTCGATCCAAGTTGAAATTTTTTTATCGGCACACGATTAACAAAGAGACAATGGACCTGACAGCCATCATTCTTAACGAACATCTGGTGGAAGCCATGAGGCGACTGAAAGAGGAAACCAATGACAGTAACGTCGACAGGTAAAATCAAATCCAACAAGGAGGGGGGACCGGGAAAAACCTCCAATGAGACGGAATGGCTGATGGTTTGATTAGACAACTGATCACGAATCTGGTGGTTGGATTTTTCCTTGCACCTCGCGGTGATCGCAAACGTTTTGATATTCTTACCATTATTGCGAGTGTATTGCAAATGACCGATGAACAAAAAGAACAGATCGGATTAATTCGACCCAAATCCGGTTCACGCCATGGTTCATCGCCAGGATGGCAAAGTCCTCAGCAACAAGAAGAAGAAGAGCCGAAAGAGGTATACCCCAAGAAAGTTCCACATCAGGAACCATGGTTACTTACCCGGCTTCCTTTTAGTCGTTTACCGATGCATGGATTTCATTTCTACTCAAAGAGTCCAGTACATTTGTTCGCGGGCGATCCACTTCTAATCCATCACTGACAAAAGGCACGCATTCTCCAGCAGACGTTGAGCATGAAATTTAATGGTGACAGAAATACGAATGACAAAGAGGGGGTAATGTGGATGGTAAAAAAAAAAAAAAAAAAAAAAAAAAAAAAACTGTACAAAAGAACTTATAATGTATGTAAAAATGTATGCTGTCGTTTCTAAAACTCTTTGGACTCGGATGCAGGTTGATGTCGTTGTCTCTTTCTTTCTTCTTTGAGACCTTGATACAGTTGATGCAATTGGGCAGCCACGGTATTGTTGGCAGCATGAATGGCCACACCGTCGTGAAGGAATTTATCGAGAATGGAGGTAGCAGTGGCTATTGATGCATCGTTGGACGACTCCACCTTGAGATTGAGGGGAAGTACTTCAGGTTTTCGGCTACTCATTGCTGTAAATTGGTAAAATGAGGATAACAAGAAAAGGAAAACCTTGAAGTTGAAAAAAAAAAAAAAAAAAAAAAAAAAAATGGTCGTAAAAAAAAGTTGAGTGACCGCTCTCGTCCCCCAAAGCCACTTCCATGCATTTTTGCTCTTGCTTGAAAATTTGCCAAAAGAAGCAAATGAAGGTATGGCGAAGCGGTGATTGAATGGATGAACGACCCGTCAAAAAACCATCTTCAGGGGGAAAAAAAGAAAAGCGGTGCTTCCGACGAGAACCGTAGACTGACTGACCTCCGAAAGGAGAAAAAAGAAAAAAGCTCGAGTTGTCGAAACGTTACTAGTGGACCTTTTTCCTACTTCTTTTTTTTTTTTTTTTTTTTGCGTGGGTGTGGTGCTCCCTTTTTTTTTTCTTTTCACTTTTTTGCAACCCCATATTTCCGGTTATCTGACTCTTTTTAACTCCAGCATAATATCCACTTGTTTATTACCACCATGGGCGATGATCACGAAAGTAAGTGATGCAAGTCAGGTATTGGGCAATGGGAGGGAAATACCTCGGATGGCCAACCCTTCTCCTTAGGCAGCTTGACTCGGACCGGCCGAACCACAGGTACAGATATCGGCGAACTCCAACAAAAGATCTCCAAGGCTGAACGAGAACTGAACCAATTGCGATTGGAACTGGACCAAACTCGTCAGCAAGCCAAACAAGCCGAACTGTATGCTCAAGAGAGTGGACGTACCAATCGAAAACTAAAAACCGAAATCCAGACATTAACCGACATGAGCAACCGCAAAGATCGACAGGCCGAGAATGCGAAAGCGACGGCCTTCTTCTTTGAAGGCCAAGTGAAAAAGTACACGGATGAAATTGAGACAGCTCGTCAGGGGATGGGCCATCTCAAGGAGTTGGATGACGAATTGCGGGCAGCGAAGGAACAACAGGAGGTCATTGAACGAACAGCACAAGAAGAGTATAACCAAGTGCGGGAAGAGATTCGAACTTTGCACGAACAATACCGAGCGGAAAAAGAACATTTACGAACCGTCATTCTCGATGCCTATCAGGAACTCGCCGATGCATCCACTCGAGCACTGACATTGCACCAAGAAGTACAGTCACGGCTTGATAAGGATGCAGCCAACAAACAAGATATTCGTCAGTTGGAGGAAGCTCACGCGGCCATGGAGAAACAGCAACTCGACACTATTCGAAGTGTACAGGAACAGGTGATTCAGTTGAAAAAGACGCTTGATGCTTCGGAAGAATCGACCACGTCCCACGAAGGCATCATGACCATGGTCAAAGGAGAAATGGATCGTATCATGCGACGGTTAAGAGCCATTGATCAAGCCGAACTCAACTAAGCTTTTTCACATACCCACTTTTTTTCTTCTTCATCTTTCCATTACTTTGCGTGACCTTTTTCATTGATGGATCAGCTTTTTTCGAGAAGCGTGTCACGGTATACCTGTGCTTTTTTTTGTAGTTTTTCTCTTTTTCCCCAGGGTGCGTTGACTAAAAAAAAGCCTATTGAATGTCGGAAGGTTTCTTTATGTTGCATTTTAACAGCTGTATTCATCGTTCACCTATGCTTCTTCATAAAAAAAGAGTTTTAGTCAACACGTTGATGCGGTAACCTGCTTTGATTCCACCAGCATCCGCCAATAGTATCTCTTTGTTCATCACTCTGATTTATGCGGTCTGATTTTAATCCGTGGCCGCATACACGTCGCTCACGAAAGCTGGCAACCGTTAGCTGCCATCCATTCATCCACGCCAAGCTTTCTCTCTTGGGTTCATGCTATTGAGGCAAATTGTGCATTGAACATTTATAATTCAACGACGGTTCTTGTTCCTTTTATGGAGACACTATCCGATAGAAAAAATATGGTTATTTATTTCTCGAAAGCTGAGAACTGTGCAACATGGGGACGGTTTCCAATAGTATCGGGTGCAAGAAATAAGTTTCGAATATGGACAAGTTCTGCATGGCAAGACCTTCTCAAGAGGTGGCTTCTCGCCGATGTTGCTCTTTATTCTTGTGCTCGGGTATCGACCATGTCAAATCGGACTTTTTCAAAATGAGATTATCGTTTCAAGCCGGTTTCAAACAACAAACTGTAAAAGTACGCGACATCCAATCATAATATATCGCATAAACTAGTAGTTGGGTCAAGGTTCATAGTTAAAATATGATTTGTCAGTCATCCTCCAAGGACCATGTGTGAGCTGGCAGTTATCCAGAATGAATCGATGATGGATGCTGAGTTTGGACCATACGGCGGGAAGTTTCGTTGTTAAATATCATTACCTACCTTGAGCCACGTGTTTAATATTGAATAGGTTTATGCATAAATAATTATATGAAGCACACCCTTCATTTCCACTTGGGTTCAAGCTAACGTTTTATCAGCCGATAGAACCAAGCTGCACCGACCAGCGACTAAATAGTTTAGGGGATGATGTGGTTGAAACCATCATTTCCTGTGGTTTTGCCGATGGACAGCGTGCAGAACCCATGTGTTAAAGAGACATATTTTTTATGAATTCACTTCCGCTGCAAAACCCGCCGAGTGCTTCAACAAATACACCAGCGGATTAGGAAGCCATTCCGGCAATTGAGCGGCTGCAGCCGGAAACACAAGAGTTTTATCCACGTCTGGATAGTTCAGATGTATGATCATGCCTTATTACCAGCTAAAAAAGCTAGCTGAGATTTTTTGGTTATCACGGACAAAACGATAGGGTCAAAGTTTTTTTACCTAAGCAAATATTGACACTCCGACAATAGGCCTCTTGCACTATTTAACAAGTCATCATCGGCTATATGTATCCGTGCCAACGTCAATTTTTTTTTATATTGTGCAAATAAAAAGGACATACAATTGACTGAAAGAGCAATGGGGTTACATATGCCACCGAACATTGTCACGAAACACCGTGACGTGCGGCGATTCAACTTCCGCCATTGTAGGTTTGCAGGGTCTTCCTTTTTTTTTTTTTCGTTCGGTCTTTCTTTTCCTTCATTTGTTCGACAGCCTTTGCTTTTTCGATTTCTTCTTTTTCTTCTTTTCCTTTTATAATAACAACATAGCATGCGTCTGATTGTGCGGCAGGATTATGAGGAAGTCTCTGCTTATGCAGGTACATTTTTCGTTGGCTACATATATAACGCGACACCGTGTGACTGAAGCCGTTGTTGCAGCCTATTATGTAAAAGAGCGTATCAACCAATTTCAGCCTACCAAGCAGCGACCGTTTGTCCTGGGTCTCCCCACCGGTTCATCGCCCATTGGTGTCTACCATAAACTGGTCGAATTTTATAATGCAGGCGAAGTTAGTTTTGAACACGTCGTCACCTTTAACATGGACGAATACGTCGGTTTACCAAGGTAAAGCAGTTTATCTTTATTCTTTTCTGCCATCGATTTCTGGACCCTTCTCAACGACCTTTGTTGGAATTGTCATTTCTCACTATGGACTCATTTCTTTTCAGGGATCATCCACAATCGTATCGTGCATTCATGTGGAAGCATCTCTTCCAGCATGTCAACATCAAAAAGGAAAACGTACACATTTTAGACGGCAATGCTGAGAATTTGGACGAAGAGTGTCGCAAATTTGAAGCTGAAATAGCCAAGTCAGGTGGTATTGAGCTATTTCTTGGAGGTAGGCATCGTACAACAATACTGCTTTTTTGGACCCGCTCCATTTTTCATGCCTGTAAGAAAACCCGTGAAATTATTAACGCATGATTGGAAAAAAAAAGGAATTGGGCCGGATGGTCACATCGCATTCAATGAACCTGGATCCTCATTGACTTCGCGTACACGCGTAAAAACATTGGCTTACGAAACCATCATCGCCAATGCTCGATTTTTTGGAGGCGATGTCACACGAGTACCCAAACTGGCGCTGACGGTTGGCGTAGCGTAAGTGATTTGTTGTTGTTGTTGTTGTGGGGTTTGGCCCCCCCCTGATTCGTTGGGTTATATAAGCATGGTTAATGATGGCGGTTTTTTTTCTTAGAACGGTGATGGATGCTCGGGAAGTGGTGTTAGTCATTACCGGTGCACACAAGAGTCTGGCACTCGCAAAATGCATTGAAGAAGGCGTCAACCACATGTGGACTGTATCAGCGATACAGATGCACCCTAAAGGATTAATTGTATGTGATGAAGATGCGACATTAGAACTCCATGTCAAGGTAAAACGAACCTGAAAAAAAAATCATGGCTGACTTTTTTCTAATGATGTTATTTCATGTAATTTAGACGGTGAAATACTTTAAATCCATTGAACACGTTCATCACTCTATTATTGGACCTCACAATTTAGGTTTACAAGGCAATTTATTAAGGAACATGGTGGATACAAATCAGGCGGCCAAACGTCGTCGACGACTCATGTTACAAAGTCTGTTAAACAACGACGATGATGAGGATAAAGATGATCAACAAATAAGTTCATCAGAATCATCCGATGAAGGCCCTAATAAGCGTCGGAGAAGCTGAGAATAAATGCATGGCCCTATCTTTTTGGATCCTGGTTTGTCTGTTGAAATGAATAAAAGAGAAAGCTCTTGTGAATATTGCAACCATCGGTCCCTTCCCACAAGTTTTATACGATGACAGTTTAGTGCAACGACAGTTGAAAAGAAGTATGATTTGTATCAAGAGATGGTTGTTTTCTTATTTATAAAGGCCTGTGTGCTACGTTTTATTGACGTGAGAAATCCTCCACTCCTTAGGCTGCCATCCAGATATCCCTGAAGGTACAGATCGAGATAATCTAGGCGTTACGAGTCATTGCACATCATAATCCATAACGAGGCTTCCTTTTGGTGCTTAGAATTGTCACATAGAGAATCGATCAAATAGCAGATATCTTCCATAATCAGCCTTCCATTTGGGTGATTTCTCATATTTGATCAAAGGCGTCGGTTGCGATAAATAGAAAACGCTGTACCAAGTGTAGCGTGTGTGTATATATATATATATATATAAAAAGGTAGATATGCTGATGTTGAGGAGGAGTCAATCATGGAGGGTGGGCGCAATGAAAAGGAAATACAAGGGGAAAAAAAGACAATGGCTTAGGAGCTGCTGTTCTCGGAGGAAGTGTTGGCGAAAAGATCGGTGTTATCGTACAAATCCGGGAACGATTTGGCGAATTCAGTCGACAGCATTGACTTGAAGTCCTATATAGCGAGAACAAATAAGCCACACGTTCATTCCTGTGTATAACACAGATTTGGTGGGATCCACGTACACTGATGGCTTGGATTTTCCCGTTGGTGAATTGATTTTCTGTGGCGGCTCTTTCCACAAATGCTTGGGTAAAGATGTCCGGGTTTCTGCCCGTCTCCACATAGCTTTGATAATTCACGTAAATGAAAAAGATTCCAACGATGACTTTTTTGAGCCTAATTCTCCAACTCACTTTATCACTTCTTCTGGAATGTAAGCATCAATATCGTTTTTCAGTTCGTCAATCTTTTTGTAGTGATCAATCACCGTGTTCCTAGGCATTCCCATGAGAAACACAAGCAGCTAAAAAGTACGACCACGAAACGCAAGGCTTACACTTTGTTCCATACGAGCTTATTGCCATCCGGTTGGAAATCATAGACGATCACGCTCAATTCAAAAAGCACTTGCAATAGTTCGTTCAGCTGGTCGCCCAGTGCCTGACGTGCATTCGTCGTGGTCGCCGCATTGGGTTTGAGCTCTGAAGAAGGTTGTGAAAATTGAGTCGGTGAAGCACTAGAAGGCGTACTCGAGGAAGAGCGAGATTCAGGCTGTTGCATGCTTTCAATCGAACTAATACCACCTATCCACTTCAATGGCTCCTGGCAACCTCGCCTATCTTTTTCCGATCAAAAAAACCTCAAAAAAACCAAATTAATACACCGTGTCCAATCAAATGGTTGTTACGTCATCAATAGCACTTGCTTGAAGATTTAGGCACCTCATGTTCAATGGTTGTTGTGTCGCTGTGGCATGGATGGTGTCCTCATATTTAAGTAGATCTCAATGACGATAAAGAGCGTGCGTACTGAAATACATTAACAAGCATGCTCTTTTTTCATCAATATAGAACCACACCAAAAAAGGACGTTATTCTCCCCTTTGACAGGCAAAAAGAATAATATTTGTTATTAACTTTATTCGCTGTCCTAATTCAAAAACGCTGTTGTTGGGAAATAAAAGAACAGGCATGGGATCGTCGTTGGAACCATTACATCGTTGAAAACGAAAGAACGCTTTCGTTACTTTCAGCTGTATATGCCATTGAGGATGACTACCGTAAATTAAGAAATCATTCAAATGATAATGTCTAAGACGCTTTGTTGTTGATTTGATATCGCTGGATCATAACATAAAGTGGGTTGGAAAGTTCACTGTCGTAGCTCCTGATTGGCCAAATGAGAAGAATCTCCGTCCCACGAACAAAACAGGCTCAAGAAACCTCACGCCCAAATTTGTCAGACCCGCCCACTGTGCAGCAATCTCGGCAACTTTAAAAAAAATGTCTGTCAGTGTTGCGCGACGCGAAAGGAAATACAACGGTTTAGACAACGACCGACTTCAAAGAGCCATTTCCCAACCTGTGCAAGCTTGGTAGGAAGCACTTTTTTTTTTTTTTTTTTTTTTTTTTGCTTACGCAAACCTGACGACGTGAGAGCTTACCTCGTTTCATTGCTAGGGAAAAGAAATGGGCTTCGCATTCCCAAGGCAACAGTATACACACTTTTAAATGGGTGAAATGTAGTTATATAACATGTTTTTTTCCTTATGTTCATTGGAATCTAATAACGGGATCTTTTTTATTGGACATTAGCGACTCGACCTATTGTTTTTGAAGATGAAGAGGACGAGGGACCTGAACCTGTCAGCGATGCGGTCCCTGCTGAACCAAAAGTCGTCAACGAGACCCACGACGTGATGCAGCCCAAAGATTCGCAGGCATCCAACAATCCTACTGAGGATTCGATCCCGGCACCAATGACGACGAAAACGCCAACAATTGAACAAGTGACTGAATTGGAGGTGGCAGAAAAGCGAGATCAGTCTGATCTCAACGATGCTGCCCAGCACCCTAGTCTGGCGCCTCATGTTCTTGCTGACGACACCGAGAGTATGCAGCCTGCCGAGGCCATGGTATCGGAAGAGCCCCTGGCAACAATGGCCGGTCCTACCGGAGCGACGGCGGTGTCTTCCGCCGAAGAGAATTCCGTGCAAGCATAAATAATGTTTTCCCAAAACCTGCTTTCATCTTGTCTATTTCCATCCTCATCATGGTTCCTAACAAGTGACAGACTTGCCGCAACAATGCGCACTAGAAAAATATTTGTTCTTTGTTTTCCAACCATTCCTCTATTATATAATGATCACCTTTTTTACATAAAAGCATGGCCTCCTAATGTGAGCTCTTTTTTTTTCTTCTTCCTTTTCGTCCTTCTTCTGTCCCTCGTCTTCATATTTTCGATCTTTTATAGAATTGCAGTGGTAACATGTCGTCCGAAGAGCATCCAGTCGAAGAACAGCATCTAGAAAACTGGGCGGAAACCGCGACACTCAGAGCCCACGATGCAGGCGATAAACTAAACCACAAACTGCAAACGTTTTCAGACGACACTAGCCACACCTATTATTCTGTAAAGAATCAAATGATGCGCTTGTGGGATTTGTTTCAACGCATCTGGCAACAGTACTCAAGTTTCCGCATTGGTGGCTACCTCTTTGTCGCTCTCATTAGTGTTCCCCTGTTGGTTTTCCTTACATTTGCCGGTGGGTCCTTGGTGACATTGACGATGATTGCGGGTACGTTTGCCACCACGATTCAACTGGGGGTCCTTGCCATGTGCGGCGCGGTTCTACTGCCGGTTGTTGGTGCGGCTCTGTTGGCCAGTTTCTTGGCATCGTCATCCTACTTTGGGGCCACCACTATGGTTCGACTTAGTACTCCCATCGGCTACAAGGTGGTCCAATTTGTGCCCGGTCTGAGACGTCGAGCTTCTCAGGACATGAATGCTATCCGTACAGGAGTACAAAAGGCCGAAGACCAGAAGCATCCAGATGGTGCCATGAACGGTCACGACTGATTTCGTGCTTATCCCTGTTCAGATTAAACATTTCCTAAAAAAATAAAAATCAATTGGAACAAAAGCACATTGCGACGTGCTTGTATCAACACAACCAAAAGCTATACAAACGAGTTGACTGTAAAATAATGTATTTTTCAATCATCTATACAAAATGAATCGTCGATCTATGTTCCGTTATGTATACAGTATCATGAACTTGTTTTGTTTTTTGCTTGGACATCGGCCAGATAAATCAATGGATGAGTTTGTGAAATAAATCGCTAGATTTTATATCCGCTGTGAATGGCGGCAACGCCAAATGTGAGGTTTTCGTAACCGCTTCCAACTGTACTAAAACCGGCGTCCCGAATGATCTTTGCAAATTCTTCTTGAGAGTAGAACTTGCGGATACTCTCCACCAGATATTGATACGAAGCACGGTCATTAGCAATGATTTGTCCCATCACAGGAATCACCTCGAAAGAGAATGCATCATAGACTCTATTCAACCAAACGGGTGAGTTGCTCTCAACCAGAGAGACATGTATCTATATAACTGTAATACTATTGCCTTACTTGCTAATCACTGGATTGTCGACTTTGCTGAATTCAAGACACATGAATCGTCCTCCCGGTTTCAGCACACGATAAGCTTCCTTGACTACTCTGTCGACGTGGGTGCAATTGCGAATACCAAATGCAATGGTGTAGATATCAACCGAGGAGGAGGGCACATCTTTAAGATCCTCTGCATTTTGAACCAAAAAGCTCGCTTGATTGGCTTCCAAGAAAAATTGTTTTAGCTTTTGGATGGAGGAAAAAAAAACAATTGTAATCAAGGTATAGAGACTCACTGTTGGCATAAGGAGTTGTCTGGAACCGCTTTTTGCCTTCTTCAAGCATGTGTGCGTTAATATCGACCATCTGCACCTGAGCCGTTGAATCTCCGTGATAATGTTGGCAATAATCCAAGAATCGTAAAGCGATATCACCTACGAAAACTGCTCAGCATATGTACGTTATTCCCTTTAAGCAGGTCACCTTACCAGTGCCTCCTGCAACATCCAGTAATTTGGTCCCTGGGCCTGGTGCCATGGACCGGATAAAGTGATCTTTCCATAAGCGATGAATGCCCATGCTCATCGCGTCGTTCATGACGTCGTATTTACTAGCTACATTGGCAAACACTTCATGCACTACATGAATAATAACTCTTGTCAGTTAACGAATGTCGCTGCTTGAGTGTGCCTGATGTGTGTGTACCTAACGATTCCTTTTCCTTTTCAGGGACATCGCGGAAACCAAAGTGGGTTTTGCCGTTGGGGTCAGTCGAGGTTTGTTGGGCACGACGTAAAGAAGTGCTAAAGCAAGCTTTGGAAGCCAACGAAGTGAGGGTGGGTTGGCGACGGAGCGCACGACAGACAGTGACAAAGGGTCGCGACATTTTGACAGGCAAGTGGCACGAGCCGTTTTTTCAAGGGTGGATATTCTACAATGGGAGGGGGCGGGATTGAAGAGTCAGGTGACTGTTCAAAAAGAGAAGAATAAAAAAGCAGGAAACCCGAGTGTTCTCCGCTCTGGCCACACAACGCGATTCCGTTTTGTTCCCCAACTCATGGTGTTTCGTTACAGTGATCTGTACAGCCATACAGCTTACCAATGCAAAATATCTCCCGATTGCACGTATTTAGCCAACGCCGTCGATAAACGGCTCGTCATACGCAGACACTCACATGATCTCGCCATCGTACACATCTTTCACTGTATGCGGACCATTGATCTCGTGGTCTGGTCTCCCGATTCACGTTACGTTCTGAATGCCCACTATGCTTCGGGGACTATTGAAGTGTGGGAGGTCGGAGGCACGCCATGGCACAGCACCATTCAGGAAACAGCCAGTAAAATTACCAGTATACGATGGAGTACCGATTCAAAAACGGTCATTAGTGCTTGTGACGTGAGTACATTTGTGGTGACCCGCTCCGACGAAAAAAGCGCTCAATAACGATATGTATCCGTATTATAGTTGCGAATGGTGTTTTGGAATCTGGCGGATCAAAGGATTGAATACATTCGATATCCCAAATTTGCGGACAAAGGTAACGATCTCTTATTGCATGAAAATCGTCTACGACGTCCGACGTCCCACTTTATTGCGATACTTATGCGAGTTTTATAAAGGGTGTGAACCAAGCCCCGATGGAAAATATTTAGCCATTGTGGAGATGAAGCATGGAAAGGATCACATCAGTATCTATAATGGATCGACTTTGGTATTACTGACGGTAAAAAATCTCGCGTGGACATGCAATTATTTTTTGTCGCCGCTGACGGTTCCGCTCATATAACCTCCACAGCAATTTGCCACAGATACAGTCGACATGGAAAATCTGCAATGGTCACCGGATAGTCGCTATATCGCAGTATGGGATGACTGCTTGTATGTATGTTTCTCTTCGTTCCTGTACGCTCGCCCGCCCTCACGCGCCTAACTGTCATTGTTGTGGTATAGTATCAATTGCTGATTTACCGACCGGATGGTTATCTCGTCGCATCCTACCAAGCATATGAATACGGATTGGGCATCAAATCTGTGACCTGGAGTCACAACAGTCAATTACTTGCTATAGGTAGCTATGATCAAAAGGTGAGTTTTTGCAAATCACACAGGCACGAAGCACGTTGGAAGGAAAAAATAACTCGTTATTTTCTCAGATTCGCATTCTGAGCACATCCAGTTGGGATGTATGTGGTATATTGTCCCATCCGTCCGTCCAGCGACCGACGAACAAAGCTTATCCCGTAAGTTATCATTCAATTTTCCTTTGCAAGATGAGGGTGAGGGATGGGCATTCATTTTTATATCTCTTTTTACAGATTATTTATGAAGAAAGCATCAACTTGTCCACAACCACCCCCTCCGCCATACCCGCCATTGAATGTAAGGAAAATGAGTTCTGTGTGCAACATGAGGACGTTCATGCAACTAACCACGTCCACTTTTTAGACCGACAAATCATACGACGACCTTTTAATATCCCTATATTACGCCCTGAATATAATATCCATCATCCAAAAACAGGCATCGGTCTGTGCCAATTTAGTGCCGACGGGAACATGATATGTGCCCGAAATGGTAAAGAGGGAATGAGGTGCCAACATTAAGTGTGTGTTACTGAGCGAAAACTTTATCTGAGTAGATGCCATGCCAACCACCCTTTGGTTATGGTCTACAAAGGACATGCAATGCTGTGCCATCATCATACAACAAAAACCGATTCGTCAAGCCCTGTGGAACCCACGCCGGTTTCTGCTGGCCATGATCTGTGGCGACGAGCATATCTACATCATCCAACACCAGCATCAGGAAAACGCATCTCATCACGCCATTGGAAATATTCGTATTCTTCCCTTGGCGGTACCTACCAGTAAGTCTTTTGGAAATTACATGATAAAAGGGAATCATCTGAATCAAATCCTGCAGGTCAATTCAATATTCGAAAAATTCAATGGACCCCAGAGGGGGAATCGTTGTTACTGTTGGACAATAACTTGTACTGCTTAGCATCGCTCAAGGTGCCAGTGTAAATAAACCAAATCGCAGTCATGCCAAACATGCTTCTTTCTTGTTCTGTCTCTTTCTTTCTTTTTTGTTTTTATAGTGAGTAGCAATGAGATAGGGTATATTATAATGATAATGACGGATAGATGCTTTAAACACTGCAATGATTTACTGCGCCTGCGCTGGTGAAGGAGTCGATTGAACTGGTACGCCACGACAGACAGGACAAGAATTATGACCTTCGACAAGCCATCGATCGACGCATTCCATGTGGAAAACGTGGCGACACTTTAGTACGCGGACGGCCTGTTTGGGAGCAAATTGATCGAGACACACGAGACACTGTTCGTTATACTTTTGCGAACTGTCATCGGACCAAAGAATGACTGGGAGCGTAGCATCAATGGCGGCCTGCGTCGTGGTAGGCGGTCTGGCCGGTCCGAGAACGTTGGATAACCACAGCAGTTCCTCGTACGTCGGGTTATCATGCAGAGGCCAAGGCGGATGGGCCTGTTGTCCACTCACCACGTAGATGAGCCATTGATTGGTGTTGGTAGGAGCCTGGATGGATTCTCGTGTGGATGCGGCGGAGTGGGTCGACCGTGGCGGCTGTTGACTGGAGTATGTGGACAGTGGCATCGACTGCAAGGTGGCAAGGGAAGACGAAGTGGATACGGTAGATCGCGGTCGTCGAAGAGAAGGGGCGGTAGGTGGATCGTACGTGGAGGATCGATAACCAACGATGAAAATCGGCAACATTCGATGCGCAGGGTTGGCCTCGTCTTGCTGTGATGGTAAAGATGGAGCGGTCGTAGAAGAAGGCGGGGTCTGAGAGTTGGGGGATCGCATAGGTAGCTGAACGTAACGGAAAAAAGATTGACGGTCCGAGTCATTGGATTGAGGCAGGGCGTTTAATACAGCTGCAGAGATGATCTCGGACAACATGTGAGACATATCGGATGCATTGGATACCGCAGAGACAATCGAGGCGGCCGAACTTGAAACATTGGTACCACCTGCTGCTGCACCTCTTCCGGGACTGTGAAGACCTTGCATTCCGGGTACGGGTGTTCCTGTATCGGAACTGAGGTAGCGAGTTTGACCGTGGGCGGATCCTAGAGGACCGGTCGCTGCCACGGCTGCGGTGGTGGCGGCGACGGTGGCCCGTCGCACAGAAGAAGTCACGGAAGCTGAACTAGGCACAGGACGTTGATCTCGTGCAAAACGACGAGTGGTAGGATGAGCATGCAACCGTTGTGACAATCGTCGTAAAAAACCACCTGATCGCTGAGACACCATGGACGAGGAGTGGAGAGTTCGAGTTGACGCATTGTCATGACGAGTGGAGGATGGTGTTTGACCCATGATGAATAGACAAAAGGTGGCCAAGCGATGAACAGTAAAAAGTAAATCAAAATAGGAAGAAAAGTGCAAGCAAGTTAGAAAAAAAAAGGTGGGCTAATATAAAGAAATAGATGATTGCCTCTGGAAGCACTCAGGAAAACAGGGCACAAGAAAAAATGAGACAGGCTGGCAATAATGACCCAGACATGCGTGTGACTTGCGGAGTTCATGCAAGGTGCCAATAGCCTTATTTTTTTTTTTGCAATATTCGAATGGTCAAAAAGGATTGTGCTGGTATGTTTATATTTATACAAAAAATCTCTCCCTCAATTTTCTGCAGTAATTGACTCATCTACTACACTAGTAGCGTGTCATTTGGTTTTTATATCAATTGCCTTGAGAAACGCAATAGGAGCATCATTTATGTTATATTCATTACGGGAGATGAACTGGTTTAATGGTCTGTCATTGGCTGCTCCTCGTCGCAGCCCCAAATTATCTTGTGTTGTCCATCTGGAGAAAAAAAAATACCCCAGATCTCCTGTTTACCTCAACCTGACTCCAGCCGTCGTGTCACAGGTCTTGAACGAATGATGATCAACAATCTGATACTTAATTTAATACACCTAACCCATGCTGTCGGATAATGTGCTCTCTGACCTTTCTGACCTTTCAAGTTGACTGATGACAGATCAAACGATCATTGAAAATGTGTCAAAGTTTGTTTCATGGCATTTTAGCATGTCCTTTGCTAGTTACCGCAATAAAATTCAGTCATGATCTCCCAATCCGTTAAAATTGAGTCCTTTCACTGCCAGATATGCTTATCCATTTAAAGTACTATCATTAACATTGTTATTTATTTTTTTGGACAAGACAAAAGTAAAGAACGGATATGATTATAAGGGGGTTTTTAGTTGACGGCGATTTCTTCTGTCTGGCACGCGGTGCCTTCGGGGGCAAGACTAGCTTCGCCTTCTTCTTCAATATATTCACTTTCGGGGAAATCGACGACTTCGGACTGATCGTTACCGTTCCGTAATTCCATGCACGCATTTTCCCAGCGTAATTTTTCTTCCCACAATTCTCGCAGTCTCTTGTAAGCCATACCACTCAGGGTTTCAAAATGATCGAAGGTTTCTTCTAGTGCCGCCTGTAACCGTTGACGGCGCAGTCGTTCCTCTTCCAGCTGCCGTTGTAATGATTGGATGGAAGCGTGATCTGAAGACACAGGTTGTTGGCATTTTTTACATTGTTTGTTTTTGCCGGGTTCGTTGACGGAGGGCGTGGATTCCACAAGAGGCATGGTTTGCACCTGGATGTGACGCGCTTTTCGACGAGCTGGGTGGGCGGAGACAATGGTGGGAGGATTCACACAGGATGCTTTTAATGCGCGTAAATGTTCATCGGCCAATTTGGCTGCGACGATATTGCTTGGAATTTCGGCTTGGGCAAACCGGTATCGTTGCAAACGACTCAAGAGGCCAGCCTCAATTGGATCTTTATCTGCGACGTGGGCTACGACCAAAGCGTACGCCTGTTTTTCGGTATCGCCTAGCTTATCGCGGTCCCCACTATTAAAGTCTTCCATGATCGACGCTGTATCGGTACCGTTGTAGGTGTGGATCACGGGGGCTGATGAGCCGGTGGCCGATCGTCGATTGCCACCACTGGCTTGCGTTGATAAGGTGGTTGTGGTATCATGACGTCCCAGCGGCCGAATCCTTGTACTCATTTGGCTCCGGATACTCATGGAGTGTCGGAGCGAACCACTGTATAAGCTGGAATCTCGGTTTTTGCTTGGTAGCATCGGGATTTGTTGGCTGCTCGGTGAAGTGACGAGTGAAGCTCCGGCGGGTGGAGACGATGTGGATGTCTGTACCTCCAGTTTAGGAACGATCTCGATATAGTTTCTTCGATGAATGGTGGATGTACTTTCAAGAAGGGTGGAGGATGATGAGAGAGTGGTTTGAAGAGGGGAGGATCGTGGGGAATTGGTCACTCGGCGCGGGATTCGCTTCAGAAAACTCAAGGTGGATTTCTCAGGAGGATGCCGTTGAAATTCTTCGGGACTCGTTGTATTCAAAAACTCGGCCAACGCTTGTGTGCCTGTCATGAGTTTACGGTTCTTCTTTGACTCGGAACCGAACAAACTCAAATCATCGAGATCATCGTCGTTATCGTTCTCATACAAATTGATTATCCGAGCATCCTTGGGTTCAAAAGCGTTTTTATGCAGCATCATCAAGCAATCCAACCAAGCAAACGAAACCGAGAAAGAGGTGAGAAAAAAAAAACGAGAGAGAGAGAGAGAAAGAAAAAAGAGATAGCAAAAACTCGAGAAGGAAAAAAAACAACAACCGGAAAATGATTACACACCCCCGGTCGGGCAGTAATTAGGGGTAGTCAAAGCTGTTTGTTTCCTATTTTAAGGAGTGGGTCAATCAGTAAAAAAAAAAGCCAAAAGAGCAAAAAGGAACCGGGCATACGTGAACATGAAAAAGGTAGTGAGCCTGTCAACAAAAAGCAACCTGCAGGGCGACCCATCTGAGTAACCTTTCGGTGGTACCAAAAAAAAAAAAAAAACTTATACACACACACACACACTCTCTGTGCCCCTGAAAAAAGAAAAAGGTTTTGATTCGTATTCTTTTTTACACACAACTCTAATGGTCTGTTGCAGGACTCCAATCGACGATCCCTTGAACGTTCAAGCTGAGGAGAATTTCGTCCAATATGTCATTTGCCTTTGGAAAGAACTGGTCTCCTTTACTAAATGGAAACCGACGTGCTGTTTTCTTGTTCTCATATGGTAAAAAGCAAAAACAAAAGAAAAGGACATGAATGAAGGAAGGAAATTCTACTAATCTTTAGGTATCGGAGGGTTGACTGGCACTAGTAATATCAGATGAAGAGTGAGTCTTTGGGGGAGTGGGTGCATTGTCTCCACCACCCTCTTCCAGCCATTTAGCATATCGTTCCAGTCGTGCTTTCTCGGCTTCTTCATCCTCTTCGGTTGTTTTGCTACTCGTCTTTTCATATCGCGTTTTGCCGTCGTAGATTTCAGCGCTGATTTGTTTACCAGCAAAGTATCGATTGTTCATCAACTATTCGATCCCATCATTTAGATCAGTCTCTCACGGTCATTTTTTGCATTGAAATGAAAAAAAAAAACAATAAAAACTTACAAGCACGCAAGCATTGGCACTCTCCTTTTCCATGAATCGGACCGAAATAATGCCACCTGGTGTTTTCTATCATTGCTGTTAGCATGCCATAACCGGGCAAACGATTGAGTTACATACATCATACAGGACAACGTTGGTCACTTCACCCAGTTTTTCACATTCCTCTCGTACGTCTTCTTTTAATTCAAGCATCAAAGCCGGATCCTCCTGACAAGGTCAAAAAATATCAACGTGAGCCTACATGATTTCCACTCATTTCCATCCAGTGATACTTGCATCCAATTCCTCGTGTGTGTACATGTTTTTGAGGATGACAATTTTTGCAAATTTTTCCGTCTTTTTTCCTTCTTCATTATCGACCCAATCAAGTTTCCTAATCCAGTTAACCTTGTCAGCCAACTAATAATCCCAATTGTGTCCATGTGCCGTATCACCACCAATCCAGGTTTTTTTTTTTCTCTTACCTCTGTAATTGATGTAGTTTCTTCTTGACTTTTGTCTTTGGAGCCGGTTTGCCATTGGTCTGACCGACGTTTTGTTTCTCCTTGAAAACGGCTTCTTGTACATTAATTTTAGTGGAAGGATCACCCAAGCGAAGCTCGGCATCGTCCAACAGTTCGATGGCCAGTGGGACCGATTCCTCCTTGAAGAAGGTAACGAGTGCATCGCCTTTGGGATGGCCTTCAGCATCCCGATAAATTTTGATCTTGGGTTCACCCGTCTCCAAATCCTCCATAATAACACCACACTTTGAAAATCGGTCCTTCATCTCCTCCACCGTTGTATCCATCGGTATATTCGACACATAAACAGAAGTAATGGGTTTCTTTGGAGGTTCGCGCTTTTGCTTCTTGCTGTCATTCTCATTCTGTCGGTCGCCAATGTTAAAAAACTCATATAAGCCAACTCATAACAGATTTACTGAGTATTGAACTTGCCTCGTTGAATGTGTAGACTCGTTTCTTCTTTTGGCGCGGAGCCACGGCAGGTTCCTAAGTTGGATCGACGGTTCAGTTGCTGGGTTTGCCTTTTATAAACGGGAAATCCAAGACGTAGCATGACTTACCGATTCGTCGACGCCTTCCACTGCATAAGCCAATTGTTGCTTTTTAATCATTTCTTCGCTAAACTACATTGTCGATTTGAGTGATGCGTGGAAAAAAGCGAGAAGGAGTGGCAACAATGCATAAATGAAAATAGTTACTGCTGGGAACCAGGCGCCGACGGATTCTTCGTATTCGTAGGTCATGCCGTCGTCGCCTACATAAGACCATTTGCCTGTGTCTTCATTGAGCTTCATACGAGGATCCGAAGAGAACTGTGCTTGTAATTCGGCATTGGATCCGGAATTATCCATGGCTGGCTTGTTTATTAAAACGTTGCAACTAGGTCCCACCCAAAAGAAACGACAATGTGGGTGATACCCAATTTTCCCCACTTCAGTCACTTTTTTTACGACTCCGCCTCGGCTTTTTTCGATCTTATAAAAGTGATCCCACTATGCAAAAAACAGTGGTTTTTCCTACAGTGGCACACACTTTCACTTTGTAACACCTTCTTTGCATACCTTGCATAAAATTGTTGACGCTGATTGGCATTACTTCATGATGATGGAATAGCTAAATCCCTTATCACCAAGGTGATAGAAATGATATTTATCTAGACGGGCATGATCCCTTTTTCCTTCGAGTGAATAACATGTGTTGCAAGTTCATTTTTGTAGACAACGCACTTGTTAAGCAGTTAATTATTGATCATTAGAATTGATTGCTATTACTTTACACATGGATGGACAAAACGCGAATGACATGATGATGTGCACGGCCAATAGGATTGATGGGACTTGCTGTGTGTGATGAATGGGGCTTTTTGTTATTCCAGCCCCCGTGACGAGTGGTGGATTTTGTTTCAGGTCCACACTCTTGGCTTCTACTTTACTGGCAAATCACACTGAACCGCGCGCGATACAAGATGGATAAGACTTGTCCGCTTTTCCACAGAGAAAAACGCCAGTCCAGTGCAAGGAGTTATGCAGGGGACAAAAACGAGAGAGAAAAAAAAAGCGGTGGTTTTCCGCGCTCACGATTACAAGAGGCATTAGGATGGGATGCTGATGGCTGCGGATTGGAAAGCAGTCACTGTCCCTGTGTTGAAATGCATTCGGGTTCATGCTGTGCCCTAGCCGGTTTTCCTTTCTTCTTCTTTTTTCTCTCTTTTTCTTCTTTCTTCCTTTGCCTGTCTATTTCACACGCTTGTTTAACGGGTGATTCATCTTTTTTATATATATATTGCCTCTCTTTCTCTTGATCCACTTGCCATCTTTGAATCTACGTCAGTTATAAAAATAAAAAAAAAGAGGGAGCAAGGAAGGTATATAGAGATTTTTTTCCCGTTGATTATTCCGTGATCATGCCTTCTCAGTCTAGCCGTTCTACTACTGTCTTGGTTTCTCCACTAGACTTTCCTTTTCGTCTTATTCGACTGTTCATTGATCTCATCATTGGTCATCGCCTTCACTTTTTATTATCGTGCTTATTTTTATTCCCTGTATTTATCTGTCTCACCGCATACAAACTCTTGTCTATATTTATCAGCCACATGGTGTACTATCACTCCTCTTCCAGTAACTCTTCCAATTCCCTCTCTTCCTCTAATTACCGTTCTTCCTCTTCTACTTCGCTCCCGTTGGAGGAAGACTCCGAAGACGATTATCCCGATCAAGAAGAGATGGATTACTGGCTCCAGCGTTGCTCCATCTGCTTCGAAGCCCGACTGGATTTATGCCTCGAATTATGCAGAGATCAATACTGTCTCGAATGCTTTCAACGGTATCTATCACTCTTTTTTTTTTATTCCAAATCCACTGCGGTCCCTTTGTATTTACCTATCTGTGTGATAACGAAAAAAAAAAAAAAAATCTGGCCCGCCGTCATTCTAGGTACATTTCGGAAGTGGTAAAGACATCATGGGGCCTCAGTGTGACTACGATCAGGTGCCCCGTTTGCCATGACAGCATTCCGCAACGAGAATGGAGCAAATTCGTCCCCAGAAGCATCGTCGAACAGTACAATAGATTTAATCAACCTTACCGCAGCTTTTCACGATGCTGTCCAAAATGTCAAACCGAACTCGTCCCTTGCAAACATAAAGACAAGATAACGCAAACCACGTAAGTTTCTCATATCCGAGTTTTTTTCTGGACCTCCAGTGCCGGGACCACGTGTCACTGAGTGTGTTGTTTTTATTATTGTTGTATTTCGGCTAGCCTGCAAATTCCTGCTTTGATCAGAGATTTTCTCACGTTGCAGGCCGGAAACGCTCATCATCCGCATTATCGTCAATTGTCTGCGGTGATGTCGACGTTTGAAAGGCAGGAATGGACTCCGACATCCATGATCGAGATTTATCAGCAAACCATCATGTCTCTCCAATATTTGGAAGGACTCACCAGTTCCAAACTGCGCCGTTCTCACACCATCTCTCAACACATCCTTTCGCTCGATATGAAACCCGATCTTTGGAGACAACTCCAGTTTCTGCACATTGGGTTTTTCCCAGTCATGGATTGGTAAGCCTTGGCTCACCAGAGTCGGTTGAAAAAAAAAAAAAAAAAAAAAAAAACCCCATTAATGCGATCCGTTTTAGTTCAGCGTGTCACACCAGCGTCTGTTTACAATGTGGAAATGAATCGCATTTCGGCGATACCTGTGAAGCATCGATGAAACGAATCATCCGAGAAAAGCGATATCCAAAAGATGTTATTGCGACCATGAAGTGGGAGTTAAAGCATAGGTAAAAAAAAAAAAAAGGTCATGATGATTGACGCATACAAGAGGCAACGATTTCTCATTGTCATATTCAAACATCAGCCAACGTTGTCCCAATTGTTCCATTATGATTAATCGGGATGAAGGTTGCAACAAGGTCGACTGCTCGTTATGCGGCTTTTGCTTCTGCTGGGCTTGTCGATCACCGTGGTCCGAGGTAAAATAACAGAAAGGCAATGTTGACGTCGATGCACGTAGGATTAAAATTTATGACATGATATGTAGAAGTGCGGTTTTTACCATTGTGCTGCCAAAGGATTGAACCCACCAGATTTGTATATGAACGACACCAAAATGCCAGAAAAGGTAAATTTCCCAAAAGAAAGAAAGCTTATTTCCCATCTGTGCTCACTATGGTCAAATTCTGTTGCAGACCGAATTAGGTGTACCCAATGTCTCAAAAATCGAAGAACGATTCACGCATATGGCTTGAACAACTAGTCCCATTCCTCATTCCTTCTATAGCAAACTTCATTATTATTACTACTACGACCATCTTTCGCTCACAATGTGTCTTTCCCATCATTTCCAAACCGCCATGAAACCATTTTACTGTTGACAGTCAATAAAAAGAAAAAACGAAAAATGAATAGGAATAGGAATACTATCGGTCAACTAATTTATTGCATTGATTTCTTTGCAAAACCGCGTGGTAGAATCAACCAAGTGGGAATGATTTTTACCGTTTTTTAGTGTCATCTGCGATGCGCATCCATTTTTATGCTTGTTTGGCCACCATGGGCTTTAGGTCCATATCCCAAAATCCCAATTCACTGCATGACATCAAAAATGCTTGGCTTGCCTCATGTGTGGCGGCAAAAGGTTGTACACATTTGCGAGTGGCATCCAATGAAAATTGAGTGTGGATACTGCTGAGATCGGCACTTTTCCTTTCTCAAGGTTAGGCCCAAAAAAGGATCCGACGGACTATTGAAGGTCCACCCAAGATAAAAAAAAAAAAAATCTCAGATAATGAGACTATTTCTGGATGCTTCTTTTTTCCGTTTCGCGTGCGGATGATGCAGTTATCAAGATGCTCAAGTCATACAAGCTAGATGATGGACTTGTTTTCGTGGGATTGCAACATGATATGATTCGCTGATATATTTAGTCGGCCCTCTTTGGGCATCACACAGGCACGTGCTCAATGAGAACATCGTTTTGCAAATCCGTCACCCATTTGATGTCCAGACCCGAACAAACAAAAAGGGGGAGGGGGAGGGTTGGATGGCGGAAAGAGTGGAGGAAATGACCAAAGACCAAAGTAATTACTGTCCTTTCACAGTGGCTCAACGCGTGCATCTTAAAATTATCAAATTAGATGGCTGTGACGGGCCTTTTTAAAAGTCTCGCGATCCATTTCTCATGCGTTGATCATCAGTCATCATATCGCATTATTAGGCATATAGGGTTGGCGCACAGAGAGAGAGAGTATATACAATATGCATAATAATGATGACCACCGCATTCACAACATATTTCCCGAATTATTGACAAGTACTATGTAATGTATGAGCGACGATCCATTTGCACACCACCTGCTGACAATGTTGTCTACTTCTACTATTGGCATAATTTGCTGCAACAAGTTCATGTGTTACTTTTATTTTAGACAACACCCCACAATAAAGCGCAATGGCTCTTATTCAGGTCACTGCATGTGCCTACTTCGTATCGCGTCCATGTCAGCTCGTTACTTTTTTGTAAATTGACGGATTCCCCAATTTTTTTTTTGCACAGAACAACGGTAAGGCTTGCCTTTTCATACCCGTGTGGCTGGTTCCGTAAATGGTATGATAAAATGTCTGCCATTTTGAGACACGATGGTGGTGGTACGTGTAACAATGTCGAAACTCGAGCCAAATTACAGAGAATCATCACCAAGAAAAAAATAAATAGAGGTGGACTTTTTTTTCGGTTCCAACCCGTAATGGTGGATGGCGCCAAGGGAGTGGACAATTGTCAAAAATGAATTGCATCAATTAATGGCTGTTATCAGCTTATATATCATCAAGGAGGAATTCGAACATCCAAACAAAGTGTCCAAGAGTGACTCTTATCCAAATTTTTTTTTCAGGACCGATCCATGGGAATCTGATATGAGTGACTATGGCAACGTGTCACTGGAGCGGTCTACGAAACACGAAAAAAAAATTTAGAGTTGTCAAGAAGGATTCTGTCTTTTTTATTTTACATTGACTGATGAACCGTAAGGGAAGGTCCTTTTTTGGTCAATGAGTTATCTTGTAGAGTATATTAATCACGTTGCATGTGGAGTGGTGGCGTAAGACGGAATCGGGTTAGCATGGCAAGTCAGTGCATGTTGTAGTACGAAAAATGTTAATAAGTCCAACTCACAGGATTTCCTGAATTTAAGCTCCTTTTCAAGAAAAAATAAGCATGAATAGATCCAATTGCCTGTGCTGTACTTGAAAGGGAAAGGTCCCACCGCTTATTTTTAGGATCGAGACTTGTCGGCTTTTAATAAACAAAAGTCTTTTTTTTTTCTTTACTGCGTTTGCTATCTCTCTCTCTTTTCTTCCTTTTTTTTTATATATTAATCCTTCTTTTTTTTTTCTTTGCGGAAAAAAGAACCCTTGACTTTCCTTTATAACGTTTTTATTTCTTCATTGTTGATCGCATCACCATTGTAGTGTTTTATATCTCTCTCCAATTCTCCATAAAATGGGCCCTCCCAACAGTGTAGACATGTACTACCCTTCGACGTCGTCTAGTTACCACCGTCGAGGTTCGGCCACTTCGCTCATGACCGCTTCCACTTCAACCGTCACGCTGAATCTTTCGCCCAACAAGCCATCATCACCATCCTCATTCCGTTCCTTTCCTCATTCCCGTCTTTCTCTCTCCAGTCACGGTCCCAGCTTATCAAAACATGACAGAAAATGGCGCTGGTGGCATTACCTTTCCGGAGTCATTTTTCTCCTTGCTCTTCTTCAACTCTTTGCTCTTACCACTGGGTTCACCCTTCTTAATAACCAAGCCTCCTCTATTCGAATAGGTAAATGGCCCAATGCCAAGGAAACAACAAATTTATCACTGGACCCAACGTGCATTTTTTTTTTGTCTAACCCCTTAATTATTTTCTCCGGCGGTAATATAGCTGTGCGTCAGTATCCTTCGATGCCGTATCGACATTTGAATTTGCAATCAATCATGTTGAGCAAAGCAACGACGGTGTATCATGTTACCAAGGAGTTTGGCATGGCAACTATGGGAGGCATGGGGTTGGTTGTCACGGCCCTGGCGGCCGCGCAACAGAAAAGTGGAGCGAATCAAGTGTCGGTGGTTATGCCTTTCTACTCTTTCCTCAAGAACAAGTACGAAATCGAACGATTCGTGGATTTGGTGATTCATATTCGCGATAACAAAGGAAACCCTGTTCCCGTGGAGTTTCGCGTGTCGAAAATGATATACCTCTTGAATCCTTCCCCCGCCCCCACCCCCGCCGCCCTTGGAACCAATGCATCGGCCGATCCGTCTCAGGTCCCGAGTACCCCTTTGCCGGCGCCGACTGAAATGATTCCGGTGTACCTGATTGGTCCAGGCAATCGGAAGCCATTTAGCCAAGCCTTCCGCGCTCGCAAACCACAGAACATTTACTCCTCGCCCAAAGGACTCCCCCAAGATTGGCGGGATCAGTTTTTCGCCAAAGCCGCCGCCGCTTTCTTAGCCTATCAAGCGACCGCCACCGATGAAGAATCACTTTTTGCCCCTCTTCGTCCTACCCCTAGCGTGGATATCGTTCACTTGCACGGCGCCACCAATGCTTACATTGCCAAATTACTCGCGGATGAACGTGCCCAAGAAATGCTCGGCGCCAAACCGCCCGCACTTGTATACACGATGCATGATTACCACGACGAACTGCAGTACGCCAACACCGTTGCCAACGTACGCAAATTCTTGGATCATGCAGATATGGACACGGTCGAGCCCCCGAGCGAGTACGTGTTGGGCCATCGGATGTTTATGTCGCGTCTTGGCATTGATTATGCCGATGCGGTGACGATCGTGTCACGTACGATGGCGGCGGCCATTGTGGAAGGACGACAGGATTTCTATTTGAAGGAACTCGTGATGGACAGCGTGCTTCGCAAGGCCGAACAAGCTCGATTCTACGGAATTAGTAACGGTCTGGATGTGGCGGTGTTGAATCCGTTTACATCACAGCGCCTTTTAGATCGCAAGTTCGCCTTTCCAGAATACGCACTTGACCTTATTCAGCAACCATCGGCGCTTTCCAACGTATCGATCGACTTGAGTCGAGCCGAATGGTCGCTTTCCCCGCTCGCCAACGACTATGTGACTACGGCCAAAGATCGCGCCAAGCGGTTCCTTGTACGTCGTGGGATTTTGTCCGAGGAGGATCTGAAACGACCCTTGGTACTCTTTATCGGCCGATTCCAGTCCGCGCATGAATTGGACTTGTTCGAAAAGGCCACGCAGCACTTTGTGACCCACGACATGCGATTCGTAATCATGACCCAGCCCAACAACTACCCCCTGGAACGCATTGAAGCCTTGGAAATGAATTACCCGGATCACGTCCGAGTCCTGTCGACCGCCAAAGAACAACGTCAATTCTCCATCTTTTGTCGAGCCGCCGCCGATATCGCGTTTGTGCCTTCGGAAACCGAGAGTTTTGGTTTGGTCGCAGCGGAAGGGTTGCTTTTTGGTTCGTCGGTACTATCGACCGGAGCCGGAGGACTGGGAGAATTTTTGACCGATCGACCGGCCATGGCCAACGATGACATGACCACGACTCAGCGCAATGTCTACATTCACCGTGACAAGATCAGTAAACAGACGACCATTACCAGCTACGAAAATTACAATGCATACCTGTTTGATGTAAGCAGTTTGGAGATGGCCATTCGCGATGCGGCGCTGGACTTTAAACGCAACAGTGAGAACAAAATGCTCAGAGAAGAATATGTACTGCGCATGATCCAGAGTGCCATGACCCTGGGCTGGGACCGCCATCAAGGTCCCGTGGATGAATATTGCCGCGTATATGAACTGGCTCTAATCGATCGCAAAATTCCTGAAATTAAAAAGCACGAAGTCGAAGAAGAAAGAGCCCTTCTTCAACGTTTGCTTCATCGTCAGGTCTAAGTTTAGCCTGCATTCATCCTTTTATTTTGTGTGTTCTTTTAGTTAGTCCTCTCCCATTGTATTATAGCCATTCGTCTCTCTTATTTATTGTTCCGCTGTATAACATCCATCTGTCTTATTTATGCATTCACGCTTACACTTTGTTGTTGCTTCTTTTTTTTTATTTTCACCTTTCATCCCTTTGTTTCCGCTTTCTGTTCACTGAAAAAAAAACATCATTTCACACGATTTTTGATTATAAAAATAAAATAAATACACTCAACCTAAACATAAAGAGTAAAAAAACACTAATCCTGTAACCTGTGAATTTTTTTTGTCTTCTTCTCTTGCCTTTGCAAGTATCGTGAAGCCCGCATTGCATACGATACTGTATGTACAAGCATGAATAATGTTGAGACACTGGAGTTTGTTGTGTGGTGGAACTGAGAGATGCGATCAACACCGTTGCACCGGTGTAACCTTACCAAAATAGATGACGCTATCTGTGCGAATAGGCTCATGTGATGCAGGTGTGAATGCAGTGATGCGGCAAAATACGAAAATGCAAGAGAAAATCCACCATAGGCAACAAAAAGCAGTATGACAGGATAAAAAGGTGTGGGACTATCTTGATTCTTTTTGATCTATTCCTCTCTCCCCCGCCACGCTTTCTTGTGGTCGTCACTATGGAATCCCTCCCTTTCGGACGTCAGGGTGAGCCCTTTTTTTTAACCCTGATGACTGTTGACACGACTGAAACTCACACAGACCGCTGTGTTAGATCGTACGTTAAAGCTAATCTACGGAATCTCATCCGCTTATCACAAATAATGCTGCCAGAGCAATGTTTGGTTATCAACCTGTTGACCCATGTTTGGATCATACACAATGTTTGGTCTTTGTTTTTTTTATATATGTGTGTATTGGGGCAAATAAATGAACACGTTTCGGTGCATTCCCAATACGCAATATCGACTAGGCACAGAAATCGATTAAATGACGACCCTCCGTGTGAATAGTAAAATCCCCATGGATGAAGTAATCCGTCTCCATAGTAAAAATAAGATCTCCAAGCATGACATAAATATGGTTTAATTGGCCACCATGGTATCCGGGGTCACCGCCCAATCCGTACCTTGATACCACGATGACAGACTCGGGAAAAGGTTTCCCACCAACTACAACAAAAGTGAGGAGGATATCAAGTGTGAGAGCTTAGAAAAAAGCATCAGAAATAATAAACATAAAGTTACCAAAAATAATGCATGTTGTTGGCCACGCTAGAATGATAGGGCTTGGGAAACCCCAAAATAAAGCTAGAGCTGAAAAAAGCAACATATCTCATCATGGGCTAATCCATGAATTCAAAACTTGGCCTGCAATGCGCAGCCTATTGTCCATAATACTATTTTCGGAAAACCGCGTTTGCCTTCTTGTTTGCGCCTCGCTGTAATGGTTGTAGGTAAAATCAAAGCTGCGCATTCAAAAAAAAATACCATAATCATAATCATAATATTACCCCTCCCGTGTCTGTTCCCCCAGCCTTTTGACTCGATCGCTGGGCTTTTTAAACGCGCAACCTCTTTTCTTTTCATTTCGCTCCATCTGCCACTTGATCTTTGCTTTCTTTTTTTTTTTTTACTGATCCCATAAATTTGTTGTTGTTTTTATTTTTCGTTTGATATTACTGTCTCTTCTTATTTATTCTCACCACTGATTCTTTTGTTTCCTGTTATCGTGTGTTACGACTGATCAGTTTTCTATTCGTTTACATATACCTTTGACAGAGCAATGTTGGCATCTTTCTATGGTTTTACGGTGGCTCTGATGGTGGCGCTGTGCTTTGTGTTCCTAGTGACAGCTGAAGAGAGAGAACGGGTGTACGAATTGAATATTACCAATCATTTAATTGATCCCGATTGTTCTGGGTTTACCACCCCCACGTTGCTGGTCAACCAGCAATTGCCAGGCCCACCGTTGGTGGCGACAAGAGGCGATCGAGTTCGGATCGTGGTACGTAATATGTTGTTGGCTACGTCTACGGGTCAGGGCAATATGACGACGCACGGTGGCGAAACCAACGAAATGGCCATTCATTACCATGGTGTCCGTCAATATGGATCATCCAATGCCGATGGCGTCCCCTTTGTCACTCAAGCTCCTATCCCGCCAGGGGGTGCGTTCGTGCACGAATTCAACGTGGTGAATCAAGCCGGTACCTATTTCTATCATGCCCACGTCGGACTTCAGGAGATGACCGTGTTTGGACCCTTTATTATCTACGAAGACGAGCGAGCCGACCCTGAACAGAGACACGACCGGTCCACCCTGTCAGTGGCAGGTTACGAATACGATGATGAACGGACGATCAGTATCAGTGAATGGTGGCACCGTGCACGAACTGAATTTGAGGCGTATTTCATGGGACCGCAATTCACCCTCATTCCAGAGGCTGACAGTGTCCTGATCAATGGACGGACCGTGAACGACGCTACCAACGTCAAGACCAATGGCACCTGTGGCGGTTATTCGACCATCGATGTGGAGCCCGGCAAGACCTATCGTTTACGTGTGATCGGATCCACGACTTTCCGTACGCTAGGCTTTGCCATTGCTCAACATTCGTTCACTATTATTGAAGTCGACGGCGAGATTGTGAAACCGTATGTGACGAATACGTTGGAAGTCGCTCCAGGGCAACGATTTTCGGTGCTGTTGCATGCCGATCAACCTGTGGGCGATTACACCATTGGGACTGTTCGACGTTGGGCCGAAAGCGTGAATCCTTACAGCAATGGTTTCGCGGTGTTGCGGTATCGGGATGCTCAACCTTCGTTCCGTGCACGGCGTCGCCGGGCTGTTATTCCCGCGCATGACACCAATCACACCATCAGTCATACCGTCGCCATCAATCAGACCGCCGCTGTCATGAGCCTGCCTACCAATGCACCCGAATTCAGTCCTCAGGTCCCTGGATGGATTTGGTCCGAATTGGAGCCTTACTACGGCGTGGATCCAGTCTCGCGCAAATCGCCGTCCCGTACACTGAAACTGCGCGCTCACGAGAAGGTGATGCCGGATAACAGCACGCGGTGGTTCATTAACAATGTCGCTTACATGGATCCCAAAACCACCATCTTGGCGGACATTGTGAATCGGCGCCGCATGCCAAGACAAAAGCTGGAGTTACTGAGTCAAACCAACGGTTACGATGCTCAACTGACGACGTATCCCCTGGAATATTTCGAAATTGTCGATTTTGTCTTGCAGAACACGCACTTGCCTGGCATGCCCTGTCGAAGCCATCCCTGGCATACGCACGGTCACTCGCATTGGGAAATCGCAACGGGTCCTGGTGAATACATTGAACAAAGGGATGGTCATATCCGCAACTCGCAAAGCCCGATTCACCGTGATATCACCTTGCAGTACCCTGCAGCCGATGAGCCGAGCTCTAACGCCACGATGGCGACAGACGGTGAGCATGCCATTGGTTGTGGATGGACTAAAATTCGTATCATTGCAGTAAGTACAATTCTTTGTCTCTAGGAACTTTGCGGATGAATATCTTTTGGTTGACAATTCTTTTTTGGGGATTTCAATGGTTTAGGACAATCCTGGTGTTTGGGCGATGCATTGTCACAACACCCCTCATATGTTGATGGGAATGATGGTGGTATTGGAAGAAGCCGCGCCCCTCATTCCTACCATGGGACTTTCTAGCTCTTACCGTCTTTAAGAATAGTTTTTGATCATTTTACTCATTATTTCCTTTTTTCTTAAAATCCACATCCTCTCCTCCACCTGTCGACCTGTCGCCTGTGTACATCTATTATTATTTTTTCTTGTATCAATATCAAAGAAAAAAAAATCCATTACTATCCTCTTTATCCATTTTTCATCTGACACCAATTACCATGATATTCATCTTAACCGTCGCATTGACCTTTTTTATGCATGGCTTGCCTACATCTTGCACCATGCGATACCATACGGTTTGAATGTAAACTCAATTTGATTCATTAAAGATAAACACATAAAATATGATATACAGCACTATTATTTGCATGATTAGCTCATCTTGTAAAGAGAACAGATGTATTAATATGGTCGATCTTGAAAAGGAAATGTTATTCTTGGGATGGAAAAAAAATCAGCCACAATTTTCCCCCACATCTTTTTTTTTGCTTGCTTTTTCTTTTTTCACCCTGCATCATGCAGTATTGTTTATTACTATCTATCGGAATGAGAAGGTGTTTTTCATCGGATGTTGCATTACGGGTTATAAATAAGTCTTGTATCAACTGTGATGGGCTGAATAAAAGTACCACAGGATAAAAATAACGCGGCCATAATGTCAACCGGAGCTACACAGAACAAAAAAATCAACACGGCACAGTCAAACTGACTCATTTTGAAGAAAAAAGGTTGGTTTGAAACCAATCGCAGACTTACCGGAGCCAATCGGATAGCCATCCATTGCAATGTGGGGCCGATCATATCTCGCAGTCAATCAAATGATTTCTGTGCAAAAGAAAAGTCTATCATATTAGCATCAACTGCCACAAATGCTAATGATCACTAGAACCCGTTCATTCGCTCATACACACAGAAACAAGAGGGTAAAAAGTTTCACCACCCCGTTGACAGTTCTGCCCATGCATGACTGCCGTTCCATTTCTCCACATTCTCTCATTGAATCCATACAATTGGTCAATTGCAAAGACTCACGTATCACAGCATATCAATCACAGTGTTTTGTATTCAAATTCACACTGCACGTACGATTGCGTTTGAAAATGGAGCTATCTAGTACTGTTGTAGAGCAGGGGGGGGGGGGATGTGTTTGGGAGAGTCGGTTTTTTTTTGTATGCAAATCATGCAGGCATGACTGAAATTTGAAGTGTTTATTTTTATTTTTAATAGGTACGTTTAAAGGGTGGCACGGGTTTGCATTCATTTTCGTCCAGGGTATGATCGTTAACGTGGCGATAAGTTAACGTGACTTCGCCTGTTTCGTGATTTTGGACTGATAAAGTATGCTTCATCCAGTGTTCATCGTCGCGTTCCTGGTAGTCTTCACGGGCGTGAGCCCCTCGAGATTCTGTACGGGCCGCAGCCGCGTGCATGGTCTGAGAAGCACACGTTAACAAATTGCGCACTTCCAATGTCTCAATCAAGTCGGTATTCCAGATCATGCTACGATCTGTCGTCTTTACATCCCGGAACGAATTCCACACACCATCAATTTCATCGCAACCTGAGTAGACAAACAATGCATATCGGTAAGTCGACTCCGTCCACTATTTTTATTGGGCGCGATCTCTCTTTTTTTTTGTGTACCATACCTTGATTCAATGTTTCTTGGGTTCGAAAGACTGCGGCTTTGGCTTGCATGACGCGTTGCATGTCGGCTCGAATGCGTGCTGTGGGCAACGAACCGTTGGCGTGTCGCAACTGATCCAGCATGGCGATGGTTTCCGAGCCTGCGGCCCGTGCCAAAGGTTCGCAAGGTGTATTGGGTTCCAAGGTTTCCTTGATGTGATGTGCCACTGCTCGACCAAACACGATAATGTCCAACAACGAGTTGGCGCCCAAGCGATTGGCGCCGTGAACAGACACACAGGCCGCTTCGCCTGCGGCATAAAGCCCGGGCACCACTTCGTCTTCTCCATCGTCATTGACTCGCAATACTTCACCGGTAAATCGCGTAGGAATTCCTCCCATGTTGTAGTGAACGGTGGGCAATACGGGAATAGGTTCCTTGGTGACATCCACGCCGGCAAAAATGGCAGCGGTATCAGAGATGCCTGGCAATCGTTCCTGCAGCACGTCCGCAGGCAGGTGATGCAGTTGCAAGTGGATGTGATTTTTTTCGGCACCAACACCACGGCCATCCATGATTTCCAATGTCATGGCTCGCGCTACGACATCGCGCGACGCCAGATCTTTGGCCGTGGGTGCGTACCGTTCCATGAATCGTTCGCCTTGAGCATTGACGAGGAAACCCCCTTCCCCACGAGCTCCTTCGGTGATGAGACAACCAGCGCCATAGATACCGGTGGGATGAAACTGCACGAATTCTAGGTCTTGAAGAGGTAGACCGGCGCGGGCGACCATGGCATTGCCATCCCCGGTACATGTATGTGCAGAGGTGCATGAGAAATAGGCGCGACCGTACCCGCCGGTGGCCAATACGGTTTTATGAGCTCGGAACCGATGCAGTGTTCCATCCTCCATACACAATGCAATCACACCTTTGCATTCCCCTTTTTCCATCAAAAGATCCAACGCAAAATATTCCACAAAGAAATTGGTACTGTGGCGCAACGATTGACCATACAATGTATGCAGCACGGCATGACCCGTTCGATCGGCTACCGCGGCACATCGATAGGCTTGACCTCCTAAATCGTGACCGAAAACAAAAAGAACGTAAGGTAGGATCCATAGTTGTTTGCTCTCTAGTGAAATTTTATGTTACCTTTGCCATAGTGGAGACTCTGACCTCCAAAGGCTCTTTGATAGATTTTGCCATCTTCGGTACGTGAAAATGGCACACCGTAATTTTCCAGTTCAATGACCGTGTGAGGCGCTTCCCGGCACATGTAGTGGATGGCGTCTTGATCACCGAGCCAATCGGATCCCTTGACAGTATCATACATATGCCATCGCCAGTCATCCTCGGTCATATTGCCCAAAGCAGCATTGATGCCTCCCTAGATGATAAAAAAAAACACCATCTTGCATTCAACCTCCCGCTCGTCCATCCTTTGCCTTGTCTTGTTTTTTCTTGTTACCTGTGCAGCAACTGTATGGGAACGGGTGGGAAACAGTTTTGTGACACAGGCCGTATTGAATCCAGCTTCGGCAAGGCCAAAAGCAGCACGCAAACCGGCTCCACCTGCACCCACCACAACGGCGTCATACTCGTGATCAATGACAGGATATTTACTGGATAATGGTCCCTGGTGACGGGTCGACTTAATTTCAGGTTCCACTCTTTTCTTGTTTTTCTGTATAAGTGCGACTTACTGTTGATTCCTTGCCGTGCGGGGGCTGCTGCCCAAATACTCGGAATTGTGATAGAGACGTGTGGATGGTACGTCTTGTCAAACCCACAAGAGGTACGTCTTGTTTATTTTTGTGCTTGCTGTCAATGCATGCACCTGTTTATCGTGGTGAATCACGACTTACCGTGAACAATGCGTGGCTAGTAAATAAAGTCATTAATAAACGGAGGTATTGGGGTATACAATAGAATTCTAAAAATAAGAAGGAATGGCCGTTTTTGTATTCACAAACACAACGAGGAAGCGATACTTACAATGTAATTAAAAGCTCGCAACATGAAACGATCCGAAATGGAAAATGTAAGAAAAAAGCAGTAGTTTTTTCAGCTCTCATTTCGACATTTTAAACAACCCAGCTATGTCAATTCCTCATCCAACCTAACCGGAGAAAAATTGTTCTCCACGTTGCACTTGATCGGTCGCATTTTTACAATGACGCAAATGTTTTGATATTCACATTTTGCCGTCCTTACCAATGGTATACTTGCAGCTGCCCGACGGACAGTCAACGAGAAAATTGGAATACGCAGTAATATATTGGTCAATGGAGACGATCGACCTGTAAAGTAACAAGACTCTCGTTGTTCATACTAAAAAGCAAAAAAAAAAAAGGGAAAAAGTTCATGCCGGTCTCATCTCAGCGGCCACGATGGGTACTTTACACACACGCTAATGTGGTTTCAGAGTCAGAACCACCCATTGATTTCTGACAATAGGCCCAAAGTAGATGGATAGCGCCCTTTTTTTTCGGTTATCATGTGGTGGTCGTACAATGAACAGAGAATGCCAGGTTCGATAATCTGTCCAAGACAGTGTGGTTGCATTTTTTGCATCGTGTTGACTTGACAACGCGTCAATGTGACGAAAAAGCCCGTCACCCATGACAAGCTCGAACCGAGTTTGGGATGATTAATATATTTTTTTTTCTTGACCGTGTACTGCTCATCTCGTTACTGCATGACAACAAACCGGGCTACCAGTTCATTAGAAAGTACATTGTCTCGTCGCTCCATCGCAGAGGTAAGACCAACGGAGAAAAGACCTTTTAGCTCGACGAGATTCACTCACGGACTGTCAAACGCGCATAGGTCCCTGTGTTTGAACCCGACCCGGAGGGAGGCATATGGCAATGTCCATTCTGTGATGATTCGCCATTCTCCATCGAAACCCCGCCACCAAAGTATACCCAAGCCATGGCACAAGTGCGCATCATCATTGCAGATCATATCCGTCATCATCGTACCCGTTTGCTGGAACAGCTCAGCCCAGCTGAAGTCACTCATTATGAAAAAGTATGTTCGCATAAGCACCTTGCTCTTTTGTTTTTCTTGCAAATGAAAAAAGACCTAAAAAAGGTTTTTATCCTGTAGATGTTTTATCAAAAACAAGCTCGTGTGCATGAGTGGATCGACCGTTCCGCCTCTTCGCACAATTCCCGGGCGCAGTCTCCTGTATCTGGGCAGAACCGCGATAACATCAACTGACAAACGATTTATAACCAACGCCGGAACAAGCTTTAGCACCCGATTTTTATATCGGCAATCTTATTATCCATTTCGTTTTGAGCACTTTGTGCATTTATCCTTCTTTGGCTGGTGCTTTTTTGGAAGCGTGGTGTGGGGCGAGAAGTTTAAGCGTAAAGGCGTTGGTGATTGGTCGTCGTGGGCTGCCTCGTCAATGACCAGTGATTGGCCAGAGGGTGCGCTTTTGTATAACTCCGAATAAGGAAGTAGAAAATACCAATTCGCGTTTGGGGAATATTTCAGTGGGCATTCGTTTTTGGTCGTAACCATCTATTCGCATGGCATCCTTTTTAAGCCACTGCTTGGCCAGTGTTGCGTTTGTTGCTTCCCTCGTTGCAGCCTCTGGTAACTTACAATAAAATAAGATGTGCAAAAACGAGACCGGTTCGAATAATGAGTTGCTTTGCAGATGGAAAGGCGGCTTCAGAGATGGCCGAAAAAGCCGTTTATCAACGTGAGTTATTCTCCCGCTATTGGACAAGGATTCATTGCCATGGGTCAGTAAAACTCATTATTTGACGGTAGGCTTAACGTGGCAAAACTTTTATATGGAAATGATGCTTGGAGCGGTATTCCTGTTATATCTCGCGACATGGTACAATGGACGTGCGACGAATCTGCGTTTGGCTCAGCAATGGTAAGTAACGGGGCAAACAATATATTGCGTGGAGAAAAAAAAAGAAAGACCCATTGAATATGATATGGTGTCGGTTAGGTTGTTCGCCCACCGAGAATACCTTGAAGAGCAGTTTGCTCTTGTCGGAGACCGAGTAGGAAACGAACACACCCTTTTGAAACGCGATGGTCCCGCCGATTTCTTATTGTACACTTCTGGTCGTCGTAATGTTCAATTTGCCCACTGGTGGATCAAGGCAAGTCTATTACTTGTTCAGCTTTTGTCGTAGCCGAAAATTGACGAGAAAGAGGGCCATTAGTTGAAGTCTCGCAATGATGTAATCAATTACTTTGTTGAAGAATTACTGGCTTTCTTTGGTGCGGTTCAAAAGCCAGTCGATAAAGTGGTGAGTCATCGAAGGTGATGTTGTATGGACATTGAGTCGAGTTATTGATATGGTGTGATAGTCTGTGACGCTTCGTTTGGATGGAGGCACCGAGAAGTTTGTGTTTGCCATCTTGGATAAGAGCATTGTGAAGGAAACGCGCGAACAGCGATACGATCTGGTAAGCGGGATTGGTCACATTAGGTTCTAAAAGGTCCAGGCCACTAAAGTACAATTTACATAGAAATCGGTGACAAAAATCTCTGATGCTTCCGGCTTGCCGAGCAATCTCGTTGTATATTCCGAATCTCAGAAATTGACGGACACTATTCTCAAATCGCCCATTGGCCAACTGTTGAAGAAATCCAAGGGATTAGAATCCTTGATTATTTCCAGTTTGCCAACTTTTGCTCCTCAAAAGTAAGTGATAGAGCCGAGAACAGAGGAGGACACAGCCATGGTACGAGAATGCTAAACAATGGCTGGAACATTTGTGTTTAGATTTGAGGGTGACAAGGATTTGGTTGCCACGTTGACTTTCAGCCTGAAAGCCGAACAGGATCCCCTTGTTGAACTTTCATGTGAATTGCCCGACATGCTTCAAGACCTTCGTTTCGGTGTCGAGGTAAAATGAACAAGAAAATGAGTTTGGATGATCTTAAACTAATAGAAAAATGAATAGATCAAGAACAAATTGCGCAAGAATCGTGAAGAGATTGAAAAGGAGTATTCAAAGATTTTGGCCGAAGAACGTGCAGAAGAATTGGCTCGCAAGAAAGCCGAAGCCAAGCGAGCGGAAGAAGAACGAATCCGCAAACTGCCTGCGGCTGAACAGCGTAAATGGGAAGAGAAACAAAACGCAAAGGAAATGCGCAAACAGCAAAAGAAGCGTACCAAGCGAGCATAAATAATAAAAACAAACTGGATCAACACATAGTGAGTTTTATGTCTTTGGAATCGTGCTCTTTTTTTTTTGGGAAGGGAAGAAGTTGTTCGTGGTGAGATGACTGGCAAAGGTTTGGTTATTATTTTTTTGGGGTCTTTTAGAAAGGACAATTAAGAAGAGGATTTCGTTTGCCATGCGGGTTTATCGGATTCGGCTACTTCGCGTAAATGTTCCATAAGGGCTTGATTCTTTTGGGCATTACTGGCTTTAATGTCGTCGGCTTCTCGTTGAAGTTTGGGATTCAAGCGCTAAAAAAAAAGAAAAGAATGTAAGTTCACCTTGCCAACCGGAAACCCCCCAATAAGAACAACACTCACCTTTCTCATTTGCTCTTCATCAGGAACGGTTAATTTCATCAATGCATAACCAGTACCAATGATACCACCAGCATATACAATAGCTTTTCCTACTTTGTCCATGGCGAAGTTGTGCTTGAAGCGAACACTTGTTAGGTTGTGTCTCTTTTTTTTTTTTTTTTTTTGCCTCCCTTGCAGGTGAGTCGGCCTTGTCCAATTGGCCAATAGGTGGCTTGTCCAGAGCAGAATTGACCAAGGAGTTTCAAATCTTTTTTTCTTTCCAATATGCATCAAAAAGCTTTAAGAAAAATCGATGCTGCGCATGCCCTTAGCCATTAGGCTTTTTTTTTCTCAAGTATATCAAACAGCTACAATAATCTATTGATGGATTTTATTCAAGTAAATACAATACGATCATATCCATCTTAAAACACTATCGCCTTACTTTTTCTAGAAGGTAATTATACTTCGCTCGATGAGATCAACTGATTCTCGAAAGTCTATACATTTTTTTTATCTACTGTATCATTGCCCGTAAGAGAGCAAGTAAAGAACGGGTTAGGACGGACGGGACAATTAGTGGATCCATCTCCTCGAATAATGACGATAGGCGTTCAGCCTACGGCCTTCGCCAAAGAATCAGGAACAAAACACCAGAAAAAGAAATCGTAGACAAAATAAATTTATGCGTTGGTTACAAAAAAAAAAAACCGAAGATAAATGGACTACTGCTTGGGACCACCACACGACACAAATAAGGCAATGTGACTACAGCAAATTGTCATCATAAATTAGGACTCGATGGCCTATCTCATAGGTGGCGTTGTCGGGCTACACCGGTGGTGGAACTTGTTGAAACTCACGAGCAGTTGCGTACGGATGTTGGATCGTGCTCGTCAGTTTCGCTTCAAATTGGCCAGGAGATTATGCCGGGTTTGGAGCCATGACTGTGAGTGGGTATGTGTTCATACCAAAATCGCACACACATCCTATTAATGGTTTATCCGCATCAATGAACTAAGTACTATGGAAAATGTAATCATTGAATAAGCATCATGGAAACACACTTTAATCTATCCCAGATCATATCACATCCAATAATACCAATCTAGGATCTAAGAACTACCTTGTATTAAACACACACGCACTCAGTAATTACTCTATTTCCTACTGTGACACCCAGCTCTCTCGAGAATAAATAAGTCTCACAGAATTTTATTTTGTTACTACTAGTCGCCTGTTCTATGGACTCCCTAACACCACAGTACAGTTCTAAATACGGGTGAACAGATCTTGGACTACTAAAAATATCACGATTACCATTGGAAGCGATTCCGAGTAGACCAAAAAAACCAGGGCAACACGAGCAAAGGGCGTAGTCGAAGTAGTTGTAGTGGTACCAAGCATGTTGTCTTAGGTGACCTTTGTGGCATTGACAAAGATGACATTTGCGACCTATATTCGCGTATATCAGTATGCATTGGGAAGTCGCCGTCAGCGTCCAGTGGGCGACGTGCATTTTTCGTCGTGGAGGTCGGCTTCATCTTCCCAATTTCGAGGGCAATTTGATGAGAACATCGAATGTGTCGTTGAGACAAGCCGAGAGGATAATAGGTAATTTCATACACGTAAATGATTTGATAAAGAGTTTTGTTTTTTTTCATCGCGGACATTGTTTTATGGAGCAAGTTGCAAACATGCTCCCATTCGGAAGCATGCTTGCGCACAGGTGTGGATGCAGATTGTTTGATATTGCGTAACCGGGCCTTTGTAAGGCGATCTTCTTTTCCTCTGGCAGAGCGAAACGGTCGATCAGTTTGGTCTTGATAGAAATCAACGTGGTTAAAGTTTCCGTTTCAAGGGTAGTGAGATAGTTAGCCCTATGCAAAGGTAGGTATTTCGACTGGATCAAAGTACATTGCTCGATAGGTACATCATGGATTTGGGCTTGACGTTCCGAGGCTTTGAACCAAAGACGCAGGCTATCCGACGCTCGAATGAAAGGTCGGAATGGGAAGGTTGATGGCCTTCAGGAAGTTGAGAACATTTGCAAGGTCTGACATCGAGCAAGACGCATTGGAGATGAAAGAGTTGTACGACTCGCTCGAGGAGTCTGACTGAAGGTCTGATGAAGGAGTGAATAACGCGTCAGATTGGACTTCAAGGTATTGAGGGTGCTTCTCGCCATGCATTGTGCTGAGTTCGGTGAAGTTAGTACGGTGGAATGAAATGGGAATTGGAGAACGGTTGTTATTAGAAACAGAAACTCTGATCTCTCAATTCAATGCACATCCCAATTTATAGTCTTTTTGAAAGCGGAGTTCTACAGGGGACTAAAACACGACATCCAAAGCTCACATGGGACCTTCATTCACCTTCATCCACCTTCATTCATCACTGCACCGGACCTTCATCCACCTTCATCCAACATTCCACCGGACCTCCATCCACCTTCATCCAACATTTCACCGGACCTTCATCCGCCTTCATCCACCTTCATTCAACATTGCACCGGACCTTCATCCGCCATTCAGCCGGACCTTCATCCATCTTCATCCAAACTACTGCGGACATTCAGCTTCCATCTTGGCGAATTTTTGTTGAGCTCACTTTGTGTCACGTTGACTGCACAGAATTACCGATCAGCTTATGGTACTTATGCAGGACGTTTTTTCTCTCTAAATTTTTTTTCTTGGGTAAATTGCGCTTATTTGCCTGTAGTTGATTCGTTAGATAGCTACATTGATATTGTTGATCTTCCTCTTTCATCCTGATGAGGCTAATGCAGACTCTTTGTGTTTATGGAACTGTTGATGGTACAAACGGGGTTTTGGGTACGTGGTACGCCTTGGAGGGTGATGCACCCCAAAATTAACAAAAGGAAAATTGCATTTCGCAATCAATCCTTGTTCATGCATTTTTTTTTTTTAAAAAAAAGGACCCGTTTAGACGGAGAAGGGAAACGGAACAAGAGGTACGAGATACTCACCGTAGAGGGTCAAAGGGGGGGGGGAAGCCACAAGTCAGAATTCAGTATAATTCATCGGCAAATTGGTAATTAGAAAGCAATCTCTGTTTTCATCAAAGGGAAAAAGGAGAGTGTTTTCTTTTTGATACCTATTGTCATTGGTGTCCCTTGAGTAACGTTGCACCATTTCTTTTATCATCTTTGCATTCAATCATCTTGCGTCGTCTAGTGATGATTGCATCAGTTGTCGCTAGCAACTGTAGGTCCGCCCTTCAAATCTTCTATTGTGATGGGCTCTTGTTACGTAAACAAAAGGAGTCAAACCATCATTTATTTCCTGTCATCACATTACTCTCCCTCTCGACGACATGTCTTTCCACTAAAATTATGCCTAAAAGAACAATGATCCAGGCCTTTTGTTCAAAGAACCTGCAAAACTCTCAAGCCAATTCCAAAAGAATGGCGCCATGAAAACGTCTGTCGAACTATACAAGCGGTTGGTGAACCCAAGATTCGTAGTGCAATAAAAAAAAAAGAAACCGCACCAAAAAAAAAAAAAATTTAGGTTCAAACTATCAAGCTACAAAGAGAAAAGTTTGATCTAGTAGTGTGTTATGTTATGCATGCTGATGTTGGACGAACTTTTGATGTTCATCAGCCGTGATATCTCACCACACGTTGACTCATGGCTCTGTCTAACTTTGTCATGAAATCTATAGAGACGCGGCTTAACAGAGAACCCACACAGGAAGTATATGAAAGGCAGTGTAAGCCAGTCGGTGAACCCCAAACGTGTTACTAGACACGACACGGAAATCTCGTCTGTTATTGTTAGGAATCCATTTGGAGTTTAATTCGTTCAACGACCGCTGCTTTTTTGTGATATCTCGTCTTTTTTTTTGTTATATCAAGTTGGTTCATTGCTTCTGTGTCACCTGGACTGTGTCCACCATTTCCAAGGCTAAAACCCCCTAAATTTGTTATACCCGGATCCTCATTTACAAGTTGCAATCGCGAACTGAAAAAGAAAAATAGCCACTTTTGTTTTTTCATAGCTCTGGATAAACGGAAACAAAAAACAAAGCTTCAGATAAAAAATCCACCAGGAATCAAAAAAAAAAAAATCATCTTGTGGCATAAACAAGGTTCAATCCTTCCATTCCGTCAAGTGGTCGCGTACAACAAAGAATGGATTTAGGCTATGGCAAGCGGTCCAAATAAGGTTTGGTGCTTCCAGCATTACAGTGTTGTTTACACTCACATGCATCTCTGTTTACCCTTCTTTTTTTTTTACTCTTTGTGCGATTCCTCTCGCATCGCAATCAATCTCTGCATCTGCAAAGCATCCCCATCATTTTATATCTGCAGCAACCTTACGTTTTTCATCCTCTATTTAAAGTAATTCCTTTCCGCCGATGATTCTCAGCTCTTTTTCTTTTTTGGGGGGCTAATCCAATCACCATGTCGTCTTTCTTATCTTTTTGCATACTTCTAATAAAAAACAACTCACTTGAAATGGATAAATGGTTCAAGATGTCGGTCGAAACATTGACAAACAGCGTTGATGATTAGAAGCTACTTTTTTTTTGAAGCCCAGGTTCAGGAGTGCAGCACCAAACAATCGATGGATCACGACACCCTTTTTCTAAAACAAATAAATTGAATTATACCATGGATGGAAGGGCTGATTTTTTGGGATGTGTGTACCTGTGGTCCAAGGTTTTATTTGGACTAGTGTCTTAAGAGAAAGAGAGGCTCAAGCAATACGATCGAAATGGATAAAAATCGATGAGCATCTGTAATCATTCCGTGCGTGAGCGTCCCTCCAAAATAAAAATAAGGAAGAGCCACAGCCCTTTCATCCAGAATTTTTATCATATGATAGCCTTCCTTTTTAAAGATGTTATTCGATGACCATTTGTACAATGTTTTGTAAACCGATCAAGTCTATCCTTGTTGATCGCTTGGTCGACGAATAAAAACTACTGCCCGTAACTTGTCAAAAAACTTGACTACGTTGACATGCAAAGACTGAACAATGTTCATCCAATCTCCATACGACTTTATTCTTGGATCGTGCGCCAGCATTGTTAAAGCTCTGTGATTTTTTCACGACATCCCAATTTGAAAATCCGCGATTTTGTGGTGTCCTGTTAATGTTGCAAAAAAAAAAAAAAAAAAAAAAAAAAAAAAAAAAATTGAATGACTTTTTTTTTCTTTTCTTTCTATTGCATCCGGGAAACTGCAGCTATACCGAATCCAGTTCAGATCGACTGGGTAAAGTGCATTCAATGAGCATAATGAAGCATTATATATGCATTATGCAGCAGGCTTTTTTTTTTTTTTTGTTCATTGAGGATGGCGGTTCTGAGTTTCTTTTTTTTCGCTTATCGCCTCTAAAGGAAAATGCTTGAAAAAGAAAAAAAAATAAGTCAGTACGGGTTATATTCATAGCATTACTTTTTTTTTTATTTGCGAAACAGCGGGTCAGAGAAAGAAAACAACAAGTTGGTGCCTAGAGGTATATCGAAGAAACAGAAAGAAAGTGGGGTTATGTACAATTTGGTAAACAGTGAGTAGCACAGAGAAAGAGAGAGAGAAAGAGAAAGGGTGAGAGAGAGAGAGAGTGAGTGAGTGAGTGAGAGGGAGGGAGAGGAGAAAAAAAAAGTAGCACGGCCAACTGAGAAAACAAACAGAAAAAAAAAAGAATGGTAATTATAACCAGGGTCTCCAACTTGTTGGCTTTTTATCGAGGTCTTCATCGATTTTTCGTTGTCTTTTTGTTTGCTGTTGCTGCTCTTCATCACAGCATCGAACGTATTCTGCTGCCATGGCCAGGATATCGATGGGGCTCATGGAGGGATAGGAAATCGGGGTCGTGATGACCGACGACGAAGAGGTACTGCTTGCACTGTCGCAGGGTGAAGGTTCATCGGCCGGTGGAGGCGAAGGGGGCGATTGACTGAAATAGCGATGCTTGTCTGTGTCACGCGATGGATACGATGGATAGCACGTAGGCACCCACTGAGGGTAGACAAAGACCGGTTCTCTTCGTCGTTTGGAATGTTTTATCGGCGCTTGCTCTTGAAATGCCCGTTCATGCGATGATACTTCTTGACGTTGATGTGGCTGCACTTGTTGTTGTTGTTGCTGTTGTTGACTGGCTTGTCTTTGTTGTTGCTCTTGAAGACGCAACTTGTTGGCTTTAGCACGACGATTCTGGAACCACACCTAATCATCATTTAAACAATAATATAAATGAGATAAATCAAAAAAAAGCTTCTTTTTTTGGGGACGATCACATGTCCCCCTCTCTCTATCTCTCACTCATTTTTTTTCTCTGTTTACTTTTTTTTTTGTTTTTTTTTTTCTTGGTATTTGTAAATTCATGGATTTCCCAATAATGTTTTTGTCCCCCAAGATGCTTACCTGGACTTCACGATTCGTCATGTCTAATTGCTTGGCGGTGGTTTCTCGTAGTTCATAATTAGGCGTATCAGTTTTCTCAAACAAATCCGACAGCACTCGGAACTGTTCGGGCGTGATCCGTTTTCGCTTAGGCTTCATCACCGGTGTTGACACTTTATACATTTTGGAGAGAAAAAAAATTGATAAAAAAAATAAATGTGAGCAATCAGGTAAAATGATCCCAAAAATTGGTGTCAAAGCAAATAAAAGATGATGACCCAAGACGCCAAATAAGCCAACACACACAAAAAAAATAAAGAGAGTAAGAGAATAAAAGGGAAATCCAATAATAATAATGAAAAAAAAAAGAAGAGTACCCAGAGGAAGAATGTAATAAGCGATAATAATACTAATAATAATAATGAAGCAAAAGGGAGAAGGAGGGATAGGTTGAATGAAATATAAAGGCGATATAAAAGAAACACGTGTTCCTTTTGATTCATTCAAGTCCTTCTTTTTTTTAATTTTTTTTTTTTTTTTTGATGTTTACCTTGATGTGATTTTATTCGAATATTTTGCCGCTTGGCGTCTTCGTCGTTGATATGTAAAGCGACCGTTTCAGAGATAGCAGTAGATCTAGTCATGGTATGAATAGCGGGCGCTCTTCCCTTTTTTTTTAATAAGTAGAAAAAGTAAAGTACAAAAGGAGAAAAAAAGGGGGACTAAAAAGCAGAAGAAGAGAGGAAGAAGAAGGGCTAGTCGGAAATCAGCCGAGCGGCGTTAATAAGTGTGATGCGGTTTGCCTTTTCAGGTAATGACTTGAATAGTACACAGAAAAGCCAAAAAACTCTTTTTCGCAGCGAATGAAATTTCAATGTCGTCAGAATTCTTTTTGATTCAAAAATAAAAAAAGGTCCCTTCCACAACTGAGTCACTAGAATGCGTTGTATAACTCGATCCTATGTAAGCGGTTCGTTTCACTTGCAAGTCAAAAACCTACTTCAATCCTTTCTGCAATGTCCAACGCCCATTTCACTGTTTGTTCACAGTGGGGATTTCTTGGTGGGGCAACTTGGTCATTCCGGAATGAACTGTCGTACTTGTCATGGTTTTTTTTTTAAGGAAAATTCGAGCCATATGTCCGATAATGCAAGAAAAAATGCAAGGTTTTACAACGGGCCACGATGAAAGCCTGTCTTGGGGTCCCTTGGAAACTGGCAGATCGTCAATTATATGTGGCAAAATCCTGACGTGAAAAAAACAAGTGGTAGTTCAGTGGCGGCTCATTGACAACAGGCACTGAAACTGTGAGACATTAAAAAAATGAAAGGTTAATTCAAGTGGCGCTTGCATGGATTGAAAATCTTTCATCAGCGGAAGTGTGAAAATGCGTGGTTATACTACTAATCAAACGAATCTTTTTTTTTTTTTTTAAAGAAGCACTTGGACATCCGCGCTTTCTTGGTGACAGGATTATGAGGGATCGTTAGATTTTATTAGTGTCTGCTACAGGCAGCAGATTTACCCAGTTCAACGGAAGGATATTATGAAGGGGGGTGGGCCTTTTTTTTTTTTTCTGATGACCTCCTTGGAAGTGATAATGCAATCTATTGGCGTTGTTCGAAAAAAAATAATCCTGAATCATGATGATACGCGTGCGTTCACCTGAAATTTTTGCCATATCGCTGATTTCCCATGGTCCATTTTGATTGGATCGGACCATGAACCTTTGTTTCAGTGAGGAGAAAAAAAAGAAAGTAAAGTGCTTCTTCTTCCCATCAATGTGCAACTGAGTCCGGATTCGCGCGTCTCGACATAGATCATTGCAAAAATACAGTAGGCCGGAAGATAGAGGGGTTAGAAGAAAGAAATAGAAGCAAATTTTGATCAGAGAAAAAAAAAAAAAAGAGATTTGGGTAATTATCTAAACAAAGGGGAAAAGGTTTGTTTCATGTTTATTTTGTGCCTTATCAATCGTGAGCAAGTTGTTCACATTTAGCTTCGTCGGATGTCACTGCCCTGCCATTTCTGTTGGCGGTTGGCTATTGCTAAAACATAATGCACCTCTCACGGTGAAATACGCTCATTTCAATACGAATGATTCCTTTGTATGTTTGGACTGGTCAAAGTAGTCAATATAATGATCTGTGCCGCTATAGATGATGCGTCTTTTTCAGAAAGACGATGTTGATCCATGAAGGATGACTATGATTGGTTACCTGAAAATGGATTGTGTGTGTAAAATAAAAAGAACACACCTCATCACCTGAATGGGTCGCCGATTCCCAAAAGGGACTCCGATGACTGGCGAAGGTGACAGGAAGCCCATGGAATCTTTTTATTGGATGCGATTTTTTTTTCAACCTGGCGTCAACAGTCTGCCCTCGAATAATGCACGCTGGCAAAAATCTAAAAAAAAGGGAAAACGGTGTTGATGCTTTCGAATTAATGTTTTTTTATTGCATGATTCTTTTTCATTATGAAACATGCTTGTTCCGGCATCCGGCTTTATCTTTTTCAATTATTATAGCTCTGTGCCCTCTTATCAACATAGCTATTATTCATACAGAAAAGAAGACGACACCAATCGTCCCAGAGAACCACCTCTTCAATGTCAATGTCAGGCCTTCTTATTTTGGGCTTTCCATAAGTTCTAGGAAAGCGAGTTGCCATAATCGTATTGCTTGTGTTGCCAAGCGCAACCAAAGAAGACCGATTGGTCACCGTTCATAATTTTTTTTCCTGGTTTCTTCAAGTGGTGAAAGTGATCAAGTCACGTTCTGTCCCCTCGGGTCCAATCATGCCTATTGGTCGCTCCACCTTATTTTTATCTTTTTTTATTGAAAGAAAGGAAAAAGGAAAAAAATCGTTCCCCGCCCTGTTTTTTATTACGTTTGACTTTCTTTATTCCGATCATCATTACGCTCAATCTTTTACCGGGCAAAAGAGCGATTCGATCTTTCTCTCTTGTTTTTTTTTCGTTTTTCAAGTTTTGGTTGATTCTTCTTCGTCTCGGATACGAATGCAGTAACTTTCGTATGTTTAGTGGTTTTTTTTTTTTTTTTTTTTTTTTGGTGTTGTGATGAGCTTGTTTCTATGGCCGACAAAGAATAACAACTTACAAATTGTGTTATGTAGGGAAGCAACAAAAGAGAAAAATACACATCGTCCATCCTCCGCCCAAAAAGACAAACACACACGGTTGACTTTTTGATCTATTGTCAAACCCTACATTTATTCCAAAGTCTTGGGTGACCAATTAATTACCTTGCTTTTGGCTTTCCCTTTTTTTTTTTTTTTTACTGTTATCCGTGGACCTTTTTTTTTTCTCTCTTTTTTTTGTTCTGGTCCCTGGGATTTTGGCCTTTTTTTTTTTCTCTACTTGTTCATTTTTTGGGTGTTTTTCCTTTTAATTTGATCAGCCGTTTTCTTCGTTTTGTCCTTGTTCATCTCGTTCTTCTCTTGGACATTCGGCTTCTTCTGCATTTTATTTTATTCTCCCCGTCGTGCTCTCTCTTGAGCGGTTATGAAACGTTCTTCCACGGACGATAACGATCAATCTCATTCTTGCAAAAAGTTTTGCCTTGTGTCTTCCAGTACCACGCCATCATCCCCGCCATCGCCACCATTAACTCGACCTGCTAATTATACCATGACGCTTTCTTCACGGACCCTCACCCACTTTCAGGACCTGCTGCAAAACCTCGATAATGACAACATCGACTATTGTCTTGGCAACGCATTACCAAGCGACATGGCCGACGACGAAACCGCTTTAGCCATGGATACCGCACTGAAAAACATTGCTAAACGACAGCTGCAACTTGAAACCGAAAATCTACGTTTAAGAATAGCGATTCAGCAACAGCACCAGCTATTGACCCACGCAGATCATCAGCCCATAGACACCTCGACGGATAATAGTAGTACTATTAGTAGTAGTAATCATCATTACAATAATGAGAAAAATATGGGAACCACCGATAACCGATCCATCCAGTATGGTCATACGCACACCTTATTACCTGTCACACCCGAAGACGACATCGCCACCATCAAAGATTCACCCATGCTTGAAAAAATGCAATCCACCACCACTACCAACACCACAAGACCTATGGCTCTATCAAGTCACTATCTAAGTAAGTTTTCCTTCATCCCTATGTACTGGTTGTGGTTCGACCTTTTTGTCTGTCCGGGATGGTTTCCTTCTATTCCAATCTTTTGCTCTTTTCTTGCCTTTTGATGTTATTCATCTAATGTCAGAGGCAGGCAATCACTTCTTATTCTCTCTCTTTTTCTTCTCGTTTCTTTTATCTGCTTTCATCATTTTTTTCCTTTTTATCGGATGAGGGTTTCTGTGAGCTTGAAAAAGAGAGGATGTGGGATAGGAAAAAACGCCGGGACCGTCAATGCTTATTGAACATGTATGATTGTTTAGCCGATCCTCATCCGATACCGAAAAATTCCACTTCTTCCCCTATCGCCACGCCATCGTTACGTCTTGCCGGTCATCCTGTTTACATCAAAAGTTCCACGTCCAACCCCGATATCTCCGTCTGTCCCGATTGCGTTGTCCAAGCAGTTCACGTCGCTTCTGCTGTTTACGCCGGAGCTCTCGATCAACGCGTCACCTGTAATCATGAAAACTACACCGATTCACCTCTTCCTCCTTCCGCTCCCATCAATACCTTGAAAAATTCCGTCAATGCCATGGCCGATCATTTGCAAAGAGTATACGATGGTGTCAGTTACGTTGCTCATCAGACGGCCGTGGAAGGAAAACTCGGTGTCCAGGTGCCTTGCAAAGACAACATTCGCGGTCGCTGGCAGCAGCTGATTACGGATATCAACCGTATGACTCGTAACCACCAAGAACAAGTACGTGACATTGCCGACGTTTCCACCGCCATTGCTCGAGGCGATCTCAGCAAAGCCATGACCGTCCCTGTCAAGGGCGAAACCTTACTGCTAAAGAATACATTTAATCTGATGGGTAAGTCCGCAAAACTCGCGGAGAAATGTAAATGTCAAAAAAAAAAGCACAAGCTTACAGATCATTTTTTTGTTTGAACTACCCATTGCAGTGAATCAGCTGAACTTGTTTGCATCGGAAGTCACTCGTGTTGCGCACCAAGTGGGAACCGAAGGCAAATTGGATGTTCAAGCCAAGGTCGCTGGGGTCGACGGAATTTGGAAAGAACTCACGGATAATGTCAATACCATGGCCAGCAACTTGACAAGTCAAGTACGCGATATCGCTCAAGTCTCCAAAAGTGTAGCTCGGGGTGATCTGACCAAAAAAGTCACCGTCGAAGTCAAAGGCGAAATGTTGGATCTGAAAAATACAATTAATACCATGGTCGATCAGGTAGGAAAGAAAAAGAGCATCAGCACGGTCTTGCATTTACTTATCATTTTTTTTCTAGCTTTCTATTTTTGCAACCGAAGTGACTCGATTATCTCTGGAAGTGGGAATGGATGGCATTCTTGGTGGTCAAGCCGTGGTCAAGGATGTAGGAGGAACGTGGAAAGATTTGACCGATAATGTGAATATGATGGCCTATAAAATTACGAGCCAAGTTCGTGATATTGCTGTGGTGGCCAAAGCCGTCGCTCAGGGTGATCTCAGTAAAAAAGTAACCGCCAACGCCCAAGGCGAGGTCTTGGAACTCAAAAATACCATGAATAGTATGGTAAGTTTGCATTCGAGACCGCGATTTTCTGATATTCACGAAATCTTTGTTCTTACCGTTTTTATCCTTTTTTTTTTTTGGTCGTCGGTGTTAGGTGGATCAACTGACGTTATTTTCGGCCGAAGTACGACGTGTATCATTGGAAGTCGGTGTGGAGGGCAAATTGGGCGGGCAAGCGGTAGTCAAGGATGTTGGGGGAGCATGGAAGGATCTGACCGATAATGTGAATACAATGGCGGCCAATTTGACGACCCAAGTACGATCCATTGCCGCCGTGACCAAAGCCGTCGCTCAGGGCGATCTGTCCAAGAAAATCGATGTGGTGACTCGGGGTGAAATTTTGGATCTCAAGAATACCGTGAATAACATGGTGGATCAACTTCGTGTGTTTTCCACCGAAGTCACGCGTGTGGCAAAGGAAGTCGGTACGGAGGGCAAACTTGGCGGTCAAGCCGTGGTGCCCAACGTGGACGGCACATGGAAAGATTTAACCGATAATGTGAATACCATGGCCACTAATTTGACCACTCAGGTCCGATCCATTGCCGTGATTACCAAAGCCGTCGCGAATGGTGATTTATCAAAGAAGATCGTCGTCGACGTGAGTGGCGAAATCTCGGATCTCAAGGATACCGTCAACAACATGGTGGATCAGTTACGTGTGTTTGCGTCCGAAGTCACGCGAGTTGCTCGCGAAGTCGGCACCGAAGGAAAGTTGGGTGGTGAAGCGATCGTGCCCAGTGTTAGCGGTACCTGGAAAGATCTCACCGACAATGTGAATACGATGGCCGCGAATTTAACCACCCAGGTGCGTTCCATTGCCGGGGTCACCAAAGCTGTGGCCAAAGGCGACTTGTCGAAAAAGATTGACGTCGAAACCCGAGGCGAGATTTTGGACCTGAAAAATACCGTCAATAACATGGTCGACCAGCTACGAATTTTCGCGGCCGAAGTCACACGTGTGGCCAAAGAAGTCGGCACGGACGGCAAGTTGGGTGGGCAAGCTTTGGTCCCGAATGTCGATGGCACATGGATGGATTTAACCGATAATGTCAATCAAATGGCGGCGAACCTCACGAGCCAAGTCCGGTCCATTGCCGAAGTGACGAAATCTGTGGCCAACGGTGATTTGTCCAAAAAAATTGAAGTGGAAAGTGGTGGTGAAATCTTGGAATTGAAGAATATCGTCAACAACATGGTGGATCAACTGCGTGTGTTTGCTTCCGAAGTGACCCGTGTATCAAAGGAAGTCGGTACCGAAGGCAAATTAGGCGGACAAGCTGTGGTGCGTGGGGTCGCAGGCACATGGCACGAACTCACCGACAATGTCAATATCATGGCCGCCAATCTGACCAACCAAGTCCGATCCATTGCCGAAGTGACCAAAGCCGTGGCCAATGGCGATCTTTCAAAGAAGATCGAGGTCGAAAGTGGCGGAGAAATTCTCGAGTTGAAGAATACCGTCAATAACATGGTCGATCAGTTGCGTATTTTCGCCTCGGAAGTGACGCGTGTGTCCAAGGAAGTCGGTACCGAAGGCAAACTGGGCGGCCAAGCCGTCGTTCAAGGCGTTGCCGGCACGTGGAATGAATTGACCGATAATGTCAACATCATGGCCGCCAATTTGACCACACAGGTGCGTTCCATTGCCGAAGTCACCAAAGCCGTCGCCCACGGTGATTTGTCCAAAAAGATTGATGTAGAAACCAAAGGCGAAATTTTGGAACTGAAAAACATTGTCAATGACATGGTGGATCAGTTGCGTATTTTTGCTTCGGAAGTCATGCGTGTTTCCAAAGAAGTCGGTACCGAGGGTAAATTGGGCGGCCAGGCCGTCGTTCAAGGCGTTGCCGGTACATGGTACGAATTGACGAGTAACGTGAATATCATGGCCGCCAATTTGACCAACCAAGTCCGATCCATTGCCGAAGTCACCAAAGCCGTGGCCAACGGCGACCTTTCCAAGAAGATTGAAGTGGAAAGTGGCGGCGAAATACTCGAACTCAAGAATACGGTGAATTCGATGGTCGACCAACTGCGTGTGTTTGCTTCGGAAGTGACGCGTGTGGCGCGTGAAGTTGGTACCGAAGGCAAACTCGGCGGACAAGCACTCGTGACCGGGGTCGCCGGTACATGGATGGATCTCACCGATAACGTCAATACCATGGCCGCCAACCTCACCACCCAAGTGCGTTCCATTGCCGCAGTTACCAAGGCTGTAGCCAACGGTGATTTATCAAAGAAGATTGATGTGGAAACCCGAGGAGAAATCCTGGATCTAAAAAACACCGTCAATAACATGGTGGATCAGTTGCGTGTGTTTGCGGCCGAAGTCACCCGTGTCGCCAAAGAAGTCGGTACCGAAGGCAAACTCGGCGGTCAAGCCGTCGTTCAAGGCGTCGCTGGCACTTGGGAAAGCTTGACCGATAATGTCAACATCATGGCCGCTAATTTGACCGATCAAGTGCGCTCTATTGCCGAAGTCACCAAAGCTGTGGCTCTGGGTGATCTTTCCAAAAAGATTGAAATGGAAAGCGGCGGTGAAATTTTGGAACTCAAGAACATTGTCAATAACATGGTCGATCAGCTACGAATCTTTGCTTCCGAAGTAACGCGTGTATCCAAAGAAGTAGGCACCGAAGGCAAACTGGGCGGTCAAGCCGTGGTGCAAGGTGTTGCCGGGACGTGGAATGAATTGACCGACAACGTCAACATCATGGCCGCCAATTTGACCACGCAGGTACGATCGATTGCGGAAGTGACCAAGGCGGTGGCTCGCGGCGATTTGTCAAAGAAGATCGAGGTGGAAACCAAGGGAGAAATCCTGGATCTGAAAAATATTGTGAATGAAATGGTCGACCAGCTGCGTGTGTTTGCTTCGGAAGTGACGCGTGTGGCGCGTGAAGTGGGTACTGAAGGCAAACTTGGTGGTCAAGCGGTGGTGCACGGCGTGGCCGGCACCTGGATGGATTTGACCGACAATGTCAACACGATGGCGGCCAATCTCACCACGCAAGTACGCTCCATTGCTCAAGTGACCAAAGCCGTCGCTCTGGGTGACTTGTCCAAGAAGATTGAAGTGGAAACTCGCGGCGAAATTTTGGATCTCAAGGATACGGTGAACAACATGGTTGATCAGTTGCGTGTGTTTGCCGCCGAAGTGACACGTGTGTCCAAGGAGGTCGGTACCGAAGGCAAACTGGGCGGCCAGGCCATGGTCGAAGGTGTGGCCGGTACTTGGCTGGATTTGACCGATAACGTCAACACGATGGCCGCCAATCTAACCACCCAGGTGCGATCGATTGCCCTTGTCACCAAAGCCGTGGCCCTCGGTGACTTGTCCAAAAAAATCGATGTGGAAACGCGGGGTGAAATTCTGGACCTGAAGGATACCGTAAACAACATGGTGGACCAACTGCGTATCTTTGCGTCGGAAGTAACCCGTGTATCAAAGGAAGTCGGTATTGAAGGCAAACTGGGTGGTCAAGCCGTCGTTCAGGGCGTGGCGGGCACATGGGAAAGTTTGACGGACAACGTCAACATCATGGCTGCCAACCTAACCAACCAGGTGCGATCCATTGCCGAAGTCACCAAAGCCGTAGCGCTCGGTGACTTGTCCAAGAAGATTGAAGTGGAAAGTGGCGGGGAAATCCTGGAACTGAAGAATATCGTGAACAACATGGTAGATCAACTGCGTGTGTTTGCTTCCGAAGTGACCCGTGTATCCAAAGAGGTTGGCACCGAAGGCAAACTGGGCGGCCAAGCGGTTGTTCAAGGCGTCGCCGGCACATGGAATGAATTGACCGACAATGTCAACATCATGGCCGCCAATTTGACCACGCAGGTGCGATCGATTGCCGAAGTGACCAAAGCCGTGGCCAATGGCGATCTGTCGAAAAAGATTCACGTGGAAACGCGAGGTGAAATTCTGGATCTCAAAATCACGGTCAACAGCATGGTGGATCAGCTGCGCGTATTTGCTTCCGAGGTGACACGTGTGGCGCGTGAAGTAGGTACCGAAGGCAAATTGGGAGGCCAAGCCGTGGTGCAAGGTGTTGCCGGCACCTGGAAGGATTTGACGGATAACGTCAACATGATGGCCGGTAATTTAACCACACAAGTACGTTCCATTGCCACCGTCACCATGGCCGTCGCTCATGGCGATCTGTCACGCAAAATCATCGTAGAAGCTCAAGGCGAAATCCTCCAGCTCAAGTAAGTATAATCTCTCTCTCTCTTTTGTCTTGCCTAACAATAATTCAAAAAATCACATGATTTACCGTTTTTTTTTTTTTTTTTTTTTTTGTTTCCAGGGAAACCGTGAATTCAATGGTGGATCAGTTGCGTGTATTTGCGGCCGAAGTGACGCGAGTGGCTCGGGAAGTCGGTACGGAAGGCATGCTGGGCGGTCAAGCGACGATTGTCGGTGTGGACGGGACATGGAAAGACCTGACGGATAATGTGAATCTGATGGCGAGCAATTTGACGGATCAACTGCGTGCCATTGCTGCGGTGTGCAAGGCGGTAGCTCAGGGTGATTTATCAAAGACCATTGAAGTCGAAGTTCACGGTGAAATCGCCGAATTGAAGAATACCATCAATACCATGGTGGAACAACTCAGTTCGTTTGCTTCCGAAGTGACACGAGTGGCAAGGGAAGTCGGTACCGAAGGCAAACTCGGCGTGCAAGCTCAGGTCATGGATGTGGAAGGCGTGTGGCGAGAAATCACCAGCAACGTGAATACCATGGCATCCAATCTGACCACGCAGGTGCGTGCGTTTGCTCAGATTTCGGCCGCGGCGACGGAGAATGACTTTTCTCGACTCATTACCGTGGAGGCCTCGGGCGAAATGGATTCTCTAAAGACCAAGATCAATCAGATGGTGAGCTCGCTGCGAGGTGCGATTCAAAAGAACCGACAAGCGCGTGAAGCGGCAGAACTAGCTAATCGATCCAAGAGTGAATTCCTCGCCAATATGAGTCACGAAATCCGTACCCCCATGAATGGCATCATTGGCATGACTTCATTGACGTTGGAAACCGAACTGACCCGTCAACAACGTGAAAACCTCATGATCGTTTCCAGTTTGGCCAACAGTTTACTGGCCATCATTGATGACATTCTCGACATTTCCAAGATTGAAGCTGGAAGAATGACCATTGAATCCATTCCATTTTCGCTTCGTTCCGCCATCTTTTCCGTGCTGAAAACACTGGCTGTCAAGGCGAACCAGAAGAAGCTCGATTTGATCTACGATGTGGATGTCAATATGCCGGATCATTTGATTGGCGATCCTTTGCGTCTTCGTCAAGTGGTCACTAACCTAATCGGCAACGCGGTCAAGTTTACCACGCAAGGTGAAGTGGTGCTTCGAACCCAGCTCGTGCAAACCCAAGGCGACGGAGTCATTGTTCAGCTGTGTGTGAGCGACACCGGTATCGGCATTCAGGAAGACAAGCGAAGTTTGATCTTTGATACCTTTTGCCAGGCGGACGGCAGCACCACGTAAGACTTTTTTTTTTACTATTATTTGTCTTTAGGATTTAAGCAATAGGTTTTACTTACGGCATGTTTGGGGTCTTTTTTTTTATCAGTCGCGAATACGGTGGTACAGGTCTGGGATTATCGATCAGCAAACATCTGGTGCAATTGATGGGAGGTGATCTTTGGGTCGAGTCTATTTATGGTCGCGGATCCGAATTCTATTTTACGGTTAGCCTGCGCCAATTCAAGATGGAGAAACCGCAAGTGCTGGAGATCATGAACCGATTCCGCGGTCATCATGTTCTTTTCCTGGACAGCACCAATGATGCGACGGGTATCCTGGACAAACTGCGTGAATTAGGTTTATCACCTGTGCGTGTGACAAGTGCTATGGAAGCCACGGAACTACCGGATACCGCGTTCAAGAAGAATGCCCCCATCTTTGATACGGTGATCGTGGACAAGATCTCGCATGCGGAGAAGATCCGTGAAGCGGTGCATCTACGCTACACGCCCATTGTCTTGATCGCGCCAGAACGACACCACTTGAATATGAAACTTTGCATTGATTTGGGCATTACAGGCTACATCAACTCTCCCGTGAATCTCGTCGATCTCGCTCACACTTTGCTGCCAGCGCTTGAAAGCCATGCGGCTCTGCCCAGCGACGCTACGAAATCGGCACCGTTGGAGATCTTGCTTGCCGAAGACAATATCGTGAATCAAAAACTGGCGTTACGTATCCTTCAAAAGTTCGGCCATCATGTGCAGATTGTCAGCAACGGCAAGCTGGCCGTGGAGGCGTTTGAAGCACGAACCTTTGATCTTATTCTCATGGATGTACAGATGCCGGTTATGGGCGGATTTGAAGCTACGCAACGCATTCGAGCCATTGAAAAAGCGGCGGGCAATGGATCAAGAATTCCTATCATTGCTCTCACGGCTCACGCCATGATTGGTGATCGTGAAAAATGCTTGGAAGCCGGCATGGTATGTAAAAAGGAACCCGATTTGTTTCGCTGCTTTTGTCTTGCTCACACCTTTTTTTTTTCATTATTTGGTTCAGGACGAATATGTCACCAAACCACTGCGATTCCCCGACCTCATATCCGCCATCAAGAAATTCGCCCCTCAATCCGCAAGGTTAATGGCGGCCAATCGGCCTTTGAGTTCAAGCTAAAGTTTTACGCGCTTAGGGCGAAAAAATTCATGATAATTTTTTAGCAATGCCATACCCGACCTCCATCTGTGTCATTTTTTTTTTGTTCATGTCATAATTCTTCTCTTATTTTTTATTTTTACCATATTATCCCATTTGCATATCAATTCTATCATTTGTATTTGTGTATAGAAGAAAAAAAAACATAATTCAGCACGCCAAGTAAAACGAAAACCATTCTCTGCTGTGTTTGTATATTCTATAAGTATCAGTGTGTTCCTTTATTGAGAATTTTTTTTCTTCTTTAGGAAGGAGGATTAGAGGGATCAATGCGCACTGGTTGATTTCTTTCATAAATCATGGATGAAAAAAAAAATTAAGAAGAATGTTTAGGCGAACTTGACGTCAATGTTAGCCTCTCTAGCCAAAGAAACGATGTTGGAGAACTTGACGACCTTCTGGGCAGCCAAGTCAAGATCATCCAAAGCAAAGATACGCATGCCAGAGTCGGCGATCAACTTCTTGGCCTCGTTGACCTTGGTACCTTGAAGTCGGACGACCAAAGGAATGTTGAGGTCCAAATCCTTGGCAGCAGCAATGATACCTTCGGCAATGACATCGCAACGCATGATACCACCGAAAATGTTGACAAAGGCCGAGGTGACGTGAGGATCCGAAGTGATGATTTCGAAAGCAGCCTTGACAGCTTCGGGAGTGGCACCACCACCGACATCCAAGAAGTTGGCAGGCTTACCACCGTGAAGCTGAATAATATCCATGGTAGCCATGGCAAGACCAGCACCGTTGACTATAAAAACAGTACAAAAAAAAATGGTTCATTTAATCATTCGTATTTTCTCGTCCCCTCTTTCTGACTCTCTCTCTCTCTCTCTGTTTTCCCACGCTCGAATGGCATCTTTCTAACCCTTTTTTTTATCCTCTTCCACGAATCAAAGGAATGATACGTACCCAAGCAACCAATGCTGCCATCCAAACCAATGTAGTTCAAGTTGTACTTGGCGGCGGCAATTTCACGGGAATCTTCCTGGGAGGGATCGCGGAGGTCAAAGACTTCCTTCTGTCTGAATTCGGCGTTGTCATCAAAGTTCAACTAGTCAATGCAGAGAAGAAGAAAAAAATCATTCATCAGCATCTACTATGCGCGGCATCCAGGATAAAACTATTGTCATTGACATTCAAACGATGATGTTACCTTGGCATCCATGCAGAGAACTATGGAGAACACAGGGGGCGACAAAATGAGTGATCTGAATAATCTAGTGAATTGACTTTCAAACTTACCTTCGTGATCGTTGGATTCGGAGAGAGGGTTGATTTCAACCTGAGTAGCATCCTTTTCGATGAAGAGCTTGTACAAGTTGACAAAGGTGTCGGCGGCAGCGTCCTGACCAGCGGTGCTGAAACCGACCTTCTTGGCAAGTTCCAAAGCCTGTTCCTTGCCGAGACCGGTCTTGATATCGACGGGCATGGTGACAATAGCATCGGGGTTCTGAGCAGCCACGGTTTCGATATCGACACCACCTTCGGAAGAGCAGACAACGACGGGACCGGCCGACTTGCGATCCATCAAGATAGCAAAGTAGTATTCACGTCGAGCATACTTGCGTTCACAGATGTACACGGCGTTACAGGGCTTGCCCTCAGCACCAGTCTGCTTGGTCACGAGATTTTGACCGAGCATCTTTTCAGCAAGAGCCTGACCTTCTTCGGGACTAGAAGTAAAAAAAAAAAAAATTGGGGAGGTCGGCGTAAGAAAAATAATAGCAAAAAATGACGGAAAAGGAACAATAAGCGAGAAAAGGAAGGATAGCAATAGAGAATAACAGAAATAACGAGGTAATAAAAGAAAGGGATATAGATCAGGTTCCTCCAAGAGGAGGCCTCCAAAAAATAAAAAAGAGAGAGAACACTTACGTAGAGAAGGTCTTGACACCACCCTTGAAACCGTTCTGGAAAGTACCTTTACCACGACCACCAGCCAAAACCTGGGCCTTGATCACAAGGTCATCAGAACCTAAGGTGAAGAAGTGGTGAGTTAGTTTCTATTGAAGACACACAAAAACAACGCTTCTTTCTATTGTTGGGATGACAACAGCAATAAAAGATGCTTACCAAGTCTCTTTGCGATTTCAAAAGCTTCCTGGGGAGTCTTGGCAACCTGACCCTTGGGAGCATTGATGCCATATTCTCTCAAGAGGTTGACAGAGAGATATTCGTGAATGTTGAGGAAACGCTTCTGCTGCTGTTGAACGGCCGATTGGCGAGTAACCTGTCATTTTGGGGTCCGAGAGTAAGTCCATTGAACCGAGTGGGGTAATAAGATGATCTCGGGTGTGGAGTCACAAAAAACAAGAAAAAAAACTTACAGTTGAAGCACGTGCGGCGAGGGCAGAGACGGATTTCAAGGATCTGAACATGGCTAATGTACAAAGAGGAAAAGAAGAAGGGGATATAAGTTTACAAATAAAAAGAAAGAAGGACTTTCGGTCCGGCTTGGTCGCGTTTAGCTTACCTTTTAAGTATTGAAAATGGAAACGTAACTATTTTTTCTCGCTTTTTTCAATGAAAACACGGGTAAGTACGGGACATGATTTCACAGTCCGACTAAAATGGTCACGGCGCCACTGATGCAAAACCAATGTGAAAACACAAGAGTGAGCGGTCAAAGAAAAAAAGTAAGCTATGAGCATTTTTCGGAATTTTTTATTCATAATTTCATATGGGAAGCGAATGATGACAGACATAGACACTATAAATACCTAAAAGTGTTATAATAAAGAAGCGTGGCCTTTTTTTTGGGTGCAGATATAAAATTACATAGGAAGACAATCTCTTAAATGTGCCTTTTGGCGCAAGTGTCACAGACTCAAACCCTCTTTTCTAGTCAAGTCACACCCTTTTTTCATATTGAGAGACCGGTCAGCCAATCAGATTGTCCGCGCGTAAGAACAGAAATTACTCTCTTCTCACCCTCTGCCACCCCCCCCCCACCCCTCTCAAATTTTTTCTGTTCCATTATTTCGGGCCCTTGCTGAGCTGAAACTCAATTCTGCTGCATATCACCCGTTTCGAAAAAAGGGAATAACCCAATTTAATACAAACCTCTTAGCAAATAGGCCCACACCCAACCATGAGTTCCGCTTTTTACTCTTTTCTAAGTTCCATCACCAACCCCATCACCTCTCGATACGATATCAAGTCACAGATCGCGACAGCAGGTCCTTGGAAAATATTTCTCGGCATACGCAAAACCACAGGCACACAAGTCGCCGTATTTGTATCCTTTTACATATATATATTGTTTTAACTATGCAATGGCCACCCATCGCTTCAACCATTCTATCCTTGACCTTTTTTCTTCATCGATGTCATATATAGATCTTTGAAAAGAAATCGCTCGATACTATATTCAAACGAGAACGCGGGGCATCAAAGAACGACACGGAAGCAGTCTATGAATTACTAAAGAAAGAGGCAAGAAAACCTAATGACAGTAGAATTACACCAAGAACGCCATCAACTTATCTATTTTTTTTTAAAAAAAAAAAAAAGGCAAGCAATTTGGCCCGTTTACGCCATCCGTCGGTCCTGCAAGTGGTGGAACCTGTCACGGAGACACGATCATCGATCGCGTTTGCCACTGAACCCCTGATGGGTCCATTGCCGCACTTGATTCGCAACAGCAATAGCTATGGTAGCGATACCACCCCAACGTTTGAACTAGATGAACTAGAGGTATATTTTTACAAACACCATTGTTCAATGCCACGTCTATTAAGACCATCACTGCAGATTCAAAAAGGATTACTGCAAATCGGAAAAGGTTTGCAGTTTTTCAACGATGCACGAGTGGTTCATCATAACTTGACTCCAGACGCCGTGTTTGTCAATGCCAAGGTAACGTCAGATTGCCAAGGTGTTTGTGCAACAATAATTGACTTTTTGAAAATGCATTTTTGTAGGGTGATTGGAAAATTGGAGGGTAGAGTATAAACGACGATTTGTTCGATGCTTTTGGTCAATGGGTGCTTATTCCGCTCCTTTTGGTAGACTAGGGTTCAGTATCTTTCTCAATAATACCAATGAGACGCCCAATGATTCTTATTTTGAAGTCAATGACTATTTGCCAGAGCCATGTCAGATCAACTTGGATTATACAGGTAAGTGATTGCGTTGGTAACAATTGAAACATGGGGCAATCCAGAAAATCTGAACGCGACGATGATGTACAGCACCTGAATTCGTCATGGACAATGAAATAACGCAAGCCAATGACATGTTTGCACTCGGCTGCCTGGCTTATGCCGTCCATAACCAGGGCCAATCTCTGCTGCAAACATTCAATAATCGACGGACATATGAGCGCAAGATCCAAGCGTTATCAACCATGGAATTCGGAAAAATGCCATATCACTTGCAAGGTAAATAAAGTCATCTGAGCGAAGGGGAGATCGGGGAGGGGTTATCTTTCCTTGATGGATTTTAATGGAAACATGACCGTAGATGTCCTTCGCCGGTTACTGACGCGGTACCCTTCTCAACGTATTACGGCGGCTGAATTTCAGAACTCGAAATATTTTGACAATATCCTGGTTTCCACCATGCGATTTCTGGAATCATTTGCGGAAAAAACTCGTGAGGAAAAGGCGCAATTCATGAAAGGGTTATCGCGCGTCTTGGGTCAATTCCCTGAACGTGTACTAAAACGCAAAGTAAGTACCGCTAATGCTTGGTCAATGGATGATGGGGTAAAAAGGATCTTGTTATTGATCAACATTCATGTGGCACAGATCTTACCTTCCCTCTTGGAAGAATTGAAGAACCACCAATTGCTCCCTTACACCATCCCCAACATCTTTATTATCATTCAACAACTGACGCCCCAAGAATTTTGTGATCTTGTACTGCCATCTTTGAAACCGGTTTTCCTTGTTCGCGATCCTCCACAAAACATGATCGTGCTGCTGGAAAAATTAGACGTGCTTCAGCAGAAAACTCCACGCGAAGTCTTTCGTGATGGTAAGGCATTGGGCTAAATTACACTGATGTGTCCTCTGAAAAAAGGAAACTGTTAGATGTGATGCCGTTGGTCTATGCTGCTCTTGAGACTCCGACGGCTATGGTTCAAGAAAAAGCATTACGTATTGTACCCTTACTAGCTGAATCACTCGATTATACCACTGTCAAAAATTCTTTATTCCCCCGAGTCCAGGTAACTACAAAGAAATGGCCAATCAGTGCAAACGCCTTGTTGATGATAAAGTGCATCCCTGCCTAGACTTTGTTCGTACAAACCACCGTCCTGTCAGTAAAAGTCAGCACATTGATCTGTTTTCATTCCATGATTAAAGTAGTGGACAAGGTAACGTGTTACTTTTTTTTTATGATGCTGTTCATTTTTTGACTTGCTGATCCGTCCCTTTTTCAGTTTACTATGCAAGAAAAATTGGTCCCGCTTCTCAAAAATATCAAGACAAAGGAGCCGGCGGTCATGGTAAAAAAGACTCACCAGATCCACAAGGGAGGAGACAAAATGGTAATAAAACAATCTTTGTCTCAATATAGTTAGCTACCTTGGCTGTTTACGATGAAATGGGAAAACATCTCGACAAGGAAATCGTAGCTACTGAAATTTTACCGCAACTGTGGAGAATGAGCTTTGGCCCCTTGCTCAATCTTGATCAGGTAAAGAAGAAGAAGAAAAAAAAAGAGTTCATCAAGGCCTTTATTTATCCCTAATCGCTTGTGGGATGTCTAGTTCCGGAAATTCATGCGAACCATTCGAGAATTGACGAATCGGGTTGAAGAAGCGCATACCCGTCATTTGCAGGAAGTAAAGTCGCTTGAAGATCAGACACGCAGTGTGAGCGCCACTCCCGATTCTGTCAAAGGAGCGGCTGATATTATTGTGGGAGACGAAAATACATCGTTTGAAGCGCTTGTTCAAGGCAAACCAGCAACGCCTCAGGTGGGTCACCTTCCTTCTGTGATGGATGCCATGAATGGTCCATCCCAGTTGACCTCTGGCAGCGGATGGTCGACGGCCAGCAGCAGTCCTGCCATGCGTCCTTTGCAACCCAGTTCAGGCACCACTCAGTTGCGACCTTCGTCGCCGGCTGTGCTTCAGCAGCCATCATCACCTGGATGGACAAACACGATGTTGCCTACACCGACCCAAGCCCCCAAATCGTCCAACACATGGTCCGCAGCCAACACCTTTTCAGACTGGACCACGCCATCCTCCAGTCCATTCATGAACCAACCTGCATTGTCGACTCCAAGCTTACCTCCTCCTCCTTCGTCCTCCTTTGCCAATTTAACCATTCAGTCGAAACCATCTCCCAACTATTCCGCTTTGCATACATTGACAAGCCATCATCCATCGACGCCCAGTACTGGTATGGCATTGCTGCAGCCTACTACCAGATCAACCGCCACGTCCACCTCCAGCGCATCTCAACCTGTAGGCCATAAACTCAACAACTTGAATGCGTTTGATCCCCTCGGATAAAACCGCATAATTTTTTGGTCATCTTTTCATCGACTTAAATCTTTCTCATCATTGTCATCACAGTCCTTTGTACTTATAAATCATTGCAGACAGAAAAAAGAACACATACCTAGATAACTATCTGCCTTGTATAACAGATCCCATGTGTACCGCCTGTTGTGCATATCTTTGAACGAACCTGCTTGGGCAGAAAAACTAGTGTACGTATGTAGTACAGGGTGGTAAGAGACTGTCCTTATCTTTTTTGATTTAAAGATTGATTACTGCAAACAACAAGGCTTCGTTCCATGGCATCCGTCGTTCTCGTCAAGGGATCATCCATGTTTCTGATTCGACACACTTTTCATCGCCAAAGCAACAAAGAATATGCAGTCATGTTTCGGATCAAAGTTGGAGTATCATAGACTTTTCAGTCCGCATTTGCGAGAATCGTAAAGCAGCGTTGATTTTCATGCGAAACGCCCTTGAAAGCTGTTTGTGTCAACTGCAGGATGAACGAGAAAGAATACGCTTTTTGTTGCTGGGGTGACAAAAGGTGCGCCAAGAAAAAGAGTTGCGCTTCTTCTGTGAAAAAAAGGGATAACTAGAATCTTACCGTGACATTGTTTTCCTAGCAAGATCATCTCTCAATATTTTACGGTCAAGTTTATTTATGACAAAGCGTTGAATCTTTGATTAAGGAACCTAGGGAGTACAAGTTCGAGCTGCGGTACCAGTTTTAGCTAAAATGAGGAATACGAAGCTCATATAGAAATTTATCATTGTCCTTCACGTATCTGTCGATAGGTGGCGCATGACAATAAGATTCTGAGCTGTAGCATTACCTTTTCCGTCTCTTGGGGCGTTTTGCAAACATATCTGTCTCAGGGAACTCTTCAGAAAACGGCTAGCCATCATCTTACCTTTTTTTCATTATACATATTTGTAGCGGCGCTACACATGGCTTCAGTAATACGTTTCCTGCAATACATAGATGTACCACCCTTCTGAGGGAATCAACCGAGAATACGATCCACTTTGGCATAATGAGAAAGACCCATCGGCATGATTTCCCTCTTCACGGAATAGCAGAGGGTCGATCCTATTCGATGGCAAAGTCACTCCCTTTCCTTTAGGGCAGGGATACAGAAAAAAAAGTTGATTGGGAATCCGGAAACGGACCGGTTTGCTCCTGGAAACGTGTCTGCCTGAAACCGCAATCCACAGAGGATTGAAATTGATTTTCAATTTATGAATAATATCCGAGATATGAAGAGGCCTGTCGCGCATCCCTTGATTGAGAAGACCGAATGTTTTCTGGATTGAATGTTCTTAAATAACGAAAATTAATCATACTTGGATGTTGTCAGGTGTTTTTCTTACTTTACAGAACTTTGGGAAGAGAGGATCACCAAAAGACTGCAAACGAATAAGCAAGATACTACGTCTTTTTCTACATTTTTGAGTTGGATTTTGGATCTGGTTTCTATACGCATACTTACACTTTTTTCTCTCTGAGTAGACTATGTGAACTGCGGTACGCGAGCGCTATAATAAACCATGCAGCAGAATAAGGTTGCTTGACATTTCAGTAACCAAAAGTAATATATTAAGTTATATCACAAGAAAAGAATACAGTTGGACGCAATGCTGCAGACTATGCAAATTGGTGCAGTTGATACGCAGCGCAAACTAACCGCTTCATGGATGATTCAGGCTTGGCTATCATTCTTTGCTCGCTCGGATGGACAAGGCAGAGGGGGATGACGGACCAATGCAAATCAGGTTGTTCTTATTATCATCTGCTAGTTCGCTTGTTGTCGTGACTTTTTAACCGACAAAGAGAACATTGAAAATTGGTACTCCTAAATGCAGTGTCATCGTTTCCTTTGATACTCACGATAGTATCAACGCTTGCCGAGCTTCTCGGATAATTTTCCGTTGGCTCGCCTGGTTAAGAACGGGCAAGTTATCATCATTATCCTCTCGTCACTTATCAGACAGCATCTTACAAATGTTCCCTACAATACTTGACTCCTACAGTACATCCTCTGATAGACACATCTTACATATCAAAGATGATTTGTGCACAGGCTATGCAACGTTCTGGGGGTCATGCTCCATTCAACGGCTGTCAGCTTTAAAAAGTTACAGCTTTCAGGATTAGCTAGGCGACAAGTCAAACCTCCATGCTATGCTCATTCATATCATCAATCATTTACAAGCTATTAATGAGGTGACAAAGAAAATGGCTGCGTATACGCTAGACTTTTGAGAGCCTACCCCTTGGTGAAATGAAAAAAAAAAAAATGCAATGCCGATCTGTGTAACCTATTCGTGAAGACTTCCTCAATTTGATTTCTATGAACACTGCAGTGAAAATCATTATATCTACCGTGCAGGGGAAATGAGGAGTGTCGTTTCTTTTCTTATCTTTAGTTTTTTTTTTCCCTTGGAGAAAGAAGCATGAGTGGATATATATATAAAGTTTAGATTTCTTTTTCCTCTAAATTCATTTGAGACAAATTCATCACGCTGGTCGTCATGCAACGTATTCTTGCTTTATTTTTCATTGCGTTATTTGCTACTTTTTCAGCATCCACAGCTTTACCACTGTCCCGATTAACTCGCAAGGGAGAGGCGACATTTTATACCACGGGGCTAGGTTCATGCGGAAAAACAAGCCGGAATAACGAAATGGTGGCTGCACTCAGTGGTTTGCTCATGCTCTCTGGGAATTACTGTGGTCGCAAAATACGAGCTTCCAGTCAACATGGATCTGTAATGCTTAAAGTCGTCGACACATGTCCTGCATGTGCTCCGGGCGATATCGATATGAGTCCCGCCGCTTTCAGAAAATTGGCCAAACTGGATGAAGGACGGATCCCCATTTCCTGGCAATTTGTCTAGTCCCTTTTGTTTTGTGTTATGATAACTTGTCAATTGTGTTTTTGTGTGTATTGTGTCTGTGTGTGTATCATGATTCTTGATCGTTCGTGTTTTCAGTTTATTATATTAACAGTGCGTGTATTCAATGATAGGACCCCCGATTTCTGTGATCTCTGGAATAGTACATTCTATGTCGAACACTTTGGCTAGAACGAGCTTGTAAATTTTCTGAACATTGATGGATTCTGCCGTGGAGCAGAAAATTAAAGGTGCTTTCATCGCCCGAGAATATTTCCGTGCCTATGCAAACAAAAAGGATGGATACGTTCGCCCTCGATCAGTTTTGATTTCCCAATTTCATCCTCCTGTCTGCTGTGGAGCGTTTCACAACTTCTGTTCCATCACGTAAAGATACCCGACAACCAGAAACCACCAGTCCCAAATAAACGAAAATCCGAGACAAAAGTGGTGAAACCCATTGCGTACCTGTCGTGTGATTTCTTCATGATCTTCTGGCGACGAGTGTATGAATTCGTCGTACTTTGTTCCGACCAACAGGGGCACGGCACTCTGTCATCCAAGAAAAAAAAATTACGATAAGCGATCATGTCATTGCCAGCCAGGTTTTTCAACTGGTTGCTTGCCTGATTTAGACCCCGTGCTTGACGGTACCACTCTTTGATATTGTTAAGCGTCGAGCGTCGTGTAAGGTCGAATGTGAATAAAATGGCCACGGCATCGTTGCATACCAAAGGCAACATGCTAACAAATTCCCTTTGACCTATTTCCATGATAAACACGTTGTTAGCTGTGGCGTGGTTTTTCACTCTTTTTTTTCTCATGATGCAAACCTCCTAGATCCCAAATACTAAAAGTAATCTCCGTCTGACGAATCATGATGGACTTTTCCATGAAATTAACACCTAAGCATAGATCGACGGAGTTTTAAATTTCAAGCGTGATGTTTGTGTTGTTTTTGGCAAGCTGTATTCATTTTTTTTTGGCTGACCATAAAGAAGAGCAGGGCAGGAATAAAAACAACGTACCCAGTGTCTGAATGTAATCTGTATCGAAAGCGCCTTCAGCATATTTCACCATCAAGCTTGTTTTGCCAATCTGAGCATCACCTACAATGCCTGTTTTCAAGATGATGCTGATATTTCTTGTGGTTAGAACTGACCCAAAAACTCCGGTCTCTCGCTATCTATTTTTTTTTTTGTTCTTCAAAATATCACAAGTTTAAAAAAGAGGGGTTTACCTGTTCTTCGGTGTTTCGTGAATTGAAGTGGCTGTACTGCTGGTATTGGAGACGGTGGATGGTAAAGACGAAGCCGATAGTGTGGAAGAAGACTCATGCGAAGAGGTCATAATGGAAAGAAATAGAAAGATAAATAAAGAATCGACAAAATGGATTCAAACAAAACACCCATCCATAATGAATGTATAAGAAAATAAACGTCACCATCTCAAGGACAATGAATACACACATACACATACACATACACAACCCACCCCGCACAAAAAGCTTTCAAGGGAGAGATCTGCCACACCCGTCTATTTTTGAGTACCTTCAAAGTGCTGCATCTTTCTCCGATTGGTTGGTTTTTCATGGGTTCATCACTGCTGTTTGGCTCAACCCCGAAAAAGTATTTTTTTTTTTTTGGTACGCTTGCTTTTCTTTTCTTTTTTTTTTTTTTTTTCTTGTTCTTGGAAAGAAAACCGATTAGCTTTTCTTGTGCGTCTTGTTCTTTTTGGTTTCCTTTACTCTTTTTTTTTGTGCTTCGTTTTGTTTGCTATTTGCCAGCCGACATGGACAGGGCTAACGCTATGTCTTCGTTTCAAGAGAGCGAGTTTGAAGGATCGCCTCAACGTCGCCACTCGGTTACCACGACGGCTATTGATGTTTCATTCACCATTCCTTACCATCGGACTCGGTCATCATCCATGTCGGCCGCTTCGTCATGCGCTCCGTCTCTAGCAATGGATATTCTGGCGTCGGTCAATAGCAAATTTAAAGAGATAGAAGACGCTGATTCCACTGGAATAATTCGCTACGTGGATGACTCGATGCATGAAACCTGGGATACGGCCAAGGCTGCCATGGTAGGCGCTCAGCGTTTATTGCGATTTCATGAATTACCCCGGGAACGACAAGAAAACAAGTATATTTTATCAGGGTAAGTGGTTCTTTTTTTTTTAAAAAAAAAAAAAATGAGCCTGATGATAAATTAGTTGGAGTCTTACACCAAATTTTTCTCTATTCAGCTATCGTTTTTATCAGTCTCACCGGGATTGTCTTCGATCCATCTTCATGCTGCACAATGAAACGATGAATATCTGGAGTCATTTGATAGGCTTCATCTTCTTTTCGTTCCTCAGCATTTATACCTTCAATGTAAGTTTTGTTTTTCATCCCGTTCCGCCCCAAAATTTTCGGCTTTCAATGCTGGGTTTGGCAATACTCGTGCTGACAATCTCGTTTTTCTCCACCTTCCTTTTTCGTATATTTTTTTATTTTCTGTCTCAGAGCAAATTTCCTGAAGCCACTCCGAGCGATCGTGTTGTTTTCACCACTTTTTGTTTGGCAGCTCTCAAGTGCTTGTTTTGTTCTTCTATTTATCATACCTTCATCTGTCATTCTCATCACCATGTGAAAAATTTCACCGCCACTTTGGATTACATCGGTATCGCGTTCTTGATTACCGCTTCGATTCTCATCACCGAATACTACGGCTTTTACTGCAATCCTATCGCTCGATGGCGCTACATGGTGTTTAGTGGTTTCTTGGGCACGGTGGGGACCATTACACCCTTTTTCAAATTTTGGGATACACCCAGATACAGACCTCTTCGTATTGGTGTGTTCCTTGCCATGGGATTCTCGAGCCTGGTCCCTGTACTTCATCTCGTCTCCTCCAAGGGATTCATGCCCACCGTCCTTTTCTTGAAACCGGCATTGGTCAGCTGTGCCATGTACATACTCGGTGTCATTTTTTGTGAGTGTTAAACGAACAACGTGTGACTGGTTTGATTTCTATTTTTTCTAACCGCCCACGGCTTCTTTAGACGCCAATCGGTTCCCTGAGCGCGCGTTCCCTGGTCGTTTTGATTTTGCTGGCATGACCAGTCATGCCATTTGGCATGTGTTTGTGTGCTTTGGTATCTTTGTAAGTGGCTTAATGCATGTGGACTTGAGATAATCAGTAGACTAAACCTCTTTTTTATGTAGTTCCATTATATGGCGTCGCTCCAATTCTACGCCCAACGATATTCCTACGGTTGCATGGCAACTCGCTAATCCCCCCGGCAACCGCCCTTTTTTTCTTCGTTATTTAACATCGCTGTGAGCAGGCTCATCGGTGTGCTCTGTGATTCTATTGTTGTGCGTTGTTTTTTTTTTTGATCTATTTATTTCACTACCGTTTTTAGAAACGGTTCATTTTGAATTCTGCATAAGACGACATCCATTTCCTTGACGGAAACCTTTGTTTTTTTTTTCTATTGCTTTTTTGGTTCTTTCTTCCTCCATTTTCCACCTTACAGTACATATTTAAACACTTTCTTACACGGAAAGAATAAAAAAGCAATGTGATTGATTAATTTACAAGATGGCAGTAATGTGAGAGGAGGAAGTGCAAGGTTCTGAGATCCAACTTCCTCGATGCAGTTATCTAATATTGCCGAGCCATTTCTTGGATACCAGCCACATCAAAGATTCCCTTTTGCTTTGATTCAATCGAGGCCACCACGGCGGCAGCGACAACATCAATATGCAGAGGAGGGGTTGTCAACAATTTTCCGAGCGGAAAGCTTGCAATGTCTCTTGCTAAAGGTGCAGTGACGCAGTTGGCGGCTTTGATCGCATTCGCCAAGGGAATCGCGGCAGGACGATCAGCGCTGTACATCAATCCTGAAATTGCACATATCTTACGTTAGACAAAAAAACCACGTCAACTTTTGGCCGTCATCCACTGCATTTACCTGGTCTCAAAATAATGGAGCGATATTCAGGTCTTGAGAACAAGAATTTCTCCGCTTCACGTTTGGTGGTGATATAGCGAGGGTTGATCATGGGAAAGAGATCACTTGCCGAGATGTAGACAAAAGACTCCATGGTGGAAGATTCTTTACCTGCCGCTTTGGCCAATTCGATGGCTGAAAGGGCCCCGTTTCAAGGCACAGGTTAAACTCGCGCACTTTAACGTGTGATATTCAAAATTTTTGCTTCACCTGTATCTCGATTCATTCTTTCATATGTCATTTGGTGGTTTTCTTGGTTAGGATCTAATGGATTGCCTCTATCTTTCATGCCTGTCATTTCCGCCACGACACCGGCCGCACCACTGAGTACGCCACACAGAGATTGAGACTGCGCGACGTGCTTGTAATCCTGTTCCAGGAGAATACCCACACTGTGTACAACACTGGTCACTCCTGGCAGTAAGTGTTTGTAGGACTCCGGCTCCAAGGCATCGCCCGTTTCCCAAGTAACCTGTGGGTTGTATATTCGTCATTGTCTGCGACCTTCAAAAAGGGGAATATTATATTGGATTACTTTACCTTGTCAGCCCAAGGAGCGTTTTGAGAAGAGATACTGGTAGGTTTTCCTTTACGACTGTAGAGTATCTCATTCATGTGAGTTGAGTTTTCATGGCGACTACGAGGACGACTACCCATGTCGCGTATACCTTAGACTGACAATATCCCATCCCTTCAATGCCGCCGCTTTACAAATGCTTAAACCTGCATGTACCCATGAATGTAAGCTGAGCGTGTCTATATGAAGAAACAAAGTATGCTTATTACCGAGAAAGCCGGTCCCCCCTGCCACCAGTAGTTTTCGCGGTAATGTTTGTGCCATGGTGCAAGTGAGTGCTCACTGTCTACCAAAAGCCACAACCGGTTGTAGGTAAAAATCTCAAAAAAGTCCGACGGAAAGCGGGAACTTTCCACATTGGGAAAAATTCAAGGGCTTTTCAACGATCTGTTGCCCATGAAGCACATTTGTAACTCGCTCTATTCCAAATGCTTTACCAACTGTCGACAGTTGTAAACCTTCTGTCTGATCTGTTTCTCAATAAATTATATTACATTGCATCGAATTAATCGCAAACGCTGTGGAAGCTATCCATGTGTGGGAGACGAAAAGCAGTAAGAACTGGCAGTAATTTCAATTGTCAAAAGGAGCATTATGGCTAGCATCTGCCATTTATATTATCAGGTTGTCCGGGTGAGGGGAGGGAGAGACTGATGCATGAGTTTTATTACGATTGTTATTACTGAAATAACGTGTAATATTTCGAGAAACCCATGAAAGACGTATTGATTTAGGAAAAATCAGATGAAAGATCGATCCGATGGCTTGACAGTTCAAGACATATGCTCGTTAAGTTACTTTGGGAGCACTCATTGTAAATCAAGAGGTTTTGATTTTGCCTTCACATGTTTTTTCTTATATTATGTATAACGTTATTGAAGTACATCATTGTTTATCAGCGGGAATTGATTTGTTACTGAAAGTTAATATTTGAAATGTCATGACTAAGAAGGAGTAACGGTTTGATGAGAACAAGCTCACCGCGGTTGTGCTAAGCGAATTTTTTGGAATTAACTTGGTTGGGGCAGCTATTGCATTGTTGCCATCCATTACTAGTGCGGTGTCCAAAGTCATAATTGATTTTCACGTGATTGTATGTGACGGCCTGCTTGAAAGCACAAAATGGGAAACCTCGTGAAAGTGTGAAAAAAAAAACTCCTTTTGGGTCACAGAGCAAGTTGTTTTACACACTTCTATTTTTTCTTCCTTCTTTTTCTATAATGGTTACTTTATGGCTCGTTTAAATGGCACACCAAGAGGAGCGTATATTCTACTTTTGCGACCCTTTACCGCATACCCGTTGTCAAATTCTTAGCTTGCCTTGGTTGAAAGCCTGGCAGAGTAACACGTCCTCTCATAAGCAAAGACCCAATCATGACATACCCATTCTGAAAAGCAATCACAGCATGTGAGTCAGTGGAAAATAGCTTGAGATAAGAAAAAACGCACCTGAACTGACACTGTTTGACAGACTCATTTCATATACGCCAATAACCTATCTTCTCACATGTCTCATTATTCTATTTTCCTTGCATATTTTGTATAGTCATCCTCCGCCTTGGACACATACTTTTCCTCCTGTATTTGTGTTTTTTCATCTTGCATTTCAACTATCGCATCTTGTAGCCCATACCTTTGAATACCTGACCGTGGAACGCCTGTGTGTGGTTTACGGTACATGGCTCTTTTGGGCGGGCTGGTTACTGGGCGTTTTTGTGTTTAGCGAACGTCTGACCATTGATCTCACCCATCCTACCACCACGCTCTTCTGGTTTCTGTTGCTCGAAAGACGCAGTGCTTGGGGAATTATCGTATGGGAGTTTGTCAGTCAATTGGATCAAAACGTACCGTCTTCATCTGATCTGGGGACCGAGAAACTAAGGTTCTGGCAGCTGGGTAATTATCGATTATTGGCGTTCCGAGTGTGGTGCTTAGTGGGCACCGGCAGTGCTTGGGGATTGCTGTACATCGTCCTCGCTAAATGGGACGGTTTCTCTCTGTTATACCTCTTGCAGCTGTCAAACATTGTCAAGCTTTTGTTCGTCAGTGCCACAGGTGGATTGATGATGATCTGTTTCTGGAGTTTCTGGACCTTTCAGTACCGTGGCGTCATTTGGCAACGAGAGTTACGAAAAGGCATCGCCGTTTGGTACAGCGACGGAATCGCACGAGCTGGCGACGTGATATAAGTAGAACGGATCATTCGACCCATCAGTTCAAGCATGATTTCAAAGCGGCGATCCAATCATGTGTTCCTCCAACAACCCCCCCCCCACCTTAACCCCCAATTCAGCAACCAGCGAGTGACGAAAATGATGTGTCCTGCATATAAAATTGCTCATCGGCCATTGGAATCATACCGTCGTTCACAGTCACCTCACAGTCAGGAAAAGCCATGGCTCACTCGCACGCACGGAAAAACGATTCAAGCAAACCTTTTATCTTATAGCGTGATAATCGGTCAGTCGATGGATGGATGACAGTTGCTTCCATCAACAATTTTTTTTTCATTGTTGTTGATGATTCTCATTCTATTACGGTTTCTTTCATCAGAAAGAGCTCATCCAAGACCTTCTTACGCAATATATGCAACGACGTATTTCATTATACTGCCATTTTCAGGCTTGTTTCGATTAATCTACTGGCATTTCGGCATAACGCATGCTTTTCCATGCATGGTTGATCTCCAAGATGCAGCTCGGACCTTTATTTACGCGAATCTAATCTATTTTACTCTGTAGAATAGATTATCATGTCTGGATAAATAAATAAATAAAAAAAAGATCATGACAGTCCTCCTCAAGGCACGTTTTCGCAAACGTCAATGCAAGATGAAATCATGAAGAGATAGAAACATCATAAGACAATATATTCCAGCAATGAATAGCGACAATTGACAAGGTTACCTACGCATGTGAGTCGTACAGTAAATGAAAGAAACCGAGATTACCGGCATGATACAGGAACTAGGTTTAATGAGCGGGAGTTTATCATGATCCGACTTTTTTTTCGGTGTGCGGAGTGTCATGGAAGGGCAGAGAGAAAGGGTGGCACAAAGGTTATGCGAAAAGGCCAAAAAGCAAGTGACCCATTTTGGGAAATAGAGAACAAAAAAGCTCCGTTCTCTTTTTCTTTTTTCCTCGTACGACCGACAACGCACAATCCCTCTCCCTTGGCCCCCCCCCAAACTGGTAATCCTCGATCCATACTTGTCCACTTGGGATCCTGCCATCCTTATTCCTTTTTTTTCTCGATTCCTTATTCACCAACCTTTTCTTTTCTTTGCTGTTCTTGACGTTTTTCTTTCTCTTTCTCTCTTTCTTCCTTTTGGTTCTTCGTTCTTTATTTGATCGTTTGAACCAATCATTAATATACCAAGAAAGAGACGTACAAAAAAAAAAGAAGAGAAAAAAAAGTGGCGAACAGTTTATTTGTTTATTTCTCATTCTTTTTACATACAGTGCGGTTCGTCTCAAAATATTACATGAGAAAGTGCGGTAAACGACAAACGATTTCTCTTTTTTGATATTTTTTCCTCTCTCTTCTTTGTATTTTCTTTTTTTTTTCTTTTACCTGGGGAAACTAAACTTTGTTCGCCATTGGCATCAGCATGTTTAAGCAAACCGGCACACCCACAGATAAAGATGGCCGCGATCCGCTTGACAAGGAATTCACCATGGCGTGGAATCAACATAAAGTGACAGAGTGGTTAAAAGACCGTGGTTGGCATCATATTGCTCCCCGATTCGAAGGTATTTCTTCTAAACGACTCACACGAAAAAAAAAAAAAAAAAAAAAAACCTTCCGAACATAGAATAGTTCTTGATGAGCCTTCTTTTTTATCATTGTTAAATCAATGACATTATCTATCTGAATTAGAAAACGATATATGCTTTGAACGGTTTTTACATATTACATTGGCAGAATTGGGCCGAATAGTACCTCGTCCTTTTACCACTTACTCTGAACGTCGAAGATTACTCAACGAAATCCGAGCCCTGACCACACAAAAACCAACTACCACCACCAGAGTAAGACGACGCTACCCTATTTATTATTATTCTCTCTGTTCTTGGTTCAAGCAGATATATTAGAACGTATCAAATTCAACTCATCGAACTCTTTCTCACAGATTTCCATTAATACCAATTTGCATACCAACTTCCACTCATCGAATGAGACCCCGTCAGCCAACACACCGACTTCCGGCCATTTACCGAGCAATTCTCCAGCAACCCCTTCCAGTGGCCGAACCGCTTGCGAATGTCATCCAGATAACCTGTATCCTGTCGATCCTTCGAGAGACAGTGGCATCGCCTACCTCTGTCACAGCCCACATCATTCGGCAGGTCCATCTCCTTTGCCTTCACCCTCCTCTTCTGAATTTTCCTGTCCGCCACGAACCAAACCATCACCCACTCGCGCTTATTCACCCAAAGCAGCTTTTTCCAAACTTCGCAACGCTTTTTTACCCCACGCACCCTCGGTGCACCACGCCGATCCGCCTCCAACCACCAACGCGAACCCTGTCACCCATCCATCTTCTGCTGCCACCGCTCGTACCAACGTCGCCAAACACGATCTGCATTCCGAACCAGACATGGACGAACGCACACGACCCACCATTCCTTTACGAGTTTCTTCGACCCCCGATAAAATATCTCGAATCTGGGCCAACTATTCCCAGTGGCATTCGTCCAATCGTGCTTTCAAAACCAGTTCAGGAGCAGGAGGAGACGCTTCCCCTGTCTACAGTAAGCGCGTCGTAAGCATCCAAAACTCCTTATCCACCGCCGTAAAACAAGAAAAAAAAATAAGCATGATCTATCGGTGGATCTATGTTGTTGCTTGGTTAATGCTTACGTGTATTATTTTTTTAATATACACAGAATATCCTTGACCATCGCATTCAAGTCACAAGTGATAAGGATACCTGGTACAGCCTCAACGTCACTGAATTCACCGATCCCAATGCCCTGAAAGATAGTATTCTAAAGCGGGTGCAACTGGCTGGTGAACGTGATCAATATTGCTATTTTCATGAAAACGGCCCTCATCCAAGTAAGGCATTTATTTGTCTATTTTGTTGTTAATCTTTTTGTTTCGGGTGACTTGACTTTTGAGTCTCAAAAGTCATCAACCGTCATAACGCTGATGACCAGACGTGATCACACTAATACTGAACGTAATTTGTGTTCCCTAGACATACCCTTGTCACCCAAGGACTTGATGCGTCTATGCTCCATTGCAGACTATACAGCCACTCATCGTATCTTGGTTCTCCCTGCGAACCAAGTCACCGACTCGACTCATTCCCTTCTTTATCCTGCGCAAGTCAGATCAGGCTTACCACAACAACCACTGTCGCATTCACCGTACCAACATACCACCTTTGCCTCATCCACTCCCGAACTGGGCCACTCACCGTCCGAAACCACATTTCCCTGCTGTGCATATGGCAACAGGTAAGCAAATGCATGCAAGTTACAAAAATAAAAAGAGAAATACACACGAACACACACACACATACATACACACATAAACACACAATTTACAGTATTATTATTTTCCAAATAATTTATCGCTCGTTGCAGACTAGATCCAAAATATGCGACGTCTTATGCTGTCACGCCTCACCACACATCACCAAATAATGCCACCGCATCCTATCGAACCTTAAATCGTCATAATGCTGCCGTTCCACCTTGTCGTTACCGCTCCGAACGACCGGTTGGAATTCAACTCTCCGATCCTCCAACCCACCCAACTACCGTTCCCCCGACTCACACGCCACCATTATCAGAAGAAGAATCATTCCACGAATCATCCCACTATCATCCTTTAAGAAAGGATAGTGCTCCTTTTCTTGGTCATTCTCCCGTTACCGCCAAAGCTCGTACTCGTTACTCTGAACCTTACTTTCACCGTGCATCGCGTCCATCCGAGAGTCAGAATGATGTGGGTTTATGGGCCGTGCCGCCTAAAAAAAGTTGTCCCGAATTATCCACTCACGCTGCAGCAGCTTCATCAGCAGTGACCACCACGAGTCTGTGGGCCGTGCCGCCCAGTGTTCATCCAATGGATACGGCTCATCTACGCGACATTGATTTGGAAGCACTGCAACTCAATGATCCCTCCTCATCACAACATTTCAATGTGGCAGCGTCGTCATCGCAGGATGACAGAGCTGACCAAACCTCGGCGGTTACCAGTGAATTCTGGGGTGAACGACCACCCACCGAAGTCGTCTTTCAAAATATGGAAAAGTACTTTGACGATCACGATCTGGACAAAGAAGTCGTTGTTGAACAGGAACCACAACCATCGCCCCATCCTTCAGGAACCGCGCTGAGACGGTACCCTCACACGAAATCGATCCGCCTCGTAGCTCGTGAAGCCAGTCGACGGCTTATTAACCGACGCCAGCATAAGCATGGCTCCATGTTACGGCGAAAAAGTACGAAATTATGGGGTCAGCGTGTGGTTGAAGTGAAGCCTTTGAAACGACTGCCGTCCTTGAGCGAGCATATGAGCATGGCCCATGATGCGTCGGGCGACAAGCCGGTTCAGTGGATCCGTGGTAAACTGATAGGGAAAGGCTCCTTTGGTCGCGTCTATTTAGCATTCAATGTGGCCACTGGCGAAGTCATTGCCGTCAAGCAAGTCGAGATAGCAGAGGCTCAAAACGACCGGCGCGATCCTCATCAACAAAACTCCATCGAAGCGTTGCACCAAGAGATCACCTTGTTACGTGATTTGGATCATGATAATATTGTGCAGTATCTCGGCTACGGTGAAGATGAGGCCGAAGGAGTGATCAATATCTTTCTTGAATACGTAGCCGGTGGCAGTATTGCCAGTCGACTCGCTTTACATGGAGCGTTTGAAGAGCCCTTGGTGAGACACTTTACACGACAAATTAGCTTGGGTTTAGCCTATCTTCATTCCAAGAATATCCTTCACCGCGACATCAAAGCCGCCAATATCCTTGTAGAGGCAGACGGTCAGTGCAAAATCTCCGATTTCGGCTTGTCCAAGAAGAACGATTACGACGAGGTCTATGACCAAAATTCGCGCATGAGCCTTCGAGGTTCCATTTACTGGATGGCCCCCGAAGTCGTGAAAAACGAACCCTACAGTGCCAAAGTCGATATTTGGAGTCTCGGTTGCACTGTAATTGAAATGTTTACAGGTCAACGACCATGGCTGACCCTCAATCAAATAGCCGCCATCTATAATGTAAGATCATCTGTCTTTTCTCCGCGTCCATCCCTATCGTTGGTAAGCTCACACCAGATGAAAATCCTCAGTTAGGTCGCCATAATACCCCGGATATCCCTGATCATATTTCACCCGAAGCCAAATCATTCCTGGAACTTTGCTTGACCATGTAAGCAATGGCTATTTTTTTCTTTGTTTCTCTGCTGTTCTAATTTTCTTTGTTTTTCAGTGATCCACAGCAGCGACCAACTGCGGCCGATCTTTTACTGCATCCTTTCTGCTATTTGGATCCATCCTTTGAGTTTACGGTAAGCTAATCTGGTTTGTTGAGCGCTGTTTATATTCATTCCATCTCATCTCTTTTCATATACAGGAATATGTCGTTCAAGGCAGAGTTTAACTTGTTTTTTTTTTTTTTTTGTCAGCATTCTCATTATTCATCTATACCATTTTTTTTCAAACGCATCTCCCCTCCTTTTGCATCATGTCCTTCCATACCAAATTTAAACAGAAAATACAAAAACCCAAAAAAGCAAAGAGCTATTTGCAGCTCACAGCATCATCGTTTTGCTTTTTTCATTCTGCCATCAATAACAGTGCCTGATTGCTAGCTTGGATTGAAATTGTCTCGAACTAATAGAAGATGGTCGTCTTGTCTCGGGTATCCACTGCATCGATCAATGGGAACAAGTGGGAGATATATTTGGTGGTCTGTAATGATGTTACAGAAAAACTGATTGTGCAACGGACTGCATCCAACCAGTGTAGTGACACGGTGCACTGTTTGTGTGCTGGGCCTTTGGCATATTCTCATGACTCGAGTACGACTAAACTTTAAGACATGGCACAAACCTAAATACTTGAAAGAGAAACAACAATGGTCACAGCTGAGTTCATACAGGAAGCAGTTCACCAGAGATTACGCGCATATACCCGTTAGGCGTGTGCAGCGATACCAGCACTCGTTGCACATGAAGCAATGGTGCAACAACAAAAGCCGCAACCCCTGTTTTTAACAACTTTTTCAAGCTAAACCGCGACAGAGGATTCCCAGAGATGATGTCTATGGCTGAATTTTACGTCTATGGGAAAGTCTATTCCAATGAACTGGGGACGTGAAACTGTATGATACAATTATTTCTTTTGCTTCCTGATGTGAAACTCTAGCAGCTCCATACAGGTTTTCGCATCTTCGTATGAATCGTGGCCATCCGAACCATCTTGAATGAATTTGGAGAGATATTTGGAGCAAAGTAGTCGAAGACTGTAGCGGTAGGGAAGGCCTTCCGGATGAGGGAATAACTAAAGCAGGTTCACAGTTAGCACAAGTGGACATATGCCGACCAAATATCCAATGGACTTACAGCAGCTGTATCGATGGATTTTTCGTGAAGTACCTACGATAAAATGACGACAGTGAAAAGCAAAAAGAGTTAAATACAATATAGCTAACTTACTGTATCATTCTATGCCTTTACTTACTCGCATTGCTATCAAGTCGTTTTCCTTTTTTTTTCGTGAGATGGTTTGATGAGTTGATTTGTATCATATGATTGTCGCACACTCAACGCTCTTACCAAGCCATGTCCAATGAGAATCGTATCCGCGTCCACGTATTTGAACAGTTCTTGTCGAACAGAGGTTAAATCGTGTTTTACACCTTCCAGTGTTTTGACACCACTAAACTGGGTATTCAAATCGATCAACATCTGGGACGGCAGCACAAGCTCATCCAGCAGAACTTCTAAGCGCTCGTCCAAAGCCGTCAGACGGATCAGCTCCATGCCTGCTGTTGTATATGCCTAACGATACGAATGAGCTCAGCAGTCCAAAAAGCATCTACTGTATCCACCCCGTTTACGTACCATCTCACAATCCAGGGCGACCAATTTTCGACGCGTAGTCGATGAAGGATCCTTTGCTGGTGTTGCAATAAATGGAATAAGGTTATGGAGAGACTGCAAATCCGTTTCTGTGAGGATATGTCATATTAACATTTTAGTCCAAGTTTTTTTTTTCTCCATTTTCTTCAATACCTTTAAAAACATGCGGTCCGTGTGTACATCCCTTATCTTCGAATGATCCATTGCAGCAAGTGTATATTTTATGTTTTTCGCCTATTGTCAGGGCAAGTCGTCAAGGGGCTTTTTCTCATGCAATACATCATACCAGGGACCACTGGGCACATGGCTCGATCTTACCATACTGTCTTACGACTCGGCTACGACCATAGTGATATTCACAGAGTGTCACGTCGGTTTCATCTAACACATCTTTGACGATATAGTTTCTTTTGCACCGGCAACACTCTCGTTCTGTGCCTACAATGGTTGGTATAGGTTCCGATGGGGCAAGCAGCGATGCCAGAGGATAGCCGAGCTGCGTCATCATGTCCACGGAAAGACAGAAATTGTTGGCTTCTTCGACAATGTCGATCTTTGGCTTGGTGGCTGGATCCACCCAGTCTCCAACAATACCGATATCGCTGGGATCGATGGCTTCGGGCCGTCGTTTGAGGGCCAGGAGCACCGTGGTTGCTTGTTGTTTATATCCTGCTACATTCGTGGTGCTCTCAAGTATCTGGGTTTCCTGTCTCTTCGCATGCTCGGTGGCCAGTGTAGGATTGTTTAAAGGGGCATAAATTCGTTTGAAATGCTCAAAAACCTTGGTGGCTGTCACCTGTCGGATTTTCAGTGGGGCATGAGCCCGCATGTTGGGCAGAATAGTCGGTGGGCCAGCATCCACTCGGGTGGGAAACTGCGGCACATAAAGATATCGATACGTGAGTAAATAAAAAAAAATGATATTCAACTTGTATCAATCTTCTTACAGCTGGCTTGTGGGCCACCCGCCGTGCTGCATGATTTGTTTCGGCGCTGGCAGTAGACGTGCTGCCCGAGGGAATATTAGGTTGGAGTTGTGTGGATGGTTTGACGGCTTGGTTCGCACGCAGTTCAGGCTGCGACAACTTGGTCTTGCTCGTTGAAGCTAATGCTTGATTTAGCTTGTTGCCAATGGTATGCCGCTGAATAGGTGCTAACGACGATGAGCTACTGGTATCGGCTGCGGCTACTTGATCGATCAGTTTTACAGGTCGAAACATTTCAAAACGACATTGGGTCGATCTAGATACCTTTTGAAGCAAGTTTGGTATGACTGGCCGCTGTCGGGCGAGTTTTCACAGCAGCAAGGGAACTGGCTGCCTCCGATTGAGAGGCTGTCGTGCTCAACTTTTGTCGCTTTATGCTCGATGTTGGTCTTTCTGTTAGGAAAAAAAAAAAACAAGAGAGCATTGAGGACATTGGGAATCTATCTGCAGATCGATCACTGTCTATGAGTACCATCAAGATTAGGACGGCGAAGGACTTGTTGTTGTTGATGAGAATAGAAACAAGCTGACCGCGAGCAATTGGGATAGAGAGGACAAGGAAGAGATTTGAATAGACCCAAGGAAGGCAACATGGAGCGAAAGGTACGTTGCTGCAGACAATGTCTTTGCGTGCAAGAAAGTGAATACAAATGAATGGTTGTAAAAAAGGAATGTAAACGAAAGGACATCAACCGGTGGATCCAGAATCTATTCAAGCAGCAACAACTATAACCTTGATCTTGTACAGTCCCACCCAAGATTATGTGGACAAATTAAGCAACTCTGACAATGAAATAAAAAAATCGAATGTCAATCAATTTTTTGTTTAAACATCCATTTTCCTCCTCTACTTCTTTCCATTTTACGTAATCAACGTGAAAATATGGCAAGCCTTGCTTTCTGTGGAAAAGATCATGTTCGTGGAATGCGCCAAGGAGCAACGGCTACGGCACAAATCGCCTTGGAAGTCGTCCGGTATGGCAACGTTTTAAACGTAGCGAGAACAATCAACACCAATTGAAGACTCAAAAGTCGATGAGACGTCCATGAAAAGGTTGTTAAAAAGATTACCAGGCCCCTGATAAACTGCGTAAAGAAGAACAGATCGAGCAAACTCAAGTGACATCATGTACAAGCAACCGAGAAAGGTGCCCTAGTCCACAACTCGACATGCGATCGTTTCACCGCGACCAAAGTCGCAGTTCTTCTTATGTAAACAAAATGACCCCGTTCCTTAGTCTACCAGGAAAAGTTCCAGGCAACGTTGCCTCCTCTTCTCATGTCTATAAAATTACGAGGCGTCTTGCACCCGAAATTTTTCAAATCAATTGTGTACGTGAATAACAAGCTCCTCAATCTCAGCAGGCAGTGCTTCATGCAGAGGCTAAACAGAGACAGGAATATCATATTATGCAGTGTCAAAGTTGTGTATTTCTGAAAAAAGACTGCCCATATTTTCCACACTGTGTATGTGATCGCTTTGGGTTTTATCAAGGTTGGGCCGTTTGTCGGGTAATACGACGACTAACGTTGTAGTTCTTATACTCTTTATCATCCTCATCTTCGCCCGACGAATCTTCATCAGTATCGTATCGTCTTTTCCGCTTCTTTGGTTTGCGTTTGTCTGCATTATCGGTTGGCTTGTGTGAACCATGCTTGCTGTGTTTTCGAAAGATCTTTTCCACCTGTCCGTCGGCAGTTTTCTTGTCAAATAAATAATGTGCCTTGCCCTTTTCATCCAACACGTAGTTCGGATCATGAATCTGCTGTGTTTCAATCAACAGTCGATAAAAGTTGGAGCACTACCGTATTCCAAAATAAAAAAAGGTGTTAACGACCAAGTCTTTTCGAAACATCAAAGTCTTCATTACCTGATATCCTACGCGGCCGGGAATGGCCATGGAAAAAATACCCCACTGTGAGTTTGCTCCCACTTCTTTGAGCCGATCAAAGAAGAGTCTTTTTTCTTCTTCAGACCATTGCCCTTTGCGCTGTTCCTCTCCAGGCGCATTGAACCGATAGTAGTAACTGTTGGGATTCTGATCAATCATTTGATATGCACGAATGCGAGCTTGAGACCACCCTTCAAAGTTGCTTTTCTCTTCCGCCTGCTTCAATGCATCATCCAATGCCAATCGGCCATTCATACGGTTCCACCTTAAAAATGCAATGTTACCAATGTGGGGTAAGCCCCTGCCCATATTCATCCTTTCAAACCGATGGACTCACCTTTTATCCTTTTTCGCGGGTTTTTCTATAGTGGTTGGTACCGGAGATGCCTCGGTTAGCGGCTGAGCAGTAACAGTACTGGGCACTATTTTTGGCTGTATCGCTTTTGAAAATAATATTGCTTGTCAGTTGCGTAATCCTTCACTTTTAAACACAAGAACGTGGTGATGCTAACGTGTAAATTGAATCTTTTTTTCCAATGCCTGTGGCACTGGCGTTGGCGGTGAAAGCGGTTCCACTTTTTGTGTTGGCGGAGCAGGCAAAATCAGGTCCGGAAGGGGTTTAGGGGCAGACAACACTAGTGGACGTGCTGCTGTCTCTTGCTTCTTTGCTGTATGGTTCTGCTGTGAGTTTATGAGTCGACGGATGTTGGCCAAATAGTCGGCTTGCGTGATGAGCCGCAACATCACTTCATCCTAACCGGCCCACAGGTTTTGAGCACCGCTAAACACCAAAGCCCTTGCCTACATATAATAATAAATCATACTTACTTCGTTTTCTTGACAATCTGTAAGCATGAGATGCATTTCTTCCTCTGTCACATCATGACATACAGCTCGTATTTTAATCCATTTACGTTCCCTTTCCATCTTGAGTAACTGATCATAGTGTGGCGAAAGAGCGAACGGGGACGGCAGAAACGAAAAACGATGCATGATATTCAGACTGTCCAACACCCCGCCATAATGTCTATAAGGCTTGTTATATCAATGACCTCTTTCTTTGTCATGCCAACAAAGTACCCTTCAACCACGGGGTATGAAACAAGGGTATGTGTCGAATGGCTGTTATCTGGACATTCTTTTTTTTGGAACGTTAGCTGTCATTCCATGTCAAACGAACCGTCAACTTCTTTCTCCAACCTGGTCTTTTGTTTGCATCGCCAGAGGTTGTGGATGCTGTCGATCCTAATGTATAAGAACATGAGCCGACATTGACAGAAAACTCGGCATTATGCAACGGAGACTCCGATAGTGTACCTCGGGACGATGCCTGAGGGCTTGATAAGGAACGAGGAGACGCGTTTGAAGCCTCGATCAAGCCATTTTTGATATCTTCACTGGACCGCAAACCATTGATCATAGTCTGAAGTCGTGCTGTTTTTTTGGTTCGAACCATTCTATTCACTGCCTGACAAGCTACGAGGGGAGGAAGAAGGACCGGGAGATGTCACTTTCATCAATCCGTCGACAAGCGGAGTGGTTTTCGGATCGTGGATCGGGTCAAAAACTGCAATTTTTTTTTCTCCACCGGGTCGAAAAAGCAGTCTCATATTACTTATTCCCGAAAAGAAGAGCAAGCACATCACCTTTTCAATATGAGGCCAAAGCAAACAAAAAGAAATTGATGAACTACTACAGACTATTTATTATGAAAAGGACACTTTTTTTTTCTTCCTCTGCAGATCTAATCTATAAAAAGCTATAGACAAAAAACATAAGAACACAAAAATATAACAAAATGACAAATTACAAAAAACTATGATACTTTTTTTTCTTTTGAACTATATACAAACACGCGCATAGGGGGGAAACGAGGACACAACCAAAAAAAACATTTAGAACAAAGGATCCAACAATTGTCCAGCATTGAAACCGTCATCAAAATCTTCCATTTTGATCACATCTTGTTGTTGCAAAGCACTCGAAGGAAGGGAGGGCGAGGTTAAAGGATCGTAATACTTGAGTCCCAAATCTTGGTCGTTGAGGGTAAGGAAGGTGTCGTTGACGGGAGGGAGCATAAATGAGTCATAGAGATCCATATCGGACATTCCGAAAAAGAGCGAAGAGGCTGGAGGACTGGGCGTGCACGCTACACTGTTGGAAGTGGAGGCGGTGTGACAGCTTGATTCGTCGAATCCAGGGGACAGTAATCGATGGGTGGCGGCGTTGGTGTCTTGCCAAAACGAAGATGCACTGATGGGAGAAAGGGTGTCGTTGTTGAGGGTAGCGGTGGGGATGGAAGGAAGAGGCGGAATGGAAGAGGACGAAGGGGTGGTGAGAGCAGTAGTAGCAGTGATGGTGGTGGTGGTAGTGGTGGTGGCAAGTGATTTGTCTTCTTGTTCATCCGCCGCCTGGACGGAAGAGGATTCATCGGCCAGCGAGAAACAATCCCCAAAATCAAGCGACGCCGTGGTGCCGCTCACACAAGAAAGAGTGGGTGAACCGGGGGTGGAATTCTTTTCTTGTCTAGCGAATCGTGCATTTTGTTCCGACAACGCCGACACCGTGAGTGGCATGGTGGGAATCATTGGCATCTGAGGAGGTTGTGGAGGAGCAATCGGAGGTGATCGGGTGGAATTTTTACGGGGATGCAAGGATGGAATAAACTTTGTACGATACATGTCGACGGCGCGTTGAAGGAGATTCTTCTTGTTGGCGAGGATCTTGGGGTTGAGCCACGCCAATTTCCAAGCAAGTTCGTTGCACATGGTTTCCTCCAACCAACGCGTACGACCAGCGATGTAGTGATCGGCTTCCATTCCCATCACACGAGAATAAGGACAGTTGGCTTTTCGGAACTCGGGTGTGATATCGTCCAAATTGACCGTTTCCACATTGATTTTGATTTTGTGACGCGTGTTGGTGTTCAAGTCATCGATGGCCAACGTTTTGGGATGATTGGCCGGTTTGACGATCAATGCATTGAGAGGCGACGTTGTGGAAGTGGTGGGAGTAGTGAAGATGGAAGCGGTGAAAGCGGCGTTGCACGACGCCAAAGACGAAGCAATATCGGCCAAGGTTTCTTCCTCCATCTCTTTATTCTTTCTCTTTCGCAACGTACCGTTCAACAACTTCTCCTGACGAGCAACGCGTCGTGATCGCATACTCGGATATCGATTCCGGTAACTGTCCACGGCTCGTTGAATCAACCCACGTTTACCAGAAATATCGGCCGCATTCAACCAGGCCAGTTTCCATCCCAACACATTACACTCGGTTTCGTACGCCCATCGATTGCCACGGTATGTCTCCTTGGGGAGATTGGCACGAGGATAAACCTAGTCACAGAAAAAAAATCAATTTTAACTTTGCCAAAAAAAAACTTTTTTTTTTCTTCTTAGAACATTGAAAAAGCGACAATGCTACTGGATGAAACCACTTGCGGGGAAGAATTTTTTGGGTCTCAAAAAGCTTTAGCCGCTCAACCGGCGGAGCTTGACTCCATTTTTTTTTTTTTTTTTTTGGAATCTCCAGCCAAAAAAAAAAGAAGCCATTCGGCGTCCCCAGGGGATTTCATCCAAGAGAAAAAGAATAAAGAAAAAAGTAAATGGTTGAGAAAGAGAAGGTACTTACGCAGTTTTCACTCTTGAACTTGTCATCAATGGCATCCAAAGAGATGGTATGGATATCGGTACGAATCTTGTATCGTTTGAGGGTGCGATTGTGAGAATAGACAAAGGAGACCCATTCCACGCCATCCTTAACTTCGGCAGTAAGATCGTGCGATGGAATGCCGCCACTGGAAGCGGAAGAAGGTGGCGGCGGTGAAGGGGTGGTCGATGCTTCCTTTACTGATCCGGGCTGCAAGGGAGTGGCGGTCAAAGCTGCAGCTAACGCATCGGCCAATACAGCCACGGCGGCGGCGGGATCGGTTGCCGTCGATACTTGCTGTTGCTTGACGAACTTTCTGCGCTTAACACGGTTGATGGTAGATTCGATCATCTCAATTTGATCGGAAGTGAGACGATCGAGGATATGTTCAACCTTGGCCGGTTCAACTAGGAAATCTTGCAGCAACAAGGAGGTGGGTTCATCGATAGTAGGTGACATGACGAGAAATAAATAGAATCACGATGAATTTAAATGATAAGCCAAGGATAATACGAGAAAATCAAGATCGAACAGATAAAATCTCGTAATAGAACAATGATAAAGGGCTCATGCAATATCCAGGAGGAAGAAATTGTCGAACAATGCAAAAGGATAAATCGTCGTTTTGCAGAAAAAAGAGAGTCTTTGAAAGAATAGGCGAATCACTTCAAAAACGTGATGTAAATGCGCGAAGCAAATAAAAAGAAAAAGGGAGTGAGTTTAACAGAGGTGAATGAAAAAAGAAAAGAAAGAAGCACGAGCAAAAAGACAGACGACATCAAGTAGACTCGACGGGAATTGAAATGACGGTGAGTGGGACGCTGACGGAGTATCAATTATCCCAATAGAAAAAAATTCTTTGTCAATGACGGAATTTTGTTTGTGTCACAGAAGCATTTCAATGGCACAACTTTTGAACAATAGAAACCTATGGGATGTCATCTTGCATGTTTCAATTCGATCAAACGTTCAATAACCATCCACCATCAAAAAATCACCATTTTTTACCGATTACTGGTCTAGTTGCTTCGATACCATTCCATCCGAGAGAACCCAAAAGAAGCATGGGCGCCTTGGTTGCACAGCACAAACAAGCAGGCGCTCGTTATTCCGACATTTCCGTGAATGGCCGAAATAAACTGTGGTAGCCTTGCTGGTCCCCCACCCAGGAACCAACGGGCAAATGTACGGGGCCGATCCCATTAGCCAGCACGGAAAATCTATTTTCGGGGAACGTCTACCAAAAAAAAAAAAAAAAAAAAAAAAAACCTCTTTTGTTGTGGAGAGTGATTCGTAGTTGGTTTTAGATCCTCTTGCAACTAGGAAACCATATTGTTTTGTCATCGTATTGTGACATGTTTACTTCCATCGTTTCTGTCAAATGTACTCATATTTTTCGATTTTCGTGGTCGTCATCGCCACGTGTTTCCATCACAGCAGCATGTGATATTCAAGGCAACGTGCCAGAGACCAGAAATTTCAACCACTGAGCCTTTTTTTTTCTGGCGGCTCCAATCTGAATTATATCGGACTGTCGGCCGCATAAAAGAATTGAAAAGAAGCCAAAGTCCTCATCACCGAAAACAAGAAAACCTAGGACAATGATTGTAACCCTAATCAGAGCGCTTTGGCTTAAAACTTTGGTGATTCAAATACACAGAGTGTACCCTACTGAATAATGTCCATATCACAAGCATATCCATAAAAGGGATGAGCGACCCCACCTTTTCCAAATACATATGAGACTTTTTTTCTTTTGCTTCGTAAGTCTTACGATCCAATGAGTCATTTTGGATTCCGAAGGTCCGCCATTTTTTTTTTTCAAATATGGTCTGATGGTTCCAGCTCATGGTCAAATGCTTTCTCAAAAGCTATCCTAGGTTACCACGTAGTCCTACATGGGAATCTAAGGGTAGCCAAAATAGGTACTTTCGAATGGAATTTTCAGAGTCATAACGATCTACAGATAGGATCTCCAGAATGTATATTCCCCAGTCCTTTAGTCTCATCGCGTTTTGAATTGCTGAGGCAAGTAATAAGCTATCGCTAAACAACCGATCGTCCAACTTGGGATAAAAACCAATAGACAATCCACAGACGGACGATCTTTTTTTATTTATTATTTATCCGACATTTGCCACAGCGGATGCTGATAGGTAATATAATCTAGTTGTTGCTCATTAATCACAGTGAAAACTATGTAAAGAAAAGCGGGGTTGATCCGCCCATTTTTATTGTTACCAAGGTTTGTAACAAGAAATAGGATTTCAAACCACGCTGTCGAAGCTTTTTTGTTCTTTTTCAATTTCTTTTTTACTTTTTTTGATCGGAGCAACAACAATTATTCTCATGCTCCTTGAAAGATCAATCTATACTTGTTTGTCACGTAAGCGAAACTGATAACCCAGGACTACAATTTGGGACTATTTTATTTTGTTTACAATCTCAGGAACCATGCGAATTGATATGAAATAAATGAACAGTTTTTTCGTATTGTCGGGCTTATGTTTAAAGGATGATCGACTTTATTCAATCGTCGTTAGTCTGTCTGCGGAGCCGACCATCCGTAAAATGGTTAAACAAGCATTTGCGTCTGCGGGCTTTCCATATTCAATGTCAGAAAAATCCAATATCTCACCACGGACTGTTAATCTCCAAGTCGAGTATAGTGGGGTCAAGCGATTGAGGGTGAGTCAGAACAATAAAAAAAAGATTTCGGGATTTCTTTCATGATCCAGCAACGGTCGTGTTACAAGATTCCTCCCTATGGATAGCAGTCCCTTCTTCGCACGCATTGTTCTTTTCAGCCAATGACCACCTCTTTACAAAAAAAAATCCAACACATTTCATGGCATAGAGTAGGCTTGAGTTGGAGTAATACGGTAACGGGGTGCTGTGCGCATGCCGGTGATACTGGATAATCTATTTTGAGGACCTTTTTTTTTTGTTGCATTGCACGACAGCGTTTACCCATTGAAAATAATTTAGCCGTCCGTCGGACAGGTTTCATTGGCTCGCTTAAACCTGCCCGCCACTCTTCATCGTTGCGCTGCAACCATGGCAATTATGTCCGCATCCGCGGAACATCAAACTTTGTGACTGATCAACCTTCGGCAAGCCCGCAGAGTTGATCCTCGAGCGAGGATGATGATGATGATGATGATGACCAATCACCATAGCATGTACCGTCTCCACAAATGTCGGGAGTAACCAAGGACAATTGTCCTATATTTGGTACTTATTGTCAATCTTTTCGCTATTCTGCTTTGGTGTCCTTGCAATGATTTGAAATATTGCAAATACACATCTATAAAACGATCTATTTTCTTATAATCGCTCCTGGAATAAGCGCGATGCTTTGTGATTGACGTGACTGCTCCTGGGCAGAAGGGACTGTCCATAACATCTTGTCCCATGTTGTGAAAGACGACAACGCACTGATAAATGAATATCGGGTCACTCTATTTGTAGCTCAGAATTTTGGATGGCCATGCTTTTGAATGGGAGCCAGTAACAAATGAAAACCTTATTTCCAGTGGCTGCCTGCCATGACGGCTTTCTAACATATACCGAACCTCCACCGCGTAGTTTGAATAATCACAACCAGCTAATGTGGGGATAACGCAGCTTGTAAGTCGAAGCTGCAAACATGCATAGGACAAAAGAGTGCATGTCCTCCAAGTGCACAAGCCACCTTTTTTTGGATTTACACTTTCAGGAACTTCAAAGCCCGCATCTACGAGTAATTCTGCCTTCCCAATTACCGGACTCTCCATTGCGACAAAAAATAAATTCAACATTACTTTTTCGTTATTACACGTGTCCGTAGCTTTGGAAGATTACATGGTTGATCTTCCATTAAAACTTGTAAAAATTTTGGGATGCCAAAGCCAGCTAAACACAGGACTTCATACATACAGCACCAGAGCCAAAGGCGCTCGGTAAACTTTGTCATACTGCTCATTTTCGATTTATCTCGAAATTGATGAGTTTGCTAAATCGATGGCAGCAACCATCCCACTCCGCTTTCCATGAATAAAGGGCACTTGTCCATCTTATTGTACTGTAAATACATCCCTCTTTATAATGTTATACGACCAATCGAAAATTATGTCCAGTCATTAGTTAAAAGCGGTCAACTTTATTCCGTTTCAGCCACATCATGATGAGAGGTAGCAAATATCATAGACACCATTGAGTTTCTCCGTTCGGCGCAAGGCCATCGATCCACATTTCTACCAATAACTCCGACGAAATTCTTATGTGCTTACTCTAGTCCTGGAAAAACTCTGGCGACAAACAAGTTCATGTCCTTGAGCTAGCAGTGTGTTTGCGAGGCTGCTGGTTTTAGATGACAGTGAAAACATAAACAAGTGCCAATATCCTCAGCATTCACTGAAGGTCTCGCCTACTCGTTAATCGTATATATTGCTTGAAATGGGAATGTGCTAAGCATCCGAATGGGGATGGTCGATCTGATCTGATATCGGTCTCCTTTTGGAGATTTGGATACTCACAGAGTTCGTTAGAATCGTCAGATCATCTTGCCTTAAATATTACTGAATTGATCAGTTAGGATCAGCGAGTGTAGGGCCTTTTTCAATATGTCCAGGAGTCGTTGGTATAAGCAAGGCAACGAGAAACGGATTGCGTAGACGATTATCTACTTGCACAAAGCCCTTTATGATTGATTATTGATATTGCTTGCTTGACGCTATTTGAATTGGCTGAGCCGTCAATGCTCTCCTCATTTGAGGAATTCCATGCTCTTTAAGTCCACGGGCTTTCAGGTCTTGAAGCATACGGTGGTGGCGATGTATCATGATGCAGTACCGTGTTATGAACCTCATAAAGTCTGTATGCAATTTTTCGCTCATAACAAGCTCAGTTACAAGAGTCAAAAACCGGGCACCAAACACCAGCAGTAATCGGCTTGTCGTTTATTTATCGCTTGTGCCTTAGAAGGAAGTACATGACGGTTCATCGCGTCAAGTAGACGACACTATGTATGACTGTATCATCTGTGGTTGAAACATAAAGTAGGCAACTAAAAGAGACATGAGAAACATAAAAAGAGGTGCTGCTGACCACGCAAAAACCGGGACTCTGCTGTGTTAATCTGGCACGATGGTAAGCGGTACGGGGCCCGACAGTCGACTTCAAGAGCCTTCGACATACTATGTGTCACCTTTCCTTCTTGCGCATTCTCTGTTTTGGATGATCTACCCGGAACGGATTGATAAACATCCTACGCCAGCATGGTTTATCTATAGCAGAGCTGTCGTACTCGTTTTAAAGCAGTGATTACAAATTCCAACAATAGCAACGATGCCTCACAAGTCACAGAAATTGATCGCGAGTTACTGCAATACGATCAGCTATTAGATAACAAGCGTATGACAAGTCATTTGCCAAAAAAAAAAAAAATTTGGACAAAGAGTATCATGTAAACATCTCAGTTTCCTGTGTCACATTAGCTACACGTTTTTTAGTTTTCATGGATCGTTCCTGGGGCCACCGTCCGGCACTGTAACACATCGAGCAACCAACTTTTTTCATGGATCCAAGAGCAGCTTCGGTAATTCTAGCTCGTCCCCATAACAACTGTACCACTAAACATTTCGTCGAGTTGGTGTTTCAGATATCTCGAGTTGATCCAAAGGGCAACGTCGCGCTGTTTAACACGGCTGGGATTATATTCTTGTCTTTTGACAACCTTTTCTCCTCATTGTTGTGCCGATAAACTAAACTGAACTTGTACAAAGGAACCATAGAAATATCGATCCGATCGATCGGAACGAATAAGAATGTAGATAGCATGGAATCCTTGTTTTAAACTATTGCCAGTTCTCCGAAAGCACGGTGACACCCGGTTGGCTAAAATTGGAAACTCGCTCTTTATCCGTGCATTATTGACTGTCCGTTTTTTCTCAATTGTTAGGAACAAGCTTGTGTAACCACCGTCCCCGCATCGAATCATCAAAAAAAAAAAAAAATCGCTCAGAGCCCTCCGATTCATCGGTTTCTTAGCGTAAACTTCATACAGCGGACCAGTAACCATTTAGACGACTCCATTTTATCATATATTGATGACACATTGATGACTAGGACAACTTGGACGATGTTGACTGAGAACTTTTATCAACTTGGCAGATCTGCCAAGTGGGAAATCATAAAGTTCAGAGAGTGGACTTTACAAAGTCAGGGTCGCACGTTTTTCCAGATTTCTCACGATTACGAATAGAATCCGATCAGCGCTGGCCGTCTGACCAATGGAAAAAAACTCTTGACGGTCGGAAAGCGGGGTAAGACTGATTTTAATCTGTGCACATTGATTACGTATACGATACACAAACAATCACGTATGATGGTTCAAGTAGTTTTCATACAACTTTCATTGTTACCTACCCGCCTGTATCAAGGATCGAAAATGATCATATTATACTAGTTGTTATGACGAATCAAACGAACCCCATAAAGCCCGGGACCTTATTTCACTTTTGACCAGGTACTTGCTCCGATCACACACGTGACGTTGCGTGGGCGGCAGAGGGAAGCACAACAATCAACAACACGCGCTGTCGGTTCGCGTCACTTTTTTTTTTTTTTGGGAGCCCCATAATGAGCAATGCACGATGCTTTTTGCGCATGGGGAGCAATGTCCGGGAAAACGCAAGGTAATCTTTGAGCATGTCGAAAGGTCAAAATAGCTTGGGGTTTAGTGAAAAGATGCCATTTAGGACCATTCTCGACTTTGTGATTCTTCAACTGCAGCAGAAGTCGTTAAACTCCGAGGAAGTATCCGCGATGGGTTTAGGCGCTGCATACACCACAAGACCTTGGGCGTTACTATTTACCAACAAGTCGCAAGCTTTCGATGAAGTATTCCAAGACATGGCGACATTGTCAGCCAGCCATGACAGTGGCACTCTTCAACACCAAAAAAAATGGCTCGATGATATTCGAATATGGTACGTCAAATCTTTCTTTTTTATTATTGCTGTGGAAGGAAAAAATCAATGATATATCAATGACAAACAATTGCAACGGATTGTTTATCTAGTCATGTTAGCAGCATTCATCAGTTACGGGCTCTGCTTTGCACGATTCATACTCATTCACCCGTTTTAGACTCAGGACAACCTGCCAAGGCGGACGGAGATGACCTGTTAACATGGATACACAAGGAAAAAGACGACCAGCCTCCCTGTTTCCTGATTGTCATGGATCTCATGGACCTGATTCTTATGACTGATATCAACTATCGCAATCAACTCTCGGATGATTTGAATATTCCTATAGAACAGAGATCCCAACGCTATCTCCAGGTTCGGTACGATGATCCCCTGTTTCTCCTTATTTTTATTTTTTTTCTATTATTCGATTTTTTTTTCCTTCCATCTAATTTTATGAGTCCGACGCATGTCGACTTTCCTTTCTATAGGCAAGACTGGCTGGTGCAAATCCTCGGCCTTCTTTCGGAAACCGCGAATTATCTAAGCTTCCAAGCGAATCAGTGGTGGAGCGCTTTTCCAGAAGTGATGGTCCACCGACCGACGGATCTTTTCATTACCGACAGCGGATGCCTGGAAACGCTTCAGCAACCTAGTAGCTCGTCGGGAGTGACCCCTGATCAACAGGCTTTGGAGGATCTGTATCGCATCATCAGTTATTATATCGATCAAATGATGTGAGCAACCATTGACACCATGATTGTCATTCATCACCGCCGGAGCGGAGATATAAACGATATCCCTCTCTGTAAACCAATCATCGTCGTCGCCTGGGGATGATAGGCGTGGTTTGAAAAATATGCAAAATTACTCACAGCTGTCGGCAGTCCCAAAACTTCTCTTTTTTTTTTTTATTCGGTTTAAAAGGCACCCTTGCTTCGATCTGTCTGTTACCCCATCATTTGTATTTACTATTACTTTTTTTAATAATCATGGATTCTCCTGCAAGTTTTTCAAATTACCACTATCCCAGTGAACTTCCGGAACTGGATCCAATATATCTTGACGATTGGCTTGAAAATGATCTACGTCAAGCCGGGATTCTGCCCAACACGCCTCCGATGGAATATGCTGACAAGCCTTTTTTCCCTTCCATGACCGACGCGGCGGTCGAGCAGAAGCAAAGACTACAGAATATGACGGCCGCGGTACTGAGAGAACAAGCTATTCAATGTGCAAAGTCCAATCCCAAAGACGCCAAGATCTCTCCCCAGCAAGTAGCGATACTGATTAAAGCCTTGTCACTTCTTGGTTCCATACGATATACGACCAATCAGGATGTTACCCACTGTGCGCAAGAACCCGAGGTCCGAAGATACAAGCATGAACGGAATTCCAAACAGATCAAGGAGTCCTTGAGTGTCCAAGCCCAGGTCGCTCTGAAACGTCAACGAAACACCGACGCTGCACGAAGATCCAGATTACGGAAAGTGATGAAAATGGATGCTCTTGAACGAAGAGTGCGCGACCTGGAAGTCGACAACAGTCAGTTACGGTTACGAGTGGCCTCCATTTCCGAAGATATCAAAGATACCATTACCGAAGAACAGCGAAAACGACAACGTATCCAGGAATTGGAAGCTCAGTTGGCCCAAGTGCATCAAGCCCTTCTCGGTGAACAAGCGACAGACGATGATGAAGAAGAAATTGCTATCGACTGATTTCCTCCATTGGATATGTTGCGACTTTTAACTAGTTCCCTCATATCATCCTTTTTTCATTTTTTTCCCCTCAACTCCTTCCTTCCATTTCCCTCATATTTCATGCTTTCATCCTTTTTCTCATTTCTTCCGTCTACAAGACGTATTTTTCTTTTTTCCTTTCTCTACTCTTGAAACCGATATTGGCTAATGAAAGAACTCGATGCTTCTTGCGATGCTTCTGCCTTTCTATCTGCCGTTTGGGAGTAACTGCTTTACTTCTTCTCGTCTTCTCTCTTTCTGTAGGTATGTCCGTGAGATTGTCACAGTGGTATATCTAGCTTGGGTTTCCCGCTCCGATTGGTTTCGTTTTGCCTTGGTGGTTTTGGTGTTGACACACCAACGATGATTTGACATTTCGAGGTAAGACCGTTGAACAGCTGATTTTTTCTGTAGGACACACGATCTACCGTACGGGGATGTCGATGAAAAAGGACTTGAGATGATGTTTTTTGAGTATCGGTTGCCTTGTCCCATCTTCCTCTCTCTTCGGTCACTTGTCAACTAAAAGAATATAATACCTGATTATGATTCCCATAAGTTGATCGCGTGAATACAAACAGTTTACAACATCCAAAGTATCCGCTTGCACTGAATGCTTTTGCTAAAAGCAAAACAAATGTTGGGATTTTACTGGACCCTTTGACTCACTCACTATTCTATAGATACTGTTACGAAAAAAAAAAAGGAAGAAAAGAAAAAGAAAAGAGGCGAAAAAAAAAGAAAAAACTAAACCAGGTACTGTAGTTGCGACCGTTAATACATCCTTGTTAAGTGTATAGAATCGCGCTGCGTTGCTTTGACAAAAAAAAAAAAAAAAAAAGAATAAAAAAGATGATCTTCCACCTAAACTATTTATTATTTCTTGTGAAGCGTGTTTACATATCATTGCCGAGATAGACGCATTTTCAATGCTGCTGACTTGGATACACCACCAAACATTATCCTTCAAGTGGTTTTTTTTTGCACATGGTGCAACCGCATAAACCTAGTTTACATGTCATTTTTCTTTTGTATTAATAATCGATCTTCCGATACAAACTTGTACACTGCGTATGAAAGAAACAAAGGGGGCATAGAGCGGCAGCTATACCTTTATGCTACATTATAGCCTAACCCACCTTTCTGCGCTTGCATACCTCGTGTTCAGCAAGTACTTTGACTATTAAAGTCATATCAAAAAGACGGTCCATATGATATTTGTGCTGGCATCCATGAAACACATCAGCCTAGATACTGGAAAATGATGAAGCTCAAAAAAATGCGCTTTGTACTTTGTGACATCACGACCTATATTCAAATTCCGACAGGTGTATGACACGTATGGAGAAGTGAATGGCTGTGGAACTCTTTATTCTTGGTCCTTTCGAGTCATTCTCATCAGGTGCTTAAATTTCTGTACTTTTCTTGGAGTTTCTGAACACTGGTTCTTTTTTTTCCCTTGGACTTGCTACTTATACGGTGTACTTTACTTGTTTTTATTTTGCTATAGGGAGCATCACTAGCTATGGCCAAGAAACTTAGCGAAATTCATCGCACCGCGACCTTTGCGTGGGGTCCTGGACAGCAATTACCGCTCCTTGCCGCTGGTACTGTGGCGGGCGCTCTCGATGATTCTTTTTCAAACGCGTCCGAACTCGAATTATTCAAACTTGACCTTTCTGGACCTCAGACCGGCCAAGGGTTGGAAGCCACGGGCAAAGTGAATAGCAGCTCAAGGTAAAACCATTGCAGTTTAGGTGGCGTCGGATTAGGTTATGTTGCCATCTGAAACTTTTTTGCTCACCGGCTGATTCACAGATTCAATACTTTGGCATGGGGACAGGCATCATCTGACAAACCCTATGGTATCATTGCCGGTGGTATGGAGAATGGCGAACTCGCGTTGTGGGACCCAAGCGCTATTCTCGATAACAAAGGGTGAGTATACTTACCAGCTTTTTTTTTTGGGAACTCGATTCTCGACCGTTTAGTCTTACTTATCGAATTTTTCTAGTGATGCTGCACTAATATCCACCAACTCCATGCACACAGGCTCTTTGAGAGGCCTGGACTTTAACTGGCAACAACCCAACATTCTTGCATCGGCTGGTAGCAACGGCGAGGTAGGCCAGACTATTGGGTTTGGCAAATGGGGATAGAATACAAAAAAAGTACTCATCTGGATATAAAAGGTATATATTTGGGATCTTACAAGCCCCAAGAAACCATATACCCCTGGCGCCCGATCGGCCAAGATGGACGATATCACCGATGTTGCGTGGAATTGTCAGGTGCAACATATTTTAGCCACTTCTTCTACTACCGGGCACACGGTTGTATGGGATCTTCGCAATCGAAAGGAAGTAATGACATTGACCTACTCTGGCCAAGCCGGCAGTGGTGTGAGCGCTGGCAATCGACGTGGCGTTACTGCTATCAGCTGGCATCCTGATGTGGTATGTAAATTGTGTGAATTTAGGAGAGTGTCTTTTTTCTAATTGTGCTGATGCGTTTCGTGGTATCTAGGCGACACAACTGGTCACTGCCGCGGAAGATGATAATAACCCCGTCATCACTTTATGGGATCTTCGTCACGCGCATTCGCCTGAAAAGACATTGGCAGGCCATACCAAAGGCATTTTGGGTGTTTCTTGGTGTCGTCAGGATTCCGACTTGTTAATGTCCTGTGGCAAAGATTGCAGAACCCTTTGCTGGAACCCTCGTACCGGTGAAATGCTCGGTGAGCTGTCTCGCAGCAGTAACTGGACCTTTGAAGCCGAATGGTGCCCTCGCAACCCGGATTTGCTCGCTTCGGCCTCCTTCGATGGTCAGGTAAGTTGACTATGAGGACAATCGCCCTGCAGGGCACAGTCCGATTTTATTTTCTTACTGATGGTTCTCTTAATTTGTTTTTACAGATCAATGTTTACTCTCTTCAAGGATCAAGCGCTGAAGATACAGCCGCGGCTGAAGCTGAACAACAAGCTGCCAATGCAGACGATCCATTTTCCGCCGCCATTTTAGCCGCCGCTCCTCGTGCCGAAACCTTTTCATTGAAGCAGCCTCCCAAATGGCTCCGACGACCTGTAGGCGCGTCGTTTGGCTTCGGTGGTAAGCTTGTCACCTTCAATAACAAGGCTGGCGAAATCGCGGCCAAAGCTGCCGCGACCCTTCCTCCCGGCACCGCTCCAGCCCCCCAAACGGTGCCTCGTAACGTCAAGATGACCGCTATAGTTACGGATCCCGAGATCGTGACGCGTTCCGAAGAACTCGAGAAAGCCGTGGCCGAGGAAAGATTTGATCATTTGATTGACGAGCGGTGTCAGCAATCCGCTTCAAAGAAAGACAACGATGACCAGGAAAGCTGGCAAGTACTTCGTACTTTATTCGCCGAACATGCCCGAGAACAGTTAATGGATCATCTCGGATTCAAGAAAGAGGATGTCCTGGCCGCTGTCAAAGCAGCCACGGGCGGCCAATCAGAAACTGAAGTAAAGAAAGAAGAACCATCTTCTGCTGCTGCTGCTGCTGAGCCGACGGAATCTACTATCGAAACCGCTGAGACGGAGCAAAAAGAAGCCGCTGATGAAGTGTCTACCCATGAAGAGACGCAAGAGCCAACCGACGAAGCCGCTGATGAAGTGTCTACCCATGAAGAGACGCAAGAGCCAACCGACGAAGCTGCTGAGTCACAAGATGACACGGGCAAGCGTGGTGATGCGCTTTCAGGTTTATTCAAATCGTCCGATGTGACTTCTCCCGAAGAAGATTTCTTTGTACAGACTAGCCAGCAATCGGAACAACAGCAAGCAGCGGCCGCTGCGGAGGTCCGTGAACCACTTGAATTATATCCATCCAGCAGTTCGGATACGGACCGATCCATTACCCGTGCTATTGTTACCGGCGATTTTGAATCCGCAGTTGAACTATGCTTCAATGCCGAACGATTTTCGGATGCCTTGTTGCTCGCAATTTGTGGAGGCAATGATTTGCTCGCGCGTACGCAGAAACGCTACTTTGAACAGCAATCCAAAAAGACATCGTACCTTCGTTTACTCGAAAGTATCGTCAACCAAGATTTGGCCAGCGTTGTGTACAGTGCCAGTTTGAACGATTGGACTTCGGTGCTCGCTGTGCTTTGCACGTTTGCTCGTTCGGATGAATTTGGATCACTTTGTGAAATTTTGGGTACGCGATTGGAAGAAGCCTGGCGCTCCGACAAGTCGAAGCATGCCGATCATCTTCGCCACGCTATCTTGTGCTACCTTGCTGCCGGTAATTTGCAAAAGGTGTCTGCCATTTGGATTGACGAGCATGAAGAGGAAAACAAGGCGGCCAAGCAAAAGGGCATGCTCGATAAAAGTTACAGCGACAGTCTTCAGAATCTGATTGAAAAGGTGACGGTATTCCGCAAGGCCATCAATTTCGAAGATACCGCGTTGGTGGAAGAAAAACCATCGGGTGAATATGAACTGTCGGCATTGTACGACAAGTATTGCGAGTACGCCGAATTGTTGGCCACGCAAGGCAAATTGTCGGTGGCCTTGAAGTACATTAATCTGACGCCCGCCGTGTATCGACAGATCATGGCCGATCGATTAGCCATTACCCGCGACCGTATTTATCATGCCTGCAACAGTCAAACAGAAAGTCAATACGTCCAACCTGTTTTCCCCTTCGAAGCTCAACCTTTGCTTTCTGAATTTGAACTGCAAACCGCCAATACTTACGCCACCGGTACCGCTTACGAAACGACTCAGCCGGCTGTTCAACCTACTGTTCAACAGCAGCAACAACAACAGGCCCCGTCCCAAGTCTATGAAACGTACAAGCCGTATCAATCGGCAATGGCGGCTTCCACCGCGCCTGTACAACCCATGGCTCCCTCTTACGCACCTGTTTCGCAGTCTTTCCCTGGTGTCAACAACTATCAGCCTCAGCCTGCCATGTCTAATGCGTCAGGTTATCAAGGAACGGCCGATGTGAACGGTACATCGCAGTATGGTGGTTACGCTCCCACCGCCTATGGCCAACCGGCCCCTGCTGCCTATGACAACTATGCTGCTGCAGGTACGTATGGTGCTTACGGTGGAGGAGGATATCAAGTGCCACAACCTGCTGCACCGGTTGCACCTCCGCCAGCGTCCACTGTACCACCTCCACCACCAAAGTCATCCATGCCTAGTGCGATGCACGCGCCTCGAAGTGGTTCAGGCCATTGGAATGATCCGCCCATGTTGGCCAGTCCCAGTATGGTGAAGAGCCCCAAAGTGTCGGCCGCAACAGCTACAAAGCGAGTGACTTCGCCGTTCCCCAACATGCCTTCGGCGAACTCATTTGTTGCTCCACCTCAACAGCCTTACATGCAGCAGCCACCGGTGGCCGCGACTCCCCCACCGCCCATGAATGCTGTCGCGCCCACTCCTTTGGCTAGACAACAGCAACAAGCCAATCCGGCCTATTTTGCTCCCTCTGTGCCTGCCAAGTCGCCAGCGACTCCTCCACCTGTCCAGGCACCTCAAGCAAGACCTCCTCCTCCTCCCATGGGACAACAACAACAACAACAGCAACAACATCAACAAAATGTACCGTCAGCACCTTATGCTCCCAATCCTTACGCGCCATCGCCGCAGCAACAGCATCAACAGCCACCTCAGGGAATGGCCGCTCCGGCGCCTGGACCTTATGCACCACAACGACCGCGATTTGCTGGAACACCTCCGCCTCCCTCCATGGCAGGTCCGCCTCAACCGGGTGCACCATCCCATCCTATGCCTCAAAACCATGTTAGCCCACCCAACGCTGCGCCTCCCGCCGCAGCACCACCGGCTCCTGCACCGGAACCAGTGAAAAAGAGACATCGTAAGTATTTTTGTGACTGGAAGCGCGGAACGATTTTGATATCATTCATGAATTAACTTTCTGAAAAACAAAAATTTAGCTAAAGATGATCGAAGCCATATTCCTGCCGATCAACGTCCCATTCATCAAATTTTAGCCAATGAGATGCAACAAGCAAGGCAGCGAGCTGCAGTAAGTGGTTGTGAGGTTTTGGACTCGGTGAACGGCTTGACTGATCACAATTTTGTTGGATATAGCCTAACCAAAAGAAGATGATGGATGATACGGAAAAGCGTCTGAATACACTGTTTGACAACATGAATAATGGTGAATTGTCAGACGACGTGGCAAAACAGATGCTCTCATTAGTGCAAGGTATGTAGCACTGGATGGGCGCAAGATAAAGAAATAACAGGTTTTTGACTAACGTGTTTCATGGGGTTGCAGCTTTACAAAACCGGGATTACATGACGGCTCATCGCTTACAGGTGGATTTGGTGACTACTAAATATGCTGAATGCGGATCATGGTTGGTCGGCGTCAAGCGCATCATTGATCAAGCACAACAAACCATGTAGAGATACAAAAACCCTCAATTAAAACAAATGTAATGGACTCCTTTTTTTTCCATCTAGTTTTTGATCCGAAAACAGGAAAAGAAACTTTTTTATCAATGAAAATACCGCGTTCATTCGTGTTGCATGAGTAATGACATGGATCGATCGGTCATATCATTTTTTCGTGGAATTGCATAAAATGGTCCACGACCTTCTGTCAGCTGGAAATTTTTGCATTGGGCATACTTGGCCTGAAACGGATCTGCCACTTACCGATATGGTAGATCAACCCAACGATGAAGCAGACCATGCATGTTTCCCGCAGATGAAGTTAAAGCAGAAAAAACTCATTGTAGCGTATAAAATGGAATGAATCTGCGTACATACAACAACTTCACCATCTATCTATTTCGAAAACATGATGGCTGTCGGAAGTCACGTTATCTCCAAATATTCGAATCTCGATCTAAAAGGACACACTCTCGTGGAATATGTATGGCTGGAAGACAACGGTGAAACATTTGATTCTTTCACGAAATCAACAAGAGACCCACCTCAACTGTATAAAGCCCTAACTATGCCCTTGGATTCTTTTGGCCAAAAGGAACTGAAACCAGCAACTACGTTTCGTGATCCTTTTCGAGGCGACTATAATAAGATTGTACTATGCAACAAACCATTGATGTCCAGTCAGCTGGACAAATGCGAAACAGCCATGACACGCATCGACTGTCATGTTTCTTCGTACCTAATTAAGGAATGTTACGAGTTGTCTGGACGTGTTGGTAAAGCCGGAATGACACCCAAGGTATAGGAAAAAAGCACTGTTTATAAGGTTCTTAATGAACTGAAAATTTATTTAGGATCTCCAATGCCCTGGTAGAAGTGGTTGTGACGTTTTGCAAGCGAGTTTGTTGAAGCACATCATCGGGCCTGCTTATACGCTGGTATCAACGTGACGGAAGTCTACTGTCGTAACCGCCAGTTCCAAGTTGGCCCATGCAGAGACGGCAACATATGCGACAATTATTGATGGCTCGATATTTGCTGCAACGAGTTGCTCAAGACTTTGGCCATTACAGTTTCTATTAAAACGGGCGCTAGATGTGGCAGCACCAACTATCATAACCGTCATCCACCGCCTGTAACTTGGCCAAGATTAGGTCTACAATTTCAATATCCTCGGTTTGTGGATGACTTCAGCGTCCGAGAACATGACAGTTGCACCATTATCAATCAATCAAAAGATTACCTCGAAATCCACTGCAATACTGGAAAACTGAATCCTTATTTGGCACTTTCTTTATTGCTTCCTGATAAGTATTCTAAGTGAAGCCTGAATAAAATTGTTCTTATTGTATATCATTTGATAACCATCATCCTTCATTTAATTTGGCGAACAATGATGTGTAACATCATATCTGTCAAAGGATCTCGGTAAACGCTGGAAAGATTGTGTCAGAGGAAAGGTATTATGAGCCAAAGGATCACAGTTTTTATGCCAAAAGAAATTAACATTACTTAATTGACAAGAATCACTGAAGTTAGTCTCAATCACGTTTTGTGGTGGCGGTGCATGATTTTCAGTCAGCTGAAAATTTTGTAGAGCATTTGCCATGGCATACTTGGTTTGAAACGGATCGGCCATCTGCGCATGCGGTGGCAAACAGACAACCCGGATTTGCAACACGAATTTCGGCCATTGATAAGGCTCAGATTCCGGTCCGCCACACGGATTGCATCAACGTTATTTTGCAGCGCCCTCGGGCGAAAGGTCAACCAGAAACTTAAGGAATTAATCTTATGCTAAAAGTGGGTCTCTCATGCTACATTTTTGGTTGTTCTAAAGCGATATCGACATATATTGCTTGGAAACGCTCTATATCAACGATTTAAATGCTGTTTCAACTTGAGAAAAATTTGCTTTGATGAAGGTGTGTGCGAATATTGAGAAAAATCTCGTTCTTTACTGCAACTCGTAAGTTTGCACTATTTATTGAAGGTCTTCTAGATTCTACGTAGCTTTTAACAGACAACTTCAATGATATGCGAAATTATAAAAGTAAAATCGATGCAATGCGTTCTTTATTTCAAGAGAGAATTTAAATAGGAGAAGTAAACATGGGAAGAAGCTGAAGATGAAGAAAAAAAAAATATTGTTATCGTTGTCATTCAGCTATGAGTTGAGACAGGTGACCCCCGTCCAACTTATAGCTGTGCCATGGGCTTGGGAGCCGGCTGGTCTGGTCGGAAGCCTACAAAATGTCAGTATCATCAAAAATGCCCTACAAAATGTCAGTACAGTCAAAACTTGCTGAAACGCCAATCAGCGGGCACCAAATTGTCACCGAAAGAGCAGAACGGCTTGAAGCCTACAAAAATTAGTACTATCGGGAGGTCGGTCGGCAGTGATGGTCAAAGGGTACGTCTGGGAAAGGAAAAGAAAAAAAAAGGGAAACGGGGAAGAGGTGGGAAAAAAATTCTTTTTGCCGTTCTCTTTTGTCCCTTTTTTTTTTTTGTCAATGCATTCAATGGTTGAAAGGCAGCCATCGAATGAAAAATCGAAAAAGACTAACTTTGCGAGATTTAGATGTAGAGAGACGTGCCGAACTTGTATCGATCCGTAAAATTAATTCATTGGGTATCCCGGCAACAATGGGGAAGAAACAGAAAGGTTTCTCACTATGAAAAGTTTCACACACGTCTTCAGAAAAAGACAAAAGGACCATGCATTAAAAGAAGTCCAAGCGGACATTGTGATGATTTCAAGTCCGAAAGACATCGAACAAGATGGAAGCGGTCTATGAGCCCGATTCACTTGATCCTGTCCCAAGGCACGGCATCCATTACTTTTGTTCAAATTTTGATCCATCCGAAACCACCCTTTCAAGACGAATCCGTACAAATTCGAGACATCTCTGTAGAGGCGCACCGGACCGAGTTACGGGTTTTTCCTCTTTTTTATGCCAACCATGAACTGCGGATAATGTGCGCCAATAGTAATGAAGTATGCCATTGAGAAAACCATGCCTTTTACTTTTGACAACATCGATCAAGGACATAGAATAAATTAGATCAATACAATAAGCAGCCTTCATGAACGTGGGGTTCTGAGTGTCACAAGCTCTACATCATGCAGTTACTGATCCCAGGGCTCGGTTACTGAATTTTAGAACACCATTGTTTGTCTGTATTTCGCGATCCTTTCAAAGGCGGCAACTATACTTTGGCGTTAAAATATGGTTTGAAAAAGTCGGTCGGCCTGGGATATTGGCAGTACGATTTTCCAGAGTTGTATCTGCATTTGTACAACCTGTATTTTAATAAAGAGACCAAAAGCTGAGAAAATTCAGCCAATGCATTTGCGGACCTAAACATGATAGCGATGAATACGAGGAATACGGCATAACCTCTTGAAAATGTGGAATTATTAACCCTTATCTAACGATTCTTGCAGTGCTGATAGAGACGTTTACAGGCGAACGGCTATTGATAAAAATTGATCATAAGGACACAGATATGATAATCCTATATTGTGTGGAAATACAATACAGGGACTATATGGTTATTCCGCTTGCATAAATGTACGTAGTTTTGAAGATGATTGCTTCATGGCACCAGTAGAGCGCTTATTTGTATCCACATAACGTAATTTTCAGTTATTTGTCATTACTTTACCACACCCAACAAAAGTTTCCTGCAAATGCATTGAATGCACATAACGACTACTGCAAACGCTGGCAAGGTTGGTCAGTGCAAAGCTAAATGAGCCGAATGACCACAGTTTACGGAAAGAACTTTTTATCAGTGCAAAGTGACTGCATGCTACAGTTGCCAAAGACGCTCGTGTGAGATAAAGTTTTGCCAAAATATAGACTCTGAGCAGGTGATTCAATATGCAGTAGCTTCTCGTATGGCGTGGCAAACAAAAAAGCCATTGCGCCTCTTTTTGTGTTTTTCGCCACGTGTATGACAAAGGAGGTTCTTTGCAGGCTATCGTTCCGCTTTGAAGATACACGAATTTTCGATTAAACGATAATCGTTTTGTCAGCACGTAGATTAAGCAATTTCTAGTCGATAACGGTATTCCTTAATCACTGTTTATTTTTAGCCAAAAAATTCACCAACGGTGGCTTGATTATCGCAACAGGAACAAAGCGTAATCTGATTTCTTTTTATCCGTTACCAATGGATAATACTCTCCTTCCGCGTTGTGTTTTCTAAAGAGAGAGTGTGTTCAGCCGTTGATTCGCTTAAATAAATGGAGTACCTTTTTTACATGGATTGTTGTATGCCTATTAAGGTAATTGGGTGTGCCGTATCTCTTGAAAATCCTGTCATCGACCCCTTTTCGGACTTGGTGCCCTTGCATATTTCCAGTGATGGTTCTTAAATCTAACAAATAGCATTCTCCTTGAATAATACTTTTTTATTTTATTTTCTTTTGACTCTTTCCATCGACCGGGTTAATTCTTACTCTTTTGTTTTTTTTATATACGTACGATATTTCTTTTTATCTAATTATACGATGGTATCTACTTACACACCGCACCTGGACACCACTCAATTTTGTAACACAGACAATCTAATGCATCATCTTTGTAATACCAATCATTTCACGAAACAAGACGACCATGATCCTCGTATGATACTTGGGCGTAGTGTCGTTAGCGACGAACCTGAAACCATCACCACCATCGAACCATCATCTGCATCTTCTTCGGCCAAATCTTCCTTATATGATCATCCAGGATCCGAGGATGCTTCTTCTCTACATCAAGCCGCTTCTCAGGAGTCACTCCAGACACAACGATCAATAACAACTGCATCACCACATGATGTTTCTTCCCGTCTTCCACAAGAAAATACACGAATAGCACCCCAGGTAAAAGCAATTGAGAAAACAAAATCACATCAATTCGACGGGCCTGACAATTGGTGGATGGCTTTTTTGGGCATGTTAGGATTCAACGCATCTTTGCTTGGCACAAGTGGAATGTCAGAACAGTATTCTAGAAAAGGATCCGAAATCGATCTGCATGCAATCCAACGAGCTAAAAACCCACTTCTCAAAAGTACAGCAACTCATTAGCGATAACATCATCTTTTCCACAACCTGCAATGCCTACAACGATGAGAATGAACAAGAAATTGACTGGAGCTTCTGGGAAGCCGTCATTCAGGATTTTGATCGTGTGACGGACAAAATGTCACATTTATTATCAATCAAATTGCGTGCCGGCATTCCACGGCACGTTCGTGGTTTGATCTGGCAGATCATGTCCAAATCCGGTTCTCTGCATTTAGAAACGGTGTATGGCCAGCTGTGCCGTGAACGGTCACCTCACGAACGCATCATTTTGCGTGATCTGTCCCGCACGTTTCCTCACATTGATATGTTCAAGAAAGATAACGGCACCGGTCAAATGGCGATGCGACGGATCCTGGAAGCTTACAGTTTATACGATGCCAATGTCGGTTATTGCCAAGGATTGGCGTTCCTTGTGGGCCCCTTATTGATGAATGCAAGTAATACCGCCTTCAAATGGGACCAAAAAAAAAAGGTTCCTATATGAGATTCAACAAGCTGAACCCTGCTTTATAGATGCCGGAAACCCAGGCTTTTTGCGTGTTTGTTAGGTGAGCTGCTTGAAAAATGTCAACTGACAGATATTGATGTGTACTCATGGTGAAGAAACAAAATTGTAGATTAATGGAAACGTACGAAATGCGATCCATGTTCACACTCAATATGGAGGGATTGCACCTGCGATTATACCAATTTTCTTCATTGCTTTCTGAAATTTTGCCTGAAATAGCCGAGCACTTGGAACTGCATGCAGTGCATGCGGCGATCTACGCTTCGCAATGGTTTCTGACATTGTTTGCCTATGCATTCCCTATGGCGTTGGTCATGCGTATTTACGACATTGTGTTTGTTGAAGGAGCGGCAGAAACCATTATGCGAGTCGCCATTGCCATGATCAAACGATCCGCCGATAGAATATTGCAGGAAACTGAATTCGAAACCCTATTGGACTACATCACGTCGCGTCGACTGTGCGAACCGTATGTGGATGATTGGAGCCAGGTGGTCCACGATGCCATGGCCTTGTCCCCCATTATCACCCGAAAGAAGATGGTAGATTTGCAGACGCAGTACGAAGCCGAAGACTGTTACAAGGATGAGAAAACACGTCCTGGTCAAGCGTTAACCGGTCGGTTCGGATTCTGGCGACGACGCAGTATTAAAAAATCGAAGTCTTTCTATCGTACGAAATCCGTCTGCAGCAGTGATGACGGGTTTATGAGCAAACATAAACCGCGCACGAGTTTCAGCTCACTGCGCAGTTTTGCATCTGCAGCGGCGATTCCCAGCATGGCAGAACCCACGTCGCAGCCCACTTCGTTCCCATCGAACGATCCGGAAGTGCTACGACTTATGCATGCTCTGACCCTATCTGAAAAGAAACACCAGTCGCTTGTCAATGAATTGTTTGAACTCAAAATGGCCAAGCAAGATGTGGAAACCGAGCGGGACGCATTGAAAATGACCATCATTGAACTTGAGCGACATCATTATTCGACCACCACGCAGAGAACACGATCACCGGAAATATCCCTGCTGAAGCGTTCCAATACTGTAACTGAATATGGAAGGCGCATTTTCCATCAGTCATCACGATCCCTGAACGATATTCTACTCACGACCTCCACCACTTCTGGCTCGGTCATGGATGATACAGAAAGTATTGACAGTTCAAGGATAGACTTGTTTTCTAATATGAGTGATAAAACCTCCATCTCCACGCGCCAAGAAGAAGAGGACAATGCAATGCGGGCCGAGTTGGTTCGTGTCAAGGTTGAAAATTTCGAATTACAGCAACAGCGGGAAAAGATGACACAAGACTTGGACGATATGCAGTCGCGTTTGGATATGGTGAACGAGGGGCAAATGGCTCTGGTTGATCAATTGATTACGATCAAGTCCGATATGGATGATCTGCTGCAAGAGCGTAAACGCAAAGAGATGGAATGGGTCGAATTAACGGAGGAGAATAGTGCTCTCAAACAACAAGTCGAGGAAGCGAAAGCGAATCTTGCCCGTCACGAAATGGCCGAGGCATGGCAACAGCAGAACGTGTCCCACCGGCGGCAACGTCGACATAGCGCAGGGCACGCGCACTACATCTCACCCCAGAACAGTTACTTGGTGATGCGTATTCGCGAGCTGGAAAAGGATTTACTGGACACCAAGCAGAAGCTGGCGGAAGTCGAAAATGCACAATTACCACCGCTCGCACTTCATCATCCGCTCAGTCCCAAGAAGCGATCGCCAACGGCGCAAGGACGTCCGAACCATCGGAATTCAATGGATTCGACTGCACCGGGGCTTCAAAGAACATCCTCGCTGTATGGTCGTGTGTGGCACGCTCTTTCCCCTCGATACAGCAGCTTTGCAAGCAATAAACGTTCAAGTCTTGCATAGATTTCCCCCCTGTGTGGTTGATCTTACCAATATGTATAAAAAATGATTATATAAGCTTGTCCTCCAAGATTCACTGGAGTAATTTCATTGTTTGATTTTACGCTTCTTCAATTTTTTTTTGCATGTGATCTAAAAGAAGACCCTGTGTCTGTGTCTGAAAAAGAATAGGCTTCACGTAATCCTATTTTCTTCACCATGTCGTTACCACAGTCAAGATTGGCTGCTGTAAAAAACCACATCACTGCATCCTCCAATGCCTCTTCAAAGCCTTCACGAAAATCGGTAAATACATACCGTGAGCGGAGCGATTACAAGTATTTTGCGCCCGTTCAGACCAGGTACACAGAGATGATAAAGTCGGGTTCCGATGATGGTTATTAATGGCTGTCTTCAAGGTGGGCCGATAACGATCAGTATGGGCATGTTAATAATGCCATTTACTACGTTTACATGGATGCTGTGATCAACGCCTATCTCATCGAATATTGCAAGCTTTCGCCGACGGATGTCACGCAACCGCTCGGGCTAGTCGTGACCTCTCATGCCGATTTTTACAGCGCCGCTTCTTACCCGAGCATGCTACAAGCTGGTCTGGTGGTGACAAGAATTGGCAAATCAAGTATCACCTACCGTGTAGGTATTTTTGATGACGAACAAGCACAAGCTTGTGTTGTCGGAGGTTTCACGCATGTTGTTGTGGATCCGATGCATCGACGACCCGTTCAAGCGATACCCGAAGACATACTGAATGGTGTCCAAGCGATTCTATCTCCTGAAAATGTGCAGTAAAATGGATATACATATTTGTTTATGAAATGGAAGAAGAATGATTATCATTTACAGTCAATGCCAAAGATATATAAGAAAAGTAAATGGGGGTGATTAAGCAGCCTTGCTGGTCGTGATATTTCTAGCGTGGGATTGAAACGTGGATTAGAGGGGAGAGGGGCGGGAGATTTCTGATGTGAAAGCATTGCGAGGTATTTACTTTTGTTTTCGAGGCGCTTGGCCTTCTTCCTCATCGTCACTGCGGGTATCTTCCGGTTTCCGTCCTTGGATTACCTTCCAGAGGACCTTGAGGATCATGATAAACCAGTAGACCATGATGATATTCAACGCAGCAAACAAGGTCAAGTAAACCTTGTGCATCAAAGAATTCATGTATTTGCCATTGGCTGGATCCCACTTCATCTCGATATACAACGGAAGTTCAGCTAATACGCCCTTTGTATAAGTCTCATCATTTCTCGACCAATTTTTACTCGTGTGACCGCTGGTCGCTTACCTGCTATAGACCAAACAATGGCCGATAAGAAAAATTGGCGGGTGATTGGCCACGAGATGGCAAATGCGGCGAAAAGATAATCACAGAGGGTTGTAAAGTTTAGGTATTTTAGAATCTTGGCAAGCTGTCAAAAAAGAACCACGAGTTAGGTAAGCTTATCAGGCAAGAGGTTCCCAATTCAGACCATGCATCTCTTTGTTTCACTTACGGAAAGTAAGATATCGGCCACATCCATCGTACAAAGTACAGCATTTCCCACGCGAGTAAAATTGCCGCAATAACTTGATCCGATCAAAGCAATGGTTATAATATGATGGAGAAGCATAGGAAAATGATCCTTGCGTCGTTTTTCTACGTGCAACACATAAATCTGCTGGAAGTAGAACCCCAATTGCATCAGATAATAACTCTTCATCGCACCGGTAATGGGTATGTGAGGGTAATCAATCCAGTAATATTTGGTGTTGAACCAGTACGGACTGTTATACATGAGAACCTATTCCAACGTACATCAACGCCCGTCGTGAATAAAAAAATGAGGACCAAGCGTCATCCACTTTTTTGCTCTCACACACTACGACGACTTACCATGCCATAAACCCAAAATATGGAATAATAAGTGAACATAAACCCTTGCTCTTCCAAACGCTGCCTTTTTCCAGTGGATGATACATGATACGCAACGGCAACAGGCGAAAAGACATAACGCATAAGCGCGGCACGGAGAAAAACGAAAATAACGATCCACAAGATGACAAAGTACAAATCATTGATCCCTTTGGTGTAGGCGTTTGGGGCCACTTGGTAAGACAAGAATAGACATTTCGAAGCAAACGATGACCCGCACATGTAAGCCAGTAGTAACAAGCAACATACAGTGCCTGAGATTTCTGCAAAAACCCCCATATCTTTAGCAACGCATCACGGGCAATCCACTCACATTATTTTTTTGAGCATACCTAGTTCGAACTTTGCTACCAACGATCTTGACTGTGATTTACGCATACTAAGCGATGGATCATTTTGTATGGAAGGTTTTTCGTGCATACAGAGGAAAGAAAAAAAGAAAAACAAAAGAAAATCAAAATCAAAAAAAAGAGAGAAGAAAAAAAAACCGAGTGATAAAAAAATATCGAATCATCTGCTTCGCCTCAAAAATAAAAAAAAATAAAAAAGGTATTCGAAAAAGGGAAAATTTCCAAAGATTCTTTTTTCTTCAATTCGGGACTTCAAATTTTCATATAAGCTTTTGGCACCATTGTCTGCTCATCCACTGATGACCCTTTTTGCATCATGGCATCCTTTTCCTGACAATTTTGGGTTGTCAATGTGTACGCGCCTATCAGCTACTTTACATACTATCCGGTTAACAGTAGATTATCGTACAACATGTACGTATATAACTGTGGAGTGGCAGTTGAGTAACGCTTGGCGTTCTGGGTCGTGAATGAACCTTAGACCTCCTCTATTTTTAGAATGGGCAGAACTGAACATTTGGGCGATAGTTCCCAAAACCAAGGTGGGCTTTTTAGTGATAATATGGTGGGGATTTTAACAGACAGTGGGTTCATCATAAATGCACCGGCCCACTGAAACCGCGAACGAGCGTTAAGGGAAAGAAAAAAGACCACGCTCGTACGAAAGTTGCAACCTATTTAAAGCGATGCCGACGAACTTTTTATTTATGCAGAGCCCATCGGTAGACAATGAACAGAAGCTGAAGTCTTATTATCACCATAGTGAATGATGCGTACGCTTTAGCAACGAACCGAGATGGTGGTAGGCTTCTGCACAAACATATCTGCGCCTATTATGAAGATTTTTTTTTGTATTCCAAACTCAATTCCTCATTTGCACATCGATAAGCATTTTTATGAGATAAGCTTTCCAGCCGAAACTTTGTACACTCACTTTACAGTTTCAAGTATGTTATCGCTCTTGATTCGCTCACAGTAGATGATACGTGAGGATGATGCATGACAAAGATGGTATCTCTGGTTCCAGATTTCCAGCAAGCGAATAGTATCCCAAACCCAATAAAGCTATATAAAAAAAAAAAAATTCATCAATTGTCACAGTATGCGGAGCAGGTCTCTCTCAACGATAAAAGTCGGTCCATTGACTGAAGCCACCAGGAGATGCGGACTTTTGAATAAGTGGGCACTTGCACTGTCAACCAAAATTTCGGTTGCTTGGCAATCCAGTGTCTTAGCAAGACAAAAGAATGCCGTTGTTTCCAAACCAATGATATGCCGCATGGGTCACATTGACAATTTAGACTGGCATGAATCGGCGAAATCCCGATAGCTCGAACGGTCGCCAAAGCCTGGGGTTTCGGACCTCGAAACAAGACTGGCTTTTGAACAACTGTGTCATGTCGATCAAACCTGCTTTAAGAAATCAACACCAAATTGCTAATATATACGGTTATTCATTGCTGTAACTGCCAACACAATTGCCTAAATGCTGCTTTATGTGTTTAGCATATATAGTAACAGCTGCAAGGTTTTGTCACTGAAATTAAGCGATTCTGCATTAGGTCAAGCGGCATCCACTCAAATTTCACCGTGATATCCGACCCATTGGTTCCGATATTCTTCCAAATTTGGGAAATTGAGGGAATTTTAAGCTCCTCCTCCTCTTTTGTGGCAAGCCGTCAATGGCTTCCAAAAAAATCAAATAACTAGGGTCTCACAGAGCCACTTGACGTTTATGTTATTTTGATATCTTTTTTTAATTTTCAACCATGATACCAGATTCATGGCTCGCCAGAACCAGTATCTATACGATAGCCGTTCTGCAAACGGCGGTAGCACCTCTCTCGTTTGTCTACTTTATTTATAACATCGCAACAGAATCCATGCTGTTCAAAGATCACCCTACTCTCAACACCTATATGCACTATTGGCTAGGAGCCGAACTCGTATTTTATGTATTCTTTTATATCACGCGTAATCGTATGCAACGATGTTTACCGAGTGTGACGCCGTCGCCTAAAGAACGAAGAGAACTGTTCAAGGTTTGCCTGGCGAATGTGGTGGATGCCAAAGAATGGCTGCGAGGTTGGTTCATGCAAGGCAACAATGCCAGTTGCCATCCGTCATTTTGCGAGATTTATCGCGAAAATGTCGCTGAATGGTGAGTCTGACTAAAATAAATGAAGTGGGATCGTCTACTTATCTTTTAAAAATGCAGGTTGGCGTGGGCTTTCTTCTCAGCTCCCTTGGAAGATGTCCTGGAAGACGACAGTTTGCGTTCAGAGCTCGATTGGATGATTAATAGGTTCGAGTCCATGTACGACGTGGTTTTTGCACCTGGTTACAATGACGACATCTCAACTTTCCGAATTAATTTGGATCCGATCAATGCGCACCACCGTCCACTCGTTTTTTATGTTTTAGTCATTGGATTATCCTGGGTGTTTGGATTAGTACTTCAGTGTTGGGGATTCAAGAGCTACGGCCCTGAAACTCGTTCCACTATCTGGAACCTGATTGAACTGCAGCAACCTTATACGAGCCATAAACGAACCGAACGCATCTCGTACTGGTTCCGTGATGGTAACCGAGATCTCAAACCCATTATTTTTATTCATGGTATTGGGGCAGGACTCATGTGCTATGGAAGGTTTTTGCGTATGCTTATGTCACTGGATGCCCCGATTTTCTGCATCGAACTGTCGTTTGTGGCGATGCGATGTGTGGAGGATGTACCTACCATGCAGGAGACGATCCGTGATTTTGAAAAGATGCTGCAGCATCACGGTTTTGAAAACGCTATTTTCGTATCCCATTCGTTGGGCACCGCCGTCACCGCATGGACGCTGAAATACCTGAGGGAACGGGTCGCAGGCGTGGTTTTCATTGACCCCATTTGCTTCATGCTGCACTACAAGGATCTGTAAGTTGGGGAAATGGGAGGAAACACGTCTTTATCCAATGTGTCTAACTAACTTCATGGCCGTGATGATAGATGTGTTAATTTTGTGTATCGAATTCCCACCACTGCAAGTCAGGTAAGCATAACCCAAATCATTAGTGCAGAAACAATGAAGCTCAATCGGTTCCGTTTTTTTTCTTCTTGTGTTTCTAGTCCATCATTAAATATTTTGCTTCGACTGAACTGTATATATCGTACTATATTTCCCGGCATTTCCATTGGTTTCAAACGGCTCTCTTTCTCGCTCCAGAGGACACGGCCAAAAGTCCCATCACCATACACATGCCCGAGCGAACGACTGTGTTCTTGTCCGAGAAAGATAACATCATTGACTCTTCCCGTGTGGCGGCCTATCTTCAAGAACATCAGATCAAAATGACTCTGATGGAAAATCTGGATCATGCTTCGTTCTTGATTAATGCAGGATGGGAACGACGCATTGTAGAAACAGTGGGGGAATATGTTCGTTCCAATGCAAACTAATCCATTAATATTGTAATAACTTTTATATCATCCATACCCCTTAGAATATAATACTGTCACTTTTTGGTAATAAATTTCCTAATCACGATAACACGCCATCAACATGATGATTACAAATTTATGAGTTTTCCGTTTGATAAATGAAATGCAATAGCGTCAAAATGTTTTGGGGGTAACCCTTGGGAACACATCAACTAAGAGACAATCTGTTTTTTAAAATGTCTCTTATAGCCTCCACAAAGAGAACGTATGGGGGAGGGGATACGGAGCAGACTACTAGACACCGATTCGCTGCGCCAGTCGTTCATATTGTTCACCTGCTATCTTTCTTTGACGCCATACCAGGATTAACAGAGACAAGATAGCAATGGTAACATTGATAGTCTAATGATCAGAAGAGGTTGACGATTGTGATAATAACAGCAAAAGTGGATAAGAACTCCTTCTTACCTCGAACCGTATAAATCGCCACCGTTCAAGGCGCTTGACACGGCGGCAACCTTGGAATGACGGTAGCAGAATGGCGTCAGAGTCAAAGTCCTCTGGCTGATGCTCTTTATCGTTTAACGTAGGATCGTCCCATTCACATCGTACTGGTTCTTTGTTTCCATATTCCATGCAATAAGGAACGGTTTTCTAAGGGAAATTGGTAAGAGAATGCTGTAGGAAGTTCCCAGGTTGAGCTTCATACTTTTTCGATGGGTGTGCACACATCACATTCGCCGATGGGAGTACAGGTATAAGTGGATTTTTCAATGTCCTCATGGGATTGCGTGTAGTTGCCCAGAGACACTGGCGGAGTGGCTACTGTGTCGTCTTCAAAAGGTGGAGCTCGTTTGATGTGTGCAAAGATTTCAATGGGAAATATGGAGCACAACCTATGATGACCATTAGCCAACGGAAGTGAATATTATACAAAAGTAGGGGATGTTACAGGAATAAACAGGCCCAAAAGGGTATCCTCATTGCAATGGAATGTGTGTCAAGTGAGAGTGAACAAGGTGCTGCAGTGCGCTCGAAAGCCTGTCACAGAGGTGGCATTTTTTCTGACACAGACCGTCATGCGCACCTACAAAAAAGCCCACACAAGGACAACGGGTTGGCAACCACACTTCTTTTAGAATAACGGTCTGTTTGGCTGAAAGTGGAGGATCCATAGACCTATTATTGCAGGTCTGGCTACGATACTTTGTCATCTGCAGCTATTGTTTCCTGCTTTTTGCCACGAACTTTATTTCGAAATTGCGGATGGAATCGTCTCTGAATTTTTACGCTGCGGCATTTGATATCATTTGTGCAATATCATATGTGCCTTTTTTTTTTTTTTTTATCTTGATAATAATCTAGTGCTTCGTTCAATCCTCTGCCATTCTAAGTAGTTCAACCATTGGTTCTCACACAGATAAACTTCAGAAACGTTCATGTTGGAGTCCGACATTGACTAAATTTGGAAAACACGTCACATGACGTCTTCCCTCCGAGAAAAAGGCGATTACCTTGAGAAGGCCCAAAAGTTTATTTCATACAAAGCCTCGGATCCATAATGCAACGGAAATCCTTGTGGGGTTCTTACAAATCGCTCTCGCCTCGTACACGAATGTACCTCGGTATTGGTAATTCTTTCAAGTGATTGGCCTGGCAATGCATATACTAAATTCCCAGCGCGAAACTAGGCGGTATGGCATTTGCTACTGCTGGCATGCTGCTTTCTGACTATCTCGAAGAAAAGCGACCAGCCACTGAACTTGAAAAGGAAGAACTTGAGATCATGTCTCCCATAGTTGTCGTGGATCACGTCGATCATTCCAAACGATGAGCGCTCATTTCTCAATCACCAACACGTCTTAAACCATACTTGTCAATGCACACCAATACCTAATGTCGCTGCGATCTTGCACAGGGATCTTATTTATCAATAGGCTTTCAATACATGTGTAAAATTAACGAGCAAATCGTCATAACTACCAGTGACGAAACTGCGTCCATTTTCGATTCCATGCATTTTGTTTTCTTGGGAATTGTCACTATCACTATTCTTCATACGTTATGAATGCGTCTATGATTTATTGGCTATTTCTGCATGTCAAACGCAGTGAATGAAGGAGGTGCAAAATGCAAGAAACGGGTATCATAGAGTATGAGATATTCGGTCCAGCAAATGGGTGATGCGCCGAGCAAGAGCAGCAGGATTGTATGGGAACCCTCCAGCCTCCAGCACATGAAGTAACCGTTCAAATACATGATAGATCAAATCCACACCGTCATCACCCAGCATTTCACAGCTTTCCATAAATTCTGGGAGATGATGATCAACATATCTGAGGTACGCAATTAAAAAAGCAAGAAACTCCGTTTCGTTCGATATGAGGAAATCCACCAGGATCTCGTGGTCGGTGCCGGTTCGGTAAAGAAAGTAGATGAACAAAGTGTGTGGCGTGATCTCCAATTGCTGTAGCATTTGCTGCATAAACCGGGGCTCATCGTGCGCTGTGAATCGTTCATAAATAGCCAAAATTTGCATTTGTAAATCAACGGCATCGTCATCATTGTTTCCGCATAAATCAAAAATCCATTCGAGCAATACCATAGGATCATTCACATCTACTCAAAAATGTTATTCCAAGCGTCGAAAACAAGCAATCCTTCATATTTACCTTGAGCGTTTTGGAGAATGTGATGAAATTCTTGCCACAGCTTTGGATTGTCGTCGTATCGCATTACTATTGTCTGACAGCTGGCAATCACCATTTGTAGGACAGACTTTAGACATTCGCGATCAACGACGATGTTCACATTCAAATCTTGATAAAAGAATTCGGTACGATCCGATTCTCGAAAAAGTTCCATCGTTGATTCGGTCAAGTGTTGACGTACAGAATTAATATATGTATGCAGCATGGTCACAAGTTCCGATACCTAGCGTGTTGACTTGCCATCAGTTTAGTAGATTTACTGATGCGCAGACTGCACTCACCATGATCGGTGTCGGACATGCCTGTAATAAGCGTTTCGACAATTCCATTGATTTACGGACAGCCGTGATGTGAGAGGCTTGCCAATACTTGCCTATCTAAATAAAACAACGTCTCAATGAGATAACGCCAAGTCTTGATGTCTACTGTCTCTGTGTACCTGGCCGTAATGTGAGGTCAAGCTTGATATCACGGCGTCACAGCAAACAGATTGACCGCTTAGTGAATCTAATGTCTTGACAACATCTATCATGCAAACCAAAAAAGGTATAATGTAGAGCTACGAGATTCAACATTAAATCATAAACGGCCAATAAAAGATGGGGCATGATAAGGTAGCTTACGGTATTCTGGGTCTGCAAGCTGCGGTGGATCCAGTCATCCAACTGTGGATGCGCATTCATCGCTTGTAAAAGCAATCGACCTGGATGATCTTCAACAAACGGGGCTTGATTGTGGCGCAACTGTTTCAGTAAGGTATGAAACACATCGAGATACACAGCATTGATGTCTAAGTCTGCCAGCGACGCAACGCGAGCCAAAGCGCGGGTGATCCAATCGCGTTTGACTTTCACCAAGGCAACCTTTCACTCACTTAATAACAAGTTGAAAACATACAGTATAGTCTTAATTACTTTCACTCACAGGATCGAGTGTTAAAAGAAGCACAAATAGTTCCTTTAACTTGTAAACAGCAAAGGGATCCTTAACTTGCAAGTCGGCATGCTACGAGATGGTATTTATATTATGTTATAGATTTAATAGAAAGTAACTGAACAATTGACATTTTACCCACTGATCATCTTGCAGCAATTTCAACTGAAGAGCTGACGAAACAGAGGAATGATGAGAGAGAACGTCAATATCACTCAACAGTCTGTGGACGCATGACATTCAGAAAGCAAGACGGAAAAGGAAAAGAGAGGGAGCTGGAAACCAGTCACAGGGCACATGTTCGTCATCAGGGTGTTCTGAAAAAAATATGAGAAAAAAAAAAGCTTCATTCAATTGGAAGAGATTCGCCCTATCACATTCTTTCAATCGTTAAGAACGACTTCATTGGCTCAGTTCCCTATTTGCCCTGATAGCCCTAAACATCCAAAGGTGAGTCCCAAAAGAAGATACTACTTTTTTTCTACTTTCTGCTTACGCTCTGCTTCTTTCTTTTTTTTTTTTTATTCTTGTCGTCATGTTGACAATGAGCAGACAGTACCATGGACCGACACCATTCACCTTACACCGCTTCTAGTGCTGGGTTATCCGCCACTTCTTCGTCGGCAACGGCGGAAGTAAGCGTACTTTAAGAACCAATAGAAAGTAAGAGTAGTTGCTCACACAACCTGCACTTAGGACGCTGCGCATTCGTACGAAGCGAATCGCCTCAATTACCCTTCTGGTCATGTCTCTCTGGTAGGACCACTGAGATAATTTTTTTTTATTATTCGTCCTGTTTTCAGGATTTTTTATTTTCGAGAATACCTTTTTTTGTTCATTCACGATAACGTGTTGTAGCCTGCAGCTGCAGCGATGATTGCCGCACAACAAGCCATCTATCCTCCTCAGGGTCAGTCGTCACCGGCGATGCATCCACCCGCGGCCGTGGCTCCAACGACTGCGCCTGAAGAAGAGCCTCTGTATGTCAATGCAAAGCAGTATCACCGTATCCTGAAGCGCAGAGCAGCACGTTTCAGACTGGAAGAAATGAACAAACTTGCCAAAGCTCGTAAACCTTATCTACACGAAAGCAGACATAAACACGCCATGCGACGCCCACGCGGCCCCGGTGGACGCTTTTTAAGTAAGTTCATCGCAGATCAAAAAATCTTGGAGTTCCGAGTTTTTTTTTTTCTGATGGTTCTCTTTCTTGTGCTTTGCAGCGGCCGCCGAAATCGCTGAGTTGGAAAAGAGCGGCAAACTGCCAAGTTCTGGCAATAAAGCAGACGACAACAATGACATCAAACAATCCATCAAGCGAGGAGACAACGACAAACAACAATCATCTCAACAACCGTCTCCACATCAATAAATTTCAGCAGCAGTATTAATATCGATGACAACTCAAAAGCTAGGCTGACAGGGTTGTGTCATGATATACACAATCATATTCTCTCTCGCTTTGTTTTCCCGTCATACAAACGAGAAAACAAAAACAAAAAAACAAAAAAATCCTGATTCTTATTACTTTGCTGCCCAAGCAACTTTGCGTTCCTGTTTACCTTCACTTCCTATTCCATTATTTGTTCTTATCCCCCAACCCCCCAATATCGATAAGCATATCATGTTTTCCAAAAATTAAAAACGATATCATTTCTTATAGTTTCAACAAATATTTTGATGGACTTTTTCTATATCTAAAGGGTATCATGCCTGATAAACAGTAAAAAAAAAGTTGGATTCCTTTCGCCCCTTTTTCAGCTGCGACGTGCTTTCTCGTCAGTTTCCGCAAAATTCAGTAACGGTTTCATTTGCCTTTCCAATAATGTGCGTGTATGCGATTGTTCCGGGGTATCATCCAGGCGTAACAAGGTCTTATTCGCCGACATGGTCGATGTACTTGAGGATGCAGTCATGGAAGTCGCACTGGAGGGGGTGGCAGTGGAAGGTAGAGGAACGTCGTGATGTCGCGCACGGTCACGGTCCTTGTTGGTAGGTTTCCGCCGTAAAGACATGTGACGACGATGCTCGCCAGCCGGTTCCATCCCGGACGAAGAAGATCCGTGATCTCGATGATGATATTCGCGGGTACTCTTTGAACGAGAAATTTTGAAGCCATTGGGAACCGGAGCGGCCGTGGAAGCACTATTCTTTTCCAGCAAGGACCCTTTGCTGAACTTGACTTTATCGTCGATATTGATTAACGTTGGACCGTGGTGGCTATTGTCCTCTGCTTGTCGGTAATGGGTGTGAGTGTGGGCTGACTCGAGATCTTCTTTGGCTAATAAAGATCCTTTGGCAAAAGGAACGGGCTCAGAACAATCGATCAGAGGTCCTTCGCTGGTCTCGGAATCCTTGCCTCGCAGCGTACCACTGCGCGATAAACCTCGAATGGTACCGCTTCGGACAGGTCGTTTATCGTCGTCTCGACGGATGGTGTCGCTGCGATGATGACTGCTATTGGTTCCTGAATTTAAGGGATAATTTCGACCAAGTTCTTCTGCGACTGATCCGGATGCGTTAAAATCGCGTGTCGATTTTTTGCGTCGTAAGGACATGGATTTCATCAACGGTGCCACGGTTTCATCGCCACTGTGTTCACTGCGATGTTCACGATTCGAATTACCCCATCGACTTCGCTTGGCATCATCTGATGCACCTTGCGTTGCCGGTGCACCATAGATAGGAGCCAAGGGGTTCATCACGCGACGGGGATGATACTGGTAATGGATAGCACTCTACAAGGAGAATCATGATGATTAGCAACAGAAATCAAGTCGAAAATTCCTTATTTACAAGCCAAAAACAAACAAAAAAAATTACTTTGGCAGCTCGGATGCTGAGAACCCATTCTTTCATCGCTTCCTGATCATCCACTGCCAGTAAACGTAAATAGTCATGTTCTCTTTCAAACATGCTGAATTTTTCTTGTGCTCTTAATGCAAATACAAAAGGTGCAGGCGCAGCATGAAGAGGTTGCAACAGCGTGTATACATCGAATGTTGCCAAATAACACAAAATTGCCGATGATGAACCCTAAATTGTCATCGATGACGTGAGGATCCTGTTATGCAGCTATCGACTTGTTGAATAGATTTGTACCTTGTTATCCTTGGCGTGATAGATGGCGTTATCCTTGATAAAACAGAACCGCTTCTGCCATTTTCCCTTCTTGTACTCGATGTAAACCCATCCATGTGCAGCTGATGTACGCTTGTGTAGAATGGCCTGTTGTATGTTGCATTAGATTTTTTCTGCCCAAAGATGCATATGCAGCTCTTCCTTGTTTTTTCGTTACCTCGGCGGTGAGAGAAGTATGGTAAGCGTACTTTTTCACCAACAATGCATTGGCCGCATCGGATTCCCATGCTGAAATAACGTCGAGCACTATTTCCCATGACCTGATAGGTCGCTCTGGAGGAAGAAAGGTGTGATTTTTTTTGTTAACAGCAAGACCACACGTAAAAACTATATTCCATGCTTACCGACACCGTGGCTGTTGGCAATTTCAAAGAGTGTCCACTCATCGCTCGCGTCAATGAGAGCTTTCTTCTTGAGATACTGGATGACCATGGCCGCTGTCAGAAGATTGGTCAATTGAACGGTTTTGTGGTTTTTGGCATCGTCGATATAAATGCGTATAGTGATGGTTTGCACTGCTATTCTCGGTAAAGGTTCAGACCGGGCAGTTTCTATGGCTGACATCTGTAATAGCTCATCATGAGTAAACTTATTTTGCATAGATTTTGGCCATGAATGAATAGAAAATCAGAAAAAAAAGGGGGCAGCATGGTGCCACCTAGAGGTTTACCTCCGCTTCTTTGATCGAGGTGTCTGACTTTTGATTAAGCTCTTCTGTGACACCTGATTCAGCTTCCAGAACAGCCCAAGCACGCTGCATGGCGGCACGAAGGTCGTCGTCGGTATCTTGGGATGGTGCCACAGGGGTCGGCTCATCCGGAATATCTGGTTTGATCGATCTAACGTTGACACTTGGACTACGCACTAATCCACCTCCACTGTGGTCAGTCATGGTGGTTGGTAAATGGCTTTTTTTGCTTGCCATTCTATCCATCTGCATTTTCATCGGTCGCTGAAGATCGGCAATGCAAATATCATCGTCGCTTGATTCGGTGTCATCCGCCAGGTGTTGTTGAGCCGGGCGTTGTGTTCGAGGATCCGGTTCACCATCGGAAGAGATGTCGGATGAGTAGATGTTGGCTGGGTCGTGAACTGAATATGATGTGTCGTGCCTGGGCACAGAATGCTGAAACTTTGAGGATGAAGGATGAGCTCCATCTACAGCCTGACGAGTGGAATGGTTGACTCGCGATGATGCAAGATTAGGATAAGGTTGAGTATGAATAGCTGTGGGATTTTCCACTGTCTATGGTCGAAACAAGACGGGAACAAGCGTAAAAAGGAGATTTAGCATATTGTGCTGTATGTCGTATCAGTGAAGGGATGGACTTTTTGCCCAGGTAAAGACGGGAACTGGTTTGTCAACCAGGTCCATCTGGATCGCTTACCAAGGAGAAATCATGCACTTGCTTTTCGAGGTCGCGAAGAATATGATCCAGATCACCGGACATGATTCGGTCAAAAAGAGATAGAGAGAGCGAAAGAGAGAGAGAACAGAGAAAGAGAGAGAACACGTGCAAATCGTTAATTTCGAGGATCTGCTCTTCCTTGGAAACCCCGCTGAAGCAACCACTCGCCTGTAGAAATTTGGCACGCCTTTCATGTTTCTCAGCCAGAATTCCAGGAGCTTCAAAAAAAATTCAGCTTGCCAACCATTGGGTAGGACGAACAACCCAAAAACATCACCCTATCCGTCTTGACAGCCTGCTTAATAGTTACGACCCTGATGCTGCCACTGCTTCCGGAAAAGGAGACCATTCCATGCCATGATACCGTACTTCCACTCCAGCCTATTCCACATTTAACTAGATCATGAAATATATCGTCTTACACCCCCATTCATTTTCTATTTATATGTGATATAAGATTTAGATGAGCTGCCCTGTCAACTAATGTTTTAGACTCTACAAGTTGGCACCACTCAGGAAACCTTATTTAGTTGGCAGGAAGAACTCGGATCACTCAATATATTATATTCCCCTTCTTCACAGTTACTCCAAAGGCATTCATCTGCTACGGTCACTGTTCGTCAGGAGCCCAAAAGATATAGATCGTAACTTCAAGCCGATGCCGATGCCGATGCCGATGCCGATACCGATGCCCCTGTAGCCAGTTTCTTGCAACTAAAGGCAGACGCAATAAGCGGACATTGGCATAGTTGCATTATACTTGCAAATCGCATATCTTACTGAGGCAGTTCTCCATGACCTTTTGTCTTGCTACTGTATTCACCAATGTGGCATGCTCCTTTGCCCTGGGGTGATGACTGCCATTAATAACTGAGATTATCTGTGCCATAGTTCCACAGAGACAGAGAAATGCGCGAGTTTTTGACACAGTTTCTCTAGTATTTTCCACATATTCGGACAAGTTATCATTTTATTATCGTTATCCAAAGTCTGTGCCAGCGAGCAATGCAAAACTCGCCTTATTGTGCTGTGATCGATCATAAACGATTGCGGGTTTTCCGTTGATCTTACAAGGAGTTTATTGTATTGCAATAGGAAAACGATCGCAAGAACTTCTATCCGGCACTCTTAGCAGACCAAGAGAAAGAGACCCATTAACAGAACTATGAAGAAGTACCACGGTTTTTTTAAGCCACGTTTTATCATCGGGAAAGAAAATAAATGATGAGCCTACCTTCCAGTGGTTACCACATGTTACGCACGTGACAAAGGTTGTCATCGGTTCATCGGCACTTCGTGTTTGCATCTGGAAATAAGTACATCGTCTCTTTTTGCACTTTCCACAAATGAACATATCGGTTTCAGCTTGAGCCGAACCAGCGCCTCGAGCCTTGAATAGTGCTTCCTCTGCGAGTTTACGATCGCGTGCCTTCGCTTCCTCAGATGCCATATCCTGATATTGTGTCACATACAATGAATAACCACATTCTGTCAAACGAAAACTACATCGTTTTCAATAAAAAAAATTACTTTACCTCGACACTCATTGTACACAGTTTATCCACGGGTAGCTCTCCGCTAACGACACTCTCTCGCAGAGTAGGATTACTCTTGCTCTTCAAGTTCAATGCCAACGATCGGATTTTGCTCTTGTAACCTTCACTGATGAATTCATATTCTCCAAACACTGCCTTTTCAATCGCCATGGCTCTCTTTAACAGAAGCTCCGAATCTAATGCATAGATATCCATGAATAAAAGAAATTGCGTGTCACAGACTGAATGACTTTCGATAAGCTTACCGGCGTAGCTGCCAAGCGCTACTGCTGCATATAACAGTTCAATGGTTTTATCTCGCGGTGTACTTCCTGTGGTTTTGAAGGTCACTTCATCGGTCTTGACGGTTCGAGGCGGACCTGTCTCTGACGGTGTTTTCGGTGAGGAGGCAGTGGATGATGGATGTGATGCTCTTGATCCAGGTGTATCCGGTTGTGCTGTGATTTAAGAAGCCACTAGATTAGTAACAAGATTCGCATACACGGATGGAGGTGGGGTTGGGGTGGGGTTACTAACTTACAGCCAGTAGATGTGTTGATCTTTTTCACGGGGGACGGTGCAGGCGCTTTGGACTCCAGAATCACATCGTCCTTCCATTTTCGAACGATTTCTTTTGCCTTTTGCGAGACGGCTGTATTGGCGTTACTTCTTAATTTACCCATAATTTTCCCAATGTCGGTTTTCTTTATATAATATCAATTCATTATGAGCTACTGGATATAAATTCTACAATGTAAAAGCGCTGTATCATCTCACCCGTAATAATTCTTGAGAAGCCTTGATTTTAATTAGACGTCCCATGATATCCATCATAGCCTATGCTCATTATCAGTTATAGTTGCAAGAATAAGGTCGATCTTGAACCATGAAAAGAAAAAAAACTTTCGTAAGCAGCGAATGCGAATGGGTGATTGCATTTGTATTCACTGCTTGTTGATTTTTTCTTCTTGCCACGCGATCAAGAATCCATGCCACGAAAAGTGATAATCGACGACGCACCTGCGTGTTGTTGGTTTCATTGGCTTTCTGCAATGCACGCTTTGCTTTGAGGATCTCGTCTTCGCTGCCCATGTTGATCTAATGAGGGTAACAATAGAACAAAGTGGATACGAAAAAAGAGGTTACATATTTTTTCCAACCACGCCCAAAAAATTGAAGGGGATCTTCCCATTCGCAGTCCTCGCGGACGTCGAAATAGCAAAAGTCGGCCAAGCGTTCGAACGACTCCGATAGTGCACAAACCATAGACACTTTTTGATTATTCCCTGATCTTCCGTTGTTGTCGTTTTTTTCTCCTAGCAACAATGTGCGATTTCGATATTGCCAGCTTCCGCGAAAGACGATCCGGCACAAAAAAGAAGAAACGGGCATCGAACAAACCATCTACGAGCGGTGAACGTCCACCTATACGAGACGATTTCGCTCACTATATGAAGATTCGTGAGTGCTCTGCTTTGCGTCCTTTTTTTCAGACAATGACCCACTCAATAGATTGTCATTAGGGAAAACACTTGGATTGGATGACTCGGATTCCGATTCCAGTTCAAGTTCAAGTTCCTCTTCGGGTACTAGGAAGCGTAAAAAGAAGAGAACCAAGTATATGCCTAAGCGATCGACATCTTTTGCCTCTGATCAGGAAACAGAGACATCAGCAGCTACCCAATCCACTCCCTCATCGTCTCAACCTCCTATACAACAACCCGAATCTGACATTCCCAAATCAACCATGTGAGTTTTCTCCTGGGCATACAAAAAAAACCAACCCACAGTACCTCATAATACGATTTCTGATAGTATTCTTTCGGACGTGGAAGACGAACCAGAGAATACCTCCTTATCCATATTGACTCAGACTACCGAAACTCAAGAAACCAATACCACCAATACCACCAATTTATCGTCCACTTCAACGACTAGGTAATTCAGTATCTATACTGGGTTTGGCTTACATTCACTAATCGGTTTTAAAAAAAAAAAAAAAAAAAAAAAAAAAAAAGTGAACAGACGGTGACTGCCAAGAAACCATCCAAACCTGTTATCCCAATGATTGAAATTGACGATCTTGATCCAGAACTTGCTTTGATAGCAGCATCCTCTTCGTCGCCGCTAGAATCGCAGGAGTCTAGTAATACCCCTCAGGAAAATGCTCCGCAGAAAATACAGATCAAAGTCCAGTTCATATGTTTAACCGAATCCACCGATCAAAAACTTCAAAGCATTATTAATATGCTCAAAAAACCTATCAAAATGATTGTTATGGATGTAAGTGGTACTGTTTACATATGATTTGGTCTTGTATAATATGAACTAGAAATCTTTTTTTTTAGAATCAACCTTTCGAGATTTTACTAGATCATTACTGTAAGAAGAAATGCTTGACAAAAGACGACGTGATTCTTGTTCACAATGATGTTCCGCTGGTACTGCGAGCGACCCCGGCTAGTCTGGACATGAAAGCATCGAAAACAAATATATTGGGTGAGTGCGACCGGTCTTACAACCCGACGTGTGCTCTTATTTGAAATCATTCACGGTCTAATTATCAATTTTGCTTTTATAGAGGTATACACTCGCAAAGATTACGAAGTTAAATTAACTCGGGAACAGGAGAAAAAATCGGAGCTGTTGGAAAAGCTCAATGACGCATTTGACGATACGCTTTTTGGTGCAGAGGATGATCCTTCATCGGCAACAAAGCAAGAAGAGGGCGGGGAGCGATTCTTTATCAAACTACGGGGCAAAGATAATGTGGACGTGACACTTCGCGTAAAAAAGGTACAATTTTTATATTCATCATTGCTCAGACTCTTTGATGCTTCAAATTCCGGTATTCAACTAAATTAATTTGTGCAGACAACCACCATTGCTGCTATTACAAAGGAATATGTACGCATTCGAGCTCTGGATCCCGATTTGTTGCCAAGTATTCAGCTATCGTTTGAAGGTGAAGTTCTATCATCTGACTTGACGTTACACGATACCGATCTCGAAGATGAAGATCTGGTCTCGGTCATGTTCTAAGGAGCCAGGATACCATCGGCACGTCTTAAAAGGTCTATTTGTACAGTAATATGAAAAATAATAATATGGAAAAAAAAAAGGATCTATTAGAATTTGAATTTTAAGCAATGATGGTCAGCTTCCTGATTTCAAATTATCCACGGATTTGATAGAGTACGGAAGTTGTATTGCAGTTTACACTGTTTTTCTTTTTTAAAAAATCTCAAAATAAACGATCCCTTTATTTCATGTCAACAAGTATCCATGCTTAAAAATGATAAGCTTTACTGGGAAATGTATTGGAATATGGTCGAATAAAGATATTCCAAGAAAAAAAAAATTGTGAGCAAAAAAATATAAATAGTCAACGGCTCTGCTCCATCTTTCTCTCTTCATCATCTACATCATGAAATTCTCAGCCTTGTTTCTTACTGCACTCGCAGCCACTACCGCCCATGCTCTTGAAGCTCGAATTGCTCAATCCATCAAAGAAGATTTGAGAGTCGCCAAAATCGTTCCTGATGGTATGTTTAATATATAACATTTATTATGAGACGCAAAAGAAAAAATCCCTGACCAAACCCCAATCATGGCAATAGTTGTGCAAGAATTCGAACCCCAGACGCAGATGAAGATTACGTATCATGAGAACAAATTGATCGACATGGGAAGCGTGTTGCTCCCGGAAGAAGTCGTTCAGCCACCGCACGTATGGTTCAGAGATCCTCAGCCAGGCAACCACTATACCTTGGCCATGGTAGATGCTGATGCCGAGGTGCCTCTTGTGCGACACTGGATTGCCACCAACATTGATGGTTCCAAGCCAGGCACCTCCTTCCGCGATAATTCCACGCTCCATCAGTACACCCCATACCACGGCCCCACGCCCCCTGCCGGTACAGGACAACATCGTTATGTATTCGTTCTCTTTTCTCAGCAAACAACCAACCAAACCATGACACCTGTGCTTGAAGATCCCACCGTCCATCGTGCCTACTTTAACCTCACTCAATTTGCCTTGGATAATCATCTCACTCCTGTGGCCGCTAGCTACATGTTGGCCGAACATCAAGACGGATATGACGGCGGTTACATGTCCCGCAGAGCAAGCGCCTCGGCTGCTGCCATGAAAGCTACCCAGGCTCCTCGCTCTGCTCGATTCTAAGCTACTGTAGCTCGGGCCATCTTGTTTGCTCTTTTTACTTTTTGCTACAGACTTAAAAGTTGTCTTAAATTAAGAAAATCCGGTTATGGCGCTGTTAATTTGTGTGCGAACCGTAAAATAAAAATATTTTCAATATTTGCAATCTCGTTTTTGGAAATGTGATATTTCATACTCAAATATTTGCTTGCCTCGTCCTTTTGAATCGAATCGGGAATACAGGCCAATGACAAGAAATCCTTATTCTATCTCAATTGCATATACACTACCAGCGAAGTCATTACCATCAACATACGATGCACTAATATACAACCGGTCATGTATTTAGCTACCTATAAAAATAAGGTATCGAATTTTTGGTTATTCTGCAACACAACAAAGATAAGGAATTCCTAAAGGCAAGACAGAATGTGCTTTCAGGGTCAATTTCTGCATACAATAGACAAATTGCATTATTTCTTTTTATCAATCACAACGTCGTGTCCGTAGGAATTTCATGCTTTAGCACGGACATCTCCCAGAAAAAAATGCTCGGAAAAACATGCTCAACCGTTTTCGCCACGATGATAAGCTAATAATGCAGCTATTTGAGAAACAAAGAATATGTTTGCCATGTTTGAGTTTATGTTATTCTTTTCCGTGTTATAGAACCTTCTGGATGACTTTGCTTTATTTTTTAATTCTACCCGGAAAATTGACGCTGGATGGCGCGAATAGAAATTAAAAAAGCTGTCGCACGCACCACCCTAGGCCGTGGGTGAGCAGCATGCTGTTTACATAGCCTAACGCGTGAGAAACCACATTTTGCTATCAGACAAATTTTGTTCACTGCGAGCCAACTAGTGTTTCGGCGGGTTATCCCGCATTTATTGACAATCGAAGAAGCAATTGCAAGACGCGCTTATCCAATTGTTAGTACGCTTATAGATCGACAACTTGGCACACTAAAATTAAGGATTGCAAACCGAGACATAAGAAGAGAAACAAGCTTAAACTATAAAATAATTTTTTACAATGGTTGGAACTGGCAACAGACTCGTATACATCATAAATAATGCCATTGCAGTTGCCAACAGTTACGGCAACCAACGAACTGCGTGTCGCTTCGGAAACGACAATACCGCCGCCTTCATCCAACAAATCTTAACTATTAATAAAATCTCAGCCATCCAATCAGAATCTAGTCTGTTGATCACGTGACATCTTCGACCAACAACCACACTCTGATTTTTCCGAAAAAAGCCTTCTTGGCTCAGTTGGCAGAGCGTCTGCCTAGTAAGCAGAAGGTCGCCAGTTCGATTCTGGCAGAAGGCATTCGTTTTTGCCATTTCTTCGATGAACGGATTTTTTTTTTTATACTTTTTTGCTATTGTCGTGGCTGCAGCGGATAACGTCCGAAATGGTAATCAGCTTAGCATCTTGCTGAGTACAATCATCCTTTTATCGAAGTTTTAGCCGCTCAGCCCTCTATCCTCACGCCTCAGCGATTATCCTCTTTAAGAACATAGACCGAGTAAGCATATATAAATATCTCCTTGTAATTGACAAAATAAAGCGTTACCTTTCCTATCCTTAATCCTCTTGTTTCCCACTCTGGTGATCTTGCCGGTATATCAGATCCGAGTGAAGTACGACACTTTTTTTATTTATTTTTGTTGTGAAGCTCAAAAACGATGTGTGGTCGAACCAAAATAATATAAAGTAAAAGATTTTTTTTTATACGATAAATAATAAATGTAAAAGATCTAAACAATTAAATCTGGGAGAAATTAGCGATTTGTAAATCACATGATCTACACTAAGTTATCAGGACCAGTTAACCGTTTTTCTTTATCTTCACCATGCCTCGCTGCCTACTTTCACAATAATAGGCGAAACAATCAGCAGCAAGATGCCGTTTGCGCCAGTTGTGGTTAAACAGAGTATCGTCGTCTTTCGAATAAAAATGTGAGTAGAGCTCTTTTTGAAGAAAAGTGGTTGATGATACGACTGGCGTTCTTCTGTAGCATCATTCAACTTGGTTTTTTTTTGTCAGTTATACTGTATATGTCCTTTCATTCTCTTTCAATTTTCAATGAATCGAATAATACATAAGCAGACGTGCTTCGATCTATGAATTCATGCATCAGTGGGGTGACTATTGTTTCATCCATGGAAAACCATATATTTTTGTCTTCAATTTTATCTTTCTTCTTTTGATTTTCTCTCTCTCTTTCTGTTTGCTTGATAAACTTTCACTATCATTGTATCAAGATCCCATCCGCATCCATCATCCAGACCATTCTTATCCCGTGTATCTAACTTGGTTAAATCGACCACCATCCTCAAAAAGGTAAGCGTCGAGTGGTCTACCATCGATTTTGCTCCGGCAAAACAGACTTGGGGACTCTCGATATCTGGAATCCAACTCGAAGTTACCGTCACTTCTGGCCACGTCAATATTTTTTGCCTGCTCAAGCTGACACCACCGATCCATTGCTTGACTGTCCCTGGAAGCAATTTTATTTTCCGCATCGAAGAAGAAGCTTACCTGGCGGTCCGTATCATCTTTTTTTTTTTTGTCCGGTTCACCATTTGGCTCAAAGGCAAGTCCAATTTCTTTTCCTCTGCTATCATGTAATGAAGGTATACTAATTCAAAATTTTTCCAATGTCATATAATCCAGGCCATGTCAAGCGATCAATAACTAAACTCAAATAACAAAGGTAAAATATCTTGACGAAAATTTGAATCAATCAGAGAGCTTACTAACTCATTTTTTTTTAAATACCCAACATACCCACACATCTTTCTAGATCTATCATAGCCTGGGCGGGATGGAACTGAGGGGGTCAATCAGTGCTGCTTTGCGCGTGTTCAGAAACAACTCACGTTGCATGGTATTGCCATAAGGTTGTCATTAATATACCAAAGTCCGTCAAGAGTTCTCGCCCAGGGTATGCCGTGTATGCGTTAGGCTTTTTGTCTGACGAAAGTCGCTCAATGTAAGAGGGTGGCCTCCGGTGGCAGGCGGCATCCATTGCACAGCGGGTGTACGGCCTGTTAAGATAGAAAGTAAAAAAAGAATTTTATTTATGAAGGGTGTAATGATCACGCTCCGTTTCGAACTATTGCTCGCCTTGGATCGGTGAGAAAAAAACGTTCTAAAGAAAAACCACATGCGGAAAATGAGATTCAAGAAAATAGAAACAAAGCACAAAAAGGGCTGTCGTATAGTTTTGATGTTTCATTATTTTACTTTAACATCGTCGCTTCTAAAAGTAAAAAGCGCATGAAAGTTTTTTGTTCGTGAATGGAGAGCTGTCATCCGTACTATAAACCGTCATTTATTTTTTGTGAATTAGGTTAACAGCAATAAGCACTTGAATTTAATTAATAGTTTTCTATTGTTTGTTACAAAATGATTCAGCAATCATAGAAAGAGTCTTCTTGCGCAATATACGAATGATATTCTTAAATCATTGGAAACTGCACGGCGTACATAGTGTATAGCTTCTTCTACATTAGCGTGCCATCTTGTTAACCATACATTTTATCACAATTTTTAATCGTATGAACAGTGTCGATAGTTCTTTTTTCCTTTACTGGGATGGTGAAAACAACAATTCACATGTAATATGTAGAAGAAGTGCTTATGACGGTTGGAAGCAAACCAATATAGTGAAGTGAGATCACACTCACTCAAGTCATTGATCTCGGCTTTTGGGAATTTTTTTTGGAGCACATTTTCTGTGACCAAAATGGAAAGTTTAATTTCCAGGTTGTGCACACATTGGGAAAGCTCAAATGCCATTAAGGATCCAATAGGAGTAAAGCAAAACAATATTGTTGCTTTTATTGATCAGACCCTTTTACGATGCCACTTTTACCCACTCGTCAACCTATTCAGTTATCCATCGCTGACGATTCCGAACCTGAAGACACAAATACCCTGAATACCCTGCGCTGGTATACCACTTGCTTGTGTCTCCGCACTTCATCTATTCGATTACCAGAAGATGCACCAACAGACTTTTATACAGACAACACAACATATGATGCTTCCCTCTCTCCCAGGGATGCCCTGCGGAACATTCTGTCACCTCAGTCAGAAGAACGAGAATCGGTCACTGGGCACCATATCCAGAAAACGCGAATCGTCAATCCTTTCGGCACGTCCCCATCCGACCACAATCAGTTTGTGGATTTCCATGCTTCTCTCATCTCCCAAGTTGAAGAGGCTGAAGAATTGTCGGACCATCGTATCTCGGCTCTCTTCAGTGATCAGACCAAAGTAATACAGAAACAAAATGAAAAAATACCCCAAAAAACTTATTCATATCATGCTGATCGAAGCTGTCTTTTTACTGGTTCGTAGATCGATGCTGCCATGTGTGATTTATCAATAGCTACAACCGGAATAGCAGATCAAACTCAATGCGATCAGGAACTTGTTGACGTCAGTGGAAGTTCCTCAGATACCTGCGTAAACACTGCCATACTACGCGATATGAAAGCAAGCGAACAAACGAACAAAGAAGAATCCCCTTTGGACGATGTAACTCAATGCATACCGCTTGCAACCGGAAATGATTATCATGATACGGAACACCCACTGGGTAGAATGTCAGAGGATTTAGTAGAGTATATGAAAAGTACCGATTCATGTTCATTGTCAACTGCGGAAAACCAGCAAAGTAGATCAACGACAGCAACTGATTTGGAGGCGGAAACGCGAGATGACAAAACTACCTATCCAATGAACAGTAATGAATGGGATGCATACGAGCATAAAACAGCCGAGAACCCTGAGATTACCCGTTCGACCCTTCCCGCGCAGCAGGATTTTCCCATAGCTGCATTGACACGCGCTCCTTTTGCCAGATACGAGTCTTCACCTAACCCCATGGATCCTCAGAGATACCCACACACAAAAGACACCTCAACAGAAATGAGTGACCACCAGGATGATACCCAGACGACGTCAACAAGGCGTTCCTCCATGGCGGCGGTAGCTCACTCTCTCTTGGGTGACAAGCTGGACGATTTGACAGGAAAGCTTGCTTACATAAAAAAGAATATCATCATGAGCATGGATATGGATGATGAAGACGACTCCTGGGATGAAGGCACTAGTCCGAATCCTGTCAGCGATCAAGGAGCTCAGCGAAGGTAATTCGATTATCACGATGTTATGCCGTAAAGTGGACTAAAACAAGTATTGTAGACCATCCACGGATCCATTATCATCATTTCTTTTCGGTGCCAGGCAGACGGACGACAATCAGTCTTCAGAAGTGGATCAGCATGGGAATGAACGAGCGGATTTGGCCAAGCCTTTCATGCAAGTGGGGTCCTCCATCATGCGCTTTGTAGATCAAATCGGTGGACGGGAAGAAAGCCGGTCTTTCTCACCTTCGTCGTTCTTTGCGTCTCTTGCAGGTCCCTCCTCGCCTCCACGGGAATCAGATAACGGCGTCGTCCAACATCGGGGTTCTGCCCAGACGCTTGGCCGAGATAGCCGCGCCACCGCACGCCATGTAATCAGTATATCAGAAGCGTCCGAAGACGATCCAGCAGATTCGGAGGAAGAAGAGCTGTTCGATTTCAGCAAAGTCATTACTATGGGTAAACATATGCGTACCTACAGCGAGACCACCATCGATAACAGTCTGCGGCTGCTCAGTCAAGCCGTTGACCGTCTGAAAAATGCACAAAAGCAAGACAGCTTGCCAGAATACCCGGATTCCCCCACCATTGCACACGACACCTATTCCCCAGAACACCATCTCCCCGATACCAAACTTTTGTAACGTTAGCTCCTCCAACTATAAAGAACCTGATACTGGATACCACACTTTCCTTTTTTTTTCTTTCTTTCCGGAGAATAGTATGTTGGGCGATAGTCTGGCTTTTCATCCTTGATCCTCGGTTCCAAGCCCAAAGTCAGGAATCAGCCATCTTACTGCAGATCAAGATAACACCTTTGATCAGCATCGAGTCGCAGGATAATATGAGACAGTCTCTCCTGCGTTAACCTGTACGCACATTTTTGCGTTACCTGTTGCTTTGCTCGGTTAGTCAGCCAATTAACAAGTTGGGATACTGAATGCGTATTTACAACAATAAATTGCAACTTCAATCGTTATGATGGGATCGCAACGTTTAGGTGAACAGCGTGCGACAGCAAAAAATTAATGGCAACTCCTGTCATCCATCCAAATCTCGAAAACGCTGTCAACAAATCACTTTTCAGGAGCAGTATTCTCGTCTAAATCAAGTCTATATGTCAATAATTACCTGATGTTTATACACTTAAAATAAACTGTTTATTTGGCAAGGTGTCAAGGAGATGAAAATGATAAAAGTAGAAGAGCGAAGTGTTTAACAAAATACCGCCCGTTCTAGTTATTCGGATCAGCTTTATGAGCTGCATGAACATTTGAGATTTTGTGCCCACTGTCAACAAAAAGATGATAATGATTATTATTTAGCGTATTGAGCACAACAACGGAATGACTCTGTGGCAAGCTTACCTCTGGTGTTGGAGTGTTAATCCATGTTTCCACACACGCATCGTCATATTTGTCCTGGTAAGGATTGGCACATGCCCGCAAACAAGCTTGAAGGATGCTAACAGCTTCATCTTCGGATTTGTTATCAAAGGCGCTAATCACATCTTGAGCAATCCAGTTGCGCAACACAAAACGAGGGTTGACCGAATCCATGCGTTGCTTTCTTTCATTGTCTTGAGCGCCTTCTTCCAAAAGTCGATGGCGATACATGGCTAGCCAGGGCGTTAAAGATTGCTTTGATTCTTCAAGATTTGAAGCGTCTTGCGGTACGATATCCAGTTGATCTTGAATAGCAGAACAAGCATCCCCATCTTCCCCTGCTTCAGTCGTGCGGTAATTGGATAATGATCTGAAAAATCGATGATAATCGATCTTATGCTCGGTCATCCAGTCCAAAAGAGGAATAATGAGATCTTGCATATCTGCTTCGGCATTTTGCTTTTTCGTCAATCCCAACTTGAGTTGCATTTTGTGGGCAAGATGGTCCATAAACCAATCGGAGAACTCTTCGCTGAGGAGCTTGGTAACAGTTTCCTTGCCAGTTTCTCGATATTCTGCCCTGGTGCCTTCGCTAGTGACATTGGACCGCTGTTTAGTTTCATCCGCTGACGGGAATACCAAGCTGTCAACTTCATTTCCGGCACCAATCAATTCAAATAAAGGCACACCAAGCTTGAACAGATTGAAAATACACACCGTAGGCTGGCGCTTGAACGCATATTCTAGCATCATCAAAGAATGTCATTCATTAGAGGTAGACTAGCCAAGTTTATCGGATTAAAGCCCTTACGTCCGCCTGTGTCGGTATGATTGCAGATGTATCCTGGTTCGTAAAAGTCAAGCATTTGAAATGGTCCATAATCCAACGTTAATCCTAAAGCATCCAGAAAAATGAGTAAAAGTAACGTAAAGAATATTGGAGAATGGGGACATACCAAGGAGAGACATATTATCTACGTCAATAATATCATATTACATTTGCATCAGTCATTGAAGAAAATCAAAAACAAATAGTATGTCAATATCCATCTACCTGTATTCATAACGCCATGATTAAAGCCTATGAAGAAAAACCGATGCTTTAGTTTAATGCTCAAAGCTCAATACGACGACATTGGTGTTACCGATTGCTTGCCATTCGGCCACCATTTTCGCCGTGTTCTTGGCAATGCGTCGGAAAAAGCGTTCATAGCGATTGCCATTGCTTGAGTCATCTTCACCCTCTTCCTTTACAACTTCTTTGATAGCATAGTCGGCTAATGCGCGGACATTATCATAATCGTCGCGGGAATAAAAAATCTCAAAATTGCCAAAACGTAACCATGAAGGCGCAAAGCGAGCCACAATGGCCCCACGTTCAGGTTGCGCCACATCTAAAGGACAAGGTTACTTTTTTGTTGCTTTGTCCAAGAGTAACCCCACCGTTCCATTGTTCCTGTACCTGCAGGTGCATCTTCTCGGAATACTTGGCGACTGGTGCCTATCAATGCCAAGGCGCGTGTTGTAGGGATACGCAGTGCATGCATATGTTCTGACATGAGGAATTCTCGAATACTCGAGCGCAATACCGCGTATCCATCACCGAATCTCGAGTAAGGCGTGCGACCGGCGCCCTTTAATTGGATTTCCCACCGATCGCCTTTGGAGTTTTCGGTCTCAAACAATGAAATCGCACGACCATCACCAAGTTGGCCGGCAAAAAAGCTGCGAAATCATTGCTTTTTTATTAGTTTTTGCACTATTGGACTCGGTGACCGTTCGGCCTGTTACTCACCCAAACTGATGTCCAGCATAACATAGGGCCCACGGTCGAGTGTTTCCAAGGAGTTTATTTCCTGAAAATACTTGTGCAAATTCGTCGGTTTGAGTCACTTCTGGATCCACTTCCAGATCCCGCAATGCCGTCGACGAAACTGCCAGAGTTTTAGGATCTGGAGCTGATTCCGGAGGAATAAAGGAAAATACACTGTTCTGAACAGGTCGTGACACACGCAGCAGACGGTCCGATGCTTGTAGATCGGTAATAGTTGCAGTGTAAGCATCCGCTGGTAACGATCGAGTCAATACGCTCGGCCGCAAGGGCAGCGATTCCAAAGATCGGTAAGCCATCATACGTACTCCCATATGCCGATCCACAATAACCACGATACCCAGTGAATGCAGGACAATCAAAAATCATATAAAGCCGCTGACCAATCGAAATTTATTGCGCGTGTCAGAAATGGAAGTTGTCTTTTAGAATGTATGTCGCATAATTAGAAAAATTGTCGTATGAGAGAGTGGGCGTGTTTTGCCAACAGCATCCTTTTTTCCACAACAGTGGCTTCCTTCTTTTTTTCTTTCATTAAATTCTGTAAGTCGGCCCAAATGCGCGGACCGTTCAAATACATATAACTTCATTTCTTTGAGATGCTATTGAGTGACATCCAAAAGTTATGTACGATTTTATATGTATATTAATTTAGTCTACTTTGTTTTCTGCCAAACTTCGTGTAAATGTAACTGATGACAAGTTTTACACATTGAAAATCGGGGTTGCAACTATAATCTATGCTCTACTCTGGCACCAGGTTCGCCATGCTTGAAAGCATGATTGTCAAACAACTTATTATACTAATTCAATGATATGCAAGTATGTACACTATCACTACGCAGTGTTATACGTGAAATGCTGTCCTAGGCAACACCACCAGCCCTTCGCCGTGCTTTAGTAAACTGAATACATGTAAATGTAAAACAGCCACAAGCAATAAAAATAAAGTGAAAGTTGATGTAAGAAGTGTTGTTGGGGTAGGCTTTGCTAATGGTGTCTTGAAGTGGATTTTAATTGTCTTCCGTTTTATGGTAGATTATTGAAAGTTGGTATTGAGATTTAAAAGCCTGATTTATTGTAACTAGGGGAGACACACAAATAGTCAATTCGTGTGAACTTGATTGGGAAACAAAGAGACTAGAACTGAGCCACATAGATTCAACACAAAATGTGGTGTCATCACATTGCCAAACGAGATCTTTGCCTCCATCACAATAGGCTTTATAGAAGCTGAAAGCATTAGCTTCAGCAGTACCCAAAAGGAAACCATGTTGCCGGATGGTCGTCATAGTCTGTCGTTGGAGAAGCAACAACACGTTCAAGCGCTTCAATGACATTAATGACGGTGTCAAGTCGCGCAAGATACAAAGGAATCTCTTTCGTCGACATGGTCACTGGACATGGCCTATTTCCGGCATGGTATAGATGTTTCGGCTTTGGCGACGGAGTAAATAAAATGTTGCATGTTTACCTAGTTGAGAAATCCAAAGGTTGACTTTGGAAATATTATTCAACAACAAGAGTATTTACAATAGCTTGAAAGGCGAAAGCGAGCGCGTTGCCATAGTTGTCCGTAACATCCTTAGCAAACGGACCGATTCGCACCTAGTCCATGCTCACAAGACGGTGATGTAACGCGTGCTGCTCCGGTTTGATTTGCCCATATCCCACTGGTTTCTCAAACGATGGACCATCGACGATGCTTATGGCTGCATCTGGTCTGGCTGTTGACTTCCATTGCTCATTGCCCATGGATGTCCTATTTTACAATAATGTTAGACTGTTCCGCTTTTTTAATTTTCTTAACCTCATCTCTGCTGGTGTTCTGTATATTTTTGTAAACCATCAACACGTATACATACCAGCGAAACATTATATTGCGTGGCAATTTTTCAAACAGCGGCACAAGGGAGGCATCAAGTAGCGCGTAACAAGTTGAATTTCGAGTGGGCCACTTTCCAAGTAGTGTTTTGCCAATTCATGCCTCGTGTTACGAAGCCTGATGAATTCCATATCGCACTGCTGACATCTTGCTTTTTTAAAATGACCTGGTGCTCGATGTCGCATGCTGAACCGCGCCATACATTGTTGCTCGTCCGATAGTATACGAAGGACATTATACAGTCGATCTATGGCATTTTTGTCCTTGTCGGCCAGTGCTTCGTACTTGTCAAACTGACGAATTCGGCAATATTCGTCAAATTCCTCAGGAGTCAGATTTTTCGTTGGATCGTTACCGGTTACCGGTTGCCGTCGCCGCTCGCTGCATGTCCTTTCCGGCCTTGGCACCGAGAAACCATGTGTCAAAGTCGTCGGAGAAAAGCGTCATTGACGGTGGGCATGGTACATATAAAAATACCAAACCCCAGTGAACCCGTTCCTCATGCTGCAAGTTCAGATCCCAAAGCTGCCGTCGGCGTTGATTCCAGTTTGGTTCACCTAGAAATTCGTTCCGAGGTCGAGAATGATCGGCCGTCGTTGCGCAATACTCTTTCCTCTACTTCCTCCTCCTCGTGGATATTGCGGCCCCCTTCCTCGTCACGAGCATGGTATTGGCTTTTTATCCAATACCCAAAGTGTCGCCTAAACAATTTTCTGTAAATAAAGTTTTTGATTTGATTCCTGCTTCTGCTCACTTATGGACAACTTACCAATCTTCACATAATTGTAGTGCTCATTTCGTATATCTGTGTCTCTTTTCCCCTTGGAAGTGGGACTAGAGGAGCAATGGCAACATGAAAACTGGCCCTGACGTGGTGCCATCAGCGTGTTCGAGGATGAAGAAACATGCTTTAGTCGGTTACAACCTCGCAGTAGTGTTGTGGCGTAAAGCCAAGGTATCCGAGTCTATAAGGGGACAGAGTTGACCACAACATTCCAGGCTTAGCCAGTTACTCAGATGGGTTGCATTACGGGTCACCGTCGTAAATTTCTGGTTCCTTGATCTTGGGACGAGGGACGGAAGCTACCACCGGTGCAGGTATTTCCAACTGCAGCTGAAGAAGTGCAGTAGTCACCATTCGGATCATCCGTTCATCTTGTTGGTCGCGAGTGGAAGCAGCCGGATTCGGGGGATAGGTCTTGGATTGATCCGCCATGGAAGTATGTGATAGAAGGAAGAAGACTAAAAAAGAAAGCAAAAAAATGTAGGGAGTAAAATATTGGGGTACAGTTAAGAGCGGAAAGGACAAAGAAATGGGCATACAATGAGGATTATAGTCAGCCGCTACCAGTTATGTTACGCCTAGGGAATAGTCAATTTGAAAAGACCTTGCGATAAACTAATCTTCAATCTGTTGATACTCTGACTTGAAGATAATCGCGCTTTCCTGGGATAAAAGGGCTTCTGTAACGTAAGAGAAGAATAAGAGAAGAAAACGGATTATTAAATCGAAAAAAAAAGGTGGAAAGAAGGGGAAAAAAGGGGATGCCGCTGCTGTGGAATAAAAAAGAAGTGCTGGGCCACGCTGTCAAATTAGTCACGCTGTCATAATGACCATGAAAAAGCTGCGCGTGTCAATTTGTATTTTCTTCGAATGCGACATAATTTCTGAGCAGGCGACATGACTTCCCAAGGCTTCCACTTCTAAAACGCCGAAGTTGATTATTGATTCAACCACGACATCAGTTTTGATTGGCCTGCGACATAGTTATTGTATTCAGAAAAAAAAACACAATACAAAGATTGGAAAAGACACAGAATTTTATCAATAACTGACCAAAGTATGTTACAAGCAAGAAAATGGGTCAAAGTGTAAAAGTAGTAAAACTAAAATGAAGATGATCAGGTATAGAAGCAAAATAAATAGATGCAACTAAAAAGTCAAATGTTGTAAAAAGGGAGGAAATGGGTGATGATGCTATAAATGAAAAAAAAAGAAAGAGTGCTTTTATCTATCTGCGACCGCGATTGTAACCACCATTGTTGCCATACGAGCGGTTGCCTCCGCCGTAACCGCCGCCGTAGCCACCACCATTGCGGTTGCCGCCGCCATAACCTCCACGGCCGCCACCGTTGCGTCCACCGCCACGACCACCGCCGTAACCGCGGTTGAAGTCACCACGACCGCCACCGTTGCGGTTACCTTCGCGCTCGGCAAGTTCGGGAAGTTCCTTGGGCGCTTCAAGTGTAATATTGTGCTTGTCTTCCCAAAGCTTGCCACCCAAGTAAATGGCACCATCCTTGATTTCGCATTTGTCAGATGTAATATCGAAAACGACGCCCATCATGTCCTTGGCCATACGCCAGCTCTTCATGTCGTCATACGCCAAATGAGGGTATTCGCGGTTCAAGATGTTGCGAACATATCCTGGGTGTTGGATAGCATACGAGAGCTTGAAATACAAGGTCGTTTGGCCTTCGGTGGAAGTCAAAAGAGAACGGCTAGGAATACCAGTTTGGTAACCGGAGATGTAAGCGAGAGCCGCAGCGACGGCATTCTTGGCACCGTGTTTTTCGATCAGCTGTTCAGCGCTTTCGGCAAAGAAGGGAAGCACGTCTTGATTGACAGCTTCAATTTGTTTAAAAGCATCTTCAGTCGTGGCTTGGATAATATCCTCAGCACGGGGAGCGGACATGATTTCAAAATTGACACCGGTTTTCTTGGTGATGTAGCCGAGAATGCCTTCTTCAGCGGCCTTGTAGAAGGTCACACAGACACCGGAACGACCTGCACGACCGGTACGACCAGAACGATGGACATAAGACTCGGTATCCTTGGGAGGCTGACAGTTGATGACCAAATCGACTTGGGGAATATCCAAACCACGGGCAAGGACATCAGTACAAATGATGCAGCGATACTTTCCTTCACGGAAAGCTTTCATGGTAGCTTCACGCGAAGCCTGGGCAATATCACCGTGAAGCACAGCAGCTTCCTGCTTGAGTTTATCGTGAGTACCAAGCTCGTTGGCATCCGCTTTGGTAGCGCAGAAAATGACAGTGAGACCGCTCTTGCCGTAGACATTGACGACATCACCAATAATGTCAGCGCGAGCTTGATACGAAGAGGGCATGGCAATGTGACGAATGTTGGTGTTGGTTCTATTTTTGGCGTTACCGATCAAATCGATACGAACGTAATCCTCCTTGACGAAACGCTTGATGGTTTCCATAACGGATTCCGGCACCGTGGCGGAGAAAAGCAAAGTCTGGTAGTCACGGGTTTCCTTTTGTTGCTTGATCTGCTCCAAAACCTTGAACATATCTTCTTCGAAACCGCGGGCATCCAACATTTCATCGGCTTCATCAAGAATGATATATCGGAGGTTGTGCAATTTCATGTTACCGTAGTTGATGTGATCCATAATACGACCGGGGGTACCAACGATGATATCCACACCATCTCGGAGAACGGAGGTTTGTTCAGAGTAGGCGACACCACCATACACGGGCAGGGCTTTCAAACGGTTACCGCTAATGGATTCGAAATCACCACACACTTGTTTAGCTAAATCGCGAGTAGGGCAAAGCACCAAAACACGGGGAGCACGACCACGACGTTGTTGAGAGTCCTTGTCAAGGGACAATTTTTCAATGACAGGCAAAGCAAAGGCCAAGGTTTTGCCGGTACCGGTACGGGCACGAGCAAGGACGTCATTACCATCGTAGATAACGTCAAAAGTCTTTGACTGGATTTCAAACAAAGAGTTGATGCCACGGCTCTTGAGGTTGTTGACCGTACTTTCAGAGATACGGAAGTTGGACAAGCGCAAATGTTCAGGGACTTCTTCAGTCGCCTCTTCGGCTGTCTGATCTTCAACCTTGGACTTTTTCTTTTCGGGTTCTTCTACCTTTCCTTCATCCGAGGGAGCACGTTTGCGAGATTCTCTGTCGCTCTTACGGTCTTTCTTGTCTCGTCTATCTTTCTTGTCGTCCTTTTTGATCTGTTGAACTTTATCGGTGGCTAATCAAAGAATGTACTGTTAGATGAACCCATATCAAAACACATACCATAACACTAGCAGTAACACTAACACTCACCTTCCGAGTCGGAATCTTTAAAGTAAGTAGACGGCATGTTGATTCAAGGGTAGGTTCACGATCTTGGATCTCGGACTGATAGGAAGAGGGAATTCACTAAAAAAAAAAAAAAATTGGGAAGAAATTATTAGAATTTTTTCCGCCGTGACTTGAATGTGACGGTTTTGATTTTTTCGATTTTATAGCGCACAAAGGCTGATTTGTTCGTCGGCATTTTTGCGTTTCACGCAGGCCAATCATAATTGATGCTCATATGAAGACTTTTTTCAGATTCATTACACAACTTTGCGGCTTTCCATTGGATAAAAGTCAGCATGATGTCGAGATAAAAAAAAAAAGGCACCTTTCCTTAGCCTGGGTTACCGATAGTCTTAAAGTTTCTTATCTTGCAATGATTATCATGTAGCGAGCGTAAAATATAGCTACAGTATATTGTGAGCCACACAGTTGACTTTCAAGGTTAAGAGGTATGTACTTCAGCGGAAAAAGAGAGCAATTTACGATAATGTTGGTATAATGGTTTATATCGAGTAAAAAGATATTATCTACGGTTGATAGGAAGGATAATCGACGTAACCTTCGGTACCGCCTGTATAAAAGGTGCTTCTATTGTAGCATGTGAGGGGCCATCCGTTGCGCAGGCGCTCTACAAGATCTGGATTGGCGGTATAAGCACGACCAAAAGAGATGAGGTCACCGGTCTTTGCAGCGCGGTCAAAAGCGAGTTTAGTGTCGACCGAATAACCACCTGAGGAAATGAAAGGACCCTTTCAAATCTCTCGGAACGAATCCAAAGAGTCTGCGTTCTTGGGTAACGTGTCGCTTTCAAGGTCAACGCGGGGTTCGGAAAAGTGCACGTAAGCAAGATCAGGATGACGGGCCTGAAGTTGAGAGACGATGTAACCCCATGTTTCAATCGGTGTGTCATCTTGCATATCCTGGAAACCGGACCATGGAGAAAAACGGATTGCGGTACGATCAGGGCCAATAGCATCGGCAATGGCATCCACGACTTCCAACGCGAAACGCGTTCGGTTTTCGATCGAGCCACCATACATATCTGTGCGCTTGTTGCTAGAGGTGTTGATAAATTGATCCAACAAGTAACCGTTGGCTGCATGGATTTCCACCCCGTCAAAACCAGCTTCCACGGCATTCAGAGCTGCTTGACGAAAATCTTGAATAAGAGCCTTGATTTCTGGAATTTCCAAGGCACGGGGAACTTCATTCTGTTGACCGAGCATATTCACTCCTTGAATGGCGATGGGGGAGGCCGACACGGGCTGTTCACCGTTGGGAGATAATTTGGAAGTGGTGGCACGCCCGGCGTGTGCGATTTGCAAGTAAATGATACCGCCTTTGTCATGAACGGCCTTGGTGACTTGTTTCCATTTGGCGATCTGTTCGTTGCTGTAGATGCCTGGCACCTTAGGATAACCGCCTGCCGTAGATGAGATGAGAGTTCCCTCGGTCACCAATAGTCCTCCAGGAGTACTACGTTGCGCGTAATAGTCGGCCACATAAGGAAGTACCACGCCGTTATCGTCGGATCGAAAACGTGTCATAGGAGCCAGAACGATACGATGCTGCAAGGTATGTCGTCCAAGCTTCAGAGATGTAAATAGAGTGGGCGCCATGTTTGGATTGGAGAAAAGTTGGAGCTTAGTATTGATTAACTCTATATGGAACAGTGAATGAAGATTGATATTAATATTTATGCAACCATGTTTCCGTCGATGGCTGACAAATGCGATTGGAATTTGCCCGAAATCCGACCGGCCCACCCTAAAAAGGTTGGCGACTGGGAACACAAACTTGATATTGACATAAAAGGGTAAAATACCTACACGTAGATTTCTAATCTTCCAGAGAATTATTAATCAAGCTTTGGATTGACTTGAGCAGTTCCTAAACACCGGTTGCCATATCGCCTTTCACTCGCCATGGAGAAACTGCTATGCTGCATAACCCTAGTTTCATACAGCCCCCTCTTTAACGAGTTTTCTGAAGCACAGATTGATTCCTCCATTGTCTGAAGAACAACACTGAAAAGATGTGATTGAGTATTGTACAACTTGAGAAGCTCGCAGACCGAGTCAGGCGTTATGACAGAATTCATAAGACAACTCAGATAATAGATCCATTATATCCCATTTTTCACAAATACTCCAGGAACGGCACAAAAATCAGAAACTTATGTACGATGTTATGGATATCTTTGGTCTGGAAAGGAAGAATGAAGAAAGCCTGCATGTACGATCGGCACAGAGTTATTGCAGTTTTTACTGAGTCCCCAATATTTTTATTGTTTCTCTGTCGCAATCGCAATGCTAGTTTGGGAAGCTGCGCCACTTGAATGCCGCTAAAGCCGTCCTTGAGTATAGCCTCGCTTCAAAGGGTCATTTGCAGAACTGCGTCAGGACTGCTTGGTAATCAAAGATGGCAATTATACACACAGAAATTTATTATTCCACTATGGAATCGGGCGAGAAAACGCAATTGATTGTAATGTTTAAAAGAAGCTCCCGCAACCAAGTAAGTACCTGATCGCATCTTTTGCTTTAGGATGCGGTAAGAATCAATTGCATGGATCTATTAGAGAGCAATTCTTTGATTCGTGGTTTCCACTGCTTCCCGTTGTCGATATGACTGATAATGTTCGCGGAGTATTGCCGTTCTACCAGTAGTCAGATTACTAGAAAATTCTGGCAATTAGAAAAGACCTGTTGACGGTCTGTCCAATTCCTCGCATGCACCAAAAAGCTATATCCTAGTAAAACTCTTGCTTTTTAAAATGGCAGAAAACAACCATCGAAGTACCTTTGCGCAATTGTGTAATACCAACACCATGATCTTAAAAAAATATGCATCTATTGAAACTTGTGTATCCTTTTTGAACTCTGTACAAAATAAAGCTGAAAAAATATGAGAAAAATGGTTATTCCAGCTTATCTAAAACCATGAAGACACCCAGGAAGTAAAGCTTCCCGATGACGTTTCTTCAGCTTCCAATGGCGACGATGCGACCGTGGTGGTTTCCTCGGTTGGAGTCACTGAATCCTCCTTTGGGGAATCTTGCTTTGGTGCAGATACAGCTTCTTCAGAAGAGGCTTCTTCCTTGTTATCACCCGAAATGACTTTTTCCTCCTCTTCATCGTCATCGTCATCAATTTCGTCTCCGTAAACATCGGGATATTGGCGGAAACAGTCTTGCATCGCTTTGAATTTCTCAATGCAATCAACGCCCTTGGGTTCGGCTTCGGAGTAGACAAAGCAGCTGAATGCACCCTTGAACTGCTCACCACAAGGACCGGTGGCCATACCGCCCAGACCTACAACAAGCAGACATTAGTTATGATTATCGATGAATACCAGACAAACAAACACATACAGGGACAATCCCAGTTGATTTCGCCAGTTTCGGGATCGTAAGCTGCGGCCTGATCCGATTGTTCTTGAACAGTTTCTTCTTGTTTTTCTTCTTCTTTCTTCACAGGCTCCACATCGGGTTGGCTGTTCACATACTCTTCGTCAATAAAAAGCACAGTGTCTTTTCCGTCTTTTGCTGCGTAGGACATCTTGTTGGAGGAAGCTGGAGAGGGTTCGCTGCTGAATAATATGTCAACGGAGTCTGTTTTTCCAAAATTGTTGGACTGCGGTTATGTTAAATACCCAGTCACAACAGTCAAATTTTGGGCTCCTTTTGGTTGGGTCATGGAAAAAGAGAGTAGTTTTTCGTTTATCGAGTAAATAATATGGGGTTTTCCTGCCCTGTGCTCTCAATATTCTTCTTGCATCTTCACGTTCGCGTTTAAGTTGTTCTAGAGTAAGTCTTACTGTATAAGTTACCACTCTTTCCAAGTTTTTCATGATTAACTTTAGATGATTTGTTTGAATAAAAATTAGTATTATTGGTGGTTTCCTCGGTTGGAGTCGCTGAATCCTGCTTTGGGGAATCTTGGTATGGTGCAGGTACAGCTTTCTCATGTCCTTGTTATCACCCAGGGTCCCTTTTGCCTCTTCTTTATTGTCATTGTCGTCAATTTCGTTTCCGTAAGCACCAGGATACTGGCTGGAGTAGTTTTGCACCGCTTTGAATTTCTCAATACAATCACCGCCCTTGGGATCGGCGTCGGAGTAGACAAAGCAGCTGCATTCACCCTCACCACAAGGACTGGTGGACACACCGCCCAGACCTTCAGAAAAACATACGTTTGTATAATTATCGATAAATGCCATACAAACAGAACACATGCAGTAACAATCCCCGTTGATCGACAGTTTTGGGATCGTAAGCTGCGGCCTGATCTGATTGTTTTTAAGCTGTGCCTTTTTCCTTTTCTTCTCTTTATTCACAGGCTCCACATCGGGTTGGCTGTTAACATACTCTTCGTCAATAAAAAGAACAGTGCCTTTCCCGTCATTTGCTGCGTAGGACATCTTGTTGGAGAAGGCTGGAGGGGATATCGTATGCTGAATTTATATTTTATGCAAGTTGTTGTGAACCCACCAACGTCGTCGTCGGGATATGAATTCGCCAGACGAGGCAGTAACCACGCCGCAGCACCCAAGCAACAGCGACAACGCCACCGCGACACTGGATCGCAGTAGTGTGGTAGTGGGATAGCCTTCCATATTCATAGAATAAGCGAGTTTAGTAATTGGTCTGAAATCTAGCTTTTTCCCTTCCTTCTCTCTCCAATAATCTAATGTCCGGCCTCCGGCTTATTTTAAAGCTACCTTTCAAGCTATCGGCAACCGGTATCGTTTTTTTTTTTTTTTTTTTTTTTTTGGATCTGTGGATCGTTGAAAAAACCTTAATTGTGGTAATGGCACGAAAAAAAAATGTTCCCAAGCTACATAATACGTAGCCAAACAGGTAATGAATAAATAACGGTCCATAGAAAGTAGTCGTATTCATAAAGAGTAAATATGAAAATGTCGCAGCACGGGGGAAAAGGTGCCTGTCTGCGATCCTTTGCAAAGGATAGTGAATAGAATCTCTCAGTCAGTTTATCAATGTCATGCCTATTTGAAAAAGGTTTATCAGCAAAGTTCAGCCATGCTGTCGATTTAATTCTGCTGACTATATTGAAACAGGAGTTGTGTAGTAATTGCTGCACTTCTAATGCAAGTGATTGAATAATATACTTAAGATGCCCTATTTTGCTCTGTATATTACGTGATAATCGTTAAAAATCAATTCTCCACCTTGAAATGAGATGACAGCCTCCAAGTCCAAGTAGAATGCTTTCCCCAAGAATTGATCGCAGGTTAAAATTACCCCGCTTAATCAGATCAATGTTCTAGACCATTGACGGATCAACAATATTGAGTCTAGAATTTCTCAGGAAGATTTTCTCTGGATGCATAAAAGGTTTAAGACTATATCTTTGTCACGAAGGCACACCCGCCCTATGTATATACTCTTTCAGAAAGGTATGTTACGTCGCGTCATCCATTATGATGCTAAACACCAATACGCGCCTTTTTGTAAGTGCATACATCTATCAGATAAGGTGCCATGTATTGTATAGAGCGGATATCTACGAGGATGGCTGATTTCAAGATAAAGCTGTGATTTCCAATACTATTCACGACACAAAGTCTTCTGCTATGGATAAGAAACATAGAGTTTCTCATATGAATGACCCTTTATCGTCTACCACGTGACTTTTTTGAACTAGTTATGTAAAGTTTAAACAAGTTGATAACCGGATCCATCTTGTTCGAAATGCACCGATCTTCTCAAAGCTCAGTGACATTCACCGCATTGACCAACAGCGATGAATGCCATACAGACTATTGCAATGGAAATGAATACAATGAGCTTGGGTGCCTTACTGTTTCAGCTTTGAGTTTTTACAAAATAACATAATGTAAGGATACTGTTCAGCCAAATATGATAATCCACTTTTCTGGCCGCGGGTCCGTCCCGTAGATAGATCATGTGGTCAAAGGATTGTCCCAGGAACAGGCTATTTGACTTTTGATGGATATGCTCGAATAAATTTTAAATGGGAGACATTGACCATATCCTCGCCACATAGTGACGCTGATATGGTGAATCCCATCCAATGTCAGCCTTGCTCCCTGAGTTTGTATGACTTACTGAATGCCCAGAATGTTTTTCTTCTGCTTCGAAATCCCGCTACTGAAGGGAAGACTGTAGCTGAATATGGCTGTACCTGCACCTTGGATTGCATAGTTATGAGCATCATTTTCCAATGTTCAAATGTAATAAAAACTTGATGTTCACAAAAACGCCAAGAGTTCCCTGGAGAATCTGAATGGCCTAGCAAAATCTGATTCGCACAACAGAGTCGTAGATCCTTTTTTAGAACCGCATTACTGATTTTGAAATTTTGAAATTTCGCGACATTACTTGATGAAAAATATTTTATCATGCTATTGCCAAGTAAGAAGAGATTGGAATACAAAAATAAGCTTTATGATATTGATATTTCAACGGGATCGTAGTCATAAAAAGTCAATCATTGAGAAAATCATGGTTTCTTTTTTTTTTTTTTTTTTTTTTTTTTTTTTTGTTAATGTACCGAAAGGCTGAGGTTTCGCCACAGCCCCCGCTGGGTCCTTTTTCTTGATTTTATTTCCCCCATTCGATTCTGTAATCTTTTCTTATTCTTTCCTCTTCTTTTTTTTTCGCTTACTTTCCTTTTTATTGCCATTTGGCGATTCCAGCAACTAGATTCAGAATCCATTTGTCTCGCTGTCGTTTGATTGATCCATTGCTATAGTCGGCAGGCACTGACTATGAACACATACTATGAAGAAGCAGCGGTCGCAAGTGAAGAGTACGAAGATCCTCATTGTCACGGTTGTCTCGAACCCATTGAAGACGGCTCCGTTCTTCAGTTTGGCGACGGCATTTGGCATTTCGAATGGTACGAGCAAACCTTGTTCCTGAAATTCACGTCCAAAATCTTGTTCTAACCTCGCGATACCAGTTTTCGTTGTGCAAAGTGTAAATCACTTGTTGAGTGCTACAGCAAACTTTTGTTACTAAGAGACGGTAGTCCGATATGCGAAGATTGTTCCTATCGATGCAACGCTTGCAACGAAACCATCAGGGATGAAGCTATCATGACAGGTACCCAAATGGTCATATAATGGAGTCTGAATTTCTCAAAGGAAAAAACTCAAACGAAAAAAAATCATTCATGTAGGCGAGGAAGCGTATCACGCAGATTGTTTTCGATGTGTCCAGTGCCAAACCAAGATAGAAAACCTGGTTTTCACACAAACGAGTAAGGTAGACGGATAATAGCCTTTTATATTACTTTTGTATCAGATAGTAATCATACGCTGGTAACAGGGTATTTTTTGTACAGCATGCCATGAAATGCGCAGGCAACTGCGACAAAGACGAAAAGAGGAACGGCAGCATCATCACCGAGATTCTGCCAAAGATGGACAGTCCGAAGATCATATGAGCCCTGACGAGGTTTGTCGACATCATCATCATTTCGTCGTTTCTTTACCCCTGACTCTTTTTTTATTACCAAATTTTCTTTTTTAATTTAGACCAACCTCAATCACGGTCATCTCAGCCGAAATGCGTCATTAACGTCACCGCAAAGGACAAAAGAACGCAAACGATCGGTTTCTAGAAGACCTATCGAGATGGTTCGCGACCCCTCAGCCATTTCTATTTTAAATGCCTATTCGGATCCCGCTAATGAAGACAACAAATCCATTCTCAGTAAGCAAAAGATCAATTCCCATTGAATTCGTACGCAACTTTAACTCGGACGGACCATGAATACATAGGCAGCGTTGAAGTGGCAGAGTTGAATGATATGCTCAATGCAGCATTGGACCTTCATGGTCAGGATGACACTACTGGGAACTCGGGTGACCGTGAAGCCAACAGCCATCCCACATCAGATATGGTCTTGACGCACAATGCCGATCAGATAACCAGCAAAGATAATCGCGACCAAAACAACGTGTCACCCAATGCCTCCGACGCGGAAGTAAGGGAGGAGCTTCAAACGACAAAGACCCGTTTGAAGGAAATCGAAGGCAAATTTAACCGAATCAAAGTACGGAAAAATCATTTTTACATGACATATGGTTTGATGACACCCACATGTTCAATCTACGTTCGACATGATAAACATATTTGCAACGTAACTCACAAATTTTTTTTAATAGGCCATTAGTCGAAAGGCATTGGACGAGTTCCACGTGGTCAAAGAAGGTTACGCGCAAGAAGTAGTTGCTCGACGCGAAGCTGAAAATCTCGTGAAACAGTTGAAAAACGAATTAGCCTTCTACCAACAAATAAAACTGTTTGGCGGCAACGAGTTTGTGACCAACATCAAAGAAGAGATCAACGCATTGAACAAAACCAAAGCACAGTTGGCGGAGACTTGCGAAACACTCCGGATTCAACGAGACGATATTACCAAGGAGTTGGATACGTTGTTGCAGGGCCGCGCGTCGTAAGTCTATTGTTGTTCCGTGCAGGCGAGGGCTGGTATGGTTTACTAACATACGACTTGCAGCAGTGACTCTCACTCACAGATGCCATGGGAAAAAGTGCCTCCTCCCTACCAACAGCAACTCGTGTCGATTCGCAAGGATGTCGAACTCGAAAAATCCAGTTACAGCAAACTTATCAAGGCACGCGACGATATTATCAACGAAATGATTATGCTCAACACGAAAAACGCGCAATTGACGTCTTTGAACAATGACCTATCGCGTCGAGTGATGGAACGTGAACGTGAAGCGATTGCGGTGATGGCAGGAACTAGCTTTCTCGGCACTTCAGCGCAAGACGAATTGGGAGCGGATCGCGTGGCGCGACACCGGCGCACACCTTCTGCCAGTCATTCGGCGGCAGCTTCCCCAGAGAAAAAACACGCCGAGATTGCTCATCATACACCCAAAGTCGCTCAACGGGACAGTTTTAATGGAGCTGAAGCACCACGGTTATTTAAATTTCGACGAACCAAAGAAGCCAAAGCCGCCAAACATGCCAAAGACCACGAGGCTCTCATAGGCTTACCATATGATAGCACGGAAAAGGGATCGGATGTCAGCAACGAAGCGACGGTTACCAAAAAAGAGAAATCTTCATTTGAGGAAGTCTTTTATAATCGAGCCAACGGCAATCATCACTTCACCCAGACGAAGTTTTTGCGTCCTCAAAAATGCGAAGCATGCGGCGAAAAAATGTGGCGCGTGAGTGAATACAAATGTTACGGTAAGCCCAGGTTCATTGTATCCTATTGTCACCCCATATTCCTCTTGTTAACCACAAGTGCATACATATGTAGAGTGCGGAATAGTTTGTCATATCAAATGCGTCTATAATGCGCCTCCGCAATGCGGGAGAAAAACTAGTTCAGACTCGAACAAGAGTGAAGTCGATAAATGTAAGTACATAGTGCCGGCCAATGCATCTGTGATGGACGACATCGACATTGCCGTGAAGAAGGTAGAAACTTTGTCGTATTCACCAGCAGCAAAAACTTCTTAGTACCGTCGTCCACCATGTTTGGCAACGATTTGGCAAAGCAAGTACAGTCTGAAAAGGGCACCATACCACTTATTGTACAGACATGCATTGAAGCCGTGGAAACCCGAGGAATGGATTACGAAGGCATATATCGCAAGTCGGGCGGTGCCGGACAAATGCGTATCATTCAACAAGCGTTCGAACAAGGCAACATTCCCGATCTGTGCGATGAACAAGAATTCAATGATGTCTGCGCCATCACCAGTATCCTAAAACAGTACTTCCGCGATCTTCCTAATCCCCTTTTTACACATGAATTACACGCCAAATTTATGGAGGCTACCAGTAAGTGAAGAAAAGTCTGATCAAGCGATTAAACATCGGAACAGAAGCGTTGATAATCATTTGGTCGTTAGTGATGTCTGACACCACCGAACAATATCATCAATTTCAACGTGCCATCCATTCGTTGCCGGCCGAGAATTATGATACGTTAAAGTATCTTATGCAGCATCTCGATAAGTAAGTATCTCGCACATGCAGAGATCCCAATCGAACAATAATAGCTTATGCTTTCTTGACAGTGTCCGTCAACATAGCAAAGACAACCTGATGACTTCGAAAAATATTGCCGTCGTCTTTGGGCCGACGCTCATGCGTCATGAAGATGAACATCTCGATATCCTGGACATGAATCGTAAAATTGGCGCCATTGAATTCATTATCAACCATCTGTTACTATTTGACAAACCGGCGGCTCCTCAAGTGATACAGAGTAATCATTCTTCCCCCTTACCTGTGCGGCAGAATTCACTCGGCATATCGGCGAGAAAACAACATCGACGAGAAGCGTCCAGTGACCAAATACTTCGGAACGGTTTCGCAGCTCCACCAAGGGAACGTGCAGGCTACATCTAGTTTACCCAATGTCTGATACTGCTTTATATATTTTTTCTCATCATCTCGCTGGTTCGAGATCTTATAGCATATCGATAATCATATATTTTTTACACAATGCAACCGTCATCCTGGCAATCTCTTGAAATTCAACACCGACACCCCAAGGAGACGACACAAAGATTTATAGAGCATTTCGGATACGGGATGCATCATGACAATAAAATAAACAGTGCATCTGTTCGTCTCGGTTGTTATCGTGATAAAAATTTTCGTCCAAGCTGCTTTAATGCTTGGTGGCAATGCAGCCTAGTTGGTCTCGTTCGGCGGATTTTACTACGCCATAAAAAACACCTTCTTCCCGTTGGCTTGGAGGGCTGAATTGATTATAACCAAGCCCATTTAGCAGATCGGAAATCAAGTCATTGTTTACTTTACTCGCCTGATATGTCTCCTGAAAAAAGCGAGAGTCATCTCTCACTTCCAACAGTGATTCAGTTGTCAGTATTCAAGATACGATAGTGTCATTATTGTCCACCGCAGCCATGAGTTTTTTTTTTTTTATTGATCTATGAATACACCAGCAGAATATACGCGTGTTCAAAAAGTTACAGCAACGTACGTTATGTAATTGGGAACGAACCATGCAGCTGAGACCAGGTGTGCATAAGCGGATGCAGATGGTCCAATCGGAGAACAAGAAAAATCCTCTGCGCGGCAAGTTTTTGTATGGTCGTGAGACGTTGAACCTGCGTTTTTCTTTCGTTTGTTATCTCCCTAACAAGCCGTTCACCATAATAAAAATGCAAGAAGGAAAAAGAAGCTACTCAAATTTTGGCTGATAAAAATAATCTCCCTTGTTTGGTCATCGTTTACGATTTAGATAAAATTAAAATATACATAAGAGCAATAAATAATATCTAACTATGTGAAAAACTTCAAGTTCATGGTATCTAAATAAATGTGTCAAGTAATTTCTAGTATTCAATTCATAAAACCTTCAGTATATATGCATGACAGTTTCGATGCAAGTTAGCCATCAGATGCAACCTGCATCTCAGGAACAGTCAGATTCAATCAACAATCGCAGGTAGGATATAATCAGTCGTTTGCAAGTCATTATCAGGTTCCCTGAAAGCCGAGATGTGAATGACATGGTGATAATAAATATCTATGGGGGGAGAGATGTAATTTTTAGCGGAATGAAGAGCAAAAATATAGTCAAAGCTGATGGTGTGTGGGTTATATCGTTGTACCTGGTATTTCATGAATTGAACTAACCGTGTTGATGTCTTGGGCTTCTCAATGCAATGCGCAGATGCTGCAAAAGAAGCAGGGTTACCGGAAAGCTCGTAGATAGATCGTATGTGATAGGTATTTGTCCTTTGCGTCTTGAAATATTTGTTGGAGTTGATTGTTTGGATCGTCTTGCGGCTCGTTTGCTTCAATGGCAAAATATTCCTTTTTCTGAAAAATTTTCTTTATCACTCAGCATGCTAATAATAAAACATGGCCACTAATGGATTACCTTTTTCGATGAGTATCGTCGTAACAACCACAGACAAAGTTTGCTGAAAAAATGCTGAAGGTTATCCGTGCTAGCCATGTTTATCTCGAACTGCATAGAACTGGTTTGAATGATACTGGAAACAGGATGGAGCGGTTGAACGTATGTACTCGGCCGGGTTTTTCCAAGCACAATGACGTTTCGCTTTAAGGTCCACTGCGGGCGATGGACGATATCATTATTACGGCGCATACAATCGTACCGAGTAGATTGCATACGATGGTGTGGAGGTGGTTGTTTTGCAAGCAGCGGGCGATAGAAATCAGGAGCGTGCGATGGAGTAAAGAGGTCGAGAACATGACCGCTTTTCGGCGTGTGTGGCAGTTCACTGCCGGCGGAACTGAGGACGGTAGTGGAGTTACTAAAACACTCGTCATCATCACTGAGAAGCAAAGGGGTGGGAGGAGCATCTGAGGCGGATTGAATAGCAATGCCTGAATCATACAAAGAAGTGGTTGGGTCGGGCGCTGATGATAAAATGAAATTGTAAGTAACGAGTTTCATCATTGTCATGGTATCTTTTTTTATTTAGAGTTTTTCTTTTTACCTAGTCCATCCAGTCGTTGTTGCAGCAAATGAAATGTTATTTTTGGAATATTACGTCTAGAAAAAAAACGTGGATGAAGGAGAAATGAGTCCATTGGTTGGGTACCCCGATTTCGGCAATGTGATAAGCTCAAAAAAACTTACCCTTGTGATGTGAGTGCGGTCAAGATCTTTTCATGACTCTGATCCCGCCACAGTACTTTGAGTGTTTCCCAAATGCGGCCATCCATGTCACACGGTCCCGAGATCAGAGGTCCATCATCAGCGTAGGGATAGTAACGGGGCACTGCAGGTAGGGTTTCACTCTGCATCCCGGTCAACCAAGGATGTAATAATATGTCTTCCATCTATGCATTTTAACATAAATAACAGATTATATTTTTAAAATATTTCATCCAGCAAGAACTCTGGAAAAGTCTCTTTGGACTTCTGCTTTTTCTTTTTCCTTACCGTTGGCCGTTTGGCGGGATGGACGGAGAGCATACGACGTAGCAAATCTTTAGCTTCGTGCGACAAGTCATCTGGAAAGCGACGGTACCTGCCCGTTTTGATTCTTGCCAACAAACGTGCTATATTCTCGTCATCAAACGGAAGTTGACCAGTCAATAGCGCATATAAAATGACTCCACATGACCAGACATCAGTTGCTGGCCCGTAATAGGGCTTTCCCTAAGTAGGAAAGTGTGTCAATTTTTTTTTTTAAGTTTCCCATCGTTCCTTTTCCATCGATGCTAGTTACTTTAACAATTTCTGGACTTGCGTAATGCGGCGATCCGCAACTGGTACGTAAAAGTTGATTGTGGCACTGCAGTGTAGCCATGCCGAAATCGGCAATTTTGATTTGATTCCGACATCGATCTACGAGGATATTTTCAGGTTTTAAGTCTCGATGGCTATTTCAGCATGTGGAGACACAAAAAATTCCAAATCAGATCCGTTATTCGCACTTGTGCACAGAATAAGAAGGAGAGGACGTTCGAATCACATACCATATATGATGAGCGTGACACCATGCCAAGGCATTGACCATTTGTGCGAATAAAACTCGCGCTTCTGATTCTGGTAATCGGCCGCGATCGGATAAGACTTGGTAGAGTTCACCACCTTCGATGTATTCCATGACAAAATAGACATGAGTGCTATCCTGCAGCACCTGTCGCAAATAAATGAGATGAGGATGATGCAACAGTTGTAGCACTGCTAATTCTCGTTCAACCGATCGAGTGATAATGGGCGAGGAAGTAAGGTGACGCCGAGATATCATCTTGATAGCCACTTTTTCTCCCGTGTGCTTGTGAATCCCGAGCTTGACTCGTCCTTTTGTCGGATTTAGAAAAAATATGGATGGTGATTGTTGTATTGAGATTGAACAATAAAAAGAAAATGAAAAGGAATTGATAAATGAACTACTTAAAGCATCAAGCAAAAATTGCAAAGAAAAAAGAAGATGCCATACCAGAAGATCCTCTTCCAATGGTCTTTAGTAGCCAGTAATCACCCACTTCTTTGGTTCGCTTGATACCATGAGACGCTGATGAGGACGATACTTGACGTCGGTAAGTGACTTGACGACAGCGGGCCAGAAAGGAGTTCATCAAATTCATTCAGATAGATTTACAGTTGTTGCTAAATGCAAATTGTTGCAGCGATGAAATCAAAGGGGAGAAAAGGGGAGAAAAGGGAAGAATGTAGGGGAAGCGGATACTTTATATATATATTTTTTTTCGATCAAGTACGATACTGCAGAAAAGTAAGACTTTTTTTTTGCAAAGAAACCTAAACCGGGAAACAAGACAAGATACCCTTCAATTTGTTTTTTGTTTTCTTTTTGGGGGGAGTGAGGGGGAGAGGAAAAAAGTGGAAGGAAGAAGAAAGTAAAAAACAAAAGAGTAATCTATTATATAGTGTCAATTAGGAAATCGTCAGGACTGTCACATGGATACTGGCATTAACCATCAGCCACGAAAATACAATTCACTTTTTTTTTATATAGTGGAAAACCACCCACAGTGTCTCCAAATCAATAAGTATGCCGTTATTTTTGTATAGAGCGGATATCATTCCCGGGATTATCCACGACTGTCATTAGGATTTCACGTCGTATGATACTCCGGGTGAAAAGCGAATAGAAAATAACCAAAAACAGATAAAAAAAAGTAGAGTTTGCCCGATAAATGTACTCTATGCATTGGTGATGCAAGAAAAGCAAAAGGGTGGCAGATGGGCGGTTCAAAGCCGAAAATAGACTAAGAGTGCAGTGATTCTAATGCTGAAGTCACTCCCACCAAAAAGACGCCCATAAAGAAGAAGGAGACTACGTATTCGTGCTGGGCCTTGATGGCTTGCGGCAGCATACTCTATTGTAATAAAAGAAAAGAATGTATCAGTTGGATGTTGTTGTGACACCCTTTTCAAAGTCATTTTACCTGGATAGTTATTAACGTCATCATCCCACTGACAAGCGCAAATGTAATGCCAAACAACATGTTCTCTTGCGCCTCACTGACGTTACGGATGGCTACTAGGCCCATCACAGCGCCAAGGGGTTGAGACAATCCCCCTAGAAAGGCAGCGTACGCAAAAGCCCAGATCCTTGATCGAGTGGCGAGGTAGAGCGGTAACGCTATCATGAACCCTTCCGTAAGATTGTGAATAGACATGGCAACGCATACACTCAGTCCCAAAGAGGTCGATGCTTGACTTGACACAAACATAATCAAACCCTCTACCAAACATCAAAAATAGAAAACAAGTCAGTAGCCATAAATGGGATTCCTCCGTTGTGCCAAAAAAAAAAAAAAGTGTGAACCCGCTCAGTTTGCTCGCCTACGTAGTCTCTCTGGTGCGCAACATCCCATTTTTTTCCTCCCCTTTTTATTGCGATACCTCATCCTCATCCCCATTGGATATTTTGTTCCCATTTTATGCGTCTTGTATTACCTGGAAATTTGTGCACGCAAATGGCGACGGCGGTTTGAATCCCCATACTGAAAAATTGTCGGTGATCCATTTCTGACAGTTCGTCGTCATCATGATCGTCATCATCGTGTCGATGCAAGCGAAAGTGGGCTTCACGAAATGGAGTGGAACCGTACCGTGAACTATCGTGACTGGTCTGATGTAACAACTTGCCACGCTCATTATCGTCATGGGAGTGTCCATGGTGGTCAGCATGGTGATCGTTGTGTGGTATGGATCCTTCTTCATCTTGATGACTGTGTTCGTGGGAGTGGGAATCGAGATGCGGATTGGCACCACAAGCATGGATGGCATTGGGAGTGCACCAGTGGATGATGCGGGTAAGTAGCAATGTGACAGCAGCGCCGATGAAGAAGCAGCCATGCACAAGCCAGTCGGAATGGAGACGCTGTTTGGCTTCCGGAAGCAAGATTACAAGCGAAGAAAATAACAGAACACCGGAAGCTAAAGCCATTGAACCGGCTAAAAAGGCGCGGGATTCTAGAATACTGCCTTGATCCCGATGCCATACGTTATCGATGAACACCACCGATGCTATTGAAAAAACCGATCTTTTAGCTTGGTATAATCAAGACCCACACATACACAAGTAAGACACCATTACCTCCGACAACGCAAGCAACAGAGGATAAAAGAACCATGAGCCATCCTTCAAGAGAGCCAAATGTACCACTAATGCTTGTATTTATCATTATTTACAGTGTAAGCCGAATATGTAAGTGGGCTCAAAATTGCATGATCTATCGAAAGTTATATCTTTTTTTTTTTTGTTCTTGGTTCGAAATCGCAGTCCAAAAAATTTCGGGATCAAGAAATTTTTGATGCTCCAAAAGTGGGGGAATGGAGCACCTGACGATCTCTTCTTTCACTTTTTTCACACCTTGAATGATGGACCCCCTTTTTCTATTTTTTTCTTTTTCGTTACCGTCCGCCATTGGCTCCTTCATTTTCATTAGCTTGAAGCCATAAATTATCATTTCTTGCGTAAATTTTTCTTCCTCGACTGATTGCTCTGCATCAATTTGCGTTTCCGAAATAAACCTCCTTCTCCTGCAGGTGGAGGAGATGGTTCTTCCTCGTTTACGTCAGTCTCGAGTGGCAACTCCTTTTCTCGGATCTTGAAGTTTCGTAGATCTTCTTCATCTTCCGCTTCATCATCTTGAAACTCGGGTTTTTGGTCATGTGTCGTTGCCGTGTCTGTCTTTTTATGCTGATCTTTGGCCGCCATCGATGACTGCGATGATGGTGTAACGGTTTCCCATTCTCCAGGTTGCGCGATATTAGATCGAATCGCCCATTCTTCGCGACCTTCCACAGGTTGTTCCGGTGCCGGGGCGGCTAATACCGACAACGGTGGTGGTGCGGGAACCGATCCTAGAGGTCCGTATCCGTAAGCATCAATCCCTTTTGGTGCGGATGATTTAAATGCAGCGGGTTTAGCCGTTGGCGTGCTGACTGGCCCACCAACTGATAATCGCGCAGCCTGCATCAAACCAAATTTTTCGTGTCAGTTTTTCCTCTTTCCCTTGAGATGGTCTCAAGAACGTCTGCTCAGCACTCACTTTTTCAATACGTTGCAGTTCGCGACGCACACTTTCAGCTTCTTTGGCCTCTTGTTGACCTTTCTTGTATACATTGCGCAGAAACTCTTCCACGTTAGTCTTGTGAGTTAATCCATTCTCATGAATTTGAATAGACTAGTAAATGCAACTGGTGAATCGTTCCATCGTTAACACTTCTGGCTTGTCGACATAACCATACCGGCTTGTTGTTCGCAATGAATTTTTTGCAGTATTTACACCAATGACGCTGTTGCGACACCCAAAAATCCGACCTATATTGATTGTTATTGTTACTGACGGTCACTAATGCATGTGCCCAATAGTTGCATGTTACCTACATGGCAGTTACAAAGGCAGAAAAACGTGCAGGTTATCGGCACGGTTATTTTTCAGCAGCCGTCGCTGATCAAAAGCAAAGTCACACCCACCTATGGGAGAATTGAGACGGAGACCGAGGAGTTTGACCAGTGTCCAACTTTTTTTTTCCCCTCACTGCATTTTTCCCCCCTCTCCCAAATCCTGAACCCTAAGCGTGTGTACAACTTTTTCTTGGTTGTAATGCTTTTTGCAATTATTCGTCAGTAATTATTACAATGGCTCATTCTTCGCGCACTTTCGATAACGAAGTGTCTCTCCTCGCAAGCCCTACTTCATCCCCCACTCCTTCATTTATTACGTCACTTAATGACATGACCCAAAAACGACGCCGGTCTGCTCAGCTCGACTGCGACATACCTTCACCTCCAAACACAAGTGTCAAGCGTGGAAAACAAACGCACGAACCTAACAATGATACCATCGAACCATATCTGGGCACGTCGATACCCATGGTCGAAGCCGTCACACGACGCATGTCAGAAAGCGCCATGTTCAACGATACTACGCGACCACCATTCATGGCACGACATGCGAAGCTAACCACAACAGATAAATCCCGAGAATGGCGAACCTCTGATATTCGTCATCAGCGTAACGAAAGCGGCAGAACACTGGCAAAATTTGGTTGGCCCTGTGCGGACCCTCAAGAGGAAGCCAACGATGTAGATATCGGCCACGGCTTTGGCATTGAGAACAACGACGAGGATGACGAAGAAGACGAAGAAGATTTTATCAATATGCCGTTTCGACGTTCTATCTACAATGATCTGATCAATAGCAGTGAATTCGGCCATTTGAATGGAGATGATGATATGGAGCCTTACGCTAGACGGCAAGGACGAAGTTTTGTAGAGAGTTTGTCTGCATGCGATCCTGATGCGCCGTCTGATACCGTACCGATGCGTGGGATGCCTTCTGGGGATACTCACTCAATTCCATTTGCGCCTGAAGACGAAGTGGACCTCTTTTTCTCCAGTCATGCGGATGACCCACATCCAGATCCAATGCTATCGTCGTCCATCAGTCGCGCCGAAATCTTATCGAGCGCCATGCGAACGTCAGGTTATTTGACATCATCAGCTCATTTCTTGACGGCCGAATACTTTGAAAGCCATGATCCAGACGATCGCGACCTTTTCAGCGACAATGATCAAGATGATAGTGATGTACAATATCTGGAAGCGCATTTTTCAATAGAGAGCCGATTAGGTTCTGGGGAATTCGCCACCGTGTCAAAGGTAAAATGTAAAGATACAGGTGTCTATTTTGCGGTGAAAAAGACAAAGACACCCTTTTGTGGATACGATGACCGGTGGCAGCAGATATTGGAAGCCGATCACTTGTTGGCTGTCCGCGGTAGCCGGCATTGCGTGAATCTTGCCAATGCTTGGGAACAAGATGGTCATCTTTATTTACAGATGGAACTGTGTGACTGTGGAAGGTAAGATGGTGTGAAATAAAGACTAGGATGAGGTCTGAGAAGCATGTAATTAACAACTTTCTCTATTTTTTCAGCTTGGAGACATTTCTGTCATACAAAGCAGCGGATGTTATTGAGGAGTCTTTAATGTGGAACATCATTTACGATATTGCTTCCGGCATCAACGACATTCATCAAGGAAATATTGTTCATCTGGATCTCAAGCCTTCCAATATTCTTATTGATGCGCAAGGATATCTGAAAATTGCCGACTTTGGATTATCCGTACAATGGCCCGTGGTAAGTGAATCATTGATTCGCTTGTTTTGGCGGACGTTACTTTTTTTTTTTTTATGCCGGAATTTCTTATATTTTGGTTTCCGCAGGATCCAAGGTATATAAAGGGAGAAGGAGATCGTCGCTATATGGCACCAGATTTACTACGAGAACAGTTTGATAAACCAGCGGACATCTTCAGGTACTACTAAAAAAAATTGGATACGGTGGTGTAATTCTTTCTTTAATGCTAACGAAACGGTAGTTTGGGCCTGATTGCTCTTGAAATGATGACGAAAACCAAGTTGCCCGAAACAGGAGAATCTTGGGAGATGTTACGTTTAGGAGACCTTACCGATTACCCACCCGCTTCACAGCATTTATCAGCGCTCATGCAGCAATTTGTGCGGTCGATGCTGATACCCGAACCTCAGAATCGACCGTCCATCGAAGCACTATTGGAGCATCCCGAATTGCAACGCATACACTCGGAAAGAAAACTCAATCAACATGGTCCACTCTATGAATATGCCCAACTATACAATCAATTGCACGAAAATACGTAAAACCAACAAAGGCATCCCACTGTCATTTTTTTTTATGAAATCCCACCCGTTCAATGTATAACACTTCACCTCTTTTTTTTTCTTTTTCCCTTTGAGCTTCTCACAGTAATCCCAATCATTCTCTTTTACATAATTTGCCCTCCAATTCTGTACATCTTCAAGCAAGCTACTCTTAATTAAAAATATCGACTGAAAACATTTTGTATAAAAAAAAAAACAGTCGTACCTTTTACAAAGAAAAGGCGAGTTCTTAGACCTTCATTCATTCTCGTATGACATTCTATCATGCTACCGCTTGCTCTACGTGTGAATAGAAGAATTATACTTCTCTTTTTTCACCAAAGCTTTTGATGGCCGTCTTGCGTCACTTCAAGGCGGAATTAACCACACTTGCTAGGTATGGATACATTCTCCAGATAACATTTTCTGCATTTTATCGATGATCTTGTTTTTCTACTCAACGAGGTTAGCGCTACTTTGCAATGATTCCGAATTCGAACTGCCTGGATACTGCGGTACATGTACTTGGACACACAGATCCATGGTCACCGCGAGAATAACGCCAGACAAGCCAAAATTCCAAAAAATTGATTTAGGCAACACCGTCAGGTGGTAAGGTTCCTGAAGATACTTGAATCTCTGGATCAGTTATCGCTGTTCTCAAACCATATACGCCCTTGGGAAAAGTTCCTCGAAACGTGGACCAATATGATTACTCATGCCCTTCATAATCCATTAGTATGTGCAAGACGGCGATATTCCCGCAAACTTGGCCAATTTCTCAAAGCAACCGTTCAATAGATCACTGTGATTCCATACAATAGAAATTTTCATGAGCTTGAATAATATCATGAATCACCAACGATTGCCTAATCTATTTATAAGGGTAACGTAGAATGGCCAATGACGTATGTGACGCGCATGCATCGAGTTTCAATTTTTAACATTCAAACCCAGATATTCTCGGCGCTAAAAAGAGCGGCGTCCATGAGCAACCTGCTCCTGAAAGTTTTTTTTTTCCTCTCTTTCTCTCTCTCACTTACCAACTATGTCAATCGATAGCACCCCCGCCTCCAACGTATACAGTGTCCAAGGCGCTCAGGCTAAATTCAAAGAAGGTTTAGCGCGCTTAGATAAGGAGTTGGGTCAGTTCAAGTATGCAAACGAAGTGGAACGATGCACCGGTGTGCCCAAGAGTTACTTTGTTCTTGGCGCGGGAGGACTTGTCTTTTTGATGATTTTCTTCAACTTTGCCGGTCAGTTAATCACAAACGCTATCTCTTGGGTTTATCCTGGTACGTATTGATGGATGATGATGATGATGGTTTTCTATAGTGGTTGGTATTTAATTTTCTGTTTTCCTTTTTTGTTTTTCTTGGGTTGACTTTTGCTCAGCCTACGCGTCGTTTAAAGCCATCGAAAGCCCAGGCACTGCCGATGACAAGCAATGGTTGACTTACTGGACCGTGGTTGGATTCGTTCAAATCCTTGAATACTTCTCTGATATCCTTCTGTACTGGTTCCCCTTTTACTACCTCTTCAAGACCCTTTTCGTGCTTTGGCTTACGCTTCCTCAGTTCAGAGTAAGGTTTTCTTGTACGTTACACCTATCAACTGCTAATTCGTCAAATTTTTAGGGTGCCGAAGTGTTGTACGGCCGTTTCTTGCGACCTTTCTTGGTCAACGCACAGTCTGACATTGACCGTCAAGCCAGCAAAATTGGACAAAAAGTTGGCGAGGTTGCTGCCAGCTTTGGTCCTCAAGGATCCGCCAATAAGACCGATTAAGTTTATTGTATCCATTTGAACGTGAAATAAATCTGGGACAAAATGTTATCAAAATTCAGTGGCAGAAACAAAAGGGAGAGTGAAAAATTTAGAAACGACGGAGTCATGTTCCGTCCTTTTTTTTTGCACGTGAAAAGAAAAAAAAAAAAAAAGAAATGCCAAGCTGTCTAGGCACACACGTTGTTCCCTTTAAAAAGGACAACTATGGAACGGAAAACATGCTTGTTTACTACTCTTTTGGCACATATGAAAATGAAAAATATCTTCTTTTTCTCTACGCAATGTAAAAAGGTTGCAAACACAAACTGAGATAGGAGAATTAAAATGCTGCACACGCGTTTGCTGTAGGTTCACCAAGGATTTCTTTTTTGTGCAAGGCGAACAAAAGGGACACCACCAACCTTAAAAACAAAGAATTTATAATTCATATATTGGCTTTATTATTTTTTGCTGTTTCTGCCGTATTATAGTTTTCCAAAATGATACGATGAGGCTGATGCCGATGTTTGGGCAGATAAGATGACAGGTCTTTTGGACAGCCGTGATGAGTCTTGCTCACACGCCTCACACGCCTGTAAAATTACAATGTCCCAAATGCAAAACTCATTTTATATGTATATTCTGTTGCTTGCGTAACTGAGAGGATAGGAGATCGTTCATAGCAAGTTTGACGACGCGCCTTGTTGTCAAGACAATATGAAAAAAAAAAATATTCGAGAATGCACGCTATGAGTGGGTACGGAAAGCGGACATTTGACAGCTTGTGGCCCCAAGGAGGCATGATTTTTTTTTTTTTTTTTTTTTTTCGCCGCGTAATGTTTCATGCTTATTTGAACTCGGAATCCGAGAATTGCGGTTCTTTCGTTCTATGGGAGCAATACAGGGACGCACACCGATGAATGGTTACAGAAATGACGCGGCATTGAGCTCGTATTGCTATATGTTGTCGAGTCAAAGAATGTGTGATTGCTCAAGAGAAGTAGAGAATCTTTCTGGAAATTGATAGCACTGTTGCTATGAATTTTCGCCACCATTGTGTGAAAATTTCAGGCAACCAAAAATTCCAGAAAAAAAAATCCCAAAACGAACAAGGAAAAAGACCGAGCCAAAGCTTTCCTTTCCCCAGTTGATGTGCATTTCGTCTCATGGCTAGTGAAAGCGAGGAGGACGATTATGGCCCCGTCATGGCAACTTGGGGCTCACAGACCACTGACTCCGTCACTGCTTGGAAGGCTCTCGTTGATCCGGAAGTCAAGCTAGGTCCCGCAGGGGTAGGCAGCGGTAATCTTCATCGACGCGGTCCTAATTACAAGCCGCTCACAGAGGAAGCCATTCTGTCCCAGCGCATGAAGCAGAATGCACCCAAACCCAAGGCAAACAATGCCAAGAAACATAAAGATCAGATCAATCCTCCCCCCAAATCCCCGAAATCGTCCACTAAGCCAACGATACGAAAACCTTTTCCAAAGACCAACCGCAATTGGGCTCCGGAGAACAATAAGCCAACGATACGAAAACCTTTTCCAAAGACCAACCGCAATTGGGCTCCGGAAAACAATAAGCCAACCATACCAAAGCCTTTTCCAAGAACTAGCCGTAAATATGCTGCGGAAAACAATACGGGCGATACCAGAAGAAAGGGCGCCAACACCTCCGCGCTCAGCAACAAAAGGTAAAAAAAAAACGAGCATTCTCGCACAAACTCGAGTCATCCTTCCGCGGCTACTAATGAAGCTTCAAAAGCAATGCGTATAACCAAAGATCTTCAGCCAACGAATCGTCAGCATGGACCAATCAACCCTTGACAACGCAACCCTTTTGGGAAGCCAAAAACGAAACTACTTCGATCCCTGGGTCTTTCCAATCACCACCACCACCACCACCACCACCACCACCGCCTGTCCAACGCGAAACGTTTGCAGTAAGTGTTCCATCTGATAAGCACAATTTTTCATTATTTATTCATGCATGGCTATGTCCGGATCATACAGCGACAACCCAAAAAACCGTCATTGCCACCATTACCCTCAATAAATGAGGTGCCGTCGTCTCCGTCGAAAGAAAAGCAATCATCCGAGACCAATTGGTCGTCAAAAGAAATACCAGATAATAATGCGAATCGAACGGTGGACGACGACTTGACGGCTCGATGGGACAATACATTCAACAGCATGGATTTATGGACAAATACGTCCAATACAGCTGCTATACCTGAATCCTATGAGAAAAAGGACGCTCCTCCAGTCCGCACCCGTAGCCGTTTCTCGTTGACGCAAAAACCGAAATACTCTGAGTATGTCAAACCCTCTGAAAGCTTGCCCATTAACTACCAACCCGAAGAATTACGGAAAGCCAAGAAGCTTGCTGTAGCACCTCCGCCAGCCTCAGAAAACGTCGTCGTCGTTACTATCAATATCCAACTTCAAGCAAACACGAGCATTGCGTTGGATGTACGATTATACGACGATCCGAAACAGCTCGCTCTACAGTTTAGCAGCGAACATAATATCAAATCTCCCAATGTCGTCAACGCTCTCTATAATCTGATAAAACAACAAAAAGATCAAGCAACGACCCAACCGCGCCGACGATACTACCGGTAGTATCAACATATCATCATTATATCCTTGTCAAATAGTCATTGCATCAATTTCATTTCTCGCCATAAAATAAAAACAGTCCGTCTCCCTTCATCCAGATCCATCAAGACCCAGTTATCGATTCAAATGCCGGGCAGGCGAGACGGCAAGGCACGAAATATAAAGCACAAAAATTTCGTAAGGGAGACTTTTTAGAGTGGTGTTTGATGAATGAATTCTAGTTGTTTTATATATAGCTATGAAAGAAAAAAAAGGGAGCAGTAAATGAAAAAACATAACAAGGCATGAAAGAATGGAAAGAAAATTGATAGATTTAACATTGTTTAACAAATGACAAGGATAGGATTTATCGCCAATCACGGGTGCCCATGGAGGTCTTGCTGCTAAACAGATGTTTGGGCATCTTGGTTTGGATTTGACGATCGGCTTCACCACGCTTACCAAACTTGGCAGCTTGCTTCTGAACGTATTTCTTTTGCTTATCAGCTTCCATTTTCTGTTTGACGTTTCGGAAACCGAGATTGCTCATCTCTGCAGATACCGCTTCTTCGCGTGTTGCCACATCAGCATCACGAACCGCTTCATCAGGAATAGCTTCGGCACGAGTACGCTTGCGATTAGCATTACGTCCTCGTTCCATAGCTGCTTCCGCATCAAGACCCATCTTGCTCAAATGTTCGCCCATATCATCCACAGTGGCACGCTAAAGAGACAAAAAAAAAACAATTCATTAGCTATGATGTCCCGTCCTGCATCGTAAAAACGAAAAAACAATATAATTTACCTTGGCAGCCACCTTCTTGGGTATAATGGGGTAATTCTTGCCGCGCGCAGCACGATGTTGCTTGATAATGATCTTCTTACGATCGCGAATAGCATCGGCAGTGCTTCGGAGAATCTCTTCATCGCTATCCATGGTAGCAGCATCCTCGTTATAGAAACCTTCTTGCTCAAGACGTTCTTCTTCACGTTCCAAGGCTTCGAGTTTCTCCTCAATGTCAGGATCAATAAAGTCAGCCACATTGCGACCATCCAAGAATTCGGGAATAGCATCGTATTTCCATTCATCATTCGCCAACAAGTATGGTTTCTTGAGATCGACGTTGAACACACCAGCACCACCATTCTCCATTTCGATATCCTTGGCCAATTTCGGTCGGTTGGGATCGCTGACATCGTATTTCATTCTGTCCTTAGCACCTTCAGGAATATTAGGTAAGCGCACCATATCATCTCTGGCTTTAGGTTGAGCCAAATGGATCTTGTTAATGATATCGTTGATCTTGTTGCCCTTCAACTTCATCTCCACACGAGCTGCCAAAAGTCGGTCACAAGAACTGTTTCGCACGGCCATCACACCTTCATCAGAATAGCAAGACATGGTAAGCACCGTGGCATTGTCTTGGTTAGCGATTTCTTCAATCCATGCTCTTTGTTCGGCGGGTAAATCTTCCGGCTTCACCTGATCGATTTTGTTGATGACCAAAACAATCGGCTTGTTGGCGAACAAGGGCTTGATGCTGTGGAACAATTTAACTTGGTCCTCGACACTGTAACCGCACTGTTCCGATAAATCCATAAAGTACATGATGCAAGCTCTCAAATGAGCCATGGCGGTGATGGACTGCATTTCGATGGTGTTACGGTCTTCCAAAGGATGATCAAGGATACCAGGGGTATCGATCACTTGCCATCGCATATACTTGTAATCCATGTGACCAACGAACAACGATTTGGTGGTGAAAGCATAGGGCTGTACGTCCACATCAGCACGGGTAATCTTGTTGATGAAACTGGATTTGCCGACATTAGGGTAACCGCAAATAAGCAATGTGCGAGTGTTGGGATCAATAGATGGGAGACGGGACAAATGCTGACGAACTTGTTCCAAATAAGCTAAACTGTCTTTTTGACGCTTCATGATCGTGGCCATTCTGTAAAAAAATTGCTCGTCTCAGTGAGATTATTTCTTTTTTCACCCTCTGCTCCCCTTTGTATTTACCTTCCAAGCGCAGCCTTCTTCAACTGCTTACAACGGTATAACGAATCACCGAATTTGAGAAGACGAACGTAATCCTTGGCAACTTGATCGATCAAATGACGAGCAGTGTTGATCTGACCCAAGGCAAGTTTGTAATGATCCTTATCGTAAAGGACGTTCATGAGATCAGCGTAGAAGGGATGAATATCCTGCAAAAAATAAACGTCAGATCAGATCACGAAATGGGGAACAACAAGGAAGCGCAGACAAAAACAAGCGATCTCCTACCTCGAGCTTGGGGAATTCTTCGAGAATGGCTTTGAACTTTTCTTCAAAGCTGTCTTGTGTGAATTTGACTTTGCGCATGTAAAACTGACGAATACGACCAATATTGTAGTTCTTGTGAATGACAGTAGGAGTCTTGCGTTGTGTCTTTGACAAGATAATGTCAATAAAGTCGGTGGCCGTAGGCACCGGCTCGATCTTCTTAAAGTTATAAAGCGACATGAAGGTATTTCTTGCACAGAAAAAACTTGAGGAGAAGATGATCCGCTTTTGAATAACCTTTTTTTTCTCTTTTTGCCGAGAAAAAAAAAAAAAAAAAAAGAAAAAAGCAAGAAAATAAGCCACAGTCACGATTTCTAGGTCGCCGAAAAAAAAAAAAAATTGTTCGCAGGAAAGGAGGAACTGTTGAAGGGAAATTTTTTTGCATTTGGAGCAGCGACAAAATTTTTTGTGGCTTGAGACCATCCGTGCCCCGTTGGGATGGCTATTTCTTACATTCTGTGCCAAAATGGTTTGCGACTTTAGGGAAATAGCTTAAATGATTATCATCGCCTTGTGGACTGTCGCTCGCTTCTCCTTTTGGTCGAGCTGTTTCCCAGTAATAAAAACCTAACGTTTATGTGCGACGAACGTCTTATCTTCTTCAATAAGAAAAATAATGGTCTGTATGATGAGATAAACATTCTTTAACTTATGATTCCTTGTATAGAGAATACAGTATCAATAAAGCAGAAGGAAAAATTCTATCGGCTACCGGCTATGCTGATTGGTTCTTTTGTGTATACGAACCATGATTTTACCAACTGCCTCCGAAAACACACACGCCCCTTCATCATTGTTTTTAACATCACCTGGTTTATAGTTTTGCCTCCTCCTTAGATGATTAGCCCGTAGCAAGGGCCGATATAAAAATTCGGCACAACAGGCTGCCACATTGAATGCTGGATTTCACAAATATTTTAAGGCCACCTATGGAGAACAAAACACAGACCAGAAGCAGACATGTGTTAGTATGCCGAGGCACGATTTCATCGTCAGATATAAAACTGCCGTATCCAACGCCGCATGAAGAACCGTTTCATGCCAGCTTTCTCGTATATGAGTGTGTTTAAGAGAGTATCATTACACATTATTGATCACGCATCTATTTTGCGGGTATTATGACGAATAGGGTTATGGCTAATAGAAAAATAGTATAAGTAGGTCCTTTACTACATACGATATGATCCAACAACATTTCGATTTTACCATGAAAGTCTTTACACCAGTCATCTTTGTAGTCTTTGCTGCTTCCGCCGTGATGGCCGGACCTATTGCCAAAGAAGGCAACGAGAAAGTTTCCAACAACCTCGAATGCAGTATTGATAACTTATCGAACTGCAAGACCACTGCCGAAATTGGTAACAGATAGCATTATGATATGGTACTTCAGGACAAGTTGCTGACTCAAATAATTTTAGCGAACGTTATGGGCATTTCAGAAGCTGAAGTGCGTCAAAAACAAGGGAGCTGCAACATTGGCCTCTGCATTCCGTTATTGTGTCAAGAAAACTGTGACTAATGTCAGTTTTGGACCATGAAAAGTTCCGACAACAGATGGAAAAATCACTCAATGGCCCCATTATTTTCCTCGTTTCCCTGTTTGGATTGTTAATTCTGTAATAAAATAAGAGCAATGCTCTTTTATGTTATTTTCATGCAACTTGATGGTAGTGTTTGTGAACTCAACTTTGACCTAAGACTTATACTACATCTAAGCAATTGTAAGATGATCCCAGCTTTTATTGCACTCTGACAAATATCAGCTGCTCTGTCGTTGACATTTCTAATTTGGCCCACTCCGCAAAGAATATACATTGTAAATACAAATCAAAAGAGCAGCAATGCGAAGAAAAATATCAATTGGTTCTTTGATAGGAATCACAAATGGTCTGTCCCTGCATTCGCTACGGCAGAAGATGCACACGGGCGAGATTCTTGAAGGACAGACCCCAGCAAGCGAAATAAGCCCTAAAGCAACCATAAAAGATGTTTACCTATGGCTTAATTTTATGTGATGAGTGCGCCATGTCGAAAAGCCTTCTTTTCAAAAACTTGCTTTTTGTGATACATAGCGGTTTCAATAGTATGGAAAGCAAGTTATCAAGAATTGATAGGTAAATGAAGCTTTGTCCTGTATTCTTCTTGAATAGTTTGCTTTATCAGTTGACAAACACGGTAGTGCTCGTTTTCACAGAATTGGCCATCAGTTATAGTTTGACCTATCGCACTCAATTTCCGTGCCTGAGCAACAAGTGGGCCGCAAATTTACATACATTTGCTGACTGTAGTTTCAGACTCGGAGAATTATGGCAGTTCAAAGAGCCTAAACTTGGGTAATTGATAGCTGGCAGTGATCAACTGGACCGGGCCAGCATCTGCTGTGAACAAAGTAAGAGTTATGGTCAGTTCTATTATCCAGTTCAATAGTTTGTCCGCAAATTCCCACCTCAAAATTGACAACTTGATAATTTAATTCTACTAAGATATGATTGTGGTTGATAATTGCAGTAACGGTAACGACCAAATTGTAGGTTTATTATCATGCTATTGAGGGATCATACTTGGTGCCCGATAACATCAGGAACTGTGTCTAGTTGCTTCAATATCGAACTCTGCTCCATGTTGTATCTACTAAGTGTGCTTCATCTATCAACCGATTTGTGCCTGCAGGATATGGCCAAACAAGTTTGATCTACTGCTGATAAGCAATCACAGACCGGAGTTATGCGACTCCGTTTGCCCGAAAAGGTGACTTTACTTTTGTGAATTTTGAGCGTCATGTAATAAAAAGGTGAAAATCGGTTTCATTGGCTCGTGTTCCCAAGAATGAAAGGGCTTGACCGACTTGTCAATTACGGTTTTGTTCTTCCCTTTTGCCTCTCTTTTTTTATCCTTTTTTATTTTTTCATTCCCAGGTCGTCTCACATACCATTGCAGATGAACATTGGATATCCTTGTTCACAGCATTAGTGTCTTTCATCTCATTGAATTTAGTGAATATTTGCACCCCACGAGAATCACACTCCTTACTCCAGCGGTAACTTTTTTTTTACCCCACTCCATTCCTTCGTTTCCTTTTTACTATAAAACTTGACTATGCAACCATCCATTCCCGATCCTGATTCTCCATCTGATTCGCTCGTGCCTTCATCTCTCCTCAATTGCTCCACTTGTAAACAGCCAATTGCCGGTGAACTCCTTCGCGCCCTGGATGGCGTTTATCATTGGGAATGTTTCATCTGCTTGGTACGTTCAGGGCATAAAATAACGGGCTCTTATCACCATTCCCAATTCCCCAACTTCTCCCGCACACAGAACCTGATGTCGTTTTTTTTCTCCCACTGCATCTGTAACTAACAGTTTTTCACTTAGGACTGTGGTGAACCCGTCGCTCGCAAATATTTTCCCATCGAGACCAGCGATGGAACCCAGAAACCGCTTTGTGAGCGGCACTATTTCAAACGATTAAACCTCGTGTGCGATCAATGTGGTGAAGCTTTGCGGGGATCCTACATTACAGCTGTCGGAAAAAACTTTCATTTGGCTCATTTCTGTTGCAGCATCTGTGGTGAAGTCTTTGGTCCAGATGATTCCTACTATGAGCACGGCGACAATGTTTACTGCCACTATCACTATTCTGTCAATTTCGCCATCAAGTGCGCAGGTTGCCAGACAGCCATCCTCAAACAATTTGTCGAAATCAATAGAAACAACACTGACGAACATTGGCATCCGGAATGCTACATGATTCACAAAGTACGCAAACCTTTTCCATTTTCCTTTTTTTTTTTCTGAGGGTTGACGAGTTGGGGGAGGGGGAGAGGTTTGTCCCGGTCATGCCATTGCTATTGTTACGTTGTATCTAATGCTCGGTTCTTTTTACTTGCAATTTAGTTTTGGAACGTCAAATTGGCTCAACCTTTCAGCATCAAGAGTGCATCAAAGGAAGAAGGTGACGTTCGTACAGGTAAATGCAAGATACAAGGGAAATCCAGGGGATCCAAAAAAAATGGTGCAAAAATGGCTGAGATTGCTAAATTGAACAAAAAAATTAAATAAATTAGATGTCAGCCTACTGACAGCCGACGAACTCAGAGAAGCCCAAACTGCCATGGAGGACAAAGTGTACCGGATCTGGACGGTGCTAACTGCCTTTGAAGGTGACTATCACACCGTGACGCTTTTTTTTCTTGCATTTGCAGAGCCCTGGATCACTGATGGGTAATCTTGATCTTTTGCTTCAGAATCGGCGGCGGCTTGCATTTCGGACATGTTGGTTCATGTGTCCGAGGGAAGTTACGTGGAAAGCGTACGCATGGCTGATTACTTTATTGCGCACGTGGACGTTCTTTTCACCGCCATCGATGAATTGGCTGTGCACTATTACACAGCCTCAAAAGAACAACTCAGCTATGAACGTGAAGCCAAGATGATCTGCACCAACGTTATAAACTTTTTCTCCCTTCTTTCTCATACCCAAGAAAGCGGTCTACGCGGCATCGGTATCACCCAGGAACTATTGACTCTCGTCAGCGGACTGGCGCAGTATCTCAAGGCGCTCATACGTATTGGTCTCACAGGTGCACTGCGACTGGTAAGAAACGAATGATGGGGCTGCAGCAGCAGGTTATAACACACAAACGGTGTCCTATTTAGGAGAAAAAGTATGATATCAAGTCCACTGCCATCAGTCATTTTTTGACCCAACTAATGCAGCTTGCGAATAAGCGCCATTCGTATGCCCTGGGAGAAGCAGCAGCGACGTCCGATTTATGTCAGTCCTGTCGAATGACTTGCGAAGACCAATGTTACCGCTTGAAGCAGTACCGATGGCATGATCAGTGCTTTGCATGCTCCAAGTGTTGTATTCCACTTCGCGATCAGTATCAGGAAGCCTTTGTCAATCCCGATGAATTCACGCTACTTTGCAGCAGCTGTGGCAAAGGCATTGACGGTTTATGGCAAGGTTTTGAACGTATGACCAAGCTGCAACAGTTCTCCTTTTTGCTCAGTGTCTCGCTGCGAAGGCTTTACAGTCTTCTCAACGTTCCCGGTATGACTATTATCTTTCTCTTTTCTCTACAGAGGTGCTCATGCTTTTTTTTCCCTCTTTAGATCCGTTGATGGCGTACTATGGCCAGATTAATGGTCAAGCTCCCAACTTCCCGCAGGACGATCAGGTATCTTCCGACGACGTTCATCAGCGATCGACCAATCCATCGGGATCCGTTGATGAGCCGAACGAATCCATCAATTTGCAAGATATCAAGCGGGTGAAATCGACGCATATGAACCGTAGCATGACCAATTCTCACCGTGTGGCTAAGCGATCAACGCTGATGGAAACCCCTAGTCCCACCACGGCCTACGTTAGTCAAGCAGGTGATGCTAGCAGTGAACGGCCTGCCAGTTCTATCCTAGACGGAGACAAGGGCAGAAACCTCACCCAGGCTTCCTCAATGTATGAAACTGCCGACAACGGATCATCGAATAACGATATACCCTCCGTTGTATTGCCACCCAACGGACAGCAGCAGCAGCAGCAACGTCATCAATCCGTGCAGAGTTATACCAAATTGAAGCCAAAGGCCAAATGCTATTACCTTGCCGAATTGGGTGCTTTGGATCACTTTATGTTGAAACATATTGCCGTTCTCTATCTGGAAGAAATTCTCAAAGACCAATTTACATTGGAAGAGCTGGCCGACCTCATCGATGACCGCAAGAATTCCACGCTTTGGGGAAAATTCGTCACCAGTCTCCGAGCAGGCGGCAATAAAAAGATGCCTCGACCTAAAGGTAAAGCACAAGTAACTCATTTTCTTTGACGATTCTCATAACTGATCTGGTGGTTTTTCTGAGCAGAAGGAACTTTTGGGGTTCCTCTTGATCTGCTGGTTGAGAAAAATGGCGTCGATTCCACTCTAGGCGCTGGTCCAACGCGCATTCGCATCCCAGCTTTCATTGATGACAGCATCATGGCCATGAAGCAAATGGGTAAGCATCCATGGGAGTCAGGAGATAATGGGGGTTCTTGAGCCGGTGAAATCTAATGTTGGCGAGTTAGACATGTCCATTGAAGGGATTTTCCGCAAGAATGGCAATATTCGTCGTTTGAAGGAATTGACCGAGTTGATCGATCGAAATCCTAGTGATGTCGATCTGATGAACGAAACGCCTGTACAAGTAGCAGCATTGACCAAGAAATTCTTGCGTGAATTGCCTGATCCATTGCTGACCTTCAAATTGCATAAGCTGTTCATTGTGGCACAGAGTAAGTGACAGAACATTGAACTAGGCTTGGTATATGCAAAGCTGACCTTTTTTTTTTTTTTAAAAAAAAAAAAAAAAAAAAAAAAAAAACTCGATAAAGAACTTGATTCTGAAGCCGAACGAAAGCGTGTGATGCATTTGGCTTGTTGCTTGTTACCGAAACCGAATCGTGATACCATGGAAGTGTTATTCCTCTTTATTCAATGGGTAGCAACCTTTGCGCACATGGGTGAAGACATTGGCAGTAAAATGGACATCACGAATTTGGCGACCGTTTTAGCTCCCAATATTCTGTACTCGAAAAGCAAAGATATTGCCAAGGACGAATCGTTCTGCAGTATTGAAGCAGTTAAAATGCTGTTGCAATATCAAGAAGAATTCTCCACAGTAAGTCCTTTTTTTTGTTATCATTTCACTTGCTTGCTTGCATGAAGAATACTCAATGTGATTAATACGACTTTTTTTTTTTTTTTTCATCCAGGTACCTGAAGATTTTGTCCCATTACTGCAAAATCTGACCTATGCGGAAGATGATATGGATTTGAATGTGCGACATATTTTGAAACGGTGTGAAATGGTCATGAAGATGAAGCGATCGCACTCTACTCAAGGCAATCTTCCACCTGCTTTACCAAGACAACATTCATCGCCCGCCGCGGTACAAACGGAATCGGTCAACGGCGATCAGGATCTCCATTACAGTTATCAGCTTTCCTCCTCTCCCGAATACATCTCCGCTCCCCCACCTGCAGTATTAACCTCTGTTCCTTCGTTACCGACATTACGATCGCAAACCTCACCGCAACTGAATAAGGTCCACATGACAGGTGCCTCCGTATCCATGATCAAGGAGGGTTCAAGTTGACGGAAACAAGACGGTCGATTTTGAAAAATCATTTTCCCTTTTTTATTTTTATTTTTCGTTCTTCTTTACCCTTTGATTTATTGACTTGTTTAAGCAAGGTTACTGGAAAAATTCTATTCATGTTTTAGATAGCAGGATTGATCACTTAACATGTTGATGTATGCGCATATTATAGGAAACTAATGCTGAAAAAGATTTTCAAGAAGCAAGCTTGTTGAAGTCCAAATCACTTGAACGTGCGTGAGCCTTCCCAATGTCACTGAACTGTATGTAAATCGTAACAATGAGAACACATACTCCAGCAAAAATGAATTGGACCAAAGATTCTGAAGCCTAAAAGCACCAGTAGTTCCAACTAGTTGCAATTTCCATTGCAATTGCTTTATGAGATCCTTTTCTTAAAGACAATGCAAGTCGAATCGCGTTAATCATTCTCGTCGAGACTTGGGAGCTGCGATTATGCGATGGGAAGTTTTGAATACAACAGAGCAACATAAAAAAGGCGAGTTTTTGTTTTTATTGCTGAAGATATTCTTTGAGCTTGCCTGTATCGATAAGCGTCTCTACTAACCGCTCACTAGAGAAAAAGAAAAAAGGACATTCATAAGCACCCTATAAATGACTGCTACAGACATTCCACTTACTGCGGCAAATAAGTACGATTGGGATAGAATACATAATCCAGCGGAATATGCTCTAGATTGGTAACATTCGCCATATAGATGTCGGCAAACTAATCCAAATTTGTGATTGTTAGCATCAAGCTGATGCAAAAGAACTTGTTATCCTGAGCTCTGTTACCTTTCGGATTTTGTTGGCGAAAAACGAAGGATTCTGATAAGTTCTAAAAACACTGCCAAAGGATCGGTTGAACACAGTTTTCAATTCCAGTCGTACGCGTCGTCGTTCATCACGCCACTGTTCAATTAGCTCGTCCAGTTGCGAAAAACGTTGTACTTCACGCGCTCCTTGTGCTTCATTCAGCAAACGTTCCAGGCGCAATAACCATGACAATGTATGACGGTAAGTAGAGGTATTTCGGGTCTCGATTTCTTGAGCCAATTCGTGGATGATGGCACCGGTATGCCATCCTTGTTGTATGGTAGGATCAATCAAATCCGAGAAAATGTGATCACCGAAATAAAGCACCTTTTGACTTTTTGGAACCACGGATTTTAGATAAATGAGAAGCACCCATGGTTATAAACTCACTTACCCTGACCTAACAACAAGGTTTTCAAACAGTGTTAATCCTTTTGATACGAGATTTACGTTTCCAAAAAAAGTCCCATACCATCCTGTCAACAGCGAAAAGTCCGTCATATTACCGCCTTGGTACACTTCGCCCGGCTCAAATTTGTCTACAGTACTCCAGGTGGGTTCTCGTGTACGGCGGAAAGGTCGCCGGGAACGGTAAAATTCCGGTTTTCGAGCAGAAACGATCACACAGTCGAACAAATCTCTCCAGTCCTCTCGAGACGTCATATACGTCATACCTTTTGATCTGTAAAACATGCGTAAATAATGAAACCCGCATCATAGAGCTCTTGTCTGGCCAAAAAACATACATGAATGGCAACGTGCTATTGGTCAACAGGAACGTCTTTTTACCGTTTTTGCGCAGCTTTTCCAAAAATCCGACCAAGTTGGGCGCCTTTTCCAGATAGGCATCAATGTCGTTCATGACTGCCATGTGTAAACGACCGCCAATACCGTGCGTCCCCAAAGACGATCCAGTGTGCAGTATACGAGCGGCTTGATTCAAGTCGTCAGAAAGATATCGTGGATGAAAGCTGTATAGGACACATTTTCTCTTTAGCACACGACCTTGCTTGCCTATGTATTTATTACAGTTACATCTTACCTCATCTGTTGCTCTCTGAAATACTGAAGGATATCACTCAATAGGCAGGTCTGTATTAAAAGGTGAATATCTCTGAGTTTGACCGACATCCTGCTTAATCAATAAGATCAGGCAACTTACTTGAGGAATGGAAAATAAGTCATTGAGCTGAAACATGTTGTTGTTCAAATAATCAGGTGAAATATGTAAGCCGTTATGAAGTTCAAACACTTCCTCCATTTTGCTAATCGGCTCCCGACCCACTGAACGAATACAAGTTAATACGCTATTGACCGTGTTGTCGAAGCTTGAATGTCGTTACCATGAACAGTATTCAGTTGCACGTTGGCCATATTATCAATCTTCATTAGCCATCCTTTGTTGTAGTCTGAAGATCGATCATGGCATAAGATATGTGAGACGTTCCAATATTCGTAGTTATGATGTATTACCATAATGAAGTCCTCGAATAGCAAATGAAGGATCGAACTGGAACTCTTTGAGATCCGCGTTAGTTGGATGGGTTATATTTTGTGTTATTGCATATCTGATTTAATCCCTTACCCTTGATTTCTTTCGGGTAACGGAGCATATCCACCATGATATCTTTCAGAATATCATAGATGGTATGGGATAGTTTATCGGTGTAGTTTGCTAAAGTATACTACAATGAATGGCTGGTCAGTTATCTGTTAAAAGTTTCGTATATTTGTATACTTACATCATAATCGAAACCGTATACTTCAACGTTGCTGAGGTGCAGTTCATTATTGATAAAACTGAAAAAGCAGACGGCTATTAGTATCATACCCTGGTTGTTACCGAGATGCATAAACCATACACTTCATCGGGCGATGTAATGCCTAGGCCAAAAATGGCGTCGGGTTCTTTGAGCTCGTGATGCAAGCTCAGTTTAGGAAATTCCGGCTTGCGATCGTCCATTGAGAGAATAGAAGCTTGATCGCGTTGGGCTCTCGTCATGTGCTGTGCTTTCTTTTCGTCATATTTGGTGCATAAATATTTAAACAATCGTTCGTCATCCGGATGCATGCCCGAATGAAACTGCGCCTTGCGCATGGCTCCGGCATTGCGACGTAACAAAAATGAACGAAAAGTATTGAGGTGTAGCATGTGTCTAAATAACAAGAAGAAAAACAATGGCGCGTTTTGGCTTTTCTCGTATTATGCATCCAGAATTTCGTCATATTTCCCCGCTGATGAATTTCGGAATTGGAATGAGCCGCTCATGCAAACTTTCTCCGTGAAATATACATTCGCTTTTGTCATTTGAAATTATAGGGTTCCCAATATAACCCTTTTTCACACAAATATAGCAACTGTCCAAAGTCGAGCACAATACAAACGGATGCATATGTTTTACCTCTACATATGATGAAGTATGTCTTTGTTTTTTGTAGTATATCGTATTGTTATGGGACAGATGGGCATGATCACAAGGGATCATGTGAGAATTTGCAGAGCTGGCTTCTACATCTGACAACAGTCTACCTCAATAAGGGCAAATTATCCGAAATCCGTTAACTTATTGACGCTTACTACACCTGTAAACTAGTCCCATATTCATCCAGCCATACAAGGTAAAGCGTCTCAATCTATTGTTTAGCAAAGTACAATATATAAAACTATTATAAATAAAAGAGATATCATGGAGATATAGAAACAACGGTAAAAATAAAAACTAGGGGAAAGCAAAATATACCAAAGGATGCTGATTATTTGCAGCAATGATAATGTCGCCATCCGTTGGGAAGTTCGCCATCATTGCACATTTCAACTTTTTGCACCCAAGGACATTCAACGATTTGATCGATTGTCCAACGTGTTTCCGGATTGGGGTCGAGCATATGAGATAAACATTCACGTTCTTCTTCGGCCATCATGGTGCCGTCAGGTTGGCGCCATAAATCGCATTGCATAGGATCCTCTTTTCGTTGTTGGATATATTTTCTAAAAGCCGGGTCGCCACCATCGGCTGCCTGAGCTGCCACAGCAGCCGGGGATCCGGTAGACGCTCCTTCAGGAGGCGCTTTGCATGGATGTTCGGTATAAAACGCATTGCTAAACGGCAACGTTTGGAAACGAATACAGAAGTAGGTGATGGCTGCACTCCACACATCTAAAGCTCGACCGTCATAGGCCGTTTCGGCATCTTTGAGAGTCCACATTTCAGGGCTCCAGAAAGGTTCGGATCCGCACCATTTGTAGCAAGAATGAGGTTCTCTTTCGAAACAGGTTTGCACTACATCCGCTACACCAAAATCGGCAATTTTCAAAGTGCCACCGGCAGTCAAGCACAGATTCTCTGGTTTAATGTCACGGTGGGCGATCCCAAGATGATGCAAGTGTTGCAATCCAAGCAGCAGTTGCTTGAAAAGACATGCTTGCTCCATGAGTGATAAATTAGGCCGCTCCGTCAGTAAACTAAATAGATCTCCGCCGTCACACTAATGATATATAAAAGTTAATACCGAGAAAAAATGCAACGCAAACAGAGAAAAAAAGAAAATTCATCAAATTTGGATAATTTACATACATATTCCATGACAGAACACCAACGATCATGTTCGTCAAGCACCAGATCTTTGGTTGCCACGATATTGGGATGACCACTCGCCGTTTTACTGATGCAGTATTCATTGTGCATACGTTTCATGTATTCTCGCTGGTCTTCGTTTTTTTCTCGTTTCATGAATTCTTTTACGGCCAAGATGGGTCCATGATCGGGCGGTTGCACAAGACGAATCACAGCCGTAGCTCCGCTTCCAATATTGTGTTTATTCGTCGCTCCAGAGTTTTTGCCAGAGGGTTTGGCCGGCTTGACATAATCGCCATATTTCTCGGCTAATCTCGGTACATCGGCAAAGGGAGAGCATGGTTCCTCCTGGTGCTGGTGATGGTGGAGGTGATGATGTTGCAGGTGCTTTCTCCAGCTGCTGTGGGCAAACAAATTTCCAAAGGATCGACTAATTTTGGCCCCAGTGGACGAGGATTCCGAGGCACTACTTTCAATGGAAGCACTGCTGTCGCCACGGGTATCTCCAGGTTGCTTGGCATGACGAGGGGATGGATGAAACAGATGTCCCAGACGTCCCGACAATTTACGACGAGGAGAGTGGGGAAGCGGTGATTTCTTTTTATGATCCTTCAGGTCCTCGTCTTCCGTTGTAGTTGGCGTTGTTGCTGACGCTGAAGTGTTGGGCGTATATTCATCATTAGGGTGATGCGGTTCGGGGACCGTAAGGTGATCCTGTTGTTTTTGAGATAACTCTGATGAAGACGTAGTTTCCGATGACGAGTCTCCGATTTGCATTTTTTTCTGAGGCGTTTCCGCCACTGGCATTTGTTCAATAGGGACAGTAGGTGGCATCTACAGGTTTTGAGGAATAAAAAGAACGAAACGTGGAAGGAAGGAAAGAAGAAACGAACAGAAAGAGACTAATACAATAAAGATTGATGGGATTAAATAATAATAAAAAAAAGCTATGGCCTTAAAACTTTTTTTTTTTCAGTAGCCCCAAGCCTGGACAAGAGATTTCACCAATAAGGCAAAGCTTGGCTTTCGATTGGTTGCGCATAACGTCACCTGCGAAGCGGTGAGTGGGGGAAAATGAACAGCCGTCATGTGTCATTGCTCGTTATCCGGTTATTCACAATAACCCCCGCACAAAAGTTCGAATCTCATCCAATATCATCCGACAGACACCGTCCTCCCCCGTTGCCATCGAACAATCATCGCAACGCTTTTGTTTGCAATCCCAATTTTGGGAATTTTCACTAGTTGCCTGTTTTGATCGGTTCTTCTATGGAAATTTTTTACTTTTTTATTTTTGCTAAGGGAGAGTGGGTCATCAATTGATTCAAAAAAAATGTTTCTTATGCCTCTGAATTAGCAGCGGCGGGTGCTGATTGTTTATCGTCAATGATGTTCATTCGTGGCAAGTTGGATTCGGCCGCGTTTTGTGCGGCTTGCTTCGCTTTAGCCTCTTCCTGCTTTCGCTTTTCAGCCTGCTTCAATTCTTCGGTTTTGATACGCGTTATCCGAGCAAACTGACAATAAACATGTTTTTGAGTTATATCGAAACAAACGAACACGTGGGGACGACATGGTGCTATAATCGTACCTCTTTGGTATGGTGAAGACATTCGAGATAGTCATCGCGCTGGGAAATACATTGTTGAGGGAAATCAGCGCTGGCGTAGCACTTGTTGAATTCTTGCCAAAAGTGAAAACAGCGTCCGCGACCTGATGAATGAACACGTCAGTTCAAGAGTGTTTCGTTGGTTCGCTTTTGACCTATCTCGAGACATTACCGCCATCCAAACCGTAACCGGAAGCCATTCTGTGAAGTGGGTCGAAAAAGAAGTCAGGAAAAAGGTTGGTTGGCTTATTATTTTTTGTTTTTACTTCTCATCCAATCTCGACGACCCCGAAATAAGAGCCAGCCATTGGAGGTGACGTCGAATGTCGGGGTTTGACAATAGAACAATTTTTTTTGGACGCGATTCCAATGGAGCGGGTTTCCGCAAAGGGATCAATGGATCGTCCGGCAAGGAAAGAACAAAACCCCCTCCTCCCCATGGAGAATGGGGATATCTTAGGAAGGAATATGCAAATTTTAATAATATCAGAAATACGCTAGGATTAAACTATTTTAAGCGTAAATATATAAAAAAAAGATTAATGTAAGCTCCCTTATCAATGAGGAATAAGGAATAGGGGAACGATAATACAATGGTACGCTGATATGCAAGCGGGTTTTCTTGAGGAGGGGGAAAGACGAAGGAACAAAAGGAGAACGGATGAGGGGGAGGGGGATCACGCAGTAAACTAAGGAATCAAGGAGTTCAATGTCAGTGAAACTTTAGTTCACGGATGATCCGCTGTTTCTTTGCTGCTATAGCACACTCACATAGTTACTGGGAACAATACCAATCGTTCCGTCGTGCTTTCGCGCTTGCCACCAATTGCCGCGCCGATCAATGATCTCGAGTACCTCATCTTTAGCAAACGATAACTCATTCGGATCCTCGGGATTCGCTTGATCTAATCCAACATAAATTAGACCGTGGTCACCCTATGATTCCTCTCCCCACCCCCACCCCTCTTTCTTTTTGGGTTGATTTTTGTGTCACTTACAGCTATGCAATGCCACCGCGTTGTTTCTGTGATCAAAGACGACAGTAGGAGCCACGCTATTCATGGATCCGGTATGGTACGGATAACCTCCTATGGGAGCCACGCCAGCCGCTGAAGACAATGCTATCGCGCTCTCTTTACCGTGTTGTTGCATTTGCATGGTGACTACAGATGGAGTACCAGAAGACGACGCTCGAAGGCCATAGATATTACGAAGTACCCATGATTCCTCGGTACTGCCCACCATGAAAACCCAGAAAAACTAATGATGTGGTTTACATATTCGTGCCTTTTTTTTTTTTTTTTTTCTTTCGGGTGTCGTGTTGTGTAGGATAGTTACCTGCATGATGATCATCATTACTGCGCCAGCCGCACAGGCAGTGGTACCTTTTTTATGCATATACAGATAAGCGTCGATGTAACTCGTCAGTAAAACGATGCTGACAGCCAGAAACACGGATAACTAGCATCATTGTTATTTTAAACACAAGAATGAGAAATATGAGCTAAAAAAAAAGGTCGCATGTAACCATTGCAATTGCTCGATTTACCAAGATGCGATAATGATGAAACACGGATTTCCAGAGCACCAAGAACAGACCAAGCAGTAAAAGAAGTTCATAGATGATGATCCACCAACTTACACCACGCAGACCAGCAATACATGAACCCACAAATGCGACAAACCAACCAATCTAATCATTTGTAAGAATTTCTTTTTTCCACATTTTTTGTCAGCCAAAACAGAGGTGCGATTGCTTACAGTGGCAATGATAACGGACGTCAACACAATAGGATTGGCAGTAACGTGTGTATGATTAAGATTCATAGTGTAATGGTATGAGAAAGGAATGTATGATTTAAAAACAATATATTAGGAAAAAAAAATAAAGGATGAAGAAACGATAAGGAACGGGATTGATCCAAGAAAAAAAAACCACACACACACACCGCACAAAAAAAAAAAAATGAGTGGTAGAGGGAAGAGTGCTGAACCAAGGATCTGAACAGCCAAGTTTATTAAAAAAAAAAAAAAAAAAAACTTGCGTTCCGAAAAACAATGTCGTGCAGAAATCCCGTAATTGTGACAATGTAGGGCCTTTCAACGAAAAAAAAAAAGGGGACATGGACCGACTCCTCTTTGTCTATCCGAATTTTGCAATAAAGTATATATAAAAAAAAAATAGAATAAAACCATCCTTTTTGGTTGATGTTGATTTTATTGAACAAAAAACATACAATGACCACAATGAATCAACAGTCAAGGCAAAGCCAGCCTCTTGTCCAAAGCCATCGATGACATGAAGTGTACACCTTAACGGTACTATTTGCCAACCACAACAGTTCAGTTAAACAATTCCTTCCATGACATTGAACCACATGCCCATCGAGCATGCTTACCTTGTGGAAACCAATGTCGCTGGCGTATTCACGGAAGCACTGACGGCAGACGTTGAGGTTGTACTTGCGGATCAAACCAGCACGGTGAGCGCAGACACGGCTATCAGAGAAGAAGCACAGGTAAGACTGACAACGTCCACATACAAAGATATCCATTGACATGTCTGCGTTTTTTGGTTTCCATGGCTTCCTTCCCCCCCAATCTGCTCCATCGAACATTCCCTCAAACGAATTTCCCATTCGAAGCCCAAGGTTTCCCATCAGAATAACTGGTTCTATTCAAACATACCACTGACGAGAGCCCTTGCCGTAGGTCTTAGGGCGGGAGTTCCAGACGTTAGCGTGGGCCATGATTAAATTCTCGACACGAACGAAAAAGAGAAGAGGAGGAGAAAATTTTTACCCTACTGGCTGAGGGATCAAAATACATACTTCTGGTCTCCGCCCATTGACAAAAAAAATTTTGCTGCTGATGTCACCATTTTGTGACGCTTTTTTTTCGTTTCTCCGCCACTCTGTTCCAAAGAAGTCCATCCAAGATGGGTTCGAAGAGTTCAAGAGGCATTTTATGCAAGCGATCAAGCAATCATCTTAACATTCATTGATTTTAAAATGCAATTTATGGAATTGAATTATGTCTGTAAAAATGATAGCGCACTGTGATTTTTTTTTCAATGACTTGACGCGCAGTTTCTCAGGCACAATTCGTATCGCTGCACTCGTTTTAACAAAAAGGGTATGCTATCGGTAGAAAGATTATCTCTAAGATACAGGAGAGCTGGTGTACTTGAGTGGGAAAAAGCGGATTCACTTAGGAAAAGGTATGGACTTCTTGGAAGGGCACATTGTGACGGTGCTTCTACGCGTCACTAAATCTCAGAGAGAAAATTATTGCAACGACTTTTTTCACGCGACAACGCGTTTTTTCAGTTTCCTCTTTTTACTTATTGTTTTAACGTCCGCCATGTCAGATCATAGCGAACAAGACATTGTCATTGACGAAGTTGCCACACCCGTTGCTGTTGAAAAAGCTGCTGACGAGTCGAAAGAGACCGCTGCTGATGTGAAAGATGCATCTGAAGGAAATTCAGGAAAAGAACTTGCAGCCAATGGATGCAAAGCGACCATGGCTGACGACGATATCGACGGTGTGGACACGGACGATTTGTTGGACGAAGCTGATGAATATACGCAGCCCATAAAAGCCAGTCCGAAGCGCAAAGGAAAAGCGACAGCACGTTCTCGTGCAGGATCCACCCGATCGCGCGTCAAAAAAACGAAAAGCACCGACGACATGGACGTGGATACTGGTGATAACAGCGGAACAGAAACTTCCAAACGCAAAACTCGCCGCAAGCCGGCTGCTAAGAAAGCAGCACCCAGCAAACCAGACACAAAGTTGGTCCAGACGAAATTGGATAAAGGAAAAAAGGTCATAAAAGTAGAAGATGGTGACTGAAGGTTCATTTTGAATACTGACGCGTTCCAATACAGGTCAAAAAGATCGAATTCGACCCTGCCTATGTTAAACAACTCGCTGCGGATTATCCGGACAGCTATTGGACACATCATGCTGATACAGAGTACCATATGATTGACGCCATCAACGAAGATAATCACGTGGAAGCGGTTGCTTGCAACATAAGCGATCAAGGTACATTTTTTTTTTTATAAGAGATATGACAAAAGTATATGAACCAGCGGCAGAATGATGTTAACATCCGTGAATTTTTCTTTGAAGCTCCCATCACCAGTATGGCGTTATCCACGGATGGTACGCTGCTTGCGACATTTTCAAATATTGGTGCTTGCAAAATCTGGGACATTGAGAACGACTTTAAGCTTGTTCGCAAACTTCGTGACAGTGAAGAAGCAAACATTGACGAGTTCTACTGCGGCAAATTCGTATCCGAGACGCAAGAGTTGATGGTGGTTGGCGGTAAATTGAAGGACCGACATCGATGGTCAGCCGAAGATGAGGACAATCATATCTTGCCTTGTCCTATCAAGGTAGGAGCGCAAGTACCGTAACGACGTGTACGCGGGATAATGGAACTCACCCATTTTTTGTCAGATATTCAATTTAGAGACCTGCACAGTGATTGCTAAATTGGAAGGCCACACGGAAGAAATTCTATGCATCAAGACTGTGAAATTTAAAGGCGAAAACTACTACATCTCCACTAGTCAGGATGGCTATATCCGAAAGTGGCACATGGCTTCGGATTGGACGTAAGTCAACATCTGTTTTGAATCAAAAAATGGGACGATGGTGGTAGGTCTGGAACGGGATACTGATAAAGTTGATATCTAGAACTCTGTTGGATTCAAGTAATATGGAGGACGGCGTTACCTGCATGGCATTTACCGTGTCCTTTGTACCAAACACGGGCAACAAATACTTCTTGGCGGCATGTGATGAGCATTTGCGACTGTATGACTTTGAAGACAATATGGTAAGATGCCCCCAAACGATAGAGTGTTGGCAGCCGTGTCCTAAGGGAATTATTGTTTTAGCTTTTACAAACTTTCGAAGACATGTATTCATCTTATTGTGATTGCGGCAAATTTATTCGCTGGCTCGATGAGGATGCATATATGCAGCAACAAAATGAAACAGTCAAGAAAGAAGAAGACAACGAGACACAAGTAGACAAAATGGATCAGGACTCAAAGCAAGATTACGCGTGGTTCATCAGTAGAGGCGCTGAAATGTGCGATGTCAGTGACGGTGTTTGTGAGTATTATCAAGCATGCTTGGGGGGAGGAGGAAAACAGGATTTTGAAGATACACAGCGACTGATTCCAACTGTTGTTTTGTCATTTTCATTGGAAAAGCTTCCAAACCAAATACTTGCACATTACACAAACTGATATACCCCAAGGAGACTGGCGGAAAATTTGAACTGGAAGAAACCAAGAGATTCAGTCATGAAGAGTAAGTTGTAAAGCAAAATGGCGTTGGGGAAACGAAAATCTCATGCGTTTATGTCATCTGTTAGCTATCACGCCAATTCTTGGCTTGTCAAGATCACATCCAACGGTCGATATATCTTGGCCCCCACTATTTACGGACAGATATTTGTATTCAATATCCTGACCGGGCATTTGACAGCGATTCTCAAAGATCATGAAGGTGAGCAAAAATTGTTACTCAAGTTTCGGTTGATCGTACTAACTTAAGTTCACAGATATCGAAGTACGCGATGTCGTCTTCCACCCTTACCGTCCGTTAATCTTTTCATGTGGTGATGGTAACTATGAGAGTTCTTATTTTAGTTGCATTCCATGAACTAAACTCATGCTTTTTTGTATAGATGGTTTTGTGAAAGTGTATACCTACAAGAACACCGAGGACGATCATATTGAAAAAGATTTAGATGTCGGAATGACCGACCAATGAACAGGGAGAAATGCCCCAAAGTTACGCCCCAACCTGTCTCTAAACAATTAATGCATGCACTTTTTTCCGGAAAGCATTTCTTTTTTTTTCCACAATTTTTGCACCAATAACCACATGATTGAATATTCAGTTAATGTTTGAAAATGGGAAGGACGCTGCTGTGGGACGAGTAAGACCAATGTGAATCGATGGGGTTAAATTTGTCCATGAGGAACGCTTTTTTCTTGAAAACATTGTGGTGCAATTAAATTGGAGTTCCGAGAAGGCAACGACATTACAAAAATGAAAAGAAAATGCGCTTCAAAAACACTGGACCACAGAATTATCTCATTCAAATGTTTGGAATTGTATACTGTATACTGTATACTGTAACAAGCTGAGCAGCCAGGGAAAAAAAATTAAATCATGGTTTTTACTAGGCAAGAATGAATCTATCGATATAAACAGAACATTGTGAGGATTGTTATGTCCGTAGCGGGAGCGGGTGGATAAGAGGGCAAATGAATGGTAATGAAGAAAAAAAAAGGTCACATTCGACGATGAACAAAAGAGTATAGAAAAAAAAGCCGTAAGATACATATGATACATAGCACCAATGAAGGCACGGAAATAAGGAGTTATTTTCCGTTTGTTCTGGATGTCGGAAATTGCTGATTTTGGTACATTGAATAGCTTTCAGTAGCTGATCATGCGTGGTATAAATCAAAGAAGGAGAAGGAGATAAAAAAAAAAAAGGTGGAATCAACCATAAACAGGCGAATATGGGAGTTAATCATCTAGAGGTTTTTGAGCCAGGAATGCATAAAGGCCCATAAAGCCTTTGGATTGGGCTAAACCTAGGCATGCCTCGTGAAGATACTCTTCGTATTCTTTTTGGGTGATGGATAAGAACGGTCGGAAGAAAGGCGCGATGGCAAGAAGAGTAGATTTATAGAGATTACCATAGGCTTCACCGAGAGGACCACCCCATCCGATAGAAATCTCACGGTATTCACTCTGCAAAATCGGCATGCCGGCATCACCCAGCATCATTCCTATTTTCGCACCTGCAGCCAAATCCAATCCTTGGGATAAACAGAATTGCTCAACTACAGCGCTCGCGTTAACCATGATACTGTCCATTTTGCAGTGCACAAAAAGTTGATCACTTACATTTCGCTCCCCAGTTTCGTGCTCCGCTGTCCTCCGTAGTAATCTGATAAATCAAAAAAGAATTAAAACCATTTTATCTCCTACGGAAATTCAAAAAAAAAATAAAAAAAAAATAGAGTAGCTTACTCTCATGTCAAGTTCCACACACTGGAAACATCCGCCATCCTTCAATACTCGGCGGATCTCCGACATAATGAATGGCCATTCGTCAGTTTTAAATGCAAGCCCGACAAATCTGATCAATTTGTCAACCAAAGTTTGGGTGAGTTCCTTTTCGTGTATGTTGCATGTAACCCGAGGAATAATCGGATTGTCAAGTTGGACTGATGGGTTACCTGATTTGCACAAAGTCTAATCTTGCCCAATTGAATTCGTCAAGTTAATGAGCACGCTGTTCTTTCTTAGTGCAGTAGTCTGCAATTGAATGCTTATTTTTCCCCCAAGCTTACCAAAAGAAGTATCGGCATAAGGTAATCCACGCAAGATATTGGCTTCGGTGAAATTGAGATTGACGGGTCGAATGACTTGCGGCCACACATTACACATGTCAACACCGCTAAACTGGCAAGTAGGGTATTCCAAACTAGTTTCGCAAAGCCAAGTCGCAGGGCCACAACAAACGTCCAGTACACTTAATCCGCCCTGGAAGTGAAGACATTTGAGAGCTTCCGACATGACATTGCTAAAATTTTCCAAATGATGGTTGTTTAGCGTTTTAATTGCATCAATGTCGGTTGGATACGGCTTTTTTTTTTTTTCATCGCCATTGCTTTTTTTTTTTTTTTTTTTTTTTTTTTTTTTTTTGCATATTACCATCCCAACAATTCCTTGGTAACAAAATGCTCTTCATGCATTCGGTCGATCTCGATATCGTCCCGCGGAAGGATGTAACTGCTGCCATCGACGGCATGATAAGTACGTCCATCGATGATGCGAACGTTTTTTACTGCCACTGGATGTTTTTCATGCGTTTCACGTGCTGTTTTCGGCTTGATACGTTGGCAATCAATTTGATGGCGGGATAAATTACCTCCCATAGTCGAATGATAGGCTATAAACGATATTTAGAAAAAAGGTTAAATAAAATGTAGCCAAAGGAAGAAGGAAGGGGTGGATGAAGAAAGAGAATAGGAAAACGGACGAAAAAGAAAAAGAGAGATGATAAAGGAGAAAAAGCCAAAATAAAAAACGGAGTTCCTTTTTTTTTTTTCGTGGAACTCACTGCCGCCTGAGATGCACAACCAGACAATGAAGGTACTTTTCTTTTTTTTTCTTATCCCGGCGAGTCCGAGAACTGGGTTTTCATATATCTTTTTTCTCAGTGTCTCTTTTCACTTTCTCTCACCCTGTCCAACTCTTTTTTTTTTTTTTACTCTTTTGTAAGAGTCATTCTTTTTCACTTACTTTCTTGTATCATGCAATAAGGTAATAAACCATTCTCAAAGGCATCAGCGTCATCATTCGCTGCGTTGCCTTCTTCATTTGTTTTATTTCAACGTCGGTTAGGTGGCCCGGCATCATGTTGCTCACATATTTTAAAGTTAACTGTTGAAGCAACTGCTTTCTTCTCCATCGACGTTTTTGGGGCTTTGCTCATAAATGAATTGTCAACATCCAAAGTCTTAAATAGTCGCGGTATTAAAAATCAATGGTACTTTGTGAGTACAAAGGAAAATCCTATCATGCGGACAGCTCCAATTCAAAAATATGCTTTGTATTCACCTAACCCGTTCGATGACGTGACACAAGCTTGCCTTTTGCAGAACCATAAATGCGCGATTCACCCTCCAGGAGCTTCCCAAGAGGAAAAAAAGACCAGTGAATTGTCTTGCGTTAGGCTGCTTTGGCTGAAACCCATTTGGATGATTTATGTACTATTTACTGAAGCATGAGAAAAAATCTCCCCGCTAAATCTATCCCGTCACTGATAAACCAAACGAATGTCTCGGTTATCGTTTTCTTTTGGTGGTAAAAAAAAGTTCAACTTGTTTAGGTAATCTTTTGTGTTGCTGTTACAAGACCAAAAGGAAAAGAAAAGCTTCGCAATACCGTTAGCTCCGAATATTGCGTCTTCTACTTTTCTAAAATCAGTAATGAACAGCTGCACGAAAAACATGGTCCGTGTTGATGCTACTATAACCCTGGGCTATCTTATCCCAACCAACCCCAGTGATGGGATTTCTCGCGAAAAATAAAACAAGCTCGCAACGGGTGCACGGATTTACATCTCATTATATGTATTTGGCTGCCAATACGGTTGTCCTTTTTCCTAATGGGAAGCTTCAAGGATGAAATTTGGCAGTAAAATAAAGAGAAAATGACTCGCGAATTCAGAAAGAGAATGCATCAACATCGTGTGTGCTTCTCATTATTAACAAGCCGCACACCCGCTGTGCAATGGATGCGGGCCTGACACCGGAGGCCACCCCTTACATCGAGCGACTTTCGTCAGACAAAAAGCCTAACGCATACACGGCATAACCTGGGCGAAAACTCTTGACAGACTTTGGTATATTAATGACAACCTTATGGCAATACCATGCAACGTGAGTTGTTTCTGAGCACGCGCAAAGCAGCACTGATTGTCCCCCTCAGTTCCATCCCGCCCAGGCTATGATAGATTTAGAAGATGTGTGGGTATGTTGGGTACTTAAAAAAAATGAGTTAGTAAGCTCTTTGATTGATTCAAACTTCGTTAAGATATTTTACCTTTGTTATTTGAGTTTTCAATAGCCATTGATCGCTGACATGACTTGGATTATATGACATTGAAGAATGTTGAACTAGTATACGTTCATTACATCATAGCAAAGGAAAAGAAATGGACTTGCCTTTGAACCAAATGGTGTACCGGAAAAAAAAAGATGAACACCGACCTCTCGATTATTATAAAATGAAGAGAATGAAAGGACATATACAGTATAACTGACAAAAAAAAAAAAACAAATTGAATGATGCTACAAAGACGCCAGTCGTATCGTCAACCACCTTTCTTCAAAAAGAGCTCTACTCACATTTTTATTTGAAATACGACGATGCTCTGTTTGATCACAACTGGCTCAAACGGAATCTTGCTGCTGATTGTTTCGCCTATTATCGTGAAAGTGGGCAGCGAGGCATGGTTGGAAGATAAAAAGAAAGGTTTAACAGGTCCTGATAACTTAGTGTAGATCATGTGATTTACAAATCGCTATTTCCCAAAATTTAATTATGTAGACTAGCAGCGCGTGTTAATCTTAAAGATCACAAAGTTCTGCTCTTTCGGTCTGTAGTTTGTTGTTACTTTGAGGCTAGTGGGAATAGTAGCTGATTAAGATGTGTTTAGAATGGAATGCTCCATTTGCAATATTCAAAACTCCGCACTCGAATTTGTGTATCCAAAGGTCTCGCTTGATGGTTCTTAACTCGAAATCTTTTGTCAATAAGCTTCCATTCCGGTTGATTTTTCGTTAAGATTTAGTTGATGTATCTCCGGTATCGAGGAGCTGCTGGAACATTGCGTAGTCGCTCTGCGTGCCAGGTATAAGTGAAGTAGACAGAAAATCGGCCAGCGATTTTCCGTGACGAGAAAGGAGACGATCAATATGCAACAGAGCTCGCGCTCTACATAGAGGGATATCTGGCTCCTGTTCGCGGGATCAATATTGGTATTGATAATCGAGACAGAGCTGCTCAGCAAAGGTATCCCACAGAAGCCCAGGATCGTCAGGGTGACCCCAAATCAAAAAGGGTCACAAACAACCGACGAAGACGGGATATACTGGAAACGACTGCCGCAGCTTTTATCCGTACGCCCACATTGGCAACACCTGGTATGGTCTTTGAAGAGTTGAGAAATATGCATCTTTAGAAAAAAAATCATCAAGAGAAATGTTTACATTGTGAAGAAACTTCAATCTGCTGTGGTCCTTGGATAACCTGCTCAGTAATAAACTGCGGCTCTTGGACCACCTGCTCTGCAGTTGTATTCCTTGGGTTCAAGGGACACCGTGAGCTCGAGACTCTTTGGTGACTTGTACTTCCACAACGACAACGCATGATGCAAATTATTGATTGTTGTGGCAGGATAAAAATTGATAAAAATGATAAGAAGCCCAGTTTTTTTATGCACTATCTCACAGCAGTGACAGAACCTTGTAAAAAAGCGGAGGGGTGTAAAAAGTAAAAAGCCAATTGCAAAGCTTCACTGAAACCCAGCGGACCTTCCCTTTTACAACGGTTTACAGGGTGGATAAAACGCCCAAAAAAAGATATTCATTATTAATCAATTTAAACACACAAATAAAAACATTATGTAAATGGAGAGACGATATCAAATGCTTCGGTCGAAAAGATGCTATATTATTTACAAGTACACAAAGTTAATCTCGATGATCCCGAACCCCATTTTCTGAAGCAGGTTTAGGCCACATAAAATCTGTAGAATCGGGTATCTTCAAATCACAGACTTGACGATACAGCTGCATGAGAACCATGCCTTGGAACGCACTGAAACTGAGAAGCGAGTCTGGTATGTTCTTTCTGTCCCATAAAGAGCTGGAGAAAGACTTTGGGTTATTTTGTTCGTGTAATGTTTTAGCTGTGCGGTAAAGATCCAGATCGGGCCAGTCGACAAGGTATTTCTCCACGGCATAGCTGTACTTGACGTCCATCTGTTCTGCCCCTGTTAACTTTAACGATACATCCAAAGACGGTCCAATGTCAAAATCAAGCGCACTTTTCAATTGACTTTGTATGAACCCTAGGCCCCAGTGTATACGCTTCACACTCGGATCGCATAAAAGATATTTCAGCTTGGAATCCTTCAGCTTTTCTTGCATACGACAAGCATGATTGACGAGAATGCTGTAGGAATCACCCGTGTTGTAGACGTACAGTTGCAGTGCTTTGAGCAATAAGCTTTTCTGTTGTCCAGAACGTCCAGGGACATTGTAAAGATGATACGTGATAGCAATCGTTAAATCCTCAGTAGCTCCAGCGGCACTCTTGGACGGCAGAGACTCCATTTCTTCCACAGATTTGATAAGATGAATCTTGAGAGAAGGATCGGCGGAAAGAAATTTTTCATCCTTGAGTGTCTTTTCGTACATTGAAACTTGAGTTTCGTCGTCGTCATTGTCCGTGGGAGAGTCTGGTTCTTCGGCAGAATGAATATAATCTTCGTCGGTGTAATCATCGTATTCGTCGTATTCATTGGGATTTTCGAGTTTGGGTCCGCGATACTTTTTCTTGTATTTCGGTACTACTCGCAGAGGCATCTGCATGGTATTCGGTCGAACGTCTTCCACATTCCAGCCGTCGGCGTTCTCATTCACGACTTCAATCCCGGCAGGCGCGGGAGTAGGCTGAGGCGTTTCCACAGGCTGAGCGGGCGTTTGTGTCTTTTCTTTTTCAGTAATGACCTCCAGTGCTACGTCGTGACCTTTTTGCCACTGTGCAATGGAATCATTGACAAGTTCCTTCCACGTGTTATCATCCATTTCACCTTGAAGTGGCGCTTGCCATGCAAATGTAGCCGTATTGCTGGGTGTAGCACCATGGTTTATGGTGGCTGGACTGCGGTATGGCGATTGAGGGTTCATCATCATTTCTCTCAGTCTTGCTTTGTCTACCGCAGTTTCTTTGAATTTCACGGGCGGCGAGGAGGACACCGAAGCTGAACCTGTCTTTGGAGAACTTGGCATCGACGAGCGGGCAGAGCGCTGGGCGGAAGAGAATGGGGTCGAGGATCTTGATCTGGGGTGATGATGCGTTGATTCGTTCGTTGCCGGAATGCCCTTTTCGGATCGATCACCCCATGTTAACGATTCTTGGCTGGTGGACTCTGATCCATAGTATTCACCCCAGGAATCTTTGCCAATGTCCAGCACATGCAAATCATTCTTGTGTTTTCCCTTGCTGGGAGAAGGTTCGGCGAAATGAGGGATGGTTGAAGAAGCTTCGGGTGTGGTGTCTTCAGTTCGAATGGGACCGGCGTTGTAAGTGACCTCTTCGACCTGGCTCACTTGGTGCTTCTTTGTAGGTTGATCGAAACGCGTAGGGGTGGATGTCGAGGCTGGAGCGATATTTTCGGGCGCAGTCGATGAGAAAGTATCGGCAGCTTGTTCTTCGGCAACGGATAGTGTGGTAATGACGCGATCCTTTCCAGCTTGGGCTCGTTTTTGATTTTCCAGATCAGTCAGTGAACGTCGAATCGCTTCCTGGGTGCCCGCTTCGAATTCCAGATCCTCGTATTTAGTCATACTCGTCTTTGATAACGATGCAGCTGTCTGCTTCGTGTTTCTCCAACTCGGTCTGTTCGGTGGTGAAGCACGGGTCGGTGGAGGCGATTCGGTCGGCTTGGCATTCCCACTGTGGGGAGGAGATCGTATCATCGCACGCGATTTGTACCACCGGTCCAGTGCTTTTGGATTTGATTCGCGATAGATATTAAAGGGCCAATAGTGAGCTTCCTTTTCAGGATAATTTTGGGTACGTTCCCAAAGTGCGACCAAGCTGACAACATCAAAAACCGAGTATACAAGGGCGTTCACAGGAAGCGGATCCTGCATCCAAACGCAATCCGGACCCGAAAACTGGAAGGTGCGCCCAAGCGTCTTTGCTTTCTGAAATTCATCCAATCCTTCCCAATTCCCACAAAACTTGGTGACGGCATTCCACAAATTCATCTGTTCAAGTGCGACACTTTTCAATTTCGTTTGCAGATCCAACACCGGCGCGAGAAATTCACCTTGTAATGCGGTTTCAATGGCTTGCGCATCCGGACGGAAAGCCCAGCCGACCATGTTGAGTATATTCGCAAAAGGTTTCATCAACACCTCCCTCACGTTTTCGACACCAATCTTTTCAACGACGACGGCATATCCGCGAGTGGCCGACACGCCAATTTGCAAAAGTTTCAATTCTGGCAAACTCTTTTTCACACACTGAAATTCGCAGTCGAGACCGATGCAAGGGCTAGATTCCATCTCGGGGACAATGGCCTTTAGTCCTTCCACGGTGGTGATGGCTTTGGCGACTATTTCCTGACCGCCTTTGACTTTGATGCGCACGGTAGATGGATCGTCGATAATCCAGTTTTCGGCTTGATTCGTCAAAGGGGCCGCCACTTTTCGCGGCGAGGATTCACGAGAAGATGGTTGATCGTTCTTTGGGGATGAGTGGTGCTTCTTCAAAGAGTTCAATTGTCGGCCTTCACTGAGAAGTTGCGTTATGGATGCAACGACATTATCCACAAGGTAGTAATCGTGTTTTTCGAAAATCTTGAGGAGACCAAGAGCAGTTTCACAAGCTGAAACGGCATGATTCCATAGCTCCTGATTTGACAGGACTGCGTTCTCATGGCTTTCGGGCATGACGAGAGCGAAAGCTGCTGAAGGAACGGCCGTCGTTCTGTATCAGAAAGAGAGAATGAGGCCTTCCACATCCCAACCTCATCAAAAACAGTCGTTTCTGGGATTGGCAAGCGTAAGCGATTTCACACTCCGCGCAATCTCACTTTTCAGAAACAATGAAATAAAAAAACAATCAGATGCACAAACATTTTATTAAAAAAAATTATGCACCCATATAGCTATTCTATATTTAGGATCTCGGATTTATACCTTTATTGTGAGGATAGCATACAAGATACATGAGTATGAATCGGTCTCATGAAATTCAAAGCAGGATGCATGAAAACTGTGTATAACCTATGCCACGAAAAAAGTTCATCAAACATTGCAGATCCCTTGGTAGGCTAGCACTATGTCAATGAATAAAGATTAGTTGTTGAATAAAATACAAAACGCGGGCCATTTTAATAGGGATAGTGGATCAAATGTTAGAAACGTCTCTTGAATGGTTTTCAACACAAGCAGCTGCTTTTTTCGTAAGCAAAATACGGTACGCATACAGTAGTGGTATGGCAAATGTTGTACGCTGCACGTATGGTATAAATTACACCATCACAGCGCCATTTGACTTGGGACATGAATAAATTTCTTGTTTATGATGAACAAGTACAATCATTCGGGATTTCGGCTACCATCGCTTCACAGACAGCGGTTCACTGGATAGGGATGATATCAATGTAGCGAGAACATAATTCGCCTAACTCGAGGCATACTGGGCTAATCGCATGGTATTAGCTTTTGAAATTAACAAAATAATTACGCGTGCAACGTATAACCTCTTTTCTTGTTATTTTTCCATAAGTCAAATCTGTATTTACTTGGAGTACTCGTTTTGGTTGTTGGTGTAATTTTGGATTTACCAGCCAATGCTGAGAAGGATATGGAATGAGTTCCAGTGATTGCTCCAGTGCTAACTGAAAAGATATAGTACTGCATATATAAATAATGGACAAGTTATCAATTAACGCGTACGCCTCATCTAATAGTTGGCCTACACCTGTGATTCCTGCTCGGAGCGTTTCACGAATTGAGAGAATGGGGCAAAAATGCAGTTTTTCGAATTCCGATGCCGACAGTGTCAAAGGGCCGGTCATTGGGAAGGGATGCGCAAAAGCAGACCATTTTTTTGCAGTTCACAGATCATGCAAGACTATGTAAAACGCTCAACATGGTAGTAATTTTATATTTTATAACAATAATACTAACGAATTACAATGGTATTGTCTTTTTCTTCCACTTTCATCCTTTCCAAGTTTGGAAGGATACATGACGTCAAATACAAAACATGCTGCCCTGTCTGAGAAGTGAAATCAAAAATATTGTTTGTTCGCCTTTTTTCATGGCACCCATTTGATATAATGAAAGAGGACAAGTGCATAATGTCAGTTGAGTTGACATTGTAGCTGATAAAGATGTAAAAGTGGGTTTTCACGCGCGTGAAAAAGAGAGACGGATTATGATTCGATGGAAAAAATAGGATTTTTGGAAGAGCGTCAAGGCTTACATTATTTTCGTCGCCTTCTCGTCTTTCTCGCATTTTCGTTTTCGCGTCTTACTCTTCTTACTTTTTTTTTCTTCTTTTCTTTCCTTTTTATTCCATTCAACTGTCACCTTTTTACTGGTTGTACTCCTTTGGTGCGGCTGATTGATCTGCACAGATATACACGTTTTATTGATTTTGCGGGAATTTGGGGATTTTCAGCTTATCTTGCTCATACCTCTTTTTTTTTTTTTTTTTACCCTCTTTGCTGTCCTCACTTTTTTTTTCATATTTTCTGTAATCCTTCTTCTTCTTCTTCTTCTTCTTCCGTTCTTCTCTTCTTTTTCGACTTATTTCGTGTAAGAGAACGAAAAAGAAAAAAAAAAAAAACTTTATTCGCATCACTGACATTTGCAATTCCCGCATTACGAAACACAGACCATTGCGTATCCCAAACGACGGCAAATTTGCCCCACCTTCGTCACGACATGCATAAACCAAGTCGTATACGAAGTTCCTCATCCGCAGCAGCATCTCCGCGTTCGGCATCAGGAGCAGCACCGAGAAGGACTTCGGTCGCATTCACCCCGAATGACCGACTGGATACTATTTTTCAGGCTATCCGACAACAGGTAAAACAAAAAGGCACCGAAAAACTGGAGAAAAAAGAAAAAAGGACAAATCAAAGGGGAGGGGGAAATATGACATAAGGTGGAATATGCGACGATGAATTAGGCATTATGCAGATAAACGCGGAGTCCATGTAACTTGTAATAATGACTGTCCTTTTTCTTTCAGATCGATCGTTGGGGTGAACACGCTAAATGGAAGATAGATCTCGTCCTCATGGAACCAGGGACTAGTCGACCCAACTCACCTCAAATACCACATGGCGGTCATCTGGACGTGATGGCACCCAGCAGCACCGTCGGAGATACGAATTTCAGAACCACGTTGCATTCGCAACCCGCACGACCTCATCCTTCCGCAACTTCTCAACAGTATAACAGTAATCCGTCTCCGCTCCTGACACGCCGTTTTTCACCCGTTTTACCACGCCAATTACCTGATAATTCACTCTCCATCAACGCTAATGTGCAATATCCAGTAAATATGGTCCTTTTCTTTTCTGTTGCTATTCAAACCGGGGATCGAAAACATTGAAATTTACATTTTGATATTCCTGCATAGTGGGACTACATTCCACTCTCTCACACTGAGAAATGGTTTGCAACAGACGATGAAAATATTCAGCAACAGGTACCAAAAGAGCTTCACAGGCTTACTTACTGATCTGACTCTTTTTTATTAATTTTTGTTGCACCATTCTAGCATAAAGACGCCAACGAACGCGAACATTACCTTGAACGAATCATACGCTCGCAATCCGAGCAACTTGGCCAGTCTCAAACAGATACCGTGGATGCCTCGAGCGCTATTGAAACGATGCAATCCATTTTTTTAATGAACGTAAGCTTGGCAAATGCAAACGGCTCAAGTGACTGCCACTTTGTGCTAATTCTACCATCAGGAAAGTGAACAAAAACAACGTTACAATATCGAATTGAAAATGTTGGAAAAAGAGATTGAAATCTTATCACGCAAAGTTCATCGCATGAACTCGGCTTTGGAAACCATAGAAAAGATGGAGTTATCCTCCAAAGTAAGTGCAAAATTAGGTAGCGTTACGAGCTTATGCTAACGCAGAATACGGATAATTGGTTGTAGGATACAAATCTGGACAAGGAAACATTGACAGAAGAGTGCAGATTATTATTGCGCAAACTCCATTTAGCTGAACTTCGATTAGCTGCACGCGACGCGGAACTAAATTATTTACATGACAAATTAAGGTCTTATACCATGCCACCGTATGAATCGGCCCCTGTGTTCCGACGGTCACCCAAGCCGAACTATCCTCCTTCCATTCATTCCAGTTATTTGCTTCAGCAGCAGTATTCACCAAAATTGCGAACAGCTATCCGACCACAAGCACCTTCTGGCGGGAGCCTGTCAGGGTTAGAGAGTTTGGGTATCCTTGCCGATCAGATGCTCAGCGACCCCGACTTTGAAACAAACAATAGACGAAAAAGACCCTCCGAGCCGGATACCGCCAATCTAGAGGAGATACCACGAAATGCATCGCACGAAGAACAAACAAACACAGGCGCTCCAGCAACATTCGCAGTTTCTCATCCTACCGAATCCAGTTCCCGTGATCTGTATGGATCCACGGCAAGAGAAAATGGGCTGGACAGCAAACGTTCAAAACGATCCATTGATTCTGCCAACGCACTTTTAACCATGCCCTCTGTACCATTTGCATCTTCGCATGAGAAACATGGTATGTTCAAATTTTCTTTGGATTGAAGCATAAGGATGTACTAAAATAGTGGTTGCAGATGTGAAACAAGAAGACGGATCCTTCAATCAATCATCGGCCAAATATCAGCACCCATCGCAATACAACCATTGGACAGTAGAGCAAGATACGCAGTTACGGAACGCGGTAGCCAAGTACGGGTTTCAGTGGGATCTGATATCACGACAAGTTTTACATCATACCAGCGAGCAATGCCGTCAGCGTTGGACACACAGCTTCGATCCCAACGTACAAACACCATCACTTGCCGTGAGGAACGTCGATGCCCGGCATTCTCCTTCTATAGCGGCTTTATTGGACTCCAATGAAGATATGATTATGCGCCGTGATATGTCGTCCCAGCCTACAACCAACCATGCTCATTCCTCCAGTTATTCACCCCATTCATATTTTCCTGAAGCCGCATCGCATTCATCCGACAGTAAATATTCTTCCTTTCAAGGTTTCACTCCACATCGATACCCTTCGCATTCATCGTCTCAATATGACCCACAGCCATCCCCTTCATTACCATCCATTCCTACCAAAAGTAGACGACCGCAATGATATTTTCCGACCTAGTTGGGCGTCTTCCTTGCACTTACTTTCTGCAGGGCTTATTATTTCTTCTTTGTATATAGCACTATGTGTTTTCGATATTTGCCATTCGTTCCTTTCCTGTTTACAGTGAATGTTTTCTATTGTATTTTGCCTTTCATATAGTCTATTTTGGCTTTTTAGTTCATACCGACACGCCTAATGTTGATGGTTGCTCCTGGAAGAAACTGTCTTGTGACGTTCAATTAAGCTCCGCTTTTGCACGACGCGTTTGTTTTTTAGTAAACTCTTGTTTTTTTTCTTATTTTCGCTGTTTCTCTTACCAGTGACAAGTGATTGAGCATCATGAGTGGCATGAAAAGAAAATATAAAACCAAGTTTCCCGTGGTATGTTGATCCGATCCCGCATCTACCTGATCTTTTTGAATTTTCTTGCATTGCGACATGGCGGCTGGACGATTCTTTATTGTTAACTCATCGCTATTGATATTGAAATAATAGGCTCGCATCAAAAAAATCATGCAGCTGGATGAAGATGTCGGCAAAGTAGCGCAAGCGACTCCCATTTTGATCTGTAGGTAGCTAGACATTGTAATCTATTGATATTCCATCCCATTAACGAATGGGTTTTTGGTTTTTTAGCAAAAGCATTAGAAATGTTTATGCAATCACTCATTGATCAGGCATGCCAAGAAACTCGTCTACGCAATGCTAAACGATTATCGGTGGCTCACTTGTAAGAGAATGGATATGAGTGTCAAATAGAAGGAGAAGTTCTCATTTTAGAGTGTCTGTATGTTAGAAAGAGAACCATCGAAACGACGGAGCAATTCGACTTTTTGAAAGATATTGTTGCTAATGTTCCCGATCCGGGAGATGCTTCTATGCATTCAGTGGCTCCCATGGAGGATGTGAAAGAAGAGAACGGTAAAAAACCTGCGGCACGAAGCAGTCGTCGAAAACCCGCCGGAAAGGTCAAGGAAGAAATGTAAAACTTTTCCAACTAGGCATTCCGCAGCTTTGGTTATTTTTTCTTTTCCCTTTTACCGTTTTTGCTATTCTTTTTTATCATTATTGTAGATACTCTTTTTTTTTATCCCGCATTGTCTTTATTTTTCTCTCTTACTTTTCTCTACTGTTTTCTACTAGCTAGACGCATAAAGACACCTTGCCTCTGTTTTTTATTTTTCAAGATATTCACATTTGAGAAAGCATGTATTACCTGCAAGCACGTTTTTGTATGTTTTTGGAAATCAGCCAATTCCGACAGGAAATCTGCAAAAAGGGTGCTGGCGGTGAAAAATGTATGATAATTTGGAAAAAACTCGAAAGTGCCTCTTTTTTTTTCTTGTTGAGCACGGTTCTTCAGCGTAGCAACTACCACCATTCTGGATCCTTCACTTACGTTTTTGTTATTGTGGAAGTCGGGGTGGCCAATGCTTCGATCTTTCTTTAATTTCCGCAAGGTGTTGAAGAAGGAATCCCAGACCACCATCAAACTCACCTGGAAAACGCACCATTTCTGGCTCAGTTTTAGCGAATTCGCCCATGGTTTAGATGAAGCGCTTGTCAAAGATCTCAAAGAAAAATGCAAAGAGAAAACCAAAGTTCCTATTGCTACCATGAAACTATCTGTATCAGGAGGTAAACGCCTTGACCTTTTTTTTTTCTGCTTGTTATTCGCTCGTTCCTGGTTATTCATCTACCAACTTATATTGTCAGCCAAAATCAAGGATGACACAGCGACATTGGCCAGTTGCGGCATTCATCCGGGATGCGAAGTTATTCTTGAAGGTGACACTGTCAACGTAAGCTTTTTCTGCAAAGTATACCGAAGTGAAAAAATCCCTTGTGAACTCACCCGTAATCGAACTTTAGGAGGCCGACCTTCAACAAGTGGCTTCGGGTAGCGATGAGGAAATTGCGTTGTTAAGCCGTGTAAACGATATCAGCGATCAGTTGAATGGTCTTGTAAAAGATATTGAAGAGTTTGAGGCCGCTGTAGCACAGCCCAAAGTGCCGGTGGATAAGAAATATCTGGAGGATACAGGAATCCGACTGTCCGAACTGTTGATGCAAGCGTTAATGAAACTGGATGCCGTAGAATGTCCCCCTGAATTTACTACCGCCCGAGCACGGCGACGAGAAAACGTTAAACTTTCTCAATCACTTATGCAGCGAGTAGACGACGCAAAAGTCATTGCCAAAAAACTTTGTAAATAAAACGTTTCGCATATAGAACTCTCCCCACCTGAAGCTTCATCATGTTTCCTGCGCCATGCCATCCATACGTGAAGAGGTTTACACCAAGGAACTCTCGAGTTCAATGATATGAGTACATATTTTAAATTTTGGTCTCGAGTTCAATGATATGAGTACATATTTTAAATTTTGGGTCCAGTGAAACGAAAAATTACAGGCTGTTATTTTTTCATTTTTGTGCTGTCAAATTAATCGAAACTAAGACGACCCTTATGTCCTGATTCCTCTTGATGCTTTCCATTGTTCGTCTCAACCCTGCACATTGTCCACTAAACTGCAGACTTGCTTGTACTCTGGTTCGCCGTTGGTCCTCCAGCGAGACTCCGGTCTTGCGAGGATATCAAAAAGCATGCATAGAGGCGTGTTTGGAAAAGCTGGCCAGCGGTCAACGGCGTCAAGTTGTGTCGCTGCCGGTCGGTAATGTCTGAACTTTGGATTCAAAAATGAATATGCCATTTACTAAAAGCTACGTGAACAGGAAGCGGTAAAACTGTATGTCATTGCAACTGGTGCATTGACCTTGATCCACGTTGCTGAGTTTTTTCTTCCAGGTCGTCATGGCCAATCTGATTCCTAGGATACCGACACCTACCCCTCAGGCGACGAAATCGCTCGTGCTGGCTCATCGCTCCGAGCTGCTGCAGCAAGCGCAACGACAGATTCAGCGTTTCAATCCATCTTTGGTAATGTGCCTGCGTATTATTGTGAATCAAGGAGCCGCAGCTTGAACTAACTTTGATCTTTGCTCCTTCTGTGTCACTTTGGATTTCGACCAAAAAAAAAAAAAAAAAAAAAAAAGTCGGTAGTAATTGATCAAGGAAGGTCAAAACCATCCTTGGATGACGCGGATGTAGTGGTCGCTTCCGTCCCAACGCTGGGCCGACAATCCTCAGAGCGTCTTTTGCGCTATGATCCGTCACAGTTCAAAACGATTATCATTGACGAAGCTCATCATGCCGCAGCCGCTACCTATACTCGCATTTTACAGCACTTTCAGGCTACTCAACCAGAATCCCACATATTTATATGGGGTTGCTCGGCAACGGTAAGAAGACATGACGGGGTCAGCTTATCAGGCGCATTTGAAAACATCTCGTACCACATGGATTTCCTCGATATGATCGAAGCAGGATGGTATGTTCATCACGTTACCAACGAAACAGCTCCACTGATGCCCAACCAATGAACTTAGGCTTGCACCAATGAAAGTAACTACAGTCAAAACAGATGTAGACTTGAGCAATGTAAAGACACAGTATGATGATTTCAACCAGGCGGAACTAGCCGCCGCTGTAAATACCTACACGCGAAACAAGGTCATCTTCCAGAGCTGGAAGAAATATGCGGCTGACCAACGCAAGGCAACTCTCATTTTCGCCGTCGATATGGCCCACACTCGAGAACTCTGTAATGTATTTCGAGCACATGGAGTTCGAGCTGAATTTTTGACGAGCGAGACACCGGCCGCAACACGTTACGATTTGATCAACGAATTTAAACAGGGCACTTATCCCGTTCTTGTCAACTGTGGTATTCTAACCGAAGGCACCGATATTCCCCGCATAGATTGCATTCTCATGGCTCGCCCTACGCGTTCGGCCGTTCTTTTTCAGCAAATGTTTGGTCGCGGCATGCGACTGCATCCCAGCAAAACTGATTGTCTTGTCATTGACTTTGTCGACAGTTTTGACCGAATCGGAAAAGAAGGCCTGGTGACTTTTCCCACACTGATGGGCTTGGATCCCAATGAGATTGTTCAAGGTACCGCTTATAAAACGCGACTGTTAAAGGATGGAAGCTTTTCGTTATTTACTCTTTCTACTGTAGATGAAGATGTTTTGCAAATCGAAAAACGCGTTGTGCTTGCTGAAAAAGAAAGCAAAAACCTTGCAAATCTTTGTAAGTTCTCTGATAGTATTACTGCCGGTTTGATAATTTCTCATTTTTCTTTACAGTTGAAACCTCACTTGTTCAATCTGTTGAAAGCGATGCGCAAGTTCATCTCAAGATTACGGAATATGATGATCTTGGGGAATTATCGATCGACTGCTCTGGGTTACCGGATTTACGCAAACTTTCCAGGAATCAGTGGGTGGGCGTAGGCGATGATATGTGCGTATTGACCATTCTTTCCAAAGGCGTATTGACGTTGACACGGGAGGCAGACGGTAAGTACCTGGAAAAAGACATTGTTTACTGAATCGCGAAAGAGTTGACCATGGATGTATTGATTAGATATTTGGCGGGCCAAATTTCAGCATACGTACGAGCAAAAGGCCGAACGCAAATTCTTTCGAGCACATACCATCAACTTGGAAGCAGACTCAAAGCAAGATGCAATTCGTGCCGCGGATACATGGGTTCAACACAAATTGTTAAAGAATGATAGATCCATTTGGCAAATGATGAGCCGCTCCGCATCCTATCGCGACGATCCTGCTACGGAGCGTCAACTGCGAATCCTTAAACGTTATAAAATCGAACCGACTCAATCTTTCACGAAAGGTCAAGCCATGGATCTGATTACCCGTATGAAGTGGGGCCAGGGCAAGATTTGGCGCAACATTTGGAAACAACATTTAGCGCAGAAAAAGAAGCAAAACAAGGCAAAGGGTGCACTGAAGCGGACCCAGCAACGGATACCATGAAAAGAACCATTTCATCAATAGATAAAGAAAAAAACAAATAGACACTTGCGGTTGTATTCCTGCGTATGAAATCGGACAGTTTGACACATTCTAATCCACAGACAAAACTCGTGGAGTGCTGACATGAGAGTTTCAACAAGCTGTGGACGAAACGTAGGACGATTCCTTTTGTTTTCGTATGCGTCGAGTAGTGAAATAAACGTGCATCACTGCATTATTAAAATTTACAGTATAATCTTTTCCCATTGTGAGAGCACATTTTCTCGGGTCACACGGTCCGTTTTTTAGTCTTGGGTCTGCAATTATACGTTATTGAAGTCGATGCTATAAATTGAAATGGTTAAATTTCTGGATTAGGAAGTCGAGAGGTGCCAGTATCCTTGGTGATACTGATGAGGTATCATAGTGATATGATAGTGGAACAGGAAATCTTGTCAAAAACAAAATACCGAATGAGGCCTTCTGTTGTATCAATGACAACGAATAATAGGAAATCTTTTTCGGTTCAGTATGTTCAATGGTAATTCTGAGAAAAAGCCGTATTCATTACTCTGATGTAGTTAAATATCACCATTTTTGTTGGAGGGTAGGGGTTTCATACAAGGCTGTAGCACTTCATTTTGATCTTGAAAATTCGACGCTGAATGAGTTGTCTCCGATGAGAGCTTGTTTATTTATATATAGTTTCATGCTACGGGGATATGCGAAATAGAATAATGCGGGATATGTAAATGCAAACAGCTACGCGGCGTAACCATCGGTACTTGATTCGTGACAGATGCTGTACGATGCGTAATACTCGCCTGTTTTTTCGGTATAATGCTTTTTTGGGGTAATGGAGATAATGCAGAGTCAGCAGGACGGAAAAGAAAAAGACACGCCAGCGACTGGGTTTTAATCGGAAATACGGTGATGGGGCGGGAATACAATGGAGCAACGACGAAGCTGCCTGCAAAGAAGATTTGTAATATTGGATGATGGTATGAGGCAACTGCCCGAACAGGTCGTATTGAGTATGGTAATGTATGTGTTGATGGTGGTGATGATGATAATGATGATGATGCGTATGAGTTGATCTTGTTGTCGCTTTTACTTTGGCTAACCGAGGTGCATCTGTCAGCCGTAAAAGCTCCACAGCGCACGCTGTTGGAGACGCGTCCTGAATGGCATCCATGAGCTTGGTGATTGTGGCATTCAGTCGCTCTTGACTGGCAAGGTATTTTTGATGGCGTTTTTCTATGGCGGTGCTACGTGATATTTGCTGTGAATGATGGTCGTTTTCGTTTTCGTCGTTGGTGAAAGGGAAATATCGGTCGTGTGGGGTATGGCGGGATTCGAAAGGAATAGGTGACTCGAGTGACATTTGTGCTTCGGTGATCATGTCTTCTAATGATTGGTTAAGTTGTCGAATCAGATCATCCGAATCGTCCAAACTATGATGACTGGGTTCAACGCTTTTAGAATGATTGTATCTCTTTTTTGTTTGAACATGATTTTTTTCGTGTGTCAACGATTTTCGCTAACTTTGTTCCTTGAAAAAGGCAAAAAAGGAAAAAGTAAACAACCTGTCTGTTTGTGTCTTGACCAACTGTTGTAACAGGCAGTGATTCGTATATTCAAGTCTATGATCTCTTTTATGAGGAAACTTGCCAAAAAAAAGAAAAGGATTCCATAAAAAAAGAATCTTTTTGTTGCTTTTTTTCTTGCATTTATATTCTTTCAGCAGAAAAAAGGAGAAAGAAAAAAAAAGCAGATTAGCATACCTAGAGAAACGAGTGTGCATTTTTTCGATCATCATCTGAGTATCATGAACACTTTGCTGGAGTTGCGCCATCGTCTCGTAGAGCTCGCTTTTCTATGGGTAACAGGATGGGTTTGTATTGCGACGCCTTTTATTTTAGAGAGAAATAGATGGTTTGCTTTTCTTTGATTTCTTTTTCGCAGACTAAGCAGATTTTTTTTTCGCAAAATATATTTACCATGACACTCCAAGCATCGAGTGGCTCGGGTTTTTCAGAGTAAGGAGGAGGAAACGATGTGAGGGTGAAATCGGTTAACATGGACTTGGTATTATCGTATACATGCTGGATGATGGGAGGTTTGGGGGACATACAAGTGGGGTGCAAGAGAAAATGTAATCCACAACTCCAGTTTAAAACCTCTAAACTCTGAAGTTATTTATGTGTTACATTGGGGCGGCAGTCCAAAAGAATAAAAAAAAAGGGCCCTCGATTAAAGCATAAGCACGGACAGGAGACATGTGATGGAATTTCTTTTTTCTTTTACCGCCGTGCTCCTTGATAACCTCCGTTATAGCGGGGTCCTCTTCTTGTGGCCTGAGTTGATATATCTGGTAAAGAGATCACGCCACTTGAAGTTGGCTTGGGGACTTGGCTAGCTTCTCGGCGGGGAAAATTCGCTTCGTAATTATTTCCGTATCTCTGTCGATTGCCTAATCGGTCCCCGATATTCAAGGTGCCTGACCGTGTGGGTTGTGGTATCGAATCATTTATCGCTTGCCAATTTCGTTTGCCGGACGCTCGTTCAGGACGATCTCTCCGAGAGACGGGTGGCGTGGATTCTCTTGAACTGTTGCTGAAAAATTCTTGCAGCCTTCGGCCGTCTTCCCGTTCATAACCATCGTCTTTCTTCTTCTTTGTCTTTCTTTTTTTACGCTTGCTTTCTCTTCTGTCCTCACTTTGCTCGCTCGATGAATCTGAAAATCGTAGATGCGACCGAGACGTTTCTTTGTGCCGGCCAAACGAACTCGCTGACTGTTTCATTACTTTCTTGATGTCCAATGTACCGTTGCCCATACTCATCGCACTAAATACTGTGTGAAGTGGACGAAGCGAGTAATGCAACGTTTTACAATCCTACCGCCAAACAATGAGAAATACCGCGCTTCACTAGGTATATTCTTTTTACTTACATCACCATAATGACCTTGATGCCCACAGCAGTAACAAAAAGGTTTTACAGGTTTCTCGGTTGCCTTCGGATCTTCGTCATATACATGAATGAGGGTAGGACAAGCCTTTTGATTTAAAACAAATTAATATTTGTCATCGTTTGACGTTACCCCAGTTAATGAAACAAAAATACCAACCATAGAGCAATGCGTAGAGAGACCACAATACTTGCAGGGACGATCTTCACGTTCATAATAGCAATCCTACATTAAGTTTTTGTTACTCAAAAAACAAACCATACCGAAACCCAACCTTCACATCCATACCCTTTCCAAATGACCGCGGCGCAAACACCGATTACACAGCAAATGCCCTGGGCAGTCACTTCCAGGATGATCGGAAGCGCCACACCGGTAACACTATAATTATCGGTTAAGCAACACGCAACACACTACTCGACAGAATATCGTCTTACCAAGGGACAATCGGCGCGAGTATGACCGGGTTGTAGACATATATGACATAAGCGAATAACGGGAGGTCTTTTCCGCATCTGTCTGTGTTGAATCTGTCCAATTCTAATTAGCACATACCGTATTGGATCAACAAATGGTCTGACTAATAGGATACCTGGTCATCGATCAAGTTTTGAAGTTTTTGATTCAGCTCACGTTCTTCGTCGGATTCCTCATCTTCATCATCCATGTATCGTGACCCTCCCACCATATCCAGATCGATGTAACGGGTAACGCGTGGCCCGGTCTGTTGTTGTATTTGTGGTAACTCCATTTCAACACTGTCGTTTTCCTCGTCGGAAGCTTCGGTATCTGCCGTCTCATCTTGGTCTTGATCCGAATCACTGACTATTTCGCCATCTTCCTCGGATGAAGAAAGTTGTAGCAGATCGGACGATTTCGGCTTGATTTGATTTTTAGATTTCTTTGGTGCGGCATCATTGGCGACGACAACTTGGACTTTATCCTTCTTTCCCGCGGAAGACTGAGTGGCTTCCGTCGTTTGTTTATGGCCAGTGCCATTCAAACCGGATCCATACTGCACCATGCTCAAGATCTGATCCTCCACATCGCTCTCCAACTCATCACTACAAGCTCAACGTAAGATTGGGGAACCACACTGATCTTCTGATTGGCCGTAGATTCAAACCTTGTGTATTCTTGCTCCTCATTTTCATATTGCCTCAGCAATTCATAATCTTCTTCTTCCTCGTCAAACATCTTCCGTTCCGTCACGTTACAGGACCTCAAATACGTCGCAACCGCTTTGAAAGTGGAAAAGAAAAAAAAACCTCGAGTGTGACTGTCGTTCTGGCGGAAGTCATATCCATCCCACACATTGGCGTGTATGAACGCTTATCTCCTTTTTATTTACTGTTCACAAAACGAATCACCAGCAAGTCTATATACGGAGAAAGAAACGCTATTATAATACAAACACTTGGTCTTACAGCCTTCTGTCCAACCGCGCTGTGCCTTGGAAAGCAGCATCTTTCAGCAATAAGTGTTTCTGATCTTTTTACGTGTCATGCTTGAAGCTATAATAGGATCATTGGATTATGTGTTCGGCTCTCTCGCACAAATGCCATCCAAAGTTCGATGGGAAAGAATATCTAGGTAGAATGATATGTTTCGTGTCAGATACAATGATATAATACATGCACCTTCTTTGCAGTAAGAAATACCATGCTTAACAGATGCAAAGCATATTGCAAAAGAACTCTCATATTTAAATTTCAGTCCACCAGCAATTTGATTGTGATTCGCGATATACGCCTGTATGATCATGTGTGCAAATTCAGTTCTGAAATGGTAATTCTACTTTGTGATTCGGGATTCGACAAGCGACAAGCGATAAGCGTCACCATCAGTGAGTTTTTATTTTGTTTTTCTTTCAGGGTTACACACAGCTTGTCGTGCAAACGGACGGGGTTTTCGTCCGATTCCGGCTTTCTTTCTTCTATTTTTATCATGTCGGGCTGAGTCTTCTTCGAGAGCTTTTGTTCCTTGTTCTGCTACTTTCAACAATGACCGAAGACGATTATGATTTTCTCTACAAGATCGTTATTATTGGGGACTCGGGCGTCGGAAAATCAAATCTCTTGTCTCGCTTTACGGTATGTCTTGGAGCTCAGAAAACACTTTTGTTGCCATAGTTGAAAATCTTATACCTTTTGCAATCACAGAGCAACGAGTTTAACTTGGAATCAAAAAGTACTATCGGTAAGCTGCTATCATACGGAAGAAAACTAGTATTACACCATACTGAATGGTCTATTAGGTGTCGAATTTGCCACCAAGAACCTGAAAATTGTATGAAGTGATATGCTACAAGCCCAACTGAAAAACAAAGATTTCTTTTTATTTCATGCTAATGTGGTGATAACGCCTGGATAGGAAGAACACACGATTAAGGCACAAATTTGGGACACAAGTGGTCAAGAGAGATACAGGGCTATTACAGGAGCGTAAGTGTATAGAGGTTCATTCTGATCTCGTCAACCAGTTAATTGATCAGTTGAAAAAAACTTTAGTTACTATCGTGGGGCGGTTGGCGCTCTTCTGGTCTATGGTACGGTAACACAACCAACATCAACTTGATTCCGATACGCTAAAGTTAATTCATTGTTTCTCTTTGCACCAGACATCACACGACAGTCATCCTTTCAGAATGTTGATCATTGGTTAAAAGAACTCCGTGAACACTGTGATAATGATATTTCCTTGATGTTGGTGGGAAACAAGTCTGATTTGGCAGATAACCGAGCGGTGAGCACGGAAGAAGCCAAGGAATACGCTACGGATCTGGAAATGTTATTCTTTGAAACAAGTGCCTTGGATGCAACCAATGTGGATGTCGCTTTCCAAACCATCTTTCAACGAATTTACGACAAGATTCCCAAAACCGTTCAGGGTGACGACACCAACGCCGGATCGCAGCCTGGAAAGTTGAATCAAAATACCATCAAACTTAAACCACCAACCACTGGCAGAGGCAACGGCGACAATGAAACCCAGCCTGCACCTGCCGCTGCCTCCAGCGGATCCTGCTGCTCATAAAATCAATGATTTTCTTCTTTATCGTATCGACCTTGTATATCCATTTTCTCTATGTTCGTCTGTTTAGTTTTCTAGATGATGTCCCAAAAACCTGATCCAATGCGTTCATTGTCCCTTTTTTTCATTTCGAATTTATTCAACAGGCACAGTTTTGAAAAAAAAAAAAAAAAAAAAAAAAAAAAAAAAAAAGATTCTTGTATTCACATTTGTTCTGGCTCCGCTTACGAAAGCAGTCTTCCAGGAACCTCATCTTTTCAGTTTCATTGAAGAGAGGAGAACTATCTCTTCCTTTATAAAGTGTACTTTTTTTCCTTTATCCATTTCTTCGATAAAAATGAGAAAAATATGGAAAAACAGCCGCGATTCATGCTTCTAATTTTTTTTTCGGAGGAAGGCGACTAAACTCTACATGAATCATATGTGTTGTTTTGGATACTGTGTGTTGCAAGTAAAAACGAAGATTCTATTGAGAAACTCAACTTCCATGAAAGAAAAAAATCATGGAGGTCAATGAGTGATAACGATATTTTATGAAATGATTGAAGGAGAATAAATGAAAAATTTGACCCATTTTTTGATTAGATAAACTGGTTTTCCTGCGAAAGGCTTACTGCCATCGGCTGGACCGAGGGTAACGATCACGATCATCCGATCTTCTATAGTCACCGTGACTCGAAGGATTGTTCACCGTGTGAAGCCCTCCGGCGCCTGCTGCAGACGTTGTTGCTTTTTGGAAATTCATCGGACCGCCTGGAGGCGCCCGGGAGTATCCCATGTTTGAACGAGGAGGCAAAGGTTCATTGTTGGAACCTGTCATGAAAGAACTGCCAATTCCTCGTCGATCACCGGCACCACCGCGACCACGACCTCTGCCTCCTTGACCGCGACCACGACCTCGTCCGCCGCGTCGTCCACCGTTTTCACGAGAATATCGAAACCGTGAATTGCTCATCGCCAGCGTCATCAGTTCAGGAGGCACGGCCTGCCCTGAACTTTCCAGATGGCGTACCAAATCACCAGCGAATTTGTCTTCTTTTTTCGTCACTAAACTGTAGGCAGTACCCTTTTCGCCTGCACGACCGGTTCGTCCCACTCGGTGAACATGAGAGTCAATGTCACGCGCCGCATCGTAATTGATCACCGTCTTTACAGCTTTGATATCCAGACCACGAGCGGCGACATCCGTGGCCACAAGAATATTGAACTTATTCGCCTTAAAGTCACGTAGCACCTTTTCACGTTCAAACTGCATCAGATCGCCATGAAGTGCGCCACCTTGTCTTTTGAATCAGTACACGATTTCGCAAAAAGTTAGAAATATTCTAATCAACTTACATTCGAAGCCTGCTTTTCCTACATTCTCTGCTAAAAGAGAAACTGCATCTTTGCGCGAGACAAAAATAATGACGCTACCCTCTAACACAGTGGCAACAGTGTAAGAACCGATCCCAGACTTCAGAATCCCAATCCAACTTACCAACACAAAAGCCGGCTAAACGCCTCATCAGCCAATCCCATTTCAGCATTTCGTCTTCCAGCACAACAGCCACTTGGGTGATATCTTCATTGGCTTGACCTGCATTGCCTACGCTTATGCGGATAGAGTCGCTGGTTACTTGACGGGCAAGACTCTCAATGCGCTTCTGGAACGTGGCACTGAAAAGCAAAGCTAAAGAAACATATTAACAATTTTGATGAGCTTTTTTTCGCTGCTGTTGCCCAATTTTCTTGAAATAGAATCATACTTTGTCTGTCAGGACGAACATTGTCACAGATAGAGCGCACCTGAGGTTCTAAAAAACGGGTTAGCTTGGAAACGCACATCTTTTCTCCAAGCATAGACTTACCAAAGCCAAGATCAAACATTCGATCGGCTTCATCCAGCACCAGGTAACTCACACGTCTCAAGTTTGTTGCCTTCATTTTGATCATATCGATCAAACGACCAGGGGTCGCAACCAAGATTTCAACTGTGCCACTTCGTAGGTCCTTGAACTGCTGCATTTTTGATGCTCCACCATACACAGCGGCCACTCTACAGCGAAGGTGTTATTAGCAATAGATGCAAGGTTAGGGGATGAGGATGCCGCATTACTTTAAACCATAAGCCTTTGCAAATTTCTTGGATTCTTGATAAATTTGTGCGGCCAATTCCCTGGTGGGAGCAAGAATAAGGCCAATGGGACCGTCGCCTTTCATCAGTTCTTCCTGATCCATTATATGCACGAGCATGGGTAAAACAAAGGCGGCCGTTTTTCCGGAACCTGTTTTGGCGATACCAATGATATCCCTTCCTTCCATGGCAACGGGGATAGCTTGCTTTTGAATGGACGAGGGCTCCGTATAACCTGCTTTAATGATAGCGGACATGAGATGATCGTCAAACCCGAAATGAGCAAAAGAAAAACAAGGTTTGGCAGGCGCCATGCCGGAAACACGTAATCCCATTTCTCGTCGAAGTTCTTGTACACGCTCGGGAGTTAATGCTGCAATGTCGGCATGTTCCTCGTAAAAGCACTTTTCAATCTCGGGATAGTCGATGGCATTATGATCCACGCGAGCCAACGGTTCGATTTCCTTCTTCACAGGCATGGCGTTTTCGTCGGAATCGTAGTTCAGCTGAGCATCGACAGCAGCAGCTGTCGCATACACTTCTTCGTCCGAGTCCGCATTCTAGTCACAGACACGGTTAACATTCACTTTGGGTTCTGACACTTTTAGCTTCTGTCATGGTCCTCACCTCATCGCGCACCATGCTGCTAGCGTCGCTTTTGCCGATCGCCACGCCCTTTTCTTTCATGTGTCGTACATAACTTTCAATATGATCTTCTTCTTCAAAATCGTCCCGTCGAATCTGTCGTAGTGGATGAGGCGTTCAAATGTTCGTGTAAAGTGGGCCACCTGTGCTAGCTATGGGAAACAGCACGCATACCTTTGGCTCTCGTTTTTCTGTTTTTGCCTGGGCACTCATATCGGCCATGAATGCGTCCAGTGGATCGTCTTCTTCTTCTTCTTCTTCTTCATCTTGGGCTTTTTGGCTCATAGACGGTCGCGCAACGCTTTCTTTGACAGACGACGGGATGTCTAGTCAACAAACAAACCAAAATAAATGACACCTGCACGAACTTTCGACAGTTCGCCATGCCTGTTCCACTTGTTCGTACCAATGCCTGCACTCGCTAAAAAGTCCTCCTCATCATCGGCTTCCAAGGTCGCACGCATTCGTTTGGGTTCGGTTGGCTGATCGGCATCGTCGTTATTGGCTGATTTACGTTTACTGTCGTCCGTCAAACTGGGAGGCTGGTATTTTTCGGTTTCCTGCGAACCAAACACTGATTTGCGATTGGACGGTAGTCCGAAATTAAACTTCTTGGCAGGTTTCTTTTGGAACATGGAATCAAATCAAAGAATATACGGAAAACAACGAAGCGAAAAAAATCCGAACAAAAAAGGGAAATTTGCTTTGCCACATCCCTCACGTGTGATTGGATGGTTCACCTATTTGGGTAATTTGTAGGCCTCCCCACCAGAGCCCCATCCTGGGAACTAACTGAATCCTATTTGATCAACACCAACCGCCCATTGTGCATCCCCGTCGTCCAGAACAAAGATGAACGCGGTAATCCAAGCGAATATGCATAAAACGATGCCTCTCCTATTTACGCGAGCACTGGTGTACCGGTATCGATGCCAAAGGAAGCTTTTGCAAGTCACCGTGAAGTCTGTCTCAAGCTTTTATTGGAGAGGCACCCTTTTTTCGCTGTCAAATGTAAATGTAATGATGTCCTCGCTTTTTATCAAGGCGTTGTTCTCTTTCTTATATTGTTGTAAGATCCTGCCCGACAACCGCTATTCAACCAGTTCCTGTATTTACCCCTCATTTTGTCCATTTAAGCAAAGAGAACCAATTGATACAGAGTGTCGCGGTGTGTATGAACTTTGTTTATTTCTTTGGCGAGTAATTCAGGACAATGGGATATGATGGGAAAAAAGATGATAGGAAATGAAAAACAATCTACATTACCAAAGTGCACAGAGATTTTTTTTTCGGATGGTTCTCATATTTATCTACAGCTCATCCTTGGCAGGTCTGTCTTCGGTTTCTTTTGCAGAGGGAATTTCGTCATCAAGGTTAAGATCGATCTCGACTTTCTCTTCGGCGGCAGCAGTCTTGGGCTCGTCGTCAGCCTTTTCGGCTTTCTCCTCCTCTTCCTTCTTGGTGGTTGCTTCGTCATGAGCAGTCTTGGCATCCTTCTCCTTCTTTGCAAGTTCGAGCGATTCCTCACGGATCTTTTCGGCCTCCTTTACATCATCGGTGATCAACAAGTTATCAAAGATGGTGCCGGACTTGACTTGCCAAAGATCCAAACCAATGTTGTTGAAATCGTAAGCGTAAATCTCGTTATCCACCTTGTAGTCGGGGTTATCAATCTCGGGATGAACCCAAGGTCCCTTGTATGCTGGGTTAGGAATCTTCTTTGCCTTCCATGGTCCCTTGTAGTCGGGATTGACAATGCTAGGAGCTTCCCATTCACCATCCATATCATCATCCCAATCTTCAGGCTTGCTAGCTTCAGGATCAGCGATATATTCGGGAACATCATCGTAGCCTTCGGGCTTGACGTCCTCGGGATCATCAATTTCAGCTTCATCAACCCAATCTTCAGGCTTGGAGGCCTCAGGATCGTTAATCTTCTTGGGAGGCAAGAAGTCCCAGTCCTCCAACATGCTACCAGCAGCCTTCTCTTCACCGTCCACCAACACTTGGTAAGTCTGATCCGGCTTCACAATCAAGGTGTAGGTGTGGGTGTAAACATCGTTGGGTGCCACGATTGTCTTCTTCAAGTTGTGGTTGGTACCATTGTAGTTGAAAATGGCGTGAACAATAGCTTTGGTGCCGCAAATATCGGGACCGAACATAATGTTGTAATCGCTGTCACCGTTGAAGGTCTTGGCATCGAACTTGTCAGAGAACACCTAAAAATAAAATGTCGGGCACGGTTTAATTAAGCGATGTGCTAATTATATGCGGTATACTCAAACCGTATTGACTTACCTTGACATAGCTTCCACCACAATCGATGTTCTGTTCGTTCTTCACGTCCAATTGAATAACCAAGTCCTTTCCCTTGTTGTTGAAGGGCTTGAACTTTGTAGACACAGCATAAAAGCGGTAGTCTTCGGTGGTTCTCAAACCGGCATTCTTGGCCTCATCGACGAACCACTTGCCAGGAGACACTTCCATCTTGCCAAGGTCTTCGCGATAAGTAGATGGAGTCCAACGATCGGTCCACGATTGACCATCGGAAAAGGTTTCGTGCAAGAACACTTCAGCAGAGCAGACGGCAGCAAGGCCTAAAACAGCAGCAATGGTAGGAACCTTCATGTTATAGTGAATGGCAAGCGCGAAGCGAAAGAAAGGGTGAAAAGTCAAAAAGTAGGAAGAAGGGAAGATAGGAGAAAAATCCCGCGCGAAAAAGCTAAACTAATAAGCTTCCTGGGCGCCTTTATAAAGAGCGATTATTTTTTGATACGTGGCAGAATTTATTGGCAATTTTTTAGAATTGTTGGAAGCATCAAAAAATCAGCCAATGATACTTCCAGAAAATGGGAGACCATGATGGCAATTCCTGATTGGCTATTTTATCGTTCCTGAAAGACCTGCCATATTCAGTAACGAAAAAAACTAGAATTTTCCATGGCATTTGCAGTGCTGCAATAGAGAGAGAGAGAGAGAGAGAGAGAGAGAAAACACCTAGTCCGTGCAGCCGACCAATGATTCAGATGTTATTAAAAAGTCGATTGTCCGGAATCGAAATAAAATGAAAAAGAGGAAGAAACGATTGACTTTGACGTAGACCTCTACGAAGAATAGCATGGCTGCCTGCTGTGATGATTCGCTATATTGATACCAAGCCGTTTCGTTGTTGTAGACAAAATGAGCGACTTTTGGCACAGTTGTTTGATATGTCTCGTATATTATCCGAGCATTCCTAGTTTTTTCGGTTGAATAGGTTCATGTATTTAATTTACCCAAGAAATACACATGAGAAATTCTATACTTGCACAAAAGATAAGTGATGATCCAAAATGATGATTGCCAGCTGACATTGTATTCCCTGACGGAATACTGGCGGTAAAATGATAAGGACCACCCGTATGCAGGCTTGCCATGTTCCCGGTTACTGTACTCGCGCCTCTTCCCGCACAATTAATTGGTATAAATGTCGCTGTCCACTGTCCAGCGTGGACTTAGATGTTTGGGTTTTAAATGATCTAGGAAATGTTGCCGCCATTCCTTGATAAATCGTTCCAAGTCTGGCCATCGCTCCTTGCTGTCGATTATTACTTTTTGTAGCATGAGTTGGCCGATCACATATTCACCGTGCTCCACAAAATCAGGTCCCTGAAACAAATCGGTCAGCTCACTGCATCGTTCGAGCTTTTCTTCAAAGGACAGGTCGCGCCAGTCTTCTTGTTCTGCACTAAAATCAATAACCGCTTGTTTCAACACCTGTTGTCGATCGGCTGGTATCTTATCGGAGCAACGTAATAAAGCCGTGGCGGCCTTCCGAGCATAACGATTTTTTGGTTTTGAAATCCAGCCTTTGCCTTCCAAAGGTATCTCATAATGCTTGACATAGTGTTTTTTTAGCTTCATAGCTTCGTCTTCGTACAGATTATGACAGATTTTACATAAAGGTAAAATATCTCGACTCTAGTACGCCTATGATAAGTATTTCTTGCCATATCAGGGAAGTTGTCTCTGCTCTGCTTGATATATACCGATTTTGATTTAATCACCAAAGGCATCCACCGTCTATACATCTCTGGGACTACAATGTAGAATTTAAGCACAAACATTTTCTTCTTTCCAAGCTTCAGCTATCCTACCAACATGGTGCAACGTCAATTGCTGATCTGATCCGCAAGCCACACAGACGTTTTTCCGATCTTCAATGAGGTAATCGTTTTCACGGTGACCGTTGCCTTTGGCTTCAAATGTCAGTTGAATGGAGTGATTGTCTTCCTTCGTAACAGCCAACTGTCGCTTCAGATACCACTGAGCTTTCTTGCTACATTAACATGCGTGAGAAAAAGCAGGGATCACGACGAACAAACAACAACTTACGCATTGCAGCGAAACATTAGCTTTCCATGCTTGGAATACACTTTCCAGTTTTCATATATGGTGTTGTTTTTACGACTGGGCATCGTAATTACTCTTTCGGCTCCCATGCTACAGTATCAAGGCTGATCAACATCAGTAAAGAAAGCCTTTGTCTGACAGCTGAAATGCAACTCCGCCATTCTCGAATTCGAAAATCCATTTCCCCAAATGATTTATCATCACCAGCATTTTACATAGTTTTTATAGTGTCAACAACTGCTACATAACCGTCTTTTCCAGGAGTCCATGACACCTTTTCGAGGAAATCGCAGAGAATTAAAGTTTGTAGATTACTGCTTGTCTGATTTCACAAAAAGTAACGTCTTTGATTATACCTTTACACTCCATCTAGAAGTACACTTGATGCGTCTACCAATGTATGTCAATACGTCAATACCCAAGCATAGTAATCTACATTACAGTATAATGAGACTCGATTGCACTTCCAAAATTAATAATTTACAGTGTATTTTTTTAGATAATGATTCAAGAAGGAAACAACAAAAAACATGATCGTACTGGGGAATAAACTGAGAAACAAGGAACCCATGATGAGCCGATTTACAGTTTGGCTTTCTCAGGCTCAACCTGGGACTCCAAAGCTTTGTACATGTTTTCAATGTGGTTGGCATAATACTTTTTGGCTTGAGGACGTTTGACCTTGAAGGTAGGCGTTAACAGTTCGTTTTCGATGCTGAAAGGCTCCGACTCTAAATAAATGGCTTTGGCGAATTCAAAACCGCGAAGTGCGGCCTTCTTGCCAACCTTGGTTAACTGATCCAACACCATCTTGGCCACTTCGGGCTCGCGGCAAAGCTCGGCGTAAGACAACTTCTTGGCGGCAATGTGGGGCAACTTGGCTCGAAGCATGGCTTGCAGAACATCAGGATCAGGCACAACAATAGCTACCAGGGCTGATTGCAAAGAGTCACCGTGCAAATAGATTTGGGCAACAATGGGATCCTTGGCATATACGTTTTCAATCTTTTCGGGAGCAATGTATTCTCCCTGGGCAAGCTTGAAAATATTTTTCTTGCGGTCAATGATGACGATACAGCCACGCTCGTTGATCATACCAATGTCACCAGTATGGAACCATCCTTCCTCATCAATGGCCTCGCGTGTCTTTTCCTCGTCCTTGTAGTATCCTTGGAATACATTGGGTCCGCGCACGCAGATCTCACCTCGAGGATAAGGATCCGTGGATAAATATTCCATTTCAGGAACGTCAATCAACTTGATCTCGTTGCAGCTGAAGGGGGTACCCAAATGACCCGCCTGGTACTCGTTTTCGAAATGGACAGCCGTAGCAGCGGTGGTCTCGGTGGCACCATAACCTTCACGGACGTCACAGCAGAAAGCGATACGCAAGAACTGCATGACGTCCTTACCAATAGGAGCACTGCCGGTGACCATGACACGAACATTTCCGCCCAGAGCTTGTTTCACCTTGTTGAACACCAATCGATCCCAGAAAGCATGTGTATAGCCCTTGCCTTGCTCCAAGTTGGCTAATTTGGTAGCAACAGCACGACGGGACAAAGCACCGGTAGCTCCAGGCGCATCAATGGTGGACTGGACAAGTTTGGCATAAATGCGATTCAACAATCGAGGCACCGTGGCGAACACCGTAGGCTTCAATACTTGGATATCGTCCACCAGAGTATTCATATCGCCGGAGAAATAACCGAGACGACCACCAAAACATAATGCCAGCATATCGGTGATACGGCCAAAGATATGCGCCAAAGGCAAATAGGAAATGGACACATCGTTTTCATCACCGCCCAGCATCTTCCAACTGCCGGATACTGCAGATACGAAATTGGCGTGGGACAGCATGGCTCCCTAATACGGCAAGTCAGTAACGATGCGTGACATGTGAAATTCAGTTGGGTTATGCTGTTTTTACCTTTGGCATACCAGTGGTGCCACTGGTGTACATCAAACAGGACAAATCGCTGGGTTGTGGATAATTGTGAGGACGGCGATTCTTCTTTCCAGCGGCTTCGATGGACTTCATGTCGACGAGCAACACTTGCTTCTCAGCAGCCCAAGCTTTAATAATGGCGCTCTTCGAAGCTACACCGGCGCCAGCAGGCACCTCGTCTTCGATAGTATCCATGGAGATGATTAACTTTAAGTTAGGGAGTTTGTGTCTCTGTTGGAGAAGGTCTGCGATATGGTCCGCGCTGCAGATGACGGTCTCGATTTCAGCGTGATTGATCACATATTCAACGGTATCGGGACCCAAGGTGTCGTAAAGAGCCACTGTATACAAGCTGTAGGCAGCGCAGGCAAGATCAGCAATGGCCCACTCTGGACGATTCACTGACCAAATACCGATAGGAATGTTTTGAGTGCGAGGATTGTTCAGGGTATTGTTGATCATATCCAAAAGGCCGGAGCCAAAATTGGTGACACGATGATTCACTTCGCGGTAAGTTTGCCAGACATAATTGCCACGCTGACCGGTTTTGGGATTCACAATGGGACGGTGACCCAGGCAGGGACGATCTCTGGAAATTCTCAATCCTATAACAAAAACAACAAAACGATGATGGTCGGTATGTGCAGCCACTCAAAAAGTAAAGGATCGTTCCATGGATACGGACCATTTTTGAATAAATCATACATCGTCTTTACTTTGGGACTGAAGCTTTGTGTGAGTTCCGTATGAACCGCATTACGATATACACCTATTTCATGTGTAAGTGATCATCATAAAATTATGTTTTACGACACCAGGGACGGTAGGAAAGGAAAGGGTAACCATACCAGTTTGACCGGATCGGCGGGTGCCAGGCAACTCGATTGTCTGTTTTTCAAGGTTGATGGACGGCATGGATTGGTATGCAGGGTTTATCTTGGCCGATTTGTGAAGGAGAAGGAATAAAAAGTAATGGAAAAGCAGACACGGAGAGAACCTATTAATGTTCCTCGTACCACTGAATTTTGGAATAGTCAGCAGAAACGCAAAACATCCACCGACAGGCGGAACCGACGTTCATCCAACTCCGGCAATCGTCACATGAAAAGAGTTTAGGCCTTAATTGACCAATCGCGAGATTTCTCATGAGTAACACTTTCCTTTTCAAACCGCGATTCACTTGAATCAAAGTCAGATATGAAAGTTTTGGATTCATGTATCGGAAATAACCAACCTTCGCCATCGTGCAAGTAAGATTCGCCATTCAAATACATGCACTCATTATCACAAGTCTTTCTCAATTATGCTCTATCGGCTGATTTATTATTTGCACTTGTAATATTTGACTGAGTGAGAGGGTCTATGTATTTCCAACTCAAGTGCCGGCATAAGCACGACTTGTCGGTGGTATTCTCACTGCGGAAGGACTGAATCAGTTATAATGAAATCAAATTTTGATAAAATAATGGGTGACGCTGTACTGCGGTATAAACCCACATTATCTGACATCTCATCCATAGATTGTTCACTGAGCGCTGGACTTGATAAATGACTGGCCAATCACAAAAGCTACGCTTCAATTGAGTTACTCATCGTTCTTTGACAAAGCGTCTAGCAGGGCAAAGCCTTTGATAACAAAGTATCGTAATTATCTGTTGTGACACGCTATTCTCAGTCAATACATCAGCATGGTCATCTTTTTCAACGCTTGTTGCGCTACCGGTCTGCTTTGATCCGGTCGCTTTGATGAAGAACAAAAAAATCGATTTGTTTCCAGTAACAGCAAAATGTTTATTGATATTCGGATTTCAATTCGAGGGTGCGAGTTTTAGGATCGTGAGAAGCGTTATGTCGAGCCACTTTCTTGAGGATCTTCATAATTATCTCACGGTTACGGTCATTCCTCTTGATACGCCTTTTAAATCCTATGAGAAATTCTTTGGTGGTCATGGATCGGCCACGTAACGCATTGATGACCTCTGCTTCTGTAATAGGATCCTGTTCGCCGCTTTCTGGTGATCCAGGAGAACTAGCAGGGCGATTGCGTTTCTCAGGACTGCTCGGCTCATCGGAACGGCGCTCTTTGGTAAGCAACCCAGTTTCTGCGCGTAGATTGCTGCGTGAGTGGGGTGGGGAGCTTTCCCTTTTTAGTTGCAAAGACGGGGATCCTGGCCTTCCGATAGGTTTGGATTTGGCTTCTTTTCTCATTCTTGCAATCACATTGCTTTTGGGAGGGGTCGTCGGTGTTTTTCGCTTCGTGGGTGATTCTGCTAATTTATCTATATCCTGCTGCTCTTGATCTTCGTCGTCAAAATCTGTCCCGATATCTTCTGCCTATTGAAATGGCTATTACATCAGAATAATGATCTTAAGAGAAAAAATATCTGATACGTACGCTTGAAGCATAAGGATCGCCTTCCTCTTCATCGCTTTCGTAAGCTCGATTTTTCTCCAGATCGCGCACCAGCCGTCGCATTTGCTACCCAGTTTCCCGTCAGTTTGCATATAATAATAAAATCCAATGATGTTGGCAGTATACCTTTCCCTCTGAGGATAATTTACTACCACCTGTCACCCTCAATTGAACATCGTCGTCTTCTTGTTCGTCAGACATATAATCTTTGGTTTCTCGCTTGATCCGCGCCTAAGCAGTCGCCGTCTTTAATGTGCGTGTTGATTGCAAGAAGGTGGAATCAATTACCTTGCTATCTTTTATTTCTTCGTCTTCAATTTCATGCTCAGCACCGCCTTCTTCATCATCTTGAAAGTCGTCGTCATAGTCGAGGTCATCCAAATCGGAATCCTAGATGCTGGAATAAGCACTCTTTGTCTTGAATTTTACGATAATAAGCCCTTTTCGAAATTAAAAGCATTACGTGCTGACTCCTTCTTCGATGACTGGTATCATCTTCGTCCGTTTCAAATTTTCTATTCATCAGAAAGTGGGGTTAAATGTGCCCTCCAATAGCAAGTTATTCATACACATACTCGTCGTCGTCCACAATTTTGAACCTTGTCGACTTTTTGCCAGTGTTTTTTTCTTCCTTTTCGTCTTCTGCCTCCTTTTCTCTTTTCAACATCATCCATCTTTGTCCCACCCGTTTTTGGTGAGTATTAAGCTACCGAGCAGTAACGGACAAAATATTTTAGACCTGTGGCTCCTTTCTTTGCGTGATTGGCCATCATATCCACCTGTTTTTCGGCTTCTTCCAACGTCAACGTTTTGAAATTCCGCTTTTGCTGGAATTTATACCATCGATCTACAGGGACCACTTTGAAATCATTGTCCTAAGCAATAATACGCATATCATTAAGCAAATAGCACAACATGATACCATCCGTATTATTCGTTTCTATCAACGTACTGTCAATACGAATAAAACGTAATCGGACCGTTGAGCTCCCTCCAGCGTTCCCATGAAACAATTTTGTCCGTCGTAATCTTCCAGAATCCATGGTTTTTGTTCCTGTTCCTTCAGTTCTCTCACATCGTCCTTGGCGAGAAAAATCTGGCGAGTGCGTTTCTTGAACAGCATATTTTTATTCCGCGTCGCCCCGCCCATGGGAGCAATGAGTGAAGTATCTGCGCTTGTTTTTGGCCCTCTAACTTCAGAAGGACTTTCCACGGTATCGGTTTCCGTACCACGTTCACGCAAAGGGACGTAGTTTGCATCTTTTCGTTGCAAACGCACGGGACGACTAAAGGTTTTCAGATCGATCTTTTTCGATGTTCTAAAGTCCATGACATGATGACGGCCGTGATCAGCGCTGCTTTTTAACTGGAAATCAGTGAACGGTATGGCGGTTGGCTGCGTAGACGGCATGGGTGGTCGTGCTGGCGGAGGTCTCTGCGGCAGGACACCTTGCTGCATTGGTCTAACTTCTGCTCCACCCATAAACGGGACACCACCAGTGTAGTAGGACATGACAAATAAAAACGCAATCGATAGTATAGAATAAAGGAAAGCCCAAATAGAAATAACAACGCTTAATCGCAATAATGATATATAAGTAACATTCCTCACATATCCGCTCCTCTTTTTCCTCTACTTCACAATCCATTCTTTTTTCGGTTCTTTGATACAAGTGTGGAAGTATTTTTATTTGACATTCAAAATGCACGAACAGTCGATATGAGAAATTTACTATAAAAACTGGAACATCAGTTTCCGTCGCTCATATATGTACTCGCAAACACTTAGTCTTACCTGCTTCATAGCATCTTTCTTGGCCTTGCGGTCAAGGATAGCCTGACGGCTCTTGTCGACCTTGAGCTTGGTAACGACAACCTTGGAGGGATGGATACCAATGGGAACGGTGGCACCATTGACCTTTTCACGAGTGACACGGTCAATGTGGATAACCCACTTCTTACGGTACACCTGCACAACCTTGCCCTCACGGCCCTTGTAGGTGCCACGGACAATCATAACTTCGTCGTCCTTGCGAACAGGAATGGAGCGGGTGCTGTGCTTCTCCTTGAGCTCCTTGGACAAAGGAGCGCTCATGATCTTGCGACGGATGCTGGAAGGAGCCGAGAAGTGAGCCTTTCTGCTCTTTCTGCGCGAAGAGCTGACATCTATTCAAACAAAAAATTAGTTTCTTCCGCCACGACGAGCAATGCAAGGCTAAATAATGGTCGACGAAAAAATGGGGTATTGTAGCTCGCATAAACCGAAAAAATGGATATGCTGCGTACGATAATGCGACGGGATGAACGATGACATGGTTGCTGAATCATGATAATGAAAGCTAATGGGAAAAGAATTTTGTTGAAATAACTGTCATTGAGGAGCGATTGTAAATTTTCTCGTATCGACATTTCCCATTGGGGTTTTGCAGGTTCGTTTTGGTTCGAATATCATCCATCGTGCCATCCATCCAAATATCCACGTTGATCACTTTCTCGATATCTGTTGCTGCGAGCTACTCATCCATCTATCGTCGACTATTCGCCGTTGGGAATATCTGCTTACCAGCAGAGAACTTCATCCTGTCTATGTGGTGAAAAAGAGGGAGCTCCTTGACAAGCAGCAGTGAGTTCTCAAAGCGCCAAAACTGGATCACGTGAGTTCCGGCCCATCCGCTTGAGCCGTTTTTCAAACCGCGCACGATCAAAAATCTCCAAAGCGACAATGCAGGTCCGCAAGTAGCATTATTTTTTTTTCTTGTAAAAATAGAAGACCTGAGACTTGGCGACTTTGATTGCGAGGAGACGAAACCAAGACATGAAATTCGAAAAATAGTTTGAATGGTTTCCATGTTGGAGAAACCATGTATGATGTTGGTGTATCGCAGGATCTTTACACGATATTTTTGAGGCAAGTTGTATCATCATATCCTGCTACAGTGATTGCAAGGTATGCGATAATTCGATTTCATGTGCCTTTTTCTGACCATTTGATTAATGACTCAGCTAGTATACAACAGCTGCGTATGTATGATGTTTGATGTAAATGAGATCTTGAACTAGCCTAACTATTCTATTTGCCAGATATTTTACGGCAACACATATTGCAGATGAGCTCTCCCGAAGAAGACTGCTTCCACATGGCTGGAGAAGTAATTGTCAATTAGTATCAAGCTCGCTCTTTTTCAGGTACGGATGAAGTTACCTGATATTTTTGGTGATAATAATTTGCTACATAGTGCACATTGAAAATGGTTCAGATGATAATGCTTGCCGAAAGCGGTGACTTCACGTCCATCAATGAGTTCTCCGCAGCCGTGACAAGTTTTCACTGCCTCGGATTTGGAAACTTGCTGAAAATGTTCTTCACAGAATGGCTTGTTGTTACGAACATAAAACGTCGCAGAGGTAAATGCTTTGCCGCAACTCTACAAATGAAAATCGACACGGCATGTCAGTCAGCTCCTAAAGCCCAATTTTTGTGGTTATGGTTAACATGTACCGCGCAAACAAAGCATTCTTTATGCCAATCGCCATCCAATGCACCTAAAAACTCGCCCATGATATACTCGCCACATCCCATGCATTTGTGTCCGTATTTGTTGAGGTAGTCTTTTTCACAGTAAGGGTGACCTTCATGTACCATGTAAGCACTGGATTCGTCAAACGGTTTGCCGCATTCACGGCAGAAAAAATGCCCCACATGATAGTGCTTTCCTAACGCACTGATCGATTTCTATGTTCCCATCATTTTGTATCAGTATTTCTCCATCATCAGCATCCAGCTTTCCCTAATTACCTCTTCAATGGGTGTATTGCAATAATCGCATCGAGTGCTAAATAGCTCATGGTAATCCAAAGCGCAGTATGGCTGACCGTCTTTTTCATAAAACGCGATATGTTCCAAATCTTGTCCACAATGCCGACATTTAAAGCAGTCCGCATGCCATTTTGAACCTGCTGCTGTAATGGCCATACCGCTGATAGGCTTGTCGCAGCCAGCGCATGCTGTCCTCATAAACGGATATACCAAAGGGCTTTCACAAGGCGATGATGATGTAGCTGGTAAGGCTGGAGGAGGTGAATGCTTTTTGGGAGCTGGCACAGGTGTCGTTGGTGGTATTTTTTTGGGAATTTCATCATGGGTATCCGCGACTTCTTTGGGTAATTTGGGCAACGCTTTGTTTTGCAAAGTTGTATCTGTGGTATTGATCGGTTTTTTCTCGGTTGTTTTGACAGGCGAAGACTGAACAGGCGCTGTGGGTGGCGTTTCTGAAGAATGGCGTACTGGGATTTCTTTGTCAGCGTGCGTATTGCTAGCAGTAATCGTTTGTGGCAAGCGAGGGCCCCTGAGTCCGGTTGTACTCCTCAGCGAAGTGGGACGACCAGATGAGCGAGGGACTGATCTTGATGCGCTGCAGGAATTAAGGCGAGGAAGATCAGCGAGATATTTCTCTGTAATGCAGTTTCTTAGCATTGAAATGCAAACATAAGCAATAGCATTTATCTCTAACGGCATTTATTACCAAGTTCATCGACGGTACTGTTGCTCATGCCTCCGAAAACTTGATTCGCATGTAGTTTTACTCTGTGTGTTAAACGCTGGATATACTCTTTGCAGCAAGTGCCCCCTTTGATGGAAAACAAAAGGCAGCCAATGGCGAGAATGAAATTCAGGTTGTGCAAACAGGTCTTGACTGACCAATCGGATGACCTCTGCCTTCTGGTTACCTCGCATTTTTACTGTTCCACTTCAACTCAATCTATATGCTTTCAATCGTAATTTCTTGAACTGTATGAAGAAAAGTATCAATCAAACAAATTATAGATGTAATAATCATCAGGACAAAAAGTTGAGGTTCTCTTTATTGTTTGAGGGATATTCGAGCGCGGCTACCTGCTGCAACAACAGCTCAGAGTTTCATGTTCGTACAGCAGAAAAAGGAGCTGAACAGTATGGAAAATACCTTGACTAGCAATTTTTGAGATACAGTGACTGGTTGTTCACGCATGTTCAATGATGAATTGAAAACTGTCGTAGGAAATGTAAAATTATGGGAGGGATTCGCGTCTATTCTCAAAAAAAAAAAAAAAAAAATATGAGGATGCTACTTAGTCTGAGCGAAAGAAGCGGATGAAAGGCACAATTGTGCTTCCTCTATTTCCACGAAGAAGCTTGAAGAATAATTTTTCTAGGCCAAGGCCAAGAAGATGCCTGGCGATATCTCGACGTATGTGATGTTGGTCACCCTGAGTTAGGTTTTATCAGTAATAATCGTAATAAGCAACCTTATTCATTGTAAACTGTTTTTCTGCAACTGACAGATCACCCAAGATGGGAATTGAAATTTTGTGCATGGTTTTCTGTAATATGCAACACATATGGCCGTGATAAAGTGATTTGGCTGTTAATCTTTGCTGCACAACAGCAGTATCATTCACTGGCTCTCACAGTCCATGCTGGCGTTCAGTGAACCTTGTAACCATGACGAACCGTGCCGATCAAGGCATACGGCGGATTGTAGCTATCCTCTAGCACTCATAATTATCTAGGCAATACTTCAAAGGAAAAATGCAACATGTTAAAAGGGTAATGGAGATCAAACCTATCCTTCAAGAAAGCATTAAAAACAGGCCTACCGTAAATGCTTTCGAGAGAAATTCACGAGCGAACGCGTATTAAGAACCCATTCAGGTAAACAGATAATCACAAGTGGCGCTGCAGGCGAGTTAGTCACCAAAGAACTACACATGCCAAGTGATGAGCACGCGTATAAAGTTAGCCAAAATTAGAAACCAACGACTTTATACGAATTAGACTCAATATCCAAGAAGCTGAAGACTTGGCGTATCAAATCAAAAAGATCGAACGATCAAGAGAGTTCCTTTTTGCCGCTTAAAGTTCAGCTTCACATGTCGGTTGAGCTCAAGTACAGCCATTTATTTTGAATGTAATTGATATAGCTTTTAAGCAAAAATATGAGCATTCTATACCAGGTTAGTTGCATTTTAGAATTAAACCCCCCCCCCCAAAAAAAAAAAAACCTTGCATAGCAAATGCAGAATACGAACAATGATCAGGTTTGTCCGTGCTGCGGCTGACCCATTTTACCATTTTAAACGTTGGCCCCGGCAAGGACTTTGGAATTTCAAGCTCCTACTGACTAGTAACAACAACAGATCCTGGGAAAACAACCTACTTTGTCAACCTTACCGGTCCCGAGAATTGGACACGATTTCCATTTTAGAAAGATTGAGCGAAAGGTCATAGCAGTGTTTTTCAAAGGAAAGTTAGCAAATTGTCATTGTTCCGAATGTTGGAATCTTTCCGTGATATCCACGTTAGCAGAGACGCGGAAAAGAAAATCAAATTCAATGTCACTGATTTCCTGCATGTATGCAGCCAGATATGGAATGCGGTGGAGCTGCTAGTGTTTCTTCGAAAATAAGCTCAGACATCGAGGTGGTACAGTTTGAAACCAAAGCAGTCAAACATAAAAGCGTCAATTTTCTTGCAACAACTTCCCTTTTTCCCTGGTCATTTCACTTTATGCCTTCCATCTCTGTTATCAAAGAACGCTTCGCACTTGCCGCTTCCATTGAGGAACGCGAGCAAGTCGTTGCCGAACATGCCATCGCCGGTTCACGAGATTGGTATTACTACCAAGGTCTATTGACCTTGCAAAAGCTACGCGCGGAATTCGATAAGGACCAAATGACGACTAAGAGCCGGGATCCATCGCCTGCGGAATCCGATTTAATGCAAAAGATGCAGAAATTGCTGGAGGATTTCGAACGCGCAGGGGAAGACCATCAGCGCTACAAAGAACTAAAAACACGATACCATCTTTTGACTTACCCTATTGATACTGCGCGATCTTTACGATTCATTGGCGAGGAACTTCAGCTCGACACTCCATCGGAACAGGTTTCCGCTGAACAGGATGCTGGCTCTCGTATGAATTACCCGACATCTCTCGATAACCAGCTAATCGACCCTCGGTACGTCGTCCGTCAATGCATGCAAGATATCGCCAACTCTGAATCCGGGGCTATGATGAATATCGAGCCTGTGGCTATTCCTGTGGCTCTGGAACTGTTAAAGGAAGGGACATCCAAGCGCCAAGAAGAAGCCTTGTTACGCAGACTGTTACAGCAGCCCCAGTCCTCTGACTTGGTCGGAGTTTCCGAACGGTTGGCGCAGCTGTGGCGGGAGCAAGAATTGCGCACTATTTTGGATACCTGGCCCTTGTACAACCTAACACTGGACCAAATGAATACCTTACAAAACCTTTTGCCCAACATATTGGAAGCGCCTCAATTCGTGCAAACTTACATCAACAAACTCGTACCGGAAGCCTATGTTGCCAAAGAATCCACCAACTCTAGTGTCGATTACTGGGATGATCAAGAACGAACACTCGAACAGTATCTGAAGGCGCTTTCGCAGTTTGTGGAAACACTGCCAAACACTTACTCTGAGCTCAAATCAAAGATCTTGTTTCATCAACTCCGAATCGACATTGTTCGCAATGAATGCGAGGAGGCTCGCTTTGTAAAGTAAGTCAACCGCAAAATCACCTGATTTATTATCGCGTGCTAACCAAGAGGAACTAGTTATCTCCACCATTCACGCATCAAAGATGTACCTCAGACCAAAGCACCTTTTTCTGGAGGCAACAATTTTTCGCCAGTCAACAGCATCAATTTAACGGTAAATGAGTGCAATGCCTGTCATCTTTTGGTCCAGTGACTCATTCAGTCTTTAGATCCCATTCCTTGGCGATAGCAAGATCAGTTATGAAGACGATATGGAGGTCATCAAAGCGTACCTGACTTGCCTCATTTCATCCGGAAAGCTCTCATCTCTGGAATCTTTGTCGAGTTATTTTAGCTTTAACGACTTTCTCAAGCCATTCGAAGCTACGGTACTGTTGACCCACAGCGAGCATCAGAGTGCAGAATGGTCCAGAACATTAGGCGACCAAGCATTCGAATCTCTTGTGGAGCGATCTGAGCTCACCTTTACCGAGTCGACCGAGCATCTAAAGTGCACACGGCGCCCAGATGACGCCATCAATCTAACGGTTCGATTCAAGAATATGGCTCACATTACGGTCCGCGTGTATGAAATTGATCTTTTCAACTACTGGCGCCGTCATCCTGAGAGCAAGGAAATTGAAAGCAGCAATATCGATCTCAACGGTGTATATCCTGCATGGGAAAAACAATTCGACTTTTCCGACAAGCCGTCCATTCGTGTCTTTACTGAAAACTTTACATTTGGACCCAACGGTCTTGCAGAGGACATTTTCAATGGCCGCGGAGCATGGATTATCGATTTTGTTGGCGGTCGCGACCAGTGTCGAGCCATCGTACAAAAGGTAAATCGACAGCTTTTGGGTCAAATTCTGATAGGCACGTCTAATAAAAAGCATCTCATAGGGCCATTTGCAACCGGTTATTCAAGAGACATCAGCGGGTCATCTTATCGAAATCCTCGATGAGGACAGACAGGTGTTGACAGACACTTGCAAGATTTGGAATGGCAGTTCATACTTCGAGGTTCGTTTTTTATTTTTAAATTAATAATTGACGACTGTTGATGTACTCACAATGATATCAATATAGCCCGGAGAAACTGGCAGTATCTTGCTGCCATATCGCTTGGAAGATGCCAAAGAATCAAAAGTCCTGCTTACCATGTCAGATGGATACTCACAACCTGTGGATTTCTTTCATCAGAAAGAGATTTACACTTTCGACGGCTATTTCTATGTTAATTCCGAAGCACTTCTTCCCAACAAAAAGGCCGAGGTGCGTTACTTTCAAGGAATCGTACTGAACAAATGAAATCTAACATGATCTTACTTGTTGTAGGTGGTCGTTCTTCCCGAACTAAGAGTTCACGGACAGGAAGCATCTCTGTCTTTATTAGAGGATATTGCCTTGGTTATTGAAGCGGTCGATGCTCAGGGAGTTAAAAGCCGTACGACCGTCTCAGACCTTACCATTAGCAAGCATCAAGCCATCCAGCATTCATTTACAGTGCCAAACTCCTGTAAGCATATATCAAGCCTGGTTAATATATGGATTTGGTCAGCTCATGCCTTCATTTATTCGTTTCTATTTAGTGAGCGCCATCAATTTTACATTGACTGCCAATGTGAAATGTTTATCAGCACAGCAACCCTCTCAGCGTGTGGAAATTGCAGAGCAAGTCACTGTAAGCACCTCTGAATCGAACTCCATTATCAGCACACATCTGCGATCCTCGGCGGAAGAGGGTTACTTTATTTACGTTTGCGGCAAAAATGGTAAGCGATAAATCACACGCAAAGGTGGATGATTGGCATAGCAAGCTTCTTATACTGCTATGTGTAGGCGAGCCCATAAAGAATCATGTGGTGGAGATTTCCCTCAAACACAAAATGTTAACCAACAACATTACTGTGCACTTGCAATCGGATAATGATGGTGTTATTGCCCTTGGACAGATCAAAGACGTTGCTTGGCTCCACACGCCATACAAGTTCTGGAACGTGGCGGAATACATCACGGAACTGCCTCCCTTCATTACAGCAAGAGCCAATACCGAGTTCAAGGTTCCCTATCAACCAACAGCAGAAGGACGCCAGTACAGCATGTTCCAAACTGGTTTCAGAGGGTAACTTCCTTGTTCGAAAATTTTTTGGGCTTACATGGTATCTAATCATATGATAACGTAGCAACGCATTGCATGACGTTTCGGCCCATGTCCATTGCGAGAGCACTTTCCTCACCATTTCTGGCTTACAAGAAGGAAAGTACAAGCTGTTCTTGGCCGATACCCCCGATGGAGCTCAGTCGATTGAATGCACCATCATCGATACCCAAGCATCCCACCCGTTGAACAACAAAACGTATTGGGCTTCCTGGCTTTTTGGTCGTTCGCTGTGTGGCGAGGGTAGTGGTTCCTTGGTCACCAGTCCCTTAAGCGTCGAACATGTCGCCTCTACTGATGAAAAGCTTCAGTTCCAGGTTAACAATGGCAACAATTACCCAGCCTTGGTGCTGCTGACTACCTCGACTTTTGTTCCGCTTTCTTCCTATAGCCTAAGTGCTAAAACGGTGAAGAATCGAACCCTTCGATGGCTGCCTCAATCGTACTCCACGATTGATACTCCCTCTATTTTCATGTCTGGACGGAAGCTCAGTGAGGAGCATCAATACATTATGAATCGTCAACGTGCTGTGAAACGTGTGGGAAGCACGCTCACAAAACCGTCGTTGCTCATTAACCCAATGGTAAGCACCTCTCATTGCTGCCCTCAGGGACTCGACGGCCACCAACGCTAATGTTTCACATGTATACAGAAACACGCATCGACAGATACAAGCGCTCGCCATTTAGCCGAAGAAAATGACTTTGTACATATTGGCAAGAAAAAGAGAAAAGTTGGCTCAAGATATTTTCCTACCGAGGCAGCCTATTGCTGTGCCGCACCCATGAATACCAATTACATGATAGCTGATACTGGTAAGGCAGCAAAAGAAAAAGAAAACACAAAACATGGCCTTATCCGCTCAATGTGATGAACTCCTGAAATGTAAAATGTGCTAGGTTTCCTTGATTATCAATACCGTGTGCTGCAACTTCAACCTGGCTCCAACGGAGAATTGCATATTGATCGATCCGAACTCGGTGATGGTAACATTCTACAACTTGTTGTATTGTCCGGAGAACAGAGAATAGCCAAACGGATGGTCCTCGAAGGTGCTTCATTGGATCTTCAGACAACCAATCTGTGTCAGCAAGCTCAAGGCATTGATAAAACGAAAGCCTATATCCAACCAAAATGTGTGCGTGTATTGAACGACAACGATTCCTTCACGTTACCTTCGCAACATAAATGGGAAATGGTGAACACCTTCCAGAAGCTCTTCCACCTTATCGAAGTACTGTCGCCTGAGGTATTTTCCGCTGATCTTGCCGAATTCTCTTTCTTGGTGGACTGGCCCACCTATGATGTTTCAAGAAAGCTTGAAACTTATCGATATCACGATTGTTATGAATTGGCTTTATGGTTGAAACATAAAGATCAAGCATTTTTCACGCAATACATTTTACCCACAATTCAGGTAAGTAAAAGGTCCTGCAGGATGTTTACCAATGATGCACAGAAAATTAAAATATGACTCGTTACTAGAGCAAGATCCAAAAATCCTTTATGGATTGGTACCTAGTCGACGGTGACTTGACGGCCTTCGCTGAGAATATGCACAGCTATCGACAATTAAGCATCATTGAAAAAGCTTTATTGGCCAAATCGGTTCCGTCCTCACTCCCGAGTATTCTTCAGGACTTCAAAGACACATATGAAGCGACGGCTGAAGTGCTCGACGACAGAAACTTTGAGGCTGTGCTTGCTGGAGGTGTTCTAGAAACATTGGATCAAGATATTGGTATGGCTTTATACGATGCGCCTATAGCTTTGGAGACAGCCAGTCGAAGCTATGTGCCGCCGCCAGCCATGTTTGGATCGGCTCCTACTCCTCGTGCGGCTATGTATTCACTCTCTTCAGCAGCTCCTCGTATGGCCATGCGCATGCAAGCAAATGAAAATGAAGGTACGAGTCTTATGAGATTTCCCAATAGGATTAAAATACTGATTCGGTCCTAGCAGAACCGGAGAATGATGAGAGTGAAGAAGAAACTCCCAGTCCGACGGAAGAAGGTGACCAGAAAGATATGGAAGAGCAAGCATTACGAGAACAGGTCAAGCGACACCAAAAGAAGGAGCCGTTCAAGTTTGTCAAGCCGACCAGTGAATGGATCGAGAAGGGATATTATAAGGAATCTGAAGACCAAAACGCACTACAAGCATCCCAGTTCTGGATCGACTACCTTGCTTCCGAAACTTCAAAGTTCTTGACTGGCGTACGTATTCTAGCTGCGGTAGCGATGTAAAACTGGTTATTAATCCTTGCTTGTAGACCTTCATCCATGCTACAAGAAGCTTCACGGAAATTATGAGCGTGCTCGCGTTGCTGTCTCTTCCGTTTGAAAATGCCTATCAAACTCAGCTTTCTTCTGAGGAGTCTGGCCACTTGACCATTAGCTCCTCTGGTGCCTGTCTTTTGTTCCACCGTGCGCTTGAGGTATTTTGACTAGGTTGACTCATTTATACAAAAAGACGCTTGTGCTTAATATTTCATCTATAGGAAACCACGACACCGGCACCGGCAAATCCAACGGTTCTTCTGGGTCAATCATTCTTCTTGAACGAAGGAACAGCGGCAGCTGCAAATGATTCTTCCATTAATCCTGACGATTTCCAGCCAAGCACAGATTATAAATGGCACCTTGCCGTCAGCAGTAAGTGATATTTTATACATGGTTTGATAGGAGGTCTAATGCATAACTATAATAGATATCTCATCGGAGCGCTGTATTTGCCAGATCACGGCTCAAATACCTACTGGCGCGATTCCGACGGGCAACACGCAGTACTGCATATCCAAGTCCATTGGCATCGAGCCTTACTCTACGTGGCATGATGTTATTGGTAGCTTCTATTTCCCTGCCAGTGGAAACTTTACGGTGATGCCGATCACTGCTGCTCAAGACAACGTGCTGTTGAATCAGACCCAGCCACTGAACATTACCGTTGATCAGATTGTCTATGATTCTCAGAAAGAACGCCCATGGTCTCTTGTCGCCGCCAAAGGCTCCAGTGACGACGTTATTCAGTATCTCGGGAAATATAAAAATCTGCGCAATCTCGATATGTCCCTCATTGGCTGGCGAATGATGAACGCCACCTTTGCTTCCGAAGTTTTCAAGGTTCTCCGTCAACGTCGCTTCTATACGGAAAGCTTATGGCAGTACGGCGTTCACCACGGCCTGGGTGATGTTGTTCGCGAATTACTGGAAGAAAATGGCACGCTATTGAAGAAAGCGGGTTACGTATTGGACACTCCATTGGTCTCTGCCCGACCCGAACAGACAGGTGTACTCGACATTTTGGATTATTACCCCTTGATTCATGCTCGAGGTAAGGAAATTTTTTTTTTTCAGCCATAATCTTATTGTCAATAACTTAAAACGATTGTGTTTTGTGTGTAGCTCATCGGTTGGGATCGAAACATGAGATTCTTAACAAGCAGTTCGCCAAGCAATATGACGCTTTCTTGGAGTACCTTGGGCAAAAGCACGAAGCTACTGGCACCGACCTCACGGTTATTTGTACGTATTTGCTTATCCAGGATCGTATTGAAGAGGCATCCGCCGTCTATCGTCAAGCTAGCCAGCTGGGAGTGTCATGCCAAATTCAATTCGATTACATCGGTGCTTATCTGCGTACTCGTACTCTTGTGAAGGATGTGGACAGCGCGTTTGACCTCAGCGACGTCCGAGAGATCACAAAGAAATACCATGATTGCGGTAGCCTCCGATGGCGCGAACTGTTTGCCAGTCTGGAGGACTACATTGACGAGATTAGCAGTACTTTGGCCAACGACAACCTGACCACGACATACGAGCGACGTCTTACAAAGTCTATGCAAAAGGAACCATTGCTGGACCTCCAAGTTGAAAACAACCAGCTTGTGCTTCAGTATGCCAATATTCAGCAGCAAGTCCAGATTCGGTATTACAAGATGGACGTGGAAATTATGTTTTCCAATAGTCCGTTCATGGCGCATACCGGAAAAACGAAGCATCAAGATTACGATTGGATTAAACCCAACTATATCGAATGGCATATGCTGGAATTCAACCACCAGTCCGAGACAAGCGATGGCTTCGAAATGATCGGTTTAGCACCTTCCTCTCTGGAGACCAAAACGATCGAGATCCCCGAAAGTATGCGCAACAGCAACATGATGATCGAGGTGATTGGTGAAGGGTTCCAGAGGCAACAGATTCATTTCGCTCATCAATTAACGGTGCATGTTTCGGAAATCTTCGGTTTGATCCGTGTGGGCCACTTAAAACAAGTCTTGGCAGGCGCCTATGTGAAAGTGTATGCTCGTCTCAAGAACGGACGAGTGGAGTTTTGGAAGGATGGTTACACGGGGCTAAACGGAACGTTCGATTACGTGAATATTACGGAGGGCAACGCATTAGTTGCTGGTGAAGAACTCCAGAAAGTGGTAGAAACTCGGGTAGATAAGTTTAGTATTTTAGTCGTTAGTGAAAATGCGGGTGCTGTGGTACGGGAAGCGTTTCCGCCTGTCACCATATAATGAATAAATTGGGACCGTTGTATGGTTGAACACAAAAAAAAAACTATGCAGCGGCTGATTATTTTCCCAAATATAAATCCCAATGCAGTAAAAAAGCTTTTTTACATCCATATCAGATGGTGTTACTTGCCAAAACGAAAGGGAATTTGGACAAAATCAATGGAAAACTTTTGGAGAAAAGTAAAAAGTAGAAACTTGCCACCGATCTTCTCAAGCTCCGTACAGCGGCTGATGAATTTACAAACATTCCTCAGAAGTATCATATAAAGTATGCAACTAACTTTCGATTCAATCGTGCCACTGCCATTTTTAACTTTTTTTTTTTTTTTCAAACTATTGGTATTCGGATAAAGCGCCCACCATCATTTACTGTGTTCCGTTTACATCAATTACTTTGAGTAAAGCTCAGCATCTGTTGTTTTTGTGGACTGACGAAAAATGTGAATCATTTCTCTGTATGTTTCGAAAAAAAAAAAAAAAAAAAGACGATCAGATATTCTTTAAACGGAGTTGTTCCACGACCTGCGATCGTGAAATCACATGACAGCACCTATTTTTCTCTGGAGTATCATGGAAACGACGAACGGTAAATAGCAATGTTGAAGCATTTCAACAGTGAAGCAATTTGATTCATTGTGAGGATAAGGTTCTAAAATGAAAGTAAGCGGTGCAAAAAGTCTTATATGATTGTAGACTGAAAAAAAAAAAAAAAAAAAAATAGATCGTGTTTTTCTTTTTTCATTTTCTCTGAATTTTTCCCATTCGAGCTAGAATTTGCCCAAATTCGTACTTTTCTATATTCAGTAAACTACCATGTTGAGCAACGCGAGATTATCTGATAACGTGAGATCATATGTGGGTTTAGATATGGATAACAGTAAAAGTGAATGGCGGTACGTTTCAGAAAACATCGTCATCCCGTTGGCGATACAACAGGAGACGGAGTGGGGGTGGCGTGGGTCCAAGGTGTCATCAGTGCTTTCCCAGCTTTTTAGATCTCTCAGCCTATGAATTTTATCAATAGCGCGGGAATTCAACCCCTCTCCAAAATAAAATAAAAAATGATTTTTCCCATTTTTGAGAGGACAAATCCAATGATGACCCGGCTTGGAACAGATCCACCAAAATCCTCCGAAATCTCCGCCTTTTTTGGTTTCAGATAAAAACACGGTGAGAAATCATCCCACTCACATGGTCCCCGCCTTTGAGGTCATAAGTTACCAATGTTAATAGAGTTATCACTGTAGCTTATAGTTGTTGAATGCTGTGTACTTTAGTTGTGACTAGTAACAAGGTAATAATCCCTTTTACCAAAGTGTTTTGCAAAAGCGGGGCTACCGAATCTTGTTTGTGGTAACCTGGGCGGAACAAATGAAAATTTTGCACTGATTTGACACAGTTGTGTTTCCTTTTACAATCAACGTGATACAACTAATACAGCTTGTATGAAGCCAAGGCCCATATAAGCAATCAGTTTCAACGCTGGAAACAGAGATCTATCAATGGCAGCTGCTCTCTATTAGAGCGATTCAAAGATTTCATGCTCTAATTCAAACGAAATACGCCGTGATTGTGTCCCACGATTTCGGGTCTTGAAGCGATCAGATAAAAAAAGCAATCAGATAATTTATAATACCTTATTCCACGCGTCTACAGATTTATTTGCCATAGATGGATATAAATCTGAGAAAAAAAAATTCGGATATAAAAAAACCACCCGTTCTTTTCTTTTTTTTTCTGGAGAATTTTTTTTTCTACGCCTCGTCGTACCTTTTCTTTTTACAGCCATGGCAGCAGACGAAACCACCGTGAAAGGTCGTCCGCAAGACTCGGAAAAGATTGAAGATAATGACTATGTCAATTATATGAAGGACGACACCAAGATTGTCGATAAAGAAGAGGACCCTCATCCAGAAACGGCAGCATCCGGTGGCGACGCAGCTCTTGCCAATGCACCTTGGCAATTTAAACTAATCGCTCTCGCTACTGCCCTTCTGCTGCCAGGTGCGTGTGATGATCATGGTGGATGAAAAAAAAGCAGTCTTTAATCATCGTTACTTTTACAGTTGGTTCTCATTTTTCCAGCAGCGCTCTTAGCGCCATGAAAAAACCGCTGAAGGCGGTAAGTTCATCAAAACCGAAAATTTTATTACCAACCGTAATTAAGTTTTTTTATTTTTTATTTCCTGTTTCGTCTGCAGAATCTTCACATTGACAATACGCGATATGGTGTTCTTTCATCGTCAGTGTCCATTATCAATACCCTTTTCCCCATTGCCGGTGGTATTTTCATTGATATGTTTGGCTCCATCTGGGGTACCATGGTGGTGAATCTTTTGGTCATCGTTGGCAGTCTGCTTACTGCTATCGCCGCCAAATATACATCATTTCCTTTGATGGTGGTGGGCAGAGTCATTTTCGGTATTGGCTCAGGTTTAATTGTCACGATGCAAGAATCGCTCCTTTCCAAATGGTTCCGTACCCAACATTTATCTATCGCTATTGGTCTGCAGCTTTCCATCAGTCGTCTTGCTACGTTTTTGGGTACCTTGGTGGCCAATCCTATTGCGGAAGCTACCGATGATTGGGTTTGGGCATTCTGGCTGTCGTTTATCATTTGCTGTTTCTCCATTTTGATGAACTTCGTCTATGCTGGAACCGTCAAGTATCTCCGTGGTACCGCCGTAGTCAACAAGGAAGAAATCTTGCAAATCAAGAAGAAGAAATCGTTCCATTGGCGTTCGATTTTGCGTTTTCCCGCTATCTACTGGCACATTATTCTTATTGAATTTTTGTATGCTGCTGTTTGGTCCTCTTTCCAGACCATCAGTACTGAATTCATCGAAGTTCATTTTGGTACCACTAATGTCTTGGCTGGTTACAAGGCGAGTGCTTCCCAGGTCGTTCCCATTGTCGCTACGCCGATTCTCGGTATCATCATGGATATGTTCGGTTTCCGTATCGTTATTTGTAAGTGTTTATCGACATTTACAGCTGTTCTATCGGATTGTCATCTAACACTAGTTCTACTTCCTCCAGTGTTGATTTCTGCTCTTTTCCTCATTCTCAGCTGTGTCCTTCTCGGATGGACTTATGTCAATGCCGTCGTCGGCATGGTTTTCTACAGTATTTCATTGGCCTTTGGTCCGATTGCTATGATCACTTCCATCGGTATGATTTTGCCTGCGGACTACATCGGTACTGGTCTTGGTCTCTATAAATCTTCCAATAATATCGGTACCACTATTCTCGATATTGCTGTTGGTGTCGTGCAAGATAAAACGGCCAAGCAGGCTTATACTGGTATGTCGCATGTTTGCTTTTTTGTATTAAAAAAAGGTACTTATCAGTTGTCTATGATTTTTTAGGTGTCATGGTCGTATTCTTGGTATTGGCTTGTGTCGGTTTCGGTATTATTTCTCTGCTTTGGTTAGCCCAGCGCATCTACTTGAAGAACCTTCTCGAAATGGGACGTGCCAAACGTACACTTCGAATGAAGGAGACCAACGATCACGAAGTGCAACTCGCCAACCAAGGTCTAGATACCATGTCCGATAAACGTATTCACCTTTACAACTACGTTTTTGCCGGCATCTTTATCGTCTGTCTTCTCGTCGCCTGGGTGCTCTTCTTTGTGTACGCTGCCACTGGACAGGAGACAACGTAAAAAAGAAAAAAAAAACCCCCAAAGAATCACAATATTGTCAACATCTTATATTACCTTTCATTTCATCTGTTACGTAATTTTTTCATTTTTTTTTCCACTCCAGTGATATCGTTTGCATGCGCACTAGAATATCCTCGCGCATTACATTATTGCCCCTATCTACTTAATATCGTTATTATCATATAAATTATCTTACTGTTATATATCAAGGCTCAGGACACTGCGATGTTTTCATTATATCATAATATCACTACTTTTTGAATAACAGCAACAAATATGGGGTTTTCCTTCCAGACTTGACAAGCTATCTTATTTCTCAGAGACTTTAGAGCAGTAGCATGGCGTACCTCAAACGTGAGTAGTTTTGTTTGCGACTTCTATTATCATGCTACGGAATATAAACACATAGCGGGTCGCTCCTTTTACTCGGATACCTTTTACCTGCTTTTTTTTCCACTGACATAGTGGAGCTGGCACAATGCTCTTCTTGTCCCGGACCTTAATACTGTGCATAGGAATCGCTTTTCAAACGATCGTGTGCGGAACATTGTAAATCCGACATTTCGGACTGTGACTTCAGTTGACATGTTTCGGTCCAGCTCCACAGCAGTAAAAAAGAAACAAAAATTCGTTCAACTCATCTATTGTCCAATCTATAACCCCTAATCATGAGTTTCTTACGAGCAGCATCCCGCACAGTAAGTAGTCGTTTATATTGATACAATAGCTATCTGAAGGCAGTCAATGGAATGTTTGAGCAATTTTCACTTTTGCCATTCTCTTAAATTACATACAAGCTGCCCTGGGTGGCAGATGTTTATTAGTAAGAAACTCATTTTTCTTGATTAGAGCACCTTTTTGCGTCCTACTTTCACTGCCCGTAGAACTTCGCCTTTATTCGCACGCTGGATCTCGGATGCTCTCCGAAGCCGCCTTGATAAGGTTGGTATATTGAAGAGACTTGGTCACATTCAGGAATTTAAGTGTTGATTCAATTATAACTATATAGGATGTCAAGTCAAAGGATGTTGTATTGTTCATGAAGGGTACTCCTGATCAGCCCATGGTATGTATTCTTTTCTACCGCTATTAAAAAGAATACTGTACTCACTTCTTTTACGTTTAGTGTGGATTCAGCCGTGCCGCAGTGCAAATCATGACAGTACAAGGTGTTGATTTCAGCGAGAAGGTGCAAGCTTTCAATGTGTTGGAGGACGAAGAATTGAGACAAGGTATCAAAGAATACTCTGAATGGCCCACTATTCCTCAAGTATACATCAAGGGAGAATTCATTGGCGGTTGTGATGTCTTGTTGAACATGCATCAGTCGGGTGACTTGGAAGATCTTCTTGTGAAGCATAATATTGTTCCTGAGGAAGAAGTCGTCGAAGAAAAGAAGTAGAAAGTTGTGAATCGATCGATAATACACATATACTACAAACATTAAAAGTAAACCGGTGTAATGTTGTGGGTGTGTCTCGGTATATTGTGCACCGATTTAATCGTCCTAGTCGGGAAGACCCTTGTTGAGGGAAATTGTTTGAATTGCTGTATTTTGGCTTCAAACCTGGGATCGTACACTTTTGAATAGTAGATTCTATGTAGTGAATACGATTACTGATACACATATTTGAGTGCGGATTGTGAGTTGTTGCAAGGTATTCTAGACGAATGATAAACACAACAGAATTTTCATATCTGCAAGGGCACCTTGCTTGATGGGAAACACCAGGTGCCAGGTTACACACAATCACATTCGAAAAATGCTGGTTGATGATCTTCATTCGAGATCTGGTATAACCTTAAAATGGTCATACGCGGTAGTTCATGCTGCCATACATACTATTTGAAATGTATACACCGAGCATACATTCATCCATGTGTATCGCATGCAATTCATGAGTGAATCTGTCGATCACGGACAAGGTAAAATCGCATACAAGTACAATAATTACCCGTCATACCTGATGATTGCTCAGAGATAATGTCAGATGATAGTTCATCAAAATGACCTTTTTCGCCCTGACAAAATAGCTTTGGATGCACCTCTACCTTTTCAAAGTTGGTTGTTGTGTGATCTGAATGGACCAGTTTTTCTTACCCTTTACATTTCATTCTCATCCAATGATATTTCATCTACGGCACCCACAAAAGCTTAGATGAAAAAAATTTGGCGTTTTGACCAATGACTCAAACTGACAATTCGTAACTCCGACTGGATTCCTTTTTTTATTTTTTGGTCCGAAATCCTTTTTTTTTTCTTCCTAGACTTTGGCCACTGCATTCCAGGCATCGCTTGTCTTTTTCCTTTTACGCTGCACCATGGCCACCTTGCTTATTGACAATTACGACAGCTTTACTTACAACGTCTACCAATACTTATGCTCTCAGGGTGCCGAAGTGGTGGTTTATCGTAACGATAAGATCACCGTGCAAGAGATCGAAAAGTTGAATCCACGCAACATCGTCATTTCTCCAGGTCCAGGACATCCTTCCAGCGATGCCGGCGTTTCGCGCGACGTGATTGCTCATTTTGCAGGCAAACTTCCCATTCTCGGTATTTGCATGGGCGAACAATGTATTTTCGAAGTGTTCGGTGGCACGGTTTCGTATGCCGGCGATATCTTGCACGGCAAGACTTCCACTATCAAGCATGACAGTCGCGGTATTTTCAAGAACGTGCCTCAAGATAATCAAGTGACGCGCTACCATTCCCTTGCTGGTATGCCCAAGACTTTACCTGATGCTTTGGAAATCACCGCAACCACCGACGATGGTGTCATTATGGGTATCCGTCACAAGGAGTACACCATTGAAGGTCTTCAATTCCACCCCGAAAGCATTCTTTGCGAACATGGTCATACTATGATTGCCAATTTCTTGTCGCTCACTGGCGGTCACTGGGAGGAGAACCCCAGCGCTGGTGTTTTACCCAAGAAATTGCGCGAAAGTACTTCAGACAAGAGCAACAAGTCAGCCACTCCATCAGCTCAGTCGAGCCCTGTTCCCTCGCAACCGGCTGGTGGTGTTCCCTCCATTCTGTCTCGTATTCATACGCAACGTCTCCAGGATATTCAGGCCGCCAAGGAAACTCCTGGCCAATCGCAAGCTGACCTCGAGAAACTATTGGCTATGCACGTCGCTCCTCCGCTCAAGGATTTCGTTGCCCGTCTGCGTCAGTCCAAGCCTGCTCTGATGGCCGAAGTGAAGCGTGCTTCGCCGTCCAAGGGCAACATTGACATTAGCGCCAACGCTGCCGAACAGGCATTGAAGTATGCTTTAGCCGGTGCCAGCGTGATCTCTGTGCTGACCGAACCCAAATGGTTCCGTGGTTCCTTGAACGATATGCGCCAAGTCCGTGAAGCTTTGAGCACCTTGACCAATCGACCATGTATTCTGCGCAAAGATTTTATTGTGGATCGATACCAAATTCTGGAAGCGCGAGTCTACGGTGCGGATACTGTTTTGCTGATTGTGGCCATGTTATCCGACGAACTTCTTCGGGATCTCTACAGTTACGCCAAGTCGCTGGGTATGGAACCTTTGGTCGAAGTCAACAATGTTGAGGAAATGGCACGAGCAAATGCCATTGGTGCCAAAGTCATTGGTGTGAATAACCGCAACCTTCACAACTTTGATGTGGATATGGAAACCACTTCCCGTTTGGCGGAAATGGTCCCCGAAGAAACCATTCTGTGCGCTTTATCCGGTATTGCTTCTCGTGCTGATGTGGAGACCTACGTGTCGCAAGGCGTGAGTGCCGTTCTTGTGGGTGAAGCCCTGATGCGAGCTTGGAATCTCAAAGATTTCGTGGCCGAATTACTCGGCCATTCAAGACGTGACCCTGCAGCTAATACCTCGATACCCAAGACACCCCTGGTTAAAATCTGCGGTATTTCTTCTGTGGAGGCCGCCGTGGAAGCCGCGCGTGCCGGTGCTGATCTTATTGGAATGATTTTTGCCGAAAAATCAAGAAGACAAGTAACGATTGAAACGGCGAGTGGGATTGTAAAGGCCATACGAGCACTGGATTTGCCCCGTGGTGAAATCAAGGGTGCGACGGATCAGGATCAGGCTCCTTCCGACTGGTTTGAGTTGCAATGTTCGCTCATCGAGAAGCGACCGAGAAAACCATTGGTAGTCGGTGTCTTTGTGAATCAATCTGTGGAATATATGACCGAGGTGGCCATCACTGTAGGATTGGATCTGATCCAACTGCACGGTACCGAATCATCGGAATTGGCAAGATTTTTACCTGTTCCGGTCATCAAGGCGTTCCACATGGATTCCGCAACGTACAGCTCCTCTCAGATTCCCAACTTGACCCACCCTGGTAACCATCATTTCGTACTTCTGGATGCCAAGGTCCCGAATTTACCAGCTGATCAACAAGGCGGACAAGGTGTCAGATTCGATTGGACTATTGCGCGCGACGTGGTGCACCACAAGCGTCCCGCTCATTCTGCGATGTACGATTTCCCTATCATATTGGCGGGTGGTCTAGATACCTCGAATGTTGCGGAAGCGGTTCACCAAGTCAAGCCTTGGGCGGTGGACGTCTCCTCGGGTGTGGAAACGGATGGCAAAAAGGATTGTCAAAAGATCCGCGACTTTGTTCATAAAGCAAAATCAGTTATTGTACAATAGAGTTACCACGTTATTTCCACTCGAATAAAATGAACCAGAAAAGGTGGATCCGACGTGATTGTGCAAAACATCTATGTGATCTTTTTGTGTGATCTTGTTGTGTGACCTCTTAATATTGTGTAATTTGGAGGCATTTATTCTCATACTTACTTTAGCGACCATTCTGTAAGACAATGGTAATGCAAAAAATTCTCTTTTATGCAATCCAATTCTTTGCCAAATTTAAGACAATCAGATATTTAAAGCCTAGGCAACCTCGTAAGGCAGCATAATAGGCATCGATAATATAAAAGCATAGGGGAGCAAGTACAAAGAATATAATTGCTACAAGGCAAGACCACAAAGGTCGCATGGTTAATAGAAAGATTTGGCTGTTTAATTGGACATCTTTCATTCTGAAATGTATTCAAATACCGAACTGAGAAGTGGTTCAGCAAACAACGAGGAAAAGAGGGACTGTTAAGCATAGAATGAAAATTATCAACAAAGGCGTCTAAACTGTGAGGAGAACGTCATTGATATGAAGGTATTGATGCAAAATGATGAATGATACAAATATCTCGGGTGAGAAGAAGCGCCGACTGACCCAAGTGAAGGGAAATCAGTGAGAGAAAAAAAAAAAATTTCGAAAAATTCAGGATCAGCAAAACACAGTGACTTTTCCTTTCCGAGTCACTTGCGGGCCTTGGTATCTCACTTGCTGGACATTTTTGGGTTTCTCTCCTTCCCGTTTTCTCGCAATTTCTTCTTGTGCACCATGAACCACCAACATGCCAATTCTATTCTGGATTCTTATGAATCCACCGAAAATGCCCTAATGGATTCCTTCAAAGCAGCCGCTCTCAAAGTTACCAATCTCTACAAAGATTCTCTCGTTCAGAATCGCAAAGCTTTTGCTGCAGGATATCAGCAGGCGCTTCAAGATCTCTATGAATTCATCAGTTCTCATCCTGGCACCACTATTCAAGGTGGTGGTTCGTTATCTTCCACTCCTATTGAACGAGGCATCCTACCTGTTGAAGACCTTTTAATGTACGCTCGCCAGAAAAACGCACAGCTGGCCACGGAAATGGGGTTCCCTACCGAAGGTCATGTTCCTCATCCACAACAGCAACCCATGAATGACGTGCCTGCCAACCAACCATCCTCAATGTCGAACCAAACACCGATCACGAACTCCTCGCAGAAAAACGAAAATGCTACTTATAACAACATGGATGTACAGGCCAATCACGATACACAGCCCATGCTTTCATCCACTCACGGTACGAGTCACTCTCAATCTTTGCATCACAACGCTACCTCCGCACCTGCACCGACCGCTGCAGCAGCAGTAAAGAACGCTTTTTACCCATTCCAGATAGACCCGAATACGCAGTTTACTTTTACCGTTCCTCATGATGCCCCCCACTGGCGCTCTTCCTTTCCGCTTCAGCCAAATACCAACTCGTGGAGTCCTGACATGTATACACAAGACGATGACAATGACCACTCTAAGCGACGTTATGCACCTTCGGAACTGACATTTATGGGTCGATCTCTCAATAATATGAATATTGATACTTGGGCTGAACCTCCGTTCAAAAGAGGACGATCTAAAAGGGACACTTAACCTTGACGTCTTGATGCCTCTGACGGCCTGATCATTCAATCGGCATTACCAATCATATAGAAGAAAACAGCAAACGGACATTAGACCAAAGCAACGATATCATGGTTGGGTTATTTTCACGGTTTATCTTGGTTCATCTGTACAGTAGATTATCTTTGGGTTATAACATGTTGTTGCTATTTTCTCTGTTTGTTAAAATTGCGCACAGACGCATATTTCATAACATTTATTTTTAAATTACTTTCCTTCAATGTACTCATCTTGCATCCTATATTTTGTATAAAAAGCCTATGATTCAACATATACATTTATTTCAGCACACGGGGCGTATTTCTACAGTTTTGGTCGATATATTATTAAGAAAGTTGTTTCTATTGCTCAAAAAGAAAACACATGATATTCACCCATAGATATTGAACGGTGCTCGATTGAAAATGTAACCTATACCAATTGCAAGCTTCGGCACAACTAAAGCAAATATCTTGGGTTGCACGAGCGAAACCCAAAACAGAAGTTGCACAGAAGCCTGATATTCATGCAGTCAATTCAATTTCTGATAATCGGCAATCCTTTAGATCCTGATAATAATGTAAGTTTTTGCTCAAAGATACTTTTCTTTGGTTGTAGTATCCGTACAGGTTTACAATGTCATGCTGCATACTTATTGGACCTATGGCAAAGATATTCAAGCACGGCTTGCTATGAATCAGTAAATCTCCTGCACCTCATATTGCTTCAATCGTCAATCTATTGGGACTTGAAATAGAGTACCCGTCCATAAATTTATGCGTACTTGGTACGCAGCTCATGTGGCTGCTATGCTCACAGTTCCATGTCGTAACACCCAAGATAAAAGCTTAGATTTCTATTAAGCACTGTAATGAACCGATCCGCAGATTGAACATAGAGAGATCCAAGGATCATTTGAGCACCCGTCAAAAAAAAAAATCGGGCAAGAAGTAAAACCAGGCATAAAGTTTTAACAGATGCCAATCCAGAATATACCATTCACAAGGAATAATCAACTGTGATAATTGAACAGGTAAAGATCAAGAGCATCAAGACAAAACTGCGTATCGGAAAAGTGGTGGGTGGTGTCACTGAATACCGAAAAAGATTTATGTTTGTATACTTTAATCATTCCACTCTGCAATAAAAGGCAGCCTAATCGATATTTCAATGATAGAACGATAAGATTGTCTCCTACAAGATTGGATTGGAATCATGAGCCGCATTGAATAAAATCTTATGCTGCAGTACTACCATGAATAAGTTGTGCGAAGCATGATTAATTGTTTGTCTAGGTTTCACAGTACCCACATACTGACATGCTGCAATTTTTATTGTCTGAGAATACTACCATGATTCATCTTTTTGCCTCTTCATCTACCAATGTCATTCGACACCTACCATGTCAATAGCCCTATTGGTTCTCAAACCAAGTGTGCAATCGCAATTCCATGACTCATCTATCTGCTAACGACGCCAAAAAAAAGTACTTGTCCTTCCTGTGGATGTGCTTCGATCAAAAATTTAACTCTCCAAATATTCTCTGTCATTAATCAGTAACAGACAATGTATGCCTTCATAAATCAGATACTGTCTATAAAACTATTTATTCAAAAATATACGTAGAAAAATGATCCCTCTCCGAGATCTAAACTGTTGGACAACAAAAACTCGAACAAAGGCACGAGCAGATAATTCCGAAGAATTACTTAAAACGGAAACCAATGCTGTTTTAAATCTCCTACTAGCCAATCCGAATCGATAATTTAGTCACGTGATTTTTGCGACTATCATAAACCAAGCGGTTTTCTAAATATAAAGTCCTCAATGGTCTAGTGGCTAGGATCCGACGCTCTCACCGTCGTGGCCGGGGTTCAATTCCCCGTTGGGGAAACTTTTTGATTTTTTGCGATCTCGAGCATCTAAACGCATTTATTTTTTGCACCTACCAGAAAGTACACTTCTTTACGCACCTTTTGATACCACTTGCAACCCGGTATCTTCACAAGAATAGCACTTTTTTCGCCCTTCATTCCGCCATCTCGGAATCACCGACGACAACACCAACTTTCACGCGCCCTATCGACGAACTCTTTTAGTAAATCGACAGCGCGACTTAATTAATTATCATAGCTTATCCCGATCTCTCTCGAATCCTCGAACGCCGAACCGGTACAACCACTTCTGCGCATATCGACTTTTCGACATTCCCGCCTCGCAACACACTCTCCTGGCCATTGTTTATCAACACCGAAAAAACTTTTCCTGTGCCGCCACCCAAACAACTCCAGCTTTAGACTACGCTCCCCTGTGTCACCGTCTGTGCCCCAATGCCCCCTATCGCCGTATCCATGGGCCTTCCTGTCACCGGTCATGCCGACTCTGAATACTTTCTTTGTCCAGTATGTCCTGACCCCGTCAAAGGCACCTATTTCACCAGCCGATCGCTCGCTCAGCATTGTACGAAAAAGCACCGCATCAAATGCACCGTTGTCTGGCACTGCTACGATTGTCCGCGCACTTTCGGTTCTCGCTCTGACTTTGTCCAGCATCCCTGCGTTCGAAACTTTTTTGAACCGCACGCTCTACGCGTTCCGCCATTGCACCGACCTGGTCCCGGTAATCTACCTATTGACGACTTCCCTGCTCCCACGACATCGACATCGTTTTCCTGTCCCGTCTGTCAACGACTATACAACAACCCCTCGCGCTTGCAAGAACATTATACAACCACTCACCACAACTACTTGCGGAGCGACTGGGACTTGCCCACGCTCCTGTGACAACTCTGACGCAGATAAGTTTTCTAATAAAAAGCATTCTATGTTTATAATGATATTTGGCATATAAAAATAACCTCAGCTTCATGTATTTACAGGATAAGTGCAATTGCAGGATAAATAAGATTTACGTTTTAGATCGAGTTGTCATCTCTTCTTGCATATGGGAAGATTGGCCTTCCCTTGTTTCGTCTTCTATGGATGAAGGGCTATCAGCCTGATTCACAGAAAGCACAGCAGGCGGCGTCACTGTCTTCTGAAAAGCTGGTGCGGGATCCACTGGCATATTGTAGCCTTTTTCTTGAAGCAGTTGCAGTATTTGCTGAATGGCTTCCTGATTCTGACGAGTGACGGCCATTAAAGTGTGTAACTGATTGAGGATCGCCTCCTCGTTGCCATGCTGCGCTAGATTGGTTGAAAAATCGCCTAAAGGTCGATGATAGTGACCTCCGAATGGATCATCCATCATCGAAGATCGTCTAAAGTCTGTCCAGCACTTCATGTTAGCGTGACTTGGCACATATTGGTTGAAAACTTCCAGCCATCGTACCTTGAGGTTGTAATTGTGGATCCGTGAGGCCATCCACTACTTGAGAATGATATTGGCGCCGCCGCATTGCCTCCCACACCAGAGTAAAGTTTCGTCCAACAATAATGGAAGGTAGTGCGATCAACTAATTCGAGTTTAATTATACGTTTATGATATACGTCTCACCTAAGAGTCTTACCAAGACACCAAACATCATGGCAGGAAAAGTGACCAGTTTACCAATGAATGTGCTGGGGACCATGTCACCTATGGATGATCATTTTTGTTACAAGGATGTTCAAGTAAATCACCGCCCCCAAAGATAACAAACCATAGCCGGTGGTTGTGATGGTGACCAAGACAAACCAGAAAGCAGCAGGAATGCTGTCAAACACACTTCACAGGAACAATAGCATGCGTATCAGCAAATAACGAAAATGTTTACAAGGCAAAGCGCGAAATATCTACCTCGGATTTCCGTCCGTGTTAACAAACGTCTGCAAAGCTTCATCCCAAACACCTCGCTCGGCAAAGTATAGCAGCGTCGAAAACAGGACAACACACGTTACAAGGAAAAAGAAAAGAGCCGATAATGCATCACCTGAACGACGCAGAGCAATCATCATGACTTCGATTGTCATAACGATCGTATTGGAGTATTTGTAAGTCTTGAATAATCGCAGTAAACGGAACAACCGAAGAATGGTAAATCGGAATTCGTACGTCTTTTTTTGAAATATCTCAACATATGGCGGGGGTGCATGTCGTATTCATTTTGGGCCTACCGTATCTTTTTTCGCTATGAGTTCGATGTAAAAGGGCACGATCGATACAAAGTCAATGATAGATATTGGAGCTGTGATACGAGATAAAATACATTAGCAGTAGACTTTTTTTTACAGAGAGAGAGGTTGCACTTACACAAGAAAAATTTCTTCAGCATCGCCAGAGAATCTGAATGCGCAAACATACGCATCAGATACTCTAGGGTGAAAAGAGCTACCATTGTGGATTCCAAGTTGAACCTATTTGAAACGATATGAGACGAGAAGTCCACGGCCAGCCAAGCTGTATCCATTTACCAGACTTGATTACTTTTAACGGATCGGAATGCGGGTATCGTTTCAATAGTGGTGGTTACGGCACTAAAAACGATGAGAAAAGAAACGATGACGTTTGTCCAAAAGGCACTGCGGCTGCTGGAGGGTTCTTCCAACAGCAGATACATCTGATGCTTGAGATCACTTTTGATTTCAGTTTCAGTGTACGCTGAAGGGCGCGGTTCATCTAGATCGCTGGTGGATGGGCGGCCCGCGTTCCGATGACCAATAGATGATACAGAGGTCCACCCATTGGGCATTTGCCCCAAGCGTCTGTATTTGCGTCGTTCGTTATTTCTTATGCGACGAGATGATGAAGTCGACGGAACAGCTTCGGATGGATGAGGCATGCGATCGCTGGTGTCTGAGGAAGTCGATGGTCGCCCTCTAAAGGCTTGTTGAAGTTCAATGTCGTTATCGGACAAGAGACCAAATGGCTCTTCTTCGTCGCGTGAACTGTCCGTCGTAGGTTTTTTACGAAAGAATCGCATAGAACAGCTTTTTTTTTTGTTTTTTTTTACAGGATATGCCAAAAATGCACTCTCGAAAGTTAAGATATTAACTTTCGAAAAGCGAAACAAAAAAAATACAAAATACACAAGCCGGGGAATGATCATCTCTTTTGTGACCAATAAATTTGGGAGGAGCTCTACTTCTTTAAACTTCTAGGTCGATGCTCTTCTCACTCTTATATACCGGTACACATGACGCTTGTCCAAGTTACGAGAAGCAGATAAACAACATCTGTTTCTTGAAACAAGACTCTACTATCAGACTGTTTACACCCTTGATAAACAGCCATCCATCCATGTCGATCGCTTAAATTGCCTAAAAAGGGGTGATCAGGCATTTAAATATCGAAAGCATGGTGTCACAGTCAATGTTAAAATAGATAGTGACCCTTTCTCCACATAGACTGCATGCACTACTTTGAATCCTCTATCAAATTTCATGTAGTTCTTTTCGTAGCGTTGATTTCTATAAATCTTTCCTTCATGGTGCCAAGAACACCGGACAGCGTTTCTTTAGTTGCCAATATCATGGTTACGCCCATGACTAAGTTTTAGGCAATTAACTAAAATACGTTTTGGTGGATAAGAATCCCATTTCCAGGAGATTGGCAGATCGACCGACCGTGACCGGAGTATGATCATTGCAGCGTTAGTTTGTTACTAAATAGATAGACCAGTATGAATACCCAAGAGCATATACGCTAAAACCAGTCACTGTCAAATTTTTAGCTTGACAGAGTTGACTTGGCAGAACTCTAACGTCGTAGATCGTTTTCATGGTGCACATGCATGTTGACAGTAAACTCAGGTCATGTATTTTGCATAGAATAATCCCTTTTCGCTTGCATTCTTTTCTATCTGGTCGCAAAGGGTTCCGCAATACACGCCATCATCAAGACTCGCTCTACTTGTCGAATCTTAGGATCACATCACATGGTGGAAAAACCGATTTCACGCCAGTTACTGAATGATGGATTTTCGATGATTTTCCAAATTTGATAAAGTGTCAAGACAGATCTGCGACAGTTGCACTTTATTTTTATCTTTTTTTTTTCCTTTTTCGAAAGCCCGATGAGGAACGATGTGACAAGAAAAATCTGAGCTTCTTTGACAGGACGAAAAAATAGTGTCTTTTTCTTTTTTTAATTCTTTTCCAAACTTTTGCACCTGTTAACGTATAACTGTCTCCCGAGGATCGATCTCAACATTGCAAAAGAATGGTATGTTCATTGGGCAAATTCATGTCGGCATGTTGAACATGGCAACTCAAGATCAACGCAAAGAGTGCTTCGGATAGGAACAATGGACCAAAGTGGAAAAGGGAGGTGGTACAGGATCACAAATTTGACTTTGTCGACCTCGATGAATTTTACGATCCGTCATGCAGAACGCATATTGGCCATCTCTTTGTTTACGTCCTTGCCATAAAGTCATTTCTTGTCTACGTGGCCGATTTATGGTCTGGAGGTACGCTACACGGTCTAGACTGGGTCACCCTTAAATTTTTTTTTTTTTCAACCGTATTCATTGCCTCTGTTTCAGTCTCACTGCTTGTGATTGGTCATCAAGATAACGTCGATCCTGCCATCCCCACCGAAGTGTCAAAATGGGTTTTCTTGAGTGCCATTATCATCTCTTTTATTCTCCTGTTCTGGGATGCCATCAAAGCGCGGCGTATTATTGCTTCTCGTGATATTGCCTATGCATTTACCTCGGTGATGGTGAATCGTTATTATTCAATCAAAGACTATCAGTACTACTGTCTGTTTACGCGCATCAGTCGATCACGCAAAACGAGTGATGATTTAGCCTTTTTCATCTTTTTTACTCTGAAAGGTAAAACATACTTGTCCACAATTTTTTCTTTGTTTCCATCTGACCTTAAGGAAAAATAGGCTGGAAACGATTACTGCTTGCTGAAGCCCCGCGTCAAATCATTAACGTTGTGACCCTACAATCTCTCATTCCCCAATGGATCGAACTGAACCAAGGCAAAGTTACTTTGCATAATACAGTCCTTGGCCACAGCATTGTCCAGCAGCTTATGACAGGCACTATGTTATTCTCGGTCATCGTGTTCGCCATTTCATTTATTCTTGTGCTGGCAGCGGCTGTCTTGTATATCCCCTTATTATGCCATATCCGAGGCAATCTCAAAGAGTATTGCTGTCATAAAGTAGATAAAAGGTAAGGATAGTTAGTTTTATGTTGAAGTGATGTAAATCTTGGCTAAACTCTACTTTGTTGCACAGAATTGCCGAAATATTAAAGCAGCAGGCACGCCGACGATTGGAGCGCGGGCAGAAAGGACTATCACCGCAAAATCGCAAAAAGGCCAAGCAATTGGAAGCCGATGTCTTACCAGAGCCGACCCTACCTCAACTGGATATTGACAACGAGGCTGAAATCAACTCAAGCTTCATTCCCCTCAAGCATGCTGGCCTACGAGAAGATAGTATTAACAGTATGCCAATGTCAACATCCCAATATGATATGAGCATCGCCGATGATCGTACCGGGCTTATATCTCATGCTCAGACGCAACCGATGTGGTCCAATAGATACGAAGAAAAAGCGGCGTATCAAGATTATTATGAGTTACAACGTCCTACCAACAACCACGCTACTATGGCTTATCCTTGGACTTCCAATCGATCCATCTCTTTTGGGGAATCCACACTTGTGAACTCTAATGTGGCCTCGCCCGTGTACGAATATCCACCTTCTGTGGTATCTTCCTCAGATCAAGGTTCCTACTATGTGCCCCCCACACCGGGAGCTAGGCAACATGCAACCCGCGGATATAGTCCTTATTTACGGCAGCAGTAAATAACTGAGCGGGATAACTCATAATATGCTCGCTGGAAGATCATATAAGAAGACTGTCAAAACTATGTAAATGTTATAAATTTATACAGCACAATATATCGTGTAGTAGAATAAAAGAGCAGTGAGTTGCCTAGATGGTAACTCAAAAGTTTAAATACCTGGAAGCGTTTTAAAGAGTGTGCCTTCTCGCGAACTACACAATGGAATTTTTAGCTCCCATAACCAAAAATATAAAATGCCCGATTGGGACACAAGTCGTTCCGAATTTGTACCTCCCTGGCGCATAGATATTACAGTAGCTTGCTGATTTCAGTGGTTCATCTGTATTACAACAATAGTTAACTTCTATTCAATGAAAAAATGACTGACCTTCTGACAATCATCATTTTTTCCAACGATGATTTTTGGATCCACATTTTGGCAAAATCTCCCAAAATGACATCATTTGTCTGAGTTTGAACGACGTATTGCCATTCGACTTTGCTCTGTCGCTTGTCGTTGGAGAATGAGATAACCATGTTGCGATTCAAAAAGCATCCTACAACAGAAAAGGGTAATATATGCATTGAAAAGCTTACAGGTAGTGAATTAACCTATTGATACAGACTCGAACGATTCCTCCCCCTCCGATCGTCCGCAGAGAGATCGAGACGATGAGAAACGCAGTCGTGACAAGGATCGATATCAACGCGAGGATGAAAGACGTGGTAATTCGTACCGTTCCTCTCGTCGTTCGCGATCACGATCACCACGGCGTGATCGGTCTCCTCGTCGCGATCGATCCCCTCGAAGAGATTCTGATCGTCGATCACGAAGACGTTCACGTTCACCATCGCGCGAAAGGAGACGACGATCGCCACACAGTCCGCCACCGGCAGCAAAGAAAAAGCCAGAATTGGTAAATTTCTGGGATGATTCATACATTTATCATATATCATGCAATATTGATAGGCTTCTCTTTTGTAGCCCAAAAGGATTCTCAAACCACAACCTTCCTATAATCTTATCGAGGTCGAAGTGAATGATCGACTGGGAAAGAAGGCAAGAGTGAAATGCAGCCCAAAGGACACCATTGGAGATTTCAAGAAACTTTGTGCCGCCCAAATTGGTACTGATCCCCATAAAATTGTGCTAAAGAAATGGTACAAGGAATATAAAGATCATATTACGCTTGAAGATTGTAAGTATAAAAATATCTGCATGCTATTCGCTTTTCACTAATGCATCTTCTAGATGAGATAAGCAACGGCATGAACATTGAACTCTATTATCGATAGTTATATATTGCGCCATTCGTAACAAATTTGCCGCTTATGGACATTTTTTTTTCATTTCATTTGGTTGCTAAAAAGATTGACATGGTGAATAAAGATGATGACGATCATTCAAGAATGTGGAAGCCTCCACTGCCACGTGCGCATGGGATTTTTTTTTTCGTTTCCCGCGGGGGGTGACAACGTTTGACGTTTGAAATGGCTGATTTCATAGGCCACGTTTCAAACAAAAATAGCGACGACTGCGAAAAAAAAAATGTCATATATATTCCCTTGGCGGCCAAGGAAAAGGAAAAAAAAAACGCATACATTTGTACTACAACCTTCGCATGGGAGATTCTTTGCACAGCACGGATGAAATAGTCATGGATCAACGATCCATGCCTAATTTTAACTCCTCATGGGTGAATTACAAAGGTAATTTGGTCAGCTTTTGCTTATTGACCGTATCCAAAACTCTTCAACGACTGATAATATCATAGGTGCCTGGTTTACTACGTTGGTTGTCATTATCGCTTTGAAAATGCTTTACAGTGTTATGCCATTTCTTAGTCCGGATTTAAGTTGGACTCTGACCAATCTTTCGTTCAATGCTGTGAGTTTTTACTGCCTTGGGTAGGCTGTTTTCAGTGAGAAGTCAAGTGCTAATTGCAAGTTATTTGATAGGGTCAATATATCATGTTCCATTGGGTGACAGGCATTCCTTTCGAGAATCACCAAGGTGCTTACGATGGTTTGACCCTCTGGGAACAAATTGATGGAGGTGTACAGTTTACCGCCACCCGCAAGTTCTTTGTAGCGGTCCCTATTTTACTGTAAGAAGGATTATTTAACGATATTAATTGTTGCATGGTTATTCAATTCCCATTCTCTTTATAGGTTCCTTCTGAGTGTCCATTATACTCACTACGACGTCTTTTTATTCGCCATCAACTTCTCTGCACTACTGCTGGTCCTTATTCCCAAGTTACCTGCTATGCATCTGGTGCGGATGTTTGGTGACAAAGACATGCAATTGACTGAATAGATTATCCGCATGCCATCCTCCCTTTTTTTTGTATCTGCTTCTATCTCCCTATTATTCTTTAGATTTTACTTTTTAATTACTTACTTAATACTATATTCGATCACCTTTGAACCCCAAGACAATTGATCGATTCCTTTTAAGGCATTAAGCAATGCATGGTACTGGGGACAAAAATTCTCTCTTGAGGTCCGAAGTCGGGATGGATCTTCGTGACTGTTGAAGCCTTTCTTTTTTTTTTTTTTTGAAAGATCTGCTTTGCAAGACAACGCACCGCACTACTTCCTTTTCCATTATATATCATGCTGTATATTGTAGGTCTTGGTCTATCCGACGAAACAGATATTACCGTCAAAGGTCTTGAAGCTGTGAAAAACAGTGAACGTGTATACTTGGAGGCCTACACCTCTATTCTCACTGTCGGCAAAGAAAAGCTCGTATGTCAATCCACCGTCCCTTGTTTAATTATGCTGTATGCTCACGCAGATAATGTAGGAAGAATATTATGGGAAGGAGGTTATAGTTGCCGACCGAGAAATGGTCGAATCCGACAGCGATTCTATCTTGGCCAACGCTGATTCAGTGAATGTCAGCTTTTTGGTCGTTGGCGATCCTTATGGGTACGGTGTCATGAGATGAGTATATTATGCATTTCCCGTTGAACTAATGAGTTTTCTGCAGCGCGACGACTCATACAGATCTCGTCATTCGGGCCCGCGAATTAAATATTCCTGTGCAGGTTATCCACAACGCTTCGATTATGAATGCTGTAGGAGCTTGCGGTTTGCAATTGTACAACTTTGGACAGACTATCTCTATCGTGTTCTTCACAGACACATGGCGCCCTGACAGCTTCTACGATCGCATCAAGGAGAATAAGGATATCGGATTACATACATTGTGTTTGCTTGGTAAATATTCATTTCGAGTGACGATGATCTAGAGTTGTTGGCTGATTCCTGGTTATTGATGAATGCAGATATCAAGGTGAAAGAACAAAGCATTGAAAATTTGGCCCGAGGACGTTTGATCTACGAACCCCCACGTTACATGACGGTTAATCAGGCTGTTGAGCAGCTTTTGGAGATTGAGGAGAACCGTAATGAGGGTATCTGTACTCCTGATTCCTTGGCCATTGGATGCGCGCGCATTGGCACAGATTCCCAAAAGATTGTTGCCGGCCCTCTTCGCGAGCTCGTCGACGTGGACTTTGGCGGTCCATTGCATTCATTGGTATTGATTGGCAGTCGAATGCATCCTATGGAAGCCGACTTTGTGCGGGCTTATGCAGCGAATCCTGCCACATTTGATGAACTTGTTAAACAGCAGTACAAATTCTAGAAAAATCATCCTACATCATCTCTATCCTCTCGACAAAATAGCATCAGTGAATTATCATGACATTTGACGTGCATCAAAACAACAAGCATAAAATGTAGTGTCAGCAGCGTTGATGGCTATAAATAGAAATTTCCCAAATCCATCTGCAAGTGATTCAAGATTGGCTGCAAAGCTTTGGGTGCCACACTTTTTCCCCCCGCCAATGGATGGCCTAATTTTCTAGTCACGATTGCTGAAGCTGATTTGCATGAAGAACGGCCGATATTGTGGCTATGCATACAGTATTCGTCTCGGCATACCTTTTGAGACAGTTGAATGCTCGGGCGACTTGGTTTTGGACGCGGTGGTAGCCTAGATTCGCGGCTTGATAAACCGGATATTACCGTAGAAGAAGTCCTTCATCATGCTGATCTGCTTCAGGAACTCCATCTGCGAAATCGAAAAGTGATTGCATTGTAAGGCAGTTATGTTTTTACTTTCCATTTTACCCATCTCAACCAACAAGAACAGTTTACAGCAGCCGTACGTTCTTTCTCAATTAATCCACTATCTCATCTCGTCGTCATCCTCAGCGTCATCTGCCTGGAGTCCATTGGCATGCGCCATACTAACGGTGGAAGTGCCTGCTCTCATGGACGGATTGGTATTCCGGCATCAGGAAATTCTGACGGTTTACTGGGCTATACTCGACCAACCGGCAAAAATAGAGAAAGCAATACTCTCGCACTTTTGTAAAGTGAATCTGATGCTCATCAGACGTCGAGCTAGTGATTTCGCCCGATTTCTGACATGCCGAGGCGACCTAGCAACTATTTTACATCATCTCGACGATGAAGCCTGCCCCGACTTGTCTGATGTTTTATTCGCAACCATTCAAAATGACACTGCTTCCGAGGGCATCAGTATCATTGATGTAAGCATATGAAAGGTTCCAGGCACCAAAAATATTGACAGTTTTCTATTGAAGTGGTTTGCCGATCATCAGCTGATCGATCGGTTGGTGGATCGAATGATATCAAGTGATAACGAAATGGTGCGTTTACTGCCTATTTTGAAATGCTGCCACATATACTAACTGACGCATATACTGATAGACACGCGAGAATGCTCAGCGTTTGCTGTCTGATATCATCCGTTTGTCTCAGACGAACCAGTTTGACGCATCCAGTATCGGTTTCAAACAACTACTCGAGCAGCTAACCAGGTTGTTATCTTTATATGCATTATATGCATGAAGATTGGAGTCATAGGCTAACCCGGATTTTATCAGCTATCCAGTGATAAAGCGAATAGCTCACTCCATGTTTGATTTATCGTGCGATCTACCCAACGCGCTTGTTCCTGCCATTTCCATGATTGTTGATCTCATACGAAATAATCAAAGGTCAGTGCACTGATAACAATGATTGCCCATGGGATCGGATTACTCAAGTAGATACGCTAGTGTTATTTCGGTATCCGAATTTGCAACTCTCCTGGACTCCACTCTCGATATCTTCACCACCCATATACCACAACTTCTTTCTAAGCTAGAACTTTCTGGAAAACAGGTAACATAACGAACTTGATCATTACTTCAATTGGCTCGGCGCTCACTTTTTTCCAGACATTTATAGAAACACCCATAGGACGACAAGAACCTGTGGGTATAGAACGCTTGGCTGTCTGTGAGCTATTCGCAGCATTGTATTATTCCTCTCACACGAATGAACAATTCGGACATCTATTTAAACAAAGCTTGATCGATCATGCCGTTCTGTCACGACTTTTGGTAATTGGGCAATTGTGTTGAAAGCGGCAATACAATTATCTGATGGCGCTATTGTAGGACATGTTTTTTGGCTTCCCGTGGTGTAATTTCTTACATGTAATCGTATATGATATGCTATATCAGATTTTTCATGCTGATTTTAATCAACCAATAAACTATCGTCTGTTGATGGAGGTAAGCTCGCATTCGACCTATTTGGCAAAGAAAACCACTTCTGACATTTTTGAGAACAGACGCTTGAGACGAATTACCTTATGAAACGTATCCTACAAGCTCATCAAGCGAACGAAAAGTTCATGCAAGTATTTGAAGCAAAATATCTCACTTGTGCGCAAGACTCATTGGCAAAAATAGAAAGGAGCAAAAAGCAAGGCTCGGATTCATGGGTCATATCTCGTTGCTGTCGAGGTGTATTTTAGAAGTCTTTCAGTCCCAAGTTGACGTTGCCACGAAAATGATGGACACAGATTGCTGGGATGAATGGGTGCTGTATGTTCAGACTTCATTGAAAAAAGACATCCAGCGCGATAACGGACCTCTTGGTTGCAAGCCATAAGTGGAAGCTTCTATTCCCGAAATGGGAGATTCGTCTTTTGATGGATTAAAAATTCCAAACAGTTCAAAGCCGCACAGCCATTTCAGATACCAAATTCAACATCGCCATCGTCATTACAATCACAATAGTAAACTAATGTGCCTCGTTTTACAATCGATACTATACCTGCATATGAGAATACGCGCGGATGCAGAAAAAAGCGCCGCTGATGTATATACAGACATGCAGGCTTTACTCATCTGTTTACTTTCTTTGTTGCTTTCCTGTTATTTTGGTTTTTTCATATTTGATTGTATGTAAAGATAGAACCCTGTCGATCAATGTAAGCATGATGTTGTCGAAATGGGCCCTAGTCGGCGTTCTGTTACCTTTTTTTTTGTTTTTGCAATGGGTCTTAATGCTCAAACACTGTAGCAGTAATTTTTTTTTCTGATTCTAGGCGTAAGGCGGGTTCTTCAGCTAGCAAGTAAGGAATATGATCCCATCACATTCACTGGATACCAAAAAGCTTTTTTGCTTGCATATAATCAGTGATTGGTGTGAGAGGTCAAATAATGTATCTTTCAACCCGTGTGTCCCTGGGATATCGTCCGGATAGCTACCACCATTTTATGTAATCTAAGAAAGAACTAAGAATCTATCGTTTTCATTATCTGCCCTGTTTGAGCAGTCCTTCCATTAAGAAAGATCCGTCAGATTTGGGTCTGTCCCCCTTTTTTCTTTTTCGTTTTTGTGCGAAAATAAATGTTGGTACACATGCATGATTAGTAAAAGAGAGACTTTGGAATTTAGCAAGATTCTATCAGAGTATGAGAGGCTATGAAAGTCTTGATATTTTTCCGCGGCAATCGGTCTGTTCTAAGTTCAATGTGCGGAATTATCTCGTTCAGGGATCAACCTTCTTTTCCTCTGCGAGAGTAAACAAACAAGTACGCCAATAACGCTGATAATTTTGCGTTATTTTACATTAGCTGTGAGATGACATGTGGCTTACACATAGCATTATTTGATTTTAATTGATGAAAAAAGCTAAAGACATTACTTTTGAAACATTCAGAGGCGCCGATGTTGCTTGACAGCAGCGGAGTAAAGATTTTTGGATAATCGACTGTGGCTATATGCAGAGACGAAGCATGGAATTCTTTATCAACCTCTTTATGTACTTGTTTTGCGCACCAGTGCAAGGAGCGCTTACAGCATGGTTACCTGAAAAAAAGCATGCAAGCTATATGCTGGGGGAATCAGTCTTGGCGGTAGTGGTTCAATTGTAAAATCATTTATGATGTCCAGTCAAAAAGTTGGAATGAAGAACATGGGAATATCGAAGGCATATACGTTGTAAACAGCAACTGCGTAGGGACATATGCATCACAGCTGTATTATATTTTAAGCTGGTGACCATCGCCTCGGTTATGCAAAATTTGTTCCTTTTACCGTGTGCGACATAGTGCTTCATCCAGAAAATCAGATAATACGAGATAAAGAGGGAGAATAACTGGTAGCAACGTCGCATTTTACTAAGCATCGCAGAGTAGAAGGAAAAAAAAAACCGAATTGCAGCGTGCAAAGCACGAGTGCATTTGGTTCACTGCATAATGTACGCATTGGGCCAAGGATCTCGTGCTTGATTTCGAGATGCCGTGGAACCTCCAAGACATTATCATTGGTTAATGATCAGTTCAAGGGAAAAATTGCTGCAGAGGGGTCGACCTGCAGAGTCATGGTGCGAGAAACTAGTGTGCATCGTGCGCATTAACGCGATTATTGTTCAAACCTGGAAACAATCAATAACTGATAAAAAAACAACAAAAGAAAGGAAACAAAAACAATCATGTTTGTTGTCCCGCTATTCACTATAGGGATAAAACCCTAGATCCTAACGTTCATCAGGCAAGTTAAAGTCAATAAAATAGATTTCTGTTTATTTCGAGCGTAGCACTTTCTCCTGGGAAGCTAAAAGTTTGATGGGGGAATATAGTATCGTGGCGCATTTTTCGGCGATCGTAAGCGCTCAGAAATACGAATCCGGAGATATTCTGGGACTGAATAGCTCCTGCTTCTACACTTTCGTCAAATGAATAACTATGAACCTTACAAGTGACGAAGCGGGGCAATACACAAAAAAAAGAGAGTGGCGGAGATGCGAGAAAAAGAAAAAAGGAAAAAGGGGGGCAGCAGTTTACAATGATTTTTTTTTCGACTTTGGTGAAATGGAGCGTGGATCATTTTTAGAAACAAGAAGCTCTCGAAAATCAAACCAAATTTGGGTGCGCTTTTTCTTTTTTGCCAAATGATGTGCGCCAAGTGCTATGCGTCCACAGCATCATGCATTAGCTAGTATTTTTGTTATCTTTTCCCACCAGTCTTCTCTCTTTCGTTTTTTAATTTTCTTCGTTCTCTTGTTGTTATTCCCTTATGCTTTTTCATCCAAAGATCTCTCAGATTTTTCATCGCAAGAAATCTCAGAATGGTAGTCAGCAACATAACCGCTGTGTCGATAAAGATGAGCAAATCCTAAATAGAGCCATCGCTAAGCTATTTCCATCTCACCAGCAACAAAATCATACAACGGCAGCAGCAACAATAAGGCAACCTGACTATGCGGCAAATCCATCAAAAGCTGTGAAACAACGTTACTCCAGTCAAACACTTAACCATAAAAGGTCTCAGCCTCAGTGGCTTACTCTTCCTCACCGCCGATCCAACCGACACACCTCTTGTCAAGCGGCTTTCGCCACAGGCAGTAACAAGCAAGAACTCGTCACCTTGGATGCTCTGTCGCGTACTCATTCGTCTCATCAATTCGAAGAGTATATGACGCATACTCCGGAAAGCAGTACAAAAGTGGAAATTCCATCAAATTATGCTGTCACACCATCCATGATGTCCGTCCTCACACCTAAATCTTCCATGCATCATTTGTCATGGTGGGATGAAAATGAAAGTTCAATCTCCACTACACGCACATCGATCGACTCTTATCCGCGCAGCCCTGCCCGATCTTGGCCTACCGTCGACAAGGCGTCTTCCTGTCACTCGAGCTTACGAAAAAGCACCAGCAGTATGGTCATCCACAAGCCCATTCGATTAGCCGAACAAGTCAAATCGGTGCTCGGAGATGCCATCTATCAAGCCGATCAAGAAATGGAACTTTGAACTGTGTAACCATGTAATAAAAATGTAACAGGAGGTCATCAACATCAAACAGCGGACTCGAGTTCGACAAGCTGTAGTGCCATGATATGCTCTCCGCCCGGCAAAACTACCATCGTCCGAACCTGAGTGGAACAAACATACAAATTGCTTGGCGGATATTAGGACCCCACCCCACCCGTGCTTTCTGTAACGCCGGAATAGCGGAAAAAAGGCTATTTACCACCATTCGTGATTTGTAATAGACGTGTACACGTACCTCTTCTTATTTTTTAGATAATTTTATGTAAACTTTAGCCATTAGATATAACTTTTTTCTATCGTAGAATACAATATATATATTTGCTGATAAATGTTTCAAGATATTGTGTGGTTAGTGATGTTATGCGCAGCGTTTTTTCGTTGGATCATGCAACCTCCCGACATGCTCACAAACAGCTACTTGACCAAATACAAGCTCCGCCAGCGGGTAGCCATTCATCTCATCTTCTTATGGGGATGATTGCCTTATTTCTCTTCCCGCCTCATCTTTTAAAGCACACGCAAAGCTTCTATGCGGGCCATCTTTGTTCTTGTAGGGGAAATCTGTGCGGGGAGAAACAGCTTCCAATAGTCAAGTAAATTCGCTGGTTTTGAATTTGATGTCGTGGAAAGAAAAGGGGTGTTCAACAATGATGAGTCAGTTTCTAAGAAATTACACCTCTAGAGAGACCATCCAAGCCCACATTGCAATTATTTAGAGATGAAAAGAAGATGTCGCTGTTTTATATGGAGCTATGCAATAAGAAAGGTTATATTTCTCTGATGAGGATTTTTTTTTCTCATTGTTTTTTAGTAAAAGCTTTACTGCATCGGCTGCTGCAAAACAATTGAGTGTTCGTGTTCGTGCCGCCGAAATGGGTGGGACGTTATTATGAAGACCCTAAAAGCTCTTTGAGAAAAAGAATAGAACCACTTGGCGGGTATCGTATTATTGTGACTGGCCGCTTCACGATAAATTGTATCTTTCTCGATGAATCGACGTTTCATATGAATCTGAAACGAATTATCGCCTAGTCAAAGAGGCGGAACTCCTGCTGAGATAACATTTACCTTTGACAAAGGCGAAATCTACTTGAGATGAAATGGGTCAAATATCCAGAAATGAAGGGACATTATTGTATTATGGATTGTACTCCTTTCTATAGCTTAACTGATGTAGGAAAAACATACCCGCTCAAGAACATATCCGGTGTGTATGTCTTTCTCCATATCCTCCTGAACTGAATCCAATCGAAGCAATTTGGATCAGTTGTCAAAAGTAAAATAAAGCGAAATAAAAATTTCTGGAAAAGCAGGCGTCAATGACCAGGCATGTGATGATTTATATACAACTGATTTCAGAGTTTCTTGTTTCTCATTCCAAATATTTTGGCGAGTGCCTCAACTGTCCTCGTTCAAATAAAATTTTTGGACCGTTTGCTCCCCAAAAAGAAAAGGAGGTTACACAGTAAGTGTTCCAGTTCATACGTGATTTTGTAAGTCCGACTTACTACCATTTCGAGGTTGATGGCCGACTCCAGACTGTTGCTATTCATCTCACCCAACACAAGAAACATGCGTTTCGGTTGAGAATGCCATCTCGCATAACTCTTTGTCTATATTTATGGAGCGTAGGAGGCTCTACAAAAGATTGGGTCATGTAATGTATGCAACCGCATCGCGCATGGGTCGTTCCAGTCTCCTTTCTGCAGTATGATGTATGTGTAACGTGAAGATGCCCAAACATTGCTTGCCGTCTTATTTCAGAAGAAAAGCTTAACAAAAGAAAAACCAATGGGGCTGTATTCTAACGACTCATATATCAATATACGCGATGTTATGTGAGATGTCACTGAGATGACTTGTAAAACAATGTCATTGCTATGACGTTCGAAGCATGTTTCGTGTCGGACATTATAATCTTCGATAGCATGATGTATCTGTCATATTTGTAAAAATGCCACAGTTGCTTCCAACGGAACAGATGAATAATAGAGACATCGATAAAAAGGTATAACCTGCGCGTAGCGTCTTATATATTAAGTTTAATGATAAAGTTGTTTCGACCATGTTGATTTGAACATCCTCAAAACTGGATAGAATTAGATTACAGATAAAATTTACTAATACTTCAGAATGATGTAGAGGGCGTGAACTACAACAACGATTTTGATCAATATTTTTTATGGTTTGTTGCCAGACACCTGCCAAACACTTACTGATACCAGGAATATAACCTAAGCAGGTAAGACCGATGTTGATGAGAAGATCCACGGTACAGCCGCGTTCGAAGAAGACACCAAGAGGAGGCAAGACAACGGCGACGATGATTTTACAGATGTCAGATGCAGTGAAAGCCATGTTTTATGTTGTTACGTTGTGTGAAAAGATGAAAAAACAAGAAAAAGCGAACGCGAAAAATTCTTTATTTATAGCATTGTGGGTCTAAAAAGCCCAGCCAGGGACGGGATCTTAGAATGATGTCACGGTTACTACAAGTCGAGGCTCAATACGGATTGGCTCGTTTGGTACGACACAGACGGATTTCCTTTTCTGCCATCTTCCGTGAACCGTGGCGGTAAGAAGAATGCCCAACTCTGTATTTTTAGTTTCAAAATTCTCTGCAGATCACATGTATCCTTATTTTGATTCGCGCATAATGAAATAAAAGCGTACACAGCCATCAAAAAAAAAAAAAAATGACGTGATTCTCAGACATCCCTCGCAGAATTGTTACACGATCCACACAGCTTGAGACCAAGTTAAAAAACCTACTGACGTTGTCGGATATCGCAGCCTCAAGTCATTGTTCCATTTCACTGGTGATTTTCAGTATTGATTCCTGGACTTTCTCCAGTTTTGTTCAAGTCCATTGCTGCCTTATGATAGGAGTCAGTTCTCGGAAGTCATTGCAATGCTGATGTTCGGAAAACGTTGCCATGATTTTTTTGCCCCGTAAATCAAAAGATATCTCTTATTCGCTTTTCTGTCCGATAAGCACAGGTGCCGCAACTGCAGAAAAAAAAGACCGTTTACGTCGTAAATTTGATAGGCCGATCTCGATCTCTTCCTACATTGATCTGCTTTGAGACCGTTTTGATCCGCCTCAATCGGAAGTTCCTGCTTTCTTCTGCGTTTCCTTTCTTGGCATAATGATTCACCAGTTTCATGACAACGTAACAAACAGATCGGGTATGCTGCTACCGTTTAGTGTTGCCCATCATATCATGCGCTAGAGTTATTGCATAAAACTGTACTGTACATTGCCATTTAAATTGTTCATACCTTAGCTTCAAGGTGTTGCTTATTCCAGAGTCTCGCGAGGCGAGCACGCGTTACATCATCATTACTTGGCATACTATTCGCTGATCCGCTTTGCTTTATAGGCTCCTGAGCTGAGAAAAAGGTGGTGTTCCAAAATTCATACACACAAGATCACGCCTTCTCGTCTTTTCTTTATGTAGAACACGTTTCTAAGAGATGAATTTGTGCGATTCGAAGAAAACTTGTGTTAGCATCTATTTATCATTGATCTGTGCTGGTCAGCCGTATAGGTACTTTGCAACAGCACGAGCACGTGCACCAGCCACTTTGCAATATATCATACTGCATCTCAATAGGACATTTGCGTGGGTAACCTTTATCAATAGATACTTTGCACAATATCCTTATCATTTACGTTTTTGATAGTGCATTTATACAGGAAACTCACGCTGAGCACTGTTGTTCATTATGGGAGAATGGATAAAAAATAATAAGAAAAAGATTGCAACCAGAAAAGTCATATGACCAATTTCATCCCCTACAGAGCCGCAGTATGCCACTGCGCCTCTTCAAGAAAGACTACCGCAAGACCAAGAGAAGCACCTTATATAATTAGATATTTATCTTGCTTTTTCATTGTTTTTATTTTATTTTATTATCTGCTTCCTTGTCCTGTTCTTGGTGAGTGTGTTTTTTTGAATGATCCTTTTTTCATATCTCGATGAGTATTTTTGGGCGGCAGTCACGATGGAAATTTTAACACCCGAAGACATCAATAGGAACGCGTGTTATTTGTTTTTACTTTTCCCTCCGTTCAAACACAATTCCTCTTCAGTAATGTTCGGTAGTGGTGCCTTTGGCAGCGGAACTGGCTTCGGTCAGCAGCAACAACAACAACAACCCGCTTCTGTCTTTGGACAACAACAACCGCAGCAGCAATCAGCTTTTGGTGGTAATTGCATTTGGGAATTCACACCGTTTTTTTTCCTTTATCTTTCATTACCCCGTACTCATAATGACGTTGCATTCCATAGGTTTCGGCTCGACTTCCACTCCCAGTGCATTTGGTGCGAGCACTACTACTACCGCCTTTGGTCAGCCTGCTCAACCATCGGTGTTTGGCTCGAACACTGCTACTAGTAAGTGAATCATTCACACGCATTGCAATCATATGTACAGGTGATTTATTAATTTCTTCATACAGCTGGATTCGGTGCCAATACGACGTCTGCTTTTGGTCAAGCTAGACCATCGGCTTTTGGATCGACAACACCGGCATTCGGAGCAGCAGGTAATGTGAAATCAGTAATGGTGATAATAATCCCGTGGGTCTAACTGACAGCACTCTTTAGCTCAACCTGCTCCGACAGGTTTCGGTGGCGGTGCTTTCGGTGGTGGTAAGAATCGTAGCTCATCCCTTATCGCAATGAAGGTAGTATGTGTAATCTTAACCTTTTTTGTTGGAATGTAGGTTCTTCATTCGGTTCGACCACAGCCCAAGCTGGTAGCGGTTTGTTCGGAAGCCGTCCAGCTACTCAAAGTGCGTTTGGCGCAACGGCCACCCCTGCTCCCTCTGCTTTCGGTGCCCAACCTCAACAGCAGCCATCCGCATTCGGTGGCATGGGAGCAACGACATCGGCTTTCGGCCAAACTTCTGGCACGAATCAGGGCACAGCAGTGGCCGACTTTACTCCTACGCAAGAGCGTGACTTGACCACAGGTGTCAACAATTTTTTCCAGACTATCACCGCCATGCCGCAGTATAAAAATTTCTCATTGGAAGAGCTTCGATTGCAAGATTACATGCAAAACCGAAAAACCGGAAATGCTGCACCCGGTGGATTTGGTGCTGCTGCACCTGGTGGATTTGGCGCTCCCGCTAGCAATACTTCGCTTTTCGGACAACCTGCTGCCTCCAGTGCGTTTGGACAGCAAACCACGAGCGCTTTCGGACAACCTCAACAACAAGCCGGCGCATTCGGTAGCACCGGCACAGGTCTCTTTGGCCAACAACAACCTTCCACAACCCCAGCCTTTGGAGCACCCGCCACAGGAGCTACGGGAGGTTTTGGGAACACCGGTTTCGGTGCCTCCAATGCCACACCTGCTTTCGGCGCCACATCCGCTGCGCCTGCATTTGGAGCAGCCGGAGGATTCGGTGCTACTGCAGCCAAACCTTTCTCATTCGGTAAGTTAAAAAGATATCTTTTGCTTATAAATCGCCTATCATGTATAGAAGAAAAAATGACTTGAACGGCAGAAGCGAAACAAAAGAGTTGAAAGAGGAGACGTTGTACTCACCATGGTATTAAAATATAGGTGCAAGCAACTCTACGCCCAGTCAACCTGCTACTGGCGGTTTCGGTGCTACAACATCTACACCTGGTTTTGGACAGGCCGCAGGCAACACTGGCTTTGGAGGCTTCGGTCAAAAGCCCGCAGGCCAAACTACCACAGGTTTTGGTGGTACTGGTGGATTTGGTGGATTCGGTGCGACGGCTGCCAGCAAGCCCACATTTTCTTTCGGTGCCACTTCTGCTGGCCCTACTTCGGGAGCCGGCACGACTGGCTTTGGCGGATTCGGTACTAATACCACCGGTGCAGTGGGCGGATTCGGGGCTCAAACATCGCAACCTGGCGGTCTTTTCGGTGCAAACAAGCCAGCAGCACCTACCACCTCATTGTTCGGCAACACGCAACAGCAAACGACGACGCCTTCCTTTGGATTCGGTGGCACCCAGCAGAACACTGGATTTGGCGCCACAACAGGCGGATTATTCGGCCAGAAACCCGCTACCAATACGACCTCTACTGGCGGTTTGTTCGGCAATACCCAATTAGGCGGTAATACATCGTTTGGTGGATTCGGTCAACAGCAAACAGGTGGCGGTTCGTTTAATTTACCTGCTCAAGGTGGCTTGACTTCATTTGGCACCGCTGGCCTTCAACCTGGCCAAGCACAGCAACCACTCGTTGCCACTGTCGATAAGAGCCCTTACGGCAGCAATCCTTTGTTCAATACGACGCAGCCTACTCAACAGGGTACCGGCAACCAAACAGCGACCCCTTCGGCCGTCGCTGTCGAAACCCCCAAGAAACCCGCCGTCCCTCATTATCCCATCAGTCCTCGCGTGGTCTCCAAGATCAAATTACGCGGATTCACCTTTGGCCCTACCACGAAACCTGCCGCTAAAAAGATGACTGCCTTGGACGGTGTGAGCGACGACGCGGTCCTCGGATCCGGTGCATTCTCGCCTCGACCTAGCAATAAACGATTGGTGTTCAACGACAACGTCGATGAATCGAACGTCGCAGCTCTCGTGAACCAAAAGAGCGAAAAACCGAAAATCCTGTTTAACCCCAAGCTTGAATTGATCGCTTCACAACAAGAATCAAGCGGATCCGATGTACATTCCTCGACTGAACAAGGCGAGGCCTCGGCTACCACCAAGCCATCCATTAGCTCGATCACCGCCGCAGCTTCCAAAAATGGCTATTCGTGTTCTCCCACCTTGGAAGCCTTGTCCATGATGAGCCATGAAGAATTGAAGCATGTGGAAAACTTTACCGTGAAGCGTCGTGGTTATGGTGAAGTGAGCTTCGACGTCCCCGTCGATTTGTCTGACATTCCTTTGCAAGATATTATGGGTACGATCGTTATTATCGAAACAAAGACCGTGGTTGTGTATCCCAACGAAAGTACCAAGCCTGCTTTGGGTCACGGTCTCAATGCTCCTGCGACTGTCAAACTGGAAAATTGCTACACCACTGACAAAGACACCAAGCAACCTATTCGTGATCCTGAACATGCGCGCTTCAAATTATTCCTCAACAAATTGCGTAAACGACAAGGCGTGGAATTCCTCGACTACGATATGCAGACAGGCACATGGACATTCAAAGTAAAACACTTTTAAAAAAAAAATCAAGAAACAAAAAAAAGCCCCAAACAAAGCATACGAAAAAATATTTCGACTCTAGTATAGTTAGCTATGGTAGCATCAATATGAAAGAATTCATGGTAAATAAAAGAATTTAGCAACACACAAATATTCTTTACGCGCTGCTGCTGCTAAAAAATAAGCGTGCTGGGCGAACGTGCTGGGCCGAAAATATCCTCCTTTCTTTTTGCAGATTTCTGCCAAAGAATAACCCACAAATACTTTTTGCTTAAAATTGGGGAGGCATATCTTAAAGGATTGGTCCATTGATTTTCAAATCTCATCCGATATTAGGTTGAATTATAGCTGGCTGAAAGGGAGCTCTCGCTTTTGTGAAAGCTTAATGGATGGGCAATAGTAGCCAATCATATTGCTTCATTAGGAATATGATGGCGCAGTAACATTCAAAACGACTCAAATCGGATTTCCACGTTTCTTGGACTCCTTGTCTTTGCACCTGTTGTATTCAACCCACCAATTACGTATACGACATACTTGGACATAGAAAAATATTGGATGCTAACGTAATTGTTACTGTTGAGGCTTTCCCATAGGTGGAAATAGCACTGAAGGGCACTCATTGGAGGGGTTTTGATTAATGCAAATTTTGGTGATCGATTTTCCCGATTTTTTTGGTGGTTTGAGATGACCCCCTTTATCTGATCCTTCGGGTGCGTGATAGCAATCTAAACAGGACATGCGAACAAAGAAGAACAAACGACTTTGCAAAATGCAGAGAACATAGAACTTGACGGAGACTTAACGTTTTTTTCTTTTTACCTTGCAAGTAATGAACTTATCGCAAGGAAATTATTTCCTCTTGCCTCTTATCATGTTTGATAGCACCATAACAACGAGGATCCTAAATTTGCCATTGAATTGATGTTTCGGAACCTGAATGCCGATCATCCGTCTATCACGTGACCTCGAGCAAAGTACATTAGTCTTTTTTTTTTTTTCACTCCCTGCAAATTTTTTTTTCTGGTCAATCTCCTTATTCAGCCATGACAGACATTGAAGAAAAGGTGAAAACAACTGCCGAAGAATTGAACCAAGTTTCGCTGGACAACGACAACATTCCCGAGACGGACGGGGCTGCCGCGGCCAAGAAGAAGAAAAAGAAAAATAAAAAGAAGAAATCAGCTGCTGCAGGTGAGCGCTTTTCTGTTGCCAACATTCTACGATAATGTTGGCTAATGATCTATATATAGCTGAATCTGGTGACTCGGTGCCAGCTGAAGAAAATGACGAGGAAGCTGCCGACGATGCAGGCAACGAAGAGACGGCAGGAACAGAAGGGGGAGAATCAGCTGGTAAGAAAATAATTTGGCATATCACTTGATGAAATCGGTTGTGTAACTGCTTGGTTTTTTTTTATTAGCTAAGAAGAAGAAGAATAAGAAGAAGAAGAAAGCACCCAAGACGCAGACTGAACCGCCCACTGTCGGGCTTAGCAAACTCTTCCGCGACAATGTTTATCCCGAGGGCGAAACGCATGAATACAGGGATGAGTAAGTAAACTTGGCAGCATGAGGATGTGTATTTCCCTGTCAGATACTTATATTACATGGTGTTTTTTAGTAACTTGTGGAGAACCACGAGCGAGGAAAAGCGTGCAGCTGAGCGATTGCAATTTGATGATTACAACGATCTGCGTCGAGCGGCTGAAGTGCATCGTCAAGTCCGTGCTTATGCTCAGAAAGCCATCAAGCCTGGCATGACCATGATTGAGATTTCAGAGCTGATCGAGAATGGTACCCGTGCGCTCGTGGAAGAGACCGGTTTGGAATCGGGTATTGGTTTCCCAACAGGTTGTTCTTTGAACCACTGTGCTGCGCATTATACCCCTAATGCTGGCGATAAGACGGTGCTGACGTACGATGATGTGATGAAGATCGATTTTGGTACTCATGTGAAGGGTCGTATCATTGATTCGGCTTTTACGATGCATTTCAATCCCAAGTTCGATCCTCTCGTCGAAGCGGCCCGCGAAGCTACTTATGCTGGTATCAAGGAAGCTGGTATCGATGTTCGATTATGTGATATTGGTGCTGCTGTTCACGAAGTGTATGATTCATGCGAAATCGAGCTGGACGGCAAGACACATCAGATCAAACCTATTCGCAATTTGAACGGTCACACCATCGAGCCTTACCGCATCCATGCTGGCAAATCGGTCCCCATTGTACGAGATTCCGGGGATGAGACCAAATTGGAAGAGGGCGAGCAAGTCGCCATTGAAACGTTCTGTTCTACCGGACGTGGCTATGTCATCGAAGAAGGCGAATGTTCCCATTATGCCAAGTCCGCTGACAGTGGTTTTGTGCCTTTGCGATTACCGAAAGCCAAGTCATTGCTCGCGACCATCAACAAGCATTTTGGTACCTTGCCCTTCTGTCGACGTTATTTGGATCGCATTGGCGAAGAAAAATATATGTTGGGCTTGAACAACTTGGTTCGTAGCGGTGTGGTGACAGCTTACCCTCCATTATGTGATATCAAAGGCAGTTATACAGCTCAATTGGAACACACCATCTTGCTTAGACCTACTTGTAAAGAGGTAAGAAGGAACTAGTACTGTTTGTGCGTTATTTCCAAGCATGCTTATCAAATCCATGTTTTTATTACTAGATTGTGTCCAAGGGTGACGATTATTAGTAAACTTTTTTAAATATCTGTCAATAGCTTCTTTTGTTTTCACTCTCCCTCTTTTTGAAACAATAAATTACAAACAATGCATCCATTTCATATCCTTGCGCGTTTGCAAGCGACGTTATCAATAGAAAATAATCTGGTCCGGTATTCCATGACGTCCTGCATTACAGCAGAAAGAAAAAAAAAGTTGTTTGGTTCGTTTTATTCTTTAGCCTTCTTTCTTTGTTCCCATGCAGTTCTTATGCGAGGGATATGTTCTATCAGCTACATTTAAATTCGACATGTTAATATGTATCAATGCTTTCAATTTGCCGATGTACACCAACCTCTTCTTTTGTTACGGCGTCTCTGATACTTGTCAAGACGCTGTCCACTGTTGATTGATGGTTTCCGTCGGGCTTATCATCGCGATATCGCATGAATCGCCATGGTGAAGGGAGATTATAGTCTCTCTGAAGATCTGGGTCATAATTGCATTCGATAATACGTCCTTCTAGTTGTTTCGGTTTATCTCCAAAAAGCTTGCGCCATTCCTGGTCGGTAATCCCCAGTTGATCAAATAATTTATAGTCTTGACCGCCTTGCCATACATACAAATCTATTCGCGGCTTGGCATTGTAGTCGAGAACACCAGGTAATGAACTTCCTGGGAATCTTAAATGTACTTTGAAATCCACAGAATTCTCGTTGGCTGGCTTCCATTTGATCCTGCTCCTACGGTGAGTGGATCTTTTCCCATGTTCACGGCAACTTTTGTAGCTTACATTTTGTTCGATGTGCCGAGCGAATAAGGTGCGACGACCGAGGTGAATATTAAGCCATCGTTCCCATGCTTCAAATTGGGAATGATTTCGTTGAACACGAGATCCAAATGATATGTGAATTGTTGTTCTTTAAATTCCACACTATGATAGGGCCGGAAGGTTAAACCGTCGAACCATCTTCCACAGAAGATACCGTACTCACGTAAAAGGTTGACGGTGAACCATGTGCGGATTTTTGCGAAGCATGTTCTGGTGCGGCTTGATCACTTCACCTTTGAGATACTATGAAATACATGGATTGAGTGCGGTTCCCACCGGACAGCGAAATAAATCCTACATACACCCAACCGTTTGTTCAGGTCACGCGTAATAAGCATGCGGCCAAAAACGACGAGACAGTCAAATAGCAGGAAACGTAACTTCATCTGATGGCGGCATTCGGCAGATTAGACGATGGGGTTTTCTGAAGGAAAACAACAAGACGAACTTACTGAACCGTCTGGCTCTTTATCCAAGACAAATTCCCCGTCAATGATGGTATCTGTAAGACATTTTCGAAAGGAAGGATCGTTTGGAATGGGAAACTGCAAGTTGTTGACCATGTGAAAATTGCTTTTTCGGTCAAACTGTAGCCATGTTCAGTAACGAAGTAATTTTCTCGTCCATGTCGGTACAGTGACGCGTTACCAAATAAACTTCTTGCTCTTTTCGCTCATTCACGAGCAATAGAGCCAAGCATCGGATACCGTCCGACTTTTCTGCAACAAAATAACTAAGACTGGTGAGCACACAAGTTTTCTCACAAGCTGTCAGAGTAAAATGCATACTCTTCTCTTTCTAGTTCGTCTAATTCCGCTGTGCCGAAGCTTACAGGTTGTGCGCCTGGAAATCTACGATGGTACTTTTGTCAGTTTCTTTCTTCATATACCAGTTAACGTTAACAAAGAACCTGTATTTTTTCATATGTAGCAACGAAGCTACTTTTTCTCTTAGCCAGGTATCATCCGTAACAGGAATTCCCGGTATATTAGGTACAATGGAATGATTCATTATAAAAGCGGCACTAGTGAAAGTGTCTGAGAAAGGAAAGGGAAATGCGCTCCAAAATGGCCACAAATTCCCGGTCAAGCGGTTGGATCATTGGTGGCTTATGCAGGAACTTTGTTCCTTTCTGCGATTCATTCCAAAAAAAGAGGAACTCACAAGTGCTGTTTATCTTTAGATAAAGCAGCATTTTTTTTTCCTTTTTACATCTTTTGTGTTATTGCTGTCTTTAGAAGCATCAACCTTTTGGCCCTATAATGAACACAGTGAAAAAACATGCATCATATACCACCATAAACCCAACACTGGAAAACGGTAGGCTCCGGAGTCTCAAATTTCCAAAAGGCGGTTTTTTTGATCAATGCCAGATGAAATTTTTGAAAGCAAAACTGTCCTGGTTCCAATCATCAAAGGACTGAAGCACTGTGTACGATTTCTGCGCTGCAGGCCATATGTTTTGGTGCCACAATGCGATTTCAGCGGCCCGTGCGCAACTCCGACATCGGTGACTCACGCATGCACTACCAGCTACGTTGGCATTGTCTGAAGCTTCGTCATCGATGCGGGCTCTGCGTAGCATCAGAGTACCACTTGTTACTTGCTGACAATTGAATAATAATTCAAGCCAGTAAATGTTAAAACCACATAGAAATAAATGTCCGCTAAACATTCGCAAAAAACCGTCATCTAAATCTTAACAGGAGGCAACGTCATTCTTCGAGCTCGCATTGGGCTGCTCAGGAAGAATCCATATTCTGTTGATGATCCTTCACTCAAATAACTGACTTGGTACATCGGCCCCAATATTCGCATACATGGCAAAGCGACCCTAGCAGCTCATTTCCGCAAAGTGTCCCAATGTAATAAATCCACACCTAAAAAGCTTATGCAAGTTGTATGATATTTTTTTTTTTTTTTTTTTCGCTTCCATCCCGTGTCTGCCGCTCGCTGTTGTCGTCAATATACTCGCAATCATGCTCTATTAATAAAGAAGGGGTAGGTAGAGAACCTTTTTATCTAAAAAATGAATGACTAGAATTTATATGATGCATGCTTTTCCATGTTTTATGATACAAATTAGAAGAGAGTGTTTTCCTCGCGCAGATATTCGCCAACATCAGCTTGATGGAAAACAATGAAATCTGTAGGTTGGAGTTTCTTCATGTCCACCGTGGATCGAGCGGTGACACCGAATCCTAAAGGCATATCAGACATGGAATAGATGATAACACCAGTATGTTCGGGCGTGTCGTCGGTGATTCTGCCTAAATGTGCCTTGACAACGTGATTACCGTACAGGTACGGCATTTCACCATTAGGTTTGATCCAGATCTTGTGCTAAGAAAACGTAGGAGATCTCAAGTTAATCACCTACATCCAAGTAGAAATATGTCAGGTACAAACCTTTGCGTATTGAGCTAAATGATCCAATGCTGTGATGTGCAACTTGAATTTGCCGGTTTTTGTGAACTTGCCAAAGCATACACCGACCGATCCCAAGTGATCACGACCGATGCTCACGGCCATGCGCATCATGGATTCACTATGTAAACATGACTCGTATTAGACATTACTTTTTTTAACTTTTCGAATTTGACGCAAAGTATACCTTAAATAATAGACTTTATCTTTGTGAAGGCGGAAACAGTATGTCTCATCGGGTCGATCGATCAGGTGCTTAATATTGGCGCCAATGCTTTTAAAATAAAGTATTAATATATATGATGAGTTCACACAGCACTTATACACTTACTATTTAGCAAGTTTCTCGAAGAGTGTGGTAGTTTCTTCAGCAGTAAGAGGACGCATGGTGAGGTATCAAAGTGAATAGTGAATAGCAGACAAGCTTTTTTTTTCTTTGAAAGATTAACTTTGGAGCAGCCAAGCCACTCATGTGACAGGTATTCTTCGATCTTTCACCTGGATCAGCGGAGTTTTATTCAGGTCCTCAATTTCCAAGAGATGAAACGTCAGGTGCATCCAAGTTCTTCCGGTTGGATGAACGCTTGAAAAAGATCGTGTAGAAATGAAAAAAAGGAGTAAAAGTGGGTATAAAGTTAAAGCAAGTAGGCTGACCTTGTGAACGTAAAACGTTTTGTAAACCCACCGAGATTTTACTGGAATTTCCGTGTAAATAACCAAGGAATGTCTGAAGAAACTGTCTGACGGGCCCCAATACATCAGGAAGAGTGTGGGTACTCATGACAATGCTGGCTTTGTGAGGATCTCCAACGAATTGACCCCAAACAACAACAGATATGGACATGCAAACGGAGAAGACGGGTATTTCGCTGTTAACCAATATAGCAATGACCACTTCCGACTCCAATCCTACCACTGGCTATTTCCACAAAGGCAGTAGCGTGGGATATTGCATTTTGAAAAGACAGCGAGCAAAATGAAAGACAACTGTACGAAGAAGTCTTTACAGCGCGGAAATGCATAAGCTGCTTCACTGAAAGTGATCGTCTTCATCGATCTCCAGTTAAACGTGGCGTGATGGAAGGCTCAGAATAACCAACTTTTTTTGTTCGCATTCATCAGATAAAAATTCTTTTCCCCCAGACAATCTTCTAACTTTCTCAGATCCTCTTTGTTTTTCCCAAAGAAGTGTATAACAGGTTCGACCTGTAGCATGCAATAGACACAACTTGAATCCGTAAGTGACAATAAAACTATACCAGCCTTCTGCATGTCCAATTTGTCTTGTTTGTCGATTTGCCGCCTTTCTCAAGAGACTTTATTGTTAAATAGGAAAAGGACGAGATAGGTCAATCTATGGATGAGCTGTCAGATTAGAACTTTGATCTGTCAATGATGGGCAATAAAATTTTCAAAGGTCGAAATTTCGGGAAAACTCCGCGAATCCAAACCATATCCATGTTCAGTTTTTTCTCAATTCTGCGTGAAAAAATACACTTGTAACTTGTGTTGCACGGGATAGAGTCATTGCGGGATCCGTCGCACAAAAGACAGAAACTTAACAGCTGCAAGTATTGATGTATGAAGCACTATTTGTCAAAATATGTTTAGTGAAAAGAGACAAAACAGCGGAGGGGAGGGAGTCGTCTCATCCGATGACTCGAACATGAGTCAACAATTTTTTTTGACAATTGTATGAAATTGCACAAAATTTAAAATTCCGTACCGGATCTGTAACAAAATGGAAGTCGATGGGATAAAAATGGTTATTGACTGCTCATTAACCTCAATGTACAAACCTTCAACCCATCTTTTCGCGCCGTCAGCCGAAAATACTGCATCACTGGTTATTTCACTGGCCACAGCAGCTGGAGTATACTACTACTTTCGTGACGATGTTCGAGCATGCGCATGGCGAGTCATGGAGCGGTTGTGCTTCTTTTTCAGTAAACGAGATCTAGCCGAACTTCAACTGGAACACGAACTTGTCAATGAACGCAAGTATTCCTGCATTCTAACAGTTTTGGCCTTCAACTTATTCTGCGCTCTTCTTCTCCCAATAGAGGAATCTGATATCGTCGCACAACATACACAATACGTAGAGATTAAGGGTCACCGCCTACGTATCGTTCATATCATTCACGAACTAGGAAGCAAAGTCCCTCTCGTTGTATTTATTCATGGACTAGGCGGACAGGTAAGCGAGTGATGAAAATGGGTTCATTCTTGATATGACTTCTTATACGAATTTTAGGTAGCACAGTGGGAGCGTCAGATAAAGTATTTCTCACAAACCGCGCATGTGTTGGCCGTCGATCTATTGGGTTGTGGCAAGAGCGAGGTAGAATCAAGGTAATGGCTTCAAAAAGATAGTTGATGGTGCGCGGATTTTATACTCATGCTGACGATGGAATAGTTGGCACTCATACACCACAGCGTCTCTGGTAGACGACATCAAATCATTACTTTTAGATCGCTACCACTATCCTTCCACTGTCATCGTTGCTCACTCTTACGGATGTTCAATTGCCACCTATGTCGCCTCATCACCAGAAGTTCAGAAAAGTCTCAAAGCCCTCGTTTTAATATCGCCAAAGGAAGGATTGTCACAAGCACACAAGGAAAATGTTAAACGACTTCGCTGGATTCCAAACTCTCTGTTTGACTTTGCGAGAGTGGCAGATCGTAAAGGTGGACTCTACAGCAAAAGTGTCGAACGATTTCTGGGATTACATGCAGAAGATCAATATCGCAGATGGTAAGAATTCAATTTTACGTGTTGCATCGCTGCCTATGCTGATACTATCAAAATGGAAGGCAATTGCGATGGAACTTGCAGAGTCGGACCTCGGTTTACAAGCGGTTCGTCCATGGTGCGACTTTTCCCGATGTCAGCATATACCAAAAGATCAAAGTGGGCGTGTTATTAATAGGTGGCAGTGAGGTAAGTTTGCCTAGGCGGACAGCAATTTTTTTTTTTTTTTTTTTTTTTTTTTTTTTTAGTTGATCTCATTGAAATCCAGGACAAAATAACGCCGCCCAATGATATGAATATTATCCGCAACCATTTATTAGGGCTGGACCCCAGTGAAACAGAGTGGAGCAATATTGATCAGGCAGAAAACTTGCGTGTGCCAGTACCTTATGTGATTCCCGATGTGAGCCATATGCCTATGGTGGTCAAACCAGAATTAGTCAATCCTGTCATGTCGGATTTTCTGATCAAGAATTGCGGACTCCACACACTGAGCGGAGCTTGGCAAGTGCTGAATCGTACCAAGGGTGAGAATAAATGGGATCTCAAAAATTATGAAAAGGTAGATATGAGATATCAAGGTCCAATGACTTGGGTTTTATCATCTAACATTTTTGCTTCAAGTGGGCACGTACGCCTAATATTACAGCGATTCCTATTGGCCCTTCTCAGTTCCGCGCCATGAAAGTGATGCGTCAAACCGATCCTCATCATTGTCCCTCTGCTTTTCTCGCGAAATACCCTGAAATCGGCTTTATTATCGATATCTCCAATGATTCACCGCCTTACCGAACCACTGATTTCGAAAACTCGCGGATTGAATATATCAAAATAAGGACCGTGTCGAAAATTCCACCAACCCGAGAAGACGTCGAACGATTTATTGCCACCGTCGACGCGTGTAGAGAGAAACGGCCGGATATGCAAATTGCTGTGCATTGTCATTACGGGTATGTCCTTGATCAAAAAGTGTCAATCTCATGTCAAAGTTGACATAATTTTTTGATACCGTTTTTATCATGTTAGATTTAATCGAACGGGATTCTTTATTTGCTGTTACATGATTGAACGACTCGGCGTCTCAGTTCCTGATGCGATCCGCTATTTTGCTGAAGCGCGAGCACCAGGTATACGGTAAGTTGGAGATGTCGATGAAGGAATGGACGAGCTTGCATTAATTCGTTGGTCTACCAGTCATTTGCATTTTATAGATGAGCTGTATCTACGCTATGTATTACATAAATGAATCCGCGAATGTACATCGACTGTATATCATTCACTTTTCAAATTTATCTTGAGACGGACAAATACATCTTATAAGTACGAGATGTCAGCTAAAAAAATTATTACCTGATGAAACCAAGCCAAGTGAAAACAAAATCAAACAGGTATTGAGACATCAGTGAACATGAAAAAAAAAATAGAAAAAATTGGATTGGAAGAGAAAGGGAAAACAAGGGGTGGGCCCGGGAAGGGGGAATTTCACAAAAAATGACATTCAGCTTGGACGACAAGGGGAGCCAGCTTGTCGATCAGTCAAGGAGGCTTATTATGTGGAGAAAAGAAAAAAATAAATAGAAGAAAATCGCATAGAAGTATCCAATGAATCCTGATGCTCAGGTATTGCTCCCTGAACAAATCTGGTCATGAGTCCAACGGTTATTTTTGGGCAAGCAACGGCTTGTTAGGGGAAAAATCCTCTCCCACAACGTGCAAACTATTCAGCACATGCGTGAAATAAGTATTGAATTGGAGAAATAAAATAATACTTGGATCTTGATCATCATGTTATCATTCGAATTATCCTTCTTATTCTCACTTTTTTCTTTATAAAACCGAAAAAGTGCGTCTTCTCCCAAATAATGCCTTGCTTAGGAAGTCGTAGTAAATCGCAGAACAAAGCATCGGCTGGCAAAAAATCCAAGCGCCCGCAGAGCATCGTCAGCACCACTTCTGTCGCTGTTTCGCAAATACGTCAAGAATACAATGAACTGAAAACCAAGGTATATAACGTCCCCAGAATGAGGGATCCTAATTTTCAAAATGGGACTGACAAGCGCCAGCAGAATAGCGAGCATTTGGATATGATTGCTCGCCAGTCGGCTGAACTCAACGAATTACGGCAAAAGCTGCAAGCGCAACAGGAGCAACCGAGCAACGATACGCGGCATCAGGAAATGCTGGCTAGCTTGCAACAAAAGGAAGAAATGCTCAAGCAGCGAGAACAACAAATTCAGGATATGATGCATAAAATTGAGCAAGAAGATCTGGCTCAAAAAACCGAAGATCAGGCTCGTCATCAGCTGGCAGAAAAAGATGAGCTATTGCGATCTAAAGACAAGCAGCTAGAAGAACTTGAATTGAAATGGGAATCCGAGCATGCTGAACTTATCAAGCCAGCATTGGAGGAGGTGACGAAGCAACTGGAAGAGTTGAAGCAGACGGTAATATTTCAGTTTATCTTGCATTAATTTCCAGGTTGACTCAATTGGTTCTTACTTTTGGTCGGTAGAACAAGGATGCAGTAGCTCGTCTTGCTGAAAAAGAGAACGAATTGGCCGAACTACGATCAGAATTGACCCGGCGTGACCGTAAGCCTAAAATGCCGGACCAAGAACGACAGAAACGTATGAATCGTTTGACTATGGACTTGGAAAACGACCGATTGCTGATTCAAAAACTGGAGGAATTAAACCAACAATTGGAGGTAAGATCCTTTTTCCTACCATTGAAGATTATAAAATAACACTGGTGCCTTTTTTTTTTTCTTTTTTTCGTTATTCTAGGCACAAAAGGAGAAACATGAATCTATTTTGCAATCCCATGCTCAGGCGATGGCTGAAAAAGACCGTGCGTTGGATGAACATCAAAAATCTTTGGCGGCTCTCCAGTCAAGTCATGCCAAAGCCATCAAGGAACTGGAACGTCAGCAAAAATCGAAACTGAATGAATTGCATTTACAGCACGAACAATCGCTTGCCCAGGTGAAAGAAAAGCTGGCCAATGCAGAGAAACAGGCCAAATCGCAGGTGAATGATGAAGTCGAGCGATTACTGCGAGAGTTTGAACAATCCGAGCACGATCATTCCCAGCAAGTGGCTTCGCTTCAGGAATCGCACCGTGAGCAACTTTCTTCGATGAAAAAGGGCCAGCAAGCCGAAATCCAAGGTTTATTGAACGCATCGGAGCATGCGAGCGTCAGTATGCCGGTACTACGCAAAACGGGTGGCCTCGGCAAAATCCGATGGCCTATTAGCGCCTTACAACAGCATCAGGCATTGGAAGTTCAACCTCGGGATCCGGCCATGGTCCAAGTGTATCTATCCAGCGTATCAGCAAACTCCACCATCAAAAGAAACCAAGAGTCTATACAAACATTGTTACAGTCAAAGCAAATCGAATACCAAGCTGTGGATGTCGCAAAACATGAAACGGCCTTACAACACATGCGCCGTCAACATAATGGACCAAAACAACTACCTCAGATCTTTGTTGGTGGTGAATATCGCGGCGTACGTATAACAGCTGCATTGATGGCTTGTGGCAATCGAATGATATTAACTCTTGGTTATTTTCCTGGCTTTGTTTTACATCCATAGCAACTGGACGATTTGATTAAAGCAGTGGATGATGGTCAATTAGCTGAGTTCTTGCGACCACGCGATGTGACAGATAGACGAGGTTCAACGTTTAGTACAAAATCGGCCAGTTCGATTTCATCTGTGGGTCCGACTACGCCTAGCCACAGCACTGCCTTGGCATCCATGAGAACTCCTCCGGTCCCCACCCTTGCCAATAAGGTGAAGCCAGCCAAATCATATTACCACGACGAAGACGAAGCCATGTTCAAGGAACTCGAAAAGGAACTAGGACATAAAGACTTTTCTCGTATCGACGTTAATTTCTAATTATTAAAAAAATTGCAACTTACTTAATCATCATCTACTACTTATTTTCAGCTACGGTTTCTATATTTTTGCTTACCATTTTCTAATCTCATGTTACACACACTGTCCTCTGCATTTTTTATTTTTATTTTTATTTTTTATTTGGAGATGCGTTCGAATCTTTTTCAGTGCATAAAAATCATTCAAATCAAATTTGGCTTATTGATAGCGTGCGATGGAGAAAGATCAAACTATACAAAGCAGTAGCCCATAGATGCCTTCCATTGTGTTCTTCGTATAAAGGATCTCCAAGGGCGCATATCCTATGGCTTTCCCATGGATCACGTATGCATACGTGTCGATTGCTGCTCGACACTGTCAAAGGTCTACTTCAATTCAGTGACATGCAATAGCTGCAAAGGGAGTCTGCAATACTTCACGGTTTTCCCCTTGCTAATTCGTCAAAATTGAAAAAGAACAAAAAAAAAGTTTTTTTAGCACTAAGCCTTTTATAGATGTTATCGTTTCCAGGCACCATTCCATGTTCATTAGTTATAGTATTAACGCAACTTTTTATGGAGGCACCATTGTAAACAAACGACAATGGAGGTGAAGCGTCTATATATGGGTTTTTGATTCACAGCAGTCGCTAACCACTGGGGCCGACAGCTAAAAAAAAAAAGCCCACTACAACCCAAAAAAAAAAAAAAAAAAAAAAAATTCCCCGTTCAACTAATGACGTTATGCCCAAGCTGATCCGCAGTTTTTCGTCCAATCAAATGACGAGAAGACCCTCCTCGTAACTGGTGAGATGTAGTCACATCGACAGTCGGTTGTTGAAAAAGGGGATAGTCGTTTTGAATGTCCAATCAAAGTCAGAAGAAAAAAACGTCACTGAAAACCTTTATTTAATGTTGGTATTTTTTTACTTGGATTTCTTAGCTTGAACTCCCCCCTCCTCTTCCTCTACACTTAACTCTTTTCCAGTATGAGTTCGATTTCCGCATCCAAGGCAAAGCGTCTCGCGGCCAAGGCCGCCCGTGCTGAAGCCAAGGGCTTGAGTGCCGGTTCCACTCCCAAGACTTCGGGAAAGAACACACCCAATGACGCCAGCGCAACCGATGATCTGGGCATGGACAAATTGAAGATTCAGGTTGATCGTACTGCTACTGGTGTTTATACTTCGCAGGAACGTAGCAGAGATATCAAGATCGACTCATACTCTCTCAACTTCCACGGACGTGTTCTTATTGATAATGCGACCATCGAACTCAATTTTGGCCGTCGTTACGGTCTTATTGGTGCCAACGGTTCAGGCAAATCCACCTTTTTGCAATCGCTTGCTTACAGAGATATTGAAATTCCTGATCACATTGATGTATGTATAATCATTATGTACACCTGTTTGCGTAGGGGATGCTGACCCTGACTTTTTTTTTTTTTTGTTAGACCTACTTGCTGAACCAGGAAGCCGAACCTTCGGATATGAACGCCATTGAGGCTGTCATCTACTCGGCCCAACAGGAAGTCGCTCGTCTCGAAAAGCAAGTGGAGGATCTTCTCGGCGAAGAAGATGGTGCGGACAACCCATTGTTGGACGATATCTATGAACGTATCGAACAGATGGATGCCGCCACTTTCGAACCTAGAGCTTGTACTCTTTTGTCAGGTTTGGGTTTCGATACGAAGCAGATGCAAAAGGCTACCAAGGACATGTCTGGTGGTTGGCGTATGAGAGTCGCGTTGGCTCGTGCTCTTTTCATTAAGCCTACCTTATTGCTTTTGGATGAACCTACCAACCATTTGGATCTTGAAGCGTGTGTCTGGCTTGAAGAATACTTGAAGACCTACAACCGTATTTTGGTTGTTGTGTCTCACTCCCAGGATTTCTTGAACGGTGTCTGTACCAACATGATGCACTTGACCCACAAGCGTAAGCTCGTGTACTATGGTGGTAACTACGATACGTTTGTCAAGACCAAGGAAGAAAACGAAATCAACCAGGCCAAGGCTTACGCTAAGCAGCAAGAAGAAATTGCTCACATCAAGAAGTTCATTGCCTCCGCCGGTACTTATGCCAACTTGGTGCGTCAAGCTAAATCCAAGCAGAAGATTATTGATAAGATGGAAGCCGCTGGTTTGATTGAAAACGTCGAAAAGCCTCCGTTGTTCAAGTTCGCCTTCACGGATGTTGCCAAGCTTCCTCCTCCTGTGCTTGCTTTCCAGGAAGTCTCTTTCTCCTACAGCGGTGATATGTCCAAGGCTCTGTACAGAGATATTGAATTGGGTGTGGATATGGATTCCCGTGTGGCTCTTGTCGGTCCCAATGGTGCTGGTAAATCTACACTTTTGAAGTTGATGAGCGGTGAATTGGTGCCTACCGAAGGTCGCGTCCAGCGTCACACTGCCTTGAAGCTCGGCAAGTACTCTCAGCACTCCAACGATCAGCTCGATATGGACTTGTCTCCTATTGATTACATGAAGAAGAAGTTCCCTCAGGAGAGCACTCAGACCGACTTTTGGCGTCAACAGATTGGCCGTTACGGTTTGTCCGGTACCCATCAAACATCCCCTATTGGCCAACTTTCCGATGGTTTGAAGTCTCGCTTGGTCTTTGCCGAATTGGCGGTGGCCCGTCCTCACATCATCTTGTTGGACGAACCTACTAACCATTTGGATATGGAATCCATTGACTCGCTGGCCAATGCCATCAACAACTTCACTGGTGGTGTTGTTCTTGTTTCTCACGATTTCAGACTGATTTCCCAAGTTGCCAAGCAAATCTGGCGATGTGAGAACGGCAAGGTTGAACCTTTCGAAGGCTCCATTGCCGAATACAAGGAATCGCTCCGAAAGAACGTCAAGTTGTAAACTACACGATATATCAATCAAATCTTTGTCCAAAGGAGATTGGTTTTTTTTTACATTTTCTATTATCTGTTTTTCGCTTCATAGACAGGAAAAAGTTGTTATTTTTTTTTTCTTTTTGCTCCCCCTTTTATTTCGCCCTTTTTCATTTCATGCTTCCTTTGTACATCTTATCACAACATAAAGAAGGTTCTCTTTATTCATTGGGGTGCAAACGATGGTTTTTCTCTGGTAATTGTGTAACTTTGTCTGGCAATGATGATTTTGTTGGGATAAAACTGGAGTGTTGATGGTCATTGAGGTGAGTTTTTTTCTGTGGTGGCGCTTCGCTGGTCGGATTTGTAATATTCGAATCCAAGCATCACTCTTGAAACATATCGGGAATCGAGTTTTTTGGCATCCGACGGATCTAATTGACCAAAAATCCGCTTTAAAAACGCGTGAACCCGACTCTACTTATCTGATCACCATGCCTCATTACTTGGGTCTTGACTTGTCAACGCAACAGTTAAAATGCACAGTGATAAATTCCGAACACCGTATTATAGCGGAAGACGCTGTGAACTTTGACAATGATTTACCGGAATTTGGAACCGTGCATGGCGCCATTATTCACGGCGATGTGGCCACTTCACCGCCCATGATGTGGATTAAAGCTCTGGATATGCTGCTTGAACGTTTAGCAGCCAAGAACGTTGTCAATAATATTTGTGGTATTGCCGGTGATGCTCAGGTAATGGACTTGATAATGGTACACTGAACGGGGCATTAAATGTTTGACTTGTCAGCAACATGCCAGCGTTTATTGGTCAGCAAAAGGCGTTGAGGCTTTAAAGAACTTGGATCCATCACAACCATTGACTGAGCAATTCAGTAACGCGTTTTCGCGTGCTCAGTCGCCTATTTGGCAGGATGCAAGCACAACAAAAGAATGCCGGGCGTTGGAGCAATTTGTAGGAGGGGATCAAGCATTGGCAAATTTAACCGGCTCCAAGGCATATGAGCGTTTCACTGGAAATCAGATTGCAAAGGTGAGAATTTACGGGTTCGTGTCGCAGATGATCATTTTACTGACCATGGATTTGGCGCCTTTCTCTTCTTTTTCATACGCAGTTCTATCACAATGAGAAAGAAGCGTACGATGCAACACAGTATATCCAACTGGTCAGCTCCTTTCTCGCTTCATTATTGCTTGGAAATATCGCGCCTGTTGATGCGAATGAAGGTTCAGGAACGAATATGATGAATATCATGACGCACCGCTGGGACAAGGATCTGGTCGATTTTTGTGGTGGAAAGGACCTTTACGGCAAATTGGCGTTGGAGCCTACGGAGGGAGGAGTTCGTCTCGGACAAATTGCGCCTTATTATGTGAAACGGTATGGATTCAATCCAGGTACGTCACGGTATCAGGTTGAATGTTATGTGCGGAGGTTCTGTTTATCGCTGATAAACTCTTAATAGAATGTGTCATCATGCCATTTACAGGAGATAATGCGGCAACGCTTTCCTCGATGAATTTGCGTAGCGGAGATTGTGTGGTTTCTTTGGGCACTTCAGACACAGTTCTGGTGTATCTAAAAAAGCAAGACGCGGTACCGACAACCGAAGCTCATTTGATGGCGCATCCAACGGATCCTGAAGGATTTATGGGTATGATCTGCTACAAGAACGGATCTCTTGCGCGGCAACGCATCCGCGACCTGTATGCTAACGGAAGCTGGGATACGTTCAACGAATATCTTGGCAAGCCATGCAAAGAGGGACAAATCGGCTTTTATTACTGGATGCAAGAAATTGTTCCCTTTGCCAAAGGCATCCATCGGTTTGAAAACGGGCAACCTGTCGAAGAATTCTCGGAACCCCAGACAAACGTTCCTGCCATTTTGGAATCCCAATTCTTCTCCATGCTCCTTCGAGTCAAATACATGATGCCGTTGAGTAAAGTCCGACGCATTCTTGCCACGGGAGGCGCATCGGTGAATAAGAATCTACTGCAAGTGTTGTCGGATGTATTCGGTCTTCCGGTGTACAAATCTCAAGGCACCAATAGCGCAAGTCTGGGAGGCGCCTTGCTTGCAAAGTATGGCATGCGTGAAGACAAGAACATGACATTAGAGGAGATGGTGAATCAGACTCAGGGAGACGATCTCGACTTGATTTGCCAACCCAACTTGGAACGAACCAAACTCTTCAAAGAAAAGCTCTCCACATTTGAGCGGCTGGAAAATGAAATAACAAAAAGATAGTGGGAAATCAAATCGCATTAGCCAGTTTTAAAAAGGATAAAAAAATATAATATGTACAATAAGATGAACAGAACAACCGACACAGTGTGATTTAACCGTCTATCTCGGTCAAGCAGGAGGCAGGCTGTCAAGAGCAGCTACCGCTGTGGAATCCGCTGTGGGTTCCGGAGCCGTTGTGTTGGTGACAGTTTCTTCGGTTTGTTTTACTTGTCCTTCCGGCCCATTGCGCAAATACATCCAGTGATAATATTGCATGCGATGCGTTTCTTGTGTGTTCTCGGATGTGCTGATATGCTCTCGGAATTGCTCATGTTGCAGCAAGTCAAGAAAATAGAGGGAATGCGGGTATCTGTAATGAAAAATAAAAAGCCACGCACGAGTGTTAGACCAGCATGAGCATAAATCGTTAACGAACACCCTGCTTACACTACAAATTTGGCATATTCAGGTTGCTTCCAATATTGCAGGTATTCCAAGTAGCGGATAAAGGCAGGATCCTTAAAGTATTGCTGCTGTGCAAGATCTGCGTTCTGTTAGTCCAAAGCCCCACTATATATTTTCGCGACGTACTGTTGAGATACCAGGGATTAGCAAGACAATTTAGAAATTCAAGTTCGATTTGGAAACGACGTTTCTCTTCCTCTGCATTCAACTGGACCATCGCTAAAGATGGCCAGGCATACAAGACTAAAGCGCGGTTTTAATGTTCATCACAGCATGAACAGGAGTGGCTTGTAATATTACTTTCCGGAAAGTAAATTCGGCCAATGGCATGAACAGAATACATGCATGTACGAAAAATGGAATTCATCTGTTGGCAAGGACAGATTCATGTTGTACGAAACGTAAATTCGTCTTCGATAACAACAAATAAATAGGATGGAAGTTGTTGTAAAAGTATCCTTGAGGAGGGTTTGTGCTAATGATGTTTTTTGAGGAGATTTTTGGGTTGTCTTTCGGTTTTTACGATAGAACCTTTAAATTTATTTGTAAGTGGGCAAACACACTACTTGGCTATTTGTGCGAACTTGATCGGGAAACAAAAAGACTAGAACTGAGCCACATAAATTCAATACAAAATGTGGCTCTCATCGCAAAGGGAAGGTCTCTTCACCAGAAACGGTAACAAGGGTGGGTGCGTATTACAATTTTTGTCTTCGTTGTTCCTGACCGATTCCGCTCTTCAGCTTATTTCTTATGCTCTTTTGACCTTTCCCACATGCTCACGCTTCTGTCTGAAAACTTGTCAACTTGTAATTCTCGATGCTATCATTACCTATAAAAAGCAATCGTGGATCATGTCCAAGGATTTATCACTACAGTATGAGAATAACAGCACTGTTAAAATTAGTTAAAATTCGTTCGACTGTGTAATTGTTTCTTTATCGTATCAAATCTTCCGACACAGCAGCATACTCTCAACCATTGCATATTTTCATGTCCACATTGAAGAAGTCTAGAATTACTATTAATGACCTTGCTGATAGAAAGAAGACGCCCAAGATAGACCTGAACAATACATGCTGGAACGTTAATTCATCCCATTAAAAGCACCAAATGTCGTACTTTTTTTTTCTTTTTTTTTCAGTTTTACCATTTGCATACCTTTAGGTCCATAAAGAGATTTTTGTGTTAAGCCCATAATTTTCACCTTGTCGCGCTTGTTAGTTAATGATCGACATGAAATACGGATGATATGCAAAGTATCGTATGGCCTATTGCTTGCTTCCGACGAAATAAATAACCCTGAAATTTACTGATTGTAATTATTTTCTACCTTTTGAGATATGATCCATACGAATGGTGCAGTAAGCATATTGCTCATATTTCACCTGTGATGGGTTTCACAGGGCAGACCAAGTCAAACAAGTTCGTGTGCCTTGTGGTGACCAAAAAATCCGACGTCATACAATGGAAGATGAGCCAATGGCATTGCTTGCTTTGAGGATTAAGCTGATCTCTGATTGTGTGGAGTGCATTGCACGCGTTCGAGAGCCGTTGCTTGCAAATAAGAAAGTCCAAAGATTATTAAAAACCTTGCAAAAAAAAAGCGCAGCACCTTTTTTTTAGCCTTTTATACCTTCCCTTGTCAATTATGGACCCTGTCGCTGATGTTCGCCGCGGTGCCTTCAAAGCGCGTAGCCATTTCAAACCCGAAGAAGTAAGACGACGGCGTGAGACGGCACAAGTAGAGATTCGAAAACAGAAAAAAGAAGAGAACCTATTCAAGCGACGCAACTTTAACCTCACTCATTTGACGGACGATTCGGACGAAGAAATCGACATTACAGGCATTGACAATCAGGTCCGTCATGCATAAATTATGTGGAAATGGAATGCGGCTAATGTGTGCCTTTTTATAGCCTGGTACTGTGTTGCCACAAATGGTTCAAGACTTGTACTCTTCCGACATTGAAGTTCAGCTACAGAGCACGGTCCTGTTTCGAAAGTTATTGTCTCGCGAAAAGGACCCACCTATTGAGCAAGTCATAGCTTGTGGTGTGGTCCCAAAATTTGTTGAATTTCTTCGTTCAGAACACAGTTTGCTCCAGGTAATCGCAAGCTGGATCGCCCCGTTTGAATTGCTTATTAATGCATATATTTTCTTAAGTTTGAATCAGCGTGGGCATTGACCAATATCGCCTCCGGATCGTCTCAGCAAACGCAAACTGTCATCAGCCTGGGTGCTGTGCCTTGTTTCATCGCATTATTGAGCAATCCCGTGGTGGATGTGCGAGAACAGGTAAGTGGGACAATGGACAATGTGAAGCAGATGTCATCAATGTTGTATTGATGTTTTATGGTGAATGTTACAAAGGCAGTATGGGCTCTAGGGAATATCGCAGGTGACAGCCCGCGATGCCGTGACTTTGTGCTTGAAAATGGGGTCCTTCCTCCGTTACTTACCATCTTCCAAGATGCTCCAAAACTCTCCTTGTTACGTAATACTACATGGGCATTATCCAACCTTTGTCGTGGTAAAAATCCACAACCTCCATGGCCTCTGGTAAGAAATTAGGATGGTGCGGTGTTCTTTAGATGACATTTTCTTATTTCCTATACTCGATGATTTTCCATAGATTGCTTCGGCATTACCGGTACTCGCACAATTGATATATTCTACAGACGAAGAAGTGCTCATTGATACTTGTTGGGCGCTTTCTTACTTATCCGATGGCGTCAATGAGAGAATCGGTGCGGTGATTAACTCGGGTATATGCGGCCGTCTCGTCGAATTGCTGAGTCACACATCCACGGCTGTGCAAACGCCAGCTTTACGAACTGTGGGTAATATCGTAACCGGCGACGATAGTCAAACGCAGGCTATCATCAACTGTGGTGCTGTAAATGCTCTGCTGCATCTTCTCTCCAGCACAAATGAAACTATCCGGAAAGAAACATGCTGGACCATATCGAATATTACCGCAGGCACCGTCCAGCAGACTCAGGCGGTGATTGACGGCGGTCTCATCCCTCCTTTGATCCAGCTCTTGGCGATGAGCGATATCAAGACCAAAAAAGAAGCATGCTGGGCCATTTGCAATGCCACCTCGAATGGACTCCATAAAACGGATCAAATCACATACTTGGTGTCCCAAGGCTGTATCAAACCGCTTTGTAACATGTTGACGTCGTTGGATAATAAGATCATAGTCGTGGTATTGGATGGATTGGACTCGATACTGAAAGCAGGCGAACTGGAAAAGATGAACACCCTGGACGGTCTGAACCCATACGCTCTGCTGGTTGAAGAATGTGGCGGTGTCGACTATATCCACGGACTGCAGAGCCACGAGAACGGCGAAATTTACAAGAAGGCTTATCAGCTCATTGACAAATATTTCAGTGACAGAGATGATGAACAGGATGAAAATATGCAGCCTGTCGTTGATACCACCTCTTTCAGTTTCCAACAAATAGAAACGCCCCAAGGTGGATTCAATTTTGGCACACCGAATTAGCTCCTCCTCGTATTAAGAGCCACTTGCGTTCACCATTTATGATTTGTCTGTGTCGGCGCTAATAGATTTATGGCCATCCTTTATTTTAGTGCTGCTTATCTCAAGTGAAAATGCTTTTTTTTATCCCTCCCCGCTGTTTATTTTACCTATTCATTCCTTTGCTTATCCCACTATCAATAGCTGACACCAACAACATGAATAAAGTCGCTTGTCGTGTACCTTTTTATCGCCATTATCAAGACCTCAAGTGTAACGTTTTGTGTTTATTTTCTGGCGTTACGAGGATAAAGCAGCCAAGTGCAATGAATACAGTTGACGATAGATAAGACCTAGGAATTATAAAACCAATCGTCTCGCTGGGATGACGCCAACGTTTTACAGTTTACGGGAATGTGAAATACGAATGAAGGGCCAATCCCTTTGGAGGGAAAACGGATACACAGTAAAAAATGCGGATGATTAAGAAATCCTAAAAACCGGGAACAAACTTTGTTTTTTATTCTCAAAATCATGTCTATTATTGTATCCGAATAAAAAAAAAATATCAAGCCAGCATGGCAGTATAACAAAATATGAATGTAGTTAGCTTGCCCGTGAACTTCGATAGACGTTTGGTTCCCGAAAAAATCAACTTAATGGGCAGGACGGATTACGTAGTACCATTTAGCGCCGATCAACGTGGAGAGCACGCGCCGGAACGGCTGGTCGGTGATTGATAACTTATTCTGAAATAATCAATACCAATTTTTTTTTTTTTTTTTTTTTTTTTTGAATAAAGCCATCTAAAGCTGATTACTCGAAGTTCGTTGAAATTTGCCTTTCAGTTCACAATGTTTGCTGAATTTCCTCGCATACGGATCCCGGGAGTAGAAGAATAATGAACAAACAGAGGATTATGGTAATTCTGCAAAGCTTGTATATCTTCACATATTTAGCTTAGGGAACCTTTCAAACAGTAATGGGCTTGTTTAAAAATGGGCACACAATCTCATATGCATCGCGGCATATGAGCTATACTCAGTTTTCACACTGATAACAAAGAAATACAGAGTATGGAACTTATACTTATCGGTTCCCATTATCTTCGCCTTGACGAGCCAGTAATATGTCTTGGATGTTCTTTCATGTGCTTTGAAAAGGAAAAACTTCACAACACGCCCTCCAAGTGTAGTATTTGCTTGTAAGCTTATCAGTGATCCCGGGTGCTTGTCGACCAATAGATTGGAATTTGTGCGTTTGAAACGCTTTGACAACGCCACCATGCATCAGCGAGTTTCTCTCAGATTTGCAACAAACCGAACCAGAAGCCACACTTACTGTAATATATAACAAACCATTTCTGTATACGTGCGATAAACACTGGTCTCTGCATTTGGATATGAATTTAAGACAAATTCACCACTATTCTTATATCGGCGATTATCCAGAAGTGAGTTGTATAATGAGTCTTTTGCATTGGAATGGTGGTTGTTGACGAATTAATATTATAGTGGGACGTCTCTGGGACGCAAAGGATAGGTGAGATCTATGCGTATCGAAGTTGCGTCTTCTTGTCCCTAGGAGATACAGAGTACTTTCATTTGAATGATTACATGTCATTACAAGACGCCTTATAAGTGTTTAATAAATAGACGACTTGCTCTGTATTTACGTACACCGCCTATTACAGAACCATAGATCATATATTCCTCATCCACGCGGCTATGGTTCAAGGATATAAATTCGGGGGATCCTCTTGGGACTCGATTTTTGAAGCAGTTTGCAAGGAGTATCCCAAAACATCACTGCAGGAGGAGGATATCCGGTTCATGGGCGAGATTAATGCAGTAATACAGGCAAAATGGTAGTAGACCGATGACACATGACATAGTAATGGAACTTGATTTAGGCAATGTTTAACGACTGGCACAATCTCAGCTACGTTTGACCGATTGGAGGAGTAGAGCGTTAGACTGTCCCAACAGCTTCATTTACCAAGAGATCTACCTACAGCTTAAGTAGCATATACACTGCTGCTGCTACCGTAGAAATCAAGATTGGACCTCTGAATATTTAGCTATAACCATTGGAATCTCCTTGGCAAGAACAATGAAAGTGGATCTTTGCGACCGCAACTATCACTTTATCTCATTCTCAATGCGTTTTTCCCTATCGCAGAAAAATTTAGATACCAAGGGTATGAGTCAGACATTTTTAATTCAATAAGCTGCTACGATCACTAACTTATGGTAATTATGTTATAAGCGAAATTGATCGTCAAAACTGGGAGCTCATCCAAGGATGCGACAAGTTCACCCACCAATTGTATGGCGGTCATAGGGCGAACTATCAGCCGTTGATGGTCGTCGACTGGAAATCATCCTCCCACCACAATAGCTACAAAAGGTCATTTTTAGAGTTGGTATACGAGTTGAAGAACGTAATGAATTATTCGATAATTAGAGGAGTTGTTGACAGCGAAATCCCTCTATGCGGCCTGTTTTGCCTGGGTACATACAGAATCATAATTGAACTTCCCCAACATTTACACTGTATTTAGGTACCAAATGTGAGGCGTATGTGTCTGATTTGAAGTACCACGGCCTCTACCGACTGTGCCTATCGATTGTTACAATGTCAAATGTTTGCCAGAGGCATTTGAAGTCTTTTCCAGGTTGAAGGTAAATTTACGTTTTATGCTCCATCGTGATGTTCTAAGGGCAATGTTGCTAAATATTTATCAGTTCATATTCAAGGCAGTAGCATCCAGCTACATCAATGTAAACTCTGGCAAATGCGTCGCTGTTGACCGATCAGTGATGATGGTTCTGCAAAAATAACTCTGGTTTGCAAGAAGCAACCGTCATAAGTTCGCATTTATCGTCTTTTAAATGAAAGGCGAGAAAATATATAGGAAGGTTTTCTCACATATAGAATTTGTTTGATAATCTTTATTGCAATAAGCATTCTGGCTTAACAATTGTCGGCATTCGTATGTATTGGATTAACTTTTGAATACCTGGTTTCTGGTCTTACGGTTTCCGCGCAAAATCAATCCACAAGTAGCAGGCGCGAATCGACCAATCAGATTTGATTATCTGTCAGTGAAGTGGTTGAGCGGAGTCATTTTTTTCTCTGGTCTTGCTCGCTTTTTCTCTTTGCTTACGCTTGGTTTTGGGCAGAGGCTTTTAAAACTCTACGCTACATATATAAATTATGTACCCTGCAGGCGGACAGAATCCTAATTACTACGGCGACCAATATGGAACGCCTCAGATGACTTCCAAATCTCCTCCACCACTGCAGCATCCTGTGCCGCAACATCCGATCCCGAACTTCAATAGCGCGACCCCTCCGCCGCCATCGCAGCATCAACAGCCGCACCAGCAACAATATATTCCTCAGCAATACCAGCCACAACCGCAATTTCAGCAGCAGCCGAATCAACAGCAACAACAGCAACCGTACGCGAATCCTTATGGTCAAGGCAATCTTTACTCGCAGTTCGGGTTCAACGACCCAGCAGCTCAAATGGGAATGCAGTTTGCCGGCAACGCTGTTGCACAGGGTACTGCGTATATGGAACGAAATGTAGGTTTTATTCGTTTTGTATTTATTGGGTTGACTAACTTTGGTGATGTCCAGTTCAATCGATGGGTGAACATGCCTGCATTGAGACACTACTTCAGCGTCAGTAACAGCTACGTCGTCAATAAACTTCGGTTGCTACTGTTCCCGTGGAGACACTCGGTAAGAAGAGATATGGAAATATGTTGAATGGTTCATGACGAACATGGGAGACTCATAAATTATGGTTCAGCCATGGACTAGGTCGATTAAGCGCACCGAAACAGGACAAATGGATGGTTTCAGGTCGCCAAGAGAGGACATCAATTCCCCTGATCTGTATATTCCAGGTAACGTGTTATGGTATGGTTCTTTATGGAAAATAGATACACTGAAAGATGTGTCTGTGCTTTTTCTAGTGATGGCGGTTGTCACCTACGTGTTGCTTTGCGGGCTTGCAGCCGGTCGCCAAGGCTCGTAAGTATTCGGTTGATTGGCCACCGGTCAATGCATTTTTTTGACTGGAAAATCTCACGCTGTCGCTAGTTTCCATCCAGAAAAGATGTATGTTGCAGGATCCACCGCCGCCGCCGTTATTTTTGCCGAGATTGTGTTTACACGCTTAGGATGCTATTTCCTGAGTATACCATTTGAAGCGTCAATGTTGGATCTGATAGCGTACTACGGATACAAATACGTGGGCATCATCGTCATGGCGGCTATTAAATTGTTGACCAAGAACTATTGGTTATCTTGGGTCGTATTCATCTATGTTGGTCTGAGTACTGGGTTCTTCTTGGTAAGTAACAAAATGCACAGCCGTTATCCCGTTACAGTGTCAAGATTTTAACTCGATTTTGTTTAGCTTCGCTCGATGCGATACGTAATTCTACCTGATACCTCGCCTGGACCTTCCACATTGAATCCTCAGCGAAAACGTCGTATGTGGTTTTTGGTCATGATTGCAGCAATGCAAATGGTATATATGTTCTTCCTTGAAAGAAGTCTGTAACGTATAATCGGGAAAGCTTTTTTTTTTTTATAAATAAATATGGGCATCGTCGTAGATATTATGCTAAATTTGTTTTCTTTACTGCTGCTCTCATGACATTGATTGTGCTTCTGCTCTCTGGAAATGGTTTTACTTTCTCGAACGCCAGTGAAGTTGATTTCAATTTCATTGATGCTAATAGATGGATAGTTACAGGCGCGGCTTGACTATGTTGGAAAACTTGAATCATACGACTTTGCTATTGTTTGCTCGATCGTAGTGCTGTCTATTCTGTCGCGCAGCATTCAGAAACTTTAGAAACACACAGGCCACAGTCACAATAGGACATTGAATTCAATTTTCGTCAATTCTCGGTGGACAACTGAACGCGAGCACGACCATCTTTCTTACATCCATGGCCAAGAAAAAACCAAATACTTCAAGCGAAGGTATCATGTTACACGAAGCGTAGATGCACTGGATCCAATTGACTGACTTTTTTTCTGGTGTTGGCAGAGGAGCAGGCGGTGCTGAATTATTTGCGTAAAGTGAATCGACCGTATAGTTCGAGTATGCATAAAGTGAAAAATCTATGCAAAGAAGGCGTTGATTCATATTCATGTAAACTTTAGCCGATATATTCAACAATTTGCATGCGAAATACCCTAAAGCGGCCGTTGCCAAAAGTCTGGAGAAACTCGTCAGTCAGTCTCTCATTGTATCAAAAGTATACGGCAAAAGTGCAGTGTACGCTCCCAAACAGGTAGGAAGGAGTTACAGACGTCCGAGTTTTTGCACGAAAAATAAAAATAATCATAATTAACTACAAGACCGAAGAAGCCGCCACAGCGGATGATTTGGAGTCTCTCGATACCGACTTGCAGTCATTAACCGAGAAAGTAGATAAGCTCAAAGCCGAGAATAAGCAGTTGAGCCAAGGTAAACACCGTCCCACCTCACCTGCCTACAGTACTAAAAAGCTGATACTCGATTCCTTTGTCACTGTCAGCTGTTTCTCAATTGCAGAGCACCCCAACGACTGAAAATGCTCAGACGGATTTAGAGCGGATCTTGCAAGAGGTACAATAGGACATGGCACCATCATAGTACGCAATGCTGACAAGAGACTTAGAACGAAGCATTTCAAGAGCGATTGCGGAACCTGCAACAAGGAAAGTCGCGTATTAGCGATAAAGATCATGCGGCCATCACTGCGGAAATGGACAAATGTCGAAACGAATGGAGGAAACGACGAAGAATGGTATGTATATCTACCGCAGTCGATGCATTCACGGTTTCTGAGATCCAAGTCATAGTTCCAGGACATGTTCAAGACAGTCACCGAACACATGCCGGGGGACCCCAATGAACTAAAAGTAAGCACTATACTAAGCGCGCTCTATCTTGACAGCTTATATACTGGGTTTATTTTACAGGAAGACATGGGGATTGAGGACGATGTGGTTCCTTTTGATCAAGATCCACTAGCCCTTTGAGCTGTTCCCAACTTTCATGCGGCATCTCAGCAACAATCTCATCTTGGAGAAAATGTAATCTCCGCCAGTCAACTCCTCCTCCTCTCCTTTTCTTTGCTTTTCCCACTCGCTTTCTACAGGTTTTTTTTATTCTTTTTATAAGCGAATCCTTTCATCATATTACCGTATTTGCCTTTTGTACATCCTTGTATATCGAAAATGATGTAAAATAAATAAGATATCGTTAAGCGACGGAGTCATATTTAATGGTCATCAACAGACGGTAGTCTGTAAAGCGCTATGCATGGGATGTGCCCTCGTGGGCGATGAATATTTGCTCAGAAGATGTGGACTGTATGCTTGGACTCTGAATAGATTGGTTCAAGATCTGCTTGGAGGGAGGCAATTCAGGGATAGTGTGAACTAAGTGAGCAGTGTTTAGTATGGTTGTTTTTCTCGTCCAGCGTATAGGTGATTGCCTACTTCGGTTTTCTTCATCGTCATTGGGAAAAAATTCCTCGGTGCGAGGAATACGAAGAGCATAGGGCTCGTGACAATAATTGCTTGACAAAGAAGGATAGTATTGCCGGTATGCAAAGTAGGCAAAACTGGCACCCAGCAACCCTCCCACAAACACATCTTGCCAATGGTGTCGATAATCGCACACTCTTGAAATAGCAATCATGAGAGCACCCAGCAAAGGGAGCGCAAATACAAAACTTTTGTACGTATGCTAAAGAACGAAAGCCAATTAAATTAAAATCTTTCAGCGTATATCGACCCACAGAGTGCGCTTACTCCTAGTTCGTCAAAGAGGTGCATTTTCCCGGCGAGATAATAAGAAAGAAAACCTAGGCCGGCAAATGAAACTAAAAAAGAAACGTGTAAGCAGGATGAAACTAGCTGAATCACGGCTAACCTACATGAAGAATGCCCGCTTGGGAAGCTTTTGAACCCATCTTTCATCTTGTACGAGTTTACATCCGTTGTGCATATTGTGTAATTCTGGAGACCCAAGGGAGGATTAGGTATATCTTTGGGCGGTTGGCATCGATCGAGCATATCAGGTCTCGGTCGGCCTACTGTGACCTAGAACAAATTGATTTATACGATAGCCTACTTGTCTCCTTTTAATAATATACTCATACCTTGATCACAACAGTAGTCATAATGGTCATGGAAAGTGCCAAAAAGAGCCCTACGTGAAAGTCAGGTTTTAGATATCAAACATATCAGTAAAAATGATTCGTCTACTACCCAGCAATGCATTGTGACAATCGTGCAAACTCCGTCGAACGCCAAGCGCGATAGTAATGATCATGATGGCTGGACAGACGATGCAAATAACCTATTTGAACCATTACTACATTCGTCAGTCTGATTTATCTACTGTGTATTTTGAGTGATGGTTACGCACAAGTAGTACGGATACCGGAATGATTTCATGCGTTTTGTATGGATGCATGAGCGTGCTGTCTGTCATTGAAAACTCACGTCGAAACGGGGGAATGACATCGATGCTAAAAAATACCATCGTCATCACGAGAACGAGCACCCAATCTTTCGCATAAGTGATGAACAATTTTTGCGAACGTGGTGATCTCCATTCAGCGGGAATCATGGTAAAAAGGGAAGAAGAAGCGGGCTGGAAAAAAAAATATTCCTCGGATGCGCTATTCACTTGTCGTCGGTAAATTTATACGATTGAAAATCAAGTGGGGTCATGGTCTCCTTTATTTATATTTTATACATTTCGATCACGTCTTGTTTGTTACATGCAAAGCTTATAACAATAAAGTTGATGGTAACAAATTAAAGCTTTTGGCGTGAGTTACTGGAAGTACAAATGAAGCGAAGCACGATCATTGATTTCACAGCAAAAAGTAAGTTTTAGGACAGTGACCATCGTTCAACTATCTGATAAATTCTACCTCGTAGGATGTATTCAGTTTAGTTTTTATACACAGAGTATGAATATATGATTTGCATCAATTTATATGCTGCACGCTAGATATTAGCATCAGGATCTTCCTCCTGAGCGGGCATGAATTCCTCTTCGGGACAACAAACGGTAAACAATTGCATCGCCTTGCGCATAGCGTCTTCAAAATCAAGCGAAGCCGTCGGATCAGGGCAGAGTAATACATTTCCGGGAAGTTGAGCGTCCTCACAATGTCGTATCCGTTGTTGGTAGAATAATGCAAAACGAGGTGACACATCTTGAAAGAAAAAAGACGGAAACAAGGTGAAATTGAATGAGACATTTGGGAATTTGAGATCCTAGTATGAACTTACCATGTTTATCCAGTAACGTTTGGACAATATCCTGTAATACTTGGCTATCGTCCTCCGTCCATAAATAAGTGACATCTAAGCCCGCTGTCAAAAACCCCAGTTTTGACTGACTGTTGGTGAGTTCATTACTTACATTGATCGCGTGGACAGGCCATGCTTTCATTGCTGAGATGTAAAGAAAGGACTGGTTTGGTATTTGCGGCGATGGTTTGAGGCGGAATAACACCAAATCCGAGTGCCTCCATGTGGTCCTCCTCCACATATGCCAATGGTCTATCCGTAACAAGGAAAGCCCTTGATACCCAGGTCTGTTCCGTCGATGATAACCAGTTTTTCGGCATATAATCAATGCCTGTCACAAGCCATCGACAGTGGAAGGTTTGACCATCTTCGGTGGTCACACCGACACATTGATTATCATTGTCCATCTCCATTTTTTTCAATGGCTGATTCAAAATATAAACGCCTCCGTAAACGGCACATACTCTACATGACCTAGTTTAATCATATGCAGAGAAAAAAAACTAAGGACTCAATGTCATCTTTACCTGCAAAAAGCTTGTGCAATCTCGCTGCCGCCGCCATACAGCGCACAAAGATAACCACCTTTACTAAATCGTCCCATGGACTTCATAAAGCTCTGTGTCCGTGCCAGGCCTTGTGGCGTAAGGGCTGGATGTCACTGGTATTAGATCAACATTGTCACCAAACGTAACTTCTGACATTTACCTTTGCTGTCGACGATGGCGATGGCATAAAGGATTGCAGCCTGGAGCTTGCCAGTAATTTTAAACTTTTCCTCCAGGAATCGTTCATAAGGGGCCGTCTCATAGCCTACAAATACAGTATGAATGGTCATCCAGTCACTCTGAATCGTTACTGTGATTTACCTTCTAGAGAAGCCACATCCTGTTCATCATAGTTCATGGCAAACGTGAGAAATTTCATCAATTTACGCTTTTCCACGAGAGCGATTGACTTGTTGGTGAATACGTCTTCCTTTGAACTGGGTACCTAAAATAGGATGACTCAGAAATAAACTTGTCGATCTATCATTTATTCGGACTCACTTTTTCAAAATGGTCATCAGCGGCGTCGTAAAGGAAAATATCATTGACACCTTGAAATTCCAGATAACGACCGACCCCGGACCGCATCAATACTTCAACCAACTCGCCTCGGCAGCCTAGTATTTTGGGTGCAAGATCGAGATTATAGGATCTTGACTGTTTCACGCTGTCCAGCATCCTCTCTAATTTCGACACACTTTTGGTGAGATCAGTGGTGGAACTTTCAGTGATTATTGCGGCTTCACGCTCTAGCGCTGATTTGATCACGTCTTCTTCCCAGAGTGTGGATGGTTGCAAATGTGTATGTAATGCCGCTATCGCCTCTTGCAACTGTGATGGGGCTGTTTCCAACGATTTCGAGTCCTCCTTACTGTCCGTCGAGGGTTCATACAGTTTGAAATCAATATTTCTGAAGTTCTCTTCGTATCTTTTCTTGTAATGTATCGTATTATCCGCTTCTGTATTTCGAAACATAGTTGAGCAACCTGTAACAGCCTGTTGTCAATAGTCGCCATTACCTTGTTCGTTCATTACACAGTCTAGTGAACATTCTCTTGGTTAGAATGCGCGGTTCGGATAAGATGTCTTGTTAAACATTTTTACCTGATCGATCTTTGACCCACGAAAGTAGATCTCGGAAATTCAAAACACTCCAGTTACCGCCATAATAGGGATTGCTATCCAGATGGAGCACCGTTTTACCGATGCGAGCGAGGGATCTGCATGCTGAAAATGTAAGCGATCGTCGCAGCGGTAGAGACAGCACTTGCTTACCCAGCAAGGATCGATTCGACAAGACCTGTGCCGAGAACGATTACGTCAAAGCTGGTTTCATCAAGTACAGACGGTTGTTCGGAGGCCATGAGGACAATTTCGTGGATGAAGTGGTGGTTCTTCGTGGAAACTCAGCGAATTCCCGATTTTGGCCATTCTCGGTTTTAAACCGAAATCTCAGTCCCTCTTTGAAGAAGGCCCACAAAATGCATGATCAATGGAACTCTAATACCCTGAGCACGAATGCTATTCTTTCTTCTTTTTTTTTTTTTTTTTAGCATACTCGGGCAGTATATAAAGATTCTTTTTTAGTTATCGTGCAATCCGTATGGCGATACGACAAATGAGATTACACTTGGAATATTACCACAGTATTAATTGCAAGCAAGATAGGCTGGGTTGAGTGTGATTCTTTTACGACTACAGTATTCGTAGATGTAAGCATGTTAAGAATATTCCCCTCCAGAGCCGATTTCGTACCTGTATAAATAATTACAGATATCCGATCATTGGCTTTCTGAAAGCATAGAGATGATAAAAATAAAAAAGGTCATTGTCTGAGTTAAAGTCAACACTGTTCTTATTACTGATTTCCCTTCATCTCATCCATGGTCAGAAAGAAGAAAAACGCCAAGTCCAAATCGTCCATTACCAACTCCAAAGTAGCTTCTGGCAATGAAACGACTACCTCCACCTCGACCGAGGAAGTGAATCCGCCACCAATGTCCACGCCCTTTGGAGTATCCGAAAAGCTGAGCAAAGATCTCACAGAGGAACAAGACCGATTAGAGGAAGAGCTGCAAGAATATATAATGGAATTCACAGCAAAAGAAAAAGCTATGAAGCATAAGCTGCACAATCTTGAACTGATGATGCTATTCGTCATGAATCTTCATCCGCGATGGAAACGGTTGATCGAACCCATTGATTACCAACTCAAGACTTGGGAAGAAGCCGCTGCTATTGCACAATGGCATGCGGTCAAATACTCTAGCTTATTAGGCGTCAAGGACAGCCTATTTTTCCAATCGAAAAAGGCTAAACACGCACTGCAAACGGGTTATTTCGTACCTCAATCGCATCCCAGCAAAAAAGAAGGCGCGGCAACAAGTACGACAGCAGCAAGTACGGCGTCAACGAGTACCGCGCCGCCGAGCAGACAGCGCAACCATAAAGCCGATCAACAACCCACTGTAGACAAGTCTCAAACGCTAAATAACCCGCCTAAAACCACTCAGGCTGACAAGAGCAAACACTCCGCAGCAGCATCCAGCACGATTCCACCCCCAGTGTCAAAGCCAGCACGGGCCGTCTCGCCATCAGTCTCCCTATCATCAGAAAGTTCGTCCAAAAGCAAAAATACCGCGAACACAAGATTGTCCAACGCAAATGCCAAGACTCAAAGTGTAAATAAAATCACCGAAAAGCCGCTCGAAAAACCCGGAGTCATCAAGATACCATTCTTCTCAAACGTAACACGCGTGGTATCTTCCGACGTCAACTCTTCAGATTTATGTCGTAATATTCCCAAAGAACATCAGAATGCAAGTCTACCGTGCTTGGAGTTGGATTTCAAGGGAAAGAAAATGCTTGCCTTGGTATCCGAGGCTTGGGGTTACTCTGCTATATCAAGCGCGCTTGTGACGAGACTCGATGTACCTGTAGATTCCAGCCAGGATTTTGTAATTGCAACGGATTTTGGCTATGTCACTGATACGTATGGCCAGGTGGAGCTTGACTGGGTGAGTCCCGCTAGTTCCAAGCATGTCATACCCAAACTTCGCCTGCAAGCCCTGCCGAGTATCTATGGCGGGAAAATTGAGATGGTTTTAGGAGCAGATTTCTTTGTACTTTGTCAGGCTTCAGTTGATATGAGGGAAAAGGTGGTACGCTTTAAAAATGCAAAAGCGCCTCTCATTATGAAGAAATTGTAATAAAACGTTGCGTCCATATCGCGCGCATGTCTACCCAATGGTGGAGTGTCAAAATTTCTTGTGCCACATGAAAATCGATTTGCAATAAAAGAAAAAAAGAGGGAAAATGCCGTCTTTTTCTGACACTTTTTGCTAAGCTTGCTATGTGGAGATCCTGGGTCGACCGCATCAATACCACAGCAGGAAATACGCAATCACCGCAGACACCCGCCGATGATACTCTTTCTTCAGAGCAACTAGAAGCGTAAGCTACAACCACACCAACCTCCTTTTAAATGCCAAACTATTTAAACGCAGTTGCTTATTAGGCGAAACCAAAGCGTGATTCATTTGCAGGACATTTGGAATCGCTCACAAGATCTCCTGTCCAGCGAAGAGGTACCAAAAAACTTCCATCGTAAACTCTCAAGTTCCCATTGCTTATGCCAGCTTTAGGAGCGATCGCGTCTGTTCTTGCACGATTTCCTGCCGAGTTTTATTGAATTGCGCACAGCATATAATGATTATGCATTTCGCGCCCTTCCCGATGTCAGAGCATTGGTGAACCAGCTAACACGATATTTTGTCAGTGGTATTCGAAAAGTGGGGGAACAGGAAACGAAAGAGGGTTCCAGCGAAGGTACAGTTACCATCAGCGCGGTGGGCTTGGCGGCATCATTTTATCAGAGCTCCGGCCAACCCAAATTCAGTGCTAAACTAGCCAATTCTCTACATGTATTTTAGCCTTGATGGATCGCTTACGCTCCAAGATACATCTGTTTTATGTGGTGAAAGCGATCGATGTTCTTTTGCAGGGACCTGTGAGTGCTTGTTTTTTTTTTTTTTTTTTTTAAAAAAAAAAAAAGGTTCCGCATCCATTTGAATCTGAAACTTATACGAGGAATATGTAGGATTCCATCGTCCGCCTGCTGGTGCAACAACGCATACCATCGCTGGTCATTAAACTGTTTCGTTGCTTTATCGATTTGCCATCAAATTATTACACAATGGCCGAGGAACCATGCCCTGAAAATAAAGAGACATCCGACGAAGATGACAGCGACGAAGGATTAGACGATATGGTTTCCATCGACGAAGCGAAAACGGTCCTCACGGACATCCTCAAGCATTTCGTTAAAAATCAGTCTCTTACACATCAACTAGTCGCCGAAGATATTTTCTTTACGCTCATACGAATGATTTCGGCAAAACCTGTATACTTTGATACCATCCAACAAGCAGCCGAAGAACCAGCCTATATGACATGGAAGCAACAGTACGTTGGGATTAGAAAATGGGCCTTACAATTGCTCACTCTTCCCTCTTATTAGGACGCTGGAAATTATTCGCTGCACAAAGATCAATGGGGAAATCGCACAACACTTGCATTCCAGACGCGTTGTAGATATCCTCGTTCAACCGTGGAAGGAACTTGGCAATAAAGCGGTGTTGGCTCCGGTCAATCTCTGGGAGATAATGCTGGATGTAGATGTGCTTTATTACTTGTTACAGGTACTGCATCGGTAGCGTTCAAGAGAAATCAACATATTTATTGAATTGAATGGTTCGATAGTCTTCGCTGAAAGTAGACTATTACGGCTTATATGATGATTTGAATCGAAATGCCGCTTTTGAGTCGCTAGCCAATATCATTCTCACCGGTCCATTCAACGCTAGCTTCAACGATCTCAAGGTAAGCATTCTTTATCTAATAAATATGCATTCTGTAGACACTAACTTTATGTTAGATTAAATTGATCGATAAAGTGCAACAACTGGTCTTTATCGGAAAAGACAGTACATCACCCTCGATCGCCGAAGGTCTGCCATATCAACATTTTGGTAAGCGAAAAAAAGCTATTTTTTTCAAGGAGAAATCCATGACTCTTAACACCTCTTTAGATTTCGTTATGCCCAGAACAGAGGCTTCCTCAGGTACAATTTTACGCTGATACATACAATATATATTCTGGTGTCTGACAAAAGGGAATTTAGATCAAATAATTCGCTGTGTACAAGCAGTTCAGTGCCAATTATCTGCATTTATATACCCTTATGGTTCTACTCAACACATCATCTCCAAACACCCTCAACGCCCTTTGCCATCATCACTTCAACGCACATTGTTCGAGAACCTAAAATTGGCCATCCAAAAACATCCTGCGAATTACTTTGTGATAGAACGCCTCAATGCTGTTCCGTTGATGATCGAAAGTATGGAGCACTATGACACAAATATTCAGGTAAGACTGCGGCATTTTGAACTCTTAACTGGAAGTCCTACTTATTTTGATACGCATTTTTTAGAACGGTATTATGGATGTGCTTGTATATATTATGTGGGACCTGAATTTTGTCCCCTTGAAAGAGTTGGCGGTAACTTCTCTCCATCTTCAAAGTGAGATTCTTCTCGGTCCTTTGATCCCACGAACTCTGCTGAATGACTGTTTTATGTGTTGTAGCCACCGCCTCGGGCAAAGTCATTGCACTTTTATGTCGACGCATCCAGCAATTGCTTCAAATGTCTCCAAAATTTCTTATCGTGGTCCGTGATACTGGTCTTATCAATGTGATCAGCTTGATGCTCTCTAATATCAGTGACAAGCTACAAAAAACGGCGGCATCAGAGACTGAAGATGGTCAAATCCAAGAACCTTTTGTGGCCCAAGCTATCGAAAATTTCGATACCATTGTGGATTGTCTTGTCGAGATGACAAAAGATCCTGCGAATGCTGCTGTATTTCGAAAAGCGTAAAGATTCTTTTATCATATCTTGAATTTTTGTTCAACGGCTAAAAATTAGTATTAGATATCGCGGCAACATTATTGATCTGCTCCAATTCCCGAAAACGCGCACGGGTGCATTGAGGCTTTTCGAATGCTTATCCAGCCATGAAGAACAACAGCATAATTCACCAGCAGATACGATGCCACCTGTGGAAATACGAAATACGTTTGGCAAGGTGATGGAAGCGATCCAAGCGATACCACGCGACGATCTCGACTTCAGATTGGAAGTGTTGAAAACCATCAAGCGCATTCTCAAAGCATATCCGGTGACCCGCGACATTTTTCGAGCGGTTGGCGGTTACGTTAGCTTGGTCTCCATGATTGTTGCTCTGGAGCGCGCATTTCAACATCCTGAAGAATTTACGACCAATCATATAATGGCCCACGACGAAATTATCGATAAGCTCATCAGTGTGTTGCAGATTATCTTTGCCGTCTTTGCAGAATCTTTGCGTGCCCATCCTGTCAACAAAAAGTATTTTATTCACGATGTTGGATATCCTACGCTGGAGAATGCGTTGTTGTTGACCGGTGCCATGGAAACCACTGGGATTCCTCAACGATTATTCGGCATACTGTTTGCGTTTATGCTGGACGATGATACCGTGTACGATCTGTTTCAAAGCGATACTTCCGCCGACCAGTCACATTCGATGGAATCCCGCATTGAGCACACACTAGCCGACATATCCATGACGGTGACCAACCCTGAAATTGCTCCCACCATTCTTGGACTCCAGGGCACTATCAACGATGACGCCGAACTTTCGCAAGCGGTTCTTTACGCTCTACTCATGCTCGCCAAAAAAAGTCGAAGAAATCAAGTAAAACTGAACAGCAGTGGTTTGATATTGGCGGCACTTTCTCGTGCCTTCCCGCGCGAACCATCGCGAGAGAATACCCTCCAACAAGGTGTAGAAAAGGATCTGTTGACGAAAATCATTGGTAAACTTATGACGATGGGAATCAGCTACGAAGAGTTACAATATCTCTTCCAATCATTTACCGCCAGTAACGCGATCATGGCGTTGGACAACCCAGCCATTGACGGTTTGATGGATCTTATTTTACACGGTGCATCTCAAAGTCGTTGGCCCAACTTTATTCAATTTAACATGGCGGACGTCGGTCATTCATGCCTCGAGGTTCCGTCATTGCCATCCTTTCCTCCATCCTCTTCGGGATACACTCTCATGTTGTGGCTTCACATTGAACGATTTGATGCCGATGCCAAACTTGTTCTCCTCTCGATCTATGACAGCAGTAGACTTACATCCAAAATTTACCTGGATCCGTCCTCCAGGAGACTGCATATCGACGTTCCCGGTTCAAAGCAAACAGTGAAATTCGAATCATTTGAATTCCGGGAAGGTTGTTGGTATCACCTTGTACTCGTTCACAGTCGATCCAGATTAGGCGCAAGTCTGAGTACCATGACCATGTTTATCAACGGCATCTCCATGGAACAGATACGATGCGCTTATATTCCTCAGCCTTCCACGTCTTCTGTCAAGGCAGTCATTGGCACACCAGCAGATCAAGTAATCAAAGGCGCATGTAACCAGCTGGTGTGGGATCTTGGCCCTTGTTACCTCCTCTTGGATACCTTGGAAGCCGACGCTGTTAATTTTTACTTTAATCTTGGCGTGCGATACAAGTCCCTGTTTCAAGATTCTTTGCGCCAATTTCAAACATACGAAGCATCTACCGCTCTAGTTCTGAATCTACGTTCGGTCAGCAAAGCGTTTAGTAGACGGGATATGTCACACAACACGATCGCCAACGCCATGCGTGGAGGAGCCAACGTGTCAATGCCAGAAAACCAAATCGCCTTTGCTTTCGTCGCTTCCAATGTCATTACTGAATTATCGCATAATGGTATGACCTCCACGGGTATGAGCGATTCTATGCTGGAGATGATCGCATCCGAAATGGAGAAATCCCAGCTGGTATTAAATACGGCCATACCGAAGATAGCCTCAGCTATCTATGCCCAACACGGCAATGGCTATTTGTACAATGAACCCGTCATCGCTTACCCTTACGGCTTGGATGAATCCATGTGGAAAATTGGGGGCTGTGCTGTGGCGCTCCGTTTAATTGAAAGATCCGAGGTAAAGCGTTGCATTTCTGTAGAAATTTCTGTGATTCCTTCTCACATCCTCTTGAAAGACATCGGCTACTCTGTGCAAATCCACTGCGATTCTTTTTGAAATTATCCGGTATTCATGGCGAAATTCGGAAGATATGGAGCGATCGCAGGGATACGAAATATTAGCGTACCTGCTCAAACTGAAGCGTGAACTGATTACCATTGATTTGCTGGAGCTGCTGTTAACCTTCATTGGCAAAGATCGCAAATACCCAGAGTAGGCTTTTGTTTCAGAGTATTGCTGTGCGCAAGAAGTGTAGACTAATTTGTCTTTTTAGGGATTCGATCATTAACAATCCCTTTGCCTATCGGTATATCATTCTCAACTTTGAAATATGGAAACGAACTACTGTCAAGGTGCAAAAGGCGCATTTGGATCAGTTCATCTTATTCTTGCAAATCAGCAAGCGCCGCCGCTTTAATATGAAGCGGTTGCAAAAAGTTCGTGAGTATTGGCTCGAAGGTAACTTAGTTTTGCTTCTTATTCTCATCAGCGGTGATATAGATTTGGTCAAAAAGATGCTGTTGGCCTTCCGTATGAATATTTATGCCAAAGAACTGGTTCCCACGGTGATCCATGCACTAAAAATTGTCATGATGAACAATTGGAATACTGAGAATATCCGAGCTGTCGCCACCTTCCTCGCTTCTACCGTTTCGCAAGGTAAAAAAGGTGACAAAGTTCACTCCATGATGTTCATCAATACAGCTAACAACTGTTTCAGCGTCTTCATCGACCGTCCAATCTACACAACCAAAGTCACGACGGGGGTTACGATCTCCCAGTATTTCATCCTATTATAACGATGCACCGACGACAGAACAAGCCAAATCTGCGTATGATGCTGTGATTATGTATGCAAGAGATTACAGCTCGTCGGATAGGATTGTTCAAATGAGAAATATCGTTTTGGAAATGTTGCAAGAGATTATCTGCGAAAAAGCCAATGTGGAGCTGGTCCACAAGTTCGCTTCCACCATCACGAACAAGTGGCCGCTACTGTTCTTTGCTTCGGAACTGAACCCTTACACCGTCGTGCTTGCCGCTCGCATTCTAGCCCGTATCCTGGTTTGTCAGGGCGCAGTTTATATTGGCAAATTCCGTATGGCGTCCGAAGGTTTCTTGATCATGAGCAAGCTGTTACCATGTCACCGCCATTTAGCTGAACTGCAGCAAATACTTTTCCTCACGACTCTCGGCTTCGATGTGGCTGACTTTCCACTCTCGGAACCGTTCAACTTTGCGCGGTTGCGATCGTTTGTTCAGACCATGCCGATCAGATCAATTATACCCGAAATGTTACCTGTCCTGATCGCCTTGTGGCAAGACGAACAGCCTGACCATTCTCACTCAACTCAGTCCGCTCCCTCCTCAAGACGACCAAGTACAAACGAATTAGAAGCTCCTGGCTCCGGCTCGGCCAAGGATGGACACGGTATGGAAGTATGTCGCGTAAATGAGCAATTTATTCGATTGTTTGGGGAACTGTACGTGGAGAATCCAATGCTGAAAGAGGCGTGCTGCCGCCATGACATTATTGACACCATGATGGAAATACTTTATCCGGCCGTGTGCGATACCGCCCCATTAACGGCTGAAGAAGAATTGTCGCTCAAGCCGGATCCTCCCTTTGGAGATGCGGATTTGTCTATGACCGATGCTGCTCTCATACAAGATGTAGACGAATTGATAGCGCCCGATAACGCGGTCAGCAGTATCCTCAAGCGTGGAGCAACCACCTCTCTTATGACAAAAACATCACCCCATATTAGCAAAAGTTCCAGAGTCATGCAGTCCAGGCTCCGGTAGGTGATTCATGAAAAGGCGCTTTTTGGCGACTTGTACTGATGACCTGTCTGCTGGCACCATAGGTCGGCTTCTTGGAGTAGTAACCATCCAGGAATGAGCATGTTTTCCCTAAAAGACCCTGCCATGGAGGCCATACTCCATTTCTTGGTGGACATAAGCGTACAATCTGTTATTGATTCCAGCAATAAGTGTATGACCGTCCTGGGACTAGTGCTATCGGTAAGATAGGAATGGGTGCAAGATCCCACTTTTGTGTACCTAATAAATCCAATCATTCTAGTCGTTTCCGCCCAGCACACAGGAGGATCAAGTGAGGATAAAGGATTGAGTATACATAATTATAAGATGCTAACATACTATGCTCATAGATTCGATTTGAAAGCTTCCTTTTGACCCATATCTCTCAGCAATTGAAAAGCACGCTGCAGTTGGAAGCCGAGCTTTTAACGGATCACAAAATCTTGACGAATGTAGCAAAGTTTGGGCAAATGGCTGCAGATGCAGTATTCCAAGGTCGCTTTCTCAACGGTGCTGAACAAACGTACGATTTGCTCGCGATGATTCTCGAAGCATTGCACAGTCCCAGCTTGCTCAAACGATACGGTACCAATGATACCAACGTTCACCTTTTGTACCATTCGTTCAATCGCATGGTTCTCTTGAAGTTATCCGATCTGGAATCCTCCGACATGGCGACTCAACGCATCGACGCCTTTTTGAACTATTGTATTCATCATCAAAAGATCATCCTGAGCAGCAAAAATACCGACACGGAGTTTTTACGTTGCTTCTGCTATCACATCTACCAGTTCCTGTTATGTAACGATGACAAAGTGAAGATCGGCGCGGTGAATGTAAGCGTTAATTTCATGATACTGTCCTAATCTCCCATGTGCTCAAGGTTTTTTCGCATATAGATATGGAAACTGTTTCTCCTGCAAAAACCAAATGCCATCTCGGCTTTGTTTAAAACGCGCGTTCGAGGTCTCGGTGAGTATGAATGGCGACGCAGTGTGGTGATGTGTTCTTGACTGATGTTGTGCATAGAAAATGACGAGCTTGCCGATGGATTCAAGCAAATGCTCGAAACCGTAAGTATAGCATCGTAAACAGCTCTTTGTTTGAGTTTAACCGCGTGGATAGGATCTGGATTCCTTCATGGTTTGGTTGTATTCCCGTAAAGTGGAGCTGAATATCTTGTTCAAGGAGCATGTTTACAAGACATGGGACCATATGATTACGCAGGAAAATAAGCACAGCCGAGAATCGTATAAAAACTACCAGACAAAGCGCATGAATAAGCTACGAAAGCTGCAGAAGCGACAGACTTTTACAAAAGATGTCATGGACGACTACCACGTCAAGACACAGGCCTGGTCTGACAGTATCCAGGTACGAATTAAATGTGAAGAATATGGTAAAAAGAAAACTAACGATTGCAATAGCAAGTTGAAATAAGTCGCTTCACCAAAGCGTTGCAGGACAACGATGGACACGAAAACTTTATTCGCAGTGAATGGAGCCGCCTCGTGACGGACCTCACAAGAGAGCGTGCTCTCTGGGGTTATAATTTGCAACCGGATGCTAGGTGGCAACTCGATTACACAGAAGGCCGTCATCGAATGCGCAAGAAGCTACAGCGTATCATTAACGCTCCTACCTCGGCACCTTATCTTCCCAAACAAACTGTTGCGTCAAAACCTCTGGATGTATGTATTACTTTGAAAGTAGTAACGAGCCAAATCCTAATGTGTCAATTGTTTTTTTAAAGGCTTCTTCAAATACCAATCCAGAAACAGACGGTAAATAAATTCGATCCATAGCAACGATATAACACATACTTACCCAGTTGTAGACACTGTGATGAAAAACAAGACAGCAGCTGAAGTTGACAAGGAATTAACAAGCAGCCCGCGACCCAGAGGTCGCTCCGGGACCATTTCGAATCATGGAGACGATTCAGCAACCGAACCTTCTAGTAAGCCACGAGGATCTGTTATAAAAAGATAGGTTAATTAAAGTCCTGCATAGGAGACAACGGCGAAAAAGCAGAAGAAGAGGACATTGATGAATTTTCTTACGAAGAAGACAAAAATCGCAAAGTGCTGCGCTTACTGGATCAAGGAGACATGGTGTTGGAAGTATACAATATCAGTCAAATTGCTGGATTGGATGCACGCGGTATGTAGAACAAAAAAGAAAAATCACGCAGAGGTCACTGACAGGCTTGACCTGTTTTTTGTTTTTTGTCTTTTTTTCAAAATACAGAGGGTCTACTGCTTCTTTGCAAGAACAATATCTACCTCATTGATAACTTTTTCCAGCGTTCCGACGGCGAAGTGGTCGAAATCTGGGATGTGCCAAAGGAAGAGCGAGATCAATATTTGTTGCTTTTGGCGGCAGCAGCAGGCATCGAAACTGAGCCTTGTGTGAACTCGTCAGGAGACTTGCATGCATGTCGTAAATGGTATTCACAAGAAAAAGATGATTGAACCCGGTCCCTGTGGATTGTCATATTCACATACATGCTGGAAAATAGGCCTCAAAATGATCTCAAAGAAGTCTATAAACGGCGCTTCTTATTCAGGTAAATCAAAGGATTGGGTGTTGAAGCGGGATCTTCTCTAAACTTGGTGTTCGTGTAGGGATGTTGCGTTGGAATTATTTTTTGGCGATGGACAAATTGCACTGATTACCGTGGAACGCCACGAACGTGATGAGTTGTATGCGAAACTGGCGAGTCGTGTGAGCACGCACGAGGATCCGACGGTGTCCATTATTGGCGGCGCAGATACAGATAACTTGTCCAGCAGCACCTTCAAATTCACGAGCATCTTTGGAAGCTCCACCCTGCATGATCTTACCCAAAAGTGGGAACGCCGTGAAATCACCAATTTTCAATATTTGATGTATCTAAATGCGATTGCTGGACGATCGTACAATGGTACGCTAAACCTGGACAAAGCAGTAGCAGCAGTGTTAGAATCTTACCATGTCTCTTTAGATTTAACACAATATCCTGTCTTTCCTTGGATCCTCGCAGATTATGAGAGTGAAGAAGTACTGCAAATAATAGCTTTGGATAGAATCAAAACGATGGCAAGCTGATCATCTTCTCCCTTTAGCTTGACCTTGGCAAGCCCGAGACATTTAGAGATCTAACCAAACCTATGGGTGCTCAAACAGCTGAAAGAAGAGGTTGGTTCACTTGGAAAGTTGCTTGTCGACGAGAACTAAAATTTGATTGGATTTTTTTTCTTTAGAGGAATTTGCGGACAGATATCGCCAATGGGGTGAAACCAATGATCCTGCACCGGCTTTCCATTACGGCACCCATTATTCCTCTGCGATGATTGTTTGTTCTTTCCTGATCCGCCTTGAACCATTCACACAGCACTATCTCAAGCTGCAGGTAATAATGACAGCTCGTACTGGTGAAGGATATACTGATACAAACACGATTCTTCCAGGGTGGTACCTTTGACCATGCCGATCGTTTATTTGATTCTATTGGAAAAGCATGGGAATCAGCTTCTGAGAAAAACATGGGCGACGTCCGAGAACTTATTCCAGAGTTCTTTTACCTTCCCGAGTTTCTCGATAATGTGAACAAATTCAACTTTGGTATTTGCGAAAACATCCTACTTGTTATGCGTGCATACAACTGACAGGTTACACTAGGTGTGAAACAAGGAACAGGTGAAGCGATCGACTCTGTTGTGTTACCTAAATGGGCGCATGGTGACTCAAAGATATTCATTGAAAAACACCGAGAGGTCAGTCCATGGTCTTCTGAAAAGAGCTAATTCCGATGACTAAAATTACCTAACAGGCATTGGAGAGCGAATATGTCAGTACTCATTTGCATCATTGGATCGATCTGATTTTCGGCTACAAGCAGCAAGGGCAAGCAGCTATTGATGCGTTAAACGTTTTCCATCATGTTTCTTATGAAGGCGCCGTGGGTACGTACACAGATAATTAAAAGTATTGTGCAGTATGGATTGACATGTCAATTTCTTAGACTTGGATGCTATCACCGATGTGGTTGAAAAAACAGCAACTATTGGCATCATTAACAACTTTGGTCAGACACCACGTCAACTGTTCAGAAAACCGCATCCTGCCAGGGCTCCTGTGGTCAATGATCCAGCCACGTTGGGCCATTATCCATTCCCTGAACATTACGATAAACTAATACAATCTATTATACCTATACGCGGTATGCCGTCTCTTGCTATATGGAATGTATGCTTGGATGCTCATGTGAATATTGTAGATATCCAAAGACAAATCAGCGACGTTGATATTTTCAACGATCGATTAGGCGTTACGACTTGTCAGCAAGTGTTTGTTCCACCTGATGGCGGACGTTATATCGAATGGGGTTTCTCGGACAACAGCCTGCGATTGTTCTCGACTGATACAGGAAAGGTAACTTTCTCTCGCGATACCTACTTTATTGGTATGGTATACTCATTTCATCGTAATAGTTGTTGAATGTTTTTGAAAACATGCACGTTGGTTACATCAGCGTCGCTTGTTTCCCCGACAACCGTACCCTTGTAACCGGTGGAACCGATAATGTAAGTGGTGTTGTTGGGGATTACGAGCCATGTGGCTGACAATATATTATCAGGTGTTATGCATGTGGAAAATCAAATCGGACAAGACGTTTGATTTCGTCCTACTAGAGACTCTCCGAGGTCACTCGGCGGTGATCACATCGGTCGCTTCCTCACGCTCATTTAGTACCTTGGTCAGCGGTTCCGAAGATAAAACGGCGATTGTGTGGGATTTGAATCGTATGAAATATGTTCGCACGTTAGCTGGACATGAGAATGGCGTGCAGGTTGTTCGAGTCAACGATTCTACGGTAAGCGGAGGCCCTCACTGGTTTGGTTGAAAGGATATGAAAAGAGTTGATCTGACCCTTCTATAAGGGCGACATTATTACATGCTCTGGGCACGTTATTCGTGTGTGGACAATCAATGGCGATCTGTACTTTACGAAATCGGCCTGCCCAAGCTCAGAGTCAATCCTGTCGTGTATTTTCTACGAGAGCAAATTGAATGAATATGTGAATCATGATCTTATTTTGACGGGTCATCGCAACGGCATCATCAAGGCAAGTTCATCTTTATATTATTCGCTTTTTCAGTATACCAACTCCACAATAGATATGGTCCAAGCAAGTGATCAAAGATGCAAAGAGCGGTCATCACCGGTGGGGCTTGACCTTGAAGCATCAACTGCAACAAAATAATCGCCTAAATGAAGAATTGGATACAGCGGGAGTGGTGTCATTGTGTTTTACACGGTAAGTGCTGTGAGCGGGCGAAAAACAGAGTGAGCAGCAAGTTGATGCGATTGTGAAATTACCGTAGATCGAAGCGTACTCTGCTAACCGGCAACAAAGATGGTCGTGTGTATGCATTTGTCTTGCCTGATACAACAGATACGTTCCACTTGATGAAGGAAGACAAATTGAGAGAGTGTATTGGGTGTAATAAAACATTTTCAGTTCTCGGTAAGTGTTGATCGCTACTTTGACCAGATCCACTAGACTAACGCCATCATTAGAACGAAAATCGCACTGTCGAACTTGCGGAGGTAAAATATAACCAAACAAGACTGTTACGTTCCAAAATACAATTGCTCACATAAACAAAAAATAGGCACCTTCTGTTCGGCTTGTACTACTCATCCTCCATTGGCTGTAGCCGATCGGTCAGCACGGGTTTGCAATCCGTGCTACGCATATCTGTCACAAAAGAGCGACCAATTGTTACATTAATAACAAGCGAATTGCGTGCAGTAACGTGTATTGTAAAGGCTTTCTATCGCTGGATTAAAATTACACACATAGATCTTCTAACTGATATTATTTGGGCAAGGCATTGTTCTTTGAGAAATCGTTGTAAAAAATAAGAGCGTCGACGAGTTGATCTGGCGAATTTTTCAATCTGCAACCAAAAAATAAATGATGGGTTTGTCATTTGATCAGGATATCATGGATAGTTTGGTTGTAACTTACCGTCCTGCCTGAGGAATGCGTCCTACTTCCTGAAACCCGAGTTTTCGCCAGATGCGGATAGACGCTTCATTATTCACAAAGACGAGATTGAATACCGAAGCTTTGTAACCAAGGGCAGGTGCGGTCGTTAGCAAGGTTTCGCCCATTGCCATACCACCTCCTTGGCCACGGAAACTGATGCTGGTAATGAATCCAGCATTGCAGATCTAAAAGGATCACGTCGATATTCATTTACAAAATCGATCATATCTTGAAAAATGATCCCAAACTTACGTGAGAACATCGTCCTGGGTAATTGGGCTTGACATAATACATGCCAATAACCACATTGTCAAAGTCATAGTCTTTGTTACGGTCAATAATTTCTGTGGCCAATACAAAGGCGTCGTAGCTTCATTGGATTTTGTCCGTCAGGAACCATACATCCCAGAGGCAAGCTGGTCAAAACTTACCCTAAAAAGTAATCCATAAATTGTTGTTCGCCCAGAGGATATTCCTGAGGATATGTGGATCTAGGAACAGATGTCAGAACACAGACGGACGGTTTGCAATACCTCGAGTCACCAAAAACTACTGCCTTACCCATCTTCGATCGCTTGATTGAACAAGGCTTGCAAATGTGTCACCAATGGCTGATTGGTTGTATCGATCGCTTGCAAGTAGGCGTTCTTGCCATTCTTTAGTTTTTTTGTGATGGGCAAGATGGCGTCAATGGAGACTGCAGCCTCAGGCTTGGGAATTTTACCATAAGCTGTCGACATGGCGGTGTGATGTTGTGATTAACTGCTACAACGTGGGGTTTACTGACTGCGGTCCCTGTCCCCATATCCTTTTAATCCAACGGAGTCATCAACTTCAATGCCAGCTGTCAGATATGATCCTTGAAACCGAAATGTTCTCTATTGATTGGTACAGAGTGCCAACTTGCTGCGAAACGAAGCCCGAAAATTGTGATACAATCGGAGTATATGCAACTGGGTTTGATACCAGTGGGTCCTACATCTTCAGGTAAGGATTTTCTACAAGACTTGGATAAAGTCAACTTGTTAAATAGGATCGAGTTCTTCAAATTTGTGGTTTCTATATGTACCAAATTCTCGATATGAACACTTGAAAAAATCTTTATCTCCTCGTCTTTGGCGTGATGAGATGGAGCCAATAGTTTTCGTTACAAACGGTACAGGTGGTCAACTCAACAAGTCATTGAGTCGCAACAATGTGAGAGAATTGAAAGCACTTCATAGAAATCAGTAAATCCTACCGGTGCTCAGAGAAAAGGCTTAATTAAGAAGTGTGCATGCAGTACTCTTTTTCATGTTCCATCCGTCAGGTGACACATTCTTTGCCATTTTTCTGAAAACGCATATACCCCCAGCACCTCCAGAGTTTTTCTTCTTTTTGCAGTCTTGATTCATGACATAACAATGTAACAATCAGCTGAATGTCCTTATCGAGACTAGTTCTAGAATTCTCTATCATGAGTGGCCTCTTGGGCTGAACTTTTCCGAGGAATTGTGAGAACGACGTGTTTTACGACTATCTCCTAGAATATCCCCTTTAGATATAAGTCCGAGTGCAATTACAGAGAAAAGTGGCTAAAACCTCATGATATATAGTATGCATTGATGATATCCATGCGGTGCATATTCATGAAAACCTAAAGTTCGTTCTGACGATCTACCGGCAGTGAGCTCTGTGACCAACAATCCCCCTGGCAATATCATGTAGGAGAAACGAAGATAGAAACAAATAACAGGTGAAACAGGATGTACATTGGAATAAGCAAAAGGGGGAAATGTTCAGCAAGTATATAAGATGGGGAGGGGCTTGATTATATGCAAAATGATACAGGATGAGGCCATTAGAAACTAAAAAATCAATGTGCTGGTGTATCGTTGCGGAAAGAGTGCGTGCGTTGATGGGGGGCTGGCAGGATTAGGTAAAGAGAGGAAGAAATTTGACGTGAGCGAAAATTGACTGAAGGAATTAGAACATTCAATGCGGTGTGTTACAGCAAGCGGATATTACAGAAAGAGGGGGGAAAAAAGCACCAGGCACATGAGCAAGTGAACGAGTTTTGACACACCATTTCTTTACGAGACAAAATGATTCGATCACAAACCCTTCAATTGACTTCCCATACGTTGGATCGAACAAATTCAGCAATGCTTTCGAAATAGCCTTCCTGTAAAACACAAGTTCCGATGAGGAATGAATATTGAACCCCTCGCAATAGCCGGCCCAGTTTATTTCTTACCTGCATGCATGTATCGTTGTGAGTACCATTTTCAAAATCGCGCCACACCTTCACACCGGTGGTTTGTGCAATCTTGTATAATTTCGCCATATGAGCTGGTGGCACCAATTCATCTTTCAAGCTGGATAAAAATAGAATGGGAATATGTCGTATAAATCGAATCCATTTGTAAGAACGCCATGTTTGATGGCACAGATAAACCAGATGCCGTAAAGCCGGTAAAATGTAGGGAATTAAAATAGGCTAAGCATGGAAGGAAAAGAAAAAAAAAAGTCAACACAGGACATAAAAAAAAAACCGACCCAAACTGTATCGCCTCCTCGAAACCTAGAAGTAGCTGTCACACTTACCACACTCAAGAACGTATTTTCGATAATTAATGCATGAAATTTGTCTTCGTTTCGGGAAACAAGACTAATAGCAACAGCACCACCCAATGATTGACCATAAGCAATAAGTCTGGTGTGTCTGAGGATGGGATGACGTTGAATGTAATCGAGAACAGCCTGAAAGCGTATAAAAAATAATCAGGTTAGAAATTGTTTTGGGGAAAAAAATCAGTAACACCCCATTTACGTAGGAAACTTACCTGCGCATCCATTTGGAGGCCCTTTTCGGTCGGACGTCCTTCGCTTAACCCATATCTAAGCCCAATCCCTCTGTTTAACATACTGCCGTTTTTCCTGATTGTCATGGACAAGAAGTGATAGAAAAAAACTGCTTACCCTCGATACGACAGCATGATTACATTATAACCAAACTTTCTGTAAAACACTTGAGCAATCGGTAGTCGATGGCCCTGGTCGAGATGTCGTGGGAACTGTGTTTAATTATCATGGAACTCCAGATTCCGCTCCTTCCATTGCTCTCTTACCATATTTCCGGTATGTGACTACAATGATATAACCCACAAAGTTAGTTATGCGGTCTTCCCTGTGGTTACATCGAGTATACTAACATGAAAACAAAGAATTGTCGGTGATTGTATCGCCACATCCTCTCCTCGCTGGATCAACACATAGCTTCTGATTTTTACACCATCCTTGGTTATCAGGATTTCTTCTTTATCCGGTAAACCATACTGTGAAGGTCTTGCTACCTGAAATGGGGTGGTTGGGCTCGTGAGAGGTTGGTTCCAGATGATCATCCAACGGAATCACAAAAACTTACCACCGTTCTTGATCCTGCGGGAAACCCTGCTGCATAAAGTAGATCACATTGGTATACATATAACAACAGTGACAGTGCAACCGTAACTGCAATGGCAAAATAAAGCAAGTACAGCAAATATGTCACCACCAGCATCAGTGTGTGTAGAAAGAGAAGAAAGGATGGCCAAAAAACAAAAAAAAAAAATTCCCTACCCCATTTATCATGTGACGTGCGATAACCCCAAAGAACTTTGGCAGGTCGGCCGAACAAACAACACTTGATTCAGGGAGAACGCCCGAAAAGTATTGCATTATACTGTGAACAGTCTATCTTCAAATATTGGCCATATCTATGTAGAAACACACTCTGTGGCAAGAATCTAGACGACATCAGGGTTGATCTCGCATGGTGCGTGAAGTGCTTCCTCTTCCAAACGGCAGCCGAATATTGGTCGGAGGTTCGTTGGACGCTGTTTGAAGGAAAAGCCTAAATTTCTGCTCCCATTTTTGTAATCAATCGAAAACTGTTGAGACAATTCGTCGCATTTTTGAAATAAGCACTTTATTTACTGGCTGGTTCGCGTTTAAACGCTCATACTTTATAATTGAAAAGTGTACAAAGTATTAGCTTTGTCATCGATGGCTGGAAATTCCATACCGAGGCATCATCGAATCCCCATTCCCCATGAATGAGAAAATCCCTTGTCTCTTCAAAGTAAATGAACCGGTGAGAAACGGTCAAATTTGGTAAATACAATGACAAATACTATGATGGATGAGATGGTGCCTTTATTTAATGTCCATCCAATCATTTTTCTACACTTGCAACAGTCAAGAGTCCCAAAAATAAATTCTTGGGTTATGGTTTTACTCATGACTGGTAAGCAAGCCAATGAGTGGAGTTTGAAAAGGGTCGACTCAAAAACCCTCATGCAAGTTTCTTGTATTTCTGCACATCTCTGTTCATCTGATAACATGGCCCGTATTCCTATCTCTATATTGACCGGCTATCTCGGCGCTGGCAAGACCACTTTACTTAATCGCATCCTTCACGCCTCCAGAAACGTGGCGGGCGTACCACACCGTATCGCTGTCATTGAAAATGAGTTTGCTGCCGCCTTTGGTGTTGAAAATGAGATCCTTGATGAGGCAAAAATGGAAGACATTCAAAATCTTTACGAATTCGGCATGTATGTATCACAGAAACAATGTTTCCTCGTACAAAAGCGATGCTTACGATGTAATTGATGTGGTGTAGGGGTTGTGTTTGCTGTTCTTCTACTGGAGAGCTCATTAATGCTCTTTACGAAATCGCAGACAGGAATCATCATGAATCCAAAGAGAAACAGATCGACCACGTTATCCTCGAAACAACAGGTTTGGCTGATCCTGCTCCCATTCTGGATATCATCACCTTGGGTGCAGATAAATCTGGTCAAGACCCCATTGTGCGCAACTTTTACGTCGATGGCATCGTGACGCTGTTGGATGCCAAACACTTTCTTTCTCGTCTTCGTCCCGGTAGCAAATACAAGAACGAACCACTCGCGCAAATCATGACAAGTGATCTCATCATTGTCAACAAAGTGGATTTGCTGAATGAGGCGGACAAATCGTCGCTCGATCAAATTATGGACATGGTGAAAAAAGAAAATGCTGAAGCTCGGGTCGTGGCAACATCATTTGCCGATATTGAACCGACGGAATTTTTCCATCTCCGAAAAGAACAACAACGTGCCATATTGAGTCAGCATGCACAACAAGAGGCTACTAAGCAACACGATCCTTCCATCGAGCAATCGATGCTACTTGTGGACGGTGAAGTGGACCTTGAGGCTACTATGGCCTTTATCAAACGTGCCAGTCAAAAATTAGGAGGCTCGCTTTACCGCTTGAAAGGGGTGCTTGCAGTTCAAGGTAGAAACAAACTTGTCGTACAAGGTGTGAGTGACGACATTAATGTCAGCGAGCACAAAGCGTGGAATTCCGATGAAAGTCGGCAGAGTCGGCTTACATTTATTGGAAAGGACGTACGAAAATATGTAGATGAACTAGAAAAAGAATTTGAACAGTGCTTGATCAAGAAATAGCATCCTGTGATCTTTTGAGCGGTGTCTCAAATTGTATTGTTTTTTTTTCAACGGCTCCGACGCGTCGACAAAATTTTATTCCTGTTGTTTCTTTTTTCTTCTTTTTCCTCTTATTCTTGTCTATTGTTTGATTCACCATGTCTGATATGAACACTGTTGCAAAGGCATTTACTGACTTCTACTACGAAACCTTTGATGGCGGCAGACAAAACTTGGCGTCTCTTTATGTAAGACTTCCGCGCATTCGACAATGATAGTGGAAAAGAGACCTAACAAGGAACGGGACCATCAATTCACAGAGAGAAAGTTCCATGTTGACTTTTGAAGGTGCTCAGTTCGTTGGTGCCAATGCCATTGTTGAAAAGCTTGTGGTAAGCATTGAGAGTGAGAGTGTGGTCGTAAAGTAGGCGAAAACGCAGCGCTTAACCTTCACTCTGCTTTGCAGTCCCTTCCTTTCCAAAAGGTGCTGCACCGCGTGTCCACGTTCGACGCTCAACCCAGCGCCCCTAACAGTAGTAACCTTCTTGTTACCGTCACTGGCCAACTTTTGGTAAACAGACGCATATCTCTCAATATGTAAATAGAGATTAATTAACACTGCTCGTTTATTAGATTGACGACGAACAGAACCCTCAAATGTTCAGCCAAACTTTCCAGTTGATTGCTGAGAACCGCACTTACTGGGTTTACAACGACATTTTCCGTTTGAACTACGCTTAAACATATTTTGGGCTCTTCGTTTCACTTGAGCATATAATGAAGAACAAAGGAAAATCAATGCACACAATATTCTCCATAAACAACAACAACAGACACACTTTTGTCATGGATGGTTTTCGCTTTACTTTGATGAAAAACGATGGGGGTGGTTGATGTAGGAATGTGGGTGTGAAAAGGATTGGATTTAATAAGAAGTGAGGATCTGCAACAGGTTTTGTCCTTGTTCAAGGACAAAAATGTTTAGCAAGATAATTGGCTTCAATGTCCCAAATCAATTTTCTTTGCTCTTCCGGTGATTTGCTTAATAGCTCAGATATCCACGGCGGCGCCGCTGTTTTTGTTTGCTTTTCGATTTCTGCGATTTCGGGAGTGCGCGCTACAGATCTGATTAATATTAATATGTAATGAATCCAATCTACGACTCCTTACCTTCGGTAAACATCGGCAATGGATTGGACTCTTGCTGATGCTTTTGGTATACATCACAGATCTCTACAAAAGAAACAATATCAGATTTTTTTTTCTTCGTGTTCTTTGTTATGAATATAACGGACCTGGATATTTATCTTTGCTCAGATTTTCCATTCTTTTCCGGACAGAATCCACGACACTGGCAAAGTGGATCTTGTTATCATTTGTATACGCGTAAAATCGCAATTACTTCACTTCACTTACACTGCAGGTATACCAGTTGCTAACGCACTGGACAATACTGCTTTCCAACTTATTTTAGGTTGGTGATGACCCATTGCTTCATCGAATAAAGCAATATCATCAAGCATGGCAAAATAGGAATGTAAGCATAGCCTCGATATATTTGAAAGAGATGCATCTTCGGGTACACCCACAGGGTATTCTTCCTCATCCGTAGAATCCAAGTTTGACATGACCTCTGTATCTGCTATCTCGTCTCCATCGACAGTTGCTTTTGACTCGGTAGCTTTTTCTGATTTTCGTCGTTTGTCTGATTCTTTACCACAATGCCATCTTCGTCGCTTACTAGCTCTACGACATTCGCTGTTTACATCTCTGACTATGTTGTCGATCGCATCGTTGAATAGCTTATAGCTCCTTGCAAGTTCGTAGGTGCAACCTTGCTCCACTGCTTCGCTATCGTCAAAATCTTCCATGGGGAGTTCCATGGGAGTCGCTTTATGGGATCCCGATATTCCCCTAGTAATGAGATATGAGCTTATTGTAACCTCATGGAGCAAGAGCTTCCTACCTGGCATATGCGAACGGCCATTTCGGGATCCTCCGGAATGGTAGCTCTTTGCTAAAGATTTTCCTTCGTACACGATCAAGCAAAGCGTCATCATAGATTTCGCTCGTAAGAGTACGCCAGAGCGGTATATCACTCGTAGTTCCGCTTTTCATGTGTCTGTGATCAAAGAATGGATTGGCAAATGGTTTGGAACCTGTGTTGATTCAAAGCGACACAATCAATCCAAACTTGACAAAACTCCGCTGTGTTGCAAAAAATCATTTCTCTTCCGCAAAGTGTCTCCTTGGAGATATCAATCTCTTCTTGTCAACGCAGTGACATTAGTTATCGATGTTCCACAATTGCGAGCGATACTTGTCAGGAAACCGGTTTATTCTGTGCTGAAATCTGCTGAAGCATTCACTAACAAATCATCATTTCAAAGCTCATTTTGTAAAATCTGTTTATTCTCCCGACAGTTGACTCTTGGAATTTTATCACACGAAGTATACTCTCGGGCCAAAACCAGTGAAATGATTTTCAACTAGCATCTACTGCGCTACATGCTACGCTTAATAAGCATTATATCTTTACACATGGAATTTGCTTTGCGATAACGGTTATATTGTAGTACAGTAAGTGGTACTTTAGACTTGCTGTGAATCAACATTTGCATTTTTAATCACTGCAGCTTTTAGTTGATTGCTGCTGATAACCTCGTGCAAAAAGTACAATAGCCGCAAAAATAAGAGGGAAAATGAGTGTCACTTCAGCGAATACTTTCATCATGCGGCCTTTACTTTTGATTTTACTCAAGGAGACGGCTTCGTCCATCCGCGTTCCTGCATCATTTCCATCGAATCCTTGTCCGGTATTGACAGATACTGCAAATCAAATTTGCGTTACAAATGTGATGCTTGGCTATGCCGTTCTCCTTGAATAGTGCGGTAATGCCTTTTTTTTGTCCGAAATAGTCCCATGGCTTTCGAAAATCACAGCCATGTCAGTAGCCAGATCAAGATTCGTCCATACGTGGAAAAAGATAATCCCCCCAATCGCGCCATCGATCATGGCTGGTGGCAGCTGAGAATATTATTCTTCGCATACTAATAGTCAGAAAGCCAAAACAATATCGACGAATAATTGGCGGTCCGCATAAGAGGTCTGATAGTGCACAACCATCCAAAATTAACTCAGTTGGCATGGAACCCATCTTGTTATAGGCTGAGGATCCTTCTCCGAGAATTAAGGATCTGAACGTACAAGAGTTTCCGCAATATGCACTACAGTAACAACCAAAGAACATTGGCCGGAAATGAGGCTGAAATCGCGTTACTGGAGAGAACAGCTAGCTCCTATTTTGTGCCTTTTTGCTTCATGCGGTTGCGGTGGCTCATAGATACTGTATGCATATTGCCATTTGTTAATTTTTGTCAGGACCGTTTTATCAGTGGGTTATGATTCATTTGGTCACGTAAATTTCAATGGACCTACTCGTGATAGAATGGCAACGACAGCATCCAAGCAACTAACTGATACGATGAGCTGGTTGTTAACTCAAATCAAAAGAGACGAACATCAATTCTCAGATGGATATGATAAACTTGACCTAGTGGATAAACGCGTTTTATATGACCATCTCACAGAGTTAAATGCGCGCTGTGATCTTGCCGATTTTTGAAGATGCGCGACCTCTGTGTAACTAGAAAAAAATTGTAAACAAAGTGATCGCTGTGTTTTCCAAACATACACAGACATTAGGCTTACGAAGAGGAGAACAGTGCAGTGTTGACCGATGCTCTGCATCTTACCTTGCTTGCAACCAAATCCCTTTCATTCGATGCAGAGGAGGGATTACACAAGAATTACCTAGTCCCACGGTTAATTAGTCCCTGTCGTAGACCTGATCGATCAACCGCAAAACAGGAACAACCATCTCCGCTCATTTAGTTTGGACTAGCTTTGATGCATAGGAACTATTTACATCTTAAAGGATGGCCACTCGTGATTCTTTATGCTTAACAATGCAATGGGATACTTTTTGAAAAAAAAGAAAAAAACGTGGGTGATAAAATCAACTGATTCTATTGGCGTGTCTCACCATTTCGCGGGACTTCGGCAAATGAGGTGAGAAGAATTTCTTCAGAAGAAGGAATAAAGGGGATGTGACTGCAAATACGGCGGAATCACCAGCTGTATTCCGCGCAACGTCCACAGGAAAAGATCTTCAAGAACAACACATGGCAAGCGCTTCGTTAAAATTTTCAGGTAGTTGCAAGCTTCTTCTTATTGGTGAAGCAGGAATAATTTTTCCGGAATTTCAGGATGCGACGGTTGTAAGCGGCTCTCCACAACTCAGAAAGTGACTATCTTTGGCAATCTTTTGTCGTACAAATCTCGGAGATCATTGATAATGCGGAATATGAATGATGAAAGATTGTTTATCAGATTGTTTTATCTTTTCTTTCCCCAGTTCTTAAAATCAATCTTACGACCATGAATAAAGTGGAAGACCAAATACTGATCAACGATATCGACCCTTCAGGTTGTTCCAAACTCTTGAAACCTCGCAAAATGACCCAGAACGTCGGTGCCACGGTTTGCTCCAATTGTGGTACCACTACCACTCCATTGTGGCGAAGAGCTCCTAATGGCGACACTATATGCAACGCTTGTGGTCTTTATCTGAAGGCCCGTAACAATATGCGTCCTATTCGACTCAAGAATTCTCAACGCAAACATGGAGAACTTATGACCAAGGATGTCTTCCCTACTACCGGAGGCTGCGGTAGCGGTAACGGCACAGGCTCATGTCCAGGAGGTGGTCAATGCAACGGCATGGGAGGCTCCTCATCGTGCGCTGGTTGTCCTGCTTTTAATCAGCACCAAGTCAACCGACAATTGCTAGTGTGTGCTAATTGTCAAGCCACCACGACTCCCTTGTGGCGACGAGATGAAGCGGGTAACACCATTTGCAATGCTTGCGGTCTATACTATAAGCTTCACGGTACCCATCGTCCAACCAGTATGAAGCGAAGTGTTATCAAGCGGCGAAAGCGGGTGATTGTCTATTGTCCTGAAAATGAGAACGAAAATACCGAACAACCTGTAACGACAGGAGTGACCGAGCTGTCGGACCCTAGCAAGCCGGTCAAGGTAAAGAAAGAAGCGGTTCCCACTGTCATGCGGAAACGGCGCGCCAAGAAAGATATCAGAAAAGAAACAGACGTCACTACCCCTACCTCAACAGTCGTACCTCAACATCGTGATTCCCCAGATATACCGGCCATTGAAGATTATATTACCCCTGTGCGAAAACGAGAGCCTGAAGTTCAAATACAGTATCCATCAGCAAATACTGAGTACTACCCGGTCAACCGATCACCATCACTACCTCTGCATTCATCCCCGCTCACACAACCCCTCCCTCCGTCTAACTACCGTCTACCCCGATTATCTGGTTCTTCTCCAAATTTGAAGTTCCAGGAAGAGAAGAATAACTTCGTCCTTCCTCTCCCTGTGATCCCGTCATTGCCGATCGCTTCAGACGATAATGCAAATTCGGTATCATTGCCACCTATCCTTCCCGAACGTCAATCCCCTCGATTGGAATCCGCATTTTCCCGTCGGTTATCCTCTTCTTCCGCCTCCTCTTCCACAACATCGTACTCATTACCACCTATTTCCTACTTTCCGACATCGCTATCCTCTCCTTTCTCTCAGACCTCTTCTTATTTCAATATCACCGGAAACTCCAACGGTTCGCCAAACCACGAATGGACCGAATTTGACAGTGCTTTTGAGCGCTTGGGCAGGCTGAGGCGGCAGATCAAGTCAGAACATATGACAGAATTATCGGCAGTGTCCCATTTGCTGTCAGATTTTGTCAACAAGGCCGAATCCATCGTTTTCCGTCAAAGAGGAAGTGCATCCCCGATATATAATTCAACACCTCGCTTATCATAAAACCTTGTTCATATACGACATTTAATTTTTGTGACTGGCCAAGACATATTTTTTGCATTACATTTCGTCATACATTTTGCGCCAAGGATCTCAAAAATAAAAATAAGACTAATGTTTTATCATTTCATCCCTTTTTTCTTTCTGCTTATCTTACTATATGGTGAGGGTTTACCAAGAAGAATTTCTGACTAAATGGATCTTTTAACGAACAAAGATGTTGATTCGACATCTGCTGCCAGGACGGATATCGATAGCAGCAGGAGTGAGATGGAGCAACTGGCGGTGGTTCTCTAACAAATTACTGGCGAGAGAAAATGCATAGTGTAAAAGGAGCAGCTGATTTGTGTGCGAAATTTGATGAATGTTGGAATTCCTGATAGAAATGATGAAAAACTTGGCAGCACCGCGAGTTTTGGAGGCTTTCTAGCGATTTATGTTCCTTGATCGCCATAACGTGAAAAAAGTCGTGAAGAAGAGAGGTGCATTTTCTGACAAGAAGAAGCAGAAGACCTCAAGCTGTGCCCTAGGTAACAGTCCGTCAGTGTCCGTGCTTGGCGCAAAGAATTGGGGCGAGCGAGCTCAGCAACCAAGCGATTCGGCTGCGGATGATCTCAAGCTACAACGGCGCAAGCTGGCAAGACTTCGAAGCACAAGAACAAGGCTTGAAACCCGGCGTACTGAAATCGCCAATTCATACCGTAAGGCGGAGCAAGCCCCCCTCCGAAGGACGCAAGCTCTACATGGAGTTGAAGGAAATCCGGTTGACGATCCACGCACTGTATTATTGCTATCAAAGAGAAGGAGTAAGCAGTGCGCATGACATTAATAGCAAGCTGGATTGGAGAAGCAGGACATGGCAGGATTGCATTTTCCGTACATGACCATGGTGATTTTAATCGATCATTATGTATTCGGTACCCCATTCGATACTTCAATGGCCGAGGGATCGATTTGGGTATTTTTTACATGCCCCCCCCCCTTTCTCTTGCCGTACATATGTAATATATGAAAGAACTTGTGTGTAGAGCAAAAAAAAACCAATAAGAATCCTTTGAGATTGCTTGACGCGTTTATTGCGATTGATGTGATCTTCCTATTTATACTTTAGTCTTGAGCCGAAATTTATAGTTATCAGTGAGCAGTCCTCGGTTGCAAGGGATATTTGTAAGGACGCATGTCCTGCGATGTGACAGCGTCAGCCGTATGAGTTGATCTCGATGATGGATCCTAGTTATGGGTGAAGAAAAGCTCAATCGGTGTTCTAATGGAGAAGCTCACCCAGAATCGAAACATCTCTAAATCCCCATCTTCATGTCTGGGAACACCAGTCTAGGATGAATAGTACAATAAGTAGAGGGTATACTATAATATCCATTTGTACATAGGGCATGTTCCTTTCCCAAGCTATCAACGATACCGCTGCCGCAGATACAGCAGATACACTTGATATGCGTACACTTGACGCACTTGAAACTCTTTCATCGTGCTCCGTTGGTTTATTCCTGTTACTTTATTGTTTTATTCGTTCATTTTTTATTTTTCTCCTTCTCACTTGATTCCCTTGGCAAAACGACAACCGAAAACTGTCAAGGCACCGATATTCATCGAAGACCATGAAGGAAGCCTTTCTGCAATTCGTTATTCAGTACAACATCAACATCGAATGCCTTTGCAAAGCCAATCCCACTATTATTGTCTCCTAATGCCCAAAACATCAGTCTGCCATGGGGCAAGGCGGGTCAAGTCTAGACTACAGGGCAAACAAGATGATAGCGGAAAGCAGGCTGCCAGTTGCTTTCACGGACAGCAATAAAACAAGGCAAGAGACCAGGTTCAGCGCTGTAAAACAGGGGCAGAGCAAGAGTTGGATTTCTTTATGTTGTGCTTTCATAAAATACTGTATTGTCTTTAGTTCATTCCATTCTCGTTGCAAGTACTCGATGGCCAGGAGGCCATCTTGAGAACCATTTTCATGCATTGGGGAACAACCATCAATCAGTAATGACGTAATGTTGTTTGAGAAACATCTTGCCGATCTCATGGATCCTGCCAATGTCTGCACCAACTGCTTTGGAAATACAGCATAAAGACAAAGGATGTTTTTGGAATAAAGGGCAACCTTAATCTTCAGGAAAACCAAGCATCCACTTGCCACAAGCAATCAACTGCCGCCATATGTCCCGATCGGCTGTACTTTTTACAGCACACAAAACAAACCAATCAGGATATTGTTGTCAGTAACATGCTCATATGGTAAGCCAAACAAAAGAACTTTAAAATACTCTGACATTATTAGATCCACCTTTCTCTAATTACGAATTTTTAATCACGACCACAACATGCCCCGAAAACTGACCGAAGATAAGCTTAACAGCTTCAAAGTGCATCTTTTGAATGGCAAAAGTCTGAAGAAAACCGCCGCTGCCTTGCGCTTGTCTGTCAGTGTCGTGTCGAAGCATGCGAAACAGCTACTCCCTGATCGCACTAATGCTGTTACTGGGCGGCCGTCAATTTTTTCCAAGACTACTGCCGCCTCTGTTCGTAGAAAAGTCCTCGCAGGGGAACTCAAGACCGCTGTTGAGGTGCACAAGTACTGCCTTGATCTCAGTATTGAATGCCGCTACTCGTCTGTCCGTGATCTGATGAAGGGGCTAGGGCTCGAGTCCCGCACCAAGCCGAAGAAATCTCTTCTTTGAGATGGTCTTGAATAACGTTTTGCAAGGCAATGAATACAATTGCAACTTTACTGACGATCAAAGTTATGCAAACGCGATGGAGCATCTCAAGTCGAATCACCAGCAGCATTTGTTGCGCGTTTGGAAGGCTTTTTCATTGAATACAGTAAGCGATATAACATCGGTACAATTTGAGGTACCTATCCCATGCTTCTCAAACCAGCTCAAGCCACCGTCAACAAACCGGGAAAACAAGCAAAGGTGATCGATCGCGCTCTGGACTACAACAGAAGGTTCAAGCGACGATGCTCACTCGGAGAGCCACTGTTAGCTTTGATAGCAAAGCTATCCTCATTCAAGTCTCAAGTATCTGCGTCGTTAAGTGAATGAGAACAAACTTTATCATCAAGCTTCGCGGAGAACCAATCGGTCGAATGGATTGGAGAGCTTGTCTTGCTACAGGCATCGGTTCGTCGTGGACTTTCAGAAGCGCGGTCTCCCTCAATGCTCATACTTTTCTGGTCCTTTCACGTGAACTTTTCATCTTTTTTTTTTCTTCCTATGACTTACCTTTAACTTCTTCAGCTCTATTTTTTTTTCTTTCCTTTTTTTCGGTTGCTTTGTATATTCCATCTTCAAGCGCCTTCTTTTTTTTTTCTCACTTGCCTCGCCTTTCTTCCAGCCTTTTTAATGCAAAGACACAGGGATAACCTATACCTGTGCACAAAGTATGACGCTCATATCAATGCCGAGATATGTTCCTCATTAGCGCCATCAAATACCACTTCGTGTACAAAGGCCAAAGACGGCACCATGGTCACTTTACGTGCGCAGCAGCAAGAAGTGGATGCGGGAGTGGACGAGCGAACAATAGACGAAACCCAGTTATACCAAGATGCTCGGTACAACTCTGATCTTGGAACATTCTGGCGTATATACTCTTTCTCCGAGCTGTCAAAAAACGATAAGTTCAAGCCTGTGTCCGAGCTGGCCAGCATGAATCTGGTTGTTGCAAGAATGCTGGCTATGGATGACCCAATGACGCAGTATGTCCAAAAATGCCAGATGCATACCTGTACGGCATACTGCATGCCGGAGGGTCAGCAGTTCTGTCGCTTTGGGATCGCTCCTTGCGAAGAGGTATACTGTGATAACGGTCGCTATTTTTACGAACGCGGAGGGGAAGATGCCATGATCAACCCGTATAACCCATTTCTCCTCCGCCTGGTTCAAAGCAACATGGACATCCATCTAACAGTGGTCCCCGGTCATTGTACTATCTCTGCAATACCTTACAAAGGCGGGCTCTTCCTTTGTAGTGACTTTGGACTCTGTAAGCGATCGGCAGAGCAAAGTCCAGCATTTTCGTCGAAAAAGGTTATTTTGAAGTCTTCCTCTCACTGACCAACAGACAAACGAGAAGTAACGCGGTCAGAGCGGCAACTAGAACATACCGCGAGCTGATCGAACTGTACGTCGTATCTTTTTGCCGTCGCACATCGTTCACGCCACCAGTTCTAGCAAACGCTCAGCAGATTGCATTGTATCAGGGGAAGCAGATATATACCGCATACATCAATAATATCAAAGACCGATTTGGACAGCATTTGCGACAATTGGTAAATCTGCGTCTCGATGTCAAAAACCAGCGTAACTTTCTCATTAACAATATGACCATGCCCATTTTTAAATAAAATATTGAACTCCTATTAAATGTAAAGGCTCGAAGTGAAGATGACTTTTTGAAAAAGGAATGTCGCTTTGACGGAAGAAAATCATAATTATTGCATTTCAACAGCAAGCGACGAAGTTTCTGGAAAATACGACGTAGACTTATGAGCGCGAATTTTATTTTGACCAAACGGCATTTATTTTGATTGGCCAGCGACATCAATTTGAACTATCTGCCACATTGCTTGTTAAAAAAGCGCTGGCGCAAGTTTTTTTTTTGCAAGGGAAAAAAAAAGGCCGCTTTACTCGCGGATCTAATTCTTCTTTCCTTTTTCCTTTTACTCTTTTTTTCTTTCTCTTTTTTTTTCTTCTTACTTTCCCCAACCTGAGTGGCATGCAGCGCGTATTATCGTCGGTAACTGTCGCTGGGAAGCCGATGATGTCGGTCATGGTCCGATCACGGTCATTTCACGATTATTCGAGCCATGAGATTCAGCCTTTGCGTGTGCTGCTACTTGGAAGTCCGGTATGACCAAATACTGAAAATTTTTATCGCAATTTTTCTCACGCTGTGCCACTTTTTGGAAGGGTTCCGGGAAAGGCACGCAATCAGAACGACTAAAAAAGAACTTTGGCGTGTCTCACTTGTCAAGCGGTGATATACTTCGTAAGAATATTAAGCATCACACCAAATGTGGACAAATTGCCGCAGAATATGTAGCCAAGGGCAAATTAGTACCGGATAACCTGTTGGTGAATCTCGTCAATACCGAACTGTCCCAGATGAATAATCATGTACGAGGATTTTTTTTTTTTTTTTAAAAAACCCATTAGTTGACCGCAACGTGAAAATGTGTCTAACTCTATTCTGTTTAGAATTGGCTTTTGGATGGATTCCCACGAACGCAACCTCAGGCTGAAGCCCTTGATAAGATGCTCAACAAATTGATGCAACCGCTGAATCTAGTAATCAATTTGGAAGTTCCTGAGGAAGTGATTTTGGAACGAATCATGGGTAAATGCGGGAATACACTGAAAGCGTGGAAAAAGGACATGCCGTTTCTTATACTTTTTGTGTTTTTATTGTAACAGATCGATGGGTGCATATTCCTTCCGGTCGTGTCTACAACTTGTCCTACAATCCACCTCGTGTTCCGGGCTTGGATGACCTGACAGGTGAGCCACTTTCGAAACGACCTGATGACTCTCCTGAGGTGTTCCATGTACGAATGCAACAACATAAAGCCATGACAGCACCACTGTTGAATCACTACCGCACCATTGCAGTGACTGTGTGTGGAAACACAAGCGACGAAATTTACCCGCAAATTGAGCGTGAGATTGTCAACCGATTGGGCGTTTTGCCCAGTAATCTTGTGATACCCTATGTATCATCCTTATCCGCTAAACGTTCCGGGAAAATTCGTCGTAAACAACAGAATCTGCATTGGAAAGACAAAAAACTCATGGAAGCAACAGCAGGCCAGTAAAGAAATGCCCATCCTTCATGAAACGATCAATTGTATATTTGACTATCCCCTTTTCTTCCTTCTCGCTATATTCATCTTCCTCCATTCATTCTCGCTTTCCCATCCTGTTCCATCTTATTCATCAAAGTGTAATGGCGTCATGAGGTTGATTTCATGGAAAATCGTTTTTTTTTAACGTCATTCTATCCTTGAATCCTCAAAAAAAAACAATACAAAATAATATAATGGTAATTTGATCGATACACAGTGGTTTGCTCGGCACATTGGCTTACAGATTTAAGAACGACATTTTGCATGGCGGTGGGTTAGAATGGGCTTCCCAAATTAAGGTTCAAATTTTTGGCAATGTTCTGTGATTCTTCCAACCAACTAACGTGCCGTGCTAAAGCACGTAATCCCGAGGAAGTCATTCCCGAAACAACGTTACGTAGAATTTTTCTCTGGTTAGTGTGAGAAAATTTTTAATGTTGGCTCAAAATTATATGCTTTCCGGCACGTAAGATGACGTGCCAGCATGAATGGTGTAACCACAGAGTGTTAAAGCAGTGCATGGCAATGGCCATACATGTATCAATTATCCAAAAACGTCGTACGTAACCTGGTTCCGCTCCCACGTTGACGTGACATAGACTTTATAGTGCGTTACTATTTCGTCTTATGCAGTCCCAAAGTCTTTTACAGCTGCTTTGCAGATGGCCAAGTTTTTTCTCGATTACATAGGAAGTTTGGATACTGTATGAAAAGCCGGCCTTCACTCATCCAACATGTTACAGCACACTGTTTGAATGTTTGCATTCAACTCTGCGAAAACAGACCTAAATAATCGTCTCAACTGACGTCCAAGGTAAAAACATTGAGGACTATCTGGTGTCATCCTCATATGCTTTGATGCTGTTCCATAGAATGTGCATATAGAGAAACGACTTCCAAATATGGCAAAAGGACTGTCGTTGTGAAGATCGATCGGTGACTCCTGTGGCTGTCAACTATTTTCTACCTACTCTGCACATCGCTTCTTCACCTTTCGTTGTGCACTTTCTCGCCTTCTGATGCTCGATTTATTACTCTCGATGTTCAGACGCTCATACATTGATTCTCGTTGGGTCACCTAACTAGCAATGATCTTCACTTCATCCACCGAATCTTAGTATAGTTATTCCGCAGTAAAAATACCCTTGAAACTGATTCCAATAACACAGTGAATAACATATCTAGTCTGACCTTTTCGACAATCCAAGTTGTTTCTTTATCTTTATCTCGATTGACCTTTCGACTAGGGCACAACAAGTGCTTGACTCTGAGATTTTTCCTTTTCCTTTCGATTATCAACAAAGGTTGTGCATGATCTGTTTATATGCCGAAATTAGTATCTCTGGTGCCCACGCAGCTATTATAACTGATCTTGCAATTTCCCAAAGCCGTTCAATACCATAACTTCGTTGATGTCCAAAAAAAAGTGGAAGAACTTAGAGAAATTTAAACTTTTTTCATGCAATTTTTGTCAATTTAAACGTTGCTAAACTCCTCTCACTCTCTATTTTACAGTGAAAGATTCATGCAGAATGATATGGCATTATATTATAATCTCTACTCAATATTAATCTTATCATATCATTAAACCGATGTTCCGTAGAATACGAAACATAGTTCTTTTGCGGATGTGTATTTACTAGCTTCAAAAATTTTGGGAATAGGTCGATGGGTCTATGTGAATCATTCGAAAACCATTACTATGAGGGATGATTTCAACAGAAATTCAGTAGAGTACAGAATGAATAAAAGTATGATATTATGGGAAGAGAGTTTACAGGATTTTAGAAAAAGGAAATATTGCGTTAAAATGGGAGAAATACATAATAAGGGGAATGATGTGCGTTAAAGAATGTTCAGCTACGATATAGCAGAGTGAAACTGACCGGTCATACGTGAATATGAAAATGAAAAAAATACAGTGCTAAAATGTGGAGGCCGTTCTCGATGAAACAGTTTCACCGGATTGAGTAATGCGTCGATTGGGATCGATCAACTCCCGTAACTGTTCAGGATCCTCGATATCACCCACAGACGACATCATTAAAATACAAGGGAGACAACATCCAGAACAGCAAACAAGCAAAGACTGGAAGGAAGAAGTAAAGAAATGAGAAGACCAATATCATATTCATCAGAAACGGATCTCTTACCAGGACAATAAAGACAGGCACAAAAACATGGGACATGGAAATATACCAATAACCGTCCAATCGTCGAGCAATCAGTCCAACCAATGCATAAAAGAGTGCACCCACGATAACAAAGGCAATAAAACCGAGCATAACGGTAGTCTTGCCTTGCTGAGCAATTTCAGGTTGCGGCAATCGTGAAAAGTAGCGGTAGCTAAGGAATAATTGGACGGCATACTTCACACCAACGAGATATAGAGGGATGAACACAACGGCCCATGAACAGGTGATGATTTGATCCACACGTAATGCGATGAGGATGAAAAGCACGACTCGTAATACCAGCAGCCAGAATTGCTTGAAGAATAAGGTACACAGGTGCTTGATAAGATGCTCCTGATGAATCTGGGCCAACACTGTGCATGCAACGGCGAACTCGATGAGAGAAAGCACAAAATGAAGTCCCTCCAACACGAAATACGGAATAAATACAACTGCAGCGGACCACTGTACACGGTTCTGCAGCTTGAGCACGATGAAAATTTGGAACAAGATGATGAGGAATAGGTACACAGTGTAAATAGTTCGACGAAGCACTCGCATACGTCGTTTGGTCATTTTACGTGCAGCTCGCTTATTCTCGTCGTCGTCATCGCCCGCATCATCCTCCTCGTCGAGCTCGTCGTCGTCTTTGGAACTAAACAATTGTCGCAGTGCTCCAAAAAACATAACAACGTCGATGATCCACAAAGGAATCCAGACCACGGCCCAATCCCACTGAACGATACCGTCCACTTTGACAGTCAGGAACGCAAAGAAAATAATACCCAGTGCAAATACCAAGGCTATCATCATGAAAAACGTGCACAACATGGACTCAATTTCGGGATCGAAGAGAGGACTGGCCATGGTGCCCATCATTTGTAATCCAAGTTCACCATATCGATCGTATACGCGCCGTTTTTGTTCATCGCTGAGCACCTAGAAAATTGTGCAAATATTAGCGTCAGAAACCGGTTGTAAGATCACTTCCTCGCGCAGCTGTCCTCATCGCATTCGACTGTATCTTACTTCATAAGCGTGACTGATATCTTTGAACTGTAAATATAACAGCAGTTAGCCGACATGGTCGTCATTGGGAAATTACATATTTGGGGTCACCTGTTCAGCGCTGTCCGGATTCTTGTCTGGATGGTACCGCAGCGCCAAGCGACGATAAGCCTAACGTCAAGGATTGCATGAGCTCATGCAAGTTAATAGATTTATAAAGCTGTGGCTTGCCTTTTTTATCTCTTCTGGAGTCGCTGTTTTCTGTATCCCCAGAACATCATACAAAGCAGTGGTATTTCGGTCCATGGGCAGTAATGCAAGTATGAAAAAGCACACTTGAAAAATTGTTTTTTTTTGATTTTTTCTTTTTGTTCATGTCAGGAAAAATTGGATCTCCGTAAAAGATGGATTCTACCCAGATCAAACCTCCCCTTCTTCAGCCCCTCTCTCAAAATCCCTATAGTTGCTCCTACTATTCACATACTCTAATCTACAAAAATTCTTTTTTCCAAAGCTGGGAATTCTTCAAAGAACACCTATAACACACAAGCATTGCAATGGTGAGTCTAAGCAATCTACGTCATCCACTGATAAAACGCGTTCAATGTCGTACCTTGAACAGATTAATAGCATGAGGGACATCATCCGTTCCACCAACTTCGCGAATCGAATGCATGCTGAGCTGGGGGTTACCAATATCCACTGTACGGAGCCCAAGCTTAGCACTCAACATGGGGCCGATGGTGGATCCACAAGACGAATCATTGCGAACGACGAATTCCTATTCATTGACAGTCAACACTGTCTGTTCCAATATACAACCGTAGCAACGAATGCGTTTCGTTTTACCTGAATAGGGATGTTGTGTTTCTTGGCTAATTCTTTGAGTACCAGACTCGTCATGGCTGTCGTGGCATAACGCTATATTAAGTGATTCATTAGAGTCCGATTATCCGACCGTGTCACGCGTGACGACGGAATGCAGGCCTACCTGATTTGCGTTCACCTTGATCACGGTGCCTTTATGCATTTCAGGGCGATGGTTCTCTTCGTGCTTGTCCGCATAATTGGGATGAATAGCATGAGCCATGTCGGCGCTGACCAAAATACTCTTGTGCATGGCCTCCTCGAAAGCCGTAGCCGAGACCTTCTCGTCTCCCAACTCTGTGGCAACCAAACGTTGCAACGTGGAGGGCAAAAGGTTGGAATCAGCACCATGAGCCGTCAAACTTCCAATTTCTTCATTATCGAACAAAGCCACCAAGCGAATGTTGGTGTCATTCGCAATATCCTGAGCTTCAACAAGAGCCTTGATCGAACAGAAGGACATTTCAAGGTTGTCAAGACGAGGCGAGAAGATAAATTCGTTGCACGCACCGCCAATGGTAGACTTTTGAGTATCGTAAAGTGCCAATTCGAAATCACGAATCTGCCGAGCTAAAAAACCAATCGTCAGCATATGCGTCCAGACAAGGATCTGACAGCCAAAAAGATCACTTACGCTTAACCTTCATCTCATCGGCAAGGACATGAACCAGCAATGGATGGTGCAATGCCTCTGCTTCCGAGTCGCCAGCCTTGTCGAATCCATTCAATGCCCTGTGAGTATCAATACATTGAGTACTTGTCGTTTCCAATGATGCATCATCACAGAATGCCTTACGATTTGGTGGCAGTAGCCAAAATGGGCGCCAATTGCGTTTCTTTGTTAAAGTTGAACTGGGTAAAAAACACGTCAGCGCAATGCCTGATCCGTCATATGATGGACTTGGTCACTTACGCCATCGTTCGCTGTACGATCCAAATGAATGGCGAGCGTAGGGATACGCAACAAAGGACGATCCACTTTGACCAAAGTGTGCTTGAAGGTACCATCTTCTTGCTCGACCAAGACACGACCAGCGACACTGAGATCTCTGTCAAACCAGGTATGCCAGATACCACCACCATACAATTGCACGCCAACTTCGAGATATCCGGATTTTTCTTTCTTGGAAATAGGCTTCAGTTTCAGGCAGGGTGAATCGGTGTGGGCACCGAGAATAGAAAAACCATTCCCAGGCTTATACGCTCCACCGACGGTAAAACCAACGATGGAGGAGCCATTGCGAGTAAAGAAGTATTTGCCATTACGCTCAATGGTGCCGTTCCAGCTATCACGTTCTTTGATTTCCTTGAAGCCAGCCTATACGATTTTTGTCCAAGATTTAGAACCAATGTTTCCACTTGAACTTGAAAGAACGCTTACCTTGCGCAATCGCTCAGCAGCTTCGTGCGTGGCATGGAAGGGAGAAGGGGACGCGTTTACGAAATCGAGGAATTCACGAGCTAAATCAACATGTGAGTGGTCGTGTCGGTCGACCGCACAAAACGGAATCTACCTTCTTCAGGAACGCTAGGATTAAACTATTCAAATACAATTAGATCAAGCATAAGTATTATAGTGAGACAGATATTCCTACCATTGCAGGAATGAAGATAGTGAAAGAGAATGGAACACAGGCGATAATGATTTTTCACACGCAAAAATGTCTGACTGCAACGCCGGGGTTACATTTTCCCGGCTGTACGTTGCTTTGTGCCACATAGAATACATGCCAAATAAATGTAAAGCCTTGGCTCCCCATCGTTGACAACTAACAGGAGCGTTGCGGTTAGTTCATGATTAGGAATCACATTTTAAGATCTAGATAAAGAGCTCTTCGATAGCCAAGAAATCAAATTCAATTCCCTCAATTGACCATGAACTCTATTCTCTGTATGTTATACATTGATATTTAGTTCCTTTTTTTCTCCTCGATCTAGTGAATTCATGCCATTTTTTGCAGTATGTACAAATAAACATCATAACCGCCAATGCCAATGGGTATAATAGCCTGTGTATGCCACATTGCTACACACCAAGGATAAGCGAGAACACGGTTCATCAACTTTTGCCCTTGCGTCACCACCAATGCTTTCCCACCAACGCGCAGTACGTTTCCCATTTGACGTACAAATTTTGGATACAACTGTAAATTACCATGAGTACCTAACATCAACTTTTGGTCTTCAAAAAATATCTTTACCTTTTGAATCTGCGCATACGTGCTCTCCCGCAAACCCCACGGCCAGTCTAATCAGGAAGGGTTGAGCGATCCATTCTGTCCATCAAAATGAGCTCCCACTACGTACCTGATACAACAGTGTCAATGCAACCATCTCGGAAATGTAATCGTCGGCCATCGCCCAGCATAAGCTCGACATTTTTCAAATTTGCATGTTCCATGTTTCCTTTGGCCTTCATACACAACGTCTTTGGATGGACTGTGAAAATATAATGTCAAACAAAGATGTAAAAACTGGTATCCATTCCCCTGAAATTACCTTCACTACCGATCCACAAAGTATTTGGATATTTTGAAGCACCTTCTATAGGGATGGTCCCTGTGCCGCAACACATATCAAGAATTAGTTGTCCGGGTTTTGGGTCGGCCAGCCTTGTAAGACAATGAGCAATGCACGGATTCAAGCTTGTTCTTCCAAGGTGAACGCGATTGCGATATTTTGGATCCGGTACAGGAACGTTCAATCCCATGAGCAAAGTAGGCTCGCATTCTGAAGAGGGCTTTGCTGCGTCAACGTCAGTCTCTGACCGGAACCATATCCCCACAACATCCACATTATACTGAGTCAGATTGACTTTCCAGTCGGCATAGTGTTCACTGAAAGCATATCCAATCCAACCAGCCAATTCTTGCGATTTTCCACTATGCTTTAATTGTCCCTTGTAGAATGTAGCTCGGAAAGAGGGTGTAGACGGGAGATCAAGTATGGCCAACGCTGAGGCCCATGGTGTTGATCTGGTCGCATTGGCAACGAATTCGTAGGTCTCGTCGGTGTTGGCAAAAGTCGACGCAGGAATTTTGGATTCAGAGAGAATAAGAGTGACCTTGTCTACGCTGAGAAATCGCGACGTTTTCAATGCTTCAATCAAAGCCTCGAGATTGACGGCACTGCATCGCAAATGGACTCGGCCAGTTTTAGGTGGAGCATCGAATGAATTGTTGGTGCATTGTCCGGCAAGCCCTTCTTTAATATCATCCACAGCCACAAATTCCAAGCCTAACATTTGCCGTTTAAATATCATTGTAAATCTTTCATCGCTCACATTGTTTACCTTCAGGTACGTGGAATAAAACGTTTACCGAGATGAGATCTGACATGATCAGTTCAGATCGACTTTGTTGATTCCTTTCAGTGTCAGAAAAAAAGTAGCTTAATCTGAAAAGGTAAAAAAATTGTGACTCCCAAATCGGGGCGATCAAGGTTATGCTTCAAAGTGCCCGCATTGCCTGAACTTGTGCTCCGCGTTTCCTTGACTTGCTATCTTACATTACCTTGACTTGTGAAAAGCCTTCCACAACTTACGCGAAGTAAAAATCAGCTGTGTTGTCCGCATTTATTCGACGTAAACCGAAGACAGAATAAAAAAAAAAAAAGAAGAGATTTTATTCAAGAACAAAAGGATTGAAGAACGATTAAATACGCTTTGATTGACTATATTCCTAGTCCTGATTCACCGGATACATCTTTTCCAACGTCTGCTCAAGGTGCTGGTCATGTGATAAAGAGGTGCAGGTTGCCTTTTTCTTCATTTCTTCGCAGAGCACATCGATATCGAATTCCTCGTAGCGAGGATGCTCCATTAGCTTTTCCCATGTCTTTGTTATTGAAGGTGGCTCCTCAGCTTTGTTCGCGGATGCTTGATTGCATTCGGTCGATGGCTGAACTTGTTTGCTGTCCAAAGGCGTGGATTGAATGTCCTTGAAGGTGCTGTTGTTCAGGGCATAGTCATTGAATTGATTCCAGTTATCGTCAAAGACCAGCGGCACCGGTGTTTCGGTATATATGGAATTGGCTAGCGGATCGCCATAATTGAGGAGAGCCTCTGGTTTGTTATCGTAATTGATCTCAGCCCCCGAATGAACCAAACCACTGGTACCAAGCAACTGATCTGCGTCGTATGCAAACGCATTCAAAGCATTGGTACTGTCGCGATCAAAGCCCAGTAACTCTGCAGAGAAACCGGTAGAGAACGATGATGTTGACCCAGCACGGTAGGTTTCGGGTGTGTCGCTTTTGGACGAATTCGGGCTGTCGTGTGTATAGTAAGGAGACGAAAACGAGTCGGAATCTGGAGATGAAAATAGTGGTTCGACGGAAGATTTCATTAATTTCTGCGGACGCACATTGGTCTGATCGACGAGTTCACCGAGCTTCGACAAAGGGAAATCAAAAGAAGCCGCGGCTCCATTGAGAATGGCATTTTCAGCCTGCAGTCGTTTGATAACGTCTTTAAGTTTTTCGTTCTCCTTTTTCAGTTGTTCGGACGGCGGTTCGGATGCTCGTTTCTCCAGTTCTTTTATCCGGTCTTCCAGCTCCTTCACTCGATTCTCCCTACGCTCACGAAACGCTCGTTGAGCTGCTCGGTTTTGAGCTTTACGTTTGGATTTTGGATCATCCGCAACCTATGGATGGACATAAATATGAGAGCACACACTGCGAGGGCAAACCAACATGATCTTACCTCTGTTTCCTTTTCAACCAATGGCTTTCTGCCAGGTTTTCTGGATTTATATGCTAAAGAGTTTTTCTCTGTTTCGTATATCTCATAATGTCACTATCAGTCAATTCTTGAAATGCAATGGCAGAAACTCACCTTTACTAGAGGTTGTTCCGTTATCGCTCGATGCACTGCCACTGTCAGCTAAAGAAGGTCGTAAGTATGGGTCTGCTGATTCGTTGTACTGAGTTCTGGCTTACGAGAATCTTTTGTAAAGTCGCCATTGTCTAGTGAATCGTACTTCCGTTTCTCAATTTCATGCAGAGAGACGGCACTCTGAGAATCGTTTGAAGGAGGCACGCCGGCTGACTTTGCCGCAGTCAATGCTGAAAGCAACAGCGCTTGAACGTCAGGATTATCTTTCTGTTGCCAGATACCACCGGTATCGCCACTTCGTAAGGTGGCTAGTATATGATCTAAAGCGGTATTTCCTTCCATAGTGATATTGTGTTCAAAGCGCACAAATTGCATTCAGTGTCAATGACTCCTGCGGGTGTTGATATGATCTGAAACGCAAGTCACACAAAAATGAACCAATCGCATTAGTGAGACCAACCATATAAAAGATGACCTGCTGTCCAAAAACAAATGCTGCCTCTGAACTAGAATTACGAAAACCCTCTAGTCTGCTTTTCACGGAAATCCCCGTTTGAAAAAAAAAAAAATCAAACAAAGCAGCTCATTAAAATACCATAAAAATAAGATTTTTAGTTTGCATGTCAGGAAAGATGCACTTTCTACAATACAGACTGACAGTTATTTGATCTGTGTCTCTGTATAGCGCCAAAGTGATCTATTGGCCATTTTTCTCTTGAGCAGACGTGCCGCAGAGCTGCTGCGGATTAAAAATTGACAGCCATTAGGAAATGATTGTACCTTGATGAGTTGGAAGTTCAATGCAACAGTTAAAATACGTCTAGTAGGAAATGCAGGCTCTTCTAAAACTTTGTTTTCGTTCTTTTTTTGAGTATACTAATTAGAGTGAGGATAAGAAAGGAACAAAAACGGACAAAACACAAGAAAAATGGAATGAAGAAAGGAAAAATTAGAATAGAAGAAAAAAAAATAAACACAACACAAAAAAACAGTGAAAGAAACGATGACAAGTTTATGCGGCCTTGGAGGGGGCAGCGGGAGGTTGGTATACACCGAATCGATAATCCAAATCCAATAACATTTTCAGACCATTTCTTGATCGCAGAGCGCCAATGTCTTTCATTTCTTCGGTTTCTTGCTTGACTTGACCCGAGTGTTTAGGAGTCGATCCAGGGAGAGGGAAAGCTTGATGCAAAAGTTCATAGACCGTCAAGGTCACACCAAATTGAGGAGACGATCGGAAGATTCTGGCTGGACCACCCTTGAAGAAGGCTCGGAAACCTTCTTCGTGCCAGATCTTGCGAGCAGCGTCGGTAATACCGTTGTAAGTGGTTTGGCCCTTGCGAGCTTCGACCTGAAGACGTGTCTTGATCACATCCGCAGGAGTGGTAAAGTAAGCAGCGGGCATACCGGCAATCGCACCAGCCATCAAAAGCTCTGAAATAGCAAGTTTGTGATCGGGACCTTCCTTGAACAAATCCTTCTTCAAGTGGGCATACGCAGGGAAGTAGATGGCCGAGAAAGGAACGTCTCTCAAAAGACATGCACTCACACCCTTGTACAAGCCAACAATACCGAGATTTTTCACAATCCAGATAGCCGATCGACGAGGTACACCCGTGTTCTTGGCTTGTTCACCTTGAATCTGAAGACGAATCTTGACAATTTCCAAAGGATTGGTGAAGATCTATTTTAAGCAACCAATCATCCAGCTAAATTAGTTCACCGTCGATCGAAAATACGAAAGTGGCCCATCGATCGCATGGATCCACCCTGAGATAGACACCATCAGCGATCGACATCCGGCCTGAAACCGGTTGCCCATAGCAACAGTGAGAGAGAAAACAAAAACTTACCACTTGCGAACCGCCTGCGGCTGCACCGCCAACCATTTCTTGCCAAAACTTGATCTCGCCCGTCTCCTTGTTGATAAATTTACCGCGAACAAAATCGTTTACCGTAAGCTTGATCGCTTTCTCAGGAGCCACGCCCTAGTAAGCCGCAAGGTGAATCCACCGTACACAGAATCACATCATCATACAACTGTCTGTACTTACCACCAGCTGAGGACCCAAGCCACGGTATAAACCGAGGAAACCCTCGTTTTTCAAAACTTTCTTGAAACAGTCCAAGCTGTTCTTGTATAACAATTCTCCTACCACCTTGGAACGCTGGTTTTGCATACGGGTCTTGACCAGATCGATAGGATACACTGCGGTAGCGCCTACAGCACCGGCAATGGAACCCAAAGTAAACGCATACATGTTCTCTACGACACTCCACAAAAAGCCCGTCTTCTTGGGCGCAATATCGTGAGGCACTTCAGGCAACTGAGCAGGGGCTCTCCAGCGAGGGTCCAAAATTTTGCCAAAATCGTCCAAAGAAAGTCGTCCCGAAGCGTTATCAACGCCAGCAAAATGGAAAATGATATCGGCTTCCATGGGCGTAAACAAGGTGTAACGGCTGGTTTGAGCAGCCTGCATGAGGAAATCGGCCTTGGTAATGGTCTTTTCGGGGTTGTTTTCGATGGCACGACGGATCACGAGTTCGACCATATCAATGTTGCGGATGACGTTGTGGAACGCAACCACGTTGGAGAAACTGATATTGGTGCCGCTGCCAGCGTACAGGTTGCAAAGGGTAGGAAGGTGATCGATAACATGGTCGGACAGCTTGTGTTTGGCAATATCCAAAATGATACGCTTGAAATCTTCTGGTTCAATATAACCTGATTGATTCTTATCGTAGTGCTTGAATTCCTGACGAAGACGCTCGCCTTGCAGACCCTTGAGCAGCTGGGTGAACTCCTCATAGGTCAACTCGTGATGACCTTCCTTGTTACCAATGTACAATTTTAACCAGTCACAGTCGAAATCGAATGGAACAGCGTCTCCTGGCAAGTTGCTGGACAGCACACTTTTGAACTGGTCAAAAGTGATCTTCCCGGTCCCCTTGACGTCGAACACTCGAAACGCGATCTCATACTCCGCATCAGGTTTAGAAAGAAGATTCTGAAAGATGACGAAATCGTTGAACGAAATGAGACCTTTGGCCGACTTGTTGGCAACCTTGTACAAGAGCCCAAACTGTTCTCGTTGAATCTTCTTAAAGTCTTCCCCGGGAGCCACAGCGGCCAAGAAGTCGTCCTTGGTCATGAACTTATCCTCGTCCTTGGTAACGGAAGCATGCTTTTGAAATAGTTGGCGATACATATCGGAGATGGCAATGTTTCCTTCGGTTAAGGACGCCATGGTGAAGTGGGAGGATCGGGTAAAGAAAGAGAAAGAGAACGACGAAAGAGAAGAAGGAACAGGTGGAGAAAAAAGAGAATCCCCAGGGGGACTGCTGGTAGGTGGAGAGAGCCGGAGATGTCGGAAGAACAGGATAGGATGAATGCCCAATCAAACTCAGTTTCCGTTAGTTGCACCGCCCCTGTCAATTACATCGATTTTTTTTTTTTTTTTTGTTTCTGTCCTTCTTTTTTCATTTTCCTTTCGGTCAGCAGCACGATGACTCCGCAATGAAAATTAAACTGAAAAAATAAACCACGTGAATTTCCTTGGTAACTGAACCTCTGCTACGCTTATTTATATGTTCACAGTTCGGCAGACTGGCAAGTGCACCCACGGATGAAGGAGCGTAGATCTGCAATTTGTTACACCAAAGAAATCTAATAACTGATAAACCATTTTTTGCGTGGATTTCTTACTCATTATCTCTCCATGAACAATGCGGTGTTTTAATAGGATCACACCAATGACTAACAACTTCCATCGCGTGAAAGGAAATCCTGAATCCGTCCTTTCCCGCTGACTACAAGAATAATCTTATCTACGATGATAACTCCATGGTTATTGTTACATTCGGTAACCCATTTTTATCACCAAGTTTTACTTCGTCTTCTTTACTATTCTACGTGGTATCCATCACCCTTTATTGATGTGTTTTCTGCCACATCTCATCCCACTTTTTCATTTTCGGAGTAAAGCGTATGATCATCGTCTGATCCCCGGGAAAAATCAAGGGAAAAATCAAGGATTTCTCAAGATCGAACAGGTGAACACAAGGAAAACTTTGTTTTTTTCACCCATATACAGCAAAAAGTCTCAGTGGACGACGATATTTGCACTTGCTCTTTGACGCTTGCAACTATTTCAGTTCTATCCTCTTTGCATTACTACAAAAACAATGACAACGGATTCGGAAAGCTGTTCAGAAGGGTGAACTCCGGTTTCATCCCATCTTTCACGGCAGTCACCAGCGATTACTTCTTGGCCAACCCAAATGGGCAACCAATTACTGCACTATCACGTTTTGTGCTTTGAGTATAATTCTCAGTTTTTAGACATCATGTGCCGGTATATCTTATGCGTATTCAGGGCAGTTTCGGTATGCATGGATTGGGAACAATTGGGAAAACAAAAGAGTGCCAAGCGGGGAAATTACAAAGTCAAAATTGCATCACATGCATTTTATCCCACCTTCCATATCAGGTTAATTGAGTGTGCTTTCATATGTTTGCTGGATTTCATTTGAGCCACGCCTAGCAGGCACATCTTGGCGATCGCTGCTAAAGAACTGCCGTTGCCGAGGTTTCTCCACTTTTTTTTTTCGCCACGTAAGGACAATGGCAAATGTTTCAGGTGAAACCTGTGTTCCTCGGAATATGATCCACTGCGTAATCAATGGTATAGTTATGATGCATTATCAAGGTTCCTTTCTTGATTGAGAGTAAAGTCATAAGCCGGGTCTCTCGGATAAGTATCCATTTTTCTCATACTGAGATAAGTTGCAAAGGGCCCTTTCAAGCGACCACAGTTCTATGAGTTATCAACGAAGCTACCCCCAAACATATACAGGGGGCGACTCTATTGAAAAAAAGCCATAATCCGGAAATCGCGAACTAGCGTATCGTATCCAGTGCAGCAGGGTGGTAGAGTGCCTTGTTTTTTTTTTGATGATTTGAAAATTCATTGTATGCAGGTGCATTTCTAAGCCACCAACGCTTATATCCAATAAGAATGACCGTTTTAGCAGCCAATCACTGTTCGTCTACCGAAAGAATTGGTGCCCAGCCGAACGGATAACACAGCACACCCATAAGCAGCGCTTAGGTCTTCACCACTGCCAACATTCAAAGGAGTACACACCCATTATTCAAGATGGACGACGATTTTCCCTCCGTAATAAACAAACGAATAATTTCCGTTATTGTCAAAGAAACTGGCTTTCAGGCAATACAACCCGCCGCTCTCGAAGCGTTGGAGGATCTTTTCGGCTCCTGTAAGTCCCAGATTCACGTCCATTGGTAGCGATCGAAACCGCTCACCGTCTTTTTGATTCAGATTTACAGAAACTTTTATATAATACACACTCATACGCCACCCTTGCCAACCACTCCAAACCTAATTATCACGATATCACTCGAGCGCTGGAAGAATTAGGAGTACAAAACAGCGACTTCCAAGCATACCTTGACAAATATTTAGCCGCACCATCACTCGGTAATGCCAACTTTGGGCTCACGTCCAATGTGAATTGAAGCTGACCTATTATTAGACGCAAGCAGGAAACCTATCAAAACAGAGAAATCGCAGATATCGACCGTAGAGAAGATACCAGAATTCTTACCTTCAGACGATGATGAAGAGGATTCCGCTGACGAAAAGGAAGGCATTCCTTCTTATGTACCACAGCATTTCCCACGATTCCCTAGCAGACATTCCTTCAGACAAACTCCTGTAAGCTTACGAAACTTAGGCAAGATTAAAGTAGCGGTATTCACTATGTTCCTTAGGTTTATATACAACGACCTGATGATCCGCAAAAAGTGCGAGAGCTCAACTCTCAACAATCACGCACCGTCGAAGAAAACCTCAAACGACTCATGGCCGCGGAAAATAAGATCGCTTTCAAGTCTAGCACAGAATCTGTAGATTCACCAAGCTTGATGATGCCTATCGTGAACTATGAAGTCGCCATGCAACGAAGGAAACGAGTGAAACAAGTGGATTTCGCAAGTTACAGTCGCAAAACATCAGAATCACCTATTGCTACAAATGATATGAAAGAACAGGCGAAACGCCAAAAAGTATAAATGTAAATATGCAACCATCTGTTTTAGGGTGACTTGACTAATGATGGGAACAATCATGAGGGATGGGTCGTCTAGAAATATTTTTATGCATAAGAGATACGATCTCATAATTCGGGATGAAAACGGCACACATGAGATGAAGTGTTGCTTACAAGGCGTTTGTTTACTGGACAATGTGGAATACGATGATCAGTTTCTTGGCGAGATTATTGTCAGGCCAAAATGAGGAAACCCTATTCGGCACAGATTGGTGTGAGCTCAGTCTCCAATCCAGAAATGCCACATTTTTCACCTGAAATATTGACAATGTTGTTGCTATGTCTAGCAGCATCGACACAATCGAAAGACACTATAAATAACCAAACTCATGATTGTTGATAATCTGCTAAATTGAAGCGAAAAAATGAGCGGATACATTATATTATAACATGCGTTTATAGCCTTTTTTTACAGCAACAACACAATAATAAAGCACTAGGAAATCATGATCTTGACACCCATGATGATACAGGCAAGGGATACGTATGGACTCAGCCGTTCCCCTATACGCGCTGCTTTCCAGAATAAACCCAATACGCTAAATAATCGAGTTTAGTTTGGTCTCACCAGGTGAAAAATAGATTTGCTTTCAATCGGCTTACCCAGTTTTGTTACCATCGAGCAGTGATGGCGCTTGTGCTCTAACATATGTACAAGTGCAAATGAGTAGCAGGATAATCAGTAACAGCGATTCAAAGTTGAAGATAGCCGACTATTAGGATAATATTGGGTTAATCCACTTCATCAATGTGCAATTTCGTATTCAGAGTTCTTACCATTGCTTCTCACTTGGGAAAGAGTTCACGCAACCAACCGTTTCTCCCAAACGAAGGACTTGTGCTGACATTTAAATGTCCGATTGTTCCAGACAGACTTCATGCTTGCGTGTGACAAGCAAGTCCTTGATCAGCTTTTTTTTTTTCGCAGAGAATGGAGCCCACTATGTTTCTTTGGTTTTTTTTTATCTTTGAAGACGCATAAGGCATGCTACAGACAAGTTAGAATTTATTCATTAGAGCTTACTCAAAAGCTGTTCTTTACTTATAAGAGAGGATCGTTTCGTCACACCTTTTATCTACATATATAATGGCAAGAATATAAGCCATGAACGATTTTTATAACAAAACAGCGGCCAATATGTTTGTGCAGTATGCATGAACCAAAGCTAAACAAGAATAATCGCATTGAATTCTTTTTAATCAATTTCACAGAGTCCAAGTGGCCTATGCCCAGTCGAATAATCTGATAGAGCTCGGGCAACCACGACTGTAATAACGCATCACCAAAACACTATTGAACCCCTTTCTGCGAATACATCTAGTTTGCTTTTTATTTATGAATACATGTGAGGGAAGCATTTATTGCTTCTTTGAATCTCTCTTGGAATAGATCATGGCGGTGAAGGGTCTAGAAGATTCCATTCAGTTAGTTAAGAGCACCATCATTATAAAATTCAGTACTTACTCCTCATAACGCAAAGCAATTTTGTACAAAATGAAGACAACATTGGTGAGGAAGAGACCTGCAGGGCTGCCGTACCTAATTGAAAAAGATGCAATATCAGCGCGATCGTATCAAAAGTTGCGTATTTATCACAATCACGTACCATAAGGCAGTTGCAAGGAAGCTGAGAGTGGAACCAATGTACATTGGGTTGTCGCACACATTGAAAGGGAAGCCAGTAACTCTGTGGTCCATCAAGATACCGAAGTAATCACCTAATACGAGTTTCTGCCATCAGCCCCGGTGTGTCGGCCATCAAAAAAGTTGCATAGTCCATTTCCCTTACCCAAGTACGTGCCCGTGACACCCAAGGCCCACATTGAAGATAATACCAACACATTTCCGGTCAAGAACAAAGCCGCCGCAAGGAGCTGAGCGGGAGCGGACAAGAGCAAAGCACTGGTTGGCTGGTGTTCTAACGCGGTCTTGTACCTGCAAATACACACCGTGAGCAGTGGTTCCACTGGAACAGCATGCCTTTCCAATGTCGTTACTTACAAGTAATCACGAATAATACCGAGGGAGAAAATGGTGATTGCTAATCCGTAGCATCCAAGTCGAGGATTACCGCCAGCAAGTTTGGTAAGGATTTTGCTACGATATTCTAAGGACAATTTGCTTGAATACTTTGCTGGCTACCGTACGCTTTATACACATATCATCCCGGTCCTTACCTGATCTCGCCGCTATATTCCAAAAGATAGGATTGAATAGGATACTCGCAAGCGAAATATACAAAGAAGGTTGACTCGCGTCGATATACGTCATGATCGGTAAAAGCGGAAAGAGTTTGGTCCTTACGGCTCAAACCCCAAGAAAAACCCAGCTATTTCAAGCCCGTAATTCATGGCGGAACTTGAAAAAGATCTCATCTCTGGAATACAAACGACGACTTGCCGGCGAATTGAATGGGGGCATCACAAAGATGCCCGAATAAACCAATAAAAAATAGTTGGGGTGCATGGATAATATGGAAGAAGGTGTTTGAATTGTCTGCATTGCGGCCATCAGGAACCGACAATCACATGCTTTAGAGCTGGGCCCTGGTATTGCCCTTTCCATTACATCACGCTTGCCAAAATGTTGTAATCCCGATAAATTTGTTGACTTCCCTAATGTCTTTTTCATCTTTCAGTTCATTTTCTCGGCAAATGAAGAAATAAATAATTGCAAGGAAGCAGAAATCATGACTTGGTCCTTTATTGCTAGGAGTGAGGTGGATCTTCCCATATTACTTTGGCCTTGCAGAATACCTGTGTAATTCCAATGGGGAAATTCGCTGAAACTGACGACTTTTGTTCATCAAAAAGAAGAGGCCATCCTCATGAGGATGACTTCTATTTCCGATAAAGTGTATAATACGAGTTGAAAGATAGTTTAACGAGCCATGCATTACGTCTGTAATAAAGTTATGTGCACCTATGTATCCGATCAGCCACACAAGAACACTTGAATAAAGACATCCCGCTCGATCTCTCTCTTAACAGTATCTGAGACCTACTTCATGCAGCTATTTCATGTGATGAGGCTCCACTCTCTTATCAAAGGATAAATATGACATGAAGCGATGAGAAAAGACACATGGCGTTTTTTCCTTCTTCGTTATTGGACAATAAAGCTTTTAGATACAGTACGAGGAATCGCCTCTTTTTCCATGTCTATAAAATACGACGCATCTCCCATCCATTTTATTTCCTTTTCATCGCACATCTATTTCTTTTTCTTGCGCAAGACCATCCATCCATCGCGCCATACATTTTTTTATTGCTTATTGTTATCAATATTTGCTCAAATCACCCATCCTGTACGTATACTCATGATGACCACAACTGTGATATCAAAACGACTAAACCTCTACATATAGCTTGCGCGCCGAAAACCTTTTTTTTTTTTTTTTGGTGGCCAACAAAGAAACTTTTTTTTTGAAAGGTAATTTATTTGTGCTCAAGTGTCCTTTCTTTTTGAATGTTATGCCGAATCACTCACTTGCTTTGTGTGCTTCTTACTGTATATTCAAAATAACTGACGAACAAAGCCCATGCCTGGCGGTGTGTGGTGGCGGCTCCCGCAATGCAGTGACAACAGTTTTTTGTAAGTGAAAACAAAAGAGTAAGTAAAGCATAAAGAAACAAAAACACAACCTTACCAGCTTTGCGCCTTTTGTCCGCACATGTACCTACAGAACTGAGAGGACAAAAGATATCTCGGAGGCGTCTTCAGAAGGTTCAACAATGACGCTAACCTGATTCGTCAAGTTGGCTTGACCGAGTATAAGCAAAAAGCTACTTTGCTACATACAAATCGGCTCATCTAAGAGATCAAACGTTGAACAAATAATTCGTGCAACTGCAACATCACCCAATATGATGGTCAAGGCGAGATATTCTTGCAGCGCAAGCGTGATTTTTCATGTTATACAGTCAATTGTTTGGTTACTGTATTTCACTTGATACCTCAACGTGACATCATTTTGCACCTAAATAAATCGCCAACAGCGTTTTAAATAATCAAGTACTGCAGCCAATGGCAGGAATCATGTCGCCAGATATTTCGAGGGCTAATGAAAGATAATGGATGCCGCTGTTCCAGGAGGATATGTTCCATTATTATGAATGGTATCCACTTTTTAGTGTCATTTCCCTGTAATCAAAAATGAAAGATTGGATAAACCAAAACTTTTTTTTCCTATCTGATTGCCATTTTTCTCCCACCAATCGCACTTTCGTTTGGTCATTTACAATAGGTTGTCTGTTTCGATACTTGTCCCAAACACTGGTAAGAATGCGAGACAAATCCTTTGAAATGACCTTTAGGTCACACTGTTGCAGACTGTAAATTCCCTTGGACAAATAGTCTTCCTGCAAAAACCGATGGCGCTTAATTTTACTCTTTGCCACTGCCCAGGATGTCTTTTGTAAAGGCATTATAAAGCTTTATGTTTTTTTCTTTATCCAATATCGCAAACGAAAGGAACGTTAGTATAAGTTGATCGAATTGCATGCACATTTATTTGAAAAAGAAATTGAGAGAAATATATAATAAGAGAGAAAAGGAGAGGTCTATGAATGAATACGGCGTTTTTCAAAGAATGAATTTACAGGTCATCTTCATCGGACCAGACTTCTTCACCGCGCTTTCTGCGTTCCATGCGCTCCTTCTTCTTCTTACGGAGTTCACGAGAAGACAGCTTCTCCTTCTTCTTGGTAGCCTTGATGGTGTTACCTTGGGCATCGACCTGGTCTTCTTGTTCCTTCTCTTCGATAACAGTGGTACCGTTACCAGTAACCCAGTTGTGGCCAGAGGGAGTCAATTCACCGTTGTCGACCTTCCAGACTTCGTTACACAGTGCTTCACTGAATTCACGGTTGTGAGTAACAATGACAACACCGCCACCGTATTCTCGAATAGCCGTTGCAAGTGCACCAAGAGATTCGCGATCCAAGTAATTGGTAGGTTCGTCAAGAACCAACATGTGAGGCTTGTTCCACATGGCGGCACCGATAACGAGCTTGACCTTTTGACCACCGGAGAGACCACGGATACGAGAGTGAGTAGCAAACTCGGGTTCCAGACCAACTTCGCTCAAGTGCTTTTCGATTTCCTTGGCAGTAAGGGGACGGTTGAGACCGAGCTTGTGAGCTTCCTGTGCGTCGACTTCAGCGATCTTCTTGCCGAAACCCATTTCTTCCAAACGGGAACGAGGAATCCAGGTATTATCGACGGAAGACTTGCCAACCCAACGGACTTCGTATTCGTAGGACTGCTTGAGCTTACGACGGCCAACGAGTTCTTCAACCACACGCTTCTCGCCTTCAATGACAAAGACTTGGTTCATCTGCTTCTCTTCGGCTTCGGTGACAACACGATCGACTTTCTCGAGTTCTTCACGGTCTTCACCAGTAGCGTAACGCCATTGGATGTATTCGTTAGGAGTGCTGTCCAAATGCTTCTCAATATGGTGGAAAGCATGCTGAGCAACGTAAGCGATACGCAAGTTGGGATGCTTCCAGACAGTACCACTGGTAGGTTCGAGTTCACCAGTCAACAACTTGATCAAGGTCGATTTACCGGCACCGTTGGGACCAATGACGGCGACACGGGAGGCCAAAGCACACTGCATGGTAATCTTCTTCAACTGCTGACGAGAGCTACCGGGATATTGGAAATCGACGTCTTTCATCTTGAGAATAGCACGTTCCTTGGTCTTGATACCTTCCAAATAACCGGGCTCGGGGAACTTGAAAGTCATCTGAGCGGCATCCAAAGAGTAGTACGACTGGGCACGGGGAACCTTCTTGACGAATTCGGACAGATTACCCTTGTAACGCTTCAACTTGTAGTTGCCTTCGTAATGGATAATATCGGAGCAGACGTGATCCAAGAAACCAGAGTCGTGGGACACAATGATGGAGGTAACCGATTTCAAGCCCAGCAGATAGTTCTCTAACCAGGCGACATTCACGACATCCAAATGGTTAGTAGGTTCGTCAAGCAACAAGATATCGGCGTTCATCAACATGGCACGAGCAAGAGCAAGCTTCATCTTCCAGCCACCAGACAAGGAACCAATGGTTTGGTAATTGACCATGTCTTCGCTGAAACCGTATTCACGCAAGATCTTGGCAATTTCACTCTTGTCCTTGGCTTCAACACCGGCGGAGGCAGCAATGAAATCGACCAAACCAGTATCGGCTTCGGAACCATCGATGTCGTGTTCGACATACACAGTCTTCAAAACCGAGCGAGGAGGGAAACCTTCGACCTGTTCGTTGGCAATAGCACGCATCAAGGTAGATTTACCGCAACCGTTGGCACCACAGAGACCATAACGACGACCACGGATAAGACGCAACGAAGTACGGTTGAGCAAAATCTTGGCACCATAAGCGAGAGAGAATTCACAGTTGCAAAGTTCTTCACCTTCGTCACGTTCTTCTTCTTCACCGGTGTGGACAGCCACAGCTTCTTCGCAAGAGGCGAGGGCAGCAAGGGCGAGTTTCTCGGATTCTTGTTCGATCGAATCACCGGATTCATCCTGTTCACGGCCAGTCACGAGCAACCAGGTGGTAGCATGAGGAGCAACGCAATCGATCCAGGTAGCACGATCGAAAGCCTTGGCAAAGACCAAAGCCAAAGCCATTTCAATCATGTATTTGCGGATGGGGCTCCAGAAACCTTCGAGCTTGGTGGGCATCAAATGATCCAAAGTCTTGGTAACCTTGTCACGCTTCTCACTGCTGGTAAGGACGGTTTGGTCACCACCGCCCACACGCTGCAAGGTCGCCAAAGCCTTCTCGACGACACCACGACATTCGGGATCGGCCACCACATCCTTGACGTGATCAAGTTCGGGCAACAAGATGGGGAGGAAAGGAGCGGCAACATCGGGATCATCGACAAGCTTACACATGTTATCGATGATAACGGCAGCCTTACGCTTGATGGCCGTCTGACGTTCCTTCAAACCACGGCTGAGCAAAGGAACCATCAAAGACAAAGTAGCGGCATCGACTTCTTGGACAAAGGTAGTGGCACCCAACTGATGGATAGTTTCAGGGACCTTTTCAGGCTGGTTGATACATTCGATAACAGCAGGAATGAAACGTTCGATATCCTTGTTGTCGAGCAAAGCAGTGCAGGTGGTCATACACTTGGTAGCGGCCTTCTTGACATCGGCCTTGGTATCCCACATGCAATCAGACACCACGGGAATCAAATCAGGGATGCAAGCGAGGAGTTGCATGGGATACTCGGTAGCAAGCAATTCAATCAACGAGAGCGAAAGCATCTTGGTTTGCCACTTCTTGGAATTTTCCAAACCTTCCAAGCACATATGCAAAATATAGCGGGTGGCGGAGGGGTTCACCGACTGAACGAGAGTGTTGGCGACGGTAGCGGCCTTCTCTCTGACCTGCTTCTGCTTATCGGCTTGCAATTCCAACAGAGGAGGCAAAAGCGTGACCAGATGGGGTTCCAAAGAGCCACGGAGCAAGTAGCTGGATTCGATCAAACAATCCAAAAGAGTCATGACAATCATGGCACGCTCAGGGCGGATCTTCTTGGCAAACAGCTCGGTCGACAGGGCAGCAAAAATGTGGCAAGTCTTGAGAGCACGGACACCATAGTGATTAGCGAAACCGGCGATCTGGTCAGCGAAATCTTTGCGTTCTTCTTCAGTCTTTGAGTCGAACAACTTAGCAATCAGCTTCTTGGCCTCCTCGGCCTCCTTTTCGCCGATGCGAACACGTCTCAGCTTTTGCAACTGCGAGATCGATCGACGCTTGGCAAAATCAGCATGTGCAGCAGCTGAAGCAGCCGTACTAGTGTCGGGCAGAAAAGACATGATGAAAAAGTAAAGAAAAGGAAGGAGCAATCGAAATCCAAAAAAATCCAACCAATATAAAAACAAAAAAAACTTTTTTTTTCTGTGTGTTTTGGTTCGTCAGCTTGCAAAGAAAAGCTCAACTGAAACCTGTAGTTTTCTTTTTCTTTTCATGGGTTTTTGTCATGTTCCATCATTATCGAATAGATGGCTGTCGCCACGCCACTTTCTAACCCAAGTTCGCTTAATAATTTATCCGGGGCTGGTGCATGGATTGTCCCACTTCTTTTTGCAGAAGGACTTGATGGAATGGGGGTTGTGGAAGGCGTTGGGGTGCTAATGGACGATGAAATAACGGGAACCACCACTTCATAGCCTACTCTTCCAGCTGTAATGGCCGTTTTTGGATAATGATCGCTCCTCCAACTGTATGGCAGAACGTTCTGTGGAGAATCTTCGTCTCTCGAATATACCGTCGGCTGGTTAGGTTTCGGTGCCGGTCGTGGAGAGGTAAATGCGCTGCCACTATTCATCAGTCCTGTTCCACTCGTCACGTTTCCACTGCTGCCAGAGGGAGGAATGAATGGCTTATTGTCCTTGACATGTTTCAGTACAAACACTGGGTTTTGATTCGATTCCTTTAATTTCTGAGAAATTCGCAGTGGTTTTTCGTCGTATCCGAGTGCTTGTTCTGCAGAAAAATGATTGGGAAAAAAATTAAAAAGGAAAAAATGAAAAAAAAAAAATCAGAATCAAAAACAAAGGAATGCAAAGGCTAAGTCGCTGCCATTCATTGACGCTGTGTTAAAAAAGTTTTTGTTACCTTGGATATTGTCAGGAGAACCAAACTGAATCCACAGAGCATATTGTTGCCAGTCATCGTTCACATTGTACTTTTTAAGCGCAGACGTGATTACTTTGGAGCACGGATCGTCCAATAGTAATCGAACATTTTTGGAAGACTCCAAATCAACCTTGGAGCTATTGGATATTTTTTCACCGTAGACTTTGATGGCTCCACCGTCATTGATGGTGACATGTGGCGTGGGTTTCGATGGCTGTATTGGGCATAATTTTTTAAATTGGGTCATCATTTGCGCAGAGAGAATCATTTTGACTAGGGGCATCAAATTACCTCATCATTGGCTGGATTGAAATAATCGAGAGTGGGATGTGAAGAAGATAACGTAGAGGTTGGCGGCGTTAGCATATGTCCCGCTTTTGAAGAACTCCCCGCATTGGTTAAATGGTATTTTTGCCCAGATGATTGAGATGAAGAGGAGGAGGAGGATGGCTAGCAGTATATCCCGTAATTAGTCGGGTAGACGATCATGTGGGTACGGTTTGGTTTACTTGCCTTTTTTTCTTTGGAAAATCGGAACAGATCGTCACGCAGACGATCCATCTCACTGCTAATGCGCAACAGATCTTCTGTCAATCGTCTAACGTGTTCGTCTGCAATTTTTGTCGTTAAAAAAGCTAGTCAAATGCTTCTTAAGACGACAATGCGACCATACCTCGTTCCTGGAAGGCCATTTCGATCTTGCGATAATCTGCCAGTCCATTGTGTCCTAGCCAGTCCTATAATGGTTGATCAGCAATTGGCAAACAGGAATGGCTCTTATCCTTGCTTTACGTTTTCGTATAATACACCTGCCAAAAAAAATGGTGACAGTTAATTATCGTTCATTTGCTTGCCATTCATATCATCGGATATCCGAAGACTCACTGGGAGGTACATAATCCCATTCATTCAATGGTACACGGCACATTGCTTTCAGATGGTAGATGTTTTTGAGGATATCGAGCCGTTGCCCCACGGAATGTATGGAAAGATCTTTGAGTGAATCATGGTCTAGATGAACGAGTACGTCGCCGGTAATGCCTTGTTCTAGAGTTATGAATCGAACGTTAATTATGCAGGTTCTCGATAACTCAAAGGAGAACGTGCCTTTGAAGGTTTTTTCGAAGGAAGAATAGCCAATAGAGGCCAACCATTTGTTAACTTTGTTTTCGTCCCAAAGAAGTACACTGTCCATGTTTTTTATGCGTGTATGACGAGCTGCAGGATGCCCGTTGATGGTTCAGTTGGGACGGTGCTCCAAAAATTGAGGCTTTATTTTTTGAGCAAAATTGCACATGCGCGGACGTTCAATTCCCAGCGATCATTTCTCAGCTTGGTTTTCATGGACACTTGTGCAGCTCATCATTTCAAATATGCTGCACTGTAACTTGGTTGCTTATATAAAACAACTTTTCTTCGGCTAACAGTTGCGTGTGGTTTATATCTGGTATTGAACACCGACGTCTTTGATAAATTCATGTAACGAAGGTCTCGCGACTATCCTATCATGAGATATAAGAAATCGCCCTGTGGTCTTTGTCGTCAATTCCAGGCTTCATAGTTGTGTTGTGTGATTACGATTTTTTGATGCAGTCATTGCCCGGTCACATAAGAGCCATCTTGGGCAAACATAAGCTGGGTCCTCGAACGGCGACAACATATAAGGCGAATTATGTCGATCATTGCTCATTATAAATGCTGAATCTACTGTAGCAACACCTTGAACAAAATTATCAAGGTTTGTGAGTATCGAGTTCGCATAAGCGCATCTGCGGCTGATCTGGAGAAAAAAATTCCCAGATTTGGGAAATCCTGTCCAATGAAAACCGCTTGCAAGTTTTTTTTTTATATTTTCGAAAAAAAATGCTCCAAATTGACAGAGTAATATTATTATCCTCATGACGACCGGTCAACAGCGAGCCCTCATCCACCTCGACGAGCCTTATACCCATCAAGCCGTCGTTGAAGCACTGAAGAAAAGCGCTTTGGACTGGGATGTCATCGAGACTATTCCCGTTGAAGATCAGGACCTCGATGCGCCCTTGCAATGGCTCGAGTATGAATTGATCAACTGGAGTTACCTGGCAAGCCGTCCTGATTCAGCCATGGCCAATGCCTACTGTATTCGTAAAGGCCTGATACGTAAAGCTCAGTTTGGATATAATGTAGCCAAGTACTTGTCGAAAAATCCTACCAGTATTCTCAAGGAGGCGATCCCTGAAACCTGGCTTTTCGAACTGGATCATGTCGATTATTTCGAAGAAGCCATGAACGAGGTGTTCGAAGTCGAACGTGATTTGTTGGCCAATGAAAATGACGAAAGTAATCATATGTTTATTATCAAGCCGAGTCTTGCCAACAAAGCCGCGGGTATCCGAGTTTTCAATTCTCTCGAACAATTGCGGACCATGTTTGAGGAAAATGAGTTGAGCGACTCGGAAGACGACGATGATATGGAAGATCTGTCACAAGTGCGTGAATGGGTGATTCAGCGATATATTCATAACCCTCTGCTCGTGCATGGTCGCAAATTCCACGTACGAGCCTATGTCCTTGCCGTATCTAATATCAAAGTATACCTCTATCATGACATGCTGGCCCTGTTTGCCATGAAAAAGTACAATCTCGATGAGCTTTCAGACACTTTGGTGCACTTGACCAACACCTGTATTCAGACCGAGGAAGAAGAGTTTGACGAGGAAACCTCCGTGCGCCTTTTTTGGGATTTAGAACAACATGGCGTCAGTAAAGCACGTTTGGATACCATGTTTGAAAAGATGCAGCACGTTTTGGCCGATGTATTCGACGCTTGTGCGAGCGAAATGACCACTTTCCAAGCCATGCCGAATGCCTTTGAACTATTTGGTGTCGACTTTTTGTTGGATGAAAATGATGGTGTTTACTTCCTGGAAGCCAATGCTGTAAGTACCCCTTTTATTGAATCCTTTAGACGGTATTTTGACTCATTGTTGTGTCTTTTACAGTTCCCTGATTTCAAACAGACGGGCAAGCAATTGCAGCACGTAATCCAAGAATTATTTGAAGCAACCACTACCGTTGCTATTGAACCCTTTTTTACGGGTCGTCCCCAAGCATCTGAAAAGCTGGTGCAAGTATACCATAAGGAGCTCCTGTCGCTTTAATGGCTTAGATTAGTATCGTGTACTAGTATTCTTCTTTTTCTTTTTTTTTCGTGATCTCTGATTATGCTCCATTGTATGATAAATGCGCATTATTTTATCTATAGAAAGTAGATGTTCACTCTTTGCAAACATGTTATTTTTGTTATACATTGCCATCGGCATAGATTTTGGTTAGATCCTCGGCTCCCCGCGATACTTTGATCCATGTCACTGGACACCTTCCGTGATCTTCAACGTATCTGAAAGCGCAAGTGTAGCAAAAGACGTATCCAGACGGCAATGCTGTGGGGTTGTTGATGGGGCTGCTGAGACAGATGGGACAAGTATTTGGTGTCGTTGGCAACTTGGTTCCTCGTGGATCAGGCTGTCCCAAATAGTCAGACGTTGTCCCAATTTCAAATCTCCATGCAACCCAATCTTACCTTGATCTTTTCTGGAGGAGGAATGACATTGGCGGACTCTTCGTCTCCCAGAGAGCCTGTGTTCCCGCCACGGGCAAACTCCGAAGAATACCACCACTCCAAGAATTTGAAAAAGAAAATAGACATGGGCAACAACACCTTCAAAAATTCGATCACTTTGCTGAAAATACCAGAAGCCGCTCGTAGTGGGCTATTAAACAGCGAGGACGTCGCTGTCTGTTGAGACGCTTGCGTCTTGTCGTAGTAAGAACGCTACGAATTCAAATGAGTCACGGGCTTGCTTGCTCTTCGTCCACCAATATTCACTTACGTAATCAGCCATGCTCATGCGTTTCACTTCGATACCGATCAAATGTAACCACGGTGTATAGAACCGCGTTTTACCAAAGAGGTACGCAATATTGTATGCCAAGTTGGAACCGTGATAAAGAGCGTTCACAATGGGGTATAGTTTTCGAAAGACTCGGATGAAGCGAATTACCAGTTTGCGCATCGGTCTTGTGTCTGGATCGTTCAATTCTTCTGTTTCTCTTTCCTCTCGTTCATTAATTCCCAACAAGGAAGAGGATGCTCCCCCGGAGACCTTTTGGTAGTAAAGATCCAATTTGCATTTGATGTAAGGCAAGGCCACAAGCATAAACAATGACTTGTTGATCTCACTTTTCGTCAAACTCGGTGTCGACTGGGCGTTGGAAGACGGCAACTTGACACTCTTTTTGTTACCGAGTGCTGCGGCTACCCGTTTGAGACCGTAAAAGTTCTCCGCAAATGATGCTCCTAGGATTTGGTCAGCACAGTTGAATTGCCGTGCCATGAGAACTCGCCATGATGCTTACCCCATTCCTTTAAATAGTGACGTTCTACGAAAAACATGAGCGCAGCATAAAATTCCTCATGATTATTCACAACACGGATCAAATAACGTGGGTATCTTTGCGCATATATCTGTGACAATATCAAATGGTTACAGGAATGTTCATATTTGTCTATCTTGGCTGATCTAGCCGCCACTTACAGCGAGAAGGTATTGAACGGCGGGTTGTAACAGTTCTCTAAGTTTTTCTTGAGCCACCAATTCAAAAAGCGAAGGACGATAGGCGTCCTCCTGCGATCCAAGAGCACTCATAAACTCCATGATGGCAAGATTCTAGTCAACGTAAGCAATGCTTGAAATAACGAGAGTAAGCGCAAATGAGCACCGTTTTCCCCCAAAACCCACACTCAACACCCACAAATCATTTAGCAATTGCCTAATTGGGCGATTTCGTTTGACACAAAGTTCCACACTCCGCTCACCCCTCAAATCGAGGTTTTGCACGACAGGTAGATCTATGATCATACAATAGCCATATCCTTTTATTGGATAAAGTTACTCGATAAATATATCTCATTAGGAGCAACAATGTGTTTAAAGAACTCGTAGACAAAGTGCATGATGGGGGTAAAAGTATAGCTGGGTTGGGCGAGGGGGGAATACAGGCTATTGGTGGATAAGTTATGAGAAACAGAGCGATCACGGCAACAAATTACAGTGATTGTGGATGGATTTTGCGGGCAGCAAATGGAGCTTTCAGCACGGCTAAAATATTGCGTAAGCCCAACATGGATGCCCATGATTTGCCTACTGCTCCCTCTTGAGATCCACGCACGTCTGGAGAGTTTTTATCATGTACGCCAGAGCCTTCATCTCCCACCGTTTCTTCTATACCTGCAGCCACTTCCAATCCTTCGGTAACACCTTCCATAGCGTCAATTCTTTCTTGTTCTTCATTGGCGTCGCTCTGATCTTCCTTGCTATGACCCTTTGTAGCTTCCTTATTTGAAATCTCACAGGCAGGATTTCCAGTTGGTTTCTTTGCTTCTTTTTGCAAATGAGCATTAGCCAGTTGATGCGCCACCTGACGCTCCACAGTAACAGAACGATGAGAAGCATACCGCTAACCAGCAGAGAGTGAGATCGTTAGCAGTCACGTTGAGAGAACCTTTAGTTTATGCCTTACAATGTTTGTCGCACCAAGTCGTTTTGAAATTAATTGCTTCAATTGTTGGCTGAGGTCGCTGTGAATTAGGTCATCCGTTTCGTTAGTAATAACTGAAAACGGAGCTTTACAAAGTTATTATGAGTAATCACACGATCCAAACCGACTCCACTCACTGTTATGCAAGCCGCTATTTCCAGTGAAAATAGTCAGTGACACGGTTTCGTCGCGGCACATTTCAACTGCGCGAATAGCACCCTAAGTGATACAACAGCCATTAGCATGACCCATTTGGTTCGTCTCATAAAAATACTTACAAGCATATAGACATAGTTTAAATCTTGGTCATGGCTGAGCGTGCATAGCTCAGCCGTGTTGCGCTCATCATCCACCCCATAATAAATACTGTATGCACCACCATCCCCATTTTGCATCGCTGCTCCAATCCATACCATTTGATCGGCATTTAGTGACTTGAGGCATAAAAAAGGGAAAAGTTTGCAAATATGTGAGTGGGGTGCCCTGAGGAGATTAGTTTGATCAGGTTATAACGAACAAATACCGTTGGAGGGTGCACCGCAATTGAAGCTTCCTCTACCATCATAATGACCAGTGAGCAAACTATTTAATCACCAATGTCACAAGGTGGAACAGTAATGACTCACCTTTCATCTTCTTCATCGGCGATGTCTTGGAAGGCAAAGATTCTTCTTGTTTGTTCTGACTGAGCTGTTCTCTCTTTCTTTTTCTAGTGGCTCCAGTGTTTGAAAGTTTGGGCGCCATGATGGTGGATTGCTGTACGCGCATTGACTGCATTACTGCCAGGAATCAGAAGAAGAGGCAAAATAGCAGGACAGAAAGAGACAAATGAAATAAAAGGATGAAGCAACAGGAATGTTGGGGTGTTTTGGCTGCATCTGATTTTATTTCTCCAGAGCTGATTGGCGCATTTTCATCACTGCCATGCATCTGTCCTTTGCAATGAACTGATATTTTTTAACCACAAAGTTTCATCTCATATAAACACAAGATCAAATACCGCGGAAATGACTACTTCTTGTTATTCTGTTGTTCCTATATAGGTTTATTTCATAGTGTCATGATGGATTCACGGAAATGTACTGTAATGACAATGACCATCGACTTGTTTGGTCGTTATTGTTATTGTCACGAAAACTATAATAGTGTTTGGGAGAGCAAGGAGAACGAGATGACGGGAAAATTTCAATAGTTGAAGAGGCAGATAAAAAGTTATTATGAGTGACTACATCATCTTCGTTTACTTTATGTTGACAAGTATACCCAATGCATATTATGTCGCAACAAATCGATATCATTGACCACAATAAGGGCATTCGTTCTACTATTCTGTGAAGTCTTGATTACATATGCAAACTGCTTCCTATTATATGTGCACATAAACATTAGTTCCACACACATCAAAGTCATTTTCTGAGAAATACATCAAAGGCGAATGACAAAGAAAAAGATTTAGAAATCATGGAAGAATTCTGCCTAATTTCCAACTTTCCTATAAATCTTATTCAAACATGATCTCTTTTCATAACGAATCTTGGCGACTAGTTTCGGATGTGTATCACTTATGCATTACAAAGTATATAAGATGCAAGGTCATGATAATCGTTAGATAGGGCTCGTTACACATGCCGGGAAACAATTTAGATACTTCTGCCCATCCTCTTCCATCGTCGGCTGCCGTGAGCATCGAGCTTTATAAAAACTCAAATAATTGCACAACGTGGTTGCATTGGCGGCAATCAAACAAGAGTGAGTTTTTAAACTTGAACTAACTCTAATCTTGAATTTCTGGGTCTCCCTACTAACTGTCTTTCTTCGTCACTTGTGCGAAATCGCTCGTATGAATTCCCCTTTTCAATGTCAGAATCTGGACATTAAATAAAGCGGTAACACATACGGAGCAGATGATTTCCCACATTTAACTTGTGTCCGGTAATGAAATTCAAGAGTACGACATGGCCATGGCGAGCTTATATGAAAAGCAAAGTCTGTTAAAGTCCGTCGCATGCGAATGTCTCGTTGCTAAATATATTAGCTCTCGGGACATCCCTATATCTTGTTTCCAGAACGTCGGGCATATTGAAGAGCAGATTAATAATGATAATGGCAGTACTATACGTCGATCGAAGCAATGTCCAGCACATAAAAGACTATTTAGGATTCTTGGTGACATTCAAAGATGGGAACAGGGCTGGCATGCATCGCTATTTCAATAGCCTCGGCGGAGTCGAATGGCTGTAGTTAGCCTGCACCACCGCATACATCAATCAGGTCATGCAGTATCTTTTTTCAAAAATGCACATGTACTGCATCAAACATAAGAATGACAGGAAAAAAGTAAATAATATTTCGACAACCACATGTAAAGGAATATGAATATTCTTTCATTATCTATTTTTCAACCGGACCGAAATGAACTTCGAATTGCCGATTGTATACAGCTTTTGAACCTTTTTGCAACCATCCAAGAATTCGATTTGCTTGGAGGTAATGCTAAAAACTTGAGTTATACTTTATCAGGAAAATCAGGACAAGTTTGATGGTAGGAGTACATGCACCTCAGGTATGAGCAAGAGGATATCCATGCTGCCAACTCATGCAGTGTGACAACGGAAATAGAACAGCTAGCATCGAAAGCAGTCATAAACCCTTTTTTTTCTCTCTGGACATTGGCCAAACTGTCTCACTTGTAGCTGTAGCTATGATCAGCTGTATAATATGGTGGGGTCAAAAAATACAGCAGAGCACACTGCAGTAGAAATCTAATCGCAGAATCCAATTTGCGCCAGATTGGAGTGTCGGGTGGTAAGACGAACTCCTAAGGGTGTACTTGATGGAATTGAGTGGCCTGCATCTGACGCTTTCTGAATTTACAGCGGAAGATCTGCATGTCGAACCCTAAAAAAGACCCCATACTTATCGCATATGGTGATTGCACATTTGTAGATATTCCAAGATAAGATATTAAGTAGTTTTTTACCACCTGCCGGTGAACGACTTTGTTAAAATGAATATAGACCAAATTATTCAAATGCATGACCTTTTTTTACCAGTTGGAAATGCGTTTTTTGACCTGAATGCAGGTGGCAATGGGTGCGCTATTTTGATTGTGGAACGCTCTCATCCACGAGAATCATCTCTAAAAAAGCACATTGCAACCATCCCATTTTGTTGCCACGAGTATCAGGTCACAGATTTTTCTTTTTTGGCAATCGTTTCTACAGAGTGAGTGGTTCACGGAGGGAAAGAAAATGGTCTGTCGTCCAATTTTAATATTCAGCCGCCCAATGGAATTAAAGTGCCCTTGTGTTTAGTTTATTCGTGGCAAGTCGTGAATCTTACAAACAACAAAAGAAATCAGTATGAACAAGGGCTTTTATGTAAGCAGCAGCTACCATCCATGCTATGCAACAGGGTTTATAGCTAAGAAACTGTAAGATATTACGCGTATATCGCGAAAATTTCACCGTGGACACGGATGAAGTTGATTGTAGTCAAGATGATGATGGGGTGACAAGGGTCATGATCAAAGTGAGCACCATGGGATGGTGAGATGGTGTACTTTAAGTTCAATAGCGCGTTATTTGTATTACTTTAAATAGCCCGCTTCACAGAAAAGCTGCAGAGATGAAAAATCCAGGAGGAGAGAGCATGGCGAGACTTTTTTTTTGGCTGTGACGTACGCGTCATTCTCCGGCGGCGCGCCCGTTTTCCGAGAGCTGTCAAAGATTAAGCATCTTTTTTTTTTTTATTCTTTACTCTCTCCGACCTGCTGTTTCCTTCCTCTTTCGACCTTCATCATCTGTAAGTGCCCATTCAGATTTCGAAGAATTTGCTGCCCCCCATCGGTCATCTCCGTTAACGTAAAGCAGTTCATTCTTGCGTTTATAAAAGTACATCATGAGAGAAATTATTCACGTTCAAGCTGGTAAGCTCTTTCGCGAATTTCATTGACTGTTCTTTACGGGAGAAATGCTTTCATCTGCTAAAGACTAACTCTGAAATCTTTGCTTTTGCGTAGGTCAATGTGGTAACCAAGTAAGTAGTGGGAAGTTTTTTTTTCTTTCACTCTGAAGCAAGGACACCGATATTGGAAAAGCAGCACGTGTAATATTTTGTTGGATGATTCCTGGCTGTGTGTCCCTTGTTTTTGGGTTCTCTTTCTTTTCGCACCCCTTGTTCACACCAGATCCAATTTTTTTTTTTTCCTTCCCCCTTCCTAATTTCCCTTTACCCGCGTCTCGCCCAACTAGCTTTGTTTTGTTTGGATGAATGTCGTTGCCTAAACCTTGTTTCTCTCTGCATGTGTAGATTGGTCAAAAATTCTGGGAGACCATTTCCCAAGAACACGGTATCGATCCCAACGGTAGCTACTGTGGCGACAATGATTTGCAATTGGAACGTATCAACGTTTTCTATAACGAAGGTTCCCTGGGCAAATATGTGCCGAGGTAGGGCAACAGCATTTGTTTATGGTTCAAAACTATCATCCAACTGAACCCCTCCTTTTTTTTCCCTGTCACCCAGAGCCGTGCTTGTGGATCTCGAACCTGCAACGATGGATTCTATCCGTTCAAGCACTTACGGCAAGATCTTCCGCCCCGATAACTTCATCAATGCCCAATCGGGTGCCGGTAACTCATGGGCCAAAGGTTACTACACCGAAGGTGCCGAACTTGTAGAATCCATTATGGATGTTGTGCGCAAAGAAGCCGAAAACACCGATTGCCTGCAAGGTTTCCAGCTCGCTCACTCCTTGGGTGGTGGTACCGGTTCCGGTCTTGGTTCGCTTTTGCTTTCCAAAATCCGCGAAGAATACCCCGACAGAATCTTGAGCACCTACTCTGTGGTTCCCTCGCCCAAGGTTTCGGACACCGTCGTTGAACCTTACAATGCCGTTCTTTCCGTTCATCAATTGGTTGAAAACTGCGATGCTACTTTCTGTATCGATAACGAAGCTCTTTACGACATCTGTTTCCGCACTTTGAAGTTGTCCAATCCTAGCTACCCCGATCTTAACCAATTGGTCTCAGCTGTCATGTCGGGTGTGTCCACCAGTTTGCGTTTCCCCGGTCAGCTCAACTCAGATCTCCGAAAGTTGTGCGTTAATATGGGTAAGGGATAAAATCTGTTGTTTGTCAGTACGACTTTGTTATGAAACCCTATCTAAATGGGATTGCCTTGTAGTGCCTTTCCCTCGTCTTCACTTCTTCATGGTGGGTGTGGCTCCCTTGACCGCTTTTGGCTCCCAGCAATACCGTAACTTGAGCGTGCCTGAACTTACGGCTCAGATGTTCGATGCCCGTAACATGATGGCTGCTTCCGATCCCCGTCACGGTCGCTATTTGACCGTGGCCACTATTTTCCGTGGTCTTTTGTCGACCAAGGAAGTGGAAAATCAAATGTTGGCTGTCCAGCAAAAGAACTCTTCCTACTTTGTTGAATGGATCCCCAACAGCGTCAAGTCGTCGCTGTGTGACATTCCTCCCGTTGGTCTCAAGATGTCTGGTACTTTCATTGGTAACAGCACGGCTATCCAAGATCTCTTCAAGCGTGTCAATGAACAGTTCACAGCCATGTTCCGACGCAAAGCTTTCTTGCATTGGTATACTGGTGAGGGCATGGACGAGATGGAGTTCACTGAAGCCGAGTCCAACATGAACGACTTGGTGTCGGAATACCAGCAATACCAAGAAGCAACTATTGATGAGGATTATGACGAAGAATACGTTGAAGAAGAAGATGAAATGCCCATGGAAGAGTAGATTTCCTTTGTTTAATCATCTTTAGTGATGTTGTGTTCGTCGTTTCTTTAATAACCATTTACATGCATCGTAGTTTGTTTTGTTCACCAATATCTTGAATACCTCTCTTTAATCGTGAAATGTTGATCTTTTCAAAATGTGTCAAGCACCGCATCAGCTTTGAAAATAACAAAAAAGCATTTTGCTCATTTGCTGCATTGTTCAGCAGCGAGCCCGATAGGAGAGCGCTCAGCATGTCTGAGAGAGCAGATCTTCTCATGTCGAAACGTCATAATAACGCTAAAACGTATCGCTTCGCACTATTTCGCCTTGTCCTTGCATGAACCAAATGTTTAATGTGTTTTGATAACTGCATTGTGAAAAACTAAATTCTCATAAAAACCAATGCGTTTTGATGAACAACTTGAAAGTGTATGCTGCTAATGAACAAAGCCGTACAGTATTCGCAACTGATATCCAAGTATCATATTTGATTGTTAAGGTACAAACCGTGACGATAATGGCTCTATTTTGCGGAGCTTCCGTAGCCTATCAAAAGATACTCTTCCCGTCTCGTTGAATGTGCGTTCGTACTCATGCAAGCCATGAAACGGACAGGATGGTTTCCCGGCTTGTGTACCTGATAGTTTTCAGTCGATCAGCTTGTAAAATTTGCTAATTTGTTCGTTCCACAGATCTGCGACTATACGCACGCGAAGGATCTGTTTCTCAAAATGATGTCAACACTGAATATGGTTATAATGCAAATCAGTATCATCAAGGCAAAAGGGCGGTGTGGCAATCATTGAGTAGAACAACGTTTAGATCAATCGAGCAGAACAGATACAGGGAATGTAATTCCAGCTGTCGCATTCATAAAAAGTAAGTGTGTACAGTATAGACGCGCTAATTTTGTAGTAAAGTGTGATATTCTAAATCTTTATAGAAAAAAAAAATTAATGCGGCAGAGATGAGAATTAGCAACACTCACGACTGCAGCCAATGCTGAATTGCCCAATAATCCACCTCACTGGTCCATAGCTCAATTTGCTGGTTTGGGTTTGTGCAACGAGCCATCCCGGCCATTAAAACCTGTCCACTTCTGCCAGACTTTTCTTTCCCTGTTTCTACTTCCTTCTTTTTCTCAGCTCATTGCTCATCATACTAGGAAACTAGCCAATTCAAGTCTACCACTCTGACAGAAAATAGCTTCTAAAAGGTATATAACATTATACATGTACATAGTATTGGCTCATCCAGTGTACGCCAATTCAGAAATGGGAATTCTTACCGTAATGCATCTGTTTAGTGCCCCTCAACTTTGACCTTTATGACCGTCTCAGAGAATCAAAGCTGCATTCAACACACTTTAGCTATCGTCAAACCCAATGCGCTCAGGCACAAGCAAGAGATTGCTCAGAAAATAAGAGATAGCGGTCTGAACATCATTTTTGAAAACCAGATTCAATTATCGGTGAATGAAGTGAAGCGACTATTTGTTGACGTACCGCAGGATGAGGCACAGTGGATGAGCAGGTGAGAAATATATCCTAGCTATATGAGAAAGGGAAAGGACAGAACAGGTTCTTGAATGGGTCCGTCAATGCTGGGGAACGTAAAACAAAGAATTGTCATCGATTGATCTATTTATGGATATAATGGTAGTGTCCCGGTGTATGTGATGGTTTTGGAAGGAGTGGATGCAGTCGCACGTTGGCAAGCTATCCTAGGACCTGCAGATCCCGCAGAAGCCACTGAAGAACATCCGACAAGGTAATGTGCGAACTTGAGAAAAAAGTGGCATGAATATCTCGCATATGTGTTGACATTTTCGATATCCGACCTCAGTATTCGTGCTTTATATGGTGTCGATTCAATGCATAATGCTTGCCACGGGACAACCTCGGAAGAGGAATTAGAACATGAGTTTTCTTGGTTGCAAAGCGTCGTCATTGATGATTTAACCTTTCTCTCCGACACCGTTCGACAAAATTATACCAAAAAATCTGTTAAAAAACAAGCTATACCCACACCGACCAGTAACAGTCGATTACCCACTGTTCGAAATCAGAAAAAGTCTCCCATAGGCGCTGTGAAACCGGCAGCCGATAAACCTTCGGCGGTGCCGCGCTTAGGTCCCAAGCCAGCAACCCAAAGCGCTCGAACGGCAACCACACGAAAACCGTCACCTACCACAGCAGTTCGCAAAAGCGCTTCGCAGAACACGCCTTCTGCCGTACCATCAAAACTACCTAGTACAGGACAAACGACCCGTCGTCCGAATCAAGATGAACGTAGAAAACAGGTAGACGCACGGAAGAAGACTCATGTGAGTAGGACAATGGTGTAACTCGAAAAAAAGATCAGAAAACTTGACTGACATGAAAAAATACGGACAGTTGCCTGGTAACACGAGTGGCAACAGAGACCATGCGGCATCAACTCGTATTGCTACACGGAATGAGGCGGCCGCTGGAGGACGCCGAGGCAGCATGACCTCCACTAAACTATCAACCACGGGCGGAATTTCGAAAAACACGCCACCTATTTCTGTCCTTACCGGCCGAACGCGAAAATACAGCCGAAGTGTTCCGAAAAAGGAAGCGCCCGAAAAAGCTACACAGGCGGCTGCAACTCCCAAACCAGCTGACACAGTGGCAGAACCGCAAACAGAGTTAGGCAATAGTGAACCGGTAGCTGTTCTATCGGATGACGTTACTGAAGAGGATGGCCGTGCCAAGCTGAATGAAGAAGAGAAACACCAAAACCCTACTTTACAAGAAATATCGGACGGGGAAAACAGCGCCAACGACAGAAAAACAGAAAGGATCAAAGAGGACGATGCTTATCACAGTAACGACGAAGGTTTCATCGAAGCTGCCAATATGCCGATGAATCAAGTTGATTTGCAGCCGATGATCACCGAAAGTGCAACATCAATCATAAGCCAGAGCGACCGGGATAGTAAAGTCGAGTCTGAAAGTGAGCATGACGCGGAAGTGGCGGCCACAACCTCCATGAGAATGACCACTCCTCTGCCTAGTCGACCCTCTTTGACCGATCGACGCACTTCTTCCTCTTCTCGAGCTTCTTTCTCACCTCGAAGTATGACCTCGCTGCCACGTCCAGAGACACCAGAAGTGGATCAACTACGACAACGGTTCGAAGTGCTAGCTATGCCTGCGCCTGTCATCGAAAAGCGTCCTAGCGTCATTTCTCCTGAAATTGCTTTGCGTATCAAAGACATGAAACCTAAAGATCCCGCTGGAGCACGTGTTAAGAGCATGGTGGAATTCTTTATGGATGAGAATCTTCACAAGTGGGAATTTTGAAGAGGCTTGACGCCCTTTTGCCTTTTTGTCTCAACATTTATTTCTTTCGTTTTGTTCACCATTCCTTTTTTGCTACCTTGTTTCTTATGATGATCACACCCGGATACCCTCTCCTTTTTTTTGCGCCCCCTGCCATATTCCTTATCCTACACATGCCTAGACTGGCCATACTATATTAGCAGCAGCGATTTCATTATCTATTATCGTTTTTTACATTGTTTCCCTCGCATTCCTTTATTACACTACATGATTATAAAATAAAACTACAAAATATATTTCAAATGAACGGCTTTCACTGTATTTCTGTCTGATGCAACCGTACTCGCTTCACCAATGACTCCACTTGATTTTTACAGTTCTCTACAGAACCAGCCAATTCTTCATCCTCCTTGTTGAGACTTTTTAAGTGTTCTGTTAAAGCGCAGACTTCATCTTTCCATGCTTGACTTTCTGCTTCACTCGCTTTCTGCTGGATGTTTTGAGCGGACTGAAGGATTTCTTGTCGCTGAATATGATGAAGCTGAATTTCACGTCCTTTTTGTTGCAATAATTCGATTGTAGATTCGATGGTGCTGCGCGTTTCATGCAACAATGCAATCACATCCTTTTGAGTAGCCGTTTCATATGCCTGGCGCCGCTCCAGATGAACAAGCGAAGATTTCAATGCTTCAGTTTGGGCTCGAGCTTGCTCAGCGCGCGTTTGTGCCTGTTCGATCTGCTGGCGGTATTCGTTTACTTTCGTTTGAAGTGTTTCTGAATTTTTCTTTTCTGCTGCTGCTGCCTTTTGCGACTGTTCAGCATCTTGCTTCCCTTGTTCTACCGTTTGTTTTAAAGTGTCAATGAGAGCTTGCTTTTCGTCGATGATTTGAACAATCTCGTCCATTTGCTGTCGCAGTCTCCCATTGTCCTCTTTGAAAGCTGCTTGTTCTTCCAAATGCCGATCTCGAATAGTTGTGGCGGTGACTAATTCGTTGTGCATTGCTTCTTTTTGCTGTAAAAGTGCTTTGAGCCTCTTTTGCAAGGCAAAGATCATATCGAGTCCTCGTGCGCCGCTGATGTCTTCGGGCTGATCGTATCGAAACAAGTGACCATAGTTGATACGAGATACGTTCATCGGTTGAGTTTATTTCAATATATGTATGTGTGTGATAGAAGCGAAAAGGTGCCAGACCAATAAAGCGAAGAGAAAAAAAAGTAAACTGCGAATGCAACTCACTAAACCGTATCCAGTAATGAAAAAAGAGGGCATCCTGATCGGCATACAATATTTTCAAACGGTGTTATTGCGACAAATTTCATTCGTCGCCGTCAAGCGGTGCAACTCGAAACCACGTGCCGCAAAACCAAATAATAGAGCGAAGAGATGAAAAAATCCAAGCATCCTTGAGTTTAGCAAACCCGTCATGAATACTGTTTATTCCAAAAGTCACCCTAGAATTGAAAATTATGATACAAAAAAAAAAAAAAAAAAAAGAATGGCAATATAAGACGTGAAAAAGCATAACATCAAAATTGGTGAAAAGGGTAAATCAAACATAGACAAGTAAAAGAAATGGGTTGAAATAGTTAAATTCGCGAGTTGAAAAAATGAGCAGGTTTGAGAGAGAAGAAAACATAAAGAAAACAAAGAGGCGGTACTTTCTTATACAGCTTACTTTTTATCATTGAAAAACTTACCGTAACCTCCGGGAGAGGTCGCCCAACCCCCAAAGGTCCGCAACCTGGGGAGGACGGCGATAACCGCCCAGGAGAGGCGAGAAACAAACCAATGAAAACCCAGGGACGACAAAAATGCGCCCAAAAAAGTATCTGGTCAAACTGCAACAAAAACAAATTCTATATATAAAGCAATGTTTGCCATGAAATGCTTGAACTTTTATGGTATCAGAAGGGTATGGGGAAAACAGAGTTCATAAGACAGACCGGCAGAATGGTCATATGATTACGTGTTATTCCAGAGTGAGTCAATCTTTGTGGAACCCATTGAATGACATCCTTTCATGTTTTATACATAGATGTGATGGAAAAGAAATTTTTTTATTAATGCCAACATGCACGTCGTTGAATTCTTCATTCCTAAAACCTGGTTGGAAGTTCTCACCTCTGCTTGGAAAATTTGGTTTTCAGTATGCCTAACAGGTGCCGCGCTGTCATTGAGAACGAAGATGGTCCAACGTCGTATTTTTTATATTTACACATTTATGTGTTATTGAATATTTCGTCTTTGAATTTTGGAGTTGTTCTAAGGACTTTCTATTATGGAAGACTGTCCATCAAAATACATCATTGCATTTTCCATTTTTTGGAAATCAAAATTTTCAAATTCCTACGGTGACTTTTGAACAAGAGTGTATGCCTTTTTGAGATTTCCAATGCCTTCGTCAAATACTCTAGTGTTATGTCAAACAGGGTCTATCTTACAAGCAATTTATCGTCTGGATGTCTGTAGGTAATCTGCACAGTGGAGTCATCCTTTCATGACATGAAGAAAGTTCCTACAATTTTGACGTGTCTATGAATTTCCTTTTAACGCCGTTTGGTCGAACCTCTTTCACAGTTGGCGTGTCCCATGTTGCCAATCTTTCCCATCATATTGGCCCCCTTTTTCTTTGACGGTGAACCACTTACGGAACAGTACTACGTACTCCCCAAAAGTTATAGTCCCTGGATTATCCGGATGGCCTTGCCCACGTGTCTACCTATAGCATACTTCCATTCTTCTTCGTGGACAACTGCTACCTTCGGCTGCGTTCACGTATAAACACTTATTGCCCGCATTCCAGACAAAGACAACCTCCGTTCCTTTATCGGCCACAACAAGTCCGCTCTTCGTACTTGCCAAAGCTGTGAACTCAAACGGAGCATACCAGGAATCGATGCGCAACTGTTAACTTTACTCAATCACTATTCCGACTTCAAGCGCCACCTCATCCACACAGTTAGCAAAGTGGATTCCGGGGCCATCATCAAAGACAGGGCGCTCCTTTTGGTGCCAGTCGCAGATGCTGACATCCGTGGGAAAAACAAGTGTCCTTCACACGAAATCAAACAGGAAATTGATCTGACGCCATCGATCGCCACTTATGATGATCCTCACTTGGAATCTACGGAGAAGCCGATAATGTTGTTATATGATGTCGGGGCTAAAGTCAGAATGGTCATTTCGATGAAAACAGGAATAAAAGGTATTCGATGAATAAGAATTCATTGAACGGTCTCCACTACATTTACAGTTGAAGTGTTTGGTAGTTGCTGTGATGCGTCAGTTCTTTTATTTTCGCTCATTGTATCAGAAGCCAAAGGTTTATACTCTGCCCAAGTGATCCGAGTCAATCTCCTTTCGTTAATTCATTCGAGGCTATTATTTTCCCTTTCTTGACTACATCTGACTGAGTAAATAAACGTCCTTCCACTTCCTGACTGGTATGACCCATTGGTGCGTGCTTGTCCTTTACATGCTTTTCAAAAGACCATTCGCAGGAAAAAAAAAAAAAGAAGTTGGCCGGTTTTGAAATACAGTGTCTCCACGGCGGCCAAATTGGTGAATACGATACTTATGGGAAATGGTCAATCAAAAAGGAATCACATCATGTGATGGCTCTGTATGATGGAAATACCGGTTATTTGCTATTCAATATACGATGTAATCAAACAAATTATCCATGGCCTCCGATGTGTTTCAATTGTTTTAATAGCTTTTCAATTCACGATTATCTTCCAACAAGGTTTCGAATAATGTAATGTTATCCATCTTACGAAGAACAGTAAAGGAAACTTCTGGGCCTTCGTACCGCAGCACAAAGTATCCGGAAGAGGGTAAAAACGAAACATCATAGTAAGCATGTTGTGCCAGATCTTCTGAGTACCTTCACACGTCTTTGGCTCATCATTGACTTCATACTGTATTAGCGATACAGTGAATAAAGGACGTTCCAAACGCCTTGGAATTGTTGATTGGCGTCTCCATTGATATAATCGTTAACAGCATACAGCTGCTGAAGGTAATATTGAAGTTGCATTTGCTTTTCAAGAAAGGCTTGCTTGTATTGTAACACGCTCTCGTTTTGAAGTTGGGCCTGCTATGCGAGCCACTGGTCCAAATCCATGTTGGTGATATAGTGTGACGATGACCGGCGCGTTCGAGATTTCTGAGTCTCCAATGAAACGATGGGTATATAGCGAGCGACGGAAAGGTTTGCGAAGTTGATCATGAGTACCGGTAACCGAGGAGGGATCGGAGAGATCGTCATACACCGCATGGATATCCGCTAACGAAGGAGGCTGCAAGGATCCCACAGACGAAGAGAAGCTTTGCAATTTTCATTCACGTTCTTTCACCGGTGACCGTCGTTTCCGTTTGATGCCCGCTGTGGACGAAGGTGTCGAATGGTATGGCATATGCCAGCAAGCGTAATAGGGGTTTGTTTCGAACGAATGGTATGATCGGCAAAAGACTATGAGGCCATTCTTCGCTGCGCAATGTGCTATCTGCCGGTAGTCCGAATACAAGATGGATGCAGTTTATCCAGTAGTTATCACATGGTCCTTGGCTGAACATGTCGATGGCACATGGATAATCATGGCACGAGTAGCTGGCACAGGAATAAAGAAATCGGCATTTTGCACCAGCATATTTCACACCAACTGAGTTTGAGGGCCTATTCTTCTGGTCAATTTCGCATGGGTTTATGGACATCCCGTTCCTGGTCCGCTTTGCGCCTGAGGGGTCTGGACTTGATCATCCGCTGGGCTACTGGGTGCGCTCATTGGACCATGCTCCGCTACGTGCTGGGATGCTTTCCTTCGTTAAGGCGAATGATGACGGGTTCGACGATCCTGCAAAGGTTCTGCTGGTCGGTGCCCTTGGATCGTAAGGCGGCCTTGTGCTCGTTTTCAAAAGCTTGCACAACAGACAATGTTTCTTCACAGGCGACCTATATTCCCAAACAAGATGCTCTAAATCAATATGTTTAAACCATACCCTTATACCATGCAGTTTACACTGAGGGTTTTAAAGAACGAAATGAATGGCATGGGAGTGAGGTCCTTTTCGGGAATCTAACAGGAGCCTCAACTCTCTGTTCTTTGTTCATTACGTATATGCCTGATGCCGGTGTGGACATGGACCAATGTCTGATCGAGTGAAGTAAGAGTTCAATGGTTAACACGTCGCAGCATATATAATTACAATTACACGCGGTATCGTTCGAGTCACTTACTATGAGCATGCAAAAAATGGACTTTGAGTTTGGAGAAAGCCTTAAACGATGCTTTTTCATTAGATTGGGCCAAGGTTCGTAGCATCGCCAGCGTTCCGAACATAGCTTTGTGATGACCAAAGCTGTTCTTTGCAGTGTCGTTCGAGCCATACTCCGAGGAAACTTCCGTCAAAAGGATTTCCAACGCAGACAGATCATTAGCTTTGAGTATACCGTCGGTATTGTACTTATATCTGCGGTCGTTCATTCCCATCTGTCGGAGCTGGGTGAACATGGCATCAAGTTCAATCTCACCAGGGAAGAAAGTAACCTTATGCTCCTTGTTGCGCAGATGCTTCGTGGTGAACTTCACGCAACTGTCAAAAGGTAAGAGCGGTAACACGACTCGGATTTTCGCAGAAATTCGAGTCCACAATCGTCATATACATAGTCTTTACTAAAAGCAGATCATACGATTACCAATTGATTTTGTATTCAAACTTAAATAACTTGCACTTACAGGATGCCACAAATGTCAAGGATCAGCTTCTGTTCTGCAGCAGAGTCGGATCGACTTGTACAATGTGGGGACTGCTTGATACCTGATTGGATGAACTTTATATTTCAAACTCCTAAAGACAGCTGGTTTTTCACCACTTCTTCGCGCTTCCTCTCTTTTTTTTCGTGTTTCCTCAAAAGATAAGTCATAATTTACTTGATTTGTTTTATTAACCTTGGCAAGGAAAGCATGATGAAAAGTCTGCATATGAGCCCTGCCCTTCGTCGGAGAAATATTCTAGCCTTGATAGCATTTGCTGTAGCATTTGCGTCCCAGCTGGGAGTGGGAGCCGTAGCTTATCATCATGGAAAGAAGGTCCAGTTGTACCCTGCCCTTCATCGGAGAAATATTCTAGCCTCGATAGCATTTGCTATAGCATTTACGTCCCAGCTGGGAGTGGGAAGTGACCTTCTTTCTCTTGCCAAATATCCGTTGGCAGAAGCACAAACTAATTCGCGGTTTTCATTCAGGATATGTCTCTCTGTGCGAGACGATCATGAGGAGTTAGCTGACGACAACTCATGCCGGCTACCAGGGGTTACAATCGGTGATCTACCATACAACCTTTATCAATGACCACAGTAACTCAGGCGGTTTCTTTGTATTCTTAGCTCTATGCTACTTCATGTCTCGTGTGGTCTTTGTAGGATCTTCGTGTATGACTTCAGGGGCACTGTTTCTGCAGCAAGAAAAGCCTCTCCTGAACCTTTGTACCACTAACTTCAGGGCTTTCAGCATCCATTAAATCTCCAACTCGAGCTTATTGTTCATTTCTACCAGATCTATTTTCTCTCGCCGGTGAGTTGTCCAGGAAACATAGAAAATTCCGCAATCGTTAGGACTGCCATGCAACAATATTCGTTAATTACAGCCGAATGTTTCACTTGGAAAGTTCAGTTTTGATAACATTCCATCGTAATACGTAAAATAAACAGAAAGGAAGGCTAGGAAGAAAAGAATTGAAATAGAATCGCTTTTATTTGTATCTTATTGCTTCTGACGCCAAATGTATAATCAAGTAAACAAAAAAAAAAAAAAAAGCAAATGTTGCCGGAGTGTGAATGAGGGAGCTCCATATACCCTTTTGTATGTGAGGTCGGTTTTCTTTTCTTTTTCTTCCACAAAAAAATCAGCGAATGTTAGAAGGTGGTGACAGTCAGAATCCAATGCCTAATCTGCATTGGTGGAACGTAGGCGTTGCTGCGTCTTTCATTCTAATCAACGGTAAGGATCGGTCATTCCACTGGCCCATCGAAAAACAGCTCTTTTAACTTTTGGCGCACGGCAAATCTACAGGACTCATGTCTGTGACCTTGGGTCTCAAACTCGAAAAATCCCTCTTTGTCAGTTCTGTTCGATGCCTTGTGCAACTAACAATTATGGTGCGTAAAAATTATTTTGGGCCTTTTTGAAACCATAACCATGTGGACTGAAACCTTTTATGTGGTAGGGTCTCATTCTTGAAGACGTTTTCAAAGCCAACAACCCATATCTTGTTATGTTCATGACATGTAAGCATATGTAAAAACATATTATAATGTGCATAGCATAGGTAATAACGTGATTTGCATGTACGTTAGTTGTCATGGTGTTTTTGAGTACCAATGAAGTCGTCTACCATAAATCGGAAATGTCTTACGGCGGCATGGTAATAGTGACATCTTCGGTTCGATTGGTAACCCCATTTTTTCCTCACATATCGCTTTGACGATGCCTATAGTATCCGTCCGTTCTCCTATCCACAGGCTTTTCGACATTTTTCGTTGGTATTCTTGGAACTAAATATGCACTGAGCGAGGAGCCGTTTTGGATCCCGGAATTTTTTATTCCTACGGTCGGTCTATTACTGGGTGTTTCTACCAGTGGCATTGCAGTTGGACTGAGCACTTGTCTGAGTGAGGTCGGTACTCATTCGGATGAGATAGAGCTTTATTTAGCATTTGGAGCCAGTCGCTGGGAAGCAGCGCAATCGGTGGCTATTGAGGCCATTCGTCTTGCCATGCTTCCGTCGATCAACCAAATGTCGGTGATTGGCCTTATCACCATTCCCGGTGCTATGACGGGTCAAATATTAGGAGGAGCACCGATTTTGAACGCTGTTCGATATCAGCAAATCATCACATTTTTGATTTCAGCTACCACAGGATTAGCGGTCCTATTATCCGTCATTGTGAGTTGATCAACGCTTTAAACCTCGCTCCTTGGTTTGACTCCAATGATGGTCAGTTTTTCTAATTTCGGTAATGATAGGCTTGTTTGAATCGTTTAATCGACGACCATCATCGGCTCCGACCTGAACGAGTCAGTAAAAGAGAACCGAGCTTATTCAGAGATCTTCGACGAACCGCCGATTTTATCTACTTGCGCATGAAAGCCATGTTTAGTAGATCATCCGGACATGGTGTCGATGACGAACGACGGCCATTGTTATCATGAATCTAACATACATATTTTATATCCATTATTTCATTTCTTTTATTTTTGTAATATACTTGCATTTCATCCATTATAAACATGCGTTTTTGGTTTGCCCTTTTTTTATGTGAGTGACGCACTATGTGAGCGTGTGTGCTCCATAAAAGAAAATATCAATAAGCTGCTAGCTTTAGATTTATTATGGCAAGCAAAAGATATTGGGTAGTTTACTCTCTTCTTTGCCCGCTTAGTGAATCACAATGACCAGTTGCCAGGCAGACAAAAATTTATTGTCATTTTCAAGTAACGCACCCTGATTTGATATCCAGTAAAGTGTTGAGCACATACTGAGGGTGCAACTTGTAACTACTCCTCAACATTACAAAACACTATTCCAAGATTCCTGTCAACACACGTCATTCTTTTATTCAGGGCCACCCATTTCACCGCGCGCAATGTCCACTGATGAAGATACGAATTATTATGATGCCGCTGCGAATGAGATTGAGTGGGAGACGGAAGCAGATCGCAGGCGACGATACTATTCTCGACAAAATGCATTCTATGTTGAATATTATGATCCGCTAAACTATGTCAAAGAACTCCGTGTGGAGGAACCGACACCAGTTTCACATATCCCGAATCGCCGCGTTCACAGACGACCAAGATATCGCCTATGCTATCCTCTTTATCTCATTGGTAAGAACCTTTCTCCAGTATCTCCCAGCACATAATTTAACAATTTCCTTTTTTGATCACAATCTGTCATTGTCTGATTTCCTCTGGTACCCTCATCAGCGTGTTGGAAAAAGTGGATAGCAGTGATGATGATAATAGGTGTGCGTTTCATATCAAAATGTCTACAACTTGAAAAAAGAGCCAAAGATTCGATAGACAAATCTCAGACCGGTTACATATGGTTTGTGGTAAGCGTTATTGAGAATATGGATGGATCCCCAATATGCCCCATTTCGCAGGTTCATATCAATGTTTTTTCTGTTTCGTTGCAACAATATATAGACCATTTGCCCAGAATGTTTGGCCGATGGCCGGGATTGGATATCATGGCTCGCGCTGATTTTCCGTAAAGTTACACACTGGGCAATACCTATCATGATTGCTCTGTTTTGTATACTTATTCTGGTAAGATATCCCCAGCGCCATCATTCGTATGTCCGATCTTAAAAGCGATAAAAAACAACTTGATGACAATAAAACGGAAATTGTGTCTAACACTATGAATCCTGTGATCTCTCTCATGACAACTCAATAATCTATCTATTTTACCTTTATGGTATTTTCATTTCAACTGCATTATCTATAGTTTATTCCATAGTTCTATTCTTTATCAGAGTCATGGAAGCTTTATCTGTTGCTGGGTGAGGTTGAAAAGGAACCATTTGGGAAGTGGATTACAGTTGAGTGATATTTCCGAGTTGAAGTCCAGCAAAAAGAATTCGATTACCGAATCAGGAAAAAGGTTTAAGCCACGCTGATTGAGTCTGGGATTATCTTTTCGATTTTCCAAGTGTGTATCTTTTTTCTTTTTTTTTTTTGTTTTCTGTGTCCAACTTTTTTGTCGACAAATGTCCCAGCCGTACCAAAATTTCATATCCCCATTGGACTCGCTCATCTTTGATGTAGCAGTGGATCCCTTCCAGACTGAACAGGAAGCAGCAGAAGATCTGGCCTTATGGGTAAATTAGACTTTTATCTTTTTGCGACGAGCTTGTTCCAGAAATTAACGTTATAACAATAGACCAATGCTCAATTCACCTTTGATGTTAAACCCGGTGTTGGCATTTACGACGAAGATAAACCCTGCAATAGCAGTACTGCTCCTTCTTCCAGCTCGACTCCCTTCGTTCCATCAGCAAACCAATTCGATAACGACTTGGAACCCATTACCTACGAAAAACTCGTAAACTATCTCGATTATGAACTTCCCCAACAACAACAACAGAAGCACCAACAACGGCAGCAACAGCAGCAAACACCACGACCACAAATACCTTTTGTAGAGTCAGCGCCTGTTCGTCCTCTTGCTCCTTCGCTGAGTCAGCCAACTGGTTCCCGCCAATTGCTGCCCAAACCTCCTGTGCTTGATGCCTCTCAGTTGGCCTCATTGCTGACTCAGCCGACCGCAGTCACACCTCAACGCAAGAAATCCACACAGACCGCATCGAAACGATCACGTCCCACCGAAGAAAAAGACGACGAATCTGTTGCTGCTGAGGAAGATAAGCGTCGTCGCAACACAGCAGCCAGCGCTCGGTTCCGTGTAAAGAAGAAGATGCGCGAGCAAGCTATGGAGCAAACTGTCCGTGATATGACAAGCAAAGCAGAAGCGTTGCAAAACCGTGTTAACGAGCTGGAGCTCGAGGTCAAGTGGTTACGCAATCTTTTAACAGAAAAAGAAACTCCTGCAGCACATTCATCGTCTTAAAAAAACGCTTTCCCTTTGCCCATGCCATGCTTTTACCTATCCTCTGTCATCTTTTTTACTTTTGCCTATGTACAATATTCCTTTTTTTCAAGCCTTTTTTTATTATTAGCTTGTTCTTTCTTTTTTATCCAATGACGATGATGAATGAATTGTTTATCCTGAAGCGTTATATTTTTTTTTTACTTGATATGACAAAATAAAAACCGCCACTGTGATTTGTCTACTCGATAGGTCGACTTCACATGTCACACACACAAGGCAATTCAAAAGAGGCAACGAGATTACAGTTATGTTTTTTGTTTTCTGAAATTTCATTGGTGCTGATCCATTTATTGCGTAAGGCGCCGACCCCACAGCAAATCATTGCATCTCCGACTCTGAGAAAAGGTTGGACGTCTTTGCTCTTCATTTGCCCATGCCAGAACCATCTGAGATGCCGAGTACGTCGAAGCCTGTTTTACGGCTTAATTTCCCTCCTGGTGCTCAACCTGATATAAGTAAGCGATTCCTGGAAGATGAAGGATAAATCGTTTTGTATTACAAGTGTTTACTAATGAGAATCCCAGTCCGAGCAAATCAGAAGGATGTATACTATCAAACCATTCTGCAGGAACAAATGTCGAGTGTTGTTCAGCAATTCTTTGGTAAGACGACGGCTTTACATGTCGATTCATTTTGCAGGTGATTAATGCTACTTGATTAGGATCACGGCGACAGCATCAGTGGCAAAAAGAGGTTCACACACTGTCTGATTTTTGCTACTACGGTTTAACGACACTGCTCGGTTGGTTTTTTGGTCAATACTAGTGACAAACGCGAAAGAGGCTAATGAAAGGTAATGGTAGGCAGTCAGACCTTAGGTGAAGAGTATTGCGATCTTTTACAGATCAATCAGTATACGAATACGTTTCCGGGTTTGATGGTATGTGCATATGGCAGTTTCGAAGTCTGTGGCAGCGCTTTTGTTTTTTGTTTTTTTCTAAGTTGTTTGCTTTAGCGTCGTGCAAGTCTGGTATTTGCACACACACTGCTTCCGTATATTTATGTGCGGGGAATTGCGGACCTCAAGAAACGCCAACGCCACCGTGGGCACCAAACGTCTCAGTCTAGCTCAACATGGAGAGATCGCGTGGGCAACTTTGTACAAAAGCAACTGCCTATTATTCAGGAGTTCTTTATTCAAAATGTAAAACCGGTGCATCTGGCTATCTTTTATTTCGTTGGCGCGTATTATAATTTCTCAAAACGCGTGACAGGAATACGATATGTAAGTATTTATTGGTGCAAACAAAAGACACCTACAATCTTGTTAACATCCACTGTAGATTTTCACGCGGCAATTGGGCCCTCACGAAGAGCGAGTAGGATATGAGGTGCTCGGGGTATTGATCGTTGTCCAGTTGGCGATTCAAACGTTCCTGGCGATTCGAAAACGAGTAGCGACAGCTCAACAGCGAAAGCAATTGGAAGCACAGCAGGTTCTGGAAACTAAGCTGGAAAAGGAGCAGACAGATAAAGCCGTTATCATTGCTGAAGAGGACGACTTTGACTTTATGAATGCATTCGAAGAAGAGGGTGAAGAAGACGAAAAGGAGTTAACGTACGAAGAAATGCAGCTACTCAAGTGCGCTTTGTGTCTCGAGCCTCGTAAGGTGACAACAAGTACGCCTTGTGGTCATCTGTTTTGCTGGAGTTGCGTGATCGAGTGGTGTCAAAACAAAGTAAGCATTTTTGTGCATCCTTCGATTTTCTTTGATATTCAATCTCCTCTAATCCCCTGGTTTTTTTTTTTTTTTTTTTTTTTTTTTGGCTATTTTCATGTGGAATTCGTCGACTAACCAAACAAATTGTTTTGTTTGCCTTCTTTTCTTGTTCGTTAATAGCCGGAATGTCCCCTGTGTCGAAGCACTGTCAATATCTCACATTTGATACCATTGCATAACTTTTAGAATGTAAAAGAAAACCAGAGAAGAAAAGACTGTGTAACTGTATGATGATAAATACAACAAAGTCGCGGGAAGTCAACGACTAGTTTGCGGGACGCATATGGAACAATTCCCCTCTTTTCCATCCGAATTTGCTGCGGAAAAAATTTAATGACGAGAACGGAAAATTTATGGACCGATCCGGTAACCATGAACTAGGTTATGCGAAATGAACTCATTGTACCGCCTTCCATTATTGTTCTTCATCTACTTACTTTGATTATTTTATTACCGAATACATCACGGATTGCAATTATGACCAAGAGTTTGGTTTTTCTGGAACAAAGACTTATTTGTTTGATCCGGGTTTCCCGGTGCATGAGGGGCGGAGAGTTAAAATAGTTCAGCCGGATTAGTATAGCCACAAAAAAAATATAAACTGAGAAAAAACAAAAAAGATATGCTCTAGTGAGAATTACCAGGTATGGCGAAGAACTTGGGGATGACACATGCGTGTGTCACTTGACATAGAGCCAGGATCCAGTTTTCTTCTTCATATCATTGGCACGGAGTAGTCTCGGGCCGTCAATAGCTTAAGAGACACAATTCATTTCCCCCTATTGTAGTGGCGATCAATTGATCATAAGGGCTGGGAGAAAGTAGTCCATGTATTTTCTTGGGCGTATAATGGGTCTTGATATTGAACACGCCTAAAACCTTGTAACCAAAACAAAACCGAAATAAGCTCTTTCCCTCACGGAATAAGCAAGAGCCGCAGTTCTGACGTGATATCGGTTATTCATTTTTTTTCGGAGACATATTAGGGTTGAATTTTTTTTTTTTTTTTTTGATTGAAACATGGAACTATAAATCCACCGGAATTTTTTTTAATTCCCAATTGCACCACCTTTTTTTGCAGTTTTTTTTTTGTTTGCTTGTTGTACATCATGAAACCTTGGTTATGGAGCAGTATACTGCTACTGCTATTTGCAGCACACGCTTCAGCGCAACATCACACCATGGTGGACGAGGAACTTCCTCCGTTCAATGCTACCGGTGAAGAACCAATGTCGTACGCATTGTTCCCAGATAACAAAGGTTATTTCTACATGCACGTCGGATTCATGGTTCTGGCATTTTGGGTTTTGATGCCTATTGGTAAGCTTTTCTTTCGCTTTCTAGAAGAAAATGGACCTATCATTCATGTATTTTCGATGGCAATCTACATAGGTATCATGTTTGGCATTGCTCGATCCTCCTTACATATCCCCACACAGATTCTCGCGTTTGGTGTCGCTATGCTAGGTTTCTTCTTTGGCCAAATGTATGGCCACTCCGTACCGCACTTGTATGCTGGTAATGTGCATCATTCCATGGGTTGGATTCTGTTCCTGTTCATGATCGCCCAATTGTTTGTTGGCGTTGTGAGAAAAATCTCAAAGGTGGTTGGTCGAAATCAAGAATCCCAGTATAACCGCTTGGAAACTGTCCATTTGATGAACCGTCCCTCCTCTTCCAGCTCGGACGACCATCATCACGACCATCACAGTGAGGCTTCCTCTGCTGAAACTCTTAATAATTTTTACGATGAAAACGACCATGACCACGATAATGACAGCTTTGGAAAACAGCATTTGGCTCCATCTGACGAAGAGCTGTTGGACGAAGATCCGATTACGATGGCGTACGAAAAGCCTCCCCTCTATATGCGTGCCTTTAATGCTGTGTCACCTTACATTCCCAACTTTATGAAGAAATTTGTGGTGGTACTGGCCTACAATTCCATCATCTGTCGCTATATCCACCTGGTGCTGGGTCGCACTTTTATTGTGCTTATATTCATTCAAACTTTGAGTGGTCTAGTTGTCTATCATGGTGTTTGCAGATCATGGGATGTCCTCGGTTGCATTGCTCACCTGATCAAGGGTGGCATTTTCTTCTTCTACGGTATGATGACGCTTGGTCGTTACCTCGGTGCGTTCGCCGAAAGAGGCTGGGCATGGAACCGTGTGGACGGTGGCAGTCGTTTCAGTTTTGAAATGATCGAAAGTGGACTGATTTTCACCTACGGTATTACCAATACTTGGATGGAGCATTTTGGCCAAGACTCAGCGTGGACCCATAAAGATCTCGAGCACGCCAGTTTAGCATTCATGTGGTGGTGGTGTGGATTGGCCGGTATTCTCGTTGAAAGTCGTGCTCTGCGCCGTTTGTTGGAACGTTCAGTAATGAATACTCCTTTGGATGTTCCCAAGCATGAACCGCACCAGACCTATTCGCTGAATCCGTTCCCCGCCTTGACTGTTCTTATGACCGGTATTTCCATGGGTAACCATCACCAGGATTCGCAGTACTCCACCAACGTCCATTATATGTGGGGTCTTTTGCTGTCCTTGGCAGCTTGTTGCCGTTTTATCACCTACATTTCTCTGTACCGCAAGTCACCGAAAGGAACCCAACCTACCCGTCCTCCAAGCGAATTGCTGGGTGCATTTTTACTGATTGCCGGATCGATTTTATTCATGGCTTCCAACTCCGGTACTTTGACGTGGCTTCGCCGTAATCAGGTGGACTCAATGTTCATGATGAACGTTTGTGTCGCACTCACATCCATGACTATGTGCTACGTTACTGGATTGATGATTATCAAGGCCTGGTCCAAGAAGCGTGAAGACAGAAAGACGGCTCATCTTCGCAAGAACCATGCCAATAACAATATTGCCATCGCATAATCATTGAAACATATCATCGGATATCCTCGTACGGCTTTCGCTTTTCATCTAATCTATTCTTATTAATCCTTATTTTGCTTCATCGCACTTTAGCTAGCTTTGAAGCAATGTAGATAAGCCTTATTTGTATATTTATTCCTTGTCTATTGTCTATTTTCTATTCAATAAAAAAAATGACCGGCTTCATGATTGATCAATTTCTCCAAACCCTGTATCGTTTCGTTCCCATTTATAGAGTTGCCGGCCATTGTCGTGAAAACGCAAGAAATAACTTGAATACATGTGTGAGTAGGATATTGTGAGAAGTTTATGTCAGCCTGATGATGATGATGACGGTCGTTGTTTCTTGCCATGAGCTTCATGCTGAAAATGATGAGGTCTTTCAGGGACTTTTTTTTTAACAACCAAATAAAATTTGCGTAATTTTTTTTTTCTTCCTCCTCTTCCCTTGTTCTTTCGGTTGAAGGTTCGCGTGTAGTTTTTTCCCTTCCCTTGTTTTGTTCAAGACACACCAGCCTTCCAGGTGCAACGCCGAGTCAAGTCTAGGAAAATCCCATATCGGATACATTTCATTACATTTTTGGATCCAAGCTGCACCTTTTTTTTTCGTCTTTTCAACTGACGAGTGGGCTTCGTTTTAACGACCTTTGTCTGTTGCTCGTCGCAGGTGTCGATCGCCCTTCATTCACTTTGATTCTTGATCACACTTTCCGTTCCAGTCATTTTAATGAGAAACTCCAAGACCCCGTCAGCCATTACCCGCACAAAGCTCATTGACGGTTCATACGTCGGCGTCAACGGTAACTGCCCTATTTCCAAATTTTCCAATGTTTGGCCTTCACAGCCTGTTTGCTTATTGATATCTTGCTAGACTATGTGTACCTTGCGCCAGAACACCTCGGGGAACCGTACTATATTGGTCGTGTCATGGAATTCTGTACTTCGCCAAAGCGAAAGGGATTACAAGCGCGCATTGCATGGTTCAATCGGCCTAAAGATGTCATTAATCGCAAATCCTATGATCCTTGTTTGCTTGTTGCCACCATGCACTCTGATCTGAATCCTGTCTCTTCTATTCGCGGTAAATGTGTGGTGACCCATAAATATTACATCCGGAAAGAAGATATGGACCACTACAGAGCACAGGAAGATCATTTTTACTACAGCCAGCTATACGATCGGTATATTCAGCGTGTTTATGATCTCGTCCCCTGTGAAACAGTCCATAATGTCCCAATGGACATCCAGGAAGCTTTACGTCACCGATATCAGTTTATCGTCGTCGAACAGGGAAAAGCGGCAGACTTGACCGTAGCCAGGCGTACTTGCTGTGTTTGCCAAGCTTGGTGCGCAAGGTATATAACTTATCCCAGTTTTACTTTCTCAAAGAGACCAGAGCTTGGCCTTTCTATTTTATATTCGAAATTCTGTTTGCAACAGTCGATTGAATGCGTTGCATATTCATTGAACTCATCTCTCTCTCTTCCTCTCTTTCTCTATTCTTTTTTTTTTAATAGTGCTACATCCGTTAAATGTGCAGCGTGCCAGAAAAATTACCACATGGCATGTCTCAACCCGCCACTGACCCGGAAACCGTCCAAGGGGTTCGCTTGGCAATGTGCGTTTTGTTCTCGGAAAGAGTTGATGGAGGAGCAAGCCGTGCATGAGGGCTCTCTTTCCGCAGAAAATCACCACAGCCGTATCGACAGCGCTAACAGTAAAAGTACGCAGCGCTCCACTATACGGCAAACGAGGAACGCTGCTCGCCTTCAAAACTCGCTCAAGCCTTTGCAACTCCCGAAAAACCAAGCTGCAGCCACTGTAGAAGAGAGCCACGACTTGAAAAAGGAGTCGCCCAAAAAATTGGCACAATGGGATCAGAGTGATGGTAACACAACAATTTTTTTTTTCATCTTCAGAGTTTTCCATTGACAAGTTATAACGATTGATTTTAGAAAAAACCCCACCTATGCGTACCACACACATGTGGCCGTTTCGATATTTCGGCGTGAACACGAACATTTCTGATATTCTTGGTGAGCAAATATTTTGTGCATTCATCTTGATAACGCTCCAGCAACTGAGAACTTCCTATCAAAGATGTCGACGACAGAATTTATCCTCGCGCTCGAAGTCGGCTGGGGGCCAAATATCAAGCTTCGGTCCCAGAGTGGCACGAGGGTCATCGACTTAGCGCTTCGCCAGTGGCGGAATCTTCTCAAGGACAAAATGAATCACCTGGCAGATCCGGGACTGGGAGGAATCGTAGCAAGCGAGTCGATAAGAGAGGGCGGCCAGTCAACAAAAAGAAATCCGGTACGTTAGTGAACCCATGCCCGATTCGATGTTTCCATATTAAATTATGCTTCATGCATAGATTCTAGTCCGGGCGTGTCAGCCGTATCTTTCGGGGAGAAAGAACAGTCGCCAAGCAACGAGCCATATTATCCTATACGGGGTACTGACGAAACTGTCACTCCTATCTTTAGTCGGCCTCATCAGCTGTCTGAAAATGAATGTAAGGATCCTTTTTGAGTCAACGAAGGGTGTAACAAATAACCTCTAATTAATCTTTCCCTAGTGGATAACTATATGGAAAAAATCAAATCAATGGATAATTTACCGCTGCCTTTCTATTCGAGCGATTTACAAGATCACGCTCTCATTGAACTTGAAAAGTCCCATTATGATACTCAGGCTGCGCTTCAAAATATGTCGAAACTCACAGCAAGCGATTTCCGATTTTTGGTTGAATGGTCTCCCGAAGAAGTCGCTGCTTTCGAACAAAGCATCCAGGAACGCGGTCACGATCTCCATTCAGTGAAGCCAAGAGTTCCTACCAAAACCATGGCCGATATTGTTCGTTATTTTTACATCTGGAAAAAGACGGATCGCTATGAGCCCGTATATTCAGAATGGACGCGCATTTACCGACCTACGTAAGATATAACCCTGAGCACACATCCACTCTCCAGCACGGTCGTTGTCTGACCTGGTCAATAGGAAAAAGTTCAAAAAGCATGCAAATGTGGCGAAGGAATCGCCGGAGGAGGATTCGGACTCTGACGTCGATAGTGAGGAGGAATCCGATCCCACGATTGTTCCGCCAAGCACGTACAACAAACGAAGCTATCAATGCGCCAATTGCATGGTCACTGAATCGCCACTGTGGAGACGCCCGCCCTCGGATACGGACAGAAAACGCAAAGTGTTTCGCACTGTGCTATGTAACGAATGCGGTATTTATTGGTTAAAGTATGGTAAAATGAAACCCGTATCAGAGGCGGCGATGGCTGCGCGCAGCAAAGGTCGGCAATCGAAAACGACGGCAGATGAAGAGCCGGTAGAAACATGTGAAGCCAGCGAAGGCAGTACGCTTGTACGGATAAGCATGAAACGAAAAAAATTGGCAGATGCACCAAACGCCAAATCTGTCTCGAAAAAGCTCAAAGATGAGGTAATCAAAGAGAAACGGGAAATTTTTGTTTGTATTATGTATGTCATTCTGATACGCTTTTTGCAGAAGAAACGAAACAACGTGTTGCATTTTGCTTCCAGTCCGTGCGCTGTATGCAGACAGGAAACTCCGCATGAAAAAGTGTTCGTTTGCTATGACTGTGGCATGTCTGTGCATGATGGTTCGTAACGTTACAAAGCGGGCAAGGAAGCATCCGTGAGCTGAATTTGATGTCTCCTTTTTTAGATTGTTATGGCATTACTACCTCCAACAAAGAAGGTTGGATCTGTGACGTTTGCCACAATAAGAAGGCGCCTTCTGCATCTTATGTAAGTTTTTTCCGTTAATCTGGTTTTTGCGCATTTGCATGGAGCTTCTGACGACAACATTGCCTACAGCAATATGAATGTGTGCTGTGTTATGAATCCTCCAAATTGCCGCATCAAGCGCTGAAGACGACATCAGGTTATAACTGGGCGCACGTCACTTGTTCAGCATTTATCCCGGAGGTGAAATACGTGCATAGTGCTACTTTACAACCGATTGAATATATTGGCGCCATTGCGAAATCCCGATGGCTTGAGGTAAACATGTCTACTGGTCGCTGGAAAAGGAACACAAGTGCTTAAGAGGTCAATAGCAATGCCGTTTGTGTAATGAGTCAAGGGGAGCATGCGTTATATGCGCGGATTGCGAAAAACCAGTACACGTAGAGTGCGCGATCCAACACCAGTTCAAGGTTGCGTTTGAGATACAACCTATTGGCACAGATGATAGTGCCATCACGATTCCTAGCGGTTTATTTGCAAATGATTCTCCGGCAGGCATCATGGTACCTGAAGTATGGTGCCCGGAGCACGATATTTCTCATCGACACATTGTCGAGCTTAATGCACGCACGACGGACACGGGCGAGGTAAGTTGCGGCCTTGGTAACCCAGAAAACATGTCAATTCAACTTATTATTTCCTGCAGTCTTCTATTCGAGCTTATGCAAAACGCTATAAAGGCATTGAATCAGGAACCACCCCTGCTATGCGACGTTATCGCGCTATTCAGCAACCAGCGCACCCTCAAGGCTGCCGTGACGCCGCTCTATACCAAACAGATCATACTTCTGTACATTCAGCAAACGAGGATTCCATTCGTATTCCGTCTGCTCGACAAAGCGCGTTGGATGCAATGCCAAGTCATTCTGCTGCTCCTACTCCTACCACCAATATTACGACGAAAGCCGCTCCGTCATCACGGAGTAGTACCTCTTCATCACCCATCTCCACCTTTTCCACGTCGAGTAGCGACAGCACCAACTTTGTATGCACCGAGTGCCCTGTTACAGCATCACCTATCTGGTGGAATGCGGATGATCACAGTAAGGTGTCCGGCAAGAAGCTATGCCACCGTTGTTGGTGGCGTCGTCATCATCCCGAGCAACCAGCGCAACATTTCTGAATCTAGTTCACCAGCTTTTTTCAACGAAAAGAAGGGAAACGTAGATGAAGGAATCACTCTATCCGTTGATTCCCTTTGTGATTGCCATTATCCCCTTGCATTATTCTTGATTCTTTGTAAAACACAAAAGTATAAACGCAGCTACATGGCTTCAAGTCATATTCTATATTTTACCTATATTTGACACGGTTTTATGTTGGGTGGTATCTACGACTACGAGACCGCACTATCTCGGATAATACAGCTTTCCGTTCACCACGGTGCTCGTAGCTGCACGGTTGGTAGCTTCATATGGTGAATTCGATCAGTACCTGGCAACAGCACGTACCAGAAACTTGTCTGGGTCGTTTTAGGATACGGGACTACTGAATGTTTTCGTGACAGATGACTTTTGCACGACACAAGCACATTTCGTATCCGGCATCATCGTGATAGACAAAGGCCGGCGATATTACGAGTTGCACGATATCCGATTCGTTTGATGATCCACGCTGTTCTGTCATGTATTCTGGATCTAATACATCACGGCCTTCTGTAATGATGCGGATTATTACGGGGTTATCTTGACCGTGCATGGCTAAACTGAGCTTTGTTGCCTCGTCGACGAGCTTGCCAAGCTTCTTTTCGAGCTCGGACCGATTTGCTGTTTGATAAATCTTGGAAATGATATCCACAACGCTTTTGATGAGGAAGTCTCTGCATTCAAGGATTTTTCGATACTGTGGACTGGAATGGTAATTGGTGTCGGCATACATTGTTGCGATCACTTTGCACAACTGTTGTCGTAGCTTGCGACCAAAGCCTTTGACGTGGTACTGGGTCAACCAGGTTGTAATACGGGCAAAATCATTATTTACTTCCGATGCCATATGAATAGGCGCATTGAAAATGCATGCTGCGAGCTCCTCCATAATCAGCTTTTGCACCAAAAAAGCGACAACAGAGTAATCGATGCTTTGATCGCTGCGACAAAGGCGACCTTCTATATATTTGGATAAACGCGGCCATCGGCTGCCGAACACACTGACGACAATGTTTTTATCTGCCGAAAACTCTTGCTTGATGCCAAAAGGAAAACTTTCCACTTTCGTCAACAACGCGGATAACTGCTGCTTGATTGTGGCATAGTCATCGTCTGTCACGCGAATGGCCCGGTAGTGCTCCTGGAGATCTTTGCTCATTACTTGATATTGCTGCTCCATGGTGCGTAGTTTTCGCTCCATCTCTTGCGAATATTGACGCAATTGCTCTTCCGATTCCTTCAGTCTCTGAGTCTCTGCATGCATGTGCTCAATCTGTTCTTCCAGAAGCTGGACATGGGCGGACTTCTTCTTCTTTTTCTCGGTAAAGCTAGCAGAGCTTTCTTGCACATCATTCTGCTGTTGAAATAATGGGGTGCCATGCTGACGCGGAGAAGGCTCTTCCATATTTCGCGGTGCCAAAGCTTTGGTAAACTGCAGCCAGTGACTACGACGATTCGACCCTTCGTGTTGCTGTTGTTGTTGAACCGCTGCCGGTTGCTGAAGTTGCTTTTGCATCGAAGAATCAAATAAAGAAAAGCAACCTTTTATTAGACTAGTTGGATAAGGTTATCTATGGAAACCAGGAGGGAACACAAATATCTTTGTGTAGCTTGTTCATTATGGCTTGGGTATTGTAAACGTAGAAAAACGGTTGTTCAGAAAAATCTGCAATTTTCCGCTAAGCTGTGACCTGGTTCCATCATCCGACCTTGCTTCCGTACGTGAGCACCAGGTAGTATCTTATTTGCTGGTTTTTATTACATGTTCAGACTGGAATTTTAGCTGAGATGGGCGATTCGAGCCACACCGCCTTTTGTGCCTTAACAGGAAACCGCGGATATCGATGTTCACTGGTGCGACCAGAAACTCGCTTTTGGGGACTCGGTGTGAAGGCATATGACGCATTCCCAGAGTATGCTCGGGTCTCGCCTTCCTTTTAATTTTTTAATAGTGATTGTAAAAAGTCGCTCAAAAGTGCACTGCGGAGAAGTCAGCTGAAGCGGTGCTCAGCCCCGAACTAATCTACGGGCAGCACAACCATAATGCTGGAATTGAAATGTGTGCTATTCTACAGGTCACTCTTATCGAGGCAATCCTTTCATATTAATGCTCGCAAATTTCTCATGGCTTAGATCCGACGCTAAATATTCTCACAATTGTGAAGATGAGTGAAAGAGTGCTCAGATATCTTGATACCTTACCGTCAAATATGGCGGGCCATTCAACGCAACTATTTCCGGCCAAAGCAAGGGATACTTTTTCGAAAAAGCTTTAGGTGGTTTAATTAACGTAAACTTTTGCTGATGACCCTGCAGCGGTTTGGCTTATGTGAGCGACAACTGTATCAAGTCTCAGCGCAAAAGGGATGTTTGATGAAGCACCAAACGAACCACAAATCAGAACTGGAAGCGAATTTAGAGAGATCCTCGTCAGAGTATTAGGATCGACGCAGTGAGCCATTCAGGTGATCTCGTTAAGCCGGGCATTGAACCCGGCAATGGTCCTCATTGATACTGTTTACATGACAGCAAGCTGGAAAATTTGTCCGAAACCATTGAAGGATCCTTTACTAAACGGGCGCGAGTGAGACCTTACTGTAGCATGTTCGGATGAATCTTTTATCGAGAAACTCTTCTGACGCCGACAGATTGTCAATATGTAATATGATAAAACGCGCACTCTGAATCTTGTCAGGATTGCCAATGACGGCTTCATTCTATTGTTTTTATATGGCGCATCAACGTTGTTGGATCTTCTTGCTTGAGGATATAGATTCTCGGAAAAGTACTAGAATATCATATCATATCTGCCGATCATGTCCGTCTTTTTTTTTATCCGCATGGAAATCACAGCTTACACGGAATAAACCTTTATAGTAACTGTGCTTCGACCGTTACCAAAAGATCGCAGTGAGAATAAACAATGAACGAGGCACAAATAATGGAGATCGGTCGCATGATTTTGGTATTTCGTGATCGTTTGGATATGTGCTGGAAACCATCCCCAACTTTGATTGAAAATAAGAAAAACATGTAGATGGGGAAAAAGGAAAGTTGCAATCAAAGTTGACACACATTACGTTCGGGAGCAACAAGGAAAATACCCGACGAAGTTGATTTGTGTTACAGTGACAGCTTGTTGTCATCGAAAAGCTTGCATGCGAGTGAGCAGATACGGTCATGCACCACGAGCTCAAATGACACCCCTTTTCTAGCGTATGTCTGTAATAAAAATCAAAAGACTTTTCTCTTTCTTGATATTTTAGTATTGATGAACATTGTTGCACTGCCCTATGAAATCGCCCATTGCTCGTCATGGGACGACGGTTACAGTCCAGAACAGTTGGTGTCATCTAGTCCTGGCAATCGTTCTTCAAGTGTCATGAGCCAATCTGAACTCGCTGACGACGATGATTCTTACGATGGGAAAAAGATCAAAGGCTGGCAAACACCAAAGTACGAATTTTTGTTCAAAAACCATACCAAACAAGAATAATATGACCTACATTCAATAGGTGCCCGAATTATCCTCAGGATCTGATCATTCATTTGCTATGTGGACCGGCCCACATAAGCAAAGTTCAAATCCTTTCTCACCACTATAAGATCGCTACAAAAATTGATGTCTACATCGGCATGTCGAAGCAAGATATCGCCACCAATGAGCCGATCGTCGGAGAGGATGATGATACGCTGATCGAATTCACACGTCTGGGGTACTTCCGAATATCTTGCAATTATCCATACAAGCAATTCATACCGTCCTTTTTTTTCTCTTCTTTGGCAGCTATGTATGCTTGGATAATAACATGCGCGCTCAGTTCCGTGCTCGAGAGCTCAAGTCAATCAAAGTGAATACTGATGGCGAGTATATCCGGCTGGTGCTGCGAAATTGTCACCGAAACAAGTTGAATCTCTATAATCAGGTGAGGCTCTTCATATTCCAAATCATATATGGTATGGGGGGTTCATTATATGGGCGTTTTTAGGTCGGATTGATTGCACTGAACGTGCTGGGACAACCTATTCATTACGCCAACAAGATACCTATTGTAGTAAGTGAACATTCCGTATTTTGCTCCGACATTGAGTGGTTTTTAATGTGGAGATTCCCCAGGAACCGTCACAGCACCCTTTGGACGACATGAGCCTTCTCAGTTCCTCGACAAGGCGAACTAGTGTTTCCAGCGACCATAGCTTTCAAAACCGATCAGCAGCCATCACGCAATATGGTGGCGATGACGATATTCAACAGTGGATAGGGGTGCTACAACAAGCTGAAAAGGAAGCTGTCCAGTGTAAGCTTATTTCGGCAATGGTTGCACACAGAAATCTTATTATTTCCATTTTTAGATGAAGCTTACCAGCAAGCAAAATCATACAGTTACTTGACAAATATCTTGTCAAATATCTCGAAAAAATTGCTCCACTTGGAATTTCAGAAACAAGAGGCCATTGAAATAAAGGATTATGACAGAGCAGATGATCTCAAGGTAAGCAGTGCCAGCATTCCAAAGGAACTATCTTTAATGAATACGATACTTCAAGAATGAAATCAGCGACACGAAGGAAAAGGCGTATGCATGCATGAAAGATGCTGGAATTCAAATTACCCGCGACGGTAAAATCATGACTCTGCAAGAAGCGTATGACTATGAGGTACAACCATTTATTAGATGTATTTGAGTCAAGTTGTAATAACACTCTGCTCTTTAGGATGAAGCCGAGCAGCCAGTAGAACAACCGATTTATCAGGAAACGGAGTGCGGTTTATACGACGATAAATCCTGTTTGCAAAACGAGCAGAAGGACGTCGATTACGAGGAGCCGACGGCCATGTCAAATACTCAGCAATCCTATGGCTATCACTTGTCGAAATCACCTTCACTAGTTGAACAACGGCTTTCGTTAAGTTTCGCAGATCAATCGGATCTTGTCAGACCTATCGCATCGTTATCCACTACGGTGGCTAAAAAGCACGAATTATCACGCAAAATGAGCGTACCGAGGGATCCCGATAGTATTCCAGAACCGCTGATGGATGAAGAACGTCAAAATTGCCGCACTGCTATCGATGTCTTTGGAGAAGATACAGTAGCTTGTATTCTGAGCGTTCGAGTCAAGTGCAGACAGTTGGGTCTCACCCGAATTGCGACGGATGTAGCCGAAGCAACACACTTGGCACAAGAGGGACAATTGGAACAATTTGTCTCCCTGGTGGACATTGTCGAGGATAGTGACTCTGACATGATCGATAGCGACGATGAAGATGCGTTGTCGGCCACTGATGACATTAAGAGAGCAGGAAAATTCGTCCGAGCAGCTTTGATACTCATTCAAGAAACTGTGATGGATTCAAGAGAACACATTTTAAGCACAGCATTGAGTATTTGGCAGGATCTCAATGGTGCGTCGATGTTGCTTTTTGTTTTACATGGTTTTCATCTCATTCATCTCACTCACTTTGTCAAATAGATTTCTCAATTTTGGTTTCCATCCCACCAGGCATGATTTTTGCTTGGATTGAACGTGCATTTTCTTGTCTGCTTATGCGCACCAACGACTCCAATGTCCGTGTACGAGAGCAAGCGAGCGAGTTTGTTATTCTTTTGGGTCAGCAGTATTGCTATGCGCCTTACTCGCTACTGGATATGTTCATAGGCAAGCCCGAGCGTATCATTCACAACCATAAGGACGCCATGAACAGAATCGCACTCGTTGAATTTGCCGTAAACCGTATTCAAATCGCCACAAGTGAAAACGCAGATGCATCGATCGAACTTGACAATCTCATGCAGTTTGTGCTACCGTACTTGAGTCATTCCCATGAAAGCGTCCGCGAAGCTGCCGTTGGACTTGTCGTTTCTATTTCGGATCAAGTCGGCTTCAAGAACGTCAGCACATATATTGACGAAGATCTGAGAAAATCTTTGACAGAGGTAGGTCTATATTAGAGGGATTACCACAGCGTTACTCATCATGAATTTTTGTCTTTAGACCGTTAAGAAATTTGCACAATCAAGGAATGAAAATGACCAGTCAAATCAGACCATTGATATCACATCAGAAATTCGAGCAGCTGTAGCAAAAACGGAACCCCGTACAATCAACAAGAAAACGAAAGCGGCGACGCAACTGACCTCGAAGGGTTCCGATGAAGAATTAACAAAGAAAAAGACCGCAACCGCCGGAAAGAAATTGACAAGTTCCAAAAGTAAGTCAAAACAGTATGGCTTTCGTTACTGGAAACCAAATCTAAACTATTTTCCTATTGTAGACCGTGAAAAAGCCACGCCAACAAAAAAGGTACTCATTGAGAACATTACAATTTTAAGTGTTTTATTTACAAGACTTATTTGGCTAGGTAACGAGCAGTGGCCGTACTGCCTCACGAACAACAACACGCAAATCGGGCAGGGCAAAAGAAACATCTAATAACGACACAACGTAAGTATTGACTTTCGCTTGCAACCAAAAAGTCATATGCTGACGAGCTAAACAAAATTTCAAGGTGTATTTTCTGTGATAAAACGGATCCCGCTTTTAACGAAGAAACATTGATATCCCATTACTACAATGATTGTCCTATGCTCACGAATTGCCCCATGTGCCAAATTGTAAGTGAATACGTGGATGACCCTCCAGTAATTTGCTTCTGATGCTACGTTCCCATAGATCTTGGAAGTATCGACATTATCGGATCATTTATTAGGCGACTGTGAAAAACGCAACCTCTTGAAACAATGTGGTCGTTGCAAGAATGCAATACCAATAGAACAATGGCTGCAACATTCGTCAAAACAAACTTGCATTGGTAAGCTGATAAAGTATTGCTTGGGAATTGCCAATGAAGGTGTCACAGCTCTGACCTCGAGGTTTGATAGCTGCTGTTGAAAATGAAGTTCGTTGTCCTCATTGCCATAAATTGATTGAAACGGCCTCCGAAACCGGATGGAAAACCCATTTGCTGCATGAATCGTGCCCAAAGAACCCGCGAACAATCAAAAAGAAATCAACAAAGAATGGCCCCTCAAGCAACAAGCCTTCAACTATGTCGAAGCGTAACGAGACAACGCCTAGAAAGAAGAAATTGTAAAGCTCTTTTTTCCGTTCATTGAAGCCATAACCATGTTTGATATGGTTATAAAAATAAAAAATAGAAAATAATCGCATTCATTCATACATTTTTATGGCTGAATATGTGAGGAATCCTTTTTTTTTATTTCTTTTTTGGTGCTTCTATCGAACACTGCACTCGTCATGGCCATTGTGCGATTAAATCAGGACCACGCCAGCCGTGCGCCGGCATTACCATCTGCACCTCCAATGAAGAAATACACTATCAAGGATCACAATCCTCAAGCTACGTTATACAAATTCATGAACAACAGCTTCCCAATTCGTGTAAAAACACTTGCCATCTTGTTCTTTGTGGCATTGATGTTCGGTAGATGGACAGTGAGGAAGCATCAACATGACTCAAAAGGGCCGGAGTCTCAAACGCTTGCTGGTTTGAAAGAAGCAAGGAACGAGCAAATTCAACAAGTGCAACTATGGATCCGTTACCGTGTGCACTCCGACCCTGTGAAACTGTCGGTACCTGTTACTCTTACATGGGCAGACGTCAAACATCTGATCAAGAAGGAACTAGCGCCTGCAATGGATCAGATATCTCTGCTGGATATATGGCTTCTTCATGTCACTGAAGGACGTATCTTAGTGACCGAAACGGTATCATCGCAATACCAGAACATCAGTGCTGATAATCCCCTGATCGTATTTGTAAACAATTTTGGTATTTCTTTTACGAGAATCAAAACGCGCATTGAGAGTGTACTGATCTTTTGTATTTACAATGCATTTTGATCACCCAGAGTCGCGTATTGACATTAAACAGCGCACCAGTTTACCGCTAAGAATATCTGCACCGTTATGCATTAAAGGTAAATCGCAACCTGTAATTTTTTTTTTCTGGCCTGAAATCTCAAGACTGAATGCTTTTCAGGAAGTTTTAATTCAGAGGGTTACAAAGCACTCTATCAAATTCTGAAGGATGGTGCGAACGCCAACGATATTGAAGCTCTACGCTTGGATTTATGCATGTCCAACCTTGGCGTTGTCAGCGATAACATCGAAAGGAGTCAGCTTGATGGATTTAATCAAGGACTACTTGCCTCCGCATATGAGTATATGTTTAGTCACTGAAAAAAAAAAAAAAGTGCGCCATGACTCAGCCAATTCTGCCGATCCTTTTAGCTATAATTCAACTTCCAGATAATACGCAGTATCCATCATTATAAATGCAAGTTATTATCTGAGAAACAATGCTTTTTGATTTTTTTAAATGCCAAGTCTGTGGTCACTACAATGCAGTTCTCTATGTTGCGCAGTAATTTCGCTTCTTGATTTCCTTAACTGTCCATTTGCAAGGGTGGACTTTTTGATTCTCGTATGTTTGGGTTTTTCCAGAACCTATATATCAGTGATATTAACAAGGAGCACATGTATTCCAAGTACGCGCTTAAGTACCTTTTTCACTTGTGCATTGATTTTACTCTCCAAACTGCCATAAAACGTTGGATTGTTAGTTTCTTCAGAGATATCCGCGTTCAAACATTTGGAATCATCATCATCAGTTTTCGTATCTCCAGGAGGCACTGAAGGCGATGATTTGATGATCTTCCTGGTATCATATTTTGCTACTGGTGCATTGTTTGCTGTTCCAGAAACGGCACTGACGGCTCTTTCTGAGTATGAATGCGGGAATTTGGGTAAAGGCCGACGTTTCAAATCTCTGTTCACAACGTTGGTAGTTGTAGGCGATAAAACCGTGCTCATGTTTTGCTTCGTCTCTATAACAACACATTAATGGATACCGAGTAAATTAGGTTTATTTTACCAAACTCACCAGACGAAGATTGTTTGTCATTCAGCACGGAAGAGATTTCAGTCATTGCTTGGAAGAACTCGGCATAGTTCATGATCAGCTTTTGGGAATGAAGTTCAGATGGCTATAAGATAAGTGAATGTCAGTCGAGCAGCATAGCATGGTCATATGAAGGGCAAGGTGATATTACCTTGCTGTGACCTATTTTACCGCCACCTTTATCAGATTGATGTGAATCATTTATTAAGAAGGCCTTTTCATAAGTTCCCTGTGGTTCTTACCCGCATGATATGTGTGCTACGCATCACAGCATGTTTAGAACGCTGACATCAACCCTAATGTTTCGTTATTCTTACCCTGAAATCAGTGGGAAAACCAATGGAATCTTTATCGATTCTTTTATGTGACTTTTTCGTATGCAGCGGCTTCTCAGGGTATTGAAGTCCCAGTTGTTCCGCACAGTTGACTCTCGATAGATTGTTGCCCATGGTAAAGACAATATTGAAATGAAGGAGTATATGACTTTATGTCGGGGAATTTATTGGAGATGAAATGCACAAAAAGAGAAAAGTGTGATAAATGATGGAATGACAGCAAGTTTATAGTTGAGTTTGCAACAGCCTTCTTTTTTTTTTTCAATGTCATATATGACGACGTCCCAAGTCTCTATTCTTTCTTGCCTTCTCTATCTTCTTTGACCCGGCTTTCTTTTTTTCTGTACCATCTCCTAGAATAAGTATCACCAATCAATCCACCCAGCATCAGGAACGTGCCCCAGGCCTGTGCTTCTGCGGATGTTAAGACGGGTATATCAAATAAACTGCACAATTCAGGGGAGGTCATGAACATATAAAACAATGTGATAGCCAAGGAAAGTTTCATGTCGACAGACATAACGCGCAGCAGTCGAGGCGTGCAGAATGACCAGTGTTGTTGATCAAGACGAAATGCATCTACTGATTGTTCAATATTTGATACGCCGTTTCATTTGGATGTCTGTTATCTTACCGATCCAGAGTCCACCTCCACATCCGGCTAATGTACCACAAATGATTTTGGCTACCGACTTGCCAGCGCCGAGTCCGGGATTCGCAGTGACTCCTTCGATACCGTATTGCACCATGGCGGATGTTCGGAGAACAGCGTCCGACAAAGTAAACAAATGTTCTCCCAGGGGCATCTCGAATAGGCTTTGGGTACATCTGTAGATAAATGAGTTGGAAAACATGGCCCAGTAGATGAAACTAATGGAACGTACAGATGTGTCGGTTACAGATAATATGGATCGTAAAAAAAATAAGCGTATCTATACTTACCAGTGGATCGCCCAAGTGAGGTTGCTTTGTAAAAGGCCAAAAGTTTCACCTCTGATTAAGGACACCGTGCAGCCACCTCCGGAGGCCATAAAGAGGGTTGCCACCAATCCTTGACCCCAACCGATGTAGGCATGGCTTTCACCCAAGGCAGACCGATAGGAATAATGCACAAGAATAGTAAACAGTACATCCATCACGGGCAAATGCAGTCCCAAAGCCGGTATATCCAGCGTTAAACTGGATACGGAATAGAGTGTAGAAACCGCTTGTTCGTTTATAGACATCTTCACGGTCAACCGGAACCACGTAGCGGACAAAGGGGAGATAATTCTGATTTTCCAACAGCATCAAAAGTTTAATGCGGTGGTTGAAAATGGCGAGTCCCAACGGGGAAATCCGAGTGTGGGAAAAAATAGGCTCTGTCTCCACCATGGCTTCTATTCGAGTCCTGTCAAAGGCTGATGTCGATCAAGTATTGCGTCAAGGCGATGTTGCTGCAGCGCGCGAGATAGTGACACTGATGTCCGATACCTTTCGAAGCTATACACTCGGACATGAGACCTCCAATAACTTTCATGCTCAAGCTCCTCAACGAATTGCCGTCAACACCGAGTCTCACAAAGTCTTATTTATGCCCTCGCGCTTGAATGAAACGACGTCCGTTAAGATAGTGAGCGTTCCTACCAAAGATGGCAAAGGCGGTTTACCTGCCACCGTCATGGTTTTGGATGAGGCAACCGGAAGCGTAGATACTGTTATGAATGGAGCCGCTTTAACTGCCGTTCGAACAGCCGCAGGTAAAAAAAAAAAAAAGAAGAGTGTTTCATTTGAGAAAAAAGGAAAGGAAAAATGGCTCATCACAATAATTGTAGGCTCCGGTCTTGCCACACAATATTATACCAAAGAAGACGTGAAGCATTTGGTAGTTTTGGGTGCTGGTGCCCAGGGTCGCGCGCATATTGATATGATGATTGCTGTCCGCCCTTCTCTCGAGCATATTGCTATTTGGAACCGTGGACAGGAGCGTCGTGACCAACTTATTGAGGAAATGAGAACTGCCTATCCCACGCGCACTGTGGTGGCTGCCGACGATTTGGAAAAATATGTCCGAGAAGCCGACATCATTTGTACATGTACCAATGCTTCGGAGCCTGTGCTTCGGGGTGCTTGGTTACGCAACTCGGTTCATCTGAATTGTGTTGGATCTTATCGTTTGGACATGCATGAGGTCGATGCCCAAGTTATTACGCGATGCGACAAAATTCTTGTGGATTCTATCGAAGCGTGCAAAGCCGAAGCAGGGGAATTGGTGAAATCGTCCAAACCGGAAGATTGGACAGAAATGGGTCAAGTAGTGAAGGATTCTCATCTTCAGTCAGAAAGTCAGCAGTTTCAAGGAAAAATCACGCTTTTTAAAAGTGTGGGCATCAGTGTTCAAGACAGTGCCATTGCAGGCTTGATAGCTGAACGTGCCAAAGAAGCCAATCTCGGTTCCATTATTCCTTTCTAGAGCAAATAGACAAATGTGTTGTTCAAAACAGTTCTTTATTTATTTGTAACGTGAAATAAAACAGTTATAAGCATGGAAAATGGCCTATCAAAGATAGAAAGAAGCAGTTAGCTTTTGTGACGAAAAGTATGTCTCCATGACAGCAAAAAAACCAAGAAGCTAGTTGGTAGCATAATACTCAGCAATACAAATTAGCATCAAGTATGTACTCGCAGTACATCTGCTCAGTGCTTGACTCTATGTACTAAAATTTCATCCCCACTACCAACCCTTGCTTCTTGCAAAAGTATAATAGAACAATGCTTACCTGCTTAAAAGCTGCACAACAAAAAAACCAAACAAATTGCGCGAGTTCCTTGCCTTTATAAAATTTTTCTTTGTTTGAGACGGTCATTTTTGAATTAACAACGGTCACTTTTTTTTCCAGCGCCGGTTCAAAGATGCACAAGGCGCCGTTCAATTAACACTGACGGTGCCCTGCGCCAAAAAAAAGAAAAAGGTGAAAGGCGCTGAAATTTTACCACTGCCCCCTTTTTTACAGATATTTCTCTAAACAAAAGAACAAAGTAACGCGACATACGTAGATTCACATCCATAAACTGTCAAAATACTGGTATATGTAATTTATGACATGAAAAATAAGTAAAGGTAAAGGCCGCAGAAGATTGGCAGATAACAACTTTGACAAGCACATAGTGTAATTTGGAAATGTGTAGCCTACGGCAGTAGAAAAGATGAATAAGCTAATGATATAGGACAGGCTGCTGAAAATCGTTCAGGATCGCTGAATAAGCACAAGCATAAGGGTAAGCGTATGGACCAGCATGGCAACAGTGAAGAGCGCGCTTGAGCCAAAGTTCATACTTAGATATGTGTTGAACCTTAGCCTCACCAAAGCAAAACGAAGATCCAAAAGACAGTTGGTTGATTTTGCTGATCACGGCATCAGGTCGTTGCCTGCGAGTTTCAGGCGTTGTAGTGTCTGACCAGCGCAGGTGAACATTATTGAGCGGATTGGCAATAAGGCGTGACAGGATCGGATCGAAAAAGGTGCACACCCTCACCAAGGCTGCCCTCGTTTTCGAGGCTGTTCGTTGGAAGCTTACCAATCCGATCCAAGCATGAAATTATAGATCAATGATGGGAAAAGACGACCTTTTTTTTGAGCCTACTCTTTGATGATGCCTTTCACGATCGCTTTTCTAGACTGCGGAAGATCGTTAGCTACCTGCTGCAGATCAAGCTCAGCTAAATCGATGGGTTTTGTATTGTCTGTCCAGGTCTATGAGCTTTATTTCTTTCACCATTTTGTTCACGGCGCGCGATAGTTTCACAAATACATTGTTCCCCAATCCAGATCGCTGTCAAGTATTTCGGACAGGAGGGTCCCAGTGATTTCGTTGAGATTCTTCTGACCAAAGTCGTCGATGAACCGGGTCGTTGTGTTGGTTTGGGCAGAAAAGAAGTATTCCGCTCAGAGCAAGGATATCGTGCAGAGATCGCCCGATATTGAGAGCCTTTTCTTCACTGTGTTGTTTCGCTGACAGCTTGAAGCGTGTGGACACTTTTGCGAAAGCAATACCGGCGACCACTCACGGTTCTTATGCCTGGCAGTAAGAAGAGGCTTCTTCGTATTAATGCGGGATTCGAAGCCTAACCCCTGCATCACATTACGGACTGAAGAGTAGCGACAATCTATACCGAGACCAAGGCAGTACTTGTGCACCTCAACAGCAGTCTTGAGTTCCCCTGTGGGCACTTTTCTACGGACAGAGGCAGCAGTAAAGCGTTGCTGTGGTGGGATAGCTCAGAATCATTGCTTTACTATGGTGGAGACCTCGTGTTATCGTCATCATCAGCCGCATTGTTGGGACGTTGTTAGCCAGTGATAGAATCACTGTCTGTGCGCAGCACGTTCTCAGCGTAATTCAGGCATGTTCTGTGGGTCGCTAGCTGTGCAAGTTCTCTTTGCTTTTGCTCCAGAAATTTGACCAGTCCGCCGTCTGTTTTCATGATTCCAGATCGATAATGTCGCGTTGAGCTGTCGGGCAGGAACTTCTTGACAATATGACAGATAACCTCGAATAGCTTTCGCTTTTTTCAGAAGCCGCGATGTTCGACGGCGCTTCAAGTTAAACATTCCTCGTTATCGATGCACCATTGCGCCGCAAACGCCAGCTCTTGCCGCATACGGACGGACGTTCAACTTCGTACTGCGTGACCGTGTAATATGATTCGTATGCAAAGAGTTTAGACCCCGCAAGGGTAATGCCGGCAATAAACCCTTGAGAATGAAGAAGCTTTAGATCAACCACTTGTCAAGGGCTAATCAAGATAGAAAATTGGCTGTAAATGATTGTCAACATAGAACGCCCAAATTTGGACAAGTGATATGCTAAGGTCAGAATTGTGAACACAGCCATGTCAGATATGAGCACAGATAGCACAGTCTCTACACAGTAACCTGCAGAAGTCGAAACCAAGATCAATACGGTTTCGAAGCTGCACTCCACAGCCACAACCATAGAGAGTGCTAAAAGCTAGGATATCAACAATATTACCCAGAAAGATATTGAAAATAAGCATTTTCGCTTTTTGAGACGGAAAAAGCACGAAGATGCATAAGTATGTTGAGATGTAGGTCAAAAATTATAGGTCAAGTATACCGCGAAACACTGGCGATCAGACGGATATGGATTTCGTCTCTCACGAAGAGTCGATTCTTTAGACTCAACAAATGTCCGAAAGCTTGATCATCGAGGCTATGCATAAGTCCAACGTCCACAAGTTGACGTCCGGAACATCGCTGGCACTAGTCACCATTCGAAATGTGAATTCGCCTTGGCTGACAAACCAGATATCTTGTTGCCAAGTATGGACAAGCTCTTGGGGTTAATATATAGGATATTTAGGAACACACCAAGCGCCCGTCTTTGCTGTTATTTGGATGAGCGTTGGCCACTGATTGAAGCAGTTTCAGTGCGCAACATGTTCTCGACGTAATGCAGGTCGATTTTATTGTGTCTTTTTAGGTTAGCAAGTTCTCTTTGTTTTTGCAACCAGAATTCTGACGATCCTGTTATTTGCTTCAGGGTTCCAGATTCCTATCAGTCGGGTCGAGCTATCAGAACAGGAACCTCTTGATAATATTACGTGTTCTCACCATTGAGCGAATTTTACTTTCTGAAAGAGGTTATGATCTGGCCAATGGCAGGCTTCTGACTAATTCGGATCCGTCACACAAACGGATGAGTATTGCGGACAGTTGGTGTTAGTCAGCAAACAATCGTTCTTATTGGACGATATCTGTTGCGGGGAAAGAAGCGGAAACCAAAAATTGAGTATATTTTACCTCTCATGGAATTTTCAATCGTACTTCTTTGAACTTTTTACACTTTACATTCGCTTTACCTCCCCACTCTCCCACTTCTATTTTGGCCAATGAATCCGTTACGATCATCTGTTCTTAGAGTTGCGCCACGATTTGTACAACGTGCACCTATCATGCGTAGTTCCTATATCGGCGCTCGCTTAGGTGCACAGCCTGTGCGTGGTTACGCTACCGCTCCTGGTGGTAAAAAAGGCGGAAGCAGTGGTCTACTTTTGCTCAGTGAGTAATTACAAACAATAAAACGAGATCCTCGGGCCACTTATCAGCGGATATGTTAGCGCTTGCCACTTTGGGTGGCGTCGGTGGTTATTACTATCATAATGCCAATCATACTGTGAAGATCGTTCAGCCTACCGATACCAAACTCGCTGAGAAGCGCAAAGAAATTGATTATAATCAAGTGTACAAAGACATTGCTGAAATTCTTGACGAAAACTCTGAGTATGATTTCTCTTGAAAGCAGTTCGTGAGAGTCAAAACTAACAAAATCTCTGTCTGTTAGCTACGATGACGGTTCATACGGACCAGTTCTTGTTCGCTTAGCCTGGCACGCTTCAGGAACTTATGATGATGAGACCAAGACAGGCGGCAGCAACGGTGCTACTATGCGTACGTACTTCATCGATGTCAAAATACGCAAAAAGTAGTCCCTGATAAAGCTGACTGATATGTTTTTTTAGGATTTGAGCCTGAATCGCTCCATGCCGCCAACAATGGATTGGCTATTGCTCGTAACCTTTTGGAAAAGATCCACGCAAAGTATCCCGAAATCAGCTACGGTGACCTTTGGACTTTGGCTGGTATTTGTGCTATCCAGGAATTGGTAAGACCTCATATATGGAGCTTGTGTAACTTTTGAGCAGATGACTGATTGATGTTACTGGGTATTGTAGGGCGGTCCCACGATCCCATGGAGACCAGGTCGTCAAGATGCTTTGGACAAGGAGAAGTGCACGCCCGATGGTAGATTGCCTGATGCCACAAAGAAACAAGATCATGTCCGCGACGTGTTTTATAGAATGGTGAGAGGCAGTACACGTACAGATCTTTGATGCCATATATCTTACACATATTTGTAGGGTTTCGATGATCAAGAGATCGTAGCTTTGCTTGGAGCTCATGTTCTCGGTCGCTGTCATCCTGAACGCAGCGGTTTTGAAGGACCATGGCAGGAAGCACCCACCATGTTCTCCAACGAGTATTTCAAGGCCCTCACTGAGCGTGAATGGATTAAGAAAGATCTTCCTCACGGTGGCTGGCAATGGGTTGATAAGAACAATCCCGACGTGATGATGTTGCCTGCCGAAATTTACATGTACAACGACAAGGACTTTAAAAAGTACTTTGATTTATACGCAAAGGATCAGGACAAATTCTATTCCGATTTTGCTCGCGCTTTCTTGAAACTCATCGAGCTTGGTGTTCCCTTCAAGGGAGATGAGAAAGTGTACAGATTTGAAACCATCAATGCCTAAAAATGAATAAACCTGGAACCATCTCATAAAATACATACACGTGCTTGTGCCATATCGTGAATTGTTGTACGTGGTAACGAAATGATTCATAGTTCTCACGTATATTACGTGTGAAGTGATATGTTGTATCGTTATGCTATGCTCCTAAACGACAGTCTTCGATCAATTTGTCTTCCTAATAATGGTGATCTTACTGTGGGCATAATTTTATTTAATAAGACGAGGGTACCATACTACTTGAGGCATTACTATGAAATGATACTAAAATACATAGTAAAGGTTATAGTCTTTCGGTTTGCTGTTCAAGAAATCAGACAACTACCGATTCAAAAGACTAGTGTTGTTCAGTGGTCTGACTTTGACAAATTTCCATGGTTCGCCAAACATAATGGCCGTCACTTTCAGCAGGTGCACTCGAATTTTCCTTCTTGGCCGAAATTTTTTCTTTTTTTTTTTTTTTTTCTTGGACATCCCTTGTGATCTTTTATTATGGAAGACGAAAACAACTATAATGCTGTGCCCCCTCCGGCATCGCTCACATCTAACAATGCGCCCGTTAACTTCAACGATGCTTTATCCAAAGCAAGAGCCATTGCTGAAAAGTTGAAGCAGCAATCCGCCGCCGCTGCCCCATCCGATTCAGCTTACCTGTCTTCCTCCGGTTTGCGTTCTCCCCACTTGTCTATTAATGCCTTACTAACCTAAATCTGGACTGTAGCTGGATCAAAGCGAGGTTATCGTGAAGATTCTGAGGAGCGCGATGACTATCGATCTCAAAGCTCTCGAGGCTACGAAGAACGTGATTATAAGCGAAGTGCTTATGAAAGCAGCGGTTCCTCGAGACCTACATGTACGTTGTTTTAATGGCATTTTACTTACCTGTTTCCCTAATTTATGTCGTCTTGTCTATTGCAGACAGTACAGGTAGCGATGCTCGTCGCTATGGTCTTGGTTCCGAGGAGCGAAGCAATATGTCATCATATGGTTCATCGTCCACTGGTCCGCAAGTACAAGAAGAAATAACGGTACCAAATCATATGGTTGGATTGATCATCGGCCGAGGTGGCGATAATCTCAAGAAGATTGAACGCATGTCTGGTGCAAAAGTGCAATTTTTGTCAGGTAAATACTCTTTCCTATTCATCTAGGTGCTTTTTATTCGTTGCGAAAGTCCATATTCTGACACCCATCTGAAATTCAACAAGATACCGGCGATTCTGAAAGACGTGTTAACCTTGTCGGTGACAGAGACGAGCTGAAGATCGCCCGTGACATGATTCAACAAGTTGTGGATGATACAATGGCGGGTGAAACAGGTCGTCGTGGTGGACCTGGGGAGACATTCGGCGGATCTGGTCCTACTGTATCGGCGGCAATGAGCGGCAACAGTCTCATGATTCACATTCCTGCCAACAAAGTGGGACTAGTGATCGGTCGTGGCGGAGAAACCATCCGTGATTTGGAAGAACGAAGTGGTGCGAAGATCATGATTTCTCCGGAAGGGTCAGCTCCAAGCTCTGGCGAAAGATCAGTTAATATAATTGGTTCGCAAGATGCCATTCAACGCGCAAAGACTCTTATTGAGGATATTACCAAGGATGATGGCTATGGTGTGGTATGTTTGTTTGTACTTCCTTGATGTAGAACATGGTTTCCACTAAAACCTTCTGAACTGAATAGCAAGTGACTCACAGCCGTGACTGGGCTGCTTATCGCGAACAGCATTACAATAGCAACGCAGACAACAGCAAAGCGGCTCATGGCGAAGGCCGAAAAATAGCGGCACCTGAGAGCAGTGGTGCAAGCGGTGCAAGCGCTGCGAGTAGTGCGAGCGGATATTCTGCGCCACCTTTTGCGACTGGCGCTAATGCGTCGTCATACGATCGTAGTGGTCCACCCTCTGGTGCCCACTCGGCTTCATACGATCGCAGTGGTCCACCCTCTGGCGCTTACGATCGACCATATGGAGGTGGTGGCGGTGGTGGTTACCGCGGACGATACAATAACGATGACATGGAAACCATTCAGGTGCCACGCGAAGCCGTAGGTTTCATTATCGGCAAAGGTAAGCTATAGCGTGGCCATGTTAGGAATTTGCTCAGCTTCACTTTAGCCAATTTGCTGAATGTATCGACCTCTTTTTATACACGTTACTTATGATTGTTGGATAGGTGGTGAAACGGTTCGTGGATTGCAAGATCAGTCCGGCGCCAGAATCAAAGTCAATCAGAATAGCTCCGATCATAATTCGAGCGAAAGAACGATTAGTATATTCGGTAAGTGTTATATACTTTGACCAGAACGCGGTGCAGTTTAGATCTTGGGCACATATAGCAAATACGGACCACGGGGTGGTCCGAGTCTGCTGGTGTTGAAATATGGCAGCATGCTTCTATTTGATAGCTTCTGGTGCCATGGGCTGTGCGGTTTATGGCTACAACTCGACCATTTTTTTTTGTGCAGGTTCACCGGATCGTATTGCGTTGGCGAAGCAGCTCATTCTGGAAAAAGTCGAGGCAGGAAGTGTACATGATCGTTTTCCCTTTTTCATTTTCTTTCTATTGTTCTTTGATGGTGGCTGTGTTCGTGTTGCGTTTATGTGTGTATGTTTGTGTGTCCGGAATATTGCAGCAACGATCAAATTCGTTCTTTGATTACGGTTTGCGGGCATGAGCCATCTTATTGCCACATGTTTTGGCCCAGATGAGCGCAACCCTCGTTGTTTGTTTTGTTGTGTTGTTTTTCTTTTTGCGCGCATTTTGTATCTTCGAAATGCAAGGTTTCTTGTTGGTAGGGCATTGGCATGGTGATACTAACAAACATCTGTCTCTATTTTTGTGCGCAATGATTGTTCGTGTTGCTCGTTGTTTCTTTTTGGACATCATTTTTTTCAGGCTAATCGTGGATCCGGACGTTATGGCGGGGAAGGCTATGGCAGAGGGTAAGTAAGACTTTAAGTGAAGAGAAAATTTGCAATGTCTAATTCACATCTATGTCAGTGGCTATGGCTCCCGTGGTGGAGGTTATGGTGGCGGCCGATACAGCCATGGATCATCTTATCATCAGGATAATGCGGATCCCGCAGCTTATGATTATTCACAGTATCAACAATATTACGCTCAATATGGCTACGACCAATACGCTCAGGCGGATCCGAATGCCGCTGCACAAGGTACGATAATCAGAGATTCGTAGACTTCTGATGCACTGACGGTTGAAAATTTAGGCTATGAAGGCTATCAGTATGCCGGCTATCCATATGCTTATGGCGGCTATCCTTCAGCTGCCCCGAGTGCAGAGAATGCTGAAGCCAATGCTGGCGATGCGAGTGGCGCGGTTGCTTCTGCCGATAAGGAGACCTCTTCGAGCGAAGCCGCCCCTGCAGAAGGTGCTCCCAAGGATGATCAAAACGCCGCTTACTATGCGCAATATTACGGTAACCAAGGTGACCAGCAATGGACTCAGGAAGCTTATAATCAATGGTACCAACAATACTATGGCGGGCAATATGGTAACTACGATCAACAGCAACAAGCTGCATCAGAAGATAAGGAAAATGCTGCAGAAGTGCCTCCATCTAGCGAACCTACAACATCGGCTTCAAATGAAGCATCGGCGGAGGCGCCTTCCGCTCCACAAAATGAGGCACAGGAGTAGATCTTTTTATTCATTGCAGTGCTACTGTTTATTCCAGAAGTGACTGTAGGAATTCGAATATTATGATATATAAAAAAAATCATGTCGAAATAAAAAAGACGTAGACAAACATGGCATGACGAAGAGTTGAATTTCATTTGAAAAAAGAAAAAAAATGGATGTTAGCTTTCATTTCTACTTTCTGCAATGGGCAATGAAGTTTATCTTTTAAGGCAACTTCTGAAATTCATTCGGACATGATGTCAATACGGGTGTTACTGAGGTCATACAAATGAAAGAAGAGCAAAAAAAAAAACCTACGGTGACTTTTGAACAGGAGTATACAGTGGTGAGGACACAGCTCATGATTTGCGCCGCCGCTAAACAGTGCTTCCAACTCATTCTGAGCTCGGAAATAACCCCCCCCCCCGAGAGCATAGTACCTCATTGAACTGAAGTGCGATTTTTATATAATGGTAACGCGGAGAACTGCGCGCTGGCCTGATGACAGAAGTCCATACATTAAGGTAAAGTTTCCTGGCGATCAGCGTTTCAAACGGTAAACCCGCAACATCATAAAAATGTAAGGTAATTTTTTGGTGGAACCTGAACGCTTTGTAGCTTTGTTAGTGACGAATCGTCGCAAATTGCAGTAGATAAACATTCGATCAGATACAGGATATATGAGAGGGACGCCCTTTTTTTTTGACATGGCGCTGTTAATCAAGACACGTTTTATTGGACCAAGCAAGATCCTTACAGTTGCAATGCTGCTCCATGCAGTTACCCGATATGCCTGTCCCCAAGTCTTTCTCAATCGATGTCTTATCGTCTTTCATTTATCCACCGTTGCCTCATGTTGTGCCTTGCTTTTTATCTATTTATTTATTTATTCTTCTTGTTATCCCATTTCGTACATACCTGTTGTTAAGGTTATTTTGACGGTTCTGAACAAGGCACATCCGAACTTGCTCTAATTTGTTGCATGAGCACCGTATATACTAAGGGCGACATATATCAGGTCGCTGTGCGTATCGTTCGTTGGAAACGGAAGGGTAAAAAAATAGAGAAACGTTGCATCTGAATGAAAAATCGAATCAGGGAAAAAAAAAAGGAAAAGCAAGTGCGGTAGTTCTAAGTATAGAAAAGCAGATGAAAAGTGTTGATCGACCGTGTTTATTTGGATTGGAAACTAAGGGTAAAAATCAATAATCGCCAGGTGAATGGAAGAAATCAAAAAGTGCCGGAGTGAAAATCAGAGCGTGAGGGAGCGACTTCAAGATCTGAATAGCCAACATCAAAAGCTGAAGTAGCAAAAATCAAGGCATGATGGTGCGATGTTCAGGACTTAGAAATAAGGGCATCTGTGCATAAGGCAGGTACACAAGCTTGGCAATCGATTGCCACAACGCCTTAATAACGCTTCAAGTTTTTTCCATCCCCTCTCAAATCAAATAACCATTAAAATACACATCCATCAACACTGCTACTGGTAATCGGTAATCCCAAATAATATAACCATGAGTAAGTCCATTATCATTCCTCTTTCGTATTTGATTCTGCAGATACCATCGTCGAATGTATCCTTCATAACGAATACTCCAGGGGCAACGGAAATCAGATGTAGGCAGGCATATGTTCCGATTTTAAATGAAAGCTGTATAATATTACACGTCATTTCCGAACTTCCACTATCGTTTTTGTCCTTACACACTGCAATACCGGTTTGCATTATACAATCGCCAACTGGATACCTGCGATCCTCTGAAACATGATTTAAATAAACACTTTCATTGGACGACTATCACTTCCCAACGTAAGAATGGGTTTCCTCAAGTCGATCCTCAATGTAATAGCCGCAAGTGAATGGTGGTAGCCTGACTTTCGACAAGAGTTGTCACTTCGTATGTTGACGAACAGATGATCACGCTGAAGAATGTATACAACGCACATTCTTCGCAAAAAGCACTGCAGAGCATACTTCGGCTCGTTGCAAGCTTACTCCAAGGTGCAATTCATTTCTTTGGCTTCAAAGAATTAGTTTGACTGTATGCGTGTCCCATGTGTGATGCTGTGTGAAATGGTGGAGAGGATGGTGATGAGGGAGTGTGGCAGATGACTCATGGTTGGGTGGCGACAGAGAAAAAAGAAGGTCGGAGTTGCAATCAAGGGTAGCAAAGTGTGGGAAAGAGGGAAAACGGCCAGTTCTGGGCGACAGAAAAGGCAAGAGCAGGGTGCTTCCTAAAGCGCGTGTTCGTGTAACAAGATGTCATTGTTTGCGCGGGGTTAGGATTACCATAAACAGTATTTCCGTGTAACGTTACACAAACACAGATATCCCCAATTGGGGGAAAAATTTGAATTTTGCAGTTGTTTGGAGGGCTGAGAAGGGCAGTTTGGGCAGTAAAAGGCAATGATTTAGGTTAAGCTCTTGTTGTTTTTTCTCACTTTTTCCCTCCCTTTTCCTTTTTCTCTTTTCTTTTTTTCCTTTTCTCTTCTTTTTCTTTCCGTTCACTTTCTCTTTTTAGTGACCGGTCGGCAAATTGCCTTTTATTGAAAAGTGGAACTGATGTGGTTCAAGAAGACTACAAATGGCAACAGCTGTTACCACTTTGAGAAAGTGACGCACAGTTCACGGTAACCAAGCACAACAGCCAGGTTTGGAGTGCAGTGACACATCGCCATAGCAACAGAGGCTCAAGGCGGCACTTGTGAAATCAGCAAAGAAGGAAAACGAATGAAAAAGTACCCTTTCTTTTCTGAGGATTTTTTTTTATTAAGATGGTCCAAAGCGACCCCTCATGTTGCGGTGAACGACTCACATGGAATACTATTCTGATTTATTTTTTTGGTTGGCCTGAACATCATTTCGGATTTGAGCATTCACGATATCATTTTGGGTACAAGTGGAATTTATCATTGAAAAATGTGACTTTATTCACGACGAAACTTGAAGCATGATTCTTTTCTACTTATTGTACCGCGCTTACCTTGTTATCATCAAAAAGCACTATCGACACTTACATTTATTGCCTGCAAAGCTGAGAGAATAAAAGCCGTGGACAGTCTGCCTTGCATTTTGTTCAAGGTGAGTTATTGTAACGATCAATGCTGAGGTAGACAGATTTCAGGAGGTTTGCACAGCCGAATTTTCTTGCATTGTTGGTATCAGCACATTCTGCCATCATCCAATGGCATCGTGACGAAAGACTTCAACGTCCCAATAAGAACGTCTTTTCGTTGTCATACTTCTTGCGCGATCCTGAGTCTCGGCAATACTGAGTCTTGGCGATCCTTTCCGTTGTTGACGAGGCAAGCATAGGCCCAATAGGCATACACACTACATGTGCAAACGACACGATCCAAGTAAATGTCGGCAAGCATACAGCCACAGATGTTGCCTGATTTGGGTGATCTCATACAGTGTGTGTCGGAGAAAAGTTCGCGACCAGAGGGGAAGCCTTGTCAACCATACAAGTGAAGTCCTCAAGAAAGCCTGTCACCGATTTCCGGAGCAATCGCCAAGACCATATTGGTGTCAATGTTCGGTACAACGGATGAAGAGTCTGCTCTGCATTGCAAGCATCAAATTCAAGGGCGATGATCAAGCAACTATCTGCGGAGGGCCATGATAGACTTGGGGGTAGTTACAGCTTGCTTTGCGCCCACCAGTTGTAAATCACGGCGGTGCTTTGTGTGCCTTTCCAGTTTTCTGCAAAACAGGCTGACCGCAACTTGACTGCATTGGTCGTTGTTACAATTGCCATCAGGATCAGTTATCTTCATCGTGACAGGGTGACATGATGTTCCCGGACACATGCCAAAAGCCTGGCGAAGCAATATTTTAGTACCAGGATGAGCGGCCTTGATTGCAAAACAAACACTTACCATAAAGGGACGACTAAAAAAAAAAGAGAATTCATATCGATTGACGCCAGTCATCCGTAACTCATGCCACGTCCACCACGGATACTTGGGCTATTTTTCGGGCGGCTCTCTCTGTCGCTTTAATCGTTGTATGTTTCAAAGCGACGACCAAGTTTCTCTTGCGTGCCAGGTTGACCAGATGAGCAGATACCTATTTGGGGTACTATCCCAATTTTTGTCGTTTAGGCTTTGTGTAGTTACCTAGACTTCGCAATGTAGCCTTAGCCAGCCGTGTCGGCCAGTAGCTTAGCCAGTTGAGTCAGCCAGTAGAGTCAGCCAGTAGCTTAACCAGTCTACTCAGCCAGACAAGAAGCCGACGGGCAGTGGACAGTAACTGGCCAATATGCTTTACTTTTCATAGACCTCTTCGCTAGGCTTTTTGCACTGCTTTCGCTACTTTTTCGGTACTGTTCCGCTACAACGGGCTGCCATTTTCGCCATCATTCGCTCTCACATCGCTACTACCCGGCTGTCATTTCACTACCATTCGGCATCAACCGGCTTTCACTTGGCTACTAACTGGCCGCCATTTAGCTACCATTTCCCTCTCGTTTTTGCATAGTTATTTGTCTATTTGTTAACCGTAGATTTGACTGCCTCCCCAATCATAAAAGTCTTGCTGTTTTACACTGCTGACTCGCTTTGTTCGCAATAAGTATAGTGCCAGTGTCTAGTATCACGCTTTCTTTTTTTTGTACCAGAATGTGGCTTACCTTTGTAGATTGCCTAAAGTTCCCTTCTACAGTCACCGTCACAGTTAAAGCCAATCATTTTTTTGCTATTTGTAATGCCTAACCTAATGTATCTTCCCCATATCCATTGACCAAGGTGTGCAGTGAGACATGACCGGTCATGGTATCCTCCCCGTATCCATTGACCAAGGTGTGCGGTCTTTCATGACCGGTCCTGATATATTCTCACTACTAATTGACCCAGGTGTGCAGTGAGACATGACCGGTCATGGTATCTTCCCCGTATCCATTGACTATTGGTGTGCACTGATACATGACCGGTCATGGTACTCTCCCCGTATCCATTCACCAAGGTGTGCGGTCTTTCATGACCGGTCCTGATATTCTCACTACCAATTGACCAAGGTGTGCGGTCCTTCATGATCGGTCATGGTATTCTCCCCGTATCCATTGACTATTGGTGTGCACTGATACATGACCGGTCATGGTATTCTACCAGTTGACTATAGGTGTGTGATGCTACATGGCCGGTCATGGTGCTCTACCAATTGACTATACTGTAGGTGTTCGGTCATACATGACCGGTCATTGAGACTGTACGGCTGCAAGAATAGCTTTATTTGATATACAATGCGGATGCAAATAGTTTTAGCCTATGAAAAAAATGAGAAGCAGGAAGAAATAAAAAAAAAGAGATGGAATATATAACATACTTCATACGAAAAAAAAAAGCTAGGGCATAGGAAACATTGTAGGAGGGGCATACAAAAATTAAAAAAAAAGCACATTAATGGGTCGACGACCGCTTGCCGTTTGATGGCCCTTCGCCCGCATTATCTTTGTACGAAACTTCTCCGTCTAGAAGTCGTTTCCCCGAGAATGACTCACTTCCTTCACTCATCGTGGATGATGAAAAGCGGACATGCTCCCGAAGAATTCGGGATCCCCAATTGTGGCCATTTTCACCGCTGTCATCGTCATTGTCACTGTCGGCTTGCCTGGAGCCCCGAGACAATTCGCTCGAGGTCTCCTCCAAATTAAACAACGCAAAACCTTCGATACCCTCCATCGCTTGGGGCTTGAGATCAGTTCTAGGCTGCAATGGTGACGATTGACGAAGGACCAAATGCGCCAGTTCCCGATTGTGGAATACAATCTCCTCAAGCCGCGACGGAATCATCTGGGCTTTTGCCCCCCCACTGTATGTCACCTTCTCCTTCGGGAGAGTCTGGAGATGCTGGAGGATGCGCAGTTCCATCTCGGCCGTATGCGGGGCTTCCCGGGAGAAGAAAAGAGCTTCGGCACTGTTGGTGCTCACTGGTAATGATATGGTGCCTTCCGTTGACATCGGGAACCCTTCGCGGATAAAATCGATGATCATGGTAATATGGATCTTTGCCCGATCATTCTCATTCACATAGGCACCAAGGGTAGCCTCGCCTATTATGTGACAAAATCAGATCACAAGACAATCGCTTCATATATTTCGCAACTATTTACCTCTAACGATCCAAACTGTGTTCAGCTTTGCATAGTCCATAAACATCTTGATGATCTGTATATTGTTCGTGTATGCCGTGAGTGACGCATGGCCAACCGATCCACGAATCACCCCACTCAATCTGAGCTTATTGGAGGTGAGTCGATAGCTCGCCTCGCTGTAGAGCTTGACAGCACAGGTAATGACGACGTTTGACATGATGAAGAAGTTTCAAAGAGAATTGATACAGCAGAAAATTCGTAGAGGCATTCAATATCTATAAGAATTGATCTCTACTGGAAACTAAAAATAAGCTCATGCGTTCACTTCTCTTATTTTTCGTTTTCGTAACTTGGAAGCAAGTTTTAAAATTCATTGTTCAGTGCTTTGCCTTGGCATAAAGTCGATAATTTTGAGAAAAAATCATTCTCTTTTTTTAAAGTTAGGTTTGGTAAAAGGGTTATTACTGTATATAGAGTGTTTTCGCAACTTGTCCCTTGCTCTTGGCGCTTCCCTCTTGTCCCCTTGATCTTCATTTTTCTAGATGGTACACAGTCTTCTGTAGGGGCTCTTGATCAACCGCTTGCTATTCCTAGCCTTTCTCTATCAAAGGAAAGTATCCGGATGGGCGACTGTTATTGCAGGAGTGTTACAAGGAAGAATTGCTTTTGCATACTGTGGATATTTTACTACCACTTCTTGAAATAGTAAAGTCAGGGGGATTATGGAAAAAGTGTATCAAAGGAAGTCGTGGCAACCCAAATGTGGAATCATCTGCGATTGCAATTTTCAGAAATTTTTTGTAGGGGTTGGTTGTTTGCTTGAAAGTGAATGAATTCATTGTTTAGTGATTGTCAATAGACAGATATCTGAGAACGTAAATTCGTGTAGGAGGTGATACTTTTATTTAAATAGTGTGATCTCAAGGAAACAAAAGCCAAAAAATAAAGAGTAGCTAATAAGTGAAAAGGTCACCATCATTTTGAATACATTTGTCCTTTTTTTTTTTGCGAAGCTATGCAATCGATGGAACTTGATTTTTCAGAAGGCCCACATTTCCACTTTTCACATCATGATCGTGGTCATTTTGAGAAATTTACTCAATTTTGTAAAGCCATACCGAATTGCTACTGTACGATTTGCCTCAAGATACTTTACCGAAACGAATGCTACAGTACTTTCGGCCGCCATTACGAGATTTAAAGGATTTACCTTGTGTGGAATGGGGATTGTGGCCAATTTTACAAATGAATAACGATCAATGGGAAATTGCAGTTTGCAAAAAGCATTCCATAATCGATGCAGACAGTACTGACGATGCTATTTATGTATATCCTGGTCCAACTTTGGAAGCAGCAAAAGAGCTGAACTACCGTGAACTATCTGCATTATCACCGGTCAAACTGATGTGCCAAATAACGCGAAAAAAAGCAATTACCAGTGGTCGTATGGGCCATTACGAACTGTCTGGATCAATGTGGGCGGTACACAACTATGAGTTTGCAAAGATGGCATATGAAGGCACCTTGGGTGTATTTTTCCAAACTGGACGAGTGAGAGGTAAATGCTGCATATTTCTTTTTGCCTCATATGTATCCCAGAGGGACGATGGGTATTAATTATTTTTTTATTTTTTTTCGTGGTCATTAGACTTATGCGTGACTAAAATTCGAAGAGTGTGGAATATACTAGTGGGACTGAACCCTCTGCTGCGGAGATACGAGGAACCTGAAGTCGCTGTGAATCTCATAGAATATCACCTTCGCGTTAATAATGATAGGCTTGGCGCACCTACCGGTTGGTCAAACCGAATTGCATTGCCACCTCATGATGTTGCACCGGCTACTGGGGATACAGGTTTCGAGGCTGGAGACCTGCGAATTGGCCATGATAGTTCAGATGATATACGATTTAACCATCCCTCACTCATGGCGCTTTTGTTTCCACACCTGTACACAGTCGGACGCGGGCATTATTCAATGACTGTTCCTACTGACGAGAACACGAGAAGCACAAAATAACATGGAGGTGTTTCCCTGGCAACACAACATCAAGAAACTCTAAAGGGTTATGCCAATCGGTGTCTTTTGTTGGCGGACCGCCGATTTGCTCGCGATCCGTCATGGATGTTCTTCATACTGGATGCTGTTGAAAAGCACAACATCGCAGCATATCACAGAAGGGTGGTTAATACTCAAGGTCGCAGTGGTATCTGCCGAAGGGATGTTACATATGTCGATCCAGTCACAAACCAAGTACGCATTCGTGAAGACAATACCTCTAACGTTCCACACATCATTCGCTCGTCGTTTGCCTACAAGAGAAAAGCATACTTGGATCTCGCATGAATGTTTGAAGTGTTTGGAGAACCAGAGGTATATACTAGATAGCTTGCCATGACATTCCAGAGTATATGCTCATATTTAAAGTTATAGATTTTTATGACATTTACTTGCGATGAATGCTTGATCTCGACACCATCAAGAAAAACGATCCGATGCTGTTCTTTTATAAACCTTTTTTTTTTTGTTTACCTTCTCATTAATGACCATTTACTGTATTATGACACTGAGTGGCAACAATCGGCTTTTGCCGTAAACTGATAATGCTTAATGCTCCAGGTAAGCTTCATCATGATATTATACCAAGAAAACACCATGTGTTTCTCAATCAGTTATAGCGGTGACACATGCAATCATGACGGAGTACCACAACCGAGTACCATGTCGGCGTACCACAACCGGTTATCATGTCGGCGTATCACGACCGGGGATCATGACGTATTACCATAACGACGACATCGTCCGATCTCTAGGCAAATAAAAAAAAAAGTCCGCTTCTGTTTACTGTCGAACTTTGGCGGTGACACATGTAATCCTGACCGAATATCATGACCTCGTCATGCAATATCTGGCAAACCCAAAAGAAGAAAGAGAAAACAAAGAAATGCGCCTTTAATGTCCCCTATCCAACTTTAACAGTAAACAAATGCAGATCATGATGGTACTGACGGTCACTTTATCGACGGAAACCCGCAGACGAAGAAAAAAGAACTTGAAATTTTTGTCTAGTTAAATAATGATTGCCCAATACATGGATGGATGTACATGACCGGTCATGATACTCTATATATATATATCAATTGATCATGATGGTGCGGTGGTGACATGACCGGTCATGCCAACCTCTTGTTACCAATTGACTACAACTGTGCGGTGGTGACATGACCTCCGCGTCGTTCATTTCACACCAACCCAAAAGTATTACCACAGAAGATCGATGAGTTTGTATCCTCTGCCAACGCAGCATGTCATTCAAAGCGGCCCTTCTTCTTGCTTTGACGATAGGCTGAGATCCGTCATTCTTCAAATGATTGAACGAACATGCCTATGCCAGGTCGCAGTTAAAGCAATGATGTGTAATTCAAAACTCTCATAAAATCGGGTTCAAAATCTTTATTGTTTATCGCTTGTTGCCTATTTCCTCGAAATATACGCTCAGTTAGTACGATCCGTATAATTCACATAATCCCACAAACAGTTTTCATAAATCCATATGCGGAGATTGATATTACCGCTGTTACCGCTATTACCACTATTACTGATGTTACCGCTATTACCGCTATTACCGCTATTACCGATGTTACCGCTATTACCGCTGTTACCGCTGTTACCGATATTACCGATATTACCGATATTACCGATATTACCGTTCTATAAAAAGGCAATTGATTTTGTACACCAAGCGTGCTATTGCAACTAGGGTTCCTTAACGGGTCGGCGGGTCAGTGACCCGAACCGAACCGAACTGGTTTTTTTTACGGTTCGGGTTGACCTTTTCTGACCCGCCCACCAGTTCGGGTCAAGGCTTGACCCGACCCGTTGACATTACGGGTCAATGACTGAACCGACCCGTTGACATCACGGTTCAACCGCTGACCCGACCCGTTGACATCACGGGTCAACCGCTGACCCGACCCGGTAACCCGTTAGTGACCCGTAAATCTGATTTAGAATGGTGATGACATGGCACAGATTCCAAATGAGGACGCAATTAAAGAAGCAGAATCAGAATCAGAATTTATTACGAATGAAAAGAAAATCTATGGCAAAGACAAAAAAAGAAAAACAGAGGATAAAAAATAAAGAGAACGGAAGATATAAAAAGGAAGAAAAAAAGGAAATAAAAAGAGAACGTAAGAGAAAAAAAAAGAAAGAGAATGGAAGAGCGGAAAAAAAAAAGAAAAGAGAAGAAAAGTGAACGGAAGAGGAAAAAGGAGAACAAAGGCGAAAAAAAAAACCGAAGGGAATGGGAGGAGGAGCTTAAAGCCACGAGTTCAGAAGGATACTCTGCTTCAACGGCTCAGGTTGCAACCGATTGCGCACAGCAGGAATGAAATGCTTCGCACGAGAAAAAAACCGCTCGCATGGCGTCGATGTTGCTGGAATGGCAAAATACTTGCGTGCCATCTTCGCCAATTGAGGGTACTGGACTTGCCCCACAGTTCGCCAAAACAAAAGCTCACAGCTGTCTTCATCGTCATTGCTGGGTCCGGCCTCAATCAGCAAAGGTGCCTCCACATATGCTTGCAACG